CATGTGAACGGTTTCGATTAGCTATGCTGACCAGTAAGATAATTGCTGCAAGCCTTCTTGTGCTAATAGCCGTTGTTAATAAAGCGCATGGAGAACGGAGGGCCGTGAATCCCTTGGCTGCGGATCTCCGTGCTGTAGCTCCACTTGTCTTTGTGACATTCTGCCTCGAAATTTTGGAAATATCATATGGTCTGATACGTCCAAACCCCGAATATAAGTGGCGTTGACAGTTGCGTTCGTTGTCTTGCGTTGTTTCTGCCTTATGGAGTATGGGTTCCGAATTGTGGAATCGATGTGTAGAATCATGTACGCACTGTTAATCTTTGGTGGATCATGAAGTTTCACCCAAGTCCACAAGGCTTGAGAGATCCCACCAACGGCATCTCACGACATGCAGCCAGTTGAACCCTTGCAGCGGGCGTTGTCGGCCTCCAGGCAGAACTTTATAGATGCTTTGCATATATAGTGTCCGGGGTCAAAGATGACAGTTAGATGGATAGATCATTTTTACCCATGGCAGGGCTGTCAATTCGGATACGAGCATGATCGCCAAACGGTTTCGCGCATTGCAGACGAGAGCTCTTTCCCACATCTAGGCAAACTCCCAACCTTAGTCATCCCAAATGGACGCCCGGGATTCGTCGGGGAAGTGAAAAGATGTGTGCTCCATCGTCCTAAGCCAAGCACCGTTAATTCAAATCGCACGGTCGATTCCTCTTTTGGTATTATGAAAGATACGTTTGGCGATGATTGGCATTGGCAGATCGACCATGATCAATTTGCCTCTTTGTTTGCTTATTTCCTCTTTATCACTAAAGGAAGAGAAGCTCCAGTTGGGGACCACTTAGCTCCTCTCGGCTGCGCTGGAGGACCTTCCGCGGCCCCTAAAAGGGACTAGGAACTGCCCGCCCGTCTCCACCTCCATATTCTCCACTTCTCTATTCCGTAAAGCTGTTGGCTTCGAGGCTAGAAGGATAGGAAGAATGGCAATCTCCGAACCTGAGCCGTTATGATTGTTCAACCGGTGCCGTGAGCTCAGGGCTTTGCTTCGTCAATCTTCTGTTTCTGTTATTTGAAAATGGCCATTTAATTTCGTTCGGTGAGCTCCTCTCCGTAGTAGCTTTGATACAGCCGTTTAAGCTCGAGCTCTGGAGACGAATAATCTGACCACATTGCCGACGATCAGGTGGAAAATATGGGAATTCAATAGCGCCTCATTTTTGCTTCTTTTTTTTCCTTTTGTTCTTTACAACGACAAACGAGCCCGTGGGCCTCCCAAAAGCAAAGAAATAAATGGCAAAAAAGATCTGTCTGTGCGACAACGGTGGCGGTAAGGATTTTGTAGCCGTCTTTTTATCGCAGCAAATAGTCGCAGCCTAGATCGCAAATTTTTGGGAAGTCTTATCCATTGTACCTCTTTGCATATGTCGGTACAAAATAAAATTGTGGGTATTGACGCAAGGTACCTAGCCTCAATATTCCCAAACAAAAAAGTGGACATTTGGATTTCTCGAAGAAACATTGACAGCCTTCCATGCATGACCCTTTCCAAACCTATGGGAAGCTTCTAAGCCTAGCAAGGAAACACTCAAGACCCAAGGAGATGAGTGTGGACTTGTGAATAGTGTATAGAGTGGACCTAAAAGACATTGTAAATATCGATCATAGACTCCAATTTCCCTTAGTCCACATTGGCGTAGGTTATATGATTTTGATTGGTGGCGGAAACAAGTCAGTCTCCGCCGGCGTCTACGCTTTACCCGTCATAGTATAGTGGATGTTTGGGGGCGCGCTATCTTTAGAAGCAACCAATTACGCATTGTAAATGCCTCCGGATCTCCGACATGATGAAATGCCGCAATTCGAACCAATTGCTCTCAACTAGTTCTGGACTCGAGGCGCAGTTTGGAAAAATCAAAATCAAACGATTAGGAGTCAGGAATTAAGAATTCGGTAAGTAACATAAACAATGAGAGAGAAAAGTTGTTTAGATAAATTAATTCTAAACTTGCTAAAGTTTGTGTCACAACCTTCATGTCACCCGAGTACAAGAATGAAACTGGTCCTTGCTTGCGCGGCTTGCTGTATGTCATTGGACTTATGTAGTAGTCGATGTGTCGGATTATGCATATGTTTGTGTTTGGATGAGATGGATCATAGTACCTAGAATAATGACGCCCATATGCATATGGTTTTCTGTCGCTGACATGTATAATTTTTTAGTTATATTCTTTGCCCCGGATCTACAGGTCAGGTTATCAGTAAGACGAGATGGTGGCTATCACATCACTTCATCACCCTGCAATCGGAACACATCACTTTGCGAAAAGGCTGGATCCCCCCCACCAATAAGACCAATAAGATGCACAATTGTGAGACCTATTCCATTAGGGCAACTGTTGAATACATACGGAGTAGTGAAATAGGACTACTTAGTGCCCATTGACTGGAATTTGGGTCATCCACTAACATAAGCATAATTATTCCATTATTCAGATGCTCTTCTCACATGTTACCACACTGTCTCAGCTCATATAGTTTGGAGACAGTGATCACTCCCCCAATCAGTGGACATAGGGCAGACGGAGTCCCGGCCACGCGCCCGGTAAACTTTCGAGAAGCGCCCACTTGAGCATCAATGGTGTCTACAAAATCCCATTTGCGCCTTGCCTCTTGCCTGGTGTTAACCAATGAGGGCTTTTTGGGTCGCCTCTGCATTCTCTCGCGGCTGTGCCCGCAGCTGGTTCCTGCAGTAGGCCGCGCAACGGAGCTGGAATCTCGTAGCCTTTGGATCATGCATACTGCGCACCGCGCAATCTTTACTCGGTCTTGGCCGTGCGTTCCTATAATATCGATATTGAAATTTGATGTTCTTGACGTGTACGATATAGATTTTCATTTTCATTACAGATTATGTACGTTATACTGTAGGTATATGGGCCATGGCATAACCCTTGCTTCGATCGGAAAGAAAACACGCGTTTTGTTAGGACCCATGTGGCGAACTAAAATATTGTACAGTACGAACTGCTCGGTAGAACATGTGAGCTGAGAACTGTGATCAGCTTAATATACCTAAATGTTAATGTTAATGCCGATGTCTAATATCAGATGTTAGTTAAAAGTTGGTAACAGAGGGTCATTGGTCCGGGGTTGACCGTCCACCGCGAGAGCCTAGGATCATATGCAATCCATACGACAGGAATAAGCAGCAAGCAGCCAATGCGTCGTTTCATGATTCAATGGTTGCACGGTAATCGCCACCGTTGATAGTCTGATCGGCAAGTCTCGAGCGACTTGAGATGTGCAGCTTAAAGAGGCAATTGATTAGCGGACCGCCATTGGGTCTGTAAGGTTTCCACTTGTTGATCGCTGTGCCGCCTGGAGTCTAGCGTGAGATTGTTGGTATTCCAAGTATTCCAAGTATTGTTAGCAATTGTCGATCTTGGTAATTTTTGGGTTATAAGAGGGAGATAAATGGTCAATGATAGTGTGGCCATATTTTAAGTGTAATAATAATACTGGAGACTTTAATACTGGAGACGGGATACGTGGGCCTTTGTTTTCCATTAGTTTCAAAAAGCAAAAAAGGAACAAAAAGCACAAGACCTAGGTAAAATATGAGAGAGGAAAATAGAGGATCTTATTTGTCCGACATTTGGGGTGATAAGAGGTGCAAATGATTGCCGCTGTCACCATCACACATCCAATGATTGTTCACCTCGTGGCCACACCCAACTTTTGGATCTGGTCTCGGGCCACTACCAGTTGACGCTATGGTAATTTTTTCGCTCTTTGGTTTTTGGTTCTGGTGAAGGCGCTTGATGGTCTCAATGCTATGGTGTGTTCAATATGATGAGACTACAAATCAGAAGGATTGAACCGTATTACGCCTAATGTGCCTACAGCATATGAAATTATCGCCTCTCCGCATTTTCAAATCCAGAGAAAAGTAAAAAGAAAAATAGACGAAAATGTATACTCCACTAAACTATTTTAGGGATTGTGACCGAGTACCTTTGTAATAAATTTAATAATATAACAAGTTTATAACAGCTATAACACCATTAACGTACAATGTAGGTAAATAACCAAATTCTGAGATTTATTTTAATTAAATATGAACTCAATTGTTCTACTACCCACTCTAACTTAGGACACTAACTAATGCCTCAATCAATGCGATTGGCTATAGGTGACGGGACTGAGCACTTGATGTGCACCCGGTGTCTTTCCCAATCCCGCCCCGGACTAGGATGATACCATATTATTTCTTACACAAATAATATTATGAGATATTCTGACCTAGGTAGTAACAATATAGAGTATATTATTGTATTTAATAAAAAAGAATTCATGAGACAAAAATCCCTAAATAATCCCTAAATGATTTCCCCCCCAAAGCACCCGGTTCCTGGCCCACACCTAAACTAGTGACCCGGCAAGTAGAAAATAGTAGCAGATCACTCATTTAATCCACCTTTGCTATCTCTTCCCTTCTGATTCCCATACTTGTCTCTTGTCTCTTCGTCTTTTTTTTATTCTATTTTATTTCCCCGCTGTCGATTTTATTTTTTATTTTGTTCTTCCTCTAACACTCTTTCAACACACACTCTCTCTATCAAGTCCCTTTTTTTGATTTATTTTATTTTTCTATTTGACTATTTTGGGTTTGGGTCATCCTATTTGATTTGGATCCTCATCTCTATCACTCTCTTTCCTCAAGTACTTCGTCTCCCGGTTCCCAGAACCTGTCCTTCCTTTTTCGAAAAAAAACAAACTATACTCGACACTCATTCTTCGTCTATACAACTAATTCACCTCATTACCCTGTCCATTCATTCATTCGGACATCTTTGCCAACTATATCTCTAACTAATCAAACCGGGAGCCTTTCAATTGGACATTACTCGTTTCAAACAGGTATGTATATATCCTATACACATTGATATACACTTTCTTGTGGTTCCTGACTGACGTGAAAATAGCAATAGCACAAAATGGACTCAACATACACCATGGGACCTTCAGTGCAACAGTCATACGCATACTATCCAGACTCACAACAAAGAGGTCATTACCAGTCGGAAATGCCATACTACGGACAGATGCAGTATGGAACGCCAGAGCAACCGCTGTACTCGCCTCAGCCAATGATGAACATGCACCAGATGGCTACAACCAATGCATTCCGGGGAGCAACTATGAGCTTGACGCCCATTGCCTCTCCCCAACCGTCGCAAATGAAGCCAACAATCATTGTGCAGCAGGGTTCTCCCGCTTTGATGCCCTTGGATACTCGTTTCCTCAGCCATGAAATGTATTCGTTCCCTTCGACTCCTCCACTGTCGGCTTCTGGAAGCTCCATCAGCAGCCCCCCATCTGCCCATGGCGCACTACCAACCCCCATTACCGACACGTTCTTTGGATTTGACCAGGTGGAGGGTGTCAAGGAAGGATGCGAGACCGAAGTTCACCAGGAACTCCTGGCCAACCCGGAATGGGGTCGTTCTGCCTCGCCTCCAATGACGCCTGGTAAGTTTATTCTCCCTTCTTTTTCTGTCCTGTCATATATAGATCACATCTTGATAAGAAAATGTGGACATTGGGAAGCAAGGGCGAAAGGCTAATTATGACGCAGTCTTCATTCACCCTCCTTCTCTCATCCACAGCCACTCGGACCTTCTGTCTGCCACTTCTTGCCCCTCGCTTTCCCCTTCTCCCTCTCCTGTCCCGACCGATATTCTTGCCTCCCAGACTCTTGGGTCTGGTCCCTCTTTCTGCGATCCTCGCCAGCTCACCGTTGAACCATCGATCAACGCTCCCGCTCATGATCTTCCTCCCCTACCGACTCTTTCATGTGAGGAGGAGGAGCCTCGTGCCGTTGTTGGCAGTGCGTCTGTGACGCTTCCTGTCAACGAGAACCCCTCTCCCTCTTTCAGTGCCTCGACCCAAGATCCTCTGAGCTCGCTGCCCACATTCGACAGCTTTTCAGACCTCGACTCGGACGATGAGCTGAACCGCCTGGTGGAGTTCCACCCTGCCACCAATGCCGTGTACATGAACGACAAGCGTCAGCGCCTCAATGCTTACCCCGTAGAGGATGACGGATTCCTCAGCGAGCACAGCCTCGAGGACACCGACGACTCTGAGACTTTCATGCACAACGGTCTCCCTTCCTTTGCGTGGACCCAAGCTCACACTCACACCGATTGTGAGGAGGACGTCAGCGAGGAGCCCAAGACTAAGAAGCGCAGCAACCGTAAGACCCGCAAGCACGCCGAAGAGGAGGCCGAAGCCAAGGCGCAGGACGCCTGCGAGTCCTCCGGTGACTGCTGCTCCGACGACGGCTCAATTGACGACTCATCCGAGTCCGCTCCTGTGTCTGTCAATCGCCGCGGCCGCAAGCAGTCTTTGACGGAAGATCCTTCCAAGACCTTCGTCTGCACTCTTTGCTCGCGTCGCTTCCGTCGCCAGGAACATCTCAAGCGCCACTACCGCTCTCTCCACACCCAAGACAAGCCCTTCGAGTGCAACGAGTGCGGCAAGAAGTTCTCCCGCAGTGACAATCTCGCCCAGCACGCCCGCACCCATGGCGGTGGCTCCATCGTCATGGGCGTTTTGGACACAAGTGACACCAGCTCAGTATCGTACGATGACCAACATGATGCTGGTGCCTTAGGCCAAGTCATGTACGAGACCGCTCAGGCCGATGTCACCAGTGCCCCCTCTGTGGACCGCCGCGCGGCCAAGAAGCGCAAGCGTGACCTGTAAAGGCGCGGTTCATGATATTCTTACGAGACCACGAGACTTCCTACTGCATATAATACACATACATTTCTCAGTCACAGTCTTTCGATAGGAAGCTCGACATCATTGGTCTTGGTTTGGTTTGGCGTCCGGGCATATTACACCAGCGGAAAACGGTGTACGGCAACTTGGGTTCCCATTTTCAGCGTATTATACATCGCACAGGGACACATACAGGGATTGCCAAGAGTGGTTTTGATTTGAGGCCATTTGGGCGCAGAAGAGTCCAGGGAGAAACAAAAAAAGAACGAAAACATAGAGCTAACTCTATGGCCTGGGAACGGTGAAAATTTTCCTTTGTCTTGTTTTTGATTATTTCCTTTTTTTTCCTTTTGTTTTGCTCATCTCTCTCTCCTGGACCAGCACATCCTGAGCAAATGTGCCTCACCTTTGATCCATTTTGGGTCGTCCCTTCGTGTACTTGTGTTTTTTTTTGCATTTCTCTTCTTGTGACTTTTCTTTGACTTCTTTTTTTGACTTCTATTCTCTCGCTGTTTCGTGCATGCTTTTTTGCCTATTCGATGTAATATTTTTTGGCTGATTTCCCTCTTGTGCTGGTCACATTCTTGTATAAGTTAATTTGACCATCCTCTTTTCCCCCATTGTCTCATACCCCATTCTTGTATTGCATTGCCCCCTTTGTGTTGGTCCCAGGTCACATCTTTAAGATAGGTAGATGTTGATTTACATGCATCAATTTACAAGCATAAACTTAGTACAATTTTTTCTTGTAGAGTATATCGTCGATGACCAGTATCAAGTCGCTTAGTTGACTTTATACTTGTAAATTGCAACTGTACATATCTAGGTAACTAGTATATCTGGAAGTCATCTTTTGACTCTCAAAACGAAATTCTATGCATATTTTAATGAGTTGCATTCTTGTTGGTGCCTTAAATTATAGGCATGCATATAACTTCCCAGAGCCCCATGCATATGTACATCCCCCTCCAACACAACTTCTCCCCTCCCCAAGTCTCTCTTTTATATTACGAAAGATATAGTCTCAAGTCTCAACATATTTAATACAATTGATATTCCTATACAGTCATTCATGCTGTCGCTCACCTGCTTATCGAGCTATCGCTATCGATAAACTCCAAGGTGGGGACAGCGAAAAGTGCCCCCCGTTGCCCGCACCCAGAAATACTGCAAAAAACCACTCCTTTAAGGCGTAAGAATGCCCACCCCAGCACCCGCCTCCGGGCTGAACGTGATCGCCCTGATATCAGGCGGGAAAGATTCCCTCTACTCGATCCTCCACTGCATCCGCAACGGCCACACAGTCGTCGCTCTCGCAAACCTCTACCCAGAACGGCAACACAACACAACCACCCAAGATGAAGACGAGGACATCGACAGCTTCATGTACCAAACAATCGGCCACTCCGTCATCCCCCTCTACGAGCAAGCCCTCAAAATCCCCCTCTATCGACAGCCCATCACCGGCGGTGCAGTAGACACTGCCCGCATCTACGGCCATGACGCAAATACAAACGCAAACGACAAAGACGAGACCGAGTCCCTCGTCCCGCTCCTCCAGCGCATAAAACAGGCACACCCGGAAGCAAACGCCGTCTCGGCCGGTGCAATTCTTTCTACGTATCAGCGCACACGGATCGAAAATGTCGCAGGCAGACTCGGCCTCGTGCCGCTCGCTTGGCTGTGGATGTACCCCTCGCTGCCTGCGCCAGATGCCAGGAAACAGGATCCGCTGGCGATAAAACAAGCAGGTCTTTTAGAAGATATGGCTGCTGTCGGGTGCGATGCTCGGATTATCAAGGTTGCTTCAGGCGGCTTGGACGAGGGATTCCTATGGGAGAATGTGTCTGGCGCTGAGAGCGGGGGACGCATGATGAGGCGGCGCATTACGAAGGCTATGAGTCGGTTTGCGGCGGCGGAGGATATTCGTGGCGCTGTTTTGGGGGAGGGGGGTGAGTATGAGACGCTTGCGCTCGATGGGCCTGGGTTCTTGTGGAAAGAGAGGATTGAGGTCGGTGCAAAGGAGGAGAGGGCTGGTGAGGGGGGTGTGGCGTTTGTAAAGTTGCGACAAGCTAGGTGTGTGGTTAAATCGGAGAGAGCTGTGGATGACGGGGTGGGGCCTGGTGACGTTAGGAGGCCTGGGTTGTTGGATGCGGTTTTTGAGTCGGTACTTGGGTCTGGGTTAGATGTTTCTGGGCCGGATGACTCCAGGAGGAGTGCTAGTATGGCTCGATCACCGGCATGGTCTGGCTGTGAACATGTGCACCGGCTGACTGGTTCAAGCTGGACTATCTCGAATATTGTCGCGCCTGAGGCTGGTCCTGGGGCCGGGGAGCAGATGAAAGGGATTGCAGATAAGACTGAACAGATGTTGAAGTCGTTTGGCCATGCTGGGCCGGGTCCTCGGTCAGAAGATGACATTGTTTTTGCAACAGTCCTGTTGAACTCAATGGCGGATTTTGAATCAATGAATGCTGTCTACGTCTCAATGTTCAACAAGCCAAATCCTCCTGCGCGAGTCACGGTGGCTTGTGGGGATCGCTTGCCGTCCAACGTCAAAGTCATGATCTCATTCACGGTTGACCTGGGCGCGAGAGACATTCGGCAGGGTCTGCATGTTCAATCCAGATCATACTGGGCCCCGGCCAACATTGGACCATACTCACAAGCAATGTCAATCCCGCTGCGAAACGCTAGCAGGCTGGTGTACGTTGCTGGCCAAATCCCTCTAGACCCTGCTTCTATGGACATGACACAAGTGCCGGGGCCGTGGTACGAGGGCTACCGTCTTCGAGCCGTACTGGCTCTCCAACATCTTTGGAGAATTGGCGAAGCCATGCAGGTTGATTGGTGGCTTGGCGCCGTTGCTTTCCTGGTCGGCGAACAACACGCCGATGCCCAGGCTCAAGTGGCTTGGCGCCTGTGGGAGAAGATGCATGCTTTACCAGACAACGAAGATGAAGACGACGATGAAGGACCGCAGCTGGATGCATGGGACATAAAGTACGGGCGCCGCATAGAGGATCCCACGGATACCCTCGTGCCTGGTCTGCCCAAATTTACAGCTCTTTTCGAGTCTACCACTTCCATCCCACCATTCTTAGCTGTTCAAGTGGATCAACTTCCACGAGGAAGTGATATCGAGTGGCAAGGTCTCGGCGGCCGGTGTGAGCAGGCCAAATTGAATATCAAAGGAGGGGCATCTTTCGCCGCTATGGACGGCCAGTTCAGGTATATTAGTTTCGAGATCGACGCTGGTTCGTCGGTCGATATATTGGACCAAAGCTTGCGATCACTGATAGAGACCCACTGTCGAGATTCAAATTTGTCGCAGGCTGTGCTATACACTACACACTCGGTGTCTGAGGCCTCCTGGCCAGGCCAGGTTGTCCCGTGCAGATCGGTATGGGGGCGAAAAGGGCGCAGATTGAGCGCAGCCGTGGTTCTGCAGCAAATATACTAGCCAAATATTCATTAGAAATTAACAGTCAACTTCTCTTCGACAAGCTACACAAAGAAATCATAGGAATTATGTAGTATCGAGGCTAAAAAAACCGTTGATGTCAGTTATTACGCACTGTCCTCTCGCTCGCATGTGATAGGCAAAATCCCTTCCGCGTTCAGAGTAAGAGGACAACAGTGTCACTCCACGCTCTCACCACATTCCAACTCCAAAAATAAAGCTCCAGTCGTCAGATCTCTTGGCTAGCGGTGCTCTGACCTCCGCGCCCACTTCATACAAATCTCCCACCCAGACATGACGTACTCATCAACATAAGCATGGCGCCATGAGTTCGCGGAACCCAGAACAAGAAGCTACACCTCGCAGTAGCACACCTAGCACACCTCTCAGCCCGGAAGCATTCGCTGAAGATCTACGACTATTCAATCGCTCCCCCCATCCATACCACAGAAGCCAGCGCCTGGGCTCCCAAACCCCCTCCGAACATGGCGACCGTCTCCACCCGCTCTCTTCCTACTCAAGGTCCTCGAGGACAACCAGCGACAGCGGCACAGAGGCAGACGATGAAAGTACCGGTATCCTAAGAGGATTACCGGCCCCGCCACTCCGTCCTCGAAAAGGTCTTCGCTCTGGCGGAAATGGTACCATCGATGTCGATCCTTGGCTGCCTAGCTTGCAACCATGGCCGTCGTTTGTCCGGCCTGCGTTGCGGGCATCGCGGCGCAGCTCAGAGGAAGAGATGGAAGAAGAGGTCTATGAAGAGAAGCGAAGGTTCAAGCGACAAAGACGCGTGGAAATCCTCCGCCGGCTAATGGAAGCTGCGCTTCTGTTATCTGTGGGTGGTGTAGTCTTGTACCAAAACGGGGCGCGGTCTTTGGCTTGGGAGTGGCGCAAAGGTATGTTGAATAAAATATTCCACGGCGTAATGGAGAAGCCCGGCTTACGGTTTGTTTCGCAGAACTCGTTGCTCATGGCCTGGTGGTCCTGGGTCTTTATGCCACCTATCCGCTCGTTGTTCGAGCATCGGAGGGCCGCAGCTGGCGCATCTGGCGTATCTGGTCGTCGAAACGAAGATCCTTCTCCTTGCCCGCCAGCTTTGATCCTGCTCCTCTATTCTATCCGATCTTGATCCCCATCTTTGTTTCTTTGTCGTTGTCCAACCACGTGCCACCGCTTCTTATGCCTAATATCATTCTCAGCCTCTCCTCTATACCCGCGCCCGCTATTCCGCTTCAGGGCTGGACCCATGGACTCAGTACAGTTCATTGGATGGTGTCCATGATTCCTATTCTTGTTGCGGAACACTTCTCTATGGACACTACATGGCCCAAGCCATTGTCGCTTCGTGGGCTCGACGCGGAATCTCTAATACTTCTATTTCCTTTGCATCAAGCGTTGATACCCACTTTAGACTTTTTGTTGACGACTAGCATTCTTCCTGCCGAGCTGCAACTTTTGACGACTGCTTTGATCAACTTGTACTTGTTTGCGGCCTCTCCACAGGCGGAGATTTTGAAAGCCTTGTTATGGCTTGGTGGCATGTGTTTGTTTGCTTCTTGTCGACATATCCTGCGCTGGGAAGTTGCTTTGGCCCGGATTCCAAATTGGAAGTTCCGCCGTGCTCCAAATAGCGCGCAATCCGCACGCAAATTCCTCAATATGATGGACCATCGACTCTGCGAGAAACTGAGCAGAAGCGGACCTATACCTTCGGATGATACTTTGTCGGACAGTGACGGACCAAATGGGTATCCATTCCCGAAGCCGCGCAAGTCAAGGACTAAGCGCGGAAGTCTCTCTGTTGACCCGCCCACAGAGCTTGTGTCTACGACCGAGAAGATCGACACGGAGGCGATTTTCGAGAAGCAAGCCCGCAGCCGACGACGCCATACTATTTCAACGTTCGATGAGGCTGTTCGGGAAGAACGAGTCCGCACTACGCCCAGCGGCCGGCGCAAGAAACTCATGGGTCCCAGCCTTGCCTCGTTCCTTTCGCTTACTTCGGCCCAGGCGCAGGTCCGCAAATGGATGTACGCTTTGTACGTCTATGTTGCAGCATTTCTGATTATACTGGGGCCTATCCGGAAATACGTGGGACAGCATGCCTTGCAAGGTCAAGATCCATTTGGCTGGGCTATAGGTTATCTGTTCGGCAACTTCTCGAATGTTCGCTTTTGGGTGTTGATGTTGAACCTCGAATACTGGATTGAGTTACCACCTCGCCCAGAGATCGATAATTTAAGTGCCTCTTGCTTCCTGGGATCGATCGAACATATTCGACAGGCCACATTCGGACCAGCTATCACCCGTCTATTACTCAGTGGCTACTGCGTTGTGGTGCTTCTCACGGGCTTGGCTATTGTAATCCAGCTCAGCACCATAGCCGAGGTTGATACGCGCCGCAAGATCTTCCACGGCATGATGGTGTTGATGTTCCTTCCTGCCATCTTTGTGGATCCAGCCTTCTGCGCTCTGGCGCTCGCCTTGGTCCTCTCGATCTTCCTGCTACTAGATCTGTTCCGCGCATCTCAACTGCCTCCAATCTCACGTCCACTCACCTATTTCCTGGCTCCATACGTCGACGGCCGTGATCATCGCGGCCCAGTTATCATTTCACATATATTTTTATTGATTGGGTGCTCCATACCACTTTGGTTATCCCTCTCCGATCTTCCCCGGGCAGGTCTGGGTCCCTGGGCCGGCTGGGAGGTACCGTCACGCGACGTCAGCATGGCGAGCGGTGTAATCTGCGTTGGCATGGGCGACGCAGCCGCATCTCTTGTTGGTCGAAGATACGGGCGACTGAAATGGTTCTGGGGTGGCGGTAAGTCGCTGGAAGGCAGCATTGCTTTCGTGGCAGCCGTCACCTGCGGGCTGATCGCGGTTCGTGCCTGGCTGTTGTTCGGAGGATGGCCCGTGTCTGGGGTCGAATCAGCCGACGGGGCAGATTTCTCCGCAGATTTCTGGGTCTGGACTTTGATCAAGGCCATTCTGGCAGCGGCCGGAACTAGCGCCACCGAGGCGATCCTCACTGGTTGTAATGACAACGTCCTAGTCCCAGTGGTGTTGTGGCTACTGGTGCGGGGTCTTGGCGTTTGATGCGCCATCAGTTGGTGTGTATACATACGGTTTGTTTGTTCTCTTTCTTTTGAATCCCTGTTTTGCCCGGAAGGTTTGCACATGGCTGTCGACTGTTTCGCTGCATTTGTACAATTGGCGTATATAGCTTGATAATTTGTATAGATTGAGTTCACAACTAGAGAGTTTTTGGGTTGTTGCCTATAATAGCGGCAGTATTATTATCTATCTGCATTTCTAGGCCCAGGTGTGTGCCATGGCCCCCTTAAATTCCCCAGACCAACGTCGTAAGTGGAACTCAATAGGCTGCAGATAAGCTTCCGTCACCATATTGGTTTCGGCGCGTAGGACTATGTTGTGAAAACTGTTGGATGATTTCAACAGAGAGTACTTAGATGTACATAATAGCTATGTGTAGGGAAAATAGTGAAATCTTCAATATCATAATCCATGCAACCCCGCAAATACCCAAGTCCATGTATAGACCGCACATATAGACAGAACCCCAAGTTCCTCACGATTATCGTAATCTTGCCGATCTCGGCCTTATCTAATCGATAACAGGTGACCAAAGATCGCCTTGGGATCTTCCCGGATTCCCTTTGAAGATGAACAGCAGGATAGATCCCTTTAGGTAGATCTTATTGTTCCTTTTTCTATTTCATTTGATCATATTCCATCTTCTAATATCTTTTTTCAATCCTTTTCCTCTTTCACTTCACAAACAAGAAAATCCATATCTCTTATCGGAATTATCTCTCCCCAGATCATCTCACTCCGCCCTTCTGACCGCCAAAAGGATCGCCCATCTGTCACTCGTTATCGTTGGGTCACACCCCCCCAGGTATTCCTTGGGTCCTCTGTTTCCTGCATCACATCATCTCCCTCTCTCATTAGAAGTCCACTCTTTTTGCCCATCTTTACCCATTATTACCCATTCTTGCCCATTTTTATCTATTATCGCCTCATCATTTTGGTACATTATACTTCATTCCCTTTTTCTTGGTCATTTCTGCACTTATAACCTCCTCACCGCTTTAAAGGTGTTTTGACGCATCTCGAACTACTTCGTCTATCTACCTATAACACGAAGTTCACCGGTATCGTTCCACGGCACCCGTTTGCAGTACCTTCCCAGACCCATTCTCCCGGCGGTTCCTCGACCTTCCAGGCTTGCCGGTCACTGATAGCGTCATCATTTCTCTACCCTAATGGGCTTCTCGCGTCGGACTTCATTGCCAAGGTAGTTGTGGTTGCTGGGGATTTCAAAATCCAGAGTCTCAAAGGGACAAAATAGGCATAGGTGTGCCCGGTGGCAGCCATGGCATCTCAACATTCAAGGAGATCACGCGAGGCCCGTCCCGAGATGTCTATCGGTCGCTATACGCGCCTAGATGAGATCGGGCGAGGCAGCTTCGCGACAGTCTACCAAGGTGTTCACACAGTGAGTGATCTCCCCGAATGATATGTGTGGCTGGGCTATATCGAGTGATTGATGCTAATCGGCCCTTATCGCAGAAATCGAGAATGTTTGTAGCAATCAAGTCCGTGAACTTGTCGAAGCTCAACAAAAAGCTTAAAGATAACCTTTCATCCGAGATCGATATCCTCAAAGGCCTTCACCATCCTCATATCGTGGCCCTTATCGACTGTCACGAATCGACATCTCACATTCACCTGGTCATGGAATACTGTGCGCTGGGGGATCTGTCCCTCTTTATCAAGCGCCGAGATACTCTTGGAACACATAAATACACCCGAGACATGATTGCCAAATACCCGAATCCACCCGGTGGCTCACTCAATGAGGTGGTCACAAGGCATTTCTTGAAGCAACTGTCAAGCGCATTGAAATTCCTCCGTGACCGAAACCTTATCCATCGAGATATCAAGCCTCAAAATCTTCTACTTTGCCCATCCCCCTCGTCATATCGGACTGGAGCAGCCCAAATTGTACCCTTCAAAGGCAGCCAGGACTCTTTCGAACCCACAACCGGGCTCGAGTCTCTCCCAATGCTTAAGATTGCCGACTTTGGCTTCGCTCGATCTCTACCAGCCACTTCACTAGCAGAGACACTGTGTGGATCCCCGCTGTACATGGCGCCCGAGATTCTCCGGTATGAAAAGTACGATGCCAAGGCCGATCTGTGGTCGGTAGGGACAGTTTTATATGAGATGGTGGTGGGCCGACCGCCCTTTAGGGCCTCGAATCATGTCGAGTTGTTGCGGAAGATTGAGAAGGGAGAAGACAGAATCCGCTTCCCTGAAGAAAATCCGGCCTCAGACGACATCAAAAGGTTAATTCGGGGTTTATTAAAACGAAACCCAGTGGAACGATTGAACTTCCCTGAGTTCTTTAACAACAATGTGATCAATGATCCAATTCCGGGCTTAGTGGCTGATGATGTTACGGAAGTACCTCGATCACCCCAACCAACTCAGCTCGAAGGAAAGCCTGAAACATCACCTTATTATGCTGGGCCAGAGGAAAGGACAGTATACCCTACCAGTCAACAGCCTGCTGTAGCACGCCAAAAGTCGGAGACTCCGCCAGCTGCATCGCCTATGCGTCGAATGGGGAGCCTAGACCGACCTGCCTCGGGTTTTGCTAAGGAGCAGCAACGTGGAGGCACACCACCTCAACGACCTTCTCCTGTTAGTCTTGCCACTGCTCCAGGCCGTCAGGAGCTTACTGATCGCAACGCCACCACGGCTGCCATGGACCGCCAGAGAGCTCGCAATACGTTCGCCAGCGCACCTAAAGTAAGTGACTCAAATGTTCGTTCTCAGGAGGAACGGGATCGTGCTGCGCAGGAAGTGGCATTTGAAAGAGACTACGTTGTTGTTGAGAAACGTGCCGTGGAAGTCAATGCTTTTGCAGACGAGCTCGCTCATAGCCCGCGGTTCCAGGGTGGGTTCTCACGACCACGAACTGGCGTTGGGTCTCGTCGGGCAACAACGCAGGGCCTCCCTACAGTATCACCCTCTTCTCCGCGTGGCAACGCGGCCAAGGCTATGCAGGTCATTACGGGTCGCTCACGAGCAGATTCCACCCACCAGCGACAGCATTCATACGAGCGACGTTATGGACAAAGTCCCACTTCGGCGACTTCGGCAATTTCGAAAGCGCTCAATATGGCCAGCGGCCGCTTGTTTGGAATGGGCTTCTCCCCTCCACTCGCCATCACCAAAGGGGGGCGCTCTCCGCCACTAGCGTATAATCCTTTCCCCGCATATCCCCCTACACACGCAAGCCTGTTGATCACAGGAGATGGCGCCAAAACAAATGTGGCCGTCGATGAAGACTGCAAAGCAGTCCAGGCTATCGAAGAATGTGCTACACGTAGTGACGTTGTCTTTGGCTTTGCAGAGGTCAAATACAAGCAGCTTGTCCCGCTCGCCCCTTCAGCACCGACTGACCCGTCTGCGAGACCTGTTGATACACATAACGAGCCAGATGCCGCCGACTCCGATGATGGACTGACGGTCGATGCCATTGTCACTTTATCTGAGGAAGCATTGGTGCTCTACGTCAAGGCATTGTCCCTACTTGCAAAATCAATGGACATTGCTGGGGCATGGTGGTCACGCAAGAACAGAGAAGAGGTATATGGGGAATCACCAAACAAAGACAGCATGAGCGCTGTTGCCGGCACCCGGATCAACTATGTTGTGCAATGGGTGCGTAGTCGTTTCAATGAGGTTATCGAGAAAGCAGAATTCGTGCGCCTCAAACTCATCGAGGGACAAAGGCGATTACCACCCGACCATCCAAGCCACCCAGACAACCATTCTATCGGCTCTACTGCTGGCTCCACCTCATCTGCCGACGTAGTTGTCAGCCCTGGAGTCACAGCCGAGAGACTGATGTATGACCGCGCGCTCGAAATGAGCCGTGCGGCTGCTATCAACGAATTGACAGGCGAAGATCTTGCCAATTGTGAGATAACATACGTCACTGCAATTCGCATGCTAGAAGCTGTGCTGGAAGATGACGGAACCCGATCTACAGCAAGTGGTAGCGACCGCCAGAGCAGCTCCCAGCCTGGCGACAAAGTGATCCTGGATGACCTCCAAGTCGAGGATCGCCAGGTCGTCCTCAAACGTAAGTCTTGTCCAACCCTACCCATCACATCAGATAACACTAGAAAAATACTTACAAATAGCAGTTGTCTCCAGCATGCGTGGTCGCCTCGCATCGGTCCGGAAGAAGCTTGCTGTCCTTTCAAAACGGTCCTCAGCGCCCACTCCGATAGTCAGTGCAGGCAAAGTGCCCTTATCCACTATCTCTCCTATCCCCTATGCTACGGGTGTAACACCTCCAAGATGAACCTCCTTCCATGATATCGATCAAATCTACTGGAATTTTTGCAGTATTCTCCAATTCCTTAGCGTTATTAAAGCCTTATATAAGGTTTGACCCACGACATGAACGATTGAACCTTTCCTCCCGGCCTACCCTTCTTATTGGCTAGCCCTCACGCTAGTTTTCATCCTTCACCACTTCTTGCCATCATATCTCTACGGAGACCTTAATTTCTTCGTTCATATTTGTTTGTTGATCTATTTTTCACCAACGTCCGCCATATATCCCACAGCACGAGGCCAGGGGAGTTCAGTTTTCTTATCCCAAGGTTCTTATCTTACGCCATTTTATGTCATGTCATGTCTTTTTGTTTCACGCGCTCTTTTGCTGTTGTTTGGGTTTGTTTCTGGTAAGGCGTTTGACCTGGCGGCACGGTATACAGATTGGCACTGAGGGTTTTGTTCGCAGATGCACGAGGTCAGGGCGTTGCGGTATTTTTGTCGTTGAAAATTGGATCAGGTATGCAAATACTGCCAGATGAGATGTATTGTATATAGAGAAATTGAAGAAACTCACCATTATTCTGTTTTGTTTCGGTACAGCTCACTGGCGGTTTAAAATGATCTCGTCTACCGCGTTCGGTATGCGTACGTATACATGTATGTACATACACACATATGCACATTGGTGTTTCTATATTTGTGCTCCAGTGTTGCTACTGATTTCTGGAGGTCAATTGCTTCCTTGGTTGTATTGTTCTCACGATTCCCAAGCATACCTATAAATACGTAGTCATTTTGAACTTTCATGAATTTTCGACTACATATAGAGAACCAATGTGTCTTATTACATCTCGAAATATCAAAATACGCTTGGCAAGATCCATGCCATGAACCCTAAAGATGGCGTGATTAATCATGTGTCAAAATTTCACTCAGCCTCTTTTTCTTGTCCCATTCTACCTAGGCACCGCGTGCAAGATTGAATTCAGATGACTTTCGGCTTGTACAACATAATAGTTGAGCCTCCCAATTAGTTTACATTTACAAATACTCCGAGTGTCACTGTGCTTTTCTGAGAATAGGTAAAATTGTATGTGGATCCCGAGGACCCGTGTCTCGGATTCTATAAAGCCTTAGAATTTACGGCTCGGCCTCGACATGTTTCTCGGCACTACGTTTAAACCGGATTCTATTTGCTTTTTTACATTTTTGCCTGCTGCAATTGCGCCATAAGGACAAGGCAAAATAAATAGAGTCATTTGATGTTGTTTTTCCAAGTTTAATTGGGCACACAAAGCCCGGAGCTATGTAACGTTAGAAATTATATTCAAATGAGTGCGAAGGGGACTACAGCTTCTGGAATCCTTCTAGGTGGATCGAAACGGGGAACCCCGAACCTCGACCTCCAATTAGCCTCTCATAGCTTGCACTTGAAGTCCCAAGGTAGCATCCAAGACCGCCCAGCCGCAAAGACCTATGGCATCAGAATTAGTGCCAGCACCTCATCTCATAACCCGTGGCTAACCGTTATTGAGTTTGCCTCCCGAAAAGGGTCCTGCTAGATACATATATCTGTCGATCTGTCCCACGTGTGGGGTGACTCGAAGTCGAAGTATCATGGCTGAATCGACTGATCGCGTTGTTGAGGCTTCGTCCAAAAAGTCGCCGGTGCTGGATACGAGGCCGGCCGGCGATGAGGGACTACGCCGTGCGGATGGAATCTCAGGACTATGTATGTTTGTTACATGATGACTTGGTGATATCCCTAATTGATTGTTTAGACGAGGGACATGTCTTTGAGGCATCGCCCGATGACCGTCGCCAGATTGGCGTTTTCAGTGCCTCGCTTTTGATCTTTAATCGGGTTATTGGTACTGGGATTTTTGCAACACCTGGCACTATTCTTGCACTGGCTGGCAGTGTTGGGCTCTCGCTGTTCATGTGGGTAATCGGTACCGCGATTGCCTTGGCGGGAACGGCAGTGTACTTGGAATGGGGAACTGCAATCCCAAGGTATGTGATGGGCTGTTGGTAGGATCTGAGGAATATGAGACTGATGCCGTTGGCTTTATGCAGAAATGGAGGCGAGAAGAATTACCTCGAGTATGTCTACAAGAAGCCCAAGTTCTTGGCCACTGCCATGTTTGCAGCCTATGCCGTTCTGCTCGGATGGGCTGCCAGCAACAGTGTCGTTTTTGGTCAATATATCCTCAATGCAGCTGAAATTGAAGTTGGACGGTGGAACCAACGTGGAATTGGGTTGGCTTGTCTCACTGCCGCCTTTCTCATCCACTCGGTTGCCCTGAAATGGGGTATCCGTCTTCAAAACTTCTTGGGTGTTGTTAAATTGATCATCATCCTGATTATCATCGTCTCTGGATGGGTTGCACTGGCTGGCCATACGAAGGCTGAGACACCGCATAACTTCACCAATGCCTTTGAAGGAACCAAGGGCAGTGGGTATAGCATTGTCATGGCGTTGTACAACGTCATTTGGTCTTTCATTGGCTACTCGAATGCCAACTATGTAAGAATCTGAAGTTTGGCTCAACAGAGATGAGGATGCTGACTGAGTTGATAGGCTTTGAGCGAGACAAAGAACCCTGTCCGTACCTTGAAGATCGCAGCCCCTGTTGCTATCTGCTCGGTTGGCATTCTATACATGTTTGTCAACATTGCTTACTTCGCCGCTGTATCCAAGGAAGAAATGCTCAGCTCTGGGAGCGTTGTGGCCGCCGTATTCTTCAGAAATATGTTCGGAAAGCAAGCCGAGAAAGTCATGTCGGTCTTTGTGGCCCTTTCTGCTTTTGGCAATGTGCTGTCCGTCATCTTCTCACAAGGCCGAAGTATGTATTCTCCACAGCAAACTGGGAAACCATACTGATCAGACTTCGCGATATCTAGTCGTCCAGGAGCTCGGCCGTGAAGGCGTGTTGCCCTTCTCCAAGATCTGGGCTAGCAACTGGCCCTTCCACTCGCCTGCCGCGGGCCTGCTTGAGCACTATATCGTGTCTGCCGTTATTATGCTTGCTCCCCCTCCAGGTGATGCATACAACTTCCTTCTCAAGTATGATTTCACTTTTAGGCATATGTACATATGTAAGACCACAGCTGACCACGTTTATAGTCTGATTTCTTACCCACTTTCGATCGTCAACTTCTTCGTATCCGCTGGTCTTGTTCACATTTACCTTACCAAAAACAAGAATTTCCCAGATTGGGCGCCCGGAATTCGTGCCACGCTGCCAGTGACCATCTTTTTCATGCTGTCGAATCTGTACCTCGCGATTGCACCATATGTGCCCCCGACTGCAGACCAGAATGTGTACGAACAGCTCCCATACTACCTGCACTGTGTGGTTGCTCTTGGACTCTTTGCAGCCGGAGCAATCTACTATGTTGTTTGGGCAGTGTTGTTGCCCCGGTTTGGTGGGTATGTGCTTGTCAAAGAAACAGTTGTGGATGCCGATGGATGGTCTCGCAGTGTTTTTACACGACTGCCACATGCTCAAGCTCGGCAGCTCTAGACATATGAGATTTTAAAATACAGTTTTAATGCTTAATATCAGGTGAGAACTTGATGTATTCAGGTTGATTTAGCTCAAATTCTTTGGAAAGACATTTTCATCAAGCCACTAGAGAGATTAATAGAAACTAGAAACGATCATATTCTTGACAATCGAATAACCTCATATCAACCGAGCATTACCAAGCATATGGTCATTCTGTGACATCAATATAATGAATCACGGTCGATGTATGTTCCAGTCTTCTATGGATGCCCATCCACGAGAATCAAAGAATCTGTCATGAGCCCCTCAAACTTGCTGGTAATATGTCTTGCAATGTAACAACATAAATGCTGTTCCTATCAGTTGTCTGCCATAGTAAAATGTAGCATGCACTGGGTTAACTTGCGTGTAAAAGAAAAGAAAGAAGAAGAAGAAGAAAAATAAGAGGAAAAGCGGATAATCTGGCAGTATTCACCGCCTTTGAATTGCCGGACTGATCTCATGTTTTTCTCGTGAGATTGATCCATTGACCTTTGAGTCTATGGTTCAATTATTGTCTTGTGTTATCTAATTCTTTTAATTCTTAATACCTCTTCTCTTTTTCTTTATTCTTTCTTTTTCTCCCGTGTTCGGGTTCATTGCTGATGCGCCGCTTCTCCTCGCGTGTGCTGCTGCAACAAGCAAAGCCACCGCTTCTTTCCGCCAGAGCCCCCCTCGCCCTCTTTGTTCCCCGTTCCCCTCAATCTTCAGTTCCTAGATCAATTGCTCGTCGCACCAACTCTCCGCTTTCACAAATTACCAAAAGATACTGTTCATATCGCAGAATGTGTGGGACACGTCGTGCCGAGGTCTCTGGGTCCACCAACGTCCAGGGCCGTGAGGTCCTGCCTACAAATGTTAAGCCCCAGCATTATGATTTGACACTCGAGCCCAATTTTGAGAAGTTCACATACGAGGGAACCGTTATAATTGAGTATGTTATTGCCTTATCAGCTAGGTTACAGTTGTACATAGGCCAGATTTGTATAGAGTGCTAATTCCTGCAATCTAGCCTCGCAGTTGCGGAAGATACAGATTTCATTTCCCTCAACTCCAACGAGATCGATATTCACAGCGCAGTTGTTTTAACCAAGGGATCGGTGGTAGACTCCAAGCCTGAAATCTCTATGAACAAGGATGCCCAGACTGCAACCATCAAGTTCGGACAGGCCCTCGCGGCGGGTTCGGATGCTCAACTCAAGCTTACCTTCACCGGTATCCTGAACGACAACATGGCCGGTTTCTACCGATCATCATACAAGCAGAATGGCGAGACCAAGTACATTGCATCCTCGCAGATGGAGCCCACGGACGCCCGTCGGGCCTTCCCTTGTTTCGACGAGCCCGCTTTGAAGGCCAAGTTCACCGTGACTTTGGTTGCAGACAAGAGCATGACCTGTCTGAGTAACATGGATGTTGATACCGAGACTGAGATCCAGGGTGGTGCGAAGAAGGCTGTGAAATTCACCACTTCCCCGCTCATGTCTACTTACCTCGTTGCCTTCATTGTTGGACACCTTAACTACATTGAGACCAAGAACTTCCGGGTTCCTATCCGTGTCTACGCTACTCCTGACCAGGATATTGAGCACGGTCGTTTCTCTTTGGAACTTGCTGCTAAGACCCTGGCCTTTTACGAGAAGGCCTTTGACAGTGACTTCCCTCTGCCAAAGATGGATATGGTCGCCGTGCCTGATTTCAGTGCCGGAGCCATGGAGAACTGGGGTCTGATCACATACCGTATCGTTGATGTGCTGCTTGACGAGAAGAACAGTGGTGCGTCCCGAAAGGAGCGCATTGCTGAGACCGTGCAGCACGAGCTGGCTCACCAGTGGTTCGGAAACCTGGTTACCATGGACTTCTGGGATGGCCTTTGGCTCAATGAGGGCTTCGCCACTTGGATGTCGTGGTACTCTTGCAATGTGTTCTATCCCGAGTGGAAGGTCTGGCAGTCCTATGTTATCGACAACCTGCAGAGTGCCCTTTCGCTTGACTCACTACGTAGCAGTCACCCCATTGAGGTGCCCGTCAAGCGTGCTGACGAGATCAACCAAATCTTCGATGCCATCTCCTACTCCAAGGGTTCTTCCGTTCTGCGCATGATTTCCAAGTACCTTGGCGAAGATGTGTTCCTCCAAGGTGTTCGCAATTACATCAGGAAGCACGCCTACGGCAACACCCAGACTGGTGATCTCTGGGCTGCTCTGGCTGATGCTAGTGGCAAGCCCGTGAACTCGGTCATGGATATCTGGACAAAGAACGTCGGTTACCCTGTTATCAGCGTCACCGAGAACAAAGAAACCTCTTCAATTCACCTGAAGCAAAACCGTTTCCTGCGTACTGGTGACGTCCGCCCCGAAGAAGATCAGACTCTTTTCCCTGTTATGCTTGGCCTTCGTACTGCGAATGGCGTTGATGAGAACACCATGCTCACCGAGCGCGAGCGTGACTTCCCCGTTCCCGATCTGGACTTCTACAAGCTCAACGCCGACCACTCTGGCATCTTCCGTACCTCATACAGCCCCGAGCGCCTCAGGAAGCTCGGTCAGGCTGCCCGTGACGGTCTGTTGAGTGTTGAAGACCGTGCCGGTATGATCGCTGATTCGGGTGCTCTGGCAGCCTCTGGCTTCCAGCGCACCTCTGGTATGCTGTCTTTGCTTCAGGGTCTTGATACTGAGTCTCAATTCGTGGTCTGGAACGAGATCCTGACCCGTATCGGTACTTTGCGTGCTGCCTGGATTTTCGAGAACGGCGAGACCAAGGATGCTCTCAAGGCCTTCCAGCGCTCGCTGGTTGCCACCAAGGCACACGAAATTGGCTGGGACTTCCCCGAGAACGATGACCACATTCTTCAGCAGTTCAAAGCCCTCATGTTTGGCTCCGCCGGTATGGCCGAAGACCCCATCGTTGTCAAGGCTGCTCAGGACATGTTCGCCCGCTTTGCTGCCGGTGACCTTTCCGCCATTCACCCCAACATTCGCGGCAGCGTCTTCACTATCGTACTGAAGCACGGCGGCCTGAAGGAGTACGAGGTGGTTCTGGACCGGTTCCGCAACGCCCCGACTTCCGATGAGAAGACCACTGCCCTGCGCTGCCTCGGTGCCTCTGAGAACCCGGAGCTTATCCGACGCACTCTAGACCTTGCTATCAACGGCGAGGTCAAGGCCCAGGATATTTACATGCCTCTTGGTGGTTTGCGTAGCCACACTGCTGGTATCGAAGACCGCTGGAGCTGGCTCAAATCTAATTGGGATACTATCTACAAGCTTCTGCCTCCCGGTCTGGGTATGCTGGGCACCGTTGTTCAGATGACCACTGTCAGCTTCTGTACCGAGGCACAGCTCAAGGATGTGGAGCAGTTCTTCGCTTCCAAGGACACCAAGGTTCGTAACTCTTACACCGGTGAACTCAATGCCATCATGAATCTCTTGCTAACCTTTTTTTCCTCCATGTAGGGCTTCGACCGCGCCGTTGAACAGAGCCTTGATGCCATCCGCGCTAAGGTTAACTGGATCAAGCGTGACCGCGATGATGTCGAGCAGTGGCTGAGCAGCAACCGCTACCTCCAGAGCAAGCTTTGATTTAAAAGATTTAGTGATGATTATAGACATTCACGTGCGGAGGCTCTTTGGTGGTTCATCCCAACTCATATACGTTTGTTGACTGCATATTATTATCTACTTTCTAAGTACATTTCAACTCAAATAAAGCGCACAGGATAGGCCCTGCTTTCACACCTTGACCATTTTGCCTAGAGTAACTTGTTTCACAAACCTGAGCATGAGCCAAATTTATTCTCCTCGCTGACCTACCACTAAGCAGATTCCTACTGTGATGAGCTAGCGATTTTAGCAATAATTAATGACAAGAAGTTTTATTTCCTCAGAGTGTAATATTTTAAGTGCCATATGAACACCTTGTTTGGCCACCTTGACCGCCAAATGTAGACTGGAACACCGCAAAGAGAAAGCAGACAGAGATGGTATCGAAAAAAGAATTTAGAGAAGAAAAAACAAATGGCTGCGAATACTACGCCCATCCACCCTTACCTCCAAACCCAGAACTGTCCTCGATCTTCTTTCCTCCAGCACCGCGGGTGGGTTTTTGCTGCGCCGCTGGGTGCTTGCGCAGTTCCTCGGGGACCCGTGAGATGGGTGATTTGATAAGCATCTGTTTGAGATCATACATGACTTCGGCGTCTTCGCTACCCAGGAAGGTTATAGCGACACCGCTCTTTCCGGCACGACCAGTACGACCGATACGGTGAGTGTAGCTCTCGATATTAGTCGCCATGTTGAAGTTAAGGACAAGCGAGACGTCCGGTACATCGATACCTCTTCCTGCGAGGTCGGTTGCCACCAGGACGTCTGTTGAACCATTGCGCAGGGAGGCTAGGGCGGCCTCACGCTGGTCTTGAGTTTTGTTTCCGTGAAGAGTGACAGTCGAATGGCCCATTTTCTTGATATCACGGGCAATAACATCGCAGTTTCGTTTGATGTTGACGAATACCATGATTGGAGGTCGGAATTCGCCTGATGACAGAATCTCAGCGAGACGTTTCTTGCGCTTCTCTTCGCCGGAAATCATTTCGACGCGTTGTTCAACGGTGTCGACGGCTTCGCCGACACCACCGATAGTGATGATGGCCGGTCGGCGGAGGTATTTGCGCGCGATGCGCTCAATCGGGGGAGGCATGGTAGCTGTGTACATCATGGTTTGACGGTACTGCTGTTGGGTCATAGCTCGCGCGTCTTCCGCTGCTTCTGAGTCGGGCTTTTCGTTGGTGACGGGAAGGGCTTCTAGAATTTTGTTGACCTGATCTTCGAGGCCAAGATCGATCATACGATCAGCTTCGTCCATGACCACATAACAACATTGACTGAAGACTAGCAGGCGACGATCAATAAAGTCAACTAGACGACCAGGTGTGGCAATAATGATTTCTGCACCGTTGCGCAGGTTGTAGGCTTGCTCTTCAATTGCGTGACCACCAACAAGACTGACGACGTTGAATCCAAGAGGCTGTGCGAACTTCTTAACTTCGATCTCGATTTGCTGTGTCAATTCACGCGTGGGCGCTAGAACAAGAGCATATGGCCCGTCATTCTTGCGCGTTTCATCTTCGTCAAAACGTGGTAGCTCAATGATATAACACAAGAGGGGGAGGAGGAACGCTGCTGTTTTACCGGAACCTGTGACGGCGACACCGATGAGATCTCGGGATTGCATCGCGATAGGGATGGCTGCACGCTGAATAGGCGTGGGCTCTTTGTACCCAACTCGGTCAACAAGCTCCAATAGGCGCTTCGGCAATAGACTCTCTTCCCATGAGCGCATAGGATTGGGTACACTGCCACCTTTGGTAGCGATTTGGAAGTCTTCTTTGAAGATACGCCAGTCTCGTTCGCGCATAAGGTCCAACCGCTTTTCGCTCCAGTGCTTATCCAGCTGATTGCGGGTACTTTCCTCACGTCGCCGGCGTTCCATTTCAAGAATTTCACTGGCACGCGCGCTGCCAGCCTCTTGGTCGCGAGTGATCAATGCATCGGCATACTTGCGTGTCACTTCATCTGCGACGTGATCGCCAAAGCCGGCCAATCGTCCCCGGCCAAAGAAGTTGGCCTCGTGTCGTTGTTGATATATTGGGTTGTAGTCGCCACTTGTATCCTCCTCAGTATTCCACTCGAAGTTGAACTTGCGGTCCGTTGTGCGCTTGCGCTTTTTTTGGCAGAGAAGTTTGACGTCACATCTGCTCCCATGTATCGGTTTTTGGTCAGAGCAGCCAGCGCTGCCGCGCCGTCCTCTTCCGTCACGCGCTTTTCCCCTTTAGTTTTGGGTGGGGGAGGCATGTCTGAGTCGCGATTAGACTGCTTGGCCCCCTTGCGCATAGCAGCAGGCCCGGTTGGAGCCTCATCGCGCATCGCTCGCGGGCCGGTGGGAACATTTCGATTTGAATCCTCCCGAGAGTTCCTAGGTCCTTGAGAGCTCACCGGCAATGGATCGGTCGTGAAATCATCCCGAGCAGCGGCATTGGCGCGGGCTTTGGCTTGTCGCTCTGCCTCGACCTCTTGAGCTCGTTTTTCCAATGCTAGCTTTTCACGCTGAGCTTTAGATAAGAATTTAGGCTATAAAGATAGAGAGAGGTCAGTTAGAAAATGACTGCTTTGTGCTGCGGCATTGGGCTCTTCCGAAGCTTACCTTTGCTGTTGCCGCGTCTGCTTCTTTCTTCTTGCGTATCAGCTCTTCCACACTCAACGGAGTCACAGCAGGCTTCTTCACACCCCATCCTTGCTTCTTCTTTGTAGTTTCGATCGGCGGCGGAGGACGCGCATCATCTGGAGGAGGTGGAGGGGCGGCGGCGTCTGGCGGCGGCGGCGGAGCGGCTGAGTCTTCAGCAGGAGGAGGCGGAGGTGGAGTTGGGGGGCGCTGGATAGGATCTGGGGGAGGGAGCGGGGGTGACAGCTTAGAGCCGTTGGAGATAATCCCTTCCATCATTCTATAAACAATCGGAGGAAATAAGAGCTTCAAAAATCCGCGTGATGATAAAGAGAAGGGACTTGTTATCGAATTTCTACGGAGGGCGGTGAAAACCAGAAGCGCAGTCACGTGTGCAAAGCCCGTTTCATGGAAGGTTTAAGGCACAAATACAAACTATTCAGGCATCTAATTTTTGTCGTTATACCTCCGAACACGTGCATAGCCCTGACTACTGTACAGCGACGAAAATCCGAACGACATTGACGATTACAGTACGTAGAAAAAATCATGGATTAAATTTCATTGGGTGATACTCCGGTACATTACAGCCGGACATTCAATATCCGTTTCTGACTTGGCACACACAGGGTGTCAAGCACAACCCAGATGCTAGGTGCTAGTCCATCAAATGAGCACGACGTAGCTTTTCATATTGGGGGGTCATCATAATCGCTAGACAGGTTGAAAGAAGAGTGCCTGACAGGCGAAACGGGGTGATACTACAAAGAAGGGGGAAAAGAGCCGACCTACCCTGGTGAATCAAAACGGCAGGGTAAGTAACTGAAACATTAAGCTCAAAATCAGAAACCTGGCGCGATTATTGGGGCAAAAGGATACGTCAAAGTTGGCGGTCATCAGCTGTTGGGCTAGGCCAGGCCTGTGTCTTAAACCGCCGCACCGTTCACAGGGGCCTGCTGGTAGTAAGCATAAGCTTGTGTAGCCGCAGCATCTTCTTGGCTTGGCTGCGCAATGGGAACTGGGACAGGCTGGAAGTCTGTGATAATCGGGGGTGGCGCAGCAAATCCACCGTTTCGAACACGAGCGACAGAAGCAGGACCATGGACTTCTCGATCCAGGACCATGTACTCCTTGGCTGTGTCTGCGGTGCCGCGCTCCAGAAGATACGCCATGTAGATCTCGACAAGTTCTTTGACGTCGTCAATTTGGAGTCTACTCTCAGATCGGATATCGGCAATGACTTTCTTGATGCGGTCATATTGAACCGACTCAGTAGCCGAGCTGGTTGGCTGCTCAATCTCGAAAGCCAGATAACTTCCCCAGAATGGCCGGCTATCGAGGTAATATTGCTGGTTATTGTGGAATACCATACGAGCCTCATCGGGGTTACCCTTGATCTTCCACAAAAGACGGGCCCACTCGGCAACGAGGGCAGCCTTGGTGGCCATATCGCATTCCGGGGAGTCCAACTGACTCTTGTAAATTTCAATGGCCGCTTCGAGACCTCCGTGACGACGGCACAAATTGGCGAGGGAAATGATTGTCTCCACATGGCTAGGCAGATTGGCCAGAATGGCCCCATGAATCTCCTTGGCCACGTCAACACGGCCTGATGTCTCTTCGAAATAGGCATATTGCAGACGAATAGCGGCGTTGGCAATTGGGACGTGAATGTAAGCAGCGCGTTGGTAGATGATTCGCAAATCAGATTCTTTGTCCTTTTGGGCAGCCATCCAGCGGGCGTAGCGGAACCAGATCTCATCGTAATAAGCAGCAGTCACCAACGCTCGTTCATACAGGAACTGAATGCGAGCGAACGAACCTTCAGCTTCCTCGAAGTCCAAGTAATTGTGCCAGTTTGTCAGCTGGATTTGATCAAGCTCGGTCACAGTGAAGTATGGTCGCTTGATCCCTGACTCAAAGGTCCAGCGCTTAGTTGTTTCTGTTTGAGTGTTCGTAAAGATTCCGAGGTGGTAACTATCCAAACGAATGCGCAGATCCCGCTCGATCTCGGCCTCTGCCTTGGGGCCGGGAGCAGACTGAGATAAGGCAGCCTCAACCTCAGCGCGGAACGCAGCCAAGGTTTCCTCGGGTGCGAGTTCGGCCAAAGGTCGGGTCTGTGCAAGTTGGCGGTAACGCTCAAAGTAGCGAGAGTACTGGTGCATAGGAATGTGAATGACCCTGCCAAGAATAGCAAAAATCTTATCATGGCCTTCAAAGCGTTCCTCGAACTCGATGTACTTGTCCCAGAAAGGATGGGAGAGGAAATCAAGACCAACACAGCTAGCACCTCGTTCAAACAGGCTATTTAGGTATTAAAGTTAGCACGATGCGCACGCAGTGAATTTCAGGATGGGATGGGAGCGAAGGAGCAGGGGCAAAATCTGAGTAGTAAACGCTGTCTGTACGTGAAAAAACCAAGGTTGATGAAGCTGAGGGATTGACATCCAGTGCTCTGTAGAGGGCCATCGAACGAAACTGTTCCTTGATTTCAATGCAACAGAGGTGATTCTGTCAGGAGGAAAAGCAGAGGAGGGCCCTGGGTGAGCTAGGGGTGAGAAGTAAACTCTACATGGATCAGGGGGGTTAAGCAGCGGTCTCTCACACATCAACAATGCAACTAGTGGATATGGAAGATCCAAAAGTCATATGTGATCGGCATCACGAGAGCCTTCGCCGGCTGCGACGATAATGGTTATAGGGAGAGGGAAGAAGGTGATTTTCACTGTACTTACTCTCGAATGATATCAGCGTTGTGTGAGGTTTCAGCCTTGAACGAGCAGTAGTTGGCCCATAGATCAACGGAAGGCGAGATACTGGCGATTCCACGTTCGTAAACCTAGCAAAATCATATCAGCAAAGCTCAACGACATGAGGCTGTTGTCCAAGGAGAGTGCTGCCATACCATTTCAGCGGCTTCTGTGCCTGTGATCGAAAACTCCAGATCGGCATATTTTTTCCAATAACCAAATAGCAGAGGGAACTTGGCCAAGAAACGGTCGTAGATAGCGCGGACGGTTGTAATGGCCTGGGGGTTGGAGTTGCGATTGATCCCACCTTCGAGACCCTCTCCGGCGCGAACAAGCTTCTCCCAGGTTTCAAAGTTGTCAGGATCATCTAGCTGTTGAATGGAACAGACCTATTAGCATATGAATGTTCCACGATGTTTGCGACACGTACCAAATCCACCTCTAGTTTGTACAGCTCGGCGTTCTCCTCCTCGGAGCCTCCGTACTGATAGTCGGCCATAATGGCAGAGGTGAATGTGCGCGCGAGGATACCAAGAGTGTGCAAATCAAGTGAAAGTTAGGAACAGAGGTATGAATAAGGCAAAGTGGTGGTAACAATGGGCAACTTGGAAAGGAAATTCTTGAGGCTGGGACGAGACTGAAAACCGAGCCGAAGATAGCAGGCTGGATGCCTCAAGACGAGACTTTCGCCTTACAGATCAGGCGCCGAGGCAGTCAATACTCACGTGACAGAATTTCTGATAAAGCAGGCGGTGATACACAGCTTCATGGAGTGGGGAGATGAGGCCTTATCGCCTTATAGATCGGGTGTCTGTGCTCACCTATTAAGGATTAGCGTGATTCTGGCCGCCATTAACTTTTTGACTGGAGCATTCACCTGCAACCACATTGTGAAGGCCGGAATTCAGACCACCCGTCACACCCATCATGGCGACCTCGAGCAAGATCCCAGCATTGGCAGAGAATCTCCCTCAACGTCTCGTCAATTTCTTTGCTCGGTATCCCCCACAATTCCACTCTGCTGCTGTCCGTCGCCCAGCGCCTCGCCCAAAGGGAGAGGCCATTCCGCAAACACCACTGCCATCTCCGTACACCCCAGATCGCGATGCTAAAGGAACCCCAGGGGTCAAAAAGGACGCATGGACTCCTTCGCGCGCCCTTCTCGTGACTAGCGATGAGGTCCGCAATCCTTTCCTTCCACACAAGCGATTCGGCAAATGGGAGGCACCAAGATATGGCTTGCGCCAGCAAGCCGACTTGATGAAATTGGCCATCAAATATAATGTGGAAACACTTCTTCCTCCTAGTCGGAAATCGCCCGAGTTCAAGGAAACCCGTCGTGAGGAGCGTGGATTGCAGGTTAAGGGTACCGGTGTTGGTCAAAAGGTCAAAGGTCACAAGTGGGAGCGTACGATGGAGTCACGTCTTGAAGACCGTCGCAAGGCGATGGAGAAAATGCCGGAAATGGTCCGCATGTGGAAGCAGGTGAGCTTACCTTTGATCTTTTCCGTTACATCGCTGACTCGGCACAACAGAGAGGTCATGGCCGTGGATGGAAACAATGGCCCAGGCGTTAATGGTAATGCCTCACCGCAGCAAGTTACAGCGTTTTTCTCTTTATTTTGGCCGGTTTGTTCCTTCCGGTTTTTCAATGTTCTACTGGTTCTCGCCCGAACTGCATCGACATCAACACTTGTACGAGCCGCAGCAGAAGCTTGGGATGGAGTTTTATCTTTGAAGCATACTATCAACACAATCTGTACAATACAATCCACGGTCACATACCCCAATGCTAGCCGAAAGAACACTTTGCATATATCTGGTCCTTATTCAACATCCCGGGCAAGAGAGCTACTAACTAGCCAAAAAATATTTAATCCTGAGTCACATGGTCATAGTAGAGTGGATGCCGAGAAAAACTCAATGCAGCAAGGTATACGGAGTATCTAGGCATCCTTGGGCCCTGATTCACTAAAATGGCTCGGTGAGGTGATGAACTATGCAAGATATTTGGAATCCTACACCCATATCATTTCTTGCCTCATCGTGCATGATCACAAGGCTGTTTGTTTCTTGATGTGGAATTTTTTGGTCTAGATCGTTAGAAATTGACTCACCTTTACCGGATTGCCCGTGCTCACACATTCTCAAAGGAATGGATTCTCGAACCAAGGCGCACTAAGGCGCGCTCTTTATGTAGCTCGATGGTGTTATTGATAGTGATCAGCCTAGGTGGGTAAGCTGAGTATGTGATGAGATTTGGGGTTGGTGCTTTAGCCCCAATGGAATCCTAGAAATATGTGCAGGTGCCTGACGCATTATTTGCTTCGGGGCTCTGCTGGAGCGTGTGATATAGGGTGATTGGGAAAACCTTCACAAACAATACCTGAGTAAGTTAATGGTTGGTGGGGAAGTATATAAACGGTGCGTTAGTACCTATGTATGTGTGATATAATACAAGGATTCGATAGCATATCATTCTAATAGTGTAGAACACTCGGCGGGTGTGCATAGGTCTCCCCGATCCAGTACCCTGATTCGCCAATGAGTAGTTCATTATAGGTAACATTGCTATTGTGCATGGACATACCGCAGTTGGACTGTGCTAGCGGGGCGTCCTGGGGGTGTCCTAGGGGCGTCCTGCTGATCGCCGTAGATATAATCGAAATATGTGCGTGGATAGTATGAAACCACTCACTAAGAGATTGCGATTCCTTATGCATGTATCTATTACCACAGCTAACACCGTATTTCCACACTCATTACCACTTGGCACGTGCGGGGATTTCCTAATGCTGTGGCAATGGAATTTGCAATCATCAGCCTCATCATTGTTTCCTCGATTCTGAAAAAGATATCTATAAAAAGCCATGGATCAGTCCTTTGAAACTACATACTTTTCCTCAGATACCCACCGCCTATTTCATCGAAGTTGGCTGGAAACAACACCTGGGCTGGTTGATTAGTAGTTCCGTGTCATCGGAGCTTACCGATGAGAATATAGTTGTCCGCCTTATCTGTAAGAACCCCCCTTCCAAAACCGTTTTATATTGCATTGTTGTACAAAGATGCAGTCTATTTCTGGATCTTTCTTACTCTGATTGCAATATTGAACTGATTCTGCTTCTAGGAGTATATATTGTCTAATTGTGAACACTGTGAACATCCCAACACCGCTCTTAGTCAATTTGCCACTTTGTGTTCAAAATACCTCGGTGTGCGATATACTTTGCAAGAGTTTCGATTCTGTTTTTTTTTCAATTTGAATACCGACCAAGATGGGAAAATTGGATATTCAACAGACTGTCCCCACCGGATATAGCCAAGGGTACTGTGCCGATGTGGACACCATTCGAGAGAAAGAATATCCTTTACTCAATGGTAAGGTTAATCAATCACCAACTCAACATCATCATGCCAAACTGACTTCTTACTTTCAATACTGTATAGAAACAACCTACCTTGACCATGCAGGGACAACGCCCTATGCCCAATCTATGATTGAGAATTTCTCGCGTGATCTTGCATCCAATTTATTTGGAAATCCTCATTCTATGTCTCTATCTTCCCAACTCTCTACACAGAGGACAGATGATGTCCGAGTCCGTATATTGAAATTCTTCAATGCGGATCCAAATGAGTTCGACCTCGTCTTTGTGGCAAACGCAACTGCCGGCATCAAGCTGGTTGCAGACTCGCTGCGAGACTCAGACCACCGAGGCTTTTGGTATGGTTATCACATCGATGCCCATACCAGCCTAGTGGGCGTGCGAGAGCTGGCTGAAATGGGCTATCAATGTTTTCAAAGCGATGATGAGATGGAGGCCGGGATCTCAGAGCTGGTTGGTTTCCAGTCAAAAGCACCCAGACTGATTGCATACCCAGCACAATCAAACATGAACGGCCGACGTTTGCCAATTCGCTGGTGTGAGCAGATTCGATCGGCGGCTACAGAAAGTGGCGGAAACATCTATACCTTGCTGGATGCTGCATCCCTTGTGGCAACTGCTCCACTTGACCTAGGCCCATCGTCGTCCGCGCCAGATTTCACTGTCCTGAGTTTCTATAAAATCTTCGGATTTCCCGATCTGGGAGCATTGATTGTTCGAAAGAGTGCTGCGCGGGCATTTGAGAGACGCAGGTATTTTGGAGGAGGCACTGTTGACATGGTCATTGCCTCTGGGGCACAATGGCACGCGAAGAAAGAGACTTCTATACACGAACGGCTAGAAGATGGTACACTTCCATTCCATAGCATCATTGCCTTGGATGCGGCCTTGGACACACATCAACGACTATACGGTTCGATGGCAAACATTTCGGCTCACACTGGCTTTCTTGCCAAGCAGTTCTATGATAGACTTTCCTCATTGGCACATTTCAATGAAACCAAAGTTTGTCAGATTTATCAGTCACCCGCTTCGGCATATGGAAATCCACAAACGCAAGGTCCGATCATCGCGTTCAATCTGTGCAACAGCCGTGGTGAATGGGTCCCAAAGACAGAAGTCGAGAAATTAGCTACTGTTCAAAACCTTCAGATCCGTACAGGGTCAGTATGCAATCCCGGCGGAACCGCTTCTTCTCTTGGCTGGACTGGACCGGAGCTTCGTCGTCATTACTCGACTGGTTTGCGCTGTGGTGATAGTCATGACGTCCTAGGAGGGCGACCGACTGGTATTCTGCGTGTTAGTCTGGGTGCAATGACGAATACGAAAGACATCGATTCTCTCATCAACTTCGTTGAGGAATTTTATGTTGAGAAAATTCCTCCCATTGTTTGTCTCGATCACTTCAGAGAAGACAATGAAGTTGTTGCACCTCATTTCTATGTCGAAAGCTTGGCGGTGTTTCCAATCAAGAGTTGCGGCGCTTTCAAAATCCCCGAGGGCAAGCGCTGGGAAGTCAGAAGAGAAGGGCTTGCGTGGGACAGAGAGTGGTGCCTGATTCATCAAGGGACCGGCACAGCTTTGAATCAAAAGAGGTATTGCTTTTCCAAACATGCTAGCATTTGTATATACTAACGCAAGTAGGTACCCTCGAATGTGTCTTATACGACCCTCGATCGAAATTGACAAGGGAGTTCTTCGAATCACCTGTGGTGCGATAGCGGCATCAGATCAAGTCAGCCTCGAGATTTCGCTTGGCTGGGAAGACACGAGCCTCATATCCACTTCATTTTGTCCCAGCTCAGCCAAAAGACCGACAGTGGTGTGTGGTGACCCAGTAGCTTTACATGCGTATACATCACCGGTGGTGTCAGCGTTCTTTTCAGACTTCCTGGGAGTGCCTTGTACCCTCGCCAGGTTCCCTACCCAATCTGCCAACCGCTTTTCACGACAGTCTCGGATGCCCAATACATGGAAGAGCCGCTTCCGCAAGCTTATCATGCCCGGGTCGTTTCCTCCTGACTTCCCACCCCCAGTACGCGACAATGGTCAAACGAAACTCACACTTTCCAATGAGTCCCCGATCCTTGTTGTGTCGCGGTCATCGGTCAATCGGTTGAATGAGACAATCAAGGCTCATAACAAACACGGTGGCAGAAAGACAGTTGCCGCGGACGTGTTTCGGGGAAATATCGTCGTCGCTGAACGACTTGCTCACCGCGGTGACGTGGAGCAACCATATGCCGAGGACCGTTGGTCTTCTCTTCGCATCGGGCCGGACCAGTTGCGATTTGATGCCCTAGACGCATGTCAGAGGTGTCAAATGGTCTGTATAGACCAATTCACTGGAGTTCGACGCGACGAGCCGTTCTCAACACTTGCTAAAACTAGAAACATCGATGGCAGAGTTTCTTTTGGCAGATATGCTGCGCTTTCCCCCGGGGAAGGGCAATGGTTTGATATTGAGGCACCTGACCGCAGGACGGTCATGGTAGGAGATGTGGTTGTGCCATTATACCGGGAGGATTGAATGTATTCGGAGTTTCTGTATATATGATATTGATTGTATTATTTTGATTAACGAAGCACTATTTGACACTGATATCTCTTCTCTACTTACACATCCACTTTAGAAAAGTCTGGCGACACGATGTAATTTGGATACGAAGGCAGGTCTGATAAAAGCAGAAAGATTTACGGAAGGCCGATGAGGAACATAATAATTCATCCGCTAGAGGCCTGATGTATCGTTGGCGTTAAAGTTTCACAAATGCTAATAACTACATATTGACAATGGATGTTGCAACGGTATTGTCCTGGATCGTGGTAAAGGGAGCCGCAAACCCATATGTTTTGTAGCCTTGCGAATAATCCTTTCCTTCTTCTCGCTCTAAATCAAACACCTATTAGCAAGTATACCCCAAAGATTCAGCAGCCAAGGATTTACTCACCATGCTCAGGTGGGAACATCTGCATGCGATGTTTGTAATACTTCTCCCTCAGATTCTCGCCGTCACTCTTAGAGTGGAAGGTAGCATAAAGACTCGATCGACTTTTCTCAGTCCTGTTTTCCGCCGATCGGTGAGCAAGATGCGACCCAAAAACCAGCATATCACCCATCTCGAGTGGAATAGAAATCCATTCGTGCGCCTGCTCCCATTCAGGTGTGATGCGACCTCCATCGGCAAACTCAATCTCCATCTTGTGTGACCCGCGAACAACTTCTAAACACCCATTCTCGGGGGTTGCAGCGTCAATCGCTAGGTTTGCAGTCATGTGCTCAATGCGGCCGATGTGGTCGTAGGCTGGCGCATCCAGGTGAGCTTGGAAGCCGTTCCCATGAGGCTGCTTGTAGTTGATCTTATCCTTGAAAAGAAGCATATCCTGGAGCGAAGATTATATTGTTAATAACTTTACTCCTCAAGTGCTGTAGAAAAACATACATCGCCGGATAGTGCTTTCAGAATCTCGGCTAGTTGCTCACCACAGACCAGGGATTTGAACTCAGGATGGTAGTCGATGAACCGTTCTGTGCGCATCAGTTGGCGCTCGCCATTGATGTTAATCTCGTCATAAGGCATCCATTTGCCTTTGACACGAGGCCAGGCTTGCACTTCCTCTGTCCAACGCTTCAGTGATACCGGGTCAACGAGCTTATGTTCGTTGGCGCGTAGGAGGAGGTAGCCATCTTCATGGTATGAAGCTATTTGCATTGGGGTGAGGGGTGACATGTTTATCGAATGCACAATAGATCTCAGAAGTAGAATCAATAGAGTGTTGGTGCCTGGAGGTTGTTGCAAATCCTGGCGAAGAGTGGGCTTTTATACTTTAGAGATACGTTGATGTTTGTAGATCGCTCAACAAATGGGGGTACCCATTGGGTGATTGTATTTTCTCATTACCAGCCAGTCATAAAATCCCTTTTGTTTCAGAAACCGATGATTGTTAATGCAAAAAGGAACTATCGGCGTAACATCGTTTGGCATTTCCCACTGGTGTTCATGCCGAAACCATCAAACACGGACCCTCGGGCTTCGTGCCGACGAGGTAATCGGGATTCACTGCAACCTCTCGGTATATATCCGCTTAACTGAATTGATCTGACACAATTGTATTGAGCAACACGTGTATAATTAGACTCGATTGAGAACGGACTTCGTGCCTTTGTACATTTCTAAGGTTCAACAACCAGGAAATCCTTGCATCTATACACCATCACTTAGTACATCGGCTAGCTCAATCACACATCTTCTCGCCAAAAGAACTTCAGCATTGAGATTACATACCACAAAAACCGTGAGAATGAACTTGAAGATGACAATCCCCGACAGCAATCAACCGATCGCCTCTGTCGAGCAGCATACCAGGGCAACAATCAGAACCCTCTTTGGATTTTTGTATGCTCAGGGACAGGGCGATTACCTCGGCGAGAGGGTGACCCAATTAGAACACTCTCTCCAATGTGCACATCTGGCAGCCCAGTCTTCCGAGCATGGCAACGATAGCGAGGTCATCCTCGCAGCTCTTTTGCACGATGTTGGGCGATTTATCCCCGCAGCCGAGAAGATGGGCAAGATGGTCACATCCGATGGCCAGTATATTGGACGACAAAGCCATGAGGTCCTTGGAGAGGCTTATTTACGCCGGATTGGTTTCAGCGAGAAAGTGTGTACATTAGTTGGCGCTCACGTTATGGCAAAGCGGTATTTGGTCGCGACAGACAAGGAGTACTATGATGGGTTGAGTGAAACAAGCAAGCGGACATTAAAATTTCAGGTATGCTATCATATATTTTGTCGAAGGGGATTGCATAATACTAATGAGAACCTCAGGGAGGAGGATTCAATGCCGAACAGATCCAAGAAGCTCAGCAGGACCCCCTGCTGGATGCAAAGCTTTCTGTCAGGCGATGGGATGATCTTGCCAAAGATCCCGACCTCGAGGTACCTCAGCTTGAGGTATACGAAGAGCTGGCCTACCAATGCTTAATTGGTGAGTATCACAACGCATATATATAACAGTACACACGAAAACTAATCCGTGAGCTAGACTCCCGGTCCAAGTTTACTCTCCATTCAAGGGAATACAGCCTGCCAACACAGCCTACGGTTGTCATATGTGTTGATGGATTCGATCCAGAATATCTGCAGTCTGGCATTCAACGAGGCGTTTTACCAACTTTCGCCAAGTTTCTCGACACGGGCTTTCATGCCACCGCTAAGAGCTGCATGCCTTCATTCACAAACCCAAACAACGTATCGATTATCACTGGTGCACCACCCTCAACACATGGCATTGCTGGGAACTTCTTCTTAGATAGAGAGACAGGCGAAACGAGAATGATCACGGATGACTCTTTGCTTCGCGGGTCGACTCTATTAGAGCAGATGGTCCAGCGCGGTGTACGAGTGGCTTCCATTACCGCCAAGGACAAACTCCGCAAGATTCTTGCCCACGGGTTGAAGGGTGCTATTTGCTTTTCATCGGAGAAGGCTGCAGAATGTACTTTTGAAGAAAATGGGATTGCCGATGTGGAACAATGGCTTGGTCGGCCTGCGCCTAGCCAATATTCAGCTGATCTGTCCTTGTTTGTTCTTGACGCAGGTATAAAATTACTGCAAGAAAAAAGGTCGGACTTCTTGTATTTGACTTTATCTGATTACATTCAGCACAAACATGAACCAGGAAGCAAAGAGGCCGACGAATTCATGGGAGCTATTGATGAACGTTTGCAAAGTCTTGCTTCTCTTGCCCCGGTCATCGGTGTGACTGGTGACCATGGCATGAGTAAGAAGTCCAACGAAAAGGGACAGCCCAACGTCCTATTCCTCGAAGAAGTGCTGAACGCAAAATTTGGTCCGAATGCTTGCAGGGTCATTTGCCCAATCACGGACCCATTCGTTCGGCATCATGGTGCATTAGGTTCATTTGTGCGTGTCTATCTCAAGGATATCACACAGCTAGATTCGATGATTGAACTTTGCAAGTCACAACCAGAGGTTGATGTTGCCTTTAGCGGCCAAGAGGCTGCGAAGATATATGAGATGCCTCTTGATAGAGAGGGTGACATTGTGGTTATCTCAACGCCATTCACTGTGATTGGGAGTTCTGCAGCTAACCACGACTTGACAAAGCTCAAAGATCATCCACTGCGGTCACATGGGGGTTTGAGTGAGCAGAGGATCCCTGTCATCATGTCAAAGGGTGTCAAGAATCCCAGTGGACTGGAAGGCAAAGTCTGGAGGAATTACGACATCTTTGATCTTGTGCTCAACTGGGCAACATGAAATTTGTCTATCACGGCACCGTTGATCGAATGGTGGGCCCTATTGATGTATTATGATGTAGCCACCATTCGTCAAGATCAGGGATATTAGTTTGAAAATCAAAGCTTGCCATGTTTTCCACCCAAGCCATATCAAAAGCGGACTGCTCTTCTTCGGCAGGAGTAGGATGGTATACTGCCTCGTCACAGGAGAGAGTAGGCATTTGGCATCTGCCCAACAAGCGCTCTAAGCCTTCACTGATAACAACGAGTAGATGCTGCTTGTGCATATCTTTTGTGATTTCCCGAAGAGCGGCCACTGTCTCTGCAACCAGTGATAGAATTTTGGTAGTATCGATTCTGATCATACTGGCATGCTTCGTCGCAATCTTGAGCAAGAAAACCACAGCAAAGGCCAGCATAGTATCAAAATACAGCGGAAGGCCGTTCATGAATGATCGGAACTCAGGGTCGGAGACAATCATTTGGAGAATAGACATTGCAGACAGCACGCCAGCATTAGAGATCTCTTCGAGCTCAGGCGACATGTATTGGGCTGTGTTCTCGGATGCTGGAGCCCCACGAAAAGCGTGCGAACAAAGATAAAGCTTTGCAAATTGAAAGTGAAACCCAACGCCCTTTTGTGGGTAGTTTCCCACATTTTGGTTCGTTTTGAAGCTTTCGTTCCAGTCAGCGTACCATGTATCTAGAGAGATCGAATATCGCCGCAGCTGAGGTAGTGTTTGAGGCGCAATTGGGGTATCGACGTCGACCCCAAATGTATCAAATACGCGACCCAGAATGGACCACTCTTTAACTTGACTGATCAGCCTGGCATCGTCTTCGGTAGCATGCTCGGTCTCTAGGATTCGGCTAGCTGAGTCGATGATAAAACCTTCCCTGGACATTGGAGGTCGTCCGTAGGCTATTGAGAAGTGATGATCGCACACGTAGACAAGATAGTATAATCGAGCTTGGAGATATCCATCACGATCCCCCTTCAGGGCCTTGTATATTCCACTGTGAAGATTGATATCGGATGCAATCCGAACAGCTGCTTGGATCAGACTCGTTCCACAATATAATGGAAATTCACGTACCATTGCCGATAAGTGACCAAGATAGCTCATGCAGCCAAAATGCACCGACACAAAGACCCCTGATGTCATCTTCGCTGACATGTCTTGAAAATGTCTGCGCCATAACAAGGTTCTTATACTCAGCGTAACAGGTTTCAAAGAGATGGCCCAGTGACTGAGAGTGCAATGCTCCAACTGTGCAGACAGCTGCCGTTAACAAAGGAGATGCGACTCGAACTGATTCTAGGCTGATATGATCGCCCAGGATGCGGTAGAGAAAATGATCGAGTCTGAGATGATAAGTCTCGAATAGTGTCAATGCTTGTCGAAGAGAGATAAGTCCCGTTGATATCAAGTCTGGCGGACGGGATTTCGGTAGATCTTTCTGTAAACCTGCTCTCCCGCTTTCTGAGACGCAAGAAGCTGGAATAGAAGCTGGACCTCCTCGCGGATCCATGATCACCTCCCAAGTTCGTGGGAGCTCGTTGGTCTCTTTTTGCAGCGATGTCTGACCCGTGACAAGTGTTTCTTGAGCAACAGCCTCTGTAGCGATGCCCTCCAAGGCTGGACTCATAGAGACTTCTTGTGGTACAGGACCACTGTGAGAAATCTGTAATTCGGGAATGTCGACTTTGGCTGCAATCTTTGCAACAGTGTCTTCCAGCCATCGCATCTTTTGTACTACTGCACCTTTCCACCTGGGTAATATTAGGGCGTGATATCACCAAAGAAACAACATACTTACGTGACATCATCTTCCAGTAGTGTTTGTAGGCTTCGATTGACACTGCAAGGAAGACCTCTTTTCTTGCAACGAGAACATGGCATTTGGCCCTCTCGCATGTGACATTTGACCTGGACTATATATTAGCCCGTTGACTGGACTGCAGTATTCGACAATGTTACTGACTTTTTGTTTGCGACATGCCACACAAGCAGTAATTTTACGAGTGATATCAGGTGGCTTGCGATCACCGAAAGACTCCCGCAACGCACTCACCGCTGGCGGGGACGCCAGTTCGATATCCATGATATTTGCCAGTTGAGGGGCAACAATCGTGGGTGGATGTAGTTGTGTTCTGGTTTGCAGTGTTTGCACCAGGTTGACATACGAGATATCAGCACCAACCAAAGCAAATCAAGTCAAATCAAATCAAACCAAACGAGCATTACACAAGAACCGAAAAAAAGCATCGGCGGACTTCGCACCGATGATATAGCCGTGGCGGAGTACAATGCGGTGGGGAGACCGAGTACACGTGGGGGCCATACATGCAGCCGACTGGCTTCTCCACAATTGCATATTTGTGGCGCACACCCCCGTGGCAGCTTCAACGTTGCTTATTGCATCTTTAATTCTCGGCACATGTTTTGTTCTCTCTATCAAACCAAATCCATTGTTCTTCCTGCCGTACGCCAATATCTGTGCAAAATGTCCTCAGTGTTTTATCGTGGCCAAATATATAACTTCACTGCCGCAATGGTAAGGGGGAAATGCTTCGCTGAACAATTGAGAGCATCATAACATCCAATACATTTCGGTTTATTTTTAATTCAATTCCTCGCTGTTTGTTTTACCTCAATGACATCTGTCGGTGCCAAATTGAAGTTTGTGGTCACCGCAGGTGTTGGATTCTTTGCAGATGGTTATTTGAACCTGACAATTGGGCTTGGTGAGTAGTTAACTGCTTCGATCACATCTCAAATTCTGATATAAGACAGTGGTACCGATTTTCGGATATCTATACTTCCAAGATGGCAAAGTACCTACAGTCGACAGCGACATCATCAAAGGTGGCTTGAGTCTGGGAATGGTGGTGGGCCAATTGCTTTTTGGAGTTTTGAGTGATGTTTGGGGCCGACACACTATTTATGGCAAGGAATTGGCCCTCACCATATTCGGAACCTTAATGGTCGTCTTATTGCCCTGGAATCACATGTCGGCTCAGTCTGTGACAGCGTGGGTTGCAGTGTTCCGTGTGGTGACGGGTGTTGGAATTGGCGCCGGTAAGTCCTGTTTCATGAGAATACACTATCTGGCTGGTCTGACACGAGGAAGACTATCCACTCTCATCATCTTTGTCGGCAGAAAAGTCACCATTTGGTTCCCGTGCTATGCAGGTGTTGACAGTTTTCTCAAATATCGGACTTGGTAATATCGCAGCGAGTATTGTCTTTCTGATTTTGCTCAAAGCATTTGAAGGATCCATATCCGATAACTTGGACCATCTAGAATGGGTCTGGCGTTTGCTCTTGGGTATTGGTATCATACCTGCGGCATTCACTCTTTATGCCCGGTTGACCATAACGGAAACTGTTCCGTACAAACAATGTAATAGTGACATTTCCTCGCTTTTTGAGCAGTACTAATGGATTGTAGATGTGTGGGACGACGCCACTGGCCAAAAGCGCGGCTTTCAGGATCAGTGGAACGACTTTCGCGAGTATTTCGGTCAATGGAAACATGCCAAAGTTCTCTTCGCAACAGCCGCCGCCTGGTTTCTTTTGTGAGCAAGATCGTCGCACAAGGACCTGACCTATTAGCATCCAAACTAACAAGAATAGCGATATTGCATACTATGGTATCAACCTCAACCAAAGTATCATCTTAGCAAGGATCGGCTATGCTAAAGGAGCAACACCATGGAAGACTCTTTACAACACCGCCATTGGTAACATTATCGTCCAGGCTGCAGGATATCTACCTGGATTCTACGTCGGAATCTTCCTCCCCGATCGTATCGGACGTGTACGCCAACAATTTTGGACTTGCATCATGGTGTGCATTCTCTATGCTATATGGGCTGGGATCAGTGTACAAAGCGTGCATACCCCAACAGCGGGCTTGATGGTTATCTTTGCCCTCTCCCAGTTTCTGTTGACTGTTGGACCTAATTGCACTACCTTCTTGATACCCGCGGAAGTTTTTCCTACTCGTGTCCGAGGCACGGCACATGGAATTTCGGCCGCCGCTGGAAAAAGCGGGGCGATTTTGACCGCATTTGCTTTCGGTACTGTGGAAGATGCGATCAGTTTGGAGGGTGTCCTAGGCCTTTTCTCAGGTGTCATGCTGATGACCGCTCTTGTGACATTGATGATACCCGAAACCAGGGGCTACACTCTTGAATCCATCGAAAGAGACGCGTTATATGGCGAGAGAGACCCTGCGCCAGAGTCGTCGTATTCTGGAAGTGTGACCGTTGTCGACATAGAGGTGGACCAGAATGTTCCCAAGAAAGTTGCCTACTGATGTTTCTGCGCTCAACGTGGCAACGAGCTCGTGAGACTGAAACCGATTTTCAATTTGGGAATTCAAATGGTGTAATTAAACACTCGGTTGATCAATCCTATAAACCATAGATGCGACATTAAAATAAGCCTCATACTCGACATCCTCATCTTCATCCTGAATACCATAATGATAGTGACCTCCTTTGCGGTTTCCATCTGCGTCGAAGGAGTGAGTATGCTCCATCCTCAGGCCCAATCCTTCCGGATCTGCACTATGCATCACAGTCAGGCATACCACAGGGGCCTGGAATATATGATATGAGAGCCATTCCTTCTCCAGCTGCTTGCGGTCTCTAAATGGCAATTGATCTTCCAGGGGAAAGTCGGGCATAATGTGAAACTTGGCTTTTCCGGCTTTCAAGATGAACACACCACCAAGGCTTATTGGTCTGGCGTCCCCATAGATCTCTTGCAGACCGTAGCGGATACAATTGGTAAAATTATGTTCCCCTGTGCGCGCCTTTGCATTGATTTTGAGAACCGGGCCCGTGTCTCCATCTGATCCGAAGAGGTTCATCATCAATGCGCAATTTGTGCTCGAGAGGCGCTCACATATTGGTTCATGATCGGCCTGAAGCTTGATTACACGTGTGCCGTTGTTCAAGGCCAACAAGCTCGGATCTTTAAAGCTGGATGCCGTGTCATTTCCGCGCCAGGATAGATTGGGCGCCAGCTCGCCATTTTGACCAATATCTTGGAATGGAGCGGCACCTGCCCCAAAAATGAAACCTGCATGAGGAGACATATCCATATTTCCCGCCAGAGAAAGAAGCGAGTATTTTGCACTGAGAATCGGCTTTGGGAAAAGATGTTGCTGTCCACCTATGTCCGCAATCCGAGGATTTCCTGAAAGACCAGATCCAGCGAGGCTAAAAGGTGGTTGTGCTAAATCCGGGCATTCGACGACTCTAAAACTTGCAGTCTCAAAGTTGGATAGTAGTGATTTCTCGATGACAGCTGCAAGCTCGTCCAAGTGCGGGGGATTCCGCAAATGCTTCGTCACAGTCATGTTGCTACACATTTGAGAATTGAGAATTGGGTGAAACCACGAGATGCTACAATCCTTTTTTTCAAAGAGAAAGGGGAAAGGTGACCAAAAGGATCTTGTAAATCACCTAATCTCCCCGCACAGTTCCAGGGCACGATATCGGGTAATCATGACCGTTTTGGTGCTTACCTCTTGCCGCTTTATCATGGTAGGCATATAGTCCCTGAAGCCATTGGCAAATTATAAACACATATGTACATGGTTTGTGATATAAAGAGACGTACATTGGGGATGAGTGGTATCTCACGATGACCTTTTCAATGTTCGAAATTGAATCTAAGCGTCTTGGTACCTGTGTAGATGTTCACCGCGGCTCTAAGGACGAAGAGAAAGAAAGAATAAAGAAGCTATCTGGAGACGACATTCCACGCAAACAAGTGCATGGAGGCTTTGAGCCGCCAGCAGTTTATTCAAACCAAGGCATTCTTATAAAACAGATTCGACCGCCGATCACCACCTTTTCCCGAGGCAAATCCCAAGAAAAGTCGAATTTCTCCTGCGACTGTTTCATAGATGGCCAATCCTTCTGGTTCGCGAAATGTAAGCGTCGAGCCGGCCTTCGTGAGCGTAGGGCCCTGGATAACAGATCCGGTATTCATGTCAACGGTGGTCACTTCGGAATTGACGGCACCCCCAGAGGCATCGTAGGAGTTTCCAGTCAAGAGATAGATGTACTGATCATATGCTGCATAGCCCTGGAACGTCGCTGACTTTGTTTTCAGTGAAGGATGCTTGAAGCTAGCAAGTGGATTGGAGAAGTCCCCATTGGTAGCCTTGGCCAAGTCGAACACGGCGATATGTTTCCCGTCACTGAGTTGATGGCGGACGACCAACTGGTTCTTGACTGGATCAATAGAGCAGGTATGCTCCGTTGCACTGGGGATAGGTGTGAACTTTGTGAGCGCCGTGGAAGATGAAGAGAGTGTTGTGCCACTAGCGAACTTGAATCTGGCAAGTTTCTTGCCATAGCCATTCGAGTTGGCCTCCACTTCCGTCCACAGGTAAGACGCTGAACCTACACCTTGAGCTCCAAACGCAACGCCGTGACCGAAGCCTTGTAGATACATATATCCGACGTAGTTGCCTTCGAAATCAAGTTGAGTTATGCATAGGTCGCCCGAAGTTTCGGACGCGCCGTCCTTTCGCTGGGCGACGAAAAGTCGGCGATTGGTGTTGTCGAATGCGAATCCTTGCTGCACAGTTGCGTCGTGCAATGGTTTGCTGCGGAACAGGTCGTATGATGGCTTGGTCAAGTCAAAGCGCTTAGAAGAAGGAACTGTTGCTATCACAGACTGGACATTGAATGCTAGAGTAATTAAGGCGATGACGAGACTTATCGGGCCGAGCAGATATCTTCCACTGCGAGCGAACATATTGATAACAGGACGAAGCTATATTCAATTGGTGGCAGAACCAAACGTTGGAATGTTGAATGCTTGATGTGGTACTTATATGGAGGGCGGGTGAAGCAATACGAAGAGCGTTGTAGATCCCTGCCGCAATATGCCTTGGCTCCTCGTATTAGGTCTAACAATAGCAGAGCTAACTTGGTTTGATCTAACGAGCTGTCCCAATATCAATCTAAGTACGGAGTGGCCTCAGTGATAAGTTTGGCCAAGAAGTTCAGCTCATCGAATCTAAGCAAAGTGGGAAGTAGCAATAATCTAGAGCTTGATACCCGAAAAAGAAGATGAATTCGCTGCTCCGTATTCTTCTCATTGTGGTCTGCACACCAAGGTCAATGGGGCCTTGATGCATGGATTAAATTATAATACAACAACAGAATATGCCCTAAGGCTCATTGAATGATCATAAAATGGATTGATATTGCGGAAAGATCGGAAAGGTACTATGGAAAGACGTGAAGACTGTAAACCAATTGCCCAAGATGGTCATCTTCCTAGCAGCTATAATCGCAATCAGATTTCGTTATTTTGACTCAATCCTCAGGGAAAGATGCACTATGCGTAACTCATTAAAGCGTATCATCTCCATTAAATCATGACAAGCAAAAGTCCATAGAAAAAGGAAAGAAAAAGCAAAAGCCAATATAAACATCTCACACATAGCTCGCAGGTCTGTTACGGCTCGAACTGCGATGACGCGAGTGGTGCGAGCCGGAGCCATGGCCTCGACGACTCGAGTGGCTGCGTCTGCGGACCGTGGTCTCCTTAACAACGACCCGGTCACGCGAGTGGTGCAAGAACAGCGCAAGAAGCGCAGTCCAGAAGAAAAATATCGTCTCCATGATACCGAGGGCAAAGGAGGCCTTCAGCATTGCGCATGTTTTATTGACATCCAGCGAGAGGGGGTTGTTGGTGCGCTCGCCATAGGAGCCGAAGGGGCCTAGGGAGACCCAGACGGAGCCGCCATGCCAGCTGGCGCAGTCGGCGTCGGCGATGAAGCGGAGTTGGTAGACGGCTGCGACGAAGGCGCCGAAGAAGCAGAGGTCGATGAAGGCGACGAAGATTGCGGATCGCTTGGTTGTTGAGAAGCGGATGAGGGTGTCGAGGGCCCAGAAGATGGCGATTGTGCTGACGATGAAGAGGACCAGGATGTAGGCTGGAGTCAACTCGTTTGCTTTGAGATAGCCATTGACGAAGTAGGCCTGGATTCGGAGGGTTAGTTTAGGACTCGACTCGGAGGGGCTTGGACTTGTTTGCGATCATTGTTGATCGGACTGAGAGAGAGACTTACCAGCATGCCAATGATCGGGATCAGGAAGACGATCTCAACCAGACGGTTGAAGATAAAGAAGACACTGCCAATCATTTTGTCGGTTGGAATGAAGGTTTCGATCTGAGATCTATGGAATGTTTGGCAAACTGTCACAGTGCTCTTTCTTGTACGTCAGATGTACAACGTAGAGTGGGCTACACCAGCACTCAGGGCACAGACGTGGCTAGAGTATGCAGTATGCACGGTGTGAGAGATGCAAAGAAAGACAAAGAACAAAGGGAAGCGAAAAAAGACAAGAAATGAGGGGAATTAAAAAAGAGATCTTTTCAGCGTCATCTTGGGCTGAAGGGAGGCTGGGCAACTCACAGTGCGGGATGGAGGTGGCTGGGGCAACAAGGGTCCTGCAATATTGCACTGTGGCTCTGACAGGTTCTACCTCATTGATCAATATAATTGACTTGCATGGTGTCAATCTTTTAATTTATGTCCTGCATATATATCTTATGCCTTCTGTAAGAGTCGCATCTAGATTGTTGTGTTGTCAAGCCAACGAGGAGTGGGGACAACCCTATGCTTCTTGATCCAAATTGACTACATCCTGCATAGCTATACATTGTACATACGGCGTACAAAATAACTACATGTACTTATTCATTCAATAGTCATACGGAGATTTATACTCCGTACACATTTATCTAGACTCTAAAAGTTGTTGGTTGGCAGCCACTATCGGCAATAAATTCAGCTGCCCTGAACGCCTAAAGACCATACAGATTTTTCCCAGCCATCGCAATAACAGTCTAATAACATTAGAAATCATTTTCATACCAAGAAAGCCAAGCGAATCCGGTCGGCAACAACTGCTCGAAATACTGCAATCATAAAAAGGGAAATTTTGCTTCGCATCAATCATCTCTACATAGCTCTACCAGGGAAATCCGTCAACGGCCGTCCTCCCGCACCGGCCATCGGCTCTGACGTAAGCGGCTGTGTTTGCGACACATACGCATTTCGGGGATCATATTGCAGTGCATCATGACCGGCAGGGTTCTGCGCCATAGAATAACCGGGTCGCATCTCATATCCATTGGTAACATCGTCTTCACTCGACGACCAAGCACCACCATCAGGTTCATGGTCGTGCGGGCGGCGATTGGAAATGTTTGATGCAAAAGGGTTGGAGGAGGTGAGATACGTCGAGGCATCAGGCCTGGGATGTTCCGACCTAGGCATATCGGAATCCATGCGCTCCTCCTCCGGGTTGCGGAGCGGAGTCAAGGCAGTATCCTTAAACCGGACAGCATCGGGGCCTGCGGGGTCGGTGCCCCAGGTGCGAATTGGGTAGGCCCGGCCTTTGCGCCAGGCTTCGGTGATCGGCGGGAAGTACTGGCGGTATGAAACATAGCCGCAGACGGTTCCCAGCAATGATCCTGTGATCACGTCGAATGGGTGGTGGCGTGCGTCCATAATTCGGGAGACGGCAACAAGGGTTGCAGCGAGAATTGGGACCATTACTACGAGTGGTTTCCAGGCTTCGCCGCGGTTGTCCATGATGTGGAGCTTTCCGCCGAGCCAGAGGGATGTGAAGACTAGGCCAGCGAATGAAGCTGCAATTTAGTATTGTTAGTCAAGCAGCGTCGCGGGAGAAAAAGGGAGGATTGCGAATGGCAATCGAAAGATCAACGCACAGCTGCTGTGGCCTAAAGGTATAAATGTTAGCACTTGACTCGCAAAGTAATGTCGCAGTAGTTGCGCTTACCTGATGGCCACGACCGGAATCCATCCTTCAGTATCGTAGGATCGCCCTGACAGATCGTGGAGTTCGACAGGCCGGGGAAAAGGTCCTTGCTATGTGGTAGTGGTTGACAGCGATCGATAAGATCGGGTCTAGGCTTGCCACAAGCGTTCTTCAGCACTTGGGTTATGACGAAAGTGATCCCTTGTGCCAGCAAGAGACCCAAAACACCGCAGTTCATCTCCCAAAGTCTATCCTTCCATCGGTGAGGACCTCTCAGCTTCCGCTTTCCAGACACCGGGTCTTGCGGCTTATTGTGCGAGAACAAGCCATCGATAAACAGCGTGTAGATGATAATTAGAGCGAGGGGGAAAGCACCGGAGATACAAAGGGCGTAGGCGATGGGAATGCGTTCGTGTACGGCGTAGGGATATTGGATGGAAATGTTTTGGAGGGAGAAGTGTTGGTGGTAGGGCTCAATTGAGTCGAGAATGTAGAAACCAATCACACAAGCACTGTCGAGATGTCAGTGGTGTCACATCGATGGAAATTATATACTGTACATTAGGATCACATAGTCGAAGATGTAGCTGCCAGAGAGGGTTAGTTGGGGAATATGGCGCGGGAAAATAGAGCTACACACGAAATGACAACGCGCGGTCGGAGCCGCCGCTTAGAAAAGGGCAACTTTGCTAGAATTGCCATATTGGATTTCAATTCATGGAGAAATCAAAATCAAAGGAAAGATCAAGAGAGAAAAGTAATAAATAACGAACGACAAGGTTGAGTCGCGTGTGCAATGAACATCTCATTGCTTGGCAAGCGCCAACGCTACTTGGCGCCTCTCCTAGACCCTTTTCAATTCTTATTAGCTTCTGCCTATTTTAGTGGTTTGTTTCATCTCATCTTAAAATGTGTATAGTGGCTGAGTTTACACTTTGGCTGTGTCCTTCCAAGCTTCATCGGGTATCGGGTACCTGACCCTGACTGGCCATTGCCGCTCGATGGCAAGTACCGAATACATTTTGCCAGGGTCCAGAACCGCCGAGTGCAGATCACCATCTCCGGGATTTGCAGTTGGTTGTGCAAATTCAAAGTGTCTGCCTGGACATAGCCATACATATCTGTTCACTAGGGGTCAGTCTCTCTAGATATGTACATTCCCCGGACCTGTGCGTGACTCGGAGTGTTTTATTTGTCGCAATGTTCACTCCCGGCATTGATGCCGATCCACCTCATCTAGGCAACATGATTCTCGCTGCGGCGTGCCGCAAGTTTTGCCTAAAGGGTACAATGCATGGAGAGTACAACCGAAGTGTAAACAGAGTGAGATAATAAAGGAGTGAATTCAATGTACTAATACACAAATCGAAGGATTATGCGCCTCAATTACAACATCAACCAGAAATGGAAATGTTTTCGAATCCACCACATCTGGCAGCCAGCCTGTTGGGAAAGATTAATTCCCTGTGGAAACTCGGACTATAGATCAAATGAACGCAGGAATCAAAAAAAATTAAATGAAGAAATAGAAAGAAATGCGTTTAAACGTGAGGCGTCAAGGGGACAAAGGCGAGAAGACCCTGGATATCTCGTTTCCAAGGCGGTAGACTGCCAGTTTTCACAACGGTCTAATTTAACAGGTGGTAATGAACAGACCGATACTGGACAGGACGTTAGCTGATATTCGGGCAGAACCATAGGAGGAATGAACGTACGGAGAGGGGTTCCAGTCCTCGAAGAAGTTGAGGTTGGTGGTGCCTGAGTTCTTCATCTCGAAGGCGACGGACTGTCCGGCAGGACAAGCGAAGGTAGCGACAATGGAGGCGCCACCAGGGGAGACGGTCATATCGCCGAAGTCTTGCGACACGGAGGGAAGGTTGTTGAAGGTAGTGGACTCAGTAACAGCAGAAGAAAGCTGGGCGAAATCGATCTTGCCGTCACCGCTGAAGGTGAATGAGGAAGTTTCGAGGTCCTGGAGCTCAGGGAAGAGGAAGACGAGGCTGCAAGTCTTTCCAGCGTCGGAGGAGGGGATGTCGAAATTGAATGCGGTCGAGATGGTGGAGGTCACGGTACCGTTGTATGAAGTGCCAGCGGCAGTGTCGGGCGAGGAAGAGTCAACGGGGATGATCAGGTGAGGAGTCTCGTAGCTGCCGGAGGTGAGAGAGGCAGGGCAAGCTGTGGTGGAGGTGCCAGTGGTCGGTGTAGAAGAAGCAGAGCTGCCGGGGACATAGGCGCTAGCGGAACCGCTGGGCTGCGAGCCACCAGCGCTGCCAGAGGGCGCGGGAGCAGTAGCCGACTCAGAGGGCTGAGATCCAGAGGGGGCAGAGGCGGAACCGCTGGGCTGCGAACCGCCGCCACCGGAGGGAGCAGGGATGCTACCGGAGGACTGTTGGCCTGAGCCACCACCAGCAGCGGGGGCGCTGGCTGTGCAGCTGCAGTCAGTGACGGTGACAGTATTCACGACAGTGACAGGAGAGCCGGAGAGAGGTGACTCAGAGGGGGCCGAGGCCGCAGGGGCAGAAGAGCCAGAACCAGAGCCTGCTCCTCCGCCAGGGCCGGAGGGAGCGGCCGAGGCACCTGGAGCAGAGCCAGTGGGCTGCGAGCCAGCGCCGCCGGAAGCGGGAGTGGACCCGGAGGCAGGGGCAGAGCCAGCAGGGGTGGACTGAGAAGCTGGAGCAGAAGGGCTCGACTGGGCGCCTGAGGGGCCGGCGGAAGAGGGAGCAGCGCTAGCAGATGATGACGAGCCGCCGGAACCAGCGCCCGAGTTGGAGCAGGTGTCGGCAGTCAACTTCACGTCCACGCAACCGGTGACATCGGACGGTGAGGGGCTGGTGTAGATGTTGAGACCCCCGTTCTGGCCCGTGGCACAGGCCACGAACGAAGTGTTGCTGGAGTACTCAAGCTGACCCTGGGAGTTAATGGAGAAGCCAGTGGTGGGAGATGCACCATCGTCACACTGGAGCTGAGTAGTGGGAGCTGACATACAGTCAGAATTGGCTTGTGAACACATGTGTTCGATATTGTCACTTACCGGTGAGAATGCAACCACGGCCGTTGGAGTCGGTGATAGCACCGCTGGAGTTGATGCAGAACTGAGCTGGCGACAGGCTGTTGTCACCGATGCGGTTTTGGCCATCGCTCAGTTGGCCAACCTCGCCGGAGGCACCACCGGAGGAGGTGAGGTGGAAGCAGCAGCTGTCACTGCGGCCAACGAGAGCGTTGGTGCCAGCAGCGAAGGCAGCAAAAGTGATGAAGTTCTTCACCATGATTGCTGTTCAGCGAATGTGGAGGGAGTGGTCAGTTAGCGAATGAACACAGTGCCCTTTGCGAGAAGATCGATTTCAAACAGATCTTCGAACTTGATATCCACCGGTAAAGTTGCAGCAGAGATGATACAGATGAGGAACAAAATCTTGGGGGAGGCAAATCCTGATCTTTATAACAGGCGGTGGATTAAAGCTCCTAGCATTATGACTGACGAAACAGGGAAGTATATGCTCCAACGGAGAAAACTCCCCGATCAAAAAAATAATTAAAAATAAACATAAACAATAAATAGAAACATACAGCAAGGCATCCTGCAATTGACCGTGGGTGAGACTTAACGGTGAACCAATGCCCTGCCTCGGAGAGTTGAGCATTGCAGGCCCGAACCAGCCGGAGCGAGATGCGCAGTGACAATAGTCGACGTCATGTTGAACACAGATCCAATTGCTTTGATTGTGGAGTAAAGATGCTTGATGGTCCACTTATAATCTAGCTATGAGTATTGACAATGATCACTGGCTGACACTATAAGACCGTGGACCACCCTTGTCCACGACTATTTGGATGCATCTAATTCTTATGTATGGTTCAGTATCTTGATTGAACGTGGCAACATACTTTCCATGGATCGCCGCCTAATTACTTCCCCCGAGAGGTTGAATGCCGTTGTGCCTTCGGATGGGACGGATGAAGTTATACTTCATCCATGGGAGGCCACGGGACCTCGTAACTCTGATTGAATACCATAGTTACTATCAGGTAGTTGGAAGTATATGAAGCTACTATCCTCCGTATTTTGGAGAAGCTAAATGTAAACATTGTCTGATCCGGGGTATTTTTGGTACATTCATTATTGACAAGCTTCACCCATTTACTTCACAATTTTTGGACATCGAGGGAATGAAAAATGGCTATAACGAGGGCTAGACCAGGTCCTCATTGACGTTAGCCGATCTCCAAGTATAAGTCTGTTATTTTGTGGAGTGATAGACTTAGATGTGAGATTATGATAGTCGCTATAGCGGACTGTGTGACAGGGCAACGGTGGACCTACCTAGGTAGCACAGCATATCATTTGAGACAAACGAACGGAAGATGACCTCAAAGAGAAAAGCAAAAGAGAAACAAAAAACAAAAAAAAAAGATTCATTATATGTGGACCCTACAACACTTCATTGACCAACAATAGCTGCCGACTATTTTTGTTCCTTGTCCACCCACGGAACAGTTACACACGCACTACTATGCAGCACATAATATTGTTATGTATGCCCTTTAAGATTCAAACACGTCACCGTTCAATATGCGCAAAATTTCATTGATTATTATTCATTCTTACATGTAATGTTGTACATTGTAAAATTCTATAACGTTATATGTGGGTTTTGGGGAGGCTTTATTTTATATGTAAGTGCGTAACAATCCACGCCCCACGACGCGTGTCCGGAGTTACATCTAAGTAATCGATGGGGTTCAGACGATCCAGCCCCAGTCTGTGCTTCTAGAACCTCTTAGTGTTTCTCAGCCGGTATTATAGCTCCTAGAAAGGTTGTACGTGGTACGGGAAAGGACGTTGGAGAGTGCAATAGTTATTGAGCAGTGTCGCCACAGGGGGTAGAGTCGGCATTGTTTACAGAAGGAACCAGGCGACAATTCTATCCGATCGATCGATCACCAAACAAGTATTTCCATTGAAAGAGTTTAGATTAGATGACATCAATTGACGGATCGGATACGTCGGACGTGATGTTCTGTTAATAAGTGCATGATCGGTTAGCCATCCTTGCCAAGCCACTGCTTTCATAGACTCCACTGTTATAAAAATTGTACAGCATGGACTTCTGGGCCGTTGGATAGTTCCTGAACGTTAGCCCGTCATGTTAAGCGCGACATGCCGATCGCACTTATATCATACTGGTTAGCCCCCGGGGCCAACTGGGAAGTGGGGCCTGCAGCATGCGGTATTACCGAGATGACATATCTCTTTACATAAAATGAATTCGTACCCCACGCGTCATATGTAAATGGATGGTTTCAAATTGTACATATGCATACATAACACAGTACAGTATTCAAATCAGTACATAGACCGGAAGGGTGAGTCCAATTCGGCGAAAAAGCCACTCCAGTCCACTGCTGATGAGTCCACACTCTCATCGAAAACCTGCCAGAGATCGTCCAAAATAGGCAGGGTCGGGTCCATCACGAAATCATCGTTCGTAGTTAGTTCCATAGCGGTCGGTGCTTTAGACTGGCTTGTGAGCCCTGGCGAGGCAGTGTGCTGACCAGAGAGTCGGATCGATTGAGATCCCCCAACGGCGGAGGTTGATGCATTATGCCGACGAAGAACTGTGTGGAAAGATTCAAGAAGCCGGCCAGCAAAGGGTGACTGTTCCTTGGCTTCTTCTAAGATAGCAAAGGCATCAAAAATCTCCGCTCGGCCCCCTTCTTTCTCTTGTTGATCGCTGCCTCCACAGTAGTCTATGAGGAGAACAATGATGGCCACACAGACACAATGTAACATACCAGAAACTTTCATGGGTGCTTGAGCAAACGGGATCACCTCTTGGGAAAGTTGACGGGGGGCTCGAATGACTATTCGAGCCGCGTCCAGACATGCTTTCCGGGAGTATTCGTATTTGGGATCCTTGAATGCGAGCGATAAGTAGGGCAAGTGAAGCCTGCATCTTTGCGTGTTCAGCATGTTGTTCAGGATGTACCGCTGCACAATTAATCCAGTTGATCTGGGACCATTCGATTTCGGTAGTTGGTCCAAATCATACGATAGTGAAAAGAATGGCGGGAGGCCCGCGGCAAATTCGCGGATCTTGCCATCGATATGTTTTGTTTTTTCGTAGTCTGGGGTCCCAGGATTCGGAGCATCAAATGGAGCACTGTCTGTAATTTCGCGACAGAACTCGCCCAGCCGTATTCGTTGCAAACAGTATGACATTGATGTTGGTTGGTCAATCGGCTGGCCAACACCAATCATTCCATCTTTCAGATCCTCGTCGTTTGCATTGACAGGTTTATTGGTCATCATGTGTGATGGCATGATGGAGTATGTACCTTTATGAGGTCCAGATAACTGTGACATCTGCCTGTGATGGAATCAGCTTAGATACCGTGGAAGAATATGAAGAGAAGCTTGCCAATCAGTTGCCACGAGATACCACCATAGCCTTCTACATATCTCTGCTTTCGCAGAAGAGGGCAGTGGCACCTCGAGACCGGAATTGTCCGGATGATCAATTCGATGCATAGACAACTCTCTGGCTACAGAAATAGCCGTGGAAACTATGTGCCGAGCTTGTGAAGCGATGCCCACGAGATTTGTGGTCACAAAAACGAGAATGACCATCGCCTGGACATCTTCTACAGACTCGAGATGTTTCGAGCGCGAATATTCGAGCACCTCCGTGGCGAGCTTCATCCATTGGGTAGATTGAGAGTTCGCTTCTTCAATGGAAGGGAATATGGGATAATGCATATCGTGCTCAGCCCAAAAGGTTGTCGTGGTAGCGAGGATAGCTAAGAGCAATGAGACTTGCCCGACTTTCAAGGGCCTGCTTTCTCCAAGACAATGATAAAGATTGTCAATCATAGTACGCAGCGAGGGTATATGGACCACATGGTGAAGATAGGTAAGCTCTGAGATGTACTTTTCCACTATCATCTTCGCTTCTTTGTGGAGCGGCAGCCATATGCACTTCTTTGCGGGTGAATTTGGGAGAGCCATTTGCGAAGATCCTACCGCGTTCCGAATATGACAGATTCGAAATTCAAGTTCATATCTCAAGAGGCAACCCTATATGCTTTGGTCAGTTCTAGATTGAGTAACCCGAGTGCAATCATATCTACCGCTGAGCCTGGCGATGTGATCTCGCCTTCCAGCCAATTGACAGCAGCCGCAGATGACTGCCCTTGATGCATCATATATGGATGCTCTGAATGCCGATTGTAAGGAGAGGGAAGTGACGGCGCTTGGATTGCGGCTTGGTCCATGGGACTAGATGATTTCCCATTCCCGATGACGATCTCCTCCAACCGGCGCAAACGTGCCAGAACATCCATATTTGAATCGACGGGAAGCTCTGCAATCCCGTTTTGTGGACTCACTGATACTGACGGTGTTGGATAGAGCTGACAGGTTGTGCCCCGGCTGGTACAGTTCGAACAAGGGAATTGCCGACTACATTTCAATTTTCTCGACCGACAAGAATGGCACGACACAGGTCGTGACCGCGAGGATTTAGCACTTTTCTTTTCAACCCGATACATTTCAGCCTCTAGAAATCATTTTATCTTTTGGTTGAGTATGGAGTAACAAAATTACGATGATTTTGTTACACCGACGCGGAAGCTATCAAAGTCAGCGTCCGAAGCTTTTGTAAGAAGTGGAAAGAACCGTTAGAAAATTTTAGATGGGATGGAGATAATGATGGAGATAGGAATCAAATTGTGTACTTTTTCTCCGAATTCCGTAGACGCCGTCGAGGTTGAGTTGGGGGCGATTTGTGAAGCAGCCGCCTGACCAATCAAAAGCTGGCAAATCCGCGGAACTTCCGCGGGCTCCGTCGCGATTGTATGTATGGGACGAGGTATATAAGTGAATCCTTTTACCTGTTCAATTGGATATAATCAATCAGTCTCGAAACATTTAAATCCTTGAGGTCTTCCAATCTATAAAATCATTTTGCGCCAACATGGACCCAATCATTGCTCAAATTCAGGCCTTGGCCAAGACTTCCGATGAAGCTGGCCGGCTGAACATCATTAGGACTTTGCGGCAGGTACAATTTGACCTTCAAGGTCCGAAAGACAGTCTCATGGAAGTTGCAGGCTCAGTTAGTATGATCCATTCTCTGGGCCATTGATCACACTGACACTCTCAGGGCCTGGTTACTGCAATGCTTCGCGTTGGCGCGGATATAGGGCTATTCACTTCTCTTGCAAAGAGTGCAGCTCCATTGAAGGTAGCAGAAATTGCAGAGTTGACAAGCACATCCCCTCAACTTTTAGGTGAGAACATTTGCCGTAGTCTAATCAACTTCAGATGCTAATTGAATCATGATCTGTAGAGAGGATTCTTCGTTATCTAGCTGCAACAAACATGATCAAGGAGACAGCAGCCAATGAGTACACCACAAACATGGTCACTCACACTCTGGCTGATCCAAAAGGCGAAGCCATGATTTACCATGCGTATGTCCCTAGCTCTACCCACAAGCCATCTAGAAGATCATACTTACACACAATCATTGCCACAGCTTCGATACCCATGGACCCGTGGTGACAGCAATGCCCGAGTTCTTCGCAGAGAACAAGTACCAAGATATAACGAGCAACACGAGCACACCGTTCCAAAAAGCTCACAACACCAAACTCAGTTGTTTCGAGTGGATGCTCCAGCATCCGCAGCACTTTGAGAGTCTCCAAAAGATAATGACAGCCCTTGGAGGATCAGAATGGACACAGGATTTTACCCTCTTCGAATCCGAAGCCCAAAAGATCCAATCGACTGTGCAACCATCCGAGAAGCCGTTCCTCGTCGACGTGGGCGGTGGCCACGGACACCAGTGCATCCGGCTCGGGGAGAAGTACCCCAATCTCCTAGGCCGCCTCGTTGTCCAGGACCTCCCGGAAGCAGTGAAAAAGCTCGCCCCTATTGCGGGTGTCAAGGCAGAAGCCTATGACTTCTTCCAACCGCAACCCATCACCGGTTCGTATTGAACGTTGTATTTGACAAAGAAAAACAATAGCTGACTAGGGTTCGGTATCAAGGCGCAAGGTTCTACTACCTTCGCAGAATCATGCACGATTGGCCCGATAACGAAGCTGCGAAGATCCTGCGAAACACTGCCGCCGCCATGAATGCCGACTCGCGGATCCTGATTGACGATACCGTGCTGCCGGATGCGGGTGCCAACTGGCAGGCTACCACGGCTGATCTTTTAATGATGGCGTTTGGTGGCAAAGAGCGCAATGAAGCTCAGTGGACTTCGCTCGCGAAGGATGCCGGTTTGCGTGTTGAATGTATTCATACGTATGTTGCTTCGACTTATACTGCGATAGTTGTTTTGGCGCTCGAGTGAATGAGTGGTGGGTGGAATTTTGGCCTCGTTCCAAATATTGCATTTAGACCATCTCTTCTCAATGTATATCCGACGAATATTTTGAAGTGAGGGCAAAGGCTGTGAGAACGAGATTGAGTTACCTGGGTGAGTGATAAACGGTCATTGCGAGGACATCTAAGGATCTCGATTGCCTAGAAGGCTATTCGAATGTAACTTTAAGATAATTGCATTCTTATTCTACCTACATATGTCCCAAATGGGTGCTTGAGATCAAGCTCCCGAAATTTAAAAGCAGAACAAGAAAAACAGACCTTGCTGGCCACCGTAACACAAAACGCCTTGCTGAGTTAAAAGAGATGAAGGATGGAGATGGCGCTGGAGAGAAGAAATAAAGAAAGAGAGGCATGGACAGAGATAATCGAGTCCGATATGATGATGCTAATACAGGTCGTAAGTCATGCTCGTGCGAAACGGAGAAGATGAAATCTTGACGGTTCCAGACGGTCCAAGTTGGCAATCACGGGGTAATATTTATTAAGTGGCCCTTGTTGGGGTGGTTGTAGTTGTTGAATCCGTCGACACTATCCTGACGCCCCTCGGCGTCGAAGGACTTTCATGGATACTTGGAAAGTGTGACTGGGTGGGAGTGACAGGCGAAGCAGGATTGGGACTCGGCAAGTTGACGTGGATTGAAGGCAAGCGGTTGATAGCCGGCAGCTGGTTGAATTCCGTCTGCTCGAGCACTGGACTTTGGTATGCCGGTGCATCGCCCCAGTCCAAGTGATCGTACTCCGGGGGCGGAGGAATATCGAAAGTGCCCAAATCGCCCTCGTCGGATTGCGATACTGGTCGACTTGAGCCGTGCGTCGTGGACTGGGCTAAAGGATCTAGCTCGCTCATGATGGACGACGCGACAGACTGGTTTTGAGAGTTGAAACTGGACGGCGCGAATGAACTGGCCGCGTCATTCTGCAGCAGCGGACGGCGGTCGGAGTCGTGTGATTCGGAATTATGGGAATCTGCGCGAAGCCGAGAACCGTCGTGGCGGACATGACCGAGTTCGGCATAGCTAACGCTGGAAATTCGTCGCTCCCGCTCTCGTGCTTGCTGGTCGGCCACTGCTGTCGATAGATCGACTGCGCTGTTAGTCCCGGCACGCCGACGTTGCGCGCGGGCGCGAGTTTCGGCATTCAGACGCTCGAGGCGGGCGGTATCGCCTCGGTCTCGGGCTTCGCGTCGCTCGCGACGGCGGGCTTCGCGATCGGCCAGCTCTTGTCGGCGCTGCAGGCGGAGCTGGTATAATGAGTCCATTTGTTCTTCTCGTCGGGTTTCTTGCTCTTCCGCTGTCTCGGGGTATTCGACGACCATGTCCATTCCGCCACGTTCACCCTCTCGGGCGATGATTTGCTCGGTCGGCTTTGGACTGGAAGAGTAGGGTGGTAGTGTCATGATCGAACGGATGGAGGTTTCTCGGTGTACACCCTCATTTGTTTGCATTTCTGGTGTTCCGCCCGCTCCGCGATAAGAGGTGTCTTGGACATTTCCTGTTTGCCGAGGAACATGCCCATATGAAGCACTTCCTGGACACCATTTCTTCCATTTTTGCTTGAGGTATTTGCCCGGGAGATATTTTGGTTCGTAATATCGTTGTCTGAGATAACGGGCGAGAAAGTAACCGCCGACTAATACTGCGATAGTGAATATGATGGATACTGCACACTATAGGGGAACGGGAGTCAGCATACGGAGTAGCATAGAGACAAAGTTCACGGATAATCGGCAACATACAATAATGAAGATGATGTTCTTCCTCTGGGCTTCACCACGTTTCTGTGGAATGTACATGATGGACAAACCTCACCCTAGGGATCTTCGATGGAAGGCATGGAAATAATCGAGGAATGAAGAAAAGTGCACAAAGTACAAAGTCCGAAGATCGTATCCGAGACAACTATCTTATTATTAGGCGCCAAGCAGGAAAAGAGATGGCGCAGCTGGTGGAGGCTGTGAGCGTCACTTTTCATTCTCTCCTTCAATCATATTCAATCATCTTCATTCGTACCCAATTGGTCTGGACAGTTGTCGATTTGTCGATCTTTGACTTGAATCATCATTCATTAAATTAAATTGGTTCCCCCAGGGATCGTAGCCTTTGTGTACGGGAGATCCTCACAGTGGATACGATTTCGTTTTGCTTCAACTTCTTTTCATTTACTTCGTACATTATTGAGACTTTGATTTACTTGCGATCGTGTATGGACCACACGAGTCCCCTGGCTGCAAGGACTCGGCCTCGGAATTGTTACAGTCACACAAAAATAGCCCTCCCCTTGCGTTTAGAGGGTAATTTTCTCGACTCAACATCGTGCTGAAAAAGGAATGAAATTGAACAGATCGCAAACTGCGAGCTGCAAAATGCAAATCGTCAAATATCGATGTGATAAATCACGCCAGTTAAATTAACTCACATTTATCGTATCTATGCGATGCGTTGCACACAATTATCAGCCCAAACCAGATGCGAAGCGAAGTTGGGGAGATTAAAATTGAAGTGTCGCCCTATTAATTTCCTGACCATCTCTCCTTGCCCCTTCATCTCAACTCAATAACTAACTGACAGGGGCAATTATCCCTGACTTCTAGAAATGAGTCTCATAATGGAAGATCGTCTCCAACTTGTCTCGGCGCTTGTGCGATCGACGCCTTCCCCTGGAACCGCGACGAGGTCGTACAGTGCATAGCTTCCATCTCCCGAGCCCTCGAGCCGGAGACAGGTACATTGCGGCCCACATGAATTGCCGCAATTCCAATTTGCGCCCGTCCCACAATGGTTGTTTCGGAGTAGAAACCGGCATTTGCCTCCTGAGATGCTTCAAAGGCCCTCCGCATGATTGTCTCGAATGAGAGCCTTGTCCCCCTTCACAGAAGAGACTTTGGGTCACGCAATTCAACATGAAGTCAAGCACTGTTGGAAACATATCCATGGCGCACATATCCATGGCGCAGTAAAAGCTTGAGTGATTGTATCGAGATTAACTACTGCGCTAGAGGTTTCACGATGCAAGGGCAGTGGATCCCACTTTCGTTAGTAGCTGTCTTCCCTATCCAGGATAGAATACCCATAACTACTGATCCGAAGTAGACGGTCAGACGGCTATACAATCTCGCTTCGCGGCTTCGCTGCTGATCTCAATTGCTGCCCACATCGTACAAAAGAGTTCTGATTCACCGTGTTCCCGCGTGAAGGACCATGATACCTCTTGATCACATCGCCGAAGGTAAGACCTGCCAGAACCGGGATGAATTTCAGAATACGGCTTTCTGCGCCGTTCTCTGACATGAGCACGATGGATGTGTGGTCCCATTCGCCCGCTGCTCTGAGACATTCGCGGTCCGACCGGCATTCATATCGATCAAATATTCTTTTGCAAGAAGTATTTTCATCGCGCGACATTTCCGCTGAGCGTATGACAAGGCATATTTAAACATCTCTCGGAACAATGCCTTATTCGGCGAAAACGCGAACATTTAGTTATCCAATTCCTGTTTCGTGTTTACCTCGGTAATTTGGGGCAACCTCAGCCGGCATTTGCAGAGGCCGTCGGGGCGCAGTCAACAGCTCGTAAGCGAATGCTGCCTGATATTTGTTCCGCTGGACGTGCGGCTTTTGGGATCACTGATTGAACAGCCGATAAACCTAATAGACTAATCAAACACCCGAGCTGCCATCAAGGAATTGACCCTGTTTCACACACGGCTCTTTACCCCGGAGGAGAGCGCATATCTTTTCTATGTCCCGATTAGTCGAAGCTCGTGGCTGCGATACTTCCAACACTAGAAAGCAATGCTGTAATCTTGTACTCAACCGGAGCGGAACGATGAGGCTCTCCCTCGGCCTTTTAGGCCTCGCTGCGAAATAGTCGCTCTTCTGTATGCTTTTCGGGAAAGCTGCTGCTCCACAATTCAAATATCTCTCGTAGCATGGTTTACTTCTGAGAACACTATCGAACTAATCATTCCATTAGTGATCCCCCAGACTGGCAACTTGTTTGTGTGATCTGAAGAGTAATCTCGCCATGGTCCATATTCACCAGAGGAATCACACGTTGACTCCATTTACTTTCAAACCCATCTTTCCGCCGTGTCTTGCCTGTTCCTTATTATAACCTTTCCTCAATAGGTAGCAGGCTATGCCGACTTTCAGCCAAAGGTTGATTCCTTCTATGGCGGCTTTGGGTTGATCGGGGTTATCTGGGTATACTTTTGCCTCTCAGCTATGGCTGAATGTGTTTTGGAAGAATTATAGATCATGTGGGCTGAGATAGTTCTCGCAAATCGAATTCAAAGCATATTCATCTCCCATGCTTCCTCTCCATGGCTAAATTGATTCGCTGACTGAGGAATATACACCCCCCCTTAATAAGACTTTAAGTCTTTACCCATTCACTACTCTTTTTACGAGCAAAATTCCCGATTTCAGGCCTAGGTTTCTCTACAAAGTTATGTGGTAACATATTTTCTAAGATGGTTTTTGCTAAAACTCTAGTATCAGATTAACAAACTATCTCTTTCCGAATAATCCAATATATATGGCTGTTGAGTGGCAACAGATTAAAGTCCGGTTTCCAAGTTGAACCTCAATTAGTTTTATATAGCGGTCCGTCCCTTAATTAACTTTTGGCCAAAATCGTTTGCAAAAGTTCGAAAACTTGCATTTCTATGCAAAAAATACTTACAGAGATAATTTATACATATCTTGCCTTAAATTTGGCAAATCATTAATATAAAAGTAATTCAATAATAATTTACCGTATACATATACGGAGAAAAAGGGCCTGAAATCGGCACTTTTTGCTGGTAAATAGGGTAGTGGGTAAAAACTTATTGACACCTAGTTATGGGGAAATTGGCAACGTCCTGCCAATATTGGCGCTGACGACGACTCCGCGTTAACTGTAATTCAAATCGAACTTACCAAAGTTTGAAAATGGCAGCGGATTGGAGAGTATTCTAACACAGAAAGATCACTGCTTAGGTATCACCGATCAATAGTATACTTATCCTCTCAGGGAGGGGGGGGTGGGTTGAAGCCATAGAGTAGTGTGATACTAATTTACGTCTAATAATTTGCAATCTATATCAACCCCAATCTCAACATCAATATGCATGTTTTGCGATTGTTAACGATCGTTAACAAATACAGCCCTCTCCATACTCCTGCAACCTTGCTTCTTCATTTCGTCCCTATAGCCTTGGTCGAGATCTCTGTTGTGGGCCCCTAAACCGAAGGTAGCACGACTTGCTCATTGTTCGTGGTGATGACGATGTGGCACTACGATAGTCAGCGCCGGTATCCATAAAATGCTCAATACCAGAGTTTCTTGCAATGAATTTCCAAAAGAACGTGATCATAAGTCTTATCGTAGTCATCGGTTGATCATGGTGGTACGGATGCGAACTCTGACAGACCACCATTTCAAGATCTTGGAAAGTTCTCTTGGCATATTTCAGGAGTATCAATTAACCATGGCGTTTGAATTTTGCCATTGCCTTTGGTGGTGACGAGGATATAATTATGTCCGCAGTATTTCTCCGTGGTTCGGATATACTGAAAGAGAAACGCAATAACGATACCATAATTATCCTCAACACTTTGAGAATGAAGTCTAGATAAAGCAAAATCACCAATTCTAACTCAAATTTTAAAATCAAGTAAAATGCTGGACCCGATGATACAGAGCACTTGACTCGAGGATAGAGGAAGCTTGGTTACCTCTTGTCGCCTTCGAATGCCCTTTCATGCACCATCGCCGCGTGATATTAAAAGCCATATCATTGATTTTAAAAATGCTGGATAACAATATTCGAACTGGTGGGCGTGGGGGCCCCTGCGGTGTCGCGAATTATTTCAGCCTCAGTCAGGACTTGGGCTGTGGAAGAATCATAATTCAGTTTTGCCATATGATCACTAATTGAAACTGCTTATGTCCTTTCCTTTGCCTCGTGAATATTGTCTAGTTGAAAGTGTATTCTAACAAATACTACTTACTTCTCCAACGTTAACTCAAAATGGATGGATGACCAGATGCTGACACAACCACGGACGACCACTCCCAAGATCCAGAGGAAAAGTCAAAAAGAACATGGCATACCTTGTTTTCTGCGTGGCTGTCCCGATGTATCCCCGGATTTGCGGGTATTTTGCATAATTCAAGATTAGTCCCCGCACAAGGCCAAGATCGGCCATAATGAGATCACCTGGAGACACGGCATGATCGTACCGTTCGGCGTTAGCATGAATCGAATTCGGGGTGTCCGTCCTATATTGACGCCAGATATCGGCAATGATTGACTTCTAAACCGCCTCTTACAGGGGTGCAGTCCAATGGGGACAGGGTCAAAGTACCAAGTTAGGGTCATTGCCACGTTGCATCACAGGGTCTTGTCACTCTGCCCTACTTGCCACGAGTTTGAATATCTGCTAGACTTTCAGACATCTTGAGTAACTTGCTATATTATGAGAGTCTTTGCACGCCAAAATGCCAACTATTCACCCCCTCATCTGCAGCCTTGTGGGCCTTCATACAGACTTCTTATTGGACTTTTGTCAACGTTTCAATCCACTCAGACATTTATCAGATTTTAGCCTCAGTTTTCCTTTACATTCAGTATCTTCTTTTCAATTCACCCAGTTTTCTCACATCCTTCGGAATGGCGACCTTGAACTTTGCCTTAAAGAACAACACTACCTCGAGCAACGCCTACGCCTACGTCACAGGCTTGGCGCTTGATCGTGGCAATGCGCTTTGCATCCTGCGATCCGATGGCAAGACTCCTTACTATCCGTCGTCACCATCGGCCACCTTGACTAAACTGAGTTGGGACTGCGCAATCCCACTCGGCGCACCGGGCAGTACCACTGCTGTTACTATCCCGCACCTTGCGGGTGCTCGGTTGTGGTTTGTGCGGGACAACAAATTGACCTTTTATCTCAATCCCGGTCCCGCGCTGGTAGAGCCATCGGTGTCCAACCCTTCAGATCCGAATTTCAACATCAACTGGGCGTTTTGTGAGTTCACTTGGAACAGCGCTCAGTTGTATGCAAACCTGAGCTATGTTGACTTTGTGTCGATGCCCATTGCCATGACTTTGACCAATTCATCCGGAGCAACCCAAACTGTCAAAGGTCTCCCTTCAAACGGACTTGACCTTATCTGCAATGCCCTCAAGACTCAGAACAACCAGGACCACGCGGGTTGGGATCAACTTGTGGTTCAGCAAAACGGCGTGAATCTTCGTGCCTTATCCCCAAACATGGGAAGAACATTGAACAATTCTCTGTTCAACGGTTACTTCGAGAACTATGTGAATCAGGTTTGGGCACGTTATGCAAACGGTACGGCCAACACTCTGACCGTCAACACTCAAGCTGGAGCTGGTGATGTCACTGCCAAAGTCGCCGGCGACGTGATGTGTTTTTCCGTTTCGGGAATATCTTACACGAAGCCATCTACTGGCGACATCTTTAGCAACAGTACTGGGCCGTTTGCCAATTCAAACAACATCACCAGAGATGCCATCACGGCACGTCTGGCCGCTGCGTTCAATCGCTCGACCTTGTTGCTCAATGGAAGCCAACCCAATGGACAAACCGTTTCCAGCTACTACCAAAACTCTCCAACCAATCATTTCTCGCGCATCTGTCATGCTGTGAGTCTCGACACTCGCGGTTATGCGTTCCCGTACGATGATGTTGCACCAGATGGTGGGCTTGACCAATCTGGAAGTGTCTATGATGGCAATCCGAAACTTTTGACCGTCACTCTTGGTGGCCTTTAAAGCAACTCTGCGAAGCAATCCGACATCAAGGAAGCTGCTGCGACTGCTTTTCAGTCTCAGCAGGATGAGTAATTCCAGGCGAATGAAAGAAATTATGACACAGCTATTGGCTGAGATATTGCGCACACAGGGCAATCCCTAACACGCAAAGTATCGTGCAGAAAGGGTTTTAAGGGATTTTCAGAGAGTTTCTAAGGGGTTTTGGAAGAAGTCTTTCAGGGTGTGATCCAAGTGGTTATCACGAAAGCAAGCTGTCAACGCAGGCGGATTTTCGATTGGTCGATGAAAGCCGTTTGGCGCATAGTTTACGTACTTTGTATATATCTGTAGTTAGAACGTCTGTATGAGCATTCAATATCATATTGTATAAATTGATTTCGGTTCTTTCTGTCCCTTAATAGCCCATACCATTCGAAAGAAAGGATAATAATTAGTAAAGACAAAGTCCGCATAATCAGAGGAAAGGCAATTTGCCTATACCGATTCACCGGCTTGTTTCTTGATATAAGCAACAAACTGATCAGGCATAGCTAACCACGGTGTATGCCCAGTCTTAATCTTCTCGGTGTCAATCTCTGCCCCCTTGCGTCGAGCTCGCTCTACCAGGACCTGCTGGACCGGCAAAGGAGTCGCGCGATCATCCTCGCACAAGAGATAGGCAGTTGGAATATTGAAATATGCCGCACCGGTGGCGGGGGCGTTCTGGGTCGCCCAAGCGTGGGGCTTGAGCAATTTGGCCCATTCCGCGCCATCGGGAACATCATGGAAAAACAGCACGAGCGGATCACTCGGTGTCACGATTCCATTTTCCTCCTGAAATTGATGTAAGCAAATTTGAACATGCAAATTTCGTAGGTCAAGAATCAAGGCACGCGACTTACATCAAGCACATACCATGGCGGGGGCATCCCGCCAAACGCGCCGATCAGACTCTCACCAGCATTGGGAAGGAAAGCCGCGATGAATATGAGTTTCACGACTCCCCCCTTTTGGCCGGACTTTTCACGTTCTGACTTGCTCAGTCCATCCAACGCGCTGCTGACCGGTAGCCCGGCCCAGCTATGCGCAATGACAATGACATCATGGCCTGCATCTGCCTCCTGCTGGACGAGTGAGCTGACAGCATCAATGTCTGGCTGTAGGTCGACGACGGAGGTCGCTTGTTGGATGGAGGGGAACGCGACACTCCGGCTGCGGTAGTCGGGGAGCTTTTCGATGATTGGATCAAAGATTGTGTGCGGGTACCACGCACCCGCTGCGAAGATCAGAGTCGGTTTTGACATTGTCGCTCCGATCTATGGAAGAGTCTGAGAGATGGAAAAAAATGTTCGGGGCCACCTAAATAGACCGTAAGGCTGTAAGGCTGAGGGGTTGCAGGGTGTTGAAACGCGCCAAGAGACCGGATATTCGGCCCACTGGACTTAAAGCGCTACGGTCATTAGCCATGAGCAGACATGAACAGATATTGAGCAATTGATGATTTCAATCATCATTGATGAAAATAAGTACATTTTTGTCACGGAATACACAAGTCGAGGGCTGAGCAGGAGACACATTCAACAAGAGACTACGGAGTGCGGGAGCGCGATATTAGAGCAGCAAGTTATGGCCCAGCTTCTTCAGGGTCACTGATTAAAGCATGCAACTTGCCTCCGATCCTCATTGCCAATTTTTCATATGGTCCATCTTCGACGACAGCTCCCTGGTCAAGAACAACGACATGATTCGCAATCTCGATCATTTCTTTGGCGTGCGTGATGATGATAACAGTAAGCCCACGGCGCGTTGCGACCAACCGCCGCACTGTTTGACGCACGATCTCCGCGCCGGCAGGATCCAGATTAGAAGTGGCTTCGTCCAGAATCAAGATTTGAGGTTGACGCAAGAGTGCCCGTGCAATAACTACGCGTTGTTTCTGACCACCCGAAAGACCGACACCGCCGTCCCCGATGACTGTGTTGTAGCTTCGTGGAAGGGAGGAGATAAAGTCATCGATTCCGGCTCCTTGGGCGGCGACGCGAACACTGTGGGATGTGGCCAGCGGGCTGTGCGGATCAACGCCGTATATGATATTCTCATAAATTGTGCCGGGGAAGATCGTGGGTTGTTGTGACACTATGGAGATCTGTGAGCGGAGGGTGGGAACTTGCAATCGAAGAATGTCTGCACCTCCGAGTGTCACCGTCGGTCGTCCAGTTTCAGAAATTGGGGCTTCATAGAGTGCTACTAGGAGCGACGCGATCGTAGATTTCCCCGATCCCGATCGTCCCACAAGCGCCGTGCATGAGTTGCGTGGGATTGAAATAGACACATTTTTCAACACCAATGTCTTGGGCCGAGATGGATAGCGGAAGTTCACATTAGTGAGCTTGATTGGGGTCAACTTTGGAACCGTCAGGGTGCCAGTGTGCTCATGCGATCCATCTCGTGGGAGATTCGCAAGAGCAATAAGTTTTGTCGTAATTTCACGAGAAGTGTTAATTTGCGGAACTATACCAATGTCAGTAAACCGCCGTAAATCTCCAATCATCCGGGGCATACGCACTCCACGAGAGGATTTGTGCTGCATACCCGATGCTGAAAAGGAGCATCGAGAACACCATCATCACGTCGTTCACATTGAACTCCCCAGACGCTGCGACTACTGCTCCATAATAGAAAATCAAAGCTATGGATCGCGATTAGTAAGTCTCACATTGAAATCAAGGCTTTTGACGTGCTCACCGCTGGAGAATATGACAGTCGATTCCACCATGCCGAACAACATGCCTGTGTAGATGGCACGTTTCAACCCAAGCAACAAACACCGCGCAGTAGCATTAGCTTGTTTGCGATGGAAGTGACCTTCCAGAGTTAGCGTTCTCACAGTGCGGATCTCTGAAAATGTCTCTGTGAAAACATCGGCCGCAACATTATTCGCATCATTACATCGCCTTTCCCATAGGCCATTGGTTCCCTCGAAGCCACGAGTGATGATGTAAATCACCGGCCCACAAGAAAGAGCAACAAGTGTCAACTTCCAACAAACAACCAAGCTCCAGACGATGGAAATGACGGTAATCGCCGCAGCAACGACGACGAAGCCGGCGAAGCGGCCCAACAAGTTGCGCATATCCTCCCCATTTTGGTCAAGCGATGATGTGAGTTTAAGAGACCCATTACCATCCTTCTCAAACCAAGCCCTCGGCTGGTCGAGAATGCGTTCGAAAGCATTCTTTCTGAAGCTATCCATCCAGGCCTCGCCGCATAGTTCTAGAAAATAGTGCATGAAGAACGACGCAAGACCATCTCCGAAAGATACTCCCAATACAGCAAGAGACCATGTCATTGTTAAGTGCTCACTATTGGTACCGGCATAAAATGTTCCGAACAACTGCGAGAGGCAATATGAAAATGTAGGGGTGGCGCTTGCATGAGCCAGCGACGCTGTGAGTCCCAAAAAAAGGAGTACACGCTGCTTCAAAGTAAGACTTGGGATTATAGTACCCATTATATGAGAGAGTGGTGGAATTCCGTCTTTCAGCCTGTGCTGCTTCTTTGGCCTTTTTGAACGGCGGCCCTGTCTTCGGTGGCTTTTTGTGTCTGCAGAATCTTTCACAATATGGGTGCGATCGTGAGTATTTCGATCAAATTGCGACCTGCAACCATCGATTGGAGTCATCTCAACCTCTTCCGGTGAGAACTGAATTGGAATTTCTCTTGAGTCGCGCTGAGAGCTTATATCGTCTGTCATAAAAGACACTCGCTGGGTCCAATCACGCAAAGACAGTGCTTGGGGTTCTCCGGACCTGGCTATATACTCTGAACTTCTTCTTGAGGTTATGTCTAGTGAGCTGGAGCGGAGACTTGGTGGAATGTGACCCTGGGCCCAAGATGTGCTGGAACGACGATGTCCACGTAGAGCCATTGGAGGTAGCAAAGCGTCCAAGGGTTCAGAATATTTGGCGCGTCCAATGTCCGAATCCTCCAAAGCTCGCTTGATCTTTTGGCCTTGGTTTTCCAGATCACTTGTGATCTTCGGTTTGAAAAATTTGTCACTCCCCGGGCTTACTTCGACGGCATATCTGTATCCCGATTTCACGATCGAGCCCTGTTCAAGAATGTAGAGAAAGTCCTTGGCCATAATCTGTGACATGTCGTGCGTGATGATGATAGTTGTTTTTCCTTTTCGCCACTCACGAATTGCTTTCACCACCGCGACTCGGTTTGTATGATCAAGAGCACTGGTTGGTTCATCCAAGATCAGGATTGGTGTGTCCCGTAGCTTTGCTCTGGCAATTGCCACTCTCTGTCTCTGGCCACCACTCAAGAAGCTTCCACCGGGGCCAACACAAGTGTCGATTCCCAATGGAAGACCATCTATCGTGTTTTGGAGCATTGCCAGGTCAATGGAATCTTGAGCGTCATACTTGGTGACGGTTTCATAGTTTTGGTGACCAAAGGCGATGTTCGTTAGCACAGACTCATTGAACAATACGCTTTTTTGCTCCAGGAGAGTGATGTTGTTGCGAATCCAATTGATATCAAGCTCTTGTACCGGATTGCGGTCTATCAAGATCTCGCCTGATTTTGGCAAATAAAACCTCATCAGCAGTTGACTGAGAGTACTTTTACCAGAGCCGCTCTTTCCGATGACGAATATTGTTTCGCCAGCTGGGAAAGAAAAGCTACATGAGTTGAGAACGCATTGATCTGGCTGACTAGGGTATGCAAAAGAAATCTTGACGAATATTCATCAGCATATGTACTATTGTCAGAAGGGCTTAGAAGGTATCCCCACTCACATTTTTGACCTCTATGTTACCCTCGCAGTGTTCCGGGTACCGTCCCTTAATCCCGCTTACAACTGTGTCTCTTCTGCACTGAATGATTGATTTCAGAGCAACACCGGCGACTTTCCCCTTCTCCATCACAATCATCTGTGGTAGCACCTGTTCAATTGACTGTGCTGCGGTCAAGCAAGCCCAAAAACTCCTCAGAACTTCACCAGATGAAAGTTGACCGGATCTGGCGAGTGAGCTCCCGTACCAGAACCCCTGAACAAACATTCCGAACATCATCCATCGGATGAAGGCAATTTGAAGGGAATTCAGCCGAGCTTGTCGGAGATAGTGTATGGCAGAAATTTCAATGCGGCTCGAGAAATTCACATGCTCTAGTGCTTGTCCATTCAGGCATTTGACTGTGTCAATATTGGTGATGGCGTTGTTTGCAACTTTGGAAGCTTCGGTAAGCTCGTCCTGCTGCGCTTGTATGCTGTATTTCATTTTCGAGGAAATAAATCCGATAGCCGACGAGAAAATAGGAATTCCAGCCAGAGTAACCAGCGACAGGCTCCACGATGTGTAGAATCCCAAACCTAGCGAGGCCAGTGATCGGAATGAGTATTGCAGGATCAGCCCAAGAGGCTGCGATGTTGCCATCTGCATTTCGTGAACGTGACTAGATATTTGTCAGACAAACCATGTTATTGTTAGCAGACTTCCAAGAGAGCACTCACGCTTGAACACTCGACAAGAATGCCCCGGAGCCTTCACTTTGAGCTTCAAACCACTCAATATCGCACTTCAGTAATTCTATGAATACTTCGCTGCGGATAGAAGAAGCCTGCATCTCCCCAAACGCAACGAACAATGCATAGTATGCACCATTCAAGAACCAGCCTGCCGCTCCCAGCCCGACCATACCGAAACAATTCTTGATAATTTGGTCCTGAAGGCCCTGAGAATCGGTCAAACCTGCCCCGAAAGATGTAAATGAGTCGAAAACATTGCCCAGGAATATTGCAAGCGCCGGTGTGACACCACTAGCAACTAGAGCAAAGACGGACCCTACTACGAGAGTCGGTAGATGCCTTCGAGTTGTGAACCCGAATAGTGACATCCAGCTTGGGTTGGTATTAGCAGCTGTGGCTCCTTTGTCGACCACATTCGGATTGGAAGTTTTGTCAACGCCCATCGTTGCTTTACGGTGACTCAAAGGCCCAATTGAAAACTTCCTATGACTTGCGATTGCTTTTGCTATGACGCTATGGTAGCATAACAGAGAGGCAAGAGATATGAAGATCCACCGTTGCGTATGACGGCCATCTTGGACCGGTCGAGTCTAGGTGTTTCACAAAGACAATGGGTCGCCTAGATAGAACAATATTAAGAAGTTTACAGATGGGGCAACATTGATGAGGGTTGTAGAACAAAGACAACCTTTCTAGTCTTACATTGTTCTAAATCACGTGTCAAGCACATCGACCATTCCCCGTCATGCTCGACGCACCAATGGCGATTTTCGATCTTTCGCTTCCAATGACCGATTTAATGATATGGTTTGGTAACAAGGCGACACTTGCTGGATGCATGATGCACGGTTGCCACAATCCCCCGCTGCATCCGAAATGATACCCTCCAATCAGGCAATAAGAATTGTAAAATTGACACAAGAAAAATCAAAGTGAGACCAAGGAGAATATTTTGTATTCTGGGTATATTGGATACGTGGTGACGGCTGTCCCAGGACATAACCAGTCCACATTTGAGTCGCGATTGATGGCTCGATGGTAAACCAAACCCCGATGTCTATGACCACGTTTCTATCGTGATTAACAAGCTTGAAACGCGATAATTCCAGGCATTATGATCATATCGCGATATTGACTCCGCCCATCATCCGCGCCACAAAGAAACAAGCAAATGCCGTCGGCCAATCAGCCCGGATGTGGAACCGTTCTTGGCTTGAAGAACAGCAGCAAATGTAGATGCATCGTGATCAAGAACTGGCCTTGGAAGCCTTTTCAAAAATCCAATCGTTCAGACCGGCGCGGTTTCTAGAATGCTCGATCAGCTTCTATGCGACCATGAGTCAACTGGCTCCACTCGGTACGTACCTGGCGATCTCAACAGCGTAGAACTGCATCCGCACACCGAAAATGGTTGTGTCCTGGTCGTATTCGGCATCCGCGCGGGTCCGGATGATTGTGCCAAAGTTGAAATCCTCAATCTTCTCCCACTGCTTCATCCAGTTGCGCCATTTCTCCTTGCCGGCCTTGCTCTTCATTTCGTCCTCGATGAGGGTTGCGGCGGGATCGAAATCGGGGAATTCCTTCATGAATGATTCGTAGATTTCGTTGTCTTGCTTGGTCAGACGCAGCTGAGAGCCCTTGACCTTCTCAAGGATAGCCCAGTATGTCATGAGGTGTTCCACCGCTGCAATGAGATGAAATGTCAATTTTTATTCAACAGGGTAGATCCACTCGATATTCTGGCGGATCGATGCGCGATTCAATTCGCGACTGACCTTTCACGGCAAACTGCTTCTCCATCTATAGCAATTGTCAGCGACCAACAGTTCTCTGGCCAGACCGAAATGGACGCAGGTTCATACATCTTCGAGATTCTCCGCCTCCTCGGGGTTGAATGGCTTCGACATAGTGACGGATGGGTGTAGTAGTTAAACTTGAAATATATGAAAGCAAGAAATTTGCCTAGGTAATAATATGCAGAGGAAGTCAAGTGGGAGTTTGAGCCCCGCGGCATAATTTTTTTGTCGGGCGCTCTCCGCCCACACAACGTCATTCGGCCCACAGTGCATAAAGTACTAAAGTACTGCATACAATATTGCAATGTCCATGAATATAAACTCTGTCACAGTCATTCAAAGATTTCTTCATATTAATGATATTACAGAGGCACTGTGTTGGAGCACAGCAATCAGCCAAATAGATTATCAAGTGATGTCCAGCATCGTTAGATGCAAGAAAGGAGGAAGGAGGGTACGAATCATATGTACAGGCAAAATTACATGCAGTAGTCAATGGATTATGTTCCAAAGTTCAATTAAACGCATCAAATGAGGGATTCAAATTCAGATTGCGAGGATTAGAACAAGTCTTTGGGCCCTTCAAACCTCGGCCGCTTGTGTTCAATCGCTGTCAGAGTCATCTGGCAACTCTTCAAATCTTCCCTCGTGGAGAGCCTGAGTAACAGGATTCTCAACATTAAGGAGACCATTCGCCCTTGCCCTGTGAGTAACATTAACAATGAAATTTTGCTAAATTGACTGACTCAATGTACTTACCTCTCGAATAACACAAAGAGTCTCTCCGCCTCACGCTCCTTCTCTTCCTGAGTCATTGGTGGAAGATCATCAGTGGGCTCAGCATCCAACCTTTGCCCGGTAATCGGGTTGAGCAATACATCAGCCCCATCAGTGGTGGCTGAGTGCACTTCACTGTCGCTTTGTGGCATTTCAATACCACGAGCTGCCAAAAACCCAGCAGCGAAGCCGTAGCCTATGTTTTTGGTAAGGGTCTCGGCATCCTTACCAGATAAGACAAACATCAATTCAGATATCGCAACCTTAAGATTAGCGAAGTGGCTTGTGGAGAGCTTGAGAAGTCTTGAAGAGAGCGCGTCCGATTGTCCGATTGGCAAGCTTCGATCACCATCCTCAGGTAGGAGAAGCCCTCGCATGTACTTTTGAGCATCTTCTGGTGCAACTTCATGGATGGCAATGAGTGAGTACAGCAATGGGATTGCTTTTGTTTCCAGCTCTTCAGGGCCATACAGAGACACAGCCCGGTCCAAGATGGTGATTAGTCTTTCCACATTACAATTTTCATTGAATGTCGGGAAAAGAGAACTACTGTCAAAGACCTTGCCCCCCTTCTCCCCCAGATCGAGAATAGACAAAGCATTGAGTAGGCCACCAAGAAGACCATCCAGAGGTTGTTCCGAGATGTCCATACGGCTGATAATCTTCAAAATATGAGGAATAGAAGGCGAGAAGGAGGCAGCAAGATCTGGGTAAATCTTCGAGACATTGTATATCAACTTCAAGGTGTCTGTGAGTGCCAACTCGTCCATTTGCGACAATGGCATCCTTCCCGATTCAGGGAATTGCTTTGCATGGCGATTCAATTGCTGAGCAGGTTAGCACGTCTGCATCTGGAAAACCATATGCGTGCTTGGGTAACTCACATAGGTGACGTTATCCCCCAACGCATGGCCCTTGATCAAGTTCTCAAAGTCCATTGTGGTATCATAAGTCGCATAAAATAGGATGCGACTTGTTACCATCTCATCTTCTGAATTATCGGTCTGCATAATTCTGTGAGATTCGGAGTCAGGCAAGAACGTGTGGCAGCCATACCTTCAGTTTATCTGCTAGCTTGCCACCATATCCTGTGTCCACAAAGACCTGGCGCATTTTCGGATCGAGCAAAAGTGCATTTGCAACACAGCGTAAGGCCGCCCGCCGGACGTCAGGTGTTTCTCCTTCAACCCCATACTGAACTAAGGTATTGATCCCCTGTGTATGGTCAGAACACAGAGATTCTCGACATATATCCAGCAATATCCCCTACACTTTGTGAATAGATTGGACCCGCGTTCGTAGGATTCGTGCCGTGCTGTCGGAGCTGGAGAAGGGTCTGAACTCTCTCTGGGGTGGATTATCACGTCAGTAATTGGGTACCAAATTATCTATAGCAATTTAAATAGGCTTGGACTTACCTGGCGTTGTGAGACTCTTGTCTTGTAGGTCTTTCTCGAGTGACTTGAGCAGCTGCGTCACCTGCTGCAGCTTTGCTGTAATAAGGCAAGGATCGAGTCAGTGGAGATGCTCGCTGCAGTTTCGGCATATCAATTGTCACGATGTACCTGCTCCTTGCATCTGAAGAAAGTCCATGATGTTCTGCACCTCGATCTGCAAGTCGCGTGGACCGAGTAGGGGGTTGCGACGAAACTGATGCTGCTTCGTGCGGAGTTTTGGAGTTATCGCAAATTATCAGGACAAATACGGGAGAGCGCAGTTCCAATGACCATGTGTAATGGCGAAAAAGGATATCGAAAGAAGAGACGCGGGGAAAGTGAGTCGCAACTCGTCATGAATATTATTGCCGCGAAAAAGAGGCCACCCCACTTAAGCTTCTCAATGGTCGGTTTCTAGTTGCGACACAATATCTACATGCCTAGGTAAATACGTACACCCGCGCATAATATACATATGTACACTATGTGCGTATATGTGCTCATATACATTTTAGGGAAAGGGGTCTTCAAGTCTAGAATTTAGGCCACTATAAACGCGATTGTAAGTACTCCACACTGGCGTGCAGAGATGCGTAAAGAATGTGCGGCGCGCTCAACAGTAACATTCTACAATATAACACTTTGTTTAATCTAATAAATACAGTTATAGAAGCCAATTTCAGCTTTTCATCAAAGTAGAAACTTGTTAGATATCATTTCCAAAGGTTTTAGATATGTCAGTGCCTCGTCGCCTCAGGCATTGACACTTTACGCGCATCGGCGCGTCGGCTGAACTTAGTTTTCTCCAGGGTTTGATGGGCTTCTTGATTCACTTCCAGATGAACACCGCCTAAAAGTCATCCTAAGCCTAAACACCATCCCCACTTAGCAATGATCTATGACTCTTGCTATCTTTTATCCCTTTCAATTTGTGTCTGAGCCTTCGAATCATGGTGGAGATCCTATCTGCTCGTCCGCCTACACCTCCAAGGACAGTTTCTTCGCGCATCGTGCTTGACGAAACCAACCAGACTGCATCGCCACTGGCTGTTCAAACGCCCAAAGGTTCTCCATTCACTGCATTGGGCTCAACAGAACCAGGTCTCTCAAACCGCAGCTCGAAGCGAGTAAATTTCTCACCATGGCCTAAGTACATCAAACCGCCAACATTTGCTAGTGCCTCGAAAGCCGCCGACGACGTTAAAACCATCCCTTCTTCGACGGATTTAAAGCCTGCGAAATCGATCCTCAAAGCGACACAATCACCCATTCCCGTTTGGTCACCTAATGTCGACACATTCACCGCCGACTCGCTCGCTATGCTGCTCGAATCGGTCATCCAACAATTGGCAGGCGAGTCAATGAGCTCGCGACTCGATGCCTATATGCAGTTCTTTGGCGCGCTGCGAACATATGATGGTCTTCCGGCTGGTCAGGAGATAGCTGAAAAATTGAATCTCATAACCGAGTTCATTCAACGAGACGTGAGCCGGGACCTTGCAAATGCTGGGCCTCATGTCATAAACCTCGTCAATCAGGCTTTGAAATTATCGGCTGCATTTGTCTGGCATCCCCAGATATCGACAAAACTACCAGACGAATTCAAGATCTTTTTGATTGAACATTCCATCACTTGTCTCCATGAGGCCAAGGCCCCCAAATCCGTTTTATCACATTACATGTCCATAATATCAACTCAAAACTTCGGCCCTAAGGTCATGACGACTGCTCGGGTCACCCGTCTTCTCACGGTACTATCAGATATCACCCAGAACATTTCTGGCAACGCGATCGTCTCTCATCGATTGAACATCTACCAACGTCTTCTGAGCCAAGCCAAGCCCGCTTTTATATCCCAGGCAAATCTATGGATTGAACACTTGATTTTTGGCCTACTTCATAATGTGAAGGACACCAGGGAAAAAGCGATCGTTCTTGGCTTCCAGGTGGCTGCAGACGCCGGTTCAAGCCCTATACTCGCCAAAAGTATTCGCGACCTATTCGACAGACCACTAGAACATGATCGGAAACTTGTAATGGAGGTTCGCGAGCGCATGGCTCGCATGATGTCTACAACTGATAGTGGTGTGCATGTTCCTCAAATATGGAGTATCATCATTCTTCTCTTGAGGAACAAAAAATGGAATGTGGAACACTGGGATCATTTCAAAGAATGGGTTCTGGTGCTGCAGAAATGCTTCAACTGCAGCGAACCGGCAATCAAAGCTCAGGCAATTATCGCTTGGAATCGATTTGTCTTTGCTGTTGGTCCTAACGAATCAACGAGCCGCTCGCTACTCAAGATGCTGGGAAAACCAGTATTTTCACAGTTTGATCGCAAGAAATCCGACAAGTCAGGGTCGCCGCCTAGTCAACTTGCTCTGAACAGCTACTACAATCTACTGTATTACACCTTTCGAACTTCGGCTTCTTATCAGCACCTGGACTTGATATGGGAGGAGTTTGTGCTCATCCCATCTTCCGGCATCTTCTCATCAATGCCGGTTCTTGGAGATTGCCTCTCGAACATAGTATCGAATTTACTATGGACCACGCATGTCAAGGTTTGGACCGAGAGCCGGATAAACGATACGAACAAGATGGAGGCAGACGAACTTCCTACCGCCGATAGCCGATGGGTTCGATCCAGAATCTCCCCTATTCTCAAGGTTTTCGAGAACTTGTTCAAATCTTCTGTTTGGGTTAATGACGCGATCGGTACCTCCAACGTGGCACTGGCCTGGAATAGTCTATGTAACGCTTTGTCGCTGGCTTCCAGTAAAGAAATCACACCTTCAGGAGAATCGATGCAAGCTGTTGCCAGCGTTCTTGCATTGTTGCATCGCCTTTGGGTTGCTGGGCCGTCTTCTCTGAACGCCGACAGCCCCGATGTTTTCTTCAAAAGATTTCAGTACTTATCCACAACCATGATTGTCTCTATCGGAGGAATTCCATTCACCGAAAAACTTCTTTTGAGAACTGCGGATGAAACTTTCGTCACTGCCAGCAGTCCGTCACATCGCCACCCCCAACCAGGCACAAATCTCGACAGTCCCATCCTGCACCTTCTTCGGTCCATCAGCAGCATTGCTGGGACTATCTCTCCAAGCGAGTCTTACACGCGCCTAGTAATGGGCATCATTGAAGCAGCTTGCAACAGCAAAATCTCTCGTGGATCTCGTCTTGAGCTTCTGCAGCAGTGTGCGGAATTGAGCACTGCGGAGACCAGTGCTATTCCACGTGCTCCTTCATTGTCCGTACTCGTTTGGAATGCTACTTGTCAGGCGGCATCGAACGCTTTACAGTCGTTCCCTCTCGAATCTGCCCGTGCCCGTGATGGTTCAGTATCCCGCGACTATGACAATGTCATCAAGATTCTTTCTTTCGGTCTTCTGTTCCCATCTGCTTTCCAGGCGTGGTCTCATTTACTTGAGTCGTTCGTTCGTGTGTTACGAACCGAGAAGGGTAACCAAGCCATCGCCACGATGATCATAGAGCCTATGGCGGATCGTCTCATGCACCTTCCAGCTGGAGACACCCTCCTACCTTCGACGTCATTATTCAGCCATTCTTTGTCTATTCCTTTCCTGCAAGGGACCGGTCTAGGTATCGATCCTGAGGGCATACAATCCCTCGGTCATACTGTTTTCCCTCACAAATTTCTTGAGTCAATTACCCGAACAATGCACGATGCATACGATGAGTTTAGCAAGTTCCAGGTCTATGATCTAGCTGAGTTTATCGAGGGGTTGACTTCGTTCTTGGGATCCGGTGCTCCGCAATTTCAATGCCAGGTCCTTCAAAGCCTCCAGTCATCACTGAGCTTCTGGTTGAGAGACGAAGCATACAAGGTAAATGTTGAACGCGGCGTCGATGGCAGGATCCTCACTGCGTGTGGTGCGCTCTCGTCGGCCGCCCTCCATGTCTTGCAAACATCCGTTTCCCATGACCTACCCTCTTCCAAAAGCTTTGAAACCATTCTATGTGCTGGTTTGGAGTCGTCGAACATAAACACAGTCAAGAAGTTTGTCGAATTTTGGGGTCTGACCTTTGGCTTGGTGAAATCTTCTGCCTACCCGACCACTCTTTTGCAGGCTGTACAAACCGCCGAATCCAGGCTCCAAAGCGCGGCATTCCCTCCGCAGAATGGTCACCAGGACATAGATATGGTATCCCCGCCTCCACAAGATTCGACAGATCAGCCAATGAACGGGATCCCTCAGTTGGCTCTGTCGTCCTGTGGCACTCAGCCCAACTCCCCGTTGACAGCCTCCTCCAAGCTACTTGAGCAAGTCACTGAACCTCAATTACCGAGCAACTTCCAGTCCGAATATACCGATGTGCAGATTGATAATGACATCTCAGCGTCTCTCAAGCGCCGAAGCCATCGGGAGATATTCTCCATGATTGAATCCATTCAGTCGTCCTCGCCTGGGCCTACTCCCCGCAAGTTGGGCTTCAATACTCCTCCTCATTTGCGCAGACTTCAATCTGGTGAATCAGCTTCCGAACTTCTTTTGACGCCCACGCTAGCACCCACTGAACACGAAGAAGGGTTCATCGGTTCATCTCCTACTCCCGGAACAAGAGACCCAACACCCTCCATGACCTCTGACGCAGCTGTTCTCTTGCCCCACGGCATTCCCAGCAGCCAAATTACTGACCCTCCTTCATCTCCGCCCGAGATGCATTCTCGGAGCCCAAGTCCCCGCAAGGGGAGAAGTCGCTCGCGAGGCGAACGGCGAAAGGCGGCAAAGGCACGGAAGGCTCTTATCGGCAATTCAGGTCAACAATCAACGGTGAACAGCCCGGCCACGTCTCGCCTTGCCACTGAACACAACACGGACACCACCATGGAGGATGCCTCTGATCATGATCAGGACAAGGAAAACACCGACTCTACGCCTCGAGCAAATGGGACAACCTCCCGTAGACATCTTCGATCTGCATTAGGAAAAGACCCAGCGACAGTTCCAGAGCCTTCACCGGGAGAAAACTTCGATTCCCCTGGTAGAACCCCTGTTCAAAAACCTCGGACTGGCAAACCCAACTCAAGCTCCAAAAAGAAAAGGAAACAAACCAGCCCCCAGCCGGCCCAGAAAACAATCCAGCAAGCCATTGACATGCCTTCTGACTCCCATCATGAAAGTTTCATGGACTCCAGTGAGGAAACTGAGACACAAATTGCCTCACAGCTTGAACAGGACTTGGAACTGGCAGTCGATACAAATGACAGGGCTCAGGCGCAACGCTCACAACCTGCGGATGAGCCGTCTATGAAGAAAAGGAAGCGGGACGAGGAGGAAGTTCACCCACCTACAAAGAACGACCGGCGTCGCTCAACGAGATTGTCCAGCGTGAAAGACGTTGTCAACGTCGAGCCATCGGAGCCCGATGGTGCTGACTCGCAAACTCCTACTATTCTTACCTCAGGCCTCTCACCATGCAAATCACTATCACCAACTGCCACCCGTCGATCCACCCGCAATTCGCAACGACAAGAAGCGAGCGACAACACCCGACTCGGCCCGGCTGCTCCAACCCAACAACATTCTTCACCCAGGGGTCTGACAAATGACGACGAGACGCCCCGGCCATCCAAACGATCGCGCAAATCCCACTGTCTTGAGAGCCAGCCTGTCTCAAGCCCCGCACCAAAAAGCTCTCGGCGCAGCTCTCAAGACACCCCCACGCGTAAAACAAGGTCTCAAAAGCGCGCAATTGAGACCGAATCGGAATCTCAAGTCCACATCATTCCCTCTCCGGAACATGATATCCCCTCCGATGACTTGCGGCCTCCAAACGGCGATTTGAATATTGTTCCCGAGAGCGTCATAACTATGGAATCGGCAGCAGATCAAGACATTTCTCCGGTCTCCACTGAAGAAGCAACTGACTCTCAAGTTTCTCAAATGGGGCAAGGGACCAAGCCTGACTTGGTTAATGCAGAACTAAAAATGGATCTTGACTTTGACCTGGACACACGCTCAGAAGCGCAACCTACCGAAGAAACTGTCGAACAAACCACAAGTCTGGCCACTGCAAGCACCCAGACCCATGAGTCAACGCCCCCTCAATACCAACTAGATGTCAGTGAAGAAGGGATCACTCAATCCCTACAGAAGATCTTGGGTAATATGAAAACGGCGACCTTGAGCCCGAATGCCCTCCGCGAAGTCGACGATCTTCTCTTCAACATCCGTGTCGAAGCACATGATGCATCACAGCGACACAATACTTCAGCATAGCGAATGGCGTTTACAGCGAAACCTTCTGTTGAACATGATTTTTTATACTGTACCCCATCACATCATTATTCCCCACCTGCATCATACATGTGTTCATCACCTGAATCACAGCGCCATTGCACGATGTTATCTTTGGTAATGTTTTGTCCCAAATATCTTTTTGTCCATTCTGCTGTATTGTATCTTTTCCGCGGGGGTTTTCCGCGGTATAATGAACTCCATCATTGAACATTATTCAATTGTATTTTCAAATCTCATTGAGCTACTTGGTGGTAACTCGACAATACTATGGAGAGTAAAAGCCATAGTTAATCTCTGTGGTTCTTCCCGATGGGCCGGATCTTCCCATGTGCTACCTCCATGCTGGCGATCTCGGAGACCCCATTCTACGCACTTGAATGAACCCCAGCGGAGACGACGCTTTAGCAGTTATCCGATGCGTCTATTAGAGCCCGCTATCAACGTGTTGAAGAGTACTGCCGAAGAGCGACGAGTGCCTATCCCTGCAGTTGCACTAAATTACTCAATCAACAAAGGTGTACTGCCTTTGGTTGGTGTACACGATGCTGAACAGGCTGAGCAAGATATGCAGGCGCTTGGGTGGCGGTTATCTGGGGATGAGATGAAACGTATTAAAAGGGTCAGCTTCTGGGGACAGACGTCCTCGTTCCTGCAGCAGGATTAGATGCGCTTGATCATATACATATGTTGGTCGTTACAAATATGTACTTACGTAGTTGATGGAAACGTGTAGATAGTACCTCAACTTCTTAAAATGAACAAATCAGCACTATTCAATATTGATCCCAGAGATCTCCACGAGATGAATCTATTTTTCAAAAGTTTTTTTTTTCGATCCGAATTTATGAAACAGAACAAGAATGCAGCAATGCAGTTCAATTGACAATTCAAAGAACAAACAATTGGCGATCACAAATCGCCGCCGATAAGATTCCCCGCCAACTCTGAAACACATCAGCTGCTGTCTTTCTCCCCTCACTTCAATACAACATCAATACTCAATAATGGACCGCTCTAACAAGCCTTCCGCCATTGGGGTGGGTACTTCCCTCCCACAGCCTTCTCTCTCCATCCAGGACAACGTTATCGAAGCTTCGTTGCCCACTGGCCAGTCAGTGAAGGTCCACCTGTACGGCGCGACTGTGACCTCATGGAAGGCAAATGGCAAGGAGCAGCTCTTTGTCAGTGAGAAAGCTCATTTGGACGGCTCAAAGCCCATCCGTGGTGGCATTCCACTCGTCTTCCCGGTATGTGATGTGACTCAGGACTACTCCGCTTGTTGGGATACAGCTAACCACCTTGCTTCATTCTCCAGGTTTTCGGACCTCCACCCCAGACCCACGTTACCTCCTCTCTACCACAACATGGCTTTGCTCGTAACTCCAACTGGGAGTTCTTGGGCAAATCATCTTCGGAAGCGCCCGGAAGGGATGGCGACCGAACCGATCTCACGGTGAAACTGGATTTCGGGCTGTCTCACACCATGCTGACCGAGGAGTTCCGCGAGGCATGGCCATATGAGTTTGGACTTGTGTACAGTGTTACACTCACCAAAGACACATTAGAGACTGCGCTGCAGGTGCGCAATGAGGGCAAGCAGAACTTTGAATTCCAGGTTCTGATGCACACTTACTTGAACGTCGCGGTATGAGATGAAGCTTCCGGATTATGCGCTAGACAAGGTTCCACTAACATGGAAATACAAACAGGATATCTCCGATGTTCGTGTCAAGGGCCTCGAGTCCAAGACCTACATCGACAAGGTTCTCCAGGCGACTTCCCACGTTGAAACGTCCTCGGCGCTGCCCATCACCCAGGAAACCGATCGTGTCTACCAAAACCTTGACCCAGCCGTTCCAGTTGTTGTTACCTCGGCTAAGGATGACCAGCCTTTGTTCTCAATCACCAGGGAGGCTTTGAAAGATGTCGTAGTTTGGAACCCGTGGATCGAGAAAGCCAAGGGCATGGCTGATTTCGGACCTGATGAGGCTTATAAGAACATGATTTGCGTGGAGGCTGGCTCCGTCTCTGGCTGGCAGACTCTTGAGGCTGGAGAGGCCTGGGAGGGTGGCCAGAGTATCAAGTCCCGACTGTGAAGGTTGAGGCAGGACACCTTGCATCTCTCTTCACGCATATTAGTTTATGACCTCAAGACAACTGTTCCGAATGCCATTGATTAGAGTCGCTCATTCTGGAGCCATGTTTGATTACAATCTCGTCCTGTAGGTTTTAATGATTCTGAGTCTAGCTATGAGATCCACTGTATCGTCTTCCATACTAGTGTTCTATGAAGTTGGAGGTATAAATACATTGCTCGATAGACATGGTCAAATTATTAACACAGAGCCAGAATATCACAACTCCCCACCCGCATTCATCTTTTCGACATCTTATCATTCGTTTCATCATCACAAATTCCCATGCTCAACACCGGCAATACACGAGTCGCCCACGACGTCAATAAAAGAGCGACGACCCTGTTTGCCTTCCTGGAAAGCCGCCAAACGCTCAGCAGCTTCAAAGCTGTAATGAGGACCGTGGTACTGACGTCGCCCACGGAACACCCACCAGAAGGCAGTGATTGCCATCAAGCCCACAATGATGACACTTGTGTAATTCATGTTCTGCACCGTAGTCGGTAACACGAAGGGGAAGCAGAAGAAAACAACAGTCACCGAAATGTAAATCAGTGAAATGATATTGACCATCATGCCAAGTCTTTGTCCCATATAAAATGGCCCGGGGACCATATTCTGGCGGCCGGACAGGACATGCGGGAATATAGCTCCGAAATAAGACAGCGAGCTCAGCACAATGAACGAAGAAATGAGTGCTTGGAATGCAGTCGTGCTACCGATGTATATACACCCCAGGCAAGTGACTAGCGCACTCATAGCAACTGTTGCACGCACGGGGCAGTTCAGTGTCGGGTGAACCTCAGCGAAATAGCTTGCGAATGGTGTCGCATTGTCGCGTGCTAAACTCCACCACATTCTACCGCCGGTCATGAATGTGCCGATTAATGTTGGGAAAGTTGCGAGGAAGAGGACTGCAATAAGGCCGATAGCACCTGCATTGGAGCCGGTTGCTTGTCGGTAGATCTCGGCTGTTGGGAAGAATCCAATTGTGCTCGCAAAGACGGCGTCAAGATCTTGAATGGAGTAAAAAAGGGCGATCAGGTAGACAAATGAGGTAATGAAGGACGTGAGCATTTGGAGCATGATGCCTTGTGGGACTTTGATCTCGGGTTTGGGTACTGATATATTAGGATTAGTTCGGTTTCCTCTTGTAGTGAATCTAACATACCTTCTTCCGAAAGATGACTGATGCAGTCCGGCACACCGACTGCAAATGCTGCGTTTAACAGACCAGTCATAAAACAGACCCCGTCGGACCATCCGCCTGTCTTATTGTGATACTCAGTCCACACTTGAGCGTTGCTAGCGTGCTTCTTCGGCATTACCGCAAGAACTATCACAGTAGTGACTAGGCCACACATAGACAAAATGAGAGAAATGCGGTTGATGAGCGGAATTAATCGATTGCCAAAGCAGACAATAGCACAGCACATCCAATTGACGATTTGGAATACTACAAATACCTGCCAGGGGTGCCACTCAATATTCGGGTGCTTGAGCAAGTACATCGCGACGCCCTCATTCCCTAACATAGAGCTCATTGATGACGCAGACAGCAACCATGCGCAGGCGTTGAGATATCCGGTAAAGAAGCCCACCTTTCGGCCTTTGTTTCGGCTGACAACCGATGACCAATAGTATACGCCGCCCGCTGAGGGCATGGATGAGGCGAGTTCGGCGAGAGAAGCGGATATAGCTGTGTAGAAGATGCTGACCAAAATCAATCCATATAGAACAGCCATCGGACCGCCATTTTTGAGAGCAGCAACGATTGTTCCTCCTGTTGAAGCCCAGGAGCTTGGCCCTATTAGTCCAATGGATATCGACACCCAGAGCAACATTCATACTTAGCAATGATAATTCCCAAACTGGTCAAACTCCACAAGCTAAAATTTCTCGTCAGCTCTTGCTTATGACCAAGTGCTGATTCAAGTCGTAGTTCGTCCATCGTGGCGTTTTCTTTCAGAAACTTCTCGTTGTCCCGAGGGACCTGCCTTGCGCTCACCACCATTTTGCCGTGCGTCATGGGGTATAGCAGCGAGGTTCAAAAAAAGCACAAAGCCATTATAATAAATGAATACAGGACAGTGAGGGGAAAGAAAAAAAAAGGAGAAACGCCACCCTACTAGGTTTGACAGAGCGTAATAAGTACAGGGTGCACAGGAAGAATCGGGCGAGTCGCAACCCAGGGAATATGCGAGGGTCGATGTCCTCATGGCCGCCACGTGTATTGGAAGATCTGCATCGAACATTTTATGCGAGAGTGACTTGTCTACAATTTTCTCCGAAGGAGAGCAGAATGCTTGTTGAGGCTTGACACATTGAGGTGCTATTGGAAATAGCGTTGTTTGTGTAAAGAGGAGAGAAAAAAAAAATTGCGTGCAGCTGCGTCTAATCGATTCAATTGTAATACAGTCTTCTTTTTTATTGGATTAGTTCAAATTAAATTCTCCTGCCAACTTCCTAAAAGGTAGATTTGAGTGATGCATCGCAGCTCACGCAAGGGGGTTGACCCGGTTTTAGGGTTAGTTGGGTGTCGATCGGGCGATCCGATGCCCAGTGGGCAGGCAGCCTTGGGTAAACTTCTTCAACGGCCAGGACTGATTATCCTTGTTACGATATTTGGAGAATATGGCTTTTGGTGTTTCAGCCGATTGTGGTGTTACTGAATGTTTGCCTAGTGTGTAATCTACATTCTAGCGTTGTCAGGGGTCTGCTGCACGGCATTCGTTTAGCTTACACAATGCATGCAATCGCGATCCCCTTGTTGATGGCCCATATGGCTTCGTGTGATCTATCAGATGTAGATTGTGGTACACGCACTAGTATGGACGCGGTGCTGTATACAGTGCTGTATACCGGGAGGAACCAAGCTTTGATCTTTGGTTAATGTTTTTTTCTCCCAAATATGTTATGGTCATTCGGGATATACTGTGGTGCAAGAGAAATCATCATTACATCAATACTCCATGGCTTGATATTTTCACAAATAAAGATGATCGCAAGAAGCATAAAAAAGGTTTGTTCAATATGGCAAGCTATATCTAAGAGGAAGAGGTCGGTATGACCCCCCTTCAGGACTCCTTAGCTCACTAGAGCCTTCAAATCGTAGATCGGAAGAGCCTAACTTGAACAGGGCGTCTTCACTTTATCCCGACCAATACGGTGATTAAAATTGAGACAAGCACTCTCCTTGGTTTCATATGGACAATCAACACTGAAGGGAGTACGAACCCCTGTAATCTCACTGACGGCATATCTCAACATCGCAGTAGAGAATTCTCCATTGATAATTAGCCAGACGTTCCGCTTGAAGTAATCATAGATCATCAATACTGCTCTGGAACATGACCCTGGTCTTCCTCCTTCAAGATAGGCTTCTTGACATCCAAAAGCAAGTGACTGATGTGCCAGAAAGGGAATGTGTTCACTCAAATGGCCAATAGTAACCTTGAGAGTTCGGGATGCGGGCAAAGACGCCGTTCGAGATCAAACCTACAATGTGCAGGTTCACGCCATTGGCGAAGGAAAGAGGTTGTTCAATCGGGCTCTGAAACTGGGCACAAAGTCTCCAGTACATGGCTATAATTAAACTACTGTACGATTAGGTGGACTCTCTTCCGTAATCTTCTTCTTATCGCTGCGAGCGTTATACTTCGCCTACCAGCATTATTGCTCGCCATTTGTGCGCCGATGGGCGCCTTATGCGCGCCATCTTCATGTTATTCTGTCGCAATTTACAATTTCGCGTTGTTTTCCGGGCCATGCGCCCGTTTGGGAAATTATCCAAAAGACCGTTGGTGATACCACATGTGAATACCACCACCGGGTTTCCCATATATATGCCTACCTGGTATCTCAGGCCAGTTGCTGTAGCTGTGGCAATTTTCTACTTCAGCGACTGCTCGTGTCGTCGAACCTGGCCACCTTGTCCGTGGCCAGACTCGACGACACGAGTACTAAAAAGGAACAAGGCAATGTAGCGCTGGGCTCTAGACCTTCTTTGTAGATCTTTTGTATATATTGATACCGGTATAAACAATAATTACAAATGGAACGTAGGAATACCATACTATATCAACCTTGTCTAAATTTAAAATAACTACGCGCGTGCCTAATAAGATCAAACCCATCACCCAACCTAGCAACAACCAACTAAATGATACCAACAGCCTCAATAGGGCGTCTACTACGGAGTAGTGTCTCAAGCAATGGCTATCTACTAACTGTCTTGCGTGACTCGGCCCCAATAGTGGCGTTTATTGGGTCATCGTCCTTGAATAAATGATTGATCTGCTTCTTAGCAGGGCGACCGAGTGACGAGTTTAGCTTCGTACCGTTGCTTCTATGATACCGCTGATGCAAGCTCCAGGAGCGCTTCCCACGAAGCCTTTCGTAAAGGGGGCCCCTTCTCTTCATTTCTTCAAAATTCTACTAGGCCGGAATTCAACTATAAAGACCCGACGAACCACCAACGATCTAAGCTTCTTTGTTATAGTCATTTCTTAGCCCTTCTCTCCGATCATAAATGTCCGCTATAGTGACTTTTGGTACGTTCTTTATGCTGATATACTAATTGCTTAAGCTACTATTCACTTTAAAGACCCTGAAAAACTTCTTTCGACATTCGATGGGGTGGAATGTAGTGTAAATGATAGGCTTACATCTCTATCACCTACTATTATAAGGTTCCCTATAGAAGCGAGTTAGTTAGATAACTTGTAGGATACTAAATGCTTTCTACTATGGCTACGAGCATTCTGAGGGTTCGACGCCGGTTTCCCAACTTCTAAGGTCGCCAAACGTGCCAGATATGAAGCGAAAGGCGCGACAGGGCTAGTTCTTCTATTTCAAAGTCCGTGTTTGCTCGCAACTAACAAAAACGAGACACAGCGGTGGTATTGTGGATATGCACAACGCAGAATCCTTACGAGGCATGCTTGATTCTTTTGTTGAAATCTGTGCCCCAGAAAAGATGACCACCAAGATTCGCTGTGTCGTTCTAGGATCATTGGCAATGTAACACCTGACGATATGCACGGCGATGGTGTGCCTTTAATGGAATCCGTGGGATGCGCAATCGTCACGGCTAATCTCTTGTAAATAAATTTGGATCATTTCTTCGAACCAAATATAGGTGACGGGGACGGGGCTAAATTGTCAGAGCTACACCGGACTGGACAAGAAGCGTATGCTGAGAGGCGAGAATTCTCTAACAAAAAGGAATAAATGTGGAAAAATGGGATGTTTGCCGGAGGGGATATTTTTACCGAAGCTGTTAAATTTCTAACCACACAGGTGGAAAGTCCAAAGAACTGGTGACCATCTGCCACGCGGTCTATAATCTGGGAGAAGGGCATATTGGAACCTTGGAATATCACCATATTATTCTTGATTGCGATCTTGAGCAGCTTGCGGCACCATAGTTGAACAGTTGTTTGCAAGTTACGAAAGTAGCATTGGCATATCGCGAGAGAGAAACATCGGAAGAATCCCGTAGGTTAGTTAAGATTTGCACAGATCAGCTTGGGTGTCACGAAGTAAATCATTGAATCATATGTCATGTGTCATATCTTATTCGGTATTATGATACTTTCAGGGTTGGATAGTGTTAGGATGAATTGGGCGAAATCTCCCAGGTTTAGGTCATACGATCACTATCAAAACTGTGTGTTTTCACATAATGTTTTTATAGCCTAATATATATATTGCCACAGGCAAATAGCTATCGCTACATTTGGGTATGACATTTTACTAACACTAGTTATACTGTATCAAACATATCTACAGATTCCCTTAAAGACAGATTAGCTCCTAAAGTCACTAAGCATGCCAGATACAAGGCGAAAGACGCAGAAGGACTGGTGGCCCAAGGTCGTACTAAGGCTTTCCCTCAGAAGATGACCACTGAGGTTCGCCGTGCTACCCTTGAGATTATTAGCGAAACACCGTACGGCCCTCCTATCAGTATAATAATTCTCAAGAGATACGTAATCATTACGGTCCGAGTCCCAGATATATGGGCACTCGATCTAGATCATGGTTTGAACCTAGATGAATATGAACCTGACTGGCTCAACATGCCGCAGGCTGAAAGGCCGTATGCTATGACAGAATGGCGGAAGATCAACCTATTGTTTAGCATAGAAGATATTTTTACCAAAGCTGTTATCGTTCTCGCCGAGAATGGGAAATCTCCCTATTGGTCTCTAACCTCCTGCGGCGTGGTTGATAACCAGGGAAGTGGGGATCATGGTTGTAGTAGTCTTAATCATATTTGCGATGTTTACGACGCCGCGGCACCAAAGATAATTCAACAGAAGCAGCGTTGACCCGAAGGATGAAATTAGGATTAGAAAAGCCAAAAAAGTCTGTTAGGGTCTGCACAAAGAAGCATGAGTGGTGTGGAATACATCCAAGATTGGTACCACATGTCCAAAACGTCTATTCTATAAAGCGGAGTGAGAAGTGAAAGAAGACCGAGATGAGTATCATGCGTATTGCTCGTATCCTGTGTTGTCGATGAGAATGAAATCAACAAATGTGCGCTCAAATTAATGAATGGTATAGGCTTTCAGTCCGATCTCGATCGATTCGCCACTTGGTCAGAGGGATAGAAATACCGTCCGCCAGTTCTGAGCCGTTGAACAGACCCTCCCTTTGTAGGGTAAAAGGCTCAGATAATGTGAGCCTTTCATTTATATAGTAGTGTGAGGAGCTACCTGAGCAACGAAGACCAGCATTACTCATCAAGTTTGCTCATTTCTGTGTGTTGTTTCAAAAATACCCCTATATTTTGGTGGAATGAGCCAATTCTGGCGAAAATCATAGATGCTGTCGCCGCGGTACTTCGCCAGAAATACCATAAATGGGTTCAATGGAAAATCTGCGAAGTATTGGGTACTCACATTCTGTGAAATAACAAGAAAGATTAAGGACTGTCTCGACGATCAACCAGTGATTCTTTTCTTTTTTAGATTGCCTGACTCCGCAACAATACCATTATCTTCTTTCCCTGCGAAGATTGCCTTTATTGTTCAGGGATGAGGCCCCCGCGGGAGCTGTTATTGAAGTTAGGCTTGAATCACCTTGCAGATCAGCGCCTCAAAATGCCCAATCAAATTAACGCCAGGCTCCCTCGCATCCACCTAAGCACTATGGAATTTGACCTGTCAACCAGTTTATTTCTGCTCGAGGCGCAACAATCACAGAGCTATCGACATCGTGCATACAGTCGAGTTGACACCAGAGGCTCGACAATCCAATTATATAATGCCGATCAAGTATGCCCCCCATGGACTAATGTTTGGGTTGCACTAATTTCGCTTAAGCGATCCTTTTCCAGACACCGTGCATGCATTCATGGACGCCGCTCGAACTTGCGCAACGTCAGTAATTATCTGAATCATGGTGCCACAAGGAGCCTTATCGACACTCTGGTCTAGTGGGCAAAAAGGCTTCCAAGACAAACATAACGAATGCGACCGGCAATGAGAAAGAACCGCCTCTTCCATTGAGATCTACATTCCAAAGTCAACTGCCATCGATGTCGGTTGGCGCTTCGAGAGAGTCCCTTGCATGCACGTCCCCATTCTTCCTTGCTCACTAGCGAAAACTCCAGCCTAGCACTGGCATCTCACAGGCCAAGACGCATGACGCTACAGTCCTGAGACTGGTGGCCAGCATTACTACACACACTGGCTCGGACTTTGTCACTCTCACCGACTCGGCACAATAATCGCTCTCGTCGGCGCAGTAGCCCAGTCTGAGTAAATCTTTTTATTTCTAGACCTATTCGAGGAGCAGGTAGACAAGCCATGTGGCCCAGCCATTCTTATCACTGATGCTTTTCATCAGGTCAAAACATGCTCTCCATTTTTTCCTTGCTTTGGTCTTTCATACATGGCTAATTCGAGTGAGACTGCGTCGATAATTTGAAGCCTACTTAGTCGAGGCGCGGATTGCGCTGTCCAGCACAATGGGCGACGTGTCTCCCTCTCCACGAACGCTCTTCACAGAAGCTCTAATATTTTGGACAATTGGACTTGCTATTTTCATAGGAAGAATGTGAGTTTGAATTTGATAGAGCTCGAAGTTGAATTATGGCTGATTGCCGAAAAGTGCAGCTCGAATCATTGCCAATGGATCGATTAAACGTTTGTTTGGTATGGTCTCTTAACTCTCTGACCTGATAGCCGTCTGCTTACGAACATTTATCATCAGTGGATGATTATGTTATGACATTGACATTTGTGAGTTCAAATATGACAAAATCCCTCATTGTTCACGACTGATTGAGTCTTCGGTTTAGGCGATCTATACCACCCTTCTTATACTCATTCAAATCTCGGCCCGTTACGCAACAAACCTAATGGACCCGAAGGACTACTACGAAGTACTGATTGACCCCAAACAGGTCACTGACCGGATTTATGGGAGCAAAATTGTCATAGGGTTGGAGCAATGCATGCTATTTTCGACATGGGGGGTCAAAACATGCATGTTGATGCTTTACTGGCGAATCACTCGAAACTTGAAATCAAATCTGTACATCAAGATTCTTGCTGTTTACGTGGCTGTTGGATTTGTTGTCATTATGGTCACATATTATGCAGTATACTGCCGACCATTCTCACAATACTGGGCTATGCCCGTGCAGAATATGCAATGCGCTACATACGCACACTACTCGATAACGCAAGCGGTCTTCAACATTTCCTCCGATGCCGCGATGCTCGCTATTCCAATTCCGCTCCTTATCAAAGCTCAACTCAAACGCCGCAGAAAGATAGTCCTGATCGGCATCATGAGCCTAGGCTTGTTCACCATCATCGCTGCCATCCTGAACAAATATTTCAACTTTGCCGCTCCACTCACAACACAATACCAGCTTTGGTACATTCGCGAAGCCAGCACAGCAATTTACGTTGCAAATCTCATGTGCTGGTGGCCCCTTCTGCGCAAAGTTTTCGGTCTCAGGGCCTTCCAATATAACAGCAACCGAGGCCGGCGGCCTGGAAATCAAATCAACCAAAACAAAAATAGCAGTGGCGAGCACTCCAACAGCTCACAATCACGGCCTTCGCACACCTTCTCTCGCTCATGGAGAGCTCCTTTTCGTCGATATATTAAGGATGCACAGCCCAGTCTACATGGTGCCCCGCGATCAAGTATGGAAGCTATCAATCGGTCGGATAAACAGTTCATGAGCGATATGCATCGTGTCGAAGCTGTTTCATTGGAGACCTGGAATCAGAAGGACGAACTTGGGATTGAAAGCTCCGCAACGCAGGACTATCTAGATTCTTTTGATCATGATAATTCCCACGAGCTGCATCAGGAAATCATGCATTCCGAGGGCGAGTACAGTGCCCAAATAGACACCAAGCGACACACACGGTCGCCTTGTTGACAGAAGAATGCGTGTACGTCTTCGTGTCATTTTTTCTTCTGTAGATTTGTATACAACAGCCTTGTGGCTTTTAGGGATGTGGGGTTTGGGAGATTCTATCATACCCGGTGCTTTTATTCTATTGTTTCCCTTCATATTTCTATTCTCTTCAAATACATGTATAGCCTTCCAACAATGCAAGGTTAATGCCAAGTCAAAATTACAAATGCTATAGGCTAAATGCAATCTGTGTTGATCAGTCAAATCTCACTTAGGGTAGGTTAGCGCAATAGTGAATCGTTGCTTTGTCGATTACCCCAGCTTTCGCCCCGGATTTGCAACGGACCCATGGTTGATATTGGTCTTTGATTGTGACGGATTAGGCTGGTGAAGTTTTGAATACGAGTGATATTCTCAATAAACTGCACCTATGGTCTAGTGGTAAGATGCCTGTTTCCCATTTGATTATGACTCCAACAGGTGGCCCGGGTTCGAACCCCGGTGGGTGCATTTTGCATTTTTTTTTTTGTTTTTGGTCTATTAGGTATGTGGTATAGAGAGAGGCTACGTACGCTTCTGTACGTGTTGTTAGGTCGAGGGATGTATTCTATCGTTATGCTTTCGAAGTAAAATCTTCATTGTTGTGGCCTCTCGATACTGAATCTCACGGTTAAGTCGGCAAGACTCCGCATGAGCGCGCAATGTGGGGGAAAATGGTGTCATAGGCATTTTTCATCTCATCTTTTTCAAAGATTTCGCCTTGAACCGGATCCAAAAAAGAAAATAACCCGTGCCAAGACTCAAAGAAGCAATAACACAGTCTTGTAATTCCCCGGCATCGCACGACAGTTTCCCGAATCGGGATCTTTGTTGATGGGGTCTTCTCCGCATATCCAAGGCACGGGCCTACACCGTCATGAGAACAGGGAAGATGCTCAAAATCTTTCTGAATATGCCTCCGAATTGACTGTCGATAATTCAGAATTATCGAGCATCGATGGCGATAGCGATTTCGAGACTGAAGATACTGCAGTCTTCGAGGGTGACCCTCCGCCCTTACGGAGATTGGAGGCCGCTCCGCTGCTAACTTCAGCTGATGGAGATGATAGCGATCATGATCATGACGGCGTGCTTGAGGAGGCTGAGGATCAGAAAAAACCTGTAACCTGGAGCTCGCTGCCGCGGAAAGGTCAACTGGCAGTTTTGACTTTTGCGCGCTTATCGGAGCCCTTAACTCAGACTTCCTTACAAGCGTATATGTTCTATCAGCTGAAATCTTTTGATCCCTCGCTACCAGACTCCAAAATTTCAGCGCAGGCGGGTCTTCTTCAAGCTAGTCTGACCGCAGCGCAGTTTGTTACAGCTATGTGGTGGGGACGGCTTGCAGATGCTGAATGGATGGGTAGAAAAAGGGTGCTTCTGATCGGATTGATGGGAGCTTGTCTCTCATGTATCGGGTTTGGCTTTTCCCGTTCCTTTGCATCTGCCATGATCTTTCGAACACTGGGCGGAGTCCTGAACAGCAACGTTGGAGTGATGAGAACAATGGTGGCAGAAATCATTTCTGAGAAGAAGTAAGCTTTGTCATTCCTCCAAACTATAGCTATTCGTAAGGCTGACAATTTAGGTATCAATCCCGAGCATTTCTGCTTCTACCAATGTGCTTTAATGTCGGTGTGATCATTGGACCTATTCTAGGTGGCTCCTTGGCCGATCCAGTTCACAATTTTCCACAATTCTTTGGTCCGGGATCTTTTCTCGGAGGTAAAGAGGGGGTCTGGTGGATGCAGCGCTGGCCTTATGCCCTACCCAATGTTTTGAGCGCGATATTAATCTTCGCCTCGGTACTCGCGGTAATTTTTGGCCTTGATGAAGTAAGATCACATTCAGCCCTTTCACAGTGCACCATTTCTGACAAGAAATATAGACACATGAAATTGCACGTTATAAGAAGGACTGGGGTCGGAAACTCGGGAAGCGGCTCACAAGAGCTCTGACTCGGAAACCACGACATTACCGCCCCCTGACACGTTCGAGAGATGATGACTCCGTTTACCTAGACGGTAGCGTGGGGACCTGGTCTACGCCATCAAGCCCTGCCCGCTCACGCATGCCGGCCCGACCACACAAACGGCCAGGTTTCCGCCAGATCTGGACTCGCAACGTGCTTTTGACTCTGTTTGTTCATTTCTTGCTAGCTTTCCATACGAGTGCCTTCAACTCTATGTCGTTCGTGTTTTTGCCCGCACCCCGTGCCCCCGAGGGCTCTCGAGAGGGTCTCTTTCATTTTGGCGGTGGACTGGGTCTTCCATCATCGCGAGTTGGATTTGCTACTGCCATTATTGGCTTCATTGGCCTGCCGCTCCAAATTTTCGTGTATCCCCAGATACAAGCAAAACTCGGCACGCTCAAATCATTCCGCACGTTCCTGCCTTTCTCGCCTATCTCTTATATTCTGATGCCCTTTCTGGTCATCCTCCCGCGCATACCATGGATTGTCTGGCCGTCCTTCACCTTTGTTGTTAGTTTGCAGGTCATATCACGGACGTTCATTCTCCCTGCTGCCATAATCTTAGTGAATAACTGTGTCACAGATCCATCTGTTTTAGGCACGGTGCATGGGGTGGGGCAGAGTATTACGAGTGCGGCTCGGACATTGGGCCCACTCCTTGGAGGTTGGGGTCTTGGCCTGGGCCTTGAATATAATATGATTGGAGCTGTCTGGTGGGCACTGGCTGCTGAGTCTCTTGTTGGCTGGGCTATGCTGTGGAGTATACATGAGGGCAAGGGAATAGAACGAAAGAAAGACGAAGAGGAGGAATGATGGACTTTTTGATCTGAGTGATCGATGCATCGCACATATAAGTTTCACATGAGATTTAACTCAAATATCATGTCTTTGAAAGAGTTGTGGCTTTTAAAAGCAGAAGGAATCATTGTTATTTTGCTGAAGGGGAACTGCGTTAATTATATGGAGAGCTTTTTCATCCGTCAACTAGCGCTATTGTAGTGTTTTCCTGTCTTATTAAGCCTGCGATCATCGAATCATAAACCATAGAAGCGCATCTCCAGCTCTGTGAGTATTCTCGACATTACACCCGAATAGAGGGGGGTGCAATGAATGCTTTGATCGCCATCGTAACATCACCGTCATGCACTTTTAGTAAATCAGTAGCCTTCGCTTTGGTCAGATCTAGATGATCCACCTGTCGGATAAAATTAAGTTAGTGTTCATCAAAATATCACCAAGACTATAATCCTCACCAGCAAGGCAACATCAGCCGAAGCAACCTTAACCACCTTTCTCTTGGCCGCCTCTTGAGACTTCCTTGCAGCCACTCCATTATTATTCGAAGCTTGTCCAACAGCTATCTCAAGTCGGCTCATTGCTTTTCCCAGAGCTTCCTGGCTGGCAGTGTCCGGTGCCCTGCCGGAGGCACCCTCCGTTACGATCTCATTTGTTTTGAGAGAGGAGAGGGCGGCGGCCGCTTTGCGATCTTCGGCATTCGAGGGAAGGGGTTTCTCCACGTTATTTGGATCAGCTGCTGCGGATGGGATGGGATCAGACATATTTGCTTTGAAAGAAGCAATGCAGAGGGGAGGATTGTGTTTTTAGACGCCACGCCAATTTGGACAGTCGGTGACGTAATTGTTTGTTGGGTTGGGCGTTCAGGCAGAACTGAACGGGAAGTAAGTCAAAGAACCTCGATTTTGCTTTCTTTTGCTTGATCTTTTTTTACCCTTGACAGCTTGAAGCTGTCTACATGTCTTGGCTCAATAAACTGACCGGTTGATCGCATCTCCACTTGATGCTCCACACTTCCTTCCCTTTCCATTGTCAATGTACAGTGTGGCAACGCAAATAACCTGAATTTTAACAATAATATGTGGATAATTCAGCTTGAATATGATGAGTGGTGGATACTGCGATATCTCATGGAAAAATGGAAGAAGAATGATGATGGAATAAGTATCTAAGTGGTGGCCTCAAAGCTCATTTACATGAGCGTGGCGAGAGGGCAAACATGTTAGCAAACAGAGGTGCATAATGCATCAGGATATATATTGTGCATTGCCTCTAGAAGTACATCGTGGAACTCGATCCAAGTTGCACCAGCAATATATCCCTCATTGATGCTCCAAGGCCTTGATGAATGAAAAGGAATGGTCAGCCCTATAACGATTCTAGATGGTCGAATAGGGTGCATTGATGGAAATAGCTTACATGCTGTTTACTCTTGGTATTTTGTTGCTTTACTGGACTTTTTATTTTGCTTTCTTCTACATAAGTCACCTCTGTTCCGAGGTCTGAAACCGGAGAGATATTGACTGTTGTAAAGATTGAGCTTTATGCAATTGGGGATTTTGGTAGGACTCGCTCCCTCTGCTGGCGTCTACCTCATCATGGTTATGAATGGCGTAGGCATATTTGTCCGAACCTGTTATGGCTATCTCGCAGATCGCTATATCGGGCCTTTGAACTGTTTAATTTATATGGGTGATACTTTGCGTTATTATGATATATTGCTGGATAGAGTATACCATCTAACAGGGCTTTGTGTATCTGCTGTTTTTCATGGGATTGCGATCTCTTCAGTGATGTGCGTTTTTACGAGATGTCTATCTTCCTTGACAAAGGATCTAAGTAAGATCGGTACTCTTGTTGGCATTGTGCTTACATTGGTGATATTCAGTCCCTTAATTGAATCCGCAATTGCCGGCGCATTGGTTGCGCATGGAGGCTACGTTGCTGCGCAGGTGTGGGCTGGTAGGCTTTTTATTGGTGGAAACGATGGCTTTGATAGGTGCAAGACTTTTGGTATCGGGATGGAAATTGAATGTCAAAATATAAATCAGTAGCTAAATACCGAAGTTTTGTGTTTGTCACATATTGCTTTAGTTGTAAAGGAGCTCATTTAGAACAGGACACACTGATTACCACCTGAGCTACTTGATAAGAATTCAGGAAATATAAACAGCATGGACAATAGCCTTTGTGAGATAATGCTTTATTTGTCAGTCAACCTTTTCATAGTTTAGTTCACTAAGCCTTGGTTGTCGTTTTATTCTTGCTACAAACAATGCATTAGTGGTTTTGTAAGCCAAAACATAAGGATGAGAATAATCACATTCATTGTCGCTTCTTCACCGAAGCAGTCATCAAAAGACCACCCAGGTAATTGTGGAAAGACCTAAATAGCCTCGTTCCCTCGACTATTCGAGTTATTTTTTCCAATCAGATATCACTTAAGTCTTCGATATCATTTCCAAGCCACTTATAACCATTTTTTAAACATCCCTTATCTTTGTTCTCAGCAGAAAGTCCCACTTTAGGTCGACCTATCTCTATCTTTTCACAATGCCTCAAACCAGCATCCACCCCCAGTCAAATGCCGTGCCAATCTGGGAAACGGCATACCATGACGCATGGCACCATTATCAAACCATATTCGATGAGACGCTCGCGATATTGCACCAGGCTGATGCCTCCTTCAAAGAGCGCGATTTAGTTATCGGAAAACTAGGTCAGCTGACACTCCAAGTTCACAAGGCCCAAAAGGCAGGATTGACCATGTACAAAAAGGTTCCCGGCTGCAAGACAGTTTGTAATCACCCCGCTGATTACTTTACTTCTGGCTTCCCTCGACGCTGCCTGGGGCTTCTCCAGACCTTGCATCTTCTGACACAGGGATTGATGGGTAAATTACACAATCAAGACCGAATCCCTGATAACGTGTCTGTCTTGGACACACTGATGACCCTTTGGGGACCCCGGTTCCCGAAGACACGAGAGTTTCCTTTTATTTCTTCTATTCTCTTTTTCCTAGTCTTTAGTCAGACAATACAACTACAATGGCCTTTCTACGATTTTACTCTTACGATACCCTGACGTTATGTCTTAAATTGATAGATGTTTGAGGAGTGAATGATATATTATACCTGATCATGATTCTCAATTCTAAGGCTCATTCCCAAACGAGGAATCTGAACGTGATGTGCAGCCCTTTTTCAACCACCCGCTTCCCTAATCTTACATATTCCACAGAGAAAAGATGCCGGATTTTCGAACTATGATCACTGGGTCCCACAAAGAAGAGTATTAAAGACAGCCTACAAAGCTTTTGCTAGCTTTTTATAGATATAAATCATATCATCATACTTTAAGACCCACAACCTCCAGACTACCATTTCTATATGGTTGATAGATGGTTGACAAGTTTTTATATCATACCTGATTCTAATGCTCGGTTCTGGGGCTCCATCCAATTTCCAAATGAACGTGAACGTTGACCAAAGCGTTTCTCCTGCGGCAATCTTCGCTTGCTCCATGGTCTGCTTTTACTTACGCCGTCTTTATATCTCCATTCAGAATGCGCTGATCAGATGTCTGATGCAACACGCGGTCTAAAAATTCTCGGTCTTTACTACAACAGATATCACGAGGTTGAATGAGAACCGATGACTTTATCATACGGCTTACTGGATTCGGCGAATGATTGAGGTGATGATATGGCATTCCAAGGGACAGATGACCCCCGTGTACAAGGTTGTGTGGTATTACGGGAGTAGGGCGTGGGTTGACGATATGCGACAAGTGAGAGTAGCGAAGGCTCTGAAGTCGGTCGGTGGAGTTTCGTTCATGATCCTGGAGTCTTTTGCTAATGATTTATTCTAGCTAGTTGAAGTTGCGACTTACGCAGCTTGGTCAGGAAACCATAAGCTGGAGCTCGATCAGCCTCTATTCAGTCTTGTCAGTTGTTCCCTCTACGTAAGGCACATTTTGTAAAACCCACTTACGCTGTTGACTTTAGACGGACACTATGTTTTACTTCTCGGTCGATCAGCCTAAAATTAATAGAAATAAACCAGAGCTCTAGAAGCAGCCCATCAAAATAACGAAATATACGTTGGGTTATCAAATTAAAAATCGAAACTATTATTATATCCACTGACAGATCATATATTCAAGCATCTCAAAATTCCAAATAGGAAGTCCAAGATAAAAGAAGCACCCGTATTACTCTACAGGGCAAGGGCAAGGGCCAGAATACCGGCAGCACCGGCAACACCCATAGCGACACCACCAGTAGGGGCGGGGGCACCGCCAGTAGACTGGGAAGAAGAGGGCGAAGCGGAGGCAGAGCTGGAAGAAGCTTCGGAGCTGGATTCCGAGGTAGAAGAGGAAGTCTCAGTGGAGGTCTGTGTGGCAGTGGCAGTGGTGCTGGCACCGGTGGTTGCGCTGCTGGAGCCGCGGCTGAAACCGCTGCTAGAGCCAGTTTCAACGGCAGTGTTGGAGCCAGTCTCACTGGCAGTGCTGCCGGCAGAGTCGGTCTGAGTGGCGCTGCTGTCAAGGGTTGACGAGGCGCCAAGGACTTCCTCATCAAAGTTGGAGGTGGCCCAGGCCTTCACGCTGCTAGGCAAGGAGTTGTACCAAGCAGGGTAGGTACCGGCGGCAGCGGCACTAACAATGGAGTCGCGGGAGGAAGGATCCATGATGTCGCTGTACCATGAGTCTGGGATGGCAGTTGCCAGGACGGTCAGGATGGAGGAAGGAATATCGGCGAGATCGTAAGAATCATCGCTATAGGAGGAATCATAGATATCGGAGTAGTCCGAGTAATCAGAAGTGGAATCTGCGGCAGGGGCAGCCAGAGCCGTAGCGGCGAAGGCAAGAGCAGCGAAAGTCTTGTACTGCATTTTGAATATGTAAATTGGTATGAACAGTGATCTGGATAGGGAAAACAAAAACAAGGGGTAAGCTAGAATAAATAGTTCAGCCCAAAGCCTGGATTAGAAAGGGCAATGGGGCTCTTCAGGGTCCGGACCCATGTTAGCCTCAAACAGACAAAACCCAAAATGGCTCTGTATTTAGGTAGTCTATACCACTTAGCGTAGAATTAGGCCGGTAGGCCAAGTTATGTTCGGTTAGCCCCGAGACATGGCCAATCAGTCTCGGCGGGTCCTCCCTTAGGGCTTATATAGTCGGCCCGATCTAACCATGTTTCCTCGCTAGGCGCGCACTCCGATGGGAGCTAACTCCGCCACGTTCGACACGAGCGCCATGGCTCGCATTTATCTTGTTTTCCCTTCAGCAATAATACCTACCAAGCCCCTTTTTCATTCCCCGTGGTCCGACTTTTTTTTCCAAATTTAGAAGGGTTGCCTTCTGATGCCAAGTCCGGGGTACTAGTGTGGAAATCTTGCTTTGAGCCCCTAAATTTCAAAATGAAAATCGGGTTAAAAATTCTGATATTGCCATGGCCTTCAAACTTTAATATCACTGGGTCCTATTTAATAGCCTCTTGGCATTACTCTTGCCAATGCGAACAGCCCTACTTCGTAGTCTGCGGTGATAGTCTACGCCTGCCCTTTACTATCCCCGTGCGTGTTTCTATTTTCATATTATTTTGGTCAGAGCTTGCAATGAATAGCAGACCGATGGGTTGCAATTGGATGTCGCGGGCAAAAAGACATAGATCATCAAAACCAAAAGCACACGAGGTTGTCCCAAGCCTCCTCTGCATCATCAGATGGTGTGTAGAGGCTCGTAGCATAAAGGGTCTTAAGATTTTCCGTGGCAACTTCCTTAACCTTTAAGCTTTCCTCGTGGTTGCCTTGGTATTCCAGGATCTGGGATATGCGCTAACAAACTCTGGCTGATTAACCTTGATCCCCCTTTTGGGCTCCGTAGTATCAGAACACAACACCGCCCAATCTTCGTTATTCCTTGCAACTTTGTTTCGAAAACTTGTCGTACCATTCAGCAAGGGCTTAAACATACGTAATTGGCCTCTGGAATACGCCAGATCGAGATCGCAAGTGTCGCCCATAAAATTGAGAGGGGGACCTCTGCCGGATGATGAATTACTTGCTTAAATGCTTAATGTGAACCTTGAAATGAGAGTCGTGCCGTGTAGGCCTCCTATATCAAGCGGTGAATGGACATTAAACCTAAGTCAGGGTTCAGACCAATCAAATCTAGGTGCAGCAACTCAAGCCTTGCTTCTTCAAATCTGTTTTTGCGCCGTCAAAGCAGGTCTATTTAAGTAAAATGGAGCTATTACAAAGGCAGGGAGACTGCGTTCCTGTCGGTATCCGGCAATTCACCAGAATCAACCTTGAGATGCAACTCCCGAAGGGACTTTGCGAGAAGCACTTGATTGTTTTCAGATTTTGTGATTTCCTCTGTCTCAGCTCGCTCTTCGAGAGCTTTCATCCTTTAATTCAGGTTGTTTATTGAGTCGTTTATCAGGTGTTCTTGACTATTTCCCTGGTTCTACAATAAGACAAGCAGCGAACTCCTTTTGGTCCTCTGGTAAAACAAAACACCCCTTTTATATGCCCTGCAATTTTAGCTGGCCATACAATGTGATGTGACGTGATCTGACGTGGCACCAACAGTTGACGTGGCATATCAAGTCCTCGGAGCTTGATGCACCTAGTCAGCCTTGCTATGCTCCACATGTAGTTCAGAATTGACAACATACTTTTCTTGTTGGCATAATGGGTAGTCCTTCTTATTCCAGGATTATGTCCCGCGAAAGATCACACGAAAGAGAATGGCCTTCGCAGAATCCGGTCACATCTTAGCGCGGAAGAACAGGGACAGTTTCAAGATTCTGGACAGGGTATGGATAAATCTATCACTGAAATTCTATTTTTATTTTCATCGATAGATCTTTCCTCTTTCAAGTGATGAAAAGTGACTTGAAATATTCGCTAACTCGTCGCCGTCCGCATCTGGAGACCGATGCAGCGTCTAAAATTTGACTTTACTGCTTAGCATCATTACTATCATCTCAGCATCTTTTTTATGGTCTTTAAAATCTATTCTTGTTCGAGATCTATCCTAGCTTGCTGAACTATAACATGATTTGGCCCCTAGAGGCGCTTCGTCAAATGAACGTACTGGTACTGAGTAGTCTACAATTAGCCAAAATACAAGACTCCAGCTCACTCAGCCAATTCTGCTATACCTGGTCTTGCCACGGGCCGACTGAGACATTCAAATTCTCCTAGATGCTGGAACTATCCACTTCCAAAACCTTACTTAGGTAGACAGATTCAACATTTGCAGAATTGACGCTCCGCGAAACAAAGAAACCGACAGACTTCCCGATACGAACATTTTCATCGCTGGGCCTTTAATCATGGATCCTTGAATATTCAGGGCATGACTATCTGTAAAAAATCAAAGCAGATCTGAAGTATTCTACAGCCAAACACAAAATATCCGTTCTGAGAGCATTCTAGATCCACAGCCTTTCAAAATTATTCCGGGTACCAATTAATAAATGGCCCACAACATTTGACACCCGGAACCACATGCATGTATGTAGTACGTAAAATCCAATTTATAGTGATCGTAATTGGATTTATCCCTAAATGATTTCCATGTTATGACTCTTAGACACCTGATAATTCAGGATACAATTCATGCCTTAGAAATGAGACATCACAGTGAGTCATCACCATTTTCCGCGAATAAGCGCATCACGTTACAAAGTTGGAAGGGTTGCCTTTTTTTTGTTTTAAGGTTGTGCCTTTTTATATCTTTTCTGTTCAACTTTTGTTTATCGGTTAACGGATACCTCTACCATATTTTTTATTCGGTTTGAAGTGCATTAAGACTATTGCCCTTGATTCTGTCCAACATTGTTGATCACAGCTTACCCCATAATTACCCCCACCTTGCGGCACATCACTATGGCGGAATGGAGCCCGAGCTGTAAGAGCTGGACAATCCTTTTCTTTGGATTGTTGATTGAAACTGACTGTTGATAGCTTGGACACACAAGCCCATCAAGCAAGATGTGATCTATGAAGATCAACAAGGGCTGAAGGACTCCCTTCAAAAATTGCAGACGCTGCCTCCTCTTGTTACAACACAAGAGGTATGTGATCTGCATAGGATCAAAGACCTTGTCATGTTCTAACTGCTTTTCAAGATCAACAACCTCAAGAATAATCTACGCAATGTCGCTTTAGGCAAAGCATTTGTTCTGCAGGGTGGTATGTTGCACAAAAAGATCACCATCTAACATCATATTAATTTGTCTTCAGGCGATTGTGCAGAGCTCTTTGACTACTGCAACCAGGAAATGATCGAAGCCAAGGTCAAGCTGCTGTTGCAAATGAGTTTAGTTCTTATTTGGGGTATGTCGGCCCATCAAAAGCATATAGAATCCAACTAACTCTTACAGGCGCCAACAAGCCCGTCATCCGTATTGCTCGGATTGCAGGCCAATTCGCCAAGTGTGTAACCTGCCTCTAAAATCTCATCAATGCAAAACTAACCCCAAATCAGACCACGCTCAAGTCCAACAGAAGTGATCAATGGAGTCGAAATGCCCTCCTTCCGAGGTGACAACATCAACGGCTTCGCTGCAGACCCACAAAGCCGCCAACCAGACCCATCCCGTCTAGTCTCGGCCTACTTCCACTCCGCAGCAACCCTCAACTATCTCCGCGCCTCCCTCTCCTCAGGCCTAGCAGATCTCCACTCCCCCCTAGACTGGGGCCTTGGCCATGTAATCACACCCTCAATCAAAGAGCAATACACCAAAACCGTAAGCGCAGTCAAAGACGCCCTCCGCTTCATGCGCACAGTCGGAATCGACAAAGACCGCGGTGTTGAAACAGCAGACATCTTCATCAGCCACGAAGGCCTCTCCCTGGAATACGAACAGAGCCTCACCCGCCTCCTCCGCCACCCCGCTTATCCCGGCGCCAGCACGCAGCCGGAAACAGGCTACTACGCGACGTCTGGCCATTTCCTCTGGATCGGGGACCGGACGCGCCAGCTCGATGGCGCGCACGTCGAGTTCTTCCGCGGGATCGCGAACCCCGTCGGTATCAAGATCGGGCCTAGCATGGCGCCGGATGAGCTGGTGCAGTTGTTGAATGTCGTGAATCCGGACCGCGAGGTCGGGAAAGTGACGCTCATTTCGCGTTACGGTGCTGCGAAAATCGCGGATTTCTTGCCAGGGCATATTGCTGCTGTGCAGGCTTCGGGTCATCTTCCTGTTTGGCAGTGTGACCCCATGCACGGTAACACGCAGAGTACGCCGTCTGGGGTGAAGACGCGCCATTTCACGGATATTCTGTCCGAGTTGAAGCAGGCGTTGGAGATTCATCGTGCTGCTGGGTCTTTCCTTGGTGGTATGCATCTTGAGCTTACTGGGGAGGCTGTCACAGAATGTGTGGGTGGCGCAGGTGGGTTGACGGCGGATGGGCTTGGGGAACGGTATACGACATTCTGCGACCCGCGGCTGAATGAGAAGCAGGCTTTGGAGTTGGCTTTCCTGGTTGCTGGGTTCTACCGGGAGGAATCCAATGAGTGACTGAATATCAGTCCGTAAGTTGGGGCTGAGTGTTAAATTGATGTATGAGTCTATCAAGGTCATGATGGTATAGTCCATTGCAAAAGCGACATGTTTTCGGTATTTTCTTAAATAATTGAATCATTTATCGAGTGCTCCTGGTCGCAGTAAATCTTGTACGGAGGGATATCAATGATTGATTGATTCAGTTAAGTATGTGAAGCAATAATTGCGACTATTGTTTCACACAGTCCAGCCTGGAAAGAATCGACTATCATGAACGAAAGGATTGGAAATGACATGCCCTTATTTACAACAACTATGTGGGTATTGACAAAACAAAACGCAGGAGACACATGCATAAATCAACGAACAAGATGGCTGCCAACAGCCGGCTTGTAAACAAGGCTCTTGCGGCGAGCAGCCTCCATACGGAAGCGACGTTGGCGCCTAGATTCCTCATCATCGCCATCATCCTGCAAAAGGCTTGAGGGTTTGGCACCGGGGAAGAGGCCTCGGTTGCTCTGCTTTGGTGGACACGACTGCTGGACAAGTCTAGAGCGGTTACCAAGGAAGGCAGGTGTAGCAGGCGACATGCCAATGGCATCAAGATTGGCGAAGTTATATCCTGGGGTAGCAGGGAATTGGTATTTATCAGCAGAGGATTGTTGTGGGGGTGTAGATGGCGCCTCTTGCTGATAAGCTGGAGGGGTAATCTTGCGGAACCCGTCAACGGCACCTTGGCCGGCACCACTGCGACGCCCGCTGCCAGAGGGTGCGGGAGATCCTGATGCACGAACTAGGGTGCCGTTGATATTGCTAAGCGCACGGGGCTCCATGCTCTTGCGGCGCTTGGCACCTCCGCGCGGGATAATAGAGCTGTCGACTGCGTAGGGGGTTTCATCGAGCCATTGACTTTCCCGTTCACAGCTGGAGATACCGTCAGTATGGAACATATTTACGTGAAGGGGTGTTTTACTTACTCAAGAACCCAACCGACCCCAACACATTTAACGAGGCCTGCCGCCTTCTTGACTTTTTCCAAAGTCCGCAAACCACCATCCTTGTACACAACATGAGTGATACCAACACGTGAGTCTTTGGGCCCTGCGCCATCCGCCGGCGAGAGACCTGAGCTTGGGTTCCAAGACCAGGACTTTACACATCGAGCTCCCATTTGTTGTAAGAGCTCAACAAAGATGCCCGAGGCATCTTCGCCTTCGGTGGTATGAACATCCACGTGCACGATTGCACCGTGTAGAGCTTTTTGTTCAGAGCTTATGCTTCTCCGAGCCTTCTTAGATGGGCTAGCGGCTGCACTAGAGGCAGCAGGCGGAGCTATTACCGGCCGCCCGCTGCTGCGTCTAGCCGCGATCGACCGACGTTTTGGCGTCGGGCTTCCGCTTGTGTGCGAGGTCCTTCGGGACGGAGCCAGGACTGGTGCACTGTCATTGAGGGCCATGACGGTGGGTTTTCGAACACGCGGAGAAGAACGTGTGGGGGACGTTGCTGAGAGAGAAAGGCCTCTCTTGCGAGACAACTTGAGAGGGGACACTTCACCTTCCGCCTTCAATGGTACTTTTGATACAGTGTGGACGGTTCGCAGGTCTTCAAGGTGAGGGCGTGACTTCATTGGTGTCACTGGGAGGTTTGCAGGGCCGCAGTTTTCCTTGTCATCGGATTCTTGGTCCCATGAAGCTTCGGCAGGAGGAATATGGGCGTCGGCGGTGCTCCGGTGGTTTTCTTGCAGTTCAGTTGACTCTGGGTCTGGATCCTCGAATATATTCGTGCTCTTTCTAGGCGAGGCAATGGTCGGTGTATGTTCAAAGACTGCCGGTAACCGTGGAGTTTGATCGCGTGCGGGGCTCATGATGGTACCATCACTCTGAGGCGGAAGGGGTAGTTCAGCACATAGAGAGGGTGTGTTCGCGAGGGGGCTTTTCGGCAAATCCGGATATGACACAACGCTAGATTTAGCAGGCGTTGCTGCAGGCGATTCGACAGCGGTACGATCCAATGGGCCGACCAACGAGAAGACTCCACGGCGACGGGGTCGAAGTGATCTAGCCTGGGAAGGAGTGTTTTGTTCCCAACGATCGAAGCTTTGTGCCAAAGGCGTGAAGCCCAAGCCGACCTCTACTGGGGGTTGGTGATGGTCCGCAACTCTTGGTGTGTTGAAGAGGCTCCGTGCAATGGAGGCAGGAGTAGGAGCCTGGGTGCTTGGTGTATAGCTGATTTCTTCTTCCCGGGGCGCGTGGAGGTGAACATCACTGGCATTCCAGGCATTAGGAGTGGAGTCATGGCCATTCTCTGTGTTGTCTGGGCGATTTGTGGGGACAGGAGTAGTTTCCCCGAGCGGAGAACTCGGGGTCGGAGACGAAATAGTTTGCACCCTCTGTGGGCTCGCATTAACGTCCAACTCGTTATTCTCACGGGAGGAAATAGGCTCAATGTCAGTCGTATCAGTCATGACTTGATCATCCGCCTCTTCTTCGGTGTCCAACTTTTCGATCTCAAGGGGGTTCACTGGTTCAGGGCTTGCTTCTGGCGAGATGAATCCATTATCGAAACGGTGGATGTGTTCCTCATCTGCTCCGAGATGCTCTTCTTCAGCAAACACTGTGCTATCAATGTCGGAATCTACGAACTGCGTAATCTGGTTACGCAGATCATATTCTGCGAGATATTCGTCTTCCATGGTGTCAAAGCAAAGAGTCACGGCTTCCTCGTCTTCAAATTGGGCCTCGTCTTGAGTAGTGTCGCTGTCCTCGGAGCCGGATGCGTCGCGGAGTTCTGGGTAATGCGAATCGTATGTTGCCATTTCCGCATCTTCCAAAGCATCGAAGCAAATCGTTTCAGCCTCTTCATATTCGAAATGAGTTTCGTCTTCAAGATGTTCGTTGTGTTCGTAGTCAGAGTCTTCCTGGGCCTCCTGGTCGTAGAGCTCTTGATCGTAAAGCTTTTCTGGTGCAAGGTTGGCCTCTTCCATTGCGTCGAAGCAGATGGTTTCAGGCTCTTCGTATTCGAATTGAGCCTCGTCTTCCACATGTTCGTCGTGTTCATATTCAGAGTCTTCATGAGCCTCTTGGTCGTAGAGCTCTCTTGGTGCAAGGTTGGCCTCTTCCATTGCGTCGAAGCAGATGGTTTCAGGCTCTTCGTATTCAAATGGAGCCTCGTCTATGGGGTCTGCAACTTCTACCTCTTCAAATCCTGACTCTTCCCCACGGTCCATGTCTGCAGACACATGATCCACAGGCTCATCGTTCTCTGGTTCGGGTTCACCAGTGTCCCTGTGAGTAGGAGAGGGCGATGGGGTTCTGACATCGGCAGATGGCTCTATCTCACTATCAATGTCAAAGATGTCTAGAGCTACATCTTCGGTCACGTCGGAGTCCTTATCAGAGGCAATGTCATCATACTGTTCTTGCCTTGGCGATGATGTCGGAGTTGTGGTTTGCTCGGGTTCCTTTAACTTTGTAGGGGTTCCGTCGCTGTCAATAACCTGAGACTGGCGCGCCTGAGTGGAAAATATCGAGTTTTTGAATGGAGAAGCTATTCTCTTTGCAGGACTCTGAAACAAGGGAGTCCGTGTAGGGGCTGTGGGAGCGGATGTCTTCAAGGCTGACTGCGAGAAAGAAGCTCCAAGGTGGCCTCTCTTTGGGGACATCTTGAGAGGGGAAGCAAATCCAGGAGTGAAGTCAGGCGCAGAGGTAGGATTCACACTATCCATGAAAAGGGGCCCTCCGCGGTTCGGGTTTTCTCTCAGGCTGAATTTGAAAGGAGACGATGTCGGAGCTCGTCTGGCAGGGCTAGACATAATCGCAGACTCACTGAAGTTGATAGAATGCCCAGGTGGAAGAGCGAGATGGCCATTGTCTGCGACTGGGTTCTGGCTGCGGTTTGGTGTAAAGTTGATTTTTCTGACCGGAGAGCTAAGGCCAGTTCCTTCTGATCCGTGTTTGGGGGTGGGTAGTTTTGGCTCGCCATTCTCGTCGACAAAGCTGTTCGTCTTCTTCGGGGTAAAGTTGATTCTTCGAACAGGGGAGCTCAATCCGGTATTCCCCAAGTCACGCTTGACAGGCGAGTGAACAACCAGCTTCATCGGACTTTTGATGCCGGCCTTAATGGTGTTGAGCTCATCCTCCTCGTCGGAGCTTGCATAAGCGGACAAAGATTTGGCCACTTGCTTGGCCTTCTTGGGAGACAACGGTTTTGTTGCAGCCTTCTTTGTTGCGGCTGGCTTTCGTCCACGGGTCCCAGCTGCTGCAGACTTACGGACCGGGGTCGCACCAAGGCCGGACTTTGCAGCTCCCGCCCCCTTGGGCGCTACCCGTCTGCGACCGGCGGCAGGTGCCTCAGGGACACTTGATTCATCTCCTTCGGATTCGGATGCATCTTGGAATGTGACTGTCTTTTTCTTAGCGGGTCCGCGCAGAAGGTTTGATCGCATGGCAGTGGAGCCTGTTGCCACTTTGATGTGATTCGCTTTCGTTTCATTCGCGACTTCGGCCGCCATCCGTGTTCTCCTGGCTGGAACTGGAGCAAGGGCCGGGGCCTTGGGCGTTGTTCCAGCTCTTGGTCGTCCCCTAGTTTTAGGTGCAGTTGCTTCCTCCGGGAGAGGGTTTTTCCTCGGTCTTCCAACCCGCTTCTTCGTTCCCTCCGCTTGTTGTCCTGGTGCAGTTTCTGTGTTTGCGGTTTCGGCCTTGATCTGGTTGGCGATAGGCTCAGTAGTAGCTTTCTTGTTACGTGTAGTGGTTGTCGATGTCGTCTTGGTAGCCGGGCGGCTAGGAGGACGGCCGCGAGGTTTCGCAGCTTTTGTTGTAATGAAACCCAGCTCATCGTCCGTGTCATCCGAGTCGACATTAGTAGTGGGCGCGGTCCTGGTTGCTGGTGTCGCCTTGCGAGGGGGTTTCCTCTTCGCGTCGGCGGCGGCTGTGGACTGAGTGGAAGTTCTTCCCGCCCGCTTTGCGGGGGATTGAGGGATCACTGCGGCGCGCGCCATGTTGATATTGCGCGTTGCTTGTTGTGGGTGGTCGCAATTAATGACACGCGACGCTCATGTCGCTTTCGAAGGGTCGAACGGTGATATCGGCCCGGGTGTCGCAGGATTGCCGTGTCCAATTAGTTGCATGAAAGAAGAAGTAAGGCGAAGCAAATAATCCACTGTGGAGGCGTCAGTCGATCCGAGGTGCTTGTTGTGGCGTTGTTTCCATAGCAACATAGCACGTGATCTGATCTACTTCTTCACAACAATGTTTAGAATGAAACAACTATTGATTGTGACAGAATATACTTCATGAGTTATATCAGTAGGATAATGTACGATTAATTCACTGATATCGAATAGACTGAATACCTACTTACCAAGGTAGCCAAATATCCAACCAAAATCTTGTGGGCACCAAACTATATATTTTGTCAGCTTCTTGGATCAGGACAACTGCTTGCGAGCTTTCTTGAGCTGCATAAAGTTCAATATTGTTTTCCATTGTATTCATGAACAATCAAAATTAACTTTTATACTATTGATTTACATGAGTATGTCAAGGATAAAATTTAGTACTACACATTATACCCGGAAGATATGCCCTAGGATCGAAGATTGAACGCGCCTTGAATTGTAGTGTTTCTGTCTTAGGGCTGTCTTGTCTCGGAATTCCATTCAATGGATACATGGCTCCCAGCCCCGACTACCCTAGGTAGCCTAAATGAATCTTACTACCTAGGTAGAAATCGTTTAGCTTTACAACACTACCTTAGTAGTAAACCATTGACCAATGCAGCCTCAGTTTACTTCATGCTCGGCCAATTTTCCCCTTTCTATTCAACATAATTGAGCCAGATGACTTTCTGCAGGAACACTATATCTCAGACAATCCAATCCCCAATACATGCGACTGTGGCTGTTGTAGCATAAGACTGCCAACTCACCACTGCGTCGGTGTAATGGGCAGGATACTCGTACTTGCCTACAAAGGGAAACTGGTCCTACACTTTTGTATTAGTGTCCACACAGTATCGTTAGGCCTAATTTGAGGTAATGAAAATGATGGGAGAATTTAGCGCATTTGGTAATGTAAGCCGAGTCATGAAAATCTGCATCGCCCAAATCCATTCTCGCCTGAATATCCGATAACTATCTTTTACAAGGCTAGTCAAGGATCGAGGGCTGCCATGTTAGATTATTTGATCTGCGAACCGCTCTGCTAAGCTTAAGCGAAGATTTAGCCAAGTGTGTTCATATTTCCTATCTATCATGCAGCTAATGTTCGATCTAGAAGGTTTCCACCAATAGTTCACCTTCAAGGTCGACTAGTAGTATGCAGTCTAATATAATATATCACCTGCGCAGGTCCCCCAGGGAACTTCACGTGCACATCAGGCTTCGAGTCTGACATGCATACATGCACACTGCAGTGTTACATTTTGTTGATTCAAGCACAATGAGTGGGGTATTTTCAAAGATGTTCTACATTGATAAGCCTTTAGCTTGCTCGAAGATACTTCGCTAACAAAATATACACACAAGTTTGTCATATGTATCACTACACCTCTGGCAGAAAGCATCACCAACTCGAGCCACGACACAACCATTGATTCTAGGAAGCCTGGGAACTTGTGTATAAGCACTAAAGCCCTCGATGTAAGTTGAGTAAAGCGTAGTAGTATCCCTTTCAGTTTTCCGACGCACACAAAGCGAAAATAATACGTTGAGAGTCCGTACCAGGTCTTACACTGCCAAAATAAGCCACATATGCATCCCGAGTCTAGCCTTAGCAATCGCCGTCTGAGGCTGACCAAAATCATTCGGCTCACGGTTTTGCATGATTCTCTCATGTGGGTCAGTGTCTGTGAGATGCTGGAACGTTCATTGAAACAGCCATCGGAAGGATTGGCGCACAGCGCCATGAGACAAGGAGTAAGAGGGATTTAATACAACGGTGGCTTTCTCAGTGTCCGCAATTTTCCAAGGCAGACCACAAACCTCATTAAAAAGCCTGTCGACGAGATTCCTATCTGCAAATCTGGTGAACTCTGACCCAAATATCGCGAGACTCTCAGCTTGGACATAGGACCTGACTTTTTCGAGGGCAGGCCTTTTCTCTGGTAATGCTATGTCTCCATCGGGGATAATACTTGCCTTGGGCGTGTTACATTTGAGTTAGCGGACGGTACTGTCGAGAGTTATCAATCGATCGAGGTGGACTGAATTGCTGAGTGCAGTGATAAGACAACAGTACATGTCCTCGAAGGATGGATCGCTGCTGAAGCTGACAAGAAGGATTTCCGCGCGATTGGCCATGGCGGATATTATGTATTGTTGACCGAAAAGCAAAATGGACAGAGTGCCCTGGATGATGACTGACCGAAGCAGGATTGGAAGAAGGAATATTGTATATAGTTGCGGGCCAACAACGCTGTTTGACAAATAGCCAGGAGAGACTCTAAGCTGCCAAATTCGAGAAGAACAGACTGAAACTACCAGCAAATCAGCCATCGTAAGACTGTTGATCTACAGATGGTATGCAACAAGCCCGATATACTGACGTTTCAAACTGAAGATGCATGCACATAAATTGACCTTGGCCATATTATAATATTTCTGTAAAGCGAAATGACTGGACGAGAAGATCCATTGGCCCTGTGATGTTATTGGAGAAGTATGCAGCAAGAAAAGATTACAAGCATTGAGACTTTCACGGAGAATACCCCGCTAGCTCCCGCACCTGCATTATGTGTGCCCGAGGGTAATAAGAGTCTAACCGTGCATATGGAGCCTGGGGGGATTTAGCCCTTGATGTGGATGGACTTTGTGGTGGCATTATTATCATGCTGCCCCACGGCCGTAAGACCCAAGTGGTTAGCCGTTCCCTTGATATTTATTTGGTTTTGATCGAGTATGAGGATGTCTATTGGACTAAGATACTCATAGCTATGTGGAAAAAATGGAAATATTCATTTCGGAGGAAATTCTAGGTCACAGTGTGAGCTTCAACATGTTTTATGTTGAATTGAAAAGTCGCAAAATGTATATTACCATCTGCCACATTGGTTTGGCTGAAGCCACAAACATCTAGCCCAGTCAATAGTGGGAATTATTCCCGACAGCAAACACCCTCAATTTCCTATTTTCCTGCGGACGATGTAGTGAGAAATTAGTGCAAGATACTGCCCCATTGTTCTAGGCGAGGCCGACAATATAACACTAACCTACAAACATATAAATGAGTCTTCAAGACCCCCTCCAAATCTACCATCAACTACCTCAAGTTGCTCCAGCCCTTCATTCAACCCATTGTTCCCAAAACACTCCAATCTGACAAGATGAAGCTCTCTCTTCTGCTGAGTGCCACTGCCCTGGCTCTTGCCAACCATGCCAGCGCATTCTACGGCCAGATGGCTGCATCTGACTACTCAGCCAACGAGGGTGGGGTGTACCAGATCATCTATCTCACCGACTACAGTACCGGGTCTACGTACTCGGGCACTCTGTACGGAGGATTCAACTCCTGCACCAGTACAGAATGTTCTATCAGGTAAGTCCATGGGATCGTTACCCTCAATGTACATGGAATGAAAGCTGAACAATTACTTAAGCTTCCATGAAACGAGCGTTGGAACCTACAGCTTCACTTCGCTCATGTGGAGGACCAGTGATGGTTGCCATAACATTGATTTCAAGGGTGCATTCGACGCTGGTCATGGGTACTGCTGTGGATCACTGCCTTGCAACTTCTCTGCTTAAAGTCATAATAGGCAGATTGATTGTATATACTTAGGTCTTTTGATACAGGTCGAACAAAGCTAATTTTAAAAAAAGCCGAGGGGGAACCGAGCCGTATCTGCCTGCAGCACCTTTGTGTAGGTGATATCGTTCTGATGGGAATAACTAGTAGTCGAAGTCGGTACTAACGTGTTATTAATTAAATTTATTGATTCGGAGTGTCTAACTTTACCGAAATCTAGATTAAATGCATAATTTGACAAACAGCATAGATGTAGACTGGGCATTTGTTCTGGGGTTTCTGTTTCTCTCCCCTTAAAGTCGCCGGGGGTTGTCATGCTATAGAGAAGTTGGAACTTTTGCGTGGTGTCGTGAACGCAGGTTTGATAAAGCATGGACATATCTGCATTAAGCTTTGCATGGAATATAACTCAATTTAGAGAAAATTTAAGTACATGGTAGGATGACAAAAAATGACGATGACAGCTTGTTAGCTTATCGACCTAGTTTGAAGAAGGTAGGTGGCACGGGGTGTCTATATCTAGTTCGAAAAAGCTGAAATAAAGGACACATGATATCCGTTTATGCTAAGGCGAAAAGTGCCATGCTAGCGGTAACAACCGTCGACACTATGGTGGGCACCATCACCGAAGCAGAACTATCAGCCAAGTATTCTGTCGGGTCATAGTTTGCCGGTGCTGTGGAGTTGACAGTGCCGTTCCAGCAGTACCGGTCAAAGCATGTGTTGCAGATATCTGGAAGCGTGGTGTTTGTGCGCTCGAATGAGCGGCTGAGGATGGCGCAGCCAACACATGCTGTCCAGTTGCCGTCCAGAGTGCTGTTGGCCATAGTGGCGACCTCATATCCGTTGAGAATGATATTATCACGCTGAGTGTCGTCGGTGCTCAACTGGAAGGTTGAGACGTTGGAGTTGTATGAGTAAGGAGCGTTGGGCACATAAACGACCAGAGGCGCTGGGCCACTCATGTTGGAGCTGTCACATCCAAAGAAAGTGGGGCGAGTGTTGAGGCCAAGGTTAATGAAGGTGTTCTGGTCTGGGACCGCAGGGAAGACAGTGCCGTTGCCGATACCAGAGCTGTTCAAGCTGCGCTCGTAGGTAGCCACAAGGGATGTGCCGTTCGGCCAGTAGTAATCGGTGTCAGCGGAGGAATCGACGGCGAAGATAACATCGACATGGCGCTCGGGTTGGATAAGAGGGTGCAGGGGGACGTTCTGTCCATCCTCACCGCCGTCAACGACATCCAGCATAGTCTGGTGGGCATAGGGCGAGGTGTCGTTGTTGTAGAAGTAAAAGGGGTTGGGGTCGTACGACGCGATGTCATCGTCGGACTTGTCGAGCTTCGTGAGGAGGTCGTTGAAGATACTCTTCACGAAGCTGGGAAGTGAGGTGGTGTTGAGTTGGAGAAGGAATTGGTTGAATAGGGTGGAGGAAGTTCCAATAATGAAACCAGCACTGTCAAATCCGCTGATGCAGCTCTCGTTGCTAGCAAGCGAGCCACCTTCGAACCGAGAGCCCAGGTACTTGAGGGGGCGAAACCAAAAATAGTAGGATCAAATGAGCCAAACTCCCAGGGATTGAATTCATAGACGGTTGAATTGCCTCCAATCAACAATTCACCGGGGTTACGCCCATCAGCAACAACCAGCGGCATGGGATAGTTTCCGTCCTGGAAATCGGCTGTATCGGCAATAGATGACCAGGTGTAACTCATTGCCCCATTGGAAGCATTAAACATCTGGTAGGCAAGTGCGCGGCCCCTATACAACAGTTAGTCAGTCAAACCAATGAGTACACCCTGATAAATATCAACATACCAGAGATCAGTGAGAGAAGTATCGAAGCCAGCCTTCTTCTTTGACTCCACAGCCTCAGCAAGATCTTTATAATAACTAGCTGAATCCAAAAGTTGGATGCCGCCAGTATCAGGACCCTCGAGGATTGAGTTTCCAAACTGCCAGACAGCACCATCGGAGTGCGTCTGCAGCTTATCGATGGTGGTGAAGTTATTGATATAGATCGATCCAAGCAACCAGCTGCCTCCACTGAGACCAGCAAGATAGGTAGCAGACTGCAGCAAACCACCCAGGTGTCCACTCGTCGACGCGTTATTTGTACGGCTGTCGTAGGCCTTAATCGCACCGGCGCCATTCATCAGCGCGCGGTATCCTCCGCCGGATACGGCAATACCAATATTGGGGATGTTTGAAATATTGGACGAGTGCTTGTCAAGGTACGAAGCCACATCGTAATCGCCGACTGTCACATGTCCGAAGAAGTCCTTCAAGCCAGACAGAGCTTTCTCGCGACGGCCTTTCAGCCATGATGTCTCGTTGGAGGAGAGCTTAGCCGCGCTGCGGATGCTCGGTCGGCTCGCTGGGCAGGTGACTGAAGTAGGGACATACCCGTCGGGCGCATTGGGGAGCGCACGCTGCGCGACCACAATATTATCAGGGTTGAAGCCACTAGGGGAGGCGATTACTTCTGCAAAATGTCGAAATTAGCTATTTGCGCACTGATTTTGGCACACTCGTCATAATTCCATAATTTCAGAGAGTCTCGAGATTCGGAGATAACAACATGGAAACCACACAAACGCGACCGAGGCCGAGGGAGATCAACTTACCAGGCAGCAAGCCCAGAGCAATCGAACCAATCAGCGCAGAGGTCTTCATGATGGGGTCACACACACAGTGACAAACTGTACAAGAAGCAAGCGCTTATAATGTAAGAGGAAAAGCGGAATCTTGAGATTCCTTCTAGGGGAACCTGATATTACTTATGCACCGGGCCCGCCGGAAGCTCGAAAAAACAGTTCTCGGCATGTTCTTAGCACATTCATAGTGCAGATTAGTTCCCGGGGATCGCGAATCAAGGGACAGCGAGTGGGCTTAGAGCTTGTGGAGTTGGTGATGTCAAAAGTTGGACGCCTGCTCTTGGGACGGTGAAACATTCCAATTACAGTACAAATATGTATGTGAAATGGTTCCAAGATTGCCATTACTACGTGAATAATGTAACAGAATACAACTTGAAGAGCGTATATTTTGCGTTTCATGGTATTCTAATGCTCGTTAGATATAACTACGTAAATTCCTAGAATGTTTTCACTTAGTCGCAGTTCTTCTTTAGGCAATGGTTTCGGGGCGCAGGTCGTAAAAGCCACATCCGCGATCGTCAGGTGTATCGACATAATTCCTGAGCTAATTACGACGCAGGCAAATATACGAACACGATACCTAGTATGGAAATTCTTCCAACTGTCAGCATTAGGCACTATTATTCTTCATCTTGTCCCTATGTCCTGCCGACCCATCCGGCGTATCAGGCGTACTCGTATAATTCAGCCCTGGAGGCATCTACATTTTTGAGATTATCATTGGACACATCGATCTTAAAAGTTGTGTTTAGGAGATAAAAGTGGGCAGTTCATTTCGGCTCGCCCAAACTAGTGGCTAAAGGTGTGTGGCTGTGTGGGGACCGGATGCTGATGCGGTTCTTGAAGTGGGCCCGATTATTGGGATAAATTGATTACATCCGGCTCGATTGCTTCGAAAGATCTCGGTGGCTATGATGATACACAGTATATGTTATAAGATAAGTTCCAGGTGATTTATACTACATATACCGCATTGCTATCATTTGATTCATTGTCCAATTCATGTCTGTTCATATAGTCAACAAATCAGTTCCATATCAAGTATTTAACGCTAATGTATAGATGTGAGCTCTAGGGATTGATCAATGGTTTAGTTAGAGGGATGTAAAGGAAGAGAGAGACTCGAGCGAAATTTGAGTGGAAATTTGATCAGAGATAGAAAGGTTGCAACGAGTGTGTCGTAAGACAGCTTTATAGAAATTGAATCGTAAAGTTTGGGCTACAGCGATTGTCGAGCCGTAGCGAGTAGGTAGTGTAAGTGGGAGTAGCACCGAAGCCCGCCTTATTGGAGAGACGGCGGCGCGTACCTAATGCGTGTAGATGACTACGTTGGTCTTTATATCGCTTGAATGTAAATTAATAACAACTTGGGGATGGGAGACGGAAGCCGCAAAGCGGAGAGAACAGACATTCAGCCAATGAGCAAGGAAACTGGCGAGGAAAGCCAAACTTATTCCTTGTTAAGTTAGAGACGATTATTTGGGTAATCAGTCGATGCCCAAGATACCTGCCGCTTGGGACGCACTTAGATCACATCCTCGGTTTCTAGATGCTATTCGCACAATCCAAGATTGCCGCAATCAGACATTGCAAGGCGATCAGGGTCGTCGGGTGAGATTCCAAGCATCCTGCTAAGGAATTTATAAGTGCGACACCGAGGATTGCCGTTCTCAGGCCCAATAGGCGGTACTAAGTCGGCCGTAGAGGATCGTGAACGCTCAGCATCAATATCCAAACTGGGCAGCAATTTGCGAATCTGCTCAGCGGACTTATGTCCGAAATCGCGCTGTGCAGTATAATCTTGGAATAAGATTCAGACTTTAAGGCGCTGAGTTTGGCCGGGTCTGTAAATCCGTCCAATTGCTTGCAACAGAACGTTAAACTTCTGTGGCGTTTCCATGCACACCATATGGGAGCATAAAGTTCGTAAATTGAGCTCTAAGGCTCCACAGTTGAAAGTTGACGCAAGTGTGTTGAATTCAGAGACAGCCTCAGAGCGGTTCTTTGTGCTCATTCCAGCGGGTCATGGGCCAATTGCATAAATTGATTATGCGACGTCTGTCGTAGAGCAGCCTTTAGATGTGTTCTTCGAGGCTCAAGGGGATAGATACACTGCCTCTCGCATTATGATTTCAAGGAGCGAAATCATCAAAATCCAGTTTCCAGGGCCTCCTGCTTATAACAAATAACGAAGAAACCGTAGGCGATGGGAGCGCCCCGTAAGGGCATAACGTCCTCGATCATAGTGATATGGAATAAGAATTTAGGGCAGTGTAGAAGTATAAAAGCACCTTAACCCGGGGTAAGCACCCTTCTTGCTTAATACTTCTCTTAAGTATTTTACTTTCACTTCACTTTATGGCCTAACGTTGCCAAATCTTGAGATAAGCAGTAATTAGGATTCATATCCACTCACTATTCCACACGCTTATCTCATCATAATCGTTCTGGTCCAAGGACGGAGAGTCTATGCCTATGAAGCTAATGATAGCGGATCGAGCATCAGTTTCTCCTTCCTTCCTCTCCTTCTTAGTCCTATTACTTCATAATTCTTCTCTTCCTCGCAGCGCAAATCTATAAGCAAATTGGCCAACTATCCAGAGATCCTTCTTCTTTGTCTCTCAGATCCAAATTTCTTCGACTACCTATACTAACGACTCTTCAATACTCTCTGCAAGGCAAGCCGCTTAGAATGAGCCAACATCCTCAATGACACCTTGGGCTTCCTCAATTTCATACACATAAAGCGATTATCATCGTTGATGAAGGCATCGCAGAGCCAGAGCACAAAGTTTTCCTCAAGAAAGTCCAATCATACGTCCAAGCTGGTGGCATCGCTGTATTCGGAATGCTTTTCTCCAATATGTGTCAATTTGACACTGCCGACGAAGACTACAACCAAACCTAGACCTCCCCGGGAATGTCGGGCCCTATACTAGTTGAGACATTGGCCTCAACCCTTCTTGTATCTTGTCTGCTGGAGTGATGCATGACTCACTTTCAGCTCGGAATCCGGATCGGAGTAGGTATCTGCATATTACGAATGCGAAGCCACAAATCATGATACCCCTTGATTCGTATAGTAGCATGATGAGGGCGGTGGTTGTGGGAGCCAAAATGGGGGACGGGTGCCTTGCTTACTTTGGGAAAGTGAACGCCGTTGAGGGCTTCGAAGGTGCTCTTCTTGCGTTGTGTGGACTGTCTCATTGATGAATTTACTGCTGCATATTGTTCATAATCAACATTCAGTCCTCAATAATTATGGCTCTATCTTTCCGACAAGCCACAGGCTTGTTAGTTAGTTTATGGAATGATGCTCCGAAAGCACGGTCGTACCGTATTAGAGGGATTTTATTAGAAAAACTAGTGAGATTTTGACTATCAAACTAAAGCTAAAATCAATAAAGATTTCTCTTAAAACCTCCTTGAATCCTCAATCCGAGGGTCTAAATAGAATACTTTGGGCTTTAATTATAGAGTTTTGAAAAGAGAGGAAAACATGACCCTAGGTTTACTCTCGGGACAAACTTGCGTCCTCGCCACTATCACGTTCTATATTAGACGCAGTATTGTGGACGCTTGATCCCCAGGTCTGAATAAATAAACCTTTTCAAAATTGACAAAATATCCAGCCTCCTTACCTAGCATAGTACAAACAAACAACAATAGCCAAGCCTAAGCAGACGTCACAACTAAACAAAGCGATTGGCTACCACGCCCGCTTAAAACAACCAGCCTCGGGCCCAGCACACCCTGATTGGTCCCCATTCTCCGCATTTTCCCCAGAATATCGGTCAAATGTGGGTTGGGCTCTATGGTTGGCGGCTTAAAAAAGGAGTTTGGATTATTCTGGACTACATGAATGACGAGTACAACATCCATCACGCGATATCGCTTTTCCTCGGGTTATTAAGTCTGGCAGCGAATGGGCATCTTCGATCTTGTCTCCCACGTCTGATGTTTGTTGATATTTAAATTAGATTTACCTAGGTAGGAATTTGTTGATCAACTTTGTTGGGGGTCAGGTGGCGATCCCCCACTGAGGGTTGGATATGTGGTGGATTTCGACTGGTCCTGGCTATTTTGTCTTTTATCGGTGAGAGGTGTATAATGAGATTCGGATGTTTCGGATGTTTATGCCGGATGAGATGTCCAAGTGACCTAGAGTAGAAGTATAATCAAAGATATATAAGGCTAAAAGGCTAAATTCCAAGTAGAAACTGGTACAATATCAAGCAATGTGGGATCGATATATCAAGATTGGGGTGGATCAGATTTAAATGCAGCTACTTCGAACGCAAGATTTGGATGTACAATGCACAGGTATAGATAGAACAAATTATTATTCGAGCGATCGGTAATCTAACGTCATCGGAGTTCATTTATCCAATTATTACTGTCCAAGATGAGCAAGGATCAAAAATTCCCAACAACCCAAGGCTCGCTTTCGCTTTCCTAGATCAAACCCCAAGCAAAACGCCATGCAATGAGAAGACCAGAGCAAATGGTCACGCGGAGATGATTTTAAGGCAAAAATCCAGAACAAACATCAAATCACAGCCATCGTCATCAATTTACCATGCAGAGTGGCCACCATCCATGCGGAGGTCACTACCAGTCATGAAGCTGCTAGCATCGCTAAGCAGGAAGACCGCGGCACCACGGTACTCTTCCGGGCGGGAGAGACGACCGAGCATATTCTCCTTGGGCCACTGCTCGCGGCGCTCGGGGAACTCAACGAACAACTTCTCAACCATAGCAGTAACAATATAGCCTGGGGAGATGGTGTTGACGCGGATGTTGTAGGTTCCCCATTCGGCAGCAAGATTGCGAGCAAGCTGGAGAACAGCGGCCTTGCTGGCGTTGTAGGCGGGGCAAATTAGTCCCTAAGAGGATAAGTCAGATCGATGGCCATGAATCAATCAAATCAAGGGACGTGACATAAAAGCGGGGAACCCCAGAATGGGAGATACATGTATCGACTTGATTGCCGTAGGGTAAAACGCCAAGGAGTAAAAAAAGGAATAGATTGCCACCGAAAAAGTCAAAGGATAGGACGAAAGAGAGCAACGTACCCGATTGGCAACAGTGCCACTCATAGAGGCGATCATGGCGATACTACCCCCATTTCCGAAACGAACCATTTGCTTAGCCACAGCCTGGGAAGTCATGAAGACCCCTGTGACGTTAACCTCAAACATGGTATTGCTATCCTTGGCCGAGTACTCGAGCGCAGGAGTCTCCTGCTGAATACCCGCTGCAGCAACGAGGCCATCCATGCGCCCCTCATCGTTGGCAATGGCTTCAATGACGCTATTGAGAAGCTCTGTGTCACGCACGTCAATGCGACGGTAGTGCAACTCCGTACCGAGCTCCTTCGCGCGTTGCTGGATTTGTTCAAATTCGGGGGCCTGGCTTGTTAGTTTAAATACAGACTGAGTGATAACTTTGGAAACATACTGGCTCTTCCAGGCGGTCGAGTGCGTAGACCTTCGCGCCGGCTTCCAAGAGTGCCTCTGCTTGGGTCAGGCCTAGACCGCGGGCTGCTCCCGAGACCAGTACGACCTTGCCGGAGAGACTAAACTCAGGCATTCGGGACTTTTGGCCCATTAGGACGGGCTGTGCGGACTTGGGGGCTGTTGGGACTTCGGTGACTTCGATGGCGACGGACATTGTGTGGGTATATATGTATAGTTAGGAGAGGCTGATGGAGGCTATGGTTGCGGTGGAAAGAATATCAAGAGAGGAAAGATTATAAGAACTGATTGTATCAAATATAAATAAAGAAGAACGGGGATGATTCAAGTGATGAAGAACCAGGGGCCGGCGGGATGGCTCTATTTAAATATTCTTTGACGTCCGGCAGCATGATACCGAAATCTCCAAGTAGCACCCCAAAAAAAGAGTCTCGTGAGCAGAAAGAAACTGGAGAGCCCAAACAGGAAATCCAGATTTGGGCCAAGGGTGCAGCATGGGTTGGGTCCAGACCTCCAGGGAATGTAGGCTAAACGGCTGTGGCAATGTATACGCCCTACAGACCTGCTTAGTATCGAGTGGTATATCAATGGAAAATATCAAGATTCTCGTATATTGAATCCCCAATGTATGATAGAATAATTGCGTCAATGTTGTTCCATCTTGCTATCATCCTTGTCCAGATTTGCCTCCATTGTAGTTTCCAGCAGTAAGAAGTCAAGAATCCAACATTGCAAATCAAGAACATCACCGCATCAGCAGACTAAAAGTTCACGATAGTTGCAATGCAGGCCGGAAGCGGAAGCTGGCCCGGATTTCTATATCGGGAAACCCGTCTGGGGCCTGGGAACCCGGGGAACCCCCAACGCCACTTTTTCGACTCGATTATTTTTCTGTTTTTGTTTTAATCAATATTTAGCTGATCTTTGATCAAAAACCCCCCTGGATGCGCCAAGCTTCACACGGCTTCTAGAAAATATTCCAAAAGTACTCATCTGGAGTCAGCTGGCCCATTGCAGATTGACTTCATTTCTATTCACCAATTGAAGCAGAACCCCTAGGCCCGTGTACCTGATCGCCCCTAAGAGAAAAGAAGATAATTGGCCAATTCTGATCAAATTATTTTTCTCTTGAAATGTTAGATCTTTGTTTGGGACATCCATCTACCATCTCCATCAAAAGATAGAAAGAAAAAGTCTACTCCGTACAAGTCCCACCCCCCAAGATAAGGTGCACAACCAAACCTCCCTATATCCCGGTTTTGCGGGGGGACGCTAAAATTAGCATAACGCAGCAGAGTAGAGTCCAGACTGCGACTTGCGTTTGCCGAGACAGAGGAATATAGGGAGTAGGCTTGAGCTTAATCGGAATGAATAATAATAATTCTGACCTTGTGACCAGCAGAGTCTTCCATTCCATAGCTCCTTACTCAATCGGGCGATTCCGAGACCTCGTTTCCACTTTTTCCACATCTCGTGAGCAATAAATCATTACACTTCCTACTACTTGTTCTGCTCTTTTACCCCTGGCCTTGCTAGCATGGACCTCAATCCCTGCACAGGGATTGTCTAATCGTTATCTCGGCTCGGTGCCGACTCCGAGGTTGGAGACGGAGTTGGATATCTCCTGCCGGGCCTCCCATCCCACCCAGATGTATTGTCACCACTGAAGCGTCACAGTGGAGCGGCGCGTGCATGTATGCCTTTCCGATCCGATATATGATGGCAGCTTGCTATTTTCTTCTCAAACACTGCCTGCTCGCTCTCAATCAGCGTCTCGTGTGGCGGAGACTATTCAGCGTCTGCTCAGAGAACGATGCATATGCAAGAAGGCTCGAATCAAACTATGGCCGTCGCGCTATCCGGAAGTCATTCGATTGCCACCGGTCCCTGTCTGCGTGACTAGGCGAGTAGTTGGGTACCGCCCGCTCACGATTGCCAACTGGACTGTGTGGCAAGCGACGACCTGCACAGACCCTTTCGCCCCAGACATTAACTTCAGATGCCGCTATACCGTTGAATTTACCGAGAAACACCGATTCTCAAGCTCAGGCACAAGAAGAAGCTTTGAGATTTCGACCAAAGTCAGACGTCAGTCCATCAAGTCAACGAGAAGGGATCCGCAACCGGCCCGCCCTGCAGCCGGGTAACAGAAGGAAAGGATCCAGACAACAGGAACTCAATACTTACATATGAATCTAAACTTCATGGACGATCGAAGTGGATAGAGTGGGTCGGGGGATCTTCGATGCGATCTTCAGGTTCACCATCTTACATGTTGTACCGCAAAACACGCATTAACGGTCCAAACCGAGATTCGAAATTCAACATTAGGCTATATTCATCAAAATATCCAATCTAATCCAGAGAAGGAAGATAACCCCAAATCGAGTCTTGGGTACTATGTACAGGTCCGTCCCTATTCCTACAAATACAGTAGAAAATAGGAAAAAGAAAAGAGACATCCCGCCCATGCAAGACGTGAGAAAGTGAAATGAAAATGGCTGTGTAGCCAATCGAAAGAGACAAAAACAATGCTTGAGAAATCCAAACATGGCACAGACCTCATAGAACTCCGTATGAACGCCAAGCCCGAGATACAGTAGATATCATAACATGTCAAAAAGTGAGATGGTAAAGACGTAAAGTGAAGTGATGCAAGACAACCAGCACGGGCCAAGCCCGGCGACCAAATTATTTTTTTATTATACTCCGGCCCATGAAGCAATCTACGCTTCACGGTAGCCCCAGATGCGTTTTTGTTCGGTGACCCACCACTTGCCGACCTTCTCGGCATCCTGAAGCCAAGCGGCGGATTCGTCGCCGAACTTGGGCGACACCTCTTCGATCAGCGTAGCCAGGGTCCAGGCTTTGGTAAGGTGTGTTTCGCCGGGGTCCTCGCCGAGGTGGGTGAAGGTGTACTCGAATTCTTCCTTCAGAGGCAAGATCAGACGGTACGGCATACCAGCTGTTGTGATGGAGAGCATCGAGCCGCCGGCGTTGATCAGGCCCATGTTCCAGACGGAGCGCTTGGGCGGACTGTCTGGGTGGGAGCGGGGTTCGAGTTGAGAAACGTCACGCGCGGGTGGAGGAGGTGGTGGGGGGTTGTGGCCGTGGTGGGAGGGCTCAACCATTGATGTGAGGAAGGGGCGTAGGAGGGACTGGCCCTGGTATTCGGGAAGGAGGGAGGAGGCGATTTCGGAGTCGCGCTCGTCGAGGGAACTGGACTCGACGAGGAGGTCGAGGATGGTTGGAATAATGGAGAGGGCGGTTGCGTTGGCGGTGATGTCAACGCGGGGCATTTGGGGGTGGTGGAAGACTAGCGGGACGCGGAAGTTGCTGATGTGGCCGTTTTCATAGGTTCCGGTCATGTCTTTGTTATCTTCACCGAAGGCTTGGCCGTGGTCGCCCACGACTACGACGAGGGTCTCGTTGGCAATGCCAGTCTCCTGGAGCATGTTCATGATGTCGCCGAGCCAGATGTCGACGAAGCGCGCGGCGTTCAGGTAGTTATTCATCAGGTCGTGGTTGATATTACCCTGGTCGCTCATATATGGCTGTTTCTTGAAGTCATCTGGTGTGCTCCATGGGTGATGCGTTGTGCTGGTGACATGAGAAAGGAACATGCGAGTCTTGTTGTTTGCGGCCTCCTCGAAGAGGTCTCGCACGTAGGGTCGGAGCTCAGTCTCTGCATATCCAAAGTAGTTGATTTCCTTGCCCTTAACTTTGTACTTCGCGTGCGACGATTCGAGATCACTCTTTACGACTTTGTGCTTAAAGCCCATGTTGTCATTGAGGATATTCTGTCGGTCGTAGTCGTCGGTGATAGACTGCATGAAGACAGACTTCCAGGGGTTCTTTACGGCCTCGGAGTTGCTTCTAGCGGTTTGATTGCCGTTCACGTTCGATTGCGACTTGCCCCGGTTGAACAACTCGAAGATCTGCGGCAAGCATGGTTGGTAGATTTCGAGGGTAGATTCTTCCAAAAGATCGACAGGCAAAGGGTGGACACCACAGTGGCTTCCTAGAACACTCTTGAAAGTCAAAGAGCTTCCCGTCATGGCTCCACGGACATTAAGACCACCCATTCCCTCCTGCGGTGGGGTTTGCCAAGTAGAGTTGCTCAAATCAACCTTATTTCCTTTGCTATCGGTTGCATATTCACCGGTCAGCTGCTGAGCGACCGGAGTCATGGTGACCAGGCGGTCAATTGCTTCCTCAACATTTTCCTTCTTGTGAGAGGCGAGGAGGCCTTCGAACAAGGGGGTCCCCTGCTGTGTGGGGAAAAGCTCCTTACGACCACTTTCCAGCGTTAACAGCACTACATGGTTAACCTCAACAGAGTGCTCTTTGAATGCCTTTTGCAGTGGCTCGTATATCTCGCCGCCCAAATTCGTGACCTTGAGAGGGTCGTTTTTCGGGTTGAAGAAAGCGCCGTCGTCACTACCACACACGAAAGAGAAATGGTTATCCTTCTCTGCGCGATCATGGGGGCTGAGATCCCAACGGCTGAATCCGCGAGGTGGGTTTTCGGGGAGCCAAGTAGCCCGTGACCATTGTTCCACAAACGACGAGTCCGGTTGAAACAGAGGGTGGGAAAAGCCTTTGCCGTCCGTAGTCATCAACGGGAAAGGCACGACAGGCTCGCGACACCCCTCTACCGTAGCGGACTTTTTGTTGAAAGCATCAAGAAGAGTCAAGGGCAGAGCGCCAGACAGATGGTCGTACGGGATAGAAGGGCGGGTGAGTTCCAAGAACACGAGCGAGACACAGATAGCGACAGCGGGAATAATGCGACGGAGGGATCGGAGGTCCATGGACGCCATGCACGACTTTCTAGGGGCAGCAATTAATGTATACCGCGCTCTATAGCTGCCCACGCACAGGTCTCGGATTGCCTGCAACCCAAGTCCGGTGAGGTTGTACAAATGCGAATGAACCAACCACGACATGAGTCCGAGGACGGTAGCTGCGGCGGACACGGTGGAGATGCCACTGAGGAGGATTTTCATTGCGGCCGGATCGCTGAGGAAGCTACCTCCAGCTGCCCAGGCGACCTCGGCGCCGGTCTGCATGAAGAATCCGAACTGGATGGAGGATGCACCCCATGTGATTAGACTGGCGGATTGTTAGCTCCTGCGACTTTGGGCAGCAAACCGGGGATTTCTTTTGCGCAGGGTCAACATACGATAAGGCTCCACCCAACGCGGTCGAGACGCATTGCCATCGACCTTCTGGCGCAGGGAAGCGCAACAACACTCGTGCCAATATAATAACGAAGACATCGGGGAGAATGAGAGTCGGCGAGTAGAGAACGAAGTAGAGGAACGGTAATGAACGAATATGTAAAGCAATATGCAAAGCTTTTGAGGCGAGGCCGCTTACGACAAGCGCGGAGAAAAGGAAGGGCGACAATGGTGGTAGAAGGGCGTAGATAGACATGATGGAATCATTTCATGATACAATGAAGTACAATGAAGAAAGGGGGGGTATCCAGAAAGAAGACAATAAACGAAAGACTAGGCTGACACGAAAAAGAAGAGAGAAAAGGGAAAAAAGAGGATTAGTTATTCTTAGAATGGAAAGTAGGCATAAGTGGAGTGGACGACAAGTTCAAGACAAAACAAGACCAATAAAGCGATCCAACGATCCCTTGGAGGGAAATTGTGCACGCGACTTTTAGAGGCTCCAACTTACTCCAATGCTTGTTTTTCTCTTGCGTTTTTCTTTTTCTCCCTTTTTTTTCCTTTTTCCTGTTGGTCTTTCTTGCCCTTAAAATTCATCTCACTGTGGATCACGATGACCCAAGAGACCCTGATTAGAACCACTTTTATTCGGCCCCAATGGATTTTCATTCATCTCCCTCGTAATCGGTTCTCCAAGTGGATATAGAGTCTCGGATGTGACGGAGGCATTAATAATAAAAAAACAAGAAAACAACGAGGCTGTACGTGCTAGTGTATAAATTGTGTATACCCTGTGTATAGTATTCATTAAAATTAGGCAAATGGTACCTTATTATACAATATTGTACCACTAGGTGGACCCTGCATTGCACTATTCATTCAAATGTGCTTATGTCTTTTAGATTGCCTTTTTGGTCTTTTCTCACTGACTCCAATGATTCGTCCATGAAACCAGCTGAGACACGTTTGATTTCATCAAAAGGGGCAACGCACAAAAACAAAAAACTCTGATTAAAATCCGGGGAAGTCCTTGGAATCCCAATGTGACGCTGGCTCGGACAGTGTTGTGCGCCCGACCCCCGTTCCCCCACATTTTCGCATTTGCCAAATTTGGTATTGACCTTCCTAAACTCCCTTTCTATACTCTGTAAACAAGTATGGCGTATAATGTGGAAGCTTGGAACTCCAGTGCACCCATATCACCCCCCCCAAAAAGGCTGAGTTCAAGGGACAGGGACGGATCTCCTTGATCGTCGGAGATCCCGTGTGGTCGATGAGCCCTGTGAGTGAGATTTAAGCCTTGTGGATACACGTTGATCCTCTATCGGTCCAGGTGTTGGAATCATTTCAAGGCTGTCTTTGGCATTACAATCTACAATCTTCCGGGTACACATCTACAACATCACAGACTTGGTCTCTTGATGAGGTAGGGTGTCAATCCAATGCACAAGCTTCTGCCGAGAAGTGAAAGGGGTCCAAGTCGCCAAGGGCTCTTGGCGGACCCTGCATATTGAGACCTGTTCGCCAGACCTATTAGATCTGTTCGGCTTGTTGGACCTATTGGACCTGTTACGTACAATGTAATTACCTAGGTAAAATAAGGTGCTGGCAACTCGTGTTAACCTTGACATGTGTGGTCTCCTCATTGCTCGGCGATCGACATATTTTCGTCGTATGCTCGAGCGCAGCCCCTAGGCTTATACGTACTGTATATATTAGTAGAAGGGTCGTATAAGTATACGCCTAAGCTTTGGCCCCCTCAAAAGTAGACTGGTTCCATGCACACGAAGTCCTGATTTAAATGTCAACAGATCAAGCAAATGGCGGATGGTTATGGAGCTGACTCATTTTTTATGCGATAGGTACATGCCGCGCCACAATCTTGGTTCTGGATGATGGCGAGAACTTCATATGCTACACAAAATATAGCAACTTCCTCTTTAATGTGAAATAAATGTTGCAATTCATGTGTTCCCCTGCTGTCGTGTGCAGTGATACTGTAGTTGGATTTAGATCTGGTATGTGCACACTCCGGTCCATATAGTGATTCCGAGTGTTGGCATCTTGCCTGTCTAGTATCGAAACTCACTCGAGTACATACACATGTGTGCATTTTGTCCATGGTTATGTTGGATGTCCAACAAGCAAACTGTATGATAAAGGTGTCAAAAACTCTGAAACACTTCCAACATAGGATTTTTTTATATTAAGCCATCCTGTCACTTGGATTTCCCCTGTTTCATGTTCCTTTAGCCTTAAATCTACACGCAAGAGCAGGCCACAATGCTGTACACCTGAACATCATTCTCAAATGTGTTGCTGATGACACAAGCTTTCCTCGAGATATGACATCCATGGATGGGTATATGAATTGACCAATAGACATATCATATGGGCAGTCCCGTACTGTCTAGCTTCGAAGGAATCCAGAACAAGACTTCACTGCGTATCACCATCCCACGTCGGCAGCAAAAACATCCAATACAACATCAAACACCACGTAAATGCAATGAACTACATTATGAGTAGAGAAGACCAAACCAGAATAATATACAAACACACCCAAAACACCAACCAAACCAATGCATTTGAAAACACCCACTAAGCCCCCTCACCCTCATGTCTTCAAATCTTTGAAACAATCTCATCCCTCCCCAATCGATCCAGAACCCCCGTCTTCAGTCCCAAAAACCGCTCAATCTCCCTAGGCCGCTGCTTCTGCTTATCGCGCATAGTCAGCACCTGCTGAATAGTCAATGCATCCAGGAACGTCCGTCCAGGATGTCCCGCACGACCGAAGTGCTCCGCCTCCTCTTCTGCGGCCTTGCTGAGGCGCTGGCGCGCGGTGACGACTAGCAGGGCTGGGTTGGAGGAGTGCGGGAAGATGGTCTGCATGGAGGGTCTGTGGGCGGTACTGGAGTTCGAGAAGGTGGGGGATGGGTCAACGGGGCCGAGAGTGCGGAGGGAGGCGGCGAAGTCGGGGTCGCGGCCGTCTAGGTCGATGGCTGGATGGGTTGGTTAGTTTGGGGCTGTGCGGAGTGGATGGGGGCGATATACGTACCGTTGGACTTCACGCTTGAGGCGCGCTCCTTGCTATGGTATGTTGGGCCTTGCGAGGGAGGGGCGGCGCGAGGCGGGGAGCTGGCTTTGAGGTCTGGGGTTGGTGCTGGTGCTGGTGCTGGTGCTGGTGTTGGTTTGGGTTCGCCGGGGGCTTTGCGTGGTCCTCGCGGTGGGGGCGCTGCTTGCTTGGGATACCGGCGGGCCGCTGCACCTACGACTGACTTGGCGGGCTTTGAGGCGGCGGAACCCATTGCGATAGATGGTTTGTTTGTGGGGAGTGTGGTGAGTGCTGAAGCTTTTTGCGGCGGAGTTCGGGGAAAAATCGCGGAGGGCGCCTTGGCATTTGAGCTGCTTACTGCGTGACGTCAAAATACTGACAATAAACAACTTTTCAATTATTAGGTACCTTGTGATACTACAATTTTTAAACGATTGTGATTGAGCATTATCAATGGATAGAATCTCCAGAGAGAAAAGTCAATTACGATTCGTTGGGTGTTGGTAATTGGCGCAATGTTGACAAGTTGTTTTGGTGCTTTGTGAGCGAGGATGAGCTCTGCGCACTACGGACAAGTTCTATATGTAAGAATGTTTGCAAGGTACGTGGCAACTGCTAATGGGTTCGGTGTAGCGTCTTTATTTTTGTAGAAGCATGCTGGATACTTCAGCTAAGATACAATGTCATGGGAGCCGAAGACCACACGGCAATCTGGAAGCACCCCAAGACCACGCCCAATACCAGGGCGCAGAACAATTTGCACCTCTTGTGGGTATTTAACGAAGACCAGCGAGGCGTCGACCTTGCACCTCACCCAATGCACGGCTACCGCTAACGAATGCGACCACGCCGGCAACAGCCATGGCGGGAAGGATCTGGAACAAGTTCCAAGACGTATAGTAAAGGAAGAAGATTCCCTCAAAGGCAATCAATGACCCGAGGAAAACGGCGTGGGGGAGGGGAGCAGCTTTGAATGCAGTGGGCAAGTGGTTGACGTTGGCGCCGAGGAAGAGCCACTATGGCGAAATGTGTTAGCTGTGTGCTGTGTTGGCACCGGAAAGTGTAGAGCGTCTTACCATGCCAGCGAGAACTGGAACAGCAGCGACGACCATGGCTACAAAGGCCAAAGTGATCACGATTGGTGGGCTGGAAGCAGAGTCCTTGAAGATGTGGTGGATCTCGGGCTTCTTGCCATAGCGCTCGGTTTCGACGGTCGGCACGGCCTCCTCGGGGTTGCGGTCGAGAGACAACTTGAAAACAGAGCTATCGTAGGCATCGGAGTCGCCGAAACCACCGATGACAACGTGTGCATCAACCGGGCTGGACAGAGAGAGGAATTGGATAGGAAGATCTTTCTGGGTCTGGAGATCTGTTAGCTGTGGCCGCGGGGAGTCGACTCCGGCGTACGCATGCATACCAATTCTACCCGCGACTTGCCGTTCTCCTTGACATTGAATGGATATGAGATATCCAATCCGGTCTCACCATCCTTCAATAGCAGGAAAGCCTGGTGTGGGCGCTTTGGAGAGCTTCCTTCTTGGGTTGTCAAGGTGACGCGTAAGGTGTCGGCGCCGGCAAGAGAGACAGGGTTAGCGAGCGGCTTGGAGGAAGCGAGCCTATTGGAGATATCCAGTCAGTCTCAGGTCTCTCGATTCAATTTTTAATTCTTACTGTTCCTTGAAACCTCCATTGACACCAGCACCTTTAGGTTGAACGGCCACGGTGGCATCAGTAAAGCCCCAAGCGGTAGCGGTAGCGCCGGGTAAAGCTGCTGCTGCCAATAGACAGAAGGGAACGGTGGCCTGCCACAGATGCATTGTAAAGACAAGAACTCAAATAAATAGAAAAAAATAGTAACCAGCTCTAGAGCTTTGGAGGGTTGGAGATGGGGAACTGTAGGTGCAGAATCAGGCGGACAACGATCCAATGTTAGAACGATAAGATAAGCAGTGATTCCGTGCCCTAAGTCATTTCTTTTCCGAACAACCAACATCTCTTTGCTTCGCTGTATCGGCGGCAAATCTACCTCAACGCCCGCCTATTCGTTACAAGCGAGTCCATAAACTCTTAAAATAACTTTGCGGATGGTTGTACCTTTGGTCCCGTAAGTATTGCGCTTATGATACCGGGCCCTAATTCCATATTTCCTCCCCTGACGTCGGTTCCCATATATTCCCTCCTCACCCTAGCTGCCTCTGTTCATATTGTTTAGTACTTCATTCATACTATTCAGTTGATTGCTTGGCCATTGGGACTACTCAGATGAATAGCTTAACTGACCAAACTCGGGCTATTCTAGCTCTACACGATGCCTCCCAAAAAAGGCCAACGTAAATCGATGCCTGGGCACGTACATAAAGCGCCTATGTTGACACCTTCCCGGCGATCCCCCCGAGTGCCTGCCCCGCAAAAGAGTTTAGATGAAAGCTCACAGCCCTCCAAAACGTTGGAATTTACTGCCGCCTCTCCGCAAGACGGTTCTATCAACATTCGATCTTACAATTCGAAAACCACAGTTTCAATTCCCGCAAGTCCCGATACATCAGAAACTCCTCCCGAGACACCAAAATCACGTCGCCGCACGTTCCAATCACGCCCATCTCGTCTTTCGACTGTTTACACCCCAACAATAGAGACCCCAGCCACCAATAACGGTAGTCGGCGGACGAGAAGAACGGCTGCACTTGAAACACCCAAGAACGAAGGCTCGGAGATTGACCTTCCAGACAGCATTGGCACTACCGGCTGGACCTACGACCAGTACATGGGAAACCTCGAGTCTGAAGGAACAGCCGACGGTCCATCAAGCCCCACATCAGCCTCCGACATGCGGAACTCATCTCGGGTTCGGAAGCCCACCATGAGGGCCATTGAATCTCTCGAAACTGTGAAGAGAAAGCCTCGACGAAAAAATACACCCATTCCCACTCCGCCTGTGGAAAAGCCGGACCCATTGAGTGCCAATGCTGCGAAAAATAAAGTATCAAAGAAGCCTATCATGAAAACAAGAACATCAAAGCGAATGGCGAATTCAAACTTGCAGAAGAATTTTGTCTTGATCGGATTTGATATTGACGCGAAGCTCGTCGGCAAAGCCTTGTATGATCTGACTGTCGAAGCCCTAAGCCCTGGCTTTGTTCTTCCATCTGATTTCCCCGAATCCTATAACAAAGCGCGTGATGCATACTACCGTCGCCAAGATAATGAGAAATATGGCACTAGTCTGCCTGCGGATTCATCCATTCCACCTCAAGATGTCGACACGGCCGACGAAGACCAGTCAGCTGCCCCTGATATCTTGCCTACCTCTCCCGTCCCCACTCCCGCAACAACCCCCGGTGTGGGCATCCTTGCCTATGAGAAGCGTTCTGAATCCGTAATCAATAGTGATGGCTGGGTGGAAACTGGCAGAGTCAACAATAAAGGCGAAGAAGTCTCTCTCATCCCCGATCAGTACCACCCATATTACCTATCCCACACATACGGATACGAGGGCCTACCATACCCCCCAGTACGTGCTCGATCTGGTCAGCAGGCCGAGGCTGATAACGCGCACGGCTTCCCTCCATTTATGGGAGGCCGCAACCTGCCATCCGACAATGTGGCTCCCTTCGTGACCGAGAACGTCAAGGAAGAACAAGCCAGGGTGTTCGCCAACGCCCCCGCGCCAGCGCCCACGGCCAAGAGCAAGAAGACGCGCGTGCGCAAGCGCCGCCAGACCGCGGCCGCCGATGCCGATATCAAAGCCGAGGAGAGCACTACCACTCCCATCACCACCGATGGTGGACGTAAGTCCCAGCGTCGCCGTCGCCAGACAGCCCCTGCTCCCACCCCCCCCTCTTCATCCTCTCCCTCTACTCCCCCGACAACTGTGACAAAGGTCAAGTCCTCCCGCTCGGCCGCCGCCGTCGCCCCCGCTGCTGCTGAAGAAGACAAGCCCAAGGTGCAGCGGCTGCGGTTGACCCTGAAGCCGGAGCACAAGGCAGAGACCTCCGGAGCTGCCTCTGTTTCCGCTGAGGCCCCCGCAGTGCAGTCTTCTTTCTCTTCCGCTCACTCAAATGCGCCGTCCCCCGCACTATCCAACAAGCGTCGTCGGCGCGGAGACTGACGCCCCGATGAGAAGAAAGCGAGGCCCTCCTAAGGGCAGGCTGAGAGCGATCACCTCCCGGCCTGACCGCGGGAGCGTGGCTCAAAACTCACGTTTTTATTTTGTTTTGGTTTTATATAATCACCAGCGAGCGTTTCAGCATGTATCATTATCAGCGGGAGCATACCATGGAGGTTAACCATGGTCAATTATGAGGTTCTGTTCGATTGCTTTCTATTCCACTCAATCTTGTAGTTCATGTAAAGCAAAGCTGTAAGCTTTTAGAAGCCTATGATAATTGGGATTGAAGGTTGGCCTAGATTTCACGGTTGCATCCGGTTACTGAAAAGTGCTAGAAATGGATGTCGAGGGTCGACAAATTCATACATATACACCATTCGCAGAGGCACACATTTTCAAAGAGTCGGCAATCTGTATAGAATACAAGTACACAGCAACTAGTCCAAATATTGTATACTACATCCCTTCTTGATGAAGTCTTCTCTAACTATATGTAAGTAACGATTGATGCCTCAGGTGTCAACACCAAATCCGAATCTTCCCTTGAGAATACCCATCCTCCAAATTACTACTCTAACCAAGTAAAGGCAGCACTCCCTGTTCATTTCCTTTCCAATCAATCTAACAAACATCAACAGTAATGGCATCCTACCAAGACCAACAAAAATACCGCTCCGTGGACCCAAACAACCGGCCTCCACGTCCAGTCCGACAGCCGGCTCCTCCCCAGCTGCCGAAGGGGGTTGACGACATCAGAAAAACAAAGGAGTACAAGACTGCCGCACGAAGGTAACTAACCCCCCACTGGTGTCTGGGTTGCATGAGACGATAAGAACGGGCAATCTAATACTTTCTCAGATGGTTGTCGACTATTGTCGCACTGCCGATTGTTATTGTTTCGTCATATGTTCTCTATGAACGACGTAGGTTTTTTCATTCTTCTTATTTGCATATATATATGCATACGATTGGGTTGCCTGTGGATGCTGACCATTTCCCTACTAGTTTATGGCAACAAGAGTCCCAAGCGGCTTGGAAGCCCGCCTAAGAAGGACTAATTTCATCCACTCGTCCTCTTTGATATCATTTTTCTGGAAGCGAACTTGCATGTACGAGTAACTAATTGGGTGACTTTTTCTGGACTTCTGCCACTGTAAATAAGCCCAAGTTTGAAAGAAATTTGTCTCATCGCGTCATGCAAAGTACTCAGTAAACGAACGGTGTATCCAGGTTAACAATGCATTTATTTGTCAGCATTCTCGGTATATATCCATGACAATATGTAGGCAGAACAATGGTCCAGCCCGACTAACATGAACAGAAGAAAAGTAGAGCGCCCAGAAACGATTTGAAAGTTCTCTCCTATATCCTCCTCCCACCTTGCCAGCCTGCTGGGGTGAAAAGCAAGAAACGAAATGTGTACAATCCAAATACAAACAATGGTATCGAGAAAAAAATCCTCCATCAATGAAGCAGCAAAAGGATAGGAGCAGGAAGAGCAGCGTATGGCACATCAACAACCGAGGGCTCAGCTAGCGACCAATTGAATGGGGATGTCACCAGACGGCATAGACGTCGAGCCACTACCAGTACTGGCAGGCTTGGTACTACGCTCGCGCATACGCCGACCTTCCATCAGACCGCGCAGGCCACGCTTCTGGAGACCAATAACACTGCTCAGATCGCCCGTCCAGAGTTCACGCTGTGGGCGGCGAAGCTCGGTATCTGTACCGCGGCGGTGGCGGGTAGAGCGCGAATGGGAGCGGCTTTCATCACCACTAACCCACTCTGAGTCTGACTGGCTGTAACTGGCGCTGGATACAGAGGTGGCTGTGCTGGAATTGCTGATGGAATCTTCGCGGTCGCGGTTGGCGTTGCGCTGGCGCGAGTGCTGTGAGACGCTCGTGTCAATGCGGAGGGAGGGGAGGCCACGGGCAAAGTTGGTGAGGTCGCCTGTGCTGCTGTTTGCTGATGCGGAGGTTCTGCCGTGCTCGGTGTCGGATGAGTTTGAAGCCATGGCGTCATGCTGGGAGGTACCATTTTCACTGATTGTGGGGGCTATGCCGTTGCGGCCGGTATAGGCGCCATTTAGAGCTTCGAGGGTGCCGCCTGGTCCGCCCGTGAAGCCGGTGCCACGACCGCCGCCGGCTGCCATTGCGGCTGCGTTGAATACAGCTGCGGCATTGCGGCCGTCCAGGACCTGGTGGAGGCGTTCGACGGTAGCCTCTAGTAGCCCGTCGATTTGATATGGGCGGGCTAGCTGGAGAAGCGAGCAGAGAATTTGCGGTGTGCACAAAGATGAACCTGGAGCTGGGAGAGCTGCCGTGTAGAGGTATTGGACAAGGACTTGGAGGGTCAAGATAGTATGGGGGAGGTACAGCACACGAGGTCGGGAGGTTGGAGCGAGGGAGTGGGCTGAAGGGGCTTCCAGGTTCTCGAGCAGGGACTTTGGAGGAACACCTTGATTGACAAGGGTTGTTGCATCCGAGTATACGCTACCCTGTCCAACTGAGGGCGTGATAGTTATACTAGAATTGCGACTTGGATGAATCTGAGCTGGACGTAGGATTGCAGTATCTGCGATGCCCCCTTCTGACGACTCACGAAGAAGTTGGATGAAGTAAGGGCCCCACCGCCGGGTCAACACGCGAGAATTGACAGAGATGCGCTCGCCTCCCATGGCTTGAAGCTCCATATCGGCCATCTCTGGCAGTGATTGAGCGAGTTTGCCTAGTTCATCTGATGCGCCGGACAATGGACGGCCACCTGATGTCAACTGAACTAGTTTCTTTTGCAGAGATGCCGGCACGGTAGATGAGCTGTACGATTTATACCCAGAGGTGGGAGCAGTGCGACAGGGATTGTTGTAGAGCCCAAATGCCTCCAGTTCAACCAAGCAGACGTGCGAAAAATTGATTCGCCGGTGGTTGTAATCATCAACAAGGCTTCGCTTGCGGTGTCCAAGAATTACGAACGTATTACGACGAGGCCAGAGCACTCCCCGATTCCAGCTGCCCTGCCCAAAGACCGAGCCTCCGGCATCAATACGGCCCCAAATCAATGTCTTCAGGTCGAGAGCCCAAAGTGCATATTCCTGCTTCGAGGATGTCAGATAGGTACCACTAACAACGAAGTGACCGTTGATGATGCCACCGTTCGGGAAACGCAGCCCAGGAGGAGAGGCTTGGCTCTGCATCGGCCGCTCAACAAGGCGCCCGTCCGGTAGGCGCACCTGCAGCTCCAGCTTCACGTCCAAGAAGTTGTAGTTAGAATATATCAGCATAGGGCAACCTGGGGATTCAGTGCTGTCCTGAATTGGCTCATGCACGTCACGATCCGGAGCAGAAGATCCGATTTCGGACACATCCATTCCCACTAAAGGAGCCACGACACTGCGGTAAGCGCCGCAGCTCCTCCCCAATGGGCTTGTGTTAGTCCACTTGAGACTGCGCAAATTGAAAACGCTGATTTGTTCGATGTAATGATTGGAGCTGTCCTGGCCACCGACAACCACCATTTCAGCGCCCCCAAAGCCATCAATGTCCACACCCAGTGTACCTTGATTAGTGGATGATTCAGGGTTGTGATGGAGAGCAGATAGCGGTGCGGTAGCAGACGTGAAGCAAGCACTGGACGGAAGGATCGTAGCACAGTGTGCATACCGTCCCTGCGGGGAGTCGTGAGACGCAACACGGGTCCAAGCCCGCGATGGAACATCGAAGATATGAATATCCGACATGACTACGACCTCCGACTGTGACTGGGACTCGGCAGGGTTCTCGGGGTCCTTCAGCGTACTCGGCGCCGGCGACATTCCTCCATAGCAGACCAATTTATTATCGCCCAAAGCGCACACACTGTGGAAGTATCGCGGTGGAGGAACATCACCAGCCGGCTCAACTTTCGTCCAATGCCGCCTGATCAAGTCCAACTCGTATAAATCGGACGTCAACTGGGGGCTGCGTCGTGAGAGGATCCGGCCTCCAAATACGTATAGCTTATCGCCCAAGATTGTCGTCGTCGCACCCACCAAGGGGTGTGGCTCTTTTCCAGTCGTTCGTCGCACATTACACACCAGCCCCGAGAGGTTGATAGGCCCAGAGGCAGACTGCTGGTTTAGCGATGGGGAGCCCCCCGGCGCGGAATCCTCTCGCCCTACATCCATAAACCCCAAACTCGACTGGCTTCGCGATATCATGGTGGGCGAATCTCCTGTCCCCACTTTCAACGGTTCCGATCGTATTGGCAGCCGTTGACGCCCCCTATTTTTGTCCACCTTAGTTCGTTCGCATATGACGATTCGTTCGCCAAATAATGATTGTGTGTTCGGCAAAATTCCCGGCGCTGCTTGCAAGTGTGTTACGGTGGAATGCTGGGCGTGGGAAAAGGGGTGGCTTTCCCCGCGATTGCAGTGCCGGTTTCACAGAGGTTTCGGAGACCAAGGAGAGCGATGAAGTGAAATTAGACGAGGGTGCCGGTATTGGTGACGGTGTATTGGCAAAAGTGTCAGACGTGGATGTTGATCGGCACAAAAAAAGGCGGTCTCAACCTTTGCTAGCCCAAGATAGGTTTAAAGGTGGGTGCAACGCCAAGTGTTCGGGATGTTTCTCCATTGCTGTCATTTCTACTCCGTTTTCTGGATTTCATTCTCTCCACATACCCGACAGTTGTGCACAAATCTTGAAACTTACTGCTGAAATTTAGACGCTGATCGCTAATAATGCATAAATTTGATGTATAGCGCATATCGTCCGATATGCACACAAATAGCGGGTTCCAGTGGCTAAATGACCCAAAGGCCTTGTCTACGCTAAGCATACGAGGAAAATACATTAATTGTATTGGGCATCAGATTATTGCGCCAAGATCGTTTCACATTGGTATCAAAGAGGGGATTTCACCCGAGCTAAAGAAACCCGGCACTCGGAGTATCTATATTGCATCAAATCGTAAGACCCCATTTACTGCTTGAGGTTTTCGGACTTAGTGAAGCGAAGGTAACTACGAAACATGTTAGTATCTTGGGTGAATTCGAGGGTCAATGGCTTGAGACTGAGACAACTTACGGCTTCACGGATCGGATCTCACCGAACTTGGCCTGGGCATCCTCGGTGCTGACGGTAGGGGGGATGACAACATCATCACCGGGCAGCCTAAGTAATGTTAGTGAGATGTAATGTAAATATGCTGGGTGGGATCGGGTGGCCCATAGCTGAGACGCAGTAGCATCTCTTCAGGCGTGGACATACCAGTTGATGGGGGTGGTAACACCGTGCTTCTCGGTGGTCTTGAGAGAGTCGAGAACACGAAGGACCTCTGCATTGACAAATTAGAGACTTGCTCTTGTACTTCAAGGCCCTCGTAGTAGGATATAATAGCGGAACTCACCAGCGGTGTTGCGGCCAGTAGAGGCGGGGTAAGTCATGATAAGGCGGATCTTCTTGGCGGGGTCGATGATGAAGACGGAGCGGATGGTCAGAGCAATGCCCTTCTCGTCGACGTTGGTGGTGTCCTGGTAGTCAACCATGTCGTAGGCGTAGGCAACCTTGCGCTCGGGGTCGGAAATGATGGGGAACTTCAGGTTGGAGTTGGAGATCTCGTCGATGTCCTTGATCCAGCCACGGTGGCTTTCGGTGTCATTGGCACTGAGACCAATGAGCTGAGTGTCACGCGCGGTGAACTCAGGCTCAAGCTTGGCAAAAGCACCGAGCTCGGTGGTGCAGATCTGATATGATGTTAGCAAAAGATTCGAGACAACAGCGATTTACACATACGGGAGTATAGTCCGCAGGGTGTGAGAAGAGAATAGTCCACTTGTCACCAATGAATTTGTGGAAGTTGATCGGGCCGTTGGTGGTGTCGGCGTCGAAGTCAGGGGCAGTAGAGCCGAGACGGAGGCTGAAGGACAAGTCAGTATGGAGTGTAGAGCTTTGCAGCTATATCAACTTACGGAGGAGCGCGGTCAGCCATTGTGAATAGATGAGAAATATGAGAAGTTGAGAAAGAGAAAAGAGTCAGACGGGGAGGACACGAGGTTCAAATAACCCCTCCAAAAAAGGTCCCCCGGCTTTTATTCCATAGAGCTGATCGACCGGCTCCTGCTTCCCCATGGCGTGATTAAGTTCACCGCCCAGGCAGAACAGATATGATTGGTCAATGCACTATTTACTAGTGATGCAATGGATTATGGAGGGGTTGATGGGTTCCTCGGGTTTCTATACTTTCTGCCATGCCCTTTGTTTACCCCTCATCATGTACCAGGTACAGAATATATAGGTGCCGGTATATTTTCTGTTGGAATTACACTAATTTGCTGTTTTTGCCTCTATAAATTAGATTTTCGGATAAATTTCCACTCCTTTGACTCGTCTTGTCTTCATCAAGCTACAAATATTATCAGAGTCGGCCGACATCAGATGGAGCTAACAAATGGCGCAATCCTATATCGGCATGGTGAATGCCCTATCAGACACAAGTATCCTCAAGCGCAGACAAGCCAGATAGGCCCACTCGGCTCCTTTGTGCAGATCTGTCTCTTTTTGAGATGCTGACTTTCTGGGCTTATGCATGCTGGCCTAAATGAACTACCTAGTCATGCCTTAATTAATGTTATAGAGCAATTGACCCACATAGCGGGGCATACGTTTGTACAAAGCTACAACCTTAAGGTTATATTCTAAGGGATTTTTCATGATGGTTTCCAAGGTTTGCAGGATTTGAAGAGATCATTATGATTGGTCTTGAATACTTCATTTATATTTGCTTATGCGAACGTCGGTATGAACTTTTGCACGAACAGACTTAGCGACGAGCTGAATTAATGTCTGTTTGATTGCTTTGATACATCACAAGCTGCCATGTGGTTTCGCTCAAACCAAAGCCTAGGTCTTAAGGTTAAGTGAAATGCTATCCATCTACAAACTAACATATGCCAGGTTTAGAGGGTCACCATAGCGACTAGGCCTTTCTATAAGATAGAATTACAGCCTTAATAATGATGATCCTATAAGACCATATAACAAGTGTTTTGAAGTCAGATATACACAAAGCCTCTTCTCGGTACTAATTCTTCTTTGGTCGGTTAAAGTACGAGTTTGATCGAAACATCTGTGACGACGGCCCCGGGGTCAGCACGTTAAGTCTATCTCCCGCAATCACCAGTCGGTGGTCCCGCAGAGTCCTCGCTCTGGTTACCTGATTTTTCACAGCCAAGCCAGTCGGGCACAAACTGAGAAACCTGCTAGGCCCCCTAGCATTGTTGAAGACTTCACAGAAAATAAATTTCAACACAATGAAGATGCGTCCGCAACGATCATATTTCTCCGCCTATGGCTCCCACAGATACAGAACATCATCTGCTGAACCCGTCCAACATAAATCCGAGATCCTACGACCCCCGAGATAGGACGATTATGACGACGAAATCTTTCGCAAACAGGAGAAGAGGCGTGTTGTTAAAGCTCACAAAGATAGTTTTGGGCTATGATAGCAGATGAGACGCACTGCTTGAAAAGCTCGCGACAGTTTTGTCATCTATTATTTAACCATTCACTCGATGTCTTTCACCATCGCTCTACGTCACTAGGAACATTCACTGCCCACAGATTTCGAGCTTGAGTGGCATCTGGGGACGTTAGCAGGAGGACGAATAATTGGAAAAGTCCGCCGAGGTCAATTATTCATTGGAGTGAGACCCTATAGAAAAGAATTGACAAAGAGGTATCATTTAATAGTATCAGAGCTCCTAGACGGGATGTAGACAGCCATACATGTATGCGATGGTGTCCTACCTAGGTACACACAGAATCTGAAACTTGAAACTTGTACATCGGTGAATCATGGCATAGGGAACATAGTTCATTCATGTTTGATTTGAAGCGGACTTGATTTTGCAACGGCCTAGCAAATAGAAAATAGCATAGATGTTAACATCATTTGTCGTTAATCTGAGTATATAGGCCATAATACAATTCAAACAGAATATTACCCCCAATCATAAATCAAATCATTCAGAACTCTTAGCCGGAACCAGAGCCCAGCTTAGCGTGACCACAGTTGCCGTTTGAGACCTCCATAACGCTCAAGGTGCTGCCAACATAGGCAGTGACATAGCTTTCACTGGCGGAGCATGTAGTAGTATCGAAGAGGGTGCAGTACTTGTTGGAGGAAGAGTCAATATCCCAAATGCTGAGCGCACAGGTGGTGTCCGCAATACAGCTGACGCAGCAGTCGTAGGCAGAAGCAGTGTTACCGCTCTTGATAGTCGCACCAGGAAGACTGCTGAACTCAACCTCCCAGATGTACTCGCCGACAAGCGAACCGAAGTCAGATCCAAGGGGAGTACCGCCAATGTTGTTTGTGGCGCAGGCTGCGAAGGCAGAGGTCGAGGTGGAGACAGTCACAGTATTGGTTGAAGTGACTACTGTGGTCACGGCAGGGGCAGTGGACACGCTGGTTATAGTCGAGGTGGTGCTCTCAGTGAGGGTCGTAGACACATCGGCAGGGACGATGGTCGAGGTCGAGGTGACGGTGCTGGCGACAGTGGTGGTGGTCGTCTTCGCGGGAAGAATTTTGGTCACGGGAGATCCAGTGATAACCTCGATAATGATGACCTCCACGATAATTTCATGGGTACACTTGACAGACTTGGGGTATTTGAAGTTTTTGAGGTTAAAAGTCTGCTTCTGCGAGCGCTCTTCAAACACCTCAAGATCGCGCTTGGCGGGAACGGCCGTTGCAATGGAGGAAGCAATAGGGGTGAAGCCAGCGGAGGTCGAAACGGTAGAAGTCGAAGTGACGGTCGTTGTGGTATCCGTCGAAACGGTGCTGGTGACCTCGTCTTGGCCCACAGTCACTGTGGTAGTATCGTATTCAGTGGAGACGATCGAAATGATATCGGTACTGGCAGCAGCAGTAACCGACACAGTGACAGTAGACAAGTCTGTGTGAGTTTGAGTGATACGGGCAGGTGTCACGGTAGTCGTAGAGTGAGTGGTCGAAAGAATGACCACAGGTAAAGCAAACACAGTGTTCTTCACGGTAGATGTCGGGACGTGACCATGGTAAGAGACACTAGCAAGGTCTGTCTGGTATATGGTGTTGGTGGACGTGTGTTGCTGGGTCTTGCGGTTGGCCTGTAGCTTTGGTGCAGCGTTGGCCAGGCCAAACAAGATAGCAAAGAAGGAGACACCGGAGATACGCATGATGGCCGCTTTGTTTTGGTTTGGTTGGTAAGACCATTTCGACGAATAGTTTGTCTCTTATATAAAACGGGGCCTAGCTGGGAAAATGGTATCAATCGCAGAATCTGATCGCTTCTAATGCCTGAACAGCATCTTACGGCTTGTCCGGGAAGGCGATGTGTGGCGAACATCGTGAAGAGTTGTCTAGAGCACGATGGTGGATACCTCTGCTAGCGCGAATGAGCCAAATCGGAGCAAAAAGGCCGACGCGACGATCTTTTCCCGCTTTCAACAACCACATGATCGCCCTGGCCTTGATTTTGAGGGGAATCAAGCTTCGATCGCTTGAAAAGTCGCCCTTAGTCTCAGTTACTAAGCGATGTGAGCTGGCAACAAGGCGAAACTCGGGAAATGCCGACTCGAGCCCTAAGCCACTGGAAGCGGGTGGGAGTCATCCAAAGCTTGACCAACGGACTTCGCTGCAGGTACACCATACAGAAACTTGGTTTTATTTTACCTGCATTGTGAAGGCCAACCCATCTTTTTGACCAAAAGGATGCGTGGGTACGTACACAGAGAGAACACAGAGGCGTCGAAGACTCAAAACCGGAGACTCCATGAATTTAAATTGGCACCTGTAACAGACAATGCTAGAGTTATTATTTATACCAATAGGACATAAGTTCTATTCATGTCGATCATAGCCGTGGCTCGGGATTAAGAGAATTAGATAGTGATTTGTCTCCATTCGTTCAAGCATAGTTTTCATATATAGTTATTCGAAAGCAGACTCAATGACCCCATGCCATAGCTGTTTTTCTTTCGTTTAGGATGGAACCGTTTGCGAAGTTCTATTCCCTGATACATTGAGAGCCCAATATGTCGCCGAGCGTGCATCTAAATAAAGCATTGTTTGCCTCTTACTTCCATTTCAGGAAAGCCGGTTCCACAGTACATAATTCTCCTTCCTGAGAACGCGCAGACTAAAGGGCTCAACGATGTAATCCGCGAGAATGGCAGCCTCAAACAATATCTGGAAGGACGGCGTTCTTTGAGTTAATGTCATCATTAGAAGAAGCAAATAGAAGTACTCCTCTTTTCCTTCCTTAGGCAAGCTTGCTAGTATATCTGCTCCGCCTAGTCTAGCTTATCTTGGTTCTGATATAGCTTCCTAATATGATTGAAGGTCTAAGGGTCGACGTGTGGTCGGCTCCGAGAGCTTTCTCGTACCCAGCTAAAGCCCAGCCCGCTAGTACATCTGCTCCGCAGCAACAAAAAAGTACTGAGCTTTGAAGTAGATTCAAATTCAGTGAAGCTGAGGCTAAGTCGACGACGCGCAATATTATATGGTGAATTTCTGACAGAAGCGCTGTTGTACTTGCCTCGTGGTATATAAGCTTAGGGGAGGTAAGAGAGATTTAAAAAATCGTCCGAGTCACCACCCCCTGCAGACACGGAAATACAGACAAAAGCAGACCAATAACTATTTGCGTTGACTTCCTTCTTAAGTGCTAGTAAGTCTAGTCATGCACGCAGTTGTGCATATTCCATGACCCAGACGACTTTTATGTCTCCAGGAAATAGTTTTCGGCCAGGACTCCTATTAGTCCATCGAAATTCACGCCATCTATTACCACTTCATGAAGCCACTCCTGAGAACTATCGGTAATTTCGGCATAAAAAAGCTCATACCAAAGTCTCTAGTTATCGAAGTAGGCTAGTAATATTAGTATTCTCGCCGCGTTCGGATCTTCCTTTAGCTAAAATTAAAGCAAGAATAGGCCATACTTAAGTCGGCTTGGTCCGCTACTTACAATAGAGGAGTTATACTACAATCCGAAATTGCCAAAAATAAAATAAATGGGCCAATCACAAACCAACCCCTTATGTTTATAAGATATGTGTCCACTTGTTCTGACAAAGATGTAGTCGGGAGGCGCTGATACTTCCTTTTACAACATAGAGTAGACCATCAAATGCACCATAGCGCCAATTACAAGCAAACATAAACACATCTTTCCATGCAGTTCCAGACAATTAAGCAACCTTCCTATCCCAATCATCTGCGCCGCCTCCCGTGCCTGTAGCGGTTCTCGGTTGGCCGCCGAAATGATCTCTCCTACCCGTATACCCTGCTGCTGCTGTCGTGACGGCCTAAAAATCAACGTCTCGCAGCTCGGTGGCAGAAGACTGGCCTGCACCAGAATCAACACGATGTTAGAGGGAAGCAGGAGAGAAATCTGGGTAAAGAGCATGAGCGCCGATATCAGGATATCGGATCTCACAATATAAAATGACCCCTCTATCGTGACCTTCTCGTTCGACGCCGGAGCAAGACTACTGTTGAGTAGATCCGGCAAATACATCATCACTGCTTCAGCCGCGGAGTAGATCAAAGTGGGAAGTACGAGAGCTCTCCATCGTCTGCGATCGCGGGGAGTAGACACAAAGCGCAGCTGGTCGCGCGGAAGGACGGTGTGCGCGGTCCAGAAGAAATGGTTCTCCGCGAGCAGGACTGATGTAATAATATACGCCACCGGACTAGGAAGCAGAGTAGTTGATAGTTTCGTCACCGAGGAGTGCATCACCCAGTAGGTACAAGCGGAACCGATGCCATTTAGGAGAAGACGGAAACCCCCTCTGCGGTAAAGGACGGCACTAGTTTGAAACAAGTAACGACTTGAGGGGGCTAGCTTCTTGTCTTCGACTTTAGAGACATTGACCTGCTTCTCCGCAGTTTCGAGGATCAAGATAGACATCAAGACATGGCCAATGATATATTGAATCTAGGCTCTATCAGTCTTCGTGGACAACATGGATTCTTTGTTAGTAGCTTACTAGAAGTTTGAGGATAATCCCGAGAGAAATCGGTGCTAAAAATAAAATATTATTGGTTTGAGCAGGGTCTTTTTGAAATAATTGATGAGCTCGCGCAAGTAGTGGATCATCTCCTGCGGAATAAATGACAGTATTGAAGATTTCGCGAAAGAGGTTTAACAAAAATTGTGGGCGTGGAGTGTATGCCATCATGTATTTAGACAGTGAGCAGGAGCGAGAAATTGAAGACGTTCGCTTTCTCTCCATTGATCTAACGGAAGGATAGTAGGCATTATTTTTTCTCCGAAACCGAGGGAGTTCATATGTTGCCCTATCTGTCCTATCACATAAATCGCGCATCTCTTAGTGAGAGTGCCAACTTAACAATGTCAAAAAGATCAAGCTAATGCCGCGCTACTGCCAAGCTACTGCCAAGCTAAATCCATGCTTACACTATTAATTTCAACGTCTCAGTAATGGTATAGAGAATGGGTGATCGGAGGAACCCAGCGAACAGGTAAATTGACGGCCCTACCTACGCCACGACTGCCTCAGAAGCGTTCATACACCAATCATGAATATCTACAGAGTACCCCGTAGTGGTTAGTGGACCCAGTTCAAGGCTTGAATTTTTTCGGTTGTGAGCCCATTCTTTTCGGACCCTGATCGGACCCCAATATGACTGCAAGACATGCTTGTCCTAAGCTAAGCTACGGTAACATCCGAAAGACTTACCATTAGCTATAGTAAGTACTACAGTATATCTGTAGCACCACTCAATTAAACTAGTACATATCTTATAGTCATCGGCCGATTTACTCCGGAGTAGATACTGTTTCGCTGCTGCCTTGAACTAGCCCTCTCCTATGTCAAGTATAGCATCTGGTCCTGTGTTGGGGTACGGGAGTGAGCAAATTTCACCAATTCCTAGTCGGCCAGCTGTATACCAGGTCTTCCCGTTGAGGATATTTGCCAGGCCTCCTTCCTGTGCATTTAATGTGAAGTGAAGTGCCGAAGGCTCCAGTGTCGTGTGACGCGATTCTCGCGAGTATTTCGGACGCATCCGCACAGTGAATTGAAATACAGTGTCTGCGTGTCGTTAGGCTCATCTTGTTGTGGTTTCTTCGTCACTATGTCGCGATCAAGGCACACCTTTACTCCTCGTATGGGGTTCCATGTAGGTACGACCCGTACTTCTGGATCAATTCGCTGGGTCACCCGCTGTGAACCAAGTATCTTACATGCATAGAACTCTGAAAATATAGTTGAAAGCGCAGAAACTGAGATCAGCCACCCATCCTCCAACGGGTCTGACTTGCGATAGTCGGATGTGTAATTGCCACTGTGATTGTATTTTGTGAACACAAGGCACTGTCGAGGAAGCAAACATTGATGGCAACCTTTCTGATAGTCGTGTATGGCAATCTCCAGCGAGAGATTGTTCCTTTGGTGCGGTTGCCATAGTGTCGGCTGCGGCTGTAAGATGCAGTAGAATCACATATTGTCACTGCTGAAAAGATGAATTGAAATTGGTATAGGAGAATGAGCTAGGTAGTTATCCACTGGCCTCTCAGGTACAATCCAGTCGTACTGCCTTGATTATGCCCCTCTTCCGACGTTGTTTGTAGGAGACGGAGATCAAAAAACAGGAAAAGTTGGCTCCTCAAGGTTTTGCAGGCATTTTTAACACTACGTATTTTTTCATTATAGCGGTAGATATAGCGTAAAACATAAATACCGATCTCGGCAAGCACAGTAAAGGGTATGACAGATATAGCTGTTGCCATATACTAACTCTATAAACATACACGGTATACAAATAGGTTGGAATCTATTTCAAATGCAACAGTATTGGGAAATAATAAGCCGCAATAGATTTATAATTCAAAGATTTCCCTCATAAAACATTGAAAAAAGCATTTTAAAGGCCTTAAGAGATCATACCTGTATGCTTGCCCAGGTGGTAGACATGGTGTATGTACACCTGAAGATGATCTACATCACGTGTTCCAGACCCACAGCCGCGTCGAGATCCAGTCTCGGTGCAAACAAAGCTACACGCTAGATGGTCGGGTGCTGAAGTTCATTAGTGACCTTTCGTGAGCACGTTGAAACAGTGTGCGCTCACTACATATCAATACTATTTATATTCCTTGCTTTCTCCTAGTGCCCCTTGAGTTGCCATTTCATTCTACATCAGCTAATCAGCAATTGAGTACTCGCAATGCCTCCCAAGCGCAAGTCTGAACGCGCACTGAGCGCAAACGACTCAATTGCAACGCCCTCAAAAAGGCTGCGCAACGATGTTGCGGCAACCCCAACTTCCGCAGCTCCAGTTTCTGTGGTATGTGCATCATATCATGCAGGGGCTGATCGTCGGGGTCCCCGTCGATGCTCCACTCTATCCCACTTGCATAGAGCTGACATGTTTCGGACAACAGCTTGAAGCAACTCCCCAAACAGACGAGAAGAGGGGTCGTGGACGACCACGTAAAATCCCTGAAAGCGCAACCCCCAAGCCTGCTGCTTCTGATGGTCCTAAGCGTGGTCGTGGTCGCCCCCGCAAAACTGCTACAGTGACAGAATCCGACGTCGTTACTCCCGCTAGTGCCAAAAGAGGCCGTGGACGTCCCCGCAAGGAGCCAGGTATGGAAGTATTGGTGATATATCTTTCCGGTGCACGTGTGCTGACCATCGGATTTGTTTGTAGGAACAGTCTCTGCTACACCCGCAACCCCTCAGATCAAGAAAAAAGACGGCCGAGGAAGACCTCGCAAGAACCCTCTGCCGAATGGACCAGTCGAATCAGAGTCGAAGACACCAGTGAAGGCTGTTCTTGCAGCTGATGACATTAAAACCAACCGGTCCTTTTGGCTGATGAAGGCAGAGCCTGAGTCGCGCATGGAGAAGGGAAAGGATGTGAAGTTCTCTATTGATGACTTGGCTGCTGCAGATTCACCAGAGCCTTGGGATGGTAAGTGAACCTTTCTCAAGCCCTCGATAATTGAATAGTGCTAATGAGTGAGCAGGCGTACGCAACCATGTTGGTGAGTGATTATACGCAACTGTAATAGCTTTCATCTAAAGCTTGTACTCACAATCAACCAGCCAAAAATCTCATGCGGGCGATGAAGAAAGGAGACTATGCATTCTTCTACCACTCAAACTGCAAGGTCCCCGGTATTGTTGGAGTAATGGAAATTGTCCAGGAGCACTCCGTTGATGGTTTGTGGTGCTTGCTTTCCAACGTTTGATCAATTGACTAATACATGATCCGTAATAGAATCTGCCTTCGACTCCAACCATCCATACTACGATCCCAAGTCCAAGCGCGATGACCCGAAGTGGGTTGTCGTGCACGTTGAATATCGCCGCAAACTTAAGAAGCAGGTTACCCTACAGGATCTCAAGTCTCATAGCCAGGCTGGAAAGCCACTCGAGGACTTGCAGATGATCAAGCAGGGCCGTCTCAGCGTTTCTTCCGTGACCCCAGCACAATGGCGATACATTCTTGAGTTGGTAGGCGAGAAGCCCCAGGAGGAGTTCACCAAGCTGGAATCTAGTGACGCGAAGGAGGTATGAGAAAGCGTGGGCCTATACATGCAAGCAATGAACAGAGGGTGTCGTGGACGGCCCTATCGGCATATTTTTATCATGGCGTTGCCGGTTTGAAATGATTTATCTAGCGAAGCAAGCAACATATTACATTCAGTGCGGATATTATAAAATGAAACAGGGCATTTTGGCTACTTACTCGCCTCTTTGCTACAGTGCTCATACTTGCCTCCGGCCGATCGATGCGCATTCTGGTAGCACAGCCGGCCCCGATGGCGGATCGGTACGACACCAATTTCATTGAAATGCATGCGCCTCGAATACCCAGTACTTTTAATCCATCATATTGCTTTCGGCTGTCCTCCCTGCGTCGACTCGCGACGGATGTGCGCCCTTGCATCCATCAGTCCCAATATAGCTTTTCAATATGCGACCGTTGGCTGCGCCACCGGGGAGAGCTGTCATGCAGCCATTTGGATCTAAAGGTCGCCGATCCATGTATAATATATGTAGGGGGCCGCCGGGGAACAAAGGCTTTGACATCCGGGGCGTGGTGTGGAGTGATCAAGGCAATCGATGTATCGGCTCGTGATATGTCAAGGTGTCTAGATCCTCCATGGCTCTAGGCTCTCTGGAACGGTGAGTGATCAAATCAAACAGCCGTGGACTGTAATTGAGGCTGAGGAACCAGTCGGTTTCAAAATTATAAACTCGGGGAATCGAGGATAAAATAGACCTCGGGTTATTGATAAGCAAAAGCCAAAGGCTAAATGAGGGGGTTTCATCGCCGAACCCGGCCAACGGGGCCAACCAGACGGTGGGAACAAATAGAAAAGAACTCGAATAGGTGAAGGTGGACAAGTGGGCAAAAAAGTTCCTCGGAAGAGTAAGTGTATCCGACAAGTGGAGCATCTTTATCGTTATCAGGCGGGGAGCTCATCTTTGGCTTCTTCCAAGGTGTTCTTTCTGGTCATCTCTCCATGTCCTGCTCTGCTTTCTTCTTTCGGTCTCTGCGTTTATATAAGGCTTCATCGTTTTCTGGTCTCACCCCACGTCGTACATTTCACAGCACACCATTCATCATGTCGGATATCTCAGTGCAATTGACTGCCCCTAACGGCCGCAGCTACACCCAGCCCATTGGTCTCTTCATCAACAATGAGTTTGTCGCTGCCAAGTCTGGCGAGAAGTTTGCTACTGTGAGCCCTTCGTATGTATACCCGTTGCTGCATTGGGAGTTCTGAGAAGCTGATCGCATCAGTGACGAGTCCGAGATTACGTCAGTCTACGCAGCCGGCGAGGAGGATATTGATATCGCCGTCAAGGCCGCCCGCAAGGCTCTCAAGGACCCTTCCTGGAAGGGTCTACCTGCCACTGACCGTGGTCTTTTGATGCTCAAGCTGGCCGACCTGATTGAGCAGCACAAGGAGACTCTGGCCACCATTGAGACCTGGGACAACGGTTAGCGACGGAAGGGATCAAATATAAATAGAACATAGTCGAGCTAACCATTTTTACAGGCAAGCCGTACCAGGTCTCGCTGAACGATGATCTTGGTGAAGTCACCAATACTCTCCGTTACTACGCCGGCTGGGCCGACAAGGTGTTCGGCCAGACTATTGGCACCACCCCAGCCAAGTTTGCTTACACCCTTCGCCAACCTATTGGTGTTGTTGGCCAGATCATTCCCTGGAACTTCCCTCTCGCCATGGCGGCGTGGAAGCTTGGCCCTGCTCTTGCCTGCGGTAACACTATCGTCCTCAAGCCTGCCGAGCAGACTCCTCTGAGCATTTTGTACTTGGCCGGTCTCATCAAGGAGGCTGGATTTCCCCCTGGTGTTATTAACGTTGTCAACGGCCATGGCCGCATTGCTGGTGGTGCTTTGGTCAACCACCCCGGCGTTGACAAGGTCGCCTTCACCGGTTCCACCCTCACCGGTCGCGAGATCATGAAGATGGCCGCTGGAACCCTGAAGAACGTCACTCTCGAGACCGGCGGCAAGTCCCCACTGGTTGTTTTTGAAGATGCGGACCTCGAGCAGGCCGCCAAGTGGGCACACATCGGTATCATGTACAACCAGGGCCAGGTTTGTACCGCGACCTCGCGTATTTTGGTCCACGAGTCTGTGTATGATAAGTTCGTCGAGCTGTTCAAGGAGGTCGTCCGCACCACCAGCAAGGTCGGTGATCCATTCTCCGACGACACTTTCCAGGGCCCTCAGGTCACCAAGGCCCAATACGAGCGCGTGCTCTCATACATCGAGACCGGTAAGTCTGAGGGTGCCACCCTCGCCTCCGGCGGTGTGCCTTACAAGAACGTCGGCGATGGCCGTGGCTTCTTCATCGAGCCCACTATCTTCACCAATGTCAAGGACAACATGCGCATCTACCGCGAGGAGGTCTTCGGGCCCTTCGTGGCCATCGCCAGCTTCACCACCGAAGAAGAGGCCGTCACCCGTGCTAACGACACCACCTACGGTCTGGGCGCTGCTCTCTTCACTCGCGATATTGAGCGCGCTCACCGCGTTGCCTCCGACATTGAGGCCGGTATGGTCTGGATCAACAGCAGTAATGACAGTGACTTCCGCGTGCCCTTCGGCGGTGTCAAGCAAAGTGGTATCGGTCGCGAACTTGGCGAGGCTGGCCTGGATGCCTACTCGCAGGTCAAGGCCGTTCACGTCAACATGGGCACCAAGCTGTAAGCTTGCTATGTAAAAATGAAGGATCTTTTTGTATTCATCTTTGTTATGTCTAATGAACAAATTCTGGCCTATTAGTCTGCCAGTATCAGCAACCAACTGTTTCCAATCTTTTCTTCTCACCTCGCGATCAAAGATCACGAGGGATCACCATGATCAATTGGCCAAACTCAAAGCCAATGTTCAAATTTCGCTCTCGCTCCTATATCCCCATTGATCCACAAACACGAGAGGATCCCCCGCAAGAAAGGAAAAATAGAAAAACGGAGCATAGCAAACTCCAGTGGACACTTTACTTTCTATTGTAGATCGCCACCACGTAGCTTGCATGTCAATTGGCACTGACATGGCCAAGTTCCTCGTTGTCCAATGAAAAAATGGTTGTGAGCTAAATATCCTTTTCTTTAATTTTCTTTTTTTTCACACGCCCATCACCGCATATTGCAGTGCAAAACCGGACCCGAACACAATTTTGATGCCCAACTACCTTTCTTTCCACAGATGCCCTGCACACAAGCCTTACCTTAAGGGGCGGGTTGCAGTTCCATGTTGAACGACTTGATTGGATGCGGCAATTGGCAGCCGTGCGCGAGAAACATGCTCGTTCTTACCTTTCTCAACAATGAAAATCACATTGGGTACTACCTAGGTACCCTAGTCAGGCTGGATTGCTTTACATCCTGCATTGCTATACCTATATATCTTGTGCTACGTATAGTGAGTTATACTATTATTACACAATGTATATTCCACGCCAACAAAGTCGACCTGTCGCATTCCAAGGTTACAATCCGTGATCTCCCTCGGGTTTCAAACAGTTCCCATCCGGATTAATCAAGGTGATACAAGAGGCTGCAGGCACCGTAGGATGCATACCGCAGCCCAATTTTCGAGTCAGGCAGGAATGATTCATAGTCCGGGATTGGTAGTCGAGGTTAGGCCCAGGTTCCAGGTTCCAGGACTAAGCGCCAGCACACACTCGCATGAATCTCTTGCATCTGCATGCAGAGTTAGTCATGTGAAAAGCCACCTGGGCTGGTCTGTGATTCGACCCTGGTTGGAAATTGTTCGGCGTGACTGGAGTATGGTGTGTGCAATTTACGGGATGCACGACTTAAAGTCAATCACATATAGTATGAAAGTTGATTAATAATATAGGATGATAGTGGTGTGTGATGATTCGCATACCTGCAAGCAATTTATACACAATAAAATATAAAGTAGACATTACGTTTGTCCTACCGGTTCGTGCTAGATACACATAAATCAAAGCAAGAACATAAGATATAAATGGTGTATATTGTAGTATGTGCATCGTAAATACTACATACTTCCACACCTACTCCGTACATGGTAAATGATTAACTATTATAAGTAAGCAGAGTGTGGGGGTCTTGGCATGACCTCTTCTCTCATCTCCATAAACTATCGACTTTCATCTTTCTAGTCATTTTCCTACTACGGACTGACGGACCATCAAGCCATTCCGACTTTGCTTTTTTTTTAATTCCTACAGTAGGTTACGGGTCGGGTTGATTCCGCGATCTGCGCTGCCATTTCAAGAGGGTTCGTCCAAGCTTCTTCCCAAATAGTCTGTGAGGACGGTCGTCTAAAATCTCACCCCTCTTTTCAGCTCAAAGAGCGGTGTCCACTCACCGATCGGCATGTCTGAAATTCAGAGATGGACGGTGAATGAGGTGAGTTGATCGTCTTGTGCGCATGCAATTCGCCGGTGCCGACCCCTGATTTGCCTAATTTGCCTGATTCACTTGCTTTATTTGTTTTGTTATTGATTATTTTCGATCTTCTCGTGTCGGTCAAACATATTATTATTTTCCCGAGCCTCTCACAGTAGAGGGAAAAGGGATAATAATAATAATAATAATTGGCCATTTCACCAATCACAAAATCCACAAAATCCCAACATAATGCAGCTAACTCATACAATTAGCCGTACCTTGACATACCGGGAACGCTACTCGAGGGCCCCTTTCACGATGTGGCCAAAAACGAATTCCGTTTCGTTGATATCTGGGATCAGAAACTCTACCGTCTCGATCTGGCAAAGGGTCCTGACTCCTTGAGAGTCATTGATACCGCCGCTTCCGTTGGGTGGGTTTTAACACTTCACGTGGCAGACTAGTCAGCTTTTTTCTTGCTGACAGGCAATCCATGTGGATTCTTAGTGTCACCGCCAACATCGTCGACCCAAGCGGGTCTAACGAGGATCAGCTGATAGTTGGGGCCAAATATGGGTTTGCTCGGCTGAACCAAACTACCGGGGAGCTATCCTATATCCAAGAAGTCTGGGGCGAAGAAGATGGACCAGGCAAAGCGGAGAGGTAAGCATACGCCCCGAAAAGAAGAAACGAGCGCAAAAATAAATAAAAACAACCAAAAAAAAAACAAGCCACCAAAAAAAAGAAAATTACAAAAATACACAGTGACGCATTACACTGTATGTTCCCCGATAAAGCCCGACTAACGAAATTGGCTATGGACAGAATGCGTTTCAATGACGGCGCAGTCGACAGCCACGGCCGGTTCTGGGCCGGAGCCATGAACGACCCGAAAATCAAGAACCCAGAAGCAGAGGGCGTTCTCTTCAGACTGGATCCAGACCAGAGTCTGCACCGCATGCTCGCACCAGTGACGATCCCCAACGGGATCGGATGGAACCTCGCAGACGACGTGATGTACCTGACGGACTCGCCGACAGGCAAGATCTATGCCTTCGACTTCGAGGCGTCAACCGGCGCTATTAGCAACCGGCGCGTGCACTTCGATATCGGTGAGGCGCTGGAGCCGGATGGCTTCGCTATCGACGTGGAGGGATGCATCTGGACCGCTGTTTACGGAGGCGGGAAGGTCCTGCGCATCTCGCCCGCTGGACAGGTTATCGGTCAGATTGACCTGCCTACGCGTAACGTGACCTGTCCGGCTTTTGTGGGCACTGAGTTGTTCATTACTACCGCTAAGGATGATCGCGATGATGACCGGTTGCCGCAGTCGGTTAGGTATGGCGGCCGGCTTTACAGGGTTGATGTTGGGATCCGAGGCAAGTCTAAGAATGAGTTTCGGTTTCAGGGCTAGGCCCTGACGAGGGTGTTTCAATGCGACAGGGATTGTATTCCTACATATAACGTACATCGTACTTCAATATATACGCATTAGTTTCGATCTGAGTCTATTGTTCTTTACCAACAATATTGTACATGTACATACTTCACATGTGAATCTAGAAGGATCGACGATGCAGTTCAATTCTTTCAAAATTTAGCCAAAAAGGCGGTCATGGTGACGGCCCTGTTCGCAGACAACAAAAACCCAACAAATGCAGTCGACAGATCCGGATATGCAATGTTGAGCTGGAGGTGGGTCAGTGATCAGCAAACGGGCGACGACCTTCCGCGCTGTCACTGTCGGGATTTGTCGACGGTACTTTGTGCAGACGACGCAAGGGACATAAGTACGGAGTACTCAAACTAGATCGGGTTCCGCATATCGATCTCACATCATGTAGACCATACTCCATACATTTGTTGCCTTTCCCGCTCACTGGGACCGATTTCAAACTCGGCTGGACCTTTGTCAGGGCTAGAATTGCATAGGTGGCACTGCCATATATTTTGTTTTTCGGTGGATCTCGCCCTGCAGGACGGGATATAGAGTGATGGGTGTGGACATTGTTACGGTGTGTTCTGCTTTCGTAATATTGTGCACCACTGGAATAGTTAGGCGATGAGGGTGGAGAGACTAGGCGGAAGGAGCGAGATGTGCGACCTTTCAAGTCGATCAGCGAGAAATTTATATATTGTGTAGATCACATTTAGTTCAGTGTAGAGTAATCAGACCCTTAAGCAAATGACGGAATATATCTCCGGTTCGCAAGCCCACACGGCTACCTAGGTCTTCTTTTTGCTTATTCAAAGCGAGGCGCGGTTGAAGCGGACACGAGATAATCGGGAGATGCATGCAGTGGACAGGCCCCCCTAAAGCGGGATTTTCAAAAAGGAAAAGGGGCAAAGTTCAAAGCCTTAAAATCTGTCGAACAAAAGTTAGAGGTAATGTGGATACCATGCATAACCAGAGACTATTGATTATAGAAAACTATAGGGAAAAAAAAGAGCGTTAGAGATACTAGGTAACAGGGAGAGAAAGTAAGAACAAAAACTACATATGCGGTGAACCCCTGTACCGAACACCTGGGAGAGGCTACGGGGAAGTTCCACAAATTTCAAATAGTGTGATGACACGCATCCGGACCGGGGTGGTCTCGGGGATATTGAAGAAGGAAAATATCTGCCTGCCTAAGCGTAACAAGCCAACCCGACAGTTTGGAGACGGTGGTTTGAGATTTTAAGCCACAAAAAAGAAAGGAAAACAGAAACAGGGAGAAGGGAGATTTCAACCCCTGATCGAACCAACCATAACCATTGGATCTATCAGACCGTAATTTCTATTTTCGATAACTCCAATGATTCGTTAAAGAGAAAAAACGAAATAACTAACTAAGTATTAAATAGGCTAAAGATTGACAGTTAAAAAAAAAACTCTGTCGGTCTAAGACTCCTGCATGGCAGTACCTACATGATCCCCGAGAAGATCTATCGAAATCCACAACTTCGAGATCCAATTTTGGATAGCTGTCAGATGGGGAACAGTTCCGGTGGATTTCCATTGAATCGAGACCATATGGTCGGATGATCATTGACGCCAACCGGACTAGCTCAATGCAAGTGCAACGAGCAACTTCAGCTGCGCCTTTCGTAATTTCCCACCAGGATTTCGGCATCCACTTTGACATGCTCGGATGGAAGACTAATTCGATCTCCGTTGTTTATTTGACCACTTACCTCTCGGAATTCGTTTCCTTTTATCCGTTTACGATCTCATGTTGGACTATAGACTAGACTAGTCTCGACTAGTCTAGTCACGCCTCTGTCAGAGCTACTTATCCACTCACTTCGAGTTCATGCACCTCACTTTCTGAAGCTGGAGGTGTCTGGTCGGATCCCTTTCCGCATGGTCCGATCGTGGAGTATCGTGTTCCCACGATTGTGATAGAGAATGGACTAGGGCTGTCACCTAGTTTACTCTCTGTTTGTTTACTTTTTCAACCTTGATTGTCACACCTAGCACATGGGTAATTTCTTTCGTCAGTGATGACATCATTAAGATCCTTTTTACATTTAAGCCTTCGGCGTGACGTAGCTAGTGTCACGCAGTAAATAGACCAGGGTGTAAAAGATATCTAAGTTAGTTCTGTGTTCGTTGTGTTCTGTTTGCGTTACCTAGATTAATGACGTAGACAACCATGATCAAGTTGATAAACGATATTATGTTCCCCTTTTAAAATTCCCTTCTATATTGCGTGAGTGGCAGTTCTCTCAGACTTCTCCCCACTCAATGACTAGTGACTATTTCTGGGCCAACCAGATCACGCTACTGGGACTGGTCAGGAACCACTCCAATAGATAGTCCGAGGTCCTAGCCCCTAACGGTCAACGGCAACGGCCCCTTTGCCGGGTACGGGGAACTATGGTAATGCACAACATCCATAGGGGATAAAGTTTGTGTCTTGATTGTTTCGTGCAAATGAAGAATCGTGTGCCTCTGAAGGTTTGAGACTTGCTTTATGTTCGAGTTTCTGGGTTTTTCTATTTCATTTTACTTTTTGCTTTTGTTCCTCTACAGTTCGCCTTTTCACAGAACCTCAAGATCAGTGATTCAAATATTTACTTCGAGTTTAGCCTCCCGAAGCACCAAACTCTCGGAAATTGACAGGACCAAGGCTTACTACTCCATATTTAAGTACTAGGCAACTGTCGCGGATTGCCTCTCACCCGCTAGACCCGAGAGGGTATCGATCGGACGGCCCAGTGAGAGATTGAGTAGGTCGGCGTTCATCCAGTTGCCCTCCAGGGCTTATGGGTGTTCCAAATGCGTCCTGGATCGGTCTATCAAATTGACCCTAGAGAAGGTGTAGCCTTCCGAATTCCACTGTCATACTTACACTAATGACGTTCTACCCAGCAGTCCAAACCTTCCGAGTTTTGTGACTTAACCTCACTCTACCTTTTTGCTTTACTTTTACCACCAAGGGAAAAAGGCAACGAGAAATAAACATAACCCAAATAACTAGAAGAGAAAAAGAAATGAAGTAAAGTCAAAAAGGCAAAAAAATGGCCAAAATCAAGAAAACAAAAGAAATTGAAAAAGAAATAACAAAACCCAGTCTCCACTTGTCCCTGTCCATGTCCATGGTGACGGCGCCGCGCACTTGCAGCTCCCGATGATTCGTGCTGTGCATGACGATCGCTTTCCCCGGGTAGTTGAGGCGGATATTGACTAGTATTCAAGGCTATATATAATATGGGTGATAGGGGTGTGGATTTATTTGCCTTTATTTATTAATTCCCCAAATATATAATATTGTTATATCGATTATTCTTTTTTTTTCCTGCTCTTTAATACCTTTTAAGTATTTTCTTTTCGGCATCTATTTATTGCCCATACCCACAAAAATAAATAAAAAGCAAATAAAAAGCAAGAAAAGAAAAGAAAAGTGAAATAAAAAAGAAAAAAAAGGCCCAACTGGCAGTTCCCGGGGGTTAGACACTATATCCTGCCCAACGCTAATCCGACAAACTGGGTCGGACAGAGAGACAACTTAACCTGTGCTGGAGCCATCCAGACTCAGGTGATGGATCATTCTCTCACCGCTGCTCAACGGCTCATATTAGAGCTTGTCTTTCCCATTTTTTCTGTCCATTTTGCCTTTGCATCCTTTCTAGCTCTAGTCTTCTTTTACTGTCACATCTTATCATTTATCACTATCTACCTAAAACCTTCATTATATTGACAACCTCCTCAATTGCTTAGGAGGGTGTCAAATTGGGTCGTCTTTCCAAGTATATCCTCTTCGTCCTCCACCGTGGCTGCCCTAGGAATCAGCGTGTTAAACGCACCTTATTCCAATTCACTACATTCAACCAATTTGGCACTTTACTCGGATCGTTATTCGTCAGCATCTCCCTCTCTCTCTCACACTCTTCGAGAATCCGGCGACGAGGGAGAGAGGGGGTCTCGGCCATGCCCTAATTCCCGGTCCAACGTGGTGTATTCAAATTCCATGTCGCAGAATCTTCGACGTGCAGGTTCCTTGTCTAGAGATACGCCTCAGGATGATGATTCGGCGATAGACAGTGACCGTTGGCTTGTCACCAGCCGCAATACATCACGTCGACCACCACTTCGGACTCGACCTCAGTCATGGCATCCATATGGACCCGTGGAGCCGCCATTAGAGTCCTTGTCATCACGCCCAATTGGGGTTCATGCCATCTTGAATCCCCCCTCTCAGGCAACAACAGAGCTGGCTCCAACCAGTAATCGTAAGCCACGCGTTCTACCGGGCTCGCCTCGACCTCAGGTCTCCTCGCCAACCACCCGTCCATCACATCCTTCGGTGCCGCAGCCATTGTCTCCTCGGTCCCATGCACGCCCTTTGATGAATCCAGCCTCGCCCTCGGCACGGTTTGTGGGTGGAGGTGGTAGGACCTCTGTACAGTCGAGCGTCGCACAGTCACCGCTAGTTCCTCAGGAACATTTGATGGGCCCGCGCCTTCCCGCTTCCAGTTCGCCTGTGCCACTAGACGCGGGCCTACGTCCAATAGCATCTATTACCAGCACACAGCCACCTGTGCTAGCTTCGCTGCATTCTACACCTAGTTTGCATTCCCGACGAACGAGCGTTGGCCCAGGGCCTCTCACCAACCCGAGTTCTCAAGAGACAAGCCCCAGCACACCCCATTCAACTTTCAGTCCATTTGGTCGAGTATCCCCAGCTGTGACTAGCGTCTCCCTCCCACAAAGCGCCACATCATATCCCACTGCACCTCCCCCGTACATGAACATGGACCCAATGAGCCGGGGCGTTCCCGCCACCAAAGGACCCAGATCCCAGCCCGAAGAAAACCCAACCCGAGCAGGCCCACCGCAGGGCAGTCCATTACCATCAGGAATGATCCCGTGCGTGCTAGACATGCGATCCGGGTCGAGCAGCCAAGCCGAAAAGCGCAAGGCGAACAGCGACGCCTCACGGCGCTTCCGCAACCGCAAACGCAACGAAATGCAACTCGAGCAGCGGCTCACAGCCCAGCAAGACGAGATCCAGCGCAGCGTAGAAACAGTCCGCCGCCAGAACGAAGAGCTCCGCTCCCTCGTCCAACAGCGCGACCACTACCGCTCCGAGCGCGATTTCTACCGCGACCATCTCGGTCGCACAATGTCCCTAGCCGCTCTGCCCCCAAGACCTGCTTCCCCAAGATCGACCCAATCCGCATCCACCCTTGTCGCACCCGAAGGTGCTCCGTCCACTTGGTCGGGCGCTGATGCTGCCCGATCCGTTTCAGGCACACAACCCGCTGCGGGTGGCCCGGCGGGAAGACTGTTGGACTCGGCTCAGTCGCAGCCTGCTTGGCCTGCAAACCAGCCTTATTCTACAGCCCCTATCCAACCCGCTGGACGGGGGTTACTATTACGCCTGCTGTGTCGCCGTCGCTGTCTGGAGGCCCACTGCCGCCTCTCCAGGGCTCTTGGTCGCGCCCTTGAACTTGCGACATATATCCAGCAAGGTTCTATTCTGTTCTCTCATGTCATTTTCCCTTTCTCTTTACTCCTTTTATTCCCTCTGTCTGCGTTACCAAGGAAGAAAAAAACAAAGCGGTCACTGGTTTGGCCGCTGGCAGGTGGTGTATGCACCTCTAGTAATGTGGTCTACTTTGAAAGTATTTCCTCCCACAGGCTGGGTTAATTACTATCTATCTGCATCTCTTCTGGAATTATCAAAAGCCCTCAGCTCTCACCTCAAGGTCTCAAAAATGATACCTCTCATACCTACACGCCTCCTTCCCTTCCATACTCTGTCTGTCTTGTTACCCGCGCCCCCTCCCCATATTTGATTTTCCTCACTCCTTTCATGGATTGCACAGCGGTGATACCTCCATTGGCGACGCATTGAGTCTGAATTCTTGTTATTAAATTAGATGATATGATTTGGAAATTGAACAATAAACATGGACATTCGAACCAAGATCTAAAGCTCCGAACTAGGATTATCCTTCTCCAACTTAACCCTGGAATCTCATTATTGCTGCCTAAATGTTAGAAAACACTCTTGCGGTCTGAGATATCTTGGCCCTGTGAAATCATGGCCTCGGATCATAAGGAACCAAAAAAGCTTAAGTTTTGCATTTATTCTGACACACCCTTTCGTTGATAGTGATTGGTTGATCCTCGCTGGATCCAGAACGAGATGCAGGGGTTGAGTCTAATCTGTGGTGTCAGAACCTTGGAACCTGGGCCGTTTACATGACATCATGAACGAGTGGAAATGTAGAATCTTCGCTTGAATTCACTATAAATTGACCTCGCTGCGTGTTGAAATCCTTGGTAAGCGGGATTGAATTGCATGGTCTTCACTGCGTGTCATTCCATTTGTGAACCTAGATTTTCCTATTTATGTTTCGGCTCAGATCTAGTGATGGGATTGATATCTCGTCAAATTTCAGGAAATACTAAGAAAGAGAACCTCAAGGTGATAATTACGTGATGATTGGTAATGATTGAACATATTTTTCTCAATGAATATCATTGATCCATATAGATAGAAGAAAGATTGAATTCAATCTCCGGTTTAACACCGATATAGTCGTGTTCGGCGATTGAGGCTTAAATCCGTTTGGGACATCGGTCTCGCCATTAAGCTTCAGCATTAAAGCAGCGACTGTGATCAATATTCCCGTGGTATTTATGTATTTAGAGCGTTTAGTTCTTGTTGGGAGGGCAGGTGGTCTCCCATGTTCCCCATAAATTTATGTGCATGCTCTCTCTTCCTCTCCTCTCTTCTTCCCTCCCAGTTTTCAATCTTGACGATATCTCAATCTCATTCCAAGCTTTTCCCTTCACCCCCTAAGTGAGATCACAAGAAAACTTACCATGACTGAACAAACCATCATCTTGATAACCGGTAGGCCACAAGCCAATAATTTCAAATTCCGCAAAGCTCACCCACATTAGGCGCCAACTCTGGTGTCGGCTACGCAACAACTCAGGTCCTCGCTAGCTACCCAAACAACCACATCATCATGGGCTGTCGAGACCTAGCAAAAGGTCAATACGCCCTAACCGAGATTCAAAACACCGACCCAAAAGGAACCATCTCGCTCCTACAGCTTGACGTCGAAGACGACACCTCAATTTCCAAAGCAATCGACACCGTAACCCAGCAATTCAACCGACTAGACGTGCTGGTAAGCAACGCCGGCACAGCAGCACCAGGTACCAGCGGTCGCGCCCAGCTAAGCCAGATCTTCTCGATCAACGTCTTCGGCGCAATGCTTGTCTCCGAAGCCTTCATCCCGCTTCTCCTTAAATCACACCGGCCCTATCTCATCCAGGTCTCCAGCGGGCTAGGGTCTGTGACTCAGGCGTGCGATCCACAGAGCCCGTATTATCCTGCAGCCTGGGACGAGTACCGCATGAGCAAGGCGGCGCTCAACATGATGACTATCCAGATGCATAAACGATTGCAGGAGCGTAATGTGCGGGTTTTCGCATTTTGTCCTGGTCTGGTGAGGTCTAGTTTGAGGGGTGAGAGCGAAGAAGCTGTTAGTGCGGGGGGACAAGCTGGTGATCCATTGGAATCTGGTAGAGGGATCCTAGGTATTGTCCTTGGTGAGCGAGATGGAGAGGCTGGTGGGTTCATTAATAAGGACGGTCGGTTGGCGTGGTGAATTACTCAGCGCTAATGGATTTGAGTTGTTATGTGCACGGAATTATCAATCAATCAATCAAAGTTCAGTTAACCTGTTGCAGTCTAATTAGTTGTGTATGACTATGCAGGCGCTTCATCCAATAATGAATTTATGCAAAGAAAAATAACTCCGCCGTTGAGAGCAATGTATTTTGATAGACCATTCGAGTGATCTGATTGGCTCCTTAAGTTCCGGTGGGATGTTCCCTTTCATCCGGTGGAAGTTGATCATCCATTCACCGCAACTTTGCAACAACTCACAGTCGAGACTCAATGAGGGTCACTTAGGACAACCAATTATTAGCAAATATAGCCCACAAGACACTCGAAAATGCGGGGGGGGGGATGTGGATTCCGGGTTTCTCCATGTTTTTGGTCGATGTGGGTGGTTCTCGTGCCCCCTTTGTTCATATTGAGCACAAATCTCCAACACAGTAGGCAACTAAAAAATCACTAGTAAGCGGTACCTCTGGAGAGCAGCATGAAGCGAGTGACTCAACGAGCATCACAGGCGTGCATTGAGTGCAGAAGGTTAAAACTCCGGTGTGAAACAGATCCAGGTTCACGTGTCTGTCGAAGGTGTCTATCGAGCTCCTCCTTCTGTCGCCGCAAAGAGTGAGTTGCAATCTGAGTTCCAAGAGAAGAAGTGCAGATGGGAGTTGTGTCAGCGCTAAAACCTTTAGCAGCAAACTGAAACAGGTATCGGAGCCCGTGCCGATGGATCTCGCTTCATCTGTTAGTGTTCTCCTCGAGGCCTTTTCAAATGCCGAGGATGTAGATCGGCTAGACAAGAGTGGGGGTGATCTAGGTAAATTATATACCAAGAATTTTTCACATATGTGAATGGTTGCTGATGTTCATTAAGGTCCCTTTGCGCAGCAGCTCATCGCAGCAGGCTCTGATCAACCTCACATGACACTGACACAAAATGTACCCCAAACATATCCGCTAGACAGTTATCTTACGACAATAAATGAGCTTCTCTCGCCGCGAACGCCCGATCTCATCCTTGGGGAATACAACCAACCATGGGAATTACAGAGGACCTTCAAGACCCAGCTTCCCAATGTCTCCCAAGACACCGAAGAATATCTGAAATTGAAAGGAGCTTTGAGGATTGTCCCCATTGAGCTTCGAAACCAGCTGATTGGAGCCTATATAAAATATGTTCATCCTCTGCTCCCAATCATCGATTTGCAATGGTTCTTAGTGAATGTTATCGTCGAGGATGAGTCCAAGTTTGCAAGTCCACTTCTCCATCAAGCTGTGATGTTGGCTGGCAGTGCATTCATTGAGCAAGAAGCTGCCATTAAAGCTGGATTTTCATCACGGAAGGCCCTACGCAAAACACTATTTGGGCGAGCGAAAGTGAGTTACCACTGGAGCAGCTCAATATAGCTCAAACCAACCTAATATCTTCACCAGATCCTTTATGAATTCGAAACAGAACCCGACGCATACATCCAAATTCAAGCCTTGTTACTCATGATGCAATGGCATGGAAGTGGTGCTGGCCACAAAGATCCAACATATTGGTTCGATCTTGCATATTCGACCGCAGAGCGCGTTGGCCTGCTGCGGAGCCTGGAGCCAGGCAGTTTCTCCCACAAGCATCGGTTGTGGTGGTGTCTCTACGTTCGCGACCGCATTCTTTCCCTTGGCTTCCGCCGTCCACTGCGAATCCCCAATGGAGATGTTAGGATGTCCCTGCTAGAATCCACAAAGTACTATTCTTCCGAGCCCTACCATGAGCTTGTTCTAGTGATGCTAGGAGACGCCTCCGCTATGCTCAACTGGGAAAATCAAGAACGGGTGATGCTTTTGTTCATTCAAGAAATAAAGTTGGCACATTGTGTTGGGGTGATTGTGGGGCATTTCTACCAAGGTGCCTGGTCCCCTTCACCATCGGGATGCTCTATCTATTCTCTTGTCCCGAAGTCGAATATATCGCAATGTGCCTTAACAGAATGCGAACGGCTTCTGAAAACTTGGATTCAGGATCTTCCTGCCCCAGCACATTACTTTCCTCCTTCTTTGTTGCACGATTATCATCCAGAGTCCCCAGAGATTGTGCTTCTTGTTCATCAGTCTTTCCTATATCTCCTTCACCTTACTGCAATGTCCATTCTGTATCAAGCCGCATCGAACGGAGAAGATGGTCACCGGACAGCGATCATGCCAGAAATGAGAAACCTCACAGCCCGGGTCAATGAGACCCTCAACGAGCTATACGACTGCAGCATGCTTCATTTCCTCCCTGGGAGCACAGTCACCATCCTTTTAATCATTCTCGAGGCAAGCTTGCCGGACCTCAAAGTATCGGATGATATTGTGCGTCTGCAAGCTATGTCGAATCTGTACGCCTGTGAAGAAGCAGCCGGCCATTTACTTCAAACATATCCCGCAGCTGAGATTGTTCTTTCGCAAGCGCAGACTGCTCGTGGGCATCTCCTAGGCTTAACTGCAACTTGACTGGCATATAAAAGTAATCAATGTAGCATATTTAGAATGAAACCAATTATTTGAATCTGCCGATCAGCCCTTTTGAGATTATAACCTAAGAGTCTCTTGGCTCAGTACTTTCAAAACGTGCAATGCTAAATTCGAGAATTTTACAGCTAAAGAAGCGGGTAGACTTAAGCTCGGTTCCCCGCGGGTATCCGGCTATACCCCAAAACAATTTGCGGGGACCCCAGCCGTGACCCAGACCCTTCAAAATTTGATTTCTAGACCAGTGGCTTGGCTACAGGACGTGGAACTACGTACAATGTCCACGGAGGGCGAGTCTCCAGATCTACCCCGTAAGTCACATCGCACTTCGCGGGCATGTGACAGATGTCGTCGACAAAAACTCAAGGTAGATGGGTCTTGCACAACGCCCCTGATTCCAGACTTCTGACTCCGTGTACATACAGTGTGATAGCTCTAGGCCATGTGTGCTGTGTACCCATGCTGGACATGAATGCGAGACCTCTCAACGTGTAGCACGGCGCACTCGCAGACGGAACCTAGGCAGGGATCCCCACAAGCCTATTAGGGTGCACAAAGTAATCGCACCAGCGATACATAAAAATGACCTTACCTTGCCTGCAGGCTTGGGGATTGCAGAGATATCAGATGCGACGGAGAGCTCGGCTTCCTACGCAGACCACTCGCCAAAAGAACCACAGTCTGGTGCGAATGCTTCGGCGATTGACTTTGCCAGGCGAGTCTTCAACGAGGAAGAAGCTGGTCGGACCCTGACCGGTGCATCAATCCCCGGTGATACAGGAGCTCCAAGGGTAGATAACTCATTGTGGCATTTAACAGAGGTGGAACTCCCACCACAGCCTGTGATGCTAGCATTGATTGATGCCTACTTCGACCGAATGCAATGGTTTGTGATATTATTCCATGAAACATCTTTCCGACATACCGCGCGCAGGATAATTTCCCGCAATGCGTGGCGACGCCAAGATCTCAGCCCTACCATGGCTGTGCTGGCAGTTGCCATGATCGGTTTACAGTCTGTGCTACCCGATCAAAAGTGGTCCGGGCATGAGCTGCTGCGTGGATATTCTATTGATGGGGTGAAGCTGATGCATGGATTCATCAATGAGATACGGCGGAATCTGCTTGATATCTCGGTCGACTGTCGCATTGAAGCTGTTCAGGTTTGTTTTTTGGTGTCTTCGTATTATGTCTACCATAACTCGCCGAGTATTGCTTGGACCGTATCGGGTATGGCTGTGAGGTCTGCCTATGCTCTGGATTTGTATACAAGGCCCTCGCAGGATGAGAATCCAGTTGTGGATGCGATTCGCTCTCGTTGCTGGAACCATGCTATTGTCGGCGATACATTTACATCTATCATCTATGGACGCCCGTCGTCTATAGACACTGGGCTTGTCGCTCTACATCCAATAAGAGATATGGATGACTTGGCACTCGATCCCCTGCTTTTGGAAAATGAATGGATTGCTGCAGCTGGGAGCCCAACAACTACAGCTGGCTTTTTCACCATGAAGTACGAGCTTTACAACATCATCCGACATATACTTTCCCGACTTCGGCGTCTTCAACTGAGGAAGGAAACTACAGAAGAGGACCTGGAGGCAATTGCAGAAGCTTCACAAGATTCAGAGACACAGCTGATCTGCTGGCGGAGAAGAGTTCCTCGGTTATTTGATTTTGAATTTTGGGGCAGCGAGAATCGACTACAACTGTTCCAGCAACAGATCGAAGCAATGCCTCAGCGTGCAAAATGCCAGGCAGAAACCATCATATTACAGGCCGCATGTCTCCAATTGACATACGATGGAGCATTGATACAAGCCCGTCGGCCTCTACTAGAACAAAAGATTTCCAGTGCTTGTTCACGCTCGGTTGTGGAGGCAATCCGTCAATCATTGAGGGTAGCTACGGCAGCTGCACTCCGAATATCCCGCATTCCAGTCCTTCGCTTCAAGCACCATTTCGCCGAATCCTTCGCTTCTCTGCAACAATTCACGGCAGGCGTTATCCTCTGTATTACACCAACCAACCAGCCTTTTACTACTGCCGCGCACGAAGCCAAGGCTGGTATCTTGCGGATTATACATGCCAGTACGGCATTTGGGCCTCACAATCGTATAGCTAAGCAGACTGCACAGCTGCTAACAGAGCTGCTGAAGGTGACCATTGAGCGGGAGATGTCCGGTGCACTGAGAGGAGTCGAGCCAGGTGCTAGTATTGACTCAAGTGTTCAACAGTCCAATGAAGGCCCCAGTGGCTCCCAGCCATTGCCCATCCGAGAATCCTTTCTTGATAGCCCCTCAACATCAACCCACCCACTGCACCATCCCCGGCAACCCCAAGATATATCTCGAATCCTTGACCCCAGCAAGGCCAACGATCAGCTGACCCAGGCGTCGGAATCCTCGGAATATCCATCTGCAAACATCTTCGAACAACTCGATGATACATTCGGGGCTTTCGGTGAACGTGAGTGGATCTATATCACAAGCCAAGCATCAGCCTCTTTAATTAACATATCATAGTGATGTTTAATCTGATACCCGATGATCAAAGTAGTGCTTGGAACTGGGGGCGGACATTCCCCTAGACACTCAGAATTGTATGAACGGATACACCTCGATCATGAGATCGTCAATCAAATTGAAGCCCAAGTACGCTCCGAGCACAACGATAGGGACGAAGAAATGTCTTATGAACACCAGGATCAAGACCACAGCGGTGAATAAGTAGATACAGAGCGTGAGATCCGTTTGCTTCATGGTCGCAAATGGGCTCGTATGTGGTATTTGGTAGGACTTCATTGATCTGCCAGAAAAACCCATCATTTCAGTGTAGGAGCATAGTATCTGAGAGTTAAATAGAGAAGAAGAAAAGCCAAAGAGGACTGTTGGATTTCATGAGTTGTTCGCTGCCCAACTAGTTGTTGGGGTCTCATGCAGTGTAACAAAACCCCGCGCGTCACACATAGCCATTGTCAGTGGATGCCTCATCTAATTATCTGGTGTACAGCCATAAAATGGAACCAATACCCTGTTGTCAAGATTTAATTTGCGAGTTGTGTTTGAATTTGTCCTTTACACGTCTGATGCTAAGCCCTGAAGTGGGTTAGGCAAAGATTACGTGAGGTGTACCTTTTCTACCCAGATGAGCTTCCCCAGGGCTCCCAACCAGACATCTGCAAATAGATTGTTGAAAATCTTTGCGAAATTTCATCTTTGAAAGATATGTCGCATTCCGATCAGATCAAAATGAGTACGCTGATCAAGTTTGAGGTATTTAGTGTTGCCAAGCCTTTGAGTTCTTGCAACAGTGAACATCAACAATGGCGTATATTAGACTCTATGCGCAAATGCCTTGGCCATAGATCTCGACCTTGCTAACATATCACAGAAGCTGAGCACCCCCATAGCACTCAGGTTTCGTCAAGAAGTGAGCTTTACGGCCGAGAAATGACAGATGTCATATGTGTGGAGCATTGCGTGCTCTAGACCTTCATCTTCATAGGATAGAGTCCCACGCTTGGCATAAAAGGCAAAACTGAGATATCGCGATTATAATGGGTCCTGGCGTGCCATGCTGCTAAACCTAGATGTTAAAACAAGATAAGAATGCAGCCCAGTACTGATGTAGCGTGAAGTGTTTTCAAGTATATCATGGCTTTCGAACGTGCAGCCCGGTTCTACCGGTCATGTCTCCTCCAGATCATCCTTGTCGGACTCGTCGCATTCTGCGAACCCGGTATCTGGACCGCTCTCAACAATCTCGGTGCAGGAGGAAATGCCAAGGCAAGTCTCAGCGTTGAGATCATACACAACCTTACTAACTAATTGCACAGCCATTTCTGAACAATGCCGCTAATGCATTGACGTATGGACTCATGTCAATAGGCTGCTTTCTGGCTGGTGGCGTGACAAACAAGATCACCGCAAAATGGACCTTGTTCATCGGAGCCGCCTTCTACACGCCTTATGCGGCGGGTCTATACTGCAACAACCGATACGGTAATGAGTGGTTCATGCTGCTCGGCGCCGCGCTCTGCGGAATTGGAGCCTCGCTCCTCTGGGCGAGCGAGGCTGCTATCGCGGTTGGGTACCCAGAGGAGGAAAAAGAGGACGGTAAGTCGGATCGCGAGCTTCTCGTCTTCAATTCACTGACTTTTACCAGGTACGTCGGAATCTGGATGGGAATCCGCCAGATGGGACCGCTCGTTGGCGGCGCGATATCCCTCGCTCTCAATATCAACACAGCGCATGCTGGAAAGGTCACCTACACCACATACCTAGGCCTTGTTGCCATTTCGGCTCTTGGCGCGCCGATTGCGCTGCTGTTGTCGCAGCCGCAGGATGTTATCAGAAGCAATGGTACGAAGATTCCTTACATGAAGAATACGAGCTTCGCCATTGAGGCCCGCGCTATCTGGAAGCAACTGTCGAATAAGTACATGCTGCTCCTGATTCCGGTCTTTCTGGCCGGACAGTTCGGTACAACATATCAAGGAAATTATTTGACCAGTACAAACCCCTAATTTCCATTCTTGTGAACAGCACGCTAACAAACCCCCAAGCATATTTTACCGTTCGCTCCCGGGCCCTCGCATCATTCTTGACGGCTGTGGTAGGCGCAACTGCCAACATCAGCACAGGATTGATTCTCGATCTGAAGTTCATTTCTCGCGAGAACAGGTCCAAGGCCGTGTACATTTTCGTGCTGGTCTTCGTTACAGCAGCCTGGACCTGGAACGCCATCGTCGAGACCAAACTCTCCCGCATGGCTGAGCCGCCCTCCTTCGACCTCGGCGACGGCCCCTTCTTCAACTCCGCTTTCACCGTGTACATGTTCTTCAAGTTCTTCTACGAGGTGCTGCAGACTTACATATATTGGTTGATGGCTGAGATCAAGGGCGCGCAGAGAGATGGCGATATCGCGCGCACTACTGGTATTCTTAGATCGTGGGAGTCAATTGGTAGCACGATTGCTTATGCTGTTGGGGCGACTCACTGGCCGAACTTGAACCAGATGATACTTGGATTTGCGCTGTGGGGATTCACGATCCCGTTCACGATTCTTGCGGTGTTTGGGGACTGGAATCAGTCTGAGGCTTTGGATGAGGTGTTGGGCGAGCAGACGGATAGTAGTAGCTTGGAGGCGCAGAGGGTGGTTATCAATTCTGATGGGAAGGACTAGAGTGCTTTGACAGAATAGTTCAGGTTGCTCATATCCCTGTATAAAATTATATATTTAGAGGACACAGCTAGACACTGTGGAAGCCATGAATTTTATTCTTTTCTGCTTCTACAGTACATTCTAATGTTATGTTGTTGATCAAAAGGACTTATGTATATAGCTGCATGATATTCTGCTTATCTCCAGAGTGGTCCAGGGCGTTATATCATCAACAATTTGGAAACTTTTCTGGCCTTTCCTCCAAAGTCCTGCCAACCGATTCCGCATTTACACGATACGAAGATACAAACTCCATCAACATAGACATACTCCCAGACAACGGCACGTCACAAGCAGAGCGACGATGTAATCAAAACGATGGCCCCAAACACGCCCGTTTGCTATGTAATTATACCACACGCTTCTCCGATCTCATTCACATCAACACAACCTTCCAGAACCAAACTATCAATTGCATCCAGCCTACATCAATCCGCCATGATAAAAACTTTCCTATGCCTACTTATACTCTTTTTTGTCATTCCTATGACAGGTGACATACTCGAGCCTATCATGACTTGTCCTGGCACGTATCTCATGCTCGCCGCCCTGGGGACCTTCATTTTCTACGGCACATATGTGCAATACTTTTGGATGTTCCACCCCACATTGCAGCCGTGAGATGATGCGAATGGACCTGTAAGAAATTACTCGGACGAATGACAATATTACAATGCTAAACGTCTTGTCCTAGCTCCATCAAATCTTCGAAGTTGGCGGCTAGGGAAGATTATTGACGCTTGAGTCGGCGGGTGCTTGGATACAAGGGACGAAAACACATGTGCAGTTGCTGAGGCGCAAATACAATACGGGTTCAAACTCAACCCATTCCCGGTGTCTGACTATGAACTACGAGGGAAAGAGGCATAAAGACATGAACTTCACATTACAGAATAGCTGAAATTGGACGCAAGCATGAAAGAAAAAAACATCTTATAAGATGCGAGGCCGAAGCTCGTACCAAGATATCAAAAAAATTAAGCCTGGAAACAACGGACATTATTCCAGAGCTTTGAAGAAAGAAACAGAACCCAGCGCTGGAAGCGCTTAGATGGCGAAAGCGACAAGGAGACCGGCGAAGACAGCACCGAAGCTGATGGTCTTGGTGGAGGTAGCGCCGTTGAAGACGGGCGACGAGGCAGAGGGGGAAGCAGAGACAGTGCCGGAGGCAGCGACGGTGGAAGCGGCTGCGGAGGAGGTCCAGGCCTTGGAGGTCACGCCGGTGGGGACAACCACGGGGATGGAGGTGGCGGAAGCAGTCTCAGTCTCGGGGCAGATGGTGGTGGTGACCACGGAGCTGGAGATGACGGTAGACCAGGCGGGGGTGGAGGTGGAGACGGCGGGGGCAGTGGTCTCGGTCTCAGGGCAGATGGTGGTGCTCTCGGTGGTCTCGATGGTGGTAGCGGTGGCGGTGTGAGCGGCGGTGGTCTCGGAAGCCTCAATGGTGGAGGCGGCGCTGGAGGAGCCGGCCGCGGCGGAGAGACCGAACTGGGTGGAGTACTGGTACTGGCCGGTGCCCTCGACGACGAGAAGGAGACCGTAGTGGGTGGTGTCGGGGGTCAGGTCGGAGCCGGGAGTCCACTTGAACTCGCCGCTGTTGGGAATGGACTCGGCCAGAGTCTTGAGGGGCTGGACGTTGTTGGAGGGTCCGCGGAGGAGGACCAGAGAGATGGGACCGGTGGTGGTGGGAGTCCACTTGATGGTGTAGGTCTTGCCCTCAGGAACGATCTCGTTCAGGCCAGGGGAGATGATGGCGTTGCCGGTAGGGTTCTGGCTGTAGTCCGGAGTGGTGTAGGCGGCGGCCATGGCCACAAGGGCGGAGTAAATGGTGGCGGTGGAGAAACGCATTTTGATGGTTTTACCTTAAAGAGTGACTTGGTTTAGATTGAGAAAAAGGAATGGCTATCGTTAAAGAACGAAAAAGAGTGTTTAAAAGAGAGTGAACTAAAAGAAAGAGAAGAGAAGAAAGGAAGAGGGGAGGCGAAGTGCATTTCTACCGCGATGTAAGTGGGTCCGGACTACGGAGTCAAGTGTGCCTCAAAAGGTCAAAGGCTGTTGTACCTGCATTTACTGTACATACGGAGTACAATGAACGTACTGTATTCTATCACATCACTCTAAGCGAGTGTGGCTTTTGGAAGACACCGTCTTACATAGCCCAAATTTACTCCTTTTTAATTCCAGATAACTCATCACATATTTCACCTTAACCATGGATTAAGTAGGAACTTTTCTCAATGAACACAGTAGATTGTACCTTGAAAATTTACAAAACGACCAAATGCATCATTGCCCTCGTGGCAGATGAAAACGAGCGTGTAAGGAAAATGTTAAAAAAAAGAAAAGAAGAAACGAAAACCAAACAGCAGAACGCTATGCATTAGGGGTAATTAATTTTAACTGGCACACACTCTGATTGGTAGGAGACCGGGAGTTAATATTAGCCCAAGTACTTCGACCCCAACGGTAGACCCTTCATGTAGAGAATGTATTTCGGCATTAAATTACCTCTAAATGAGGGAGATTGGAAGGACTAGAAGGAATGTTGGAACTCCTAGGCAGCATTTGTTCATTTGTTAATTATTTGATAAAATATGGAGAAATACAATCAAAATGAACAAACAATTACTTATACATGTACACAGTAAACATTTAAACGTGTTTGTTTACTTTTAACTCTTGGCGCCCGGATATGATCCGATCATTTCCTTCCAATGGTTCCTACGAAGTACATATCGATGGAACCGATAGAACAAGTCTCATCTATTAATATTCCAACCGACGTATCTTTAGCTAGATATATACATGTCTACAATAAACAATTGGACAATTCGGCACATCTTCTAAGATTGATCATTTTAATTGCGCCACTTTTCCACAGAATCCGAAGCAACTGTCGAAATATCCCGGACCCTGTGACAAGTGTGATACATGTAATTTAACCCAAACCTTGTGCCTTACAACCTAACTAGGATGAACTTGCATGCATATACATGTCCATGTGCTCTTACGGGATTGCAAAGTCAACTTGCAGCTTTGAGATACTGATAATCGCGACGATCAACGTTCTATCTCCACAGCATAAACGAGGGGCCGGTAACAAACCGCTACTATGACGATCCCGTCGGTTCACTCATCTTTCAATTTTCAGGGGAAATATCGTCATTGTGTAACCAACTGTTTTCTAAGATTATAAGTTACCTGTAGTTTTTACGAAAGTTAAATTGATTAAGGTACCCGTATGTTCTCCATAGGTAAATTCCAATATTAGTACCGAGTATGCGTCTTATTATTGTAGGTAACAAAAATGTCTCACCTTAGGGCTGTACAGATTACTCTGTTCCTGAGAGAGTGGGTTTCGCCTCAAACTATTGAACTTGCCGGTCTCTGGTCCCAAGCTCGAGGCCATGATGGGTGTACTATATTTACATTTGCAACATTAGTGCAAGTTCAGCGATTTCAAATGTTCATATTTTTTAGTCTCGGGGTTGCCTTGATCGAGTTAGCCAGGCGAATCCTGCCATTCAGCCGCATGAGCGCCCCATGAAGCGAAACGGAGCCACCCCGGCGACAATACCGTATACAAGGCATAACGAATTTTACGGTAATACTAATGCAAGCATTCGATTGTTCTATCGGGTATCAGGACCAATGTAGACTTTCAACCGAGAGAAAAGTCTCCGTCATTGGCGAGGCCTCGCAAAGCCAAGCCAACCCTGGCCCCCAATAGGCGCCAAACAAGCTCTAGTCAGACAGTCCAAAAATTGATCCAAGATTTGCTCCAGCGTAGACGATATACTACCAGGGGCCACTACTACCATAGCTACTACTCTGACCAGGGGGCCAAAATATCCCAACTGCTACCTAAGAGCAGAGCCCGAGAGTCTAATAATTACTCCTGCCAAGTAACAGTCTTGGTCTGAAGGAATTCGTCGTATCCCGAAGTTCCTCCGAAGCGACCAAAGCCACTGCTCTTCCACCCACCGTGGGGCAGAACCGGCTCATCGTGCACCGTCATTGCGTTGATGTGCACCGCCCTGCAAACTCAGTTAGCATTACTCATTTGATATCCCATGATGTGATAGAAACGCACCCGGAATCAATCTGCTTAGCCACCCGCAGTCCGCGGAACAGATTGCTAGTGAACACAGATGCGGTCAGACCGTATTCCGTGTCATTGGCCAGTGCGATCGCCTCGTCTTCCGTGTCAACCGTGATTAGAGACACGGTCGGCCCAAACGACTCGGTCGCATACATATCCATTTCCTTGGTAACGCCGTCGACAATTATCGGCCGCATACCAGTGTTAATGGACTCGCTACCGCTCACATCGCCAAAGACCACCGTCGCGCCCTGCGACACCGCATCCCCAACTAGCTTCTTGTTCTTGGCAACGGCCGCAGCATTAACAAGCACCAGCGCGGGCGCCTCCTTGCCAAACAGCTTCTCCGCCGTCTCCGCCAGCTTCTGGCGGAACACGTCTGCAATCGACCGCTGCACGACAATCCGCTCGGTCGACATGCAGATTTGTCCGGACTGTAATTAATCGTCAGTATCACACTGTTCCTTGCCGGGGTCTCGATCAACATACATGCATGAACGATCCGATAGCGCAGTTCATAGCAGCCTTGTCCAGGTCCGCGTCGTCCAACACAACCGCCGACGCCTTACCGCCCAGCTCCAGCAGCACAGGCTTGATGTACTTACCCGCAGTAGAGGCGATGATGGAGCCGACCATCGTGCTACCAGTGAAGTTGACCTTGCGCACGGACGGGTGTGCGATCAGCGCGTTTGTCACGGCCGGCGCGTCTGTAGGCTGGTGGAAGAGCACGTTCAGACATCCCGCCGGGAGACCGGCCTGGCGGAAGATGTCGCCCAGCGCCCAGAAGCACTTGGGCGAGAGCTCGGAGCCTTTGAGGACAACGGTGTTGCCGGCCGCGAGGGGCAGGGCGACAGCGCGAACACCGAGGATAAACGGCGCATTCCTGCATAAGACAAAGAATCGGGTCAGCTGGCCTGCATTCCATTGCATATCGATTTCGATTCGGAAATGGTGATGATATTTACCATGGCGCAATTGACAAAATCACTCCGTAGGGCTCCTTGTATACGATGGCGCCCTCGCCTTCGCGATTGATATTAGGGACGACGCCCTCGATGGTGGGGATTCGGCCTGCGAAATCCTTGATGAAGTTCACGCCCATATTGAAGGTGTGTTCAGTGAAGGGGCGACCGGCGCCGGTCTCCTCGCGCTGGTACTGGATCAATTCCTCTTTGCGGGAAGCCATGATGTCAGCGGCCTTGAGGAGGAGGTCGCGGCGCTCGTAGGGCTTTGTCTTGCTCCATGCTGGGAAGGCAGCTTGCGCGTTGTCAACTGCTCGCTTGGCCTCCTCGACGGAGACGCCTGCGCAGTAGCCGTTCAGCTCGCCGGTGGCAGGGGCGTAGACCTCAAACTTGATGTCGGTCTCAATTGATTCATTATTGATGATGACGGGAGTTGTAGACACCATTTTGAATGCAATGTGAAGGCAAAATCAAGTGAAAGTGTGAAATATATAAGGGGTATCTTGATTAACTCTAATGCTAAAGGGGTCAAATATATATTTAAGAGCTGAGATCTGATCTTGACCGAGTGGTGGCGGGGGGTGTAGTGGGGAATTATGTTGAAAGGACGTTGATTGGTTTTTCAAATCATCGTCAGAACAATATTTGGAGATCATCACTTAACTCCGTTCATATTGATCAGACTTGGCAACGGACATCCATGGGTTACTGCAATATCTCCGGTTTTCCATTTATTCCCACTCGGATATATAATCCATCACTCCCCATTCAACTAGTTAACCCGCTTGCCCAACAGCCGAGTGGGGGACATGACCCGAATTCACGATGACTAAAGCCCGGAGATATTCCGCTATCCCGACATCGGTATAATCCAACTAATTCAGCTAAGAATCTACAAAGTGGAACAATATGAAGATCTTTCCTCAATGAATATCTATTATTGAAACACCATCTATGCTGATCAAAGGTATTCCCCAACCCAAACCCACAGTTTCCCAAGCGCCGTCAGATGCAAACAAAAAACCTTGGAAGAATTCTAGCAGACCCCAACTCAATTCGCCCAAATCTTCGTCTCCGTAGAACTTCGCTCTCCCAACTCCGCAAAAGGACAAACAGATGTCTTCGACGCAGCGGGATTCGACGACGGCGCCGCACTATGCGTGGAGGGCGCCACCCCACTAGAAATACTCGACCGGTCATCATCAACCGAGCTGCTAGAGCTACTGCCAAGGATCTTCTTATCACCCAAATACCCCTCCCGATCATCGAAACTCAACTCAGACATTTCATCCGCGAATTCATCGCCGTCGTGCACATGGTACCGCGCAAACAAATCATTTTGGATCCACAGGATTTTGTTAACGGCGCGGACGAGCGCAATCTTGCGACGCAGCGACAGATGTGGGTGCGACATCATCGCCTCGATCCAGATATCCTGGATATACGCCATACACACGCCGAGGTGGATGTACTCGATGTTCAGGGGGGATCTGCGCACCTGCCCGCTGTGCATCATGCTGTGGGACCGTTAGCGTTGCACAACGCACGCGAACCGGGAACGAACGCGTTCTGAGGTCATTAATTTACTTACCCGACTTTGTTTAGGTAGCGCCAGAATTCCATTGTGGTGGGATCTTGGCACAGCCGTGTCAGGTACCAGCGGAGGAACATCTTGCGTCGCTTGATCTGGGGTGCTTCTTCATGGAGGTAGTCTTCTTCGGGCTCTGTTTCGATGACGGTTGTGCGGGTGTGGAAAGCCCGCGATGTGATGTCGTATTCGAGGAGCTTTTTGTAGACCAGGTTGACTACAGCGGGGATCAGTTGCTTAATATATTTTGAGCCGGTCATTAGGGCTTCGACGTCGCCTGGAGAGGGTTAGTATTTGTGTTGGAGCATGGGGCCTTCGGTGAGAACTTACTGGAGTTGAAGTCGAGGAAGTGGTGCAAGTACTTGATTCGCTCTTCCAAGCTTGTGTAGAGCAACTTGCGGTCGACATGCATTGGCTCGGAAGCCGATTTCAGGCCGTAATCCATTGTAGTAAGGTTTGATATGGTTCGGTAGTTGCTTGGGTTCCAGTACGAACGTCTTGGGTGCTGTTGGATCGAGGTGAATGGAAAAATGAGATGGAGAGATAAGTGATCTTATATGAAGAGAGAATACAAAACCGGGGCACCCCGTGGCAAGATCGACTATTTATGCTTTAAGCCCGGTGCACAATTCTTGTCAAGCCCGCACCGTTCTTCCATGCAAAAAAATTATAAGCCATGAAACTGTCAATCTCGCTCTATCAGGGATCCGCTGCAGGCAACGCTGAAATAAAACGGCCCCCTGGCCCTCTTTCCTAGACAAGCGATCGCACCCGATCTCGGCCAACAGATTCTCTCGACGAGGTTTTTATTGAGTTTCCGCGGTGGAGCAACGGGTAAGCCATGTGTGCATGCATGTGTGGGCTGATCCCTATAATCTCCAAGCTACGTAAAGTACGAAACACAAAATCAACGGCAGGACCCATAGCCCATACCAGTTGCCGATATGAACCGCTCGGCAATTCGAAACAAGCGACCTGGAGACGCGGAGATAATTACCAGCGCCTTTCCGACAGGCTCGTTTGCCCTCTATCCGACCTCCCGTCCTATATATTGTCAAAGCATGGACTTTAAAGGCGTTTTCTGACACATCGGGATGTCAATCGTCCACCTGGAAGTCAGACACGTCACAATCTTACTCGTTATGTGTCACCTGCCAGTGGACCGCCAGCGAAGCAAATTAAATTGCATGGATGGATCGCCGGCATAGGGATTTGAATCTCGCTTTCGCTCACTGGTCGTGGATACTTGGGACTCCGCTGCGGTCCCAACGGTCTCGCTCGGATTCCGGGATGAAGTGGATTACGTTCGGGTCCGACTCTTCTACCTTCCGGTGGTGGATTTAGAATATGCATGATGCCCGTTAATTATCCGGTGCTTATTTGTGCAGAATTGAAAATCACTTCAACTCTGTTTCATGATGCCCTGGTGCAATGATACAAGGTCTAATACGTCAATTCATCATGCGACGTCATCTCTGAAATAGGTAGTTCTCGTTTGTAGAACTATCCCGATCAAACTGGTGGTGCTGTGGGTCTGAAGAGAAAATAAAAAAGAAAACACTAAAAATCAATCGGAGCTAATTGACAATAGTGTAGAGAAATCAGGAAAAACTCGCATGTGAAGCCACGCTAGAATATCCGAAACCGTTCTACGGTCTCTCCGTAATGATCGAATCGATCAAGGAAGCTCGAACTCGTATTGAGTCGTGTGATGTCGTGGCCTGATAAAACCCGGGCCGATTGCCCGATTTGTTGAGATGGCATGATCAAAGGGGACTATTTCTATTGAAAATATACTTTAAGACATGCAGGTGAAAATTTTTCCCAATTAAAGGGGTAAAAGTGAGTAAAGCAGATTCATTGAGATCGAATTTTACAAGCCGATAGATCAGAATGCATTTCATCTTGGTTTCCGCAGGACCTCGGCTCGGGCCTTAACCTGAGACAGTTCTTAAACAGCCGCGCTAGACGATCACTGCCGCCTTGGTGACATCTCCGATTCGCAAGGCCTAGATCAGGGGTCGGACTGCCGTTTGAAATTCAAAGGAGCTCTGGGCTGGCGATCATGAAAACCCGCCACAGCGTCAATGGCTTTGGCTTCCATGGATACGTCATTTGAAGCTAATATGGTGAGTTTCTGGGGAAATTTGACAGCGGGAGTCAAGGTCCCGCGTAATAATGACCAGTCAGCTTGTCTTGTGACACCTAGGTATTGATTCTGACACAGAGGCGTTAAAGAAAATGAACGGTGCGTCGCGGGGCTGAGCTCCGGGCTTCAATATATTTAGGTTGTTGATAGCTTCGATAGGTCATTTGTTAGACCTATCAGAATCGGGAATTGAAGCAATATCAAAATTTATATACTCATCACACGCATCCGAAGTTTGGATTGTGCGGTCTAGCCACTAAATACAGCCTATCAGCGTTCCGTCGTATTGCTGCTCCGCGCGGCGGCAGCATCGTAAAGGGCCTTGATATCCGCCTTCCACTGCTTCTCGTCCACTCTCGACACGCGTCGATCGTAGGTGATCAGACCATTGACCTCGCCCTCGACATCGGTGGTCTGGGTCCACACACCTCCACTACACGCAAACAACCGGATCTGTTCCTCCAGCTCGCTGAGCAGAAGGTGGCTACGATAGTTCCACGCCTCGATGGTTGTATCGATCTCATAGGTCTGGTTGATAGTGTTGATGGCGGCTTGGCTGTTCCAGAGGCTGTGGCTGAGTCTTAGTCAAGCCCTGATTTGCGGGTTTGCTGAACTTACTGCTCAATGGAGACGTTGTTTCCGATACCACCGAATTCACCCTGGAAGCCGATCCGACCAGGGTCATATGGACTGGAAGCTGTGGAGTAGAAGGGCGTGCCACACTGTGGGTTTGCGTAGTGATGATTATCCTGGATCGTTCTCGTTAGCCACGTGGTTGAATTGCATGGAAGGACACATACACTAAAGTCACCCGCTCCATGGTCAATCCATCCGGTTGTAGAGTCCACAAGCCGAGTGGGGTCAAGTTGTCTAACCCTGTCGGTCAGTTCAAACTCAGGGTAGTAGTTTGTGATCTGGCCCCAGCCTTCATTGTAAATCACCTGTAAAGGGTTAGCGTTGAAAGGGTCGCCACACATGTGGATGAATCAACATACCCAAGCCGCAATACTGGGGTAACTCTTGAACTGATTGACTAACAAGTCCAATTGTCGAGCAAACTCCGCTTGTTGAGTGGCGTCTGGAAGAATGTTCTGCAGGGGGCGCATGGAAGGCATGTCTTGGATCACAAGCAGACCTAGCTCATCACATGCTTGATAGAAGAGATCGGTCTCCACCTTGATCTATATCCCAACACTGCATGAGCAATTTGTGCTTTGAGAGTTGTAATTTGGGACTTGATACTCACGTGCTTGCGGACCATGTTGAAACCCAAATTCTTCAGCATCTTCAAATCGTACACCATTGCCTCGTGATTCGGGGGCGTGTATATTCCGTCGGGCCAGAAGCCTTGGTCCAACGTACCAAACATGAAGATAAATTCTCCATTGAGCAAAGGCCGCTCGATGCCGTCAACCACGCCTCTGGAAATTGTACGGAAGCCAACGTAACTCTCCACTATATCTTTGCCTAATTTGACGGTGACATTGTATAAATTAGGCGATTCGGGAGACCAGAGCTTTGGCGAGGGAACAGTGAACTGGAATGGCTCATTGGTCGGGCCATTATGAGTTGCAATCGTCTTTCCATCCTTGTGGACGGTGACCTCAGCTTTGGTAGATGTCGTATTGGCACTGTGAACAGTGATGTTTACTGCGCGCTATCAGCATTACTCGGTCTGTTTCAAACCCATCAGGGTCTCACCTTGGCCATCCATGTTTGCATCGAGATCCAACTGGGCGATATAGTTGGTCGGAGCAGCCTCGAGCCAAACACTCTGCCAGATACCACTGCAGGGCGTGTAAAAGATGTGACTCGGGCGCAGGGTTTGCTTTCCAATGGGAATAACATAGCTGCCATCATCTGTGGGATCGTGGACGAAAACAAGCCTGTGATGTGGGTCAGAATTTATTGTTCACCTCTGGGCAGTTTACTCACAGTTCATTCTGCTGATCAAATTTCAAATACTGCGTCACATCCAACTCAAATCGGAAATAACCACCACGGTGGAAGCCCACCTGTTTGCCATTGACAAAAATCGTGGCTTCATAGTCCACAGCCCCGAAGTTTAGAAGGACTTTCTCGCCCTTCCAGGAGGAAGACACCTCGAAAGACGTCGAGAACCACGAGTACAAAGCCCAGTTTGTTTGGATTCCTACAATAATCCTTAATGTTTGGTAGTCAAACGCAGTGCATCACATAACTTACCGGAAAGTCCACTTTCCAAGCAAGAAGGAATCAACACCTCCTGTGCAAGTTCCTGTCCAAAAGGCGGAGACTTGACAGCATTGAGGTCAGGGGCATTCTGATACTTCCACACGCCGTTGAGGTTTTTCCAATTGGAGCGCTGGAGCAGCGGGCGCGGGTATTCAGGCCAAGGCTTGGTGCCAACTTTGTCGGTCCATGGGGTTGTCAAAGGAGGCTGTTTAACAGCATACTTTGTGCTACGTGCCATGTTTCCATGTTCATTGCTAGGCAAGGCTAGACCAATTACGGCCAGCAAAGAAATCACAAGGCCATGAGCCAAATGCATGTTGATCAGAGCCACTCAAATTTTCCGAGCGGACACAACGATGACACAAACCAAGGATCTTCGGAATAATAAAAAGTCACATTCTGAGCAAGATTGGGCTCGCCCGGGATTTAAATACATTGAGCTCTATGCAGGCGGAGGTGCTATCGCCTTTACAGACAGCGCAGAAGCAAAAGAAAGACTCGGCACTCAGGCCCCTTTGTCCTAACCAAGCGGCATCTTCAAGGGTGTGAGCATGTCTACTTGGTGGAGCAGTCTCCACAAGGGCTGGTTAACCCCGCATGAAGCATGTAGGATACCCAGAAAATCCCGATCCAAGACTGCGAGGATGCTGGTCACGGTCTGCTGCCCGATCACAAGAATCGGCCCCAGCTTGGCGTTGTTTGGCGGGGAATTTGCCAAGAGAGTCAAAAGGAGGTTATTATGTCGACGTAAATACAGCAAAGGAACAGCATATTGTGAAATTCAGCTGCATCTCTTTTCTCCGGACTCCATACCTTTGAATCTGACACGCGACCAAACGAGAAATATCCAGATAGTGCCGACGCGAGATAGTCCATCGGCAATTTTCATGGCTTGAGTCCGAGTCCGGGGCCAGGAACCGACAAATCATGGCAGCCATAGGAATGCAGTGGAGCATTTTTCATCCGTAAATCCATGCTAATATTTCAACTGTTTTTGTGCTCACGCGACGGAATGTTCGGCTGGTGCCGACCATCCTCATCAGGTCACGGGAATTCATCGGCGATCACCATTTTACAGGCGACAGCCGATCTACGTTGTACCTTTACCCCAGACATACACCGTACAAGGGAAGTTGTGCAGCTGTCTCATCCGCAAGCCGAAATATGCCACTTGGCTGCATCTACCAGTCAGGCCTGAGAATGAGATTATCTTGACAGGGAATGTGCTCATTATGCATTGTGAGCTTGGCCATCAAGGGTTGCGTTTCGCTGTCCAATCCCTTGCATCCAAACTTTGCATGGCACCAGGGTCCTTAGTTTGACCAGAAAATTGGAAAAAGGGTCTTGTTCTGGCGCGCTTTTTCATCACAATCTCAGTGGACATTAAAAATCGCGTCGTCCCGCTGTTGCTGCCGACGTGGTAACTCGAGGTTGTATTTAGTATTCAATATAAGAGTACGAAAGTCCGCCCTCTCCCTCGAAGGCTGACTTGGCGTGACGATCCCTTCTTCCTAATTGGACAGTTGGCTCACTATTGTCTCCGCTCAAGTCTAAGATGATGGCTGGCCAATTGGGCTTGAGAGAGCAATGCGTCCCGTTGTCCCCCGCGCGGGGCTGAGCCTCCAATCAAATGTGGTAGTCCACTGAACATGGGGTGAGATCTTGAATACGTGCCTGAGCGGTGTGTTAATCGATTCGAGTAAATCCCGGCGGGGTATACTAAGCATGCGCCAGTCCTTTCTATCCTTTCTATGGAGTTGATCTATGACCTCCTTTCCCCTTTAAAGGTCTATCTCACATGATCTCGTGGTCACATATGGATCAAGCCACAATATAATATGACACATGTATTTGCTTTAATGATTTTTCATACGGGCCGAAGTCGTACTGTACTTGATCTTGGCATATCGCAGACATAATTCGGGCCTTTCAATCATGCCTAATGTGTCGGGCCAGACGTTTCGTTCATTGCAAATTCCTTCCACGGAATACTTGACTTTCTAAGGTCACTATTGGCACTATTTTCCCACCAGCTGAGACAAGACTTACTCCTGGCAAAACTAACGTGAAAAATATCACATTTGGCGACACTGCGACACCAGAGTCCAACGCAGCGTGAAGGACATAGTCATGTTTACGTTCAGCCTACCGTTGTGACCTGCGACTTTTGAGGAACCGTGCGAGTTAAAGAGCCATTATTACATCCGGTCATCTGAGAAATATGATTTTGCTCCGTATCCTGTTGGAAATCTAACCAACAACGAATGTAGTCAAGTAGTTGATGCCAGTCCAAAGTGAAAACGTAAGTTCGTCAATTTAATAGCCTACGGCAGGTGGGAGATTGCCCCTGCCGACGAAGAAAGTAGGTCAGTGAGCAGTGCTGAGAAGTTTGGAAGTCGGCCACATTTTCTACAAAGGGAACGTGAGGATTGGCAGTGAGGCTCCGATTCAGAACATGTGTAACAACGCCGAGTACAAGCAGCCGTTATTGTACAGGCGGGACAGTCCGATTGCTAAATATCGTCAGGAAGAGTTTGATTCGAACCACTCGGTTGACTCACCGATCCCGCTTCTCAACCCAGAAAAATTGCGCCATTGTAGTTGCCTCAGCTTGAGGGCGGGATGAACTGGTCGGGCTGGCCAATACTGAGCAAGAACCATATTGGTAGTGCAAGCGCCAAAGTCAAGTCGGTGTAGTATATAGCGATCAAAAGACACGAGAGTACATGCTCCGATTGAGGATGAGGTGGTAGATAGCAAATGTTGCGGCTGCAATGATTGCTAATCCCTATGTATGGGTCACAAAGTCAAAATTCAAATCCTTCAAAAGACGCGGCCAACTCAATCCAATAGTCTCTCACCTGAGATTCAACGCAGCATGAAAAAGATAACAAAGAGAATCAATCGCTAATATATAGGGCATAAGAAGAACAAACAGATCGACAGGACCAACAATATGAGTGTGAATGCCGGTCACTCTAAATTATAATTTAACATTCTGTTATGATCTTGACACCGAGACGTCGAATTTGTTTCTTCTTCGCATTGCTCAATAATTCATTGTTGTCGGGATTAGATTATTAGTCGGGATTTGAGTTGAAATAACCCGGGATAGCCCTGTATGGCTTCGGGATTCGAAGCGCGGACGAAAGTTCTGGAAGAACGGGAAGCATCTCCCATGGCGTGATATGCGAGAGAGCAAACCCCAGCAGACCCCGGAATTAAATTGTTCAGGCCTAGTTTGGGAGACACATGCATATCATCGAAGTGCCGGCAACTGAGGGATCTGCCCATGGCCTGACAACTTGTTCAAGCAAACCCCGGATTGATTACCTCAGACTGCAGGGCTGACTTCTTTGTATCATAGCAATATGCTTCAAGATAGCATCGAGAGAGTTCCCGAACCCGAGCACTTCCGAGTCTTATGATATTATTTTGATGATGTTTCGGGATTTGGGGATATGAACGAGCTTCGAAGTAGATCTACAAGGACATCTAAAAGGTTATAAATTAGCCCTTGTTCCTCAGTTGTTCAAGATATCATCATTCTATACCACTCCTCTCGATTAACATCATCTTTCAAACAACAAATTTCTCAACATGGCTCCCGTTCTGAAGAAGTACAAGGCCGCGGCAGTCAATGCCGAGCCTGGCTGGTTTGACCTGCAGGAGTCTGTTCGACGAACTATCCATTGGATCGATGAAGCTGGTAGCGCAGGCTGCAAGCTCATCGCTTTTCCCGAGCTCTGTCAGTGTCCTTTCAACCCAACTGAATGTTGCATATTAACGGACGTGATTAGGGATCCCCGGTTACCCATACTGGGCCTGGAAAGTGACTTACCAAGAGAGCCTGCCGCTCCTGAAGAAATATCGCGAGAACAGTCTCGCATCCAACTCGGATGAAATGCGCCGCATCCGCGAAGCCGCCAGAGCTAACAAAATCTGGGTGTCTCTCGGATACTCGGAGCTTGATCTTGCCAGTCTGTATACGACTCAGGTCATGATCAGCCCTGCCGGCGATGTCATCAACCACCGTCGCAAGATTCGCGCAACTCACGTCGAGCGTCTGGTTTTCGGTGATGGTACTGGCGACACCACCGAGTCCGTCATGGATACCGAAATCGGCCGCATTGGCCATCTCAACTGCTGGGAAAACATGAACCCCTTCATGAAGGCGTACGCCGCCTCTCTCGGCGAGCAAGTGCACATTGCTGCCTGGCCTCTGTATCCTGGCAAGGAGACCCTCAAGTACCCTGACCCGTACACCAATGTGGCTGAAGCGAATGCCGATGTAATTACCCCTATCCATCCGTGGAGACTTGATCTGATCGCTGACAAGACCGCTCAGCTCGTGACCCCTGCTTATGCCATTGAGACTGGCTCCTTCACTCTCGCCCCGTGGCAGACGATTACTGCCGAGGGTATCAAGCTCAACACTCCTCCCGGAAAGGAGCTCGAGGATCCTAACATCTACAATGGAAACGGCCGAATCTTCGGACCCGATGGACAGAACTTGGTCCCCCACCCTTCCAAGGACTTCCAAGGACTTCTCTTCGTTGATGTGAGTTAATTTATTCTCATTTTGACGGCATATATCAGACAAACTAATGTCCCAAAGATTGATCTTGACGAGATTCATCTGACCAAGTCTCTGGCCGATTTCGGTGGTCACTACATGCGTCCCGACCTGATCCGCCTGCTTGTTGATACCAATCGCAAGGATCTGGTCGTCCACGAGGACCGAGTCAACGGCGGAGTTGTCTACAGTAAGACCATTGACCGCGTCGGACTTTCAACACCTTTGGATGCCGCAGCTCCCGAGGCACCCTTAGAAAGCAAATAGATATAGATAGGATCCTCAATGGACATGTACTATAGCAGCAGATAAACATGCGGAATACCAACTTGTTCTCTCTTTGAAACTCGACTTTGGACTCGGCCATTTTCACCCCGGACGCGAATTCTGAAAGGGGAGAGAGACAATAATAAAAGCATAGGACCAGGAATAGCATCAACATGAAAAAAAAACAAGAAAGACAAAAATACATACAACAGTGAGGATTCGCTGGTGGTCACCCACCCACCCAACTACTAACTCACCGGCGTGTGGCTTCTTATGTGCAGTTAGTAGTCCGGTGGGTGTCGGCCGGGTGAGACAATCGCCATTTTTGGATTCAGGGTGAAGATCGAGTAATCGCGATGGTCCGGGCCTTTGCTTGGATCCTGCTCTTCGTGTTGGTGAGCGGTGCGCTATTTTGAGCGGCTTCAGAAGTCTGCCTGCTCATTGTTCACGTCAAAAATAAAAATAGAAGACTTCACAGAAGAGGATTCGTTCTTCGAGGTGTCAACGACGGAAGATATTGCGGATCTTCAATCGTTAAAAATTTGAGTTGACTGAAGACGGATGCCGTCACCGGCATATGGTGAATTTGAGCTGCAGCAAACCCCGTAATTCTCCCCAATTCTCCAGTTCTTTGCCCAAAGCCGGTACCGGGATTTCAACTTTTAGTAAACGCTGTGTCATCGGTCCTTTGATGCCTGTGTTTATATTGAGGATTTTAGACATTATAGTCCCGTGGCGTACCTACACCGGGTACGCCGCGGGATTATTAATGGCCACCGTTCAACTGGCTGCATCTAGAAAGAACGAATCAATTAACAGTACAGCCCGTCCACTGAGCGCAAGCGTGTCATGTCGCTATTCAGCCCGCTTACGCCGATACAAGTCCGATACAGATCCAAAATTACGATGTGAGGTCCCGGTACTCCGTATTCACCGTCGGACTTGTCACTGGGCTAGGAGTTGAGCGCCATGAACTCTCAGAAGGCCCGAATAGTGCTCATTTTTTTCTTTTTAGACATCGTTAGACAATTTGATAACTTGGACAAGCCTGCCGAAAATTGGTCCAATCCTTTTTGTATATTCTTCTGAAACAGATGTACGGCGTGAGCTATCGATGTCACGTGCCCGAGCAAGACTGTCAAAACGTTGACCACTAGACCAAAAATGGGACACGTTTTAGTGCTAGATAAGTTAGTTAACTGGGATCCACGTTAGTCATGTTTTAGTGCTGACAAAGAAGCTTATATTCAAGGACGTCATTCCGTTTTCCTTGGAACTGCTTTTGCATCCTTCCATACCCACATGGCTAGAGAGTCCTTCGGAGTGCCTTGAAATGCCAGCATCAAATCGCCGGCGTAATCGCTCTCTGGCTTCTTGTGAGCCATGCCGGAAAGCAAAGACTCGGTGTGACCATGGAAATCCGATTTGTGCCTCTTGTCAACGCCGTGGTCTCCACTCACAATGCTGGTATCATCCTGCGCCTCTAACCAAACAACGGATTTTCCAGAAATCGACTCTGTCAACCCCACCGGGCTCAAACAGTGTGGCACAGATTGAACCTTCGAAAAAAGTCAATAGTCCCGTGGCTGGAACTCCAATCTTCCACACATGGCCATTTATGTCGGCCGACCCCAATGGTTCGACATCACAGGCCTTGATCTCCGGGCGTCACAACTATAATATAAAGGCCCGCGATGAGCACTTGGCGACCATGAAAGACATTGTCTCTCACCTGAAATCATTGCCAGTAATTGAAAAACGACTCCAGGAGTATTATTCATTCAGTCAAGTTGCGCTTGTGCCTAGACTGCTTGTGTTGCAGCTGATCGCTTCCGTTCGAATTGGTCTTGCAGCATCAGGCTATATAAAGGAAGAGAAGGCCGATGAATTGTCCGTTCACCATTGTTCGCGACTAGCAGAGGATCTTTTACGCTCATCCTCATCGGAAGTTGTGATCACGCGAGACTTGGACATGGAGGCCTTCTGTGCGTTATTCAGCGGGAAGAATTTGCGCATAGAGACTCTTGGTCTATTGTATACTATGGCAGCACGCTCGTCTCTCTATGCCGTGGGTCACGGACACGACAAATACCAAGATGATGGGTTCATTCGGGAAATGGGTTGGTATGGCAACTTGAGCTTGCGATTGGCTCGTGAGCTTGCTCCACAAACAACTGATCTTATGACATGGCTTGCCCATGAGAATCTCCAACTTACCACACTTTTTGAGGGAGACGCAAGTGAGTAAAGTAGTTCAGAAAACAAGCAGTCGCATATTGACAGTGTCCTAGGTCTAGGTGTTTGGCGCCGGGTGGGCGAACTCGCTACAGATTTAGTAGCATTAGGCCTGAATAGAGAAGCAACATACTCAACTACGCCATTCTTTTTGGCACAGTGTCGACGAAAAACCTTTGCCAAGGCTTATTATCTCGACAAAGTGTTTGCAGCGGTGTTTAACCGGCCGCCTCGAATATCTTCTCGGTATGCAGACTGCAAGCTACCGTTGGACATATCTGATGACGAACTTTTCACATCGTCAAACAAGCTAGAACAAACACAATGCAACCTGACGCAAGACGGATGGAACACAGATGGGAAGCATAGAGCTGCAACATGGGCTCGAATACGTTATATCTTAGCACAGTATCGTGAGGAGACTGTCGAATATCAATTTCGATCATTACAACCCGCCGATGCTATGAAGCTCAGGTATGCAGTCTGTTGCTTATTTGCCCAATTCGAATGTTGAACAAGATACTATAGAGATTTGTCCAATCGCTGCCATCAAGCATGGAATGGTTTACCCCATTATCTTCAATACAGGCAGGACTGCTGGACATCGAACCTCCCACCGGCTCTTTGTCATATGCATGCGAAAGTCTACTTGTCATACCTCCACATTCACTTTCAAGTTTACCGATTACTTGGCAATGGTGATGGAAACATGAATCCTCAGCCAGAGTTGCTTGAGGTGTCAGCAAACATGCTCGAAACAGTTATACAAATGACGAATTGCCGCAGGAGAACCTCTTACTCATTTCTCGATCTGCCTGGAATTGTATGTACCTCCACTCTAAAGTTGCGTTACTGTAGGAGCTCTATCTTTAACGGGTGCAAGATTCTTTCGTACGGTTTACCATCTGCTGCAATACTTTCAACTGCACTGGATCCTGATATCCAACAATCGTCAAAGGAAACAAAGCTTCCCCCTAGCTTGAAGACCTCCAACATCATTCGGAATCTTTCTGTCCTGGTGTCTCAACTTGAAAGTGTCTCCAGTCCAGTTGAGACCAATCGTGTATTTTGCCTCAAATCCTCCCAGGCTATCTCGCGCAAGCTCGACCATATATTGAATAGCTTTACAACAGCCAAGTCTATAAAGCCTTCTGACTATCCAGAGCCGGTCCCGGCACCGCATACGCTAGACAATACATCCTTCGAGGCAATGTCAAATATTGATAATATTGGCCTTGTTAATTTCGATCACTTCGATCTTGCAGATTGGGCAATTGATTTTGGTATAGGAACTATGAATGATGAGTGGAACATGTTTTGAGGGTGCAGATGTGTCCATACGAAAAGTCAGAAAAATCAAATCTCGGCTATAGATACGTACAAATCTATTTCCAAGAACCTGGGATCCGTCTGATTGAACACGAATGTTGACACACACGATGTTCTCCTTCTCTCCCTTATAATTCCTCGCAATACTCCCGCCGCTTCCCTTCAAGAGACTCATACAAAGATCGGCCAAGACATGTAAGACATGATCGAAGGTCTTATAATGAATTATGAGTCGTCCTTGGAAGCGACCACGCATGGTCTTCGCTCCTGCATTCTGAGCAATAACCGCAAATCGCTCTTTATCAATGCTTGCTGCTTCCAGGTCCAGCCAAATTAAATTGGTCCCTGCTGGTGCTGGAGGGCCGTATGTACTGGTCTCATCCTGGGAATGATATATATAGGTCCTGGGCAGTTCGGAAAAATGAGATATCAATGAGCGCGGATGGCGCCTTGGGGGCGGGAAGGTGAGAGGCTAGGTGAAAATCACCCAAGTTGGGCGACCGCTGCATTGACCTTTTAGCTGAACAAAGGCAGAGATCGTGTCGTTTCCTTTGAAACGCTCAGCACCTACTTGGTACAAATTACTAGAACTGAAAGCATCATGCACCTAAATAGTAGGCAAAAATAATAGATAAATTAGCTGCCCAGGTGTCTTCGAGGTCGAAATGAACACAGACACTCCAGGGCCTCTACAATAAGGCGGGACTTATGTCACGAGCCGATAAAAACCGTTATCTCTCCTGCTGCAACTGACACTAGAAGATATATTTCAATCTCCAGCATCACCAATGATGTGGAAATCTTGAAATTAGCACTATAGCTGACCTGACAAGGATTTTACTAAATGAGCCAGAACGTAAGCCGTGCTAGCATTCTAAGTCTCATAATCCATAATTCTTATGATAGAGAATGCACTGTAGTGTAGCTTAGAATGAGACCTTGGGAGAAACTAGATGCATCAGATCAAAAACTAGAGAACCAGAAAGTGGACGGGCAAAAGCATGAGAGAAAGAGAACTACTAAGTAACGATCATATCATATAGCGATCATCTAATCTCTGAAAAATATTGGCTTCCCACACGTTCTTAGTACATAGCTTCAAACAAAAATCAGGCGACAGGGACCCGTGTGGTAAAGAAAAGGTCCGTGCCGCTTTGCTGGCTAAGGTATACCATATTGCAGAACGATAAAACGAGCTCATGGGCGATGATTCAGTCGAGGAAGCATGGTCAGAGATCCTACAGATTCAGGGACTTGCTCATCGGCTCCGGGAAACCGCAAAGACCTCCGTAAAGAGAGGCCTTGAATGAACGTTTACCGTGTGGGTGAGCCGTTTACTACGAACGCACATAAGAAATAACCAATTGAAGAGGCACCTCTACATGCTACAATTCCACAAAAGAGCTAACTTATGCAGTGTGTCTGAACATAGCTTATTTTGAGGCTTGATATCGGGACACGTTCCGAAAGAATCTACCTAGTGAACGTAAGGTGCAACTAATTGTCCTATATAAGATCTTCCACCTCAACTTCCCTCTGCCACTTCTCTATGCCACCTCTCTCTCTCACTCTCTTTCACTCTCTCTCACGCTCTCTCACGCTCTCTCTCACTCTCTCTCACTCTCTCTCACCCCTCAGATCACACACAAATCACAGTAACCCTACTTCAACTGTCTTAAGCCCCCAGAGTATGACGCGGCTATTGAAAGAAAGATACCAGAGACAATAAGCATGCTTACCATTTCTCACAAATACAGCAAAGAACACCCTTTACGATATTTCCCAGAATTTAACCCCATCTTTAATTTGAGCAGTGAGTGGATTTCAACACGTCTATACATATCGCACCAACACTGATAACGTCATCAAAGCCTAGAATTGACGATCTGTGATGGACGGGGATAACCGCCAAATTCGCTCAATTGGAGACAATGAGATCGAGGCCCTGATGATACTCCGAGAGCGAGCGTCGGACCGTGATAGCATCCGCTCTGCCATCACCGCTGAGTTTCAGGGCCTTTTAGAAAGATACAATCAGCTCCTCAACCAAGAGATCTCCGATTATCATGTCGCAGCAGCATTGGAGGATGTGCTAAAGATACAGAGCCGGCTAGAGTGGCTCTGGGAGATATTACACGACATTCTCAAGGAGGAGGCATTGGATGAAGAGGTATTCGCGATCCTCACCCACTGGGACTGAATATAGGCGATTGGTTCGGTATGGGATTATTTAGTTCACCATTCACAATTGAATTTGAGCCATTTTTCTATCTTCCTTCAAGTACTCAGCCAACATATCACCCGGTTATTTATATGAGCATGTTCATTTTTCTTGCTCTTATTTTACCTTTATCCAATCTTTATATCACTTAACATCTACATTATCGGTAAATCTTGATTGAGCTTGATTTGGGGGCACGTATCTTATAGAATGTGTTGAGTTGGTGTCTTTTGCTTTCACCTCTTTTTCTCGCTCGCTCTCTCTCTTCTACATCACCAATACCCAAGAATTTAGAACTCAATCTCCAAGGTCAGCAGCACCCGGCAAATCATCCCTAAATCAAGCTATGACTTACATGTTTGAAACAAAACAGGCTGCAGGTATATCAGGAATCCCGCAGCAAACCAACCCCTTTACAGATGAGGGGCTTCGAGAAGCTAATGCATCTTCGAGACTGGGCAACTCATGGGCAGGAGCGCCGCGCCGCGATTACGCAAAAAAATTGAAGACATCTAAAAAGTCTTCATGAGTTTCTAGACTGATACAATTACTGGCACCTACCATACGAGCTATTGATCCGGCTTATGGACATGGCATTCTATATTTCTATATTTCTTCGTTTAAGAAACATGCTGGCTCAAGACATATCCTCGCAATAAGCCGTAGGCTGAGGGGAGCCTAGTAATATATCTTCAAATAGGTTGCTGAATGGAAACGAAAAAGGAAACGATGTGCCCATATTATCTTGCAGGAGTTGATCGAACAAACCTCCGGTGTTGCTCATACTGTCACTGTCACTTTCGTTGTCAAGTTGGCGGCCTTCATTTTGCATCGAGCGCCTGGTTGCCGGACGCTCTTGGACCTTTGCGGGACTTGTTCTTTGCACATCCGCAGATTTTCGATTAAGCAGAGACTCGTAGATTGGAAAAAAGGCTGCAACCACCGGTAATCTATCTTGCAACTGGTCGAGTATTAGCATGCAGAATCGGGCACGATGCTCCGAAATCATGCGGACGCCAGCTTCCCCTCTATGGATGTTGATTATATGGATTGAAAGTACTGATAGCACGGAGGCAATTCTCATAATGATCTCAGCAAGTTTCTCAGCAAATTGTGGGCTTTTGGGGTGAGCGTACATATTGCCTGCTGCTGCATATACGAGGTCTTTTGCCATAAGCATTTCCAGCATGTGAGAAATTTCAGTACATATCTCAAATGTCGGAGTGCCTGGTCCTGTATTTATAGAGAATCTTGGGTTGCTTCGATGCAAAACGAGTCGGTAAGTCCTGAAGAACGTAGATCGTGATAAGCATTTGAGAAGCACATTGAATCAAATCTGCTTACTGGTACAAGACCCGAGTCAAGATGGCCCATGTACTGCTAGTTGTTGAAAGCGATTGAAACTCATGGGGCAGGGTTGACAACCACAAAGAAACATGTTCTAAACAGATATCTTGCGAATGACCACTTTCTTCATCAAACTTGAGCGTGAAGAAGCGATCCACTGCAATAGACGTAAGCAAATAGACAGAAGCGAGAGTAGAATGAAGTTATACCTATCTGAGCAAGTTTGACGGCATTGACGACAAATAGGTTCACCTCATTGATATTATTGCCATGATCGTCTGTCTCTTCGAAGCTATTGACTTGTTCAAAGTCTGCTTCCAACAAAGGAGGAACGTTGCAAAGTCTTCCTTGTACGTGCGGAGGACGATCAAGGAACATCGATAAATTTATATCCATAGCCTGGGCCAGAGTTAGACTCAATCACTGACTGAAGATCTTCGGACAGTAACTGACATATACCATCCACCACAACCTTCGCCATAATCTTCGAACTCTTTCTTCAAGGCGGGTGTATGACTTTCTAACACGCTTGTCAGCACGCTCAATTTCCAACATCTCTATTCCTCGTTAGATCAATATAAAGACACACGCTTGATGCAGCCCTAGAGCCTGTGCCATTCCTGCGGAAATGCCGAGCCAGTACCAAGGGTCTTTGGGCTCGAGTAGTCCACTCCACCAATGACACATGAGGAATGTAGCTTGAATTGTTGCAATTGAATCGGTCTCATGACCAGCATCATGAAGAGATTTGGATCTTTGGTAAAAGGTAAGGCTTGCGGCGTATCGTGATGCAAACCCGGCATTTTCGATGACGGCATCTGAGCAATAGATCGTGCCAGTGAGATAAACGGCATTCAAAAGAAGGTGAGAAAATTTGCCTTCATCGAGGGTAACAAGAAACGTCGACTTATCAAGAATTGGCAACAGAGGGAATGAATAGTGGAAATAAGCGTCGACAAGAGCTCGGCTGGTCTCCTGTCGCGGTATTTCAAATGCCCCTTCCGCTTTGAGATGTGAAATTATAGACGCCTGAAGCCTTTCAATTTCTTGTGACGTCGACTTGCCCACTCGGGTCAGCATTGCCCCTTGGAGATGGTCTTGAAGTGGGCGAGTGTCCAAGTTACTCCTAAAGGGATTGCCAAATTGTTGGATCAAATAGTTGAGATTTGAAGAATCTCCAACATATGGTGTTCTGCCGCTGGGCTCCAAAGCCGGGAAGCATGGCTCTTGGGTCTGATCTTTGTCGCCTTGAGCACTATGAGTAGTCGGGTAGACCGTTGGAGTTGTCACCCCTTGGTACGACACATCATAAGAGGACCCCGAAAGACTCCTGTGTGTGCTTGCTCCATTAGGCAAGAGAGGGAGTTTTCGTCTCCTAAGGCTACGTGAGTATCAATAATTATGGCTGCATCGTTCAAATCCTACCGTCCACGGCGAGAGACAATTGGGTGGCATTCGCGCTGAGCGGTCCGGCAGTTTGAGCACGCGAGGCCTTCACTGCGATCGCATTTCACACGCCGGTCATGACACAGGCGACAGGCGACTTTGATTGCTGGGCTGCTACGCGGCATTTGATAAATGTGAAAGGCAGTTGCTTGAAAGCAGTGAGTTCGGCGTCTTGAAGTCGGCGAAGGTCATGAGCGTGGACCCACCAAGTCGCCGAATTTGGGTAAAAATGATTGGCTAAAAATCTGCCTGCGATCTTTGATTGGCTCCTCGGTCACGTCTGTTTATAGCCATGTATAAAAGTTCTGGTAGGGAGGTAAATGAAGTTGGTTCTACTGTTCACTCATCATCTCTCATGCTAAAACTGAACTCCTCACATTAACTGCCGACCATGCTACTAAATGCACCCTTTCGAAGCACGCTTCGAGGCTCGAATGTCAAGCAGTGGGCACTGTCTTTCTCGCCCAAGACAGTCGCAATGATGCGATACCTGCGCACATCTTCCACGAAAATCAAGTCTGATACACCTTCCATGTCATTAGAAAAGCAGAAGACCGGAGACGCTGGTTATTTATTGTATGTTAAATGTCACATTGGGGGAACACTCTCAATCGATGAAATCAAATCTGACAATTATGCTACTCAGGACGAAGGCCGATGAATTGATCAACTGGGGGAGACAAGGATCACTTTGGCCTTTATCTTTCGGTCTTGCCTGCTGCGGTATTGAGATGATGCATACTTCAATGCCTCGTTACGATCAGGACCGACTGGGTATCATTTTCCGTGCTTCACCTCGGCAGGCAGATGTCATGATTGTGGCTGGTACAGTAGTCAACAAAATGGCACCAGCAGTGAGACAACTTTACGATCAGATGCCCGAGCCTCGGTGGGTGATCAGCATGGGCAGTTGTGCGAATGGCGGAGGATATTATCACTACAGCTACAATGTGCTGCGTGGGGTGGACCGAATCGTACCAGTGGACATATATGTGCCCGGATGTCCACCAACCGCAGAGGCTCTTCTGCAAGGTATCTTTCTTCTTCAAAAGAAGATGCAGCGGACGAAGGTGACGAGGATGTGGTATAGGCGCTAAAGAAAGATGTGTACTTGCCACTCGAAAGTATAGCGGCTTCTACGTATCTTATTTGAGCTATGTTTTCCTTCATGCCATTCGAAAGTCTTTCTGTTGATCTTTTTCCATATCTTTATTGGGATCACTTTGAAATCTCCTTCTATTTAATTATTTCAAGTTTAAACAATAGAGTGTTAATTGTTCACTGATATCAGGGTGCTATTTCAATACTTTTTAACCCTATGGTATTTTCCTATTAACCGTTTTTTTACTAAAGCCACAAACAGGCCAGTAGCCCAACCAGGGCGATGGAATCTATTCATGCTCCACATGCAGGTTGCCAAGCATACTTGAAATATCGTGTTCAAAAAGTTGCACCATACAAAAAGGTCCATGGTCCAACATCGAGTGTTGTCAATGTCAATTGGCGCAGCCTCTGTCGAGCAGGGTACACATAGAATGCCGACATCGTTGGGCGCCCCATAAAACCAAGAGCAATGAATTTCAGACAGGCGGGTCAGGCCGATATCAATACCCCCTATCCTCCATCGAGCCCAAAGGTATAGATCACGAATACGCCATGGCGCTAATCCAAACCCTGGGATACAGAAAAGGGCATTGAGAATCTGGGAATCAATCTCAATCCACTTCTGGCGCGGTGAATTAATATCATCACAGGAGGGATGGCACATTGCTGGCGCGGCTTTGCAAATAAGCAGAAATAGCATGCCTCCCCAGGCGATAATGTTGAGTCCATATATCAGAGTCAGGAATCCCAAGGGGGTTTGAAGCCAGGCCCAAAAGGCAATCAAACCATTAACCGTCTTGGTATTTAATGATCCATCAGCTCGAGGATCTGCTGAGGAATTTGAAGGTGATATCTGGAAATGTTGGTCAATGGTACGAACACATCTCAGCAGGCGAACATTCATACCCTCTTGGTCAAAATGATAATGGACTCGTCCTCAGAACCAATGTGAGTTTTCGCAATTTCAATCGTGGAGATAGAGCCAGCGCTAGCCATTTTAGCTAGTAAAAGAAAAAGAAAAGACTTGAAATAGATTGCGCAATAAAGTAGAATTGTCGCACATAGTTTCCATTTACGCGGATATATAAGACTAAAGAATGTGGCTGCGTTAATGTGGACCCTGGCTGCCCTACAGCAATCATCCAAAAAACCATGTCAAAAGTGGAGCCAAATCGGAGGAATATGAGAATGCGAGCATACGAGAGTACCGCCGTAGATACCCTGAAATTATCAACATTCGTCAAATTTGAAGCCATGGTTTAGGGCTCGATTTTTCAAAAGTTCTTGTGTTATTGTTTTACTTCTCTTAGCCTAGAATTGTACCTAGGTAGTGGTTAATTAGTGTTAAGGCACGGGACTTTGGGAAGATTGGCCCTCTGTTCTTGTCCCTTCATGCTCAGATCCGTGATGATACAACTATACTTCACATATGCTACAACATAAAATTGATATAAATGAGAAGCAGATGAAAAATTAGATCTGTGTGAGGTTGAAGGTATTTCGTGAATCTTGTTTTCCAATGCGCCGACTACAAAATTAGTGACGGCGTGACTGATGCTTTCAATGTGCTGATGAATCCTGCGTGAGGAAATGCAAGGACTGGTGTAAGATTCAACTGGACGAGTACATAGACAAAATGATCAAGCAAGCACTCAACTGTAGGTGGGAAACGACAACTTTCATTAGCACGAAGAAGAAAAAAACTCGATACATGGTTGTTGTAGTTTACCCCTCACGGGTCACCCGATGAGACAGAATCATAGGCGGTCTCACGACCAGCCCCGGACTCGGCCCGTCAAATTCTAAAGTGAAATTCCAGATGAAGAGAGTTTCTTAAAAAACCCTAATGGGATCGGAGATTACTGATAGGTTGCGGCATGTAGATCTAGGACCCTGCAAATAGCCTCCGGGCATTGTTGTCTTCATTATACCCCCACTCGCTCTTCCATATCAGAGCCACAAAACCTATCTTCGTCCCAAGTCTCTCCTCAGGCCTCCAAAAGACCCAAACATCTTATTTGAGGAGATTGAAGTTGGAAATGACCGTTTCAATTTCTGAAGAGGTAGCAGGTGTGAGCTGAAGTTTATAAGCCCCGAATGCTATCTGCGCATCTAGAATCTTGGATTCGGTGGAGTTGAGGCCCCTTCTTTTGAGAGATGCATGAATACCCATTGCGGGATAAGCCACGAGGCCAAACATAGCTTTAGCAAAGAGATTAGTAACACGCTTGAAATGCTGGAACTCCAGAAAGATCGGAAAAGTGGGAGCCTTACCCGCGCCCGGTTTAGAAAAGAGTTCCACACTGCCTTTTGCAAAACCCTTCATAAATCCGACTGCACCATCCTTCTTCGCCTCCCGGTAAGGCTTTTTCACGAATCCGGTAAGTCCATCCGCAAAACCAGTGTAGAAGCCCTACAAAAATGATGAATATTTGCTGCAATTTGGAAGCTCGACCCGAGGGTCGGAGAGAAGGCTGATTGTGCTGGCTTACTTTCCCGGCTTGTGTCATCCCACTCCTCCAGTCACGTATGGGCTGAATTTCTTCTGGTATATCCCCATACAGCCGCGGCAGATTACGCAGACCTTCTGTCAACGCGACGGGGGTTTCAACGAGTGAACCTTTGATAAGGCTGGACGTCATCCGCGTCATGCCCTTGGCCGGGTTTGTACTGAGGTTCCCCAGACCCTTTGAGAAGGATGTCATTGTGTTGAGTAATGCTCCTGATGTTGAGGTCAGCGGGTCTGTCCACGTCTTCTCTATATATATTTCCTTCGGTCGGTGTCTGGTAAGAAACAAGATTAGTCGTGATACAGAAGCTTGGTGTGGTAAACATACCTCTTCATTTGCTGCATATCAATCTTCTCAAATTGCGACAGAATCGCCAAAGCTTTGTGCGAAACCTTCATTTTCCCCCCATTAAGTGACCAGACCGCAGTTTCAGAGGGTAATAAGTTGCATTGCATGTCATTCCATGGCACATTTTGATGGAAGCTTGCAGCTGCATTTTTCACTCCCTCCTCAGATTTCATCATGGCTGCAATTGAGGAAGCAGCATGCCGAGCACTTGGGGTCAAACAGAATCCAATAGCTTGTGCAAAACTATCCGCAGTGAGCATTTTGCGGTCAATAGGTGGTGGTCCAGCACCGGCAGCGGCAACCATTGACGCCCAGAACGGTTGACTATGTAAGAAAGATTAATACCTCTTATCCGTGATGGTTTCAAAGATATTTAGGCCTTACTCGCCAAAAAAGGGTACGATAGCTGTTGGGCAGCTATTCAATAACCCACAAGCGGTTGTGCCCGCTCCGCCATGATGCACCACCGCCGCGACATGTTTAAAGAGCCATTCTGCAAAATATCAGTCTAGCAATAGGTAAGGTTTGAGAAGGGAATTTTCTGGTACCATGGGGACAATCATCAATGAAAAGTATGTCTGAAGACTGGCAATTATTTCCTAACTGCGACCAACCTTTGGATACGATCGCCCGGGTACCAAGCTTTTGACAAGCTGCTTGAATGACCGAAGTCATCGCATCTGCGTCATCCATGACGATACTGCCAAACCCAATGTACACTGGCTTTGCCCCGATACTCAAAAAATGGGCTATATCTGTCGGCGGCGTGTATGAGGGTTCCTCACGAAAGAAAAAACCGCAGACATCTATCAGAATCATTGTCAGAAAGCCAAATGGATTGTTGATGAAACCATAAATAGACTTACCAATATAATATGGCCAGTCTGAGGGTTTCTTTATGAGTGCAGATGACCAGCAATAGGTATGAGGAATTTTCAAACTTTCCACCATTCCAACGGCCGTTCTTGTTGACAGCTGCTCGAGGTTTAAAGTTTGGACGCGCCATTTGTTGATCAGATCAGCTAGTCTGGAGAAATTAGTGATTCTAAGTCAGAATCATGTTTCCTGGTCAGGCTTTTGAATATGGAACTCTTACCCACTCCAAGTCAACATCTCCACCATACTATACGACATAAGATTGTGCACGGAAGCCTGGGCACCTGGTCCTATAATATTTGCCAAAGGGTGTGGAAATTCTCTGGTAGGACTCCAGGGCATGGTGAACATGATGTGTACAGGCACACTGAGGGCCTGGGCTAAGTGGACATGGGCGAAACTCGGGGGATTGGCAATAATAGCATCCGCAATAAAAGGAGCCTTGCTCCTAGGGTCAGGTTCGATACATGAGCGCCAACACCCATTTAGTATTTCGGCAATCATCTGGCGTTTACGGCCAATCTCGCCATCAAGAATCGTTGACATTTTGGGGATGATCCCTGGATTCTTGACCATGAACTACGGAAGTGTTATTCCCTGATCGGTTTCACCGTAATAAGAATATACTCACCGACATTAAGTCTTCCGGGTTACCCCCGATAGGAAAGAATTCCAGTCCTGCATTTTGAACGAAGTCCTTGAAATTCGCATGAGTTGCAATGCGGATTCGATGTCCGCTTAGTAGCAGACGAGCGCCAAGTGCTATGAACGGTTGAACGTCACCTGAGATTATTCAAAAAATAAGAATGGATATAAGATGAAGAAAAACAAAGCTCAATACTCTGATGGATTTGACACAAACCTCTACTGCCCACTATTTGAATGACAATGTTCAATGAGGACACAGATTCCCAAGGTACTTCGAAAGGTCGTTGCGAATCTGCAAGTTGAGTAGCTTGCAAAATGTTCTCTAGACCTGGTTGCAATTCCCGGAATGTCACATCGATTCGACCATCATCTGGAAAAATGAAATCTTAGGTAAGAAACCATCTTTTGAGGCAAGTGACTGCGAAAAACGTACCGCGAGTTGACGTGGACGATTCAATGTAAGACCCAGAGACAGCGACATCGTAAGATGGAGGTAAGTCATCGCAAAATTCCATGTAGCCCATGATTTCCTAGTTATACCAAAGGTATACGAGCTATCAGGTCGGGTATATGTGCGGCAAGTAGCGGAGGAAGAGAAGGAACGGAACAAGTTGACATAGAGAACAAGCAATTCTCGCTTATTACACATTCGTGCATTCCATGAACATGCCATTCAAAATAGATATCAGGCGAACAAAAATAAGAAAAAGAAACCTCGGGTTGAGAAGAAAATATCTAGGTATCCCTTGAGTTCAACATGACGTACGTGTTTTACGGGAATACGATGCCTCGTATTATCGTATTATCGTATCCTCACTTTCTCGCATCCCGTATCTTCGCTTCATATCTCGCTTCACATAAATTATGAACTCTTTCGTTCTTTCTTTTTTTTTTTTACAAGAATAAAAGTCCTTCAGAGTGAATTTTCACGGATAAGGAAAACGTGAGTTCCAAGGCTCATTCACCTTTCCAATTCCAATTACACGAGCCACTGTGGCAATCTGAGGCTCCAAACAAGCCTCTTGTAGTTGACAATGGTTTTGTTCTTACTTCCATGGGACGTATACAATTATTTTTCAGTTATTAATTTCACTTGCAGCCAGAAAAAGCTTTCATTAGACAATTTTTTACACAGTCTCCGCTGGGTCCAGTCAAGATGCTACGGGAGGTTGGGTGAACTGGTCTTGTATCCATTCCTCGATTCGTGCCACCGTGACCCCAACAAGATTTTCGTGATGCGGAAACTCTGGACGAAAAGTTAATTGGTGAGCCAAAACCTCATCGTCAACGTCCATGCGCAATGGCGCCCAAAGATGAATTTTTTCTGTTCGTGGAGAAGGCAAAATTTCCGGCCAGGTCTTTGAGTCGTGCTTGACACGTGGTGCTTGTTGCCAAATTGGTGCATGCTGATATTGCTGCTTGTTTTGGCGGCAGTAGGTGCACCCTGTTTCCTTGATGGATATGACTGAGTCCTGAGCTCCACTTGCGTTGCCGACGGATTTTGCTGATATACTCGAGTCTCCGTCGTTTTCATTTCCAAACTTTCTGGCCTTGAATATGACAGAGATTATGGCATGCTTTCATCAATCACTGTATAGTAGGTCACAAATCTCACTCGTCTAACACCTTCGTCTGTTTGTCGATGATTGGGATGTAGGCCACCAATTCTTTCCAATCGACACAACTTTGCATGTCGTCTCAAAAGTGCGGGATAATTATTCAAACATCCGGCATGATCATAGTAAGAAAATCCATACTGAAGAATTGATCGTGATAATCTTTTCGAGTGCTTGGACAGAAAATGACGTGCGCCATCCCAACCCATCCACTGTGTCATTTCGTTATCGTTTGAGAAGGTCGGATTAAACTTCATGTCTATCTCGTGCTCCTGAGCCCCCAGGGTCTCTTGCAGGGCGGAGGACTGCGCGGCGCTAGCTGTCTTTTTACCACGAAACACTGCTGATTCCCGTAGAAATGACAAGTGGGTGTAACCCAAGGAAAAGGGCATCGAAATTCATAAGACCAAGAATCCGGTGCTTTTGGGCAGCATTCTCTGACAACATCAATGCCACATCTGCAGCCACCAAGCCTCCCAAGCTGTGGCCAAGAAGAATGACATCCACCTCGGGGGACTCGTGGGGAGACAACCTGGGAGACACCATCAGTATGTGTTCTCCTCTTGCTGTTGTCTAATTCTTTACTTACCAATGGCTGATATCGTTTCGGGTTATCTTTAAAGACCCACGACTTTTATAGCGGGGGTATAATTTGGTGAAGACATCATGAGTCTCGGCCAAAATGGCTGTTAAAACGTCATGGATGTGTTTGGGAAATTAGTGAAAACTGTCCTCAGAGCCCAAAAATCCGTGGATGAAACCGGGGAGCAACTTTCATTTGTACTGTTTATTGGAGAAGGGCATAGTCGGTCACATCATGAATGTGCTATTGAAAGACACTCGACATTCCACAAAGGCGATTATGGGAAGTGATTTGTAGAAGATTGCATCAGCGGTTATCTGGAATCGAGAAATACTTGCGATTTGAAAAGTTCATAGGACTTGGGTTCTCCTCACATCCGGATTATTAGTGCTAATTAAAGCACATACGAGTTCAAGAACCCGCACCGCTATCGGTTGGTTGGTCTTCGCCACCTGCCTTTGTACCCAACAAACTCCGAGCACATACTAGCATTCTACAACAATTGATTAGCTTGTCATTTTTTTTGGAAATTGTCTTATATAAAGAAATTCAGTTAGCGAATTGGGCCCATACCCCAATAATCAATCTCCTCTTTTTGATAAGGCCAGCCATTACCTAGGCTAGCTACAATGTTTCTCGAATTCTTGATATTTGGTGTGAAAATATGAACGCTATCAATCCAGTAGGTGTTCTGAGCAAGTTAATAAATTTGATAAATACAAAGTATTAGAAAGCTTTAGCAATACAATACAAGAAATCAATGAAGGGCAAGCTCCTCCGTCTTGAACCCCCCATTTCCCCTGAAACACCCTCTTAGCTCAACAGCTTCCGGTTTTTCAAGACTAGCGGGTCTGATGGAAAGTGAATTTGGAGCCTCCATGGATGACAAATGAGCCGTCATCCTGAACTACACTACCAGCCGATAACTTATACCTTGATAGGGGCTTTTTCAGGGGCTTTGGTAGGTAGACGCGACCATTGGTTCCGTTTGGGCTCATAACGTTCATGGTCAGTAGGCCATGATGGTCAAATTCCCAGCCGACTTGGATATCCCCGAGCGGTGTGGGGTGTTTTCCTTTGGCCCAATTAAGGTCAAGCGTCTGCGGCATGATTTTCCATTCTTTAAACCCCGGAGCCGCGGCTTGTATCCCAAGAACATTGCGGCTGAGTTCAGCGGTCGGTCCTGAGGACCATGCATGACACATCGACGTCGTATCTCCCAGGCCAGGTAGTCCATCGGAAGTCAGGGTTTCCCAGAAACAGCCCGTGTAGTTAGCATTATGCGGGTCGCTCATGGAATTCCACATTGTATAGAGAAGATGCTTGGCCGTCTGACTGTCGTTGGCGTAGAAAGCAGCTTTCAGGTGGTAGCCTGATGCAAATGGACTAATACTTTGTGTGAAGCCTGCAGAAACACTTGTGTTGGAGAATGCCAAAGCGCCTGCTGGCACAAAAAGCTCTCTTGAGAGAGCGGACATGACCATAGTTGAGGTGTGATTTCCATGCGGAATGTTTGTCAAAACAGCCAACGCATTTGCATCTTGTGCGAGAGCGTTTTGGTGAGACTCTGAAATGAAATACGCCTTCAAAGAGTCATTCCAGAGGTGCTCATCGATTGCGCTTCTAAGAGCATCGAAGCGAGCTTGGTAAGGAGCTGTATCAATATCGGCGGCCGAGAGCAATGAGAGCGATTGCTGAAGAGAATAGGCATAGATGGCATTGAATTTTGTGACAACACCGGTCTGCGCTGGGTCGTAATAGTTCCAGTCCCCTCCAAGGATGCTACTGGAAATGTTGAATAGACCATTGGACAAGGTCTGGGAGTCGGCCCAGTCTAGCATGTGCGTGATTTTCGGGGCCCATTTGTGTGCAAATACGACGTCGCCAGTCATCTGATGGTATTCGCCCATGGCGGCAACCAGATCGAAGGAGTATCCAATCAAGCCAGTCATATTAGCCTGGATAATAGACGTTCGTGCTGGCTGTTGAATTTTGACGGCGGAAGCAAAGAACCCAGGAAGTAACTGGAATGAACCAATTAGGTCGATAGAACCGTTGATAAACTCACGGCCACCAGTACTCGCAAATGAGGGTCCCGTGGAGATATCAAGATCACCTTGTATGTCAGTATCCATGTAACATTTAATATAAATGGTTCTTCCGTGATGAGCATACCTGGATATGAAATCCTGTCCCTTCTAGAGCCGTCCACAATCACTGGCAATGGGTTCGTGCCGAGTAGAAAATCTTGCAAACATTTCTTGGTGGTAAGCGTTGATGAATATAGCACTTGCCCATTGGTTTTCAGAGAGACATTTTGAAAATACGTTGATTGTCCAAAAGAAGCACCCAAACCAAAGGAGCCTGCAAAGGCAGAGGTTTGTGAGAACTGAAGAACTGATTTTTCTCCAATAGACACAGAGATTTCGGTCATGTTGACCAAGGCAGTGACCTGATACCACTCATTGAGTGGGAATGTACCTAATTCTGCCGAGGCCAGAGGAAGAGAATCCATCTCGGTAGAACCGGCATGAGCTGATAGCGACGAATTGGCAGCATTCAAAAACAGGTAGATGCCGCTGCCTAGTGTATCACTAAGCAACGTGAATCCGAACCCTCCTTTAATAGGTTTGGCCCAGAATTCCAATTGATACTGGGTCAACGATGGAGCAAAGTCACTGAAATATGGCTGGGGTACCGCATTCTGGACGAATGCGCCTTCAGATGTGATCTCCCAGAAATCTGGTAGTGATTTTGCAGGGATTTCACTCAGTTGAATAGTCCGGGCACCAGTCTGCCAGATTCGGGTCAAACGCTGATCAGAACATTCGAATGAACCTGGAAGACTGGTGACTGGAGTAGTTGAGACAGTTGGTATGAAGCCAATGTTTGAGATTTGAAGGTCACCTGCAGTGGAAAGGTTGAACTTTTGATATCTGAGACCCCCTTGGATCAAGCGATTGGTGTAGGTGGACTCTTCGGAAATGTTGTACTGATTGATACGATAGCTGTCCATGGCAGCAGACAATGGAAGAGGGCCATCGCTCTGATTCTTAGTCAGTGGACCAAAACCCGATGAACGATAACAGTAGTAGGAGATCACGGTACCATGAATGAATCTAGCAGTCCTTGGGTCTCGCTGTAAGACAGCTCAAGTCCAGACGTGTCCCCTTGGCGCGAGGTTACTGTGAAGGTTGCATAACCCTCAATATCCTTTCCATAGTCCAATATGACCACTGCGGCCGTGCTTCCATCCGAGGTCAAGGTCAGACTGAAGTTCTTTCCGGCGGGGATAAGATCAGATTTGTTTTCAGCCGTATATTTCAATGGCTGGTAGAATGGACTAGGGATGGTTGTGGTATCAGTGCATTTGCCATGTTGCACAAGTATTGCAACTGAGAGCCAGGTTAAAATTCGCATAGTGAACAAATAAATAGTGAAAGGCAATTGAGGATGGGCTTTAGTGGTCAACGTAGAAAAAAGGAGGGAAAGAAACAAATGATTCAGTAGGCCTTTCTACCAGGGGGTCATAGTGAAATATATATAGCAAATAGGCAGTGATAGCAAAAATCAAATCCATTTGCCGTTAATATAACAGATTAAGTGATGACATGGTGGATCCTGGAAATCGATCGCGAAGTTAGAATGCGGACTCTGGTGGGACGGAAACACATCAGAATAGGCATAGGTGCCGTTTTTAAATACGAGAATACGAAAACACGAGGGAAAAAAATGCAGACTCCGAGAATAGATCAGAGAGTTAGTTTCCTTAGCCTACAAGTAAACCAGGGACATGAGCGGCAAACCTGAAAAAACGAATACGGGTGACTCTGCCACTACCGACCATCAAGTACCACGGGTAAAAGTTGTAAAATATTGAGTTCTACCTTTTGCCCCATATGCGAGTACTATCTTCTTCAAATACCCCGAGCCTTCGCTCTCATGGACAACTCGCCAAATTCTGCCGCTCACAACTACAACCTTGATCATTAATTCTTATTTTTTGTTACTCCTAGAGGTTCTCTTAAACTATACTGAGCCCCTTTGTAGTCTCTTAATTCAAGCCAACGTCCATATAGTATAAGTGCTAACGAGAATGGAGGAGCGAGCTTTGAGCTCTACCAGTATATACCCTCTCTCGTGGCTACGATCATCTTCATTATTCTGTTCGTCCTTGCGACTCTCTATCACCTTTACCAAATTACTCGCACTCGATCCTAGTACTTTACTATATTTGTCGTTAGAGGCGCCTGTGAGTTTTACCTAGCTAAACATAAGTCTTTATAAGACCCCGAACCATATCTGACAAGTGCTATAGTCTGAATCGTAAGTTATATTTGCCGCGTAATGGCCTGCGGTAATAAGGAAAATATCCTAACCTACTTAGATAGCATAATTATGATTTTTCTTGCTTCTCTATATGCCGTATCGATATATATGACTGTAGGTCAACTTATTGTGCATCGAGACGCTAAGATATTGAGTTCAGTGCCCGTAAAATGGCTTACTGCGATCTTCGTTACGGGAGATATAATAGCGTTTTTGATGTAAGCAGTAGGTGATTTATCCTTCTTTTCTAACTACTGTTCTATTTTAAACTAATAATGAATTAAGGTAGAGGCATTGCGGTAAGCGGAACAAAAAACGCGATGACCACCCGCGAGCATATCACGACTTGCGGTCTTACCGTATAATCAGCTTTATTTACTATGTTCATCTTAGCTTGGTCAATATTCCACTATCATGTTCGTAATAACCTTACTAATAAATCCGTAAGCCGATCGCGCACAACCACTTAGGAAGTCATCATAACCGGACTGTATAAATGAAATCCCCGTGTATTGATTTCTAGCCACTGAAGTCCATGAGAAATTCTCGTCATTCAGTACGCCAATACCGGTGTCGAAGGAGTGTCCGGGGAGGTTCACTGGAGAGAGGCGAATCTGCAAAGCTCTGTTCCCTTCACCGTGTACCTAGAAACTCCAGAATGGCTACCCGTATACCCAGCGATATCGCTCCGCCACTAGATACGGTCTTGACGAAGCAGCAACCGATGCTATCGTTCGAATCACCGCATATCTCCGCAGAGACTACTGTCTGTCCGTGATATGGTATTTGCCTCGGGAATAGGTCGATATTCGCTTGTCAATAGCGACACCTTTCCAGCGAAATTTGAATGTTGGAGTCAGCTCCCTCGACCGGCTACCTCTCGAGCTTTTGTTTGACACATTGTACCGCCAGGACATGTATTCTTTGTTCAAATTTCGACTATTGAAAAACTAAATCAAGATAGATGGTAGAATCTCTTAGCCAATATCAGAACTGTAATGAAGCTCTTCTGCGCTAGGATATCAAGTTCACGATTCTCAATTTTATCTACGTCTATCAGCTCGACGTGATAAATTATAAAAGGTTCTGGAGCTCAGCTAGACCTAAAGAAAGATGGAAGGAGTCTCAAGGGGATGCTCAGGGTGGGGAGCAATTCCACATCCAGATCGTTTTCCTACAAAGGAATTGAAAACCCCACTAACGGTTGAGCTGTTGCTGACCAAGAAGACTACTTCATGCAAATTTGTTTCCCTCCACCCCCCCACCCCTGAATACTTCGCTAACTACGATTCTGTTAAAGACGACGTGGGGAAGGATACAAGATCATCTCCTTGACGTCGACCATTTCGGATCCGATCCCCCACACGTCAATCATCCCACCAAAAGCCGCATAGACCGGCTGATCCCCCTCAGTCGGACCTTCCAATTGCAGCATCAGCAAACACCGTTTCCCCTGTACAGTTCCCTTCATATCGACATTCCATAAAGGCAGCAACCATGCTTTTGCCAGAAGAGAATCCTCCGCCAAAGTAACAGTCCGGGAAGACACGATCCGCAATCCATTCGAATCCTGGCGATAGTGACGGAAATAGGTGATGTGATCTTTACAAGCCCGGAAGAGGCTCATTGTCTGACCATCAGGCGCTTTAAGATGAAGGCATTCGGATATGAACCTTTGGTCGGAGAAGCGGAGTGTTGGCTGCTTCTCCGCAGGCAATTCTGGATCTGCATAGGATTCGACCAGGAAGAGACTGACGGGCAACAAGGCGCCATCGACAATGTCCGTCCACTGGAAGGGCCGTTTGATGGTCTCTTCTTCTCGCTTCTCTTCGACCTGACACTCTAGAAAGGGCAGGAAAAGCATCATCAATTGATACTTCTCCAGCAGTGCGGATAGAAATCTTCTCTTGATTTCGTCCATAGGGAAGTCGTAGCTGACTTCGATATTCTCCAATTCCATTGCACCAATCAACGCCCAGCAAGAGTCCCTTTCATAGCCATAGTGTCGGCTGTTCTTACCAGACATAATAGTAAGAGGACTAGACTCGAAGAATCCTACCAGCCCAGATTGAGCTAGAGTTTGGATTGATTGACGCAACCAAATCACCGACTCCGGTGATTTCGGCAGCAGATGCCCGAACTGACCAGCGCCAGGCCTAGTAGTGTCCGGATCATGACCTTCACTTTGTATAAAATAGGCTGAGGCTAGATTATAAGCTAGGGTTGAGACAGGGATTGACATATCACGAACGGTGGCCTGGGTACCGTTGTAGAACCTGCTGTCGGAGAGAGTATTTCCATGTCCGTCAATCAGACAAGTGCTCTCCAGCAGAACACCTTCCTGTAATGTCCAACCGGATTTTAACCAGCGCTCGTCCTTCTGAGCAGTCTGAAGCCAGTTCTCGACCTTGCCTGTATAATCTTCAACGAGCTTAGGGTCTTGGAAACCGGGTTGTGACATCTCCAAGAGCAGCAATTCTTTGATTGCCGAATCTTCTTCCCATGAAGTCGAATGGAGCCAGACAATACTTTTGGCCGACTTTTTGTAGATGTGTCTGAGAACGATTAGACGCAAAATATTTTCCGAGACTCTTTCATTTCACTCAAAGCACACAAAGCCATTAGAAGTCAGGATTCTACACTTGCTTACAATTGTTTCCCGATTTCCTCCCCTTTAGCCTTTAATAGCTCAGGATCAAGCTGGTCCTTTAGACCCTGAGGAACACACATCCAATCCCACCAGATATACCGAGTTCCAATCTTCTGCATCACCTTTCTTGCCCTCAACAATGACCATTTTAAAGTAGTGGGTACCGTCCAGACAACACCCTCGGGTATGTCAGATGCGGGCTTATCCCATTGCGCAATATACCCCCAGGTATAGGAAACCACGCCATAGCCTTCCCTATCTAGTATATCTCTTGGAACTTCAGTATACGGCTGGATCCTCCATTCTTGCAGGTCCAGAAGCCATCGTGGAGCTTTTGGATCATTGGCGGGTATGTTGATGTTTCCCATGCTGTAGATGTTTTGAATCTTGGAGAGTGTGAGAGTAGTTGTGATTGTGTTCGAAAGACGGTCAAGCTTGCTTTTATCATCGACACTTTCGGGAAACGTGCGCTTGACCCCTTCGCCCCACCGCACAATGCGATTCGAGTATTCGTCAGACAACCCACTCGTTTGATGATGGTTGGTTGGCTCGATTCAACACAGTGTATGTGCACTGTGGGCTATGAAAATGGCTGGCTGTTAAGAAAGCATTGACGAGAAGATTGCTCCGCTTTGTGTGCTTGTTACTGGTATCAGGCCTTACGGCATGCACCGCGATGGATACGCCCCACGGATCATAGCAGAAAACGCAAAAATGGATCGAGATCTACCTTTCTATTACCTAAAAAGAGATCAGAAAACCGGAAACAAGGTGCAATGTGCAGTGGCTCAGCTGAGTAGTTCAGCTGGCAATCGCGTTATCCACAGTAGCCAAATTCTGGGTTAATAACTCGATCGGATATCTACCTAGATATAATCCCAAGAATCACCGTTTTGAATCATTGAGCAGGTTCTGCGAGAGGGAAACAGGAACAGATAACACGAAACAACCTTATCATGGGACGTGATCAGGAAATCATCTCGCTGTCCTCCTTTGGGAGAGACCTAGTTGCCAGCGGTCGAATGGAATTTCTCAACGGGCCAAAATTCTTCACCAAAGAAACCAAAGCCACCCGTCGCAAAGACCTCACCGTTGCCCCCAATGAGTCTCCAAGACCAGTTGCCACTTCAAAATGGACAAGTTGGTCGGCCTTAGCACTTGCGACAACGACAACTGATCTAGAAGGTCCCGAACAACTCATAGTCGGTGGTGGCGCGGTGACCAATGTGTCCCTTGTTATGGGAAGCCAGGATGGACTCTACTTCAGTGATTTGAAAGTCATGCCGGTCCCCGTAGAGGGCGCCACGAGCAGCGGGGGATCGCTACTTGTAGCGCCGGTCGCTGAACAGGGACGCGCTCAGCCGATGTTCCTGTTGCCCACAGACGGCGATTCCGACATCTCTTTCACCAAGCATAATCCGTCCGTCTCATTTACAGACCTTAGTAAAGAGCTCAAGGAGTCCGAAGGGGAAATTGGTGTCGCAGCCATTGATTCGTATGTGCTTAGTGGTGATATCAAGAATTTTTTTGGAATTCAGGGTCTCACGGGAAAACTGTACGCCTTCAAGAGTGACGAGGATAAGAAGTCAAAGAATGGCGGTCAGGAAAAGGGAAACAAGAAGGCTGGGAAAGATGCGACCAAAGGAAAGAAAGACCCCCAACAGACGACCGATAATCTTGCCAAACAGCGCGAGGAAATGAATCTCAAAGCAAAAGACCCCAAAGAAGGAAAGACAGGGGGCAAGTCCGAAAAAGACAAAGAAGACAAAGACGACAAAGAAAAGCCTGTTGATGAAAAAGTCTTGCTCAAAGACATGGAGTCTCCCTTGGGCATTATTTTCCCTGAGATTGAAAACAAGACCATTCGGAAACTCCCTCTCAAGAACCTTGAGTTTGTCTTCAGCAACACAGAAAAAGAAAGCCTCTTTCCCGCTGGACTCCGTCTTCAAGGTGATCTGGAGTTGAAAGATGATTTGGAATTCATCTCACATCGCTTGAAGGATTTGTTTGGCAGTGACAAGTCGACTACCTTGCCCAAGAAAATAAGAGTTACGGCCCTTATAGCGAAGGAAAGGGACTGGAGCAAAAAGCCTAAGATTGAAGGTATTGTGCTGCAAGCTGCTCTCGATGATATGAAATTACCCGCCTGGGACTTCTTGGAATTCCAGACAGTTGGGATAGAGTTGTCTGCGAGGAAGGAAGCTATCAAGAAAGATGAGGTTGAGAAGAAGAAAGATTACAAGACAGGAAGTTCGAAGAAGGAGACGGAGGAGACCGAACCTAAATTGGAAGCTGTGAAAGATGTCGTCGAGGATGATGCATCTCATACTGGGTCCAAGGTCAAAGTTGAGGAGGTTGCAGCAGAGGCTACAGATGTTGAGCCTACGAAAGAGAAGGTATTACATTATGAGAAAGCCATGCGTTCCGAGCCACTCGATCTGATGCCTAGATATCGAACAGGTTCCTTCCGATGCTACCCATCCGAAAGCAGATAAAACCAAAGAAAGCACCGTCGACATGGTTGGCAAAGATGGAACGGACAAGAGAGACAAGGAAGATAAGAAAGATTGGAAGGTAGGATTTGGACTGTTTGGCAAACTTAGCATCACCAAAGTGCCCAACTCGAAGGTGCCACTAGAAGCAAGGTATTGGATTCGAACGGGGAGCTGGAAGAAAGAGGAAAAAGATGACAAACCAAGGAAAGATAACAACAAGGGTGATGACGGGGATAAATTAAAGGATGGCGAGAAAAAGACTGACAAGCTCGATGGCAATAGCAAGAAAGACAAAACTGGGGACGGTGGTGATACAGCGACACAAAAAGCAATCACTAAGGAAGAGCAAACAGACAAAGGCAAAGGCGAGAGAGATGCCGGAGCAGAGAAGGAAAAGAAAGGTGAAAGGACAGAAGGGAGTGAAAGCAAGTATGAATGTGAGTTGCTTTCCAAGTGTGAGTGTCTACAAAAAGGCAACTAACCCTATATCAGTGTTGATCAAGGTCGGAAAATGGAAGGACTTCTGCGCCATTTCAAACCTTGATGTAAGTTCTATCGAGAAGCTGTCATGGCCTTAGATAATGACTGGTGTAAAACAAACAGATGAAAGAAGCTCAGCTGAATGCATTTTTCAAACCTGGCGAATTCACAAAATCCTGCACTCTGTCTGTGTCTGGAGCCCTTGAGTTTGAGCAAGGAAGCCTTGACAAGGAGAAAAAGGAAGAAAAAGCAGACAAGGAAGACGACAAGAAAGCCGACAAGAAAGCCGACAAGAAAACCGACAAGACAGCCGACGAGGCGGAGGAAGAAGAGGACAAGCCTAAGAAAGCGACTTTGAAAATCAATGGCCAGCTATCCAGAAGTGAGTATGAGCATTGAGAAAGACAGATAGATATTTATTGACCATATACTAGAGGACTATCACTTCGATGCCAAAGTCGGAGACCTGAAGCTTGACTCGATATTGAAGATCTATGCTCAGATTAGCGGTGCACGACCATCCAAAGAGGTCAAAGAACATGATTTTGCCTTTGAAGAGTTGCATCTTAATATAAGCCGCAAGCTAAAGAAGAAAGAGAAAGAAGAGAAAGAAGACAAAAAAGAGACACCCGAGGAGAAGGAGGCAAAGAAAGAAGAGAAAGCAGAAAAACTAGGGGCCATAGAGGAAACCGAGAAAGGGAAAAAGGATCAAGCAACGAAGAAGGTTGCGAAGAAGGAAAAGGCTGGATGGTCCTTTGAGTTATCTGGCAAAGTGAGCTTCAACGATGTCAAGAGTGTCAAAGGGTTAGTCAAGATTGACAACACTGGCTTGACAATTGAAGGTGGAGTTGAAGACTATAAGATCAAAGATACCGATGTCAACATCACAGAGGCTAGCATTGATATCTTCATCGGAGCGAAACCAGACCCTGCCAAAACGAAACCCGAGGGATCCAAACCCAGACTAACAGACGGAACCGCAGAACACAAGGCCATCGATAAACCCACCGAAATTGCCAGTCGTACCGACAAATTAGAGCCCAAGAATACCGCCACGAAGGATGTTGATAAGGGAAAAGTGGCCGTCTTCAACCGAGCGAGCAAATTCTCCATCAAGGGCAAAGTCGAGTTCAGTGGATTGACAGTGACAGTCATGTTCCTCACTGAGCGAAAGGAGACCAATCTCAAGTCGAAGAAAGTCTCTGAACGAGAATGGGTCTTGTTTGGAGTTATTGATGGAGATCTGCGCCTATCAAAGATTTGCACGGAGCTTGCGGGGACAGATATTGGCAATATCCAACTCAGAAACATTGCATTGATTGCGGCATCTGGAGAGATCAAGACGGTGAAGGATTTGAACACGCTCAAGTATCCGGTCAAGAAAGGTGAGTGAGAATATTATGTACTTATCAATTTGTAAACTAATTGGTGGGTAATAGGAATCTCATTGTGTGCAACCATTCCACCTCTGGCTGCGCTGAACACTTTGGCCAAACAGAACGTGGACGGGCTGGTTCTCGTCGCATCCATCCACCGAAAGCTCGATCTTCAGATTCGCTTACCCGAGTCTTTTGACGTAGGTTCTCGTTTCTTAGTTGTAAGCCTATCTGCTAACTAGATGACCGACTAGTTGGTATTTACGGAGAGCTGCGTGTTGAATGATATCGGAATTGGTATTGAAATCAGCGAAAAGCCTAGCCTAATGCTTGAAGGTGTTTTGAACATCACAATGGAGTCAAACCAGGACCCGCTGAGACTTGAAGGCATGGTAAAGGCCGGGATATTGAGCGCCGCGGCGCAGGTGTACGTTTTGTTTCCTGGTAATCTGCCTCGTAATTGTGTGCTAACTATCGTCTCCAGTGCCACCGTGTCGCCATGGGTGAATCCCTTCAACATAAGTAAGCAGGTGACAATTGCCGACTTCAGAATAGTGCTCGAAATTACTTATGCAACACTGGCGGCGGCCGGTCCATCGTGAGTCAATATTGGGCTTCTTTCCCCATCCCACGTCAGTCATTTTCTAACACCCAACCTAGCAAAATGGCCCTTGCGGGAGACCTTAGAATCGGAGAGTTTAAAGCTGAAGCTGGCATGTCCATCAGTCATTACCCTGACCAGCAACTCTTGACGGCAGGTATCTCCAAGGTCGATCTCATGGAGATCATCCGCGTTGCTGGAAAGGTGGCCGATGTTCAAGTCTTGGAGAATATGAGTGGCGGCGAGGATATATTTGTCTTCACTGACGCTTTCGTCTATATCTCCACTGGAGCTACCATTGCTGGGAAGGAGTATCCACGAGGCATTTCGGCCGGCGGAAGTCTGACAGCGTTTGGTAAGACCGCAACGTTTGACCTTAGCATCGGCGCGGCCGGTCTAGATCTCCAGGCCTTCATCGACAACTTTAGTCTCGGGCCTTTGGTTGTCACGTCTGCGACCGGTGACCCACGGGCGGGCATGATCGTCCAGATGACGAAAGACGAACAGGTGATCAAAGTTGACGGAAAGGTGACGTGCTTTGGTATTGGATTCGCCGTGCTTGTCGACATTCAGATGGGCACGGAGACCCCATCTTTCAAAGCCTACCTCGCAGTGCAGTTCACAGAAGCGTTCAAGATAAGTGTTTCTGCGACGGTGGATAATTTCCGCGATATCAAGGATCTGGCAAGCAAGGGCCTGCTCTTCCAAGGCAAGGTCGAGGGAGATTTGTTCGAGGCAATTTGCGAGAGTATAAAACACATGCTCAAAAGTCTTGAGGAGCTGGGCACTCAGGGTATTGAGTCTGTTCAGAATCTCATCAAGGCAAACATTGCCAAGAAGAAAGCTCAAATGGAGCAGCTTGCGGAGAAAGTCAAAGAGGCCGAGGAGAAGGTTGCAGCACGACGCAGAGATCGTCAAGCAGCCATGGAAAAAGAAGAGGAGAAGCGGAAAGGGGCAGAAAATGAGATCAACCGCCTGCGAGATAACTTGGCCAAAGAGACAAGAAAACGGGACCATGTTCGGAGGGAGTTGGAAGAAAAGGTCATGGAGGCCAAATTGAATAAGGAGTCTCTCATTCAACGCAAAAGAAAGGAGTACGACGACAAGCTGAAGGCGGCTAAGCGGGAGGAGAGAGAGAATCGCGAGAGACTGAATGCCCTGCAACAGCGACAGCAAACCAAATACGGTACTGATTTCCTCAAAAAGGTCAACATTGCCAAGGGAGCCTGGGCGGAGAAACAAGCAGCCCTGAAGGCTTCATGGAAGGGTGTTCAATGGGTTTACCGGCAGAAATGTGAGGCCACTTTGTAAGTCTTTACTGTTGGTTTATCCTGATATCCAAAGTTGATGCTGACCCAAAAATAGCTGGACAATAGGGTACTGGGTATGCAGACTCACCATCTCATGGTGCTAGTAATTTTTGAAGCTAATCACCACACTCTACATAGGCTGCAAGACTCGAAGCCGCAAAAGCCGCACACGAGGTCGTCAAGGCAGCGACTGACGTTTATCACGAGTCTGCAAAGGGATTGGAAGCCACTGCCAATTCTGATGCATTTCAAGTCCTCGTCACGGGGATCGAGGAAGCGCAAAAAGGTGTGGAGAGAGCAGTGAATGGTCTCGACTCTCTCCTATCAGGAGGTGGATTCGACGGCTTTGTCAGGTCTTTTGTGGACACAGAGGAGGCGCGTATTCAGAAAGCAATAAACAACCTACGCGCAATGCAGAATGAAAACAGCGAGTTGCAAAAGGCCGTCCGAAAGGCCCAGGAAATTCTTGACCGGAACGGGCCGAGGCTAGAAAGAGAGATTGCGGAGGCCGACGAAGAGATCGAGCGCATCCAGGAAGACTCAAAGCTGGCAGAGCTCCAACGGGACTACGAGTATCAGCTCAAGGTCCATGATGAGGTCCACAATGTCATCGAGGGGATGAACGCCGGTTTGGAGACACTCAAGGAAAATTGGGAGACGGGGATGCAACAGCTGCAGAAGGTGGTGGATGACATCCAAAAGGCCATTGCATCCGTCATTCACATTGAGAGGATCGAGGTGTCGGCTCACACACATGCTCTGGTTAACGACAAACCTTTGGAATTTGTGTTTTACGGGACACTGGCCGGTAAGCGATTTGAAATTGAAGCCAAGTGGTCGCCGGGCCAATCGCTCAAGGGGCTGTATAAGGCAGTGACCAATGAGATCCTCAAGATCGCTTGAGAAAATCACGGCGGGGATTCCTTGTATAGATAGAATTTTTCTACTTAGAGCAACCTACTAGATGAATTCGCGTTTGATTACACCAAGAGAAAGTAAGGTGGTGGATTTTGGTGATTTCAGTGGCAAGACGTCTGCTGGGTATAAAGCCCAGCCTTATGGCAATGGTTTAGCATTGCCAACGATTGAATTTAACTGCGTCATTCGACCAACATGCCTGTGTTGATGGGCCATTAGTGATACAGGGCTAGCATCACAACATATGGAGGAAGTGAACTTCAACATCCATTTGCTTGCACTGGTAGCATACCTTGGAGGCTGATCATCATATCGAATTGCTTCTCACTATTCAACTAGAAATCCGTGAGAACTTCTAAAACAAGAGCGAGCACCGGCAAAAATATCCCGAAGGGGCAATTCATAGGTCCGCCATTTACTGTATCAATTGACTTATGAACACTCTCACTAGATTACCAAAAGCCGGATTTGATGTAGTGATCGAGATTCATCTGTTGCCATGGCTATGGCGAACCCACTTCTCGTTCCCTCGAATTATGTCCCATTTTGCATCTATCAACGTAACTTCGATTGGTTCTCCTTTCTCTGCTTTGGGGCGCCAAGATAAGCTCAGGGTTATTTTCCAAGCTTCAAGTCCTTTTGTAGGGCAAGAGTGTGCTTGTAAAGGGTATTTTGGGCAACCGTGCCTTCATAAAAAGCACTCGCAGTTCCTGGCAGTACATTTTATTCAGACAGATGAACTTTCTGCAGCCATGCTCTGGAACAGCACGGTACGTCGCATTGTTTATTTATTACGCATTAAACCATCGAAAGCTGACTTGAGTGAGCAGTTGATTCCACTGACGGTTTAGTCTTCTAGTTGAGAGACGACAAGTACTCGAAGCTGCTGTGTCAAATTGGGCAGTATCGATCGACTATCCGTCTGCGCCAAGGTAGACCTTATCGCTCCCTTGAGACACATTTCTCGATATTCTTTCTTCTGGACAAGCCTCTAGCATGTTGGGTCGGCCAAAGAAGCCAAGCAGGCGTTTCGCAATAGCTCGCTCGCAAATCTATCTGATACATAGAGATATATTCAGCTCGAAGGCAATTTTGCGTTGAGATAAGAGACCTGATATTCTGTGACCTTTCTGATGCCACTGGCATTTAGATCCTGTGCCTCACCGACCTGGCCATATGGGAGGATTTGGCCCGTGCTATCCTCTGACGGGCGGGATTGAGAAACAGTGGTTCGTTTTATACTGAAGTTAATCTTGGTATCCGAGTACGTTTGAAACTGTATCCAGTTAATCCCAGACCGTGACGTGGCGTTAGGCTCCGAGTTCTTGACAGCCGAGCCTCCACAGTTGTCAGACCCGTGATCTGTGGAGAAGAGGGAGGGAAAGAGTCTCGAAAGTGGTGTCCACATCATTGGCAGACAGGCACAGGTGATTGCCACGTTTTCTTCGGTTATCGTCCATATTGAGGAGGCGAGATCGTCTGGAAAGATACTTGTAAGCGCTTGAGCAAGAGCATCCTGGGCCATGAAGACGCTTACAGGTGGTGTCAGGACTTGTAGAGGAGAAGTCCAGGGTCTGCATCCGGATAATGCTTGTAACCGCGACACTTGTATATCATGGGTCAGTCTTGAAACTATTCCTTGGCCTGCGACCTAGAGATATTCAAAACTCACAAGGCGCCGAGGGCAAATACAATCATCAATGCGATTTTCCGCTTCAACGTTATCTTTGTTTTGTAGAGTGGTTAAATTGGTAGCGCCAATATAATGATATCGGTCGCGATCGAGAAGCCGGCGTTGGCGTACCAGTTTGTGGTGATGTCAATGCATGATCCTGCAATGGTCTTGTCCCAGGTGCGGGACACTGGTGTGCATTGAAATACGGAGGCGAAGAAGGCGGCCACCATGTAGGAGGTGATGATAACCAACAGCACATGGCAGATGATACGGAACCAACTCTGGATAAAAATGCGCAGATAAAGCAGTAGAATCGACATCTTTGTCATGTTCATAGTGAGCTTGTAGAAGGCTTGGCTCACGAAGAAGAGCTGATAGGACTGTATTTAGCAGCCGATACGAAATAAAGAGCTAATAATCTGGAGCCATAGTACATAATTGGAGGAATGTGGCGAGGACAGTTTCCAACGTACCTTCAAGGTCATTTGTTTATTCGGTCTTGTGAGATTAGCGATATGTTGGCCAAAGCCATAAGCGCAGGACGCCAGCATGAGGGTCATGACGATAACCGCAAACACCTATAGATAAGAGTGTCAGGTCTGCATGATGCTGCTTGATCCCACGCATGGAAAGCTCACGGAAGATGCCAAAATGGTCCAGTCGTCCCACCCCAGTCCCGACTGAGACTTGGCTCGGGACCACAGACGGATGACCACAAAGGCTGGTGTTGTGACAAGGAAGACAATACATGGCAGTTGGATTTCTAAAGCCCTGCTTGGACCTGGAATGTTTTCCAACATAACAAATTGCCAAGGGTCGCCCAGAGGCAAGTAGTATGCCTTTTGATACCGATGGAGGCGAAGGTCGATACCTTTGCACTAAACTTAAAGCCATGTCAGTTGGGGTGTAGCCTTGGCCTTAGTCTCTGCTTCTTCAAATTCCCGGCAAATGTACAAGCCCGGTGGAATAGCGGGTTATGCGAGACAATTACGCCCGCGCTGACAAGGGTCCTATTAGCCGAACTTTCGCCCTTCATACAAATTGAGTAACATTGCATCGCGCCGACTAATCGGAGCATTCACCCGCTTCATACAAGGTCATCATAAAAAGTAATTGGCAAAAGAATCGGATAAAAAAAACATCTTTTCGAAAACGTAGCAAGGCCTTAAAGGCGCTAGTTTTGGAATTGTTAGGGCCTGTGTCCCGGATGAACTGGCTACTGCTCCGTCTCCGCCCTCGCACGGTGCCTGACTATTCCGAGTACGTCCTAGTAAAATTGGATTTAATTTAAAAGCTCTTTAAAATTCCCCGTCTCGGTAATGTCGGAACGCGAAAGAGGAAAAGTGATGGTCGACCCCTGGGGAACTAATACACACACGTGCAACGCAGAATATGTGGCGCCGACTTTGGTGATACCCTGGGATCCACTTTCATTCATTTATTTAACTGAATAATCTCTAAGCTAGGAGATTTTATTCCCATCAGGAGGCGAAAGGAGCAAGTCCGCATTTCTCTCATGCGATTGAAGAAGAGATATAGTGCTCTTTAAACTGCAGTCAACAACATAACCTGGTTCTTTTGCGAGCAACCGCATGATGAGGGTCTTCTCTGTCTTCACTGCCTGGTCGGCGATCCTGTCGTGTATTGCTGTCGTCTACGCACAATCTGGGCCCGACCCGATTGGTACGATCCATGAGGGCCATGTGCCAGCTGATCTATACGGATCCGACTACCCCTACCCTTGGCCGGTTAAGCTGTTCAAGTTCTACAATCAGCGCCAGAAACTTACGATGGCGTTTATGGACATACCGGCGAAGAAGAGTCACCAAAATAACAAGACGGCGGTCTTGCTCCACGGGGGGAACTTCTGCGGTGTCACATGGTTCGACACGGCACGTCACCTGTCAGCGGCCGGCTATCGAGTGATTTTGCCCGACGACATCGGCTTTTGCAAATCGAGCAAACCCCAAGGTTATTCTTACAACGTACAGCAGCAAGCGTTGAACATTCACAGTCTGCTCAATGCGCTAGGCATCGATGGAGTTATCGTGATCGGCCATTCGATGGGTGGTATGATTGCCGCCCGCTACGGCCTCATGTACCCGAACAACGTTCAGCAGCTTATCCTTGTCGATCCCCTGGGCCTAGAAGACTGGGTAGCCAAAGGCGTGCCCTATCTGCCAATCGACGCGACGTACGAGAGCCAGGTTGTGCAGAACTTCACCACTCTCCAGGCCTATGAGGAGGCCAGCTACTTCCACAATGCGACCTGGAAGCCTGCGTATGATACCTGGGTCGAGATGCTAGCCGACATCTACGCCGGCAACTATGGCTCCGAGTATGCGTACGTGATGTCCCTCGTCACCGACGCCTTGCTCTCTCAGCCTATCATCTACCACCTGCCTCTCCTGCAGACACGTACCTACCTTATGGTCGGAGAGAACGACATTACGGCGCTTGGCAAAGCATGGTCACCCCCCGATGTCGCTGCGAAATTGGGTCACTATAACAAACTCGGTCCTGCGGCCGCAGCCATGATCCCCAACAGTACCTTCCATATGTTCCCCGGCCTAGGCCATGCGCCCTTCCTTCAGGATCCTGAAGCGTTCTACGACGTGCTATTTGCTTGGCTAGACTAGATGAGATTGGCAACTGGCATGTCAGTCACATCTGATGCAATACATATTTGTCGCCTAAGAGTGGAACTATATGGGGGGTGGAAAGGCGACCATTTCTGCCCGCAAAAGAGGTTATCTTTGGTATTCGGTCAAAAGGTCCTTTTTGTATATATTCTATCTGTCTCTTTAAAAAAGTTTTGAGCATTCTTTGGGTCGTCTTCCTAATTCTTTTCAATTGTAACTTTATTCTCATTGACTGTCTCTTAGGATCGTTATAGCTGAAGCAGTATCCAATGTCTACAGGTTTCTCAGACACCATGTACACGAACGAATTCTATCTCACGAATCGTAGTGAGGCCCACACAGCACCTGTATGAACAGGTGGATGTTTCTCATCACTTGGTCATCTCCTCGTTCTGTTGAGCGCCTTATTTGCCCGCATTTTGGTGTCACATTTGCATCCGGAGTACTTTTAGTTCCCACAGAGAATCTATTTGCCCCCGCCAAGACTAGCTGAAATGATAAGGCTGCATGGAACATTGGGGATCCATGCATCGAAGCTCGTAGCAGGGCATAGATCTGAAGAAATAAACTTGATTAGTGAATAAATTATGCAAGATCTGGATTCCTTGACTAAAGGCCAAGCTTACTTGTTGTCTCATATAGGCAACAACCGCAATGGATTTGCGCTGTCTCAAAAACATCAATGTTAACGGCCACCCGTCGACAAATACGCGAGTGAAAAAGCACTTTTTCGTCATCCTAGTTAGGGGTCTTTTTTTAGCTTGATATGAAGAATGTGTTGACCTCCAATAAAATTGCGATCCGGGAAGCTTCCAAGGTTGGCTGGCCCTGGGCAGGCGGTAGGGCTTACATGAAACTCCAAGAAAGTGTTTTGAGTACTTGTGGCATTCTCTGTGAGCAGCTTAGCGCTCAAGTACCACAGGCACCTCATGATACTATATGTCTTTTGATCCCTCAGATCTACCCATTAGACTCGTCAGGATGGCCCATTCATGATCCGTAGGAAGCGCCATACGATTGTGACAAGAGTGGCCTTGAAATATTTCGGGAGCCAATTATAGTCGCAAAACAGGTAAACATTACTTCAGCATCATGAAGGTGCCATTATATACATCCCAATCTCATAATAGAAATATATATTAGATACGGGTGTTACTTACGTGCAAATTAAAACAAGATTTTAGTTACGTGCCTGTTAACGAAGGTATTAGGTCTAAAGTGAAGAAAGAAGAAAAGAGAGCTGTCTAACTAGGGGTTTTTATACTCCCTTTCTAGAAACTTCCTCTCTCGGTATTTGTCTTCTCGTCTGCCTAGTCCCTCACTCTACTATGTCCCATCAATAAGACCAAGAGGTCAAGTCTCACTCGAAAAACATAAAGACGGTCAAATCAGTATGCAATAGAAGAATCCACGGACCTAGCTATGTAGCTTGTTTAGATCAGGCTCTCTCCAAATCCTCCAAAATGTCTTCCCATCCTATCTCTTACTGTTTCATAAGATGTCCTATATTACACAATCTAAAATAAATACAAAGTTGTTGAAATTCATAATGTCCACAAATTAATATAGCATAGACACGGGAATCATTAGTCGGAGGCTTCAGGGTATACAAGATATGGGATAGTTGTTTGTCCAGTAGAAGCTCTCCCAAATTTTCATAGCATGCCAATTCTTCTGTACTTCTGGAGGCGACTCAACCAAAGAGAAATTTCGAGAGATATCAGAAAACGGTAGATTTTGTGCACCAATGCAGCGCATTTTCTCGCGAAGAAGCTTTTTGAAGTTATTCTTAGCTGCGAACTCAAGTAGCGACAAACCAAAAATATTTTCTGGAAGAGGATTTGCTACTCGATCTAGAAGAAGCCGAGCATGATTAACGCATTTTGACTCGCCTTCAAAGGCCATGAAATTGATTTCGTAGCCTTCGAGATTTTTGATATCCGCAACGTAGCGCAGCAGCACAGTAATCGTTGCTTCTGCGGCTTCTAGATCGTTCGCTTTCAATGCCTCCTCTAGGTATGATCTTGAATATCTCGGGTGACCATCCCATTTCAAATTTGGGTCAAACCAGTTTTTGAGCAAGACTCAGTGATCTTTGCATTTCCTTGGCGTATTGTGTCTCTCAACACTTCTTCCGCATTTCTATTTTCTGGGAGTGCTACCACGCCATGAATAGCAAGAAGGTTCAAGATAGCCGCTGCATCCTCTCCTGCTGATGCCTCGCGGTTGAAGGCGAAAAAGCTGGAGGTTTCCATGGGCATATTGTGATCGAGTAGGACTTGCCGGCTTCTCGATCGCGATCGATATTATCATATTGGCGCTACCGATGTATCCGCTCTACAAATCAAAGATAATTTTAAAGCGGAAAATCGCATTGATGATTGTATCTGCCCTCGGCGCCTTGTGAGTTTTGAATATCTCTGGGTCGCAGGCGAAGAAATAAATTCAAGACTGACCCTTGATATACAAGTGTCGCGGTTACAAGCATTATCCGGATGCAGACCCTAGATTTCTCCTCTACAGAAAAGTAAGAATACTCAGTGTTGGGGGCCGTAGTGATCGCCAAAACACCGCAGCTAGCCCTCACGCTGAGCTATTATTGCTACAACAATCTGTTGACGGACATTCTGTTAGCTTTTGAGTACAGCGTTTACGGCGTGATTTCCAAACCACTTCGAATGAACTGGCCTGCAAAAGGTAGCCAACAAAAAATTCAACCTATTGGCTCAGCATGCCGTATCAATACAGCATATTGATCCTAGTGCTCTAGATGATTCTGCATTGGCTAGTCTCGCAAAGCATATTCTATCTTTTGGTGGTGCCTTATGATATGCAAAACAACCCGAATTACGAGTCCCAGCTCAGCTCACTGGGCTATGCGCCCTTGCCTATCTTTCTATCAATTCTCATTGGTGGGCTCATGCTTTGTATATTGTTCGGGTTGGTGTTCAAGAGGCTTAAATCTCATATGCCATTGGCCGGTGCCTGTAGCGCTGCTATCAGTGCCGCATGTTACCCATCAAGAAATGAAAACTTGGACACTGTGGCTCTGGGTAGGCTCAAATGGGGGGAAGTAACGACGCAGCCGGCATGGGATATGGAGCCCTGCCGTGGGCTTGGTGATAAAAAGGGCCACTGCAGCTTCACGGCGTCAGACACAGTGAACACTTCTTTGAGGAAGTTATATGTTTGATGAAATTGTGTCTCAGCTCTCGCAATAGCCTGTATAATGATTGAGCTTCGATCTACTAGAAATGTGCACTTTGAACGGAATGCCGTACGGATTGAAGAGGGGAAAGAGTTCTGCGAGGCTAGGGTTTCATTCAATCAGTGGGCTGAAGTAAATGTTTTGACAGGGCCTTTTGGTGAACAAAAGTCTTTCTTCGTATCGTCCACCTTCAGAAAGGGTCCACTTGCTACCTAGTGAAGAGAGAGAAGAGTGCGATGGCGGTCTGACGTAGCAAACAGGGCGATGGGATGAAATGGAACTGAGGACCGTAGCGGGCAATGGCGTGAAGACCCTTTAGAGAAACCATAATGTAAAATCGATCTTTTCAGGGGAGATTGATACTTGATTCCTTCTAGATATCAGGCCAGAGAGGAGGCCATACAGGCTTATCTAACCAGATGATCGAATATGTCGGAACGTGGTCGTTACAGTACGGACTATTACGGGCATAGCCAATTGAGTACTTGAGAGTGTGATTTTTATATACTATAGAAAGTGCAGAATACATAGGGGATGAGCTTAGTAAGGTCTTTGAGAGCCTTACGATCATCAGGCAGAGGGGGTGCTGAATATTCCTCGGGCGCACTAGTAACATTGTGACCCTCTTTTGTTGACAGAATAGCCAATGAGACCACTTTCTACTCCCGTTCGCAGTTCTCCCACTACACTAGGTAAGGTCAGGAGGTTGGGGCCAAATACCATAGCATAGCCTGCCAATGGTTTTGACCCCGAGTGCAACTTTCATGTGAGAACCTTGGAATGAGGGCTCGGAAAATGATTCGTGAGTGTATATGCCAGGATCACTAAAACTCGGAGCCTCAATACTCGACCTTGGTAACCCGTCTCGAGTACATCCTGTCAATTAAGTCTCACGACAGTCCTAATCTCACTTGACTGCTATGTTTCGATAGGTCTCTTTATTCACCTGCTCTACTCCCTTCCTAAGGTCCTTTCTAGGGTCTTTTCAAGTGCCATTCTAGGCATAGTGACTAACTATCCCTTAATATGGTTGCAATAGAGCCTATTCAATACCAGCTGTTCCCGGACTTTTTAGACACTATGTACACTGAGACTTCTCAGGACTATCTCGTTTCTGGCAGCCAAACTAAAAGCAACCCAAAATTCAACATAAGTAGGCAACAATCTTTGGTTTCATTCTGCCTGCACGCTTTCAGCCGTAGAGTGATCTGCCACATTACGTTTCAGCCATAAATGACGCAAGATTTCTCATGCGCTCCTGTGCTCGCTGCTGGAGACGCTTTATGCTTCCCTCGGTCAAGACTTCACCCTCATCTCGCTGGTCGCGAGCTGCCTGGATGACGGCGGGTGCCCAGAAATCTGCCAGCTTAGTCTCATCCCGTCCATGTGCATAAATCTTCCTCAAACCGAGCGGCGCGGATGTATCTTTGACCTCACGAGAAGACCTCCAAACTGAGTGAACAACCTGGTAGCGTCTCTCCAATAAGGAAATCACGATCAGTGTGATGATCCATAGTGGGGTGAGAACGCAAAACCACCAGATGAAGGAGTTATTGCGCAATCGGTTTATCCAATGCGGAGAATAGATAGTAATGAAAGTATTCTGCGTGGAAGTTGTGATTTTGATTTGACCGCGGTAATTGGTTGAGCGGAGGTACGATTTCAGCTCAGAACACAGAGGCTCAGTGTCGAACCCTTCAAGCTCTCGGGTGAAGGTAAATGATTTGACTCCGGCAGGGTCGTGACAGAATCTTTCACACCAGGTCATCAGACTAAGAGTTCCTTCATTCGAGCCGTCAACATTCGCGCCTAGAAGAGTTTGATCCTCCGAGTCCTCGTTCCCCTCCAAATTGAAAGCTTCATGACGATTTGCTTGGCCCAGAGGCTGCTCCCATTCAAGAGTTGGAATAGGTCCACCGCGAAAATTCTTTTTGCCGTCCCCATCCCGAACAATGTGCAGTTCGTGCCACTCACTATCATTATCATCCAGGCGTAGCAGTGTGGGTGTCAAGTCGAGTTTGAAATTAAAAGCCACTTCATTATCGGTAGGGTCGTTGCCTTTATCCTTCAGCCCTTTGATGGAAACATACTGCCGCGGTGGCAGCTTATGTTGAGCGGAAAGGAAACAATAGAGAGCATGTGGGTCCTTACAGAGCGACGGGTGTAGCGTTCGGGTGCCGATTTTATCCTCCCAAGTGCATGCCCACCCGCCTGGGATCGAGTTTTCGACTGGAGTGGGGGATGGAGATTCGATCACGTCGTTGTACAGTGGAGGTTGGTTTTCATGTTCGATGGGCTCAAGAGGAATATCAGAGTCAGACGGTCGACCCATTTTGTGAGATCTGCTTGGTTCTTTTACAGACTTCGAGCTGTGGAGGACATGCTTTGATTTTTTGAATAGTACGCCCCAAAAAGAAGCGCAAGGCGGCTACCATTTAGAGAATCAGTGGTCACAGCGACATCGAATTTAGCCCCCAAGAATGCGCACGGCTTATCAATAGGCCCAGTAAACTTTTGAGTAGTATTATGTGTACTGGCTATACAGTAGCAAACTATAACCAGTAACAGAAGAGCAAGCATCCTACCCCTCAATCTACCTAGGCTGTGCACAAAAGCGTCAGCATAACCTGAGCCTATCGATCTGAGGCAGCAGCCAGGGAATAAGAGCTGCAAGCCGAGCCACGTGCTGTATATTGCTTCCAATTATGACGATGTGCTGATGCCAAGATACCAATTGTTTCGGGGTGAGATATATGGTCTAATAATATTCCACTTCTTTTCAGCTGGAAGGGTCAGTGCGGCGGCCGATGGAGTACGGCAGTACATAACCGCCATGCTGCCATAACGAGGCTCATTATCACTCGCATTCTCAGGTCTATAGCGCACTCAGCCTTGTCAGCATAACCCTAAAGCGGCACTTCCACTCCCATGTTGCTCGTCAAAGCGTCCGCGAATGCTTTCCACCTTGGCGCTGGATCCAGTGACTAAAAGTGAGATAGTTGCGGACATTGAAAGATTTCTAAGTCATCAAAATCTGGTACAGATCTTGCGGAATTCTTTACCGGCGCGGGTTTTTGTTTCATTGCCCCTCAGGGACAGGAAAGTCAAGCATGTGCTTTGTGATTGCTAGCCTATTTTGCTTAGATATCTATACCACCAAGCCTGAAAACCTGCAAGATCGACGAGGACAGCCTGTCTGAACTATTTCAAGAGCTTCCGAGCGCTGCATAATACTGCTCGAAGACGTTGACAACGCAGGAATGGCTTTACCACTCTACCGCGAAGTCGACCAAAGCGATGAAACTAGCTTCCCTGAGGACAAAATGTTGAGCCATAGCAGCGTTTCGTTATCGGCTCTTTTAAATGTTGCATTTCAGCGGTGAAAGTTAGCCTAATTATCAGCTAGGAAGTCAGTGTTTTCAGAAATATCTGGAAATAAAGTTGCCATATTATCGCCTGAGTCCAGCTGGGTTGCATCAAAGCCAGGATTTTGGAAATACTGGTCTAATATGATCTAAGGTTCGGGCAAAATTAGCCAGAGCCGCAAGATAAAGAGGACTCATTAGACTTACCCAGTCCAGTGTCTCCGTTCCATCAATCATCTCCGATATCGGTTCCATGTACAGCAGCTCCAAGTTGACCTCAGGAGCATGGTCTACTAACCGACTCTCATCGCCAAATGAGAATGTAGCTTGACGCTCAGCGACCTTTCTAGTCATCAGATCTAGCGCAAGCGACGCAATCCGAGACTCCGACGAATGATGACTATTGACGGCCCAAATCTGCTGTGCCGTTCTCAAAGCCACAATCTCCCTAGAAACAAATTCATTGCTTCCGCTCTCGTCTCTGAATGTTGATTGTGATTCTAAACGTACAGAGATATCCAGACAGATCACCATTGCAGCAAGGAGAAAGTCATATATTGTGAGCGTTGAAAGCATCCACTGATCTTCTTGGAGACGGCCACCGGGCTGGAACGCTCGATGCATGTCCGCTTGGCGAGTAAGGATTTCCAGTGCGGCTTCTACGCAAAAGCGGCGGGAGGATTCGAACTTGGCATCGTGCTGATTATGCCTGATGTACCGTCTGTGCAGAATGACGATTCCCTTCAGATACAGAAGTTCAATTGTGCATCGATTCAAGATGACTTCTGAGGAGTCCATGAGGGACTGGTCAATGTTCCTTCGTTTCAGGAAGTCCGGAACCAATGTATACGCTCCTCTCATCTCGGAATCCAAAGTCATAGTCACGTTATAGGACAATGGAGCAAGTGAAATTGTATGTGCAACGATTTTTCTGAATATACTCATCACCCCGGCTTTGGAGATGGCATAGAGCACAGGTGTATAGTCCGAATATGGCCGAGACGGGGGCAGTCTCGGCATTTTGACGTGCATATCAGCATCAAACAAATTTCGAGGAACCTGCGAGTCACAACATTCGGCAGGAATCATGCTTGGAACACCGATTTGGAAGCTCAACAACGTGTCAAGCTGAAATATGTGAAGCCAGACTCGGCGACGCATTTCGCTTTCGAATGGTGATATCGCGCTTGGTAAAGCAGTTGGGTCACGGTGGTAGCCCATCCGGAAGGCTAATCTGAGGACAAGTCCCATGTCGATCCAGTGTCTGGTATTGATTCTCATTTCTTTTAGAAAGCTGCTTTGAAGATGCAGCATTAATGCCTCCAGCACGTAGGTATTTGCCGTCTTGTAGCCACCGAGTATCAGACATTGCGCTGTCTTTTCATATAGAGTATCATGCGAGGGCATTGAATCATTCAGGCTGGTTTCGGGTTGGACTTTGCGGCGCAGATTTATAGATATGCTGAGAATAGAGAGAAAAAGGGCTATCCACAGTACTGGTGTCTGGCGAGGTTCTTTCCAAAAACTATCATACTATTGGTAGTTAGTCAAAGATCCGGTTTGTCACTGACAGATGTGGAGGAGTATGGAGAGGTTACACACCTCCTCTTGGAACTTTCCCGAGTGCACGATGCCTGCATATCTCATTCATCGTCAAGTCCAACTCCCCACAGGTACTGAAAGGGTACATACCTAGCACCATATACCGAGAGTTAAAATAATGTGACACCAGCATGTCGCAAATCGAACGCGCCGGTATTGCCATCAGAATGTCATCGATACTCGATGAATTTTCTGAGCCAATTGCAAGGCTTATTTCGGTGTGGCTTGTAGTATCATTCGTCGACTCATTGAACGAGAAAGCATCCTCGGTCCACAAAGTTTCCCGCACTTCCTTGATATCACCCAAGATGGAGATCCAATGAATGGGATCAACATAAACACTTTGGCTCTGCCTGTCATGAGTGCCGGGAATCTCTTTCTGGACTTTATTTCCGATAGCATCGGTTTCTGTCGGACTAGCTTTATTGATATTATCGATATTTTGAGTTCCTGTACCAAAATCTTTCGATTGCTCTGCTGTTTGTGGCACTTTGCCTTCCCTCACAAGGGACTGAATCGACTCCTCGAGGCGCTTCAGCCTATCATTGAGAGCGCGTTCTCTAGAGACATGAGGCCTACCTCGTACAGCATTTACAGCGTACTGACAGTTTGACTCCAGGTTACGTTTGACGCAAGTGTCGCAAGGCATTAGCCGATTGCACTTTAATCTATGCGAGGTCAGTCTGCATCCAATTTATATCCGTGTTTCTTACTTTCGGTTTCGACATGGCTCGCAGGATAGAGGAGGTCGATTTCGCTTTTCAATTTTTGAAGACATAACGTGTTTGATTCATCAAAGAGTTGATACTGAGGATTCTATGTTGAAGTGAGTCCATGGGTGGGGGCTAATTCGGACGGAGATATTATCTCCATCCCGCCCCAAGCGGTATTTTACAGATCTGATACGCCATTCTCAAAGTTACGCACACGTTACCACCCCTCGGTATCAGTAATATATACAACTAAAACGAGACGTGGAGATAACAAAACCCTACCTGCAAGGAGGTTTTGATCTTCGTACTAAAGGCAAATCCATGAAATGGCTATAATAAGTCCGCATGAAATACATACTTACTTAAAACCTTGATATTCATTTCGTGTTCCCACATTCACCCCGAATTCCGATCCACCAATCTTCAAAAATTATCAACCGACCCGAAACCATGTCTATACTTTCCAGCCTAGAAGGCGTATCCTCAACCGTTTTTTCCAACATCTTCATCCACCTTCCGACACCAGAAGGCAATCTCACAGGACAAACAATCATTGTATCAGGTTCAAACCAAGGCCTCGGCCTAGAAGCGTGCCGTCACCTACTACGACTGGGAGTGAAGAAGCTTATCATGGCCGTACGAGATATAAACAAAGGCGAGACAGCAAGAAAAGAGCTTCTACAATGTGCCTGCCGTGAAGAATTCTCAATCGAAGTATGGAAGTTGGACATGGATCAGTATACCTCTGTCAAAGACTTCGCCTCTCGCGCTGAGAGTCTACCGCGACTTGATGCCGTGCTCGCCAATGCAGGATTGATGACCAACACATTCAATGTATCGGAGGAGAACGAAAAAACTATCACCGTCAATGTAGTGAGCACCTTTTTGCTCATTGCATTGCTGATTCCGAAGTTGAGAGAATCGGCTTTGAAATTCAATATCTTGCCTCGTGTCACAATTCCCAACTCTGCTTTGCACTACATTGCTCCTCTGAATGAGCTTCAGCCCAAGAAAGGCGGGATCTTCGACTCGCTCAACAACAAAGAGACTGCAAATATGACAGCCCGTTACCCACTGTCCAAACTGTTGGTATTGTTTGGCGTACGCGCGCTGGCAGCTCGGCTTGCACAGAATGAGGGACCGTTGGTTGTAATCAACACACCAAATCCTGGTTTCTGCAAGTCTCAGCTAGCTCGAGAGACGGATAACATTGGTTTTCGGGTTGGAGAGAAGTTGCTTGCCCGCAGTACCGAGGAGGGCAGTCGGGCTTTGGTTCATGGGATCTTAGCGGACGAGAAGAGCAGTGGGCAGTATTTAACGAACTGTCAGGTTCATAGGTCTGTCATTGGTCATATTGTCTCCCTGGGAGAATGTGTTGGCTAACTCTGTTCTTTAGTCCCTCTTGTATGGTCACCGATATGAAGGGGGTCATGGTCCAGAATGCCTTTTTCGGGGAGTTAGTTGCTAAGCTGGAGCATATTGTGCCGGGCGTCACAGCAGGGCTTTGAAGAGCCGGAGTAACGCGATATACCGGAAAATGTGTTTCAAGGGGTCCGAAGATCAAGTGCAACTCAAACGTTTTATCATAGTGATTACTATTAGTAGAATGTCGCCTTCTGTTAACTTCCATCGGCCGATGAGACTATCCCATACGATGTAGCGGCTGACAATAGGAATATGGCTAGGCTCAAAAGAAGAATTAATAACTAAAGTCTTCTAGATTGTGTGCGAACTGTTTCGCGGAGACCAAGTGTCAACTTCCACAGGATTCCATCCAGTCCCACACATTGCGTAAATCCCTGGTAATTTACAATATGTTCAAAGCAAAATTATCGATACAGCAATCTATAGTGCCCATCAAACCAATGCCGGCAGCTCGATAAAGTCCTCTAGGCCAACACCTTGACAGTGGCCAGGAAATATTTATCAATAAGTTTGTATTGGTCAAGGCGATTTCGAGGATGACTATAAAACCACCTGTGTTGAACATACTGTCGGTGAATTGCCAGCAAGTATCCACTATTATTCGTAATTACTTAGTCATGTTAGATCCCCCTAGTTATAAATTGCCAGAACCAGGGGTAATAAAAGACAGAGCATTCATACATTCTTATTGGCCAGGGCAAGTGAGCATACCGACACATACTCCTGGAACGTCCTCGAGCTTCGTATCCGTTCCAACCCGCCTGGTCCATCTCCTACTTGTAGGAATTGCATTTTAAATTACGTACTTATATTGGGGGTCTGCGAGTGTTTCTACCTAGGTAGTGGCCAAGAAGGTGCTTTGCTCTGTTATAAGAATCCTTAGAACGGGAAAGAACGGGAACTGACATCAATTCCACTGTATTGTAACAAAGTCTAGCTCTTACCCATTGACCACTGATCTAGTTCTCTGCATAGATTGAAGATGTAATGCCATGATCCACTTCCATTGAAATGTCTATCATATATCTATACAGATTGTCAAGTCCAGAAGATGACTAGAGAAGATAAACGCAATCAAAGCAGATTCTCCTTCTAAAGCCCACCTCCAGGACTGAGGTTCAAATTTCCAATCGTCACAGATTTGACATTTTGGTACTCAGCCAGGCCATACTTACTTCCCTCAGTCCCCAAGCCACTTTCTTTGATTCCTCCGAAGGGCGTCTCAACAGCACTGATATAGCCTGTATTGACACCAATCATTCCACACTCAAGTTGACCGGCCACCCGGAACACGCGTTCCAGGCTCTCGCTGAAGAAGTAACCCGCCAACCCGAACTCTGTGGCATTTGCCTTCTGAACGACTTCTTTCTCGCTACTGAACGAGAAAATCGCCGCCAGAGGTCCAAAAGTCTCTTCAGAGCTGACTGCCATATCCGTGGCCACGTTGGTGAGGATGGTGGGCTCATAGAAGTATCCGTTTTGCAAATTCCTCGGCTGTCGGCCTCCTGTTCGGAGGATTGCCCCCTTCACTATAGCATCGTGGACATGTGACTGAATCTTTTCGACGGCAGCCTTATTGACCAGGGGTCCTTGGGTTGTTCCAACGTCAATACCGCGTCCGAGCTTCAGTGCTTGCACTCTTTTCACCAGTCTGCTGGTAAAATCCTCCAACACGCGTTCATGGACAAATATCCGATTGGCGCACTATTGTTTCAAGTGGAAACTCATTAGTAAATGACGCTCCAGATGTCAGAGCAGACAAAATTAAGATACTCACCACACAAGTCTGACCAGAGGAGCGGAACTTGCACACCAGAGCTCCATCAACAGCCTTGTCCAAATCGGCATCCTCGAAAACAATGAACGGTGCATTCCCCCCAAGCTCCATGCTAACCTTCTTCAAAGTCCCAGCCGCCAGCTCAGTCAACATCTTCCCAACATTCGTCGACCCAGTAAAGCTGATTTTCCGCACATCCGGATGAGTAGCAAGTTCCAAAGACGCACTTCGATCTTTCGTCGGAACAACCTGGATACAAGATGGGGGTACACCCGCTTGAACGGCCAATCTTGCCAGAGCAAGAGCAGTAAATGGGGTTTCACTGGGAGGCTTGATTACTACTGCGCATCCTGCTGCCAGGGCAGGTGCAACCTTGCGCGTGATCATGGCGGCTGGGAAATTCCACGGAGTGATGATCCCACATACACCAATGGGTTCCTTCAGTGTGAAAACCGTTCGATCATGTTTGGCGGAAGGGATGACGTCTCCGTATGAGCGGACGGCCTCCTCGGCGAACCAGAGGATGAAGGAAGAGGCGTAGGATATTTCGCCTTTTGCTTCTTCCAAGGTCTTGCCATTTTCAAGGGAAAGGATCAGAGCGACTACAGATGATTGTCAATTTACTGCACGCTAGAAGTTAAGAATTCGACTTACGATCATTGAGGTTCTCCTGTAGTAAATGATACCATGCTCGAAGGATATCCGCCCTTTCTGCTGCGGTAGTCGTTTCATAATACACTCGGTAGCCGTTCGAGGCACTTTCAATAGCTTCGGTCAAGTCTTCACGAGAGAAATCCGAGCAGGAGTATAGAACTGTGCCAGTGGAGGGTTCATAGACGGGGAAGTTCTTCCCGTCTTTGGCAGTTCGCCAGGTTCCTGCAATTAATCCCCGGGACTCGAGTAGGGAGGGATTGTCCAGGGTGACAGGAAAGCTATCATTGCTCCCCATATTGTTGGAAGGGTGCTACCTTGTTGCTTTAGTCTGTGAGGCTCAAGAATTAAGTTCTGTGCTTGAGGACGCAGAGCAGCGGCGCTTGCACATCGAACATATATAACATCTGATCACATAAGGTTATACAACTGGTGAGATAAATTCAATGAAAAGCCTCTCTTGGTTCTCTATGGCTGGGTCATCTTGCTACTAAACAGCACATCTGACAGTGTCTAGATGAAACTCAGGGCATATTGCCTGATTAGGCAATGTCGGCGAGAGATAACGGGGAGATCACGTCTCGTCGCCATTTTACGTATTTACCATTAGCTGCTGAATCTCTATACTGTACTCTCGTCCGAGATCCTTACTGCTCAATCCGACTCGCTAACTGATCGGCCCAGCGAAAAAAAATGCCGCACCGAGTCGAATCGAATTGCGATACAAGAATACAAGAGTTGCTAGCTTGGGAGAGTCTGTCCAAATGCAGTATTCGAACCGAAGACTTTTGATGCGCAGAACCCGCGTTTGAATTCTCTATTGTCGCGGAGACTTGGTTTAGCGGAGGCTTCCTTGAATTATTGGATCGTCATACCTAGGTAGTTATGAGGCCAGGTACTAGCGAAATACGCGCACATTTTGACCATCCATATTATCTGTTGACTCGTATGTTTTTGACTCATCTCGTTGCCAAACAAATGGAACTATGTATTCACGCCACGATATATGGTTCTGGGCATTGATAACTTGCCCGGCTTAGTACATTGCTTTATCTTCCTTCTGTAGATTCAAATTGCTCAAATACTGCGCTACAACGTAACTGAGGAGTGTAGAGGACGACCAAGAGAGAAATGGATTGTCTACCACCAAAACTGCTAATAACTTTTGGATTTGAAGTTTGCTTTACAAATCACCCCATAAGAGTTCAGGTTTTTGCAAGTTCAAGGACTATACCGTCATATCTGAGTATTGATTCTTTGAGTATGTGGGATAACTGTACAGGATATGGCAATTTCTCATTGAGACACAGGAGGCTCTCGATCCTTCGCATATCGGCCAGCATGTAATCCGCCTGTGATCAGAATGTCGCTGCCAGAGATGTAAGATGACGACTCGGACAGGAGGAAGTTAACAGCCCCTGTCAGATCACGAGTCTCTCCCATCCGACCAAGGGGAGGCTCATAGCTGAAGCGCGAGGCAAGCTCTGGGTTCTCAACTATGACCTCTCCGGTCATGCTTGTTCTGATGTACCTATGCGATGGGAAGGTTGATTAGTATAATGCTACAGCGAATCTGATCGAATAAGCAACTTACCCGGGAGAAATAGTATTGACTCGGATCCCCATCGGTCCAAGTTCCACCGTGAGAGCATGCGACAATGCTTTGACAGCACCTTTCGATGCAGTATATGCAGAGATCGGCAGTGCAGGTGAGCTCAGGTGAGCTGCTACCGAGGCAATCATCACAATGCTGCCTCCACTTCCTTGCAGTCTCATTTGTTTGGCTGCGAGCTGGGCCGTCATGAAAGTTCCCACCACCTATATTCAACGTCAGCACTCGATATACAGGGTATGAATGCTGCAGAGAAAACTGACGTTTATCATTTGTGTTCTCACTGCATCCTTCCACTTGTAGTCGAGGAAATCTGTCATGACCATGACTCCAGCAGCTGTCACACTTTATAGGCAGTCTGTTAGTTGAAGCCTGGTGTAAAGGAACTGAAAGCTACTGACCAGCCATCAATGTGACCAAAGTCACGGACAATCTCATTGAATGTCTGCTCAAGTTTGTCCTTGTCGCCGACATCGGTCCTGATTTATCGGTCAGTTTGGCAACTACAGCAAGGACTGTTCTCGCGCAGAACATGAACATACCGATAATACTTCGCCCTAACTCCGAAAGAATTCGCGAGTTTCACCAGGTCGCAGGATGAGCCTTCTGCTATATCCAAAATAGCAATGTCGCCTCCAGCCTCCGCAATGCTTTGGGCCAAGTCCTGCCCAATACCGGCCGCACCTCCTGAAACGTTTTGTTAGTGTTCTATGCAATCAAGATGGATGAAGAGCGCACAGTGGGCTCTAACCTGTGACGACAGTGACCTTGCCTCGCAGGCGGGGTGAAGTAGCATCCGTGCCATTGGTATGATCTGCCAAACAAGGCAAGCCGTTTTGAAATTGCAATGAAGGAGACATTGTCATGCTGGTCGCGCAGATTTACCCGAGAACAGTAGTCAGGTTGAACAGTCAGTATATCGAGTGCCGATGACTCGAATTAATAGAAAGCGACATCAATCTTAGCGAAATTTTCGACAATTACCGAGGGACCATTCGGCTATGACAGCACAGGCGGCCTTCCCAATCCAGTGACGGTATTCGCTTCCTCCCAGACATCGCGGGGTATATCGTGGGGTACGTCTATGACATACTCAAGGCTCAGCCTTCCTGGTCTTCGCTGTCTTGGGATCCCCATCTTCTCTTCATGCGGTACGCGTCGCGACCTTCCTAAATAGGAAATGGGACCGATGTGGACAGACTTAGGGTTATCCAGGACTAACATTCGATTTGTAACCAAGATCTTACCAAGCAGGTTGATTACAAGCTTCATGGTGGAAGGGAAGCTAGTTATGCGACCCCACGGGGATGGCTTCTGGGGTGAAAACCTGCAAGTCTCTCCTAAATTTCAACCCGAGCCGGAGAGTTGATACAAAGGCCACAACCTGCTATTGAGGTGCCAGTTTACAATCATTTGTTTTGGAACAACTCAAGTCTCCAAAGGGATCACCGTGAGGATGACTAGTACTCAGGAACACGCGCTTATTGTCGGCGCATCTGGAATTACCGGGTATGGTCTTCTCCAGAATCTACTGTCCTATCCGACTGCGGACTACTGGACGAGTATCACCGGTCTCACCAGCCGGCCCATGGACAAGGCACAGGCGCTGCTTCCAGACAAAGTCCGTCTACGCCTGGTCTCGGGTCTCAACCTGAACACCCCCCACGCGGAGGCTGTGGTCGCATTTCTCAAGGCAATCCCTCAAATTGAGCTGGTGAGTGCATGTAAAATCTTGCGCCAGGTATACCATCACTAACTTGAGCTATGATAGATTACTCACGTCTATTTCGCCGCTTATTCCGTCAAAGACTGTGAGAACCTGCAAGACATCAAGCGTCTCAACATCAGGCTGCTTTCGAACCTGATCGAAGCAGTCGATGCTTGCTGCCCCAACCTCCAGTTCATCACGCTTCAGACTGGAGGAAAGTACTACGGAGTCCAATTCCCAAAGGACGTCAGTCTCAGCCCGCCTTTCAAAGAGAGCTTTCCTCGGATCCCGCAGCCGCTCGCGAACGAAATCTTCTACTATGCACAAATCGACCTGATGATCGAGCGAAGCAAGGGAAAGTCCTGGAAATGGGCTGACATCCGACCCGACGCTATCGTTGGCTTCGTGCCCCAGAACAATGCCATGGGAATTGCACAGGCTCTCGCGGTGTTCCTTTCGCTCTACCGATACGTTCATGGAGATGGAGCGAAGGTGCCATTCCCGGGTGACTTGGCGAGTTTCAAAGCCAAACACACGGATACAAGCCAGGATATTCTGACTCGCTTCACAATCTTTGTCAGTTTGAAAGCCGAAAATACGAATGGTCACGCATACAACATTGGTTGCTCGGATGAATGTACATCGTGGGAGTCCAAGTGGAGTGGCATTTGCGAGTATTTTGGGCTTGAAGGAGTATCGCCTCAGCCTGATCACACTTTCAGCGTATCTCGCTGGATCGAAGAACACCGTGCCCATTGTCAGCGATGGGTTGAGGAATTCCAGTTGAGGGAGGGTGCATTTGAGGGCACGAGCTGGGATTTCCTGGAAGCGCTGGTGGCGGAGTCGGACTTTGATCGTCAGTATGATCTGAGCGCTGCTCGGACTCTTGGATTCCATGAAACCATTGATACTGTCGATAGCTATCACAAAGCATTTGACAGATACAGACAGGCCAAGATTATCCCTTGAGCCATTGACTTCTGTTTTTGGCAAAGGAGGGTATCAGTGTTGTGATATAGATCTGTACAATTGTTCGTATGCGAATCTTGAAGTTTTATATACAAAACTATAGTTGAACTGTCAATAATCAAACATAATACGTGTGAAATGGCCTCCTTTCGTCTCAGACACTAGATTTATATCCTCGCCGAGGTAGAGTACCAAGCTCTGGCAAGTCTGAAGGCATGGATTCACTTACTGTCGGTGGTTGCTGCGTCCATAAAGCGCCCACTCCTTTTATTCCAATTAACATTAAGTTTCTACGTAGGCTTACTGGGAATAGAATCATGTCCTGCCTTGTGCAGTGCTCATGACTTAGCCAATTTGCCGAATTGCGGCTGAAATCTGAAATTAAGCCCAGCATTGAGAGAGTCGCCAAATTCGATGATGAGCTAAAATTTTCAAGATCGAAATTAGTATGGATGTAGAGTAGGATAAAGAAAATCACAACTTATTGTTGTAGTAAGTACATCTTTCATCTTAATCTATCTATATCTCAACCAGACTTGGCCAAAGATTACAAGAGTGCCCACGCCTGTTGCCTAGCATCCCTGCCATTCAGTTCCTTCAAGTAGAGTGCCACCTTGTCAGCAATAGATATCGCATCAAGACCAAATCGGTCATAGTTGCTTTCTCTCGATGCAGAGTATCCAAAGCCTTTCATTCCAATGCTGGCGGTGACATATCGGGGCCAAGCAAGAGGAACATATTCCTCTGCACTCACGATAGGAGAGCGGTTGATGGGGAAGACGGAGTCTTGGTACTCCCTGGATTGCTTACTGAATATGTCCAAAGAGGGCGCTGAGACTATCCGAGAAGTGATACCTCGCTGTTTGAGAATCTCGGCAGCGGCAACCATGTAGTGAAGTTCGGAGCCGCAACTGACGAGGGTCACATTAGCTCCGACCCGTTCGCAGATCACGTATGCACCTTTTGCTGTATATTCACGGCTAGTAGATGGCACATGACCGACAGCATCGCGGGCAATCGAAATGAACGACGGCGAATGTCTCTCCCCAAGGGCAAATTGATAAGCGCCGATGAGCTCCTCCCTGTAGATATCAGTGGTCAGCGTTTCGTAGTGGCAAGTATCATTGTATCCCAAAATCAGCTGTCACTCACGCATCACAGGGTCGGATGTATGTCAGATTTGGCATCGCTCTAAAGAGTGAATCGAGTTCCACTGGCTGGTGGGTTGGTCCATTTTGTCCTTCTTGGAAAGAGTCGTGTGTTCCAATATGGATCACTTGCAGGTTACTCAATGCGCCCATTCGCAAGGCGGGGGCAGCCTGTGTAGTTCAAAATATGTTAACGGGGAAATGTGAATGAGACTGTAGAGCTGTATAGAACCACTTACGTAGAGATAAAACATGAAGAACGTTGAAGTGACAGGAAGGAAGGTGCCGGGGTGAAACGCAGCTAACCCATTCGCAACGGCGGCCATCGCGTGTTCTCGAATGCCATGTCGAATATATCTACCAGTAAAGCTCTATCGATCTGTCAGTTGACCCATATATTGCGACCACCTTGGTGTAACTCACTGTTGCAGGATGGAAGACATCCGCTGCTGAGTATTTGAATTTGTTTGAATTCGCGAGATCCGCACCGCCACCGCATAGAGCGGGATTCGCCTGCCACAACAGTTCCAAGATCTCTCCATTCGACTCTCTGGTTGCCAGGCCTTGAAACCTGGAGCTGTCCAAACCATCCAATATAGCAACCCAATCCCCAAATGACCCTCCTATGCGGGCCGCCAAACGCTCCCCATCCAGGGGGTATTTTGACTTGTACCTGGTTAGGCGATCGTTCCATTCCTGCTGCTGACGGCTCCCGTACGTCTTACGTTCCCGGAAAAATTCCAACATGTCAGGAGGAACGACATGGGTGGATTCGGGATCAGTTCCGGCGAGAACCTTCGATCTGGCGATACTTTCGCAATCGAAGGGACCGTGATGGGCCTTAGCAGTTCCCGCAAATGCACTGTCTGTCCCGATCACAGTGCGAATGTTGATAAACACTGGTTTTCCACGGCAGACACGAGCCAAGTGTAAGGCAGCCACAATGGCTTTGACATCATATGTTCCATCGTAGACATCAATCACTTCCCAGCCAGAGGCACGCATTTTCGCATTGGTATCCTCCGTGTTGATCCAATCCAGGGGTCCGTCGCACGTCACCTGGTTGTTGTCGTAGAGGAGGACCAAGTTATCTAGTTGTAGGTTTCCTGCTAGTGAGATCGCTAAGTAGTCCCAAAATCCATTAGCCAATGCTATTCGAAAAGTCTCACTCGAAGATTGATGAACGAACCTTCCAGGGCAACTCCTTCCATGAGACATCCATCTCCCGTCATACAGTATATCTGGGATTGGAGAATCTCGATATCAGGCTTGTTGAAATTGGCAGCCAAGTTTTTAGAAGCAATCGCAAGCCCCACAGCAGTCGCTATCCCCTGTCCCAATGGGCCGGTCGTGACTTCTACCGCCGGGCATTCGATCTCGGGGTGGGCATGAGACAATGTGGTAAATCCATTCAGCTTCGCAGATCCATATCCCTTCAGCTCGTCCATCGTCCAGGCATCGTATCCCACAAGGTAGTTCATCGCGTATAAGAACATGCTGGCATGTCCTGCGCGATCAAGTGTGATTAGTTTCTCGTGCATAGAAGGGATAGCTAATGGCCTTCATCGGTCTCACCATTAGACAAGACAAACCGATCCCGGTCGAACCAGTTCGGGTCATTGGGATTGTATCGCATAGCATATTTCCACAAGGCTACACCAATAGCTGCCATTCCCACCGCTGAGCCACCGTGGCCCCCGCCATTTTGCATCGTCATGTCAAAGACGAGGTTTCGAATTGCGAGGACGGCATAGTCGTCATCTGTTTCTGGCTTCGATGTTGGCTTCCGCAGTATCTCATCACATTTTGAGCCTCGCTCGCTATCATCCAAATGAGGCGCCATTGTATCGTTATTCTGACAATTTAAGGTCGAGGAATTGTCTATATCAAAAGTGAATAGAAAGATATTGACCAACAGCCATCGCGACCACGTTCAGCAGTTGATATTTATCCCCAATAGTCATGCAGTCCATATGATGTCCAACAAAGCTAATGAGCATGAGTCTTGCACTCAGGCCCACTATTGCGGAGAGTCCTGGCGCGGAGTTAGGCACGGCTGAATTTCCCGATTGGGTATGTCGTATCGACCCTCCTGGAGGTCAAGTGGGATCAACTCATCTTAGCCAGATCTGTCTCCCGTGGGCTCGATTGGTTTGATGCATCTGATTGTGAAAATCACGCCAAGAAGAAATGCCTTCCAGCCACTTCCTTTTAAATTGTCTTCGCCCCTCCTGGATGGAGACTCGCCATGGGCCGTGGAACGACTGCCCTCATGCCACTGTCACCATATGTGAAGGCTTTTCCTGTCGCGTGTTCGTTCCTCATAGTTTCCAGGCCAAATTCTATTTCGTATTGGACAGCCAGAGGTCTCAGGAAATCCTAACCGGCAAACCCAAGGACGTTGATATAAGAGCCACCCAGGTGGTTACCCCAGCCTTAGGTAATGATTACGGATGATAAGTTGATCCGTTACGTATTCTATCAGATTGGCTTCGTAGGATTCTTGTCTCAATACTGTCCACGATATCTATCTTTGACAGTGAATTCAATCAAGTGACTATCCTGTGCTCCATAACAATATTGATAACCACTCTCGTGACTATGAGGACTCGAACTGGCTGGTAAGGTCAATACCATCCATATCCGACGGAGTGCTGACATAACCATATCAGCGTCACATGTCGGTCTCGGCACTTGAAATGTAGGTCCTTTCTAACACATCATGCATATTTTCAATAATGTACGGCGATGACTGACTCATATACCAGGCGACGAGAATAAACCAATATGTAACCGCTGCAAGCGCGGAAAGCGAGAATGTGTCCAGGTCGATCCGGCCGCCAACTTTCGATATGTCTTCACAACCGCTGCAGGGGTCAAACCCCCAGCAGCCTCCCAGAAGAAGACTCGGCCAGTCAGGCATTCTACGTTAATTACTGATGATCACGATAAGACTGCTCATAGCCCTGGGGACAATTTAGAAACAGTTTCATCTCCCGGTGTCTTAGAACAAGATGTCTATCACTACATACCTCACGATGAAGAGCAATTGGGTTCAGCCAGCCAGCCACCTCTTCAAGCAGAGCTATCGCCAGAGATGTCAGATAATGGCATTATAGATCCCACCCTCTCTACGGTCATCTGTGAACCCATGCACATCCGTGGTGTTGCAGACTCGACAAGCTACCACGGGCCCTCGCCACAGAGCAACAACAGCGTCAGTATCGCGGGGACGATGAAAGTGACAGGTGTTTCAGAATTATATGCGCGTTCTCGGAAAGATACCGGTCTCAGGTGCCGTGAAGAAGCAGCGCTTCTCAAATTCTTCAAGGAGCATTGGGTCCCGGGTGTATGCATCACCGGTCTAAGGTTTCCTCTCGCACACCGACTGATAACGGTTCGATAGGAATAGCTCGACTCACAAGATGCGAATCGTCACTTTGCGCTGGAGGTACACCAGCGTGCACCGAGAACTCCGGTTCTACTGAACGCGATTCTGGCAGTCGCATCACTTCACCAGAGCAGACTTTCCGGTTCTTCGATTGTGGTTGCAGAGCAGTACCACGAGGAATGCGTGAAACTGATTCTTGGCATACTCAACCAGGCGGATGGACCAATTGATGAGATACTCCTGGCCACCACTGTAATTCTGCGCGTTTACGAGCAAATGAATGGTCTGTGATTTTGCCAACACCATCAATTCATTTTCGTCCTCGGACAGCTGACACTGAGTCTTTGCAGGATCATTCAACGATGAAGAGTGTCACTTACTAGGAGCCTCCGCTCTCGCATCGGCACCAGCGGCTACCAGCGGTCGCCTCTGGAAGGCAGCGTTCTGGGTCTATCTCCGTCAAGACATCTACATGGCGATTTTGGACCAGCGACCTATCAAAACAGATGTATCAATCTGCACGACATGGGCAAATGAGAAACCAACCAATGATTGCGAATGGAGCCAAGCCATTATGCTCATTGTCGCCGATATAATTGGCTTTTGTTTTTCCACGTTGTGGGATGATCCAGCAGAGAGATGGGCGTCCCTACGTGAAAGATTGGACAATTGGGCATTCTCCCGGCCTGCGTCTTTTGAACCGTATTACTATAATGAGAGGAACATAACTGCTGGGAGGTGCTTCCCTGACTTTTGGCTTTTCGAACAATGCCATGGTGAGTAATCCACTCATGTTGTAAAAATTCGGCAATTCATTGATATGGCTGCTCTGCAGTTACGGCGATTATCTACTACCACATGGGCCATGCGCTTCTCCTTATTTACGACCCAAACCACGCAATGGGCATCAATGCCCGACGTCAACAAAGGGTACTTGAGGTATGTATACTTGAAATGATTGCTCCCATAATCAATTCTAAATGGCACTTACTCAATTTGGTCCCATCCAACACAGGTTCAAGTAGCCCATCACGCTCATATAATATGTGGGATCTGTTTATCGAATCCCACAAGCGAGACACGTCGAACCGCTTGCTATGCAATGTTCCTCTGTTGCCGTTACATAACAAATCCCATGGAGCAGCTGGCTATTCTAGATATGCTAAAGCAAGCCGAGATAGAAGATCAATGGCCCACAGCACGGATATCCCAAGTATTGAAGGAGGAGTGGGAGATCATCGGCTGACGACGGGAGAAGAAGGGCAGTTATTCCTTGGGTTTGATAGCGGAGGATATTGCGATGATCATTATGGATCAAGACTTGTATGCTCGTCAACTACCCACAAAAAGAACAATTTCGCCTGAGAGCTATCGGTCGAGCTTTTCTAGTCCCTTTTGCTTGGAAATCAAGACTTCGGTGCTTCATCTAGCTGGTCTTCTGTGGAAAGTGTATCCCGAGTCAGTGCTACGTGAGATTAGCACCAGCGGAATGACCCATGAGGGTGGATATTCTTGGCGCCTTTTCCATATTCGGCACCTCGAAACGATGTCTCCTGTAAGTAGTCACTTTCCACAGAACAAACCTCACAAGGTTTCGGCTGATCGAATCGACCGTGGACAGTGGCGGCCTTGGCTTACCGAGCGCAGTCGAAGGATTCACATACTTTCTTCCTTCAGACTTTGCCCCAGATCCCATAGCGACTCCACAATCCGGGGTAAGCTATGAATTTACATCCGACAAGTATACCGATGAATATAAGAACCGAAGGATAGATTGATATCCAAGAGGAGGGATAAGAATTTATTGTTGCTGATCACTACAGACTTCAGTAATCGTCGCCAGCATGGGGTATTTTTTCAGGGCTCGTGGAAGCATGCTCGTTGGAGCAATGTCTTCAGCCTCATCAATTGCATTTCTCCTCATTGGATGGGATCAAGGTAAGAAGTTGAATATTCCTCGCTATACAGTGGACATCTCAACTAATGGCCGATATCCAGGAGTGCTTGGTGGTTTACTTTCAGGGAAATTGTTTCTTTCGACCCTGGGAAATCCTAGTGCGAGCGAGCTGGGAACCATCACTGCTGTGGTAGGCAAACGCATTATCCAGTGACACGATCAAGTCTGTTCCATACCTAACTGTCTGTCCCAGTATGACCTGGGTTGCTTAGGTGGCAGTCTGATGACGGTGTTCTATGGCGAGAAACTCGGACGACGATGGTCCACCATGATTGGTCTGAGTATTGTTATAGTGGGAGCCATATTGCAAACCTGTACTTTGTAAGTTGATCCGTCGGAGCGTGTATGAGGAGGATTCGAGCGACTGACATAGTATTTTTTGCGACTGAACAGTTCAGGCGGACAAATGATAGCAGGTCGCATCATCACAGGTGTTGGAAATGGCATCTCCACAGCGACAGTCCCGAGTAAGTTGAACTATACACTTTCTACTGATGGGAGAGAGAGAGAGACTAAGAAGTATCTAGCTTGGAACTCTGAAATTGTTGGTTCTCATAACAGGTCAGAACCGGATGTTGAATCCTATTTGTTGCTTTGTCCAACTAACCCTACGCCAGAGGCCGCTTGAATGCCATCTCGGGTTCTATGATCGGGGTAAGACACAATTGTCTCTCATTTTTACTGAGTCTAGAATGTTCATTGACTCTCAATCTTTTTCACTGTTGCAGCTTGGCATTTGCTTGAGTTATTGGTTTGATTATGGGGTAAGTCCGCTCATCGACCGAGATACCGCGGCAGGGCAGCTGTACTGACTGTTTGTAGATGGCATACACCAGTGGCTCCATACAGTGGCGCTTACCGATTGCCATCCAAATACTCTTCGCGGGTGCCACATTATTCATGGTGAGATCTCAGTCGTTCAGTCGATGTGCTATTATATATCGGGTCGCGTAACCCCTAACTTTGTGTGACATAGGCAATCTTTCTCCCAGAGTCACCTCGCTGGCTGATCGCCCAAGGACGAGTCGATGAAGCAATGGATGTTCTTGCTTGCTTGCAATCAAAAACTTCAACTCCCGAGACGCCTGCTGTTGTAGCCAAATGTCAGGATATTCAGCTTGCTTTGAATGCAGAGCAAGCACTGGGACCATTGAAGTGGGCTGAATTGTGGGAGAACAAGGTCACTGGTAACAGGAAGTATGTTCATCTCTGAAAGCTCTTCTCTGTCTTCATCTTTGCTGACCATTCTATCTGTAGACGCCTTATCCTAGCATGCGGAATCATGGTCTTTCAACAGATGTCCGGGATCAACGCCTTGGTTTATTACATACCATATCTCTTGGAAAACTCCGTTGGACTTGCAGCAAACACGGCTCTTCTGATCTCGGGCTTGGTTGGTGTAGTCTTCGTCGTCTTCTCCGCCTACGCATTCTTCTTCATCGATAGATGGGGCAGACGAAAGCCCTTCATCATCACAAGTCTTGTTCAAAGCTTGAGCATGACTCTGGTGGCTATTCTTCTATCTCTCAACAATACAAACGCCAGCAAGGCGTCAGTCGTTTTCTTCTTTCTCTACATGGCGTGAGTCCCCAAGAATTCACTTTACTAAACCCGATCTGACAAAACTTTCAGTGCATTTGGAGCCTGCTACTTGGGTGTCCCTTGGAGTTACGCTCCTGAACTACTTCCCCTCAGGAATCGCGCCCGTGGCTGTGCGATAGCATCCGCCGTAAACTGGACATGTAATTTTGCCATTGTGGAGTTTGTTCCGTCGGCGATTACAAATATCTCCTGGCGCACATACATCATCTTCGCGGTGTTAAACTTCACTTGGGCTCCATTGCTGTACCTCTTCTATCCAGAAACTGCACGACTGACCATGGAGGAGATTGACAATTTGTTTGTGAAAGAGCCTATCCAGCTGCACACTCTGACGACCCATGCGAGCGACGATAGCGAGAATCAAGACGGCAAAGTCACGGTTGAGCTTGAGGAGAGAACTTAAGCATCGTGTTACTGGGGAAGGGAATCATACCGGCTACTTGGAATTCACTAGATCGGGGACATTTGGAATGGTGTGGTATGCGAAGTCAGTCTTGGGGTTGATGCAGATTAGATTCAGATTAGATTCAGATACAGTCTATATAAAATGAGCATTGCGATTCACCGCGCAGAAGGAACTCTCATATCAGAATATATGTATAACTAGTGATAACGAGGACCTTGTTATTTCAATTGTGATATCGTCTTTTACATGTACCGCGAGGACCAAACATCCGTAGTCCATGGAGACATTCGCTCGTTTATGCCAATGGCGTATGCCTTCCAGGAAAATAAGGGTACCGTGAGTGATGGAACCTCTACTTGAGATCTCATAGAGCTGTAAATCCTTAGTTGATAGTTGAGTGGTCATATACAACATATGCCAGATGGGTAAGGCTTAAGCAACCTCTGAGGATGTTGAACTATCTAACTTCAGCATAATTCGATAATTTCACTTGATTCACTTGTGCATTCAGCGCTTAGAAAGAAAGAAAACACAGAAGCCAAGCCATTGTACTCAGGAGTGATAATGATATTATGTCTATAAGGCAAATGGAAATCATCGACAGATAGATTAAACAAGGAAAACACACATTTATCTAACCAATAATCTAACAAAATGATCAATAGCCCAAGAAGGCATTCACAAATTATCTAGCAACACCAAGGACGTTGCTCACTGTATTCGCCACAATGGTGTTCTGCGAATTGAGCAAAAGAATGAGTCCCAACAAGGCGTAGACTTGGGGGCTGGTCGTCACAACCAAGCGTTTGAGCCGATGCAGAACCCACCATCGCGAATGAGGCGTCTTGATAAAGACATTCCACTGCGGCTGCAGTGACTGCTTCCAAAATGTCGACGCATATCCGGGCCACGAAGCAGAGTTCCGACCGTTGCTGTTAATATACCAGTTTGAACATCCAGCCTCGAAGACTCCTCCTCGCAACTGGGCATGGATACCATTCACCCACTGGTCCTCGACAGTCTGTTTCACCTCCAGTGTTGATATGCGACGATCAATCAAAGGGGCAATCAACGTTCTGGCGATATAGGCGACCTGTACCTCAGCTGCAAAGAGGACGGAGTTGTGGGCTGGAAAGGTATTCGGTCCAAATCTGCTTGATGATTAGAGCGAATGTTTCCACCTGCACAATGAACTACTCACAAGGTTGCAAAATTTGGGAATCCATGTACATAGGTGCCCATGTAAGCTTGGGCTCCTCGATTCTCCTTCCATTGCTGGAAGAGACTGCGCCCATTTCGTCCGTAGACTTCCATTGGCACTAGGAATTGTTGGACCTCAAAGCCTGTTGCGAGAACAATAACGTCAAACTCGGTTCTCACACCATCGGTGCTAGTAATGCCTGTCTGGTCGATTGATTCGATTCCATAGGGCGCTAGCTCAACCTTAGGGTTGTGAAGAGTCTCCAAATAATCAGGATCAAAGATTCGACGCTTGCACCCTATATCTAGTCAACAGATGTCTTGAAGATATTAAGCATGCAAGAATACCTAGCGGAAAGTCCGGAACAAGGAAATGATGGTATTTCGCAGGCGCCGTAGAGTATATGTAGTCTCGTGCATGAACTTCTGCTTTGGCTCGCAGATTTTCAGCTTCCGCTGTGGACCCGTAGGCTGCGACCATCCGATCGCTGGCGAGGAAGATACGAAGTCTGATAAAGCGCTCCAGGAGAGGAATATAGCGGAAGCACCACTTTTCCAACGCCGTGAAACTCCGATTCGGACGCTCATGATACCACTGCGCGCTGCGGGCATACTGTTTGACAAATGCAACGTCTTTGGCGACCTCAGGAACCACTTGCACTGCACTGCATCCGTTGCCTATGATGGCCATCCGCTTGCCTCGATAGTCATAGCTGTGACTCCAGCGGGCGGTATGGAAGATCTCACCCTGGAAGGTTTCCATTCCTGGGAACTTGGTGTCTCGGGGTTTGGAAATACCTCCCACGGCTGAGACGAAGACCTTGGCGGTTCTGGTGTACTCGTGATTGGTTAAAAGATCTCGGAAGTGGACTTCCCAGAACCCCTTTTCGTTCCAATTTGCAGAAATACATTCAATGCGGAAGTGCATGTGCTTGCGCAAGTCGAATTTGTCCACGGTGGACTCCATGTCTAATTCGCGTTGGGTCAGAATATTGTTTCAAATCGCATTTTTGCCAGCGTAGGAACTTCATTGCGCCTCACATTGTAAGATCTCCGAGCCTCCACATAGCTCCTTAGACCAGTTGGGATTCAGGTTGAAAGAGAAGGAGTACAAGATTGTGGGCACGTCGCAGCCTCTGAATAATGGTCAATGAGCCTGAACTGTGCCCCCGTGGACTGCTACTCACACTCCAGGATATGTGTTTGACCTCCATACACCACCCGGTCCATCCATCTTCTCGTATATCTGACCAAGGTTAGATATGGGTCTGTTATTCCCCTCGATCTGGAGTGAGGCTCTTACGGTGAAGTCATTTAATCCCAGTTTGTGCTTCAAAGTATGCGACAGCGCAATGCTAGAAGGGCCAGCGCCGACAATGATGACTTCTGCGTCCAACATCTTGCCGCATCGAAGGATATGGTCACCTCGGTACGATCTCGAAAAACGTTTGACGAGTTTCAAATTCGAGATCACTGCAACAGTATGACCTTAAGTACCGCTCACTATCTAGTCTCCATAGCACATACCCCAACCAATGTTGACCTATTAGGTGAAGCTGATAATTCAACCTGGCTTGCGACTAGTGATCCAACAGTCGACTGCCTTCCCCAGTTCCCCACAAAGTCCAGGTCCGCTCCAGGTGAGGTTGTCGCAAATCCATATCGCGTCAATTCCCTAGTTTGGGGGAGACTCTCGGTCTCACAGCTTACAACTTGCGTCTTCTGGGCAGCGACCACGATGGACGGAGCCTACCTACCGTAGGAGTCAATCAGATTTCCAGAGATCAGTCGTGACTCCTGAGGTTTGAGAAGCGAGCGGAATTACTTTCCGAAGTTGGAAAACATAACGACACGAACTGAAACGAGCGACTTCATTCCTGTCCGAATACAGGCATCGAGTCGAGGTGGCGAAATTGCAAATGAATTTAGACTTCTGTCGAGTTGCTTAGCGATCTTCCGGTCAGTTGTATGATCTTTACCAAATTCCCGATGGATAGACTTTTTTCTCTCTCTTATTAGCAGGGCTTTTGATACATTTAATCGTGATTTTTGTCGCCTTCTTAGCCACGAATGAGGAATGCGATGGAGTAGACGGGGATCTGAGCTGGCCCTACAACATATACTAGTATGTAATTGGTAAAATATTTGTGTTCAAGCCGTGTTTAAATAACTGTCCATCTCGTAGCTCTTGTGAAATCAAATGGTCTTTTGCTGAATGTCTGCAAAGATAATGGTGAGTTTGTAAACATTGAAACAAAATTAGCATCCAATTGCCACTGTACCCAGGAGCTAGGTTGTAATGAAAAAGGGGTAACTATGTGACTTTACAAGAGAATTATTTCAGTGAACACAAAAGAGTCTTTTGGATATCATTCACGGTGCATGGGTACTACATAGGGCTGGCTGTGCTTAGAAATTGAGGCTCTTCCCCTGTTGTTACTCTTGAACTATATGGAGTTATTAGTGACATGCCGTGGAGATAATGAAGACACCGAAAAGATCTATATTGAATTTGGCCACCATGCTACTTCGTTACTTCATAGAGAAAGATCTACTGAAACTCCTGAGCAACAGCAGCAATCACCTCATCGTAGTGCTTGTGGAAATCAGCATCATCTCTGGTCGGCTTCCATCCCAGCTTTCTGCTCAAATCGGCGCGGGATCGCGAACTTAAATGACGTTAGTAACCATTTGATTGACTTGTAGACTCCAAGACGAGATACTTACTTGCTAGCCAATGTTACCTCCAGAAGATCCTCCTTGCCTCCAGCAATGTGGGCGGCCTCGGCGAGGGAAACTTCCTTGACCTCGTTCGTGGGCAACAAGCCCCGAGCGTACAACGCCTCGGCAATGCCACGAGACACATCCAGCCAGGTGTGCTCGCCTGTCTCAGCAAAGAAGATGCCCTTGCGTCCGGAAGGAATATCCTGGCGACCAGCCAAAATGCCTTCGAGAAGCAGAGTGTACAAGGGAGCGAGATCAAGAATGTGGACATGGTTCCAAATTCCATCTCCCTTTCCAATCACAATTGCCTGTTTTCTCTTGATAGCCTCACGTGCAAGGTTGGGAACCTGTTGGGAGATTGTCGCAACAGGGCCACTGCCTTCGCCGTAGATGGTCGGCGGCACAACAATGTAAGTGGGGACGTTAAGCTTCTCTGCGGTTTCAATCACAACGATATCAGTGATACGTTGGCCGTAGGGACCGCGGCCCTTCTCGTACGCATAGATATCATCAGTTGCATCAGAGTAGATGCCACGGTCAACGAACTTTCCAGAAATATGTTGATCGCCGAGAATGGAGGTTCCGGAAGTGTGGATGTAGTTCACCGCACGTCCAGTACGCTCCTTTCGCTTTGCTAGACCTTGGATAATGGCGGCAGCAGCCTTGTCATTACTAGCTGATGCCGCATTGATGACGACATCATGTTCGCTGGCGGCCTTCTTGACGATGTCCAAATCATCTAAGCTCTTGAAGAAGATAGATTCAACGCCTCTGGCCTTGAGCTTTGAGGCATGCACTTGGTTGCGGACAAGCGCAGAGAAAGAATACTGGGATGCATTCATCGAGTTCTGCAAGTCCGTGAGGATGCTTCCACCGCTGTCATATTGTTAGCACAATGAAAGTCCGATGTCAATGGTGTTATACCCACATATAACCGGTAGCTCCGAGGATCAGGATCTTTGTTTGAGACATTGCGAATGAGAAAGTATTTAGATCGATAAATGAGTGGTTTCTTGACAATTAAGGAGCTGCTTTCACGACTATTCAGAGAGTCCTTGGTGAATTGAAGTTCTGATGGATCGTCCTGGCTACAAGTCAAGTAGCACTGATTTTATATTACTCGTCTGCTTTGAAATCAAAGACGATAGAAATTTTGAAGTCGTCTTTCAGTTTCTCTGAAACTTCCCAGGGAAGGTCCAATCGTCAGATTAATAATGTAAAACGCGATGTAAATGATTAGTAATGGCCTATGTGGACCTTTCAGGGTCTCGGGGAGGCCGATATTACCTCTTTGAGGGTATCGTGTCGATGTCTCAATAGAGTTAATGACCTAGACCCACAAAGCTAGTTCGGTGGGGCCTAGATCCAAGGATGGACGCCGAGTCTAAACCTTAATCGCCATATCTACAGGGCAATAGAGCCAAGAACGTACGAGAAGTCAAGATGTCATGCATCAGCATTTCCCCGTGGAGATCCATATACTCTCTGTGACATGCGCATTTAAGTTCGAAGAATGCGGGGGAAACAAGTGAAAGGATGCTAGCTTCTGAGCATTGAATATACAGTGATTTAGGATATTAAGTGGACTATAAAAGCAGCGCGATTGCTTCGTGTTGAACAAAAGACAACACCTATATCTGAGAGACGGCAAAACTCATCTACTAAACAGACAGAACTCTTCCAAAGCAAACCGGACATCATGTCTATTTTCAAAGAGGCAAAAGGCCGAACGCTATACCGCATGATGAGTATATCCTCTTCTCTTGTAAGCATTACTCGTGGACGATATCCTGCCTCGAACAAGACATGCAAGTTGACAAGACTATCAGGCGTTCTGTATGTATGGATACGACTCCGGCGTTCTCGGTGGACTCCAAGAGACGGATGCATACTTGAAAGCACTACAGGTTTGTCTACTTTTACTGAATTTCACCAGCAGCATCTTGACAGACCCCTTCTTAGTATCCCAAGGGGTCATATATCATACCTATAATTGCTTCCTCCTACACCCTGGCAGCAGCGGTGGGCTCACTGACTGTGATGATGTTTGGAATGGTGCTTGGACGCCGATATTGCATTGTCCTTGGTAACGTTTGCGCCATTATCGGTGCAGTTCTCCAAGCATATTCTTGGTCTGTACCTCAGATGATTGTAGGGCGTGTGGTTTGTGTGCGTGGCCCTCGGTTATATATCTTACAATTTAAAGTACTAAACTGAGCACAGGGATTCGGTCTGGGGGTACGTTTCGGCCTCATCTTTCGCATGACGCTACGAGAATCTGACCTGAGCTTCAGTATATCTCATGCACCGTGCCGACTTATATGGTAAGCTCACTTTGGTTTAAAAGAAGCCTTGGCCTGTACTAATATTTTTTGGCTTGCAGGTCGAGATGAGTATAGATTCAAAAGCGCGTGGACCAGAAGTCGCTATTCAATGCGCCGTCCTTATCTCAGGCATTGCGCTCGCGTACTGGGTTGACTTTGGCTTCACTCGCATGGACAATCAAATTTCCTGGGTAAATCACGCATCATCGTTGACAGTATTATGCTAATACTTAGGTCCAGAGAATTCCCATTGGTCTCCAGGCAGCTTTCGCTATAATGTCGATCTCTGGAATGCTTCTGCTCCCAGATACACCTCGATGGTATTATGCGACAAACCGAACAGAACAGGGCGATAATGTTCTTGCCCGTCTACATGGGCTACCGCTGGATGACCATCGAGTACAGGCGCAGAAAGAAGAAATCCAAGCATCGATCAGACTTGAAGAAAGTGAAAAGTCCAAGTTCAACATGAGTCTACTCCTGTGGGACACAACCGATCTTCGAATCGGGCGACGTATTCGTATCGCGTTTCTGATGTTATCAATCAAGCAGATGATGGGTAAGATCAAGTGACAGCAACGTTTGCAGACTCACTTCTTACTAATAATACTAATCTATTCTAGGAATCAACATGATGGTCTACTACAGTCCTACGATATTTGCCCAAGTTGGCTTATTGCCCTTCCTCTCGCAAGTGCTCGCCGCAGTTATGATGACTATCTATGCCTTTGGAACATATCTCCTACCAAGCACTATCGAGCGGTTGGGGCGCAGATCTATTCTCTTATGGTCGGCGATAGCTTGTACCATCTTGATGCTCATATTTGTCGTCATGATTGGATTGGAGAATCGCACCCTCGCCACCCAGTGGACAGCAGTCGCAGCCGTGATCTCGTTCATGTTTGTGTTTGGATATAGTTGGATTGGCATCACATGGCTTTACACTGCTGAGGTTTGTTCTCATCAATCTCGTCTTCGTTGCTTCACCTGTTGACAGGAGCTGACCACATACTGTTTGTTTAGATCGCTCCTTTGAAGTACAGACATGTTGGCGCCGCTGCCGGCGCATTTGGAGAATGGACTTTCTCCTTCATCACCATATTCGGAGGTGGAACTGCAATCACGAACGTTGGCTGGAAAATCTATATCTGGCAGCTTCTTTCCTGCGCAACGGCTGTAGTCTTTATATACTTTATGTGCCCTGAGGTATGTTGATCAAGTCGCAGCGATCAGATTCTAAGTACCTGGCTTACATCGTTTGCAGACAAATGGCAAGACGCTCGAGGAGATTGATCTCTTGTTCGCCGTTGATTCCGTTCGGAACACCATCCTTTCTGATCAGATTATACACGATCACAAAGGCGAAGCCACTAGTGAAAGGATAGAGCGGGTGGCCTAGGCGATTACTCAAGCGTCACTTACTGGATCTATGTTAGAGTACATATCGGGCGGGTCATTAGAAAATCGAATCTAGAGTCGGGAGTGTGTTCATTCGTGGAGGGCATGCTATTTGTCGCTGATCCAGATATCTTATGTTTAACCAGCACATTGTCTTTGCAGTGCCAGCAATGCGCCATGAACCACGGGAACCCAATATAGCCAATATGACGACATCCTTGTTCAAAGAGGTAGATCCTTTACCTTAACCAAGAATAAGAACAGAGTTTTACAGCTTATGGAAGTATTGCCAAGACACGGAGATGTTGACCGTGATTTTTCAGTCGGGGAATTCTACCTGAAGGACGCCAAGAGGAGGAGTAGACACTCTTCAAACGCGGATCATCGCCTATTAAAGAGAGAGGGAGGAAACGTCGCAAATTACTGGATCTTTGAAAACAACGGTTTTTGTACACATGATAAAGCGTAACAACACAGGCAGTATTCAATGACATGAAAAGGATGCGATATGTCTCATAAAAACCCGTGCCAAGAAGCGGAAAGTGAGAAAGATGATATCAATCACTAAAAGCCAGCAAAAGTAATGAGAAACGAAGAGACTTAATAGTTCAAAATTGCATAAACACATTTAAATTAACATGTGGATGGCGCTGTTCATTTGAATTGACCCTGTGAAGTGGATCATTTGGCTCCCAGGAACGAGGTTAGTGCAAAGCTCTACTCCCTGTAATTAATCAACTTGCTCTTAGATTTGCGCTTCAATGATTATTAACCAATAAATTCCCGTTGGATATGCTGTTCCCAGGAGCGTTAAATTCGTCCTGGCCTATCGATAACTCCTGGGACTTCTGTGTTCCCGCCCAGGTCGTCAAATAATTCGCAATTGCAGTTTCGTAGTATACACCTCTGCACATGCTGAGCAAGCAAATCAATGCAATTATTTAGTTACCACCTACGCTCTACCACTGCTTCTCGAGCCCTAATGTCAACAGAATGTAGTCTATACCTAGCACAGTTTATGAAGCTACCCGATCTTAAGATCATGCTTCGTCAAATACCGGATAAATAAACAAGCTAGATCTAGATTTGTTACCAGTCATAGCTAGACAGTGATGAACCAACCATCTCCTAGGTGGAAAGAGCCGCTGGCAGAGGAAATATGTTACGTACAGTGACCTAGGTACTTGATTTCCTCTGCCACTACTCGGCCTAGAAGATGCTAGTCCCCAATCAGAAGATTAAGCCTGTTACAAGAAGCAAAGAACATTACCTACTAGTACTATCTCTATAGAACTCGCTCGTTCGCAGTGGTCACTCTAGAGGGTAAGTGGTTAGCAGAATAGGGATTCTGATTCCTGCCACGTCTCTAAACGAGCAGGTATTCGTTTGTTTGGCTTATTTGTTGTATCAACGTTCTAGACCCCATAGAGACCATACGAGTCAAATATAGAAGCTAGTTCAAGCTGTTAATTACGATTGTACTGGAATACCGCCAAGAAAGGGGATAAGGGGTAGAGTAACCGTTGTAAGTATAGCGTGTTTCGAAATAGGGTTCGAGAAAGAATCTCTGTAAGGAAATGGTGAAACTGAATTCGATCCATCCTGTATACAAGTAAAGACTTGTGGCTAATGAAAAATAAGAAAACTTCGGGAGAGTGTTCAGGTCCATGCTATATGACGCCCAACAAACTTCACCTCACTCGTAGGATGAACACAAGGCACGGCGCAGGGAATTGTTGTCTCTGTATCGTTGGACGCCGTTGGCTCATGAAATGGCCTACTAGTCTACATTTTTTGGACTTTTTGTCTAATACTATCATTCATTCTTTTATACAGTATCTAGTCAAATGAGCAGAAATGTATGCAAGGAATTCTTCGATCTACACCTACTCGGCAATGTCTTTTTCTTGTTTATTTGAAAGTAACAAAGCATCGGAATACCTGCTTCGTCCTTCACAATTTCCTTCGGAGGGAAAAGCTCACACATTAACAAGTGACTTTATGCACAGGATAGATCACCGGCTCAGCACTCAGCTGCAGATGGCCATGCCAAGTACCCCCGTGGTGGAAAGTGCAACCGCCAACAGCAGCACCTTTAGAATGCAGGCTAGTAGCACAATTTTCAATGGCACTCAGGATTGTCTTGCGTTCCGCCGTAGTGTCACAATTTTCTCCAGTAGTTGTGGCTTTGTACGCATAACCATAGAAATAATCACCACTTATATCCGTCCCATATGTCAACGTGCACGAGTCCGCCTCCGACTTCGACTTAATGATACCAGCAAGGAGCTCCCGGATTTCAATCGCTGCTTTTACCGTGGCAATAGTCTTTACTCCGTACTTGACCACTGTCACGACCGTGGAAATTCCCGTGCGCTTGCTGAGATCGGACGTGGTATTGGCATATTCCCATGCGTAGTCGGCGTTGATGACACCCAGTGACAGTCATGTTGGATGATCCGTTGTCCCATTCATGGAAGGTTGGGGTGGTAATCACAGATGTTGTCGCATTGTCTCTAGCAAGACATGGATCAACAAGAACGCATGCGAGAACGCCACACAGGATAATGCTGAATTTGACCATGTTCCTTCAGTATATCGGTAGTAGATGGCAATGAGATCCAGGATAAGAATGCAGGCCAAATAAACCAAATCCATGTAGATGTCTTTCAAAAATGTCTTAAATATGTCAGTCCACATCCAGAGATAGGCATCCACAAGAAATCTTGACCACCTACCGATTTATACAGACAAGAGTGCGTAAAATAAAAAGCTGCAAGGGATTGCCAACTTGTCAATGAGTTAATGGCTTCTTAGCACAAGGGAGATAGGGCCGCTTTATAGATCCCATCGTTGGCAAAGTATCCCTATCTCGCCTAAACGAGTTTGGAGCATAATCCCAGTCCATACTAGTTTGACGCTTACTGCGCACTAAATACCATTGTAGGACAATCTACCGTTGCGATGCTGCCTAGCACTATATTTTTCGCGCTAATTATCTGCCGGATCTGCATAGACTATTTTAGCTTCTTTTGGGTGTTCATGGCCTAAGACATCCAAAACGAATCCCGCTACCAATTATCTCGAGATTTACTGTCTTATATTTATGCGAAGAGAGAATGCCATGCCTTAGCAGATAGTTTCCCAATTTCATTCTTATTGTTTCCTCGATAACTAACAACTCCTGGGCTGTCATAATGACTGCTCTAGTCTCTGTCCTTATTCTCTTTTGGCTAACCGTCGGATCATGACTAGTTCAAAAGCGAGTAAAAAAGTGGTTTCAAAAGCTTAGCTCAAACTAATGTTTCACTCCCGATCCAATCCAATCGTTCAATGAGTATCCACCCTTGAAGCTGTCCAGGTGGGCTGTTTGGCTTAGTGACGCGGCCTCTAGGATCGCGACGTACGCATGCCCGCTTCTCCACTGCACCTACTTATGAAGGTGTATAGGCGCCAATACCCAAATGCCTTGATTTGCAGGACTGGTGCCTGAATATGCCCTGGGTGCCTTATTTAGTACTAGCAGAAATTTAAAATACCTGAATTACTATAAATGATCCCTTATTAAGCAAAGTACCAAATTTCACACTCAGTGAAGCTATTTCCACCATACAACCAGTTCCAGGCATTGCGATATCGAAGCTGTTCTCACCATATAATTCACTATGTTGAAGCTCTTGGACACGGTCGTAGATATCAAACTTTTTAGTGCGTGATGAATGTTCCTTAGTGACAAACGGGTGGAAAGTGGAAAGGTCTAGGCTAAAACGGGAAGGGAAACTTTTGAAGGTTATCTGGAAAAAGATAATTTCTTGGAAAGATTGTTGATTCAGGAAACTAGCTAAATGGGGATCGATGCCGGAGACATCAGGCACACACATAATATCACACCGAAATCAATTATACCTGCACAGAAAACTCCCATGCGACCGTGAGCGTTATACTCTGAGCTCGTGCTGATATCTACTCCGAGAGCCTGAGTCTGAGTGCCCTCATTAAAGCGGCGGCAGCCCAAATAGGAAAACCCCAACCGCCAGGAAAATCCGGTACATATAGAGATATATGTATCATTCTATAAGTTTTCGAAGATCCCTAGCATTGCTCAAGCAGGGACTCCATTCTTCACAGAGCCCCAACTCTTCACCGTCCAATTACCATAACAGGCATACGGATACTGAGCATCTGCCAGACTATGCTTCTGTACTTTCAAGAAAGTCGACAACTCACACCATCCATCATCGCGGTACTCACATAGTGAGAAGCTAGCATGAAGCGGAATAGTGCGCTGGTTCTGTATGAAGTGCACATACTTTGTCTCACCAGTCCCCGCGATGTAATTATTACTCTTCGATCCAGCCTTGGACGTCCGCTTAGTCGAAACTTTATGGGGCGCAGTAATAATCTCGATATTCAAGCGACCAGCAAAAGGAACAAGCTTGCTAGTCGAGAACTGCTGGCTTTTTGGGCGATGCGTGTCAGGCAGGACATCGTCAAACTGAGAGAGCCCGAAGGCTGTCAGAACCGAAATGATGTTTGCGTCGTGGGTGAACTCCAGATAAAGACTTTGATTCAATGGGAATGTGATGGGGTTGGTATCAAGTGTCATGTTGGCTCCGTGAAGCTTGGCCGGGGTGTCGACATAATGACCTTCTACTCGGGCCAGGAATTCTTCAACCCAGGCAATGCCCTGAGCGCGGCCGGTCGGGCTCAGAAAGCCGGAAAGACCGGCAAACTCGAGGTCCATCAGGTAAGCGAATCCTTCCCACTCTTCGTAGGTGAATAGCTGGCAGAATTCGCTGTAGCCGAGGCTGATGGTCTCGTAGGGACAGAGGCTCTGTGCGTGATAAGTGTCTGTCACCGTCCAGTTGTAGTCTCCGGTCAAAAGCTTCAGCTTCTCGGTCCGCTCCTTCAGATAGATCTTTTGCCAGGTGCCGACTGGCTCGGCAACGCTGGCGAGCATGCTGGTCGCTTCATTGGTGCAGGCGTATTCTCCAGTGGTGGCAGGGTCGATGGTTGCCAAGATGTTAGCATTTTTGGTCCAGTTGAGGCCAAAGAAGCCTGCAAGGAAGTTTTCGGCACTCTCAAGCATGCGTGACTGGAGGGTGGTGCGCACGACAATCTTAGTTGAGTTGTTGTATAGATGTCCGTAGTTGTAGTAGTTTAAAATGCCGCTATCGAAGAGCTCTTGGCGACCCTTGGGAACTAGAATCTCTTTTCCCAACTTGTATGACCAGTCGTTAAGGAAATCTAACTCTCCTTTGAAGGTAGTACCACTGGCAGCTGCCTTGGAGATACCAGCGGCCCATGAGTCCAGCCCTTCGGAAGATGATGGATACCTGGCGCCATGACGCTGCAACAAATGCATCTGGGTGATATTTGCTCCCTTTGGCAGGGGATATTCATTGACGCCGAAGCCCTCTTTGGGGGAGAAGTAAGGGCTGAAGGGCGGTTAGTGGATTCGAATCGACAGGACGAATAGCAATGTACCTCAAGTCTCCCATCAATTCGAAGGCATTCTTCCCGCCAGCTCCGCTTATTGGCTCTGATGTTTCCAAAGGAGCATTGGGGGTGAAGGTTGCCTGTCCAAAGGGTGCTGGGTTGATGGCAGCGAGGAATGGAGCAGCACCGGTCGCTGTCGTACCTGTTCAATATAGCAGAAGTCAGCCGAGCTCATCTTTATCTTGTTGTTGCATCTGTTTTGTAAACTGACCTGCATAGTTATCAGGTGATGTCTTGAACCAATTGGGTTGGGTAGTTGTCGCTCTCTGTTGTATAGCATTAGCCTCAGCAGTGGCAAGTACCAGCAAAGACACCAGGCTTTTCATGGCCATTTTGAATAGACCATAGGATGATCAAAACGCGAAATTCTGCTCATGTTTTTTAAACGTCAGATAACCCTGCTTTTTATACTTACTCTTCACGGATTGTCTTGCATTAATTTACGCCAGAGCGCCATCGCCATAATTTCATCTCGGCAATAACGATGCGAGCCAAAATATTGGTACATCGGGTAATTGACCTCTATTATGTTGTGGTTTTCAAATGATATGGAATCTTGAGCTACAATGAATACCGTTAAGTCGCCCACGTGGGAGAGAAGATGCTCCTTATAGTAATGGAAAGGGTTTAGTGTCTGCGGTGGCGCAGTTACCGGCGCCCCTTGCTGTAAGCGAAGGCCTAGTCTACGCACTACTACTAGAGCCCATTCGTATAGCATCGTAGCATCATGGAAGATCGGAGAATTCGGCATCAAATTTCAAGTTTGTATGTTTCAATTCAAACGGAAATGAGAGAGCGGGATTTTTCCTTCCCGAGTCCAGTGACCAGATTGATCGCTCGGACCTCAGGGGCCGAGACCCGTGAAACGTGAGGATGTACACATATACATTCCGATCACTAAACATTCTCCACATTCCTGAAGTTTCTGTTTTGTACGATCTCAGGGTTACAGGCCTGGATTTAAGGGCCTTGAAGGCCAAATTGCCATGTGTAGACCCATATTCCACCCGACCCGTCGAGGGACCAACAAAGGAGGCATGGAGCACATGAACATCCTCAACTGAGACAAAAGTCAAGGAGTGTAACTGTGACCTTTACTGGAGTATAATGTGGATCATAAAACATGGTGTTCCTGTATGTTGAACAATGGGGTTGTTGCCGGGAACGGAAGTAGTCCATGGACACGGCCACTTTACTATGCTATACCACAATGAATCTCCATAATAAACCGCACTATATTCCAAAACTCGAGATGGAGCCTTGTTTTTTTAGATCGGGGTTTCTGTGACCTAGAACAATGCCAAGAATCGTGCTCGAGGGATTGGCAACATAGCTTGGAAATCCTCATTTTTTGAATTCTTTTACTTTCACACTCGAAATAATAGCTGCGCGATCTTTCATTTATTTTACCATCTTTACTAATTACAATACTCCACAGTATGTTGTATCTCCCATCAAGAGCCTTTAAAAGTTGGGGCCAAGGGATGTCCATATCGGGCATCGGCCACGTGCCGACCATCATGAGGAATGTGAGGAATTTCACGATTTGCTGCAAACAGGTTTCACTTTTCTAATTGGATCTGATTACTTGCCAGCACAAAGAAATTGCTTGGTCTGGATCAAAAGTATTTAGTTCAAATTTAAATAAGTTGGAGGAGGGATAATGCCCAATGTCATAAAGTCGATGAACTAAAGCTTCCCCGGATTTTTGGTCGTAGTTTCTCAGTAAAACAAATAGTGACGACGACATTAACGACAACACTGGAGCCGCTTGCAAGAACCCTGACTGAATTCTCTCTCATTTTCTCTCATTTTGTCTCTGCACATCTCCAATATTCGTATCCCTGAATTTTGTCTGTCTAGGCCTGATCCATATTGTTTGTGACCCTCAACTTGACATAGAAAAGAGGGTCAGCTCAATTCCCCACACCCCGGAGCCAGCTAGACAGTGTTACGCTCTTTTAACAAGGCCTTTGTATATTTATCAACCCCGGAACCCAACGAAACCCAACTCCATCGCGAGCCGTTTTCAGTCACTCCACCTTCCCTTCCTGGATCAAACAACTCGATTTTAACCTCCATAAGGCAGGATCAGCATAAAGGTATGTGTCTTGTGCTTCAATTTACGTGACAATTTCCGCTCCTGTTCAAGTAACCTCTCATCTGCCTGCATCCGGCCATTCGATTTCCCTCTATCGACATCGAGTTTACTTAAAGCAGCTGATCTCCATGCCATTTGACACAACTTTATTCATTCCTCAGTCCTGAAGCCCAACCTCCTGATTTTTCCGGGTTTAACAAAGTTAGGGTCCCCAATATGCCTTCTATGTCCAAGTTCGCGCGGAAGTCCGTGCTCGGTCTGTCTATGTTGGCAGCCTTGGTGCAAGCCACAGCCGCAGCGTGAGTGAAGCCTTATCATTGATGCTTTGATCTACCTACATCTAGCTTTTACAATATACTAATCTCCGGGCACAGCAACCTTAATTTTGACTACGGAGCCGAGAAGGTCCGTGGTGTCAACCTCGGTGGTTGGCTTGTGCTAGAGCCTTGGATTACTCCTTCTATTTTTGACGCAGCTGGTGATGCCGCCGTTGACGAGTGGTCTCTCTGTGCAGCTTTGGGTCAGGACCAATGTCGTAGTGTCCTGGCGCAGCACTGGAGCAGCTTCATTACTGCCGATGATCTCAACCAAATCGCCGCAGCTGGAATGAACCACGTCAGAATTCCTGTTGGATACTGGGCTGTTCAGCACCTTGATGGTGATCAATATGTTGATGGTCAGCTTGAGTTCCTTGACCAAGCCATCGGCTGGGCTCGCGGGGCTGGCCTCAAGGTCATCGTTGACCTTCACGGTGGTACGTTTTATATGTTCCGTTTTTAGCTGGCAGTGCCTGACCAAAATCACAGTTCCCGGTTCCCAAAACGGCTTTGACAACAGTGGAAAGCGTGGCGCAATCAACTGGCAAAAGGACAACACTGTCGACATCAGTAAGTCGGTGCTGAAAGCCCTTGCTGCTCGCTATGCAGGTGATGGAGATGTTGTCACTGCCATCGAGGCTGTGAACGAGCCCAACATCCCCGGCGGCGTGAACCAGGACGGTCTCAAGCAGTTCTACTACGACTCATGGGGTGTTCTCCGTGAGTCCAGCCAAGACACCACCATCGTCTTGCACGATGGCTTCGTGCCTACCGAGTCATGGAACGGTTTCATGAGCGCGGATTCCGGTGTCTGGTTTGTGATGATGGACACCCACCACTACGAGGTCTTTGACAGCGGCCTGCTCGCCATGGACGTCAACTCCCACGTCAACAACGTCTGCAGTTTCACCGGCCAGCATGTCCAAACCTCTGATAAGTGGACTGTCGTCGGTGAATGGACTGGTGCCATGACCGATTGCGCCAAGTATCTTAATGGAAAGGGCGTCGGTTCTCGCTACGATGGCTCCTTCCCTGGTACCACGAAGATTGGTGACTGTGCTGGCAAGTCTACTGGATCTGTGGATGCCTTGTCTGAGGACGACCGTACCAACCTTCGTCGCTTTATCGAGGGTCAACTTGATGCTTATGAGAAGGGTACTGGCTGGCTGTACTGGACCTGGAAGACTGAGGGTGCTCCTGAGTGGGATATGAAGCAGCAGATTGCTGGTGGCGTGTTCCCCAACCCTGTCACCGACCGACAATTTCCCAGCCAGTGCTAAGTGCTTTCTTTTATGTACCTTGTCGCTTCTCTTCTTTTGCAAATTTGGCACGTAGCATGTTGATCTGTATTGCTTGTTAAGATACTCTTTGCACAATGCTTGTTGGACTTTTGAGTGCAAGCAAGTCGCTTCTCTTGGTGTTGTGGTGTACTTGGGATCTGCTGACCCGATCTTCGATCGACGACTCGAACGATGAATATCATTATATTATTTGCTTCTTTCAAACACGACCTTGTAAAAACCCCACTATCGGTCAGTAGAAAGTAGCGTTTTGGTTTTTCTTAGCCAATGTCTGTATGGATCTTCTCTTCATTCCTTTCATTCCTCTGTCTTCCTATCGAGGCTTTTTGGAAGTCATAAGAAGAAAATGGTCGTTTATGGGGGGAAATACCGTAACCGATACGTACCTAGCTAGATTGCAATCACTCTTCACACAAACCTTTCATACTTGGAATGCACGATCTGTAACTTCCTAGACCACTCAAGATATATAATCCGAAATGCCCGAGGTCGGCAATTAGTAGCACGAATTGGGTTTCAAGTGGGTCTACCGCCGAGCCTCACTTGATGTATTGTTAACTGATACATCTGTATTTATGTAGGGAACATTACTGTCAATGAAACCGGCATCTGTTCTTAAGTTATCGTGACGACAGATCACTGACGCTGTACTCAGTGTCACACATAAATCACAAAATAAGAGGGTCAATTCAGTGACCTTGGGACAAGTGTACAGAAAAGATTCTGCTGTGTTTTATCAAATTCCCCAAAAAGGAGTCATCCAGAAGTATTTCGTGGAATTCGTCATGCACGTGTAATTTTAGATCCTATTCATTACAATCCATGGATACGACATGAGTTATATGACAGGTCCCTTTGCGTCTGTCGAATTTGCGTCTGTCGAATGTACGTCTGTCGAATCGTAGGTCTCGGTCCATTATCTACGTGTTGCAAGTCTCATTTTGCGGTTCTCGGATCTATCTTTTTTTGTGGCTGTGCCTGAGCGTCTCAGCACGATGCAAAAATAATACCCAATATTGAAGACTGACTGTATTTTCAACATTCTTGCTGCAGCGAACGAGAAGACGAGAGAGGGCTGAATACGAAAGGAGGGTAAAAAACAGACGCAAGGAACGATTACAACACGACGATTACCGCCAAGATGGCGAATTTGAATTTGGGCCAGGGTATATGATAGTAAGAGGTAGGTAGATTTTATGTATAAGCCTTATAAAAAATATACCTAACAAACCTTGATCTATACAGCCAAGAAAAGACGGCTACCTACATTGCACAGCCCATCCATGCCTTGCGACCCGCATCAACCTGAGTTACACACTATTTTTACAACTCTTATAACTGAGGTGCACATATTGAACTGTTATGATGTCCCTGGTTTTGCCCTTGCATAAAGTCTTGGCTGATTTGAGCGATCAAAAAAATGCTAAGCACCGGTTGTCGCTCGTTTCGAGATGTGTCGTGCATTGGAAGGTCTTGGAGAAAAGGCGAGGAAAACTAAACGCAAGAATAAAGACAGGGGTCGTGAAAAAAAAACAAATAAAAGGCCTTACGAGACTTGGTTTTTTTTTTCTCACTCACTCCCCCGAGGCCTTGAAGATTTCTGGCTGATTCTTATTGCTTGAACACACATTTAACTTGTACCTATCTACTACGTCTGGAGACAGCCACTTATGTCATTCAATCCCTCTATCGGCGATCTTGTGCTTTGCACACAAATTGCCTATCGAGTATTCTCTGCTGTGAGAGACTGTAAAACGACTGCGCCTCGTGACCTCAAAGAGCTCGAGGGTGTTCTTCGCGGCCTACATATCGCCCTCGAGCATCTATCAAGCAACATTAGCGCAATCGTTAACGTGGTGCTCAGCGAGACCATCAAGGATGCACTCCAATCTATGACCAGCCTTTGTCGTCAGACATTGGAAGAACTCCAAGACGCTACCAGGCCCTACTGCAACGCTGCCTATGATCCTGTGTTCCCCAATGGGACTGCCTTTACGCGGAAGCTTCCAGTCAGAATTAAAATGCATTGGAAACGATTTGTCTGGCAAATGAGAGGCGACTCATTCACTCAATACCGGAACAATCTTCTATTGCACACGCAGAGTATTAATGTCCTTGTCAATACCTTAAACTTGTATGTGAAGGCCTTGTCCTTTGTTGAGTGAAAGCCTTCTAACCAGATGATGCTTCGGTAGGTTCATGGCAGTCCGACTGGATGAAGAACAAGTTCATCAGAGATTGATCTTGGAACAAATGTATCGTCATATAGCAGAAATCAACTTTTCTATGTCGCAGCAAGACAGAAGAGATGTCCATGCGATTCACCGAGGTCAGCAGCAAGTCCGTTGGAGTGTTCAGTGAGCATGACGGTATCCGAGATTCAGTTGTTAGTTCATATTGTCTGTCGCTACCGGGACTTTGGACACTGCGCATTTCTCTTCTTTTGTTTCCATATTGTCTGTCGCTGCGTGAGTGTTCATATACCAAAACTGGTGATTGTATTAATTAATGAAGGTTTATTATATTTCACGTACTTTAACAATCTCTTATTTTGCAATACATATGTCTCCGCACGCTGCCACCTGGCGGTGTCAGTGGGCCCCCGGTGCAGAGACACGGGTATATCTCTTCACTAACGAAGCTTCAAGTGTTGCGCGTTGAATTCCCGACTAGACAACAGCCTAATGTATAGTCACCTTGGAACCTTTATTTCTTTTCTCAACATTACGATCAATTTGATTTTTACTAATTTGCAACGCATGTGAAATGATATCTCATGGATTGGGGTATGTAACTAAAATAAGACGCCCAAGGCATCATGCGTCTAAAATAGGATCGATGAACTTCTTGATGATGCAATGATGTCGATGCAAATAAAATGAAAAAATGCCCAAGAGCTTAGAGCAGTCCAAGAGCTCCAAATGCAGAAACCACCTCCGCATCAATATTGACCAACCACTCATCCTGGAACCGCTGAGCTCCACCGCAGCCAGAGATAACCTCCTGCATGCGGTGGCGAACGAAGTCGCTGATCACAAAGCGATGAATAACGTCTCCAGACTGCCACTCGCTGCGACGAATGGTTTCAGGCGAATCGGCTTCCTGATTGATTTCTGGCTGGGCAAATTCGGAACCGGCCGGTGCGTTCCAGCAGACGAGGTAGTCGGAATTGCCGTCGACACCGCCGTCTGCTAGCTCGGTGATGAGGTCGGTCCACATGCTGAGATAAGATTGCAGGTGGGAAAGAATGTATGCGGGGGGTGGTGGGGGGAGAGAAGGTTCGAGGGGCTCGTCTTGCAGCGCCAGAAGTTGGGTAAGGGCGAGCGCGTGGAGTTTCTTTTGGCTGACGCTGCCAATGTTGTCATAGTGGGAGAACCATTCAGTAAGAATCCATGTGAGAGACTGTTCTGCCGATGAATTGGTCGCGGCGGCAACCGACGAAGCAAAGATGGTAGGAGTTGCCATCGCAAGACGTGCGAGAACGGAGAAGTAGTCGGTTTCAACGACACCGACCACAGCTGAGGTTTTTCTGTTTGGCCCGGAAGTTTGACTAGCTTCATGAGCCGAATAGAGTCCCTCGAGTAGGGACGCAAGGAATGAGCTTTCTACCAGGGTTTGACAGACGATACGATAAGTTTCTTCACTGCCACCATCAACAGTCCCAGCGCCACGGATGATTAGCTCGACAACGCGAGGGATTACACCAAGGCGTTGCTTGGTTGTGGACTTGAGAAGAGTTTCCAAAATCGTCAGCAGCTGGAAGCGGAAGCGATCGCTGAGGATATCGTGAGGCGCAAGATAGACATAGGATTCAAGGATATGAAGAGCCTGCGGTGTGTTATCTGTTGCGGCCTCAAGAATGGGGAATAGAGAAGGCAGCAGGGAGATGATGTCCGGCGAGGCAGGAGAGGGTGTAGCCTGAACAATCGCGTGCCAGAGATCCAAAGCCTCGTCGAGAAGATAGACGATGGTTTCCTACAAAATATTAGATGAGTCTAACAACGGCCAGCATAGTACTTACCGAGCCGGGCTCCACCGAACTTTGGATGAGTGGAAGAATAAGAGAATGATATCTCACAGACTCCTTCTTCAGCGACCCAATCAGGGAAGACAATAGAGTGAGAATGGCCTGCTTCATCAGGTGTTCATCTCCTGAGCTTTCCCACAGCGGCGGAAGCAGGGAAATAATCTGGTCCGAGAAAGGAGCAATCTGAGAAATGTTAGTCATACGGCCTGTTATCAAACAATGTAGTAACTTACATGGTCTTCGAGCTTGACCACCACGGTACGAACTGTTTCCAAGAGTCCCATTTTGGTTTCGGGGCTTTCGGTTTCTTGAACAAGAGACATAAGATTTCCGAGGATGCCAGGTGCAAATGGCAAAAAGACCTCGGGCGCAAACAGGTACGGATCGAGGACGTTCCGGAGCTGGCGTCCTGCCGTGATGCGCACGACCAGGTCATTCAGAGGATCGTTCTTGTTGAGCAGGTGCTGGAAAATTTGGTAGACTGCATTCATGTTCAGTTCACCTGGCTTGACTGGTACCCACTGGCCCAGCACAAGCGCAATCCGTCTTCTCAAGAGTCTGTACTCCTGCTGTTGCGATTGCACTTCGGGGACCATGGTCTGCTCCAGGAAGGAATTGAAATCAAGGTGCTGTTCAAGGCTAGCCGCGGCTAAGCCGATGGCGGAGTACAGCGAGTCTTTCAACGCCACTTCGTGGTTGTCGGTGTCTAAAATTGTTAGTACTGTTCACTCATCAACGACACTATAAACTTACTTGCAAAAGAATAGAATACGGTCAGCAATCGAGGAATAAGAAGATCCTTGAAATGAATGACGAGATCGAGGAAGAGCCTTTCCGAGCAAGAACGGATAGAGAACTCCCAAGCATCAGCGTTTTCTTCCTCTCGCTTTTCCCACTCCTCTGGCTCCTCTTCCCACTCTTTAAAGTCGATTGCGCGGAACCGGAAGAATTGGGTTACGAGAAGTTCCATCACATGGACAACAAAGTCATGTGTAAAGAGTTGCGACTTAATAAGTTCCACGGATTGTTTGCGCTCGTCCTTATCTTCCGCGGTCTGGTATTTGAAAGTTTGAGCGGGGTTGAAAGCCATTTTGGCGCATGCCCGAATCAAAAGCAAAGCTCGCAGCCCAGTCTTTTCAATCAAAGACTTTTCGTCTTCGCTGCCGGCACCGAGGCTGCCATACTTCTCCCCGAGCTTGACAACTAATGACCAATACGATTGGACGAGCGGAATACTATTGGGCAGCAACGCAAAAGACGCAGGGTGAGTCTTGGCCATATCAACATGCAATTTAGACATCTGTAGCAGATGTTTTTCGATAGCTTTGTGGACTGGCTCGGGCAGATTGTTGGAGTCATCGAGCAAGGACAAGAATTTGCTGAAATGCGAATGGCTCAGCACCCAGAAGCTCTGCACCTCCTGGCTGCGACTCGGGTGTTCAAAGCCCGCAATGATCAAACGGCGAAGGACTTTGAGCGACACCAAGCTCAGTTCCAGTGTGTGCAGCAATTCCTCTCCATCGGCACCACCTTGCTCCAATATCGCACCCCATTGGTTGATTTTCTCCACATATATTGCCCCTAACAGCTGGAAGATCTCGGGCGACACGGACTGAAGATTGTGCCGAGTTCGCTGAATTCGAGCTGTCGACAACTCCTTGATGATTTGCAACAGAATGAGGAGGGCGCGGGGAAGTTGAATGGGATTCGCGCCAGGCTGGGTGGACGATCGAAGGTATGATATGATATTTGTGATAGCATCGGGCCTACATTTACATTAGTTTGAGCCACAGAGTATGGTAATATTAACATACCAGTCCTGGGGAAACTCGAATCGCATAATTTTAGCAATCATCAATGAGTTATGGAGAGCCAAAAGCGGGGCAGGCTCAACGATTCCTGCCTCTAAAGCTCTGGTCTTTATGTGGTGTTTCTCTTCCTGCTTGATGGCACTTTCATTGTCATTAGTATGTGCCTTTCAAGCCAAAGCTTTAAAAACATACTGTTGGGCCGTTTTGCGCCAATATTTGTCGATGCCGTTTTTCAGCTGGATGATTGCAAGATAACGGACTTCAACTGGGACGGAATGGTCAAGAAAAACATCCTATATAATTTTAATTGTATGAGTAGTGTAATATTCATTATTCAGGGCCAGCAACTGATACCTGTAGAAACGAGTGGTACATGCCCTGCTTCTCCCAGGTTTGAAGCTGCACAGTACCAGCCCGAACCTGCTGTTGATCCGAGCTTGCTGCAAGAACTAGTGTATTGAGCACATCATGCGCACTCAGTGTGCCGGTCTCCCCCTGCGATTCAATGGTAAACCCCATGGTGAATGGCAGTGGTGATCAAGTAAGAAAGAAAAGAAAGAAAGGGTCTGTGATGCCTCAGACTTATAGGAATGAAACTCTCAGTCAGAGGTCCAGTGTCCGTTATGACTAAACATTCATCAAAAATTACGCTGAGCGTGGGCAAGAATTTTGTTTAATTGAACTCCAATCCCGCAACGATACGCTGAGTGTATTCGGAGCTTCTCCCATGGCATAAACTCCCCGCCTCCGGAAGATAGTTTCACCGAGGTTCGACGTCGGGGTTAATCCGGGCTTTCTTTGGATTAACTATATTTCCGAGTCTCTCGAGGTTGCTTTCGAGTGGATAACTACCATGGATAACTATGGAGACTATGAAGTCAGGGACAACCCACTTGCCTAAGGTCTTGTCAAACCGAGATCTTCAACCTTGTTTTTGAGTAAAAAAACTTTCGACTTTACCTAGACATGCTCACATATTCCTCCACTCGTGACATACGTATGATGTATCATGATGCAACCGCCTCAAGCTTGAAAGCAACCAGATTTGGGACTGAAGTATCTAAAGTTATATAAAGCATGGTTCAGCAGACAATTCCTCTCTACAATTCAGAAACAAAAATTTCACTCTCAATTCCTGCTCAATTTCTTCTCAATTCCCTACAATATCCCCCCAATTATCACCATGCCTACCACCCAGGAACTGAACCAGACAGCCCTCAACGCTGAGAGGGATCTCAACTCCTACCAGGCGAAGCAGGGTCTCGGCAAGAAGAGTGACTCAAGTAAGTCTCCTCTAATCGTGCCTTGTCGTCTCCCATACTAATATTCTCTTAGCTCTCGAGTCCGGTGTCGATGAGATGGTTGAGAAGAAGTTCGAGCAGCCTGCCAGCCTCAAGTACGGCCCTGGCTCAACTGCCTCTGGCAGCGACCACCGTGTGATCCCCGAAGATGAGGGTGGCAATCGTGATGACCGCAACCGGTAAGAATAGTCTGGATTGTCGTTATCATCCAATCGCTAACATGATATCCTTTCAGTCTCCCTAATGCTGGACAGTTCAACGGCACCGGTGGCCCTGAAGACGATATCAAGATTCAGTCAAAGAACCGGAGTGGTGACCAGGAAGTACCTGACCTGCAGACTCTCAAGCGCCGCGGAGTCGCCCAATAGACAGTACATTTACATTTATATGACATGTGACGACCCAAACGATGATCGAATGAAATATTAAAGATTGCTCAGTATTAAATTTCCAACCATATAACTATCAGCTATCAAAGAATATTAGTCAAACATTGGTCATGATCTTATCGTATCAAAAGAATAAGTGGTCAAGCCCTACAGAACGTCGTCTCCCCGACGCAGCCCCGCTCCAAATAATGTCCCCGCATCCTCGGCCCAGGCTGTGTACAAATAGACCAACTCATAACCAATCACGTCACAATCTATTGCTTTGCCGAGACAAAACAAGACATTCCAATCATGCAATTTGCCTTCACAAGGGATCCGTGCAGCCACTCCGAGTTGCATGCCCAATCCAGTGCATGCACAAAGCAGGGGGGCTTGGTGTTGGCTTTGGGGCGAAGGATCATAGTCCGATCTGATTGAAACACTGACCTCCGAGGACTGGGAAGCTTTATAAAGCCGCCGACTTCCGGTGCTGCTTTGTGCTAGCTTGTAACTCGTGAACTTATCCCTTCCTTGTTATCCACTATCAAACTACCCAGATGGCGTCTGTTCTCAATGAACCTATCGAGACTCGGCTCTTCATCAACGGCGAGGTAGACAATCAACCCAATCTACATTAAATGTATATTGTATGCTTATAGTTCCAGTTCCGAGACTCGTCTACCAAAACCACATTCGACGTGGTATACCCCTATACCAAAGAAGTCGTAGCGCAAGGTATGACCCCCAACAAACCCCGCACGAACAAAATTTTCTCACAATCCGCACCAGTCCAAGAAGCTACCGTCGAGGATGTTGACGACGCCGTCGCAGCAGCTAACGCTGCCTTCCCAGCCTGGCGAGACCTAGGCACCGCCCAGCGCGGCGCATACCTGCACAAGCTCTCTAAGCTCATATTGGAATCAAACGGCGAGCTCGCCAAATTAGAAACACTCTCGACCGGCCGTCCGATCTCGCATTTCTTCGACGCCGCCATGGCAGCTGAGACCTTCGGATATTTCGCAACGGGTGGCTGGAGCGCGCAGGGCACAGCCAGTCTCAACACGCCCGACCACCTAAACCTAACAGTCAAGCAGCCGTACGGCGTCGCAGCGCTGATAATCCCATGGAACTTCCCGCTCATCATGTTCGCTGGGAAAATGGCGCCCGCGCTCGCAGCCGGAAACACAGTTATCTTGAAGAGCAGCGAGAAGGCGCCCCTGACAGTACGTCATATCTTCCCTCTTTGAGCCCACCACAAACTAACACTTTCAGTCCCTGTACGTCGCCAAATTGATCGAAAAAGCCGGCTTCCCGCCCGGCGTCATAAACATCATCTCCGGACACGGCAACCCCGCCGGCGCGGCGCTATCCTCGCACATGAAAGTGCGCTGCATCAGCTTCACTGGGTCCTCACTAACAGGCCAGAAGATCCAAGCCGCAGCAGCCAAGACGAACCTGAAGCACGTGCTGATGGAACTAGGCGGCAAGTCGCCGGCCATTGTGTTCGAAGACGCAGACCTCGAAGCCGCGGCCGCACAAACCCAGTTCAGCATCCAGTTCAACAGCGGGCAGGTGTGCGTGGCGAATTCACGGATCTACGTGCACGAGTCTGTCGTGGAGAAGTTTACGCGTCTCTTCCGCGAGAAGTTCGAGGCTGTGCAGCTCGGGGACCCGCTCGACCCTTCTACTTCGCATGGCCCGCAGATCGATGTCCTGCAGTACAACCGGATCAAGGAGTATCTTGCGATTGGCGAGAAAGATGGGAAGTTGACGACGGGCGGAGATGCGAACGATGGGTATTTTGTGCGGCCTACTATTTTTGAGGGCGTGCCTGAGGACTCGCGGTTGATGCGGGAGGAGGTGTTTGGGCCCGTTGTTGCGATTAATACGTTTTCGACGGAGGAGGAGGCGATTGAGAAGGCGAACGATACTGAGTTTGGCTTGTATGCTTCTGTTTTCACGAAGGATCTTGATCGCGCGGTTCGGCTGGCGAAGGCTCTTGATGCTGGTACTGTTGGTGTGAACTGTACTAGTCCGACGAATGCCAAGGACGGTGCGTTTGGGGGGTATAAGATGAGCGGGAGTGGTCGCGAGGGCATTTTGTATAGCCTTGACAATTTCCTTGAGACGAAGACTATCCTGATCAAGACGTCGAAGCTTTGATTGATCGTCTGGATATACGGGCGGCCAGAATGGATATACCATTTGTGAACTTTATACTGCTACTGCTACATCTCCAAGAAAATTTGATCGATTACTCGCTACAAACGCGTATAAAACTTATCTGCAAACATAAATCTCTTCAACGTTCTCAGAATGTTGATACTTCATGTATTCCTTCAACTCTGTTTCAGCACTAAATCGCAAATGGTGCGGAGAAGAACATTCCATGCCACCTATTGACCTAAATTAAGCAAAGCCGGTGCTGATAACCCAGCTGACATCGTCGTTGAAGGACGCAGCGGCATCGAAAGTGTGAACACCACCATTGCTAGCAATGTAGAGGACAGTGCTGTAATGACGGAAAAAGCGGGTGGGATAGCTCCATGAACGAATCGTGTTACCCTGGCCATTGAGACCAGTCTGCGGACAGAACGTAGCGTCCTCGTTGAACTGCTTCGTTCCATCACTGGCAGCAAGCAAGAGACCAAAGTTATAGTGACGGATGTAGCTACCAGCGGTGTCCTTGGATTCAAAGGAGAAACAAGCGCTGTTAGCCAGACCAGCACGAACTGTCCAGCTAGCCTGCTGCTTAAGCGCGGTTGTACTAGACGACGAAACCACCTGGATATTGATCGTGGAGCCAGTGTGAGCAAGGTAGTACGTCGTGTAGCCGGAGGTAGTAGCCCGCAGCGAGATCGAAGAACCGACAGTAAGCGCAGGCCCACTTGTCAGCGACGTTGTGGCGTATTTCGCAGCCACGATATTTGCCTGCACCGAGTTCTCGGTGGCATCGGTGGGATAGCCGGATGTCATGACGCCCTCGTAGAATGTGCCCTGGGCGCCGTTACTGTTATCACCACCAATACCAAGAATGATCGCACCCTCCTTGCTCATGGGGTTATAGCCCGATGCGGTTGGCCGCGCACCGCTGTAGTACGTCGATAGCGAGCCAGAGGCCGCATTTCCACCACGAATAGCCCACAGGCCGGGTCCACCCTTGACGATGGCACTGACAAAGCGGGAGGAGATGGATGGGTCGGCGGCATTGTTGGCAGCGCTTTGGCCGGAGAACAGACCGTTCTCGAGATCGGCCATGATCCAAGGCCCGCTGCCGGCGCCAGATCCCCAGCCCGTGTTGTCGCCGAAGTAGATGGCCTCCATGTGGCCGTTGCCGGTGTCGGTGCTGCTGACCTCGGCATTGCCGTAATCGAAGCAGCAGGCGCCGTTGTAGTGCGTTCCATCGAGAACGGCGTACATGCCTTCCGCTGCGTCTCCGGTGGCTGTGCCGCTGGCGGCGTTGTTGCTGTAGCCCGAGCCGGGCGACATGAAAACTCCGTACGCCTTCTTGCCATTTAGCGTGACTGGTGCGCCAATTGCGCTCGCTAAGTTGTCATAGCCGTTTGCTTCGGGGCCGCTGAAGCCACCCGGTGGAGCCTGGGTGAGGTGGTTGCCGCGGCCGGACTGGTCATAGATGATTGTGATCAGGCAGGTGGTGCTGGCGCAGAAGGTATCCTGAGCTGCAGCATTGGCAACTCCTCCGGCGGAGAGCGGCGAGATAACCGTCGTGGCTCCATCTGAGCCACGCTTCACTTGGTACAGACCGCCAGTGTAGGCGCTATACAGGGCGCGAGTGGTGCTGTGGGCCGCGATGCAGGGCGTGTTGCCAGAGGCGTAGATGTCGCATGGCCCAGCAGCAACCAGGGAGCTCCCTGCGACAAGCCCTAAGGCGAGTAAGGAAGCGCGTTCGATGCTTGGTCTTGAAAGCATGGTTGGTTACTTTTTCTGTCTGGGTAGTGAGGGCTTCACCTGTCTACTTATACTCTTCATGTTGTCACAGCTACCGTTCTCGAGAGTAGTAGCATGCGCCGAAGAGTCAATGATTTTCCTCCAATGAACCTAAAATGAATGCATAACATGTCTTCGACAACATAAGCGAGATCTCGGTCCTTGAAGACTTGAAAAGGAATCGATCGGTTAATTGTATCGATCAGTCCTAGTCTCCGAGCGACTGAGGTTTAGACCAATTGTGACTTGGATGGAATCTTTAGTTCCACTTCTGCGCTCGTACGCCATGAGGGGCTCCCCTATGTCACGAGGGGTGTGAAGAGAAATCCTGAGTGTTCCGACGGGTTTATTTCAGGCCGTGTCGAATGCACCCCGCATAATTGTGGGTTTGCGATATTAAGCAAGGCTTAATTCTATAAAACCGGTAATGCAGATCTTGTGCCACCGGGATTTTTCCTAATTTCCTCAACAATTAGCCGATCTAAAGTGATTGATCGTCAGGTGAAAACAATCCCAGCGTAGGATTGTGGCGCAGAAGTCGCAAATGTTGGGAAGTTAAGAAATGCGGGGGCCCCGGACAGAGGGGAAGGGTTACCATTCCCCTGATTTATTTTCTTTCTTTCTTCTGCGGTTGTTTTCTTTCCACCGAAGCGCGACTCGGCACCTCCTCCACAGGAACATATCGGATCGGGCCGTCCCAGTATTATCACTTCCAAGGTTCCTTCCTGTAACGGTAAGATAATCAATGGCAGTAAGAAAAGTTAATTGGTTGGATTTCATAGCTAGAATGTTGAAGTAAAACCTTCAAATCAGAAGGAGTACAATTTTTTGGGTTTTGAATATTTGGAATCCAGAGCCAAGATAAAAACACCCTAGTTGTCAATGAGCCTGTGGCTGCAAAGTATCAGATGAGATAGAGCCCATAAGACCGCAACCATACACTCAGACTTGCTCATTGATTAGGAGTAAAACGCAGCAACTACTAACGATGCTCCAATCACAACAGTGGAGATGGGAGCCATGGTGGTAGCTCCGACACCGTGGTGCTGAGTTTCAACGGGAGTGGTGGAGTTGATATGAGAAGCATTGTTGGGACGCTTGAAAGTAACCTTGCTGTTGTAACCGTACCGAGCATCCCATGGGAAGGGGGTGGTGTAGTTGTAGGTAGGGTGCAGCTTTCCATAAGTCTTCTTGACGACATCCAAGATACCATGGCCTGCGGAACACTTCTCGTTGCTGTCGGTAAGAGGGACAGGCCAGTCGGCAATGAATTTTGAGGTGTTGCCGGTCTCCTTGTCGCCGATGGACATGGGACCTGGATAGGTCTGATTTAGAGTCAGGAAAGTTTTGTTGACCTCGTAATTGACATAGCCGGTTTTGTTGGCGACAATCTGGAAGATGTTGGCACCACAGTCCCAACGGCCCAAAGAAGGAAGACCCCAATTAGCAGACACACTGGCGATGCTGGAGTAGTGGGTGTAAAATGTGTCATCCTTGGTGCCTTGGAGGTGTTCGGGGACGGCGCCGCCAACAAGAATGCTGAGTACACGATTGTCCTTGGTATAGGTCGAGTCCTCGTCAAAGGTCAGGAGAACAAGTGTGTTGTTCATGAAATAATCATTCTGGAACAGCTCAGCCATCCAGGGACGCTCCCATTTGGCAGCAAAAGTCATATTAGTGTCGTGGGCATCATTAGTCATGTTGGGAGTAATGAAAGCCCACTGAGGAAGCTCCTTGGCTACGAGATCACTCTCAAAATCATCAAAGCCCTTGATCTGGCGTGCACGGGTGTTGTTGGCCACAACGGAGTTGTAAAGAACCATCGGGTTGTGCTTGCGGACATAATCAGGCTTGTAGGTGTGCTGGTTGGAGTAGTTGAGGCCCTGGAAACCGGCATGAGGAATGTGCTCCTGGTACTCGGCCCACGAGATGCTCTTGGTGTCAAGCAGATCAGCAATGGAGGAAATGTTCTCAGGGATTTGCTTGAAGTCGTCATTGTCCATTCCGAAAGTGTCGCCGCCGGCCGCAGCGCAGTAGTTGGGCTCAGAAGGATGAGTGACAGCGTAGAAGTTGGACCTGTGAAGTTAGCACATCTCTATGCCCAGGTGCCATCTATGGATGACTAGATTTAGTGTTCTTACAGTAAGATACCCTGTGAAGCGAGCCATTGAACGTTGGTATCGGCAGCCGCATCCTCGAAGTCCTACGATATGTCAGCGATCATGTTTCATAGATGATTGGGGTTATGTACGATGTTCTCAAGCCAAACCTGGTAAAAACGGTCGAAAGCCAGACCCTTGACATTGGAGGTAGTAATCTCAGGTTTGGTCGTCGCAGCTGCTGCTTGGATCTGCGCCAGGGCGGGCTCGGAGGTTGTGGCAGTCTGGGCGATAACCCCAGCCACCACGGCCAACAAGACCGCAATGACAGCCTTCATGTTGATGGATGTCAATAGTAGAACGATGAGATTGATGGATTCAGGATGCAAAGAAATAATGTGAGGTGCGGAGTGCGAAGAGGAAGAAGAAGTTAGAAAGGATGAACTGATCACAGTCTGGTAAACCTTGAGCTACAACACAACACGCGCCGGTTACATCTACATTCATGAAAAATCCCTGGGATAAGGTGTACCTGACAAGAACCTGAGGCCGTATAACCTTATTGGGGGGTCATAAGGTATCTCGGAAGTAACCGACGTGGTCGAGGGCAACTGGTAGGGCTGGAGGGCGAAGTCGTACAGGCACGAGGTGCAGTAGATCCCTCTGATTGGTCAATTCGAGATGATTGAAATAGGGCGTGTGCCCATCTGAAAAGCTTCACTTTTATATACATACATGTTTGTATATGTTCGTATTATGTCAGTATGTTCTAGCTGAAACATAAAAATAATCCATGGAAACGAACCAGGAGGGTGAGAATATTCGGGTTGTACACAAAAAACTGTGGTATGTTCTACAAAGATGACTACCTAAATGTATGTATCTTCACTGGGCAGCCGATGGGGAAATTATACATCACTCACATTGTTTCAAAAGTTTAGGGATTGTCTCTTTATATTTACATATACATATAGGCATGAACATCAGATGTTCTGCTTCCTTACTTTCTATGCTCAGTGAAGAATATAGATCACCTCTATATCTGTAGATAAGACCACCCTGGAAAACTCATGTAGCCGGTGGCATTGTAGTCAGGTGTTAACAGAGCTTCCACCTGGGCAACCAATGTAAATGAAATGCTGCATCGAACCTGTTTCCAAGGAATAGGAATATTATCAGTTCTTGGAGTACATTCGTTACAACCTCCGAAGGTCCTCCGGGCCACTTCTGGTCACTCACCGTACACCCACAACTAATTTGTACAACATCAAAACCTCCATATTTATCCTGTTAACACTCACAATGAGGCTCAAAAACATGTCAAAAGAGCATGGAAATTGACACGGTCACGTGAGAAACAACCTCGGCTCTCAGTCCGGGGAACCGAGCGCGGTCAACGAGCAACGGGACCCATTTCCCCGTGCTATTCTCTCACTCTGCATCAACATCTTCACACGCAATGATTTCACGATGAGCTCAACTAACTTCGCCGCTGCACAAGAGCGAGTTCTTGAACGACGTCGTCTGCGCGAAGCTGAAGCCCGCGCCCGCCGTACCGCACAGCGGACTTCGCCGATTAGCCCAGCTGTTGTACAGCGCCTTCCGTATCCGTTGAATCGATTGCCCAGTTCTGGATGGCGGATATGGAATTCCATCAAGGGGCGGGATGGCACTCGGCCTGCTTTTCGGGTCGGACAGGTCGATGCTGAATTGTTGGATGAGGAGCTGCTTGGCCTGATGAAAGGTCAGGTTGGTGATGCTCTTAAATACTTTGGGGTATGTGATACAACAAAAATGCAGGTGAGGTGATAGCTGCTGACGGCGACAGCCTTATATGCGCGAGGACTGGTCGCATGAAATTATGTTCGCTCTTCGAGCTATCCTCTTCAAATTATCTATATGGGATCATAATGCGTCATATGGTGCTGCGCTGCAGGGACTTAAATACACAGATAGCCGAAGCAAAGGACCTGTTTTTTCTTCTCCTACGAAATGGCAGAAGAGTATGTACGGTTTGTTGACGGTTGGAGGACGATATGCTTGGGATAAGTGGGAAAGCTGGTTAATTGGACAAGAAGGCGGCTACGAAGAGGTTGGTCACCGTTCATACTGGCAAGCATACTGCCAAAGTTTTACTGACAAACTCAAGTCATCGCAGGACGTTCGTATGCTATCACGACTCACCGATTTCATCTCTACAACACACTCCATCGCCGCCTTTACCTCTTTCCTTGTCTTCCTAGTGAACGGCCGATACCGTACATTGATCGATCGCATCCTTCGCATCCGCCTCACCCCGCCATCCGCCCAAGCCAGCCGAGAAGTGTCATTCGAATACCTGAACCGCCAATTGGTCTGGCACGCATTCACGGAATTTCTCCTCTTCCTCCTTCCGCTTGTTGGTATCGGTCGCTGGCGGCGATGGATATCTCGCGCGTGGCGGAAGATGGTCAACTCCATGCGGTCGAGCGGGGAAGATGACGAACCAGCGAAACAAGGGGAGCTGGCCTTTCTACCAGAGCGCACCTGTGCCATCTGCTACAGGGACCAAAATCCAACATCCACCACAGAGGCCGATGTGCTAGCGGCGTCTGCATCAGGCGGAATTGCGGGATCGGCGCAAACTGACGTCACAAACCCGTACGAAACAGTCCCCTGTGGATGTATCTATTGCTTCGTCTGTATCGTGCAGAAGGTGGAAGCAGAAGAGGGCCAGGGGTGGTCTTGTTTGCGGTGCGGTGAAACCGTCAAGAAATGCCAGCCTTGGAATGGTGATGTCTTGGAAGAGGCACGGTCGCAGCCGGGTACGGGCAAGATTGTTGGCTTTGCCATGGACGGAGAGTCGGGTGATGAGACCCGTGTGACAGATCGTCACCATGAGGACTCTGGCAAGTCCAGCCCATTGCAGGAGATCAGTGCCGATGAAGCTTTGCAGCATTCAGAGCAATGGTCCACCATTGAAAAGGATGCAGAGGATGGCACCGAGCAACCTGAAACACATTAAGACGGGCCTACGAGGTCTACACCATGACACCGCTCATCCAGGCCTGCGTGTCATCCGATGCTCCTGGACGGGTACATATTGATTTAATCCCTTCTTCAACTTGTTTATAAAGCTATTATACTATTGCCAGGTGCTGTAGTACATACTACCGCATGCACGATAGAAATTTGACGATACCCATACCCTCCATCAATTTGCAAATTACAGACATCTAACAATCAAGGAAGAATCACACTCGAAACAGCAGCATAGAACCCAATCCCAGCACCAACAAGCGGAAACAAAGACCTCGCCAAGTTCAACTTCGCCCAATACCCCAATACCCCAACGACCTCCTCATCATCCCTCTCCCTGTTCTCCATCTCATGTGGCCGCAAACCCTCATCAGCCGCATCATCACGCGTAGCATGAGCCTTCAGCGTATTGTTCGTGTTGCTCATAACCAGTACCGTAAATGGCACAATTCCCATCGTGCTCGCAATCGCAAGCAGATAGCACTTTGACCAGGTCAATCCGAAAGGTCCTGGGAGAGGCGAGTCCCGCACTTTCCATGAAACATAAAGATTTGCGAGCGAGGAGAAGCCCGCCAGCCCAGGGAAGAACTTCTTGCCTCGGTCGTAGAGATCAAGCCATTGGTTTGTTAGGTGCGGGGCCGGGGTTCCTGGTTTTTTATCGTATGTGGCTGTTTTGCCGGTTTGGCGTGAGGGGAGTATGAGGTTTGGGATGCTGAAGGTTGAAAGTGTGGCAATTCCACCTGGTTGTATGTATGTGTGAGTTTGAGGTGATATAGCTAAGGGGATATATATATACTTACTTGCTGCCAGAGCGCAGCCGATGGTGCCAATTGCTTGGGCAACTTTCACGTCGGTTGGCATTGTTGATTGTTTGTTATGGATGAATATTTGGATACTGCGAGGAAAATATAAAAAAGAAAGGAGGTGATGGTCAGATGTTGCTTTTAAATGTGTAATGACGTCTACTATTCGTGGGTTTTGTCCGGGTTTTGGGTTGTTACTCATGAGTCAACTACATGTGGCTAAACTATCAACTAGTTAGTACTTAGTATTTAAACCATTAAGGAGAATATCATCTACTATATACAATATCATACCACTATATGGAGATCGCTCGGGTGATCGAACAATAGGCGTAACTCCGAGTTTGGATCTTAAATCGGTCAACTGTGACTGGACGAAGCCCCACGAACGCGGGGTCCACTGGGGTCGGCTTTCAATGCGGACTCTCCCCTCGGTTGTGGGATGACACTTATAGTCAATTGCTGAAGACTAGGAATTGTGTATAGCTTTTTCCTCTCTCACAGTTCGCCATGTGTCTTTCTAAGCCAATTGAGTCGAGCGCTCTCAGTGAGCCCAAATATATTAACTTTCCCTCTTTACCCACAGATGCGAAGCACCCAGATGGCTCCCTCGTACTCAATCGTCATTCACACACAATAACTAAGGGCCATGACTTCCCTGGCGCTCGGGTAAGTCATCTCTAAAACGGCAATGAGCTTTATTGATTATCTTAGGCCATGCTGTATGCTGCCGGTGTCCCCGATACAGAAGCGATGGCCAAGAGCCCACATGTTGGTGTGGCCTCAGTATGGTGGGAGGGAAACCCTTGCAACATGCACTTGATGGATCTGGCCAAAACCGTCAAGAAGTCTGTTGTGGACCTGGGCATGCTTGGATGGCAGTACAACACCATTGGTGTTTCCGATGCAATCACCATGGGCAGCGAAGGTGAGTCGTCAACCTTCCTTCGATACGGCATCGCTATGAACACAAATGTTAATCCTTTCCAGGTATGAGATTCTCCCTCCAGACTCGAGAAGTCATTGCCGATAGTATTGAGACTGTCACCTGCGCGCAATACCACGATGCCTGCGTTGCCATTCCCGGCTGCGACAAGAACATGCCCGGTGTTGTAATGGGAATGGCTCGTCACAACCGGCCATCAATCATGATCTACGGAGGAACCATTGGCATTGGATACTCCGAGCACCTGCGCAAGCCCATCAATGTCTCAACATGCTTTGAGGCCGCGGGTGCTTACGCCTACGGCACGCTGCGCCAGCCCGACGATGGCGGCGACACGACCAAGACCCAAGACGAAATTATGGATGACTTGGAAAAGCATGCTTGCCCTGGCGCTGGCGCCTGTGGCGGCATGTTTACGGCGAACACCATGGCTACGGCTATTGAGTCGATGGGACTGTCTCTTCCCGGGTCGTCGTCGACGCCCGCTGAATCACCGTCCAAGATGCGCGAGTGCGTCCGCGCTGCAGAGGCTATCAAGGTCTGCTTAGAGAAGAATATCAAGCCCCGGGATCTGCTCACCAAACGATCTTTCGAGAATGCTCTCGTCATGACCATGGCGCTCGGCGGTAGTACCAATGGTGTTCTTCATTTCCTAGCCATGGCCCGGACAGCCAATGTTGACTTGACGCTGGATGACATCCAGCGAGTCAGCAACAAGATCCCCTTTATTGCCAACCTTTCTCCCAGCGGCAAGTACTACATGGCGGATCTGTACGAGATCGGAGGAATCCCGTCCGTCCAGAAGCTATTGATCGCAGCGGGTCTCCTGGACGGCGATATCCCGACTGTGACGGGTAAGACGCTAGCCGAGAACGTCGCATCATTCCCTTCGCTGGCCGAGGGCCAGGACTTGATCCGCCCCCTGAGTAACCCAATCAAGGCAAGCGGCCACCTGCAGATCCTTCGTGGAAACCTTGCTCCAGGCGGCGCAGTCGCCAAGATAACCGGCAAGGAAGGACTAAGCTTCACCGGCAAAGCGCGCGTCTTCGATAAGGAGCACCGCCTCAACGAGGCGCTCAACGAAGGCCGCATCCCACGTGGCGAGAACCTCGTCATCATTGTGCGCTACGAGGGCCCCAAGGGTGGCCCAGGAATGCCGGAACAGCTCAAGGCCAGTGCCGCTCTAATGGGAGCCAAGCTGACCAATGTGGCGCTGATCACCGACGGCCGGTACTCCGGCGCCAGCCATGGCTTCATTGTCGGCCACATTGTGCCGGAAGCCGCTGTTGGCGGTCCGATCGCCCTCGTGCGAGACGGGGACGTTATCACCATCGATGCTGAGACAAATAGTCTATCTATGGATGTATCAGATGAGGAGCTTGAGGAGAGACGACGCCAGTGGACGCCTCCTTCACCGCAAATCACCCGCGGTGTGCTGGCCAAGTACGCCCGATTGGTTAGTGATGCGTCACAGGGAGCCATGACTGATTTGTTTTGATTTTCTACAACGGAGAACCATCCGCAATTGCAGGTTACAACGTATAGTTAGCATATTTTGGGGCGATTGGAGCTGTTGGGATAATGTTATGATCTCCAAATAGCATTCTACCATGCTTCTAAATAAAGTGTAAATATGGAACATTCGATGTTGGTATGATCTAGTTAGATGGTCCCGCTCGGCGCTCCGAATCGACCAGTAATAAATGAAAAATCGCGCATGTTGGATGCTGTGAAACATGCATTGTCCACAATTACCTTGATGGAAAATAATGTATAAATATTGTAGTAAAAAGGAGAAGTTGTGTACTAGTTTTATGCTTAAGATCTGGATCTATAGAGGGACTTCCGCTCTCATACTAAACCCCATAATCAAGAAAGTACCCCTCCGAAGGGCTGCAGGCAAGTGGGCCGATGATGACTCATGTTTCCACCCCACGCCATCCATCCCGAGGCTCTGAGTGGCTGAACCAATGTTTCATTACTTTTTCTTCTTCTTGCAACTATTTCCAACGTTGACGATCTCGCTTTCCTTATTGGCTTTGACCAAATCTGCGCTGTATCCAAAGAGAATAGGGTGCCCCCTCGCGTGGTTCTTGGTCTGATAGGGGGCTCTGCAAGAGTCCAGAACGCCCCGGGCTATACTTAACCATGGGGTCCGACACCTCCCTCTACGATTTACCCTCCCAAACCCGTTCAGTCGCTGCTGTCTCACGATTCTTCAACTCGATACAAGTTGCTACACAAAACTTATCCCCCACCGCCGTCGCCAGCTATCTCCACGGTTTATACCGCAATGACACCGTGAACTGGGGTCAAGTTGTGTTCTTGACTACCTGTGTTATCGCAATGACTGGATGCGGGATGTTGTCGTCGCTGGTGAGGCGCAAGGCGTCGCCCTCGGCTCGTGCACAGAGACCCGCTCGTAAAGGCAGCTCGGCCAGGTCTTCGTCTAAAACGCTCAGCTCCTCGGAGGATGACTACGAAGACGAGGACTATGATAGCAATGCATCGTTGCGTCATGGCACCAACCCCAACTACAAGCCTAAGGAAGATTGGCTGTCTGAACCTCAGAAGCAAAGCTCGGATGGTAGGTCACCACATTTTCTTTGATTGTTTCCATCTCATGCTAATATGCGCGCAGCTCACGCAACAGACCCCGGCATCCTCAGAAAATTCACTACATACAACTCATACACCACCTCGAAAGCTACCTATCCCGCCATTCGCACATTCTATAGCCCCCACCCGCAACTAGCTCGACTTCCTACCAAACCAACACCTCTGCCACTGATCGTGGTTGTTCATGGGCTCGGTGGATCCCTTGCACAATTCCACCACCTCCTGACCAGTCTGTCCAACGTTGGGTCGTGTTTTGGTATTGATTTACCAGGGTGTGGACTGTCCAAGTTTGCGCCCACGGACTGGGATGCATATTCAGTGGAAGCTCTGTCAGAACTACTGGTCGAGGCAATCGAACAGCACCGGGACTGGAAATCCGGCCAGGAAGTCATTCTGGTAGGACATAGCCTAGGAGCTTCCTTGTGCGCCCTCTTGGCTTCATCGACATCCTCTATTGGCGCAAAGCTGAAACAACACATCATCGGTCTCGTTGCAGTGTGTCCTCGAGCATCGCCTCCATCTGCGAAGGAATGTTCCAAATATCGCAAACTACTTTCCGTCCCCGGATTCATTTTCGACCTCTGGCGTCAATGGGACCGACGCGGTGGCGAGCAAAGCGCCAGTGTCATGCGGATGGTTGGCAGCGATGCCGATATGGAGACTCGCGGTCTCCAGGTGCGCTTCAACAAACAAGCCCAAACTCCTGTTTGGCGACGCATGGCGTGGGGCACACTCCCCACGTACGATGAAAACGACCACCCGATTGGCGGAATGCCTGGAGAAAAGGTCTGGGCAGGGATTCGCATGCCGGTCCTCCTGGTCGGGGGAGAGGCGGACGCAGTTACAAAACCGGTTGAGGTGCAGAAGCTTTTGAAATTCTTCGGCGATGCTTCAGCCCATACCGCGATTGACACTAGCGACAGCAGTAGCATCATTCCCGATGCTTCGCGCGTCCATGATCAGATGTCAGCTCCGGCTAGTGACCTGGCCAATGAGAAGGCGTATGGACTTCAGGTGTCCGAGAAAGTGTTGGAGACTGGGCAACGGAAGCGGGTGGTCAAGTCAGCAATCTTGCCGGCACCCGCGTCGCATGCATTGCTCTACGACCGCGCGACGTATCGCACGCTTGCAGGGATTGTGCAGGATTTCTTCTCGTCGAACATCGACAAGCGTCTTGGTCTGGGCTGGCAACTGCAGTATATGAATACATCCGGAAAGTGGGATGTCAAGAACCTCGCCAAGTGGAAGAAGGTTGCGCCTGTTTCAGAACCGATTGCCAACACCTTCGCTGCGATGAAGATGCTGCGCGAAGTCGACGAGGAACACAACCCAGTGACATTCTCGGGAAAGTATCATGGTCGCATCCATGCTGTTATCGACATCAGTCACGAAAGCCCGGTCTACAACCCGGCTGAAATGGAAAAGGGCGGGATCCGCTACTGCAAGCACCCGACTGTATCCAAGATTCCTCCGACCCCAGATGAGACGCGCGACTTCATTGCTCTGGTCGGTAGCCTTCAAAAGGAGATCGATGAGAATGTGGAGAAGCGTACCGGCGAGGAAAAGTCTTTGCCTCGTCCATTGGTCGGAGTCCACTGTCACTATGGCTACAACCGTACCGGTTTCTTGATCACTTGCTATTTGATCGAGCGTCTTGGGTTCGGTGTGCAGGATGCCATAGACGAGTTCAACAGGTGCCGGCCACCTGGTATCCGGCACGGTCATTTTGTTGACACTTTATTTGTACGGTATTGCGTTGGGCTGAAAAGAGCGCCCACGCTGTAATTTGGAAATCTTTAGGCGTTGGAATGAAGGGTTTATTGGCATGGGGAATTGGGGGTTCACTTTATCTTTAAATTACGAATAATGATACATGGCATGAAATAGAATTAATACATTCTATTATGAAGTCTTCAATAACATGTTCTCCAATATTAGAATGTTAATCGTGTTTTTATTTTCAGCCTAAAATATCAGGCATAAAGAAATATTCTTTCAGCCTGACCCATCAGGCACCAAATTCCAAATCACATGACCAGCTTAGGGTACGGCTAACCCAAAATGGACAAGCGAACGGCACACAGACCCAACCCGCCCAGCGTTGTGTGTCTTGAAATTTTGAGCGACTCTTCGACTTCGACCCTGCCCACCTCGACGCCCAACGCCTCTCTCTCTCTAATCCCTACCCTTCGACCCCTCGACAAGTCGCCAAAATGGGTGGTGTTACCGTTCGCGATGTGGACGTAAGTGTCCCGCTCGATTTTCACAGGTGATCGGTCATTCACCATGTCTGCTTCGCGTGATGCGAACGATTCGTTTCTGGATGCACGGATATCACAACATCGGTCGGTTAGCTTCGCCAGGGTGGAAATGCTTCGCACGGAATACACTATATGAACAATAGGCATTGGTTTTCATCGCTTATGGGAAACTCGTCGATATTGAAGGATGTGCATGGTCAATTTTGAGGGGCCAAGTCCTTGATGGTTTTCAGCCATCAAGGACCAGCTTGAAATACTCAATACGATTCTATGCTAGCGAAGAGCGCGCCGACCGATGAACTGCTTCCAGAAACGAATTCGACGCAATCAATTTTGCAGACCTTGACCGATCCACTTTATATCATGAGCCACCACTAACATTCATTTTCTCTCCCACAGGCGCAGAAGTTCATCTCTGCCTACTCTGCTTTCCTGAAGCGTCAGGGAAAGCTCCCCATCCCCGGCTGGGTTGACACTGTCAAGACCTCTGCCTCCAACGAGCTTCCTCCCCAGGATGCTGACTGGTACGACTTGCAACGCAACACAATCTGATCCCAAACACTAACACTTCAGAAGGTTCTACGTCCGCGCCGCCGCCTGTGCCCGCCACATCTACATGCGCAAGACCGTCGGTGTCGGTCGTCTCCGCAAGGTTCACGGCTCTACCAAGAACCGTGGTTCCCGCCCCGCCCACCACGTCGATGCCTCCGGCTCCGTTGACCGCAAGGCCCTCCAGGCCCTTGAGAAGATCGGTGTCCTCGAGACCGACGAGGAGAAGGGTGGCCGCCGCATCACCCAGTCCGGCCAGCGTGATTTGGACCGTATCGCCAAGACCACCGTCGATGAGGATGAGGAGTCCGATGAGGAATAAACGTATCGCATACAATGGGCTTTTACTAGTTCGGGGATAAGTCGTTTATTTTTGTGGTTCTTTGCTTTCCAGACGGGGCAAGAATATTGGAGAAATGACGGCACAAAAATAAAAATTCGGAGCTTGCGGTCCCGTGCGCGACTTTACGTTTGTTTCTTGTTTTCACTTGTTCCATCCAATTCATATTTTTTTCTGACGACCAGATGGGGCTACTAGCGGGGAGAGATTGGGCGGTGGCGAGTGCATGAGGATGAGGCATCTTTCAGGAGACTTGAACGAGAGAAGAGAGCGGACGAGACGTTTCCCCCTCCTTTTTCTGTCGAGGCACTTTCATGTGCGGTAGACGGGAGGGGATCTTTTTTCCCTTTGACATGTTTTTATGATCTCCCTCACCTCTTTGACCCCGACCAACCTTACGGCGTCTTTGTTCCTTCTCTCGCGGTCTCCTGGAAATAAAGAGCATGTCTAACACTTCAAAACTGTTCCAATCTCTGTCGTAGATGTAGATGTAGGTGTTTCGAGTACATAGACGGATATCAACCATTGACTTTGCTTTCATTTGCCGCAAGACTTTTCATACACTTTTTCATTTACAAGTTGTTTGTTGAAGTACTCTTGTATATACAAGTTGACCCCAAGCCCTGCGGCACCTTCTAGTTGCCTTAAATCTATTTCTTCCCCGACTGAGCCGCAGTATCCTACAATCGCAATCAGCACCACAACCATACCAGCACTCAAAACACAAGACTCACCAAATAAACCTGATAAAACTGCATTTTAATATCCTCGCCATCCTTGTGAGGCGCAAACACAACCCGTCCAGCCCAAGGCACATAGACATCATTATCCGGGTTCGCCTTGAGTCTATAATTGACACCACCATACAGCATGATCTCATCGTCGCCGCCAAAGTAGATACGCGTAGGCGTGTGTCGGCGGGAAGCAACATGAGTCCAGAGGCCATGGCGCAGGGGAAGAATTTCTATCAAACAATCCGTTAGCTGGCGTAGAGTTTCCAATTCCAAGTTTCCAATATGTCATCGGAAATCGAGATCCATCGTATGTATAGCTTCAAACCGAAATAGAACATACCACTCGCGCCCTTGGCCTCCTTGGGACCCATGATGAGCGTTGCGTCCTCGGTGAAGCTCTGGACGTATTTCTCGTGCTGGGCTTCTGTGTCGCTGGTGCGGTAGAAGTCTTCCATGAATGCGACGAGCGCGGCGCCGCGGGACGGTGCGCGGGTTGTGTCATAGGCGATTTGGTAGGTCATTTTGGGTAATTTTTTGATCTGGTGTTACAATTGATGGGTTGGAAGATGCGAGTTTCTGAAAAAAAGAAAATGAGAAGTTAGAAGGAAAGAATATGGGGTTCTAATGGATATGTCTATGTCATGAGGGGAGCCGTCGGAAGGGGCACATCCGATCTTATCGACAACCAGCTGTATAGATCAAAAGGCATGTTTTTTGTCTTTTGTTATTGGTTTATGTTTGATTTAAAGGGTATATGGTGTAACTGTTCATTGCGGATTTGGTTTTAATATCTCAGATTTAAATAGCTCAACTGAATCATCAAGTGCGAACACTTCGTTGATGGGTCATTTCGTCGTCGGCAAGATGATTGACGACGGACAATATATTTCTGAAACCATAATGTGTATGTGCTCATTGATATGAGTGCAAAGCCTTCATGTCTGCTTTGGTGGGCTTTACAGAGCTAAAAGGTATTGATTGCTCGAGGTCCACGGGTGAACTTCGGAAGCCCTCGCATCGGAAGTGGAGTTATATATCCGTCAATGCGCACACGACTTCTTTTGTATCCAAAGGGATTGAACTTTTCTCGACAACCCATTCCCTCGATTTGATTATATCAGCGCAGTCCTGGAGAAAAATCTTCGTAGCATTCTAGCAACAAAGAGAAGCAATACTGAAACAACTTCACAAGCATCGCATAGAAAGGTCTTCACCCACTCGTGATAACCGGCGCATCTGAAATCATCATCGAAGGCTTCGCTATATGGCCTTTTGATATAGAGATAGCCCCCTCCAATCCTGTTCATTTAGCGCTTTGAATGGGAAATCTCTCACTGAAAAGATCACTAGATCCAAGACATCCACACTGACCCAAAACATCTGCCTCCCATCGCGTAGCTGTCAAATATGACACTGTAGATTGGCACCAGACCACAAAATATCAATCGAGACAGAGGAAGCACGATTCTCATAGGTTGCATATTGCAAAGAACTTCCGTAGAGTCAAGAGACAAAATAATTCAATCCCAGACCCAGAGCCCGACATTGTTCCAGCTCCGCCAAATTCTCCATCCTAGAAGGCCACTGAAGCAGTCTCATCTGGCCATTCTTTCCAAATGACTCCCATGAGCCATTCAATTCAATCTCTCGGCTCGTATTAACATACCCTCTCGCTTTTAAGAATCCAGAGTCAGGCGTAGGCCTGGCGCTTCTTGCAAAACTCGCCCAAGAATCCAGCACGTATTGTCCAAATGGCAGGTCGAATTCATCCCGGTACGGTAAGCCCTGGCGAAGAAAAGTTCCAAACACGTAGCCCAGCTCCCCGGAGTGGCATTTGAAGTATTCCTTGCTGGGATCGCCATTTGGGAAGGTTTCTGTGATGGGCGCGTTGCACACCGGGAAATTGGGCGACCAGCCGGGCAGTTGATACGAGCGGTTGAACTCATAGTAGAAGATGTCAGGGAAGATGTGATTTGTCGACCCTGCTTGAGCGGTTGCCTCGTCAATACAGCGGAATATGCCGTCTGTTGCTATCCGGGCTGAGGTGTTGAAAATATCGAGGGTAGCGTTGGCAGTTGAAGGGACGGGGAACAGCTGGCTTGGTGCAATTGAATCGGGGACGCCGTTTTGAGCAAGGAATGTTTGAATTGTTTCTTCTGCTGAGGGATAGCCGATCATGGCGGCGCCGTCGTCTCGCATTGTGCCGATCATGAGTGGGACGTTGGATGTAGATGCTGGGTTGGCCAGATTCAGCTCCGCGTGTTCGAGGTAGACACCGTCCACGACGAGATACCGGGCCGTATCTGCGAGGCTGGAAATTGTTGTTGCGGGCAATGCTCTAAGACACTCGATTGGCGAAGTAGCTTGCGTGCAATTTGTTTCGCTGAGAATCACATTCCCCACAACTGCCATCTCCTCCGCGATAGTATAGTACTTTGAGTAGGTCGTGCCGTAACCCAAGCCTCCAAGATTGCTCAGCATGATCGCACTGGCAAAGTAACCACGGGCTTTGGAAGATGCGAGAAGCGCGCGTACGGAGCCCGCACCAGCTGATTGTCCGAAAATAGTTACTCTGTCTGGGTCACCACCGAAGTCCTTGATATTTTGACGAACCCATTCAAGCGCTGTGGTCTGGTCTGCCAGTCCGTAGTTTCCGTTCGTTTCTCCATCGTCCAGCGCAAGGAATCCAAGAGTTCCCAAGCGGTAGTTGATTGCAACCACAACCACATCGCCTCGCGAGGCTAGATTGCTGCCATCGAACGTCGGGTCGCTGGAAGTGCCCCCTGTGAAGGCTCCACCGTGAATCCAGAACATCACTGGCTTGAGGTTCTTATTTGGGGTCTTTTTCGGCTGAGGAATATAAGGGGTCCATATATTTAGGAATAAGCAATCCTCTGAGCCACTTGTGCCTTGTATACATTCAGAGCCATAGTCGAGCGCTGGAATTTTTTTGCCGCTTCCTTTGTATACTTTAGAGTATTCCCATCGTTGAGGCTGTTTGGCGTAACGGACCCCCAGAAAGCGGAAGCTGAATCTATCACGGAACCTATAGTGTTGTTAGTACCCTTTCCACCTCTGAGATGTGCTCTGCCCTTACCCGGTGAGATATTCATTATTAGATTTGACAGTCACTTGCCACTTCGAACTTGTGTCCTGGAACGTGATATTGGAGTAAGGGGCAGTCTGTGTGCAGATGACAGGCAACTTCTCATTTATAGAAACAGACTTGATCTGGCCATTTGCATTTATAGTTGATGGCTTGCGATTGTCGGAAGCAGTCCAAAAGCGCTGAGTTTGGGCGTATCTGCCTTGGTATACAAGATAATCTAAGTCCCTCTGGATCTTTTTGATGCTAGATCCACTTCCCCAGACACTTTCTCCTAGTTTGATGCAGCTTTCTGTGGCTTCTCGCCATGTCCTGGCCCCAAGAACCAAAATCCCCGAATCAGAAAAAGGGCTTTCACTTTCTGGGGATTGAATTGTCAACTTTGAAGAATCCACCATGTCAAACTATACCAAATTACCTTGCAAGTCATTATGGATAATGACGGAGATATCAGAGCTGAGAGATGTTGGGCTCACTGCAGCATTTGCAGCAATTGTCAGAAAAAGAAGTGTGATACCATCAATTTTGACCATCTTGCATGAACAATAATAGCCCTGACGATGATAAAAGACGAGTAATTACCGAGAGAGCTTCTGTACACTTATTTATACAAGTTGTTTAGGATAATTGCCTAAATATTTAGCCTCTAAAAACACCGCGCCGGGAGAATGGCCTTGATCAAAGCGGTTAATTGGATTGGAAGAATCTTGAATTGACTCTATTCATCCGGTAAAATCAGAGCAAATTGATTAATTATGATCTCTTTGAGGTAGAGAGATACAGTTGTTCGATATTGACGATTTTTCTTTGTACTTTCCCATTTAATTCGATCAGACGAGAGTCAGATTACTCAAAGCGCTTATACCCCGCAAACTTCCTGCTGCCTATTCTCGAGCTGCTAGTGAATTTGTATCTAGCCAGTTTATCGAATTTTATCAATATTCTACGTCGCAATAATCATGTCCGACTCAGCACCAAGAAACAATCCACCTCCTCCACAGAACCCGAGTTCCAAGATATCCCCCGTTGTATTGAAAATGCGAAGCAACTCTCCTAGTAGATATTTCCCGTCTCGAGTGCCTCACCCCCTCACCGAGGGTCCACCTCCAATAGGGCTCTACTTTTTTTACGGTTCTCTGCAAGACCCCGGTCTACTGGAAGACATTCTAAATCTCAAAGACGCCCCGACTCTCTATCCAGCAATTATTAAAGGCTACAAGTGCAAGCTCTGGGGACAATATCCAGCTTTGATCAAAGGCGATCTAGAGGATATAGTCACGGGAGCTGCATACGAGGTGAAGACTGTTGGTGATGCAGAAAGGCTGGCAAATTATGAAGGCCCTAGCTATACTACTATTAGCTGCATTGTTCAATATAACAGCTCTGAGGTATTGACTCAGGCAGAAGGACACGCTTTTCTGTTTGTGGGGAACGAGCGAGACTTGAGTGAGGGATTGTTTGATCTGCGGTGTTGGATGGAGAGAAGGGCGTTGAAAAAGGAAAGAAGATGAGATATACCACCACCCGAAAGCGCGATGTGAGCAAGCACAACTCATAGATTTACTTTAGATATAGTTCAAATCCTACTATTCTTCCTGAGAGCAAATTCATTTATATACTTCAAGTTTAGGCTGGTCTATTGCTGATTGTGGATTGAGTGGTGCGGTCGTGATTTTCTTCTCATGATACTATGACTACTTGGTTCTAAATTCAGCATCGATGTCATTACCAAACTTCCTCTTTTGTAGTTCATGATCACCTCACTTATTTCTGAGTTCTGGATTTGGTCTCACTTTCTACGCACTAAGGTCTCGCTTTTTACTATCTACAAGCACATTCACACCAAGGCGAGAGAAGCAATAGCCGCATCGGCCGAATTTTCAATTGTTTTCTTGTTTTCTCATGAGTGGAAAGGCCTCTCTACCTCTTATCGCCGTACCACTTATGTGACCATATCAACAATGCACACCAAGATCTTTTCCAATCAATTGGAAAAAAAAGACGTGCCTTCCGCGAACCGAGTGGTTCTACAGTAGAAGCAATGCAACGATAAGGCCGTTGAGTGCCGAGAACCGCTTAAGCTGATGTGCTTTAGCGGCTTCTCGTATCCCTTGCATACATCGAGACTGATTGATTCTGGACAGGAAGTCTGTGGGAAGGCACGGTTGACATGGTTGGGTCGTGGAGATTTGCATTGTCGTCAACTCTACGGGGAGGAAGAGAGTTATACTCACTCTCTGGAAATAAGCGATATATGCAGCCTTTGATTTTCGACTCACACGAATTTATGTAGCAACATCGGTTGGTTGACAAAGCCGTCTACCACAATGCTCGAGTACCTCCGTCAGGTTGGTCGGCCCAGTACCGTAGGAGAAACTGCGCTGGAGCAGCTGAACAGACCTCTGCTATAGCTGGGCAAGCAGCTCATGCCATACTTACCGCCAGCAGAGGTGACAGAAGGGCTTCTGGAGGAAGAGACGGACTTGGAAGCTCTCAATCAGTCACGACCAGAGCCGCGATTTCACCGAAAGAGAAAAGACTCGGCCTCCCAATAAGAGCAGCCAGAACAAACACAAACCAAAGTTTCATTCAAGACCAGCAGAGATTCAAGTTGGACGATATCCTTCTCTGGCACAGCTGTCTGAGAGGAACACAGCGCGTCCCCAAGGGGAACGGTAGGGGCGAAGATAGGCTGTAGCACCTGAATTCAGCAATCAAACCGAAACGAATAGGACATTTCGTCACTTGGTAAGAGTACCGACGGTCTTCAAGAACATGATGGACCCAACTATTCACACTGTGGCTATGAAAAAGCTTTCCAATTTCACAATTCTGTCATTGGTGAGAACATGCAGGTGATTGGATTCCTGTTGGTCATGTCAAGATAGAAAAAACCAAAGACCCGAGCGCGTCTCCAAAAATTGTTCGGGGTCATATGGGGGGGGAGGGGGGTAGCACTGCGCGTCAAAAGTTGAGCTAGCACGATCAAATCCGCTAAACTGGTATAGTACTATTCCCCAAAGCGTGTGGCTTTGTGTATTGCAATGTGTTGGTTGAATTTGACATCGACGTCCCCATGCTTACACAATTCCAGCAATTCGTCATGAGGAAAATGTCTTCTCGGTTAGCGGTCTGCGCAATCTTTCAATGGCAGATGACGAGCAGTGATCTAGCATCTGACACGGCCCCGTCATGGAACAAGTGCACGATGGTAATATAGAGCCATGGATGAGCACATCCGCAAACACGGCCATTCTCATGGAGACCCGCATGGAGACACGACGAACGACCAAACCCTGGGATAAATTAGGGCATCTTCTTTTTGGTGAGCGCTGAAGAACGGCGGTCTAATAGATCTCAGTTCACCCACCGATGAATGCTGGGGTTGAAGAGATGACTCCATCATTGCCTCAAGCATCTTTGTATCAACACGCAATATCATATTCCTGACGCCCCGCTCAATCTCGCTGTCGAATCCCTAACATCGAACGCTATATCTTTTTATCACAGAGAACTCTGCATGGGAAAACAAGGACTGGGTGCTCGCTATTATGGTGCATCTTAGTCGGGGTCATGTACAGATGTCTTCGCAATAGTCGAGTCTGCAATTCTCGCATTCAAAACTAAGCATCAAGAAATACGGTGCACACTACCAATGGAACATATGTACGGGGCGCTTGTCCGAATGCCGTATTCAATCGCATCCTCAGTTCCATCGCATATGCTCTTCCGTGCGTACCTCACTTCACAAACGATTGTAATTGGCCCACAATCACCTCTCATGCTTCCAATTTCACTCAGCCGCGGTACAACAATCATCTGTATCAACATTCCCTTTGGAAATAGCGAATTTGGGTGAGAGAGAAAAATAATAATTTAATAATTTAAGAAGACATAACGCCAGGTATCTTTTGCATATGATATGCATATAAAAGGCACATGGTACCAAATCGAGCATTTGAGTGTTTTACCCTTCGAGATAATTATGTACGTCTGCTTCAATGTTCAGATATTGTATTCCGGCAGTTCAATTTTCAATTACCTTTCTCAATGCTCCTAATTTGACCAAATTAGGACGATAGGTTTCGGCTTTCTTCAAGGTCATGTGATCGTCCATAAACCCTACGGGGTACACAAACAATAATCAATAAATCGCGGTTGTCCGAGACAACTCAAATGTTAAAATATACACGTGTTATTGTACTCTTTCTCCCTTGCAATAAGAAATAATCTAGACAGGTATGCTATAGTGATTATATTGCAAGTTCAGTAAGTTACCCGAAACTTGGGCATTGAATCCTGAATGTGTGTTCCCACATACGTACGTTGTACATTATTTTGTACGCAACCCAGTCACAAAACAAGGTCCTCTGCATTCGCAATGCGCGCCTTATCTTCCCAGGAATGACAATGCTGCATAGTCGACACATGTCTTGGCAGCCCAAGCGTTGCCTCGTAATACGTCCGAGGAATGCGCCTAGTGCGAGGTCCATGTACGACATGAAAAGTCACTTGTACAGTTTTGTTGGGCCATGATTCCGAAAGTGAGCGTGAGCGTGAGCGCAAGCGCAAACCCTCAAGATCCCCTTTGCGGAGTAAACGCAAGCTAGCCCTGCAAGTCACCTTCCATGTCATTCTATGTATATACTATCTATGCAACCCCTCAGCGGCATCGGCGCCGACGGCTTGATCTCCGGGTGTTTGTGCCTTGATCGGTTCCTGCGCCGATACAAGTATTCAGTATTCAAACAGCTGAGTCAGATATCCAACAATGTAGTAATTGTGGCAAGTCTCTGCGCTGTACATTCGACGTTGTATGCCAATAATAATATTAATAAGGCAGAATGAAACTGTGGCCGCCTTGGAGATGCCCAAGCACCATGTCACTGGTACAAGTGACGTCAAGGGACCCAAGTCCAGATTGTAGTGGGACCCGCGGAAAGTGGATGTACCCAGTACATTTCGGAGTAGTTAGCGTAGATAGGCGCGAAATACTTCGTGTAGAGGGGTCCACGGGTTGGAGGGGCAATAAGTCCAAACGTAGGTTTTAGAGGAAACGTCACGTATTCGTTTCGAGTGAAGAAAAAATTATAATGATTGACGAGTGGATTATGAATATCCCAAAGTTGAAACGTAATCGGGTTTGAATGCGTTGTTAACTATGGTGAGTCAAATGATCCACGTGCACTAGAGAACGGTTATCAGGTTATCAGCCGATTGCAATAGGGTTACGCCCTGGAGAGCGCTATAAGCGTTCAAAAGCGCACGAGCACTCGGGATCTTCATGACTGGCTGATAACAACTTGGCATGAGGGGTTTTTTTCTGACTCTCTTGTTCAAATGAACTCAGGTACCTGTGGGGGTTACAGGGTATGGAGATTTCTTAGGCGACGATCGGCTCAGGGATATGATTAGAGTGAACCAAAAAGGGATAATAGTAATTGACATTGAACAATATTGTATAAGTAAGATATAGAAATACCCCAAATATAGTATAGTGAATCATATATTCAGTAGACCATAGACAATATAGTTAACTAGATTGTATGTAGAAGTAGAAAACAGGGTAATAATGCAGTAATATACAAATCGAAGCCGGACAGACCCGGTGACGATGCGCCAATCAATCAGCCCCGAGGCCCACGCGCTTTCCTTATGCTGCGTCTGCGGAGTGCCATACCTAGACCTCCCAGGGCTTGATGGAGTCACTTTTTGTACTATAGGTACCTTTCACCCCTCATCTCATCTCCTCTCTTCTTTTCTCTCTCTCTCATACACACATACTTTTCATCCCTTTCAATATCTCCTTTGATAGATCAGGTCGCGTTAAGTGATCTGTCCCTTATCGCGACTTATCTCTCCTCCTTACCGCGTCGCATCCCCTGCGTGGAAAAGCCCTAACTTCACACAACTTCACACTTGCCGAGTGTGTCTTTGTCTCTGTGAAAGGTGAGTTCTCTTTGGTTGTCCTTTGTTTTGTAACTTCTTTGATATAATTGCCACCCGATCTCCCCTTCCCGTGGTACCGCTTTGTCGCGTTCTGGAACAGGTCTTCTGACTCATATATACATTGCGCGCAGGTCTTCTCCTTTCACTCAACCTACATCCTTCAACATGGCTTCCCAGACACTATCCAGCATTGCTATGGCTCTTGCTGGCAAGACTGCTTCTGTTGATATCCCTCACTCAGGTCAGGGCCGCGCATCGCGACCCGGTCAGCCTGCCATGCTACCCACGCCACCCAACTCTATTTCGCCTACTCTGCCTCCCCAAACTTTCCACCGTGTGGCACTGTCCCCAGGTTCCCCACTGTCTACCGTCCCTCAACTGGACTCTGACATCGACCTCCACGACAGTGTCGAGTGCGCCAACTCCCAGGACGCCCAAGATGACCTCGACAGCACTGGTGCCATTACCCCTGCTATGCTGGCAAAGTACCACCTCCCCGAGATCCTGCTCCAGCAAGGCCCGCTCGCCATCCGCCACGTAATGGGCCACCTCACAACCTCCGTTCCAGGCTTCTCGCGCATTCCACCCGCCAAAGCGCGCAGACTCGTCGTGGCAGCCCTAGAAGGCCGCGCCAACAACACCAGCGACGTGGTATTCGAGAAGATCGGCTGGGGCCGCTGGGACGCGCACCGCCGCGGCGAGCAACGGGATCTGGCCTCCGCGTCACCCCCATCCAGCATAGGCTCCTTCCAGCGCGGCGTGCAGATCCAAGGCCAGTCCGGCTGGCAGGGCGGCAACCGACACCCTTACCGCATGAGCTTTGCTGAGTCCACCGCGTTCTCGTACACCGATGACTACGGGATGCACGGAGACCGGGACATGCTGGAGCACGAGGCGGACAAGATGTCGCTGGACGGTGAAGAGGAGTATGCTTCGTCTTCGGAGGCGCCGGATGAGATCGCGGAGAACGAGTGGGATGAAGGCGACGAGACCGATGCAGAGGACTGGGCGCAGATCGGCGCGGATGCGTTGCGCGCTCGCTCCATGAACACCGGCAGTTCCATGAATGCTGTGTTTGCAAAGACCCAGCCTTCGGGTATCTTCCCTGCTAGTACTGCTCCTGCTCCCCGTATCTTCGACCACCAGGAACGCGCCGCTGTGGAGGCGCTTCTCCGTCTGGGCTCGGTGTGAGGCCCACAGCATTGTCGGCGTTTCGGTTGCGATTTCTTATTCTTTTTTTTACATGGCCGCGAGCTGGTCTGGTGTGCTTTATCCAGAAAATACAAAGCTGTCCGAGGTGCGGTGCATCCGGCAGTGGCGTTGGACTGTGGTATTCAAGATGGCGTTTCTTTTCACTTTTCTTATGACGCCCACGACAACTTGTCTGACTGAGTCCTTTCAAGTCACAAGTTAATACCCCCTCTTCTCTTCTGTTCTCTTCTCGGCGTTATCTTTGCATCGGTCGCAGCCCTGCTGCACTTTATTTTCCCATATGGACTTTAATATTTTGCTCTTTTCTTCGGGCTCTCTCTATCCGGACAATTCCCCAATCTCCTCAGACATCCATAGAGGATCCGGTCTTCTTTGTTGATCGCACTGGTCCTCTGTGATATCTTTGTTTGATTGTCTCAGTCTTCTTCATTGATCCCACTGAGAATTGTCTTTCACTTTCGTTACTTGTCTTTTTAATGCTGTGTCTATGGGCTCTACGCACGTTCTTGTACATGCAGATTTTAACATCTTGCATTGTCTTTCACTCGGTTTGAGGCTGAATACTTAATACGATTTATTCGCCAGGGACGAAAGTACATAGTTACTTAGGTAGTTCAAAAAATCCCCATTGCATCTGCACTGGAATACTATCCTCTACACAGTTCTCTCCATTAGTCGTAGTTCCTTCCACCACTCTATCAGATGCAAATCCTGGAGTCAACCCCATTGAATCAAATCATTGGCGAACGTGATCATAGAAGAGACTTCTTCAGCCTAGCTAATTCCTACATGCTAATACAAAAGAAACCCCAAACAGCCTACCCAAATGAGTCCCAAACGCCCACATAATCCAATTTAACCCACAAACCCCAATCCCCAAACCCAAGCAAGAAGCAAGTTACTCGTTGCTCACTTCTCATGAACGTCATTGATCCGCCTCCAAACCTCCTTCTCAGCCTCAACCAGCTTCCCCCACCCCACGTCAACCACCCCTTCGCAGCACCAAGGAATCCCTCCTCCTCCTCCCCAACCCCATCACCAGACCCACCACCACCATTATGCAACGGCAACCCAGCCGGCCTTCCCGCGGAAGTCGGATAGACAGAGCCGTAAGAGGCGGATGTCGAGTTCGGGATTGCCGAGCCCGGTGTAAACGAGTACGGCTGCGTATACGCAGTCTGCGTGGGCGCGGACGGCGCTGGTGTTTGCACGGCGCCTGCTTTCGGGGGCGGCCAGAGTGATCCCGCCGCTGGTGCTGGTGCGGCGCCTGCTTCGGGTGGTGCAGGAGCGGGATTTGGGAATCCCGCTGGGTGGTCTGGTGCTAGGGATGGGCCTGTTGCGGTTGGGTGCTGGGGTCTGGAGACCGGTTGCGGCGCGGGTGGCGCGCAGGTTGTTGAGCTTGCGGATTCGGGGAAGGAGGTTGTTGTTGTGGCTTTTGCGGCTGGTGCTGGTGTTGGGTGCGCCGGGGCAGCGGCTGGCTGGGCGGGTCGGGGAGAGGTGGTTGGGGGTTGTGTTTGTGTCGGTGTTGGTGGTTTCGCGGCGGTTGTTTCAGAGGATTCCATGCTAGTGGCGGGATCGGAGGACGAGGTTGTTGTTGTTGGACCCATTTCTTCTGGGCGGTTGGCGTTCACCGGCGCTGAGCTATATGTTGGGATTGAGGACATTTTGTGTTGTTGATTGTTGTGTAGATGGTTGTGTGGAGTTTGGTTTTGGGGGTTGGGGAGGGAGTAGTTATGAGGTCGAGGATAGACGTCATGGAATCCGCTGTGGAGCTCGGTTTGCCGCTTGGGGTTTCTTGGGCTTATTATGTCTGGGGATCGGAGACCTTGATGGGATATTGATCCGGGCTGCTTTAGGGTGATTTCTTTATCTTGAATAGTAGATGTTCTGGTGACTGTCTTGTGTTCTTTTATCTGGAAGAATCAAGGGGGCAAGTATGACCGAAAGCGTCAACATATCTAAGACGTCCAATGTTGACACTCAAGAATCCACTGATTTGATCTATCAACGTGTTTTGATTCTGGATTTACTTGTTTACAGTGAAGTTGGAGAAAAAATTTTGAAAAAAAAGAAAGAGTTGCAGGCAGTAAAGTACATTGGGTACAAAAAAGGGAAGAATCACCATTCTATGCTTCAAGATCCCCCCGAACCCATTCTTGACGCATCTATCTTTTGACCATCCCACGTCCTCGATTCCACGCCCAGTGGTTACACCGGGCGAGAGATTACCCCGGTCCAGTATAACTACATTGGCAAGCAATTCATATTTCAATGAATAACTTAGAACTTCTTGCCGAGGAGGAGGAGCTGGGCCTTGTCGTAGATGGACAGGACACCAGCACCGGCAACACCACGGAGGATGTTGGCACCGGCACCCTTGAAGAGAGACTTGACACCCTCCTTGGCGACGATCTGGCGGGCAGCATCCATGGAGGACTTGTACTTGACGGCCTCACCGGAGGTCATCATCATGCGGCGGCGAACGGTGTCAAGAGGGTAAGAGGCAACACCGGCACCGGTGGTGACGGTCCAGCCGAGCAGGAAGGAGGCAAGGAAGGAGCCCTCAAGAGGACCAACGAGGAGAACGGGCTTGATGGAGTCGTACATTCCGAAGTAGAGACCACGGTAGACGACAATTCCGAGAACGGAAGGACCGAAGCCACGGTAGAGACCGGCAATACCGTCGGAGGCGAGGGTCTTGCGGTAAACATCCACGAGACCGTTGAACTGGCGCTCACCGGTACCCTTGGAGGACTTGGCATCGTTGGCAAGACGAGTACGGGCGTAGTCCAGAGAGTAGACGAAGAGGAGGGAAGTGGCACCGGCAGCCTAGGGGGAATGTTAGCGTGGTCCGAGCGCTCAGAGATTTTCAGGAGATACGTACACCACCGGAGGCAAGGTTACCCATCATCCACTTGGCGTATCCATCACGCTCCTTCTTGTAGGCGAACATGGACTTGTAGGTGTCACGGAAAGCGAAGTTCAGGGCCTGGGTGGGGAAGTAACGGATGACGTTGGCAGTGTTTCCACGCCACAAAGCGACAACACCCTCGGAGGCGGCGGTACGCTTGAAGCAATCGGCGATACCGTTGTACTTGCGGTCGAGACGGCCGACCTTGAGCATCTCATCCTGAAGTGGTTGTTAGAGGTTGTTGGATATAAAAATTGATGACTGTCGATCGTCGTGAACCAAAGGAAAAAATTTTCCAAAATCCGTTTTCAGGTGAAAACGCATCTGGAGTACAAATTTCCAAATCATTGATCGATTGCAATCCCAATTGACATGATTTGTTCCTTTGGTCCAGTTCAATCGATGCTGGACGGACGGTGATGACCAACCTGGTTCTGGATCAGGAGCTTGATACGCTCAATGGGGGCAGCAGCAGTCTTGGAGACAGCGGCGGAGACACCACCCACTAGATGGCAGTTAGTATTGTTCAATAAGAGTTGATTGTTTTTGAAGCCGTTTGAAGCTGGCGATTGCCAGTCACTTCAAGCGTGCAGTGCGAACGTACTAAGGAAGTCGACAACAAAGCCCTGTAATGCAATTTGTTAGCATGCTTGATTATTTGAAGTCACATTCAAGTCACGTTGAAATCGCGAGTGATGCTTTGAATGATCAAACTTGATGATTTGATGCTTTGTTGCTCAAAACAACCACTCGACGATTTCTTCGCTCAGGAGAATACTTACGGGCATGCCGAAGACCGACTTCTCGGCCTGGTTAACTTCACCGGAACCCATTTTGAATGTAGTGCAAAAAAGAAGATGCAAAAAAAAAGAGAGGAGATGGAGAGTGTCAAGAAGGAAGAGACACCAGGGATAAGAGAGGGAAGAAAAAGGAAGAGCCAGGCGGGAAGGGGGGCCAGAAAAAAAAAATTACCACGGGAAGAAAAGCGACCGCCAGCCCGGACTAACCAATCAGAATCATCAGGGGGTTAAATTACATCCATTACACTGTATTGGCCTGTATTGCACTGTATTGCACTGTCTTGTTTTTGCCTCCTGCCGATATCTCCCGATCCACTGAAAATTCTGCAATCTGGCCTACTGCACTATTATACTCCTTTAAAATCCTTTTCATGGGGTATTTAACTACATTGAATATGAGCTAGACTCATTTTATTCAATTGCATATCCCTAACATAGCATATTTCTTTCAATTATTGCTTCAAATCTCAATGTACACTGTACATACAAGATAGGTAGTCCCGAACAACGGTCCAAGCGCCGAGCAGTACGGTAGGGTACGGCGTAAATTTCCCCCAATGCCGGGCCTCCACTGCCCGGCCTCCTTTTTGCTTGTCCGGGTATCCGATGGCGAACCGATAAAAATTTTGTTCAAAGAATTCTTACTTTGACCCTGGGGAATTAATTGTTATGGATTTGGTACTGAATATTAGCCATAGAAAATCTAGCCTGGTCTTGAGTGGATGCTCCATAATTAATCCTATATTATCACCTACAATGTCTACAGGATTGGTGGCATTTCCATGCTCCTCTACTCCGTAGCTGTCTGTATATATACAAAAATGACACTAAATATGATGTCTCGTTGGCGCGGTAATGTGAGGGATAACCCGGTTTGATATGAGACATTTATTTGCTAGTGTACATGTGTACTATTGATATGTCGCAGGTACAAGGTTCAACATAGCTAAGGTATGCATGAAAAATGTACCTAGGTACTTCACATGTTGCACAATGTCAGGTACCCGCCAAGACTATCTATCCACTTCTGATCTTGATTCTGGAAGAGAAAAAAGCACATCTGAGCTTCGGAACGAGTCAAATAATACTAACTAACGACCTATTAGACTGATTCTTTCAAGGTGGATAGCTCTAGCTGCTAGCTTCGTTGTAATCAAAACATCCCGTCTTCTCTTCGCCCCAGCAACGGGGTGGATCCGGTCGCATGGGAGCTTTCTACTTTGGGAGCTGTTTGGGGTCGAACTTCGGTCTTCATGGGCCTGAACGCAACGTTTGCAGGAATCGTAGATTTGGGGGTCTAGAGAGTCTGCTGCGATGATATATGGTTCAGTCGATGTTTGGATTGATCCCAAGAACGGGGCTGATCTACCTAGGTACTTGGGACAAAAAATAGAGAGAGAGAGAGAGAGAGAGATATATATATGTATTCTAGTACCACCATAAAATATTTGAACAACATCGATGAACAGATTTCCCTTCAGATTTTGAGTGATACCTAGGTACAACCGTGAAAAGAGCATATCATTCCACAATATCTCCAAATTTATCATACGTAGATACAGGCAAGTCAAACTTCAAGTCGACTCACAACATTGGCCCTAATACTACAATCAAATCACCTAAGAGAAGAATGACTGCAAACATTGGGAAGACACCCAACAGGTGCCTCCACCTGGGCAGGCCTCAAGGAGGAAAGCTATAACATAAATATATTTTGTTCATTTCATGCACTTGAATGTTTACTAGGTATAGACAATAGAATGATGCAGACTCGTTTAGTTCTTCTTCGACCGCTTTCTCTTCTTCCTTGACCCATCACCCTCTCGAATATCAACCTTGGCCTCAGTCTTTTCAGGCTGGGGCTGAACATCGCCACCAAACTTGAACTCCGGCCCGTTCTCATCACCGAAAGTATCCTTGCGCCACTCACGAAGACGGGCCTTCTTGCCCAGCTTCCTCTGATCACGCTGCTTCTGCTCTTCTTCACGGAAGGAGGCCAGCTTCTTCAGACCAGCGAACTTGTTCAGCTGTGAGTCGTCCGCCATGAGGATATCCCGCGCCGTCAGGCCAAAGCTCTGTGGTGAGGTCTCGCGGTAGCGGAACTTGGTCGCGTTCTTCTTTGTCGCTCCGGGGAGCAGAGTGATGTCGAGGTCGAGGTTGCGCTCGACGGCCTCATCGATGCGGAGGCGGTCTTTACGGGCTTCGCGCTTTTGGATGCGCTTTTCCTCGGCCTTACTCAGTTTCTTGGAGCCGGAGGCTTCGTCGTCTTCGTCCTCGCCTTCTGATTGCTCGGCTAGGGGCTGGGCTTCCTCATCCTCGTAGTCAGGGATCAGGTCGTTGATATCGATGTCATCGTCCCAGGTAGGCTTCTTGGGCTTCTTCTTCTTGCCGTCACCATCACTGCCCTCGGCTTCTTCGTAGTATTCTTCACCGAATCGCTTTTGCATCTCAGCCTCCCAGTTCGAATCGTCCCAGGAAGCGTCCAAGAAGCGAGACCAATCTTCATCTGTGAAGTTGGAGGCCCGGAGTCCGGCAACTTCCTTGATCTGTTCGACCTTCTTCTGGAGTTCCTCGGTCTTTAGCTTGCGGAGACGGTTCTTTTCAGTCTCGCGCTGCTTCTTTTCCTCCTCTTTCTGCTGACGCTCCGCATCACGGATCTTCTTGCGAGAGCTCTTTTCATCGCGACGGACAGATTGCTTGTTGGTAAGGTCACGAGAGTGAGTGACCAGCGCCTCGTTCATCTTGTTGGGGTCTTCGAAACGGAAGTTGTAAGCCTCCTCAAATACATCCGCTCGGTCAAAGTCCTCATCATCATCCGAGTCGAAGGGCTGGAGGTTGGGCTTGTCGGTAGGAAGCCACGCTCGTGACGATAGGAAGTTGGACAAGAAGGTCTCGGGATCCTTGTCTGCATTCTCCACATCGAGTTTGATTTCTTCCTTGGGCAGCGAAACATCCTGTCCGGGCTTGCGGACCATGAAATCATCTGCATCTTCCATCTCTTCATCGGAGTTATCGGCTGCTTTGTGCATTTGTTTAACGATGTCGTTTTTCAAATCGGCTTGCTCTTGGGCATAGGACTTTGGGACATTTTCCTCCTCGGCTGGGTCCACACCCTTCAAAAGATTCTCAGTGTGGTATTGACGCAGATTCATAGACTTTTCCTTGGGTTGCTTGGCCGCAGTGGCTTCCTCGGGGTCGAACTTTGAGTAGAAGGTGGCATCTTTGTCATACACGCGAGGATCCTTGGAACGAATGGCATTCAGAGTTGCAGAGATCTCGGCATCCAGAGCCAGAGTTGCAAGCTCTGCATCATCATCCTCTTCTTCATCGGTGGACTCGTCGGAGTCTTCACCAACTTGGCGGTTTCCAAGGCTGGAAGATTTACCGTACTTCGCTTCCACTATTGACCACAACATTAGTATCAATCACATAGACAGGGAACACAGCACATACACCTTGCGACCTCTTCTCTCTTCTTGTTATGTTCGAATCGACGAGCGTAGTCTTCGTTGATCTTGAACCCAGTATCGGGTGACTGCTTGCTGAGGAGAACTCCACCGGCATCATCGCCGGAGTCGCTATCACTGTCAAGCTCCATGACCTTGCGCATCTTCTTAGAAGGAGGCTCCATGATGGTTATGATATTGAAGGTAGACCTGGTAAAATCCGCAAACCCGCAACTGGAAATTTGGGGCAGTAAAAAAAATCTCACACCGCCGAGGATCTGCCTCGAAGGTCAGGCACTAAGGCAGGCCACCCCATCACTGACGTAGCCAATTAGAGCATTCCATCCCCGGAGGCTCAGAGCTGAGTGTCTGCAAATCCAAGACCTTAATATCAGAACGTGGGCTATCTGCAGGTCTTGAGATTGAATTAATATTCAAGTTTATATCCATTGGTTTATCGACAGGAGCCCCATCCACATATCTTGCGTCTTGGTTCTTGCTCGCATCAAGGTGTATGGATGGAGACATGCACTAGATGTCAACCAAAGCCCCAACCCCCCTACCCCAGGTCGGGAAGCTCTTGAGCGTTGTGTGAGTAGCTGTGAGAATCATCTATTCTTGGGCATGCTAATTTCCATTTCCAACTTCAGCCCGGTCGGTCTCAAAGAAGCCGCCCTCGACTCGCCCACCTTCCGTGCCACGACCCTCCACTTCTCCGATCAAGTCGAGTTCATAGAGAAATGGCTTGATGGATACGCAAAGGCTGCCACCAAGCTCTCCTCTGAGCTGACTGCTCTCGAGAGCGTTGTGAGCAGCTTTCTTTCCTACTCAACACACCCTCTCGTGGTCTCCGAAGCGGTCGTTGATCATGATTACACACTTTTGGCCATGAGGAGGTGCGGGGAGGGCTCGAAAGATCTTTGGAATGGATTGATCACAACAACTAGAAAGTTGGAGTCGCTGATCTCTGAACCTATTCGAGACTTCATCCAGGAGGATCTGCGCCATTTCAAGGTAGGAGACCCCTAATATACGTTTGTGTAAATTTGCCTAACACGGTGCTATGGCAACAGGACATCCGGCGCAACCTCGAGCATACTCAAAAACAGTACGACTACCTACAGGCTCGATATGCCTCGCAGTCAAAATCAAAGGAAGCCTCGGCTTTGAGAGAAGAGGCGTTCCAGCTACACGAGGCCCACAAGAATTACCTCAAAGCGTCGATGGACTTTTCAGTCCAGGCACCCCAGTTGCGGAATGCTCTGGATCGACTCTTGGTCAAGGTTTCCTTTGACCAATGGAGGGAGTTTCGGGGATTTCACAACCACAACGGCGGCACTTTCTCGAAATGGTCCCATGAGATGGACCGTGTCAAGGGCTGGTTGCATGAAATGGAGGGTAGTGAACGTCCGTCCAGGAAAGAGCTGCTCACCACCAGAAAGTACATCGAGGAGGCCGCGGAGATTGCGGCTCGACCGTCTCGAGAATTGGAGGACTACAACATTTCGACTGTTCCATACCTCGGCTCTCGCCCTATATCAACACCTAACGTGGGTAAAGGGACGAGGCCAGAGAAGCAAGGTTGGTTGTACCTGCGCACCCTGTCGGGAAAACCTACTCGTACTGTTTGGGTCAAGCGTTGGGCTTTTCTCAAGCACGGAATTTTTGGGTGTCTCGTGCAGGGATCTCGGACTGGCGGTGTCGAAGAAAGCGATCGGATTGGCGTACTGCTATGTAGCATTCGTCCTGCGTTCCAGGAAGAACGGCGGTTCTGCTTCCAAGTGAAGACCAAGAACAACACTATTTTGCTGCAGGCTGATAACCAAAAGGAGCTTATGGAGTGGATCGGCGCTTTTGAGTCTGCTAAGCAGAAAGCGCTGGAAAACCCTGCAAGCACCGATCTCTCTGTTTCTGGAAAAGTCACAGTTCAAGACCCTGCGTTTTCAATCTCTCAGCCGCCTGCTCCCGAGTTCGCTGCGGACCCTGCAGATTCCCTAACCCCGCATGCACATGAGGAGCCGGGCGCATTGGATCGTAGCATGACACTTCCTGTTCCGGACCGTGATGGATATGCTATGCGAAACAGTACCGATATTGGAAACGGCCGAAGACCCACAGGCCTGGATACCGAAGGTTCTACAAGAGAGCATGCTAAAGATCATACCTCCCGACTCATTCAAAAGCTGGATCTTCACCGCAAATCGAACAATGCGGCCCCGATATCTCCTTCCATCCCCGGTCCAGTAGGTGGGATAGCCAGCCTTATATCTGCCAGCCATAACATTCTCCCTTACAGCGGCACTGTCTCAATCAGCCCGAATGATGATGGTGCCAACCGGGGTCGCAGTTTGACTCATGTGGATGACACCGGTTCAAGCCTTGCGCCTGCTACACTCGTCAATCCTCCATCAGCCACAAGTATGAGCAAAGCCGCTGTTGTTGTGAGCAATGAAAGAGGCATTGGTTTGGGTGTTTCAGATAGCACAGGTGGCATGCCCAGCGGTATGATGGCGAATCTGTGGGGTAGTTCCAACTGGGGCTTCGTGAACAAGCTCCAACGTGAACAACGTGAGATAGATGCAGCACATGACACCTCAGAAGGCCGGCCATCTTCTACTGACCGCACAACATCAGCAATTGCCGCCCAACCTGATGTACCGAGTGGCTCTGAGACTAAAACGCCACCAGGCCGACGGCACAGACAGACTGTGAGCCTTGATGGAGATGAGGTTAAGCTCACGCAAGCCTCACTAGGCATCGGACATGAGTATCCCAGCTACTATCCTCAGCAATTGAGGATTCAAGATGCCCAGTTCCGTTTACTCTTCCCAGACATCAAGAGGGAGGAGCCATTAGTGTTGGTGTTCACGGCTACGTGGAGTCCAAATGACCAGCAAGAGTTCCCTGGACGAGCATACATCACCACAAGGAATATCTATTTCTACAGCAACCATTTCGGACTGGTCCTGACGACTGGTGTATCTCTTGAGAGCATCAAAGAGGTCACAGCAGCTTCTGGGCGAGACTGTGATTTCCTTTTCCTTCACACCATCCCGCCACTAGGTAGTGATACCCCTGGCCGAATCACGATCAAAACTTTCCTTGAACCCCTCAAGCTTCTTCAAAAACGTCTCAACTTCTTGATCCAAGGGTCGATTGCTGTCGAGCAGTTGTCCTTGCAATCTCTGCTCAAAGCACTGATTGATATGGGCTCAGTGTCTCCAACCCGCTCGTCCAGTGCAGATAGCTGGGAAGATTTCACCTCCGGGCTCGCAGACATCAAGGGCAATGGCAGGCCTGCTGCTCGTAGTCGTGAAAAAGACCTTCGACTCCCTATCTACATTGACAAAGATCTTGACCTGGATGCAGGCAAGGGTGCCCGAGGTCGAGATATAGCAAAGTTCAGACTCCCTACACAGCCCGTAGAGTATGTTCCACAAGGTGACCTTGTTCTGGCCACCGAAAAGATCCTCGATATCAGTCCCAAAGCCTTGTTCCACATTTTGTTTGGCGACAAGAGTGCCGTGTGGCAGCTTCTGTTGCACGAGAGACAAGCTCGAGGTAGGTGGAGCCAGGTATGTCACTATGATGTACAGTGCTGACAATTTCTAGAAATTAAACAGGGCCCGTGGATTGCCACAGAATCATCGCATCTGAGACGCGACTTCCACTACAAAATTGGAGCGACAGATGTTCTCGGTAGGTAAATCGATGATGACTATCGAACCATCACTGATCTTGACAGGCCGTACCCATGAAAATGCGATTTCGGATTATCAGATCATCGATGTGCTCAACGACCATCTGTGCTATGTGGTAACAGATAAAAAGACTCCGTGGCATCTTCCTTTTCGACGTTCCTTCAGGTTGGTCAGTAAGGTTGTCATCACGTTCCATGCCAAGTCAAAGAGTAAACTCGCCGTGTACACGAAAGTCGAATGGGTGTGGTCCCCCTACGGCCTCAAAAGTAAGTCTCTGCCCTAAATAAGCAGAATGCGCGCTGATGATCCCCAGATATGATCGACAAAAAAGCAAGTGATGATCTGGAGCAAGACGCCTTGGATCTTGTTGACCTAGTCAGCGACCAAGTACGTCGGCTGGGTGCCCACAGTCGTACCAAAAAGGCGATCACAATCTTCGGCCATATCGGACGCCAAAGCCAGGTCTCCCAGTTCAGTGGTGCCGGCTCTGACCTGAAGTTGGAACCTCGCAAGCCTCGTACACCGCGTGGCGTGCACGAGTTACTTTTAGAAACGTTCCTTTCGTTCCTAGAAACCAGCGTTTCGTTCCTGATGATGTGGGCATTCGATGTCGTCCGCTGGTCCTGGAAGACTATCAGTGCACACAAGATAATCCTAGCTTTGTTGGCCACAAGCGCAGTCATGAACGGATACTATTCCTCGCGGGATAGCTGGGACTGGTGGCACGAGCGGCATGCAGGCAACTTCATGGCCCGCCTCGGCGTCCAACCAAATCTCGTTATGAGCAAAGCGATCTACATGCACGATATCGACGAGGCAGTTGCGAATTCCACAATCTGGTCCGGGTCCGGAAATGCCAGCGAATGCTTCGCTACTTTCCACGAGCAGTCCATGCGTTATGCAGAGATGCCCTTGTCATTCAGCTTGTCGGGTCCTCGCGATGCTTTGGCCAAGAGTGCTACCAAGCGCTTCCAGCAGACTCGCGAGCGCCTCGGCATGTACCGGCATAACCTCCTCGTCGCATTACGTGTTGTGAATAGTATTGAGAAAGAGGTCATTCAGACTGAATGGGAGCGTTGGCTCCGCGAGGAGATCCGGCGCTGTCGACAGGTCGAGGTTCTGCTTGGTAGCGAGACGGAAGGTGACTCGCAGGGCCGAATCGCTCAAGCGGAGCGTGTCTTCGCTGAGCACGCCGATAACGTCAAGCAGTGGTATGAGGGATACTGCTCGAGTTGCCGGTTGGAACAAGAACAGTCCGTATTCAATGACCGGGGTGACTTGATTCCTTGATTCCGCTATTTTTCCACTTACATCTCATCGAGCCTTTGTACAGCCTTTTAGTATTTGTTGCTTTCTTTCGTCCATCACTATACCCGGTGGTTAGCTTGCGCTTTTGCGAAAATTTGTGTATAATTTCGGACATATCTCTCCACATTTTTGCTCGATCCTCTGTATACAACGGATAATGCCATATTTTCATGAGTACAAAGTCTGATCAGACTCCAATTATAACGTTTGATTCGTCACATCATTTCGTTCGCCCGCAAGGAATGGAATGGGTATATACATATCAAAGCTACAACAACCACATCTCAATTCTGCCTGGGCTTCACCTCTCCCTCCTGTACAACATAATACGCCACCGTCCCATCACCGCCCATCCCCTTATCAACCATGGCAAGCAGCACCCGCCGCGAACCCCACTCCTTCGTCCGCCCAGCCTCCTCCCTCTTAGCATAATACCCCGCTAACTTCGCCGCCTTTTCGGGATCATCTGCAGCCTTCACGCTCGACGACTCGTCATCCTCCCGAGCTTGCTCAATGAATTCCGGCAGCCGATCAAAAACAACAGCCATATGGCGCAGACTCCACGGCTGGCCCTGGGTAGTCGGCACGACGAACATGCGCTCGGGCTGGAGATCGTCTTCTTGGATCTTGTTTTCTAGCATGTACAGCTGCTCGTCGGGGTGCGTGTACACGCGGTGTGGGGGATATCCGGAGATCAGTTGGATTGGGTCTTGGGGTGCTTGGAGGGGCCGGGATTGTGTCGTCTCTCCTGGGATTGTGTGGCCCACTAATGACGTCCAGAGGTGTTGGTGTTGAAGATTGTGTTGTACTTGAGCAGCTGTTGCAAGGTGTGGGGCTTCGTGGTTGTTGTTGGTGATGTGTGAGCTGATTGCTGAGGCTTTCGGGCGGGTGGTCTGTAGGTCTGCCATTTTGATTGGAGATTTGTTGGCTTGGATAAGGTGAGTTCTTGAAGAGCTTCTTGAGTAAAAGCTGCAAAACTTGGGATTCTACGCTTCACCGCCTGCCTTGGGGAGTTATCTGATGACACCGCTTTCCTTATTAGGATTATGGTATACTTGAACAGAGGTGGGTTTACAATATATCTGCCCAGGTGATTTGAAGAATAAACATATGTTTATTCTGGAATGCAGGATACTTCATATGCAATATGACTAATTGGATGCAAGTACTTGAAGTTCTTCATAAAAAAGTTATGTGGGGCGGCGATCATTGAATATTATATGCATCTGAACACATGGCATCTTAGTTATTTGTTTCAGGTCCCCTGGATCTTTCTTTCTTCTCTTCTGCATATCACCTTCTGTTTGATTATATTGCATTATATTGCATTCTTAAAGCCGCAATGGGACGACAGAAGCAAGCAGCGCCTCTCCAAAGAGCCCCCTCTTCTCGATTGATGCACCTTGAAGATGATGCTGGTGCGCCAAATTCTGCGAATGGAAGCACAGTCATTCCCACCGTCAATGGAAGCGCGTCCGAGAAGGCATCGGCAGTCTTGGAGACAGTTGCCGACACCCCTGGGTTAACGCAGCTAGTCATCTGCGTGCTCGGTATATACGCTGCATTGTAAGTCGAGTCCACCAAACATCGCAACTCCACAAACTAACAATTCAAGTCTGTCATGGGGTGTCCTCCAAGAGGCAATCACAACAACAAGCTACCCCATCCGCCCAGCAACTGCCGCGGACCCGGAACCACCAACAGAGCGATTCACCTACTCGCTAGTTCTAAACACCATCCAATCCTCCTTCGCCGCCATAACAGGCTTTATATACCTTCTGATCTCGACACCAAAGGGCCAAAGCACCCCATCCATTTTCCCAACCCGCCGCATCATCTTCCCCCTCTTCCTCGTCGCCATCTCCTCATCCCTCGCCTCGCCCTTCGGTTACGCAAGTCTCCAACACATCGACTACCTAACCTTCATCCTCGCCAAATCATGCAAGCTCCTCCCCGTCATGGTCCTGCACTTGACCATCTTCCGCAAGAGATACCCACTGTACAAGTACGGCGTTGTACTGATGGTCACCCTCGGCGTCGCGACGTTCAGCCTCCACCACCCGGGAACGAGTAAGAAGGTTGCTGCGGCAAATTCTGGCTCTTCGGGCTGGGGTATCTTCCTGCTGGCTATCAACCTCCTTCTGGATGGTTTGACCAACACCACACAAGACCACGTCTTCACCTCGCCGAAGCTGTACACACGCTTCAGCGGGCCCCAGATGATGGTCGCGCAGAACGTGCTGTCTACCGTGCTGACGACTACATATCTTCTTGTCATGCCGCATCTCTCGCAGAGCGGCCTTTTGCATAACCTCCTGCCCCTCCCCATTCCGCCATCTAATGAGACGGAGCTGCTCGGCGCTATCTCCTTCCTCTCCCGGCACCCGGAGGCGCTGAAGCACGTCCTCGGTTTCGCGGCTTGCGGCGCTGTCGGCCAGCTATTTATCTTTTATACTCTGTCTCGCTTCTCCTCGCTGCTGCTCGTTACCGTGACCGTTACACGGAAGATGTTGACTATGCTCCTCAGCGTATTCTGGTTCGGACACTCCCTGTCTGGTGGCCAATGGCTAGGAATTGGCCTGGTCTTTGGCGGTATTGGTGCTGAAGCCGTAGTGCAGAGATCAGAGAAAAAGGCGAAAGAGCGCTCGAAGATCGAGACTGCGAAGAAAGAGTTGTAAGATGAAATGTCGCGCTTTCATCCAAGCATTTAGATTTCCAATATAGAGCATGATATCACGGCCACGATGTGGCTTTTTCTTTTACCGGATTCGATACCAGTTGGATGTTTACATTGTATATGTGATTTGGTATGCCTTTCGTATCATAGCAGCTCACTTCCGTCCCTCAACCATCATGATATGATACCCAAACCCAGTCTTGACCTCGCCATACTTTGGTTTGGCAGTAGTACTAGTCTCAAGGTCAAAGGCAATGGCCTCAAACGCCGGGTCTAAATCACCCTTAGTCTTCCATCCGAGGGCGCCTCCTGCGAGATATTAGCCATTGGCGTCCTTGCTTGGATTCAATAGAGACTACAACCAGATGGAGCAGTCTACTTACCTGTTCTAGCCTTATCCTCCGAAAACTCACGAGCAACCTCGTCGAACTTGGTGCCGTTTCGCAGCTTCTCCAGCGCTTCTTCTTTCTTAGCGTGTTTCTCGCACTAGATATGGGTGAGCACGGGCTTTGAATTTATGATGTTTGCCTTTAGATGGGCCTTCTCGCGAGATTTTCCGATTGCAAATCGATCGTGGAAAGGCTTTCAACGGAAAAGAGAGTCACGTACAAGAATATGGCGCACGTTAATTGACTGAGCGCCCTTCACGGCAGGCTTTCCGCCCTTGTCATCCTTTCCCTTGCCGCCAGCATCCTTTCCTTTGCCGCCAGCGTCCTTTCCCTTGCCTTTGGCGTTCTTGGGTGCCATGGTGCTTCGTTGCTATTTTCTTTTGGTTGATGCTGATGTGGGGTGTGAAGCTGTGCCTCAGGCTGTAAGGCGGAAAGTGACGTGGGGTTGCAGTGTACTACTTGGTCAACTCCCATACTTCTACTACACCTAGCGAGCTATGCATCTACTGCTATTTTTTATTGATTCAGATTCTTCTGAAAGTTATCTGCTATTATCATCAAGAAGGAACTAAACTCGAATGGAAAGACCATGCACCAGGACTCGAGAGCAAATGGGATTCGACATTGAGACTGCGCGCATTACTGCATTGCCTGATGAGGCTTTCTACATATCGGATTTTATAAATGAGGGAGAGGAGAGCAGGTTGTTACAAAAGGTATGGATTCAGGTTTTTTTCAGATTTTTCACCGCAGGAAGACATTGATATTAGCCCACATTACGATATGAATGTATATCAATATCATGTATTATTCATTTAGGGAGATGCAGTATGGCGCTATGTCTAGTCACTTATTGTACGCAACAGGTTAAATCAGCGCCTCTACCACGCTGGACCCAGCTCTCACGTCGCAGACTCCAGACATGGCCTTCGGCACTGACAGAAAGCAATGCGCTACTGGCATCGCCACTCCCAGACTGGCTCAGAGACCCAATCATTGAGCCCCGCTTCAATGAACTGGGCTTGTTCAATGACGCGCCCCATCAAGCACCCAATCATGTTCTGGTAAACGAGTACTGTCCCGGACAGGGAATCATGCCACATGAAGATGGCGCAGCATACTTCCCCCTCGTCGCAACAGTGAGTCTGGGAGCACCGATTGTGCTCGACATGTACGACAAGCATGCTCAAAATGATACAGCAGCCAAGGCTGGAGATGCTAGGCCCATAGAAAATGGACCCCGGTACAGGATCTTGCAGGAGAGACGGAGTCTGCTTGTTACAAGGGGCAAGATGTACACGGATCTTCTGCATGGGATTGCGGAAACGAGAAGAGATGAGAAACTTGGTCCGGAGTCTATCTGCAACTGGGAGCTATTGCGAGACAAGGAAGCCTACCAGCAAGGATGGTTCGAGCGCGAGACAAGGACGAGTCTCACGTACCGAGATGTGCTCCATGTTGCGAAGATAGGGAATACCATGAAGTTTCTGAGATAAACAAGCTCTGTAATTATCGCCTTAGCCCACTTTAGTAGACATAAGGGACCATAAACCACCAATCCCTGACCGAGTCATTGCCGAACTTCTGCGCATACCACTGCTTGGTGTTCCTCGCGGTCAGACCCAAGTTCACAGCGACAAAGACAAAACAAGCCAGCATAGTCTTGTTGATCCATTCACCGCGTGGCGCAGCCACCAACGCAAGCGAAAGATAGATTATACACTCAGCACCATAATGAGGACACACAACGCCACGGAACATAGGATGTTCAGGCAGAGTGTACTTCTTCAACGAAGACAGATAATGGTGCGAGTCATGCTGCAGTCCGGAGGCCACTAGAAACAGGGGAACGAGAGCAAAAGTCCGCAAACTAGGCGCATTGGTCATCTGAAAATGCGCAATAGAGAAATCATTCAGCAAAAGCGCCCTCGACCCCTCAATCCAAATTGCCACTCCAGCGGCCAGATAGAACCCCAGCCCAAGCGCCCAGTGGACAAACCACATCCGCGACGAAGAGGGTTTCGAAAACGAGATACATTCCCAGAGCCTGCGCGATCCTTGCAAGAACAGCAGCGCACAGCAGATCACTACCTGCGTAAGCGACATACTAGACCGCTGGTGCTCCTCGCTAACGCGCGTCGCAATGGCCCGGAAGGCCGCACCTTTGCATGCTATCTGAGCGGCCCAGAACACGGACGACAGAAGCGATGCAATGTAGAAGTGGGTGAAGTAGCTGTGCGGGACTTGCCAGGTGGCTAGGTAGTCGAGGAGACCCTTGCTTTGGGCCGGGGTGGAGGTTGCGCGGGGCCCGTAGACGAGGAAGCGTGAGTGGAGGGATGTTGGGATGCTGATTGTGATTGTCTAGTTTCGTTAGTTTTGCTGCAGTTCCTCATCACTGTGCAGGGCGTACTGTAATGGCGGATAGCAGGAAAAAGGCGCGTAGAGCGTCCACTGCGTCCATTGCGGTGGCTTCTAGCGCCTTGTCGACCCAGAGGCTAAGTATCATGTTGATCTTGTTTATTTGGTCATTGTTGTGATTATATGATATCAAATTGAGATGTTTTTTTGGATGTGGAGAAACCGGCCCCCGTCGATCCCTCGGCTGGAGTTAATTCGGCCCAAAATTTGGTAATAACTGGGATTGAGCTACTCCGTACGGAGTACTCCGTGCAGAGGGTTCCGTATTTGGGGTTTCATATATTTGTGATTTGTAATTTGAAGATCTTAAATTCAGTTTTATTTCTATATCATGATGTACCACGTAATGTGCTCTATACATGTCACATTTCTGTAACATGAAATGAAGCTGCCTACAGTATTGTACTGTAAAGAACTCGTAGATATGTGATGATGTCCTGATTGGCTGAGAGCTGAAGTAATTAGGCCTAGTTCAGCCTAGTGCATTTTGCCAAATTTGCCAGATTTGCCAAGTTTGATCTGTTTGACATATTTGACATATTTGACCTGTTTGCACCTCTGCATTAGGACTAGTGGCCAAAAGCAATTGTTCGCAGTCACGAGGTGAAAAAGGGAGCAAATGAACGAACTCATCGTTTTCATTCCGGATTCAATTTCTAGAAAAAGCTATGAATAATTGTCAAAAAGCCATACATTCCTTGCACTACCTAACTACACTAATTCTGACTCAAAATCCAGTAAGCTTCCATTAGTAAATTCCCTGCAGCTCAATGATTCACTTGTGGCCAAATTTGACCCAGTGAGGAGCCCTTACACCCAATCCAGTCCCATTCCTTTCCCTTCCCGCTTTTCCTCTTCCCTCCTCTTTCTTCCCTCCTTATTTCAAACCTGGTAAACTTATACTACACCTCATACCTACCACAAGTAATTTCTCCATTATATCGCTTCACTTGGGGCGATAATTCTCCTATATTTTCCAACCCTTGGTGACCCCTCCGTGGTCGAGAATCGGCGTCCGACATCTCTGGCGTTGTCGACCACAGTCATTTTGTCGGTCGCGTTTGCCCCCAAAATGACGAGCGGCATTTCAAGTCTTCGAGTGCTATCGCTATGAGTGATGTCGAGGCAGTCTCTTTCCCAGCTGCCCTGGACGTCAGTCAAAACATTGCTGCGGTGAAGCCCGATCCTATTGCATCTTCACCGAGCAATGCTACAGACTCCCACCGGGTAGATGAGGGTCCGACACATAATGTTAATGCGCAGGAAGACGGTCCTTCCAGTCCCAGGGCGGACTCGGAGGCCGAGACGATAATTCAATCCGGTCGAGAGTCCTTGTCGCCAGAGAAGAAAAGGAAGCACATAAAGCACGATCCCAGTCGCCAACCTAATGGAATTGATGGATTGCGAAAGAAACCTCGGACGTTACCCGATCAACGAGACCGCTCTCGTTCACCCGGCCATCGTGAAGTCTCACCCTCCATGGTTAAGATCGAAAAGGTGGACGATGCTCCCCCCGGGACGGAAGGTGTGCCTGATAGAATGGATCACGCGCCAGAGAGACCTCGCATTTTCCGCAAGCGAAGCTTCAGTGACAGCGCCGAGGAACAGCGAGAACACCGTCGCGCTCACTCCCATGCTTCCCATCAGGCACGAGAGCTCAAACACAACAATCACACTCGCCTATCCAGACCACCATCCAATGCGCGATCGCTTTCACCCAATCGAAGATCTCACCAACGGTCTGCGTCAGGTTCCCAGTTTCCATCTAAGAAGAAAGCTCCAACCCCGTTGCTCACAGGCTTCGGGCGCCACAGCTCTGAAGATCGCCAATCGACAGACTCTTCTACAAGTGGATCACCACTGCCAGGTGCGCCACACCTTCGTAAACTCGGCTCTGGAGCGGGCGCATCCGCATCACCTGCCAAGCACATGGGACCGAAGAAGTTGCGTGACAAGAGCGGCCGGACTCCTCTTGCGCGGGCATGCGCAGACCGCAAACACGACCAGGTGATGATGCGTCACGCCGAACGACCCGAAGACATTAATATCCCCGATAATGCAGGCAACACCCCCTGCAGATCGCCTCGCTTGCTGGCGAAGCCGAGATCGTCAAGTTCCTACTCGAGGCAGGCTGTGAGATTAATACAAAGAATATCGACAAAGACACTCCTTTGATCGATGCTGTGGAGAATGGCAATGTGGAGGTGGTGAAGCTTTTGCTTGATGCAGGCGCGAACCCACGAACCGTGAATGCTGAAGGCGATGAACCGTACGAGCTCGTGCCATCCTTTATCGACGATGATGAGTACGAAGAAATGCGAAAAGCACTTTCTGATGCCAAGGCGAACTTGCGGCCTGGGCGCCGCTCCGAAGAACACACGAGACCAGAGAGCAAGGAGCCATCTTCACGACGGGCATCGGCAGCGAGAGGATCTGCAACCAGTCCTCGAGAATCACCTCCTATGCGTAGTCCCCCTCCCGCGGGGTCTGCCGCGAGCAGGCGAAAGGGCGGACGAAGTGAAGCCACACGGAACGACTTGTTGTGGACGAAACCGACGTTCGAAAATCTTCGCGAATTTGCTGCTAAAGGCGACGAAGCTGGGGTGGTGAGCATTCTGAATATTCTGCAGAAAGCCGACAATGCATCATTGATCGCTGCAGCAAAGGGTGGCCACCATGATGTTCTATCTCTTTTGTATGCGATGGGCAATGCCGATGCCGACCCGAATCCACTGCGCGGTCAAAAGCCAGGATACAACACCCCTATGCTTGCTGCGATTGGTCGGGGCAACAGCGCTGTCATCCAGTTGATTCTAAATCAGCCTGGCTTTAACCCCACACGTCGATTATTTGAAGACCGAACATATTTTGATCTCTCACGTGGTCGAATGGGTGAAAACTGGGAGGATGAGTATCAAATTCTAAAAGATGCGTATGAAAATTTCCCTGGGGACAAGAGCCGCAAGGACGACTCGCCCCGCCGTGTGCGCAAAGAAAAGGACGACAAACGTGCCCCCCGCAAAGGGTCCTCTTCCCCCGTCCGCACCAAAAAGATCAACATGAGCCCCACCGCCAATCGCAATCGCGATTCTATAAAGGAAAATGATTCCATTAAAGAAAAGCGACGCGAAAAAGACGATTCTTCACGCGCACCTGATTCCAAACCCAAACCCTTAGCCAGACGCGATAGCGAGTCAAGCGGCGTCACACGCAACGACGAAGTCAAAAAGCGACGCCTTATCGCAGGTCGACGCCCCCAAGAACGCAGACCCAGTGTTATCTCCTCCGATTCCTTATCTGGACGCGAAGAAGCACCCAAGCCACGCGAGGCAGAAAACACCCTCTCCCTGAAGCGCATCCGCACCGATCAATCTCCCGAACGCTCTCGCTCGCGCGGCGGCACCGATACGGACAGGTTATCTCCCGAGTCTCGTAAGAAAAAGAGAAGAGTTGTGTCTGATGACAAGTCGGCTCCAAATGGTACCTTGCGATCCGATGAGCCCAAACTCCGTCTTCATGAAGATTCCTCTCGCCCCGACCATCACAAACCCGAATCCAAGAAACCGCCTACCCGTCCCACTTCGCCTACACACGATGCCAGAAAGAATGGCGATGTAAAGAAGGAATCTCATGACAGTAAGGCTACGGAGGAAACGGCTAATGCGAAGCGTGCGGAGCTGGAGGCAGATGAGCGTCGTCGGGCCCAGGCTAGGAAAGCGCAGGAGGAGCGTGCTGTGAACGACAAGCGAATCGCGGATGACAAGCGCGCGGCGGATGACAAGCGTGCTACAAATGATAAGCGAATCGAGGAAGACAGGCGTGCCGCGGAAGAAAAGCGTATTGCAGATGATAAGCGTGCTGCAAATGATAAGCGAATCGCAGATGACAAGCGTGCCGCGGACGATAAGCGCCTAGCGGACGAAAAGCGGATTGCGGACGAAAAACGCATGGCAGAAGACAAGCGTATTGCGGACGAAGCTGAACGCGACCGACTTGCTCAAGAAGAAGCTGACCGAGCCGCGGAAGCCGCCCAAGCCGCTCGCGATAAGGCCGAGGAAGAAGATCGCAAACGCAAGGAGGCGGATCAACGACGTGCCAAGCAAGCCGAGGATGACCGCTTGAAGCGGTTGGAGCAAGAACGCGCTCGAATTGCCAAGGTGCGCCGTGATATGGAAGCACAAGAGAAACGACGCCGCGAGGCACTGCCCAGCCGTCTCCGTGTTGCAGCAAACCTCGTGGGCTCCAATGATTCCCGCGCCAAAAGTCACAACTGGCTCAAGGCTTTCATGCCCATCGTCACTGCGCGCACCATCCAACTCGATGCCAACTGTGCTGTGGATTTCGCTAACGAAAAATGGATCCCGAATTATCTGGTTGCACCATTGTTGGCTACCAATGACCTCCAGCTTTCACAATATGCCAGCTGGGAGAAGCGCAAAGCAACCCCAACTCAGCGCATGAATCTATGGCGAGTCACCCGCCGCATGTTGAATCATACGGACGGGAACGAAGACTCCAGCATTGGACAGGTCATGCAGCAGGATTGTGAAACCAGGCCAAAGTATTTCGAGATGGAGCACGTCTTTTGGATCAGAGTAAGTCCCATACATCCATCCAACTGAAACACTACTGACAACTTCTAGCTTTCTGATTTCACCGATCTTGTTCCCCACATCCCTCACCTGCATGGCCTCGAGCTCCAATACCTGAGCATGCATGTTGATCCCGAGCCGCCGGCGGCTGGCACAGGGTTCGGCACTCACATCAACGGCCATGGCCCTGACTTTGTTGAAACGAACGGCAACGGACCGATCAATGGCTTTGGCCATTCTCGGTCGAGTACATACGTCTAGTTTTTTAAGCGTTTCGCTAGCTGCAATGGCAGCAATCCTGCGAGGTGTACAGGCGGATTCTGATTGTACGATTATGATACCTTTTGCGTTCATGTGATGAATCTACTATCCTTTGGTAGTTCGTGATATTTCTTTTTTGCAGTCCCTGTGGTTGCTGATGGAATATTGTATTCTTAGCTTCAACACAAAGTTCGAACTCAGTTGTCTTCATGTAGAAAGTAGTGAGGAACGAATGAAACAGAACTTAGGAATATCAATCGAAGCCTAAGCAAAGATGATTGGACGCATCGGCCTTAGATATCAGGCACAAAGTTACCTTAAAAGGTTAATATCACGTGATGATAAGGGTGATGACATAATGTAGGGCACACACAGCCGAAAAAGTCGAAATAGCGGGAAATTTCGCGCCGCCCGCACCACCTTTTAATCTCCATCACTCAGCTTCTCTTCGAGGATTTCCGATTCAAGCATAACTAGCATTCAAAATGGTACGTGCAATTCATATCACCCTAACCAATCCCACACCCAACTCCACGATAATCAAGACTGGTTTGGCCATGCCCCGACAGCGAGCACGCGGGGTCCTCACCGTCGTCGTCGCCGTCGCCGTCTCCGTCGCCGCATCTTCAATCCAGCTTCACTGCCTAGCACCACAAACAATGCCCCCGGAACCAAGCTAACAGTCTCACAGTCGGACGGAGAAGAGCCCACATCCCCCATCGCCCCTGCCGACGAGGTCGAGGTCTCAGCCGATGCCGGCTCCGGCCAGATGTCCGTCCTGGACGCCCTCAAGGGTGTTCTGCGCATCTCCCTGATCCACGACGGTCTTGCCCGTGGTCTCCGTGAGGCCGCTAAGGCTCTCGACCGCCGCGAGGCTCACATGTGTGTCCTCAACGAGGGCTGCGAAGAGGAGGCTTACAAGAAGCTCGTTGTTGCTCTCTGCTCCGAGCACAAGATCCCCCTCATCAAGGTTCCCGATGGAAAGATGCTCGGCGAGTGGGTCGGTCTCTGTAAGTTACAGTTACCTTTCACTTGAAGATCCGGATCTTAATCTGGATCGGATGGGTTCTCTGTATTGCGACAATTGCTAATCATTCCAACGCAGGCACTCTCGACCGTGAGGGTAACGCCCGCAAGGTTGTCAACTGCTCTTGCGTCGTTGTCAAGGATTGGGGTGAGGAGTCCCAGGAGCGCTCTGTCCTCCTCAACTACTTCCAGACCGAGCAGTAGATTATTTCTACGCAGGCTGTGAGTATGGACTCGAGTATGGATTTCAGGTGTCGGGGTGACGGGGTTGTGGTGGGGATCGAAGGGAGGGATGGATCAATCACCTTCGAGTGTGATGTCTCTGGTCTTTCGACCCCGCTATAATTTTTAGTCTTGTCGTGCCCCGTTTGCTCGGGTGTGCGGCGCCAATGGCATCGGACTTGTCTACTTGACAAACAACATATTGTGTCTGTGTTTCGTAAATGACTGTAGTTTTGGAGTTGACCGGTTTTATACTCAGTAGCGATGATATTTATTATTAATTACTAGGTTATCTAGGTACGTATTATCACCATCGCGTATCTGCATGAGCAATATCACTGTGGCGCCAATATATTGGCAAATGTGTAAGCGAACAAATTTCTCCGTGGACTTCAGCACTGGGAAGTTTCAGAAGTACGCATGGTCTTCATCTCCTGCGCAGGCTGCTCTGCGGTGATCTCCAGCGACAACTCATCATTTTCCGTAGGGGGGCGAATATCTTTCCAACCCATCCCAGAAGCAAAGAACACACCCAACCCTCCAAGCGCCGCCGCGAGGTAGAAGACATAATCAATGCTTAGAGCATAAGCAGTCAAGAGACCAGGCAGGTCTTGAGCGGAGACCACGTTTCGTATGCCCGTGGCACCTGCGGCGATGATGTGTTGAGGGTCGACCCCAGGTGCGTCCTTGGGAATCAGCGAGGTAAGACCGCTAGAGAAAATAACATCGAAGATGGAAAAGACTACTGCGCCGGACATGGTACGGAAAAACATCATAACTGACATTCCAAGTGGTACTTCCTCTTTTGGGAGCGTGTTTTGGATTGCTATGATAGGCTGTGGTATCTAGTTAGTGCGAGGAGAGCAGATTGAGGTAAAAAGAATCTACCATTTGGAACCCGCATCCCTCGCCGGTACCAGCGATGATCTGGTAGCCAATCCATTTGTCCATAGATATGCGTGAATCGAATGTTGAGATCAGGCCAGTGCCAATGGACCCGACCACTTGAGCAAAGATGGCCCATGGGAGGTAATACCCTAGTTTACCAACTAGAGATATTCAGTATTTATATACATGGATGGGACACAGGAGGATCTCACCGCAAACACCGGAGATGACTGCAAAAAGCAATTGAGACAGGATGATTGGCAGCAAGTAAATGCCGCTCATCATAGGAGAGACATTATTAACCGCCTGGAAATAGACGGGCAGATAGAATGATGCAGATAGGGTCATGGCGAACAATGAAAATTGTGTCAGACAGCTGGACCAAATGATACGCTTGCGGACCATAGCTAGAGGAATCATAGCTTTGTCCTCTTTGCGCTGTTCCCATAGCAGAAAAAGGACAGTTGTCATCCCTGCTCCGATGAACAAGCCAATTGGTGTTGCGCTTTTCCAACCGTGTCCATGTGCACCGTAATACAGAGCAAGAAGCAGTTGAATAGCGGCCGGAGCCAGAAGGCCAAAACCTATGAGATCCAACTTGCGGAATGGACTGGATTCTGTACCAAGAGCTCGGAGGACGTGGAACCATTTGTTTGCTGTTCTGACTCTGACCCGTTCGGGCTTATCGACTGCCTCAGGGATATGGATGAAAGCCATCAACAAAGCAATAATTGCACCGATAGGAAGATTTACATAAAAGCCTGTTTCGAGCGTCAGAAACCTGGATATACGTTGTAGTCAATTTTGACCGGGATGGGGATAAAGCGTACACCACCTCCAGCTGCTATATTGGGTGAATGCACCTCCTAGAAGGGGACCAAGAACGGTACCGAGCTGTGCTACTGTATATGGAGTCAGAATGATTCACAGGCGTATTTTTGGCAAAGACTCACGGCCCATCATAATCCTAATGAGTGCTAGACTCACGTGTTTGCGGCTGGCCCTAATTTATAGAGGTTGCAAACATACGCGGCGATTTGGCAAGAGGCACGGACGCCGAGACAATGGTCAACGAGCCCACGACCAAACCCGAGGATCCTAGTCCAGCAACGGCTCTCGCAATTATCAGCATCTTTGACGATCTGGCCAATCCACAAAGGAGAGAGCCGAGTTCAAAGACGAAGAAGAAGCCTAAATATGTCCACTACACACAATTTGTTAGCCTTAGATGCAGTTTAGAATGGTCTTACTTACCTTTGAGTTATATTTGAGATAGATTTGACCAGTGAGAGGTTGGAGACAGGCTCCCGCAATCTGGTAAGAGCTGCCATACCAGCCCAAGTCCTCAAGGGAGTGAAACTGGGCAGTGGTTTTGGGGATGGCCTTTGCAGTTTCAATACAGGGATCTAATCAATCCAATCGTTGTTAGAAACACTCACAGTGACAATGATCGAGACATCCAGGAAGATAAGAAAGGTAACCATAGTAACAGCGCTCACGACCATGGCTAGCTTGATACCAGTGAGATGATACCTATCATCACGATGGGGGGTCTCTGTGTTGTGGTCCATGACTGCACATGTATCAGAAACGCGTTTGCTTGGAGGAAGAAGTCGCAAAGACAATGATCAAAACAAAGCCCTTTGTCTCTGTGAACTGACTCTACTAGATAGAGAAGAGCAGGGGACACACCGCCCAAAATGACCAGAATATTGGGGGCGGAAATATCATGTAACTAAGCTTAAGAGCAGAGGGAACGACTTGATTTTACGTAAATGGATATATGTAGCTACATATGGACCATATATACCTGCAATATGTATATCTATATGCAATTATGCGTCCCTTTGTCGATCAAGTGGCCCTGCAGAGAGTTCAAACATCTTTTTCAAGGTTCACTAATGAGGATCATCAATCCCGAATCCCGAAGCTTCTAGATGAGGCTCAAGGCTAAGCATTTTATACAATTTCCAAGTGGAGTCTTGGGATATTCGACAAATAAGCGTAACAGAGCCAGCACAAGAGTCTATAATTTATTAAATCTACGTGCAATTCAAGTCTAATACAGTTATGTACTGTAGATTTTGACGTGATAATATTGCGAAGTCTTAGGGTTGACGAGTCACGAGATCCGATTTAAACCCACGCACGGGTTTCACTTCAATCCCGACCGTACTGCTCAACAACTCTGTTCGGAAGCTCTCCTTTTTTGAAGAACAAATATTCGTTCTTAATAGGAGTTGGCACATATCTCCACCTATTTATCTATTGGGATCTGTCATTTTCATCGGGTCAAGTGCCCAGTCTTACAGAATCCCCAATCCCCAATCCCCAATCCCGTATCCCACACGGATATCGGCATGAAACCCGCTCGAATACCAGGTGGGACCCCTGCACCGTATGGCCGCGCTTGTGTGAACTGCGCACACGCCAAGTGCAAATGCATTCTTCTTCCGACTGGTAGTGGCTGTGAAAGGTGAGTAGCGCGGATAATGATACCAATCAGAACTAAGCACCCGGTAGATGCCAGCGGCTGGGCAAAGAATGCCGGCCGGCCCAGACGGTCCGAAGGCGCAATCAACGGTCATCGGCGTCTAAATTTGCCAATCTCGAGGCTAAAGTGGATTATGTCCTGGCAAATTATCCGGTGCTTCAGGGTAGCACAATCTCTGACTTGCCCCCAGACTGGGACCCTGCGGGTCTCATACAGAGCCACAGTGATGCCGCGGATCAGTCTACATCAGTAATCGCCCGCACTGCTACAAGTCTCTCTTCTTTGTCATCTCATGATGAAACACCGTATTCATCACGCAATATTCCCGAGTATCATGATGTTCTATCCTTGCTTTATGTCCCACCCGACATGGCTCAGAAGTACCTCGACCAATTCCGCACTTACCACTTGCAATATTTTCCTTTTGTCTACATTCCTTCTGCAATTACTTCTGATGAATTGCAAGCTAAATACCCGTTCTTCTGGGTTTGTATCATGGATGTGCTTACCACGAAAAATCCGGAAAAGGGTGATTCTTTCAGGAGGATCAACAACCACATCCACCAAAGAATTATGGTCGATGTTGCGCCAAGTATGGATCTCCTTCTGGGAATAATGACTTTTGTCTCCTGGTAAGTAGTAAAAAGTACTATGCTTGAACATTGCCAAACGTCTAACTCTCTTCCAGGGTCACATACACGAAAAGGCCTTTTCTCAATTCCTATACCCACATTCTCATGGGAGTCGTCGCCGAACTTGGCATCAATCAAGGTATTGCAAGAGAGAACTCTATCATGCAAGATTACAAGGCTGCCATGGGAATAAAGCAAAGCCAACCTGCGATCCGAACTCTCGAGGAGAGGAGGGCTGTGTTGGGCTGTTTCTTGATCTCATCCTCGTGAGTACCTAGGCAAGTTTGTTAGGGTGTCATCAACAACTACTGACGGCATAATCTTTAGCGTTGCACTTTCAATATCCAAAATCGATGCTATGCGGTGGACGCCACACATGGAAGAAAGCCTCTCAGTACTCGCGGAGGCTAAAGAGTGTCAAGAGGATGAGATTCTGATTGCATTGGTCAAGAGCCATTTGGTTCTGGACAGGTCATACTTCCTCCGGCGTGATGGTGAAGCGATAAACTCACCGTCCTTTTATCTAAATATCTTCAAAGCGCAACTTGACAGCGTCAAGCAGGAGATACCGCCCCATCTTCAGAAACATAGTATGCACCTCTTTCACCATCTTCCGCAAAGCCCTTCTCTTCTAACAATGCCCAAGGAGTCATACGATTGTACATGTATAATGCCGATGTCACAATCAACGAGATTGCACTTGGCCCCTCCGCGATCCCACACCTCCCTGACCTCCAACGTCTCGACGGCCTATACACCTCTCTCCAATCCACGAAATCCTGGCTAGATATCTGGATGGAGTTCAAGCCAGAGCAGTATTTCCAATTACCATCCACTGTCTTCTTCCAGTTCATCAGATGCATTATCAATCTGTACAGACTCACTGTTCTGGAGGACCCGGCATGGAGCCAGTCGGTGGTTCGAGAAACAGCCAACGTTATCGAATACTTGGACAGAAACATAGCCATGCTCAACAATTGTCCAGAATACATCGCCCTCGAGGAAGGCAAGGAGATGAATATGCTTGAAAAAGGACTGCGAATGTTTACAGGATTGAGGAATACATGGGAGCCAAAACTAATGGAGTTATGGGGCTTGGATATGTCAGCCAGAGAGAATGATGGTAGTATGGTTGTGTCCGATAACATGCTACCCCCATGCATGCCCCTGACACAGATTGAAGAAGCTTGGATGTTGGAGTTCTTGGGATCTATGTGAACTTCGACTTTGATGCTTAATTTTGCTTCTCGCAAGGGCTGGAACCCATTCGTTTAATACTAATATTTGATACCCCCATGGGATGTCGCGTTCAACAAAATCGAAGAATGATCCAAGTATCGGGATTGTGGCCATGACATCAAAAATAATGTTTCACTAGTAACTCGTAAAGTGCTAGAACACGGCAAAATGGCGACGTGAATGCGGGGTTCTTTCGCTACGATTGACTAGTTTCTCCGAATAACAGCACGCTAAGTCTGCAAGACTAAATTACGATTTCATGTGATGACTTCGCAGGTATTTACTGCATCGCCACTTATTTCAACTAGTTAAATAATTAAAAGAGAAGTTCTGAGTGGCTCAAATACCGTCATTGCACATCTTACCAACTGACCACCTTCATCATGATATTCACAAACTTGACAACCAAGACTGTTGAGGCGACGTCCCTATTGATATATGTGACAGTTACTGTTGTAAGCCATACCCTTTGAATTCCCAGTTACCACGCTGAAATTATTACTAGCCGTTGGCATATCTAGTATGGACAATTATATACAATCTCTTCTTCAGCCCGCTATCGAGGTTCCCAGGACCAAAACTTGCGGCATGCACCAACCTCCCATATTTATACTGGACATCGACAGGTGAATATCATTACAAGATCAAAACCCTTCACGATAAGTACGGGGATGTCGTCCGGACTGGTCCGAAAACCCTAGTATACCGCACCCCCCAAGCATGGAAAGACATATACGGCCACCGCAAATCAGGAGCTGGGTCATTTCTAAAAGACCCACAGTTCTATCTCCGTGGACCGAGAGGGCCGAATATTATCAACGCCGATGACGAGTATCATTCCAGAGCACGAAGACTACTCTCACATGCCTTTTCCGAAAAGGCGCTGAGAGACCAAGAGGGCTTGATCCAGTCCTATGTCGATATGCTGGTGGAACGACTAGATGGAGAATTTTTGGCCTCGCGAACGGCCGATATGTCTCAGTGGTATAATTTCGCCTTATTTGACATAATTGGAGACCTGTCCTTTGGGGAGCCTTTTGGCTGCTTGCGGGAGAGCCAATACCACCCATGGGTGAAGATGGTCTTCGTGAGCATCAAATTATTGTCGCTCGCACGGCCACTCGTTGTTTATCCGTTTCTGGCGCCAATTGCGAGGATGTTTCTTCCACAACGGCTCGAAAGGATGCGTGAAGAGCACTTCGCGTTGACCACAGAGAAAGTTCATCAGCGACTTGAGACTAAAACCGAGCGACCGGATTTCATGACTTATATCTTGCGGTTTGATGATGAGAGATCCATGACCACACGTGAGATGGAGGCTAATGCCGCGGTCTTGATTCTCGCTGGGAGTGAGACAACGGCTAGTGTGTTATCTGGATTCACCTTCTATGTGCTAACGAGCCCCAATGCATATCGAAAGCTCCTACAGGAGATCCGAGGAGCCTTCAAGTCTTATGATGAGATCAATTTCCAAAGTGTCAGTCAGTTGGCCTACCTGAATGCAGCAATCGAGGAAACGCTACGAGTGTTCCCACCGGTTCCGGGTGCCACTCCGCGCGTCGTTCCCAAAGGAGGCGCCTTGATTGACGGGGAATTCATTCCAGAGGATGTATGTTTGCCTTTCCCATTCTGAACTTGGCTGTGCGTTAACGTAAAGAGGTTTCTGTGTCCGGGGCCCACTACTCTACCTATCACGCCGAGGAACATTTCACGGAAGCGGACTCGTTTATTCCAGAGAGATGGCTGGAGGACAAAGACGAGTGCTACAAATCAGACAAACTGGGGGCTGTCCAGCCTTTCTCGCTTGGGCCCCGAAATTGTCTTGGAAGGAAGTGAGTTTTGATTCGAGAGGTTTTTGAGTTCAGACTAATGTGTTCCTTGGTAGCCTTGCATATGCGGAGTTGCGGCTCATTGTCTCTAAAGTCTTTTGGACTTTTGATATGGCCATTGACCGAAGTGCGGTTGATTGGAATATTCAGAAAGCGTATAATGTTTGGGAGCGGAAGCCGTTGATGGTCAAAATGTCGCGGGCGCAACATTGAGTGTAGGCATTCGCACTTCGCTTCTGTTAGCTATATATTCTTGTCTCGGGTTGTTTGCCATGCTAGGTACGGTGACATATCACACAACTAGGTAACGTTTCTTTGTTGTTCATGTACAGTCACCCAATGATAGTTACACATTCCTTTGACAACGCTTGATTGATAGTATTGTACGAAGTCAATTGAAGTCTGAAGTTCCAACCCTTGGATATATACCATGATTAATACACAGACACAAAGGTGTAGTACCCGCAAACTGAGACCTCGATTGACGGGAAACGACGGAACTAATTTCATCATCTAACCGAGCATCCGATGAAGCGCCAAGGTTGCACACTGAACGAGATACCCGAAGTCGACACCCGTTATTATAAACTAGCCCGTCAATCCCATTTATACAATGGAGCAGTGTGACAAGGTGAAGTTTGAGTTACTTGCCTATTGGTACAACTGACTATCCCCGGTGGCGCCGACCCCAAAAAGCCAATCAAGAATGCGGGAGAAGTGAACACACAAGAGTGTTCTACTCGTGAGTTAGATAGACTCTACTTGGCAGAGTAGGAGATCTCCACGGTCAGATAGCAAATCTGAATATAAAATATAACATCTCATCCATCTCTGAGTCCCATCCATTTCTGAATCCCATCCGTCTCTGAATCTCATCACCGATCAAGCTTCTCATTTCGCTATAATAAATTGAAAGATGTCTAGCCTTGCCAACATTCTTGCTCTCCTGCCCTTGGCACTGGCTGCCAGCCCTTTGGCTATGAACTTTGACCGGGTTTGAATGCCAAGTACTGTTTACCCTTAGGCCAATGTATTGACTATTTATCTAGCCCATGATTTTCAAAGAGACCGACTTTGCCATGAATAATGGCAGAAGAGGAATTGAAATCCCGTCCGATGGGAACTGCATGAACCTCGACAGTGTCCCAGAGTTGTGAGTCGAGAGTTCTCAAGACCAAATGAAGAAGCGTGACTGATCAAATACCAGCCGCACGAACATTGGATCAATCTATGTCCCGTGCCCATCTGACACAGCCATGGACCTGATGTGCACCATGTACAGGTAGGCGATGCGTCTCCATCTTCTGGTCCGTATACTGAATTTTGCAGTGATAACTCTTGCGGCGACGAGATGTTCACCTTCACCCGGCCGCATGCGCATTTGTTCAGACAAACCGCAGGCGACGATGTCGGAAGTCACGTCAGGAGCATCAAATGCATGCCGGTCAGTTCTCCAGTCGTCAGACAGGGACACATTTTCACGAGCAATCGCCCTTCTACCAAGAGTCCTAGCAACTGCGCCAATGATAGTTGCACCAGCGACATGAACTGTCAAGCCATGAACCCGAATTACAACCTGTACTGCTCCATGGACCTGATGACCTGCCAACACAGGTCTCAAATCGGTGGATTATGCAGCGGTAATTCAGGTAATTTCCGCTGCCAAGCAGGTACCTGTGTTGGCGGAGTCTGCATGGAAACGGGCGAGAACTTGCCTTGCTCCCAGGGTGTCGACTGTCCTTCCGGCTTTGAATGTCGTCCTTATCGTTCCATGGATGTGCTTGGGGTCTCTACTGTTCAAACCGTCTGCATGAAAACGGAGGATGTTCGTGGTACACCGTGTCCTTGTGCGGAGCACATGAGCTGCAGCCTGCGGAGTGGTGATAACTTGTATTGTGAGTGGGATGGTACGTGTGCGCTCACAACCATGAAATGCCAGTCGGATAGCCAATGTTGCTCTGGAAATTGCAACGCCCAGGCTTGTCAGTGATGGAAGAAGGCTTGTGGAAGAATTCGAGGGTTCAGGTGATGGCAAATTGAAGTTGGCAGTAGGGAGGGTGCTTGGTTGAATTTTGAACGAATGACCAGGGACTCAGTGATGGCCATTTTTGCACTCAAGCGCTGTGGTAGCGGTAGCCTCCATTTGACCCAGCTCTACTTACCCCGTGTGTTAGAGTAGCAGTATAACCTAGCGACCAAAGTAGGTTTTGACCGATGGACAATGGAATTGGCTCCGTTTTAATCAGCTCCGTTTCAATCAGCTCCTCAAACATGTCTGTAGAAGAGTTCGCTATTCAATAACTGAAGGGCTGAAAAATGTAATTAGCCACTAGAGGATCAAGTAGGCATCGAAAATGGATCAAGAGAAGATAGCACATTATGGAGAAGCCAACATGCACAACAAGCTGTGTTCCAAATCATTTCCTCAGCCAATCGATTAGTCTCAATATGGAGCCGTATATATGGATTTATGCAACATGAACAACATTGAGAGCCCATCGTATGAAGAAAAAAAAGCCCAATGCCTTAAGCCATTTACCTGGCGCCATACTATTTATCAAACCCTTAATTGGATACACTGTCAATCCACATTAATTCATTGCGGAGATATATCATATCTTTTGGGTTTACCTCCAAAGACCTCACCCTAGCCACAACAAGGCAGATTGGTGCATTGAAACGTCACAATGTTGAACAACCTAAGCAATGTTCTGGGGAATTGGAAATCCAGCCTCCAACTAGGATGTATAAAACTATTGCAGGTATACCATCATAAACATCAGGAGATCAAAAATGAAATGGAGCAGCAGATATTTTACAAGAATCCTATAGAAATGAATAATAAGCAATAGGGTATATAAGTAGTAATGTGTTGTACATTAGACACACCAGCTAAATTGTTATAACATAAAAAATATCTAAATATGTTACATGTAAGTTTGCTTATGTTAAAGCTATACCTAATAAATAATGCGCGGGCGAGTCTCAAGCCTTACGGCTATACGTTGATCAGCAAAGGCACCTTAGACCAATTGAAGAACGATACGCTTCGCGAAGCGGAGGTCCATTGAACACTTCGCCGCCACCAAGGCTCAGCAATACCAATTTGCTTAGGCACGATTGATCCCCAACACACCTTCTTCGTCCATCCCAAAGATACATTGAGGTATGCTCCTATTATCATGGGCAGCCGGCCGACCGCTATTGATCTAACTACACCAAGCGAAATACAAGCATCCTCCAACCAAGCGAAGAGGGCAATTAAACGAGAAATCGGGGGTTATGATTGTTGGCAAATGGGTAACAGGTTATGGGACCCTCACATGGGCTGTTTTCAACTTGTCAATTTTGACTCGCTGCCCGGTGCCCTCCCCGAAACAGATCACTACCCAGTGGCTTATCAAGGAAGGGCCATGTATCTTTGATGAGTCGGCGTAAATTGTAGTAATATATTTCATTCACACATATTTAACAACAATTTCGCGATCCTCCTCAAATTTTTGAATCATTTGAAATTTGTAGCAACGAAACTTGATCATCACTTCGGTGCTTTTCCGAGGTAGAACCTAATTACCAGGCTATGAACGTTCGTAATACTTCCAATAATGGCTCCCGTATGCGCTAAACATGTTCAGTGATTATTGTGTCCTTGTTGACCGTGATATTCGGATTTTTGCCGGATGTTGTCTCACAGAAATGTGCCAGAAAAAGTGATTTGCTCACAAACAAGCATCGCGTTGGTTGGGGAATAGTCGTTGGATCCTTTCCAGCGCATCATTCTGAGTCTCCCGAACAATATCTTCCGCATCCTTGACACCATGTATCAGACCAACAGAGGCACCAGCGTATGTGGCAAGTCTGCCCTCAGGGCCCCAGCCATTGTCTCCATCCTTGGCAGCTTCATCATGAAGCTTTTTAAGTTCCTCGAATGACTTCCCTTGCTGTTGCTCAACAAACGATTTATTCCAGATAGTCCGGGGAGTGTACTCCTCTGGCCACCCAAAGGTGCCCCTGAGATGGTTGTACAAATGTGTGCGAGTTGTCGAGGCCGCACCGTCAGATGCACGCACAATTTCATCCTGATATCCCCGGCGAATACGTGCCTCGCTGGCAGCCAAGAACCGGGTCCCCATAACTGCACCGGATGCACCCAGACACAAAGCCGCAGCGACGCCCCGCCCATCGGCAATGCCACCAGCCGCAAATAAAGGAATCCGACTGCTTGCTAGGGCATCTGCCACTTCGGGGAATAGGGACATCAATCCCATTCCATCACTCGTCCGACCGTGCCCGCCGGATTCAGCACCTTGCACAACGATCACATCTGGCAGTTCTGTACTCTGGAGAAGCTGTTTTGCTTCCTTGAGCGTGCCGATCTGGATCCAAATCTGGGTTTCAGGCGAAACCCGCCGTATCTTGCTGGACCAGTCGTCGTAGTCTTTGGTCCCTTGTCTTGGAGCATATAGCCAAGCGGCGCAGGGTTTGTATTTTTCAATAGTAGCGATAGCAGTGCCTAGATCGTCGGTCCAAAGTTGGTATCCCACGCCAATGGGTAGGGCGGAATTGGTAGTTGGTATAGCCTTGCCCTTCTGAATGAGTGCTTTCACCTTTTCCAGGTCGTCATTTGTGTCTTGTGTTTTTGCGCCGGGACCAAGGAATCCTAGTCCACCGGCACGAGAGACGGCCACTGCAAGCGCTGGGCCGGACATTACTTTCATTGGGGCGCTGACCACAAATGGACTGGATACCCAGGGGTATCGCAACACCAAGCTAGCCATGATTAGTATGTTATATGGTTTTGAAGATCGAAGAGGATATGATGACAGTAATAGAAGATGCCATCAAAATTCACTTGAAGTTAAGAAGAACAATTCATGTGAAGAGATTACCGAGGCGTCGACGTCATTAGTATCTCCGCTATATCCGCCTACACGACCTTCCACTGACCTTTCCACTGGATTGTTCTCTGACATCCGGTCCAGAATGTCCCATATATCGTATTCAGATATGTCTGTTTCATGAGTCTGTATACGTCTTTCTCCGGATCTTTCTTGACGCCCTTTGTGGCTAGTCCAACTTGCATATTTGAAACGTGACATGAGAATCCGCAACATCCGCTTCCCCCACAAATCCCGGCATTTGCGGAATATCCCTTTCTAAACCAATACTACCAACATGTCACAGCCAGAAATCAAGCGCAAGCGCGCCCGAATCGCGTGTGAACCATGCAGGGAACGAAAAAGAAAATGCGACGGTACAGAACCCTGCAGTACTTGCACTGCATGGGCTTACGATTGCTACTACGACCGTCAGCCACGACGGAAGCGTACACATCTGGAGACTCCCGCAGAAGTTGCCCCAGACCCAGGCTCCCCACAAAATAAAGCCCCAGTTTCGGATACGCACGGGCTGGTCCGTCGACTAGAGGCGAATTCTGGCGCTGCCTTCGTGCGGAAGATGGGTCTGAAGATTGACCCTGCTAGGGCGCCGAAACTTAGCCTTTTTGGCTGGAATATTGGCAAGCGCAGTTTAACGTCGGAACTTGCAACTGTTGATTCCGCACTGTCCATTACCGAGATAACATCTTTGGAACATATGAAAAGCCTGGCCCAGGTCTATTTCGACAAAGTAGATCCTTGTTATGGTTTTGTCGATCGCCGTCGGTTCTTCCAACGATTATTGGCTCGATGGACATCACATTCGGCCAGTGAGCTTTACGACAGCGTCCTTGGTGGCGTTGCCGCGCTTGGATGCTTGTTTTCTCAACGACATATGACATTGACTGAGATACATCTTATCGGGTCGGCACGCTATACTTTAGAACTGCATGTGTTGTCAGGCGCTCCTCCAGTTGACCTTCTTACTGGATGGACACTACGGGTCATCTACATGCGAATGACAGACTCGCCTCATTCAACATGGATGGCGAGCTCAAGACTGATGCACCTAGTCGAAGCCGCGGGATTCCACCTGGAGTCTACGGAATCGGTTTTCCCACGCAGCAGCACCACGGATTGCGATCCAGATCTCCGAAGGAGGCTCTTCGGAGTTGCACAGCATCTGAACATGTGGACATCTTATGACCTTGGCCTGTCCAGAGTATCATTTCAAAAGAACGATCTTGCACTACCCCCATCAACCAGGCCTGGTGATTACACACACGAGGTCCTTGGCCTATTGCCTGTATCGGCAAGCCTTGACCCTGGAAAATCAAAAGAAGATGAAGTGGACCTGGAAGCAATACTGTCGGACATCATAGATGGAAAGCATATCGAGCCTCCCTCGATCATGGCGCAATGCAACCTTGCGCTTTGCATTCTTCGAAGAATTCACACCCAAAATTTTGATATACCCTCTCACCTCGCAGAGAAAGTCCTCGCGCTATTGAAAAAGGGGTTGAATTGCTCACGCACCATGGTAATGAATTGCACTCCCTGGCACCAAATGGCAAATGTGCCTTTCCAAATTACGTGTGTTCTTCTCGTCATGGACACACGGCCATCCGTCTCGATGCTTCCGGAGGCTATGCAGACGTTGAAACTCGTCGCATCTACATATGACACAGACACCATGAGGGAAGCCTGGAATGCGGCTCGCCTCCTAGTCATGCTCCATCAACAGCGCAGGAAAGACGACATAGAGATATTCAACGAGTCTTTGGATTTGGATCAGCAAGAATGTGTATTGGGACCGTCTCCGCAAGAGAATCCTAGTGCAGAAGAATACTCCTGGCTTGGAGCGCTTGTTGCTGATCTCCCTGGCTTACAAAAGGTGGACTTAGATCAGTTCTTGAATGCCGATATGATCGATAGTTCAAACTTCCTGGGTGGATCTGGATGAGGTAGTTTTTAATGTGAAACCCTCCCTTCCAGCGCTACCTATATATAGCCCATGTATATCATAAGCACTAATTTGCGTTTTACCATTGCTTCAGACGCCGCACGTGAATTTAAATGAACAAAATGACAACATTCTCCGAAATTTGTGGACCGTTGCTCCTCTGTTCCGCAATACCCGATCCCTCTCAACAGTCATGATCCGCTATTTCCGCAGCGTCTGAAGAGCTTCCCAGGTTCTTTATGGTACAGTGACTTGTAAAATTGATTGATAACCGAGCTGATACCTTTCACAAATGAGTTAACTGGAAACACCATAGCTGAAAATCAAGCTAAAATCATGGCTCTTGTCGACAAGGCCAGCGACCATACCGCAGGTCTCAGAATGAACGAGAAGCCATCAATCGGCGCAAACAAGCCATTCCCAGCACCCCTTCCACCTTCAGAAGACTATGTGGTCGATTTCGAAGGACCAGATGACCCCGAGCATCCCCAAAACTGGAGACCGTCTACCAAGTAAGCAACACATCTACCAGGGTCGGGATTGATTGGAACATCAACTAAAACGACCTCAAATAGACTATTCACCTCCATCCTAGTCTGCTCAGGAACATTCATAGTCTCCCTCACCAGCGCCATCTTCGCCCCAGGAATCGACAAAGCAAGCAAAGCCCTCGACGTCGGCACCGTCGTCTGCGGCCTCGGAACAACCCTCTACGTCCTGGGCTTCGCCTCCGGGCCTCTCATCTGGGCCCCGGCCTCAGAGCTACGAGGCAGAAAATGGCCGCTGACGATTGCCCTGTTAGGCGGCGGCATCTTCACCATCGCATCCGCAGTCGCGAAAGATATCCAGACGCTAATCATATGCCGGTTCTTCGCGGGAATGTGCGGTGCAAGCCAGCTTACTGTCGTGCCGGGCGTGTTGGCGGATTTGTTTAGTAATGCGACGCGCGGTGCCGCGATCTCGCTGTATGCCCTGACGGTATTTGTGGGCCCGTTCATGGCTCCCTTTATCGGCGGCTTTATTGCGTCCAGTAGTCTGGGCTGGCGGTGGACGCTTTACATACCCGCCATTCTGAGTCTGGTAAATGGGGCTGTGAGTTTGCTCTTTTTGAACGAGACGTATCCTCCTTGCTTGCTTGCGGCGAAGGCTGCTGCTATTCGAAAAGAGTCGGGGAATTGGGGCGTGCATGCTAAACAGGAGGAAGTTGAGGTTGACTTTGCACAGCTTGCGGAGAAGTATTTTACTCGACCGCTGAAGTTGCTGTTTATGGAACCGATTATCCTTGTGGTATCAATGTATATGTCCTTCATCTATGGCCTTGTCTATGCGCTTCTGGAGGCATATCCTTTTGTGTTCGAAAGTGTCTATGGAATGAATCCTGGGATCGCTGGTCTGATGTTCGTTGGCTTGATTATCGGTGTACTACTGGCCTGTGCCTTCATTCTTTTTGGCCAGATCACATATGCGAAGAAGCTTGCAGAAAACAAGGGTGTTCCGGTACCCGAGTGGCGCCTTGCTCCCACACTTCTTGGGGCGCCTGTCTTTACAATTGGTCTCTTTTGGTGAGTCTAGAATATTTCCTTACCAATTACAGTCTGTTGACCTGCTTCGTCTAGGTTTGGATGGACCGGATTCACCTCGCAGATCCATTGGGCTTCGCCTGCTGCCGCTGGAATAATGATTGGATTTGGGGTCCTGTGTATCTTTCTTCCATGCTTCAACTATATTGTTGATGCCTACTTGCCAGTGTGAGTCTAGTCTTTCTCCTGACCAAGGAAACAATGCAGCTGACATGATGCAATATAGCGCTGCTTCAGCTGTTGCTGCCAACATTATTCTTCGATCAGCTGTTGCCGCCGGCTTCCCTCTATTTTCAAGACAAATGTTCCAAAACATGGGGATTCAATGGGCTGGCACTCTACTCGGCTGCTTGGCCGCGATCATGATCCCGATCCCGATCATATTCAGGACTTATGGACCGATGCTGCGAGGGAAAAGCAAAGTTTTCTCGTAGGTCTCTTATACTTCAATGTACTCTTCTTTCATGTACTCTACCTCCATATAGAGAGCTCGGAGACTACACATCGAAGCCGGCTGTGATCCTAGATTGGAAACGTGCAATTTTTACAGGTGCTAACATTAAGCTAGCCCCGAATTCTATAAATCGTACAAAATGAAATTATATATCCCTCTTACTAAAGTGCTAGATATACAGTGTTATTTGTTAACCCTAGCCTAGAATACGAAGCCTTTAATATGTTAATGAAGGTCTCTATCATTAGTAGTATTTATGAATAACGCAGGGACTGTACCCTCATTTTAGGGCCATGGTTTGTTGAAATCGTGGGAATGGGACATAATTCCACAACATGACTTAGGAAAATCCGTGCAGATGTTTACCTAATTGAATAGTGAATTGTGGAATTCACTTCATGTTGTATTGATGCTTTTGGTCTGACCGAATACATCTATCTCATCATGGTATATTCCTATTTCCAGCCACAACCCTACGAGCACAAGAACAAAACTAAACAGTGCACAAAGGGATGAATGATCCCATGGCAACACCTGGCCGATGTTGATATTAGTGAGTCTGATGCAGAGCATCAGTGATCTTGATATTGAGTGATCACTTACGACTCGGCGGCACCACCTCCGCGTAGACTCATCATAACCTCCTCGGAGCTCTATAGATGGTGTTAATCACTTTTCTTCGGTAGGGTGGTTGATGATGATGGAGGGAATGGCGTGGCCACGTACACTTTCTCCGGAGACAACCAGGTCAGTGGAAGGAGCTTCCGGACTGCTGGGCTGCTGCTTCTCGACGATAGTGGTGGTTGCTTCATAGTTTGTTTCGGACCTCTCGGAAGCAAACTCCTCAGATGGGTAAAACATGCCGTTGTTGAACAACATTAGATTGAATAGTTCGTTTGAGGATGAATAAAAGGAGAAAGAGTGAATGAAAATATCAAAATTTTTGAAAAGTGAGAGGCTTGGGACCAGTATAAATACGCATCGATTCGAATGGGACAAGAAGCCCTGACATTGCAGTGACATTTATAGGCTTACAATCTTTTATTTTCATTAGAGACTTAGGCCACTGGGATTTTCATGCTCGTCGTGATGATTCGTACAGTCAAGTGTCTTAAAGCCTTAGCGGCTTCATAAGGGACCCTACAAGAGCGATAGCCATAAATCATTATGATGACCGCCTTAACAGATGCGGGGGTTCCGTGATTTCAGCATAGCCTTTTTCTCGGTCTAAGCTGCCTTCTTATTAGCCAGTCACATCAAATGGCTTACAAAGCTACTGTACGCTGTCAGTAAGCCAGCTTATCGTATCCCCTAAGGGTAAATACATCAGGAACCAATGCATCTAGAGGGGTTTAGCTTGCTTCATCGCTATAGCCCCACTAAATATAGTCGAGCCTCTATCTTTTCCGTCTCCTAGAATTACTAGCCCTTACTGTCCCAAGTTGCTCAGCCATCTCCAAGGCTGCTCTGGTAGATTTTCGACCGGAGTGTTCAATGTTCCGATAACCAGTGCTTTGGAATGAGTGATAGCGCCTTCCATCGTTTTAATACGGTGTGCTTCACCTCCGCCCATCTTCTGGAAAAAAATAATTAGAAGGGCTTAGGAAGTCATGCTTTTCAAGGATTTGCAGGAAATAGGGCTCTAAAGTCGTCGCTTGCTAACTCAACAGCGTAAGCGCAGATTTATGTCAAAGATCACTAAACCCAGGACATAGTATAAATTCAGACCGGTTGGGAAGCACTAATCTCGCCTTGTTAGAGCAACAATTCTTTGAACGGCAAGCACAATCTCATACGATTATCTGTGTCTTGATATGTCAGGGAAAGTGTTTCGGAGATAATTGAGCTCGGAGACGATTGAGCCAGGCCATACCATCTTCAAGTGTGTCCTGAGATCTCTAGGGGACCTATTCCTCCAGTTTCAATTCCAATCATTGCCCGCGACATCGACCATGGATTGAGTGGTGAATAACATTCTATTTTCGGACTCACAGCTCTGTTTTCCTGAGCTAAAGGCCTTTTTGAACTTTTCAATTACCGTATCTTTGAATACACTCTAGAAGGTCAGTAGTGGTGAGTCAATTCAAGCGATTAATATACTGCTGGGCCTTCCGTATTTTTTGCGGACCAAACAAGGGGCCTTCGGTTGCCTTTTCAAGGATTTGGTAGTTTCTATTCCTGGTCCAGGGTATATTTGGCTGTTCAATTGATCTAGATGAGGTAGTAATGTTGTCTCCACGAGTTTTAAGTCTAGAGTCGAGAGTGTACCTAGCCGAGATCACGGAGCCTGCTAAGCTGAGCAAGCTAGCAACACCGGCTAAAATGGAGAGAGGGTCCATTAAGGATGTCCTAGATGAGGCGACTGAAGTTTTTTATCCCGTGCTTGAAACACTAGGTATAAAAGCATCTCCGATTTCCTCTGAAAGGGCGTAAGGTAGAAAAAGAGCCTCGTGGGAAGAATGCTCCGCCACGGGTTAATACATGCATAAGAGACTCTGCCGACCCGTCATTTTAAATAAGCCGAGCGTGCGTATTTAGTCTCAAAACTGCATCAGCTACGTATTTCTAGCATAGCCATCTTTTTAAACAGCCATGGCATTACTACAGTTCATTAATTGCTATGATTAAAGCACAATTAATACTATATTATGATTAGTGATGTAGGCCGAAACAAATCAACGTTATAGCAATAACGAAAGTCGGCCTAACAGCATACCCGCTAAACTCTTATGTTACTGCTAACGAATAATTTTTTAGTTATATCATTCGTTTATGCTAAGTGATGCATTATCTTGAGGTTCATTGATGCTTGGTAAAAAAGGATCGCGCTAACCCTTTAGCTAAATGAGATATAGAAACTTATTAGATAAACAGCATTATTATCCGAAATGCTAGCAGTTTTGCATCTGCACACAGCCACCTTTGACACATAAATCTCCAGTACTAGCTAGCCATTGAAGTAAGTATCACTTTTCTTACTCCCGGTCGAGCGACGCTAAGGCGGCGCTCACTCATTTCTTACCTGGGCGACACAACCCTATTACTGGCCGCGTATGAGCCACAAGCCTAATGCGCACGTAATTTATCTGCTATCTGCTCGGTCTAGTCTGGTGGGGAAACGGATGTTCGCCGCTTTTGATCGATCACCCTGGAGTGAAAAGGGTGAGTGCATAATGAAAATGACAAAGTCTGGATGGGAATCAACGTAAGTCGCGCGACTGCAGTACCTGCCAAGCTTATTTATCTGAATCTCTAGAGATACTGTAGCTTTTGTTTCGACATGTTCGAGTTCATTTGAAGGGTGCATAGAGAGAGAAAAATTGTGAAATTATAGATGAGGGACTACCTAAGGCTATGCGAGTTTAACTTGGTCAATAAGGTTTGTCTTATGTGCTTAACCGCACATCTAAAGAGCTTCACTGTTTGTTTTTCTTGTTTTTCTTTCTCAAAGTCTGGTTGTCTTTGTACAGTATGAATGTATTGTCTTTCGAGATTTCGCATGTGTCATACACCTTACGGATTGCCCACCACTTACATAAATCATGATTTATCGACAATGATCTACACAAGACATAATGACTAGAACATAAGTATTTACTAAGGAGTATGATAGTGAGTTCTTTCTCGCGTAGACTACTATGGTTGCCCTAGGAGATTCTTGATATCAAGGAGACAAAAAGAACTACGATCGAGGACGGTTGCCGCCAACGAGAATGAAAAGGCAAAGCAGAGAGACTCCGCGACGCAGATCGTCTTTATCTCAGCAGCTCGGCCGAGCTTTAGCTCTAAGTCGTGCTCCAAAAAACAAGATTGCCAATGGTGCCGGCAGCCCAAAAGCCAACCCAATAAATCCAATCGTACTATTGCCCCATCCATACCCCAGCACCTCGTACATCCTCGGCGCAAATAGGGGAAACAAAAAAGCCGTCAGGCTGCGCACGAACTGCGATGCTGCACCCGCACTACCCGTGTATTCGGGATACGACTCCATCACGTACGCCTGCAACGGCATTCCCGTCATCTGCATCCCAAACATGCTGATGAAAATCCCAACATCGACAATCACCCAGTGCAACCGATTCTGAGCAGCCCATCCATACAGAAACAGGCCAAGAGGTCCAAGTAGCGCACCGGGGAATACTAAGTATAGCCGGGCCTCGGGTGCGTGCTCGCTGTTTGGACGGGAAGCTTGTCGACGGTATAGAACGTCCATTGCTTTTGCTCCGATCTGGCTTCCTGCGATTTCGCCCAGTGCGCAGGAAATATAGTGCAGGCCGCTTATCTCGACTGATTGTTGGTATTGGGTTATCCATAGGTCTGAGAATGTTGATAGGACAATGTATAGAATGCCGTAATAGAAAGCGGAGATCAGCGAGCTGATTTGTATTATTGGGTGGAAGGCGAGGAGTCGTAGCGGTCTTATCAATGCTCGACCGAGGACAAAGTAGGGTGATTTGTTTGAATGGAGGCGCTCATCTGCAGTATAATGTTGTTGATTGCCGGTTTCTCGGCGAAGACGCTCCGCCCGAGCCTTGAGAATAGTTGGTCCATGAGTTTCGTAAAATGCCGAAAATGAGACGAGAACCATCACAACTTGGAATATTGAGGTGGCCCAGAACATCCATCGCCAGGTTGTGCGACCGGCCATGAAGCCGCCGATGATGGGACCTAGAGAGCTCGTTTAGCACTTGTAGTCATAACCTTGGCGGGGATGCAAATCGCTTACCCACAGCAGCACCCAATAAAGGGATTAACAAATAGACTCCCAGGGAGCGGCCGCGCTGCTCAGGCCTCCATACATCGCCAAGCACACCACTCGCCAGGGCGTAGATAGAACTAGCACCGAAACCAGCCAGAAAGCGAGACGCAATGAGCATCTCCTTGCTATTCGCGAATCCACAGGCAATATTCCAGATCAGAAACCAGACGTTCGAGGCATGCAAGACGGGCTTTCTTCCGTATACTTCTGACAATGGGCCAATGACCAGAGGCCCGAATGCAGTAGCCAAAAGATAGATAGAGAGTGCCATGGCGGACTCTGCTGAATTCATGTTGAATTCCTTGGCGATTATGGAAAGAGCCGGTGCCATAATCGTCGATACCATGATACGATTGAATCCGGTCGCAGAGAGGACATCAGTCACGAGCCATTTGCGGCTCGTTGGCCAGTCTTTGGGGTTTTCTGCGTCATGGGGCTTAGCGAATGCGACTAGATACGGGTCATCTTGTTTGTCCTTTGTTGAGATTGAGCCTAATTCAATTTCTGGAACGGAAGATATGATATCTGGACGCGTCTGAGCATTTGTGTTGGCAGCCATGATGGTGCATGGGGATAATAGAGTGACTGGAGAGCACGAAGATTTATAAGTAAGACGCGGCTCGGGAAAGATCTGATATGAGTCAAGATGATCTGATAAGAGCTGCAACGTCACTAGACCGTTTCGGGTCTTATGCGTCCATCGTCATCGATGGATCGAGTATTGAGCGCTTAGTTCCGACGTGGCGCGACACGGATTCCGTCGCAGCCGGCTCTTTGACTTATACGAGTTGAGCTGCATGGAAACCCAAAGCAGCATACATACCGATGAGCATAAAGACATGCGGGATATCATAAAGCTTCGAGTGGTTGGCGAAAACGAAATACTTTAGTATTCCACATATCAAGCAATGACTTTTTTTTTAAACTGCAATTATAGAAATATGGGATTGTCTGTCACAAAATCTATATACATCCGAAACATATCAGCTGATAAATCTCCAATTCTATATTGCTGAAAGTCAATCATTTGCGCTCCAAGCTCGCAAGTACTTATACATGCATGGGCTCCAATTATCCTTCACTTAGTCGGTATTAGTATCAATGAAACTATCCACCGCCCAGCCATTAATCATGGTGTAATCCGCGTATGGGGAAGTTCCATGGAGGGTCTCGTAGTGCTTGCGGGGACCGCACTCTCTCAACTTAGTAGAGTTGGCGTTGACACATCGCTTCTGCATGATAGCGGCAATCTGCCGACCCGCATCCAGACCCTCGAAGTATGCACCGTGCAAGAAGCCAAAGAACGTAGGACTGGTCGCCTCACCGGCAAACCAGAGCCGGCCCGCATTGGCACGCAGGTTCTGGTGCATCTCGAGTGATGTGGCGGGTGGCCAGTTGGAGTAACTGCCGTGGGCCCAAGGCTCTTGGGTCCAGCGCGGGTACATGAAGGCAGTTGGCTCGGGAATGTCTTTCTCTGGGAACATCTTGCGCAGGACTGCCATCGCTTCCTTCTTGGTTTCTTCGTCGGTCTGACGCTCGGCCCGGTAGGCGAATTCGTTGGTCACGGTTACGAAGATGATGTTTGAATCCGGGAGGAAGTCAGGGGTGGAGAGTGATTGCCAAATTGGGTACCAGCCACGGGTGACTGGGTCCGCGTAGAGGTGATATTGGGTTTCCGAAGGCCAGAAGGTCTCGTTGAACTGGAAGAAGATCTTGGTGTAGGTTCCCATGGTGAACTTCTGGATGGCCTCCTGCTTCCAGTCTGGAAGTTCTGGGGAGAACTTGACAACGTCATTCTGTAGGACACCCAGGGAGAAAGTGACGATTGCATAGTCTGCCTCTACGCAGCTGCCATCCTTGTTGTGAACAGTAACACCATCATCTGAGTAGGTGATGTTGGTGACTTCGGTGTTGAGATGAAGACGTGGGTCATTTGTCTTAAGGAAAGTAGAAGCCTGCTTCTTGAAGATGTGATTGAAACCACGCTGGTCAAGCACAAAGTTGTCATGGTCACTGAAGTAGTTCGAGGTCAAGTTGTCTCCTGCACAGCCGAAAACAAGAGAGCTCTCCAGGGGAGTATAGGCATCTTCAAAGTCTAGTCCAATTGTCAACATCACAGTCAATTCTTTTTAAAAAAAAGCCGACTCACCCCAAGACCACCATTCAGTAGCCTGCGCCTCCATATCGAACGGCTTCGGATTCCAACCGGCCAGAGCAAGACCCGACTTGGCATTTTGATCTTGAAGATTCTGAGTGAGAATCTCACCAGCCATCTGATTAGCAATTTCATATGCATCCTCAAATTGATCAAGCAGATGGCTATAATCGGAATAACCATCTTTATTGTAAGTGGAAACATTGTCGTAATTTGAGTAGTGGGTCTTTAGCCCATATTCTTGCGCCTGTTGAAGATCAGCTTCCGTCCGATTTCTGATCGACCGAAACAAATTTCAAGACCCACCATGACCCAGATCGGATTTTGAGCTCCTCCGGGATTTCCAAGACCTTGCACCTGTGGATGTTAGCCTAGTCTTTGCACGCGAGGAAAACGGCACATACCCAATTTGCACCCATTTCAATGATATAGGGCTTCCCATTTTTATCCTTGCCAAATGGCTTATGCCAAGCACGGCCACCGATTGTATCGCGGTATTCAAGGATCGCAAAATCGTGAACCGAAGCATTGGTCAGTGCTTGCTGTGGATTGTCAGTGGGAGTTCCGAGGAACAAAGGGGAAATTCACTCACAGCAGCAGTTATTCCAGCCACACCACCTCCCCTAGAAGCTGTGAGCTTTTCTGAAAACCATTCGCAAGGGATGCAATACTTACAGAATTGCAACGTTGGTCTTTTTGCATGTTCCCTGGGATTGGGCATGAGGCACGCCGACAACAGGCTGCACAATACAGCCTGCTATAGCGGCCAAAAAGGAAAGGCGTTGCAAATGCATTATTGAGAAGACTTGAAGGAATTGGAGAGAAAAAAAGCGACCGGGAAATACTGTACACTAAATAGTCCGAATAGTTATCCACCATCATGGACCCACAAGAGCTGCAGCACATTGTTAAAAAGATAAGAATCCATCTGGAGACCAAAGAAGACGGTGATCTACAGGGCCAAGTAACTGCAACACCGGGAACTCCGATGCTTCAGCCTTCATTGGGTAAGTCCATGCGATATAGAAGAGTCAAATTATTTTGCGAAAATGCGGGGATGCTTTCAATTTCCTCTTAATCTATTTCTAATCGCTTTCTTATTACGTTTTGGTATGAAATTTCCAAGTATCTACAAGCAATGGTTATGAAGATGGCTGATTTTGCTCGCTGTCTTTGTCCCAAGTGGTTTTACCACCCCATCAGAGATCCTTTAAATGAACAAGGCAATTGGTTTCAATTGGTAATTCAACTGATAACCCAGCCTTGTGTCTTGGTCTCGCCCTAATTGAAATTCTCAAAAAAAAGACACATAATAGGAATCTCTTGTGTCACAGTGCATTGGCATCTACTTCTGGTAGATAGCTGTTGTATTCCATTATACAGAGGTTTTCGAGCTCTCCAGCTGTTAATCTATCGATTTATTCTGACCAAGGGGGACTGGCACACATCAGTAATATACTTCCAATCAATTCCAACGTTGCAAGGAGCTAATTATATCATATCCCTTCAACCTAGCTCCGTTGGACCTTCCAGTTAGCTGTGACCCCCCCATCTTGTACAATTGGTTCCCCAACTATTAGGGATAGAAGCCAAGGCTTCTGCAATCCCAGCTAAGCTCGCATTGGTGGCACTGAATGCCCCAAACGAGCCGCACCTACGAGACCCTACAAGCATAATTATCAATTATAACGCTCGCGGGCGATATCAACCGTTACCCTGAAGAATCCGAATAGGCCAAGTGTAAGCGAGATCATATCGAGATTGGGTCTTGAGGCCGAAAGTATGTTTGCGAGGGATCTGGATTGGTTCGATCGCCGTGGAATCGGAGTTTAGGTCGCGTCCGAACGCTACGTCAGGGTTTGTTTTGCGGGGCCCCGCGTTGGGGAGTTATTTCCAGATGATAGGTGTTGTCAATTGTGGGAGAGATAACGGGCGAGCGGAGCTGTTTTTTGGGGGGGGGATGTCTTTCTTCTTGTCCCCTTTATTTGGAGGTAGGAATGAATCAGCTATGCAGAACGAGGAGTTCGAGACTTGATAAAAAGAAGCCTTGGACAAGACTCAGATCAATTTTAGGATCTGGCAGAGAACATAGCCATCTTGAGCTACATGTGTAGGCTAGAGAGATAGAATCGGCTTTAGAGATATACACAATACAAACAGAAAAGATACACGACACCAAAGCCAAATCAGAAGCTTGACCGGCCGTTTTGGCACGCGAAAATATGCAGAAACTATCCAAGATAACAAAATCAACACCACACGGCTATGCAAACGGCCATGCCAGATGGCATCTGACGTTTTCCTGAACGCCAAACTAAAGATATAACAAGTGGAGGTAAATGGGGCTAGAGGATTATTCCGAGCCAAAATAAAGACTGAAACGAAAAGATATGCACATATCGCCTTCTTTAGCGGAACTCGTACGATGGGCGGACCATTTTTGTAATCTCTGGCTTGAGAGATAGTTGTTGGTAGGGTGAACTTCCTGGGTCGTAGTACAGGCCTTCGATGTGTCCGTCCTCGCGCCGGAGAGAGATGTAGTAGAATCCGGAGATGGTCAAGCCTTGACGGGCATCGGTGGGGGTGATGAAGCATCGTTCTGGGTACATTAGCAATGACGAATGAAGAAAAGAAGGTATATGTGTAGGTACGACTATTACTCACCCTTCCATCTCATCAGAATCCAGCCCTTGGATAATTCCTCCGTGACCCATTTCCGGCTCACGAGGTTTCGAGCCATCTCGGTATCTGACAGATCCTTGAATGGCTGCAGTTCTCGCCAGTATGTGCTATCGATATCTGCGTCTGCTTTGAAATTTTTGGTTTCCAGCGTGTGCTTGTTGAAGTCGATGATTTCACCTTCCAAAAAAGTCACGATGTGTGCATCGTGGGTGGGTGAGGTTTTGTCAGGAATGTTGTAGGCCTCCATTGTTCCCGACAGAGTCATTTCCTCGTGATTGATGTGGTGTATTGTGACTTTGACGGGCCAGTTCTCATCGCGGTTGTTGGCCACGTACCGGCGGCCACTCGTGGTGGACACGCTTACTCGACCGCTGCTATCACTTCCATTCACAATAACGGGTTCGCCGGGTGCGTGCGGACTGGGGACACGCTGCGACAACACGGAAGATCCGGCACTTGCGGCTCGTTGACAGCCCGAAAAGGTCATTCCAGATCGGAGCCAGGAGCACGCTGCTGGAGGTGCAATGTTCGGGGTATAAAGGATAAAATCTGTATCTCGCCAAGATTTGTTGTCCATCATGATCGGTAACCGACTGTCTGCCGCAGCATGCATGCTCTCTTCAAAGGAGTTCGAGTATCGAAGACGATCCAGATAGTTTATTGTTTCCTTCAAAACGTTACTTGGATAATTATCGGACTGTAACTGGCGATGGGCAGCAGCGCGAGCGCGAAGGTCGTTGTGGGTGGGATTTTGTGGGGTGTCAGCCCGATTGGAGGGACGATAGCGGTATGCGCGAGATGTAGACGCCACCGCATGATCATTATTATCTTCTTGCGCCAGGTCCGTATATCGATCCACGATGTAACTCTCCAGCGGTGTGCGAGTAGTCCTTGCAGTTCGAGGTTGACGTCTGGCATGTTGTAACAAGGCAGCCATAGCGGAGATCGGCGTCCGCGCGCGGTTGCTGGCGGTCAACGTCTCATACTCGTGGGGGATGAGTTGCGCGGGGCCTGGAGGCGAGTTTCGCGGAGGTCGTGCGGGGACTGTGCTGCGGGTTGAAACGATATGGAGGAACGGCTGCACTTGGTCGTCTTCGGATTCTTCCACCCTCGCAACGCCATCCTCGTCATCGGACCCAGGTGCCCAGCCATACAACGATCGGGAGTTGGGTACTCGGCCCTCGTAATTCGGCATATTGGTTGGTCCTTCTTCGTTTCGGCGGATTATAGGGATGCGATGATTGAGCTCGGTGGATGTGCGCAGATTGGTGGGATCGTCCACCTCCATGCGATCCTCGTCTTCTGGCAGCGGGTTGGCTGGATATCGTCGACGGCGCTGTCGACTCAGTGAGGGTAATAACGGATTGAAGAGAGCTGGGCGCGATCGTAGGAAGTTCACGTTGTCATCGTGCGCGTTATCGGTCTCCACAGGGGCAAGTAGAGGAATCGACGATCGAGGTGGAGGATCAGGCGGTGTCGAAAAGAGGCGAGGATTGCCGGGCTATAGATGAGAATAGCGATTCAATACTTGTTTAACTTGTTTAAAGAATATATAGGAATGCGATAGGATTGGGACGAACTGGTTCTGAGTTAGGCGGCATGATCGGAATCCGCCGTCAAGGAGGTGTGGGTCGATATGCCATGCGCAGGGATGTTACCAAAATGAATATGTGAGTTTTTTTTCCTGATGTTTGATGCAAAATATTGAAATTCCGAAAGAAACCCCCGAGGTATTGCGGGTTAAGTTAGAGATTCAATTTGATGAGTGGAGAGAATTCATATTATATGACGTTTTTCCTTTCAACCGGCTCAGGCTCCGATCAGGAGATTGGACTCCTACAACTCATTGACAACTTGAGAAGTTTTCATTCTGTACATACAATTACATTGATTCCATCAATTCTATATGTCAACATTATTATCTATCTTAGATCCTTGGGAAATTCGCGTGAAATCCTGAACATAATATGGCAATAATCTTTGGATTTCTATAGATCGGGCCTCTTTATTAGGTACATATGTACTATATAGCACTTCGATTGCCTTGAACAATTCATAATAACGAAATAACGCTACAAAGAGATAGGTTCTCCGGATTCTATTCCCTTTTGCTACGATGAATGTCCCCTGTCTTATAATATCATACCCCTGGACTTAGATAGGGCAGACCTATATGTTTAGTAATGTAGCCAACCACAAATATATAACCATCGAAACACATAAAGTGACATTCGTATTGACAATGTTTAATAAACTGAAAAGATCAAATGAAATATCTTGAGACTACTCCCGAGGTCTATAAAAGAAGAAAAAGTATCACTTAGCAAGTACATATATGGCTACCTATACTAATCTCTACTTTGGCCTAGACATACACGCCATATATCATAAGAAATCTTAGATCCGAGCCCCCTATTGGCTCACATACCGAAGATTGTATGTATGAAATCCTTGAACACTTGTATGCCGGTAAACAGATTCCGAACATTCTCCGCCTCTTCGGCAAACCGGTTGTCGCGTCAAGTATCTATGTAACTGAAATTCTCAGTTGATAGGTCTAATCACACTCGAACTCACTGAGCCTAGTACCGTGATCTGCCCGACAGATGGATTGGTTAGCTCTTGGTGGCCCATTGAATAGTTGCGACCCCGTAACTGCCTGGTGGCTGATATGTCCGTAACATCTATCTCTTGATTTGTACTTGAAGTTTAACCGGTAAGTTTATAAAAATATTATAAAGAGCTGAAGCAAGGAGTAAACCGCGAATAATACTTCCATGTACGATGATAGCTATATTACGCCATAGCGTATGTATCTTAGCTTGGACTCATCTTATCTAGGCGATGACAGTCTGTTGTGGAGCTATATGCATAGTGCAATTACCACCAGCAGCGATTAGGCATTCTAATTGATAGAGCATAGCGGGGTATGCTTGTTATGAAGGTATGCATCGGCCTACTAGACTGTATTCTATTCAATGATTAGCAAAGCTACTAGGAACATGCTAGTCCTTACTTTAGTGGGTTGTGCTGAATATGATCTCATACTGCATGCAATCTAGGAATGAGGAAAGACCTATCATAAAATGAAAAAGAAGAGCAAGACTTAAATACCGCAACAATTGCCTTCTAATGCGAATTTTTAACATACCTCTACACACTTCCAAGTTCAATTTTACCAAAGACGAATTGCTCCTGCCTAAAATGCCTGCCCTTTCCAAAGGTACACCTTGCCCACCTTTTTCTTTAGAATGTGCTGACATGTAGTTCCTTCCTTTCAGCATCGGATATCGCTGTTAGTGCCTGGAGCTCTCAAAGTCATAAAATACTCCTCTACGGCCAAAGTGATGATGGTATGATTCATGAGTATAAATATGACGATGGAACATGGACCCACCTAGGACATGTTGCAAAAGCGCGGCCTGCTACTCCTATTGCTGTCACCAGCAACAGAAAGGACTGGGTGGGTAGTCTTCCACCTAAAGTTACCATTTTTTAGAGCCCCAATTAATCGATACGGTCCAGATCCGGGTTTTCTTCTTAGATGAGCATAGACGTGTTGTTCAAGCGGCCAACAAAGGCAGTAGCTGGGAACTCAAAGTTTGGCCAGTAACTTTGCATGCTGCCTCGCGGCTTGCAGCCCGCAACGATGGGGACAAAGGTTATCGCGCTTTTGGACAAGCGGAAAATGGCGACCTTATTGAGATGAGTATGTTCCCTATCTAGCTGTTTGGTTTCTAGAAATCAAACGCTAATACGCAACCTCTATTATGCTAGCTCGCAATAAGACCTCATTCTCCTGGAAGGTCATCTCCAAAAGAGCAGTTCCAGGGACCTGTATTGCGGTTCCTCAAAATGGATTGAATAGGTGAGAATGAAGCCACCCAAGATACTTAAGATGCTGAGCTAGGCCTAACAAATGCTCGCAGGCTCTACTTTTCCCAAGTACCCCAAAAGTACGAGAACAAGGACCTTTTCGACATGTTCCCGGGCCTAAAAAACGATATTTGTGTCAAGGCCGCTAAGAGTGTGACTGACTGGGTGACCAATTTGATTCCTGCTCAACAGCCAGATATGGAACTGGTTGCATACAAGTCAGATGGGCCTGGATCTCCATGGACTAGTACTACCTTGGCCACTGCAAAGCCAAATATGCAGATTGCGGCCACCGACTGTGAGCCTGGGTTGGATCTTCTTTATACGAACCATGGTAAGGTCTATGAATTGAGGAAAGATGGTTTTAAGGCCGATATTTCTGACGGCCCCGTTGCTATTGTGAACCGAGGCGGCAATAAAGTTGCCGCTTTTTGGCACGATGCCGAGGATCCAACGAAGATCGATTGGGCTGAAGGTACACCTGGTAGCTTGCATTCGAGGAGAGCTTTTAACTAAGCCCAATTCGGTATTCTAGGCAGAGGAGTTGGAAGGCTCAGATTATATGTAGAGATTTTGAAATTCTTCCGATGGAAGTCAATCCTTTCACCACATACTCAATCCCAACTATTTGCCAAACTTTGGAGCGTATAATCTTATCTAGCTGATTCTAGAACCTTAGTCTAAGCCAGTCTGTAGGTAATCGAGGACCCGAGGAACCCTTCTGCCCAGGAGTCTAAGATTGTGAAACGCTATCTGTGCGTGCTACAGGGCAAAAGATAAGGCAACGATAGCCCATATGGAGAGTAAGGGCAATCACCTAGCTATTTCAGCTCTGAAGCAGTCAGTCACTGATATACGATTAAGCTTTTATAGATCAAAATTTTGCCGGATGCCAACTGGGCCAAAGAAATATCATACCTCTTCTGCAGCAATCAATGACTCCCAAAGCTCAAGCGGACCGATGCGGCCTAGGATACCGAAATATAAGACACCGTGATGGAAGAAGGGCCAGATAGTATCTGCGCACCTATACCAGTAGAGAATGTCGAAGAGTGTCGGCCAGACCTTTGGAAGCAGAGCGCAAAGGGAGTATGGTCAACAAACAACGATATACCTTGCTAGTCGGCTGACTTAAAAATATGTTACGGTACACTCTATAACGTGAGGTTGTTGTTACGACCCCTGCAGCCACCAACTAATTGAGGGGCCGCAACTTACTGATGGGCCACCGAAAGCCAACCAACCTTGAAGTCACAGCATAGTGTTTGCCTTGTTTGCACGTAGATCTTCCAGGTTCCAGGGTTTTCCATACGTCTGGAATAGGAAAGTCCCAACTGGCAGAGGAAATCAAGTACGTATAGTGACTTAGGTACAGCGGAGCATCCGGGCACTGATAAACAGTTCTCTGATTGGGTTTCCTATCGTACTACGCTTGACGATCGGACTGTACATGTGCTAGGATGTATAGCGGCTCTTGGAAAATGGTAGTGTGGACGTTATCCCGCCTAATACCAGTCACTGTGTTGTCTCTTGTATCTGCGTGACAGTCTTTTGGACTGATGAGAAGTAAGTGTAAATCTAGTAATTGCACGAGCATGTAAATAGAACAAATCTAGACGCTATCTAATCAAAACCCATTCCAAGAGTCCGGAGGTGCATCCATTCAAAGTCCCTGGAAATTACCTTGCGCAGCGTTGCAATCGTCAGCTAGCTGGACACATTGGAGGATAATGTCCCAGAAGGCATCTAGATCAACGCCTCTCGGAATAGCAACGCCTGGGCCATCAACTGGAGCAGCGATCGACCGCCCCAGTTGTCCCGTAATGGATACATCTTTACCGTGCTGTCCATCCGTGACAATCTTCAAAGCGAATCGTTCCCCGCCTCTGTCGTCGAAGTTAAGAACTTGATTGGGGAGGCTTTTAGCAAATGTTGGGTTCAAATTCGACAGGATCACAGCCACGGCAAGAGGATCATGTAGTGGAGGACCGGTGGTCAGCCCAAATGCTTTCTCATACGTTGCAGCGAAGAAGGTGAGCAATGCATGCAAGATCTGGCGAAGAACGGTGGGTTCCTTGTCTGCGTGGACCGAACCATGCAAAATACGGGTTTGAACAGCCTGTGAGGCTAGAACCTGATGCGTAAGATCCAAAGCAGCGATAGTGGTTTTCGCGGCAAGAATAGGATTGCTAAATATTGACTCTGAAGCCTCCGGGTCACACTGCGGTAGGTTTCTGAATTAGACATGAAGACAGAGGGATAATTTTCTTAGGGTAGAACGAACATAGATGTTAAACTCAGCCCATGGTGTCACATTGCCAATTCTAGACCTCTCACCCGCGAGTCGGCTCATGGGCGCATCAGTAAATCCTCCCCCGATGGCACCACCCATAAGGCTTAGTCCCTGAATGTGTTCTGCAACCTCAGGAAAGGTTGCAAACAGCAAGGCCACGTTAGTCAGGGTTCCTGTTGCAACCACCCATGAAACACCTTTGGGTTGCGCCATCAGGGCATCTCTCATGGCCACAATGGGGTTTTTATCGGTGATGGGTGCTCTTATGGCCTTAGGGAGAAGGTCGGTACCATCAAGCCCGGATTCGCCTAAACAATTGTCACTAAAATTGTATATTTCTGCTCACCATAAGTCTTACCATGGATATCTGGCGCATGCATAGCGGCACGCGAAAAGGGCTTCCGGCTACCAGGATAAACCGGAATATCAGGCTTGCCAATGGCTGTCAAGATACTGCCCGCATTGGCAGTTGTGTTCTCTAAAGATGCATTTCCATGGACGGTACTAATCCCAAGAAGATGCAAAGAAGGATGATGAGCAGCGATCAAAATTGCGAAGGCATCCTTCTAAATATCAGCTCCAATCTCTGCTTTTCACTCTTTATCTGAGAGAGATTCGTAGCTTACATCGTGGCCTAGACAGCGTTAGTGATTGGTAATGCAATATGAGGATAGTAATTACCAGGGTCGCAGTCCAACCACAAGGGAATAGGGCTGTACTGATTTGATAGCCTTGTCATGATGTCTGATTCAGAATGATGAAGATTTTAATCAAGAATCAAAAGAATCAAAGGACCAACTCGTTCAAGTAAACAAGATCCCCGCATCAATGAAAGATGATAAGCCTTATCTCCCAGCCCTAAGCCCTACTACCTAATTAGGTATACAATTCAACTCTCGATGGTACTTGCGTTTAGTCTCTACAAAACAGGGATTCCCTTTGTTGTTTATTAAGAACTGTCGAACCAACTTTGAAGATCCTATGGCTATGTTATGAGATGACCGATCCTCTCCGCCCCGGCCTTCAGCCGATTTCCCATCTCAAGGCTGGGCCGACGACCTCCAGCTCGAGATCCACCGCGCTGCCTTCCCCGACGACGCTTCAGCCTCCATCACGTCCGTCCTCACGACTGCGTACACAAAGAGCTTCCAGTAAAGATGATCCAGATGCGACCAGCGAAAAGGCCACCACTGCCCTGATAAGACGCATCCTGTGTCCCCAGACCAGCAGCTACGGGTCGTCTAATCCCCAGCCTCCGGAAGAGCTGTTACCTCCCCTCACGAGCTCCAATGACGTCGACCGTCAACTCTACGCCCTCCTTGCCATTATAATAAAAGAGTTCGTCTATTCGTGGTACTCGAAAATTACTACCGACCAGGCTCTTGTGAATGAGGTCCTACAAGTAATCGCGCATTGCACGCGTGCACTCGAGCAACGGCTGCGCCAAATCGATGTCGCACGATTGGCCCTGGACGAGATTCCTGCGCTGGTGGAAGCACATGTACACTGTGAGACTTGAAAATTCCCTTACTCTTCCTTTCGGCGTTCTCGGTTATACCTCACAGAGGGAAAAGTTTGGGGAACCGGGAAACTTTGTGCTAACTCTGTGGACTTGTAGCATACAGACTGGCCAGGCAACGGTCACATCTTTCAGGGCTACCGACGTCGTACCGTGCGCTATATCATGAGTTAAATCCACACCCTGGTCTCTCTCCGGTGCCTGATACGGCGGATCCAGATACAATTGCCGAGCAAAGTGAAAATGAAGCAGTCTATCGACGGTTACTCGCAAACGGTAGTCTGGCAGTTCTTCTACCTACCGAGGACCTCGAGAACACTAGTCTTCGAGCGCTGGTAGTCGATGTGATAGCGGACCTCATTTTGGGGAACCAAATCAGCGGCAGGGCTTGCGAAGGTTTCTTCATATGGGAAACTATAGCCAAATTCGCCGCTCGAGTGGGACAGCGTCAATCATCGGATGACTCCAAATCCGGGCCGGACTCTCAAATAAACCGATTAGAGAAGTTTGGCTTGCTCTCGGCCGAAGATGAGGTCCAGCCATCGGCGTCATTCCCAGCCACCGCCTGGGTATGGAACGTTTTGCAAGCCATCTCTTTTGGCTACGTCGTTTTGCGTTTCATTGTGTTGGGCTTATTACGTGTCGCATCGAGCCCAGGCCCTTCGCATGGTGTTGACGTTTCAGTTGCCTCCACAGCATTCGGGGGACAGAAGAAAGTTAGGACAGACTCGAACGATGTCAAAGGTAAACGGCCAGTTCTGGACTATAGGATGTATTCCATGGTCTCGGAGATACTGGGAATACCTTGGAGGATGCCATGGTTGAGCGGATTGCTCGCTCTATTCCAATACCTAGTTCTGGCAGGCCCAGGCAAGGTCGGTGAGGCAGACGGAATTCTTGACAGGTGAGTTATGTGTGCTATTTTCTTTGTCTCAGAAGTATTATCCTTCCCTGCAGCCCTCAAGCCTTCTCCTCGGGGCTCGGGACTACTTGGAAATGAACAGTCGACTGTGGAGCAACGGTTTTGATCTTCTGAGCCACGATCTTAGGGTCAAGTGTCACATGTATGAGCCAATGTGGTACAGTGAGCGTCTTGCTCGCATACTACATCGATCACTTGACCTATCTGTAACCCTGGGAAACGGCTGTATTACGGCTTACGGTCATCTTACGATCTTACGGCATCCTTACTGTACGGTCATTACCGTCAGGCTTACTAGGCCTTCCAACATAAGATTGGCTGCCTTCGACTTGGCCCAAGCGAATTTCGAGTTTCGAACAGGGATGGGCTGCTCGTCCGCGTCGCTCTCGTTCATTTTGCTCTGAGAGAGAACTCTTAGATGTGCGCGATAGCGCCCGGGCCCGGCCCTTTCCGTACCGCTCTGTCCACTCTGTTTACGCAAACCTTGAGTTTCCGACATGTGCCAACTTTCGAACCATCGATGTTCAGAGAACTACGAATGAAAATCATCCATAAATCATCCATATTAGTTCAATACGACCTTGGCAAGGGAAAGGGGCTTACCACGCACGAGCGAAAGAGAGAGGGGCAAAACTTCAACTGGTGCCGATCATTTCATCGGTGGAACTATACTTTCTTTCGGCGCTTGCATGAAAAAAAGCCTCGCTAGTGAATTAACTGGTTTCGGTCCAATGAGCGAAATTCATCTCGGAATTCGCAAATTGGCCGAGGTTAGTGCATGAAACCCGCTTGTGCGCCAGGTACACACAGCTATGCTAGCCGCTACAGAGGGGGCTATGTCTTTGGCATGCCTTAAAGGAATTGAATCCCTGCAATGGCTGGCCCAAGCTCCTTTCAAATCTCTTAGGCATAAGTCAATCTTGTTCCGCCTACCCCCGCTCTATACGATTGATCCTGGTTCTGGTCTCATGTTAAGAACTAAAACATACGCCAAAACAAAAAGGCACAACGTTCCGGGCTCCACAATCGAGGTTCATTTCTGTTTCGCTCTATTGATTTTTTTGTTGATTTTCATTTCTTCCGACGTCATGGTTTAAAATATGCTGACTCCACAGATTCCTCCGAGAAACCATAGAGGAGTACGTGCTAAGCCCCACTTTGTTGCCCAACCTCCTACTCGCGACGAGGACTGCGCTATTTCCCGCCAACACTCGTCCATCATCTCAGATAGCGGCCGTCAATCCTGGAGGCGACAACAGTGGCGATCAAACTGCAAGCCGTCTAGCCTCACTTTCCTCCATCGCAGCCGATGCCCCATCCAATGTGCCGATCAAACGGGAACAGGGAATCCATCCATCCAAAACGGCGATCGCCTCTATCAAGCGGGAATGCGCAACCCGTATTCTCGGTATCATGCCGCGCACCGCAGCACGAGCCTTCCTAGGTGTCCCCTCGTCGGAACCTCCGCCAAGCTACAGTGGTGATCGTACCTGCAGCAACACCAACACTTCACGCTCCCTCGCCATTTCGCCCCCAGCGCCCTTTGTCGCTAGCGGGGATCTGATGGCGCCTCAAGGGAATGATCCCCCGTTATCATCGCACTTGTCGGCGCCGACTCCTCCCGTTGCGGAGGGTGGCCACATTGCCGCTGAGCGGCTGCACACAGACAAACAACCCGGAGTCGATCTCGAGGAGCTGTATCTCCTGGAAACAATCGAGAAGGATTTCCTGGATGTATTTGCGGATAGTTACTGCAACAAACATCTCATCTACTCTATCATCGAGATGGTGCTGGCCAAGGTACTCCCTGAAATGACGGAGCGCAGCGTCCAAGACTTGATGGAGGATCGTGGGGTGGCGTCAGCGCCCCCTGCCTTCTAGTAGTATTTGTATATATCTCTGTTTGTTGGATTTTTTAGTAGCACCAAAACTTAAATTTTAATGTGATATGCTCTACCTATGACCAGCATAAGCGCCAAACCCAAGAAAAACAAGATATTGGGGTTAATTGTAAAATGAACAAGATGAGAAATCGGGGTATAATAGAGTGCCGACATGAGGGTAAGTGGGAATAAACAAGGGAAACAAAAAGACTAAAAAGAAACCTGCTAATCTGACATGCGGGTTCATGTATAAGGGAACCATGGGACATTATGTTATTTCCGCGTGAGCGGCCCAGTATAAAGAAATTAAGAAAGAAAGAAAAAGAAGGAAAAGAGTGTAAGAAGATGCAGTACAAGGGATGAAGATGAAGAATGAGTAAGGAAGAAACCAAAATGCAAGAAGAACAGGGGGATATAGCGTAGCAAACCAATAGCACAACAGTAAGCATTGAAAGCAGCAAAAAGCAAAAGGCCCGAAGAAAATGAACATGATAGAATGGTATTGATGGCGCGGGTAAAACTCCCAGGTCGGTAAGCGTTTGTAGTCGGTAGGGTAGTTGAGTCAGTAGAGTCAATCCAAATCAATAAAACAATTGAAGTCAGTAAGGTCAATCCAAGTCATATGCATCCATAGACCTCGTTGAGGCCGGAAATGCTCCGGGTGTGCTCCGAGATCCGTCCCAAAGGGTAGATAGTGTGAGGTTGCCCTCTGAACATTTGTATGTATGCTTCTTTTTTTGTTTTGTTTCCCAGGCTTTGTCCTTGTCAGGGTACCATTGCTGGAAGGAAAGGAAAGGAACGAATACACAATCGTACATATATGCATGAGAACAAGAATGAAACGGAAGCGCCCAGGAAATGAAATAGGGAAGAAAAACCAAGGGGGAATCACAGCAAGGGGGAAGAAGATGCTGCAAACAAGAAGGCTTGGGGGCAGCGCAAAAGGATAATTGGCAAGGCAGACAATCAGAACAAAAGACGCACACTCATCCCAGGTTGTGGATGCTCCGCTTCTTTCGCAAGCGCGGGCCACCATCGTCGTGGTGCTCGTCAATGCGCGGCAGACCACTGAACATCATCCCAGCCTGGCTCCTAGTCAGGTCGAGTCTCTCCATCAGCTTTCCCATGGTGAGGTACTCGTGTGCGGCCAGGCCGGCGGGCTGGTGGTCGAAGTAGCTGAGGACCAGTTCGAGGGCGCGGCGAGCCTCGTCTTGAGTTGGGGAGCATGGGGAGCTGATTGGCGATATGGTGCTTGACTTCGGCGGGGGAGGCATGCAGCTGGTTTTTAGTTCTGGTCTAGTGGCTTTTATTTCTGGGTCGCTGCGGTTGCGCTTGATGACGTTTGAGACGTTCGGGGTTCTGAAGGACAGGAAGGACTTAGACTCGTCCAGTTCCAGGGGAGATTCCAGGGTGGAGACTGAGGCGGATTGAGTTTCGGGTTCGTCTTTGGGGAGCTCCATTTGTTCGTCGGCTGAGAGGAGTGTTGGGTCGATTGGGAGGGGAAAGGTTTGACTGCGTGGTCGGTTGTTGTTGGGGAGGCGGGATTGACTGGTTGGGGTAAATGGGCTGTCTGAGACTAGGGTTGAGGTTGGGCTTATCATTCCCACTGCTGAGTCGGGTGAAGCTGTGCTCTTGGAATAGCTGTGTTGTTGGTACAGATCAGGCATGGCGTCCGTGATGTCCCGCTTGATGCCTTCATGGCTTCCCGGGGACAAGGGAGAACCAAACGCGACGGGAGAAGTTGGCGAGCGTCCTGTTGGGCTTTGCAGGGCAGATCCAAAATCGGTGTTGATCCTGGATGGGCTGTTTGAATTGCTTCGGTTTTGAACGGACCCTCTGCGCGCCTTTGCCCCAAGGAGGTTGTTCTTCTGTTTGAACTTTTCCAACCAGGCAGTACTACAAACCTTTTCTTTGCCCTCTGGACACCCGCAGGTGCTGGCGAAAAAGATAGCTTTTTCTTTGATCAACTGGTCGGTCAGGGGATATCCAGTGGTTTGGTAGTTTCTCGCCCAGTTGGACAGCGCTTTTTCAATATCGGGGACTCTTCCCTTGGCCCTCTTGATAGGAGATCGACATCCATCATCGGGGTTTAAATACTTCTCTTTCTGGCGTAAGACTTTCGAAACTGTGCTGGGATATGTTAGACTTCATCATTTTTTTCAAAAAGAAAACACAAAGAATGTTTCAATGTAATACCTTCTTTCCACGCCAAACAACGCTGTAACGAGTCAGCCATAGTCCTGTAAACATTTCAATCTGAACAATGTGCTTACCTCCAATATCAGTCTGTTTGGCAGTCTTGTTTTCCTCGTGATATAGACACATTTGCCGACGATCTTCATCGGTAAGTGTTCTGCGAGGCGTAGAGCCTCCAGTAGAGGTCTTCCGTATTTGCTGCACAGGAGCAGTTGGCGACATGGAAGTCGGGGCGGGTACATTTTGCAAAACAGACTCGGGAAAAGGCGAATGTGTTGCGAGCATGCTAGGCCAGGATGAAGGCATGGAAGGCATGGAAGGAGCCACTGACAGTGAAAGTGGCATAGTAGCATAATGCGGCGGGATGGACATGCCATACGAACAATCCACGGACATCATGGGTGGTGGACCAAAATCAAAACCACTATATTCCGGCATTGGAGGCGAGTGCTGGGGGGAAGCGAAAGCTCCTACTTCCACCCATGGTGAATGTGGGAATTCGCCGTCTGCGGCATGGTGAGTTCCCGTTTCCATATTGGATTGATCCTCCATCGACGATTGCACAATCTCTTTGATCTTATTCTGTGCTAGTGGGGTTGTAGGTAGACTCGATTTCCGAAGCAACAAAGAAGAAAAGGACGACAAAAGAAATCCCGGGGAACAATGAGACAATCTAAGAGTGAGACAATAAGAGCTGATGCATGTTCCAGTTGGTGTAGACGTGTATAAAATTACCGGCGAGATTGAGAAGAGGTTGTAATGACCCGAGATGAAGTGTGAGATTATTGACTACCTCCGTAAGAATCAAGGTAGTAACAAAGCCGATGTATTCAAAGTATACGGGGATATGCAGGAGGGGAGGTAGAAGTAAGAGCGGGTAAGGCAATGTAGTTAAAAGAAAAGGCCAGGGCCAGGGCGATCAATATCGCGTGGATTGGCATAAATTGGATCTCGATTACAACTGGCATAAGAAAATCACCAGTCCGGAGAAATCCATGATAACATTAGGAGAGAGAATGGTAGTCTGATTATTGTGATTGGACTATGAGGGCGAGAAAAGGAAAAAAAAAAGGGATTTTTCGTGAAAAAAAAACAAATTAGAATTTGGAATAATATTCGTTATATTATACATTTCAATATAATCATACAGGTATACATACAATACAACGTACAGAATTAATTTCAGTTGGAAAATAATCCCTGTCATAGAGGGGGAAACGGCATTTGGTTGGTTGGTAGTGCGATATATTGCGGCAGGGGTTGCATCTCGTCAGGCCTAATCCGTGGTATTACGGTGTAAAGGTGTAAGTTGTAAGAATATGGAAATCTGCTATATCCTAGCGAGTATTTTTCTCATTTTTAATTATTATTAGTAGTAGTATTATTACTTTATCCTTGTTGCTGTTATTATTGTTCTTATTATCATTATTGCTCTCGCTATATTTTGTTTCTGGTTATTCTTGGCATTTTCACTTTTCATGGAGCCCTATTCATCCAGGCTCATCTCTACAGGGATGTTTTTGGACGGGCAATATAAAATCGATACCCAACATCCATTCGTACATCTATGTACCTAAAGATGAAGGGAGTTGAGAAGAAGAAAAGCCCAAAAAAGCACGAATAGACGAAACACACAAGGCGTATATATAACTCGGCGTCACCGATCAACATTGGACACTGAAAAAACCTTGATCAATATTTGACGGCTGTCTAATCCTTCATATGTGGCTGACCGTTTTCCGTTTGGGTTATTAGTGTTGCGGAGGGTCCCTCTTGGACGAGGCCAAATCACGGTCGATCATCCGGAAAGGGAAGCAGCGAGGAACGAGGTTCGCTGAAAGTGCAAAAGCTCGGATCATCGTGGATATATTTTGAGCCCGCGAACCCCGACGACGGATCGAGAACCGCTGAACCTAAAACCCGCATGATATACAAGGTAAACATAACTAGAGGGCGATCAAATTGAACCGGGATACCAGGGCAATAGCGGCAATGGACAAATATTATCGTCCAACGCATGGGTTTCATCCGAAAGTCTTTCAAAACTGTTCAGTCGAATGAAGAGTCCGACATTCACAATTCTAGTCTCTCATGTGACATGTGTCAGCACGGTTGACGTGGTAGCGAGAAGAAATTGAGAAAATGAGGAAAGAGGACGGGTCCGAGATCTTAATCTTGTCCAGTGAATCAACATTCCATGATCGGGGAGGGAGAGCAAATTTCCTAGATTGGATGGCAGTGAAGGTCCAAGGGACTCCTACCAGATTGGGGGGATTAGGGGCTAGATAATGGGAGGTGAAGGACGTGCCGATCTTAAAGTTTGGTATTTACGGTGTAAACCGCATCAGACATCCATCAGAGATGACACGGCTAAAATGAGAGTAGTTTAAAAGTAGCAAATAAGGAGCTACAAGGATCATCTCTGGATGGACCAATCCGATGTAGAGATTGGCCTGCGGTTGATACGGCCGATACAAGGGCCGAACAAGAAGTTGGAGAACCGTCCTATCATAGTGTGTAGAGGGCAATTGAAGATTCTACAACATAACTATAACATATGGAAACCATGGATGTCAGTGAAAAGAGGGGAAACCTTTCCCCAAATGTCTCAATTTAGTTGGATTTGCTCCCGCTCTCTCTCTCTCGCTTTTCACTTTCTCTCGGACTATCTGTTCCTTTCCGTTCGTTCTTCTTTTCTTTTTTTGATGTATCTCAGCCCTCATTTTGCTCCACTGACCCACTGCGGTCCCGGCCCGGCAACCTTCGATATTTCTTACATTTCCATGTAACTAACTTGTTTTTGTGTTTTTCGGGTGACCATAGTACAAACTGAGTGGAAACTTTTTTCTAGAATTACTGTATCACCAATTGGATATAAAAGGACGCATACGAAACGTGAAGAATGAGGCAAAAATGAAAAGCAGAATACCGTTCTAGTGTAAGTATCATGCCCTATCATATACTCCGTATACTCCGTACTATTCCCTCATATCGAACGGGATACCTATTTGGACGCGGTCTAGTAAGTAAATACTACCTAAATTTTCAATACTCAAGTGTTCGACACGAGAAGTCCCCACTTGTTCGACTCAACCCACGAGGAAAATGTCAAATTCGCCTACTATTACTAAATTATACTCTACGAGGCTTCTCGAACCTTGCAGTTTTGACATGGAATGTTTGAACAAAGATTGCCTCAGAAAGAAAAGAAGAAGAAAAAGAAGAAAAATTGCAAAATCAAGGTTACAACCGCAGTTTTGGACAAATCAACGTAAATTCCCAGGCTGGTTAGTACCTGTTTGACGCTCGACACCAAGTGCTGATTCGGTCGCAGTGCCAATCATCATGCTTACTGCCGTCGGCTTTGGTGCTTTGCGCCAGTACGATCGACCAACCAAAAAAAGAAATATCTGCGAAATTTAAATTGAAATTTTGAACGAATCACGACTGGCCGAACTAGTTGAAAGTTGAAATAAATTATACAAGATTGTACCCTACATGATAGGAAATGCTAGATTTCCCCAACAATCGCCGAGAACTGTCACACCGATCGATACTTATACTTAGCCCATGAAATCGTAGTCGATCATAGGCTGACGCCATTGATTTCTCGGAGGATTTGCAACGGACGTCTTGTCAGCACACAATTGTTTCGTTTTTTCGTAATTTCGGAGCTAAAGAAGGAACAAGTAGTCTAGACCGGTCAGAATTCAAATCGCCTGCCTATGGACGGGCCAATTCGTATAATTACCTCTTCCCATTTGGGCCGTTATTTTCTTGGCTGTCAAAGTTCTGGGAACACATTGCCGTTGGACAAATTCAGGGACTATCGGACACAACTGTAGGCAAATGGAGTGTTGCAAGGATGTACAAGCTTGAGTCAGGTACCGATCGACATGACCTAAGACAAAACCTGCCCGTTGTAATCCTGCCCGGGCCAACTCCGGGTGTCAAATGGTACGGAAACAATCTATTCTGACCGATGGGGATAGTGGGGGTGGATATGTTTGTCGGAATATTTTGTTACTAGTCATATGGACTTTGTAGAGACGAACCGCTATGTAGAAGCTTTTATATAACTATATATATCTCTTTTACTTTCAGAAGTAAAAATAAAAATGTAAGCCTACTTAAATTCCATGACATAATAAAGGTAGTACCTCGAGCCATGGCATCCGGGGAAGAGCATGGCTTCATGCAATGCAATGCGCAATGCGACGGGGATGGCGGATGGACCCTCCATAAGAAGAGAAAAATGTAGCTCTGCCGGGGGCTGGTGTCATAGCAGTCACCTGATGAAGCTTCTGGGTATACAAGTATAGTCAGTACGTAGGTGCGGAGTACTCGGTAACTATATTGTATGCATTGGTAAGTATACGGTACGGAGTATAGTATGCCCAGCCGCCGATCGTGAATCTAAGGACGGACCAGATCGTGAACAGCCCCCTTTTAGCCCCCTCTTTTGTCATGAATCCTTTATCGCACTAGATCGACAGACTTATGGGGACTTTCTCCACCTCAACAAGTCCCCGTGAAGAGAGGTTCATGAAAGGTAACTAGTAACTTCAGCTCATTGGAGTATTATTGTATGAGTCTAACCCTATCTACTGACATGGATTTACGATATATATAGTACCTTCAGGGTAGATACCAAGTGGAGTTAATCAGATAAACGTTTCTAACTCGACTAATATCTACCTAAGGCATACACCGCTTGTTGGATTCTTAGCTGCAAATTCCGGTTTGCCTCCTTTCGTTTTTTGCTTTTTCTCTTTGTTTTTTTCTGTTTGGTGGATTTACTGGATTTACTCAGATAGTACCTGTGGCATGCAGAATGCGGTTTGCATGTCAATCTAGTGCAGATCTGATTTCATTCCCAATTTTCGGTTACCGAGGAGCTAACGAAAGAGAAGCTAACATTTTGAATACAACAAAACGTGCTAGAAGTTGGTTGACAAATAAATCCCATTTCGATTGCATCTTGATTCATTATATTTTTTGTGGGCCAGCACTTAGTATGTAATTTTTGAAGATGTATAAACCTATCGGAAGCCTGACCTTGGGGTTATTTTCTCAAAAAGAACTTAAATGTAGATAGCCCGAGTGCTCGTGGGCATTTGTTATATACGCGTCCATAACCACGGTTGCCGAAGTTATTAGCCCTAGGTCAATGCGTCGAGTCGCGGCCTTGCTCTACATGCCATGCACACCATAGCCGCCTTCCGGTTCATCCGCACTCCCGCCCAAAAACTATAGAAGGATTTCGGAGCTTTGCTTTGGACCTGACAGCAAAACGAAGGGAAAAAAGTACTATGATCGACAACTCATAAATGAAAGACCTGGCTGGATCCTGGTTATTACTAACAGGGGTTACTTGGATATTTGCCTGACTTGTCAGCTTCGCCGGCGAAAAAAGTAAAATGGGATCGAAAATGCAATAAGATCCAAGGAATCAAGCCGTCTGCAAGAATCATAGAAGGAATCATAATTACTGGCTAGGGTTGTGTGCAGACGGGAAGTCTGGTAAAGGGGAAAATACCAATCGGATAGCTTTAATAAAAGGATTCGCCATGCAGGCGTCCTCGGTAGGGATCTTGAGGGTCTGTGTAAAGCGATAAGAGCATTGGGTATTGCATGATGCAACTGAGAATTTTGCAGTAAGCCGGGGGCTTCATTGGCTCCAACGTGATAAATTCTCGCGCGCAGATTTAGTTGCGTATGCAAGGCAATTAGTGGGCTTGGTGCCCTCCCGTCTGTTGGACTGGATGGTTACAATTTGGGTAGGAAAGCAGTAGTATAGAATGTTTTCTTCTTTTACGAGGTGCGTTTTGTTTTTTTACTTCTTAAGTTGACAATGCAAGCTTCCATGAAGAAACTAGGAAATTTTTGGCGCTGGACAAAGAGAAACAATGGGCCGCTTGGGAAAGAAAGGGTAATCATAACAATACGGACTGGTCGCTTCAAGGAGCCAACTAAACAAAAAAATGACTGTGTGCCAATGATATCAAGAGAGAAGAAAAATACCCATAACTTTTTTCTCACCTCGTGCCCATGGGCCTGTGTGTAACCCCTGGCAAGCCTAACTCGAGTTCATCGAATCCCAAATCGAGCTATACCTTGGAAGGCAAACCGACACAAACTCAATCAGAAGCAGCCATACGGGTGCTTGCACCCGATTGAGTGAATGTTGTCAAAAGCCTGACTCGGTTCCCCCATTGATCTTCCCCGTGCTGAGTCTATCCATCCACACTTGGGATTCGGTGGCGTCTTATGGGGAGCTGTCCCCATAGCCATACTTGCGAAGGCGCAAAGACATCGCACAGACCACCTGCCATCCCCAGCGCTTGGATCAGCTCGCTGCTTATGGGCTGTTGGGGGAAAAGAATTTGATCGAAAATCATCTAACGTTTGATGATTGATACTGCATCTAGTCAGTTTAAGGTTTCTCTATCTCAGGGGAATGAGCAACAGACCAATATCTTCATCGGCAAGTTCGTGCGAAAGACCAACTCGCTGGGGTTGGTGCTTCACTGAGCGACCATACACAATGGCGTGCTTGAAGTCGTCCTTGATTGTGCGGTGAATGGAGTCACACTATTCGGCCAGTGTTAATGCCTGTCAAAACGAGACGTTCAAAATATACTTACGAAGTTCTCGACTGTGCATGCATAGGAACGCAGCACGACAGGTGCCGTATAGTCGGGTGCTCTGCCTTTGGGTTTGGTGTAGATTCGGCGCAACTTGAGCTTTTCCCACATCATCTCCATCAACTCGTCGACGTTCCATCCGTGCTCCGAACTGATTGGGCAGGCATCCGGAATCCGGTACAGCAGATCCAACTCTTCGATAGAGATAGCGTCGATCTTGTTCAGTGCGTAAATGACAGGAATGTAACTGCGGGACTTCGCTTCGAGAACATCGATAAGGTCATCAATAGTGGCATCACATCGGATAGAGATATCAGCGGATGAAATCTTATACTCGTTCATCACAGCTTTGATTTCCTGCTTATTATTAGTACTCGTGAACACGATTCGGGGTAAATTTGTTGGCATCTTACATCGCTATCGATGTGAGTCAATGGCTGAGTACTGGTGATGGCGATACCACCCTTGTCCTTCTTCTTGAACAGAATGTTGGGGGGCTTCTTATTGATCCGAATACCGAAGCCCTCCAGTTCGTTCTCGATAACTCGCTTGTCAACCAACGGCTTGTTCACGTCAAGGACAATGAAAATAAGGTTGCAAGTCTTGGCTACTGCAATAACCTGACGACCACGACCCTTTCCGTCTTTGGCACCTTGAATAATACCAGGAAGATCGAGAATCTGAATCTTGGCACCGTTGTACATCACTTGACCAGGGACAGTTGTAAGAGTTGTGAACTCGTAGGCAGCAGCTAGGAGGGGTTAGCGAGCGCAATGTGAGCAGCATTTCTATACCAACCTTCGGAATGTTGGCCAGTCAATTTATTCATCAGCGTACTCTTGCCGACGGAGGGGAAACCAATGAAGCCACTGCAATTATAAGTATACTTCCATCGCGATTTTCTTCGGGCCACTTACACACTAGCAACACCAGTACGCGCAACATCGAAACCGGCTGAGGTCGAATGAGCATACGTAAAATATGATCTTTAGGACTGGAAGTACTCACAACCACCACCGCCGCCACCTCCAGACGGGGTCAGAAGTTCACGCTTGAGCTTAGCAAGCTTCGCCTTCAGTTGTCCTGCAGGTTGTCAGAGACGTCGTCGGTGAAAAAAGGTGTAGGTGTGCGCGTACCCAAATGGAACGAAGTGTTCTTGTTCTTCTGAGTCCGAGCCATCTCGGACTCGATCTCCTTGATCTGTAATAGAAAAAAGACATTGTAAGCAAAATGTTTGCTGTGACGCCATGCTCAAAAATTTGAAGACCACACTTACCTTTTCAATAGTGGTCGACATTTTGGCGACTTGAAGACTCAGCAGTCAAAAATTCCACTAACAAAACGAATTGGAGCCTCCGGAAATGCGAGGATCAAATTGTGTCCCTCGCTAACAACCAGCGTAGTCGAGCGACAAGATCGGAGAAGAAATGCACTTGCGGCGAGACAATCTTTGAATTGTGGCACCGCATTTTTAGTCAGGGCGGGGTGTGCGCCTGAGGCAACGAGGGCATTGATGTCATTGATGCCTCAGGCAGTGTACCTTATCGTTATCGTGAAATCGTGAAATCGCGAAATCGCGAATGTTCTAACCTTGGAGAGATGTCAATGTTTTCTCTTTTAATTCAATATATTAAAGGAGATCCTTTCTCTATTTCACTCTTTGTTCTAGGTTAACACCCACTTGGGGAATTTCGCTCGTTGAGCCCTACATCATTCATCGATTCATCATTCGATCGGCAGCCGATACCGCTCCTTCCACATCGCATATCTACGACGTACAGCATCGTTCAGCCTAGAATATACCTTTTCGCCTACGCATCATGCCATTTCTCAGAAACGATTCTGAATCACCTCGTGATTCCGAAATAACCAATGATGCTTTTGAGAAGCTCGTGGAGGACTTGAGTGCCGCCTTAGGCCCAAGCTCAGGTCTTGACTCTAGCGACGTCGACCCCATGCAAATACAACTCTTGATGGAGAAATATACCTCAAATTTAGAGGAGTGGTCAAAATATGCGCTTGGCGATGCAAGCAGGACGTACACGAGAAACCTGATTGACGAGGGAAACGGCAAGAGCAACCTGGTAAGTTGTGGCGAACAATTGTCTACATATGTACCTATGTACCCAATTCATGCTGGATGCAGGCTGACACTTTTTTAGCTGATCCTCGTATGGAGTCCTGGGAAAGGTAGCACGATTCATGACCATGCCAATGCACACTGCGTGATGAAGGTAAATGCCCTTGACAAGATCACAAATCCTTAGCGCTAACGTTGAATAGATCCTCAAAGGCAAACTCCAAGAAGATCTCTACTCATGGCCCGATCAGAAGCAGATTGAAAATGGCCAGAAGTGCCCACCACAGCTCACCAAGCAAACTACCTATGGTGAGGACCAGGTGACATACATGTCTGACAAGCTTGGACTACATCGCATATCCAACCCGGACCCAGATGACTTCGCCGTCTCATTGCATCGTATGTCTTCTTTTGGGATCCAAGCACTTGACCACAAGGCTAACTGGCACAGTCTATACACCGCCTAATGCCGCTATTCATGGATTCGGCATCTATGATGAAAGAACTGGCAAAGCCAGGCACATTAAACAAACCAACTTTTACTCGTTCCGTGGTCAACGTCTCAATGATGGACTCGAGTAACCCTGCCCCCTCTGTATTGTATCTTTATCTGCTGTGTTTCTATCGATTGATGTTGGATGCGACCTTTGGGCTTCTAACAAACACACTAGCAAGAGGGTCAGAAAAAAGCTCACAACCCTCGCTCCAGTGGCTTCCTTGGCCTTGTTTATTATGTTGAATACCCTCACGTTTTGCAAATATTCATATGCCAATACATAATTTTCCTGGTATCATCTTTAGACATTAATTGAGGAAGTGCTTTTTTCTAATTTGCTCGGTCGATATAGCAGTCTCGCCAGAATACCGAGCTCTCGGTCGTCAGGTCAAGTGACCAAGGGATTATACTGATTTGTCACTAGCGATGACCACAGGTCTCGGAGTAATGGTAGATTACCTGATTGAACGTAACGCACTTGGTATTGATTTATGTACTTTTTTTTATTGCTTTTGGCCTTCACAGCTCTAATCAAACTGGACATAGTTCATCCTCCTCGTGTCATCATCTATCTGTGTACCGTACTTTTGGCTATAGCTGAACTCTACAGGAAAGCCTCCACGTTGAGCTCTACAACACTGACTGGGTACTTAAGCTCGTACTTCTCCAACACAGTGGGGTGGAGAACACCGAAGGAGCCAATCACTTGGTCCTTGCCGCCAATGCGGATGTGGATGGAACCAGCGTGGCCAGGGAAGTAGGTAGCATCTATAAAGTCAGCATTTTTATTCATATCATTTTGGTTTAAAGGGGACATACCGTCAGTCTCTTTGATATAATACTGGGAGTCATTCACGGCAGAGTTCTCAAGGCCCTCCTCACCGGTGATGAAAGCGGTCTTGAGCATAGCCATGATGCGGTCAAGAAGACCGTGGACAATCTCAAAGCCACCGCTCTTGCCGTAGAAGGCAGCGGCGAAGTGTCTCTCGTTGCGACTCTTGCGCTCCATGGACATGTCCTTGAAAGCAACATCGCTGACCTCGAAGATCCTCATAGGAACGGAGTGGTGCTTGTTCTCACGGATGGTCTTCAGGAGACCAGGGAGCAGACTGGTGCGGACTACCTGGAACTCGGTAGTCTTGGGGTTGGCCAGCTTGACAGCGGTGTTTCCGTCGTCCTTGCGGTTCAACCAGCCGAAGTTTTCATCGTGCGAGCACAGGATGAGGGGCATCACTTCGGACCAACCGGCCATGGCAGTTTCCACGCGAACAATGTCGGTAAGCTTGTTGATGGGAAGAGGCTGAGCAATTGTGCCGGAGATGTCGGGGAATGCGCGGGGGAGCGAGTTAAAACCGTGAGCGATGGCTACATCTTCCATGATATCACACTGGTGGAGAACATCGGCACGGGTTGGGGGAATTTCCACGTCAATGATGTCCGGAGAGGTAGTTGAGGGCTTGGCACGGTAAGCCATCTTTGTGAGCTTGGTGCAGATATCGGCAGGGCTGAGGTCCAGGCCACAGCACTGATTGATGTACGAGACTTCAGCCTGCGCGGTGCGAGGAGCGATATCGGGGGTGATACGAGTCTCGTTGTTATGCTCAGACACAATCTGGACGGGCTCAATGGTGAATGGCTCCAAGGTATATTGAGAGAACATGGTAACCATCATTCTGTTCACAATCTCAAGCTTTGTCCGGTCAAGAGCTGTGATTTCAATGAAAACATTGGTGGTGTTCAGGTTGATCTTGGAGTGGTCGCTGTTGATGATGGGGGGCAGGGAGCAAACAGTCTGCTTAGAGTCGTAGATAACTGGGTAGACCGGAGAGTCGCGAATGATGGGCAGGTACTTGCCCAGCTGTTGGTGCTTTTCATAGAAGTTCATCAACTCCTCGCCGTTCATCTCCTGGGTCTGGTTCAAGGGAGTGAACTTGATATCTTTAGGGGCCTTCGCGTCGTAAGTGAAGGGGCCCTGGACAGTGTCCAAATCGTGAGTACCGATTGAGACGAGAGTTCGTCCACGCGCCAAGTTCTGGTGAAGCTTGTCCTGGAGGGCGATGAAGGACTCATAACGAGCCTGGTCGAACTTGACATTTCGCAGAATAGCACCTGCGACGTAGGGCCTGATCTGAGTGGTCTGAATCTTGTGTCAATTGAAGCTTCCTATAAGACTCGCCAGGTATACATACCTCCTCTTTCACAATAATTTGCTCCATCTTTGCTGGTTGAGTCAATTTGTACTCGGGGAGGGAGACCCGGCCCAAGAAGATGTTCAGCATGAGCGCAATACCCTCGAAGCACAGCAAATCATATCTGTGAGAGTTCAGCCAATATCCTATCCTGCGCTGTCCGAATGTCCTGCATACCGGTTGGCGGGAATCTCGATCTTGAGTTGCGGTGGCTCTTGCTTTCCGTCGACGATAGGGCGGTCCGAGTTGGTAGTCTGAGTGGTTTAGTCTTGTTCGGCATCATTCGTGGTATATAGACATACATCCTCATCAAGTTCAATTCCTGTTCGACAACGTTAGCCCATGTCCCCGCAAGATTGTGCAGCCGACTCACCGAATTCAAAACACAACTCATCAAACTCCTCCGTGGTATATCTGAGATAACACAAAACGTCATTAGCAATGCTGGGCCACACTGAGATTACAGCAAGACATACTCTCGGCCCAGCTCCTGGAAGAGAGCGGCCTTATCGACCGAAATGGTGGGCATGGTGGGGGTGCGTGCGATACAATTCTAATAGTCAATCAGTAAAGAGTCTTGATGTAAACCAGACCAAAGGCCACAAAGCCAATTCCAGTTGATTCAAGGGTGATTCCGTACAGAAAATGCACTCAGGACAGGATCGCGAACAAAAAGCACAATGTTGGATGACTCCGATTTGGAAATTCTGCCCGCAAGCCACCACCGCCACAGGTGTTTTCCCCCTCTTTTATGACAACGGTATCGGTATGGTAATTTCTCTCCACCATCCACCTGTTTATGCCTTCACCGCCAGTATGTAATTTACATCATCGAGAAATGTTCAAAGCTCGACAACTCTTACAGCTGCTCATACCGATACAATCGATCGAAAGGGAATGTTGATTCGCTTTCTCTTTACACAAGCTTGACTTCAAATATTTAATCTTGAGTTGAACACATTCAGGGTGTTGTTCAATTGTTTGAGGTATGTCTTCCCTGTTAGTGTCCATGCGGCCTAACACACCCCACGAAACCTCGCTCCGGTCTACCTCTAACCACCAACCATCCCCTTGTCATCTCATCGCGCGAAGGAAATCGGAACTAATATCCCATTGAATTCAGGTGTCATCCTATCATTACCTCCTCCTGGATCGTGCACCTTTTTTTCGACTCCCAATAATTCACCAAACTGTTGTGTCAGGTCCGTCATCTACCTGAGACCAACCCTTTCCTCAGGACCGGGACCTGTCGCATATTCGCCGTATAGGCACACCTTTTTTGCTCAGCCTTAATACACACCACAAAATTCACAATGGAGGGTCAGAACGAAAATGATGAGCTCTACCCTATCGCTGTGCTCATCGACGAGCTTAAGGTACAAAAATCCCCCTCTTCAGATGCTCAAGATAATATTGAAGCTCACACATCCCATGCTCACTAGCACGATGACGTCCTCCTCAGACTCAATGCCATTCACCGTCTATCCACGATCGCGCTTGCCCTTGGACCCGACCGAACCCGGGATGAGCTCATCCCATTCCTTGATGGTTTGTTATCGCCTTCCGCCCGGATGACTAGACCCGCCTAACAATAACAGATTCCGTCGAGGATGAGGACGAAGTTTTGACCGCACTGAGTGAAGAGCTAGGCAATTTCACAGAATTTGTTGGAGGTCCAGAACACGGGCATGTGCTCCTCTCCCCGCTGGAGAATTTGGCGGCCATTGAGGAGCCCTTGGTGAGAGAAAAGGTATGTTCACTTACATCTTGCGGATTGCTCAATATTGATCACTCTTCATGCACAGGCCGTCGAGTCACTCAACAAGGTTTGCGAGCAGCTCTCAGAGAACCAAGTCGAGGAACATTTTGTGCCTCTTGTCCTGCGCCTGTCAAAGGCAGACTGGTTCACCTCGAAGGTCTCTGCAACTGGCCTTTACTCTACACCATACAAGAAGGCTACACCGGCGCTGCAGCAGACCCTCCGACAGCAATTTGGAGCTTTGGTACACGATGAAACCCCGATGGTGCGGAGACAGGCGGCGAACAACCTGGCCAAATTTGTCAAGGAAATGGATAGCCAGACTGTCATCGATGAAATAATCCCTCTTTTCCAATACCTGGCGAGTGATGATCAGGACAGCGTGCGTCTGCTCACCGTTGACATTCTCATTGCGATCGCGGAGGAAATCCCTAAGGAACAGCAGCCCAGCCATGGAGTTTTGTTGACATCGCTGCGGAACTTGTTCGAGGATAAGAGCTGGAGGGTCCGATACATGGTTGCTGATAGATATGAGAAGGTCTGTGTCCTGTGTTCTTTCAGGTCTTTAGGTACTGGACAATACTAACGCATAATCTAGATTGCTAAAGCCGTTCATGAAGAGGTTGTCACCCGGGATATGGTTCCCGCCTTTGTTAAGCTTCTTAAAGACACAGAGGCTGAGGTCCGCACAGCCATTGCTGGCCAGATTCCTGGTAAGAACACATTCTCACCTTGTGATATCATGTCTAATGTTTGACAGGCTTCTGCCATTTGATTGACCGTGACACCCTTCTCAATGAGATCATGACTAGTGTGGAGGACCTGGTTTCCGATCCCTCTCAGCATGTCCGAGCTTCCCTTGGTACTCAGATCAGCGGGCTCGCACCTATCCTGGGCAAGGAAGAGTAAGTCGTCACTCTGCACGCTGCAAACAATACTGACTGTTCCAGGACTATTGCCCATCTCCTTCCTATGTTCCTTCAGATGCTCAAGGATGAATTCCCCGACGTCCGCCTGCACATCATTTCCAAGCTCGAGCAAGTCAACAAAGGTGATTATATTGATCCAGACTCTGCGGGCTCCACTAACACTGTACAGTCATTGGTATCCAGCTCCTATCTCAGTCTCTTCTTCCTGCCATTGTTCAGTTAGCTGAGGATAAGCAATGGCGCGTGCGCCTTGCCATCATTGAATATATCCCTCTCCTCGCCAGTCAACTGGGAGTTGAGTTCTTCGATGAGCAGCTGAGTGATCTCTGCATGGGCTGGCTCGGGGATACTGTCTTCTCGATCCGCGAGGCTGCTACCGAGAACTTGAAGAAGCTGACAGAGGTATTTGGCGTTGAATGGTCAAAAGCTTCCATTATTCCCAAGGTGATGGCCATGGGGCAACACCCCAACTATCTTTACCGCATGACAACGTGCTTTGCTGTTTCTGTGAGTTTCATGCAATCTCATACAAAATATCAAAGCTAATCGTAATAGACTCTCGCCCCTGTTGTGACACTCGAAATTATCGAAAACTCTCTTCTTCCTATTCTGGAACGTTTGGTGACAGATGAAATCCCCAACATTCGCTTCAATGTTGCCAAGTCCTACGCCGTTATTATCGCCACACTGCGTCGCCTGCCAGCTGATAAGACCCTGGGTGAGGTTGAGAAGTCTGAGGAGACTATCGCACCGGCACCCCAGAGCCAGGAATTGATTCAGTCAAGGGTTGTGCCCAGCTTGGAGAAGCTGCAGGAGGATGAAGATGTGGATGTCCGGTACTTCGCTACGACTGCTGGCGGTAACCAGGACGAGGTTATGCAAACCTCCCCTTAAATTGAACTACAATTTGCACCCCCAGTCCCTTGAGCATCGTGGCATGGGCCAGACAATATCCGCATAACCGGGTGCAGAGCATCCTGTCAGGTTAAGAGAATAGCCAGCACGCGACTGGGATGAGATTTTTCGTTCCCGGCGTTTTTAATGTAGAGGTTTTCCATACATACCATTCATCCTTAGGTTTCTCACCAAAAAAAGCAAGTATGTTAAAAACGAATTTCTTTGCACTTGAGCCGAGGCTTCAGTAGACGCCAATTAAACGCAATTTATTTGTCAGCGGATCTGAAATGCACCTGGGCGCCTTGGAATTGTCCACGTAACACCAAAGCATTGCCATTGCTCCTTATAACTGGAAGTGTCGTGTGAGTCAACAGCTATCGATATTCTGGTTCATGGTTTTTTTTTTTTTTTTTGATTCGCGCCGCTTACCTTGACAACCATACATATTAGCCAACCGACCTGCAACTACGCAGCACGACCCTGCAGCCTTCATTTTTATGGTCAATTCAGAGTTCTTTGTGTCTGAAAGTGTGGTTATAATTCAACCATGTCATCTCCATGGCCATACGAATTCATATCCCTTTCTGAAGAGGACAAGCTGCATCGCCGAGAGCTACTCGATATCCGGGGCCAGTATGCACAATGGTCAATCCTTCTAGCTATTTTCGTTGTCAAAATCTTCTACGGTTTGACCACAATCAACGCAAACAACCTTTCAAAGAAAGCCGCCAGTAAGTGGGACCAACCACTTGTCGCTGGATGGGCAGAGACCCGACGACAGTATCTTGTTTGCGGGCTCTGGCTATCATGGTTATTGGGTCTTGCGGTATGGAACAGTGGGGAAGGCAAGTGATTCTTCGGGACCTGGTCAAAGTCAAGTGAATCGGCTAACCTATGTCCAGACTATCTTCATCTAACCAAAGCCTTGGGTCACGTGGGCCTGTCCCAACTACCGTTGCAGGTTCTCATGTCTCCAGCGGCCTATATCTCATCCAAACCGACAGCTTCGTCTGTCCTTTCCATCCTGACTGGCATTCCTCAACCATCTTTGACGCCTTACCACCGTCTCTTTGGCCGGATAGTCATCTCGCCTCTCCTGCTGACCCATGCTACACTTTACATGCTGTTTTTCGTGCAATCCAGCCATCCGGAATTCGGAACCTTGCTTGCTAAGCGGGTTCAGGACTTGGATGTCCAATGCGGTATGGTTGCGATATTCTCGGCGGTGCTGCTCTTTCTCTTTTCGCGGCCTAGGGGCATTGCGAAAAGCAGTGGGATACAGTCTTGGCTGGTACAGGGCTCGCTGCAAGAGCGCAGGCGTATGTTCTACTTCGGTCATGTTTCTTTGGTGATACTTTTGGGGGTTGCGGCATTCTTCCATGTGAAGCAGGCCCAGAGATACGTGATGCAGACTCTGTGGGCTTCTGTGCTTAATGGGGTGTGTTCTTGGGTTATTGTAAAGTATTCGTGAAGTGTTTCTGTGGGTCAAACGATAGTTACATCTAGACCAAGTCATTAGGATGATTTAATTATACTGTACCTATATTATATACTAGTATCCTTATTCATAATTTAGCAAATTCGAGGTTTGAGAATAATGGATGTTGTGAATTTTGTGTCCTGTGTACCTTTTCTATGGGCATGCCACATAGAATGTATCTAAATCCAAAATTTACATGTGTACTGTTGAGTAGAAATCATTATTGACTGGGGCACAACAACACAGAACAGGTGTGTTGGGCACTTGACACAATTAGAACTAACCTCCTATCGCAGAATGATCGAGCCCACACTTCGGTGATCAGTGCTGCGAAGACTTGGCATGGAAGTCTGCCAGAACGGCATCAGAAATCTTCAAAGCCATAGCGTAGAAGACAGTCATGACGTGGGAAGACACTTGAGTCGGCGGGATCGAGCCGTCAGCTACGCGAAGGCCCTTGACACCATACACTCGAGCCGCAGAATCAACAACTCCGCCAAGCTCCTTTGCCATCATCGAGCAAGTGCCGACAGCGTGCCAATTTGCGCGGAAGTTCTGCTTAACATAATCCATCCACTGGTCCAAGTCAGCATCATAGGCCAAGTTATGTCCAGGCACAGTCTCGCCATCAAAGTGGATTTGCATGCCACCCGTGTTGGACATCTCGCGGGCAAGCTTCGAGCCAGCTGCCTGGCCGAGAAGGTCCAGGTCGTTCAAAAAGAACTTTGGGTCATAGGAAAAGCGTCGTAGGTAGGGGTCGTTGCCCTGGATATGCACAGAACCACGGGTGAATGGAATGAGATCCCATAAATCAAAGTTGATCTTGCCAGCGGTATCGAGGAACAGCTCTGTATAGGCAACTTCGTCTTTGATTAGCCAGTCACGGTAGTTCCTATACTGGATCTCGAGAGCAGTCACATTGTGGAAACCACCGCGCGCAACCGTCTCAGTAGCCCACTGGTGCAACTTGGTGTTGAGTAAATGGTGAGCATGAGGAGCGTAATCACCAAACGTTTCATTGAAAGTAGCAAAATAGATCGCCTGGCCTTGGCCTTTGCCGGAGGGTTTGGTACGGGAGGTCACGGTAGTGGCGGTTTGGTCCTGCATGTTGAGACCGACAGGGAGATCAACGATTTGCTGAACACCGGCCGCATCGAGTACAGATTTTAAGCCAATGCCTGAGTACTCCAAGATTCGAGGGGAGACAGCTGAGCCGGCTGTCAGCAATACCTCATGTTTGGCGTATACATTGAAGTTGACATTCTTGTTGGTGCCAAAGTTTACACCGACGGCTTTGTGGTCGGAACTAGCGGTTCGATTGATGAGAACTTTTCCAACAAATTGACCCGTCAGAATCTGCAGATTTGGGCGCTTGTAGTTGGGCAGGAGCCATTCACGTGCAGCATCGGAGCGAATCTGGTCCTCGTGCAGGGCATTGGGAATCATAGAGACACCGCGAGGATTCCCACAGTGAAAGTCTAGCTGGGTAGGAACACCACGCCCCTTGGCAACATTCATAAGGGACTTGATTATTGGAGAATAGTCCTCACCGGTATTCCGGGGACCAGCATGAACAGTGCCGTTCGTTCCGTGGCAGGCAGAATCATAGTAGTGACCAGCGGCGATCTCGACATCATTCGGAGGACGAGCGATCTCGACCTTCTTCATATATGGCAACAGGTTGTCCCAATTCCAGCCCTTATTGCCAAATACATCCTCCCAAGAATCGATTTGGGTTTTGTGTGGGCGTGTCCAGGAGCCACCATTGATCAAAGTCGATCCCCCAAGGCCATTGCCAGATCGGACGTTCTCGGTGCGGTTATTGATGGCATGAGCGACGGTTTCGTAGGCGTGGTCAACTGTGGTACCGAAGATGTCTCCGTAATCGTTCAGATCCTCGATGATGGCTCCCTCGTCGGACTCATAGAACCCGTTTTCAATGACCAGGACTTTCATTTTGGGGTTCTCGGTCAGCCTTGCCGCAATGGTCAGGCCTGTCAAGCCGCCTCCTGCAATGATGTAGTCAACAGTCTTGCCAGCGACCTGGTTAGGATCAGAAAGAAGACTGGACTGGACATCGATCTGCTCGGAGAGCTGGTAGCTCTGGGATGCAGCCAGAGGGATAAGAAAGCACGAAAGAACGATAGACTTCATCTCGAGTTATAATCTTAGATGGATGGGAGACAAAGAGGAAAAGAAGTCCTGAATTGGTTGCTATACACAAAAGTCCTTGGACGGCTGCAAAGAGGGCAATATATAGATTTCTTACTACACGTACATACATGCACGTAAAGCCTCGAACATGATCGTTGACAAATAAGGCATGGGATTAACACCACGATGTGGCGATTGAGAGGAAGCAGCTTGCCCAGTTTTCTGGTCCACAAATCAACTCGCATGTCCAGTACGAAGGCCATCAGGTGGCTCGGATGTGATAGCTGCATACTTAGGTAAACTTTGAAGTTGAATCCTGACACCTTGGCAAGTTGGTGTTCATGGCTTCATTTGTCAAAGGTAACAGAACTGTGGGCTGGTGCAGATACCAGATACCATGTACTCTCAACTAGGCACGGGCGAGGAGCATCATAAAGCGGAGCTACCGTCAATCGTACATTGTAGCACTTCCATGATTATTCCAAGGTCCTTGATAGATAGCTAAACAATACGTGCAATGAATAATCCTTTGGGTCTGCCGAAGGGGATTTCATCATACATACATGTATGGATGTAGGTACCTACCCGTGGACAGAGTATGTAGGTTGTCGCTAGATGCAGAAACAATCTTGGCGGCTGTCATTTTCTTCACCGGTAACTTGGATTTGGAGGACGGACCATTATCAGTACGCCAAGCATACTTAAGGCCCAGGTGGCTTACAGATCATTCAAGGCCTAGCTAGGGTTTGGCCACATGGTGATCGATAAGCGTTCATTTTCCTAGGTAGGGTAGATCAGCCCAAATCCGCTCGCTCGGTGTGTATGCATATATACATACGTTTTAGGTAATTATATAAGTAAATATCAAGTTTATGAATTGAGTTTGAAAGCCAAGAGTGGATATACTCAATGTCATACTTGACCGAAACGCCCCATGAATGAAGATCATCATCATAGCATGTTGATCCCACTCGTGGTTTTCTTTTTTATCTGATCCGAGACACCCTCAGAGTACCAGGGACATCTCAAGTGGAGATGGTTCCGAGAAAAATTTGGTGGGCTGATGCACAGGAGCCTTTACTTCTTTACCTACAATATACAGGTAGGTAAATTAGTATAGTATGGTCGGATTCTCTCGATAACTACATATGCACATATGTACATACCTAAGGTCAATGTCCTCTCTTAGACGCTTAATAAAATAATACAATCTACGTAACAGAAAGTGCAAATTGCGATGGCAAACGATCTTTAATCTCAACGTCCCGCTACCTAGGTCACTCTCCACCCACCTACCTGATCGACAATAACTCACTCGATATGAGTGACATGAACCAAAATGATCCTGTCGAAATGGAAATTTTTCTGGAGTGGAGTATTTCGTCAATTCATTTACCCATGAAGTGGAAAGATAGCATGCTATTTGAAACATAAGCGAGTTTTGGGAGTACAACATATAATTTGCCCTTCAGCCCTCCCTCTTTTCAACGCGGACACAGTCTCCTTGATTATTACTATTGCAAATAAGAGGTTTTATAGCCTAAGCGTTCCGATTCCTGTGAGTTTGCCCTCGAGTTCTCTCTCATACCAGGTAGATTGCTAACATTGGAGATTGCATAGATTCCAAGATGTATAGCCCTAAGCTGGCTCTCCTGCTATTACTGCTGCATACAGTGTCTGGCTCCGCCTACCGCTGGTTCAACTGGCAGTTTGAGGTCACTTGCGAGTCTGACGCCTACATTACTCCTATGGATGAACATGCTGCCGCCAAGTTCCTCAAGGAGCAGTACCATGTGGGCTCCCATATAAAAGTGGTTGGAAACGGTCATGGGTTCGGTAACCTCACTACCTGTGTCGACAATACTCTCACCGAGAAGCCCACCTATATTGTTTCTCTCACCAATCTGAAGAAGCTCCACATCGATAAAAAGAATATGACTGTGACTTTTGGTGCCGGTTGGGATGTCGATGACCTCGTGCAAGAGCTGAAGGCCAACGACTTATCCTTTAGCAATCTCGGCGTTGAGCGTGTTCAGAACTTTGTAGGTGCCGCCGCCACTGGCACGCACGGTTCTGGATCCAGCCTCGGCAATATCGCAACCCAGATCATTGGGTTACGTGTGTTGGACTCGCAAGGAAACCTCAGTGTCATCGATGAGAAGAACAATGCGGAAGAACTGAAGGCTTTCCGTATTAGCCTTGGTGCCCTCGGTTTAATCACCGAGTTGACTATCAAAGTTCTCCCTACCCAACTCCTAAAGAAGACCACCAAAGTCTTGAATGCCACTTCCGACTACTCGAAGATGTACAAGGAGCTTGCCCAACTGTACAAGGAGCACGATCGTATGACTGTTTGGGGTCCTCACTTTGACTGGGATGAAAACTCAAAGACCTGGGATCTTGAGCCTACCTACTTCCTCTCTTACTGGGAGCCGACTAACTACACCGGTATTCGCAACTGTACTCTCAATTACTGCGCCAACGGCTGCGGTGACTGCAACAAGGAATACATCTGCTACGACGAAGTCACCGACGCCGCGTCCTGCTCTCCCCGGGGTGTCTGTTCCCGAGGTTTCTACGCAGAAATCGAGCACTTCCTTCCCATCGAGGATTACGCCGAAGCCGCCACCAACTACACCATCTTTCAACAGGCCCAGACGCCTCGCATGAAGGCTCCCTATAACAAGCAGATGGTCATCCAGCACCGCATCCTCAAGGGCGACGATACATATCTGTCCCCTGTGAACCATTATAATCTTGGCCCCGAGTCAAGCGGTGTTTTTGCAATCATCGAGATTGACTGGATCCAAGAATACAACTCCTTCGACACTCTCTGGCAGAACCAGGAATTGGCCAATGAATTCCTCCCTCATTTTGGTCAAACCTACAACGTTCGATCCCATTGGAACAAAATGAGTCCTCCTAATGCTACCTATACCCTGGAGAAATTCCCCAAACTGCCCGAGTTCTTGGCCATCCAGAAGCGCCAGGACCCTAAGTGCCAGTTTGTCAACGAGTTCCTAGTTGAGCAGCTTGGCATTTCCCGCTGCGCGAACTTTATCTCCTCATAGGATGTGGTACAATTGTTCAAGAACTGATCTTTCTGTTTTGGGGTCCTTTTGGGGGGGTGAAGGGTTGTTATGGTTGATGTGGTGCGCTCTTGGGTACTTGTACAGTATCCAGGTTGGAGAGAAATAAAAGGAAAGTTTTCATGTTGTATTGGAAACAAATAACATACTCAAGTGTAAATCTTTGTAGAAACTATGTGTTTGTGTATAATGTGCGAAAATGTATAGCGTCGGGTTGACTTATTCCTGGATTGTTGTCTGAACGTATGCCGAATTTCGACTTTGATTTATTTACCTTTTATCTACTTCTTACGACTAAAATTCGCTACTACGTACATATGTACGTACGATAGTAGCTAAACTAGCCCCTGCACAGACGCCAGATTGAAAATGACACGCAAACATTGGCGTACCGAGAACAAAATAAAACGAAAAGAGAAAAATACAACCAACACATATTCTCAATCAATCTCATCTTAAATGAAAAAAAGATAGAAGAAAAACAAGACACTGAAATAAGTGCATTGTATGCGATTACGTTAGAAGTCTTGGCGGACGATTCAAGTCTCGGCTCTAGATTTATGGAGAACCCTCCCTGAGACCCTCTTCAGTATACGCCCCCTTCATGCCTCTCTCCAATGGCAGCATGCGGATCCAACGATTGATTGTATTACTTGCAATCGGTGTGCTCGCCATTTTCTCCCTCTTACTTTTGCGATCCTCAAATACCCCCGAGCAGCCCATAAACTTGCCTCCTCCCGAACCCATTCAGCATCCTCAACTCCATGCGGGGCAAAACACATACCTCCCCGAGACAGAACACCCAATTTCGCGCTTGATTGGCAATGCCCAGCAGACCTTTGATAATGTGCAATTACATCAGTCCAAAACCTTGGCCGAGGCCGTGGAGGAATACAAGCGCCGCTACAACATGCACCCGCCGCCGCATTTCGATAAGTGGTTCGAGTTTGCCCAGTCCAGAAACGTACAGCTTGTCGACGAATTCGATACCATCTACCACTCTCTCCTGCCTTTCTGGGGCTTGAAGCCCAAGACGATTCGTGAGCGGGCACGTGAGACCCTTGGCTTTGACAATGCGGTACTAGGTGTTCTGATTCGCGACGGCAAGGTGTCCTTAACAGACGGAGGAGGCCCTGACCGAAAATGGCAGCGGGATGCGACTGCTGGTATGATGGATGCGTTTGTGAAATACCTACCGGACATGGACTTAGTCTTTAACGTTCACGACGAGCCTCGCGTGATCCTCCCCAGCGCAGACCTTCAACGACTTGTGCAAGCAGCCAAGGAACAAATCCTTCCAGCCGCGTTCAAGAAAACCCCCACAAATGCGTGGTCCCCTCGTGCCTCGGATGTCAACAAAGGCGACCGCATTGACGAGGTGCGCACCACTCGCTTTAACCGATTTGCCCACCAGCCGACCTGGACGAACTCCCGAATTTCCTGCCCTGTCGATAGCCCCGCGCGCTCACTCGACGATGACGCCCCAGATGACGTGGAACCCTATGCCTATGGCGAACTTGGCTTTATTTACAACACCACCGCGGCCTCTGACATCTGCAACACTCCCTCCCTCCGCTACACGTACGGATTCTTCGACCGACCCAACGCCTTCGACGTCGTCCACGACCTGTTCCCCGTCTTCTCGCAGAGCAAGATCTCCAGTTTTCAGGACATCATCTACCCAAGTCCCTGGTACTGGGCCGACAAAGTCCCATACGACAAGAAGAAGGACTACGACTGGGAAGCCAAGACCAACCGGATGTACTGGCGCGGTTCGACAACGGGCGGGTTCTCGCGCGCGGGCGGCTGGCGTAGACAGCACCGACAGCAGTTCGTCGACAACGTCAACGCCCTGGGCACCAGCAAGATCCTGAGCCATCAGGACACCGCGTGGGTTTCGCAGGACGTCATGCGGGCCAATTACCAGGACATGTTCGACGTCAAGTTCACGCTCATTGGCCAGTGTGACCCTGACGACTGCAACGCGCAGACTGAGTACTTTGGTGTCTTCAAGCAGGCCGGGCAGCAGGATGCGTGGGCGCACAAGTTCCTGGTCGATATCGATGGCAATGCCTTCAGTGGTCGGTTCCATGCCTTCTTGCATAGTAACAGCTTTGTCTATAAGATTGCCATCTTCCGCGAATGGCATGACGAGTGGCTCAAGCCCTGGGTGCACTATGTGCCTCTCAGCTTAAAGGGTAACGAGTATCTCGAGAGCATGCGATACTTTAATTCCAAGGATGGTAAAGACTCTGCCCATACAATTGCCAATCAGGGCCAGAGCTGGGCTCAGAAAACCCTGCGTAATGAGGATTTGGAGGTCTGGTTCTTCCGGTTGCTTCTAGAGTGAGTCCACTTGCCCTTTCCTCCTTCCCTTTGAAAATTTGAAATGTCTGAACTAATACTTGTCACTTAGGTATGGTCGTTTGGTCGACGACAACCGGGACCAATTAGGGTTTATTCTTTGACCCGTATATCTGTTCGACGAGATCATGGCCCTTTTGTTTTAAATTGCATCTGACTGTTAATACCCTTGCCCAATACCTATCTGAAATAATGTTTAGTTGCATGTGAAGAGAAGGCGTTTGGTAGATTGAGATTGAAAACTGTATACAGTATACAGTTTTACTATTTAACACTTCGCCTTTCCATTTGGTGGTACTGCCGTTTACTAGTTCTCTCTTTCTACATCTCTTTCATTTCTCTTTTCATATCTACCTTTCTCCATGTACAAAGTACGTACATGCACCTTAATGTACTAAGTGATCGGCCACGTCATGTATGCATATACCCGTGCCGCAATTGCAAGTTGTAGCGAAGATCAACATGAGACTTGGCTTAATTTCAAATCCCTTCTAACGAACGAACAATATATTCCATACATCTTTGTACTTCACCTCCGGGGGTCTTGATTTGCGCTGACTAAGGAGTGACGCGACCTCGGGTAGCTCCATTTGCTCCAGATCTATAAGTTGCGTAACTCGACTATCTTTATCCTTTCATATATTCTGCCCTTGATCTGCCCACGCAATTCATCATGGGCAAACCTGTAGCTCAAGCCTTGACCCGGACCATTGTGTTTGTTTATGGCTTTTTCACAATCGTCCTCTACGGACTGATATCCTTATCCAAAGGCACTTATTTCAAGCGGCCCACAGAAAAGGAGAAATTGGAGCTCCAGCTCGGTGAGACATTCTGTGAATATGTTATTCCCTAAATTCCCACTGACAAACCAGCCCGTGATCGTATCTGGAATCTTTCCAAAGACTATGAGGGTCTTTCGCACCACATCTTGACCCTGCAGAGCGGTTTCAAGTTTCACTTTGTTAGCAACGATATCCCAAATACGCCGGAGACAATCGGCTCCAATAAGCCGTTGGTTATTTTCATCCATGGATTTCCTGACAGCTGGGCTATCTGGCGGCATATCATCAAGAATCCGGCTCTGCAGAAGGAGGTCTCGGTCGTTGCAATTGACCTCCCCGGATATGGAGGAACCGAGAGCCTGGATAGATACTCGGCGACCAACGTGTTGGAGAAACTGACTGAGCTGATCGTCACCCTACGAACTCAATATGGCGTGGACACGGACAGCGAGAGTAATACGAAGAAGACCGTGATTGTCGCCCATGACTGGGGCTGTGTCTTATCCATGCGACTCGCTGCCGAGGCGCCATCTCTGGCTCATCGCTTCATCCTGTCCAATGGACCCTCGGTATGTATAAAATCTTAGAACTGTGTTTCTTGGTCCAATCTAACTGTCCAGATGAAATTGGTTGAATCAAACATCCGCCGCATACTCTTCTCATCTAAGAAGATGCTCAGCAACGCCTGGCGCGCACCGCTTCAATCGCGCGTTCCCCTACTGCAAGCACTACGAACCATCTCCCCACTACTACGCCAAATCGGCCTCTCTGGCTACATTTTCGCCATGCAGCTCCCCATCCCGCTAGTCCACTACTTCCTGACTGCCGGCAACCAGGCACTTTTGAAATCCGTGCACATCAGATCATTCGGCAGCGCCGAGTTCAGCGCACACGACGTCGCTGAGAGCATGGCGAGCACGATGGGGCCATCCGTCGCCGAATCAAAAACCGTAACCGCCAACGGCGATTCCTACCCCACCACCTTGCAAGACGAGCGCGCCTTCGCACACGTCATCCACATGGCGAACTATTACCGCCACAGAGCGGCGTTTTCCCGCTGGAACAAGTCTATCGAGACGGTCGCCAGTCTGCACGGTCTTGCCTCTGGAACTGCGCGAGCAAGCAGCGGCGCCGGTCTATTCGATGAAGGCCCGCCTGGCGCGCTCAAGGCCTGCACGACCATTTTCTGGGGTAAAAATGATATCGCTCTCGATCAGAGAATTTGTCTGGATGGGATGGGTGATTACCTGGTGCAGGGATCTCAGGTGGTTCTGCTCCCGCGGACGGGCCATTGGACTCCGGTTGAGACGGAGAGTCGCGCGGCGCTGATCAAGGCTGTGGAGTGGACTGTGCAGGGTGAGAAGGGGAGTATTGGAAGTGCACTTGAGACGTCTTATCCTGGTGTCCAAGTGAGCTTCTCGCGATAATGCAGCTAGTACTTCATGGCGTGCCTCGTATTGTATTGTAGGCGCGTATTGCGGGGGCAACTATCTAATGTGGTTAGAGGGTTACTAGGGTGAAGAGGTCAATGTGTTTCACTTTGAATAACTCTTTTGATCCTTTTTTTTCTTCTTCAATTGTAGAAAAATAGAAACCGTATAGCGATTGAATATATTGAGAATGAGTAAACTGAAGGATTGAGGAAGAGAAAAGACACTAAGAATCCCCAGAAGCGGCAAAAGCGGAGAACAATGAAGATCAATTTCAACATTTTATCCGGTGAGGGGGAAACCCACCTTTTGTTTTCGCCGTCTCGGGCTTTACTTGCTTCTGCTCCTGCTTCTGCTTCTTCTCTCTTGTCAGAAAATGAGGAATTTTTCTTCGGTTTTCTTCAGTTGTCAAGTCAACCTCTCACAACTGAACATGCAGTGAAGATCTGCTGTTTTCGTACCCCCTCAACCTCCGTCCGGCTCAGGTACCACAGCCGGTGTAATTGGTTCCTGACCACCAGCCCAAACTGTCATTATTAGCAATTGACAGGTTAAATTTAGCTCGGCAGCACTTTTTTCTTTTCTTTTCGCTCTTTTACGAATCAATCGGGATTCCTTTTTTGTTATTGTTATGCCTGGCGTGATGGATTCCAATGGGGGTGCAGTCTACTGCACGGTAAGCTTGACCCCCTCTTTTCTGTGAGAGTAAAGTGTTAACGGGGAAAATAGCTTCTGTTGAGTGATCATTATCTTCCAGGTAAGTGACTCAGTGACTTGGGATCGAGACACCTTCAATTACTTACTGTCTCTGCGTAGGTGCTATGGTCCTTGCCCACTCCTTACGCGACAATGGTACGAAAGCAAAGCTGGTGGCCTTGTTTACACCAGACAGGTTGCAATCGGCAACGATTGATGAGTTACGGGTATGCACATTCCCCGGGATCTCCGTCCACCGATCTAACATTCCTTTCGATAGACCGTCTATGACGAGCTGATCCCCGTCAGCTCCATGGTGAACGACACACCAGCCAATCTCTGGCTCATGGACCGCCCAGATCTCATCGCCACATTTACCAAGATTGAGCTCTGGCGCCTAACACAATACCAGCGGGTGGTGTACATTGATTGTGACGTGGTGGCTCTCCGAGCTCCCGACGAGTTATTATCACTGGAAGTGGACTTCGCAGCCGCCCCTGACGTGGGCTGGCCGGATTGCTTTAATAGCGGGATGATGGTGCTCCGACCTAATCTGCAGGACTACTATGCGCTCCGGGCGCTCGCCCAGCGAGGCATTAGCTTTGATGGCGCCGATCAGGGCTTGCTGAATATGCACTTCCGAGACTGGCATAGGCTAAGCTTCTCGTATAATTGCACTCCAAGCGCCAATTACCAGTACATTCCTGCGTACAAGCACTTTCAAAGTACTATCAGTCTTATCCATTTCATTGGCTCGCAGAAGCCGTGGAATATGCCGAGGCAGATTGTTCCGCTGGAGTCTCCGTACAACCAGCTGTTAAGCCGGTGGTGGGCTATCTATGACAAGCACTATCGTTTGCCATTTGTAAGTGGTGATTTGAGGGATTGCAAGATCTCTGCTGATAGCTATAGGTATCGCCGAGCGGGCCTCACCAAGGACATTACGAGGCTGCGTCATTCCAGCGCGACGGCCGTCAACAAGACCGTCACGAACAGCAGACTATATCTCAACAATGGCCGCAGCCATACCACGTTGCTTCACAAGAAGAAGGCCCTGCGACCTTCCATTACGAGCACGCGCATCAAGATTTACCTCAAGCCGAGCACATCCTTTCAGAAACACAGCACCGGGAACACCACTCTGAACACCACTATGAACACCACTCTGAACCTTCCTATTATAATACACATAACTCGGCGCCGGTGCCTGTTCTGAGCATGGTACCGCAATATGTTCGCGGAGAAGAGCACGTTTCGACCTTTGTCCCACCAATGCCCACTACTGCGCCAATTACTTTCGCACCTCCATTGAGCCATGAAACATATGAGACATCACAAACTCACCAGTCATCCGATGAGGGTGGCCATATCTCCGAACCACACCATCAATCTAGCCATAGTGGTCATATCCATCACCCTCAACCGGTGACCCCAATCCCGCCGATCATCGAGTCCTACCAGTCTCCCCGTCCTCCCTCGCCAGAAGTTCCAATCTTCGAGGCCCCCAAATCCGAATGGGATCCTGCCCGGTAAGAATTCAAGCAAATCATATATTACAATAGCGCTAATACCTCGCAGCGAGCCTCCCCCAGCAAACACAAGACCCGAAGGGTTCAGCCTCCAAGAGAAGACCTACGACATGTCCCAAGACACACAACTATTCCAACCTCCATCGTCCTACCCCGAGGCCCCGAAAAACATGTACTACCAAGTCCCAACCACAAAACCAGAGCCACACAAATACTCCACCGTCTTCCCATGGGAGCTCCACGCCCCGAAACCAACTCGTGTCTTCGCCGATGAGCCCACGCCAGAGAATACGTACCAAGAGACACGCCACGAAACCCACGAAATCCAACAACCACCCCAGGAATCACTCCAGGAACCACCCCACGTTCCTACCGAGCTTGAACTCCCCACCCCGCCACAGAACCAACCCCAACCCAACGACCCGCCCCCACCAGGGCCCCTTTACACCCGCGTCCCCTACTCGCCCAGCGCAAGCTCCTACCAAACCTACAACCGCTCCAATGCCTGGGACGAAGACCCCTCGATCGCGCGATACATCGAGGGCGTACAAGCGCGGCGCGCAAAGCCAGCCGTGTCACCCTCGCACTCCACCCACAGTTCTGTGTCGCAGTCAAGCAAGATATCGGCATCCCCAGAAATTGTGCCTAGTTTGCCGGGAACGCCGCCGATCCACTCGCTTGAAAATGCCGGGGGCGTCAGTCAGGAGGATTGGGTCGGTGTTACAGTTGATGCGTTTAGCTCCCTGCTTAGCGCGACGTACTACCTGTGGCGGTCTACGGAGGGGGGCAGTAAGGGTCCGGGGGTTGCTGTTTAAGGTTGGAACATGTGAGGTGGGAATTTCGTTCTTTTCTTCTTTCTTTCTCTATTTCATTCTTCTATTGAATTTTGGAGATTCTGGTTTGTCGTGAGATGTATAACATCTTTGCATTTGCATATTTGCATATTTGCATATGTCATAGGTATATTTTGATATTTGAAAATAATAATAGCGATGGAGGATAGTGGATACTGCTTGTTTGATTAGATGCATGATTGTAGGCGCTTTGTAGGCTCTGAGTAGTTCGTAAGGCCCTTTTCAATTTGATATCTCGAGGACTTGATGGATAGATAAATGTAGATGTAGATAATTAGCTAAGAATCCGACAGATGTGCCGTTGATACCTGTAGGTAATATAAAATCTTCGACTAGTTCAGACAACCCATTGCTAGATTCTTGATATGACATTTCGTTCTACCAATCGTTAATATGTCCAAGGATACAAGGTATTTGTACGAATCATTGTGTTGGAGGACTACCGCGTAAGCATCGAGCTGAATCCATGGACGATATCAAGAGCAACGCAGGCCCAGCCCAAACAGAATGCCCAGTACCTAGATATTCATTTCCAAGCCAGAGTGCCATCTATATCACCCCAAAGCAACAATTCCACCCCAAGGACAATACGCTAGATATACCAAAGAGAAAATCTTGAAGGTCATTCATGTAATTTTGATTGCGTGAGGTAGAGTATCAGGATAGGATAGGAATGTAGTCAAGAATAAATTTACTCCTGAGCGAAAGTCTCGGCACCACCCTCAGCTTCAGCGGCCTGCTGCTCAGCAAGACGCTGCTGCTCAGCAGCCTGCTGGGCGGCAACAGCCTTGGCACCGTAGTCCTGGCTCATGGGCTGGAGAACGGGCTGCTCCTCCTTGGGCTCGATGATGGTAACGGAGTCAGGGAGAGTCTTCTGGGGGCCGGCCTTGCCCTCGGGGTCGGAGCCGCGCATGATCTTAACCTTGATTCCGAGAACACCCTGGCGGAGGAGAACGTGGCGGGTAGCGGAGTCGATGAACTCCTTGGCGGGCTGACCGGAGTGGATCATGAAACCGTCCTGTTGAACATGTTAGCTGAGATTCCAGACTGGGCGTGGTCGAGTTTTTTCGCTTTGCAGCGGGCGTGGCGGAGACGTAGTAAACGTACAGTGAACTTCATGGACTTGGCACGGGCGGCACGCAGCTTTCCGGAAACGACAACCTCGCAACCCTTGGCACCGGACTCCATAATGAAACGGAGGACACCGTAGCAAGCACGGCGGACGGCAAGACCGTTCAGGAGCTTGTAACGGAGGGACTCGCACTGAGCGACAGCGGAGAGACCGCGGTTCTGGACCTTAGCGGCGTACAGAGAAACGGAGTTCTCGGGGAACTTGAAGCGCTTCTGGATGAGGGAAGTGAGCTCGCGAATGCGGCGACCCTGCTCACCGAGAACCTCCTGGGTGTGGGTGGCACGGACAACTGCAAGGAAAAGAAGGACCCGTTAGCAATCAAATTCAAGAAACCCAAATCTCAAATTTCATCCGTCGATCGTGCCATCGCGAGGAGTGTAATTGTCCGGCTTTGTTCCACCTCTTTCGTTCCAGGCCAATTCTTCGATCGAACGGATGATTGTAGGTTTGTGTTCGGGGTTGCGACGTACTGATGTCGGTGACGGTAGGAGTCACGCGGACCTCAACACCGGAGTAGCCCTCCTCGGCCAGCTCGCGCTGGAAGAACTCGTTCAGCTCGGCATAGAAGACACCGTCGGCGACGAACTTTCTGCGCTTGGAGATAGCACCCTGAACAGCGGCCATTTTGACGTTCCTGTGGTGGTGGAATGGGGTTTGTCGACGGAGGGGAGGTCGGGGTCAAAGGTTTGCTTCAATTGTAACAGTGTATTATTTAGTGGGAACTAGGGTTGATTTCCCGTTTGGGCTAGGGCTCTCGCTTGCCGGCGCCATTCCCATTCTGTCTTAGCCTTGCAGCCTCAGGCATCAAGAGTTTAAGGCGCCCAGGCACCAATACTATATGATGTAATTTCAGAAGATTAATTATGTTGACAAAAGGCGGAGTTGAATGTGAGTGATATCAAACCATCTCTAGCCGACAAAAATGCCATACGCATACATAAAATCATAAATGCCTGAAATATCATGGATGTCTCCTAATGAGCATCTTTACTGCATCTCAACCCCCACTTCTTTCGATTTGCCTGCATCACGTTCTGATGGGAATGCAAATTTTGAGATCCCCGATGTCACAGCTGTCATACCCGCGGATGCGACATCGGGTACCAGTTGACTAACTTCGTTGGTCGACTGCGCTGCAGTCTCAATTCCATTGGACACCGCAGTCCTTTCCGCGAGACTATCATTTGGAGCTGGAGGCGTTGGAGAAGAACGGGGTCCGTTCATCTCTGCATCTGTTCGACCAAAAGCTTCATTCCACCATCGGGTCTCATTGACTCGAGGGAAGATCAGTCGCTCCTTCCCCCGCTGATGGTCATCGATGACCGGTTCATACTGAGGGTTGGTAAACTGTTCCCGGCGAGCAAGAAAATAGTCCCAAACGCTGCGGGTTCGTTCCCGAGCCTTGCAATCAACGCGCTCTTTTTCATTATTGAACAAGAACGTGCCAAATTGGCATGAGTAAAGATGGTATAGAAGTCGTCGCAGGAATCGCTCATTAAACTCAAATCTAGTCGGGTATTGATGAAGCAATTGGTACGTTGCGTCCAAGAACTGGTGGAATACAGGGCTCGTCTCCTTTGGTTTGGTGGTTTCTTTTTCAGGACCGGAGCGCGGCACAGTGGGCTTTTTAACCGGCGTGTCAGAGTCATAGTTTTGCATCTCTCCCTCGGAGTCAGGCAACGAATCCTTGCTGTTGTTATCCCGGTTGAAAAAGCCCTTGGCACTGAGGAATGCATTTTCAAGAGCTTTCCCAGCACCCCCACCGTCACCAAAACTGCGGTTGGGGTCTCCGCCAATACGTTCATTCTCGATCTGGAACCATTTCTCGCTGTTCAAATGACCAGATCGATGGCGGAACATGTGTCCAAACGAGAGCCAGTCTTTTTCCACAAGAACCATGAAGCCTTCCAGCGTCCGGAAGTATGGATCCAGGCATATCTGGCTCAATGCGCTGAGCTGACTTGTGCGGTCCCATCCATCAGAACAGTGGATCAGGACGTGGGAATGAGTGAGGCCGACTTGACGGGCGATTATTTTGGCTCCATTCAAGATCCCGCCAATGTGCTTTAACCAACCACTACGCGCGAGCTGGTCACGATTTGGCCCAAGTGGCGTCACATCCGACTCCTTGAGAGCATCGATGACTTTGTTTAATGAGTCTCGCATGACGTGAATATTGTCAATACCAAGATACTCCTTGGTAGCAAATTTGTAGTTGTCCATGTTCTCAGATCCAAGTCCAACTGCCTGCATGGCAAGTGCATTGACCGTAGGCCGCGCATCCACGATCATGTTTGATTGTTGGGCGCCATATATCGAGCGAGGCTCTTCAGATTCACCACTGGCAGCGGCCACCAAGTCATCTTCTAATTCCTCGGCGTTCAACTCTGGAACCATCACTTGGCTTGTATCTGGGCTTTCATCGTTTGAGTTCGTGTCTTTCTCCGGAGTCTGTGAGAAACTTGCCAACGGCCGTTCAGACCGGGATGTCAAGAAAATGGCAGACAGAAGCTTTTCATCTTGAATGCTCCGATTCTGGCGAACACCGACCAGCGGCTGCGAACTCCTGGTGATGGTACAGTTATTGACAGGGTGAAAGTACGTCAGAGCAGGGACTCTTGCTCGAGATCGATAGCGCCCTGCGTAATTAAGTGTATTGTCGGAGATGGAAGAAGGCACGGGAATAATAGCGGGATAGGTGGGGGAAAACTTGTCAAGTCAGCGAGGCGCATTCTACTACTCGTCGATACACACCTCGTAGTTCGCATTTATCTCTGACAGACGCCACTGTCCGTCATTAACAGCACCTTGGCGCGCCCATTCCTTGCGCGCATCATACAGATCCCACCCGTTAAACTCCTTCTCCGGCGGAGGAGGTTGGTAGCTGAAAGCGTAAAGTTTGTCGATGCGGCTTGACTTGCATGTCCACTGTTTGATGCTTTCAAATACCTCACGTGCTTTGTGCTCATTTACAAAGTAGAAACAGACAAATGTGAAGTCGCGGCATCGGAGGCGGATAGAGGAGAGTTGGCGGGAGACCGCGGGAGCCGGTCGCAGCGTACAGAATGCGATAATGGGGTATGTAATCCAGAGCTCTCTGGGCCTTGTTGTTACGCCCTTGATCTGGTCTTCGGGGGAGACTGGGGGCGTGTGCGAAAAGATGAGGTGGTGAGGGGTGAGATGGAGTGTACCATCAACCTGCTCACCGCGGCGAGACAAGGTCACATTGTCGACCTGGAACGACATATCGAGTGAGTGAAGTACTTCTAGCGATAACAAACGGATTCATCAAACCTTAGCGACCCGTGTTTTCTCCATTCCGTTATGAATCACTGGCGCGTGATCTTCATGCTGAGCGGAGGGGAACGGTAAGGATCCGGGGGGGACACAATAGATGTCACAGAACTATGAGGCTCTATGATATCTATTGATATAGGTCGACTTGTTCTATCTGAAAGTAAGAAACGTGGGGAGCGCGAGTAGATGAGACGAAAGCGATTGGAGGTGTTACACGTCACGGGCCTTGGAACTTGTGGGGCCGGCACCAGATCTATATAGTCTGAACGATTTCACAGTCGGGCTTGGTGATATGGGAATGTTGGTAAAAATATACTTGAAATTATATATCGTCATTATATATTTTAAATATGACCAAAACATTTCGGATAATCCAGCAGTGGGGTTTTGCGAACTTGTCCAGGGCCATTTGATATATATATCCATCCCAGGTGACATATAATATTGGGCGTTAATTTGATAAAAACTTGGTCATCTCAGGTATAAAAAATACATGGTATGGATCGAAGTCCCTTTTCAACTAAACAGTCCACTATCCCCTCAATGTACTTGATCTCGCTCATATACTCATGCCTGTCCATGCTGAACACCTTATAGGCTGTCTGCAATGGAAGTATAGTTGATGCCGGCCCGAAGAGCTTCATATCGTCTTTCAAGAGGTATTCCATACTGAGACATATCTTCCGCGAGACTGCTTGTATGCTTATGGAACTTTTTGGCAAGTTCCACGATTCCAACCCTTGCAGATCCAATTTGCGAACAAGACATGCTAGATGTTTGAGTTCGAGGATGCAAACAATTTGGAACGCCCAGATATGCGTATAGAAATTGGCCATGGTGATATCCGAGAACCAAAGACAGACACCTAGAAGTGATGGTTCGGAGTTTGAGTCCAACGGCTGGCTACACATTGACTGTTTATGTAGGACTTTTTCCCAGTTTTCCAATTGTGAAAATAGGTTAGAGAAAGACTGCCACAGATTTGACAATTGGGTAGTGCGTAATTCACATGGTGCTTCCATAATCTGGTCAGCTTGTTCAAGAAACGACGGGAGGTTGGCAGATATATTGATGAGCTGTTGCATGAGAGATGGCTGACAAGTGGAAAACGGAATATCAATCCACTCTTTCGATGCAATAAAAGTTGCTTTTCGGGATTGAACACTTTGAACCATCTAAGTCAAGTCAGAAATAGCTAGTGTCATGTCACTACAGCACATACTAAAAGAGGCCGGAAACCCATGAACAGGCTTTGCAGAGCTCCCGACTTGAACATGTTTGGTCCGCTGGCTTGGAACAGTTGTGCTACACCATTAACATGCATGGCAAGACCGAATCGGGAGTCGGGAAACATGAGCTGCTAAATGTCAGTCTAATTCAGAGAGGATTAGAAGATTAGAAAACTTACCTCTGCTAAAGCCAGGCACATGATTGCCGCGGCAAATTCGGCATCGAGGGATTTGAGTTGCTGTGTATCCGTCCGAAGAACATCCACAGCAAAGGAATAGTCTTTCACACTCTGTGCATATGAGTTGGATGTGATGCATGAGCTTAGAGCTGTTACTGCGGGGGACAAGACGCTGTCATATCGCGAGGAGGACCCTTCGGCAAGTATCGACAAGACACCCACCCATGCACCACATACTCGGGGAACATCATTTGAGGCTGGATAAATATGAGCCAGCTCATCTTGGGGTATATAGGCCTTGGTAATTGATTGAATCAAAGACTTGCGTGTGCCAATACCGGGGAGGGGTATTGACATGTACTGATCATGACGTAGCCCACGACCTACGGGAGTAGGTTCGTGCTCCAATGGCTCTTTTTGAGCCACAAAGGTCCACATAGGCGTGTTCCAGTCGCAGGCACGTCCTCGTAAGGTGCATTGGCTACAGCTGGGCCGTTTGCCATCACACTAACTCCGTTAGAGATGGATTCAGAAACTGAAGGATACATAATCAGAACACATACCCCAAGCTTTCGGGATCTGCATGTCTGACAGACTGTTTGCTTCTTGATCCTCATATTTTCAGGTAGAAAAGACTAGAGCATGATGGATATCGGTTGAGAGATGTTCGAGGATAGTAAAGTGGCGGATGCTTACTTTAGTCTTGACCAATCAAAGTGCATGATTCCTGGACTTGGCGGAATAAATGCGCTAAAACGGTAAAGCGTATTATCATCTTGACTCTGAGGCTGATGTTTTGCTGCAGTGAGATTATTTGATATTCGAAGAAAATAAAGGGAAGAAAGGAGACGTTAAAAATAGCTTTTAGGGACACGCCTCTAAAAAATGCTCCTTCCCACTTTAGGAACCATAAATCGCCAAGCTCTCCGTTATTATACTATCGATCCATATGGTTGCTTACCCAGCTGGATAGATAATCGGTAATTGTTTATAATTCGAAGAGAATAGAAGGATGGTCTTGGAAGTCCAGACACTACCAGAAAGACTTAAATAGACCGGTATGCCGACAATTTTCTGGCTCCCAGCAACACATCATTTCTCTCTGACCTAACTCTATATCAATAATTGAATCAACAAGATGCCTTCATCAAGCTTCAAAAGCACTCTTTCTATCACCCATATAGGGACAGCTACTGCAATCCTCGAGATTGATGGTGTGTGCCTCCTGACCGATCCATTTTTCTCTCCGGCTGGCACCGAGTTCGATGTTGGCCTAATGGTTCTCAAGATCAGCGAAACTCCAGCCCTGGGACTCGCAGACCTCCCTCCTATCGACGCCATCCTATTGAGTCACGAAGACCATGTCGACAATCTAGACCCCATAGGTCGCCAACTTGTTGACGGCCGTCTCGTGTTCACAACGATGGACGGAGCAAAGAACCTGGCACCCCGTCCTGGCGTGCGTGGAATGAAGCCATGGGAGACACTATCTGTCAGCATTGGCGGTAAGCCATTTCAAGTGACAGCAACTCCGTGTCAACATCTCCCCGGCGGTGAATGTACCGGCTTCGTCTTGACTACCCCGGACTTCGGCGTGGATGCGGACGGTCTACCCAATGCGATCTACTTCTCAGGCGATACCGTCTATATCGAAGAGCTGAACCAGATTGCCGACAAGTTTCATGTCGTGGCAGCAATTTGCAACTTGGGTGATGCTCAAATCCCACTTCCAGACGTACACCTGCAGGTCACAATGGACGGCAAGCAAGCTGCCCGTTTGTTTCGTGAACTCAAAGCAGATGTGCTTGTTCCTATGCACTATGAATCCTGGAACCATTTTACTCAGGGCAGAGAAGACTTGGCGAGGGTTTTCAAGGAAGAGGGCATCGAGGATAAGATTTGCTGGTTAATACCTGGGGTAGCAAAGAAAGTCTTTTAAGTCGAGATAGCCAAATAATGAATCTACAGTTCGTATTCAGTCGATAGGGGTTCGTCCATAATTAGGTAGATAATTCTATGTAATGTACAGTAAACAGAGTCTGGTCGCCGCCGCTCTATAATATTTGCTCTGATGCACGCTGTACAAATTCTAAACAAGAAAGCATTCATATAGTACATCTAATCCGCATATCTGCTGCCATGAATTTTGAATGCCATGTCACATGCCGCATTATAGAAAGAATGAAACTCATGATCAAGAAGTTCCTGTGACTTCTCATCTTCCGCAGCTGGGTCGATTGGCGGAATCACCATTCCTAAAGAAATCTCATTCGTGCGAGCAGCAAGGAACGGACCGCTCTCGTAGTATCGATAATCGAGTGGTCGTCCATCAAAGTCGTACCTTTGGACATTGGCACCTCGGATATCACTCAGAGGAGGGAACATGTACTCAGCAGTGAGGCTGCCCTCGGTAGGAACCGCCAGCTCGGCATTTGAGGCGGGCTGTTTGATTATGCCTTGAGGAAGAGATATATTGCAGAACGCAGGCGGTGGTACAGGGCCACTGAAAGCCCCTATTGCGGCGAACAGGCCTTGAAGGGGTTCCTTGATACTTTGTAGCAACTCTTGCATCTCTGGCGAGGAAGCTTGGGTAAGATCAGAGTCGAGAGAAGACTGATGCAGTAGTTCCTGAGAGATTGTACGCGTAAAGCGCAGATCTAGGCCATTTTCTGGGAGTAGATAATCAACACTATTTGCGCTCCGAATAGCCTTGACGCTCTGGACATTTATTTCGCCGATTATTAATGAATCCATGGCGACCTCGATTTCAAGATCCGGCAAAGCATGTGCGTTCGAAGTTGGAGTCAGCCGCAATCGATATAACTCCGTATCTTTCTTTGGGAGGGCGGGCAAAAGCGCATTCATGAGCTGTGTCACCAGAGGACCATCGTTGACGAAGATACGAGGCAAGGCCAATCTCCCTAATTGCGTGGGACTGATAGATGTGTGATTGAAGGATGGCTTTTGCATGAAGAAACACTTTCCAATTGTGGCCGTGACAGATTCATGTAGGCCATCGACAGAGGTAGAGTTCAATGGTGTGGCGTCTCGAAGAAGCTTCAGCAGCTCATCTGAGAGTCGAGTTTGGTGTTTATCAAAGAAAGGAGATTCAAGGGTTTCTGCCTCTGCATTTTGAGTAGAGGACATCGCCCATCGGAACCATGACTTTTGACGCTCAAACCAAGATGCATATGCTTCTGGTCTGTAGCTATAAGCACTCGCGACCTCCGAAGCAGGTAGATATGTAGAGAAGGGCGTTGAGGATGAGGTGGTGTTGGATAGCGCCAGGTTCAACGTTCGGCGGGCATTCTCTGCCCCCGATTTATTTTCAGCGAGATAAAGGATCTTCGAGGGGGGCATGTATGCACTTTTCTCGACGAAGACTCCGTATGTTGTGTTGACCCATTCCAAAAAGTCCGCAGTGAAGATCTGGCCTCCATCACCATTGATTTGTGTGCTGATTCCAACATCCACCTCGCGGGTTCTCGAGGTAGCATCGAGAATGATTTCGTGAACAGACTCGCAATCGTTCCGCTTGCCAGTAAGTGAAACCAGACCTTCAGATTGTGTGACGTCAATGCTGCAGCCATGGAGACTGGCTAGCTCGTGAAATGAGAAGTGTTCGGCATGGACAAGCAGTGAGATAGAACGTGCCGAGAGATAGAAATCTAGCTGCCCAAGCTCGCCATCAACTACCAGCTGCCAGCAATCCCGAGCAATTATCTCTGCAAGACGGGCTTTACCCTTGAACACTTTTGTCCTTTCCCTCCCCGATCCTTTGGCCTTGGAATGAGGGCCCCATGTCCACTCTTTGTCTTTGAGCTCATTCGAGCGGCGTTTGTGTTCCAATATATAGTCCGACAGTTGTTTGTACGTGAAAGATGATGCCAATTGAGACCACAGTTCTTTGAAATCGCTAGCCGTCAACGTTTCTTTTATTTGGTACGACCCACGACTCGCATCAATGCGCTCTTGAACCGAGGTATCACTAGGAGTTGAGATCTCATTGTCCAGATCATCCAACATGGAGCTGATCGTTTCTCGGGGCGCATACTCGGGCTCGCGGTTTCGTTTGCCATTCAACATTCGACGGCGACGGGCAGACACGACAACAATCTGCCCTGGCTTTCCAAGGGAATCTACATCCAATGTGACTTTTGCACCTTCATCTTGTCGCCGCTGCTTTTGTTCCCGGGTTTCGGGGGTGTGTCCATCGAGGGATTCGCGTGCATCGGAGTTCCAGTTGCTCTGGTATCGGGGAAGAATGGCGTGGGGGGATGCCAAAAATGGTCTCCGATAAGAGAGAGATCGGAAGCTCAAAGGCCCCATGTTCTTCCCAGAGGGGCGTCGAAGCATGGCAGCAGAGCAATGCTATTGCGCACGTACAGAAGACAAATAATCCTGCAATCGCTTTTCTCGATAATCGCGGCGCTAGACTGCGATAAGAAAGGTGTTGATGCCTCAGGCCATAACGAGCACCATGACATACATGCAAAACAAGATGATCACATTAATGAGAGCGCTACAAAAAGTAAATAAGTCTTTGATATTGGCAAAAAACAATTTATAGGAAGTGATCAAGATCAGAACTATAAACGGATGATCTACCTAACGCGCCTCCCCATGATGTACATAGAAAGTATCGTGAAAGAGCCAGGCTAAACATAGCCGCGAGAGTCAGACATATGTATCAATTAGTTCATGGAAAGGTCAGATTGTTCGAGGTATATTCTACCAGCCATGTATTATTACATCTCTTGACATAAGGATTCATTCTTTTGCTGAAACCTCCCAGCTTCGCAAATCCTCTCTCACGTCAAATTCGGAGAGCTCATTATTCGTATTTGGGGACTTCCATCCACGACCCCTTGCACCTTCATATAGTTGCTGCTCAATGCTGCCACCCTTTTTCGTATGCCCAAGGGTGGCAAGAGATTCCGGGGTCTTGCCATTGCTGTGCGAGTGGTTACTGGAGGAACTTTTGGGACGCCGCTCGAAGCTAGGTGACAGCTTCTTTCCAGTACGGCTCTGTCGCGTGGCTGCTTCTACGCTCAACAGCGACTCTCCGCGACCCTCCGTTGATATACCAGCGTCGGCATTGTGTGCGTCATTGTTCCAGCAAGAGCTTCCTGCAAATAGTTCCTCAACCAATTTGTCGGCGGGTAAATCACAGGCTCTAGAGGACCACGATGCTGCTAGCGTGCGCCGGTACATGTCTTGCATATCTGCAATCTCTCGGCTTTTGATGTTGATAGACGGCAGGTGGCCAATATCATCAGGGTCGACCGGCTGTTCAGTAGAATGAACCACTCCGGCAATCCCTCCAAATACCGTGGCTGATTTAAGTTGCGGCCTGTTATGGGTTAGTTCTGAGGCTAGAATGACGTGTTAGGGGTTTAAGCTCACGTTGTGAAATTGCGATCTCCTTCTATCTGGCGCATAGCTATGCCGATCTTCACAGTACTGTTCACCTTGCATTCATTGATCAGGTATCGTCGGATGACTCCTTCATCGTCCTCAACTTTGTCCACGTATTCGGCAAGGTTGAGTTTGATTTTTCCCAAGACGCTCTTTTCAGAAATAGGCGACGAGATAAACTCTTGGATGACCTCGAAAGTGATCTCACACTCTTGAAGCATAGATGTTCTGTCAATAGTAAGCCTTACTTGTAGAGATTTTTCGTATGCCCAGTAAGCGCGGTGATCAGAAAGAGCCGCTTTCTCCGTGTGGCCTTGGTGTTCAGTGGCGCTTGAAGATGGCAATCGCCATCTCACAAATGCGACGCTGTTTCCCAGAGGAACATTGTTGATATCAATAATCTTTCAAAGTCAGAAGGTTTGCTGGATGGCTCATAAGTGAATGATTGTACATACCCTCAAGACGAGCTCGAACCTGGGCTGTGGTAGAGGCTAATTAGTATAACGCCCTGAATAGAACCGCTTAGCAGCTTACTCGTCTGTTTTTTGGGACTGTAACATGAAAATAATTAGTACGAACCATAAAACAACAGCTTTAACAGGAGCATACCAAATGCTTGCATGATAATAACGTCACTGTGCCCAAGCTTGTCAGAGGTCGGGTGTCATACGCCAACTGGCCCACTTAGGACCGGCCTAAGTAATAAATCTCAATCTGGAGATAATCAAATTCACTAGCATAGAGATCAAATGCCAAGTGATGATGTAGTGTGTCAATTTAGCTCAGTTCCTCTCAGCATGCGCCGCCGCCATAGGCGGTGAAATGCCACGATATGGCAGAATACAGGGCAGTCCGCCTACGTTGTACTTGTACACAATTCCCAATTCTTTGGAGCTTCAGACTAAAATATTGATTCTCGGCTGTTTAAAATTCCTGCCTACTAGGCTGAAAGTCTCACAAATATGGTGAAACCTGAATCCACACCTCCGACTTCCACGCCGGAATCAGCCTCAGCACCGGTCCCTTTGGAATCCCCGATCCGCACCACCCCAATCCACTCCATTCTCGCCGAGATAAAAGTTCCAGAAGGGTCACTGCCACCATACCGCTACCATCCGGTGACGTGTGAACCGATCCAATTCCAAGTTTATCGAACCGAGCTTGAGCAACTGGAACAAGAATACAAATCCAGGGAGGCCGCGCTTCGTGCCCAGGAACAAACCGCCAAAGAGGTCAAAGAGAAGATTGAGAACGCCCAGCGGAAACGAGAAGATGTTCAAAGAGCTATGGATAAGAAGATCAAGGAGCGCGACACCGAGATGAAGGTTGTGTCCAAGTTCCAAGAGGCCAAGGCCTCGGATATTTCTTGAAGACGGCCAAGACATTCGGAAACTACCACCACTACTTCTGGCTTGATGAAATCACTTTTCAGTCCACGATTTCCAGTCAACCTGAAAACTCCGTCTGAAATATCGGCGCAGAGAACGATGACATCCAATGGGCCAACAGAGACCCACCTATGCGCTATGGATCACCGCCTCGCCAATATGTCCCACAGCAATCTCAATACACATGGCCGGGTTCCAGCCGGGCTCTGGATATGACAGTAACTCTCTGTGTCTATTTTGTACACGCATTCCGGTTCGGTTTATACAAACACGATGGCATCTACCGAAGTCAATAGGCGCCTTGAGAGGACTGCAAGCACGCTTGGGCCCAGAATTCACTGTTCCATCAAATTCTCCATATGACTGATAAACGAGAGCGATGGCTCACGCGAACCACGCACCTCTCAACCAGCAAGCTATCTACCAGCACATGTCAAATATATCTCAATCTACAAGCCCACACTCCAGGCTTTGAATTACTATGAATGGATCATCTCATATTAAAAATATTCACATTAAAAATTTCCAAGAGTGATACCTAGGAGACCGAACTATTGGTAAAATTTGGAGACAGATCGAATTTTTATGTTCGAGGTACCAAGCTCGATCCAAGCCCCAGCCATGGCTGGGAGGGAGGAAGAATCCTCTTCTTGCCCTACATCGATTGATGTTTCCAGCCCTCTCACCATGCAGCAGCATTCTGGTTCTTTTGTACCAGAAGAAACCCTACCGAGCTAAGAGAAGCCCAGCAAGGTCTGAGAACAGTTGGAAGAACTACCTCCTCCATGAGGCAATCCATTCACTTCTGGGAGGTCGTATACCTAGACGACTTGAGTAGTCCATGGATGGTAGCTACATTGATGGGACCCTTATCATGGAGTAGAGTACACTGCATTCGAATCTTTGGGCTTAGACATAACGAATCATTTGATTTGTTCAAGGATTATGAGCCAAATTTCAAGGTAGCAACTAAGACCAAACTAGTTATCAACAATTCTATGCTATAGAGATCTGGTCCGATCAACCTAGATACTTTTAAGTTTGAGCTACTATGATACATCAACTAAGCATATGTCAAATTCAATAAGTCATCTTGTCGTTGCCTACATAGGGAAGAGGGAAACTATCTTATAGAACAATATATGTCCAACAGTCTTGAGGCGTCGTCTAGCTTTAATTTAAATCGAGCTGGCAGCTATGACTCATGAATTTAGGGGAGATATGCCTTCCAGAATGCTATAAGGTACTGTTTTATATAGTTGACTCATATAATACTGCTATATTTGCGTTGAGGCTATTTCGGTACTAACAACCACGACGCATATCTCGATTGGAGTTTCAGTACCCGCTTGAACTGTTAAAGTGGGAATTTAATCCAACTTCCAGCTACCATCTACCATACCATACCATCCAGCTGCCATCGGTTGCCAACGCATCTTTCCCAGCCAGTTCAATAACACCTGTATAGCGAACAATGTAAAGTGAGGCAACAAATAAGAAGCGGATGTGGGCCCGGAGATATCCGCCACATGGTGTGGCGCGTGGCATGCACCGCCTCGTCTATTTTAGGAAAAAGCAACATCCACCGGTCGCTATTTTTCTTTTTCTTTTTCTTTTGGCTGAACATCCACAGAAGACCAATAATAATGACTATGACGAATCTTCACTTCCACAGGCTAACTACAACCGTAAGAATCCCCCACACCAAAGACCATGTGACTGAACTCATATGCAGCAGGGATTATTTTCGTTCCAGGGCAGAAGCAGTCAGTGTACTACAATAACATAGTAAGATGATATCACGAGAGCTTGGATCATGTGGACAATACGATATAAACCAAGGATATACATTATAGTACTATAATGCCGGCATATATTATCAACGGGATGTTGTATTGGAACAGTATAAATTTGTATACCAGCGGTATTAGTTTCAATACACACTAAATGCAAGTGGCGCCATCCTAAAGTCTAGCAATTGAGGCTTAGTCCAATGGGCGATCGTAGCAGGGATCTTAGCCTTCAGTGCATCGGCCGGACTCAGTTGCTGTTAGCGAATCCCAGCTCCGAAGTACCCTAAGACCATCCTGCCCCACGCTTGACCCTCCATCAGCTGAGGTCTACCACCCTATTGTCCTAGCGGCAATGGATAGGTCCAGAAAGAAGGAAAACCCCCCTGCAAACAGGGAAGAGTTTGTTTTGAACTTGTTTCGTGTATTTGTATTTAATATTAAATCCGTAGTGATTTAACTATAACCCCAATAGAGAAGTACGGGGTAGAAACAGGATTTCAACGATCAAAAACAAAGGCTTGGCCTGCAGGCTGTAGGTGAATTGAAATAGAATCTTCAGCGATATGCATACAATATAGGATTTTCTCACTAGTTCAGTAATTCAAGGACTATATCTTCAATACCACACCACGATGTAGGGGTACCGTAGATCTTGGCGCACGCTGAGAATCTGTATGGAGTAAGAACATGCACATCGCCTATCTGAGAAATGAGTTTTGACTCCCCGCTAAACAATACATACCTCTGAACTTGATGGCTCTAGATGATCTATGGAGACTCAAGACTCCGAAGTTTTATATTTTTTTCTGTGATTATTATTTGTTTATTTGTTTTTTGAAAAAAAAAACGATGAGCCGTTTCTTACGGATCAACGGGGCTTAGCTTTTGCAGTTTAGGGCATCATGCATTCGGATTCCAATGGACCAAATGGACCAAATGGACGTGCAACGCGTGTGAGACTGAAAATACTGTGCGAGGAGTCAAATTCAATGAAACACTATTGGATTTTACTGTTCCAACCGAACGATTCTCGCCACTACAGTTGCAGATCGGGGAGTCCGAGATTTGGCCACTGTACACTGACTGACCTTACTCCTTACTGACTCCATTAAGCTGCATGTCGACCAAAATAATACGAATCCAACCTAACTAATTGTTACTTACTCCGTACTTACTGTTGAATTATATTGCCCTCGGAGGAAAAAAAAATTATAATGGTAATCTCCACTAATCGGCGCCCCTCTATCATTTCCAACTTCTCTTTTATTTTTTCTTCTATAACCACGACTGACTTTCATGTCCTTTCCTTTCTTTTTATATTCTAATTTCTGTTCTTTTTTGCGCATTCGCCCGCACTTTAATATACAACGAGTACAATCATTGGTACATTCTAGTACTGTTCACTGGTAACATACCAAAAGTCAACGAAGATCCCACAAGGCTGCTATATTGTGTGGGCGAATGTCGCCTTTTATGATTTATATTCTATCTACATTCTTTTATATCAGCTCGATCAACGCAGGACGTATCACCTTTCAGTCATAATGCCAACAGTTTTACTTCCCTCATCCGCGGCAGCCTTTGCGCCGCGATCTTCACCAAATGTGGTCTTAACCTCAAAGGTTGCGCCGTGGTTGACGGCAACACTGAAACGAGTCAACCGGGTCAAACGTCCCTTGAACAATGTCACCCAACACACCAAATGTTTGACAGAAACACTTTCATCGCCAAACGCTATCTGGACTCTATGCTCTATGATGTTCACCAAAGCCCCCGAAGCGGAGTTAGAGAAGGACACCAACTTGCTCTGGGAATCAATTCACCACTACCAGACTATCCACGTGGAGGCCTACGTGGTGCACGTCGACATGGTCTCCCGCAACGAAGTAGCCTTCAAACTAACCCCGGAGACGATTGAATCACTAGTTGATTTCCACAAGGAAGTCTACTCAGTAGATGCCGCCGCAAACACCTACAATTGGTCAGGGAAGCACGCCCAACTGAAGAAACTACAGGAGGAGTTCGTCCAAGCCGCCAACAGATTCGTGTACCGCACCGACGCCGACGCCCTCGAAGGCCTGGAAGAAGACGGCGCCGGAGAACTGCTCTGCGGCCGCAGCGAAGAGGTCAAGAAAGCCATCGGCAACCTCTTCATCCCACTGATTCCGCCCCCGCCCCCAATGGTAGTCGAAGTCCTGCGCCCCGTGCCTCTCCTCCCCAGCTCAACCGGACCGGAACCCTGGTGGAACATGCCCCAGTCCGCGCCCGAGTCGTGGAAAGTACTGCCGCCCAGCCCCAACCCGACCACCACGGGCGATTCTAACCCGAATCTCTGGGCTAGTCTCAGTTTCAGTGATGCGCAGCTTTCTCCAACCCCGTCTTACAGCCAGCCCTACACCACCGAGCCCTATCAGTACGGATGCATGCCCACCTGCATGCCCACCTGCATGCCCTCGTCCGCCGCTATCAGTGCGCTCCCGCTGCCTAGTATGCTCGTCCAGCCTTGCAGCACCGCGTTCAACATGGGTATGGGCTTTGGCTGGGGAGAACTCGCTCCGCTGCCCTATGGCACCACAATCTAGAGGAGACCCGTGATGTCGACCATCGCTTGTCTGGCTCTATATCCCGATGTTTGCAGCCTGGTTTGCTAGGGAACGTAGATCGTTTCCTGGAGCTGGGGTGCGCGCGCACAAATATCGGTTCTTCCTCCTCTCTCTATCTCTCCCGGGAACCCAACGACACTTCGCATTCCTGACGGCGTTCTCTTCGGTTCGGCTTTGTGCATCTGTGATACTCCCTGCGTTCTTGCATGATAACCAGAATAATCCTTTTATGTGCTTGATGTGATATTTTGTTCGATTCCAGCGTCAGCGATCTTCTTTTTCTTTTCTTTTCTTTTGCATCAAGAAGCGGCGGGACGGCTCTTTGTCATGTTTCTTTCTTTTTTTTAACTGTCCGCATATATGTCATGAAGACTGGTCTGCCTCGCGGCATGTGGAGGAATACGAATTCGGACGTGGAATGTCCTTTACACCTTCGATTCTTTTGTCGCGTCGAGGGGAAAGCCAAGAAACATACATCCTTTGATTGACTGGGTTCAGTCAAGGATTTTGTCTCCTTACTTTTCTTTCAATGTATCTTTCTGGTACTGGTTACCGGACTGGCTGACCCTCTTCGTTGGGGGTTGGGGGATATTCGCACGCGACGGTCTGCTCTTCTTGCATCTGTGATGTTTGATTGGGCAGACCTTTTGGTCAGATATGGTTTGAGAAAATGCAGATCCAGGAAGAGTGAGAGCAAGACATGTTCCCGATTCTCGTCCGGCTCGCGTCTGTCCGCCTGTGGCGGATACCGAGCGCGCAAGGGCGAGCCCAGATTCCCCTGGTCTGTGACCTGGGAGTCTGCTCCCGCTAACGGTGAGAATTCGAGTGGATTTCTACTCTATCCTCTGTGCTGTGATCTCACGCCCGAAATCATTGTTGGCCGTGGTAGGGTCATCTCCTATCGTCCAGGAAGGTTTTAGAAAATCCTGGATATGCTTGGTCCGTCGGTGGACTTTCACTGGTTGAAGGTCCTTTCTTTCTTTTTTCCGACGGCGAGAAACGGATGCTCGGTTGGACTGGGTCTTAAATGGTCTGTCTGGTCGAGGGGCTGGTCCCTCGCGCTGGCTGCTTCCCTTCTCTTGGTTTTGTGTTGATCCGTCAGCAGTTTAGTCCAAACATTGTGTGTATCTTAGCTTAGTTTGAAAAGTTTATACACGATCTATTCGCAGCTCGTAGTCGTACCTATAATGGTAATTGCAAAAGCCCATCGGACGAAAGTCAAGAGAAAGGGGATTTCAGCTTATAGACACCCATCTACGACAACCCCAGCTCGTGGATGAGAATGCTAGCCATGACACCTCCCTGTGAGCAAATGAAGGTTAAGATCTACTGGAGCACGGCGAGCATCTAAAAATCGAAGTGAGGTACGAAAACTCGGGCTTCTACTTCTATAACATCTTCCAAACCAACAGCTTTCAGGTGGAATATTATTTCCTCCGAAACCGGTGGTCTCCAAGTAGGCCAGGCTATGGGAGCTCTAGCAGAGTGCCAGAGGGAACCGAACCGTGGCAAAGATGACCAGAGCGAGGACGACATATGCTATACTAGAGGCCGGTTACTCCGATTGGAACTGAAACAATTCACTGATGAACAATTGGCGTTTATCGGCCTAGGATAGAATGTCGATATCGAAGTTGCACCTAGGTGGGCGCCTGCTAGAAGGGTAGCTCAAGGAGGAACGAGTACATAGGCCTTTCTTTCGCTAAAATCTTGGAAATAAACCACTTCAGAGCCACATCACAAAACCGAGTAGAATTTCAATATATATACAATTCCTGACAATTCCCAATGCCCAAATTACTGCCCACAGCTCAACTCTGTTCCTTAGCCAACAACTTAGAGTTCTCTTCCTGCAACGAGCCCACAAGATCAACCCATTTCTGGCGATCACCACGCAGCCGCTTAACCTCTTCCTTGAGATTTGTGATCTCCTCCTTCAATTTCTCGACCTCAGACTTGGACTTGGACTTCGTCTTTTTTTCGCGCTCCACATGCTTCCGCTGCTTCGTTTCAATCTTCGAAGCAACCTTCAGTTGACTGGCCTCGATCTTGCGCAGCTGCTTAATGAGCTTCGCTTCCCCGCTCAAAAGCTGCGACGCCACCTTGTGCACATTGGCTGGTGGATCGGGGGTGGGCGTCTGCGACGAGGCTTCATTGCTGCTCTCTTGCGCTTGGTTGTTCTGTGTGGCCGTGCTGGCGGGCGTGGAAGAGCGATTCGTTGCTGCGCGTTTGCGCAGACCGCTGGTGTCGCTGTCTGCCTCGTTGATGCCTCTCAGCGGGGTTCCAGGGGCGGTAGGTGGTCGCGAGATATTAAGTTTATCAAGTTCGGCGCGGAACTCGTCGAGCTTGGTTTCGACTTCGCGTTTGCGGAGAGCTAGCTTTGCGAGTTCTTTTTCGTAGGATGTGAGTTTGCCGTTCTTTGTCATTTGAATCAGTTCTTCGGGGGGCATGTTGTTGTGTGCCAGTTCGTCGACGGCTGGCGCTGCCGCGTCTGAGCGCCCAGATGTCAATGAGATAATATCCGGCTCGCGGGACTTTGAGGAGTCGGCCTCGGAGGGTTGTCTGTTGTGTCGAGCACTTTCTGGGCTCAAGTGATCTGTGGCTTCTGCGTTAATTTCAGCGTCTTGGGTTTTATCAAGACTGCGCGATGTCTCTGGGTTGGATCCATAGCCTAGGACATGTGGTCCGTATCGTTCCAGGCCGGAGCTGAGTAAACCGGTGACACTCGCAATCAGGCCGTGGTGTGAGTGCTCGCCGTCGCTTTCGAGGGACTCATAATCTGAGTCTGACTCGTCTGCCTGGTCGGAGTTCTGTTCATTGATAGGCTCCTCGGGTTTAGCGTTAGTGCCAGCTAAATCTTTCGTCGATTCCGTAGCTGGGCTTTTGTCTTGTTTGAGTTGCTTGTCGTCTTCAACAGCCCAATTGATGAATTTGGCAGCGTCTGCTCCCACACTCCTCGGTGTTCCCTTGTCCACCATCCAGCGTGGAATGCTGCCACCTGGATCGCTCCTGGTGACCATGATCCATTCCACCGGGTTCATTTCATTGTGTTCGTCATCTGCAAGCGCTCCGTCTTTCTCATCAGAACACTGCGCACCGGAAGACGAAGAATCACTGTTCTTCTTACTCTTCTGGCTAGAAGAGCTGCTCCCAGTATCGTCTTTCTTTCTGGGAATCTCGCGAATGAGCTCCACAGACTCATACTGGCCGCGAGTATAGCCCTGCTTATGAGGCACATTAGGGTGTTCACAAGGCTTAGAAACCATCATCCAGCTGCGACCCGGTTGTTTAGTCCCCCCGATCTGCAACCCGGCATCGGAACTGATGATCATGGCCACAAAGTCGCGCGGAGCAGTAGGCTTGGGGAACTGCGCAGAGACATGATAGACCATCAAATTGCCCAGCACAGACCCATCGTCATCCTTGATCTCGATCATCTCAACCTTCTCTTCCGCCCCGATTCCGCGAATGCTCTTATCGGGTGTCTGTCCTTTCGCAATCTTCTTCTGGTTGACCTTCAGTGTCTCGTCGTACTCTGCTGAGATCTTGTTCCGCCACCGGTCAAACGGAAGCCCCTCATGTACACTCCTTCGCCCGAACCATGAGCCTCCGCCGTCGTTGGCGGATAACTTCCACACAGTCACATCTAATGGGTTGTCCTTTGGCCCGCCCATTTTCAGTGGTTTCCCCCATTCCTTTTGTAGAGCTGTAATTTCTGGGTCGGTTTCTGCGACTCGTGCTGCCGATGGTGCGAATCCCGGGTATAAGGTGTCATCTGCGTCTAAGTCTAGCCCGGGATAACTTTGGCTATCGGAGAACGGGGGGTCTGGGAGTGATTCTGCTACCAGGCGGCTTCTCTTGAAAATGTCGCGCGCGTAGTTTCGAAGTTCGTCGGGTTCTTGGGGGACATCGTCCCACGATGTTGGCTTGAGGCATTGGAGTGCCTCATGTAGAGTGGCCATAGATGCTGTAGGAGGGAGTTTATATTGTAATCTTTATGTCGAGTCTTGTAGTATTCAGGGGCTGCAGAGTGGTATGATGTAGCTTGCAAGTAGCGGGGATCGCGGGGGATCGCGGGGGGTCGCGGCAGTCGTCAGCTCGTGGTAGCGCTTGTATCAGGTCACAAGTATAGGCGTTGACAGAAACAGATAATTTCGCAAGATAATAAGTTTGACAAATAAAGCTGTGAATGATTTGGAGTAGCTCTTGCATAAAAGAGTTATAAAATCAAGAAAGCAAAGTGGCAATGGGCTCAAATGCGGGAGCCGTTTTGGATCAAAGATAGAACAAAAAACCGGGAATACATGGACACATATACACAATGATCGGGTAGTTTAATAAACAGAAACAAAGTCAAGATGCAGGTACTAGGAGAGACTGAGAGAGACAGACATTAGGAGCTAAGGAGATTATTATTAAGGAGTTCTGGTGACGTCATATGGGGTAAAATGATCGACTGCCTACTTTCCTAGTACAACTTGATCTCCTTGATCTTTCTGAGATCCTTGATTCTTGATGGTTATTTTTGGATTTAGTGACTGCTAATCAATATGAATGGTCCACATTGTTCTAGGACTTGGCCATGAATCATGTCCTTGGCAGAGACCATGCTAGGGTTATCAAGGCTAATGATAACCTAGCATATACCTTGTAAGAGGGTCCGAATATCTTCATATGTATTATCAAAAGACAAAAGATTGGCATATATCATTCTCCGGCACCGCTCTTCTTCGTCAGCAGACGTTTGGTCTCCAGGACACCTTCTTCATCTTCCAGCTCGGGATACAAACAAAGAAACGTATCTAACTGTAACATTGCAGCTCTGGAATTATCGTCTGTCTGCTGACAGTGCATCTTGACAATTCTCATGAATACCCTTGAAATGGAAAGCTGACTGAAAAAAACATTCTCCTCCCCGAGTCACGCAGCAATGTTGACACCGTAGGGGGTAGGCTCTTTGCAACCTCCTTTAATATGATCTGATCTTCGAGGTAAAGGTGGTCCTCCGAGAACTCTTCGCCCTCTGCCACACCTTCATTATTCCACCCGGGGATATCGGCAATAAACCAAGGGTGGTGAATGATTGCCGGTAGCGGAGCCATATACATCCAAACCCATTCAATGACCCTATGAACAAAATGGCCTATTAGAGATAAAGAAACCAAATAAAGTAGATAGGCGCTGCACTTACCCTGTTAAATGGAAGTCTTCATTTATCATTATAATCTGTGCGTTCAAATCCCCGTGGGCAAAGCCGATGCCAGTGTACTCATCGATCTCGGAGGCGTAGTCCCATATCATAGACCGCATATCAAATAGTCAATAGCTGCCCCCCATCTGGCAGTGCCTTTAATAGTTCGACGAAGACCACGATCCAGACTTTCTGTAAGCCAGGCAGGGGAGAGATAGAAATACACTCGATGTTTCGGAAGGTTACCAGGAGTAGGTGTAGTCCATAGTTGCAATTGAAGTTCAGCAAGATCATCTAGAGTCTTCCGGCGGTTGACTATAGGAATTTTTCGATTCCAAATTGCTAGTGGCGAGCCACTGATCCATTCCGAGTACAGCACGGGGTATTCTTGTTTGACAAAGACGGGTAGCTTTCATCTCCGGCCGTTGCCTTCTGATGTATTTGAGTAATTCCACGGCACGTAATCCCATATTCCAATTAGAACCATTACTGACTCGGGCAGCCCACTGTACGCAGTCTTCAAAGATAAGTTTGAAGACGTGGTGTGTGCCCCCAACCCGGGGACTTTCGTCAGCAAGTGTGCATGGAATTCCTGAACGGAGGCGACTGGCTGCATGTTGCACTTCAAGGGAGTCCATCATATTGGAAATTTGAATTGAAATGGCAAAAGAATGAGAAGTAAAGTACGTCTCCAAAACCTAACACGTGCAGAAACCCCTGTAGTTAGTTAACCCTAAAGAGGAAGCCAGGCCCAAAGTAAGAACATAATGGCGAAGGAGCAACGCGCGTGTTAGTACAATCTCCTCCTTTTGCCTCCCCCCTCTTGCGCTTGTACGGAGTACATTCGCGTTTATTAATTCTCTGTTCCTTTCTCTACCTACGGTTATTCTAGGGCACATAGAGCAGCTAAGGCAGATATTTACAACGTGAGCTCTTTGCTATTATTTGTTGTCTTGTTTCATTTAGGTTATCTGGATCTGATGTTGCGTTTTCCGCATTGAGTCATAGTGCTCAATCAAGAAGATACGGTTGACACATAGTATTATCTTCCTAAAGGAGCCGAATGCTAAATGTCGGTGTGGACGATGCGGATAAGCTGTGTCACATTTGTTACAGTTGAATTATACAAATACCTGGAATCATACACATATCCTGGAATGGACCATGCATAGGCCGTCCATAGTCTGTCAGGTGTCGTTGGCCCAAACGCCCAATATAAATTTGCACTGCCTCCTTCGCTGAGCGTGGTTGGAGCTTTCCTGGGCTATCTACAGGTATCAAAAAGCCATATCACACCTGTGCAGAGGCATTGAATTGCAGTATGGAATCAAAGTTCTGCCATTGCCATTTGCGCAGAGTATCTCTATTGCGTATGAGAATTCAAGGTGCCGCTTCCAACAAAATCAGTCCACAGCAACAATGTGCAGTTGTCGAGATCGGCACGTCGCCAAGGTCAGAATTTGCAGAACCAGAAGAGTGACAAGCCGCAAAATTGCCGGGCAGTGATGGTCAGAGCATCGGAGCGTCTGTTCGAGGGAGATATAAAACGGGGGTATCAAGAAAATAAGAATGGAACCATGATTGAGTGGTTTACTCTTGAGTCTGGAGCGCGAGAGAATGTCAGTTTCCAACCCTGATTTCTGCACACCTTCACCACATACCTCTGGCGGATTACCAGCGCCGCGGACCATTTTTTCCAGCATTGCTGCGCGCACCATCTCCTTTGGCTCGCCCATGCCAACAGCCATGTAGGACAGTAGGGGGGGGTGGCCAACGTAGGAGGAGTAGCTATCGCGTAGGATGTTGGATGTCCATTCGTACTTGGTGGTATCGGCGTGTCCGGTACCGATGTAGCGGGACTGGAGAGCCTCCAGGTTCTGGATTGTGCGGAGCTTGTCGGCCATGATGGATAGTAAAGAAGCTGGATGGAGTTGAGAAGAGCGACGGGATGATTGGGAGGAGATGGATGAATTTGGCCTCAGGCAAATATATCACTTTCACGTGATTTCGTTGCACATTTTGGGATTCTTCGCTTCGTTCTTTCTCTCGGAATCGTCTGATTGTATTTATGTACGGCGCTTGGGCTATGAATTTGTCTCATGTCTATTGAGTCGTCCGATCCTTTACCGTCCCGGATTGCGTCGCTGGTGCATGCTCATTTCGATGCTCTGCCCACACGCAGTAAACCATCCGTTTTTCCGGATGGATCGAGGGAATGGATTCCTATGACCGGCATTGTAGCTGTTAAAGGTATTTTCTCGATAAGTTCAAAAAGAGCTACCTCGGAGGACGCTTTTTGTTTGTACATATGACATTTCCAACCGAGTTGTACTAACATCGATGTCTTCGATTTGATAGGAGAGAACACACCTTCGGAGAGTCTGACCTGCATCGCTGTGACGTGAGTTTTGTCTAAATAGTATCTTATATGGAAGCTGATGTCTATCTAGGAGTGGTGCAAAATGCCTATCGGCATCACATATCCCGCGCTGTAAGGGCCTTGTACTGCATGACTGCCATGCCGAGATACTGGCGATCCGAGCATTTAACTACTGGCTTCTTACAGAGTGCCATGGTATGCTATCTCAAGAGAAGCAAGTAGATCGTGATGCCCCTGGCTCCAATAATAGAGAACTCCCCTGTGCTCCATTTGTAAAAAGGAGAAAGATTGGAGAATGCGGAGACGATGGTTCAAAGCCACACACTGAATGGCCGCCTTTCGAGCTCCAGTCAGATATAAATATATACATGTACTGTACATGCGCACCTTGTGGCGATGGAAGCATGGAGCTATGCATGGCAGCCCAAGAAGATGCAACACCGTGGGAAGTCCCGCAGCAGAAATCCCCTTCGACAACGAACCAAGGAGATGAGACTCAGGTCGCAGAGATGATGCTTGATGGCCGAGCTCATTTTTCGCTTCTTGGTATCGTTCGTCGAAAACCATCACGCACGGATGCCGAATCGACGCGCAGCAAATCCTGCTCAGATAAACTTGCATTGCGACAAGTATCGTCCTTGCTCTCCTCTGAGACCAGTCGTCTGGTCGCTCCAACAAAAAACGCATATCTCGCCGGGCTGATCCTTCCCAAGGATGAAATCAGTAAAGTTGCCTGTGATCGATCGTTTGGTGAGAACGGTCGAATGCAAGCGCTGGCAGGGCGTTCGTGGCCCGAGACAGACACCGAAGAAATGAAACCGGGGTATCGATTCAGGCCGTTCCGGATTCTTTCAATACCAAGCGAAGAGGTAGCATCACGGTGGAGGTTTGCAAAGCCAAAAGTTGTTTCTTGTCCTGCTGGCGCATCAGAGAAGAATGGAGGTCGTTCGCCGTCTGCAGCGAATCCCAAAAAGAGCAAACCAGGCAATGCGAGTGCTGTATGGACGCTGGCTCCTTCTTACGGTGACTCATCTACTATGTTCATGGAAACCGGCAGCAAGTCGCTTCCCGCACTTTGTCGTTCCAAGACTGGCTTATATGAAACCATCATAAACGGGGTGAAGCAAGGGAATCGGGCGTCTGCGCCCAGCCCACGAGGAGCCTCGGCGTTATCTCGTGCTAAACTTTGGGCTCTTTACCGCAATATTGTATCTGCTTCGGCTTCGGCTCGAAATTGTGATGGCCCTGAAATAGTGCAGGCTGAGGCTGAGAGACTGCACATCGATACAGTTCGCCACGTGTCGGATATTGATACATATCAGGAGTTTAAAAATCCTGGCGGCTTGGAGGACCCGTTAAGAATCCGCATGCAGGCCATAAGTGATGCCCGAATTGTCCTCAAAGGGTGGATTCCCAATGCGGGTGATGAATCCTGGCGCTTGGATGTCCTGGTGGACCCTAAAAAGCGGAAGCGCTGATAATCCAAATTCGAGGATATCTTGAAGTTTTATCCAGTAATTGATCCCATAGAACTACCCTGGAGATAGGGCTTATATCAGACTATATTGAACTTACGAAGTTTGAAAGGTTGTGTTCTTTGCTTCTTTAGGCGCCGGGGAACCGACCTAACCCTAAAGAATTGCTACATTTGTAACTAATTAGCAGTCTCTGGTTGTAGCTTTCGCGTCTTCTCCTATCTTTCTTTCTCGTCTTTCCTTCTTCTCCATTCACATCCTCCTCCTCCTCCTCCTCCTCCTCCTCCTCCTCCTCCTCCTCTCTACGATTTAGATCCTAATAGCAGCATCCAAGAGTCAAACCCAGAGCAAAACATGGCTCGCTTATAGATGAACCGTGTTATCCATGGATATCCTCTAATTTTCCAAACATTCAAAACGAGCATTTAAAGTGTTGTAGGGCTTAATTGTTGCTCGGTCGATTAGCTTCATATACGTTCCGACTCTGTAACAGGCAATTGGATCTCATCATAACTATGCCATGAAACATTGGTCCCTTCCACTTCAAACGAGTGACTCACATCTCCTCTTCTTTCTGCTTTTGCATCGCTCCCACATTTCCATCCAATCTACAGATCTCGACATTACCCCATGGATGCTCAATCAAACAAACTCGACATAGTCTTGGTAGACTCCATTCCCCTCCTGTCAGACTGTTTAAACAGCCTCATCTACTTCAACAAGCATTATAACATCTGGCCTTCCCTATACATCGACCTTGAAGGCGTCGATCTCGGCAGACATGGTTCGATCTCCATCCTCCAGCTTTTTGCCCCCTCCATGAAAAAGATCTACATCATCGACGTCTACAAATTACAAGACAAAGCCTTTTCACCCGTAGACAACAGCGGAATTTCTCTCAAATTCATTCTCGAAACCCCATGCATCCAAAAAGGCATCTTCGACCTCCGCAACGACTCGGATGCCCTGTTCAGCCACTACGGCATCTCAATCCATGGAATCCATGACATCCAACTAATGGAGCTCGCAAGCAGACAACACCCCAGAGCCTTCCTCGCCGGCCTGGCCAGATGCGTCGAGAAAGAAAGCCCCATCTCCCCCGAAGAGAAAAAAAGCCTGGCAAACCACAAAACAAAAAGTCCACCGGCTCTTCGACCCAGCCCTAGGCGGCAACTACGAGATCTTCAACGAGCGTCCCATAAAGCCAGACATCCTCACGTACTGCGCCCAGGACGTCGCCCTCCTCCCGGGCTTATACAGCGTCTATTGCCAGAAGTTGGCTGCAGACGCATCCCGGCAGAAGTTCTGGGAACACGAGATAAGATCTGCGACCAGCGATCGTATCCGCCTTTCACAGAGCCCTCATTATAATGGACACACGAAGGAGAATGCCCGCGGGCCCTGGAGCGAGGAATGTATATCCATCAGGCACTGCATAAATGGGATGCAGCGGCCATGGCTAGCGCGTCTCATCGAGGTAAAAGGGGGCCTCACGGCGAGTATATCCATCCTGGATACTTTCAGCCCTGGTACATCCATTGCCAGAATATCAGACCCCAGCTTGTCCAGCGGCATATCCACCCGGTGTACTATCGCTGGTATGCGCGACCTGCGGCTCCATTGGTGTATGGATGTTATCGTTGGTGAGTTGAGATCTTTATTTTCTGGTTACTCGATGCACACCCGGCACAGGATTGAGAGAATGGATACGTGGATTGGGGGGCTCTGGAGAAAGATTCCAATAATTTTATGTTGGTTCGCTTTGTGGTCCATTAAGCCTGATTCTATGTTAATTCGAAGCACTTATTGGAATATAACATTATTTCGAGCATACGAATTGAATAGGATTTTGTCATATTAAAAGCTCGTGAATTTGATTTTTGATGGCTTAGAGGCAATACAAGTTGCCCTGGCCAAAGAGACAAGCCTAAGTTGTATATTGCAAAATACAACTTGCAAGCAAAACATCAGAAGTATTATACAAAACCTAGACATAGAAGTAGATTAAAAGTCCATAAAAAAGCCCCCTTCGAAAAATACATCCTAGTAGATTCCAGGAATGATGCGGCTGCGCACAATAGAAGTATACCGCTTCCAGTCAGCGCCATACTTCTTCTCGCACTTCTCCTCGTCACGCATCTCACGGTGAATCAAAAGAACGCCAAAGTACAGCATGTAGAAGTAAGTGAAGATCATACCGAAGCCACGGATCTCAGGCGTCTGCACAGCCTGCTTCTGCACCGCACCACTGGCAGGGTTAATGGTCTCGATCAGAACGTAGCCCGCGACACCAGTAGGCAAGCAGTAAGCCCACGACATAGTCCAGTCGCCGAGATAGTTGATGTGGCGAGCCAGACCCCACCAGCCGGAAATCATCAGCTTGGAACCCGCGGCTGTCTCGATGTATTTGACGTTCTTGACGCGCGGGTCGTTGGGGTTCGTGCGGAAGCGGTTCTTCTGGTTGTTTGCGCCGCGGAAAATCGAGTACCCGACGGCCGTGACGCCCAGCACAACGGCCATGCCGGTCCAGCCCAGCTCGTACGGGAATACGGACAGGTACCGGGTCTGAATGCTGTACACGTGCGGGACCCAGACTACGTCGCCGAAGGAGAGCATGAAGCCGAAGCCGTCCATGATGACGTCCATGGTTGTCATGATGGCAGGCTCCATGTAGAGTCCGTCCAGGACGTAGAATGCTTGGAAGACGGTCACTAGCACGATCGAGTCGGTGATGTAGCCGTAGGTTCGGTACTGGTGGGCTACGTTGGATAGGTTCAGAATTATCCATCCGAGCAGGCCGGGCCGCATCTCCATGAACACCTTGATGTCGAGAGTACGCGAGGCTTCGCTGACGAATGGGATGGGAAGGCGGAGGCGAGGGTTGAGCTCACGGCCGATGAAGAAGTCGTAGAGCACATTGCCTGTGATGCCACCAGGCGCTAGCTCTCGCCGGCCAAGATTTTGGGTGCCCGGTGGTGGAACAGTGAAGCTCTTCGCGTAGACAAATAGCGCAATGGAAGAGGAGATCAACAGGTTTGCAGTGATAACCTGGATGTAATTGTCCCAGAGGAAAGTCCACACCACGAAATCGGCTCCGTAGAGATAGGTGCCTCCGGCGAGGCCTGAGAGGATAATAAGGGCAGAGTTGAACGCTGTTGGGCAAAAGATGTCAGCAAGATCCTGGTTTAATAATGCGACGGCGAACATCGATTCATACCATTGAATTTGTATCGCAGACGTCCTCCACAGGCCAGCTCGACACCTTCCGCCTCCTGACCGGGAAGGAAGACCTGTAGGAACAGACTGAAGGCATAGTAGCTTAGAGTCCACAGGGTAACCTTGGTATCATAGAGCGCCGCGACACCCTGCTCTGGCCAGCCTACTTCATTTTTCAATTGCTCGAGCGACAAAGTCGAGGGGTTCAGCAAGCCTGGTGCGGGACAGCCAGTGACATCGTTGCAGACGAAGGTAAAAAGGTAGATAAGAACTGGAAGACCGAAGATGATTCCAAAAGCACCTAGTCTATAGCAACAGTTAGCTTATTTTCACTCAATTGAAGCTCTAGACAAAACATACGGTCCACCAAATTCATAACCGCGCTTCTCTGGCACTGGTTGCACGGAATTTTTGATATTCTTTTTAGGAGGCATGGTGTAAGAACTGAACCAATAGAGATTGAGGAGAAATAATCAAAAAGACGGGGAAGCAGGCAACTATAAATAAGAAGCTGAAGCCTAAAAAGAGACTCCGCGTACGATGTCGGATGGAAGAAGCCCGCCGGTTGATCTCCGCATCGCCAATCAGAACCGCGATGATGCTACGTAAGCTGTTTTCACCCCCTTCACAACTCTCTTTCAATAGACCAGATCGGGTATTTTCTATCGAATTGATCGTATCTTAATTACTCTCCAAAGCCCCCCACATTTTCTTATCCATTTATACCAGCCAGGCCGCGGATCGACGCCGACCCAGTCATGAAGCTGAGCCCTCACTACTCCCTCTTCCTTCTATCCTCAATCCTCGGCCTATCAAATGCAGACTCCTCCCATCTAGACGATGCACCGTGCGTCGCGCGCTCCCCGACAACAGGCCTATACTTCGATCTCAGTGCGATCTCATTATCCCCGCCCGAGCTAAAGGACGGCAAGAAGGTCAACAAGGACGCCCGCGAAGACAGCTGGTATGCCAAGGGCCATGACTACCCGGCCAACTTTACAATCAACGTCTGCGCGCCGGTCATTGAAAACGTGACGGACGTGGTCGGGGTGGAGTCTGCGCGGTGGAAGAACGTCAGTGCATACTACGAGCGGGATGAGAAAGTATATTCCATCGGGTATGATCTTCGTCTCAGTTGCACCTCAGGTGTAGGTCCATAGACCACGCTAACTCAACACTTTAACAGAGAACAAGCCTCTGAGCCGTTCTTCCGCGGCCGCAAACTCGTTCTCAATTACACCAATGGCTCGCCATGCCCGGACGATGTGAACGCCGCCAGCTCGAACTCCACGCGCAGAAAGTCAACGATCATGTCGTTCCTCTGCGATCGCGATGCGCCTCCGAACGTCGCTACCCCGTCGTTTGTCGGCTCCATGGACTCCTGCACGTACTTCTTCGAGCTCCGCAGCTCCGCGGCGTGCGGTGGAATCGCCGTCGATCCCAACGCCGGCGGCTTGGGACCCGGCGGCGTATTTGGCGTCATGTAAGCATCTCCATGACCCCGTGGTATATCAAGAACTCAAGCTGACCCGCCCCTCTAGCATGCTCATCGCTGTTGCGGTTTATCTGATTGGAGGCTGCGCTTACCAGCGAACAGTGATGCACCAGCGTGGCTGGCGCCAGTGCCCGAATTTCAGCCTGTGGGCTGGCGTTTTTGACTTTTTCAAAGTAAGTATTTTGTGCATTCCGTGCCGGACGCGGCGCAAGTTCAGATATGGCACGTTGGCATCGCATAAGGTCCGGGATTCGAACGCAGGGTTGCCTGTTTCGAGGTTGGATTGAGTTCGCTCTAGCTGATCTCGAGGACGATTGCTTGAGCGGCTTGGGTCGACTTGTCCATTTATTTCCCTGTTTCTTTTGTTCACTTATAGATTTCATTTGTGCATGTTCTGCCTTTGTGGTTCGCTTGTGTTGATATCGGCGTGTACATTTCATTTCTCTTGGGTCCATATGTCATGAGTTTATGCCAGCGGACTGTCTCTCGGGTCCTTGTCAATGGACCTATATTGGGATTTCAAGGAGACAGCTCCTGCATAGCCACTCCGTGTATTCTGTATCCAAAATGTGCTGCATGTACCTTGGACTTGATCGATTGTGGTTGCGAGCCTCGTTGAAACATGGCGCTGACCTATTCTTTCTACTCAACAGGATATGTTCATAATTATCTTTTCCACGGTTGGGAATCTGATTCGTTGCAGGAGATCGCCCTCGAGCAATGGGTATGCGCGTGCGGATGGAAATGGCCGCGGCGGATTCATTGGCGCGATTGGAGGACGGGGAGGTCGGCAGGGTGGGCGTGATGTGGATGCTGAGAACAGGCTTATAGACCAACTTGATGAGGAGTGGGATGATTAGTGGATGTTCGTGCTCTGGTTTCCTTGTCTTTAGCGACTTGTGTTTTCCATGCTTTTTGAACTCCTTTTATACTTGTGGATATTCCTTTCACGGGTTTATGATATGTAGACATATATGATTTTCTTGGTTTCTGGATATGTTTCAAATTATATATAGTACATAGCTCACACTATATATAAACCTATGGGCATACGTTGGCCTTGGACCCGTGAGCTGGCTATGCTTACATTATTCTTAGCACTTTGAAGAACCTTCTAGTTTATCTATTTAGAACAAAACAGTCTTCATTTCACTCACACACATTTATTCCCAGTCACTATTCGGAGCCTCTCCCAAAGTAGAAAAATGAAAGTAGTTCTTGTTTCCCACTGCGCACAGACTATCATCACAAGAGCATCATTGGTCTAGTGGTAGAATTCGTCGTTGCCATCGACGAGGCCCGTGTTCGATTCACGGATGATGCACATATCTTTTTTGTTCTTTTTTGTTCTTTTTTTGCCTTACATTCCGAAACTGGGTTTCTTGGTGTGTGTTCGATTCTCACAAAATAATAATAATTTTATTCAATTGATGAGGGAAATTGAACCAACCGACTCGAATAAACAGTCTTCACGAAGCCTGCCCAAAAGAAAAAATTGTACATATGGAACAAGGGTGACTATATACACAAGACAACAAGCAGCAGGGGGGTTTTAACAAATGGGAAAAAGTATAAATACCAACCCCCAAAGTCCAACTTAGAATCATTATAAGGATAGACTCAAACACGTAGCGTGGCAGTCATTGAGAATAGGGAGAAGAAGGGCCGACCTGATCACTGCCGTGGGTTTTGCATATCGGGCCCCGTTAGGCCAAGCTCATATGCGCTCAACGGCATACCACCACCGCTGAATTCTGGCACAGGGGGTATTCCGGGAGGGGGAGCATTGCCAGCGGTATTGCTGGGCCCGGGAATCGGAGCGGGAGCTGGGGCTTGCGGTGGCGGGTTCGCACCGACAGGATCGAGGTTGAAGGGAAGGAACCAAGCGCTCGGTTGGTAGAACTCGCCCGTTCCAGCTGGAGCGCTTGGGTCCAGTTGGCCAGTGAAGAGACTGTGGTCTGGGTTTTGGGGTTGGATGCCGTCGACCGGTTGGACGGGAGGGTTATTTGGGACGAAAGAGGTGGGGTCGAATTCTGAGAATGAACCGTAGACGAATTGTCGGTCTAGTTGTGGCAGTTGGTCGGTTGGGATGCTGAAATCGAATGGTGGTTGACCGAAAGACATTTGCCGATTTTGTGGGAACACGGAGGGTTGCGGGAATGCACTGTCCGGAACACCTGGCGTGTTCCCCATTGTGACTTCCATCATTGATTGTGGTGAGGTCTGGTCCATGCCTGGGCCACCATCCGATAATTTGCTATTCTTGCGAGAGCGCGATTTGCGAGGGAGAGTTGGCTGTGGGGTGGGAGACAGGCCTGCGAAGAAATCCTCAACGCTTTGAAGATCGGGCTTTTGACCCATCACTGCGTCTTCGCCCGTCTCCTTGTGTCGAGTATCAGGGTCCTCCCAATGCAACCTTGAAACCCCATGTGGATACTTATCAAACCAGTCACCATATTGGAACATTGGTGCGAGTGAGGTACCATTTTGAATGGCCACAGAGCCCTTGATAGCTGCATCAGCAAATTGCCGATACCGATCCTTAGCACTCTCAACCATGTAGTGGAACATGCCCCAGTACTTCTTCATTTTATTGAGATAGCGGTAAGTATGCCGAAGATTCTCTTTTGAGCGTGCTTCTAGTTGCACATTCTTTGAGAATATTCCCCAAATGTGAACGGTACTGGCCGAGTAAGCACAGTATCCGGCAAAAGGCACGGTGAGAGGATAGGCCGAAGCTCGATCAAAAAGCACTGAGATATGATGCGCTGCTTCCACCGCGGCTCGACCTGCATTGCTGAGGAAAGGCTTAGGCATATCCCTTGGTGGTCGGCCTCCCGGAGATAAGGGAATGGCAAACTGATTCAGGAACAGCATATTTTGATGTGTGATGATATGGAGGAACAGGAACTGATTTGCAATTTTCTCCGCGGCATGAATTTGAAGATTTTCATAGGTGAACGTCAAAGGAGTCGGGAGCGAGGCAGAAAAATCCTCGATCTGCCTTTTGAGCCGGTTATATCCCGAGTCTGGATGCCACAGCGGATGCGAGTCTTTCCTTTTACCACCAAGGTTCAGATAGTCGACAATACGACCCCAAATAACAATGGCCCTAATAATGTACGCCGACACACCCATGTTTTCTCTGGCATTGGATAATTGCCCTGCATCATCCGGTGTAGGATTAAGAATGTCACCATCGAGGTCTTCTGTGGGACCCGGAATCTCCATCTGGAAATGAGTTTCCTTGATAGGGAGCTGGATCTGTAGGAACTTTTCATTTCCAATAGGCGGCCGTTGACTGCCCGAAGAGTTATAACGGTCCATCAAAAAGCATGCCCACATGGTGCGCCGCCGGATCTCCTGATCCGTGAAGCTCAGTTGTGAACCGTTGCCGGTTTTCTGACTGAGCAATGGGTCTTGGTCAAGCTCTTGATGGAGTTGCAATGCATATGCCATTCGCAATGCCTGGCCTCCAAAAGACCAACTTCGCCCACCATGACAGGTTCCGAACTCATGGAGGCCAAGAAGGAGGAATACAGTAAGGATAGTAATATTCGGTTCATCGTGCCGGCTCAGAGCGATAGCCGCAGCGGGATTGGCCCAGTTCTCTCCCCGCAAGAATGGCGGCTCCGAGTTGAGCTGAGGATGTGTAGAAAAACGCGCGGATACAGCACAGACAGCCAAAATTAAAACAGGGGGAACTGTGCCCGCCTTGAGACGCCGCATGAAACTAGGCTTGTGTAGCAGAAGGTATGACTGCCCATATACACAATCGAAAAACACCTCTGCAAGATGCTCTTGGATCTCCAATGATGGCAGGAACTCAGCTCCCTCGGTCAAAAGGCCAGTCCCGTCGCTAGATTTGATTTCGCGATTCATGGGAAAGGTGTCTTGGGGTGGCCGACGGTCCTCACGGGTCCATCCGTCCATCTCTGCTGCAAATGCCTCGTCCGCGTTTCTTTTTTTCTGTGCCTTCGAGGGCTGAATGGACAACGAAGGTTTCACAACCGACCTACCAATCGAGGACATATCTCTCGTCTCTTCTTTTGGTATCGTCTTGATTACGCGATCTTCCATCCTCTTCAACCGCTTATCTAACATGGCCATATAATCTGTGCGCGGCGCTGCCTTCCTTGTAGTAACCTTATACACGCACGGAATCCTAGACCGAGTGCAATGTTTGCAGGCGGGCTTCTCACCGGAGCAGCGGATTTTCTTGCGTCGACATGCGATGCAAGCCAGCGGCAGGCGCTTCCTTTCCTTCCCGGCCTTGGTTTTCATTTCGCTCCAAGCCGGCTTGTCGCCGTCATTGTCGAAATTCGACTGGCCGTCCCCTGCATCGTCGCGTTGGCCGTCGTTGTCCGCTAGCGCGGGGTCAGCGGGTTGTGTGCTACCGGGGTCGCGGGAACTGGCATGGCTTTGCGTATCGAAGTCTTCGAGAGCTGCAGCCGCCTCCTCTTGGCCTAGACTAAAGCCGACAGAGGTTTTCAATGGCGACTCATCGGAATCGGTTTGGATCATGACGGGTGCGGGTACCCCAGGACCCAGGCCCGAAGCATCCTTTGGTCGGTCGGGGAGTGAAGAACGTGCTTCCAAGGTAGAGGGTGAGATAATTCGGCGGAACAAATGAGTCGGATAAGGACGTAGTTTAAAGACACAAGGGTATGCCTGTTTGTCGAGAAAGTGAGGAGAATGAAGGAATATGGGGAAGGTTCAGCGGCGAATGGCGGCTTGGCAAATGCATCCACTGGCAGTGCTCATATTACGGAGAATCGACCACAGTCCGACTTTCAATTTGATTTACTACGAACTGATAATACCTAGCCTAGGTACGGTTGATCTAGTTAAGAATTTTCATAAGAATACTTACGCAATCGACTTGAGGTTACATTTCGGATGTGGGTTCGCAAATATTTTTGCTTGAGCTTCTATACTATAGGTTCCGGGACACTTTTCCATAGTAACGAGCTGCATGAAATAACATTCGATAACAATTTTGCTATAAATAGGAATATATTATTGTATCTAATTCGTACCAATCCAAGTATATCCTCGAGTCGGAATGCAACCGAAGGTGTAGGACAGCCGGGGGATTGGCATTTGGACCAACGCGTAACGCGTTCAAAGCTTGACAAAAGACCTAGCAACCTAGCACTTATATAGATATGTATATATGTAGTTTGCAAGGATCTCAACTGAGTTTTATTGACGTCCAAAAATTAAGTTATTCATTCCAAAATTGCCCTGATTGGACTACAAGAAAAAGACCCCTTATACCCTACTATCTCTAAATGCCACTCATCGAGCAAAAGCCCCGATCTTTCCATAAGCACAAGTCGCTGTTTTCATTGCACGTGTCACATCTCTTCAAGATTTTTACTTTGCGCGAACGAAAGTAAGTCGAACGAGGACGACTCTAGTTCAAACTAGGTGGACTTTGGTCGTCCAACCTTCTGGCGAGGTGTCGCAAGCTCGAGGGAGCTCAGAATCTCTCCTCCAAGGAAATAGATGTTATAGCTAGGGAATATAATCCATGCGCCACTAGTTGACGTTAGTAGTATTCAAATATAAACATGTGGAAACCTGACTTGGGAATAATCCAGTAGAGAATGAGAGCAAGTGGATCGTTGTGGCCGATATTGTCAAAGCCCGAAAAGACCTCGTTGAGCCCTATTTTATCAAGTCAGAAATTGCCATATACAATGTTTAGTTATTATTGGATTGAAACTCACAGTAGAGAATAGTCTTGCTGAGGGTCATGATCGAAGCGGTGTATGCGACCAGAAGCGCGAGCGCACCAATCCGCCCAGCAACTACCTTATTCCCCTTCAACAACCACAAGAAGCCCTTGGAGCCCTGTTGCGATCCGCGACCGCTCACAACCGTCGATCCATACAAGTACACGATGGAGAGGTACCAGATGTACCCGATAGTTTCGATCAGGTTCATGATGGTCTGCGCGGCGGTGAAGCCATTGCGCGCGTTGAACGCAGGCCATCCGTAGATATAGTCGATCGTGCCGTATAGCGCGTAAGGCGCGAACACGGGCGAGTGCAGCCTTCCGCCAGGCATACTATGCGGTCGCAACAAGACATAACTGGCATCCCAGAGGACTAGGGGGACTGAGAAAATCAGCCAGATTGTCAGGGCTGCAGCGGGTGTATGGGTCCATTTGCGCGAGTTGGCGTTTGTGGTCGCTGGTGGCGATTTGACTAGTTCTTTCGCGGCGCGCTCTGGAGAGGGGAATTCGCGGGGATGGTGTCGCGTGGATACCATGATGTACGATGTCAACAATTCAGGTGTTGAGAGATATGGAAAGTACAATGGGAAAAAATATTGAGAGTACTGAGAATACTGAGAAGATTACAATTGTTGAAAGTGGAGGAACGAGGAATGATGCTTCTCTCACAACACACGACTGACGACCAATGACGTGGACTGATCGTTTGCGGGAAATATGCACAGTCCGCTTTGGGGTTGGTTATTTGCCTCTCGCTCTCACTTCTGTGTGGAACTGGTCTCGTTGGAAAATTGACCGAATTGTTAGCTGAACTAGTGATAATAGTCTCCTTAGTTTCTATTGTGGTACATGGAGGCTCCAATCGGGGCACCTTACCCCTTAATCATCCTTATTGCACACGGGCCAATAGTTCTTATATTCGGGGATCAGCGCCTCCATTGTTGTTAATGATATTTGTTCAACTTGTACAATATTGTAAATTGCATATGGAATTCCCAAAAGAGAATTTAAGAAATCCTGTGACATTAATGTGCTTGTGATATGTATCACTTGCTTGATCATGTTTCAATTGTCATACTCCATTTCTTCAAAAACCATGGCATTGCCTCCCAATTCTTCTGGTCCCATGGTTGACAAGTGCCCCCAGGACGATGACTACGGCAAACAAGTGCACGCCGCGTATAGATATCCAACTTCAAGTCCCAAAGGTTGAAGGCATCCGGCATTGCAAAAGACATCATGATGGCACGTTCTCGGAGGAGTGGCATGGGTATCAGATCCAGGCTGGCATGATGAGGGACCAGAATCTGGGCCATGGTTGGTTGGAGATGGATTGGAATGGCAGTGTTGAAAGTTGATGCGACAAGGTCCTGTGGGCTATCTTGCGCCGTGATAGATCTGAAGAACGGTGACATGTATGGAGTGGTGCAATTTGCTAATTGATCGAGATCAAAGCCTAGACAGACTGCGTTGTTTAGAAGTGCCATCCGAATGGTATCTTCAGAGGTTTGCATGGCATTCATTATTGGATTACTCGGCAATAATGGTGATGTGCCAGCCGTTCGACCAGGGCCCGAATATTGAACCAACGATGATGGAGAATTGGGATATGTCGTTGGCTCAGAGAGAGTGCCAGGAGAACTGCTTGATGTATGTGATGATGGTTGAGGGGCCAGCTTCCTCGCTCGCCCATGAGCGATAGAACATTTTTTGCGTTCTTTCTGCCGCTCGCCTGTGAAATAGGATATAAGCTTTAGCCTCAGCTTTAAGTAAATGGGGTGCCATACGATATGCTCGCTGTGAAATTCTATTTTGCTCCTGACGGGCTGGTGTAATAATTCGCCTCTTGGACTGATTAGCAGGGGCCTCCAAGCGCTGGTCATTTCCTATTCTGGAGGCAGACATCATTGCAGATATGAGTATTACTCTCAAGCAGGTTAGACAGGTGGATCAGTGAAAAACTACAAATTGCAAAGAGAGTGAATGGTAAGAGTTCTTAACTCCGATTTCCCCGAAACGCCAACAACCGTAAGCCACAGCGTAAGCCACACTGGCTTATGCTTTTTATCCAATCATATCGCTCGAACTATATATCTTCAACCGGAAGAATTCTGTCAGTTAATAGGGTCCTCGAGATATAAATTACCATCATTCCCCTCTAAAGATAAAATGAATCAAGACAAGCTTCTATCTAGAAAAAGACATCTTTGAAAACCCCTAAGGGCATCATAAAATGACCACACCAAAGACCATTGCCATTGTCGGTGCAACCGGCACGCAAGGCTCATCAGTTGCCCGAACCTTCCTCACTCTCCCCAACTGGCACATCCGATGCCTCACCCGAGACCCATCATCCGAGAAAGCCCTCGAGCTCGCCGAACTGGGCGGCGAGCTAGTCCAAGCAAATCTCGAAGATAAAGATTCTCTCCGCCGAGCATTCAACGGCGCACACGCCATCTTCCTCAACACCGATTTCTGGCAACCATACCGCGCAGCCTTAGCCTCAGGTACTGATGCCCTGACTAGTGCCAAGCAGGGCTACGAAACAGAAGTCACCCACGGGAAGAATGCGGCCAATGTTGCAGCGACCATTCCAACCCTCGAAAGACTCATCTACTCGGCCCTGGGTCCGATGAAGGCAGCTTCGGGGGGCAAGTACTCGCACTCTTATCACTGGGAGACGAAGGCCTATATAGCCGATTATATTGGGCAGATGCCCGAGTTGGTGAAGAAAACATCGTTCATCTATATTGGTGCTTACATCTCCAACCCCTTCCTGTATCCCAAGTACCAGCCGGAGAGCAAAGAGCTTGTTTCTTTCTTGCCGGCCAAGAAGTCCATGCGCATGCCCATTATTGATACCGCCAACTCAACTGGTCCTTTTGTCAGGGCGCTGGTCGAAGATGAGGCGCCAGGTATGAAGTTGCTGGCATACGACGACTATCTCTCTGCGGAGGAAATTGCAGTTGTGTGGTCCCGAGCTCTTGGAAAACCGGCTAGGGTGGTCGAAATGGGTCTCCAGGAAATGCATGAGAAGACAGGAATTCCACTTGAGGTTCTGGGTGGCCCTGCGTTCGTTGATGAATTTGGCTATTGTGCTGGCTTGGGGAATGTTGTTGAGCCTGCTCAGTTGAAGGCTCAGGTTCAAGGGAAGGGATTTGAGGAGTGGCTCAAAGGCCAGGATGTTGTGGAGTTGTTGGGATTGAAGGACTTGAATCGGTGGGATGGTATCGTTCAGTAGGGTGTACATAGAAAACAGAGGTAGATTGTCTTGGAAATTTTCAGCTAGAATATGAGGACCTACAAAACCGCGGAAAGCCAATGGCACAAAAAAGGTCGCCTAATATTAATACTGGGAATATATTTCAGAAAGCTAGAATTTCTACTTACAAAAAAACCGAGGATTTTGGGCTCCGGTACATTTGCTGTGTTTCGAGAAATACCCCGGCGAACATTTATTTTCTCCACATTATAATATCTCTAACAATAAAATTCACGTCCATAACCCAAATACGTATATTTCCAGTCGATTCACTTTATAAAACCCAAAAAATTAATCGATTCGAGTATAAAGTTGACCACGTGACCGCATGAGTGGCCAAAGATTGATGCCGTAAAAGATCATCGTTGCTCCAACCTTCGATCCCAGGGCAGCGATGACCAACCCGACGTGCCAAGGAGACCAAGCCCACTCACATGATTGAAACTAAAGATTCTGACTGACGCTGCAAAAATTGGCTATAAACCCAATTTTACGGGTATCGATGGACCCGAAAGGCCAAAAGGTAAGTACCACCCAAGACCAGTCACATCCAGAAGTCTGACCAGCATATCAGAATGTGGACCGACTCGCGCGAGTGCGTGACAATCAGCGCAAAAGCAGAGCCCGCAAGCAAGAGTACGTCAAGGAGCTAGAGCAGCGCCTAGCAGTATGTAAAGAAGAGGCCCAGCAAAAAGACATTGCGCATCGACTATCGATGCAAAAAGTGGAAGCCGAGAATCGGCATCTGAAAACCCTCTTGGTATCAATCGGTCTTTCCACGGGTTCTGTTCAGAAATATCTACAGGATGTCGACGCGGCAAATGTCAACCGAAAGATTGCTATTCCTGCCATCCGGCGATCTGAAAATGAAACCCACAACTTGAAATTGACCGTGGAGATGCCTCGTATCTACAAAGATTCAGAAATTCAGCCGGCGACTACAAGTAATATGGAATCGGCAGCGCAGAGCGACGAACAGAAGCAGGAAGCAGAAGATCCGGCTTTTTGTGGATGTCGAACTGAGAGGCAGGATTCCATTTCGACTGATGAAGATGTGCTTAATTCGACACTTTGTGCTATTGCGGAAGAAATGATCAATCAGTACAATACCAAAGGTGTTGATGTTGATGAGATCCGACGGAGAATCTGGTCTGGGTTCCGGGCTGGCGCGAATGGCACTGGCTGCAGAGTGCAGAATCATGTGTTGTTCCAGGTTCTGGATGAGATTAGCAGTGATATTTGACTGGCTCTGGCTCTCGAACGGAATATGTCAGCAATTGGTTCTGCCCAGGGAGGTCAATGCTGCTTTCTGTCTACACTGAAGCAGACAGTTCGGGTACAACAGATTCGGCCGAGATGTGTCAACAGCCATTCCGATGTACGGCATCTCGGCTCTCACCGAGAAGGATGAATGTGGTTAGACGGCTTGACAATACTACACAATATGTGGAACCAACTGCCGTGCATATTGTCCCGCACCCTACCGGGAGACGGCACGTTTACAGACCTATCGCGGAGGATGCCGACGGTCCTGAGCAAAGAATTCAGCCCACAACATTCCAATGAGACCTATCGCGGAGGATGCCGATGGTCTTGAGTAAAAAACTCAATGTACAACATTCCAATTTCGTTACAATGCCGATGACAATGCACTCTATGTATGTAAAGGAACCGAAGCAACAAACTCTAAAAAGAAGGCGACTAGACAAAAGCATCATTCAATGGCCCTACAAAGATTAAAAAACCCATGACTGACACCCACAAACAAACGGCAACCGCACGAGCCCCCGCAGAACCCGGATAAAGTCTTTGTAATATGATATTACCCCGATTTACCGATGATTAGCCGTTCCTTAGGAAATCATGCCTGCTTAACGGGGCATCTGGGCAGGGATCGGCGTTATAGTGTACATTGTACATCTAGAGTTCCGGCAGATATCCGCGGTGAATATGTCTGAATTATTTCATAGCAATGCATATTCTTTCTTGATTTATAGTCGGACCATTCCGCTGCCGTATTCTGATTGTGGTTGGATAGTGCTTGGTATTCAGTGCCTTTCGTGGGAACGCAGTAGAACAGAAAGGGAACACTCCAAAGTTTGACCGGCTAAAAATGGAGGTGATTACAACGTAGAGGTCGGATTGGACTTAGCCGTCGGGGTTTGAGGATTGAGCGGGAACGGCTCGACAGGAAAAATCACAGCCTATGGTGTTTTGTATTAACCCGAAAGGCCGGGGAAACGGGGATTTAGTGTGCATAAGTGTGGGGGGACCGAGCCGAGCAGCCGGTATGGGATGGTGGGATAATTCCGTTGTTTCCAAGCACAGTTTAGCATAGCAGTCCTTTGCTGCGTTGGACGAAGCCCGACCGAGAAATCCACCGAGTCAGCCAAGACCTGATCAGCCCGAGTTGAGTCATGGGCGTTGATCGGGCTGGCTTGATCGTACAAAAAGCCATCGATCGGGCCATGTAATAATACTGACGTTGTAGAAAACATACAGCCCCTCATTCAAATTAATCGCGCAGTGGGATCTGGAGTCTGGAGTGCATGAGATCCCTGTTTTGTGGAGCCCCGCACTCAACAGAATTGTCATGGACAACGTGGACAACCATTTGAAGATTTAGAGCAGGGTTTAGAGATACTATCCCCAGAATCCCCAGAATTTCCAAAACACTTGTATTGAATTGGCATATGCGTAACCATGGCACAGGTTGAGAGCCGATCGCAAATCCATGGAAAAATGAGGCAAAAACCATGGATTCAAGTTCGCTCCTTCCCCACATTTGAGGAGATTCCCCATTCGCATATGCAGTGGTTGGTACCTTAGCCGGTAAGGCGGCATTGGAGCCCTGGAGTGTGGCCAGGTCGGAATCGGATGTCATTTTGCCGAAGTCAATTGGTAGGATAGATGTCAGTGTGGACACTAAAAAGAATCCAGAATCACCAATGCTACTCTGCGAGGTGTCAGTACGAGAACGATGAAAGTACAGAATTAGAGAAGGCATGAGCGCAGCAATCCCCAAGAAGCCGAAGTTTAGCCATGAGCAAAGCAAGGGAAACAATTGCAGGAGAGCGTGCTCGACTTGACGTGGCTGGATGATTCAGATCCTCGCGACAAAGGGGTATTTTTTGGTTTTCCCCCTCACAGAACGCAGTAAACCAGCCACAATTGTGCTTGTATCCCCTTCGAAGGATACATCCATGTCTCCAGTATAATTCAGTGGCAGCCAGTTATAACCAACAATACAACGCGGTGTAATGTGATTAGTAAAATAGGATAGTGCATACCTCATGCCGATCCCTTTCTCCGCAGTCTCTTGCTTTTTTATGGAGCTATGCCGATTGTTGATTGCATGAGATCTGCCCCTGTTGTTCCTGGACATTTAAGCAACAGCTCCCCCACCACTGGGAGAGCTCTTTCTCCAACTCACATTCGATAGCTGAACAATATTTCTCAGCTCAGCAATTATGAAGTTCGGGTGGCTTGAAGTGGCCCTGACGGCTGCTTCGGTAGCTAACGCTAATGTAAGTCGCGTCATATATTAATCAGTTCATCCGCTAACCTCAACAGCCGTTAGCTCATTCTCCTCCATACTACCCATCGCCATGGATGACCGGCGCAGGCGAATGGTCCGAGGCATACACACGCGCCGTGGAATTTGTTTCCAACCTCACACTCGCTGAGAAGGTCAACCTGACCACTGGTGCTGGCTGGGAACAGGAGCGATGTGTTGGTGAGACGGGGGGTATCCCCCGACTTGGTATGTGGGGAATGTGTATGCAGGACTCACCTCTCGGTGTGCGCGATAGTAAGATTCGCCTCATTATCTATCCACAGTTGGCCTCGGGAAACTGATCAATTATAGGTGATTACAACTCCGGTTTCCCATCCGGCGTCAATGTCGCTGCGACATGGGACAAACGACTCGCCTACCAGCGTGGTATGGCGATGGGCGAAGAGCACCGCGATAAGGGCGTGGATGTACAATTGGGCCCTGTTGCTGGCCCGCTGGGCAAATATCCGGACGGAGGACGGAACTGGGAGGGCTTCGCGCCGGACCCCGTTCTCACTGGTGTGATGATGGCCGAGACTATCAAGGGTATGCAGGATGCAGGTGTCATTGCTTGTGCCAAGCATTTCATCGGAAATGAGCAGGAGCACTTCCGCCAGTCTGGCGAGGCCAATGGATATGGATACAATATCACTCAGAGTGTAAGCTCGAACATTGACGACAAGACCATGCACGAGCTGTATCTGTGGCCGTTTGTGGATGCTATTCGTGCTGGCGTTGGCTCTGTTATGTGCTCCTACAACCAGATCAACAACAGCTACGGTTGTGCAAACAGTTACACCCTTAACAAGTTGCTCAAGGGCGAGCTTGGCTTCCAGGGCTTTGTCATGAGTGATTGGGGTGCGCACCACAGTGGTGTCGAGTCTGCTCTCGCTGGTTTGGATATGTCCATGCCAGGCGATGTCTATCTCGGCAGCCCCTACTCCTACTGGGGAACCAACTTGACCATCTCCGTTTTGAACGGCACCGTCCCTGAATGGCGTCTCGATGATATGGCCGTTCGCATTATGGCCGCTTACTACAAGGTTGGCCGTGACCGTTACCGCACCCCACCCAACTTCAGTTCCTGGACCCGCGACGAGTACAACTACGAGCACTTCATGGTCAGCGAGAACTGGGTCAAGGTAAACGAACGTGTCAACGTTCAACGTGACCATGCCAAGATCATCCGCCAGATTGGTTCGGACAGCACCGTTCTACTCAAGAACAAGGGCGGCGCATTGCCTCTAACTCACAATGAGAGGTTCATCGCTATCCTAGGCGAGGATGCCGGATCCAACGCATACGGTGCCAACGGCTGCGCTGATCGTGGCTGCAACAATGGAACTCTGGCCATGGGTTGGGGCAGTGGAACTGCTAACTTCCCGTACCTGATTACTCCCGAGCAAGCCATCCAAAATGAAGTTCTCGACTACAGCAACGGTCAGACCAACATCTTCGCCGTCACCGACAACGGAGCTCTGGAGCAAATGGCCGCCACCGCGGCCCAGGCCGATGTCTCGCTTGTTTTTGTAAACGCTGACTCTGGCGAAGGCTTCATCAACGTCGACGGCAATGAAGGTGACCGCAAGAACCTGACCCTTTGGGCCAACGGCGAACAAGTCATCAAGACGGCCACCCAGAATTGCAACAACACCATCGTTGTCATCCACAGTACCGGAGCCGTCCTCATCAATGACTGGTACGACAACGAAAATATTACCGCTATCCTCTGGGCCGGTCTCCCTGGCCAAGAGAGCGGCCGCAGTCTCGTCGACGTCCTCTACGGCCGCGTCAACCCGGGCGGTAAAACTCCCTTCACCTGGGGTAAGACGCGCAAAGACTATGGTCCTAACATCCTTACCGTCCCCAACAACGGCAACGATGCACCCCAAGACAACTTCGATGAAGGCGTCTTCATCGACTACCGCCGCTTCGACCAAGACAATATCGAGCCCATCTACGAATTCGGCTACGGCCTCAGTTATACTAACTTCGCCTTCTCTGAGTTGAAAGTCACTCCCCTTGCCTCAACTGGCTACAACCCAACTACCGGCGAGACCGAGAAAGCTCCGGTCCTCGGCGAAATTGGAGATGTCTCAGATAACCTCTTCCCCAAGGAAATCAAGCGTGTCCGCCAGTACCTCTATCCCTGGTTGAACTCGACCGATCTGCGCGCCTCATCCGGCGACCCAGACTACGGCATGGACGCCAAGGATTACCTCCCCGAAGGCGCAACCGACGACTCTCCCCAAGAGCTCCTCCCTGCCAGCGGCAACTCGGGTGGCAACCCCGGTCTCTTCGAGGATCTCTACCAGATCACTGCTACCATCACCAACACCGGCTCCGTGTCTGGTGATGAGGTGCCACAGCTGTATGTCTCGCTCGGTGGAAAGGGCGACCCCAAGAAGGTACTACGCCAGTTCGATCGTGTTACCATTGCTCCTGGCCAGAAGCTTCAGTGGACTACTACCTTGACTCGTCGGGATCTCTCAAACTGGGATGTTGAATCCCAGAACTGGGTTGTCTCTGATGCCCAGAAGAAGGTGTATGTCGGTAACTCTTCGCGCAAGCTGCCTTTGTCGGCGGATCTGCCAGAGCTCCAGTAGATGAATCCTATTTTCCCCTTGGCAATGGGTGCAGCTAGACAAATTTTTTGGTTGCTTTTGGGTGTACAGCCATCATTGCGCTTTTGCACATAGTTCTTTTTCTCAAAACATGCCTCCTGTTATTACTCTAATGAACCCAAATTTTATCATTTCAACTGTGAATGACTCTAATAGCAATATAGTTGTACAATACGATGCTCCACACTAAAAACTCCCCCGACCCCCAATGACGTGATCAATGTGCGGTTACCCGTGGGGCTACCCGTTCCACAGATAGCCTATTGCCTACATCATCCTCACTTTACATATAAAAGCCATAGATCCATCAAAACAGATCCATCAATCCATCAATTTATCAATTCATCAATTCGATCAAAGAAAATCCATGAAAATGCAAGCCATCCGCATCCACCCATCACAATCACCATCAACGCCCTACTCCCCAACAAACCCAGCCCCATCAACGGCCCTGCACATCGACAAAATCCCCATCCCAAAACCACCCCCAGGCCACCTCCTAATCCGCACAAAAGCATCAACCATAATCCGTGACATGCTCACATGGCCCGAATACTACCACCAAGAAAACACAATCCCCGGCCATGACTTCTCAGGCATAGTAGTCGACCCCAACGACTCGTCTTTCTCCGCCGGCGCCGAAGTCTTCGGCATGGCACATGCAAACCGCGCCTCGACGTGGGCCGAGTACGCCGTTGTCAAGAGCGCCGAAACAGCGCGCAAACCGGCTATCAGCTTTGAGGAGGCTGCGGCGCTACCGCTGAGCGCGCAGACGGCGTACGAGGCGCTGTTTGTGCATGGCGGCCTTGGTCTTCCGGCTAGATTTGCGCGCGAACGCGTAGATAAGGCCGAGGAAGATGAGCAGCGTCAGGAGCGTAAACAGCGCGTTCTTGTCACTGGCGCGGCGGGTGGTGTGGGGTTGTTTGTCGTACAGCTTGCGAGTTGGGCGGGCGTCCATGTTGTTGCGGCTAGTGGATCGGTTGAGAGGAATGGGGAGTTTTTAAGAGGGCTTGGTGCCGATGAGATTGTTGAGTATGGGAATGATGTAGGCAACTTTGATCTTGTTGTTGATTGTGTTGGTGGAGGTGTTTTGGAGAGGTGTTGGGAGGTTTTGAAGGATGGTGGTGTTTTGGTTTCTGTTGATTCGGCAAGCTTTGATTTTGTGGAGGTGCATCGAAGTCGTGGGATTGCGAGGGAGGGAGTCAAGGCACTGTTTTTTATTGTTGAGGGGAGTGCGGAGGTTTTGGGTATTATTGGGGATTTGGTGGATCGGGGAATTTTGAAGTCGTTTGTTGCTGCTAGTTTTCCGTTTGAGAGAGTGCAAGAGGCTTATGATTATGCCAATGGGAGGTATGAGGGAAGAGGAAAGGTCGTGCTTACCATCTGATGGGGAGGCGTTTACAAATATATTTTTGCTTGTGTACCATCGAAGAACTTGATTTCGCTTTAGCAACACTCTAATAGAAGTTGGAGGTTGGCCTCAATTCCTACTCAAGGGTTGCCTATCAGATGCATTGTTATGTGTTGAGTCTAGAGAAAAGGTTTTTCGCAAAGATAGATTTTATGTTATACATGATGTCTAAAACGTATTCTTTGTCTAATGCATATTTCCCTCCTCAAGCAGCTTTATTTATGTGTCCCCGGTGAGAGGACAGCCGACACCTCTTCATAAACAGAGAACACAATACCACCACTCAAAAGCAAACGACCCAATCGCATAGTGCTGCCTTTCCAAAACCCGCGAACACCGTAATCACGCACGCATCACGCTCCGCGAGGCCTCGGTGATACTGGCTCCCTGAACACCCTGTGCTCGAGTCTTGATTGTATCAAAAGGCTGAGTAGCGTAAACGGTAACCACCCCAGCCACAGCGCCGATTCCAAATGTCGTGAACACGTTTATCTTGACGCCTTTGGCTTTGGTGGCCTCTTTGAGCATATTGTATGTTCCCATACGGACTGCTGATGTGGCTGATTGTTTCATTGCGGTGGACACAAGACCTCGATATAGCTCGGTGATTCCGTGCTGTTGGACCAATACCCTGGTTGCGTGGATACTGGACTTGAACTGACGAGCACCTTTTGCATCATCAATTCTACATAGAAGAGTGATTAGCTTCGAGCGATCGAGTTGCCAATGCTAGGAAGGCATATAACGCGATTTTGATTCTTTCTCTTGGTGTCACTGCGAGGACGCTTTCTACAGCTCCGGCAATAATTCCGGCAAGCATTCCCCTACCAGGCGAGAGAACACCGTGGTCATTAGCAAGGGAATTTTTGATAGTATCTTATGATACAAATCTCACAGCAGCTTTCGCCGTCGTTCCCTATACGTCCAGTAAATATAAGCCCATGTCAGATAGATTGAATAACTAACAATAACAAATGTTGAGCATCCTGTGTAAAGTGCACCAATGCCTTCCTGTTTTGTAACTTGTGAAATGAGACGTAGTGGATTAGACGTCTTAACAGAACCGTTGTCAAACAGCTGAACGCGAGTTTTTGAGTACTCGAATGGATACTGCGAGATATCAAGTACTGAACAAAAAGTAAACAACCGTGGCACTGACTGTTATGGCTGCTTCTACGCCACCTGCAACCCCTCCAACCACAAGAGAAACCCATTGGGGCGTATGGACCTGGTTAATTAGTTAGCCGAGGCTATTTTGATAGCGTTAGATCAGTTACCCGTAGTGGTTTCTGTGTCTCAGAAGATTCTGACTGAGCAATAGCTGTCGCCATGAAACAAATATACAGCAAGTATGCTTGTTGTGACGAATAGGAGTTGGGTGGGATATTAACTTATAGGCTCGTTGAATATATGGAGACGGAGAACGCGGAGAGTGCGGAGAACTGAACAGGACTTGCCGCGGCAAATCAACTCCCATTGTATATCATCGACAAAGAATCTCTCAACACCATGGGAAGAGAATCTCCGTCTAAGCTCCAGAGAACCGCAATAGCTTGCTCAATTTGAGATTGCAGGGAAAATGGAATTTACTACATCTCCGGATTCGAGGGCACCTCAAGCCGTATCAGAGTTGCCTTTCTTGAACCTGAAGGTAGTATGACTGTAAAGATGTTCCCAAGAGGCGCAGTACAGATTATCGCTTGTCATTCGAAAGCCTTGGGAATCATCCAATTGCGAGTCAGTCTCATTGATGCAGCCAACCCGTTTGTGCTTGTTGATTCTAACTACAATATGACTACATGACTCGAAGACAGTGTAAAAGAATTTGATTGACATATCGCTTCTAATATCAGTGGTATTGATGGTGCCTTAGGTCAAAACCTGACTTGCAAACTTCTCGATCGTCTCCACCAGCTCATCGGTCCAAGTGATATGCGGAGAGTGTCCACAGGGGGCATGATAGACTGTGAATTCCTTTCTCTGACTTGACGCCATGCCCTCTTGATAAACCTTTGGCAATGTAAGGTCCTTTTCTAGCACCAGATATGCGCACGGTAGAGCAGAGTAAGGGTCGTGAGTGAGAGGACTGGTCATGACGGGCGCTGCTGTGAGTGTAGCAACCCACTTCTGAGCGCTTGCCTGGTCGAGATCGTTGAAGAGATACTTCTCAGGGTTGACCATCGTACCGAGGCCTTTGACTCCATGTTTCTATCAGAGGTCAGTGAATGTAAACCCGAATCATTCCAAGATTGCCCCACGTGGAATCTCATGAATGGAGGAACAACAATGCTCCCATCCTTGGGTTGGAAGAAACCGTGGACAGACTGCCCGAATGGAATAATGAAAGCCCCAATGAAGAATATTCCAATGACACCACCGCCTTGACCTTGTTCTTTGCGGAATGGAGCTTGTCGTGCTTGCTGGGCAGCCTCCGCCGCAACCCACCCACCTGAAGAGTGTCCAGCCAACAGCACAAATTTACCTTGTGCGATCAACTTGTCGAGCATTTGTCCAACCTCAGCTGCATCGTCGGCAGGAAGTGGGTAGCCTCCTGCAGGAGCCTTTCGATCGAAGTCAGGATTGTTAATATTTCCGACGTTCAGTTGGCTGAGATCACAGGTCGGCCTTTGGGGGCAGTAGGTCTCAATTCCTTTCGCAGTGAGAGCATCGACGAGAGGTTGGTATGGAGCTGGGGTATGGTAAGAACCATGGCAGACGACAACTGCAAGGTTGGAAGACATGTTTGAGGTTTGAAGAAGAGAAATAAGTTTGAGGGGCTAAAAGAACAATAGATATGCTCCTGCACGTGCCCCACTCGACTTGTTTGCTTTCTTTTTCTTAGTTCACTTTACTTTGTCACTTCTTCTTCCCTTACAACACATACTTCAATACTACGATGTTGATGAAATGCATCTCTCTGATTGCTATTATGATTAGATATGTTACTCATCACATCGATACATTAATCTGAAACGACTGCAACGTTTGGATTTCCAACAAAGTGTGACAAAACTGACACGGAGCATAAGCACAATCTAAATGACCCAGTTCCTGATCAGCCAGTGGAGCATCGAGTCCATGCAGATCTGCCGCCGTGGGTTCGTGCGCTGAATGCACTCTGAACGAACTCTGAACAAACAAATGAGGAAGAACTGAGGGAGAAAAGAGGTAAAATAATGCCCAAAACATATCTTTCAAACGGTTGAGGTTTCAGACAATTGAGATGGTACATTGAGACTGTGTACATCCAAATTGTGCGTGACCAAAATACCCGGCCCTATGGCATTATCAGTTCCCCTAACCGAAGACGCGGGTGGGCCGAACTCCATGTTCCACGCGTTTTCCCTCTCGTGATCATCGTAACTCCGATCAATCGTCCAAAGGAGAGAGTGAAACTTTGCCAGGTTGCGACGCGGTCGCATTCGAACCGATCCGATTGTCGGCAGATCGTGTTGGGGTCGCGCTGCAGGAACGCTCCGTCGGAAGATCAGCGGCCCAAATGTCGGCACGCAAGCAACCAAGATCCCCGCCGTCATCTCTGCCTCGATGAACATCGACGAATCCCTTAAGCAGTAGATGAGATCACTAACTGGGCACATCTTGGTTTGGATGATGCGTCCCATATTGATACCGGCCGTGCTGCTAATGGTCAGCATTTCGTGGAATCCATTGAAGGACATGGGCGGCTAACAGAATTCCGATTGCGAATGATGCAGTTACGCCGATCTTTTTGCGGCTCGACATTTGCAGCCTCCAAACAATTGGCATTGGCAGCAAATTGACGCCCAGGTCCATAGCCACATTGAGGCCTGCTGATGCATACTTGATCTTCAACACATCACCGCAAGTACCGGGAACGGTGCGATCCCAGTTGTAAGCAACTGGGCGACAGAGCAAAGCGATCGTCAACACCGTTGATACCCAGTATAAATATACAAGGACTCCAACACTGATTGCGCACCACAGGAACTTCTTGTTGTTTGGGAAGATCTCAATATACAGTAACAAGATTGCCAGTCGAAAGCAGACTGTGGATGTGGCCCACATCCATTCTGATGCCCAAAATATCTGTTCTTGTTAACTGCAACCAGCAGAACGGAGTCAAGAGTTTACCTTCAACGCGCTCATTAACTCTTCTGGATGATGAACAGCCATAACCTGCGTATGCCCGCCATAACCTGCGTATGCCCGCCATAACCTGCGTATGCCCGCCATAACCTGCGATTATCGCCCCTGGAAAATTGGCTCAACGGTCATTCTTGGGAATGGGCAGTTAGCTTCCACTTACCAACCAGTACGTCTGTCACGTATCCAGTTAACAAGAGCTGGCCTTGGCGTCAGTCAGCACATTGTTTCATATCGAGTCAACTGACCGTTGAAAAGAAGACAAGATAATCATGACTCTTCAACTCCCGACGCCTGATGTGAGCAGAGATAATACGAAGAGTGGCAGATGCTGCGGCAATGAGGAGCATGATTAAGCTCCACACTATCAGCACCGGAGATCGCACGCTCATGTGAACGTGCACCATGGTTGATGCTCAAAGCTGTACCAACGAGAGGGTCACCGCTATAGAATTAAATGAATGATGGCAGGCTGAGAAAGAAATCACATGGAGAAAAGCGAGGCTTACGAAGTTCAGAGCCGCCTCTTCAAATTATTGACGCTTATTCACAGCGATGTCTGATGAAGGTTTCCAGGAACACATCATATCCCCGTGAAACCTGAAAACCTTGAGCTCAATCACTTCCCACTCGTCAGCCAGCACTTCCCACTCGTCAGCCAGCAAAGTTTCAGCCTAGTACCCCAGTGAGACCCCAGTACCGGAGGGATTAATCGGTCTGAAGCAAGAAAAAGTGGAATGATCGGGACGTCCACACCCTCGAGGCAATCACTGTTCCTATCAACTGCAGCATCGCACATTATCATTCTGCGCGTTTCCAAGCAGCGCAATATACCCCCAAATCAGCCATTATGGCCGTAATCTTCCACGATACATACGCGGAGAATATACCTCGTGATTCCGCCGAAGCGCAAAGGTAAGACGGACGACTCAACCAGTATAAATGACCCTAATATCGGCACTGCAGACTCGACGAGCAATTTGTACTAATCACAGAGTAAACGGCCAAACCAAGCGAGCATAAAGCATACTGACTAGCCTAGAAACACCGGCTACATCCTGCACCCAGCCGTCCAAGCCACGAGGTACCTCGATGCCTGTGTCGCCGTCGCGGGCACAGGTACCGCCGCCTTTTTACACGAGCTAGCGCATGACTGGTCAGAAGCCACCCTGCATGGCTATGACATATCGACCTGCCTCTTCCCGCCCGCCGATACCCTACCGCTAAACGTCAGTTTGATCCTGTACGACGCGTGCCAGGATGTACCCAGTTCCCTGCAAGGAAAGTACGACTTCGTACACGGACGGCTAATGGCAGCTGGGCTCTCGGCCTCGGAGTCGACTGGTGTGGTGAAAAACTTGGCCCAGCTACTCAAGCCTGGCGGTGCGATGCAGTGGGAAGAGTGTGATTTCACCGCTGTGTGCTATTTGCCCGGTGGCGCTCATTCCTCGATTGATACTGCCAGCAAAATGGGAAAATTGTTCTCGACGGCTATGAGGCTGCGCTTTGAAGCTGGAATGAGTTGGCCGCAGGTATGTATGCTGCTGGCCTGGAGAATGTACATACGGAGGCTGCTGCTGTGCATCGGGTTCGCGGTACCCGCGAGCGCTTGACTGCAAATAGGATGCAGTCTATTTTCGCGTGGGCGCGGCTTCAATCTGCTCGTGGATCCAAATGGGCGCTTTCTATGGAATACCTCGAGGAGCTGGAGCAAAAGGCTCATAAGGATATTCAATCTGGCTGCTATGGTTCGTTTGATGTTCATATTGCCTGGGGATTCCGGCCCCGAATCCCGAGCTAACAACGCTGGATGTCTCTTGCTTGTATCTTCTTAGGTATTGAGCTAGCTAGCATGTATGTTAAAAGTCTCAATGAGGTAGATCTATCTCACTGAACTATATTCTGACTTTTGAAACACATCCCCTTGCCACTCACTCTCGCTTATGGACCTTGACTCCTCATTGGCGCTCGAACACAAGGCGACAAAGTCCAGGATGAGCAGTCAGCTGGTCCTTCATATCCCGTTCCACAGCCTCGCCGTTATTCTCACCCGACGCAAATTTGATCCGGTAGTGCAACACCAAAGCTGCTGCAACGAGTCGGATCTGCGCAGTGCCAAATGGCGACCGACACAGCCGGTGCGCCCTTACGGTACTGCATTAGTACCAGAGCTAATTTATCTCCGCCAGGAATTTGGCTACATGGAACTTTTCGCTTACCAACACCGAAAGGAGCAAATGCCCTTTTGTCCTTGACTAGCTCAAGCCGGCTATACCACCGCTCTGGAATGAACTCGTGGGGGTTCACATATGCTTTATTTACTAAATGGGTCCACAAGCGTTGTGATGATCAGAAAGCACCGAAGAAAAAGACTCGCGTCTGCCGATCGTATATCGTGGCGCACATATTTTTGTATTTCCTGGAATGTACATCTCATCAATGACAAGTCCTTCCGGGGGTATGATCCTCGAGCTGAAAGTGAGAACTGCTGGAAGCAACCGCATGGATTTGTTTATAGTTCCTGTTGAGTGAGGTAGCGCGGCCAAAACAGTCGGGTCATGGATATTGACATGTCGAATTTCCGCGTATATCTTTTCGACGCGTTCTGGATATCGAGCCAGGAAGTAGAAGAGCAGAGTCAGACTAGGGGCAGTAGTATCACTAGAGATATATCAGTGCAAATTCTCATATGCTAGTTTATGCTAACCTCTCTTATCATCAGCGCCTTGATATTCTCAACCGTGCACTTGCAGGACATGCTCGATCAACCCGGCGATGCCAAGCGGGGGCGTCGTACAGTGCCACTCGTGTGGGGTGATGGTATAGCTCGATGGACCATTGCCATTCCTATATTGGATTGGGGAGTATGGTGTCCCATCTTTTGGAGAGAGTCTCATTTTTGGTCTTTACTCACAGTTGCAATGGCGTGTGTTGTTGCTGTTCATACTTTGGTGATTCGGGACGTTCCAGGGGACAAGCATATCTTTCGACTTAGGAATTCTTGAATTGCAGTAGTTTATATTCTACCTCTAATCTCGCCAGATGGCGAACAGAGGCGATGGTTGGAGAGTCATGCTTGTCATCGAAGACAACAATGTTCTACTGCCACCAATGGCGAGTTGGCCCCTAATACCTGAAGTTCCCAAGGAATCGCTTGACAGAACATTTGAGCAATCCACGATGGTTTTGATAAGCCAACCCGGACCAAGACTAAACGAAGCTTCCAGTCTCATGCGCAAACAGGAAATCGCGAATCTGGGAGTATTGCTTGGCCATCGCTTTATTTTAGACTCACTCAATCGTTTACTCATGAGATATATCAAGGGGAAACTATAGTCCAAGATCGCTTTGGACAATGTAAGGGATTGGTTTTGCTAGACTGAATTGACTAGAATTTCATTATTCGTGCAGCCAATCCAATATTTGGTGTCCGTTGCGTTTGTGTATTCTCATCGACGTCCACAGTTTCAAGGTAGATCCCGCCCTCGGATAAGAATTCCCTTATATGCTCAAGGGGCCTCGCTGATTCGTGCGATTCACATTCCCGGGCCCTCTTTCGATCCTCACCCCTCTCGCGTATCGGCATCGGGAGTTCGATTGGGCCGACATTGGTCCCGAACTTTTCCACAAGCCATATTATTGCTGAAATTGTGTAGGCTAATAGCCAACAGTACTCTTAAGTGTTCCGGAAATAAGGATAATGCCGTTTGTGTTCGGAATATGCTGTGGATTTAGGGTTTTGCTGCGAACGACCTTATCCCCGCCAATCTCCGCGATCGTGCCGTCATGACGTTGCCCCGGGTGTCTACATTCCTGAAAGAATATAAGAAAAGCCATTCCCTAATGGACTCGCAACGACCAAAATATTAATCTAAACATTCATCATGGGTTTCCTATACTCACAGTTTTTTATTACTCCCCCACGTCCCGACCAGTCTTTTGCAGATCAGACAGTGCTGATCACCGGCGCCAATGTCGGCCTGGGGCTAGAAGCTGCACGCCACATCACGCGCCTAGGTGCTGCACGAGTGATCCTCGGCGTTCGAAACGTAGCAGCTGGAGAAGAGGCAAAAGCGGATATCGAGAAATCTACAGGTCGCCCCGGCATCTGCGAAGTGTGGAAGGTCGATCTGTCGTCGTACGAATCAGTTCTTGCGTTTGGCGATCGCATCGCAAAGCTCCCCAAGCTCGACAACGCGATCTTGAATGCAGCAATTGCCACGCAAGAATTCAGCATTGCCGAAGGCTATGAACGATCTGTCACCGTCAATGTTATCAATAGCCTGCTCCTAGGCTTGCTCATCCTACCCACACTCAAAGCCACTCGACGAAACAACCCATCGCACACACCCCGTCTTTCATTCGTTGTAAGCGAAGTGCACGCTTGGGTGCAATTCCCAGAATGGAAAGAAGATCGACCGATGAAGTTCGTCAGCGACCAGTCGAATGCCAGAATGGGCGAACGATACCCACTCTCCAAGTTGCTGGAGGTGCTGCTGGTGCAGGAACTAGCGGGCCGAGTGCGCGGATCAGAGGTGATCATCAATATGACCAACCCCGGTCTCTGCCACTCACAGCTGGGTCGGGAACAAGACTGGAAGTTCCAGCTGATGAAATTGGTATTGGCACGATCCACTGAGGTTGGAGCTCGAACGCTGGTGGCGGGGGCTACGGCCGGCCTGGAAAGCCATGGCGCTTACATGACGGATGGACATGTGGAGAACACCATGCTGTCACCTTTTGTGCGCAGTGATGAGGGCCGACAAGCGCGTGAGAAGCTGTGGAGTGAATTGTCGTCCATCCTCGAGGGTGTTCATCCGGGGGTTATGCAGAACCTATAATGTACTTGATTTGGGCTCGATGTATCTTTTTAGTTGAGAAATGTTAATCCAGTAATACACGGGTGTTGCACAATGTCATGATTTGTACATTTTCTCATATTGACACCAGTTGCATGCCTGCTGACTGCATTAGTTACATGTGTACCCAGGTAACCCTCCATTCGACATCGATAGTTCGTTGAGTGCTGACCATCCATGATGGCATGACAGGCAATGTTGCAGATCTATGCAGATCATTTACTGAATTATGAGCAAGAGCCCGGGGTTGAACATGTTTCCTTTTTATTCTAATTTCTTTTCAGGTGGGCTTTTGTTCAGAGAAACAATTCTATTCGCAGATCGAGACAAAATCCCCCGGCCCCAATTGCCCACTCTGCTAGCTCGGATGCTCAGCCAGCCCACTTCGAAATGCAGCCACATCTCACGGAGCAAACAGCTCACTAAGAAGACACGAAGTCATGGTCTTAAAGGTGCTGAAAGCTGCGAACATTCCGGATACCATGTCTTTGATTTGTCCAACAGAAGTCCGTGGCGTCAATAGCGACGCCCTATTGATTGCTCGCTTGGTTCAACAAAAGAACTCGCTGGTACCAAGCGGCGTGTTTACAATGCCTGTCAGACTCTGCATGAAGATTCCCTCCGCAAAACTCGAGACATTTAAGTTGGCGAGTCCCGAAAAATCGACCAGGATCACTCACCCATTGAGGACTATACAACCTGGTTTTTGATACTTTTACTGCTTCACCATGGCTCCCGTGCTTTTAGAAGCGCAATTTGCGGATAAACCCAACGGCGCTCTAATCAAAAATTCAAAGAACGAGTCTTCCACGAATGCAGTCGACCTCACTCTGACCGAACGCCCCTGGCGCCTCCTCCACCTCGTCGATGCTTTGAACCCTCCCGCGCCTGCATTCGGGGAGCATCCAGATATTCATATCCAGAGACTACTCCAGCTGGCATGGGTGGCCACAGTCAGGGCTTTTGCCTGCTCAACTACACTGTACATTGGTGAGGAATATTCGCAAGGCCGATGCTTTGTAGGCGAGGGGGCTCATTCGGCTCCCAGGCCGACCGTTCAGATTCACATAGATCCACATGACACTATGAAGGAGCTGTTCGCGCAATGCATCAGCGCAATGGATACATTGAAGAATGTTCCAACGACCGCCAATGGACATGCTGGAGCTGATGGCAAGAGTTCCGTATTCAGCGCTACGATCGTCTATCAGCGACAACCGCCTCAACGCACATTTTCGAGCCAAGCTTCATGTAGAGGGCAATGTGAGTCCTGTTGTGTGATACAGCCCAATGGTGCATTGGAGGTGGAATCTCTTTTCACTGGTCTTCGTCTATCTATACGTCACACCCCTGACGATAGGTTACAAGCGTGCCTGGAGGTTGGGGATTCTGGAATGGAGCTGCCACTGGCTAGGAGTCTTCTACACAGCTTCAACCAGGCACTTGTTTCACTTACCGGGTCCTCCACACAAACTGTTGGTAGTCTTGACTTGTGTTCCGCAGAGGATCGGGAACATATCGCAAAATTCACGGGATCTCTTGCTCCGTGCCAGGATGAACTTCTCCATGAGCTTTGTTTTCGATATGCAAAGATAACCCCGGATGCGCAGGCTGTCCGATCCTGGGATGGCGACCTGACATACCGCCAGTTGGAAGAATTGACTACTCGTTTAGCTCACTGGCTTGTCGGGCAGGGCGTTGGACCAAACATATTCGTCGCGTGCGCATTTTACAAGTCCACGTGGGCCATCGTGGCTCGTCTCGCTGTTCTCATGGCTGGTGGTGCATACATCTGTGTTGATGGGACCGATCCACCACCGTACCTCGCTTCCGTCCTTGAACGAACCAAAATGAAGATAATGCTCACCTCAGCCGGCTACAAAAGCAAGTTCTCAGGCCGCGTCGAAACGTTGTTTGAAGTGAGCGAAGCCTCGGTGCTGGATCTACCATTGATCAACATGGTTCCATGTCCGACCGTCACACCAACAGACCCATGTGTGGTGCTGTTCACATCTGGTAGCACGGGAAAGCCTAAGGGCATTGTGCAAGAGCATCGCAGCTATGCGTCCGCTCTGACAGACTACGTCCGAGTAATGAAGATGGGGCCACACAGTCGGATGTTCTCATTCGATGCCTACGCTTTCGACATTAGCAACAATGACTTCCTGGCCCCTCTCATGGCGGGTGGCTGCTGCTGCGTTCCAACCGTTTCGCTGACAATGGACGCTCTCATGGATGACATGAACGACCTGGAAGCCAACATGATGTTCATCACTCCCTCCGTCGCCATCGACATAGACCCCGAGCGCGTACCCACCCTGAAATGGATGTGCATTGGAGGCGAGCCAGTCTCAGACGCGGTGTTGGCCAAATGGCTGAATCGCGTACAAGTCGTCAACCAATATGGAATGGGGGAAGTCGCCTCACTTTGCGCATACAACCGCGATCTCCAAATGGGCCGTGGATCGGTAGTGGGTCGTCCGGCCACCGGCGCAATCTGGATTGTCAGTCCTGATAACCCGGACCAACTTATGCCGATTGGAGCGGTCGGGGAACTGCTCGTCGAAGGACCCCACCTCTCACAGGGTTACTTGGACCACGTGTCTGGAAAATCGGAGAATTTCCTCACCGCACCACCAACCTGGATGGCGCAGCTGCATGCCGAGAGACCAGACTACCGACTCTATCGCTCCGGTGATCTCGGTCGGTATAACCACGACGGCACGATCGAGCTGATGGGCCGCAAGGACAGCATGCTCAAGCTCGACGGAGCACGTGTGGAAGCCGGCCAGGTCGAGTACGTGCTCCGACGGAATCTCTCAACGGGTGATGCAGCTATCGTTGATGTCCTCGGCGCCATCGATGGCAAAGGAGACCCCATTCTGGCGGTTTACATATACCTTGCAAACAACCCGATGAATGTTGACAGCGGTCCGATCGAGGAAATGCAATTCCGGCCGATCAGCGAGAAACACGCGATTAACACGCTGACACAGTCACTCAGTGATGCTGTCCGTGGGAATCTGCCCAGGTACTATGTACCCAGTTTGTATCTGTTGGTCGATCGGGTGCCGCGCACGAAGTCGAAGAAGACGGATCGTCGAAAACTTCATATGCTGGGCCAAGCTTATTATATGGAGCATCGGGAGGAGTTGGAAGATATCACTGTTTGGCCTGAGTGGGATTGAAAGTAGGACCTTTTGATTTCTAGATGCATTGTCAGGTTTTGGAACATCATTGTAACTTGATATATTAATACAACATACTTTTCGATGATTTCGATGGGTGCTTTCTCAATCAAGTCAATCTAACCCACCTTATATCCGTACTGCATTGTGGGAATGGGTTTTGGAGTGAGCCATGGAGAGGCGTCAACTGGCAGGCATAAGCACAAAAGAGAGAGAAGGCGTCAATTTGGTCATTAGCCCAGACTTCCACGGTAGCTGCTCTGATACTTTGATCACTACACGTAGAGTGATATTGAAAAAGAGAAAAGCAAAAAGCGAAGTGGGATGGAAAGGTTGCTAGAAGGTAAACAAACCTTTTGAGAGCGTGATCAAGATAACGTGTGGGGGCCAAAACGTTGAGGTACCGATAATGCTGCCTTGAATCTAGGCCAAAAAGACAAGGCAAACTGAATCTCGAAGTTTCGCATTCGTCGCTCCAGTGACCTCGAAGTGCCAGTACATAGGGACTTGACTGTCGATTGACTCGATATATACATGCTATCATAGGCATTTATCATGAAGCTTCCAAGTTTTGGCCACTCCCTTACTCAAATCGAACGTATCGGACACCACAGCAAACGACCCATCGCATCCAACTTTCTATCTGCAAACATTTGCGCTAGCCAACTTTGGAGCAAATAGTCGAGTCGACAGCTTATCGTCCTGCTCATTGTTAGTTAAGTGCCCGAGCACCTAGGCACCTACATAGACAGGGGCACTTCTGCTTACGTGGGCGGCGACAACGGAAATGTATCGCTGGACGCCAACCCTATTGACTCCATCAAACTGGAGAAGAAATGGTTTACACAATGCCATCTGCTAGCACACTCCACGGATGCATGAGTGCCCAGTATAGGTACCCGTTCTAGGGTATTCAATGTCCGCTAGCCCGCATCCACACTCTAAGCCTCAAACAGCACGTCCAATGAGAACTGAGAAAGTCGCACTTGGCAAGGCGAGCGTATATACATATACGAGATGGCTCCGCGGAGATCAGCATCACATACTACATAATTTCAATCGCATTTTCCTTTTTAGGTATATGGTTTAGCTGTTCGAATTTCTGCAGAGCACTTTCAATGAGCTTGGATGTTGTGGACGCTATGCACAGATTTATGGGACCCCACTAAACGAATAGTGAACATGTGAAGCCCTCTGAACCGTCCCATTCAGAGTACCACTGGGCAGTGTCTCACTGACTCACTGAAATTATCGCTCCCGGCAATCTGTGTAACTTTTGGACAGTATAAAGAACATCGCTGTCTCCCCCACCAGAATGTATTGTTTGAAAACTTGAGACTGCCAACCTACCGCCGCTTTATCTCAATACCAATATCTGCAAGGCATTTCACTTTAAGCCCAATGGCCTTCTGCATAACGGCCACATTGGCCCTACTATTTGGGATCTTGCCCAGCGCTCTCGCCACAGGAGAGCCGCTTCGGCATAAACCGGCTTGCTCTAGAGCAACCTTCAAATCACTTTCACTAGACACTATTCAGATAAAGTCTGTAAATGTCACAGCTGCCCATGAGTTTTCAACCAGTGGCCGTAACGCCACAGGCGGTGTCGGTGTGATCCCCGATATACCCGGTGTTGAAACTCCCACTGTGGATATATGTTTGGTTTCATTGAGCTACACACACCCCGGTCAGCAAGACCTTGTCAATACGTATATTGGTCTTCCCCTCGATGCCAAAGATTGGAACTCGCGATTTTTGATGCATGGTGGAGGAGCCTGGTACGCTGGCGGCGAGAGCAGCATTCTTACGCCGGTCTTGTTGGGGTATGCATCCTCGTCTACGGATGGCGGGCATGGTATCAATGCTTCAACTACGGACTGGGGCCTGACTAGTGACGGACATACCAATTGGCCTGCTCTTCGGGACTTCTCAAGCCTTGCTATCTCCGAAGCTGCGGTTCTGGGAAAAATGGCCACGAGATTATATTACGGTTCAGGGGCGGAATACTCTTACTGGCATGGTTGCTCTACTGGTGGTCGTCAGGGACATGCTATGGCGCAAGATCACCCCGAACTCTTTGATGGAATTGTTGCTGGTGCTCCTGCTATCAGCTGGGATAAATTCGCCCCAGCCGGCCTCTGGGGCCCAGTCCTGGCACAAATTCTCGGTACGTAAAAGATGAACTTCATTGGTCATATTCAACAAGCGTTACTAAGGGAGTTGTCAATACGTAGATACACAGCCGCCGCAATGCGTTGTTGATGCATTCACGAAAGCCGCCGTTGAGGAATGCGATGGACTTGACGGTGTCACCGACGGTATCATTGCTTTCCCTGGCCGATGTAACTTCAAGGCGTCTTCAATTATTGGCCAGACAATAAACTGCATTGATCCCAACGGGAATGTCACCATCACCAAGGATATGGCTGAATTGATCTCGGGACTCTGGGAGGGGCCACGGTCAGCTGAAGGTCAATCCCTGTGGTATGGATTCCACCATGACTCCAGTCTCGCATCAATGATCGGCACAAGTTGTAGTTCTACCAAGAACTGTACTATCGCCCCGTTCAGCGTCGCCAAAGATTGGGTAAATACATTCGTGGCTCGTAATCCCGAATTCAGCATTGAAGGCCTCACGCGTCAAGAATACGACCGTCTATTCCGCCAATCAGTCGATAGATATACCTCTTTGATCGGCACGTCAAATACAGATCTTTCCAAAATGAAGCATGCGGGAACGAAAATGCTTGCCTGGCATGGCATGGCCGACCAGTTGGTCCCCACCAACGGCACTATTGATTACTATGAACGCGTGACAAAGCTTGACGCCGATGTTGCAGATTACTATCGCCTGTTCCTGGCACCCGGGGTGACACATTGTGGATTTGGCCCTGGATTTGATCCCGCCGAGACTGTTTTCGACACCATGCGGGCTTGGGTTGAGAATGGCACGGTGCCAGATCGTTTGGAAGGTGTTGCTGTGGCGGTTGGAAACAGCTCCGCTACTCGCACTGGGAACTTATGTCCCTATCCCCAGGTGTTTACTTATAATGAGGGAGATGTGAATGATGCCGCATCATTCACTTGTGCTTAATCAAGGGGTGTGGTTGAATCTGTGATAGATAGAGAACCCCATCTGTCAGACTTGGTTCTATCAAACTAAGTTGGATGCAAACAAGCCCATTTACTACATGTTGTTGCTCTCGCATGTGATATCATACTCTCCTTTTTTTGTTTCCCCTTCATTCATATTTGATTGAAGAAAATTCTAAGAAGTCGAGTCGATCCCTTGCTGTGTTGAGAAATGATCCTCATCCTACAATATATAGTTAAGCTGTGTAAGCTCCTGTGCCGCATTTAGCATCTCCAGGTCCAATAGATTTTCTTAGCTGAACCTCTGATAGCTTGGAAACAGAACGGGCCTGTCAAGCTGAAACAGACAGGATTGCCGAGAAATGTCCTGTCTCACTGGGGTATATCGGGGCATCTTCGGGGTTTCTGGGTAGGTAACGTTGATCAGCAATGGTGTGTCTGCCTTCCCCTTCGGTCTTCGGTTATATCCGGAACGACCAACAAAGCCATTACCTTACCATTGAGAAGAGGGTTTGAAGAGATGATCGTCATGACCCGTGCGTGAAGAGCAATTTTCCATTTCCCCCGATGAACAACTTGCATCGGTTAAATTAGAAATGAAACTTCAAGAGTGGGGTACCAAATAGGAACAGGAAACATCCTGGCGATCAATACTTTCCGGGGTATCAGTTATGCACATTTCATTAAAATGCTTTCTTCGGCCGTGTTGCGTGTAAGGGCATGGATCTGCGAACAAGCCTCGTAGCTACTTAAGCCAAAACAAAGCCAAGACCCTGGATCCGGTCAACCCTTATTTTTTGCAAATATGCTGCAGAGTATATAATACTGGGTATCGTAAAGTGATGTCCTCGTCAGGGCAATTTTCTTTCTTGTTCTGCTTGCGACCAAATTCCGTTCTTTGACGTACTGCTGGCTCAGTGACATTATTTTCGTTCTTCTTTTGTTTGGCACAATTTGTGTAGGTAAAGGGTTCAATGTCGCTCATCAAATCCTTAATTGCGGCCATCGCTCTCCTTGGTGCCCATGTAAACGCTGCAGGTGTATCTGGGAGTGCCATTGGCTTCGCATCTGGAACAACAGGCGGAGGCAGTGCTGCCGCCGCAGCCCCCAGTGATATCGCCCAACTGACGGCGTGGCTCAGCGACAGCACTCCTCGTGTCATTCTCATTGACAAGGAGTTTAACTACCTGACAAGCGAGGGCAAGTGCACCGACTGCAAGTGTTGCATCCCCGAATCCAACACCTGTGGTAGCGCCGGCCAGAATGCCATCGACAACTCGGATTGGTGTGGCTCTTATCCCACCACCACTTGCACTTACGACAAGGCTGGTCTTGAGGGGCTCACCGTTGCTTCGAACAAGTCTATTGTTGGTGTTGGTAGTGCTGGTGTCATCCGCGGTAAGGGACTGCAGATGAAGAATGGCGTGAGCAATGTTATCATTCAGAACATTCATATCACTGAGCTTAACCCTCAGTTCATCTGGGGTGGTGATGCGATTTCTTTAAGTGGCACGGATAAGATATGGATTGATCACGTCAAGGTCTCGCTTGTTGGGCGCCAGATGTTCGTCTCTGGATATGAGTCTGGTGAGCTTGACCAAATGTATGAATCTAGTTTTGTTTACTTACCGTTATCCAGCCGGCAAGGTGACCATCTCTAACTCCGAGTTCGATGGTCAGACTAGCTGGTCATCCTCATGTGATGGCCATCATTATTGGACAATGTAAGTGTCACTCCAATTGAACCCTGCATCAACCCACATCAATACTAACCACCATTTGACAATTCGACAGCCTCGGCTACGGGAAAGGAGACCACATAACTTTCACTGGCAACTATATCCACCACACCTCCGGTCGCTCCCCAAAACTCGAGTTCAACAGCTACTGGCATGCCTACAATAATTACTGGTTCAACAATACCGGCCACGCCTTTGACGTCGGCGAGAACACGAACGCTCTGATTGAAGGCAATGTCTTCTACCAAGTCGACACCCCCATGCTGACCGACAGCTCTCCTGGCGCAACCTTCGCTGTCAGCAACAGCACCCAGTCAAGCTGCAATTCAGCTCTTGGTCGTACCTGCTCCGCCAATACCCTCATACAGTCTGGCGACCTCTCCGCCTCCGATGAGTCTGTGCTGAGCAGCTGGCCCAGCGGCGAAGCCAGCGTCGATGTTCTCGAGGCGAGTCGTGTTCGCGCTTCCGTTCTCGCAAACGCTGGTATCGGCAAGCTGAGCTCCTCTAGCTCTAAGCACCGTCGCCAAGGCCCCGCCGCGTCATCCCTTCCTGTGTGGTCTTCTGCTGGTCCTGGTGCTCAGCCCGCTGCCACTCCCGAGGCTACCCAGACAGCTGGTAGATCCCACTCCCACGGCCACCATGGTCATAGTGGAAATGGTGGACACGGTGGTTTCGCTTTTGGTTGGTTCTAAGTTTACTCGACTCTCAAAATGACCAATGGGTATTTTGAAGCCAGGAGGTAGAGCCTTTGCTCAACAACCCTACACAAAACAATTGCAATCTCCCACAATATCATTTGAAGACATATCTCATCCTGGACATCGTTGTTGTTGGTCTGATTGGAGATTAAAGGCGCAGAGATGAATTTTTTTGGAGTAAGCAGGAAACAACAAACTTTACATATAAGACCCTAGTTCGAGATCGGCCACAATGCATTAGCTAGGCTAACAGATTACTGAGATTTGTGAAACATTTGAAATCAACTAAGATTCTATTTTCATGTTACAATATGGCAAATTCATACAGGGGTGGCGGCTTTGAGGTTCGAGATTTCCCTTCATTGAACAACGCAGAACTGACGAACTCAGGGGAAACATCGACTCCGATCCCATCAGCGCAAAAAAAAACATAAAGCAAGATCGCTCACCGATGCAGACAAGATCGACCTCAACGGTGGGAAAGTTTGACAAGACAGAGGACTCGCAAGATAAGGGTATTATGCAAAGAAAAAATCATGAGCGCGATACACGAGATATCATGATGATTCCTTGTCTTTCTGAGTATTTCGCCGGTGTAAGGTCCTTTGGAACAAGATGCTCATCTCCATTTGAGATCAGAGCCTCTACAAGAGTTGCTCTACCGCCGAAGACAAACCCAAGACGCTGGTAAAATTCCACTGCAACCTGATTACCAGCTTTAATAATGAGTCGCACTTGAAGTTCACGAGGAAAAACGCGTGATGACAGGAGGTAATTGATCGCCTCCTTGCATAGCTTGTTTCCGAGTCCATGGCCGCGATATTCTGGGAGCGTGAACAAGCTCAGCATCTGCCATCTGTCCTCCTCTTCGTCGGACTTCTGAGGGGGCTGTTCGGATTCCACAGGTAACTCAAATTGAGCCTTGGATAAAGGTCCTCGCATAGTGACCTGCCCGATCCATTGGATATCATTGGGACGCGACGGATCATCGCCGAGAGGTGTTGCGGCACAAACGAAGAGTTCTCGATCAGGAGCGAGGAGACGCTCGATCCAATGGGCATCCGTGAAAGCTGATTCAATTTCGTAAGTAGAAGAAAAAGAATCGGGTGAAGCTTTCAAGGCTTTGAGGCGAAGTTCTCGACATCGTTGAGCGGAGGTCTCGGCTCCCTCTGTCTTTGAGACCCGAAAAAACGAATAGTTATATTTAGACGCCATTGACAGGAGTTAAATACAAAGAACAATTGAAATATGCCACTCAAGCGCTCGATAATTCTTTATATGTTCCCATAGTGTGAGTCAAAAGTGACAAGCTACGGCCAACTTGAAATTGGCCGAGATCGTTTACCCGAGTCTGATCCACTTTTCTTCGGCCCGAATCTAGACCATTTTGTTTTCTTCTTGGTTTTCTCTCTGATAACAGTTGATCTCTACGAAAGAAGAGGATCGATTCAATGTTGCAAATTGATGATGGCTTGAGGTGCTACATGCATACACAGTTTCTGGCCATGGTGTTTTAGAGCCACTGCATCTCTATCAGACACTAGTCACGGAACTGATGTGCAGAAAATTTCAATTTGGCTTATCCGTATGACAGCTCATGGACGATAGTACGACGAAGAAAATAAAGCGAGTGACATACAGCCACTCCTTCAATCAGGAAGTCACAATGCTCTTCAAATATTGGGCAAATGTGGCGACCTTGGTGGTTCCAATCGATGCGTGATGGCCTTAAAAACGAGACGGTATACCATCTAGGGTGGTATCGCACTACTATGCCCACTGACTACATCGGCCTTAATACATCACGTGTCATCGTCGTGCGGAGCGAGACCGCCATCGCGAAACTAGCAGTGATGTGCGTCAACAGTATCGAATCAAACTATGATCTTGAGCCTTATAATGCAGACATATTGAGTTTCATTCCTCTTGAACGTGATCAGATACTTGCTAGGGGAATGTTCGAGTGGGGCTATCATAAAGTGGGCATCCTCGAATTTCAGAGAGATGATACGGGGCACGTCGTTGCACTATGGTGGCAGTTGGATGAACATGATTATCCAGGTTTGTGGGTGAGAGAAATCGACGGAATTGTAGAACAGGATGTGAAAAGGGTGATTGAAAAGTTTGTCAGGTTCCGCAAGCCAGAGACAAGCTCCGATGATCAACTTGTGACCTCAAGCTTTGTGTTCGGGTGGATACCCGGGACCAAATTCTTGTCCTGCTGTCTAGTTTAGCTTTCTTCTCATTACAGTGCCTTTCTTGAGGCTACTGAGCAGAAAAGTAGACTATAACGACGCAAATGGGCTAAAAGTCTAGTCATCGGCGAGCTTCTATTATTTGAAACGCAGAGCGAATATATCTGGCATTGGGCTCTATCTTTCTTTCCATTTGAAGCATTGACAATAGAACGTAAGTTTATTCATAGTAGCGAAGACCATCTTCGGTCAAACAGAGTACTTTGCACGGTAGAACGAACATGTTTACCGACCAACCTCGATCCGAGTGGCGTAGCAATTAAAGCCTTAACACAATTTAGCATCGTCCTTGGTGCAGGAGTTTGAAACGTAGTTGAACGTAAGTTCACCATGCGCGACATTGTTATCTCCAGGGTAAAAGTACGGAACGCTTCCGCAGGCACCGCATCTGGTAATGTCAGTGAACTGGTCAATCGCCATAGACAGGATACTTACCCATGTTCTGGGATGTAGTGGGCCAATTCCTTGATCTTGGCACCGTTTGTACCGCCGGTGCCCTGCAAGAATGCACAGAACCCACCGTTACCAGTGATTGGAGCGCCAGAGCCAACGCAGGCGATGTGATCACCGTTATTGTACCATCGGTTGCCGTCGATGCCGGAGATAGCATGGGTAAGTTGAGCAGCTATCTGGTTGTTGCCAAACGTGTTGCAATTGGCGGAACCTCTGCAGTTGATTCCAAGAGCAGCACTTGTGGACGCGGTCAAGGACAGAGTCAGAAGAATGAAGTCAAAGACAGATGAAGGACCCATGATGAAGATAGAGATTATGGCTGAGGGAAATTGAAGAGAGTGATGTAGAGTGCAGTCGAGGCAAGACTTGGTCTTCTTATGTTCGTTTCAATCTAGGCATCAATTGAATTCCGGCGGATGTGATCAACTTGCAAATTCAGCTCAACGCCACCGTTCTGTGAATAGATACTGCTCTAACCAAGATATTTCTGGGCAATTATCGTAGCAATAGATCATGGGACTCATAACGACCTTGCTAGTGCGCAAGAGGAAACTCGTCTCTGTTCTATTATAGAAAAAAGCAAATTCTGAAGTTAGTGACCCACATGAGCTCAGCTGCTGACTGTGACGGAGGCAGTTTTAAGATCGTCAAGGATGCCCAAGTGGGCTTAGACCGTGAGACTAAAATATGCAATGTTACCTAAAACGCAAAGACCCTGCAGGTGCCCTGCAGAACTTACTAACGGATACGAACTGCGAGGCGAAGGACTCTAGGGCTGGATCCACTTGTGCTTATGGGCGGACGGTAGTCGGCTCTCGGGAGTTCCCGCGCTAGTGCGCAAAGGGATTATGGGTCTCGTTCTTTTCAAAAATTAGGAAATCTTCGCCAATATCTGCCTTTTTGGCTGACAGATCCGATAATATTTTCTCATTACGGAACTTCAATGTAAGACTAAGGCAAAGAAAAAACAACTTCATCTGACCGTGGCGTCCACAAAAGGAAAATCCTGTATCGTAAAGTGTTTGTTTGATTTTTCAAACAACCGATTGCTAATCTTTGCAAAGATGGATTCGAAGTTGAGGCATTTGTCCTGTGAATATCAGGATAGCAAATATTAAGTATTACTGGTTGGAAGGCGTTGAACTGGGCGTTCTATAAAGCCTACCCTCCTCCCACATCATTCCATAGCGTGAACCATCCATTGAATTCCTATCTTCAATACCCAACAAACTTCTACAAGCTCGGAATTAGATTTGCAATATGAAGCTCACTTTGGCTATCTCCCTTCTCCTCTCTGCTGTGAGCGTCAACGCAGCCCTCGGAATCAATTGCAGAGGATCCGCAAAATGCAGCGGTCTTTGGGGCCCAGATAACGTGGCCTCCAGCCTCAAGAATGTCATTGATGGCATCGATACTAACAGATGGTAAGACCCGATGTACCTACATCTCGAACCAACTTCTCATGCGGGTTGCTTTAGGTACTTGAACGGCGAGCACATCGCCTGTGTGGGAAACCAGGCCGGTAACGGTGGTGGCTACTGCGCATTTTTACAGAAGACTGGAGGTACCAACGGTGCCAAGATCAAGGAACTGGCGCACTACATTCCGGATCATGGGTTCGTTCTTCTGGGCTCTCTTATCTGTTTCTACTGACTCTGTTATTGCAGGTGCAAGATGTGTGGTAGCGTCCCATACTTTTACCCCGGAGATAACAATGTCGATCACGGCGAGCTAACCTTCAACTATGTGGACAGTGAGTTCGCCTTCAATTTCCTCCCCCTTTTGATCATATTTTGATTCATCATTCAGATCCCTGTAACACGGCGGGAACTACCCTCTGTTAAGCTTTAGCTTTTGGGTAATGTATGCAGATATAGGAGCTATGGAAGATGGGGGTTCTCTTCCCTGGGTTTACTTCTATCCACATATCAGTGAGTTGCGCAGAGTGTAGTGAGAGATGTCTTGGCTTCGCCCATAATTGGATGCTAGCCTTCATCAAGGAGTCTACAATTATTTACATGCAATCTTTCCTAAATACTTTATCTTTCGTGCTTCTCTTTGACGACAACTTTGGGTTTGTTCTGGAATTTCTTCCTTATTTCATCCAAGCCCCGTAACACAGGTAGAAAGTTATACGATGACCATTCGCCGAAGAGTGCACAATTATTCATACTACGAATATGTATATGCGCTCATGCACTCACTGTGCTTTCAATGTATTTGGACTGCATTAACCGAGTGTCAGTGCCAGGGTGATATGTTCAACCCCGAAATAGCAGTAGCAGAGGTCTAGTCTCTCTCGCCCTTTTGGAAGTATTTCAGATTTTTATAGAGGCCTATAGCAATGACTTGAGTGGGAAAATCGACCAAAATTATATCTATCGGTGTACGGTTGGAGAGACAAGCAAAGAAGTTCAAATTGTTGATATATAACCATATTGCCCCTCTCTTCTAGCTCATCATTCGCTCATTTCAACAGAAAGTGGTGAAGTTCATGCACGCACCACGCCAAAATACGTCACTAAATACAAATTGCGTTCAAATAACAACAAAACATGAGGTAAGTCCATGCCATTCTATTATATGCTAGCTATTTTGATCGGAACTGATCTCGACTCCAACCGAACCACTTCGTCATTCTTTTACCCATTGAACGCAGCATGATTGGACCAAGCTTAGGAACTGGATGCGGTCGGTGAAATACAATCTTTCCTCTGTGCATTCCGTTCTCCGTGATATCCTTAGCTTCAAATATAACGGCGGATCCACCTGCATTCTGTGCAACAAAACCTGCATCACACATGGCTCGCAAGAAATTTTCCCAAGTCACAGATTCGTACGCTACTTCCGAACTCCCAGGAAACATCAATCGGATGACATGTAACGTATTCTTCGTTACATATGTATGTATCTGACAGTGCCCGTCAATGTTGTTGGGTGTCTTGACTCTCTTCTCAACCGTATCTTGTGATGAATGGAAGCGGCTCTTGACCTTCAGCTTTGGGATCCGAGAAGGTACTTTCATCTCAATTGAACCCCATTGAGTCTGGAGTGTAGCCTGGCTTGACCTCGATTGACTTCTTATCTCTGATAGAGTTTGCTTTTCTTCGGCTCCACGAAGCTGATTATTCTCGGAGCTGAGGTCGACAGATATGACATCCATGAGTTCTTTTTCCTCTGTAACTCGGAGATCTAAATACTTCAGGTATCTTTTCGCCCATTTTCTTATATCTGCCCAAAAGGTCCCGAGAGGTTCGCCCGTTGGCCGAGATTGTTGAAGCCACACCGGGTTTTTTGGCCCTTGCGATAAGCGATGTCGATATAAGTGATCAATCAAACCATTTGCGACAACTTGCGGATCTCCGATACCTTCATGATCGAACTGTGGTCTCAAGAACGCGTTTTTCCATAATCGAATGTTTTTCTCTTGATTGAGTTCATCGGTAATGTTTCGGGAGCCATGCTGCGGTCTGTTTAAGCGAATAGATACAATCATTTCACCCAGAGAAGCCATTCCAGACAATCTTTGATACAGAAACTCGTCCAGTCTTACTTGCTCACTGCGCGGACTTGTCGTAAGGTGATATTGTAGGAACGCAAACAGCATCGCATGATCATAACCCTGCGGGCTATCTGGATCTTCGAGGATTTTTGTCAAGCACCAATCAAGAGGGTCTTCTCTGAACGACGGTGCTTTGTTCCTTTTGATCTGCAATGGCTTTGCAGTACCTGTGGTGTAGTCTTCGGCCTTCCAATAACTCAAGAATCCCGGCCTGGACCACAAGGTGTCTCGGAGCCGTTTGATATCCCCTCGGAAGCATTCGACGAGAAAGAGCTCAAATGCCCATAATGCGTCGCTATACGCAGTTTGGAGGCTTGCGGAACATGAAGTGCTTTGGTGATATTGATCGTACACCTTCTTGACCTGACCACATTTGTCAGCAACCCATTTCCATTTCCAGCAACGAAGAATATCCTCTGTTATTTCCTGGAGAGTAAGCAATGCCATCTCATTGGCATCAAAACTCTTGCGAAGCTCTCCCTGGTAGATAATGTGGATATATTGGCGCATATAGGATGGGTCACATTGCAAAAGGGCAAGATGGTCGCCAATGGTACGCGTGCTTGTCTCGGCTATGGAGAAGAGTGATTTGATGCTCAACGTGGGCGGCTTTGCATATGCCTGATGTGTATAATTTGACCAAAGGACCGATTCTCCAGGTGTTCGGAAACCCTCAGATAGTAGCTGTTCCCACTTGCTTGCGGAAGCTGGCTTGCTCAGATCCGCACCTTCTAGTATTTTGTCGACCACGTTGCAGAGAAAGCGCATGAGATATGCCTGAGCTTCAAGAAGTAGCTGGGCTCTGGGGAATCCAATATCATCTTGTTGGTGGATTGAATCTGTGTCCCAATGGAGGATCTTCCCGTAATCTGGACTAGATATCACAACAAACGCGTTGGAATAATTGACATCAAAGTAACCGTTAGACCAGGCTAGGTCAAGCTGTCTATTATCCCACAGTGCCCAGTCTTGAGGCGGATATGCTACACGGCAATGCAACAAGGAAAATAGAACAGTCGGGTCTGACTTCAAGACTTCGAGATTCAACCATGGTGTTAAAAGCCTTTGTCGCCAAGTAGCAGAGCGTAGATTGTGAGCTTGATGGCCAGATATGCACGGCAGCCGAGGAACTAGCCACTGGTGCTCATACAGTCGCGGATCGATTTCCATTAACATTTGACCTCTTTTTATTCGCGATTTCTTCTTCCATCGACTCATCATAATATCCGCCCGAGAGGCGAGAATTTGGATTAGGTGTTGCCCAGATCCTTGGATGCATTTCAAATTTGTTGTGACAATGGATATTGCTTCACAGTCGTCGATCTTTTTCGTGTATGAAAATTGCGGAATGTATTGTTTCTTCAACGTTCGAAAGCTGGTTTGACAACTTAAGCATTCGCATGGCGGGTGGTAGGTAGTTTTTTCAACATCCGTTGAAGGGATTTGTGAAACCCATTTCTGAACGGAACCCAGTTGTTCTCTTTCCCGGCAGCACGACATGTTCGGTCAATGTGTCTAGCACCTGAAAGGTTGAGAAGAATAGAGATCAAAAGAGGACCTGGTGTACTTACCACCATGCAAGACAATTTTCATTATAAATTGAATCAGGCCGTGCATATCTTCTGACTTCACCAAATTAGAATAAAACGAGATAAAATTCGCAGCACTGATCTGCAAGGTGCGCCAGAACCCTCGCAAATCCCCTCATAACATAGCATCGGTTACAGCAATTCTTTCATTCACCGCTATTTTCCAGCACATCTGTTTGTACATCATTGTAGTACGAAGTCAATTACTACTCCAAGAGCAGAGTCCCATCTCTTGGGCTTAGTCAATACACTATCATAGGGCTGTAACTCTTGACAGTGCTATGGCTTTACAGAATAAGTGAAGAGCCACGATGAAAGAATAAAAAGCAGCAATGTATACATCCAGACAGACTTTGTATGCAATGTGCTTTTGGAGGTTCATTGTGTTGCCCACTTTGCGTCCCTCTAGCTAGTCTCGCGTTTGCCCATCTGGCGGATTGCGTTCGTAGAACAAGCAACATGGACCTAATGCCAACCAAGCTTAGGATCCCTTATCTAAGGAAAGATTATCCCCAGCCCATTCCCTGCACAAGAGGAGTGATGATGGCTGCCACCACGGCAGCGGCAGGACTTTGTAAAATGTTGCCCAAGGAAAAGCCCCGGCGGCTTGCTGGGCAAGACAAAGTCCAAAAAGCGTTGAATGCGACGAACATCCAGGACATTCCAAATCCAACTGAAATATATAACAATCAACATGAAGGTCTTCAGGGATTTGACGGACATATTTACAGACCAGGATAGAGATAATATAGAGCGGTCTGCATCCTTTCCAATCCGCGAAACTTGACCAGAACAAAAGCTGCTCGGAACCTCGTTTAGAAGGACAATTAGATGCTCCGGGATGGGGAATCAAGGCTCACCCCAAAGGCAAACACAACCATGAGAACCGTCACTGTGATATTGATCTCTGCCTCTTTTCTATGAAACTTCCGGGCTAATACTGGCAGCGCAGGCAAGTAAATATTTCACGCAAGGGGACCAAATGTACCAGTGACGGTAATAATTCCGAAAAAAAGCCGTTGGCGAGATAAAGGAAGAGCCGTGTAAAGAGGTTTAGGTTGCGTTGGTAGTTGTTCACATACCTCTCTCCCACTGGTGCTTTGGAAGAGGGGTGGTCCGAGGTCGTTGAAACAACACTATGTTGTGGCTCAGAAAGACTCCCATGACCAGTTCTAGGTTGAGAAGTCCTCATCTTTGGAGATGTGAGAAAAGGACATTGGGCTTCTAATTATCCGGGTGGATATATCAATAAGTATTCTGGGAAGACAAGAATGCACTGGACGAATTGTCCACGAAAACCGATTCCAATTAGGAAAATGGGTGCAGATCGATATTCGAAACATAATATTACAAGCATAATATAAACGATATGCAAGCAAAAAATAAACAAAATAAATTCAAATTCAAATCTCCAGGTTAGCCTAGTCAACATATGTGAATGCCAAGGATGGCCCCAAAGTTTGTTCATGTAGTAAAAGTGCTCAAACTAGCTCCTCCAAATGGTATAATCAAAACCGTTTAGTGCAATTGACATGGGTAATATTCTAAAATTACGCTTTTATCCGCTCCGGCCACTACGAAAGTATGTGCCGCGAGATATTGAAGCTACACAGAATTTATAGTTGCTGTCTCTTTTGTTTTCCTTGTTTCTTTCTTTCATCGCCTTTCCACTTCCATTGCATTTCTTCACAAATGCGTCTTTCCCAGGACTCAGATTATTTGGATTTTGTGCTCGCCAGTGGTGTGACTCCTGATCGCAATATGACCGAAGTGCGGGATTCTACCGAAAAAAAGCCTCTAGAGACGAGGGAGACGCGGACAAGCAAGGACTTCAGGCCATAGAACGCGAGATACAAAGTGACGTGGATGATCTGGAGCAAGCCAACTCCAAACTACCTTCAACTCGAAGAAAGCACTGTGGGCATTTTTGGTGCTATAATACTCGGTCCGCGGGGACTTTTGATGACACTTTGAATTTACATCTGTTTGAGCGAGAACACCGTACCGACAACTGTGCATTCACCCAATTCGAGACTGGTCCAACATCTTCCATCGTTTCGAAATATGTCACAGCGGCACTCCTCTCGGCAGCCAATCTATTAGACCACCAGGCCGGATCTAAAAAAACCATGCTCACGCCGTGGAACGAACATTAGTTAAATAGTGAAACTCGGTGGAGCAGAGATTGATTATAACAGCTATACGTGGGTATCATGGGGTTGGTTTGCGGAGTGGCTTTGGCTAACGAGCAGCAAGATTGTACCTTCGATCAATCAGTCGAGCCACGGAAGGCATAGTATCGATTTTAGCGGCTGGCTCAGCAGACTACGCCCGTAAGTATAACGCATTGACTGCTACAACCAAGAAGCCTAGGAAACATTAAAGCACACTTTTGCACTGACATAATTCGCCTCCTTTCGTTGATATAAAGGTTCTTCAGGAAAATTGCAAATCTGGTTGTGATAAGGACCTAGGTTCTGCTCGATATGCATAAAGGAGACTAACAGGAGAGCGTAGGAAGAATTTTCTGATTATAGCACACAAGGAAGAACGATACTAAGTTTGACACCGGCTTTAAATGACGATACCCTTGACCTGTTTCTTGTCCACATTGTAGTTCTTCCACATAGCAACTGCGGGGAAAGCAAGGATAACAATGACACAAGCGGCGATGCACTCAAACTTCTGGCTATATGCCCACGCATGGTTGATCGCATCCCTAGTAATAGAGCCGGGGGGATAAACGAGCTGTGCTGCGGAACCTCCAAGGTATATAGTAGCATAGTCAGCCTTTTTCTCGTCCGGAAGAGCATTCAACAAAGCTTCGGGGAAGGTGTTAGAGTAAATGGCGACAGCAACAGCGTAGCCTATTGATCCTCCAACACTGCCAGCCAGGCTGATCAAGGCAATCATCATAGGAATTCCTTCACGATCGGCGGCGGCCATGGCAGCCATTTCATCGCCGATAACGAGCGTACCACCTCCAAAGGCAATGAATATTTGGCACATCACTAGATAGCCAATTGCACTGCCAGCTCCCCGAAAGTGAATCATAAGTCCTGCGCCCATCATGAAAAGTGGAACACCAAAGAAGAGGCAAATCTTCTTGAAATGTTTGGTTTGACGAATCCAAATACCAAATATGACACCCCAGATCGTTGATCCAACGCCGTAAATTTGAGTCATATATCCAGTTCTTGCCGTGTCCAAGTTATAGACAACCTGAAGATAGTAATAGTAGTATTGGTTCCACGTGTAATAGTTGAAAAAGATGACCGCGGAGACGATACAGGCACCAACAACAGTGCGATTCTTGAACAGCTCCCACTTAATAAAGGGAGTTCTGGCGAGATATTTCTCCCATGCAGCAAAAATGGGAAATAATAGAATGCCAATAACAACCATGCTGATAAAAGTAGGCGATAAGTAACCACCGTAGCCGTAGATCTCTAAGCTAAAGGGCAACAGAAAAAGAATGAAAGCAGCCATCAGGAGAAAGCCGCCGACGCAGTCAAATTCATGAAAGTAATGCACTATTGACTGCCAAGATGTGCGATCACTTTGGGTCACAACAAAAATGCCCATGTCTTCAGCCTTCCGTTGATAGAACTTGAGCACGAAGGCAAGAGGGACGAATACGATGAACACGATGATAGCGAAGCAACCATAGGCCCATCTCCACGTAGAATGAATAAGAAATGCCCGCGCAACTAGCGGACCGGTGAAGGCGGTACATATGGTAGGAGTGCCAATAAATGCGTAAGCAAATGCTCGATTCCGTAGGCCCGTTGCGTCAGCGACAAATATGGTCAATATGAAGTTGATAGAGTTGTTCCCGATATTATAGAGCGTATATCCGGCTGCAAAGCTATTTGGACCATCGCACGAGGCCATTGTTATGAAGCCGATGAGGAAAAGGCCCAAAAAGAGAATGAAACCTTCAGCACGTCCCCATAGATTGAGAATCTTTGCGATGGGGAGTGCAATGATTCCAGCAATGATGGTTGATAGGATGAAGGCCTGGGATATCTGAGGGGCTGATTCGAAATCTGCATAGGCGTAGTAGACCATGTTGGCGCTGATGGAGGCTTGCATGGAAAGAATAAAGAAGCACAACCAAATCCTAGCACCAGCGGCAACCGTAGTGATATGTTAATCTAAAATCTGTGTCTCTTGCTGTTCTTCTATGAGAAGAGCACTTACCATGCGTAAATGGCATAAACCGCGGTCTTCGACCACACGAGGGCCGTGGCTTCGGCTTTTTGCACTCCAATTTGAGCATTATGGGTAATTTCGCATGGGTGTTCGATGATTCTTTTCTCATTTCTTTGCTCTAGGCTGACCTTGGAAGATGGAATCGAGATTTCATCGGTTCTGCGGGCGATCGTGTCTTTATGAATGGTTTCATGAGCGCTGGAAGTGGCCACAACTCCATCGAGCAAGTTTGCAGCAGCGAGACTAGGAACTTTTGCACCCATCTCGCAGACCGGAGGATATGTTTGAAGACAGGCAAATGGAAACCAAGGTCAAATCAGTCAATATATGATCAAATTGAGAAGTGGGAGTTGGAACTTTATCGAACTCGTACTGTCCAGAAAGAAGACCAGATAGCGGATACTTGCAAAACTTGTGAGGCCATATTGAGTCACAGTACCACTCATACGATCGAATAATGCGCAAAAAGATATTCCACGGATCGGACTTGGCCAATGGTCTGCATGGAAGTTGTCAGATTATCCCATTTACCAAAATGAATCATCCGCCACAGTTTGGACAGAAACTAACGCAGAATGAAGTGTATTCATTGGCCAACTTGGAAATTCTCAGTGACGCTATACCTCTATAATAGGGAATCGGCTCCACGCGAAAGAGTGCTTTTCTGTGTTTTTTGATTATTGGCTTTCATGCGTCTATTTATAGTTTGTAAATTGCTCAAATGCACGCATGCCGGGCAAAGGGTTTGACAAGTTATTAAATCTGCGGACTGAAATGCTATATATGCATGGGGGTTAGCTTCTTACTAGCGCTTATGAACACCCTATGGCTGGATGTGGATTTGTATGAGCCCCGCTCAACCTCTTAGACTAAATACTTCCAGAGGGTTGAGCACTGACTCTCATCGAAAATCCGGAGGCTAAAAAGACAAGCCAGTAAAGATATAATTGCATAGATGATTGAACGTAATTCGAAATACAGAATTTGCAAGTATGGTCTCTACAAGCAAAGTATTCATGAAAGTGATGGGTGTCAGATGGCACAAGATGTGGTGGCTCATAAGGAGCATGAATGTTGTCCTAGACATATGAGTTTTAACCCACAATCGGCAAAACACAGTCTTAGTCAAGCTAATCTTTAATATGTTTCATGTACATGGCAATCGCAATCTACGTTCGAATGACTCGTGATCTTCAGATAACCGGACCCAACACAATCAGGCATTGATCGGGTTATCGCAGCTAACGCTACAGATTCTCGCAAAAGCGTATTATAAGCTAACACTCAATAGGTATCAACTATAAAGAATGTTGTATCAATCATATACCGATACTCACTTTCCGTGGATGAAATCCATTATTTTGAAGAGGACAAGCCCACTGGACTACGACACGCACATGAGAGCCAGGAAATAGATCGGCTTAGCTAATCAGAACAGTCAACGGGTCTTTCCCTGTGAAGTGGAATTGTTAGACAATCGATTACTCTGATAGGCTAGCTGTCCATCGAGAAATGGTTCTCTTTCAGTACTGAAATCGAAACAAATCTACTCAATCCAGCGCTGGTGGACCTAGCGTCCACGTCGATACGTTAACCCAGGGGGCCCGTGCCACCAGTGTTTTGAGAACTTGCAGCCCCTGGCATATTGCCGTCCTAACAATAAGCCACTTGAAAAGGTCAAATAGACAGATTGAAGTCTTCTAGAAGACTTTGACTAATGCTAGAGAGATTGCGCAAAGAAGGAGTAGACTGTGGGAGAAATTTGCGTAACGGTGCCCTATTCTAAGACCAATACTGAGCAGGCAAAATTCGTTTTATTAATGTGTAGCCCAGTTGAAATGTGAGGCGAATCCCGTACTGTTGTGACCCAACTGGGAAAGTCTCTAGCTTGCTACCGCCAATTGAAGCTTGAAGCTCATTTTTACGTTGTGACATCAAATCCGTAAGACAAAGGTCCACTCTAATATTAATATGCGAGTCTACCATCTAAGTGTGCACGTGCCGGTCCGCATGGAATGGTGTATTCCGAAATCATATTTTTGTCGCACCCAAGGGCAAGCTAGCTATGATTAAAAAGTGTAGCGAAAGGAGGCTCAAAGGAATAGTGGGCTGGCCAAACTGGAACCTACTGGTACCATGCGCATATGCTGGATCACAATCTTGGACTAAGCAATGTAATTTTGTATCCTCTAGATAGACACCAACATATGCGCATGGTACAACTAGGTTCTAGTTTGGCCGGCCCACTACACTCCTAACGCCGTTTTAATCAGACGATAAAAAATTGAGCACATCAAAGACCTGGGTAAACCAAGGTGCTTAGTCCATCACCGATTCGCTTGTATATTAGCTGTGTAACAGCAAACTCACGTGGATTTTCCACTTCGTGGATCTTTCGTAGAACTATTAGCTCTCAACTGTCATATTCTAGCAGTCTCTGTGTAGCGTCAGCGAAAATGGCGAAATTCTTTGTGAGACCCCTGAATTTGAACAGGTTCTCAAATGGTCTTTTATAATCCTATGTTTGGCCCAGGTTGTGAGTGGATTTGAGGACTTAATTACAAATATATGTTTCATGCTTGACGAAAGCAAGAGGTAATCGTCTTACCATATGACCCAATGCGCGGTCGCGCGCATTGGGTCTGTCTCACCAAACAAAATTCTCTCAATTTATTGAATATTCAACGAGTCATCTCTCCCAATGACATTATTTAACATAGGGCTCAATGACCTCGGGCCCCTTCCAGAAGCAAATAGCCTTGCTTGGAATGCTTCTTCTCCTTTATCTCTGTCCATTTAGACTGGTCGTGCAGTAACTAGGGGTCTCTTATTCCGAGCAACCCGCCGAAGCTGCTCCCCAAATCTATATACCTTTAACCCAGACTCGCGCACTCGAGTGGCTAATGGAGTGAAGTTGCTGTCGCTAAAAATGAGGCAGAAGCCATCGAAGCGGCTTGAGTATAAGAGGTCCATAGCGTCTATGATCATGGCCGAGTCGGATGTGTTTTGTCACGAGTGTACGCGAATTGCTGCTTAGGCTGGATAGACCGATGAAGAAGCTCATTACTCCAGTCTTCCAACCTATGATCGGTCCAATCACCGTACGCGCGCTTCACATGAGTTGTACCATATTTCGCGATCTTTGTAAGCAGCAGTGCAATCATAGAATATTGCGCATTTTCAGCGTCAATAAGAACTGCAAGTCCAAGATCGCTATCACAAGCCATGACTGTATGTGTGTATAGAAGCGGGAGATTCTCATGGTCATTGTCATAGTCAACATCGAGCGTCATCCTCGTGTCATACTTCAAGCTGTGGCAGTCACATGCTCGATACTTTGCGACCTCACTGCAGGTAGTCAGCTGGCCTTTCATAGGTTCTAACAAACGTTACTATGGTATTTTGGGGTGGCCCACTCGCTTACCGAATACGTTATCAGTATATTTGGGCTTATGTGACCTCTGAGGTGACGCAATAGTGATACGCAAGGAATGAAGGAGAGGGGAGGGAAGAGTTTGGAGGTTGACTGAATTCGAAAACTACTGTATTTTACTATTTACTTTGTTTAATTTACCAACTTTCCGAGTCACTGAGTGGGTAAAATGGTATATTGGTTTATAGTGCAGTAAATCAAGAATCTATCAACCACTTAGCATGTTAGCTCAGAGGAACGAGCGTCGGGCTCATAACCCGAAGGTACGATTCACTGCTCCAATCACTAATAAATTCATTTAACTAACTTAACCAGGTCCCTGGATCGACACCAGGACATGCTATTGTTCAATTCTTTTTTTTTCCCGCGTGAGTCATGTCCGGAAGGACCGTCGGCCCGTCATGTAACCTGGGCAACATTCCCGATTACTAAACCTCGGAAGCTTCCGGAGATCCCGAGGTCCTCCACGGATTTTTGAAACTGTCGGGTGAATTTGCAGAGAGAATCTACTGTTTATTTGTAATTAATTAGTCTTGTTAGAAAGTTCTATAAATTGCCGGAACCAGGGGTAATAAAACAGAGAGCGTTCATACATTCTTATTGGCTAGGGCTAGATAGTAAGTAACGGAAACTACTGGGAAGTGTTGAGTTTTAGATCATCTACCTAGTTCCGAGAAGATGTCTAACCACAAGTAGAAATACTAGTCCCCAAACATAGCTCAAAGCCTCATAAAACAGGTGAAATGCGTTAATATCGACCGCGGAACGCCAAATCTGGATTCTACACAGCATCTGGGCAAGCGCTGGATTTCCATAAGCGGTGATTTTGGAACGATTAACGCGAACAAATAGTTCTTTACTCTCTGCGTCTTGCCCTGCAGTTATGACCCCGTTGCCGTTTTGTAACATGCCACTCAATATCGCGAACAGAGTCTTCCATAAAAGCAAAAGGATATACTGATTAGCTTCACTATTCTCACGGCGCTACAAATATAACTTACTGGGCATGGTCATCACCCAAAGCTTGATTTTTCGATGTTATAATCACGAAGTGCAATAATTTTTTCAGACCCAATATGCAAGTAGGAGTAAAAGATGACTTTCACCGGTAAGCGTCAAAACCGATTATATAAGAAGTCCAAGCGCTCATGGATTTCTGCTGTTGGGTCACTGTCATCGTCATATCTAAATAGGGCAAGGATCTTATTGTCAACAGAATAGTCCGCAAAGAGAATTGCCATACGCTCTTCCTCAGTCGGATCTAAGTTTCAGAAGACAATATTTCGTTTTCCTTTAGCTGATACCAAGTTTGTATAGCCTGGCCTGTCATTACGGGCAGAAAAACGACCGAGGAGCTAGCCCCGGCTCAAAGTTCAGCACTTTAGTTGTACCAAAATTTATTGAGTTCTCTAAAGTCCTTGTAGATTCCATCACTGTGCGTAATCAAGCATTGGCTGAGCTTGCAGCATACCCATCAAACAGGACTTGCAACCGTTTACCCTCCTCATCTGCCACCTCGCTGTGGGTTTTGGCGCTTCCAATCGGGTGATATGGGAATGGTCTGAGAAATATCAGTGTTGACGTTACAGGAAATAGATAATAGATGACCAACCCATATTCCGGCACAAAAACGATCCTTCTTGTTGTTCCATCCTTGACCCGCGCTCGGATGACATTTTTCCATATCCTCTCGAAGCACTCCTTCTCTTCTCTGAAGACGGGGTTCGTGGGCTCAGGACATTGCGATGCTTGTGTTGTTCCTATTCTGGCATGGATATGGTAAACCTATCCCATCATTAGAAGTATGTCCTAAATTTGCGCGTGTGTTTCTCACATGGGGCACGATGGCGTCCATCATGACTTTATCGCCTTCACTGATATCCAGAACTCTCTCACATCCAACCATCCAGTGAGAGAAATCAGCGGTGATCCGAAGTCTGTTTGATTTTAGCACTTTGTCAATCACTATCAAGTGATGGATGGGAATATTTCCTTACTCGGGGACAGCCTCCAAAATGCGCCGTGTGGCATAGGGTGTGAAAAGTGATCGGTTTCTATGGGTCTCGTGGTAGACTCGACCAGATATTCCGAGCTCGCTGTCGATGTGGATTGTCCCTTTATAGAACTTAATTGACTCCTCGACGTCCCAGAGGTCTCTTTGGCTGTATGTCAGATAAATCACCTAAGCCTTATAGTATAATTATTCTACTCACTCTCCCGATTGAAAGTTCATAGTGGAAGGTTTCAATTGCTGAATTGATTCTAGCAGGCTTCGATAATTCCGCAAGTGGTCGTCTGCTTTGGTGCCAGCCGGCCGGGGTCCGAGATACTGAAACCAAGACGAGTGTATCCTATTTTCCCAACCAGCAAATAAGCGTTTCTCCTACGAGTAAGAGTTATGAATAGATTAACTGACATTAGTCCAAGCTCCAAGTCGGTCTGGTCGCATAGTTCCCTGAGGCGGGGAAAGTCTCTACTTGGGTCCAGCGGATGAATGTCCACTTCGACACCACCTATGGAGAAACTTCATATTAATATAAACGATTCAAATGTGTAAACATGTTAGCCAAAACTTGGAGTCTCTGTACGTACTGTAGCCCTGGGCCTTCAGTACTGGAAACCATTGAGCCCAGTGATCCATATTCGGACCAGGAGCAATTCCCCAGGCAGATCGAAAACGGTCGATTTTCATAGCAAAGGACAAAATGGTGAATGAGCAGATTTGAGGTTAACGTCAAGTTTCAATTGAGCTGGAGAAAGCAATTCATTTATGTTCTTATCAAAGCTCAATAGCTCAACGTATACTTCTCCGCATAGTTCCCACTGTGTCTAAATGGGAAATGTTCCCCGTCATGGTGGGGCGTCGAGATCGACTATTTCATTGGTCAAAAACTATGGAGCCCACTCACAGTCAAGGCTTGATTGGCTCAAATTGGTTGCTCTGCGGCGAAAAATACCAGTTCCAGCACAGGACCTAGAGAGATCTCACAAGTGGAGGCATTGTTCAATGACCGACTTTGCGCCGTGGTGTTTTTTTACAAACTGATGTAGATTGTGATTCAACCAATGCAAAGAGCAAATATTGCGTGATTTATGGGAGCAATAATTATGCGGTATATAAGTTTGCGCCGTGACCTGCATTCAATCGAAACCAACCAGTTGTAGTCAAGGAAATACAATAGAAATTAGAAGCATCTAGTCAAGTGTAAGTGTGATATAAATCTCTTTTCAACTATAGACACAGCATATGATGAGTAATATTGATATATTTGGGTCTGAATAACATGTACATTCAATAGTACGACTGTGGCTTGCTTTCAATAACAATTTGATCTTATCAAAAACCACCATTTGGATGGATGATGACCTTCGTGTACCCATCCTCCCGTTTGTCGAATTTCTCATAAGCCGTCTCGGCATCCGCAAGTGCAATGGCATGCGATATAACAAAGCTGGGCTTCGCTTTGCCAGCAATGATCATGTCTCGGAGGTATCGATTGTAGGCCTTGACGTTACACTGCCCAGTACCAAGTGAGAGGCCCTACAAGAGGTTAAATCGGTGACAATGAAAAGTGATTGGGCGTGTTCTTACCTTTTCAAACAGCTTTCCGAAGCTAAGGCTAATCATTCCATTCGCAGTGGCAACATCGGCTGCACCAGGGTCACTGTAGAAGTGTCAGTTAGCTCGGCTTCTAGATTAGGTGGATATTCCGTCTTAACTTACCTAGGAACATATAGTCCAGGGATTCCCATTCCACCACAAGCTCGTGTCACCCGAATCATGTTCTCAAGCACAATGTTGGCTTTTTCAGCGGACCCATTCGAGTCGACAGCCTGGTATCCAACGGCATCTACCGAGCGATCAACCATATCTCCGTTGTGCTTAATAATCTGATCAACGGCATCTCCCTTTGTGAAGTCGATAGGAATAGCGCCGATGTTTTTAGCTGCCTCTAATCGCTCAGCAACGCGATCAACAACGTAGATATTAGACGCTCCTCGCAGAGCGGCAGAGTACGCGGCCATAAGTCCGACGGGGCCAGCGCCGAACACTGCAATGCTTTCACCTGCTTGGAAGCCAGAGATTTCTACCCCGTGCCAGCCTGTAGATATTGATAAAATCAGAGATAAGCTTCGAGTTGAGGAAGAAAGACTTTTATCGTACCGGTGGGGAAAATGTCTGAGAATATGTGTTAGTAAAGGTCACTGTGAAGAGGCTCCTGTCAAATAATGGACTCACCTGCAAGGAGAACAAAGTCTTCTTCATGCTCTTTACCAGGGGGCAACTTCAGAGCATTGAAGTCTGCATACGGGACGCGAATGTACTGTGCCTGACCTGTATTAGACAGTCAATTTTTGTATTAATTCCAAGATTTTAGGGAATCTAACCTCCGCGGTAGGGTCCCATTGCGACGTAGCCTAGATCCTGTTAACTCAAAATAATTGAAGCCGAAGCCATTATCTTTACCATAAGCACCGCCGGCAAAACCAGGGTTGACACCAGTGCAGAATGCAGTTCTCCCCTCTTCGCAGTTTCGACACCGACCATCAGCAACGTTGAAGGGCATGACGACACGATCGCCCTTCTTCAATAATGTAACTCCCTCGCCCAATTCTTCCACAATCCCCATGTTCTCATGACCTGCGCTTCGTTTAGCTCATCGTGTCCACGGTTGTAAATGTTTAGTACAAGAAAGTATTACCAAAAGTGATCCCCGGCTCTGCGGCTGTTCGTCCTTCGTACATACTGTAGCCCAGTCAGTCTCCCGGTCTGTTTTTGAGACCAATCAAGACATCTTACTGTAAGTCAGAGCCGCAAATCGCGGCCTTGGGGCGCGGTCAGTTTGATTTTCTTTTGAATAAGATTATCCATGTTCGCATCACTCACTGTCGTCACCTTGACAATAATATCATCGGGATGTTCCATTCTAGGCTTTTCAACATCCTCAACCCGAACCTGGTAAGGTCCGATATAGTTCAGCGCTTTCATAGTAGTTGTAGACATTGTGATTGTGATTCGCGGGAAGAATGTAGGAGTGAGGAGTGGACAAGCGCACCCCGCGAGGTGTTGGAGTATTTGTATGAAATAGAGACTGCAGTAGCGCGAACCGACCAATGCAATCCCTTTGACATGTCCGCACTGAATTCAATTGATAACGTGTAGCTTTACTCATAATTTATTTTGCAACGACCAGTATGAGGGGAAGCTGCATTATCCCCACACTGATTTGCGGCGGGGAACATTGCCTTTTCTAGACTCGGGTTCGCCGACCTTGCCTCTTGCAGTTTTATGGGGTCGGAATTCACTGCTCTCGGAAAATCGGCGAGGTCTAACTACGATTCGGTCGGAATTATATCATTGGCATGTCGATCGGCACTGGAAGGATATGGGCCAAGATCTCGTTTCTGGAAATCCCTACGTGCGATTACTTCACTTGGTAAACTCCTACAGCTCCCAGTTTCTACCTTGCCCTAGAAATAAAGCTAGATCTATACCTTCCAGCCACCTTCGGCTATCAAAGCTTCACCGAGAATTCTACTAACCCTCAAGAGATGTTAATCACTGAATCTCGGGGCCACAAAAGATATGCCTACAGGCATGCCATGGACTCCAATGAATGCAGGTATATTGACAAGAGGCATATGAAATCCCTGTTGCGAAGTGAGCGAGGAACTAAAGCAATAAGAATACAAAGAACAAAAAGTACTCGCCGTCCATAGCGTGTTGAACATCACAACGCCCATATCGCCAAGCCCAAGGGGCGCTTCGTCCACTGCGCTAGGCCTAAGGATGACCGAGTAGTTTTCAGCTAAACCGTTCACCATGTCCCCCATTCGAGCGTATGTATCAGAGGCTTCTATTCTCTCCTTGTTGGTGTAGTTGGTAGTGTTTTCGACCAGGCTATGGATTTCTGCAGCAAGATTTGCCTTGTCCGACCGATGTTCCCTAAGAAAGGAAGCGCGTGATTTGCCGGTGAAGATCTTTTTCTGAATACGCTTCAGGGAAGCGAGATCCTGAATCTCAGTAGAAAAGCAACTTCTTATACCCGTGCTTTTCCAGAATTTTTCAGAATTGCGGCCGCGCAGTTCATGGCTGCGACGGTGCTGCGTCCTGCCTGAGGCCACATCGGAGTCTTGATCAAAGCCACGGGGACCTCTTCCAGCGGTATGTCTCCAGAGGACTCATCATCCTTTTTGAGGGACAAAATATCGGCAAGTATCTGTAGGTCATCGAGGCTGCGGGCAAAGAAACCGAAGCTACCAAAGGTAGAGGCACAGATCTTTTGGCCTTCGAGTAGGATGGCATTTTACTGCGGTAGCTCAATAAACATTGGCCTTATGTCCAGCTGCCGAAAGAATCGATTGACACCGGGCGTCGCTATTCGTAAATAATCTTCTGCATCGGGTCGTGGACTTTGGGATAAGTCTTTGCTGATGCATTATTGCTACCAATAAGCAGTTATGTTAATCTAGGGAAATCTGCGCTTCGCATCTATATATTTGTATTATTTGTTTTGTGATAATCAATCATTTCAAACTATATAAATTGCAAGAAAGGAGGTAGATAAAATGTAGATTTACCGCACATTCCATTGACCAGATCAAAATTGTATCGAATGGTGTTGATATCGGTGCGATAAATGCTGTTTGACCCACTGCGCGTCGAAGAGGTGATTATTGGGGATATCCGAGTATCAGAGTATCAAACTATTTAGGGGATTGGCAAATTGTACGGAGGACAAAAATTGTATCATTGGGAAGAATAACCAAACAACTAGATCAATCAATGTTTAGATCGATTGCAATTCGTGATGGTTTGCATTGTTTGATTGAATCTTCCCCGCATGCTGGCCGCAACTGTTTCTTATCCGTAAAACATCCGTCGAGATCGCCCTGCATATGCAAAACGTTAGCCTAGATGTCTGCCCCTAGTGGCAAGAGTCGAGGTAAGTGAATCCCATTCCAAGGCACCGTGCCAATTTCTCACGTGCAATCACACAGGATGTTTCCAATGTTCCAAGCGCCGAATCATATGCGATAATACACAACCGAAATGCCAAAAATGCCAGAAGAAGGGCCTCGAGTGTTCCGGAGCAGCAAGAATTCGCTTCTCAAATGCCGTGGCGCTGCGTGGGAAGTTGAAGGGATGCACAATTCCAGTGATGGGCGAGGCGGACTCGGGAATTGATCCACAACCACGCCAAGAACATCAGATAACGCCGCGGATCATTCGATGGAAGGATGATCAAAGCGTGCGACCGAAGCGGAAATACCTTAAGCGTCGAGCGACAACGACTGTGAGCGACTTGGAAAAGTCACCAACAAGCACGGTTTCCGAAGCACCAAACGAACCGGACACAAATACCGGGGTCGATCGCCCAGAGGTCTCATTTTTACCCCAGGAAGATGTGCCGGGCACTTCCACTGGAGCATCTATAGCGCCAGGTCGTTTCTCACACTCCGAACGATCAACTCTATTGACGCCGTATGGATCTGATGTCTCTTTTGGTAGAGCTATCCGTGGGAATGACAGTCATGGGATGAATCGAAAAACCGGACATTCAATTCCTCCGTGGATTGATCCTTTAGGATCAGGTACACGTATGCTTTTCTCTCATTGTAAGCTACCTATCATTCCCTCGCGGGCTTCGCGATGATGGATCAACGACTTACCAAGATATTAGTTGCGATGCAAGTAGCACCTGTTATGGTGATCTTGGACGATGTTTCCAATGGGTACCGGGATGTACTATTGCCACTAGCCTGTGAGGACAAACTCTTACAGCGCGCTATCTGTATTGTGGCAACACAACACTTGGCTTTACACAATTCGCACTACAAAAGTGCTGTAGACCAATCTCGAGCAGCTGTGATATCTCAGCTCCGCAGAGACTCATTGCAGTCATCACCAGATCGTATATTTAATGTCTCGACGTGGGCTACATTGATTGTTCTTTTAGTAGGTGAAACTATAACAGGAAGCTCAGAATGCGGTCATATGCTCCAAACGTTGATTTCGTTAGCCCGGAACATCGGACGCGCAACGCCGTCTGGACTGACTCATTTTCTTCAGCAACAAACTCAAATGTATGTGTCTGTTAGTGCAGAGAAAACTGACTTAGCTAACTTCACTTTAGGTTCGAACTTCTTGGACAGCCGTTGCTCGGAACCTTTCAAGGAGGTGATTCTCTGAATCTACCGGTTGAACAATACCTCGATTGGACATTTTATAATCTCCCTCCCACTCTGAGCACAATGACCTTCTTCATTTATCTAGGTTGGCGTTCATGAAAGCATTTCAAATATACATTGGTCGCAAAACTACCAATGGCGACCAATGGGAATTACTTGAAAGTTTGACTCAGCTTGTCGCTCAAATTGATCCCGACCAGATGGGATCACACGCTCTTGTCTGGGTTTGCTTTATCGGAGCGGCCGACAGCACTGATCCGGCACACAGGAGGTTCTTTACAGACCGAATGAATAGTATCTATGTCAAGACTAAGTTCCAAAACATTGCTGCTGGGATGCAGTCATTGCCTAGAATCTGGTCGCAACAGGGGTCTGGAAGATGGACGGAGAACTTGTTCCGGCTAGCTCCTGCATTGGTGATATAAATGCGACTTTGCATCGATTATCCGACTTACTCTATGATCTTGATGGCGAAGTCTGATTCTCTCATACGATGCTATCGTCAAAGACAAAATAATACATGGAACCGACATATTAAACAACGATCTCTTTTGGCCAACGTCCAAAAGTGAACTGCGAATTACACATATTGGTCAATTCCCAACTCTCCGCACCAAGAACTGCCGGTGTATTCTCGTCCTCTTCATCTCCTGCAGCACCGACCACGAATAAAGCAGCCATGAAGTGGTCGTCCGTGGCATGTGCATCTCGGAAACGTGGGTGCTTCATCAGCCTCGTCATAGCACGACGCAATTGCACACCGGAGGTCTTCGTAACAACATCTTCGAAGGCCTGTCGGAACTCCATGGCCCAGTCCTCCGGAGGGGTCTCCATCGCAAAGTTATCCCGGAACCGCATCATGGGCGCCCACCGATTCCGATACAGGTTGTGCACCGCACCTCCAGTTCCAATGAACAGGTAATTTTCCCGCCGGAGGGGACGCAGCGTGGCACCGATCTTCATGTGGAAATGGGGATCGTAACGAGCATTCGCTGAGACCAAAGTTGTCGGTGGACAACCACCCGGGAACATGCGGATGAGAATGAGATATACATCGTGAATCCAATCAAATGCCGCGTTGCCGCTGACATTGAATCCTTCGCTAGCAAGCATCTTTATGCACCGCTCCGTTGTGTCCAGGTCCGGGTTCAGCTTGTAATTCTGGTACTTGTCCGGATGGACGTAGGCCACGGGGCTCTTGTCTGGGTTTGGATTTGTTGCAAGCTCAATCTTGTCGCCCATGCAATCCCAATGGGCTCCCTGTGAACTATCAGCTGTGTTCACGTCCACTTCGATGTTGTGTAGCTTACCATAATGACGACTCCCTTGATATTACGGGCCAATGCCTCATCTCCGCACTTCTTCCAGTAGTCTGCGCTCTCGGATTCCTCTCCGAGCATCATGGTCGAGCCATGGGAGAAAAAGTGAACTGGCGTGAGACCTGTTCGAGTTAGCAAGTACATTTGTGGCAAGTAGCGTGTGATGTACCCATATTGAGGAGGAAGTGCAATGCAACAATTCCCACTGAATTCCGGTGGATTTTATAAGTTAGTTAAAATACAGTCGAGGAATTGCAGAGATTAATTAGTCTCAATCATTGAACTACGTGAATGCCTCCTGGTCATTGCTGTCGGGTATGTTCCCCCACATCCCGACCGTGGCGATTCTAACGCCCAATTCGATCTAGTCTCCTATATTCCCTTCAATTCTACCCTTTATTGTACCCTTCAATTTACCCCTCACTCCAGCATTGCACAGGGAAGAATATGTAAGCCGGTAACAATAGCGAATCATCTTTTGAATATAAGAGTTGCGTGTAAAATCCGGGGTACAATTTAGAAATTTTGTGGAGTATGCGGATAAGCCCGGAATATCTCCCCCTGAACAGGTCATTTGACTCGCTCAAATTCCAATTTCAAGTCCGTCTATGCACAAACTGAGGTACTAAATATGATTGAATATCGTTGTTGCTCGTAGGTGTACTTTTTGCGGGTTTTGGTGGCGTCGATCCTCAACTGCCGGATCCCCCAGATCTCCCTCTTCCCACTTCTTCACTTCTCTTCTCCTCGGGCTCTCCTTAGCATTCTCATCTCTCCTATGGTTATCATCGCAAATGGGCCCAGATCATGCTCACCAATTCACCACCGAAATCGGACCGTCCCGACAGTTCTCCAACAAAAACCAAGGACGGCTACTTCCAGTGTGGTTTCTGTAAACGGCACTATAATCGAGCAGACCATCTCATCCGCCATGTGCGCTCTCATACGAGAGAAAAACCATATATCTGCGACGTTTGCGATAAGGGCTTCGCCCGACCGTCAGTGTAACCTAGCAAGGCATGGCATATACAATTAGTTGATTTGTCTTATAGGGATTTGTTGAAACGCCATGCAGCGGGCCATGCCAATGAGCGTGACAGAAAGCGAAAGCGCAGTTCATCAGTCGCTAAGCAAAGCAGAGTATCACAGGCATGCAAATCTTGCGCATCTTCAAAATTGAAATGCGACGAAGACAAGCCCTGTCGGCGATGTCGGGAGCGCAACATGGCTTGCGATTGGCAGGATGTCTCTCAGGACTCATCACCAGAACCAATACAAGACAATATGCTGGACACGCCAGCAGCAAGCAATCTGCCTTTAGAATTGATGCCCTCGCCTTCTATGGCTTTTTCGCCAATGCCGACACCTTTAGATGAGTTCACATCGGCCAATGCTTTGATGAGCCCTGGCGTCGCTCTCCAAAATGCAATTGTCTCTCCGATTGGGAACATCGGAAGTGATCAGTTGCCCATCGATAGTGGAGGTAATATCAAATATCAACACCCGACTAGCTAGAGTACCACCAGCTGACAGACGAGCAGTATCACCAAACGACCATGAAAGTGGTATCTTCAGTATTGACGGCACTTTCTTCCCCAATTTCATCCCAGACTCCCTAATCCCATCCCTTGCACGCTATAATGACCCAGACCCCTCAAATTCTATGCCTGATTACGTCCATTATGGCGCTCTCGACAACTTCCACTTCGACCTTACCCTCACAGACGGTGATTTCGGTCTCATCGACTTTTACAACTCACAGAGCATGATTTCCAATTTCCAAGTCCCCCAACATAATGACCGATATGATACTGATAGCGGCATTGGAATCGGCGCAGAAGCATACCACCGATCATCATTCTCTGCATGGAAACCCGCGCGCGAGGATCACGCCTTCGACGACCATGAGAACTTGTCAGTACCGCAAGTGATGGATAGCCCCGAAACCAACATCTCGTCCGAAGGGCCTGTTCTATGTGATAGGCTATCATCTAGTAGCCGCGACCTCATTCTAAGTATGATTTTGGAAGTCAGTCGGGAGGCGAACCTGAGTCGGATCTTGAAGTCTTTTCCCGGGACGGAGCTGCTAGATGGCTTGATCCAGCAGTATTTTGAGCACGAGAAGCACCAAATTGGGACTTTCATTCACATGCCAACTTTCCAAACGAATAGCGAGGACCCTGGGGTTCTTGCTAGTCTGGCAGCTGCTGGGGCTGTGCGCTCGCCCAACCCAACCATTCGAAAGCTTGGATATGCATTGAATGAGGGTGTGAGAATGCATCTTCCGTCAAAGGTAACATATACTATGCTTTCATCGAACCCTTGTCAAAAATGCACTGACACGTGTGCAGTACGAAAGAGATAATACTTTTATTCGTGATTTGCGGACATCACAGATCTACGCGTTGACTATTGATATCGGTATCTGGAGTGGGAACCGACGAAAGACCGAGATTGCCGAGAGTTTCTCGCAGCCACTAATTACAATGCTTCGTCGCGCATTGCGTTTCCGTCGCTCAGTCTATTCTACGATCGTACCACTTGCAGAAGATAAAGGCCATGTTTTGGAGACGAAGTGGCGAAATTGGGTTGATCAAGAATCTTTCAAGCGGCAGGTCTTACCCTATTGTTGTTTGTAAGCATCTACTGACGTTGAATCCCCAGGCTGGTCTATTATATTTTCCTACACGACTCCCAGACAGCCATGGCTCTGAACGTAAACCCGGTCATCTCATATGCAGATATGGAGCTCCCACTACCTGCTTCACGTCAATTATGGGATGCTAAGTCCGCTACCGAATGGAAAGGCCTTTTCCGCACAACAGTTCCAGAACGTCTACCATCGCTAGCCGACCTACTGCGTGACATGTCACAATTATCAGTAATCCAGGAACGGATCGATACTCAATTCGCAGCATCAGTGCTAGTCCACGGCCTATCGGCACTGGTAAATGAATACCACAGACTCAAATTCATTTCCAGCAGCAACTCCAAACATTGGCACGCTCTTGTCACTAACTCACGCCAACAAGAGCTCGATCAAGCCCTGCAGCATTTCCGCATGGTCTGCTCGGAATTACACGTCCAGTGCCGCCCCGAGATTATGCTGGTATGCGAAGTTGTTTCAATGCTCCTCTACATGTCGCTCGAGGAACTCCAGCTCTTTGCTGGTAAAGAAGATAAACAAGAGGCACGGCGTGTGTATCACTCCGCCCTGGACTGGATCGTAAGTCCTGATTCCCGACGAGCGGTCTGGCATGCTGGCCAGGTCATCCGTGCCGCCCGGACTATGCCCCCAGCTTCTTTGACGGGATTCTCGGCAATCGGGGTCTACTACGCCAGCCTTGCCTTCTGGTCATATAGTGTAGTTTCCAAGGCCAATACAGCAAGGCTCACGGGAAGTCCGAATTCTCAGCTGTCGAATACTGGATCGACTGTCTTTCTCGATGGCGACCAGGGGCCTAATATTTCCAAGTTTGTGACCCTCGGATGTGGGCTTCCCGCCTTGCAAGGGGCCGGAGGAGCGGTTTATTTGGTCGATCCAGCGAACACGATGAGACTGGCGCAGGCAACGCTTCAGCTGGAGCCGTCAGAGAAGACACCTGCTTTGGTGCAGATGCTTACTCAATTGATGGGAGATCTGGGGAATTGCGTGCGTGTATGACGTTGACCATGATGTTGGAGCTTTAATATTGTGAATGTCTTAATATGATACCCATTTTCTCGTCTGAGCCTGCTTGTGTATTGTCTTGAAGCCTGTCAAGTTTGATCAGATGGCCCCCTTTGCTTTGGGCTCGCTATGTATGCAAGCAATATTCTGGGCAAGGAAATCAAGCGGAATGAATACTCAGCAACAATACTCAGCCGACATAGAAAATATGTTAGATCGGGTGGTTCAAATTATCGTCTTGAATACTATTGACGATTCAGGGAAAGTTAAAATAGCGAGGGCAATCATAGCGACGGCAACCACAACGAATCCACTCATCCCACGGCGATTAATAACATTCGAATAGAGACCAACTAGCCCCCACATACCGATCCACCTGATCTCCACGCAGCACCCGAATTTGGCGGGGAAGCTTTCGAGATCGGAATCGGCGCCGAGGCCGAACGTCGCGCGCTGCCATGTTGCAGTTGCTCAAGTATACATAAAAAAGAAGGTTGTTTGCTATACTGGATTTCAACTGTCAATCAGCTCCTTGTTGCAAACCCCGAAACTACTACGCCTCTCTCGCTACCATGGTTCTACGACTGAAAGAACAAAACCACTCAAGCGCCAGCTCTGCTCCGGTCATTGACACCCCGAGTATCGTGCGCTGTGTCATCGATGATATTCGCGCGAATGGCGATGCTGCTGTGCGAGCCTACTCTGAGAAATTCGACAAATGGAGTCCTGCCAGCTTCAAGCTCTCCCAGAAGCAGATCGACGATATCATTTCCACTGTTCCACAGCAGGTGCTTGACGACATCAAGCAAGTTCAAGAGAATGTGCGAACCTTTGCACTCGCGCAAAAAGCTTCAATCAAGGAATTCGAGATGGAGATCCGCCCCGGCGTGTACCTGGGACAAAAGAATATCCCGATCAACTCGGTTGGCGCGTGAGTGTATCTTGTTCTTGCGAAAAACTGTTCGCGCGCTGACAATGCTCTATCAATAGATATATCCCTGGTGGTCGATACCCGCTTCTTGCATCTAGCCATATGACGATCCTGACTGCTAAGTGTGCCGGCGTTCCCCATGTCACAGCCTGCACCCCTCCGATCGCCGGGAAGATTCCCGCCAACACGGTCGCCGCGATGCATTACGCCGGCGCCGACGACATCTACATCTTGGGTGGTGTGCAGGCTGTCGCGGCGATGGCGATCGGCACAGAAACAATGAAGAAAGTGAATTTTATTGCCGGACCGGGGAACTCATTCGTTGCTGAAGCAAAGCGTCAGCTTTTCGGAGAAGAAATTGGTATCGACCTGCCTGCCGGGCCCACCGAGGTTCTGATCGTCGCCGACCAACACGCTGATCCCTTTACTGTCGCGACCGATCTCTTGTCGCAGGCCGAACATGGATACGATACGCCCGCTGTTCTGATTACCACTTGCAAAACCCAAGGAGAGAAGACACTCGCTGAGGTCAAGCGATTGTTAGAAATCTTGCCTACCGCTGATGTGGCTGGGGTTTCCTGGGAAAAGCTTGGAGAGGTCATTGTGGTGGAGAACTTGGACGAGGCCTACAGGCTGGCCGATGAGTATGCGTCAGAGCATGTGCAGATCTTGACGCAGGAGCCCCGCGAAGCGCTGGCGAAAATGTCAAATTACGGTGCATTGTTCTTAGGCGAGAAGACATGTGTCTCATATGGCGATAAGTGCATTGGAACCAATCATGTTCTCCCCACCCGTGGTGCTGCACGTTATACAGGGGGTCTATGGGTTGGCAAGTTCCTCAAGACCGTGACTTATCAAGAAGTGACTTCGTCGCAAGAAAGTGGAGAACTCGGTCGGCTCTGCGGGAGAGCAGCGCGCGCCGAAAACTTCGAAGGGCATGCTCGTTCAGGCGATGTTCGAGCTCATCAGTATTTAAGCGATAAATTCGAGTGGATGTAGACCTGCGATGGCTAGTATGTAGTTAGGTACTCGTTAGTTACAAGAATAGTACAGTTAGGGCTTTGTGATCTTCAAGTGGCGAAAAATTCTTATTTTTGCTTATCGCGGATTCTGGTTTCCGCCATCCACAAGCAAAATTGACCGTCAATTTGTTTAAATTCACTGCTAGTGACGTTGAGGTCTCCACTAATTGACAATTCATCAGAATTTTTCACGATAACATGGCGTTCTCTGTTTTTCTCATCTACTTAAGACCTGAAGTCGCTCACATCCAACCTTGACGAGTGCTTCAGACAAAATGGCACCAACTATAGAACCAGAGATCGACAAGAAGGGCTTCCGCGTTGAAGAGGAAGAATTAGGAACACCGGATTCATCTCTTACGCCGGTTACAACCCACGAGACTAGAAGGAGAGCCAACTCTCACCAGGCAGAGGCGTTTGAAAATGTCGCTGAGTTGCATAAAGTCCCCACCACGAGGACCCGTCGGGACTCGCACATGGGAGAGGCCCTTGAGAATCTGTCGCGAACGCTTTCTGTCGATGTCCATGCCGATGGCGACTATGAATTGGACAGTGTGCACTCGCGCCGCATGGAAAGGAGCGGCACACGCCGTTCAGCCAGGTTTCCCTCCCCGTCGAGGATGTCTGATCTCGAGGAGGAGGGTGGCTCTCCGTCTGAGTCGAATTCCAAGTCCCAGGGTGTACCCTCTGAACTTGGCAGCTTTACGGCCGAAGTCATCTTCATTCTTGTTTGTTCGGCTGGTCTGCTGTTGTTCTCCTTTTTCCTTGGTGACATTACGGTCAATCAAGAAGAGTGCAAACGAGCGCTAGGAATCAGCAACAGTGAACTGCCCTGGCTCATGGGCTCTTTCACTCTCCCTCTCAGTCTTTCGGTAGTCATTTCAGGCTCTTTGAGTGACTTGACTCCTCCAAGGGCGTTGATGATTGGAGCTTTTGCCTGGCTGACCATCTGGAACGTCGTGGGTGTGTTCTCTGTAACACCAGAGAGAGCAATACTTTTCTACATTGTGCGCGCAATGCAGGGACTTTCCGTGGGAGTTTTGGTCTCCGGCTCAATGAGTATTTTGGGGCGGGTGTACAAGCCCGGTCTTCGCAAGAATCGTGTCTTCTCTGCGATGTCCGCAACATCGCCCTTCGGCTTCTGGCTCGGTGGGATCCAAGGCGGTGCTTTGAAATCATATCTATACTGGATCTTTGGGTCAAACGCCATCATCTGTGCTCTTTGCCTCGTCGCCGCCTGGTTTACTATGCCCTCGCTCCGCCCAGTTGCTGATATTGCCGGTGCGGATGCGCCCAGCATTCGCGATTTTGACTTCCTCGGAGCAAGCTTCATTGCCACGGGCTGTGTGTTTGTGCTATTCGGCTTGACACAGGGCTCGGTTGTCCAGTGGACTCCGTATACATATGCTTTGATTATTGTTGGTGTTATCCTGGTTATTTCGTTCTTCTTTATCGAGCGCTGGGTGAAGCGCCCTCTCATTCCCAATGCATTATGGAAAATCAAAGGTTTTACGCCATTGATGATTGCTTACTTCATCGGATACGGAGGCTTCCAGGGTGGCTGGCAGTTCTACGCCGTTCAATTCTGGCTTCGGATTCAGGGAAACACCCCACTCACCGTTGCCCTCTACCTTCTACCCAATGCCATCGTGGGTGTGCTGGCGACCTGGGTTGTCAGTCGAACACTCCATATCGTTCCAGGGCATTATATCTACCTCACCGCGATGGTGGCCTTTGCCATGGGCCCTGTTTTCTTCCTCCCGCAAACCCCTAATACACCGTATTGGCCGCTATCTCTCCCGGGCGTGGCCCTCGTCACCTTCGGCCCAGATCTCTCTTTTGCTGCAGCGTCGATTTACATCACTAGCAATGTTCCACGCTCTTATCAAGGCAGCGCAGGCAGCTTGCTAGTGACAATGCAGAACCTGAGCTCGGCTGTCATGACGGCCGTCGCAGATGCAATTGGCACGCAGGTTGACCAAGGTGTGGATGGTGATATTGGTTTGAAGGGCATTCATGCCATTTGGTGGTTTGCATTTGCGTGCGAAGTTGTTGCGGCGTCGATCACACTATGCTGGGTCAGGATTCCGAAGGAGGAAGAAAAGGAACATGTTACCTGAGTATGAGGCTATTGCTTTATAAATCAGTGCAACGTTACGACATTATCATGACTGTGCTTTTTGCTTGTGTTGATCGCGATTTGCCTTCTAGGCTCCATAGACTTGCGTGCTAATCAGCTTTGCTCGTGCCCTTTTCGGTATATGATTTTGGCTCTTAGACTTGATTAGAACGGTTCATTCATTCAATACCATTATAGATCTCATTGAATCGCATGAAGTCCCATTTTCAGAACAGAATAAGGGTAGATTCGGACAAGTTGCCGACTCTTACAGCCTGCAGAAGGATTTTGCAGGCAAGCTCTAATCGGCATACAATCTGATGATTGCCTCCTGAACCAATCAGAGCAAGCGGCAAGGCGTGTAGGGCGCGCTGTGAGGAAGTTCCCAGGGCGTGACGTGGAGAATCCTGAACTATACAGAATACCGATGCCTTCATAGGTGGGAGTAGGGTGATATCATCAATTGTTGGAGGGGATCCTTTTGTTGCTCTTCTCCTCCCTATTATTCCTTTTGTATTCAATCGATATGGGCACTGGATTCAAAGCAATAGTCCATTCTCCCAACTGGTTATGAAGGGAGAGTTGACTGGTGAGAGGGTGGTAGAGGGGGAACATGTGGTATAAGGCGGCTGAATTGGTAGTCATCTAGGTAAATATTTTCTGATTCTACATAGTTGGATAAAAGTTACATACTGAGGTCATGATACAACGAAAAATTACCAAGTTATTAGGTTACAAAGCTACTGTTGAAACGCTATTGTCGCTGCGCTCATGCTGATTGGCCGAGAATATCGGAGTTAAGATTTAGGCTTAATTAGCGCTGTCAGCAGCCTGCATTAGCGTCTGCAGGCCCTTGAGAGGCCAAGGGACTGATAAGACTCCGTCACCCCTAGATTTGGAAGAAGTTGGCTAAATGAAAAAAATTATATATTGGAAAAGGCAGATATGTATCAGGTTCGTGTTTTAAATATAGCGAAATATCAGTTTTTCGCCGCGACGAGCCCGCCAACTATTTGTTGCATTCATCAACTCAGGACACCCTCGAACAACCCATTGCCATTTCTTCAAAAATGACTCAGTCATTTCCCAATTCCGCACGTCCCAAGGCTCCCCCCACACCAGCAACCCACCATCTATCCCCGATTCACCCCAGAACCCCATGATATCATGGCACAACTGTTCATCGTTCCAGTCATCACCGGCTTCAATGAGGTTATCGCGCATCTTAGGCGAAGGAAAAAAATCAAGCCATGGATGGTGGGGTCTAGTTTTCTGAATTCGAGTAGGCTGGAGGTTTATAGGAATGCAACTGAGTTCATCTGGGGTTCGTGAATCTTGTGGTAGGGCTGTGTTGAATCGCGAAATCGCATCATCGGCCATCCAGTACTCCGACCAACCGATCAGTCGTAAGTTTTGCGCAAACGCCCGGAAGACGTTGACTTTGGTCAGTGTCATGAGGTGATCGGCGGTCGGGTTGCCCCGTGCATAGCTTTCAAATGCCGATTTGGCAAAGCGGTCGAGTAGAGCTTTTATGGATGTATGACTACGGCAGAGGCTGGGCTTTTGTTCGTTTGGGGAAGAAGATTGTTGCAATTTGGAGGTAGCGGTAGAAGGAGGCGATGGTATTAGGCTCTTAGGGTGGACATCTTTGGTTGACTGTAATCGCTTGCGTTTGCCTGGAAGCTATTAGCTCGTAATGTCTACATTGGGAAAGAAGCAGCTCACGATATGCCCTTTGGTTGATGCGGTTCTGCCGTCGCCGCCGTTCAGTGGGATCGCTTAGCCCAGACCAGTCGTCCCCCACTTCCAGATCGTCGTCGAGCTTGGAGATAGGCTCGGCGATATTAGGTGTGTGCTCAGTCATTGTGTCAGCACTAATGTGTAATATTTAGCGACGATTTGAAGATGACAATTGCAGAAACGGATATTGCCACATTATGAGGAAACTGAAGTGCTCTTCGCCAAGTCAAGTTCTTGGCGATTCGGAGTTAAGGAGTTCGAGAACGACGTGTTGTATTGTTACAATACAGTTGTATTTAGATTACCACGCAAAAACACTATATTTCAGTCAACATCAATGAGCAGGAGTCAACACTTCTTAGTTATTCTATCTAAACTCAGCGTAGGCGAAGTCGGCCGGTGCTAAGCATCTCTGTCGCTCCCCAAACGCATAAACCCCCAGCATCATGCCAGTAAAATTGGCTCCGACTGGTGGTGTTGCTGTTGCACTTCGGTTCGAAACCGAGGCAATCCAGTGGATATTTGATTCTGTATTTTCTCGATATCCAAATCGGTATTCAGAGCCACAATCAATTGTGAGAACTATGTCTGTTGTAGGTTTCAATCTATGCTCGACGGTATCGCCATCTGATGGTTTGAAACGGATAAAACGGCCGTTCTCGTCCTTGCGAATGCCAAGGGTGCTATGCGTGAAATAATTCAACCAAACCACCGTCCCAGCCTCGGTATGGTATGATGTTGGTTGGAACGATAACTGCGTCTCCCATGTGCAATGGCGATGGGTTTGCTTCCGAAGGAACATCGTTGGGCAGGCTGGCACAGACAGGTTATATGGACCACCATACAGTCGGAGGTGATTAGGACATTCAGCCAGTGAATAGTCAGTGACCAGAGGTGTATCTGCTCTTGGTAATAAGCGTTGGTCAAGCAATTTCCAATGTGGACTCACTCTTTCGATACCAACCCACTTGCATGTCCGAGTTGGAGAATTCATCTCTCCACGCGACAGGATTATCGAACACGTAAAGGCCAGGCCCATGTGAATTCAGGTCAATTTTCTTTCCCCCGTTGATAACAGGCCACTCATCGACCCACTCCAAAGGCACCAAAAATGTCTCTCGTCCTATAACAGTTAGTATGATAGCCAATCACTTCAATTGAAACATACCTAGCACCGATTCTTCCCAACCATTTTCTTGTCTCACAGGACGAACCCCAAGTACAACAGCCCACCACTGTCCGTTAATATCTTCAACCAGGTCGGCATGTCCTGTGTTTTGTACTTCATCCTCGACCCCATTCCGCCACAGAGGATTATTCGGACCAACTTCCCACGGACCCATCGGACCAACCTCACTACGGCTCACCCATTCGCAGTGCCCACTCTCAGTCCCTCCTTCAGCGGTGAACAGATACCAATACCGACCGCGTTTGTAAATGTGGGACCCCTCCGCAACGCCAGACGAAGATTCGCGAATCAACTTCGGCTCAGATGTAGAATGCCCCGTGTTTAAATCAACAGTACATATATGAATCGCAAAATCTTTCAACTTTGCATTGGGGGTAGGCTCAATTTTTCTGTAGGTAGAAGACAGATATACTTTTCCATCGTCGTCCCAGAAAAGCTAGAGATCTTCAGTCATGCTCACATCCAATGGTATTTCGCCACAACTTACATCCTGGTCGAACCCAACTTGATCGAAATAGACCGGATCAGACCATGTCTTCTCATCCCATATGTTCGTTGTCTTGACATAGAACCCCTGCGGCCAAACTCGATCGTCTACCTGCGGGCGATAACGTTGAAAGCTCGCCGCAATGATGTAGTAAACTCCCTCGTGGTGACGGATTGTGGTCGCCCACACGCCTCCGCCTGGCTCAGGCGTGTGAATCTGTAGCTGGCTGGGTCGTGTCAATGCATGCCCGATCAGAGTCCATTTTATCAGATCTTGGCTGTGGTAGATGGGAACGCCGGGGAAGTATTCGAATGTCGAAGTGACTAAGAAAAAGTCCTTGTCGACGCGGATAATCGATGGGTCTGGGTTGAACCCTGATATTATCGGATTGTTGTAGCTCATTGTTGTACGGAAATGGGTGGTCAAGGGTGTTGCGCTCGCTATATATATACGAAAATATCCCGATTGGTGGAGAAACAAATTCCAAAAATACGATTCCAAGTTTGTGGCTGGCTTTGACACAGAGGGCAATGAAGACTTTTGGTTGATGTATTAATGAAACATTGGCATAGAGTTAAACCAAGTAAAGATTCCTAGTATTATTTGGCTTCGAAAATTCGACCCATGAACGCCAGTGCTTGGCTGGGAAAGGCTGTTTTCAACAACCTTGGAAGACATCAAATCATATTTCAAACCAATCAATCCCAAACTCCATACTATCAAGATCTATATTGCCAGTGTAACAGTCTGTCAAACCTAGCTTCCAGGGCTTTCAGTCATCGAATTCTTGTTTAAGCTCAATGTACCTGTTCTCAACGCTATCAAAAGAAAGACTGCTTGATTTTCTCACCCCACGAATGAAAACGATTCAGAGATTTCTTGACATAGAATATTGTAAACAAATCGCACGACCCGGAATCCTACCAAGAGAACATTTGACGAATGCGGGGCGTCATAGCCCCCTCATCTCAACCTGATAACAGCGGACTCATATACGCCAAGGAGATCCCTCCGCATCATATGGATACGAGCTCCAACTTTCACCTACACGTTCAAAATCTGCGATCGTTCCGGTCGCAAGTTCTAAATGAGCGATCTCGATCACACTATGTCAACAGCCTGTATGGTCCAAGAATCGCACGAAGCGAGTCCCATCGCTCTCGAGGCATTGCCGTATGGCCAGCAATCGAACAGCTCTTCGGATCCTCCCGGTGAAAGCTTTCCCATGCTAGAAAAATGGAACCAGTCCCGCACGAACATCCAGCGGACATTTGTAACGTTCTGGTGTTTTATGATCATGGGAGCGAATGATGCTGCCTTTGGTGTGAGTCGACAGCCTGCGAAATTACAAAGGAGATTTGCTAACAGCTGCAGGCTCTTATTCCATATGTAAGGTGAATTCCTGCCATTGGGAGTATATCTTCTCATGATGTGCACTACAGTTGGAGACATACTATCACTTGTCGTACACGATTGTGTCTCTAATATTTTTGTCACCTTTGGTGGGATACACACTCGCTGCTATCCTGAACCATCGAATCCACAATACATTTGGTCAGCGCGGAGTGGCCGTGATTGCGCCGGTGAGCCATCTTATTGCCTATATCATCAGCTGCCTCCATCCGCCGTACCCGGTGCTGGTGGTTGCGTATATCTTCGCGGGAATGGGAAATGGGCTTGAGGACGCGGGATGGAATGCATGGATTGGCAACATGGCTAACGCTAATGAGCTGCTGGGAGTGTTGCATGGGTTCTACGGAGCGGGTGCGGTGATTAGTCCGTTGATCGCAACTTCCATGATTGCTAAGGGTAATCTGCCGTGGTACTATTTCTATTATGTCATGGTGAGTGTTCGTTTCTCATTGTTCGGCACTTGGTTAATAGCTGTATTGTAGGTCGCGTGCGCGGCTGTGGAGCTGGCGGTTTGTGGGGCGTGTTTTTGGAATGCCACGGCTGCTGATTTTATCGCGGCGAATACGCAGTCTGTCGAGGAAAATAGGAAAGGTGGGTTGAGGAACGCTTTGTTTAAGCGCCCCTCGGCTCGAGTGACATGGCTCTGTGCATTGTTTTTGTTGGGCTATGTTGGAGTAGAGGTCGCGCTCGGTGGATGGATTGTGACGTTCATGATCCGAGTCCGACACGGTGATGCTTTTGGCAGCGGTATGACAGCCACTGGATTCTGGCTAGGAATCACGGTTGGGCGAATAGTTCTCGGATTTGTGACCCCACGAGTGGGTGAGAAGATTGCTATTTCGGTAAGTTCAACGCAATATGTGGTAAATGCGACTGACTCGTTCTCGTCAGGTGTACATTCTTTGTTCTATTGCCTTTGCGCTGATCCTCTGGCTTGTGCCGCAATTCTATGCGTCGGCTGTCGCAGTTTCCTTTCAAGGGTTCTTCCTAGGTCCTCTTTTCCCCGGAGCTGTTGTGATGGTCACCAAGCTGCTTCCTCGGCATCTGCATGTCACCTCTATCGGATTTGTGGCTGCATTTGGCGGCAGCGGAGCCGCGATTCTCCCTTTCGCAGTTGGTGTACTGGCACAAGCCAAGGGTGTCAAAGTTCTCCAGCCATTCATTATAGGTTTGTCTGGTGCGATTCTGATTACCTGGCTTGGATTGCCCCGTGTGTCTAAGATCAGGCGGAATGAGTAAATGTCAGATGTTCTCACGTGGGAAAAACAAAGCAGATAACATGTGAAAAAGTCGGTATTTCTTTATCAGATCCGATTCTTTATCGGCTTCTGTGTGCCGTATGCACGATCTTGTACCCTTGTCGCTCTTTAATTGATCTTCACATGGAAGTGTCCCTACATTTGAATTTTAGTGCCGAAAGAAATTATGCTTCACTCTGAGCATAAGTTAAGTAATTTAAAAGGGGCTTTAAACTGGCCCCCTAAAGCAAATGCCAAACAAACATTAAGCAAACATATAATAGCCGAGGTCATTTCATGCTTAAAAATCGATGTATTCGGGGCACGCCGCATAGCGCATGACCTTTTTAATGCCTGAGCCCCCGATCGGAAAAGTTAGCTGATCTCGGGACTCGTTAAGCCGATGCGCCTATACCTACACCGTACATATGTAGATGTTGGTGGGCACCTAAGTCCTCCCCCGCTTCCCCATATCCATATTCGTAACACATTGTGCGGGGGAGTCAACGGAATCCAATTACGGTAGTCAATTCAATTCAAACCGAAGCTATTATAACTATTCAGGACCTTTCCGGGTAGTCGGCGTTCTTCGGGAGACCCCATTGGTGTCATCTGATTGGTCGATCATTTAAGCCGAGGCACTTTCCAAGTTGAGCGACCCTCGGCCATTGAGAACGTCACCGTCTTTACCCCGGGCTTCATATAATCCCCCATTTCCTTTCTTTCCCTTCACTCACACTCCACACTCCACACATTCCCCAATATGCCCACTCCTCCTCCTAATTGGGTCAAGGCCCTCAAGCCCGCAGGCCCGCAAGGATCCGAGCTCCTCGCGAAGGAGCGCGCTGGATCCAACGTGAACGTTGAGAAACTGTCTGAACTACTTCACACCAAGGAATTTTTGGACCGCCAAAAATCCCTCCTGGCTCTTTTGGAGCCCGAGAAGGTTTTTGATAAGTCACAGAACCACTCGCTGGGCCGCGTAGAGCGCCTGCAGCGGTCTCTCGGCAAGGCCAAGCGCCTCCAGCAGCTTGCTGAACAGCACAAGTGGTCCATGGAAGAGCTCCACGCCGCCAATGAGTTGATCGGCGAACCCACCCCCTATGGCTTGCATGCCAGCATGTTCCTTGTAAGTGTTTCGGATCCAACGAGAAAAATCCCACTAACCGTGTTTGTTTCTATAGGTCACCCTCCGCGAACAAGGAACGCCCGAGCAACACAAGCTTTTCCTCGAGCGCGCTCAAAAATACGAGATCATCGGCTGCTATGCGCAAACTGAGCTTGGTCATGGATCCAACGTCCGTGGTCTGGAGACCACCGCCACCTGGAACTCCAACGATAAGACTTTCACCATCAACTCCCCCACATTGACATCCTCCAAGTGGTGGATTGGATCTCTTGGCCGCACAGCAAACCACGCCGTGGTGATGGCCCAGCTGTACATCGATGGCAAGAACTTCGGTCCCCACCCATTCGTTGTCCAGGTCCGTGACCTGGAGACACACCAGCCCTTAGAGAATGTATATGTGGGCGACATTGGCCCCAAGTTTGGCTATAAGTAAGTTTTGACTCACAGTATAGCTTGGATCCATCGCTAATAAGGTCAGTACTATGGATAACGGCTTCTTGCTGTTCAACAACGTTAAGATTCCTCACGTCAACATGCTGGCCCGATTCTCTTCCATTGACAAGGCCACAAACCGCTACTCTAAGCCCGCTATGCCATCGCTGGTATTTGGTACCCTAACCTGGGTGCGATCAAACATTGTTCTGCAGGCCGGTGGTGTTCTCGCTCGCGGTGTCACCATCGCGACCCGGTACTGTGCCGTTCGCAGGCAGTTCCAGGATCGCGATGCAGATGCGCATGCGGGTGAGAACCAGGTGTTGAACTATAAGATGGTGCAGGTCCGCTTGCTGCCCCTCCTTGCTTCAATGTACGCCTTGCACTTCACCGGTCGCGGAATGATGCGTCTGTATGAAGAGAACCAAAGCCGCATGAAGGCTGCCAACTCGCCTGGTCAGGACTCGCGCGGTGCTGGTCCCGAGGAGCTTCGCGCCGGTGCAAACCTTCTTGCTGATCTGCACGCCACCTCCTGTGGTCTTAAGGCTCTCGCCAGTACCACTGCTGGTGAAGGTTTGGAGGTCTGCCGCCGCGCTTGTGGTGGTCACGGATACAGCAGCTACAGTGGAATCGGCCCGTGGTACTCTGATTATCTGCCCACTCTCACCTGGGAGGGTGACAACTACATGCTGACCCAGCAGGTTGCCCGTTACGTATGTCTTCCTCTGCCTAGTTTGCTGTGACCCCCAAACTAACATCATTGCCAGCTTCTCAAATCCGCTCGTGCCGTCCTCGCGGGCAAGCCAGCTGGTAACGATACCAGCCAGATCCTGCAGGCCTACCTCGACCGACGCGACAAGGGCGCCTCATTCGACGTCCTTGAAGAGGATAAGGACATCGTCGCCGCCTTCGCCTGGCGCACCGCCCACCTGACCTTCGAGGCCCTCAAGCACCGCGACGCTGAGCAACGTTCCTGGAACAGCCTCCTCGTCGACTTCTGGCGCCTCTCAACCGCCCACTCCCAGTATCTCGTCGTCAAGAACTTCTACGAGGCCGTCTCCTCCCCTCAACTCTCCGCATCCCTGGACCCCGAGACAAAGGGCCTGATGCACCAGCTCTTCCGCCTCTTCTCCCTGCACACCCTTGAGCGCGAAGCAGCCGAGTTCTTCGCCTCCGGCGCCGTCACCGTCCGCCAGATCACCCTGACCCGCACTACCGCGGTCATGAAGCTCCTCGACGACATCCGCCCTCACGCCGTTCGCTTGGTCGACGCCTGGGCTATTCCTGACTGGCAGCTAGACAGCAGTCTCGGTCGCTACGACGGAAAGGTGTACGAGGATCTATTCCGTCGCGCTAGCGAGGAGAACCCCGTCAATGACTTGACTTTCGACCCGTACCCCTGGAACTCGGCTTTGCTGAAGAATGAGCCTGCGAAGAGCAAGTTGTAGAGTTGTTGATGTGGGATATGCTTTCTTCGTTGTATTTTTTACGTTTCGGTTCGGACTAGACCATAGAGATATAAATTAGATCTCATAGATTGGCCATTATGAAATAAAGAAAGTTCAAAAATCGTTATCCACGTTTATACTTAATAGAATGGTATAGCCACGGTTAACAGCACAACATCGAGCCAGATTCCTTACTACCTGGTATTGGCCATCTAGATAGAGAAGTAGTCTGTAGCGGAAAATACCAGTACCGGCCAGCCTGCCAACCAATATTTCTCACCATATCAAGCCCATTCCAGAACTACTAACTAGTAAAGTGAATCTCATATTGAAATGAATAGGTATATATGATAGCTATAAGCTCGTGTTCGCGAGTATCAGAGCACGATCGATGGTAAAGCCCGTGCAGTAACAGCTATAATATTCCATTGCTTATGCATATCTTAGTTTGTAAGCGAGCTCTTACATCGGCACTTGTGAGTGATTCAAACATTCAGAAAAGACAGTCAAACAAACCAATAGCAGTCAGCCACAAGAGCCATTAACGGTCCACCACACCCTTTGAATATCTGAAAAATTGAATTTTCGTGAGAAGTATAATGTTTTATTCGGGATCTCAATCGGTTCATAAATATTTACACAATACGCAAGTGATCTCAATGCAAGGTGGTTAGGACATGTGTAAATCTGTATGAAGTTGCTGCTATCAATGCTAAAAGATTTGTATTTGCGTAGAGTCTCAGCTTCAGCTTTGCGCCTACGTCCATGTCCTAAACCAACGTGTCCACCAGCTTTCCACCTCTTCCTGCGCCCCATTATCCCGAAGAAACTGAATGATATCCATCTGGCCTAGATCTATTGCCAATTGTAAAGCGGAGCCTTGTAACCGTGTTGACTGAGATTTATACAGTCCTTGATACCAGACATTGACCGAGGCTCCTTTCTCGTTAACCAACAGTCGCACCATATCCACATTCCCAGCATTAATGACCCGAACGATTGGCGCAATGAGACTATAATCAGTGTCCAGCCTGTCACAGCACGGGTACATCGCATGGTCACTATCCTCAAACTCAACAGCGCATCCATGAGCCAGGATGATTCTGGAGATACGGTCATCAACCTGCTCCATACTCATAGACAACGTACGGGTGCGGATGGTTCGCTCTGAGCCTTGCACTAAAAGTTGCACCATCACCTCTTATGACAGCCTTGACTAAAGCTGGTTCCCCTTCCCATCCCACATAGGATCTCGGTCCCTATTCCCAATAGTCATAGCTAGGGAAGCTTGGGTTTGCCCCCTTATTCGAAAACAGTTTCACGGTATTGAAATCTCCAGATTCTACCGCAAGTGACAATGGCGTGTAATTAGTTTGAGCAAAACAACCATTCAGATTCATTTGGAATTCAAGTAACGAAGGTATGAGGTCGTAATTTTTCCTCGTAAAGCAGACTCGAGGCAGCCCCATAGATCAGATGCGGCCCGCAGTCCCTGTGGATCGTGATAGAGAAGCAAATAAAAGATATCCTTGTTGCCTAAGTAAGCAGCAATCTGCATAGGATGATTCTTTGTACCACGGGACCGAAACTGATTTGCCCCTGCAGCGAGTAAAAATTCCACTTGTCGCAGATGCCCATGAACAACAGCTATTGATAGTACAGATAAATCTTGTGAATCTCGCATATTTGGGTCTGAACCCCGTTCTAGCAATAACTTCATTATAGCCTCATTTACGGCTTCGGCTGAAATGCACAACGCATGGGATGGAGTGTATTCAAAATGATCAAAAGTCTTGCGGCCATGACGGAAGTATGGTTCCTTAACGGATGTTCTTGTAGGTTGGCATAAGGCGGGTAATATGGCTCCGTATTCTAGAGCTTTGTTGAAAATCTTCATTTCTCCGGTTCTCGCAGCCCAATCCAAGCCAAGCTTCGAATTGACGCCGCATCTCGCTGATACAGGAGCGGCTTGAAGATAAAATATAGCCGGTGATTCACTCTGGCTAGACCTGCTAGTGACTGAAGCGATGTAACATACTCTGCCAAGTGGCTAAGCAACTCGGTTGGGAGATTAGATAGCGACATGTTTGTAACTAAATTTCAGTTAATAAATGGTTAGATGGAGGATTTTGCTGGTTCTTTCTCTGGAGAGAGAGAGAGTGAGATGAAGAGGGGCGACGAGGGGCAAGAAGAGCCGAAGACTATGCCTAAATAAGCGTAAGATTGAATCAACCTCGCCTCTACAACTTAGCGGCCCGAGTGACCCACTTCTCCACAAGTCAAATCTCTTGGAGTCCCACGGAAATCGAATATACTACGGTATAGCGTCGCTTTCAAATTAGCCTCGGCATACGACCCCAACCGGTTCCTGCATATCTCAACTGCCTCGAGGCGCAGATGAACGATTGACACTATACTACTTCTTGCTTCTTTTCAAACTACCGATCATATGATTGCGGACGCCACCCATTAGCTTATAATTTCATGATGCATTATGCACATCCGTTTGTCAGCATGTTTATGTTTGCCATGTCGACCATGTTCATATAAATAAGCATTCAGGCGAACGTTGAGACGGAGCCACGTCCTACCTGCTACAACTGGTATGGGTATTCGTGTAAATTTAAAAATTGACTTCAATGGTGTTGTATAGATAAATAACTGCCGACGTTGATACCACAAATTTTGACTCCTGTCACCATCAACCAGAAATTAATTCAATTTCTTTTCATCCTCGTTGATTTTTATGGCGGAGTTCGGGACGGGCTAGGTCTCGCATATTCACATTGATCCAGAGGTTCAGCTGAATTCTATTTAGCGAGTCATGTACCTGCAGTCCTGGTAGATGGATTGAGTCTAGGTATGCCGTACTCCGTATCGAAGTCACGATTTCTCAGTCATTTTTCTATTTTTGTCACCACCCACAACCTAAGACCCTTACTGGTATTAATCACGAGATAGCTTCACTCTTTCTCGATAGCATCTTTGAAATCATTTAGGAAGCGCCATCTCCCTCTGTTCTTCAGATCGGCCTGTCGCCAATCATTGAGATTCTTATGTGGGAAGAACCATCCTCCATCATCATCCTCCTCGCCCGTGAATATAGGCAAGAAAGTATGGTCATGGGCCAACAGAACCAAGACCCGCTCATCGGCATCAAATTCGGTCAACCCTTCGACTGTGCGAATGCACTCATCGAAATTGAGGGTGTACTGCTTAGATGGCTTGAAAAACGGGTCTTTCTTTCCGGCATGATGTCCCAGTGAGTCGAAGAGATGGCCTGGGCAGATACTCCCAAATCGGGGGTGGGAGTGTAGCGGGGAGGGCTTTACAGTCTCTGGCATAGGTGTATACTTGGAAGGTCGAAACTCGCCGGGATGGTGGGCGAAGTCCTATATCATGGTCAGCTTTGGTTCTTCGAGTCCTATGAAATAAAAATATATGGTACACACCGCACCCATCAGAACGAAGGAATCTGACTGTACTCTGGCCAAGCCCGCTAGATGTTCTGCAGTGTGGCCGGGGGTATGTAACAGATAAAAACTTCCATCCCCAAACCAGTCCACCGCAGGAAAGTCCCCGACCTTCAGGCTCTTCTCGTCGAACTTGATTTCCCGCAGCGTGCGGCCTTTCCAATCGTCTGATTTTACTGGGCAATCATCTCCCTCTGGCCATCCCGGAATGAAGCTGCTTTTGAAACCAGGTCCCACCACCAGATCGGTGGAGCTTGGGAATAAGGATGGATCGCCAGTGTGGTCGAAATGATGATGCGACCAGATGATGGCGTTTATATCGTCCAAAGGTACCCTATTCTCGACTAGAATGTCGGAGACGCTGTGCGGCGAATGTATCTTCCAGCCGCTTTTTGCGGTGTTCGTGCATGACTCGGCAAATGTTGGCGCGAGATTTCCGTAATCAGATCTGATGGACAGATCGAATAGGATACGCTGACCGGATGGATGCGTTAGAAGAAAAGAATATGAGGGTACTGCTAGACGGTCATAGCCTTTTATTCCAGGCGTGATGAATTGCTGGGCTGGGAATTCTAGACGGGCGCCTCTATATGCTGTAAGAGCTGATGTATAGGACTGAACGTGGGAAGGAACCTACGAATCGATCAGGGACACCTCGACGGTGTTTGGGGATTGCGGTAGGTTAAGTACCATTCTGGGGGAACAAATTTAGTGTATGTCAAATCAGACATGGAAGTCTCAACTATGAGAGAGCTGGAATATATAACCTCCTGGGATCCATACGTCATTGATCTCTCTCTACCTTGCTCGCCGATTCATGAAGCATAATGCCGACTGGTAGATGCCGAGATTGCCGAGAAGCCCAGTCCTGATCTCATTGGAGATTGCTATTGGCTCCACTCAGAGCAATAGGTCAACGATAATATTAATGAAGAGGAATGCTATTCGATCAATGTAAAATCGATCTGCCCACAGATACAGAGCCCTAAAATCAGGGAAGTATGGCACGCGCCGTGTCGCACGTTGCAGTGGCTTCTGTAGATCAAGACTATAGGGGAATGATAATTTGCACACTTGATTACCTAATTAGTAAAGAGGAAAGGCTCCATCCAGAACTCTTATTTTAACCCCACAGTTGGGGTCTGCAGACAACATCGATCCAACAATGGCCGCACCACATCTACTTCGAGCATTTTGAACTATAACCACTATGGATCGTAATCATCAAACCAATTCAAATCAAACGGCCAATCTACGCAGTTCTAAAGCATGGTCCTTGACAGTTGCGAGGGCCACAGACCGCTTCCGGCAAAGAAAAGATTACCAAGCCGGAACCTGGGACGCAGGTTCTCGCGCAGAAAATAATATCATCCGAGTAATACAAGGATTGAATCTCGGTTTCGAGCCAGGTCAGGAGATACTGAATGGATGAGAAACTAAAGGAATCCTGAATTGAGTAGAAGTAGGTTGTATATCAGATCTAGCTCCAGACAAACAAAACAATATGCGCATTTGCAATCATTCAGCCACCTTAATACAAACTTTGCCGATGTGTGATCCCGACATAGCATATTCATAGGCTTTCACAACATCCTCCTGTGTAAAAGGGAACTCCTTATCAACTGGTAAACGCAGTCCCTTGCGAGCGACAAATCGGACGAGATCTTGAAGGAGCTGAGTGGAACCAACAGTGATACCTCGAACAGTGGCGGCCTTGGCAAGTGCCATGCTGGCAACGTCAGGCATCTTGGACTGTTCCGCTTGAGAAAGGAAGCCGATCACAGACACATTTCCACCCATTTTGATCGAGTTGATGCTCTCTGCGATAGTTCCGGAGCGTTCTCAAGAACAAAGTCCACACCTTCTCCTTCGGTCAGCCTCATGACCTCCTTGGACCATTCTGGGTGCTTCTTATATCTAATACCATAATGAGCCCCAAACTTAGACTTCACCAATTCAAGCTTCTCATCGCTGGATGATGTCACGATCGTGGTAGCGCGAGCAGCCTTCGCCAGAATCAGTCCAGTGATGGCAACACCTCCAGTTTCTATATATTAGGTTAAAACTAGATAGCATATCGGTAAATGATAGAACTCTACCTTGACAGAGCACAATTTGACCCGGTCTAAGTGGGACAGAACCGTAAAGGGCGTTCCAAGCAGTCACACCGGTACAGACCAAAGTCGACCACTCGGAGAAACTTTGGGGGGACTCTTTCGGAAATTTGACGGTAGCGGAAGCCGAAAGAGAAAATTATTCACGGAGAACGCCATCAACGGGGCCTCCTTGGCCATTCAGCCAATCCGATTGCTGACCGAAGAGGTTGGTAGGATCAGATGTTCCCACAACATGATCTCTTACAGCAAGCTTGCTGACGCCGTCACCGACCTTGGCAACGATACCAGCAGCATCCGAGAAAGGAACGGTGTTGTCCTTAACGGGAAATGGATTCAACGATGTAGCCACCCTAAAATCCCGTATATCAGGGAGACGCTGTGAATTTTGATCAACACTTCATGCTTTGAGGGCTCTGGAATAGCCTCTTTGAAGGCTTTTGGGCTTTGGACGGAAGTTCGCTCCCCTTCGATGCGGATCACAGTCTGTAATATGTTAAACGATTGTGCCAACGAATGGGAAATGATGAATGGATTTAGAGGGACTAGAGTTTTCAGAGTTAAATAAAGAGTTCGGATATTGCGCTAGTTTTATAGCCTGTCTGATTGTTGGATTTACGCGCGGATATGTAATCCAGTCGCTGCTCATAAAATGACATGATTCATACACTGCAAGAAGTGAGATCCGTGCAATCATCAGAGCGGAATCATCAGAGCGGGTCTTTTCTCCATGACCTTGGGTACCGAACTCTAATCTCTAACATCGTTCCAAACGAATATCCGACCCCACACACACCCCACAGCTTAGTTACTGCTGGGCAATTCTTTGCGGATTATTTGATCGATGGTGGCTGGCCCCGCTGTAATTTTGAGAGTACCATACTATTGGGGTGCGAAATCAATCAGTGACAAAAGAAACGCCATGTTTGTATTGATGTTTGAGAAAAAGAACCCGCAACTGATCACTTTGCGTAATTAGCATTTAGCGTATCGAATCTTTAGCATAGTGATCGCTTGGCCTATAAGTCATGCATGATTGGACTGATGTAAAATAGATTGATGAAGCAACTATCAACAGTGGACAAGTGAGGGTGAAGATGCAGCTCCGGGGGCATGATGGAATGATCAACGACCAAGTGGTTCAAAATAGCATTTTACGTTATACTAGCTCCAGCTAGCTGGATTCGAAATCGCTCCATGGGATAGCATCCAAGCAGGCGACTTCTCCTTATCCTCTGATAATGAATGGCACATACTTATGCAACCCCTCTCTTGCGGAACAGTATTGGGATAGAGAGATCGGGGTGGGGCCCATTGGCCATGACTTGATTCTCCGGTCGACCTTCACCATCACGGAGGCGAATATCGTAATTCTGTATGATATGTATCATAATGATCTTAATTTGCTGGTCGGCAAGATGTCGTCCAGGGCACGCGTGCTTTCCGTGACCAAAGTGCATCGCCTCGACAGTAGTGCTAACAAATTGATACCGGTCCGCATTGCCAGTCTTTTCACGCAGCCGAGCGAAGCGGAATCCATCAAAAACTTTCGGCTGATCATAGTACTCTATATCCAATGACAGGGGCTTTGCCGCGGCGGCTAAATGTGTACCACGTGGCAACACAGTCCCATCAGAAAGAGTGATAGGAGCCGATAATCCGCGTGCGAAAGAGGTGGTATTGAGCGGGGAAAATCGCGCGCTCTCCTTCAGGAAAGAGTCGAGCTTTCGTAACTTCAAAAGGCCATTCTTAGACAGAGATCCTATGGTACGATCTCCATCGAGGACGCTGGAGATTTCTTCACGAAGCGGTTCAATATATTCTGGTCGTGCGGCGAGATCAAAAAGCGCGTTCGTCAATGTCATGGAGGTTGTGTGGGTCGATGCCATCCCAATGATGAGCTGATTTCGGGCTTGGAAGTCAATGTCACCACGCAGGTGCGGCGGTGAATATTCCATCACAAGGGCCAGCAGATCGCGAGGAATGGGTTTGCCAGAAGCAGCCAGCTGCATGCGCTCATCAATCAGTGGCTTGATAATATCCCGCATTTTTAGGTATGAGTCGCGACAGCGAGAGATTGCCGGAGTGAAGTATTGCATCAACGGTCTGAGCCAGATTGGATATTGCAACAAAGCCGCAGCAGCGTCGAAGCAATTGCTGGTGAAGGTGATGCTGCATTCAAGAAAGTCAGGGGTCCGCGCTAGGTCTACAATTCCCAGAGTCCAAGGAGTTCAGTCAGTTATGACGGCGCAGGTATCATCAAGGGCTAGCCTAGGTTACTTACCTGGACCGACGACATAAGCTCCTGCAACTTGTGCAACGATCTGCACCATGGTCTGAACGGGAAGAATGGGCGTCCATTCTAGAATATTGAGTCAGAAAGTACAGCTCACCTCTGAAACACAGGAGTAAGAGATAAAGAGCGGGCTAACCTTCTGGGTGCCTGATGTGAATTTCAATTCCTAGGGCGGCCTCATTGCGCATCAGCTCCACAATTCTAGCTAGAGTCTAATTAGTAACGCAATTCAAATGCTACATGTTGAATGAGTCCATAATTGTCTTACCAAGATGCTTTGTGAAAACATCCCTGACAGCAGGAATAATAGCAGCATCGGCTGAGCCATCTAGAGTCCCCATATAGGTATATTGCGGGAGGAATCTCTATAGGCTACGTTAGAGACCGTGGCAACTTGAAACGAAAATCACAGTCATCATTGTTTTCGCCGGGTATTGCTTGTCTCTTACAACATCTCCCTCTGGTTTGAAAGTTGCGTGAGGGTGGGTCTTGAGCTCATCCACGAACTTGGGAGGAATGATAAGAACATCGGCATGGGGTTGTTCGACTCGATAAAACCTATTTTTCAACTGCAGAGAAATTGATTCCAGTAAGCTTTTACTTCTCTGGCTCCCAAAGATGATAGGGGTAAATTTCTTCCCTACTCTCTCATAGTTGTCCATTATGGTTTTTTCAAGATGCGGAGCAGCGGCCACTCCATGAGGCTGGCGGAAATATGGCTCCTTGTAGGGGTACTGCCATTTCTGAGTCACAAACCACCCTAGAAAGACAATTAAACCAGTCATGGCTGCAACTAAAGCTGTTCCAGCAGGAAGTTTCGATGAGGCATCAGAGGCGAGAAACTTAGCCATCAAAGAATGAACAGCCATTTCGAAGCAACAAAATTGAGAATTTGGAGAAATATGATTCCTAATACGTGGTTTTTCAAGAGACCTAGAAAGATGAAGCTATACGATCGATCAAGGCACCCATTTATACTCCATTATTTCGAGCGAAGAGGGAAAAATTTACAGGAACTGGTAATGTTAGCACCTCTGTGGCGGTCAAGCTCCCTGGAAAGTGGATCGTCCGAAGTAAAAACTTGAATTCAAGACATCCAAGATCTCCAATTTTTTTTTGGTTTTTTTGCAAAGAAGCAAGGTTCTTTGAGTGATGCAAGTTTCGCCTCGCTACCTGTTCGAAATAGCGTTTGATCTGTCTAGAAAAGTCCTCGGATAAAATAAATTATGGCGGTCAACAGATCATGGTGTCGGCCCGAGGGGTGGTAATTCACCACAAAGAGTCGTACTATCCAGCGGACACCTGCCGCTCCATCTGTTTTTGAGTACATCGGGGCTCATATGGCTTCCAGTCTAGCGAGGCGTAGGGCAAATGAAGTCATACACACATACTTACATCGCGTCTCAATGGGATAGAGGAGCTCCAGTATGATAACACTAGTCCTCCATCAGATAACAGCCCTTTCACAGTGCTCTCAATGAATTATCATCAATGAACCCACTCTTCCGAACCTCTGAAAAATTACTAGACTGTATGGCCTTCCACCAATCCGAAAGATGACCTAGATTTGCAGAGTGAATAGCCTTGGAAGACGATGATTGTGTAGACAGCTACATGGCTGCAGAAACTTTCCAAGGTGATAATCTATGTAACAAGTAAGGGACGATACAAGATAAACTTGATCTATCCCCCTTTGGATACATGTGAAAATGCCAAATGTCTCCCAATCAAGAAGAGACAGCGAATCCAATTGGGTGGCGCACTAATGCGACTGATATACACGCATATGCGAGGCAGCCTTGCTTTGAATGCTGCGCCATTTTCATGCCCGCTCACGACACTTCAAATTACACAGAGCTAATCGCGATGTCTTTTGGGAACTACTCAGCCTGAAAGAGCAAATGAACGGCTATTCATTTGGTTATACTGATTCCACAAAGATTTTACCACTCCATTGCCATGCATGGGGCACACTCCAGATACTTCTTTACAGTGGCCAGTCTATACAGACACAAAGCAATGCATTTACAGCGTTGTGTAATGATTAAGATTCTGCAATCAAATTCAAGTTCTTATTATCCCAAATTCATAATTTAGAAATCTTAAATTTGCTTATAGTTCTATTTTGTTTGACGTTCGAGATACAACGAAGCGATACAACGAAAGCGATTTGGTTAAACAGCAATGAGAATCAATGAATATAAAATGGCATTTCTCACTCGAGCTGCTCAAATGCAAGCGACCTGAGTGTCCTGCCTCTCGATATCACTTTCTTGCAACACTCCCAGGGTGCGGGTAATGTGAACTGACTGCGGTTCCCGTGGTGTTTGCTGAATGATTTCATCTTCTATATCCCGGACAGTGATGTCCGTCAAGTGATAACGATCTTGGTTGATGTACCAGGCGATATATCCGCATAGGAATTCTTCAGTGATTTTGAGCATAGAGGGGTGATCCGAAAGAACAGTGCGTATGCTTTTGATATTTTCCACCACGTTGTGACATACCAAGCGCAATGCATCAGCAGGAGAAATGTCGTTGACAAAGGCCACGTTGCAGATGTAGTTCAATCGTTCATTGCCAATAACGGACTCTTTGAAGAAGGACAGAATGTCGTTTCCATAGCTGATGAATTCACAGAGGTCTTGGATGAGTGGTAGATAAAGTTGTAAATGAGTTGCCTCCGGAAACATTTCTTCGGGGTAGACAAAATGGGCGTATGGCTCGGTGTAGCCAGTTTTCTGACGCAGGTAGTCCGGAAACTTTGTCGCTTTGAATGGTGGTTGCATTTTACCATCATAGTCCCGTTCGATGATGCATCCGCTGACAAATTCAATAGTTGATTTCAGCATCATTGAGCGGCCATATGAACCCAGATATCCGTCTTCCAGTGCGAGAAAATCCACCAAGGATTGCAGAACAGAGTGTTCCTGTGATTTACCTTGCACAAGGTTCTGCTGGAAGTGATCCAGGGATTTCCCTAACTCCACAACAATATCATCAATAAACAGGACAAAAGTTGCGTGGATGCCATACGCAATCTGCGATTGTCGACTTGCATATGGATAACACATTCCTAAGCCCGTAGACATCCACTTCGCCATTTTAGCTGCTTTTTGTTTGAGATGATTATCCCATGGCTGACGGGCGAAGTATTCTACCACGGGTTGCTCGAGGGAGGAATCATAGCCAATAGAGGGCATCCGGAAACCAATTTGCTTTAAAAAGTCGGATAGGACTTGGCCATATTCCTCTCCGGATATCATGGGGAGCGACGTAATCATGGTTGTGCGGTAAAGTGAATTGTTAGAAAATTAAACGGGTTTTTTTGACGTATAGCATCCTTTAAACAACGGTGCAGTCTTATATATGTTCTAACAATCGGGACCACAGCCGGTACCCATTGTTTGTCTCGGCTCGAACGGCGGGTCCAAAGTTAGCCATCAAACATTCCAAGTCTCTGATTAGACTTTTATTATCTAGCCACACCGTACTTCCGCTGTTAGCTTGAGGTGCTGGCGACAAGGGACTGAAGGAACCGCATCGAAGATTTCTCTGTATGGCACAAAAGGTTCGGGGTTTGAAAAAAAAGATCCGTTCGCACTATGCATGATCCTAATATGCGAATAGATCGATCGGTATGCAAGGTGTTGAGGTCGACATGTCAGTGACGATTTACCTCAGCTAGTTGAAAAATAGCATTGCGCTAACTTTGAGGGCAAAAATTGAAATCAACGATTATTACAAAAGCTGAAAAGCAATTCCAAAGAAGTTTTGCTTTGTGTTACTTTCATCTAGCCGTCCAATCCCACTTGAGCGTTGTAGAGCAGAAAATAATGTAGAGATGGCGGTTTGTCTGCAAACTGATTATTATAGTGGAATTATATGGTGACAATGTACAGTATGGTTTTGCTTACCCTGATTGCCCACGATGTATATACTCGCAGACCGCTCCTTCTACTGAATCAAGCACATGTCTCTTCTTCAACCTCCCTAGATGCTTCCATAATAGCAGATCCCACTCCCATCAGAGGGCGACCTATTTTGCAGACAAGCCGCCGTCAAGCTTGCGTATCAAGATTATATCTTCGCGCTCCTCTTTATCATGTATATTCAACCACTACACATATTTGAGGCCATTTATGTCGGGAAAACCATTGGTATGAGACTGGTCAACTATTGCATCATTAAAGTCAAGTATTGGAGAGACTAGATCGGGTCAGTAGCGGGGAACAAGGAGATTTCTCCACTGGGGCTAGTAATGTGCCTTATCACTCAACCAAAGATCTTGGATACATAGATTGAAGTTCCCTGGCAACAAATCAAGGCCATGGTAACCAAAATCTTGTTTTCTTTGGTTGAGAATCGGCGAAAGCCGAGCTGCCGATATCGACCACAAAACGAAAAGGTTTCAGTTCTCTTCAACATATTCTTTGATTTCGACTTTCCAGAAGTTCTCTTGAAGGAGCTACTCAATATGGTCAGAAGTCTGAAACCTCTCTAGTTTTCTCTGCTTATAAGTTCCAGGTTCGCCGCTCCACATCCTGAGGGCCTCTATTTTATGAACAACCTGCTGTATATGGAACCCCCGGGCCGAAGAAGTAGGCCATTGAAACCAAGAATGTTTAGTGCCCTTTAAGATGGTTCGTATACACGATAGATGCCAATTCAAACAAAGTTTTCTTAGAATCGAGCCATTTACTAGTTTGTTCACCGAAATTATGGTACTGAACCAGATTTCTTCGCAATAATTATGCACTCGCGAATGGTACCCGATTTGGCCCACCACGCAGCTACTTTTCCCATCAATCGCATTGGGCGGAACACTGCAGGTGATCCTCCAATATGCTCCCAGTGCCGACTTTGCCTAGCAAGAAATTGGTCATAGCCAGGGAAACAATCCTCTGTGATGTCACGGATCTCAATATTTTTCTTCTCGTATCCACATGCGGCAAGCATGCTAATGTATTCGTCTCGAGTGAGAATATTTGTCCACGGAACGTAGAGAAAGTAGAACAAGATTCTCAATAGAACGCGGTTCCAGGTCGATAAAGATGATGAGATAATGATGTCTGTTGCCATGATAGAGGCGCCAAGTTCTTGATGTGCATATTTCAGGATCTTGTGTCGGTTCGGCTTGAAATGATACAAGGTGTCAATAGCTAGTAACCAAAGTTGCGGATTGATCGCTTCGCTGTTCTTAGGGCCCATTCGAGACTGCGCAAGCTGATGAAGTTTGTTGTGAACATGGCTTGGCCATTTATTGGGGTCTGCTGCATCTGCTTTGAAAACTTCATTCAATGGAGACCCCCGGCCCTCATACATAAGAGGGCAATCATCAGCCAGACTCTGAAGTCTGTCTTTTGCATATCTAGCTTGAGAGCGATTGATGGTAATGCCAATATAGTCACGCAACTTGTGCGGAAGAGATTTACGCATGAAGAAGGCTGTTTCGGCGCATCCGCATCCAACTTCGACAATCGAGAAGTTCGAGGAGCAGCCCTTTGAGATACCGGCTTCACAAAGAACTTCCTCGAATAGATGCTGACAAGCCTCTTGAAAGGAACATGGGTTATTCTGAAACTATGTTAATTGGTCGTTACAGCTTTATCATTTGCCATTTTTCGTACCTTCCAAAAGCCAACGTTGAGCCACATTGACTCCGGCTCTGTCTTTAGGTTCAGAAGGCGATGCTCGAGGCCATAATGATCTTTTTGTTCGAATGGACGAAGTTTCTGTCCATGGTCGGCCTTTTTTCTGAGTCCAATCAATGGACTCATAAGTGGGTTGGACGGACAATGACGCAAAGGGATGACATATCGACAAAAGAGTGTGACAAGGATACCGGCGGTAAAAGGATACACGATATGAGTAAGGGAATATGAAGAAAGCCCCTCTTGATCCATCATTTTCTCACTGGGCACACATCTGTTGTAGCTTCCTGTGCAAATAGCTGGCGGGACTTCCTTTTGTAACCTATGATGCCCCCTTGCCTAGGAAAAGGAATAAATTTTTCCCCTTAGCTCCCTAGTTTAAAATTTCGTAGAACCTGATAAAGCGGTGTGATTATCCAGTTTCTTTTCGTTAGATTCGAGGACAATTGTTGATGACCTGTCATGTTCAGAGAAAATATGAGATTTGGCGTTGAAAGTTTCCAAGAATGCTGTGTTGGATTACCTGCACTAATGGTATTGTCCTGTCAACCAGATACGCACTACTCATGCATTAAGGCTAGACCTGTATTTATAATAATGGATCGTAAATCAGAGAACTTCATAGAAATACAACTACCATACACGAGCTGCAAGATTGTGGTCGGAGTGCAGATGCATGAGGCAGGTATCATCTCTGCTATCCAGGTGGGCTGAGCTCCACTAAAACGATTGATCCCTTGCCTGGGTGGCTTTTTTTTGGAAAAGGTAATTCGAACTTATGTACCATTGACGTATTCTGCAGTGTAGAAGTAGACTGAAAGTGCCCGACCCTTATGGATATGGTCGTGGAGACTATTTCTTCCCAGAACACGATTCTACCTATTCACTACGAGCCCTGACTTTCAGTTCCAAGATATCAGGCTTCTGCCATCAAGTCATGTCGTTTTCCCTACCTCAGCCTACTGCTGCGAATCAGCTGGAATCTTCAATGGATTATTGGAAAAATCGACTTCTTGGATGTTCCCCCTCTCAATATCCTTGGGCAGATCCAGGCCAAGAACGACCGTCATCTTCAGCTCAAAAAAAACACGCGGCCCAATTTGGTTGCGAAATGATTCATCTTCCCTGCTCTGGAGACTGGTATGGTTGCACTGCTATCATTTGCTCTGCGTGGTCTTTGGTTCTCGCATCTTACACAGGCTTTTCTGATGTATGCTTCGGTCTGGCATTGTCGAATCCTGGTCTTGTGGAAAACCGACATCCTTTTCCGTTTCGAAATACCGTCCAAGATGCAGTTTCGGTTCGTGAATTCTTGAAGTCCACTGAAGAAAGAATTCGAGACGACGAGGAGCATAAGGACATAGACATCCACTTAGCTCGACCTTCGCACTGCACATGGGATAGATGGTCCCAACCCCCAATGATTTTGGAGATTTTTCGAAATGATGAGCCCAGCGTAGAAAGACAGACGAGTACTTTGGCGTTACAGTGTACCGTTGATGGTCATCATCTCCAAGTCAAGGCCTCATACGACCCAGAATGGATTGGAAAAGATGAAATCAAGAGGGCGTTGACTCATCTGAGGAATGTATGTATCAGGAACAGTCGAAAAGTGTGGTACATGTAGACATGCTAACAGAGATTTCTTTAGGCCATCAACGGAGTGAAAAACGCCGTCTCCACAAACGGTTTAATTCGAGATATCAATCTTCTTGGTGAAGAGGATTTGACTCAAATCAAAAAATGGAACGCCGAGATGCCGGAACCGGTAAAGTGCAGTCTACACTCTGCCTTCCAAGCCACAGCCGCAGAAGTGCCAGAGAATACCGCCATCCAGTTTCTGGATACAAAAATAAATTATCGTGTGCTGAATAATATGGCCAATGGCCTCGCAAGGCAGCTTCTTGAGCAGGGCCTGCAGCAACCATATGTACCGATCTGCTTTGAAAAATCTATCGAGATGGTAGTCGCTGTAATTGCAGTCCTAAAAGCAAACAAAGGCTTTATACCGATTGACCCTCGCCACCCAAAGGACCAAATCAATCATATGTTGGACGCAACGGCGTCTTCCCTGGTTCTTGTCTCGCCAAGCTGCAATGCAATTTTTGACGGTTCGAGACAGACGTATACGGTCACGGCAGAAGCCCTATCTGCAATGGACGAGAATCTTACTCGCCCTCTGGACTTGGAAACCTCTCATACACAGCCAGCCTATGCATTATTCACATCTGGCAGTACTGGTACACCAAAGGGAGTCGTGGTTGAACATCAAAATATAACAACGGCTCTTGTCCATTTAGGGCGGAGATTCGATCTAAACACTGATACTAAAATGTTTCAGTACACGTCATATACTTTCGATCCCTCTATCTTGGAGATATTCGGGACTCTCCTCTATGGCGGCTGTGTCTGCATCCCGTCAGAAGAAGAAAGACTCAATCATATTTGTCAGGCAGTTTCCAGAATGGATGTGAACACCGCCATATTTGTGCCCAGCGTTCTAAAGACTTTGCGCCCGGAAGAAATACCGAAAGTGAAGAAGATCATCATAGGAGGAGAGAATTTGCCATCTTACCTAGTCAAGTCCTGGAAAGATCGGAACCTAATTAATGCGTATGGCCCAACTGAGACTTGCATAGCCTCTGTCGCCAATCTGCAAGTGACCGACGCGTCTTTTGGAAATAACATTGGTCGGCCCATCGCATGTCGAGCTTGGATTGTGAACCCACAAAACCCCTCCCGCTTACTTGCCATTGGATGCGTTGGTGAGTTAGTGATCGAGGGTCCAACTGTTGCCCGCGGCTATCTGAACGCGACCAAGAATCCCGAAGCACCCTCCATGTCCCCCTCTTTTGAGCTGTCGGTTGCAGATAGTGGTCAGAAAGTTTACCGAACCGGTGATTTAGTTCGCTATCTTCCCGACGGTCGGCTGCAATACATTGGCAGAACGAATCAACAAGTCAAGTATCATGGGCAGTGGCTCGAGCTTGGAGCCATTGAAACTGTGCTCAGACACTGCGGAGCAATGAATGACTGTGTTGCTTTGGTCACTGAAATCCAAAGTTTTACATCTTTGGTGGCTTTTGTAGTCCTCTTGTCTACTCCGAATGACCCACTCTGCGAACTCGTCAATGTGAACCACAAAGTGAAAGCTCATCTTGATTCGATCTGGGGAAGACTATACGAAAAAATGTCCCCGCCCACGATGCCGAAATACGTCGTTCCAGTAACCAGCCTTCCTCGGCAGACGACAGGAAAAGTTGATGTGGCGTATCTGACGAGACTCCTGGAGACCACGGATTGCGATCATTACTTGTGCCGCTCTGTAGAGCTCGAAGACAATCATATCAAGCCGACAAAGCATGATATAATCATGCGACAGCTTTGGGGAAGTGTTCTTAGTCGGGACGACACGCGCATCAAGACAATCGACAACTTCCTGCATCTCGGTGGCAATTCCATCAGAGCCATGGAATTAGTAGGCGCCGCATATCGAGCTGGGCTACACTTGAATGTGCAAACAATCCTTCGCCATCCAATACTGCGGGATATGGCGATCGCACAGGTCTTATTAATGAAAGACAAGAAAGGTTCATCTACCTTTCCGAATCCAACAGTTGTTGATAATTCCATACTCAACAAATCTACCCAAACTTGCCGCGCCATGAAATCTTACGAAGCGACACCTATCCAGGCGCTGTGTCTGACAATGGGGCACTTGTTCCCCGAAGGAAATTACACTCGTCTTATCTACCAAGCTGATGGGACAGTTTACTTGGCGCAACTTGAAAAAGCATGCAAGCTTCTGGTTGAGAGGACAGAGATTCTGAGGACAGAGTTCTCTATATTCACAGACCCGCAGAGGATATTAGGAATTCCCGCTGATATATCCGACCCTCAAATCCTCTACTTTGATGCACTTTCGAGCGCAGAGGCACATTGGAAAGACTTCAAAACAAGCTACCTTGACCAAAGCATGGGGGAGTTCTGCTTTGTTGTCTCCGAGAAGAACCAAGTAAGCCATTTCTCGCTCGGACTTCATCACAGTCAGTTCGATGCGTGGTCCATGAGGCTTCTCTTGCAACAGCTGCGTGACCTGTACGACGGTGGCCTGCCTGATCCCGGGCCACCATTCTCCGAATTCGCACAACATTTATCACTGGCCTCTACTGGGCATATCTCTGAGTCCTTCTGGAGGGGCAAGTTGGATGGTTCAAGACCTACAGTAATTGGCTCAGGGTCGCCCATATCTGACTTACCAGATGGCTGCTGCCGGAAAAATATTGATATCTCCTTGCTATGCGGTGAATTTACATTTGCGGTCATTTTGTACGCATCATGGGCTCTGAGTCTCTATAGACTCAGCGGAGACCCTGAAGCTACGTTTTTCAGTCTCGTCGGCGGAAGGAACTTGGCCTTCGATGGCTCTGCCGATGTTATTGGACCTTGCCTCAACGTGGTTCCAACTCGCGTGAATTTGGAGACGTGTGTAATATACAGGGATGTCCTCGAGGCCGTACAAACATGGATGCTGGACTGTATTCCATATGAAAATTTACCAATGAATGAGATCATCAATCGCTGCACTTCATGGGACCCAACCGCAATTATTGGAAGCATGATTCAGCACTTGGATATCAACATTGAATCCGAAGAAACTGAAAGGCTAATGGGACCGTGGAGAATGTTGAGAACGGAAAGACAGTTTGGGCAATGTATTGGTGTTGATGTCTATCTTACATCTATGTCCCAGCCGGATGGCTCGGTAGAGCTTGACATGAAGTACAATGCATCTCGCATCAACTCAGAGGTCGCAAACGATTTGTTTGGTAATTTGGTCAGCAACATTAACAAAATTTTGACCAACCCAAACCAAAGCTCAAGAATGTGACTGAAAGAAAGGCGACAGGCTTGCTTTGATTCATAGGAATTTCACAGGTTCGTCGTATCTTGCGTTTCATGTTCATAAAAACAGAGATTTATATCTATATATTTCAAACTGGGGAATGAGATAGATTGTCATTGTTGATTCATAGTAATCTAGACCTGTTAGGGTGCTGTACCGCTTGTTCTTGATATTTGTGGCTGAAATTCGTTCCAATTATTTCAAGACTTTTTGGAGGACCGTGGCCCTACGTTATTGTTCCGTCATTCTGATACACAACACTCAGGCATTAGGTTTAAAACCCAACAAGTTTCATGTAATACTAACATCGTATGAATGCTATCAGAAGACCCATACCAGTAAGGGGGGGCCCATATAAGCAGAACTCCATTACGCCACAACTTTTCAGTCCAATGGAGCTACACACCGCAACTTGAGGCTTCGAGGATATGCAAGGAAGGAAATTCCGATGTAGAGACAGACAGGCGCTATTCTCAGTAGTCAAGGAATGTCCTGCAAAATCCTTCCAGCCTGGCTTAAAGACAACTTCTAACCCTGTTTTGGCTCGAAAACATAGTACTTCCTCTGTTCATGATCAATGTCAGTTTGATCTCAAAATGCTCCTCGTATATGCAATTATAGTTACATTATCTGCTGTTTTTCTTCGATTGCACACCCGAAGCGAAAGAAACCTACCTCCGGGTCCATGTCGGCTTCCTGTGCTGGGAAATCTGCACCAAATTCCTACAAAGAACCCATGGAAGGTATTCCAGACGTGGCACGAGAAATATGGTCCAATAATAAGTCTTAGACTAGGACAGCGGACTGTGATCATCATCGGGAAATATGATGTGGCTCATGAGCTACTCGACAAAAGACGTGAAATCTACAGCTCTCGACCGACGCTGATCTTGAACGACAACATGACTAAAGGGCTTCATATGGCGTTCATGCCTTTTGGGGAACGGTGGAAGACCCATCATAGCATACACACTGCATATCTGAATGCGCGCATGTCACAGAGATATCGTCACTTGCAGGACATTGAGAGCAAACAGCTTTTGTGCGACATAATGAACAGTGATGATGTTGCATCGCACTTTCGGCGCTTTTCTTACAGCGTAAGCTTTGCTCTAGCTCATGGAAAGCGACTCGCTGCAACGGATCGTGAGATTTTCGAAGTCGGGCGAGTGACGGATCAGATTGTACGCATTTTCCATGAAAGCGGAAGCGCATTGGTCGAGATTTTTCCTGTGCTGGACTATCTTCCTCGACGCTGGGCTAGTTGGAAAGGAATGGGAAAAGAGTTCCATAAAAAGGTCGTCAGATTCTACACAGGCAACATGATGGGTGCACTGCAACAGAAGTCATGGAATTGGACAAAAGAATCTCTCCGCCTTGAAAGGGCTCAGCGTCTGTCTGCTACTGAGATTGCATATGTCACCGGTGTTCTTCACTCTGGAAATGAAGTCACCCAAGCTGTTCTTGGAGTCTTTGTCATGGTCTGCCTGCTCCATCCGCAAGCAATACATCGAGCACAGGAAGAGCTCGATCGGGTTGTTGGCCTAGATCGACTTCCTGCTTTCGAAGATGCTCCGAATCTGCCTTACCTGCGTGCGTTCATCAACGAAATCCTAAGGTGGCAATCACCAACTCCGATGGGCGTGCCTCACGCAACAAGTGAGGATGACGAATATATGGGATATCGTATTCCCAAGGGGACGACAATATTGGCCAATCACTGGGCAATAAACCATGACGAAGGTATATTTGAAAATGCGGATGAGTTTCAGCCTGAGCGGTGGTTGAAAAATCCGAAGCTCCCACAGATTGCGTTTGGCTGGGGAAGAAGAGTATGTCTGGGCCAACACATGGGCCGAAACTCTCTCTATGTGGTCATCTCACGTCTACTGTGGGGATTCGAGATCGACTGTCATGATATTAACAAGAAAAGGTTCATTGAGTCTTGGGATATGGTGCAAAATTTAACGTCCGGTCCATCATCATTTAAAGCGATGTTTCGACCACGAACTCCTCAGAAGCAACGAATGATGCAAACAGAATGGGAAAATGCAGAGAGTGATGTTGACACCATTCTTGCAGAAGTTTGGCCCGTCAAAAAGTAGCGGTCTGCTCCAATATCTCATGGAGTTGAACATGGCGATTTGCTTTGGGCCAAAGGCGCTGGACTGGCACTCTAGCGTTGAGACACAACGAGAATAGGGACGCACTGAGGGGAATGCATTAGTACTGGCAGTATACATACACGGTGCAGCTTGGCCAATCATGTGAAATGAACGCTCACTTTCTTCACTAAAAAGGACATGTTTCAGCCAAGAGTCTGACAATTTTTGTCGCACAGTGACTAACATGGGTCGCCCACTGCTTACCCATTTGTAGTAAACCACGGTAAGCTAACTTAAGGCGCCAGCAGTAGAATTTGTCTTGACCAAGAGACATTCTGGCCTTCTAAAGATATGATCTGTTGCGGATGTCAGGTGACATCCCACATTGGGATAGTCTCCCATGGAGTAGATAGATAGATATCTCTCGCTCTCTCTCTCTCCTTCTCTCCTCCGTCCGCAATACAATATTCATATCTTCATATTCTATTGCCCCTGTATGATCTCCATGAGATTCAACGCAATGGATAGTCATTCCCTTTACCGCGTGTAGAATTGCAGTTTGAATCTGGGCCCTGAAGTCTGAAGCGAATCACAGCCCTTACTAGCGATAAATTTTGAATACTAATTAGTACGTAGTAAGCTTGCTAGTTGTGGGGCCGTAATGACAAGGAGACGATGAAGTGTCGAGTGACTTTTCAGTAAGAATCCACTATCCATTTATAATTCTTCCGTCATGTTAAATACCAATAAACTACCAGAACCAGGGATGAACAAATACAGAGTTTCTCACCTAGTTGAAGACTTTAGGTAATCGTTCGACTCACTCCCAGGTCGGCACTTTGATATAATTAGCAAAGTATGCGTCATCAAATGCTAGTATGCACTGAAACTTTGCTTACTTCGTAGTTGTGTGAACAAGTTGATCGGCTGAATAGTTAAGGCACCGCTTGTGTCCGTTGGTCACTATTATGTTTGTTACCTCACTCATCTGCACCTTCTCAGCCCAGTTCCCACGATCATCTCCTTAGAGATCCTAACCTTCGTTACTTATTCACTCGTCCCATCGACGAGATACACCATCGATCCTATTGTTCTCGTTATTAGTGCGATAAGTAAAGATGCTTGGCTTCAGAATTAGGAGGTCGTGCGGTAATTTAGCAGCACAATAATCAAAGTCAAACAGTCTACCTTTTATCGATTGCGTGCACCTGTAAACCACGACTCAACTCCCGTGCTCTACAGAACGGATAAAGCTTCGTAGAGCTCATTGGCTGCGTTCCTACCGCGTCTATATGACCGCAAAGCGTAGTTGCTGGCAGGATTAGCCAGTATCGACGTGAAAAATTGTATTAATAGCATCTCCTCCAAAGTGCTGGTGACAATTTTAATTAGGCTCCTGAATACCTCATTAGAAGCCAATTAGCAGGCAATCATGATGGCGCAGCGAAAGCAAATGTGCTAGTGGCCCGACTTAAACTAGATCGTGGAAATCCGAGATCATGAACACTGATTTTGTATGTGAATTAAATCATACATTCTGCACCATTGATACACATGTTTCTTGGCCATACACATATGCTGACCGCAGGCGGATCTGCGCATCGGGGCAAAATCGCCAGCCTGCGATGTTAGACGAAATCTCGAAAAGAACAAAAAAAGTGACGGAGGAATGGTTGATGAGCAGTTGCAGCCAAGTTAAAAAGGAAAAAAAACCGATCTTCCAGACTCAAACGGCGTATTATTGATGGTTCACAGCGATCTATTAAACCACGCATGCAGGTTTGGACGGCGAGACGTTTAGGTGTCGAGTAAAGAGAAAAAGAAGGGCAAAAGAATTTACAACTCATGCTCACAGGATTAGAGAACTTAGAATTGACTTAAATCAATGAAACTTGAAACCGAGGAAAGATCTTACAAGCAGTACATCAATATTGCAAGAATCTAGCCGATTGATCATCAAAAGGGCGATACTCCGGCGGCCAATGTAACTCGATAAATTTACCCGAGCTTCGCACTCAATTATGTTACAGAGAAGCGATAAAACCAAGGAAAAGATTTACACTATATCTTCACGCCCAAGTTAGTAACTCCTATGGCGCTCTGCTTGGGCCCATAAAAGGCGCCACTATCTAATGAGCGGCGCTATAGCCCGGAAGCATCGGCAATGGCGTATTTCAGGGGATTTGTGGCGCATTGTGACACTGACATGCCTAATATGCCCAGAGAATGCGCACCGTCGAGATATTCTACGTGGGCACCCAGAGACAACTAAAGAGTTCGAAGTTCGAGAATACACTTCAGAGTAGTTCTGTCTCAACCCACGAACAGGTCCATGTCCTTGCGTGTCTCTCTCACCATTAATTATACCAAATTAAGTCAGATTGGTAATTTGAACGAATAAGTCAAGAGGAAAATTGTCGCCCAGAGACTTTTTGACACCCGGCCTCCTTAGGCCGGAAACGATGCCTCAGGACCCAGGCCCATACTCCTTGGCTAAATATTTCGCTGTTTTTCTTTTCAGGGATAGTCTTCTTTGACAATCATCACCATCTGTGAGTTTTTAGTTTCACTACTTTATCTGTCTTCTTGCCCTATCACTCTGTAGCTTGCATATTTCCCGGTTTAAGTGCATGACGTCGGTATGCCGATCCATTTGAGGCGGGCCGATCTAATATTCAGAGCCAAGGTGAAGTAGGATGATAATATGATAATAGGCAAAAGACAAGTTGTCTCACTAATTATCCACAGGGAACAATCGGCTAAAGACCATCAGAAACCTGTGTTATTCGCGCGGGTAAATACCATGTCGGTTAAAAAAATACCGGCTTCAGCCGACAATCGAATGCCCCGACTGGCTCCTTGAAGGGCCAGGCCCGCCAATGACGCCGTTTCCACCCCCGACTTTCGTGCCCCGGGATTCCATATCCCTCCTCCGCATTTCCTTCCCGTTGATCTTTCCCGCTCCGGGATGAATGCCCCGGTCCCGAAGTCGTACCATGCAATCGACTATCGCGCAGCGCAATTCGACTCAATGCCGAATCGTGCTTTGACTGGTGGATCCGCATTTACTTATAAAACGCCTTGCCGCAAGCCCAATGCTTCGATTGACAACCTTCGCGGTCCAACTGCAATCATGTATACTATAACGAATATTTACGGTTTGTTCAGCCAGCTGGCTTCATCATCCACGAAACTAATGTTTCCTAGTGCTCGCCGCATTTGGCACCATTGGTGGTGCTCTTTTCGGATTCGATGTGAGGTGGGTGTTAATATCACGATCAATTGTGATATCATTGAAATTAACCAGCAATTAGCTCAATGAGTGCCTGGATTGGTGTCGATACATACAAAGATTACTTTGACTCGCCCAACTCGAACCTCCAAGGAGGAGTACGTGATTCCGACTTCTTAATCTGATGTTCATACTGACACTTGAATAGATTACAGCATCGATGTCGGCTGGCTCATTCGCCGGTTCCATTGCCGCCGGTTGGCTATCAGATATTCTCGGTCGTCGCTACGCATTGATGATCGCATCTCTCGTTTGGATCGTTGGCGCAATGGTCCAATGCAGCGCGCAAAACGTGACACACCTAGTTGCAGGTCGAGTTGTTAGCGGGCTGGCAGTTGGTGTCACATCCTCGCAAGTATGTGTATACTTGTCGGAATTAGCACCAGCTCGTATCCGTGGTCGCGTGGTGGGTATTCAGCAGTGGGCGATCGAATGGGGTATTTTGATCATGTATTTGGTCGCGTACGGCTGCGTGGTAGGTGTGTCTGGGCCCGCTGCTTTCCGAATTTGCTGGGGTGTGCAGGCCGTTCCTGGTCTTATCCTTTTTATCGCATTGTTCTTTTTCCCGGAGTCTCCTCGTTGGCTCGCTTCGAAGGAACGCTGGGAGGAGGCTCTCGATACCTTGGCTATAATTCATGCCAATGGTGATCGCCATGATCCAGTTGTGCAAGTTGAGTTCGAAGAAGTCCAAGAGGCTGTGCGAGTGGCTCATGAGGCTCAAGATGTCTCATTCTTGGCCTTGTTTGGACCTAAAATTTGGAAGCGCACCATGTGTGGAATGAGTGTTCAGATGTGGCAGCAGCTTCTAGGCGGCAATGTCGCCATGTATTATGTTGTTTATATTTTTGAAATGGCTGGCATGGTACGTTTGATCTCAAATTATGGAAATTGAGCTGTTTGCTGACCGCTGAACATAGACTGGTAATACTACCCTATGGTCTTCTGCTATTCAATATGTCATCTTCTTGGTGACTACAGGAGTCATGCTTCCATTCATCGACCGAGTTGGCCGAAGAAGCCTACTTCTCTATGGGTCTGTCACCTGCATGGTTCTACATTTCGTCATAGCCGGCGTTATGGCCGGCAGAGGCCACCCTGTGCCCAATGTCAATGGCGACGCAAACCTTACCTGGGAGATCAAAGGCAGCTCTGGAATGGCAGTCATTGCGTTCTCCTACATATTTACCGGCGTCTACGGTCTTACTTGGGTATGTCAATTCGCACTTATACAATCCAAAACAAGAATTCATTGGTTAACAATATCAGGCTCCGACTGGATGGATCTATGCTTCCGAGGTCTTCCCGCTGAAGTACAGAGCTAAGGGTGTTGGTGTTTCGGCCGCTACCAACTGGATTTTCAACTTCGCCTTGGCTTACTTCGTAGCTCCCGCTTTCCACAACATCCAGTGGAAGACGTACATCATTTTTGGGGTTTTCTGCTTCGTCATGACCATACACGTGTTTCTCATGTATCCCGAGACTGTGGGGCGGTCTCTCGAAGAGATCGACTTGGTATTCGAGACAAATGTCAAGCCATGGCACAGTCACAAGATTGGGGATATGTTCGGGGAGGAAATCGAGCGTCGTAAGGAGGTTGATGCGAAGAAAGATATCGGTGGTGCCAGTCATGAAGAGGTGGTGTAAAATGACAACACAAATATGTCAATCACCCAGCATTGTGTCAACAATTTTGAAACTTCATATTAGATTTACGAATGATGAGCCAAAGCGTCTTGATATACAACACGCTATTATTTCTCATTTTGTTATCTCATTGCCGCTAAACTACCGGTTAACTTGAGACGGACTGTAGGAAATTTGCGGTGCTTGAAAAGCCCCAACGGGAATTGGAATATAACAGGGAATGCTCTAGAGATCTATAAAGCTTATATGCATCTCAACTAAGGAAGAGTCCGTAAATAGATCGCACCTCATAATATAAGTGCAATTAGAGCCCGTATTACATGCGTTCCATTCACATATCCAACTAGATTTACTTGATGTACACTTGATCGAATATTGGCCAAATTGACCATTTGTAAAAATGTCTCATACATTCTTTGTTAAAATATAGTCACGAATAGTCGATGCTAAGTAAGTCTAGTATTGTCTTTCTTCACTCGTGTTTCCGTCGCTGTCTTTTTCTGCGTGTTCAGTGTGAGTCAATCGCTGGCCCTTGTTCTGTTTATTAAGCAGGCTGGCGCGACGGACAGCATCATCTTCGACATCATCCAGGGTACGCAAGAGTTCGCCGTTTGAACCATACATGTGCGGCTCCGATCGGGCGAGCGAAACGACATTGAAAACACTGGTAGTCTTGCGGAAGATACGGTCCATTTCTTCCAGTGAGCGCGCGGTAGTTTCGGGGAAGAAGAAATAGACGACTGGCACAATGGCAGCGTTACTAAATAAAGTCAGTGTACACGTTTGTATGAAGATCGAGGGACGAGATCTCACATCACGGCGAAGATAACATAGGTCTTATAACCAATGCTTTCAAAGGCGACTGGGGTAATCATGACAACCATGAAGTTCCAGATCCAATTAGAGGAAGTGGACAAGGCATTGGCTGGAGCGCGAATTTTCAAGGGAACAATCTCCGCGGGATACAACCAAGTCATTCCAAGCCATCCGATGGCAAAGAAGGTATTGAATACAAAAAGGAATACAGTTTGCGCAATACCAGCCTTGACTCCAGTAGAATTTCCCTTGTTGCTCGCGGAAATGTTATCCGATATGGCAAGGACTACCATAGAGATCGACATACCCACAGCACCAAAGAGCATAAGTGTTCGGCGACCAAACTTCTCAACGGTAAACACAGCAATCCACGACGCAATGAAGTACTCGGTACCATTGCAAGCAGCAATAAGACGGGAAGTCGTGGCGTCCAAGCCAACCTGTTGCTCCAGGAGGGTTGGAATGTAGTAGGTGATTAAGTTGATACCGGAAATTTGCTGGAACATTTGATTGACATAAGCAAGCATAGTACGGTGCAGGTGTCGGTCCTCGGTCATAGTGAACATGTCTCGGAATGACCCCGTTGCCATCTCCAGCACGGTTGCTTTGATGGCGGTAAATTCGGTCTCGATGAACAACTCATCTGTCTCGTCACCCATCAAGCATGCCAATACCTCCTTTGCCTCTTCCTCGCGACCTTTCAGAATGAGCCAACGGGGTGATTCGGGTAGGAACATGACGAAGCCCAGGATGATCGCAGCGAAGAAGATCTGGAACGCCAGTGGGAACCTCCACGCAACTTCGTTGGGGTCGGCGAACATCAGACCGAAATCAATCCAGTAACTGATGGTGATACCACAGGTGATCATGGCGCCCTCCATCATAACCATCTGACCTCGTCGGTGGGACTTGCAGCACTCTATTTTGTGTTAGATAATATTCATTTTCCGGTGAATTCTTTCATTATCTCCTCCTGCTCCGGTTTAAAAGGTGCAGCGATACGTATATCGGAACGAGAATTGAGATTTTTTTTCGGGATTCGGCTTACCGGACTGCCACGTAGGAACCGTCGAAGTGTTAATCCCGTTACCTGTGTTTCTTGTGAGCGAATGGCTATTTGGCGCAAGGCAGTAATGCTTACCAAAGCCGGTGACCAATCTACCAACAACAAGCTGAGCAAGCCCGTACGAGGTACACTGAAGGATTGCACCGATGCACATAATGAATGAACCGACAAAGATAGCCTTTCGGCGACCCAAGATATTACCGATCCAAATTGTGGGGATTGAACCTGCGAAACATCCCAGATTGTATGCTGCGACTGTGATACCTTGGCGTGTTGACTGATTACTCTTCGCTGCCGAGCTCCAGCCCTCGGTGTATGATTCGAGGGTATTGATCTCGGGGAAATATTTGACGAAAGAGTCGAGCGTGAGCAAACCACCAGTGACACCCTGATCATAACCAAACAGGAGGAAATCCATGCCGGCCAAAAAGCCGATGGCGATCTGGAGCTTGGTGCCATTTAGGCCCAAAAATCGCTTGGTCTGCATCTTTGCGATGACAAACCTCTTTATATAGCTTCAATCGGCGCAGATGTTGACCGAACCAGCCGCAGGGGTACGAAGAGAATACTAAAATGAAAAAATGATCAACGCGGGGAACTCGGCGGTTTAAAAAGACTTCAGGGGAGCCTTGACCTCTTTGGACCGGGGCCATTTTGAGCATTGCCTCTTGCAGCCGAGCCGCTACAACAAAGAAAGAAACATTATTTGATTTGAAGTGCACTTGATGCGCAGGACCCACAGCTTCATCCAATATGCCCATGCGAGAAAGCAAGGTCAATCGTTATTGGCTGGCTGGTTATCGCTTGGTTTTGTTGCACAGACATAACGGCCTTCCGGTCCCGATGCAAACCTCATGGCTTTGAAACATATGGGGGACACTTTTCGGCCATACGATTTACAGTACTAATTAGCCCCATGTCATATGTCGTGCAAATGTATCGATATTCCGGCTTCTCCAGACTCAGTTAGTGGGATTTCGGCGGAGCCTGTTCTCAAAGCGCCCCCCGCCGATCACATCTCAGCCTGTCAGATTTCAGATTCAAAGTGGGAAACTCCCCGCGTGAAATAAAACTGGGTCTAGAATAGTCTGGGGATGCGGGATAGGATTTTTTGTTTTGAGAGTAATACCTTCCAAGACTTCATCTAGAGCTTATACGCTTTCAAGCACTTTTGGATAATGCCAATAAAGTGCCAATTTTATGCCAATGCTCACTTTCTTTGTGTTTAAAATATCATCTTTGCATCATCCTCGGGGCGCAAACCACCTCACCCGCCTGTTTTGAGGAATAGCAGTAATCTTCGAAGGCCCGCTCTTACAATCTGTGCTTATTCGCCCTTAAATCCGATAGCCCGCAATCTTTGCCGGGAAATATTCGCGATACCGAAATCAACAGTCAACATCTTGGCGTCTGGGCATTACTTTGCCTAGACCATTTTTAGTCATCTTAAAAGATGGGTTCTCGGCACAGATTTCCTTTCAATTTGGTTCAAGTTTGTTTTCTTTTTTTTGGTTCCTGGATGTTGGACCGCGGAATAAAGCCGACCGTCACTTGAAACCAGGGGAAAATGTGACGTAGAAACATAAGTCGCTCTTTTGGGTACTCGCCAGGCTACAAGTCCAATAAAGTGCCAAATGTGGACTAATTGAAGCCACCTACTCCACTTCAGACTGATTGAGCCAACAACCTTTTCTGTTTGCCCGGTTTCTCATGTCGCATCATCCCTCTCTCACACCCTGCACCACGGTTGCGACCGAATCCTGGGGGATGCGCAATGCGACTTTCCCAATCAGGCAGTTCCGGTTTGCGCAGCAACCCGCGTTCTGGTCTGTCGCGTTCAAAACCCCGTGTGGCTACTGCTTAACACCCTCTTTTCAGCCCCCGACGATATATTTCTAAAACAGATCCACAAGTCTCCTGATTCCCTTACTTCCATAGGCAAAAGTTGCGCGTGGCGCTTCCCGTCCGCCGCTGAAGTCATTTAACTCATCTTATTAAGTTTCTAGAAAGCCACGGCGTGCAGATCGCGCCCAAGAACTGCCTTGGGAGGTGCTCCGGCCCCTAGCGTGTGCTTCCATCTCTCGCGTAGCAAACTGGTCTTGGCAGGATGTGCTTCTCTGTCAACATTTCCAATAACTGAATTTGATGTTCATGATAAACTTATGGGGCGTCCTCCTGTCGGCCCGATTTCTCTATAGAGGGGCGCATAAAAGCCTAGCTCGGTTGACATCGGAAAAGCACCCGTCTCGTCGAACCCACCTCGGCAGCCATCTAGCTCAATCCCAGATGTCGTTTAGATATATCTTTTATATGGGACTTACATACTAAAGATACCTTCAGCAAATAAATCTTGGTAATTGAAAGACAAGTCTAGCTTGTACTACGATGTGGCTAATATTTTATACAATAGCCGTTTCTATTTATGTACGTATGTATATTAAATGGAGTAGCGGTTGAACAATATATTTCACCATACAAACGTTCAATATGGGAGTTTTACTTTCAAACTACAAAAATATCTATAGATTTATTTTCCGATTGCCTTGCATAGAAAGGCGATTTCGATATATCTTTCTATCAAGTTTTAACTTCTCTTTGCGGCATCTTATAACCTGGTTGAGTTACATATATTGAAAGCTTTTTTGGTCCAAGGTAGCTTTGGTATGTACGCCCCATACGAAGGACACCTTGAAGACAGATCTGGGATTGAGCTAGGGAACGCGAACACCCGGTTACATATGATCGATTCACACTAGTCACACCTAGATAGAGCCATCAAACTATCGATCTATTGTTCTAAGCCACTATGACGATGCATCGTCTAAGGGAACGAAGATTATGCCAAGAAAAAGGTACGATTTAAGAACGAATGCCTCGTCTACCAGCTATCCAAGCTTGGAAGATATATTGAGGACAACAGCACCAAGTTGTAACATATTTATACCTCTTACATGCTCGTATTCATTTCACAAAGAGTTTATCACAGGCTAGCCTAGTTAAAAATACATAATCCGCTTGAAATACTATAATATATCTCATCGGTTTTATAGACAGAACATTCAAAGGACCAGATAAAGCTCTACCCAAACGCAACCCGATAACCTGGCAATCAACTCACGTGCATTCTTCGGAGGATTTCAAGCTCATCCACTTACGTCGTTCATGCATCAAGATTCTTCGAGGATCTACCTAGGTACTGGCAATAGGATCCCATTCCCTAGGCTAGCTTCCCTGTTCTTCATCCCTTCAAGCCTCAAGATACTTGTCTTTGCCGAGTACCCGTCCCTTTCCAACCCACTGCCTCTAAATATTTGCCGACAGTTGGGTGCCTTAGTTTGAAAACCTCCAGTGGAAAAACTAGTCAGCATGCCACTCATTATCCAATGTAAGAGTACTCTTCAAGTGAGTTTATTGCACAATAATAGGAACCCGGAGTATCTAATCTCCTTGTACAATGGAAAATTAACGTCGATACAACATGAAGGGTATCTTAGGAGTCAGTGGGTTGGACAGGTGTATCACATAAGGTTATCTGAAAGAAGAGGGAAGGTTCTTTGGAAGAGTGTGCGACTACCGTTATCTTCGCCAGGGGGAATATGCAATATCAAACGATCATAAAATCGCATGATTGATACGACAAAAAGCTAGATGTGAACCAAGCCTACTAGTTATTCCGCAACCGCAGATGCCCATAATAATTAGTCTAATTTGATTTGCGAGTTGCACGTTCCTAATTGAAGCTTGATGGCATACGCAAGATTTTGCAAAGATATTGAGGATTCCCCGATGTTGCGTCGACTTAATGTCATGGTACTCTAAGCGAGAAAAGGCGGTCTTATATTATAAACGTGGATTGAAGCTTCAAGATCACATAGAAGACCCATCCGTCAATCACCAACTGTAGAAATGACTGACTAGTTTCCGTGGATGTGCAGTGTGATCAATGAGTGTTACAGTTTCCCGAGAATGTGGGACCTAGTGACCGGCTGGGAAGGTTCGTCCTCAACGAACACTCATGAATATACCCCGAGAGATCTCATTCAGTAATTGACTGAGGAGCGACAACATATTCATAGATCGAGCTAGAGATAAAAAAGTAGGTTGATACTGGTAAAATAATTTTGCTGGTGCAAAGTTGTTTAGTGAGCATCACCTAGGAAAAACCGCAGCATACCAACGCACGTAGAATGGAATGTGCACAGAAAGACCCGACCTCATATCAAGGTACAACCCCCTTGCTTAATTAGCTCAAGTGGGTTACATGAAATACTGTCTGGAGTATCTAAAAAATAGTCTTGGCTATCATACAAGAGAAAGAACATATTGCCAAAGTCCTAGCTACTTGAACCAAGTCCCCTTCTCGTATCCACGTGCGAATGATACAACAAAAACAGCTTTTTTTTTTTCATGAGTCCCCACAGTTGATCTTCATAGCTGGGGGAATATAAGTTTGGTTTCATGGCAGACAAATCGAGCTTGAGAGATTATCGGGATGATTTCTCCACGGACGGAGATGATATCCCATTGAAAGAGGCAGGAGCGGAGGATAGCGATGAAGATGAGAAGCAAGAATATCCAACAAGCTCGAAGTTTGTTCCTATTCTGATAGGACTATGCTTTCAATCTTTTTGTATCGCGCTGGTAAGTTTCCAATCCTGAGGCGTGATGTTACGCGACTAACAAGGAAAACCCGTTTCCTCAGGACAACACGGTCCTATCAACCGCCGTCCCAAAGATCACCGAACAATTCAACTCCTTGGACGACATTTCCTGGTATGCCAGCGCGTATCTCCTCACTACGTGTGCAATTACTTTGCCGTTCGGCAAGATATACACGTACTACTCCACAAAATGGACATACCTGATTGCTCTCACCCTTTTTGAGATCGGATCTTTGATATGCGCGGTGACGCCGACGTCAAAAGGGCTAATATTCGGACGAGCAATTGCTGGCATTGGCTCTGGCGGACTTTCACCGGGAGCTCTCCTAGTGCTCGCGAATAGCGTGCCTCTTCACCGTCGCGCACTTTATTTCGGTATAATTGGCAGCACCAGTGGAGTTGCGACGATCACAGGACCACTGTAAGCCTCATATTCGAACCTTATCTTCGCCAGTTGTTATGGTAGCTAATCTTGGTCAGACTTGGTGGAGTGTTGACTGATCACGCCAGTTGGCGGTGGTGCTTCTGGATAAACCTACCCTTTGGTGTGCTGACAGGAATCGTTATTTTGATTTTCTTCAAGGATTTAACACAAAAAGCAGTCAAATCCAAAGTCAGTCACCTGGACCAGCTGAAAAGGATGGACCCGTTCGGTATTCTTGCCTTCGTCCCCGCCATTGTTTCTCTCCTACTATGCCTGCAATGGGGCGGCACCAAATATCAGTGGGGCAATGTTCGCATCATTGCTCTTTTTGTTTTGTTTGGTGTTTTTGGCACTATATGGTGCATTGTTCAGATTTGGAAACAGGACGAAGCCACAGTACCACCGCGTCTGCTTAAGAATCGCAATGTTCTAGGAGCAGTGATCCATGCAACATTCTTGGGGGGGTCGTTTTTCGTGTTGGGATACTACGTGAGTAACACAATTTGTCCATCCAGCTGCAGGGCTGACCTGATTCTTAGCTTCCAATTTGGTTCCAGGCCGTCAAAGAGGATACTGCCTCGCAATCTGGAATCAACAATCTCCCGATGGTTGTGTCCATGATTGTTAGCTCCGCCGTAGGAGGGCTTCTTGTGAACATTGTCGGATACTATACACCACTCATGTTCATCGGAAGCGCATTCCTTACAATTGGCTGCGGCCTGTGCACGATTTTCACGGTTGATAGTGGGAATCCGCAATGGATTGGATTCCAAGTGATTATTGGCATCGGAGCAGGACTTGGCTTCCAACAGTGCATAAATGCACTGCAAACTGTACTTCCCTTGCACGATATACCGGTCGGCATTGCCATTATCACTTTTGCTCAAAGTCTCAGTGGCGCCATGTTTATCTCAATCGCCCAGACTGTGTTCGAAAATCGCCTCGTGGTAAGCATCACAGAGCATGCTCCTCAGGTGAACCCAAATGTGTTGATTAAAGCTGGAGCTGCAAACTTGCCGAAGCGAGTATCCAAAGAAGTTCTACCATCCGTGCTTCATGCCTACAATATCGCTGTCACACAAACATTCTACGTGTCTGTTGCAGCGGCTATACTGTCGTTTATTGGTGCCGGGCTTGTCCAATGGAAGTCTATGAAACGACGACAGAAAACTAATTGTACGGATTGATACCCAGAGTTGGTCGTTCTTCATGAGCGTCGTGTACTGATGTTGTGTTGGTTGATTTGAGATTCGTGAACATTATCTGGTGCCATCGCATGTAAATAGCACTTTGAGATTGAAGACAGTTTTGACAGAATGAACACAGATTATTAGTGAACTCTAGTTGTGGAACTGGGCATAAGACAGACCTAGAAGCTAATGAAAGCTGGAAAAATGGATGGTTATACACAAAGCTCATGAAAAGAAGACCAGCCTACATCGAAGAAATCACATCCAGGAGTACCCCAGCTACTCCAATTTGTCACCAAATAAATTACCTTCATATGGTTCGCACAGCTCTTCCCAAGTGAGCCACTGCCCATCCATATCCACCCATGCACCGACGGAGTGCACGCTCGAATTAGATGCCGTGGGAAAGCCATGAGCAACAACCCATTTCCGCCCATCAATCAAAATGTCGGAAATTTTGTTGTCTTCCTTGGAAGACTCTAGTCTGGCTTCCAGAAGGGCCTTCGCATGTTTTTGGAACCACAGTCGGTACCACAAGTCGTCGAGATAGGTCTTTTCACCGATGCAGTGGAATAATCCGTAAATGTTCTTGGTCACGAGGTTTGTTCCCAGACGTAAGCTAGAGACGATGCTATGTTGGTCGGCCTCGAGAGTATGGCTGATTGGTTTCAAGAGCCGACTTAGAGAGGAGACCACGTTGGTAGGGAGATAGATCTCATAGGGTTGGGGATTTGGGGATTCGATTGGGTTTTCGGACACCGAGGCCCAAAGACCAATCCCATCTGGAACTGAATTTGGGAAGCTTAGATGCTCAAGGACGTGATCGGAGCCCACGCGAGTTTGGAATAATCCGGACTTGTAGTCGATGCCGATGTGGAACTCCGTTTTCTGCCCAGCCTCCCTAGTCGGGATAATCTGATCTGGGTCTCCCTTCGGTGCGATGTCTTTCGGATTCACATCATCGTGGAAATATTGATTATGTCGGTTGACGGAACGCCAAAATTCCTGTTCACCCCATACATCACTCATGTATCTTTGGTCAGAGTCGCTGAATTCGTGGATTGGGTCATATGTGGCTTTGATCTTTTCCAAAGTTGCAGCAAACAATTCTTTCATGTCTCCTACCGGGCCCAATATCGTGCCGGAATTCAGCCATCGGGGGAGATTGTGGCTCAGTTGCCCGTCATCTGGCCCAAATGCACCGACGGGGATGTCGATATCCTCGGGTATGGCCCAACATCCTGGCCGGTTCCAATCAAGCGGATAGCAAATCTTCTCTGGGCCAAAGAGAATGGTTTGTCTCGGACTGTTATCTCCAACGAGCTCATCCACTGAGTCTGCGCCGAAATGCGCAGCGATTTTGGCGTTTGCTGCTCCGATGACAGCGAAGTATCGCTGGATGAGAACATCGGCGGGGAGCTGGAAGACCACATCATAGCCATCGATCATAAGAACCAAATCATCCTCGGAGGCAGAGTTCAAACTATCAAGATAGCGCATTACATTGCGCACTTTGGCGAGATGGGTAACAGAGGCATCGAACTCCCCGGATTTGTTCCAACCGTTGAAAACCGGAATTGGATACCCCAGGATATAGACGATACGACAGCTCTGCATAGCTGGAGATTTGGGCCATTTGCGGGAACAAGCAAATGAAATTTGGACGTTTTCGGAGCGTCCTCGCTTTTACTTAGATCTGCTGTGCTTTTTGAATCTTCTTCGTTGAGCAAAGTCGTCTGTTAGAGTTAGATATTGAATTTCCAGTTGGTACTCGGATGTTTGAAATAGAATTGGAAGACAAACTCACATCATCTGATGATACCCGTAAAGGTATGTTTTCCCCGATCGGACTGTGGTATTGAAATAGAGTCACCAAGGCGACAACCACGAAGCTGATGAGAATTGCCCAGTGCCAGCGACTTGCCAGAAGCATCATGATGATAACCGTGGGCTCTGGAGGTGGTCACGATGGAGAGCAAAGCTCCTCCTCCCACTTTAGGCTTGATACAAAACTAAAGGGGAAAAGGCCAAGCGGATATTTGGGCACCTGTCTGAGCCTTCATGAGCCAAGACCGGATAGGTCTCTGGTGTTTCCACTCCCTGTTCTGCTGACAGCCAAGGCGGCTATGTGATGTAAATGCGAGACCCGAGAGGAAAAAATAGAATACGTAGCTGCCTTTGAATGCCAAGGTCAGAAATATTTTCCTTTACTTTTTTCTTTTTGGCTAGTGACTGTATAAATCATTCATTACGAGTGGGCCACGTACGATTACGACGATCAATGCCCCCACACTCGTATTGACGGTATTGGCCTTTCAACCATGCTAATTATTCTATTTATGAATTTTGAGGGGCGCCAACTGCACTGTTGGAATATAATATGATCCCACAAATTTGAAAGTTTCTTTCGTCGCTTATCGCGTGCCACTTTCGTTGCTCTCTCCATCACCTCACTTCCAGCTACAATCATAATATAGACAGGGTCCCGGGTTCAAAACCTCTGTTCTATGGGAAAATGAGCTACTCAAAGATTGATGAGCAAGCGGAGACAGAGCTAGCTTTGCTTTCTAATGAGGAATCCAGCTCAATATCGTCTTTAGACGATCTTGAAGCGAATCGCAAAGATAAAGAATCATCGCTTGCCACTACGGAACCCGAGTATCAAACACCGACTTCTGTGAAGTTCATATGGCTCGGCTCATACTTCTTCTTCAGCATGATGCTGACACTTTATAACAAGTTAATTTTGGGATCGGTGAGAATTGACAGCAACCATAACGAAGATCATGAAATCAAGAGCTGACTTTTGGGTTTCACTAGTTCAAATTCCCTTGGTTATTGACATGTATGCACACTACATTCGCTTCATTAGGAACCCTTGTACTCCTCAAGCTTGGGCGCTTCAAACTATCAAGATTAGGACGAAAAGAGCATCTAATTTTGGTCGCATTCTCTGTACTTTTCACGGCCAACATTGCTATGTCAAACTTTTCATTGTATGGTTTGATCAGAAACGCTATGGTTGAATATTCTAACCTATTGCCTATAGATCCCTCGTCAGTTTGGCATTCTTCCAAATCATCCGAAACACTGTTCCAATATTCACCGTTTTGATATACCGAGTTTGGTTTGGGCGCTCCTACTACATGGCAACATATATTTCGCTGTGTCCTATAATCATCGGAGCTGGAATGACAGTTGTTGGAGAATATCATTATTCTGTGCTCGGGCTATTCATCACTGTGTTTGGAGTCGTCCTAGCGGCAGTCAAGGTAATACAGCAACAACAGGCATCTTCGGAGGACTGTATAACTAACTTATCGGTAGACTGTGACAACCAACCGACTAATGACCGGGTCTTTGGCGCTTCCTTCTATGGAGCTTTTGTTTCGAATGTCTCCTCTGGCTGCCGTCCAGTCCTTCGTCTTTGCAGTCATTGCGGGAGAGCTCCCAGCGTTCTCAGAAGCTATGTCGCAACGTGCAGCTGAGTCTTCTAACCTTGCGACTATGGCCACCATCGCTTTTCTGCTTGGAAATGGCCTGTTGGCATTCTTTTTGAATGTTTCCTCCTTCCAGACGAATAAGCTTGCTGGAGCACTAACGATGTCAGTGTGTGGAAACCTGAAGCAGGCTCTCACATTGGCTATCGGTATCTTCATTTTCAAGGATTTCACGGTCGATCTCTTGAACGGAACTGGAATTCTACTTGTGCTGGCCGGCTGTGCATTCTTCAGCAAGGCAGAGCTGGATTCCAAAAAGAAAACTGCAACTACCTCATAATTATACTCCATGAACATAGTATACATAATTAAGACAAACGAATGAGAATAAATTGACATTCGACGTTTCTAATAACTGAGATTCGATCTAGAGGAGATCAAATGTGACGATACCAAAATTACAAGGCTCATACGATACGCATTTAATACAACCGAGCCGCAGGGTCTGAGAACCGTATTGCGGCTACGCTGGCACCGCCCGGACATAAGGAGCCCGCATATGTATCCGCCTCTACATCCTTGATATTGCGACGCGTATGCTGTATAGCTTCGAGCTGAGGTATTTCCGTTCTCGTATGATAAGCCCCCCTTTCGAGCGCTCCGTTCCGACATGATTATCGTATTCAAACGAGCGGACCCTTAATGTGATAATGATGATGCAATAATTCACAAGGATCAGGGGCCCAATCTGTTCAGGGCGTACGTACACCAATACTTCAATGCACGTGGGGACCCTCGGATGATTGTGGGGAGCGGAATGGGTGAGACAGTTGCGGTAGTTCATATCAGTTCGAAGAATGTGCACTATTTTTGATGATACATATATTACACTACCAAAAGGCATTATTTGATAGAGTGGGTAATCGGCTGCAGGCGAGTCATATGCGCTTTTACACCCTCGTGCAGAAGCGATAATTATTGTACTCCGTATTTAAGCAGCCTATGGCCGGTCATAACCGGATTTGGTTAGAGTTAAGAACGATCAAGGGTATGTAGGGCTGAAGCAGATCCTGGAGAGAACATACAACTTTCGCCAAGACAGCGCTTATAGATCAGGATATCGGGTCTAAAGGCTTGCCAAGTGATTAAGTGAAGTCCACTTGAGGGGATTTTTTTTTTTTTTTGAAACTTGGATCTTCTAGATCTGAAAGCGAGACAAAAGAGATCAAGAATCCGATAAATGCGTAGCGTATTAGAATTGAGATGCACATGGGCAATTGAAGCCTTGGGATTTGTTCATTTCGGACCCTCAGATACCAAGTGGCTTAGGGCCGTTCAGCCTCGTTCGGCATGTACATTGGTATTGTAATTGTAATACATGTTTTTCATATGCCTAATAGCCCATTCCCTCATTCTTAAGACATTCAAAGTATCCAAAAATAAAGTTTGAATACGCAGTAGTTGAACTAAATTTCAACCAATTGCCTGGCACAGGTGAACCGGATGGCTTCTGACCGCAATCCTGACTCGAACGGGGTTTTTCAAGCTAGAAATAACGCCACGGTCGAACTGTAAATCGAGGCTGATCACTGTTGATGTAATTGGTTGCATGAGATACCTTTGATTATCTTTCATTGGTGTATTAATTGTAACTATTACGTGTATATGCGCGCGATGCACGAGAATGCTGCAACAGGGTTGGCCAGAAGCCTGGTTGTATGAAGGACATTTGATGGCGCAAAGGAATCCCTAGCATTAATTATCAAACAATCCCCGATGCGCTTTAAACGTTTCAAGGTTGATATTGGTTGGTGCAAAGTTATGGGTCCCCCCACATGATGGCCAATCTATGGATAGATATTGGATCGTGATGCGGACATGGTCCTTTCCGGCGCTGTTCCACTAATCTCTGACAGGTAGCTAATTACCTTGGCGGAAAGAGAGGGAAAGATTTAAAAACGGGCAGTCATGTACCTGGCTGGGCTAAGTCTTCCGATGTGTCTCGGTCAATCTATATCTCCCAAGTGACACAACAGTACCCGATCAAGCTGCCTGGAGCCACTTCGGCTTTCGCACTTGTTAGAACTTACTGTTTTCAACCATGTCGTTGCTTCCTATTTCAGAAGTCGACTCTGAGACTTTCATTTCAGCTGAAGTGTCTACCGTCCCTACTACCCCTGAAGGAAGTCTCAATGGCGGCACAGATAAAGTCGACGCGGAGTCAAGCGGTACCAGGACGACTGTCTATGACGCAGATTCAGACTCTTCCATAGATCCACGACCAGTTCGAACTATTTGTTGCGTTGGTGCAGGATATGTTGGTATGTGTTGTATACTTCTGGCTTTTTTGCAGTCAAGATCCTAGGTTTGCTGATTGCCAATAGGTGGTCCAACTGCCGCCGTCCTCGCCTTTAAGAATCCCCAAATCCAGGTTACCGTCGTCGATAAAGATGAACGCCGGATTCGAAGGTGGAACTCTCGACACCTACCCATATACGAGCCAGGTCTTGCGGAAATTGTTCGAATTTCACGAGATGGGCTATCATCAAGCAAGGAGACAACGCCGACAAGCACCGAAGATGACGTCGATCAGCAGACCCAGTTAGAAAATCCAGTTTCCTCATCGGCTAGGGCGCCAAATTTGTTTTTCTCTGCCAACGTGGCGAAGTGCATTCGGGAATCAGATATTGTCATAATTGCGGTGAACACCCCTACCAAGATGCGTGGCGCAGGTGCCGGCAGTGCGACGGATATGACCGCGTTTGAAGCTGTGGCTGCAGATGTCGTGCAACATGCTAAAAATGGCGCGGTAATTGTGGAAAAATCCACAGTCCCTTGCAGGACAGCACAGATGATACAGGAGATTGTGCGTCACTCCCCGTCATTTAATTTGAAAAATGCTCATTATTTTCATTCATTCAGATTGCTGTTCGCCGTCCTGATGCACACTTCGAAATTTTGTCTAACCCCGAATTCCTCGCGGCTGGAACTGCCATCCAGGACCTGTTGCATCCAGACCGAGTGATTATCGGTTCCGCAACTACAGAACGCGGTCAAGCCGCAGCGGAGACTCTAGCTGGGGTGTATGCGGGATGGGTGGACCCATCTCGCATCATCACTACTAACATCTGGTCGTCCGAGCTCACCAAACTCGTGGCAAATTCTATGCTGGCCCAACGACTTAGCAGTATCAACAGCATTTCAGCAATCTGTGAAGCCACAGGGGCCGAGATCAATGAAGTTTCCGCTTCCATTGGAATGGATTCCCGGGTTGGCGACAAGTTCCTCCGCGCCGGCATTGGATTCGGCGGCAGCTGTTTCAAGAAGGATGTCCTCAGTCTTGTCTATCTCGCTGAGACCTTGGGGCTGAAGGAAGTTGGAGCATACTGGCACCAAGTTGTCCTAATGAACGAGTACCAACGCGACCGATTTACTCGCCGTGTTATCAAGTGCCTCAACAATACCCTTGTCGGTAAGAAGATCACTCTACTGGGATATGCCTTCAAAAAGAATACATCGGACACCCGCGAGGCCCCAGCCCTTGAGATTATTAAGAGTTTGCTTGATGAGAATCCCGGGGAGATCGCTGTCTTCGACCCTTGTTGCAATCCTTACGTTATTGAAAGCGAGATCCGTCAGCTGCATGGTTACGGCCCCCCAGCTCTCAGCGATGATGGTGGTGCTGTGAAAGTTTACTCGGATGCTTACGAGGCCTGTGCTTCATCAAATGCGATTCTCATCGTGACAGAGTTCGATGAATTTCGCAACAACGCGTCGGCTAATATCTCTCTTCCGCCAAGCCAAGAACCCTCCAAGGCTGTCCAAGAAAAGATAATTTCGGAGATAGGTGGCGTGAGAGACCATGCTTCTATCTCTTATATCCAAGATAAACTCAACGATGAGCCCAATTGCGCTGTCGACTGCCCAGACTGTCACCGAGAGAGCTGTAGCGACCCTGCTCCTCGCAAGCTTAGCGAGAGCATGCCGAAGAAGCAGGTTGACTGGGAGAGGATTGCGGAGAACATGGGGACGCCCAAGTGGCTTTTCGATGGGCGCTGTATCATTGACATTAAGAAGATGAGCAAGTTAGGCATCAAGGTTGAGAGTATTGGTTCAGCTGGTGATGGATTTTAACCATGCGGGAGCTTTTCGAGATTGGGAGATGTCACTCGTGTGACTAACTTGTTGTTGATAATATTTCATGATTTTATTTGTAAATAAATCATCTAATACGTTGGGTACAAGGAAACAGTACTTCCAGGGTCCATATAAAAAAGTAGCAATTAGCCGGCGATTACCCGGGGTATCCAAGATAAGATATCGTAGTGGAGCGAATAAGCTGTGGGGATGGCTTATGGAGGGGCATCTAAACGGGTTCAGGATTCCGATGAAGATTTTTTTCATTGCCTTGCACAATCATATTTCTCATACTGGATGCTTTTTCGTCTCGAGTGACTTGACATATCACCCGTTATCAGAATCATTTCTACGGGCAAATCCCGACTATATTGACTATGGCCCTTTCCCTTAGGAAACGATTAGAGAAGATGCCGAGATACGTGTCAGCCAGCATATTATGTTCGATGAACGGGTTGTTATTTGGGTATGCAACGTGATTTTTGGTCCTTATATGTACTACTTAGCGTTAACTTTTTCTGGATGGATAGGATGGACACAGGGATTATCGGACCTGTGACAGATATGAAAGACTTCGTGGCACAATTCGGTGGTAGTCAATCTGCTACGATTCATGGTCTCATCGTATCATCTATCTTGATTCCAGCGGCAATATCTTCATTCTTTGCTGGCCTTCTTGCAGATCGATTGGGAAGATCCAAAGGAATCAGCATTGGAGTTTTCATATTTGGAGTGGGTGCTGCGTTAGAAGCATCCGCAGTTCATCTTGCAATGTTTATTGTTGGTCGGTGTATAGAGGGTATTGGGGAAGGCCTTTTCCTAGGAACCTTGGTCGTGTATGGTCAACTCATCGAACCTTGGGAATCAGCCAACTAACTCATCATCTAGATACATCTGCGAGATCTCGCCAACGAGAGTCAGGGGAACATTCACAACAGGACCTCAACTCCTCATCACTCTTGGTCTTGTCACCGGATTCTTCACGTGCTATGGCAGCTCTGGAATTCAATCCTCCATGTCATGGCGCACGCCCTTCATTCTGCTCGCGTCTTTGTCGATGATCCTTTCCGCAGCCTCGCTCTTCTTCCTTCCTCCATCGCCTCGATGGTTGACTTTGCACGGCCGCGATGGAGAGGCAGCAGAGGCTTGGGATTATCTAGGTGTCAGTCAAGCAGAGCGAGAAAAGGTGGAGATTGAACTCGAATTTGGCGACGTTGTCTCCCCAGAAGTGCAAGACAAGGGGCCGAGCGTTACAACTTCCACAGAGCTCCAGACCAAAGCCAAACCCATACATACTCTGCTTGATCTTTTCTCTCGCGACGTTCGCTCGCGTACTAGTCTTGCAGTGTTTATGATGGGAATGCAACAGTTGAGTGGCATAGACGGTGTGCTATATGTAAGTTGAACGGCATGTGAGAGTTCCAGATTCCAGGATCCTGACCAAGATGCGATAGTACGCTCCTCTCCTGTTCCAACAAGCCGGTCTTGCCTCCTCGGAAGCAAGCTTCCTCGCATCCGGTGTCTCAGCGCTGGTCATTTTCGGCGTCACAATCCCCGCATTGATCTGGGCCGACCAATGGGGCCGCCGACACAGCACAATATACGGCGGAGTTGCGCTGAGCATCACAATGTTTTTGATTGGAGCTCTTTACGCCTCCGGATCTGTTCATGCTTCCTTCGGAGCCGGACGTTGGGTAGTCATCGTTACCATCTATATCTTCGCCGTGATCTACGCCTTGACATGGGGAGTCGGAATCAAAATCTATGCGGCTGAGATTCAACCCCAACGCACTCGTGCGTCAGCTACTAGTCTGGCGCATGGCAGTAATTGGGCTGCGAACTTCCTAGTTGCATTGACAACTCCAATCTTGCTGGCGAAAAGCAGCTTTGGGGCATACTTTCTGTTCGGTGGCTGCTCCATTTTGACCGCCATTGTTTGTGCCCTTTTCATGCCGGAGACGAAGGGCAGATCACTGGATGAGATTGAAGAAGCGTTCAAGCGAAAATCGCCTCGCAGTAAGAGTATTGCAGACGGTGTGCTGCGGCCCATCATCCAGTGGAAACATTGAAGCGCGCTGTTTCATTGTTGCTCAGTAACATCGATAGTTTATTATTGTCTGGTTTCAAGAAGCGGAATAGGGAATATTGATAGACGGTAGCGGGGATAATCAACAATACAGATGAATATCATGAATGAAAATGGTAGTTTACAACCAACAACGCCAGCAGAAAGATCTTATTGCTTAGAGAATGCAACAAGATTCGGCACCAACTAGAGCTTCTTCACCATTTTTTGAGTCCTCGGGGGAATTTAACAGCTTCCCAGACGCAGTTCGCACGCGGTGGCTATTCAATATCAAACCCAAGCAAATTGCCTGACTCATCCATGGAACTTCTGCGAAGTCGGACTGGTACACAGCAATGAGCGATTCTATTTTTGCCAATTGGAAGATGTCATCTGTCGTAGCCCAGGCGACAATAAGACATAGCGGGCTGTACGACGACCCCACAGGCCGGTAACAAGAGGCCAATTCGGTTTGAATGATAATCTCGTTACAAAAGTGAGCGGTCTCTTCTGTCAAATTCGTGTTGAGCGGATCAAACACGCGAAGAAGACTGTTCAAGAGCACTGCCAGCGTACAGACAATGGTATAGGCTGATTGAACCTTGCAATGTCTGGCAACATCGGGGGAAGAGAAAGACACAAGAACAAATTTTGCGCATTCATCCAGGACTGGCTTTAGCGTTAGAGAGTCATTTTTGAGTATCAGATATATCCTTGCGATTTCGGAAAGATGTGCATCGGGATTTTGGACGAATTCGGGGATCATGGCGATATGATGCATCTGGGCAGATGATTGTGACTGCTCGTAGCCACGAGGGTTGAGACGACGTCTATAGGACGAGATAATTTCCCAAAATTGGGAGTCCATCTTTATACGAGGATTGACGATGCTTTCCAGAATCTGTATCATATCTCATCCGTAAGTGAATCGGTTGGGCAATTGGTTGATCCTGAGAGGAGTCAATATGAACACCTACTATGGGCGCACAAAGCGTGATGACCATTTCCATCTCAAAGGTGCCTTTCCATTCATGCAATGCCGCAGCTTTCAAGAGAAACGATATCGCCTCGCTATGACCAGTTATGGAATCATCGCTTTTACCTAGCCAACTCTATTGATTCCATGATTAGCTTTTCGCATTGTTTTTCAAGTTTGCGCTCACCCTGCTCTGTGTCCTTTTTGATTGTTCCAGGACACGGGGTGTGTCTAAACTCACCTGGCATACAGTGATCAGGTAGACTGCACATAGAGTATGTGCAGCCCGGGCCTCTGATGGGTTATTCAAGCAATTTCTCAGTGCTCGCAGTGATTGGCCGTAATGCACCAGTGCATCGCGCGGAACAGAGCCCGTGATGAGAAACGGATAGGCACTTGATATCGCTTTCACTGCCGAATCAAGGACGACACTATTCCCCAATCGCTGTGGGATATCACGGAAAAATGATCCGTAGTAAGACACCCCATAGCGGACGTCAGTCACCTGCAAAGTTGCTACGAAGGATGCTGCCAGACTACCGGTGGTAGTATTGAGTACCTGTGCCGGATTCCCAAGGGGGTTTGATAATTTGCGTTGGCAGGTGACAGTCGTTTGTTGAAGGGTTCCTGCATCTTGCGGTTGGCTCACTTTGATAGATTGGTTCTTGAACATGAACCGTTGTTGACCGCTTCCAACACACGTTATTTTGAGACGTGCGCAACGTGAACATGTCGGTTTTAGTTGATCGCACTGGCCCGTGCATTAATAAAGTATTCACTAGCTCCAAGCGTGGAGAAAAATCCCACCTTCTTTTTCACCTTGCGGCACGCATCGCAGCCTCGGCTAGATGGGACCCCTGGCATTTTTACCGAACGTCACTGTAGATTGTCGTAGACTTTTGGTTCGTTTTGGGTCAAGTGAGAAGAGTTGAGGCATTTCCTAGATACTGCATCCCAAATAAGATATTTGAGACGCTGAGTGTGTTTTGTTTCAACGACGTTAGGCATTGACACAGCCTCGAGCCAAGCCAGCCAAAGCCATTTGCCAAGATAACTTACTTGGCGGTAATATGCAGTCACCAATTAGTAGTAACGCACAGGTGTCAGAAATAAGATTGTGGCAGTTGCCACGCCCTCGATGAAATGGCCCCACCATGACCCGTTATTGCGGTCAGCCCAAGTCTCCACAATCGAAACCATCAATCTGGATCAATCATGTGCTGTGATCAGATTAGAGACCCACATCACGCTAGACAGCGCACCATTTCGCTCGATTAGGAATAGCCTGGGGCACTCTGAGATCTACATTCAGCTATCATGAAGAAACAATTCAACCATGTTAGGGTCTCAGTATGTTGTTTTCAGGCGAGCACACGAGAATGTTGGTAAGAGGCAAATTCCAACCTGATTTAGTGAATATATGTCATTGTCCTCGAAAACAGATATATATGTTGCAATGGATTATATGAACGGCTCTTTGATCATCCCAAAGTTTCTGAATTTTCTATCAAAATCTCGATATCAATTTTTCATTGGGTCTCACTATGGTAGCCCATATGTCCTCACTATTTTCATTCAGCTCTATCAGCAAGTCCTCAAACAACCCGGCCTATGTCTCTTTTTCTATGCGACCAGCACCTGGAGATCGGGCAAAGATCCTGGTCCATCCTTCAGGCTATTCAGGACAAGCCCCGCCTATATACTCGATCACAATATCGGAAACGAGTACCCCCAACGTGATTATATTTCGCGGCTGGGGAGGAGGGCCATGGGACATCGTTGGCGACAGTCGGCTTTCAACCTTTTCTTCCAAATGCCATCTGACCATCCAAGGCCAATCAATGGAAATGCGCCTCAACAAAATGTCGGGCACCTGTACACTCGAGAAGCCTACAATGGGCAAATTGAAGTGGAAGCTAGATATGACATTGAAAACCCTGGAGCTGCGCGATGCTTCTGGTACGAAGTTGGCAAGACTTTACTCGGGGAAGGCATCGGGAGAAAAGATTCTGGATATTCTTGTCCCACATGATACTTGGTTTCTGGAATTAGTGCTTCTCTCAGGGTTGACTGCAAGAATGAAAAACAAGACTGAAATGGAGGCTGCAGGGGAGATTTTGAGTTCTATCCTAGGGGCTTAATATGTCTATACTAAACTATAATCGATGTGGTTGTCATCTGTAGGCGTAATGGGGGCCGGTGGATTGTCTAAAGTTGAGTGTAACCGAATGAGAACGAATTGCAATAAGATCTCATAATTTTTTCTTTTCACTCTTCTCACTTGGTAAGGACTTAGAGAGACTGTGGTATCTTGATTCGAAAAAGATGCAGACCGACTTCTCAACATGGCGCACCTTGCTTCCGTGTGATACATTCTTTTTGCCGACACCAAGCACCTGGCTGTTATCGCAGCTAACGCCTCTTGCGGGGCGATATGTTCTTTGGTGCCTCCGAGAATCGATTTCTAGCGATGTTCCAGCCCTAGGGCGGAGCCCAGAAAGGGCCAGAGGTGTGTTGATCAACTGTAAGATCTTCACTAAAATCTAATCAGAAAAGAGTTGGCCCATCACATCTGAACATATTCTGAAAGAGCCTTAGAGCCAGCCAAGGAATCGGATCAGGTTTTTGATGGCATAAAGCGGGCTCGCGATGTGAGAGAAAGCGGCTAATCAACGAGCGCGTTTATCGACATGCACAGCAAGGGCGATTTGTGCTCATACTCAAAAGTGACCGTTGGGTTAGAATTCAAACTGTGACTGCTGTTGCGAAGGCAACTTGTGGAAAATTGCTTGGCCGCGAAGTTTCCATCCTGTGGATTGACGCCCATGCCGATATCAACACCACACAGAGCAGTGCGGGAGGAGGGATTCATGAGATGTCAGTTGAATTTTCTTTAGGACTGACAAAGCCTTCCAGTGAGGAACCCTCTGGTTATATCAAAAAGTGCGATTTGATCAATCTCGAGCGGGTTGTTTAGATCGGGCTTCGGAATGTCGATGATGCTGAGAAGATGTTAATCGCGGAACACAATATCGAAGCTTTCAAGATGGAGGATATGCGAGTCATATTCTGTTTTCGTGCTAAGTGCCGTTTGACGTGTTGGTCAGTCATGGTATCGAGAAAATTTGTAAACCTAGCCCTTGACCATATTGGTGAGACTCCGAAGCATGTCTCTTTTGATATAGACTCGCTGTATTCGGGGCGACGCCCTCTACTGGATTTCCTGTCGCATCGAGTTTGTCATATGTCTCAAAGCGACTTGGCAAATCAACTTGGCGAATCAGTGAATCTTGTTTCGATGGGATTGGTTGAAATAAATCCCGATTTTGAGAACTTCAAATTGGATATCACAGTGGAATCTGGAGGTGCAGTCATCAAAAATGCACTAGTAGCATAGTAACTAGCACGCCTCATGGTGATATTTTCATGAAAGCTGGCAACAGGCTCCTTAAATAGTAATCATTGGATGGGAATAAATTTTTCGGATTTTTAACAACAAAGTCAAGAAAGCGAGTCATCGTTACCTACTGAACTGAATCTGTGTAACGGTGACGAGAGGCAGAGGCCACTGCTGCTTACTGAGTTTTTCAATCTCTGACTCCTTGAAAGAAAAAAAAAAGGAATATTGTCCATTGTTGCCTATCTATATATATACCAGATTATCCTAGGTCTCGAGACCTCTCCCTTTCATGTTTGTGCTCACCTCTCGCCGATTTTGATCTCAGAGCTACTGATATTTGAGAGAATTACTAGAGGAATTTCCTAGTATACTTCGATCCGAAAAGTGAGTATAGAGGTTCCTAAAACGAATATCCCTAGGTCGGGTGACGATTGAGCGTTTTACGCAGCTACCTTGTGGATGCAGGCGGAGTGCGAAACTGCGTAAAAGACATATCCAGTTTTAAGAAAGGGGAGGGATCGCGGCAGAAATAAGGAGAACGTGAAATTGTGACAAAAGTCTATGGTGCGTGTGACACGTCGATTTCCTAATTTGGATCACGACTGTGCGGCTCATTGCTGTATATAATATAACTTTGTTTTTCATTACCCATTTTCACTTCTTTTTTTCATCTCCATGGACCTCTCCATTTGAGTACCATTTCATTAGCAAGCCTCAACGCATCTCAATACACTTCATCGTCGCCGTTTTCCTCCCGTTCCATACATCGAAGGACTTGGATATGGAGGAAGCCCGTTTACCGGATCATGAAATGGAAGACACGCACCTTCCTAAGCGCCCCGAAGTTGAGACTGATCCAAACGATCTCGCAACATTTGACATGATTGAGGTAGCTATGCCATCGTGTTACATGTCTCCGGCCTGTTCTGCTGGGCTCGCTGTTTGATCCCTCCTCTGATCAAGGATGAGACTAGGACGCCAAGCTAGATGCTTGTCTCGATCGAATTTGGATCCAGCTCTCCGAATTCGGAATGTCCAAGCTCTCAAATGACACAGGCAGCAACGGCCTACAACTGCCAGACTTTGAGTCTTTCAATAAGCAGCAGAAAGAAAGATTGGAGGAGCTTACGACAGAGTTACTGGACAATTTGAGGAAGCTTTCAGGCCCAACCTTCGAAAGCAATATCTTAGAGAACGAGGAGATACAGAGACGGCTGTTACGCCGACTGCAGGTCATGATCGACCACCAATCCAAGGTGCCAGATGGACCTCAGGACAAACTCGGTCCTTGGGCCAGCGGTTTCTTTAGTGAAATCGCAGATCCGCTATTTGACAAGTTCTGTCAGTAGTTAGATGGCATAAAGGCTGAAGACCCGACAGTGGTCCCTCTAGCTGAAATTGCCTTTCGCGAGCGCTGTGACAAGCTAAGAGCGTCAATTTACAACCTGAACACTTCTGCTCCGTTTGTGTGTGGAGGCCTGATCCCTATTGAAGATAGAGATACGCCCTCTACGTCTCTAGGGGATAACTCGGTATCTCCTGCTGTGACAGTCTTCTAAATTTCAGGTGGAGATCATAAGGCGCAAAAGCTAGCTCTACCTCTTGACCGAAACTCCGATCCCGACTCGGCAGCCGACACCCTGAAATAACTAGTCGCTGATTGTGATCCTGCTAGTTTTGGTATGGGGAGCGAGGACGTTATTGATCCTAAATATCGCAAAGCAGGCAAGCTTGATCCTAAGCAATTTGCGACCAGCTTCCACCTGTCCGCCTTCAGAATCCTCGATAATGTAGAGCAGATCCTTCTCCCAAATTTTGAAAAAGCCGATCGGAGGCCTATACCCTTGCGGAAGTTGAAGGCTCAGTTGTACAAATTGAATGTATACTGATTCTCCAATGTAATAAGATAAGTTCTATAATTTATACTGATTTTGATAGGTATACTCTGGTCCGTCTGGGCTTTTCAAGAAGCATGTCGACACACCCCGATTTGACACTCAAATTGGGTCGCTCGTTGTTTGTTTTCCATCGCCATTTCAAGGTGGTATTCTGATCGTTCGACACCAGGGTAAAGAAGTCGACATCGATTGGAGTCAGAAGAGCAAAACTACGATTCAGTGGGCTGCGTTCTATAGCAACTGTGAGCATGAGATCAAAACTATCACAGAAGGGAACGCATCACTTTGACATATAATTTTTATGTGACTACCCCGATAGGAGGGTCTATTCCACCAAAGTCAATTGTTAACCCCAAGAGCTTGTCTCTACATGGGTTCTTAAGAAGCATTTTCATGGATCCCAAGTTTATAAGAATAGGTATGTTTTCCTAACAACACAAAGCTCTCTGCAGAAGACTAACTATTACTAGGTGGTGTTCTTGGTATCTATTGCTCTCATTCATATCCGCATACATCTCCCGAGGTTAAGAGACTACTGCCGAACACGCTTAAGGTCGCTGATCTTAAGCTTTACTCTGTTCTGAAAGATCTAGGGGTGCATGTCGAGATTAGTCCTGTGATGGACAGCGAAAGCAGATATTTTATACTTTCCATGAGAATGACAGTGATTATCTGACTCAAAGCTATGCTGAGGGGAAGTCGCTCGAAGAAGGGTGGTCGACCTTCCTTTCCTCGGCGCCTATTGGTTCTTCCAATCTAGACATATACGGGAAATTTCTTCTGTTTTCGCGCAGCATGGAGAATTTTGAAAACTTAATCAAGTTTGCAAAGAAAAACCACCTCGAGGTTGACTCTGATCATTCCACCAAAGGCCGTCTACTCGGAAGGCTGAGACCATACATTACCACCGACATAGGCGAATATATGGAATCTAGTGACGTGAGTGTGACAGGAGCTGAGACATGAGAATATAGCTAATAGATCGCAGATCATACGCCGTACTCGAACTGTTGATGTTGAGTATTTGCCGGGAATTACGTGGATCAATTCCAGCAAACATCAGGAGATGGACTTTTCCTTCATCCTCTATGGCAACGAAGCCTCTATTGGCACATGGTACTCCTCTGCTGCGCTTATCGTCGGTATCCCACCCTTCTACAAGCGACAGGAACTCGCTTCAGCCCGAAGTTGGTAATGAATCTTGCTAGTTGAAGTTGATGGCGACTTCGACCTGTGAGCTGGTGCTTTCTGTTTTGCTGAGTTTGATTTTTATTATTTTTTATTGTTTTTTATTTTTGCTATTCTCGCTCGTGGTGATCCGTCTTTGATATGCTTAGCAGCATCAGTACCCACCCTAGTTTCCGAACGGAACCCTTCAATGAGTGATTTTCTTAGCGGTCATACAGTGTAAGAGTACTCCATGAGATTAGTCGATCGGTAGCCATTAGATATGCATGATTGAAGGGGAAAGAGTCTCCTGAGACTGCAATGAAAGACACAGAGTATAAAGAGATGTAGTTGTTGAAGTCGTATAGGAAAAAATTGTTGCCGGAGTCGAAAGCCCCGGGGAACAAAATTAAAAGCTCCGCTGTAGTTTGCATGGTTTGCAGCCCGCCCGGTGTATAGCAATGACATGTTTTATACTTCGGCAGCGTCTAAATTTTGGTATTTTATGTATCATCATGTTAAATACAGCAAACTGGATTGACGTGCATCACAGGCCTATCTACTTAAATAATTAACTAGCTTTTGAAAGAGAATCAAAGTAACCCGGAAAATAATACAGTCTAATATCGTGCATATGAAACCCACAAAACAGCCCTCACATTGATCTCAGATGGATCATCCATAGCGGGAAAGTCACGCGACACCTGCCCATTTCCGATGAACAGAACGCCTAATCTCAAACCCCATTTTCAGCATCTTACCTAGGTATATTGCCCTACGTTAATGAATTAAGTTAAACCGATCCCTAATCCTCCTAAATATAGCCAAACCCTGAGACATTTCCTCCACTGTAAGCCAAGCGAAAGCGAATATCTCGCATCGCGATCCAAATGCGGACAAAATCTACGCGCAGGCCTCGCTGAGCGTAGCATGCGCGACGTCATACATGTTAGGGGCCGCGCGGAGCACCGCCGTGTAACCAATTGCGGGCTGCCACCGAAGCCTTCGGGAAGGCTTCGGGTTGAGCTCGTGCCTGGTGGGATTTTAGTGCGCTTGGCGTTGGTCTCGGCGTCACTAGGGCTGACACTGTGGGGACTGGTGCAGAGCGAGGTTTAAACGAGACTGGCCTCATAGGGCGGATAACTAGTATAGTAAACACTGCATGGATATTCAGGGATTGTTGGTATATTTATAAAACTTGTTGATGAATGTGTAGATGATGTATGTACATATAGGTAGTTAGGCGCAAGTGTCGATGTAAATATGCGGTCATTAATGCAACTCTAATCTTATTTGGCGCGTTGGGGCAATGGCGCATGTGGGAAAGAAACTACACAACCTGGACATTATTACTGATACATCCAAGAAAAGGGACCTCCGGGTATAATCTGTACAAAAATCGACATCGCGAAGCACCTAGTACCTCGGTTTGGGCCAGCCAGGGATGTCACCAAAAAACCGCGACCGATAGATCTCATTGCCTTCCATGATCTTCGTGCGCACGCCATCAACCACAAGACTCGTATGGTTGCCACGGAACAGCCTCCACAGCGACTGCGTGTAGATAAACGCGCCGTCCGGTGCAAGACTTAACGCCTTCAGATCGGACTGCGGCAGCTCCTCCCACTCGCCTTGCCGGTTGATGCCGTGCCGGTCGTTCGACGTGCACTCGAACCCAGGCATGTACTTGTCAATGACTTCCTCGAACTTGGCGGTGAACGACATACTCTCGATGTCGAACGCGTGCAGCCCGATGTCGTTGCTGACGATGAATACTCGCTCGTTCGGCACGGGAACCAGGTCGTGCGGCCCAGACCACCAGCTGTACCCGTGGCCCCATTCCGTGTCGATGTCCCAGTATTCAGGGAAGGTGAACTTGAAGGCCGGGTCGTCGCGAAGAAGCCCCGTCACGTTGTCGAATGGGTACCCCTGGATCACGCCATAGGCGGGCTCTGGATCTGAGCCATCCGCGGCTACATTGGTCCCGCACGCCCACAGCATCTGGCCGTGTTCGTCCCAGATCATGGCGTGGATGGCGCGGAGGCCTTCTATTTTCTGCAGGATGGGGGGTCGTTGAGTAAGGGGAGGGCGGAACTCATGTTGTATATTTGAATGCCGTCTTCTGCGCGTTGGCCGGTTGTGGCGACGGCCAGGCGGTCGCCCGGGAGGGGTTCAATGCTGTGCGAGTTCCACAGTACGTCTGTGCCTCTGTCGAGGGCGAAGGTGATTTTCTTGTCAATTGAGGGGGAGTCAGGGGTGTGATTGACGACCAAGATGGCATTGCTGTAGATTGCAGCGACGGACTTGCCGTCGCGCATGTATTTCATGTCGGTCGCATCGTTGGCACGGCTAAACAGGCCGCTACGAATACGAGGTGGAAGGGGTTGTTTGACATCTTTCCGCTCCCAGGACCATTTGACGATTCCTTCTCGGTCGTGGATTTTTAATGTCGGGGGAATTCCATAATCACCCGTGATTATATCTTGCCAGGGGAGAGGTTTTAGGGCTGTTGAATTTTCGGCTTGGAGACGGGCCTGAGGTTGAATGAGTGGCGCTTGAAAGGCCAGGGGCTCGAACAATAACGAGATCCAACCGAATATACTGCCTAACATGATATAAGCATTTTCGTGAAACAATCGAATATATCAAGGGAAGAGAGGTGAGGTTATTAGGGGGGGGGGGAACCGATACGATAATTTTAGGCGAAAAACGAACGCGTACACTGGGGGGCAATCCTTGATTTGGCGGGTCGGAAGTCAGCCACCAACGACATTCGCTTTCTCTTTTTCCTTTTCTTTTCCTTTTTTCTTTTTTCGGGAAAATGACACACGACCAAATCACGTATTCGGCGGAGCGGGGCCGACAATCTCTTGGCTTGGGGGGTTTTGAAGGGTTTGAAAGGGTTTGGGGAGACTTGGGGCCACTACGACCCTGTTGGTTGAATGGAGTCCATCCGACTAATTCCTTGAGTCCTTGATTGGTCTTTGACTAGTAACTCATGTGGTACTTGATTCCGATGGGCTAATACTCGACTTTTCAGTGGGAACTGGTCCCTTTTTCCGTCTTTTGCTTACCCTTTTTCGCCCCTAAAATGTTCACCCTGTTTCAATTTCCTGTTCTTCTCCACTTTATTTTTGACCCTGAATAGAAACATGAAGTCTTGGCTGGGGCTCAACTGATCATCTTTCTCCCCCCTCCTCACTACCCGTGTCCCTTTTCCCCTTCTTTTCCATTCTTTCGTTTTGACATGGGGAGAAGTACATAATTTCCCATCATGAAAGTTGTTCACGCCGTGCATGCCTACTTGAGCCATGGTATTCGGCGTGTTCGAGTCTCCCCTGCTGAGACTCTAGACGCTGTGTGGGACTTTGCCCGCCGCTATTTTTTCACCCTTGCCTTTTTCTCGTTGTTCAGCGCAAAACTGCTTCACCTTTACGCTCATTTATATTCATTGCCTGCACCTAGATTTTTTCTTTGGGGTATAACATTCTTTTTCCAAGATGTGGCTATTCTATTGCTGTTCCGCATCTTCGCTCAGAAGATCGCGTGGCGACCGGGGGCTGCCCTGTTAGCGCTCATGGTGATCCCATCTAGGTAAGTGACCACGTGCCCTATTGACTTCGAGTCACCAAACAGAAAAGGAAAGAAGGAAGGAAAAAAACTAACAGTATATCATGGCACAGTCTGATCGTTTCGTTCATGGCATCCGCCAACGCCTCCTTTTATATCTTCACCGGTGCCGAGATCCACTGGCGCCAAGCCAAATCTTTCAATGGCGACGCAGCTGCCATTCACACACTTCTTACCGGTTTGACCGGGTTCTTGATTTTCGAGGGTATCCTCTTGACAATCTCCCTGTTCACTGCCCGTCCAATCCACGCCTTCACCGGAGGAATCCTACACGTATGGGCCTGGCCCTTCCGATGGGTCTTTGCGCGGGTGCGTCCGTACCTAGCACCCCTAGAGCAGCGGTTCTGGCCCAAATCGAAAGAAACTTCCCTCCCCGATCCCCGAATCTACGAACAGATCGCCATGGAAGACGCGGAGGATAGCGACAACGAGGAAGGAGACCACCTCTTGAACACACAATTGCCCAACCCTCTCCCGGAGTCGAAGCGGGTGACCGATGGTGTTCCCCAACGGGCACTTATCCTCGGACTTTTTAGTTTGTTTCTATTCCTTCGCTTCATGCGACCCTCCGACCCAGTATATATGTATTTATCTACCACCTTACCCTTGACTACCTTGGTTGAGGGCGGTCACCGCAACTCGCCTGTCGATACTACCGGTATGCCCGGCTACTATGATTATTTGGAGGGTGCCACCGCGTTGCACCCACCGCCTCGCTTCAGCTGGATACCAAATGAGCCCATGGATGGCTTCAACGACTGGGAGAAAACTGACCCATTGGCCCTGCACTACTCCCCGCAAAACGACCCGCTGTTCATCTCCAACCTGCAGAAGCCTGTGTTGGCTGAGATTCAGAATGCGCTGGCCAGCGGTGATGTCAAGATCAAGCACATCGTCTTCTTGAAGCTCGAAAGTGCACGTAACGATATCTTCCCCCTGCAGAAGGACAACTTCATGTGGAAGCGCATCGCGGAAACCTGGAAAGACAAGAAGATTCCCCCCGAGGTTGAAGACCGTATCGCCAACTTGACACGCACGGCGGAGTTCTTGACCAACTTCCCCACTGGATTCGAGCACGATGACAACCGGTTCAACGGCCGCAAGGCGTACGGTGGTCTCAGCGCTAAAAACGCCATCACCTCGTCCACCTACACTCTCAAGAGTTTGACGGGTAGTCTCTGCGGTGTGACACCGCTTGTCGCCGATTTCAACCGCGAGTTCGAGCACCACATCTACCAGCCCTGTCTGCCCCAGGTGTTTGATATGTTCAACAAGCAGGCAGACATCACCAGCGAGACTGATGACTTCGCCAAGTGGCCGTGGCACTCAACTTTCATGATGTCCGTCACTGAAATGTACGACAACCAGAACAAGTTGACTCCTCACCTGGGCTTCAAGAACAAAGAGACCAAGGAGACCATCACCAAGCCCGATGCAAAGCACTACCCCGTGAAGAGTGCCGAAGTTAACTACTACGGGTACCCCGAAATCGAACTCAAGGAATATATCCGCGATGCCATCGATGACGCCGAGCGTGACCACCAGCGTCTTTTCCTCACCCATCTGACCAGCACAACCCACCACCCATGGGGAATTCCCAACGATGCCTTCGAGAAGATCATGGGCTCCACCGCCGGACCCAACAACGACCTCAACCGCTACCTGAACTCAGTCGGCTACGTGGACGACTGGATTTCCGACCTTATCGACGTCCTGGAAGAAAAGGGCATCGCAAACGAGACCCTCTTCGTTATGGCCGGCGATCACGGCCTCTCTCCCCAATGACGGCGGCGTAACACCCTACGACAACCCGCACGTCGGCAGCTTCAAGGTGCCCATCGTCATCGCACACCCCAAATTACCCCCCGTGCAAATCGACAGCCCAGTAATCAATAGCCAAATCGTGCCCACAATCATCGACCTCCTAATCGAATCCGCCTCCCTCAGCATCGACAGCGCAAAGGCCGCGCGGGACATCCGCGGCCTCTACGAAGGCCAATCCCTCATCCGCCCACAAATCGTCGAACAAGACGGCCACGAAGCCTGGCAATTCACCGTCATGAACACAGGCGGGTCCTGGCTATCCGTGCGCTCTGCTGCACGCCCCGAATTCCGCCTCGTCATCCCACTCGTCGACGACGTCGAGTGGCGCTTCTCCGACCTCTCCAAAGACCCAGACGAGCTAAGCCCCATTGAGCGCTTCAGTCTCGTCGACCTCGCTACTACCATCGAAAAGGAGTACGACCAAGAGGCTCTCAGCTGGCTATATAATGGCGCCTACGTTGCGAACTGGTGGGTCAGCGAGAACTGGGATCGCTGGAGGTTCTCGCCCGAAGCCGAGAAGAATAAAACCAAGTCGGCTTCATGATCGCATTGGTCTCATATTTGGTGCTTTTCTTTATTTGCCATTTATTCTAATATACCTGCATGCCTGCTGGGCTTGGCTTGGAGGGCACGCCGCTTCGCGCCCCGTCGCAAGACCCGACACGGTTGGAGTCGGGTTGAGCGGCGGGTTGGCACTTGCCTTGCTCTTGCGTTTATGAACTATCGCGGAGTCGGCGAGATGCTCGGGCGTCGCGGCGTAGAGGCGATTTCTCATCATATGTACTTGTTTATATATCCATCCAATCTTACGCGCTCTATACTTGATTATATATGCATGTTGTGTTTTCGATGCAAATACAAGCATTTCTCACTCGGATAGTGTTCTGTTGAATCCGTCAACTAGACCAAATTTCCTAAATATCCTGATTTAGGAGAAGGCCTAAGGATCTTTCTGGGTTTGTCACATATTCAACACACAACCAAGGAATTGGGTTCGAATCTGGATAGAAGATCTTGGTTCATCCAATTACCTTTTGAATCTATTGATTTTAAGGTTCGTTCCACTGATCGTGAACTCAATGCCAAGATTTCAATACCAAGATGGTACTCCGTACAGTTGCTAACAAATTCGGCTTCTACAAGCTTTACACTCTTTCGCTCTTTCTCAGCGCCGCTTTCAGGGACTAGTCTACTATGAGCTTAGCTCGTTATTTAAGTATTTTACCGGCCGTCTGTGAAGGGACTATACCATAAACACCCGTATAGAATCTGTTCTATAAATATCCCTCCTTCCAGAAAATTTGCTGCAAACAAGGCAAACTGTGGCAGATCTGTGCCTGGACAGTCTGGCAACCTGTCTTCCTCCTCCTTTTTCAAGATTACATTCTGATAGATGTAGAAACTGGCACCACTCCTGGTTAAAATAAAACGCCAATTTGTTTTGTTTATAACTTGATTAATACGAGTTTGGCATTCCTTAGCGCAGTCTATTAAGTAAAGTAGACACCTCATTCATGCCCGTGTTGCGCCGTAATACTTCCTTCACTTTTTTCTTGCCACTTATTAATTGCTGCTATATTGATGGGCCGTTCTTTTGGTGAGCAATTTTCTCAGCTTGATGCTGCTCAACCCATAATGGTCCGGAGAATTCGAAATCACCATAGATCTGCATACTATCATCTATAAATTGGACTTACCGGTTTTCCAGCCTTGGTTTTAGCCAATCGTCAAATGATAGCGACGTTCATTCTCCTGACTACAACTATCATGGTAAAGGTGATGAAGTACTGTTCAGAAGTGAGTCCTCAGAAAAGTGTGCCTGGTGAAAGACTATAGTTCAACGTCCTAGGGGCTCCGAATTGTCCCGAAACGTCTCTGCAGCCTTGGAGGATTTTGTAGTCTTCAACCCTCAGTCCTATATATAACTTGAATGCTCCATGTGATTATACTACGATTTGAAATACCAAGTCGCTCCTCTACTCCCAACCTTTAATGACTGGTAGAATTTAGTACTTTAAATTCCTTCTCCTCGAAACACCCAACATAATAGAAACGAAATTGGGACCAACCTGATTGCAGCTGTCGACGACCTCCTGATCGACCAGAAGGGCTCTCCGGTTAACGGTGTGTCTTATGTACAAAATAGATCCGAAAAACAAGCGCAATAAGGGCAACAGGCTCTGTTAGATATTAAGAAAAGATTGATGGCCTGGTAGGATTACTCAGAAGACCTCCAGCTGAGCAATTTCATCAGGGCTTCGTTCAGTGGTTCTCTAATAACTTTCAAGGAAATATTAGCACATCAGCAAGACGTGTATCAAGATTACATCTAGTTCAGTACCTCAGTTCAGCTTCAATGCTTAGACACACTGTCTTCTTCCATTAATATCGCCTGTGGTGCAATCAGGTGGGCATGAACAAACGACGTCCCGCTGGTCGTCCACAAAGGGCGGGCAGTCGTCTTTCGGCGAAGGGAGCTGTACATTAAGTACTAGGTGCCCATTCAAACAACTCAGGCCTTTCGTATATGGACTGTAACAGCATTATGCCTGTCCATCTCCATCACATGGCTCGGTGATTACAGAATCACAAATAGTTTCTGTTAGGCCAACATAGTCTCTCCTTAATTAAAATGCGACTTCTTTTTGTTATCCTCTGCTGATAATAACTATAATACGAGAGCTTTATGAAGAAATAGTTAGATAGGGTAACGTTACCGTTGGCGCGTAGACGGGTAAGACATTTCGGACAAGCCGTGCGAACCAGATGTTCATCAGCAAAATAAAGTCTCGTGTCCGTACTGAAGAGCAAACCTTGCTGATCAAGTACTTAATGTGCGTAATGATAGCTTTGAAATTCAGGGGTTGAACCCCTAAGTGCTGACATTTGTAGAAGGCCCAATCGCATCCAGCCCGATATGCCCGCCTCGGGAAAAAAGGAAACATTGAACTTTGCACCCACGCATAGGCGTGCTGCATGGGGGTTTTCCTCGGATCTTTTTCCGGCGCATGCGAATGGTTCCATAATATATAGGAGCTGGACTTGGCTTTATGGGGTAATTATTGAATAGCATTATGGACGTTTATGCGTTCACGGGTTGTGGATGATGAGTATGAATGTGTCAGCGACATAAAAATAACACACAAACTGAGATAGAATTTACGAAGAAAAATTGGTAGGAACACAGGTGAACGTCATGAGATAAAACTTACGAATACAGCTGATACACAAACTTGTGTACAGTATGTATAAAATAGGCGACTGGGTGTTGCACATTCCAGCTCCTCTCCGTTTCGAAGATTGCGATACATGCTAATAGCGCCGATCTGGAAAAAAATGCCCCATATACAATATTCATTTTATTTTCCCTAGGATTCGGCTGCATGGTGTAAATAATACATTGAAATGAATCCTCCAAAACCACGATATTCGGTTCGACATGCATAGCACATGCCAACCCGTAGAGGCGTTGCCTTCGACTACTGCGGAAGATAACCAGCCATAACTAATCAACACGTTAATATCGAGACGTCTAGAGATTTCTCTTCACATCTTGCACAAATCAACCTTCCCTGTTTTGCATAGTTACTTGTGGATGCTGAGGAGAAGTGGGGTCGCTTAGAAGGACTCGGCAGTGTCGGATCGGTGAAAATGAAGGTGGAGTACGAGTAAATAACAAACACCTTGTAATTAGGAAACTGAATGCTCTTGTTTCAAAAACTTGTATTCCTCAAATATTTATCCAGACCATAAGTGGTGACGTGTCCCCATGCATTAGATGCTTACAACGGGAACTGGACTTTTTCAGCAGGGTCAAGATGTCAAAACGGATGTACAATGTACGATCCAAGCGTGGAGGATTTGGAATCTTTTCTACCCCGCGTGCGATATGCCTTTCCAGCCTGGAGATAAACTGCGCAGTTCGTGAAATCAAGGTGCCTACGTGTACGTACGTAATATGTACGTACTATCCTATAACCTTGCAGCTATACCAGAACAGTTGGGACACCTGATACAACACCTCAGTCACTATCTTTGAATACTTCTAGATCTATGATTACTGTTAAACTCGTTGTTAAAATTGAGCGAATTGAAATCGAAATAATACATCATTATATATTTTGAAGACATACAAGAATGTGTTTTACACCTTTTTCTTACCCCCAAAATATGGTATTTTTCCGCCGCAGGCTTTAAATCATTTTAATTCAATTAAGATGCTGTGCTTGAAAATTAGCAAAAACCCAAACAATTATACAATTTTATCGTAGTTTGAAGTGGATGGTATAACTATATTGGTACCTATAACGTATAGCGTCCCAACTACATAAGCAAGTCGGTACTCACATGAGCGGTTTCAACACTATTATTCAAGCAGATCGAAATGTGAAACCCCCTATGTGTAAAGTAGTGGTTTCATCACGAAGCTACAATAGAATGTATGAAATTCATGAACTAGTTAACTAACCATGATTTAGATACTTTAGCCGATGCGGATCTATCTTGAGCTGAAAGTGGAGGCGCTAAAAGGGACTAATTGTCCGACATGCAGCTTGTAAAAACAAGCACACATGGCAATATTACGCACCTACCTGGGCTGTATTACAGCATACTGGAAACGGACTTCTCCGGAGAACATACACTGCAAATGATACAAGTTCACCGAAGCGATTATTGACTTCTATGAGTTCTACAATAAGATCACTCCCGAAAACCACCCGAGCAAAACCCAATATTTGTGAAGATCCTGTTCGGTAGCTCGGGAGCTCAAGGAACGAAGTTTTATATGGATCTCTTCCGTCAATTCTCATACATGAGTTCTTGCTGGCACTGATCGGCAAATGAGGAAGAAACTAGCACTAGACCAAGAACCCCGCACAGATAGATGCCGGATGCTAATCGTCAGAACCGCCTGATTCCCGCGCCAATTTATGAACGGTTCATTCGGACCAAGGAACAGCTGTGGATATTTCTCTATTGGCTACCGATATAACGGATACAAGACCCATATAGCCCCGCACCATTAATTGACGGCAGACATCGTGTCCAGCTAGCCACTACCGGGTGCACGGATCGAATTTGATATTCAGGCCTTCTGTAGTATACAGGTGCCAAAGCTGCTTAGACTCAGGCTATTATCCATATTACGCTAACGGAGACGCCGAATTTTGGGCTGGAGGAACCTAGACTGATAGCCTTTTTTCAGTTTATGACAGTCTCGGGTGAAGGTGTATTTCTTGCAAACACCGAAGAAAAATCGGGTCATGAATGGTAAATGTGGAAGTAATTTCAGCCATCTCCTCAACACTGCAGGTTAGCTTGTCATTATCCACTTCTATGTTGACCAACCTGGGACACGAAATGGGGCTTTGAGCCCACATATACCATCTGTCCCTGTACATTGACTATAATTGGTGTATCGGGCATCACCACCAGCTTGGTTTGGGTCGATTGCATGTGCATCCTATGTCAATCCCATGCAAGTTTGAACGATCAGCGTATCCCTAAAGAAAGGAATGAGATAGTTACTACGATTTTGGGATTAGTTGTCCTTTAGCATCTCCACTGGCGGAACTATGTCCTAGTAATCGTCCAATGTGCAGTCTTTCCAGCTGCAGTGAGAGGCAAAAAGGAGACTGTGAGCTCATCGAAGCTGAATCTCTTCTCCACTCGCACCGCACCTGCTGGGGACTTCACTCAAACGGGAAGCGAGCGCCATGCATGCACTGCCATTGCACCAAATACTTACTGATAGGAGAAGTTCCAAATTGGGGAGATTGAAAATCGCCCACCTTGGCCTTTGCTTCAAATAGATGGCTTCTCCTCCTGAACGAGGTCTTTTCTTGTTTCCCCATCCTTTCATACTCCGGAGCCTTATGTGGTGATAGCATAATTCTTTAACATTTCTTTTTCTTAACAACATTGCGGGTTTGTGTCGATTCTTTTGTTGCTTTAAAAGCTGTTGCTCCAAAGAACCTACATCAGAACCTCTACCTCCCCCACCACGTACTGTCGGATATAATATTTCAAGGCCAAACATCAAAAAGGTCACTGTCCCTACCGCTTTAACGAAACAATCTCCTTCAATCGAGTCTAAAAGAATCAAAATGGCTCCAGGTATCATGTCCCCCGTTCCGGGAAATATTACCTCCCCTTTCTACAGCAGCTTCCCAGGAAACTCTCGACAAGTCTCGGCAATGTCCACTGTCTTTGACGGTGACAACCACTCCAACGGAAACCTGTCACGTCCGAGTAATTCGCGCCGCGAGTCGTTTATGCCTAAAAAATTCGGTACGGCTGGGAGCTCTAAACTCTCTGTTGTGGTCCAGGGACTTCAACGCAAGAGCGGTGCGGAATTGGGCGTCAACTCATCCTCTACCCTTTTCAACACCGATCATGCCACCATTTTGGAATGGATTGCCACAGAGCGTATGAGCCACCTGCCTCCCGAGGGAAGTAGTTACGACAAGGTGCTTGCTTGGGCCCAGCTCTTCGTTGAGCGTTTGCACTCCTTTGACGTTGCTATTCGAGACTTCGAGGGTGGCAGCTGGCTCGCCGCTCAACTATCTTACGGCTACTGTGCTATGCTACTTGAGGTATGTCTATTAAATTCACCACCTCTCATTGCATTACATGCTAATCCTGTTATAGCTTGGAAAGGAGAATGCACCGGCCTTGATGGCTTCCTTTGGATTTTTCTATAGCACTTCCTCTGCTTTAGTCAACCTCCTTGAACGGACTGAGCTGTTCGCTGTCTCCCAGGAGATCAAGGATCAGCTAGTTGAGGCCTTGGCTGATCTCGTCTCTTTGGTCGCCGGTGTCTCCACACACTTCCACCAGTCGATCTACGCATTGACCGAGGGCTCCATCTCTATCAATATCTATGAGACCTTCACTGGTCAGATCGAGTCATTCCGTGAACGCTGTGCTAAGATTTCGGACTCTATGTGGCGGCACCAACTCGTCAACGAGAGCAAGGATCCTGAGCTCGGTATGTATCTCGTCGGAAGTAGTTCCCCAATGCTTTACTGACCACTGTCGACCCTCTATAGTTCATGTCGTCAAGTCGGTTCGCACCTGGCTCTCTCCCGAGGATCGCGTTCTCAGCCACCTCGCCGAAAACACCTCCCACCTGGCCCACGATCGCGAGGAGATGACATGTCTCTGGATGAACCCATACTTGACCCGTTTCCTGAAGAGTGATAATCATGCTCTTGCCTTTACTGGTGCCCCTGGATCCGGAAAGACAGTGTTAGCTTCTGTCATCATCGACCGTCTGCAGGATCATATTGGCGGTGTTGCCTACAAGTCATTGTTCATTCCAATCAACGCCAGAATTCCAGCTGAGACCACACCTATCGCGATTGCCAAGACGATTCTCTTCCAGCTCTTTGAAAAGCGCATTGGCAATGTTCAACTGCTGCAGATTCTGCAGGATGCCTATGACAACAGCAAGAAGACCACCAACGAGAAAGACTACGAGAACATCATCTGGCGCGCCCTTGAACAGGCTCTCGGTGCCCCCCTCGCCCGCGCTAAGAATCTTGTCATCGTCGTCGATGGTGTCGATGAGGCTTCTTGCGGCGAGGCGCCCCTGCTTGAGAAGTTGCTTACCTCTACCTCCAACGGTACTAATGTCAAGCTGATTACTCTTGGTACTGAGAAGCCCCAGACTGCCGCCAGCGTGATGCAGGTTCATATTGGCCCCGAGCGCATTGCAGATGATATCTCCACTGTTGTGCGCAGTCACTTCACTGAAAGCCCAAAGCCCTCCGAGACCAAATGTTTCCTGTCCATGGATGAGATCGAGCAGGAGACTCTCGTTGATCAGATCAGCGAAGCCTCTCGTGGGTCCTTCCTGTGGGCCAAACTCTGCACCAAGCGTGCTCGCCAGGAGCAGACCCCTGAGAACGTCCGCAAGGTTGTTGAAACCCTTGTCAAGGGCAAGCCCACCATTGCCGACTTCGTTCTGCACGCTATTCAGGCTCCTGATGTCACCGAGGACGCAAAGCTGATGCTGCTTTGGCTGGCTACCGCCGACCGTCCTCTTTTGACCCGTGAGCTTATCACACTAGCTTCAATCCAGGTGGAGAAGCAGACTGTGGTCGAGCGCAAGATTGATGTTCGCCACGTGTTGAAGCCCTTGATTTCGCTGGTCTATATGCAAGATGGTCAGGTGTATCTGCGCCACGGCCTCATCAGAACCGCAATTTTGGATGTATTCTCCAAGGGGAAGCTGATTGTTAACATCAAGGACCGCCACTCTGATCTTGTTACTCGTCTTCTTGTGTATATCAAGCACACCGTTCATGAGCAGCATGAGCCTTCTCTCACTCCCCTTGATGGCCGTGATGTTAGCTCGCGTATCAAGGGTAACCCTCTTCTTGACTTTGCCATTCACTACTGGCTTCGTCACTTGAAACAGACTACCACCTATACCACCGGTGGTGATGTCGCCACGGCTAAGGAGTTCGGCAAAATCTTCCCCGTCAGCGTTACTCTGCTCCTACTACAAAACACTCTTTGGAGTAATTTCTCTACGCCCACGCTCGTCAGCTACCAAACTACTGTTACTAATCTGTGCCGTGAGGTTTTGACCACCCAGAACCCTGTGACTCTTCAGTCTATCATATCGTTGGCTCTCTTCTACCGCGAGCTGAACCAAGTCTCCCAAGTCATTCCTTTGCTATACGAGATTACTACTCTCAGCAAGACGCTGCTTAGCACGACACACGTGGTCACCATGCAGATGGCTTTGTTGTTCCTCGACTTGACTGTCGACATGGTCACTACAACCAAGTCCGAGATCATGACCAAGCGCGAAGAGTTACTCATCATCATCATCGAGTGCTACCAGTCCCACTACGGTGAGAAGTCTGAGAAGACTGTCAGCATTATGAAAACTCTAGTTGAGCACTATCGCATGACAAAGCAAGAGCAGAAGATCCAGACTTGGACCTTGAAGATCAAGAGCCTTACCACTACCCAGTATGATAGTGATGATACTCGTGATCTCAGCGTTCGCCTCAAGAGCCACAAGCACGATATTGGCGACGTTGGTATACGGTTCTTACTCCATGCGGAGCATGATGAAGTCCATGAAAGATCCCTCTCCTTCGAGGGCGAGATTACGCAGGCCGAGAAGTACACTGCCGAAGGCCGTCTTGACCTTGCGGAGCGATTGTACATTGAGCTCTGGCAGCGTGCTACCAATGAGGATCACAAGCTGCGTGCTGTTCTTGTTTACAGCAAATTCCTCAAGAGTCAGAAGCGGGAGTACGAGGCCTCTTCGATATTGTCCAGCGTCTGGGAAGAGCACAGGAGCAGTACTCACACTCTTTCTGAGACTTCGACCTCGCACTTCGAGGAGATCGCCAAGGTCATGACAACTGTTGGTCTCAGCGTCGCTGCATTGAGCATCTTCAAGCACTGCGCGTCTTTCTACCAACGCACCAACCGTTCTTCCTCCTACTCGGAGGTCCAGAAGCACATTTCGTCTACCTCTCAGCATGTTATGCAGCAGGCTAGCTCTTCCTCATCGAACTTCTCCGAATCCACTTTGGAAGAGATCGTATACGAGGCCTCTAGCACCTTCACGCTTGATCAGAGCTCCTTTACAGCCACTAGCACTTTGCTGACCCTTTACACCAGGGAGCACCGCTGGAAGGATGCCACCAGAGTTCTGAAGAAGGTTCTCCTTGGTGTATGGCCGTCCTTATTTGCTCCCTCCATCCAGGATGTGGTCCTTCCCAATGAGCACACTGACAAGGCCGTTGAACTCGCCGAGCGCTTGAGTCAGTGCTACCACTACCGCCGTCGCTTCGCCCGCGAGGAGGGTATCCGCATCCGCATGTACCGAGCCGTTCGCATCGCCCGCCCTGTTGAAGACAAGTTGAGAGAGTCCTCCAAGAACCAGCTGATCATCTTCTTTGAGCGTTCCCATCAGCCCGACCACGTTATCAGTACTTACCAGGAGGTTCTGGATGACTACACCAAGCACTACGGCCAAGACCACCCCACTGTGATCAAGACCCTTTTCACCCTGGCTGAACTTACTCGTCCACGCCCCATCTTCGTCGAGTACTATCAGCGCATCATTCGTGCCTTGAACAAGGATTCCCAGGTCATCAAGCCCGAGGCTTTGGAATCAATTATCATTGTTGCCAACGAGCTCTGGACCCAAACGCGCTACTCTGACGCTGTCCACTACTTCACTCTTCTCTTCACCACCTTCCTGAGCCAGCCCAAGCAGACCCCGAAGTTCCAGGACGAGACTTTCGTTCAGCAGATCTTCGACCGCTACACTCACTGCCTGCGCGCAAATCGCACTGAGTTCAGTTTTATCCACAAGGTCACAGTTGAATTCCACAGCAAGGTCAAGACTGTGTTTAGCGCAACCGCTACGATCACCATCCAAGCGACTTTGACTCTTGCCAAGGTTTGCCAGGAGACCAAGACTTATGAGAGTGATGCCATCGCGCTCTATGAGGAACTTCTGAGAATCAAGGCTGTTGGTGTTGATCTTGAGGAAATCGAGGCAACCCTTGACGGTATCTATGAGGAGCAGACAGCCACTGCTGTCTCTAAGTCTCAGACTATCTCCGTCGAGCAGAAGCAGCGTGTCACCAAGATTCTGCGCAAGCGTATTGAATCTACTCGCTCTACCTACGGTTGGGCGCACGAGGAGTCGTTGTCCAAACTACAGGAAGTGATTACTTTCCACTCCCAGCAGAACGATACTGAGAGTGTCACTAAGGAGCTGCACGAATCCACCAAGCAGATCTTGGCCTCTGAGACTTCTTCTGAGCGTCTGGTTGCTGCCGCCACTACTATTGCCGCTAGCTATATTTCCACCCACCAGTCTCACAAGGCTGTTGAGCTGACCGAGGAGCTCTACCGCCAGATTGTCATGAAAGACACATCCCGCTCCAAGGAAACCCAGCTTGAAGTCTCGTCCAAGGGTCGCCAGAGCCTTGTCTTCCTGGCCCAGCTCCAACATAGTCTTCATCAGAGCTCCTCCAGTATCACCGAGATTCTCGCCTCGTTGACCACCGAGTATGTTTACTTCGAGGAGTTCCGCAGCGTCACCAAGTCCAAGAGCAGCTCTTTCCACAGCGTCTCGGTCACAACCACTCGTCTCTACAACTTTTTGCTCTCCAATAAGCGCCATGAAGCCGCTAACCATGTCTTCAATGATTTCCAAGCCTACTTTGTTTCTACTGAGGGCAAGCGCTTCAAGTTGACCGAGGCTGCTCAGGTCAAGGTGTTCCTAGTGACCATCATTGGCTATCTGACTCAACACCATACTTCTAACTTCGTGCGCTCAGTGGGCATTGCTTCCAACACCAAGGTTCTCGAGCTGCTCCAGGCTAAGAACTACAATGATGCCACCAACCTGGCCCTCGCGTCCTTCCGCTACATCTCAGCCCACGACGTCTACCGGACCCCCGAGATCGTCAAGTTTGTTTTCACTCTTGGTGTGCTCATCTCTGGTCACAGCATCACTCCTCAGCCCGAAGCTGCTGCTCTAAAGAAGCTGCGCGGTGTGTCTGTGCTCATCCTCCAAGAGGTTCTCCGTGTCATCGTCGACTTGAAGATCAACCTAGCCCAGATCAACCTTGACTACCTGAACATTCTTATCGGTCTCCTCGGTGAACAGAAGGACTACAAGAACCTTGTCTGGCTACTCAGCGACCTGTGGAACAGCCGCCACCGTCAATCCAACTGGACCCCTGCTATCACGCTGGATCTGGCACGCCGCTATATTCTAGCCCGCTACCTGGTTGGTGACGCCCTCAAGGCTTCTCGTCTTGCCGAAGATATCGTGTACAACTGTCGCCGCGTGAATGGTGCCCGCCACACCAGTACCCTGGAGATGTCTACCCTCCTGTCACAGCTGTATACCGCCATCGCGCAGCGCTACCAATCCGACAAGAACGGCCAGCACATGGCGAACAAGTACTACAAGAAGAGTGCTGGTGTTCACGAGTCCCTTCTCCGCGTGTTCGTCGACCCCTCACTGGCAGAGTTCGAGGGTGCCCTCGATGGCACCTTCAGCATGGATGGCTCTGCCTACGACATCAACATGCAGGAGCAAGCTTCCGACAACGGATCCTCCCTCACAACGGCCGAGCACGTCCGTGCGCACTTCCAGCTTTTCAAGCTTTCCGTGCAGCGTCTGGGTGACTGGCCCAAGGATTTCTCCGAGTATGAGAGTCTGAATGCGGCTCTCTTTGCTGAGTTTAAGGATGAGTTGAAGGGTGTTGAGGGTGTTGAGAAATGGAACCTGAAGAACTTTGGTGCTGGTAAAGCTTCTGGTTCTGAGGACACTTTAGACCTTCAAAACTTCACTTGGTCTATTGATCTTGGTCAGAATGAGGAGGTTGAGGAGGAGTTGTAAATGTGAGCTGTTTTATATAAATTGTAAACTGGTCATCTTTGAATTCTACTTTTGGTTTATTTTGAAAATGTCTTTTCGTCTGCAAAGTCCAAGGTGGAATATGGTATTTGTGGTAAATTTCACCCAAGTACCAGGAAATTTGAAGGTCCTGGTTTCTTTGTGTCGGCAATAATCATCTAGTTCCAGTTTTAGGCATCCCCGAAGTTTCTCACCGAACAGCCAGCTGGCCAGTTAGCATCAAAGCTACTCAGCAGATGGATCACTAATTGACAAAAGCTCCATAGTTACATGTGGGTACTATCTTGAAGTTGATACATGAACAAACTGGTGATTACATGCGAATGATGCGCGAAGAATGGTTCGGTTATCTCTATGATCGTGTCGCCGCCGGGTGGGCTCCGGTGTGGGTGGGCAGCGACACGAGTACTAGAATAAGTTACTCTCCATCGCTTGACCGGTGAAGGCGCGGACCGCAATACTTCTTCCTAGCACAAAGCAGCCAATTTAAGCCAGCAAATATAGCCATCACCCCAAGTACAGCCGAGGTATAATCTAAGCAGTCAGAATTAGCACCGAATTGTAAATCTGAGAACAAAAATAAGTCACTTACTCATACTGGTTCCATTCACAGGCAATGCCGTCGGGAAGTTGTAGAAAATTAGCACCAAGATTGCAAAGCCGATGGTGATAACATTTACAGTCCACCCAAGAAGCCCTGGTAGATAAAAGGATCGGGATTGCGGTAGCCACACCTTGGATCGTTTTCTATACATTAACAGAGCAGCTGGAAAGGCGTAGGATATATGTTGCAGGATTAAGCCAGTGCCAATGAAAGCATTGAATGCAGAGGATGAACCGAGATAGACGCATCCGATGATGAACATGACCACGAAGTTGAAAATGAGACTCCACACTGGGACATCTAATTTTGGATGTGTCTTACTGAGCCATTGACTACCAATTAAGGCATGATCTCTTGCAAGAGACCAAGTCAGTCGTGAAGCAGTTTGTTGCCCACCGATGAGTGCAAACACAGCTGCGAAAACAACGAGGATAACAAAGATTGTGGCGGCTGTATCTGAGCGAGTTGCTTGACGCCAGATCTCGTAGATTGGGACACTATCAATCTGTCAGTATATATTGTAGATATCACTCCGATCAACATACCCTGTTTTTGACTGAACAGCCGCATTCAAATCACTGGTACAGTATAACATTGCAATCACAAAAGCGAATGAGGTCACAAATCCAATACTCAACGTGCTCATCAGAGCGCGAGGCACCACCGTACTCGCGTTGTTGCATTCTTCTGCGAGATGAAGTGCACCATCGATACCAGCATACATGTAATTTGGAGTCACTAGTCCAGTGAGAAATGCGACTCCACCGGAGCTCCATCCGCTGTCATTGAGAAAAGTGGCCCAAACAGCTTTCGACGGCTCATAATGGGGAGATGAGCGTGTAACACAAGCTATCACAATCACAAGAAAGCTAGCAATAGTGACAAAAACTGATTAATTGTCAGGCCATCCGCTTATGATCTACCAAAAAGGTTGAAAGGAACTCACATGAAACGTCATGGATCCACAGAGATCGCTTCAGAAGGGTGATGTTATATAGTAGCACAATACCGTTGATGGCTTGATATATCAAAAAATAATGCCATGGCTGGGGTGAGAATGTTGGATTGTAGAGGATCGCAATTCCTAAAATCAACTGTGCTGGAATGATAGAAATTCCGGTACAAATCGCAATCCAGGAGAACATATTTGTGATACCGCAACAATAACTCTGTGCAGTTGTCAATATTCAGCTTAATAACGAGGAAGATCTCATAAGCGTACCAAAGAGCGATTGATAGATCTCGGAGCCAAGATTGAAGTCCAGTGATACTGACCCCCAGCAGTGGGGTACACACTGGCTAGCTCTGCGAGGGTCATGGCACAAGCTCCGACTAGAAGGACTGTGACAATTGGACCATAGATCAAAGTGACCGGGCCACCTTGAGAGATAGCCAAAGCAATAGTACCGGCTACGCCAGCCCAGCTGTCACAAATGACCCAGCTTGCAGAGATTGTCTCCAAATTTGACATTTGTCGAGTTCCCCGGGATTGTAGATTGAGTTCATTGAGCTGTATGTGTTCGACAGCGCCTTCGATCTGTATTGATTCTGGAAAGTCGTTACTATCTTGGCTTCTTTTAGGATGCTAGGGTGACTTACGTCGTTCTACATCGGTAGGGGTTGCTGCGTAACGGATTGAGTCAGTATACTTGTATGATCAAATTGAAGAGATGTTTACGCACTTCGCTCGCTTTTGAAATCATCTGAATGCATATTGGAAAGGAACGGGTTTGATTAAGAGGAATGAAATTGATGAATCGGTTTCTGGAGTTGGATTCTCCTCGTGCTTAAGAGTCTATAACCACTACCATACCCCAATTACATTCGTATCAACCGCCCTCCTTCTATCAAATAGTACTATCAAAATGCTTATTATTACATTGATTAGATACAAAGTGCGGGGAAGAGCCCAAATTACCGAATTAGGACGCAAAACAGAGAAAATAACTGACATCAATATGGGCGTGATACGATAAGAAAGGTCACATGGAAGTCTTAGTGAATATATTACCCAAAGAGGAAGTAAAAGAGAGAAAGGGGAGAATCTGAAAACACGATACCATTGGCAGATCTATGAATTAATAGCCTTTCCCCGGATTTTGGCCACTTCGGTCCGACACGGACCAGACTGCACGCGTATCTTTTGCTCGTCATTCGTTAGTCAACTGTTACTCTTTGATCCATCTATATTACGTATAGTATTATCAAGACAAGTTGAGTGTAAGCTGATAGCTGTTATCTCTATCACAGTTGAACGGTCAATGATAACCGGTGCTTGTTGAGCTCCTACGTAACAGTTCACTCGGTGTGAGTGAGACATGAACACCTTGGACTACGCAATATTTTTACTTTGACATAGATCACAATACTATTGGCGTCTTGTTTTCTAATCTATCCTTATCAATTGATATATGTCTGACATCATACGCTTTCGTTGGCCAAGAAAGATTGTCATTTAGCCCGCACGATATATCTGCATTTTCAATAATCTATAGACGTGATCTAGAAGTAGTAATTCTTCGTAAATCTTCCGTAACAGTCATTGCTGCGCGGGTCCCTTCTTCAATAGCCCCATCAATGAAGCTACGCCATCCAACAGCCCAATCAGAATTGGCAAAAATTACATTGCCGTGGCGAGATCGTAGTGCTTCCAAGGAAGTGGACATCAGCTGAGGGGGAGAAAAGAACCAAGCACCCTTCGCAAATTCATCTTTTGACCAGTTATGGAACACCTGAATATTGTTAAGATTTATTGAGTACAAAGCATGGAGTGAAGACTTACCAACCGCTTGATGTCCATCTTTCCAGGCGCCATGCTTTCAACGGCCTTCTTTGTCTCATTGATATCCTCTTCTGGTTGGATATGATTGTGGAACCCGCCAAAGCAAACAACATGGGTGTTACCAGCGAGAGTAGTGCCATCACCGATTGCATAGGTAAGTTTGTTGAAAGGATAAGCAATCCCCGTCCAAGATCGCATATCCTTATTAGAAATCTCGGCATGAACCTTAACACACTGGTTGACATGACCAATGTTGGCCGCAGAAGCGCGTTGCGCATCCAATGGAGGGTCAAATGAGATTGTGTTCAAGACATTTAGTGGGATGGTGGAGATCAGGCGAGCGCCAGTATATTGCCGACTATCGCGGGTTTTCAAGGTGACCTTATCTCCCTGGTCGTTGATCGACTGAACAGGGCTGTTGAAAACATAAGACAAGTTCCCGGTTGCGAGAGCCTCCTTGAAAAACTTGATAGCAAAGGATGATTGTCCGCCTTTGAATTTGTAGGATATCAATGCGTCCATGCATCCTTGGTATGTGTAGCCACACAAAGCCCACCAGTGCAGGAACTCAAACAGACTCGTTGTTTCAAGGGTACCGCAGCTACAGAGCAAAATGAAGCTCTCCAAAGCGGAACGCTCGTTTGGTGTGAGCGATAGAGATATATCTTTCAAACGGTCTGCGGCCGAGAGCTTGTCATACTGGCGCGCTTCTGGGACGTGGAATGCGTCGTGGGCGTAAGGGATGATCTTCCGCCCCATCGCTCCATCAACATTGACAAACTTTCCCAGTGCAGCAGCAAGAAGAACATCCTATAAATGTTAATGTAGCCCGCCATTACATGTTTGGTCAATTTTACCTCCTCATCGTGACTCATGATCTCGTCGCCCTGATTGGTGCGAAGTTGGAAGTGGTTAACTCCGCGGGAGAAATCAAACGAACCCTCCAACTCATTTCGCATCTGATATCTTGATATCTCGCGCCACACATGAGGCTGCCCCCAGTGTACCCATGTGCCTCCCATTTCAAATGGATAATCACCAATGTTGGATGACCATGATCGGCCACCGATACGGTCACGGGCTTCCACGAGGAGTACTTTGTGACCTGTTGACGCGTTAGCTCGGGGAAATCTTTATTTTGGCAAACCCCACGTACCTGCAAGACACAAATCTCGAGTTGCTGTCAAGCCTGAGTACCCAGCACCAACAACGATAGCATCCCATGGGCCAAATTTCGAAGAGATGTTGGATGATGGAGAGATTACACCAATTGAAGGAACGCCCTGGACAAGACCACTTTCAGAGGTCCATTGAAAACCGTCACGAGATGTCATCTTGAGTGAGTCTGATTGAATTCGAGGATGTGGACATTTTCTTTAAAGGAAAAAGCTACCAGATTTATAGGAAACCAGCAATGTTCGCAATGCGCATTCCGATTCCGAGCTTCACTAAATCAACTCTCTTGCCATGATGGTAAGCTCAAAGAGCATAAATACCCAACAGGGTTAAAAAAGAGAGAGAGCCATCCCTGTCATTGGTCAATGCAAGAGCACAGTGAAGTGCTGCAGGTCCAAGTTTCGGATTGCACAAATTACCTGATTAGGACAGTAAAGCGAGAAAATCGAAGACCCGCTTATATCCGCGACTTTCACACCTTCTACGGCAGATCTTGAGATGGTTGGTTCTTTTTCGACGAATCAAAATCTTTGGAATTATATCAACCCTCAAGTCCATAACATACGGCGCCAAGGATCCAATATTGCTCCTATAAACGTGTATACATCCGTCAGTCCGGGGAACACGAAAAGTCCGTTATGCTCCACAATCCACTTCCCCGCACCCAAGAAGCTCAATTGTTCTCCAAAACAATTTCCTCTGACACAACCCCTCCATGGAAATGTCGATAGATTCAGGTATCAAGCGGATACGACAAGCTTGTGCCAATTGCAGGTAAGATATCTTCCTCGGATTTTAGCAAGTGCTGATCATGAATTCCCCAGGCGAAAGAAGACTAAATGCACGGGAGACCGTCCTGTTTGCTGTCACTGCCGTCGCAATCGCCTAGAATGCATATACGAGCCCTATTCGGCCACTTTAGCCGAGAACACTACCACCAACAACCCGGCCATATCGCTGACGTCCAATCCGAATAACCTGAATAACGTCGGTTTCACATATCAACCTTTTTTGACTTGTGTTGATTTAGCCGCAGGTCGAACTTTTACAGAGAATTAGCACGATCGAGTCGCGGCTTGCAGAGCTCAGCGGACGAACAACTCAACAGTACGACCTTTCATACCCGAGGTCTTTCAATTCATTGCCGATTCACGATTGCTGATTTTGGATTGTCAGAATCATAACGCCGCATTTTCTTCCAGCGGTACAGGACCATGTCAACATATCGCCGGGCGTGGCCGGTTTCTCCCAACGATTGTCATCGCCACAACCTACCTTCCAAGACGATACGTGCGTCCTCTGTTCTTTATTCACAAGAGAATGACGTCCTTAATGCTAAGAATGTGGATAGATCTCTTCCACCACTTCCAGTTCTGCGCTCAGTAATTGACACGTATTTTTTGCGAGTCCACAATCAGCCTTACTCTTATTTCCAGGAAATATCTTTCCGTCAGAAGTTAGAAAGCAACGCTTTACCCCGATGTTTGATACTAGCAATCCTTTCATCTGCCGTTCGATTTTCAAACCATGAATTTTATGCGGGTCGGACGCGTGAAGCGTCGCAAAAGTACGCCCGAGAATCTTGGCTCTCAGTTCTGGCGGACCACTTAACCATGGAAGACAACTTGAATGTCCATGTGGTTCAGACAGTGAACTTGCTTGCAGTGGTCGATTATACAGGTAAAACTAATAATCCACTTTCTTCATGCCTTTCTAACATTACCAAATTTCCAGCTGGTCGTGCCCGGTCGGGTTGGCTCAAAATCGGCCTGGCAGCCCGGATATCCCAAGACTTACATCTGATGTCCGAGCCTGGTCAGTGGCTTTCCTATTCAGAGCAAGAGGAGCACCGTCGGGCATTCTGGTCAATATATCTCCTTGATAAATTGATTTCTTGCGGTCGATCTCGACCCCTTGTCATTCTAGACGAAGATTGCGAGCTTCAACTTCCATGCGACGAGGGTACTTTTAGACACGGAGAGTGGAGAAAGACCAGTACTATCGGCCAACTGTTGAGCTGGAACTCGAAGGTCACTGAAAGTCCCAGTTCGTTTGCGCTTGTGGTTTTGATGGCATCAATATTTGGTCGTTGCACACGGTACGTCCATCAAAACAGGAGGATGGATGAGATTCCACCATGGGATCCGAAGTCCGAATTCTCTGCAATCAATTCCTCCTTGTTGCTCTTGGAATCATATTCCAAAAGTTCAAATTGGCAACTCTCGGATGTCCTCCACGGGAGCGTTCAGGCAGATGCGACAGTCGATCGACAGGAGATCGGCCATCTTATCTTTGCTCACACACTTTTCCACCTATGCCACTGCCTTCTGAATCATCCATTCCTTGTGCGGCGATGGCTCAAGCCGTTTGGAGCCAAAGCTCCCGCTAGCTTTTTCTCCCGAGCCCTTCAAGATGGGTGCGATCATGCCAAACAGCTCATGGATCTCTTACAGCAAGCCACTGACCATGGATGTCTCGTCGAATCCTCCTTCTATGCATATTGTATTGCCGTCGCTGGGGGTATTCACTCTCTGGCTACTCATTTCAATCAAGATAGGGGTCGCCACTCAGACAATCTGCATTACCTGCAACAAAGTATAGACTCTTTGGAGAGATTAGCAAAGCTTTGGGTCCACGCAGGAAATATAGTAAGTTTACCTCGATGATCAATGCAAATATTGGTTACTGATTTTTCTACTTAGGCAACCTCGCTGCGCGACTTCCATTCGATATCCCATGCCTTCGCTGTCCTCCTCGACCCAAGCCATTTGATGGATGAGTTAGACTTTGGCTCGGAAGAGATCATGTGGTCAATGATAGATTATGCCATAATGGGCGCCGATCCCAGCAAGAAACAAGTTTCGCCAAAACCCACAGCCAACATGCCATCTCCTACATCGTGGGTTCTTGGCGCTGGAATGCTTGCACAACCTGGATATGACAGCCCAAACGGCAATATTCTCGGGGATCTCACGCCCTCAATGCGACTTGAGGAAGTAGAAGAATTCTTGAACTGTAGCCCGGGACTAAATACTATGATCTAAATTGAAGAGGAGACCTCGGACGAAAACTTGCGACTTTCACGGGTTCGGACCGAACGCGGTCCGGCAGTTCCCTTGGCCCATACCGACCGAGAGAGATGGATAAAGCTGGCTAGCTACTATGGCAAGGCAATAGAATTTAGACACAGATAACTACCTTGATGGCTTCTCAACATCAAGCGTCACCTTGGGGGGTGTCGTTTCGGGCACCACATCGGCCATCCTGGCCAATATGATGGTATACCCTCTTGACATGTACGCTTATGAAAGATTAATTTCTTATTTCTATGAATAACCATAAGTTTTCCTTTAGTGTTAAAACTCGATTGCAGGTGCAAGTTCAACAACAGAACCAACAAGATGAAACCGATCGAGAAAAGCAAACCGACATGTCTAAAAGTCCATCGCAGGATCGCCCTCATGTTGATAATGTCATCAGTATGATTCGTCGTATCCTTCGCGAAGAAGGCATTCTCGGTCTATACAGTGGGTTAGGAAGCTCGGTTCTCAGTACAGCCTCGATGAATTTTGCCTATTTCTACTGGTCGACCACAGCTCGAAGCTTACAGCAATCAGCCTTGAAAAGATATGGGATCACAGACACAAACAGCATCGCAAAAGAGCTTGGTTTAGGGGCGGTCGGGGGCGCATTAGCCCAGCTGTGCACCAACCCAATCGCAGTGATATCGACAAGGGAACAAACCCGGAAAGGAAATGATCAAAAACGATCAATGTGGGAGACGCTGATTGAGATCATTTATAGTGAGGATGGCTGGACGGGACTATGGACAGGCTTCAAAGTCAATTTGATTCTAGTTACTAACCCTATGATTACATATGGTGTTTACCAATGGTTGAAAGGGAGCCTGCTTGCGCTGAAGCAAAAGAAGGGACTTGGATCTGCTGATGCTTTCTGTGAGTCTATTTTTGTATATTATTCCTCCAACATACTAACAAATCTCTTATTCTAGTTTTGGGCGCTTTGTCAAAAGCCCTAGCGACCATCACAACACATCCACTGATCGTTGCTAAAACAATGTTACAATCCAAACCGCCAGATTGTCGGAAGGGCAACCCTTTTTCGGGTTTTACTGAGGTGCTTATCTATATTGTCAAAAATGAAGGTCTCTTAAGATTATACAAGGGATTGGCCCCGCAGATTATCAAGGGGTTTTTGGTTCAAGGGTTGATGATGATGCTGAAAGAACGGTATGTCCCAGCCACTTGAGTCAATTCTGACACAATATAACTCATGTGACTACTCAGAACCGACGTTCTCATCAGAAGAGCAATTTTATTAGCTAGGAAACGGCAGTTTGCATTGCCGAAATAAGGGGGGCAATTGCGAGGGTCTCGTCAGCTAAACTAAAGCTCACGTCGTTCAATTGCCAGCGCCGTTGAAGTGACTTGTTGCCAAGTCATTAGAACATGACATTGCTTAGGACTGCGCTAAATAGTATATCTTTTGGTCAATTTGATTTGGATTCACTTGTCTCCGGCGTAAATAGCATGGATGGCGTAAAATATATCTACAAGTTGCAAAGTGGAGCCGTGCTATCATTTTAATTCAAATTTGACTTTGACTACTATTGTCACCAGTGTTAGCCTATGAAAGGACTCTAGTTGTGAGGTGATAGCGCACTGAGGGTGGGTTCGACCAGAGAGAACGACGGAGCCCCGGGAAATGACCAAGAATGGGATTCCTTGTGAGTGGCTAGCGAGGCTGGATCTTCGTTAGCCCTCAAGCTAGACGAACGAATGTTTCCGTTCGAATCGAAAACGTGTGGGTAGCGACTGCGTAACTCACGTGTGTTCAAGTTCTTCGCGGCGATGTATGCCTCGAGGTCTGACAATTTCACGCCGCTTGGCGCGGAGGTACCTATTTCTTGAAGGTATCAAGAGCAGGATCTCTGCAGAGGGGTGCGTCCAGCGCGGAAGTTGGGGTTGTTGGGTCAGGGTCCAGGAACTTCCAAAGTTTGTTGGTGCTGGATGAGCCACAACTTTGCTTGGTCGGACGTGGAGTGCACCTAAGACGGCGATCTTCGACTGTTCAGGCGAGTCGACCGTCTTTTTTGCCTTTTTGGCCGGGCTCAGTTGTACAGAGCTTGTTCGCTTCGCCATCGTGTCGAGTCAAAGTCAAAGTTAAGTGAAAGAAGTGACAAGTTCGAGGCTGTGGAGGTGAGGGAAAACCAAGAGAGACGGGTCTCACTTTCTGAGCTATTGTGTCTGCTCAGTCTGCGTGAGCGGAGTTACAAAGGGCGATGCGATGTTTCGTCAAGTGAAGGAAAGATGAGCTATCATGAAGGTTCTAAGGGATGAATAGAATCGAAGAAGTTTTTGAAGTCCTGTGCTGATAGTTTTGCCCAAAAGAGTAAACCTCTATATCCTGATAAACGCTCCAATCAACTTTTAAGCAGTATAATCTCCGGAAAAGAATGGCTTTGACAGCCTGGCTTTCCGAGGTGTCAAAAAGCTCCCCAAAGCACGGACAGAGCTTGATATGAATCAAAGCGGCCTCGCCCGACTTGAGAGATGGGATTCCTGCCATCGGAACGTACCAATTGCCTGGGCCTGCTATGTACTCGCCACGAAACAAATACAGACAGCGCCTGGATTTCCCCGGAAAGGCTTGGCATCACTTGGCGTAGGTCAGCAATCTTGTGACGGAGCTATCCGCGGATCCTTTGTCATTGGAGGGAATCTTAAACATCAAACCTAATCAAGCTCATAAAAAGGTTCGTACATGAGAATACGACAAGAGATCGAAGTGGGCCAACCCGAAACAAACATTCATGTTTTGACCCTATTTTTACTTGGCACGTAAACTAAATATTTCCTCTCCAACGATCGATCACATCACTACTCCAGTCGATTCGATTGAGAGATCTGTGATCGACTTAGAAAGGTATATCCGCCAAGCCACTGTCAAAATCTTCGGTTCTTGAGCACCACCGAGTTTTGAGAAGCTCTCATACAAATTTCGTGCTGATCTGAAGTAGGTATCTAGTAAAGAACACAGTAGTTTCCTGATAGCCATCTTTGAGCTAGAATTTCTTGCTCTTTAAACATAGAAACAACTATATCTCACTTCTGATATTCCAGACCTTTGTTCAATCCTTTTCCAATGTCGGAGAGTGACAAGGTGAGTCGGTCTAGATCATTTCCTCGCCGGAATTGGAAGTCATTATACTTAGCATATCCTCGTATTTTCTATTTTAGTCTCTAGTTTCCAACACCTCATGATTGATGAGATACTTGGCAATCCGCAATCATTGCCACTGAATGGTCTATAAAGCGGACAAAGATTTCTGTCAAATTTCGATTCTTTATCATCGGAACAACACATTCATCATTCCAATTCGAAGATCCAAACCACAGTCCTAGTCACTTTTCAGACTTTGCTTGCCTTTTCTACCCTTTCCCATAAACAGTACCTCCTTTCATTATGAAGTCACCAGTTTATATCTTGGCTGTCCTTCTTCCTCTTGCCACGGAGCTAGCTCTAGCAACCCCGGTTGCGGAACCGGACTTCGATGCTCTTGAAGAGCGAGGCAGAGGAAACGAAAAAGACTGGCAAGACTGGGGAGACCACCGTGGATGGGATGACAAGAATCCCTGTGAGGTCAAGCGAACTTATCCTTACTACAAGTACCCTTGTGCATCGAGCCCGTCGAACGGAACATCTCTTTTGGGTGCCACCTTCAAATCTTTCTGCATGTACCAGTAAGTCTATTGATTCCTTCCAAATCTCTACCTGCATACTAATAAGCTTGGTAGGAACGGAGATTCTGGTGTTTGGTACGCCGCTCCAAAGGGGTGGGTCAAGGATCAAGATAAGCCTCGACGCTGCCGTATGTCTTCCTCCCAATTGCAATATGATACGTATAAGGGATTATACTAACCAACATACCAGCTGGTGCAACCAACCGGTGTCCTGTTTAGTTTGTAATCAGTGGACTCTTATGTGTTGGATGAGTAGTAGGTATGGAAAAAACCGCGTGCGATTCAAAAACATTGAGTGGATTTTTGGAAAAAAAAATAACCTTCATTTTACATTCCTTTTGTTGTCAATTACAATTGTGTTTGATTTGCACTTCAATATTATCTTGCAATCAGAAAATACCACAAAAAGCCTGAAATTATCAGGAGAACAAAAATGACCAACGACTGTGTGGAGAAATGACCATCGCGGCGTATAGAATACGCAGTCAGGCTACACTGCAGCAACCGCGTCAGACAAGCGTGTAAAATTCATATTTTAAAATTCAAATGATCCCATATCATAGTAGCGCAACGACAGAGCATTTACAACGTCAAAACATTAACATATCAAACCGCCAAGCCTTTCCGAGCGGACCCTATTTCGCGGGAGGTCGCGGGGCTTTCAGCATTACCCTGACAACTTGTGGCAAACGTGATTTTAAACCTACGAGGTCTAGGTGTGAGTCTAATGGTCCACGATTCTACTTGATCTTAATTCAAGGAACTATGTTTTCTACGCTCTTCATGCTCTAAACAGCTGCTTTGGATTTAGTCAATAACTTGATTGGCCACCGGGATATATTTGGAAGCAATAATGTCCAAAATATTGGTAGATTCCGGTTAATGCCCTTCATCTGTGTTTGTTTCGTGGTTCTTCCGACTTGATGATTCAGTTCGTACCGAATTACCAGACTTTTGAGGAAACAAAGCGAGAGCGAGAGCGACAATGCACCATATCAAGGTTTACAACATTTCTTTGGTGTAATCCACCTTTTTGCGTCAGTGTCAAGAAACTCTTCGGCAAATAATCTAATTGTAAATCAAGCTTGATGTTCTACAAATTGCTGCCCATACAATTCAGCATGCAATTCAAATTCTCTGACCCCGATAATTTATGAATAGAAGTGGCTCTGGCTTGCCATAACACGACCTCCAAAATATCTGTAAGCATTCATCATATTTATAAAGAAAAGGTAGCACAAACATTCGAGAGGGACGAGGATTGTGGGTATCTGATGAGCTAGGAGTGACAGAGAGCAAAGTGAGGGAGAAAAGGAAAGTTCCAAAATTAGCGCGTATACGAACCTCAGAACATAATCAGACCTTTACGCCCAAGTGCGAAGGTGCACGAAGGTGCACGTTGGACTGTTTTATTGCTGAGGTTGCTCCCGAAAGTATGCCTGATTTTGTAGCCAATGATTCAATCCGAACCTCAGGCATTATCACCGTCCCGGTTTTGTGCCAACTGGCGAACGCAAAGGACACACAATTGAAGGGCCAAGGAGACACAAATGTTTTTTGAACATAGTACTCATTCACTTAAATGCGCATCAAGATATCCCAGGAAGTGTATAGAACTGCCCGACCTTTGAAAGTGTTCGTAATTCTACATAATCTGCATGACAACTGTGGATCCGGATTTTATACACTACGGTCCGGCGCTGTGGGGCGCGGTCCGGAGTATACAAATTCGACATCGACTTAAACTGCATAGATCCTTGGTTAGTTTGCTATCAATTCCATTTATTTCTATTCTCCTTGGCAAAATGACTTCATTCTCTACCACCCCCTTCGCCGATCCCCTCTGGCTGAACCGCGGTTTCAGTCCATACTACACAGACTCGCATCGTCGACTTCAAAAGGAGGTCCGAGAGTATGTCGACACATACATTGCGCCGTTCTGTGAGGAATGGGAAAAGACAGGCGTTGTACCACAAGAGGTACGTTTATAGCCAAAGACCAAGAGAGTGATCTTCGCTAAAGCATTTCTGAATAATAGGTTCACAAGCGCCACGCAGAGCTCGGTTACACTGCTGTCAGCTCATTCCCACTTGCAGCAGACTACCTAAATGGTCAACGGCTTCCAGGAAATATTAACCCGCGAGAATGGGATGGATTCCATGACATTGTCGTAATCGACGAACTAGCTCGCTGTGGGTATCTAGGAATCGTTTGGGCATTGGGGTGCGGTAACTCGATCGGAGGACCACCAGTGATCAACTTCGGCAATGAAGAACAAAAGAGGCGATTCCTCCCGGATATGTTGAGAGGGAAAATCAGATTCTGTTTGGGAGTGACTGAGCCAGATGGTAAGAGTTTGCAACTCATGACCTCGTGAATGAAATTCATTCGCTAATCGAGGGGGCAGCTGGATCTGATGTCGCCGGAATTACCACGACAGCAGAGAGAAATGGAGACATGTACATTGTGAATGGAGCAAAGAAATGGATCACCAACGGCATCTTTGCGGATTATTGCACTGCCGCCGTGAGAACAGGAGGCGAAGGAACCCAGGGCATCTCTGCTCTAATAATCCCACTCAAGACCCCAGGAGTAACCTGCAAAAAGATTGAAAACTCCGGTGTTCACGCGAGTGGATCAACTTATATTGAGTTCGACCAGGTCAAGGTGCCCGTCGCCAATCTGCTTGGGGTGGAAAACAAGGGTTTCCCTGTCATCATGAATAGTAAGTTTTGCCAGTATATCAGCCTCCAGAAGCAAGTCAGTTGCTCTAACCCTCTACCCAGACTTCAACCACGAGCGTCTCTGGCTTGCATGCACATCGCTCCGTATGGCACGCATCTGCGCCGAGGATGCATACCAACACGCCATCAAGCGCGAGACATTCGGCAAAAAGCTCATCGAAAATCAAATTATTCGCGCAAAATTCAGTGCAATGGCACGGAGTCTAGACTCAACTTATGCGTGGATGGAGCAATTAGTCTACATCTCCGAAACCGCCAAGAAGCAGGGTATCGACGCTTCGATGGGGGGGCTCTTCGCCAATCTCAAGGTTTTGGCGGGGCAAACTTTGGAAAAGGTTAACCGAGAAGCACAGCAAGTTATGGGTGGTCTTGGGTACTCGAAGAATGGCCGAGGAGCGAGGATCGAGCAGGTTAGTCGTGATGTGAGGGTTATGGTTGTCGGTGGTGGGAGTGAGGAGATTCTGGCCGAGTTGGCGGTTAACCAGGAGATTAAGAGTATGAAGAAGTTGAGTAAGCTCTAGATACTTAGGCATTCTTTGATTTTGAATGAATTTCAAGCTTGGTTAACACCCTAAACTATCCTCGTGAAAGAGAGTAAAAGACAACAATTTCATATATTTACCATACTCTATCAATGATGATGAACATGGCCCTTCCAGAAATTCTGGCGGCAAATTAATTTCAGTTATACTCTCTGGGCCTTTCTCTATGTCTTCATACCAGTCTCCATACCAGTCATTGTTCTTTCTTCTTTTTTCTGTTCTTCCATCGTGCTTTTGGGGTTCTCTTTAACCATATAATTCATAAAAATATAGCGATTGACTGTCCCATGATACCTTTGTATAAAGGGCATTTTTCAACCTTTCAAACAACATGTATGTACAATTTTTCTCATTTGTTGAAGCCGGATTTGACAAGTATACATTGATGAAATACTAAACAATTGAACAAAGAATCTTCCCTTCCTCCACAGCATCTCCAACACTCCATTCTGTTTGAAACTTCCCTGAAGCCGCAACAGATATATTGACTTCCATCTTCATACTCTCAATGACCATCACCGAATCACCAGACTTGACTTCATCCCCATTCTTCCTCAAAACTGAAAGAACTTTACAAGGCATGGGAGCCGCAACAGTCTTCTGCTCAGATCCTTTATTCGCTTTCGCAGTCGACCGATTGCTTTCTGCAAAAGAGAGCAGCGTGTCACGCTTGAACTCAACATGAGTGCCGATAGCAGGAAGGTGACAGTAAATATTTTGGCCACGATCGACCTGCCCCGCTAATGTATGAGCCCGTGTTGAAGGGATAGCGACTTGAGCGGTGAACTTTGATCCATTCACTGAGAGTTCAATGGTGGAGGCAAGCCAGGAATCGGGAAGAGCGGGATTGCCTTCTGCGGGGCGCCATGAAATAATTCGAACTTGGTGTGCAGGGGAAGATGTCGCTGTTCCTGTTCGCAGTGCTTGGCTTATTTCATTATATTGGGCGGATATCTCTGCTGCCGCTGAGACTTCTTCGTCTTTTGGGGATTTACCATCGGGGACTAGGAAGAGGTATACTTCCTCGGTACCGGATGATACTCCTGTTGAGCTTGGTTTCCAGATGCACATCATTTGTTGTCCTGATCCTGGATCTGCCTCTTGGCCAACTTTGTTGGGCCAGCTGGTCGTTGTCACAATGTCGCAATGAATATTGACTGGATCAAACCTTTGGTTTCGGAATTGCATGCGGATATTCCGGAGGGGTTTAGAGCGTGACAAGGCAGTAGCATAGTCTGGAAGCCGTCGGATTACCAAACTTGGGAGAATTGATACGAATTTCTCAAATTCAGGTAGTCCATGGACTGAAGGCGGCTGAAGAAGCTCATTCAAGTGCGACGGAATGAATGCAGTGGTGTAGGCAGGATCACGAAATCCCGAATTTAATAAACAGTATTGCATAAAAAGCTGATTTGTCTTCACACCAACACAAGCTGTCTGTGCAAGAACTTTGACCATTTTCTCAATTGCCAGTGCTCTTGTTGGAGCCCAAACAACAAGTTTGGCGATCATTGAGTCAAAGTAGATAGACACCAACGATCCGGTTTGAATGGCTGCTTCATATCGAATATCCCTACTTTGGGCTAATGGACCACTTGCGGGCAGCCAGAGGTGGACTTTGCCATGCTCGGGGAAGAAGTCTTTCTCAGGGTTTTCGGCGCACAGTCGGCACTCAATTGCGTGTCCATACTGAGTGACTTTGTCCAGCGATGGAAGACTTTTCAGGCTACCACCCGCCGCAACGAACAATTGCAGAGCAACAAGATCAATTCCAGTAACTTCTTCAGTGATTGGGTGCTCAACTTGAAGTCTGGCGTTTACTTCCAAGAAGTAGAATCGGTCCGTCTTGATATCTACAACAAACTCAACGGTGCCAGCATTCTCATATCCAATGAGCTCTGCCACTCGGACAGCAGTTGCACTCATCTTTTGCCGCGTCTCCTCCGTGAGGAAAGCACAAGGTGTTTCTTCGATGACCTTCTGATGCCTTCGTTGCACAGAGCAATCCCGATCCAAAAAGGAAACCACATGACCATGCGAATCACCCATAATCTGAATCTCAACATGCTTGCTGCTCTCAATGAACTTCTCCAAGATGCAGTCGTCCGAACCAAACGACCGACGAGCCTCAGACTGGGCTCTTTCCAATTCATCCTTAAGCTGCCCCGCCTCGCGCACAATCCGCATACCCTTTCCACCACCGCCAGCCGAGGCCTTGAGCATGACAGGAAATCCGATCTCAACAGCCACTTTACTCAGAGCTTCGGCATCTTGGCTGGACCCCGAGAATCCAGGAATCAGCGGAACATCGGGTGCATGAGCGCGCAAGTAGTCTTTTGAGGACCGTTTGTCGCCGAGGGTTGACATGGCGCTGGGGCTGGGGCCGATGAAGATCAGACCTGCGTCATGGACGCGTTGGGCAAAATCTGCATTTTCGCTCAAGTAGCCATATCCCGGATGGATAGCTTGAGCGCATCTTGAAATGGCTGTTTGGACTAGTAAATCGATGTCGAGAAATGGATTGCGGGTACTGCCGTCAATGCTGCCAATGTTTATGGCTTCATCTGCGTCCTGAACATGACGAGAGGAGGCATCTCTTTGAAACTATCAGCATCTTTTTGATGATATATATTTTTGGTGCATGAGTTCAAGACAGTGTGGATTACTCACTCGTCGACATAAACTGCTACAGACGCAATGTTCAATTTGCGACAGGTTTGAATAATACGACAGGCGATTTCGCCACGGTTTGCGATGAGAACCTTTTGTATCATGGGTCTACCATCTTTTCCTAATGGTGGTTCTGCGACGAATAATGGTTTGCGAAGAACTGAAGCATCGGTGCCCTTTGGCTCAATAGATGTGAGAGGCATAGTGTTGTCCTGAGGCCACGAGATCTGGAGAAACTGCTTCCCAACAAAAAATGACAGATAATTCTATAGCAACTAGCGACTTCATCACTAAAGAATATCAAGTATAATTTGTGCCTCGGTCCGGTATCCGGGGCCTGTTTAGACTGTATTTGTGGGGAACCGGACCGATCAGCCCTCTATCGAGAGCTCGAATTCACCCGGGCGCCGCGCAAATTGCCCCAACGTGGCCAACCTCCGGGTCTTTCTGCTCTTTTTGGTACGTCTAGGTTGATTATCCAAGAGTAATCAATCTAATCATTCCTCAGAAGCGATGGCAAAATGATTCGCCCCCATCCAAGGATGCCTGTCCAACTTGAGCAGATCTTTTCTAAATTTAGGACCCTTAGAAATAGAGGTCGTCAGATATGCTCTGTTTTCTTTCTAAATTTCTCGTCCTCCCTTGATATCTCCTTCATCTTATAGTCTTATGCGAATCAGCTATGAGCACCTAGGGGCATCAACCCTCCCAGCCAAGATCGATGTAATACGTAAAACCACGGTAAAATTTCCATATACTATTTAAACTCAGATTCTTGCTAGCAAATTATGTGTCTCCGTTCCATTCACCCCTGGCTGCGATACCACCTCCAAGCACATTCCCAACACATCACGCGTGTCTCTTGGATCGATGATTCCGTCGTCAATCAACATCGAGCTAGTAGAATAGCAATCTGCATCTTTCTGAACTCTTTCCCTGAAACTAGACACCTGCTTCTTTAATTTTGTTGGTGACAGAGTCTGCCCTTTAGATTTGGCGCTGGCTATTTGCACGTTCTCCATGACGCCAGCCAGTTGATCCGGGCCCATCACGCTGCAACGGCCAGTGGGCCATGAGAACAGAAATCTGGGGCTGTAGGCTCGGCCACACATGGCATAATTGCCAGCTCCATATGAAGCACCCAAAATGATAGAAATGTGGGGAACGTTCGAGCAGCTAACAGCGCTAACGAGCTGTGCGCCCATTTTGATGATTCCAGCATGTTCGGCTTTGGCACCGACCATGAAGCCGGTGACATTGTGAAGGAAAATGATAGGGGTATTTCTATTCTTTTCAGTAACTGGAAATTGGAATTTTCGATATTCCTATGCAAGACTTACTGTTGATTGCACATGCGAATGAACTGCGTGGCTTTCGCCGCCTCGTTTGGATTGATGACAGATAGCTGATTTGCAACGATACCAACAGGGAAGCCTGGAAGTCATAATTCAGTGCATGACTCATGAATTTGAAGAATTTAATCTTACCCATGATATGAGCCGAAGCCGTAATCATATTCGGGCCGTACTTGGGTTTGAAGACTGAAAGACGGGAGTCGTCCACGATACGCAATAAAACCTCGTTCATGTCGAAGGGCTTCCGAATGTCCGGATTCACAATTGATAGCACATCCTCGATGGGATATCTCGGTGCCAGTGGCTCAATTAATCCAGGGACTGAGGGCACACGTGCATGAAGCGAAGCTACCCACTCTCGTGCTTTATGAATTGCATCAAATCTATACGCTCAGGATTAGTATTTAGCAATCCAAACAATATCAGATCGATCCTACTCATCAGATGCAATTTGGTCCGCGAGACCAGTGGTCATTGCGTGGACTTTAGCACCGCCAAGCTCTTCTGCCCCAATAACCTCACCAGTAGCCATCTTCACGAGCGGGGGCCCTCCGAGGAAAGCCTGTGCCTGATTTTCGACAAAGATCGTGTAGTCTGACAATGCTGGATGGTATGCTCCTCCAGCCGTTGAGGATCCGAAAACAATAGCACATGATGGCTTTCCATATCGGGTTCGGAGTGCAAGATCGCGGAACAGCTGACCACCTTTGTGGAATACTCGAAATTGTTGTGGCAAGAATACACCGGCCTTTTTGGGTCAGACTTATCTGGTGAAAGTGGTGTGGTACTTACCGATTGGACTAAGGAGACTAGTGGAAGATCGTTCTCGAATGCAATCTCCATCATGCGGTTGACTTTTAACACTTCCTCTGATCAGCATATCTTGAACAGTTTTGAATTATTTGTTCATACCGGTCATCTCATTCCAAGCTCCTCCACTTTGAGTCGGAATATGAGACATAAGAAGGCATATGCGTCCGCAAACATTTCCTATCCCGGCAATCAAATTGCCACATGGGGTAGACTCGTCATTTTCAAAACCGGTGAATGCTCCAAGTTCAAGGAACGGTGAGTCTTGGTCTAGCAAAAGTGCGACGCGATCCCTTGCTAACTTCACGTCAACTGCGTTTCTTGATGAGACGGCTCACGAACTTACGTAGCAGCTGACCACGATTTTGGTGTCTTCGGAGTGAAACATCGTTTCCTTCAGCAGAAACTTGCTTTAAAGCCTCTTCGAACCTTTCAATGACAGGCGCCCAACTCTCTTTGTTTGCTTGAAACTGCTGGCCCCGTAGATCGATCTTTGTGCTTGCCACAGGAAACGAAGACTCGGTGGCCATGATGAAAAGGTTTTCGAATTTTATTTTGTTTGCAGGGTATTTTGCAGAGCATGAATAGATTTGTAGCAGAAAATCAATATCCTCGCATCAAAAAGGCTTTGGGGCCGAGTTTCTAGGGTCGAGCTGAGTGGAGCCTTCCCGGTCCGAGCCCGGGAACGGCGCGGACCAGATCACTAGAGAGGGTGCGATAGTGTGGGGGAATAGACAATCAAATATCATATGAATCATATAATCAAATCAGTTCTTCATGATTGGAGCCTGTGTTTGACATGCTATAACCAAGCCCTTGTTCCTAATCCTCGACAACTACATCCCCTTTTTTGACGTTAGTGATATCTAAAATGAATCCCAATCTCGCACTTGTATACGGCCCAAAAGAGCCCGAACTATGTCTCAAGACTATGGGCGCTCTTATCGACGACCAGGCAGTTCAATTTGGGGATCGTGCTTCCGTTATTTTCCCCTGGCAGTCTGTTCGGCTGTCCTACCGCCAATTGGCAGACCGGAGCAGAATTCTAGCCAAGGCAATGCTGGAGATGGGACTGCACCATGGTGACTGTGTCGGTATCCTGGCAGGAAACTGCTATCAATACATCGAGGTCTTTCTTGGCGGTGCTCGAATCGGATGTCCTGTCGTTGTCTTGAACAACACATACACACCTGCAGAGCTTGAAAATGCTGTTCGGAGAAGTTGTAAGTCTGCTGCAAACGTCGACTTTTAATGTCAATGGCTGATACAGTGATAGCCTGCAAGCTTATATTCCATGCTACAAAGATAGGCTCTCGAGACCTGACTGGTCATATCGAAACCCTTCGAGGAACACAATACCCAAACCCAGCGCTACCTGAGCTGCGTCGGGTTTTTTCGCTAGGACTTGGGGGATTTCACAATCCGGGCGTAGAAGTCCAGCCTTATAACACGTTTACTTCGAATGGACTTTCTGTGTTCATGAACAATGCAACACTCGAGCGTGCAGAACGAAAGGTCACTCGCGAGGATGTAGTTAACTTACAATTTACTTCTGGTAAGAGACGTACAAGACTTCATATCTTATTGCTAATACTGACTTATTTTGAAGGAACGACGGGCTCTCCCAAAGCTGCAATGCTCACACATACGTAAGTCAATTGGAAGCAATATTCCCAATATTCAACTAATGAGCATATATGTAGGAACCTCATAAACAATGCTCAATATGTCGGTGGAGCGATGCAACTTACTCCAGAGGATGTGATCTGTTGCCCGCCATCTATGTTCCATTGCTTTGGGCTTGTCTTGGGCTTTCTTTCATCATTTTTCTACGGAAGTGCAATCGTCTTTCCATCTGATTATTTTGACGTTGCAAAGGTTGTTAACGCCATTATCGATGAAGATGTCACAGTTCTTCTCGGTGTCCCAACCATGTATGTTGCCGAGTTAGAGGTCATGGCAAGAACAGGCCAGAGACCCCGGCGACTAAGAACCGGTCTAGCTTCAGGCTCAACAGTATCGCAAAATCTCATGAATCAGCTGCGAGAGACTATGGGCGTCGAGAAAATGCTTATTGCATACGGAATGACGGAAACCAGTCCAGTCAGTTTTATTACTTCGCTGAATGACAGCGACGAAAAAGGTACAACAACAGTTGGCCGGGTCATTCCACACACGGCTGCAAAAGTCATTGATGAAAAGGGCAATATCTTGTCGCGAGGACAGCGGGGAGAGTTGTGCACCAGCGGATTCGTGTTGCAAAAGGGCTACTGGAGGAACGAAGAGAAGACCAAAGAGGTGATGCGAAGAGACGAGAATGGCGTTTTGTGGATGCACACAGGAGATGAAGCCATGATTGATGCCGACGGGTATGCTCATATCACTGGTCGGATCAAGGATCTCATCATTCGAGGTATGTTCAAATTATCCAATACAAATTTCAATGACCATGCTGAATGATATGTACTACTAGGTGGCGAAAATATCTTCCCACGAGAGATTGAAGAGCGACTGATGTCGCATTCATCGATTTCCGAGGCCAGTGTAGTCGGCATCAAAGACGAAAGATATGGTGAGGTTGTAGGTTGTTTTTTGAAGGTATCGGGACAGTCTCAAAAGCCCAGTACTCAAGACGTTCGTCAGTTTGTTGGAGAAAAGCTGGGCCAGCACAAATCCCCCAAATATATATTTTGGCTTGGAGATAGAGGTGTGGGTGAAGACTTCCCCAAGACTGGCAGTGGTAAGCATCAGAAACACATGATGCGCGACATTGGCAATCGGTTGGTGGGCGCTGTCAGAGCAAAGCTTTAGTGCAGTAAATATCAATTCATTTCATTGCAAGGTTATATTATCTGATTACGAAGCTCTCTATAAAGCTATAAAAAGATCTTAAAATCTGGTGATCGGTCTATTCATGGACATTGTCGCTACGATGGCATGCCAACCTTGGACAACCGTTTTATCGCATTTCATCTTACCAGTCTTTCCCTTTCACTCTTAGTTCCTTGTTTGGCCTCAAATGTGGTGTTGCTCCTTCCGAAATTTGCGATCTGCGTAGTTCCCTCCGAGCTCGGTCCGAGACCCGGACATCTCTCCCCGCGTTTAGGGCTTTTTGGAGCGGACCGGGCCAGAACGGGGTAGGAAATTTGGAGAAATACGACACTAATTCCATTCTGCTATGCTGGATTTCAAAGCCCAACAACTATCGATTTGGCATCAAACTCGAGACCATGAGCCCAGCAGTTCGGATTGTGGAAGTAGGTCCACGAGATGGCCTACAAAACATCCGAGACACAATACCGACCTCAATCAAGTTGGAATTGATACAGCGGCTTCGGAAAACCGGTCTTCAAACAATTGAACTGACGTCAGTGGTTTCGCCAAAAGCGATCCCGCAACTGGCAGATTGTCGTGAAGTGCTTCGTAACGCAGACATCAAGCCCCTCTTGAGTAACTCACAACTTCGACTTCCTGTGTTGGTTCCCAACGTTAAGGGGCTTGAAATTGCCATACAACATGGCGTTCGAGAGGTTTCTGTGTTTATCAGTGCCACGGAGGGATTCAGTAAAGCCAATATCAACTGCACAGTTGCGCAGGGGATTGAGCGGGCAACCCAAGTAGCTTCACTGGCTATACATTCTCAAATTGCTGTCAGGGGGTGAGCAACCTGGTCTTATGTCGCCTCAGTTGATCACAACTAACATTGGTAGCTATGTTTCGTGCATCTTCGCGGATCCGTACGACGGACCAACTCCATCGCCGGCAGTTCTCCGCTGTGTAAATTCTCTGCTCGAGGCCGGCTGCTACGAAATCAGCCTTGGAGACACATTGGGTATTGGTTCCCCCTCAAACGTGCGCGAGCTCATCAAGTACCTCGCCAGCAATGGCGTCCCGCCAGAGAAGCTCGCAGGTCACTTCCACGATACCTACGGACAAGCCGTAGCAAACGTCTGGGAGGCATTCAACAATGGGATCCGAGTATTCGACAGCAGTGTAGCAGGTCTGGGCGGATGTCCTTTCGCGCCCGGAGCAAAAGGAAACGTCGCCTCCGAAGACCTGGTCTACATGTTCCACAACGCAGGAATTTCAACAGGCGTCGATCTCCCAAGATTAGTGGAGACAGGGGTCTGGATCTCAAAACAGCTCTCAAAGAACAACTCAAGTCGAGCTGGAACGGCATTATCAATCAAATCCCAGCCGAAGACAACACCAAGCAAGAATACATCCAGCCTCAAATGGAACCTTTTCACCGAAACAGAAGGTCTTCAAATATACCGATCAGGCGCGAACCTGAAAGTCGTCCTGAACAGACCTCACAACGGAAACACCCTGACAACAACCATGATATCCGACCTGACGCAAGTAATCTCAACCGCCAGTTCCGACCCCCTAACCTCCCGAATTATCATAACAGCCAACGGCAAATTCTTCTGCACGGGCATGGATCTCAGCAAAGGGAGCACAGCCGTTGGAGAAGGAGGATCAAGCAGCGAAGCCCAGTTCGGTGCTCTGACGGCCCTCTTCGAGGCGATTGATCAATGTCCCAAAGTGACCATTGCAGCGGTGAATGGGCCCGCGTTTGGGGGAGGAGCTGGACTGGCTTTCTCATGCGATATGCGGATTTTCACGCGAGGAGCAAATGTCACATTGAGCGAGGTGAAGCTGGGGCTTTGTGCGGCGACGATATCGAAGTATGTGATTCGGGAACTGGGGATCGCGTTTTCACGGGAGATGATGCTTTCTGCTCGCTCGGTGACGGCGGCGGAGCTGAAGGGGTTAGGCGCTGTTTCCGAGATTGCGGAAGATCAAGATGATCTGCGGGTTAGACTTGATGAGTTGTTGATACGGCTTAAAGTTGCTTCACCTAATGCTTCACGTATGTCGAAAGAGTTGGTTCAACTTGCTTGGGCGCACGGGGGAGGGGATGTGCAAGCTTCTGGAATTAAGGGTTTGTTTAGAGAGATGATGGGGTCTGATGCAGATGGAGCATACGGTGTGAAAGAGTTCCAAGCGAAGAGGAAGGTGGATTGGGATATCTATGTTCAGAAACGGACGACGAAGCTGTAAAAGAGAACCTGAAGATTGTTTGTGCTACTTGGTAATAGAAACATCTAATCAACAAGAATCTTGAGGACAATGACAGACGGACATTAAATAAAGCGCCGCCAATGATCAAAATAGCATCCAAAGGGCGGGGCGTGTAGCCGCATATGTACAGAGGGGCTCAGTCAGGACCCGAAAGTAGACCAACAGGAAAAGGGGGAGTGCTGGATTCCGTCACGCCGATTAAATGCTGCACTGATGATCAAAAAAGCACCCGGCGTGCCGGGGTCGTCGCAGGGAGACTTGAATGAGCCCCGTGCTCGTGTCTCGTTGCTTCGTGTGAACAAAGGGAAGGAAATAAAACAAACAAAGGAGAATCGTGGGAACGCCATCCACAACAAAAAGGGAAGCCTCCAGAAACAAGGGATATCCAACTCCAACTCATGAATAACAATCAAAATTTGACAATTAGATGACCACCACGTCGCCCTCGGCATCCGCAGGGTCAGAAACCATCATGTCTCCGTATTTTCCGACTGCCAGCAGCATGGTATCATCCTCGAGATCAATAGCGCTGTCGTCATTATTGTGGCCTTGGAAGCCTTGGTCTTGTAGAGACAAACGCTTTTCATTGGGAGGATGCTTGAAGTCCGGATGATGGTTGGCAGGTTGTGCCTGGTGGGTGGACTGGGGCACAGGAGGAGTAGCATTAGATTTTTGAGAAACATTAGAAACTTCAAACGGGGATGGCTCAACAGCACAATCTTGTTTCAGTTGAAAGTTGCCTAGTGACTCGGGACCAAAGGTGGCACTTTGCAATGATCCAGGAGTGTTGCGCATGAAGCCTCCCTTCTCGGCCTGCCAAACCATCATTTCATGGAAGAAGACCTTGGTCATCCACCATGCACTAAAGCTTTGAGCTCCGCCCAGGGTGAGTCGGTGCAAAACACTATCCCAAAGTGCGTCAACCTTTTCGATGACACATTGTGTCCGGTGATTGGCAAAGGTAGCAGGGATGTTGAGAATGAAGTGAACCCATTTGTCGGGGAAGTTATACTCGTCTCCAGGCGCACTTTCCACTGGGAAACGGTGGGCCGCAGCTGACTCGGGGTCGTCAGCGCGGGTGTAGAAAGGCAAGGCGGTAGAAGGGTCGGCGTCAGTCAATGGGGTAAGGAGAGCGCGGATATCGTGCTTCAACATCTGTTCCGTCGCTGGCTCGGCACACGTGGGAATATTGGCCTTGGTCATCATATCCTGGGGATTGACTAGAGTCTTGAAATCAATCCACATCTGGTTTCGGTTGTCGGGATGGCAGAGCCAAGCAGCTGCGGCATTGGCGGCCTGGTTCACATCAAGCATATGCTTCAGTAGGTTGCAGAAAATGTGTGCAGGAATTAAACGAGCTAGGGAAACATGTATAGGTTGAGTCCGGAATGTTTCGGTGATGTGACCGCAAAGGCGTTGTGAGATGGACATGAACGCATCCAAAACTGGCTTGGGCACAACTTGAGTGGTCAGAGGTGCCACGAATGCAATCATCTTCTGATACATCATCCAATCACACTCCTTGATCCATGGGGCAAGATTGGGATGTGTCAACAATTTTTGGACGGGAACAGTCAATGTGCCGTGGAAAGCCGAGAAATATTTCATAAGGTTACGTTCTTTGCAGTATCGGAAACTATCAATGACCGAAATGCAGTGGGATCGATAGAGCGCAGCAAGTGCGGCGGCAACTTTAAAGTCACTGCCGGCAGGTAAATAGGTCCGAATGTCAGGCAGTTGCAAAGCATCGTTATCAACAACGGTATTCTCATCTAGCGGGAATTGAAGCATCTGGTGGATCATCTTCCCAGCCTGCTGGGCCACGTTCTCGCGTGTGATGGTTTCATCCGGTCCAGATGAGCCGTGGCCCTGGCAATTGCAGTCTGCTGGCATAGGGTTGTTGGGGAATCGGGGGGCAAAGGAAGTGGTAGGAGATGGGAACACGGCAGTATCGGCGGTGGGTTGTTGAACGCTAGCACTATTGAATGGTCAGTGGAAACATTGAAGTTTTCTCAATGGTTCAATCATACCTTCGTGAACGCATCGCACTAGCAGGCCTTGAGGGCATGGAAGCAGGGCCAATGGAACCGCGGGCGGCTTGGGGCATGGGAGCAATTTTCTGTTGTTTTTCCTCAATGACAGACAAATCCACATAGTGGTACTTGGACTCGCCGCGGACTCCAAGTCGCCGAGTCTGAACATTGGGGAAGATAATTCGAACCAACTTTCCAAACGACGCAGGGTTCAGCACCGAAACGCGTTCTGTGCCACAGTTCTCTGCATAGCAGCAGTAAACACGGTCACGACGCACTGAACCACTGCTCTTGCGGCAGTTTTCTCTCAACCTGCAAAATTGTTAATCCAGGACAGATGACATGGGGTACCTTTTAACTTACCATATCATGGCGAACACCTGCTTCACTTTTTCCGCCTTTCCACCACCACCTTCATGCTTCATAACCTCAGCGGCCATTTGCTTGAGATTCCATCCTTCGTATTGACGAAGTAGTTTTCGTAATTCGTTGTCATTGGCTACAGTCGAACTGGCACCCCTTTTCTTCTTCCCACCGGGTTCCGAAGTCTCCGGTTCCTCGACGAGGTGCTCGGGCAAGTGATTCTCGACACCACTGTCATACATATGTTGGTACGAGCCGGCAACATTTGGCAAGCCGCTCGGTATATCAGGTGGCATCGAATGGTGGGAGAGTGCATGACCATGCATGGAATGGTTTTGAAAGTCCTCCCCACGTGTCATTATAGCGTGGGCGTCCTGCATTGACTGGTCTAGTCCAGCGGCACTCGCGTGATTTGATAGCTGGTGTCCGAATCGCATGAGCATGTCCTCGGGATTGTTGAACAGATGTTGACCACCGCCAGCCTGCGAGGGCATAAATTGAGGAAATCCGTCGAGATGTTGGTCTTGGGTTTGCTGGGTCGTACTCGAATGGATGCTTGCAGTTGATCCTCTGGAACGAGGACGGCGGCTAGCTCTGGAGACGGCTTCAGAGCGTGCTCGAATGGGATCTGCGGTACCTGGCCGGCTGTGTGGAGCAATCTGCGTTGTCTGGGACACAACACTGCCCTGAGAGTGAGCTCGGGCTTGAGGATATGTTAGCATGGAACGAGCAAAATGACCCGCAGCAGATTTTTAGCTTAGCTTACCAAGTTCGGCCGGCATCATGTTGGTTGCTGTTTGAGTTAGTAAAAGTGGAGGAGCCCGTAACCAGGGAGATGACCCTGCGCGATGGTGTTCCACGGCGCTCACAGGACCATTCGCTTTCCAAAAATTAGGCAAGAACTAACGACAAACACAACATGAAATCCAAAAACGTCCAAAAAAAAAAAGCACAAGAGGTATCGCGAGCCAGCTTGGGCTTTGTGAGGCTAGCCGCGTTGTGTGAGTCGAAGAGAATAAACAGAAAAGGGCCGTTCCTCTGACAACGTTGTTTTTCCCAGGTCACGTGTATTTCGTAAGCATTCCGCAATAACAAGGGCGTCAACAAAGATGACAGTAGGAATGACTACTATATTTACATATGCACTGTCATCAGTTTAGCCATGCACGGAGTGATTCTTCTATCTAAGTTGGTATGCAACATTTACACACTATGTTCTATAGTATGATTGTTCCCAAACATCGTCAAGATGATCTTCATCCTGTCACGTGACTCCAGCTTGAATTGCAGTGCACATCAATAATTAGGGTAAGGAGGGTCTATATAAGTCATATCACATTCAATAGTATCTAAATGCATATCAATACTGCATCCTAAGCAATGTTGAGTCTCGTCAAAATAAGCGCGTCAGCGGCGCGGAGAAAAAGTTCCAACCAAGGAACCCCAAATCTTAAACTATTACATCATAGATGTTTTGATATCAACTTCCATGTTTCATATTTTTATCAGTTTCAATTGATCCAGATTGATGTGGTGGCAATTATCTAGATCTGATCGTCCGTATCTACATACATTTTCTTTGATTGGTTAGCTTTTTGTTTTCGTTTGTATCAACGTATGGGATTGGTTTTGTTGACAATATATCTCCACCAGGAATGCACATCCATAGATATATATCTACCTGCTTTACTCTCCACTTTGATTTCTTACTTTTGACTCCTAAGGTTTGACTCCCGTAATAATATTTATATCATACATCTTCCTAGGTATGCTCTGAATCACAACCACCAAGCAATCAAACCCAGCATTCAACATGTTGACTGCCAAGAGTTAACCGAGTGGTCCGACATTGAAACCACGGAAATAGAGGGGCTCCACGCGGCTGAGAACAGGAACAAAATTAGAACAATTTGGTATTGCGACATTTGGTTGGTTACTGTAGACCAGCATCTCACATCCCCCTTGGCGTTGTAACAGAGAGCCAATCCCAAACCACCAGCCTTACGGTGAGATCCGTTAAGGCAGTAGGGCTGTGATGTCACCTAAATTATCTCCAGACCTCCCCCTCTTCCTTTTCCCCCTCTCTCCAACCTTTCCACTTCAGAGACCCAATTATGCAGAAATTCAAGGACAAGATTAGCAATTTGGAGGGGTCTTTAAAAGGTGGGATCCCACAATCACCCCACTTTCCCACCAACTAACCAAGTCAAGATACCCATATCCACGATGTGAAAGCCGAAGCCACGCATTTGAAGCACAAGGTCGGCAAGTTCTTTAACATCATTAATCCAAACCATCGCCATGACGAGGAGCATGAGCAGGCCACGGATCGCAAGCGCACTGAGCTCTCAGAGTCACATCGCTTCAAGTCTTTTGCGCCCGTCCACGATGGCAATCGCGTCAAATGGTATGTGGATGCGAAAGATTACATGTGGGCGGTTTCTGAAGCCCTAGAGAAGGCCACTGAGACTATCTACATTGCCGACTGGTGGCTCTCCCCAGAGCTCTTCTTGCGCCGCCCTCCGGTGGAGCACCAAGAATGGCGATTGGACCATGTCTTGAAGCGTCGCGCTGAAGCAGGCGTGAAAATTTATGTAATTGTTTACAAAGAGGTTCGTCAATTTCCTTCAGACTTGCTATCCGAACAATTGTATTAATATGTTGAACAGGTTAATCAAGCCCTGACTTGCAATTCCGCACACACTAAACATGCGCTGCGAAATCTCTGCCCTGAAGGAACCCCTGGTCATGGCAACATCCGAGTGATGCGCCATCCTGACCACAATGTATTTGAAAACGCAGCCGACATGACTCTCTACTGGGCGCATCACGAGAAGTTCATCGTGATCGACTACAACGTAGCCTTCATCGGTGGTATCGATCTTTGCTTCGGACGGTGGGATGCAAACCAGCACCCCCTGGCCGATGTCCACCCCGCAGGACTGCGGGATGATATTTTCCCAGGCCAGGATTTCAACAACAACAGAATCATGGATTTCCAGAGTGTCCAAGACTGGCAGAGCAACGAAGTCAGTAAAGCCGACTACGGCCGCATGCCCTGGCATGATGTTGCCATGGGGTTGCAGGGCGACTGTGTGTACGACATTGCCGAGCACTTCGTCCTGCGCTGGAACTTCATCAAGCGCGACAAATACAAGCGCAGTCATGATGTCGACTGGCTTTTGATGGAGGGCCGCACGGGCGAGGATGAAGACATCATTGCCGTGCAGCGTCCTAAGTACCCGTGTGGTGATTACATCCAGCACCCGCTGACTCCGCTGGGAACCAAGGCTCGCGGTAATGTAGGCACTGTGCGTGCTCAGATCGTGCGCAGCAGTGACGACTGGAGCAGTGGAATTCTGAACGAGCACAGTATCCAGAACGCATACTGCGAGACGATCCGCAACGCGGAGCACTTTGTGTACATTGAGAACCAATTCTTCAGTATGTCAGCCTCTATCCCGAGAAGCACCCTTCGCTAACATTCGCAGTCACTGCCACCGGCGACCAGCAGCACCCGGTTTACAATCAGATCGGCCGGGCCATCGTCGATGCTTGCGTGCGCGCAGGTAAAGAGGGCCGCAAGTTCCGGGTCATCATTGTTATCCCTGCCATTCCTGGATTCGCTGGTGATCTGCGCGACGATGCTGCGACGGGTACTCGGGCGATCATGGACTACCAGTACAAATCCATCTGCCGTGGAGAGCACTCAATCTACGGACAGATTGAGAAAGAGGGCGTTGACCCCCGAAGTAAGTTGTTCTCTAGCTGGAATGTCAGCGTATGTCTAACAAGTACGCCCAGAGCACATTTTCGTATTTGCACTACGGGCTTACGACCGCATCAACAAGACGCCCGCGCTCGAGGAACTCGAGAAGGAAGCCGACGTGACATACCAGGACATCCAGCGTGGTATTGCCGAATCCATCATGAGTGAAAGTGTGCACCCAGGTATTGGCAAAGAAGGCGACAGCAACGAGAAAGATTATGAAAACGAGCCAAGTCAAAAAGAAGAAAATCTCCGCAAGCTCGAGAGATTCGAAGAAAAATACGAGCAGCGCAAGAAGGAAGACGGGTTCCATAGCAAAGACACAGTATCGCACTGCACAATGCTGAATGGAGGTAAATTGTCAGACGAACAATGGGAAGGCGAACCAGAAGCCGAGAAGGGCAATTTCGTTCAGGAGGAACTGTACGTGCACGGCAAGGTGTGCATCGTGGACGACCGCACGGTCATCTGCGGCAGCGCCAACATCAACGATCGGGTAAGTACCACCAACCACGAAAGTGAGGAGTCTGGCCAGCTGACGGCGATCTAGTCCCAACTCGGCTCGCACGACAGCGAACTCGCAATCGTTATGCAAGACCAAGACCTAATTGACAGCACGATGGATGGTGTATCATACAAGGCAGCGCGATTTGCGGCGACGCTGCGCCGGCAGCTGTGGCGCGAACATCTAGGCCTTCTCCCCGCCCAAGAATACGATTCACCGACACATCCCAACTCCCGATCTGTAGATGAGTGTCTGAATCAGATCGATGAGGGTGCAGAGAACGACTTCGTGGCTGATCCTCTTAGTGATAAGGTCTGGGACACCTGGACCTCTCAGGCGAGTGGAAATACTGAGGCGTACCGAATGCTGTTCCGGGCGGACCCTGATGACAATATCAAGACGTTCGAGGATTATGACAACTTCCGGCCACGCGGAAACCATAAGGAGGGCCATTTGTTTGATCCATATATGCCTGCCAAGGATGTTCGGGAGAAGTTGGATCTCATCAAAGGACATCTGGTTTGGTTACCATTGGATTTCTTGAAGGATGCCGAGATGGCGGAACCTGGGCTGGCTGTGAACCAGATTACAGAGGTGAGTCAATTGCCTTGTTTGCCTACAAGGGTTTATTTACATGTGGATCATTTGGCTAATCCTTTTGTGACAGAGTATCTATACCTAAGCGGGAACGCTTGCACATTAGATTCTCATGGTTCAATCAGGATCGCACATATAATTTGAATTATCTTAGGTAGTCATTTTATTTCTTACAGGGATGTGAATTTTGAGTCACCTCACCTCACAAAAGAAGAGGTCAAGAGGTGTAGATAAGTTATGCACACCGTTCCATCTTGAACCTAGAGAATATAGTCCGGACAAAGCCCTAAACGCACAGGTACACAACAGCAAAAAAAGTCCTTGCGTGGAGAAATAGAGTTGACCCAAGTCTTTGGGAATTCTTATTGGTTTTTTCCTAAATCCCCATGATTCCCTTAGTCTTTGTTTAGCGTTGTTTAGCGTTATTTAGTGTGTTTAGTGTATTTAGTCCATTTAGTGTACGGAGTACTAGTCCGTTCTTGGAGTTACCTTAGTGTCTCGGCACTAGCCACGGAATATTTCGCAGCCCTTCCGGCGATACATCTCATTTCTGCTGCCACTTAGGTTGCATTAACGCAACAGTGGATAACGTTTCCTGTCAACATGAATGGTCCTGAACTCAGGATAGGTTCATTTCGCTCTCGGCAATCCATTTACCACAGTACTATTCAGTAGATAGCCCACACCCCCACACCCTCTCGCAAAAGACGGGAACTAGTATTTCCTTCTCAAATAAGACTTTTTGTTTTTGTTTTTGCTTTTGCTAAGTTGCTTTTGCTAAGTTGCTTCTGAGGGGCCCAGGAATGCGCAACTCGCATACCGGATCTCTGACCGAAACCTTAGAAATTGCTTTTTGGGAGTATCGGCAGTAAGAAAAACAATTTGGACCCTAGATCTCGGGCCTTGGGATGACCAAAGCAAGGGCGAGATCGACCTACAATCGTTTGCCCGCGTCCCTCTCGGTGAGTATCGCCAGATTCCGGATCGGCATACATCTGCACTGCAGCGCATTGAATGTCGCTGGTTATGGTGTCGAGATGATAGGCTTCGTTACGATGCCGACAGAGGCTACCACAGGAGATACCTTAGATTTAGATAGATGCATGACAGGTTTCATCGGCAAGGTTGTATAACATAGGAATACGAAGATAGCACAGCATTGAGAAAATAATAAGACAAAAATTGCTCCTTGGAAGTTCAAGCACAGAAAGAAGTTTAAAAGCGAAACAAGAAACCCAAGTCTAAATGTAACTCCTTCAGATGCTATAGTGCATCAAAATCTTTTAGGACTTTTGGAACACATCATGCAAAAACACCAATCGCCAAAAACGAAGCCACGAAGAAGATCGAAACCCAAGCCCAAGGGGTTGGGGCTGTGGGGGCTATGGGGTGGACACTACCCTTGCACCGGGTTCATGCAGAGAGGCAGATCCTTCCTGTGAATTCCGGAACACAGATTTACAATATGCATGTGTCTCTTTCGGGAAGTCAGTCTTTGCAAGGGAACATCGAGGATTTGGAATCAAACAAACTTACTTTGGAAAAAGGGATCTCCACTCTATCCTTTGGCATTGTGGCAGGCATTGCAGCGACAATGGCCACAGGCCTTGCAGCGCCAGATCGCCACAAATGGTCCCGAGTTACAATCGGAACAACGCCAAGTGAGAATATTGCCATTGGTAGCCTGGACAATGGCGAAGACGTGACCGGAGCACTGGTTGGCCATTGTTTGATAAGTAGACCCAAAAAGTGTAGCTGATGTTGTCAGTATAATCTTTAGCCGAACCCGAGACTCTGTTCACGTACAAATTGAACGACGTTGGTAAGACCCGAGGGAGTGGAAGCGATGATCTTCGGACAAGGGTTCCAAGCAGCTGATTGGATTTATATAAGGAAGGAGAGAAGAGAGTTAGGGTGTGGCAAGTGAAAATGATAAAGTCAATTGAGAGGCAAGCTGTGAGGGATCGTTCGAGAGAACAGTGCGGAAGTCAATTGAAGTAGATGGTGATGAAGATGAGACCTTGAATCACGGACGACTCATTCCTTATATAGATCGATATATCTCGACAGACAAGCAACAGAGTCTCGATCAAGGCGAGAGAATCTCAGATCCAACCAGTCGTAACTCAAGGGCCGAAACGACGCATGAATCCGTGCTGGCGCAGGTAACCGGAGGGAGATATTAGCTGAACTGCTTCATTGAGAAGGACAAATAAAATATTAAAAGAAAACCAATAAAAGCATTTGCGAATGAGAAATAGATGTAGATGAAAATCTACTCTGAGCGTCGTTTGTTTCTAGGCAATTAAATGAAGCTACGTAGATCTCCAAATAAGGTGAGAGAACGATTAAGTCGAGACAGATTTTCAGGATCGAATCTCGATCCAAGTCATCGGCGGGACATGATTGGGGTAATCAGTATTAACAGTTACCATGGTTAAGGTAAAGAGGGCCCCGGAAGGGACCCGAAATATTAATTTAGTGTAAATTTGAGATACATTATACCAGTTGGTGGTTACATGGGTGAGAAGTACATGGAGAACAACTAACTAATGATAGGATACAACATCACTACAGGAAATACAAATAAGAAATTCTTTCTTAAAAAAAAAAAATTAATCAGGATTTTCATGAGGGAAAAAAAGAAAAGAAATAGCTAAAAAAGAAATAACAAAAAAAACCAGTCTAAACCAAGCGAGCCGAGAAATTGTAAGGCATCGGAGGTTTCCATGAACTGTGGAGTATAGTAACCACTCAACAATCAATTAGTTACATCGGTACTCCGTATATAGCTATAGGTACTTTTGAGTCGATGCTCGCAGATCTTCGGGCCTTCGCATCCTAGTATTCCGGTTCCGATCGAGTGCATATTACTGATGTTAGCGTCTATCTCATCGATCCATACATGAGTTCCAAATATGATTTTGAGGAATGGGTCCTATTATTTGCCGTCCCTCGATTCTTAATATTTTCCCTGCGCTCTAATTTAAGGAATTTCCCCTGAAAGTCCCAATATCAAACTCACTGGATACATCCAAACGGGACGCTTGGACCGAAGATCCACATGGCACTTGTCATTTGCTATCAAGGAAATATTAATTGAAATAAAAGTACACACATCAGAACGAAAGAAAAATAAGAAGTCTAGACTCCAAAAGTACTGGTACTATTCAGCTAACACCATTGTGGATCAAGTACCAAGTGACAAAGTTCCCCTGATCGAAACGGCATTGCCCGTCCCGGGCGCTTGCACGGTCCAATCGCTTATTGAATAGCCGCAAAGATAAAAATGGAACTTGCTGAGTCTAGTCTCGGTTTGTCACATCTGTCACATCGGAAGCTGAAGTGGAGATTCACAAGTTTGTTTTACCTCTTGGAGCTAGGAGCTCGACGAGCTAGGAGCTAAAATATTGGCAATCAGGATAGCTATAGTATAAACAATCCGTACTCCGTACCTCGAGATGAATTGTCTAGGACATGACATGTAAGATCCATATGATGTTTATTCGGAGAGATCGCCTCCAGTATCTGTCAGGGCGGTTCCAATGCAATCAATTGTACCCGCATGGAGGACAAGTTATGGAGTACAAGAACTAGTTACAGAAAGACTGAGAGGAAATGGGTCACACGGCGGTAGGTTTCCAGGGTCGAGTCCTGCAGGGATAAACAATTGAATTTATTTAAAGTGCAAGGATTGCTTTTCCGATAGTAATTTATTGAGTGCCGTTAGGTCCATCTGTCACACCTGAACATTGCAAACCGGGCCAGCCATAGCCGTTGGGTCTGTAGTAGAAAGCTTTACCTTGGCCAAATGACCTAGAACAAAGTGGGGGTAATGGAAACGTGCACACCGACTCTCTCATTGTAGTACCTGGCACTACCTAAAGAAAACTATACGTATATGTTATAGGTCATTACACAAGCTCTTAGGGCGATCATCGGACCATGTCTGAATCGCAAACCGGCTTCGAGAAGCAATCAGGACGGCTAACCGCATTGAAACACGAAAACCAAGTTGCCACTGAAAAGTGAAGCGGAATAAAGTGAAATGGAAAAATTTGAAGCGGGTAAAACAGTGAAGTGGGAAAGAGAGGTGAAGCAGAAAAAAAGAAAACAACGGTCAAGAAAATAATAAGAGAAATTGTATTGTTTGCTATCGAAATTACGTTATGTTCGAGATTATCTCTTGCACCACTTCCACGACCGCAAGGCCAATCATCCCATAAGGACCGAGAAAGTGGTGACGTCTCCATGCTGTACAGAGTACAGCATGAAGTAAGAAGAAGATCCGAGTTTGATCTGCCAACGCTCCGTTAAGAACACCTTGTGGAAAACGAGATGCTCCTGCAGAACTCAGAGTAGACTGCATCGCTGGGTTTGAGGGTATGAGAGGCCGTGAACAAGTTCACTCTACAGGGGAAGGGGAGGGTCCGGAAGGGGTCGTTCATTCGAAAATAGGTATCATGTCATCAACAGTTGCAGGAGTCCTGCGCAAAAACGCCACCCTGGATGTATCAACATCTCTCTTTGTCGTTACTTTCCTCGTTACTGCCATCTGCCTCATCAGTCGTTAAGGTGGAAGAGGGCCGAGACGCTGCTGGCTGTTAGTGGATGGTCACACGACACAGTCGGTGAGAGGGGAAAAAAACAAACCTTTCACCATAATGGTGCCTCCGAATACTCTCTGCCAGCAGACTTGACACGTCAATGACGATCAACTTCTTCGATCGTCGCAACATTGACGGTGGGATCGGGAATGTGTTGGTTACGACAATGTGATCGATCGACCGACATCCTTCCATCTGTTCCAGAGATTCCTCTGTGAATAGTCCGTGGGTGGCAATGCAGTAGACATTCTTGGCGCCACCGCGCTTGACGACAGTCTCTGCAGCCGCAATCCAGGATCCACTCTTGTCAATCATGTCATCGACGATGAAGACAGATCTGTCGCGCACCTCACCCACCAGCGTGATGGTTCTTTCATCGGAGGGACCCCCACATACGCTGGCTTCATCATCGGACTCGGCTGCATCAAATGAGCCACCAAGCGCATGATCAGGAGGTTGCGACGAGGCGTTAGAGATCATAGAGCCGGCCATGGCGTCGGGAATATGCTCTGAGTTATCATGGCTGCTGCTTCCAGCTCCCGGTGTTGTACCACCAGACTCCGACTCTTCTTGAATGCGATAGTCATCATCCACTAATTGACCTTGCACCAGACGACCGGTGATCACATCGCGTACCCGCACATCCGTATACTCGTTGGCTGCTTCCAGCTCCGATGGGCGGCGAGCCGCAGATGGGGTCTCCGGGCGCAGCAGGCGCTCAGGTGTGACTGGCTCCGGGACCTCCGGGATGGGGGGAGTTGCAGGGGTTCTGTTCGAACTATGCAAGTGCAGCTCGAAGGGGTTCGAGTCTTTAGATGCATGTGGGTCGTCATCCACGGCATCGAAGAAGACTGTGCTGTCTGACATATGGTTCACAGGAACTTTGGGGCGGCGACGATCCGTCGTCACGATACCGAAGTTCAGCTTCAGGGTATCGGCCAGCGAGGTGACGCGCTTGGTGCCACCGGCGTTTTTGCTAACGACGACGGCGTCTTTCCAGCCGGGAACATTCATCCGGATCCAGCGGGCAATAAACGGTTCAGCAAAGAGGTTATCGACCGGCTTTCCGAAGAACCCTTGCATCTGGGATGCCTAGGAGCCCATCAATATCCATATTACAAAGCTCAACGCATAGAAACACATACGTGTAGGTCCATGGTGATCACATGGTCCACGCCGGCGATCGTGAGGAGATTGGCGAGCATGCGGGCTGTAATGGCACCGCGATGACTCTTCTTCTTAGATTGACGGGAGTAAGGGAAGTATCTCATTTGAGTCAGCATACACTGTGGATTTGAGTCAGACAGGACGGGCAGCATACGGCATGACCGCTAGAAAAAGTTAGCGGGGAAAGCTCTGCTTGGACAAAATTTAGCTACACACGTACCTGTAATCGACTTTGCAGAGCCACCCTTGCACGCTGAAATCATAATCAGGAGCTCCATGACACTATCGTTAATTTTCTCACTGCCACTCTGGATAATGTAGACATCCTGGTTCCGCACTGAGGTACCGATGTTGACACTGGTCTCGCCATTGGCAAATTTTCCCAAGTTAGCTTTGGCAGGTACGGTGCCTAGGCGCTCGCAGATAGTATCTGCGAGGCCGGGATGGGAATTCCCTGAAAATATTTGAACTCCCCGCATTTTTGTTATTAAAAAGACATTGGTGAGTAGAAAAGAGAGAAGAAAAAGAAAAGAGAGGAAGTGGAAAAAGGTTTTCGGGAGCCTTGCGGAGTTGGTATGTATCGACCACCGTACAATATAGTGGGCTCATGCTTTATCGATAGCCAAGTTGATTAGCTGCATCATCTACCACCATGTCGAAGTTCCCTGAAGTACAGGGCGGAGGCTCATTAATTCTTGCTTGGCAGATAAAAGACAAACATGTATTAGTGGTTGGAGGTGGAGAGGTAAGCAATTGTGATTGACAGCTATATGCATCCTGATGCTGATCTACATATTTCCGATAGGTTGCCGCGGGGCGCATTCTAAATACCCTCAATGCCGACGCACGGGTCACCGTGGTTTGTCCCGCCTCCGGATTGAACGAAGAAGTTGCATTTCGAGTCGCCCAAAAGCAAATCACACATATCGACCGCAACTTTGAGCCATGCGACCTTGACGGCGTGGACATGGTACTCTGCGCCATTGATGACCCAGAGGCTTCTTCGCAAGTCTGGAAGCTCTGCAAGGAGAGACGCATTGCAGCCAACATTGCCGACGTTCCACCTGAATGCGATTTCTATTTTGGAAGTGTTCATCGCGACGGACCACTGCAGGTCATGGTCAGTACCAATGGAAATGGACCGAAGTTGGCCAGTATCGTGCGCAAAAAGATCGCCGAGACTTTGCCGGCGAATACGGGAGCAGCCATTGAGAATGTAGGAAAGCTACGGAAGAAACTCCGCGAGGTTGCTCCAAACCCAGATCAAGGACCGAAGAGAATGAAATGGTAAGTTGTTGTATGCTGGCTGGTAGACGGCGTCCCTTGCTAACAATCATAGGATGTCTGGTGTATGCGAGCAATGGAGCTTGGAGGAACTTGTCGCAATGACTGAGAAGGACATGGACAGCGTGCTCAGTTACTACGAGTCAGGCAAGGTGCCCACGTTACAAGAAGTACAAAAGTAAAAACAAATCAGACAATGTTTTATCTTATCAATACAGCTATGCACTTCTAAAGTAGAACAGGAAAAAAAAATTTGTTTAACACACCCGAAAGAAGCGGGTTATAAAACGCCTAAAATCAATCGCGGCGAGGATATCCAAAAAAATCAAGCAGAGAGTCAAACCTGGCTATCGCGGCGCGAAGCCTTTTGGGAGACGGAGCTGCGCGGGCTAATCGGAGCATCCAGGGGGTTCGGGGGAGCAATGCCTAGTCGGACCTCGCCGATGCGACGGAGAAGAGACTGCAAAGCGACGCGGATCTCCGGGTTGAGATCACGGCTCAGCAGATCCACTCCGAGGGGGTAGAAGGTCTCGATATGCTTATCGAAGCCATCCTGCGGGAAGTTGGTGTATCCATCTATGACATCGACGACCACCGGACGCCAAGCAACGATGTTGCGGTGCTGGGTGTCCTCCTCGAGACGAACAAAGCTGCGAATGATATCCGCACAGAGTCTGGCAGAGTTAGTAATGGCTAAAACAAAATAGAGTGAGCAAACTTACGGAATGAGGGCAGCTTCGGTTTCGTCGCGGCTGCTCTGTCTCTCCTCTCGCTCGTCGTGGTACATCCGGAAGAGGATATGCACGTACGTGGAGGCACTGCCGCTCTCCTGCTTCAACAAGTTGGGGGGTTGCTTCATGAAACCTTGGCGCCAGAGTTGCATGCGCAAATCCTTATCTTCATTGAACTTCTTCGCGAATTGATAACTCTTCTTGAGCAAGGACATCAGTCGGAGAAGCTCCACACTAGGGATCTTTGCATAGACGTTTTCGTTTGAGAATAGTTCATGGACCGTCTCAATCATAAGAAGCTGGAGAACACAGTTGGTGATGATCCGATTGAAGTAGCGACGGCGGGCTGCAGTGACTGCTGCGGGTTGCTGTTGGTCGGACTGGGGACGGTAATCCTCCAATTCAGCACGGGCCGGACTTTGCACAGGAGGGTCGCCACTCTCTTGCAGTGAGGATGTGCTTTGTGACCCGTTAGCCTGCATGGCATCAGGGAGATCTGCTGTTACCGCATCGGCATCAGGGTTCTGGGTGAGATCTCCATTGATTGTTTCTGCTGGCTTAGAAATTGACACCGCGGCCGTGAATAGTTCATAGGCGGTTGTCTTGCTGAACAGCTCCACAAAGGCTCCAACGATTTGGGACCAGTGCTCCTGTTTGAACTTTCCAACATTCTGCAGAATCAGCTGCTGCAGGCAGTTGCTACCAATGCGTGCAATAGTGTCATTCTCTTGACAGATGCATAATGTCAGAAGCTCCAAGAAGCGACTCAACATGTATTCCAAAGCATCAAAATAATGCGTGAAGAGGGTGATCATGTTTCGCAATGCTTGAATCATCGTCGTGGACAGCCAGACCGAGAGGTCCTCGTGGTTTGGAACCTTGGACATTTCAGACTTGGACTGCAGCACAACGAAAATCGGGTAGAGGAGTTGTCTCCAGAGCACATCCCAGAATTCTCTTGGGAAATCACCGCCATGACGAATCAATGTATCGAAGAGGTATGTGAGTGCTCGTGAGCGGACCTCAAGATCATCGCCAGTCATAAGTACATCCTGGAAGGCAATGAGAATGGGGTACCAGAACTGCTCCTCTTGTGATTGACGAGTCAGCTGCTTGGCGAGGTTGGTTCCATTGTCCTGGAATGTAGCTGCAGAGGCAGCACCACGGTGGGACAAGGGGCATTCGGGAGTTCGCAGCATTTTGAGGACGGTTGACTTCAAAGTCTCAATTGCTTGCAATGATTTCTTTTGGAACCTGGAGTTCTTCGAGAATTCAGTCAGGCAGACAATAAGATCCGCAAAAGCACCCTGAGTGATCACAACACCGAATCTGGTGTTGTAGACTTGGGTGACATGATCAAAGGCCATGTTTACAATAGTTTCTATTGGGAATTTAGCGCACGAGCGGTTTAGACAAGGACTGATACTGCTTACCATAGGGTTCCCGTGCTGCAACCGTGAAGACCCCAAACATGGTCTTCCAACCCGAACGAATATTATCACCGCGAGCTTGGATCATCTGGATCAGACATCGCAGAATCATATCCTTGACAGCAGCAGCGGTGCTGTTAGCCATGACATGTTCGAAAGGCTTGAGGAAATCTTTTTGGAACTTGAAACCAGGCAGCTCCTCAATTTCCATGAAACGCATGGAAAGCTGGCGGAGGGAATCCAATGCAAAGAAAACAACGGTAGTGTTGGAGTGACAACCAACTTGATTGAAGTGCTGACCCAAAACATCCCAGATCTTGGACCACTCAATCCTGACACGAGTCATATTGTAGTAACTGATCTCGACCAGCTTCTGCAGACTGTAGGTTCGGGGTGAGTCAGTGTGGCCGGAAGATTGAATTTCTTGCCAGCTGACTTCACTTAAAGCCCGCACAAAGTCGATGATGGCCTCATGCGAGAGATTGGCGGTGTTGGTGAATATACGGTCCACGCCGCGAATTATATCTGCCGAACGGCTCTCCATGGCAATTTCTGGACGGAAGGCAGCTGGCCCATTTATAGAACGGGGCCGAGCACGCCGTGTACTTTGCATGGATCTGCGAGGTGCATCTGCTGATGAAGGTACCCTTGAAACATCGGGCAAAGACCCTTCATCAACACCATCACTAAGAAGCTGTAGCCGGTCAAGCTGACTGACACAGGTTAGGATGTCCCGCCATGAGCCTTGTAAATGATTGCCCTCCGTGAGAGCGACGTCGAGCAAGGCTTTGAGCGCTTCAAAGTTCTTAGGCATCATCTCCCTGACATTTCCCAGGTTGGTAAACTTCGCCAGTGCAGTGACAAATGCAACACGGGGAGTCTCCAGATCAAAGGCACAGCTGATACGAATGGAAAGCTTCAATCCCTCCATACAGAGACGAATTGTCTCCAGGTTGGAGGTGTCTTGCATTGGCGCAGACAGACCAGACAAGAAAGACATCCATGTAACATTGAACATGGATCCGACATGCTGGTTTGACGTAGCAGGAATAAAGCGAGAAAGAGCATCTTTGACTGCTGTCTTGCGCTGGGCCCGAATAAGAGAACGGTAGAGCTGTTCCGTCTTGTTGGCCATTTCTTCCGAGGCTTGAGCATATTTCTCGCCCTGGATGTCCCGTCCGACTGTAGCAAACACCTGTCCAGCTCTTGTAGCAAGACCAGTTGAAGGAGCAGGTTGGGTGGTGAAATTGGCAGCATGTTCCTGCTCAGTGTATAGCACAATTTCATTGCTTCCAATTTCTTCATAGATAGCTCCCAGGTATTCAACTGGCAAGTCCTGGTTGTCGTTGATTCCACGGTTATTCTTGACGAAGTCCTCCTTGGTCATACGGCGACCCTTCATCTTCGTACTATGTTGATCGGTGTTCAGCAAAATGACGGAGTACGCAAGCACGTATGCTGTGTCGGCATTGGCGAATGCGTTGGGGTTTTGGGTGGTGTAGCGTTCGGCAAACTTCAGCATGAATCGATCAATCTTCTGGGCTTCGCCAGGAAGACGGAAGTGCTGCAAGAATGAGCGCAGGGAATCAACAAAGCGTCGCTTCGTGAACTCCATCTGGTCGACGAAAGCGTGCATAATAGCAATATTTTGAGCGTCTCCTTCACCCAGATACTCGCCCAGCACGGCCTTGTCAATGCGATCCGTGCGGAGCAGCAAGCCAGCAATTTCCTCAGGTGACTCCGAAGCGATGAAACCTTCTTGGAGAAAGGCTTTAATTCCACGCTTGGGCTTGAAGTTGAATTGTTGGATTGCATTTGTGAGAGCAATCTTTCGTTGCTTGACCTTTTCGATCTGGTTCGGATCATCTTCGGGCAAGGGCGTGGAACGACCTGTTCCACCCTCTAATGTCTCAGGGTGCGGCGAAACAAGCACGCTCGTGTCCAGAGACTCGCGGGAGTTATCCATTGATTTGGAGGGCATAGCTACCTCAAGCCGCTCATCAGTGCGCTGAGCAGCCCAGTTGTCTAGTGAGCGCAGCATCTCCACGAGGCACTCCAAAGCCTGCTGCTTCAAGCCGTACTCAGGTGGAATGTGAGGCATTGCGGGTGGCGGAGTTGGGACAATGTTGGCACTCGTCAATGAAGGAAGCAGTGTGCCTCGGTGATGCCATTCAGAGCCAATACTTGTCATTTTGGTATGCTGTTCCTCGTACTGGTGCTGCTGGGCAGACGATGTAACAACCGGCACACTCGCGTAGCGGGACAATTGTTCAATGACACTAGAAAGGGTTAACGTAGCAGATAGGATGGGAGACTGGGAGCACATACTTTTGGAAGATATTCTCCAATGCAGTTCTGTCACAGTCGTAGTTGAGATAAATCTCAACCAGGGCCCGGGGATCACCGCCCAGCCTTTCCAGAATTTCCATGAAGTACTGCTTTTGGAATGCAGGTGCGCCGCGCTTCTCGAGAATTGCGAGGTAAATCTCCTTCAAAAAAACTTCGAGCTCCTTCTTCATCATGACCCTCATGTCCTTCAACATAAGCCAGAAGATCTCGCAGCACACCTTGAAAACATGAGGCACAGCGCTCGACCCATTGCGACTCAGACTGAGGCACAAATGAGGTCTGACGGCAAGGAGGAGCGTCATTCCATCCATACTGGACGAGCTGTTTTTGATAGTGGCCAATGGAGAGACAAGGATTGCGATATTGTTGTTGATAAGGTAGTGAATCAGGTGTAGCGAAAGCAGCTTTGACCTCATGTTCTGGGATTTGACATCTTGCTGCTGCTCATGGGTCAAGACTTTGTGGCTCAGTTTGCAGAGTGCGCGGAAGACCAAGAAGGCGTCCTTGACGTATACCTCGTCTATCTCATCCTCGGCCGAGCTGTCGTCGTCCTTCTCTTCGGAGATGCCCGACATCGACCGTGTTACTGATCGCTTAGCACGAGTGACTGTGGTCGGCACATTGTCGTTGGTCACCTCCTTGGGCGACTCGAAGCTCTGCAGGGTGAGCTTCTCAGCAGTGGGATCTTTGGTCACAGGCTGATCAGGCTGTTCAACTACAGACACGGAAGCCGCATCCGAAGCTTGGCCAACATCACTGGCTGATGCATCGAGAGTCGAGGACGGCTTTTCCGTAGTCCGGAGTCGGAGTTCCTTGAGGTCCAACCGTATCCGCACTCGATCAAACACCGTGCTAACCATTTGTGTGAGGGACCCCTGAGCAATCTGTTGGTTTTGGCTTGATTTGGAGTAAATGAAAATATTGTATATTTGGCGGACAGCTTTTAGGAGACCAGCTCCGTGCACCACGATCTTGTCGTTCAGGACTGCCGCCAGCAGCGACTTGATGATTTGCTGCTGAATTTCAACCGCAGTCGCTTCATTTTCGAAACAATCGCATATCGCATCGATGGCACGCTCGATCAGCGGGGGTTGTTCGGGGTTGGCTTCGTTTGCGGTCTCGGCGGATGGGAATGCGAAATAAGAGTAGGTGATTAACTTTCCGATGCAATCCAAGGCAGTCACCTGCAGCGGAATGCTGAGAGTTTTGCTTGCTAAATGCAGAGGGCGGAAGATGAGTTCAGGGTCAATCGGTTGCCCTTCAAGCTGTTTTATGTTGGTCAGGGCGACTTGTGTGGCATCCTCCAGCTTCTTGTCCCTCCGGGCGTCCCGCGAGGCAGCAATATTGTCTAGAGCTGTGACAATGAAAACCGCCGAGCTGACTGGACCAGATCGCTGGGTCATGAATGTAGCCGTAGTTGATCTTGAGTCTGATCGCAACCTGCTTTCGGTTGCATTTTCGTCCTCGGTGGGTGGTTCCTGAATCGTGGGCGGGCCGTCTGTTTGGGGTTCCTGTCCGACCTCCTCGGGCTCGTCCTTAGGCGGCACCTCTGGCTTTTCTTCATTCCCTGCCTCCTGAGGCGATTTTACGCCTTCCTCTTGGTTAGTTTTTGGTGATTCGGTCTGCTCGGGCAGTGTGGGCTCGTCAGACTCTAGAGCTGTTGGAGATACATCGGTGGTCTCCACGGATTTCCCAGGCATTTCAATGGATTGGGTCGGCTCGAAGCCGTTTTCAACGTCCGCCATGGTCAAATAGACTCCGGGCGGAGCAATGCAATTAGATCAAAATCATCGAACGAATAAAACGTGGGGATGTACTTCGCGACGGCATGGACGAGGGATGCGTCTACAGGTGTCTTTTCCGAATCGGGACTAATGCATGCTTACGTGGGCAGTGATCTGAACTTTGTTAATAATCTCATTTCCTATGGTCACGTGATCAATAGTCACGTGTATACTCGGAAAAGGCCGCTCACCGGGGGCCATAGGTAGCTCAACAGAAAAGTTCGTGATTTAGAGGCATCTCCTTCCACCCCAACCTCATCCATTCTCGGCCCTACACGTTTTCCCTCGCCCGGGCTTCTTTTATTTATTTATCTCAGCGTCGAGGGTCTTTTTTTTCTCAATTTTTACTATCATCACAAGTTTCAGGCACCATGGTTGCGTCAGTTATCCGGATGCGCACCCCGAGCGCCATGTTCATGTCCCGGGGCGCGGCCACTATGCGCCGGCCTCAGGTGTCCTCCAAGCTCCAGGAGGCCATGCAGTACGTTTTGCTGGATTCAATTGCACCTACGGGTTGATGCTAATGAGATTCCGCGTGTAGGACCCAAGTGCCTGCGCTCTCCGCTCTTTCCCGCTTCTATGCCTCCAAGTGTATGGCAATTGACATCTCTCTTTATCTCGCGCATCAATTCTAACATTACAATGTACAGCCTTCCCTCCCCACACACTCATTAGCATGCCGGCTCTTTCGCCGACTATGACCGCGGGAAACATTGGCGTGTGGCAGAAGAAGGCCGGAGATGCTCTCCAGCCCGGTGATGTCCTGGTTGAGATCGAGACCGATAAGGCACAGATGGACTTTGAGTTCCAGGATGAGGGTGTCCTCGCCAAGGTTCTCAAGGACAGCGGCGAGAAGGATATCGCTGTCGGTTCGGTAAGCATTTTCCCGATATTTCTCCGCGGGGACTACGTCTGACATGCCTCATTTTAGCCCATTGCCGTCCTCGTTGAGGAGGGTGCCGATGTTTCCGCCTTCGAGGCTTTCACCCTTGCTGATGCCGGTGGTGACAAGGCCGCCCCCGCTGAGCAGAAGGAGGAGCCCAAGAGCGCTGAGCCCGCCACTCCCGCCCCTGCTGCGGAGGCGCCCGCCGCCGTGGAGCCTGAGAACTCCGACGAGAAGCTCCAGCCCAGTCTCGACCGTGAGCCTTCTATCAACGCCGCCGCCAAGGCCCTTGCCCTCGAGAAGGGTGTGTCCATCAAGGGCATCAAGGGCTCCGGCCGTGGTGGTGTCATCACCAAGGAGGATGTTGAGAAGGCTCAGCCCACCGTCAGCGCCGCCGCCTCCGGCGCCAGCTACGAGGATCTCCCCGTCAGCTCCATGCGCAAGACCATCGCCAACCGTCTCAAGCAGTCCATGGCCGAGAACCCCCACTACTTTGTGTCCACCACCCTCTCGGTCACCAAGCTTCTCAAGCTCCGCCAGGCCCTGAACGCTTCCGCTGATGGCAAGTACAAGCTTTCCGTCAACGACTTCCTGGTCAAGGCCTGCGCCGTTGCCCTGCTCAAGGTTCCTCAGGTCAACTCCAGCTGGCGCGAGGAGAACGGCCAGGCCGTTATCCGCCAGCACAGCACCGCTGACATCAGCGTTGCCGTCTCCACCCCCACTGGTCTGATCACCCCCGTTGTCAAGAACGTCCAGGGTCTCGGTCTCTCTAGCATCTCTAGCCAGATCAAGGACCTTGGCAAGCGTGCCCGTGAGAACAAGCTCAAGCCCGAGGAATACCAGGGCGGCACCTTCACCATCTCCAACATGGGCATGAACGCCGCCGTTGAGCGTTTCACTGCCGTCATCAACCCCCCACAGGCCGGTATCTTGGCCGTTGGCACCACCCGCAAGGTTGCCATCCCCGTCGAGACCGAGGAGGGCACCGTCACCGAGTGGGATGACCAGATTATCGTCACCGGATCTTTCGACCACAAGGTCGTTGACGGTGCCGTTGGTGGTGAATGGATCAAGGAGCTCAAGAAGGTTGTCGAGAACCCTCTCGACCTTCTGCTGTAAGGCGAAGTTTTCGACTCTTATGTAATCTGTATTAAAACACCTTGCCTCTCCCATTAGACCATTACATAGGTCCTTTCTGTTTGTGATCTCTTTAGCAGCTTTCAATCGAATTATTTCACGTTTATTTTGGATTGTGGTTTACTTGTGCTTTGTTTGTGTTTGAAAGGGCACATGATCACGTAGGTGGCTGGAAGCGGGAGACAAGATGAAGTGGAGGTTGAAGCAGCTCATAAATATACAAAAGATGTGTGAATATGACTACGTATACTTCTAATATAATATCTAAATATGAAAGTCACATGCATATGTATGTCTATTAACTAGCATCCACATGTACCTAAAATAATCAACAATCGAACAAAAAAAATTGCCCGTGGAACCAGTTCTGCGGTGGGCCCAAGTCAATGACGTGATGTCATTGTAGCTTCCAAGGTATAAAACGGAACTTTCCCCGTTCCTTTTCCTCCTCACTTTCCCGCATTCACTATTCCGGTATTTCTCACTTCGCTGTATTTTGGTTTCAAGTGCTTACGATGTCAGATCCATTTAATACTTCTCACAACATGTCTTACGCCGACGCTGCTGCCAAGGGCCCCAAGCAAACCCCCGAAGATGTAAGTCACGAACCCCAAATCCAATGCGCAGCACTAACATGTGACAGGCGTGAGTACTCCAGCTTCGAGGTTTCAACTAGCCTGAACACAATTAACACACGTATAGTCGCGCCCCTCCTGTAGGTGGAGTCTACCACGATGAATCGGAGAGCACGGCCTCCTTGATCGACGTCGACGGGCCCCACGTGCAAACCGTGGAATCGGACTTCCTCGAGCAGGAAGTGCAGACCAGCACCCAAGCTGAGCGGATAGAGCGCGAAGCCGAAGAAAAGGAGAAGCGCAAGCGCGAGGACGAAGAGAAGAAGTCCAAGGCTCGCAAGGCCAAGGCCAAGGCCAGCGGTATCAGCGAAAACACCAGCAATCCTGTCTTCGTTGCCAACGCCGTTATTGCGAGTCTCGTCGGTGCCGGTCTGGGCTTCGGCGCTTACAAGCAGCACGCCCGTGGTAACCTCTCTTGGGAGCTGGTGGGACTTTCTGCCGGTGCTGTTGGTGTCTTTGGTGCTGTGGACTACTTTGTCAGCAAGTAAGTGATCCGTGATACCTGGGGATATTTGGATGTTGGCGATGGAACTAATTCGGTAATAGGTGGTTCTTGCAGAACAAGTTCCCTCCCAAATAGATGGGTGTTTAATCTCTTTACTTAATTGCTCTGCGTCTTGATATACCATCCCTGCTCTCTTGTGGTTTTGCATTATGTTTATTTGGCGAGAATGGAGTCGGACTGGATTCACTATAGTTACCTAACGACGATATCATTTTCAGCACTGAGGAAGCGTAGGGTGTCTAGCTTCGGTTACTAGTAATGGCAGAAGCCAAAGATGACTTTAGATTGTAATCAACTTCGATAATACATTCATTGAAACAATAAGGCCAATGAAATACTGTGAATACACAGACACTATGTAATCAAATCCACTCATAGATAGTCGACCTCCATGTATTTGAAAGTATGACGATTAACATGCATTGTGCCTTAAGGCGGTCAAGGGCGTCAGAATGGACCCAAACAAGACCATCTGGCCTTGCACCAGATGCGACGTTGACGACCACTTGGTGTCTGATGAACTGAGTTTATTAGCCTGTGATTTGACAATCTCACCACTTTTATAACTTGAAACCCCTATTCTCAGCTCCCGGTATACAACCTTGTCCAGAATTCATTCTATACCAACATTCGCCGCATTGACAAGATGGTATGCTGCAGCTTTCCGTGACACATTTGCACGACTAACATATATTAGAACTCATTATTTAACTCTGCTCTGAAGCAGTCATCGTCTATTCGCCGAGACCTAGATACCTTTGCACAGTCACCAAGCACCACCTCGCCTGCGTTACAAGGTGCGCTCCTTCAACTCTCTACAAGACAACGCATTAACTCTGAACTGCAGGCCAGCTCGCCGCATCTTTGGCATCCCTGTCCCGCACAGTCGATGACTACTCAGCTCTTCCAAGAAAGAACTGATCCTCGAGAAGCAACAAAAAGCCTTCGACCGAATCAAGAACTTCCGCAATGAGCTCGCAGACTACCGCACGCAATTCGACCGACTCCGCAAAGAGCGCGAAGACGCAGTAAGCCAGAACCCCCTCGCAACTCCAAGCCCCCACCACTAACCCATCCAGCAATCTACAACAAACCGCAACGAGCTCCTCGGCCGACGCCCCCACCACGCCGCAACCCCCGAGAACCCCTACGCTCAATCTTCCCTCTCCCCAAAGCTCAGCCTTCGCCCCAACATCCTCAGGCCTAGGCTTCGGTGCCGGTCCATCAAACTACAACCGCGAAAGCCACGCGCTGCGCGAACAATCCTTCATGTCAAACACACACACCCAGCTAGACGACTTCCTGGACCGGGGCCGGGCGGTGCTCGCTGATCTGGGTGAGCAGCGCGAGATACTGAAAGGTACTCAGCGACGATTGTATAGTGTTGCGAACACGCTCGGCGTAAGCGGGGATACGATCCGGATGGTGGAGCGGCGCGCGCGGCAGGATAAGTGGATTTTCTGGGGTGGAGTTATTATTTTCTTCTTGTTTTGTTGGGCTGTGTTGCACTTTTTGCGGTAATCATAACATTCGGTGATGTCGCCATTATGTATCTTGTATGTTCATCAGCGCTGGCGTTTGGTCTTGCAATCGATGACTTGTTGCGATTACGGATTCTGTTGTACAAGTAGGTGATGTCGATGTTTATTGTGGCTTTATTTTGATGGAGCTGTGAGGTATATAAATTTACAATATTGGAAATATATACCTAGGTAGTATATGTGAGTAAGCAAAATAAAAACTCGCTTCGTACATGTATACACCTCATATACTACCTATGTACATGTAGATATGTCCGCTTGCACTCCTAGCCGCATGTACCAGGTACTTCCATGTAAGAAAATGTCGCGATTCCACATGCAGAAGTACCGAAGTACATATGCGGACGATGGGAACAAATGAGATATATTAATCCTAGTATGTTGAGAAGGGTAAGTTCGACCCATGTCAAGCTCAATTGCATATAATAAGCGATGATATATACAGTCAAATCAAACTCAACAAGAATTAATCCATAAGAACAGCAGTCACCCCAGAAAAAAACCAAGTACACCTGTAGTACACCAGTAGTACAATAATGTACACAGGTACATACAGTGAGCCGAGCTCGGGAGCTCGGAAACTAAGTGGGTTCGTAGTAAAGCCTCTGATTGGTCCATTCCTTCGTTCCTCTCTTTCCTTCACCCGAATCTGTCCCTTTCCCTTTTCTTTCCCTTCAACCTCCATCTTCAAGCCCATCACAATGTTTGCCGCTCGTCGTTCTGTCAACCTCTTCCAGAAGCGCGCCTTCTCGGCCTCTGCTAGCAATGTGCGTATAACCCACCTCTTCCTTATTTACCACAGCTAATCCCTCGCAGGCCTCCAAGGTCGCCGTTCTCGGTGCCGCCGGTGGTATTGGCCAGCCTCTCTCGCTGCTGCTGAAGCTCAACCCCCGCGTTTCCAACCTTGCTCTCTACGATATCAAGGGTGGACCTGGTAAGCTCAATTCCTTCCAATTCAATATGAAACTCATTGCTAATTTATCCAGGTGTTGCCGCTGATCTCAGCCACATCAACACCCACAGCGTCGTCAAGGGCTACAACCCCGATGCTTCCGGTCTCCGTGACTGCCTCGAGGGCGCCGAGATCATTCTCATCCCCGCTGGTGTTCCCCGCAAGCCCGGTATGACCCGTGATGACCTCTTCAACACCAACGCCTCCATCGTCCGCGACCTCGCCAAGGCCGCCGCTGAGGCCGCCCCCAAGGCTCACGTCCTGGTCATTGCCAACCCCGTAAGTAGCACAGACTCCTCATCCTGAAACTCCCAGCTAATTACTTAGGTCAACTCCACCGTCCCCATCGTTTCCGAGGTCTACAAGGCCCGCGGTGTCTACGACCCCAAGCGTCTCTTCGGTGTCACCACCCTCGACGTTGTCCGTGCCTCCCGCTTCATCTCCGAGGTCCAGAGCACCAACCCCTCCGGCGAGAACGTTCCCGTTGTCGGCGGTCACTCCGGTGTGACCATCGTTCCCCTGCTCTCGCAGTCAAACCACCCCTCCATCGCCGATGAGGCCCGCGCTGCCCTTGTCAACCGCATCCAGTTCGGTGGTGATGAGGTCGTCAAGGCCAAGGACGGTGCTGGTTCCGCCACTCTCTCCATGGCTATGGCCGGTGCCCGCTTCGCCGAGTCCCTCCTCCGCGCCGCCCAGGGCGAGAAGGGTGTCATTGAGCCCACCTTCGTCGACTCTCCTCTCTACAAGGACCAGGGTATCGACTTCTTCGCCTCCAAGGTCGAGCTCGGCCCCAACGGTGTTGAGAAGATCCACCCCGTTGGCCAGATCAACGAGTACGAGCAGGGTCTCCTCGATGCCTGCCTGGCTGACCTGAAGAAGAACATCCAGAAGGGTGTTGACTTCGTTAAGTCCAACCCTTAAAAACTTTCCATGTACAACACCATATCTCATGCATTTCAATGAATTTGATCCTGCATGACATGTTTACTAAGATCGGTACCATAATTCATCCTCGATCTATTTTACGATTCTTGTAGTTCTAATTTTCACCGTATGCAATTGAACTAGCAAAAGGACCTATGTCCGATACAGCAACAAATACAACCGAAAACCAAGCAAAGACGAAAAGCATGTAAAAATAAATGGCAAATTGATTCCAAATCTGCACCAGTCCATATTCCCAAATTCACAAATTCCCGAAAAATTAGTACCAATAAACTCAAGTGTAACTCCGCATAGCATCCAAGTATCCCGTTCCACCACGCAGATCTTGATCGAAAGTCTCGGCCACTTCAAGCACACGTTTAATGTGCTCCATAGCCAAAGGCGACTTCTCATTAACCGCAAGAGCTTGCGCAGTGCGAACAGAGTTTTTGATCTGTGGTGGTTAGCTTGATCATATATAGTAGCGACGAAAGGATGACATACCTGTCTACCATTCAAAGTATGCCTAGAAAGTGTATCGAAGTCCTGTTCAGAGAAAGGCGCAACCTTCACACCCTCGATAGCCCGCACGCGCTCCAAGAACATCTTCCAAATACTTCTCTTCGCCTTGGAAGTCAAATCACCGTACCGCAGCGCGACATGAATCCGCGACTGGAACGCATCGTCGAACGTCTCCACACGATTCGTCGTCAGGAACAGAATACCCTGGAAATATTCCAGCAAGCGGAGGAAGATGCTAACGAGCGCGTTGCGGTGGATATCGTGGATCGTGCGCTTCTCAAGGAAAACATCCGCTTCATCCAGAAGCAGCACAGCGCCCCATGAATGCGCAATATCCAGAATCTTGTTCAACTCCGCCTCCAGCGTGCGCGAGTCCGTTCCCAGCTCGCCCGCGCTGACCATGTAAAGCGGCCGCCGGAGCAGCTCCGCAATGCCTTCCGCTGTAAGCGTCTTTCCGGTGCCCGGTGGACCATGCAGAACAGCAACAAGGCCCTTGCCCTTACCCTGGATGACGTCGTCGATGTTCTCTGCTGCGTGGAAGGTGTGCGATTCTACCAGCGCCTTGACGATGGACTTTTGGTTCGAGGGGAGCACGAGAGAGCCGAAGGCGTCCTTGTCCCATTCGATGTCGCTGATGCCGGAGATAGTAAATTCCAGCCAGAGTTTCTCGCTGAAGGCGAAGCCGAGGACGACAGGGCTGGCGACAAGGAGCTCTTCCTCTGTGAACTCGCGTTCCTTGGTCTCTGCGTTGTTGTCGATGCGGTCGATCTTCTCTTTCTGGATCTCGGCGCCGCTCTCGTCAACCTCGACTTCGACAACGCGCGGTGTGCCGTCGTCTCCTTCGATGACTTTGTAAGCGATGCGCGGTGTGTCAGACGAGCCGTGATGATCATTCTCGTCTGAGTCTGATCCGCCACAGCAGCACGCTTCGCTGTCGTCTCCGTCATTATCGGAGAGACCGAGATCCTCTGCATCCAGCAGATCGGGGTCTTTAGGCCGGACCGTAGAAATCGGGTAGTTAGGATTGATACGGCGATGGATAGCCGGATCGATCATGACCCGACCATTGATGTTGACCTTGATCACGAAGGAGCGCTTCTTCTTGTAAAACGCCATACCTTTGTGGAAGCGATAGTTCATACCGCGGAGGGCAACGAAGCGCTTACCACGCTCGATCAACCGAGCACGCAGCGCCTCGGAGTCACGGTGGTACTTGAGCGGGTAGCAAGCGAGGGAAGTGATTTTGCGAGCGCCCTTGAACGCATCGACCTCCGCAGACATCGAGCCGAAGCCGAAGTCTTTGCCGTCGTACTCGAGGTAGCGGCCCTCAACGCTGTACCATTGGCCTTTCATGAAGGACGATTCTTTGATTGCGTACTCAATTTTGAAAGCACGTGGCTCGTCCGCGTTCCCGTAGGTTGGGGAGTAAGCAATGGTGTTGGGCTTGAAAAGAGCCCAGAGAAGGTCGAAGGTTATGGTGTTTGCTTCAAGGAGGGGGTACAAAGTTTTCTTGATATCAGCATAGTCTGTATCGAGATATTTGACGAGAACCTTCAGATGGGCAGCTTTGGCGGCAGCTATTTTGCGGGCTTTGCGCTTTTTCTCGTTGCGCGCTTGCTTCTTCATGTCTTTCATGTATTGGCGGGTTTCTTCAAGATACAGGAAGAGCATGTTGGGATCAACAACCGCTGGTTCTTCCACCAGGCTGATACCTTTGACCCCGTCCATGATTTTGGATAAGGCATCACGGAGGTGCTTGCTTTTGATGTCGACGACTGTCTCGAGGTATTTGTTCTCCCAATTGAACTTGCGACGGACGTTGAAGATATACTGATCCCATTCCTGGGCTTCAAGGTCATCGACCGTTTCGGTGAGCTTGTATTTGTGAATGGTGGTGTCCCATACTAAGAAATCGAAGTTAGTATCGATATGTGATCAGTCACTTGATTTAACTCACATTGATCTACACGCTTGTAAGCTACTTTCGAAGCCGGCTTCTTCTTCTTGGGGCGCTTCTCGCGGCTCCTATCAACCACCGGATCACTTGCTGTGAGCTCGTTCGCACGCTTTTTGAGTTTGAGCCGTGTAATCAATTTCCGCAGAGCTCTATCATCAAGCGATTCATCTGATTCGGCAGAAGCCTCGTCCTCTGATACTTCTGAAGTATCAGTCGAAGAATCGGAAGTTTCGACTTTGCGCGACCGTTGCTTCTTCTTTCTGAGACGCTTTTTATCCTTCAGGGCACGTTTAGACCGCGCTTTAGTGCGCAATCGATGCCGTTTTCTCTTCTCGCTATCTGACTCACTCTCTGAGGAAGAGCTTTCATCAGAGTCTGCGTCACTTTCGTGTGGCGAGGAAGAAGAGGAAGAAGAATCACTTTCATCATTCTTCTTTTTGGGTTTTCTCTTTTTCATGTCATGCTTTTTACCCCTGCAGGCCAATTTGGGGGCTTTTTCGGCTGGGGCCTTGCCATCCTTAACATCTTTAACCTCTTTATTCTCATTGACCTCGGGGGTAGGTTGGGCAGAGCCATTTAAATTTTCAGTAGGAACGATCTCATCATTAGGCTCACCAGTGGTAGACCCGGCCATGGTGACAATAAGCTTGGCTGGTAAGCTGCAAGCTGTTCGGAGTTGAGGAAGTAAGAATTGTAAGGCAAGAACAATCGAAGATAATTGAGGATTAAATAGTCCAAAGGAAGAATCGAAAGGAGGAAACAAAACACTTGCACCCGAGACAGAACTGAAATAAAAAGGGAGAAAGCCCTTGTAGTGCCGGAAGGCGCTTATTTATTTGACTGTTCAGGTGCAGGCTGAGGCTGCAACTATCATTGGGCCACGACTGCTAGCTGTGTTGGCCCATGTATTTCCAGTTGGCTTGTTAATTCTTGCATACTTGAGCTACTGACTTTTATCTGCAGGTTATGTCTAAGTCACATTTTGATGCGGCTCCTGGTTTTAGACCTAATTATAGTCCTAAGAGATTTGTCTGAGGTTTTTTGTTCTCTGAGATACATGATCCTATGACTACATATGTATAGACGATGGCCTTTAATAGAAAATTTAAGACATTCTAGAAACTCTTTTTATCTTTTCTTTTACATAGTTTTCTTTCACATAGTTTCTAAGAAGTCTAGAGATAGATCATATCATATGTCATGTGTAGGGGACTGTATACATGTTCTGCCACCTCGATATTCTCAGACTCTCAAGAAAGACATGTTAAGTATAGTGAAAGGCAACAATCAAGTGATTTTCTGGATGGAATATACTAGTCTATAGGTATAATAGGTGTGTCATAGGTAGTTGGTGGTTCTTGCTTGGTTCTTGCTTGATTCTTGTACGCCAATCTAAAGCTAGTATCAAGCGCCTGTAAACATGTTAAAAGAGTTCTGAGATGAAGCAATGAGAGAGGATTGCCTATACTTCTTAGCAAATAAAAATCTTTAATACAGTTATTGTAGTTATTGTTGTTGTTATGGTTAACGTCTGTCGGACAGGCGTAGGCTGTGATCCTGTAACCTCCCAAGGGGTATGACGACGGACTGCATCATGGATGTCATGTACAAATATTAGTAGTATGGACAGTAGCTCATAGGGAAGCTCATGAAGCAATGTGTATCTCTGCGCCAGCCTTCGATATGTGAAGCAGTAGTAGGTAGTTAGAGGGTTCAGCGTCATGGGCTGTTGTCTGTTAGGGCCTTGATGGCACCTCCAACACCCCAACACTGTGAAACTCTGAACCTATTCCGATTCTAATAAGAAGCACTTTCTAGATCTATTGTAATAGACCATCAAAGCTAATAGAGGGTAAGAAAATGTAGATATAGATCTTATACACATAAGATGGATGAAAAGAGTGATGCTGGTTCAAGGGTTAGGGCTTCGCCCAAAGGGGAAAAACGACATCGCCGGCGAGGTCGCCGAGACAATAGCCCTGATGTCTCGGCAACACGTGGAGCATGAAGATTTCCCTTCTAGGAAAGCGATCTCATCCTCGCCAAGTCCCAAGTTTGAGGAAATCATCTCATAACCAACTATCATGCCGATCAAAAAGAGATCCAAGAAATCTATCCGACAGGGCAGGAGGCCTAGTTACGACAGTCCCACCCTCACAACGGTTGAAGAAAGCCCTATCTCCCCAGTGCTACTCCAAACCGACAAGAAGTCATCGAGTCGCCAATTGCACCGTCAGTTGCTTCGTTCGCGTCGTTCACATTCAACTCCCTCCTCCCGCCATAAGCGAAGTCACTCTGTCAATTCCAAAACAGACAGTGGATCTGGTCGTCACAATCGATTCAAGCGGTTTGATAAGGGAAAAGCTCGTGAACGGGGTAATACTCCACACCGAGTGCTCATAGCAGCATTTGATCCCGTCGCTCAGAATCTCGACAAGGGCTACTTTGCCGATGACGAGGCTGATAATAAGGGCTCATTGAGTCCTGCTCGTTGTTCTAGAGCTGGCAATCCCTCTGATTCTTCCAAAAGTGCGAGCCAAGTTCGATCACGGACTACATGTGCTTCTTCATCTCACGATCTTCCTGCTGAGGGTATTCATCAGGAGGAACCCTAAGTCTCTGGCAGCCCATCTGTCAAAGCAAATGCGGCCACTGCTGGCATTTCTCTTCGCAGCTCTCTTTGGTCTTCTTCTGTTTCCTTTTCTGATAGCTCTTCTGCTGCTAGTACCTCTGCTGGTCGTGCCTCTCTCTTTGGGATTTCTTTCTTCAACCCTTTTGCCTCTAGGTCTTCATCTTCTGGCACTCTTTCTGTTAACCCTCATCCCACGTTGCACCCATCTGACGTGACATCCAACCCGGCTCCAGAAGTTAACCCACCTGATATCTTTGATGGAGTCTCTCATCTTCCTGTTTATCATTTTCTTGGGCGTAAACGTTGTTTCCTACTAGACGGTGCCGGCGACTCCCCCGATGAGTCTGAAGATACCGTTTCCTCAATCGTTTCACCTGATCACTCTCGTCACTTCTCAACACGTGAATCGCGTCAACAAACTCCCAGCAACTCCGACTTAGCTGTTGATCTCACCACTTCTGCAATCGACGTTGCTTCTGCTTTTCCTTCCGTTGAGTCGAGTCACACCACTGGCGATTCTCAAAGCCAACACCATACCGAGTTTGCTTTGGCATCTGTTGAGCACGACTCTCCTATCAACCGTCCATCTCAACATTCTTCCTTTGATCTGCACAGTGCAGATAGCAACACCGAAACTGCTCCGGACGACACATCCGCTGACCGTGATTCTCCTATCTTTCTCGCCCCTGAAGTTGGTGCATCTCAGCAACTCCCTGAAGAAAGCAGCCACACCGAGTCTACTCCAACAACTTCCTCTCAAACTCAAGTGAGTCACTCAGCGCTACTTATCGCTATCGCGATTCTGAACCTTCCGAAAAAGACCCCGAGTCTGATGCAGAGTACAACCCATCTCCTCGTGCGACTGCTTCTTCCACAGTTTCGCGACCCCCAGCAGCAGATCGATGTCGTCGTCGATCTGCCCAAGTTGAATCTGGTTCCGAATACAACCCCTCTGACTCAAGTGCTTCTCCAAACATTTCGCGGCCCCCAGTAAGACGTCGACTTCGTCGGAGTGACACGGTTGGTTCTCATTACAAGGAGGACTCAACTACGCCCTCGAGTTCAAATTCCAACATTCCCCGTTCACTGGTAGCGGACAGACAGCGTTCGCAACCTGATCGTGTCGAGTCCAGCACACATTCTCCAGAGTTGATTGCTCCAACAGCAGACTCTGTTCAGGTGTTGATAATCACCCCTATTGAGCTGACTGCCAACGACGAGCAGTCTGAAACCACCACACCTCTCATCTCGTCCGTTGAGGATCAACCTCCGGACCGTCCACGCACCATGATGCTTGGTCAAGTCTTTCGCCGACATCCTGGTCAGACAACCCCTTCAACCGTCTCTTCTGTTGACGCTCCCTCCCACCGATCCTCCAGCAGTCCCGAGTTTGACAATGACTCCGAAGATGAATCTGCCAACGTGGACCTAACCCAACACTCCACCGCTGCCAGTCCAGCTGCCGAGTCCGCTATCTCTAAGGAATCTTCCTCCGCCAACTTCGAAGAAGACCCAAGCACACCCAGCAATGTTTCGGCCTCCGAAGCAGCTGCAGATGACATCTCGACACCTCTCATGGCTCCTCGCCCCCATACAGAGCCACCGTTTGACCCCTACGCCGCCTTCCTGGATACCTCCCTCCCGCCCTCTGTCATGCTCGACGAAGCAACCCGCCAAGATGCGGGCCTTCCCCCCACGAGTAGCATCTCAATCGACCCAATGATTGCCTACACAGCAGAGGAGTACCAAAACATCCTGCACTCCGAGCAGATGGTGCTGGAGCAGATGGGCGACATGCACCGCCCCGATCCCATGCGAGTCACCGCCGAGGAGGAATCACTGATGGCACCCTTGTCACTGGACGACATTGACAAGATGCTGGACGGCACAGACCCAGCCAAGGCCATGCAAACAGCGGAGGCATGCAAGCAGCTCATCCTGTCCATGGCCCTAGGAAGCACCACGCCCGCCCCACCAATGGCACCGGCCAAGCGTGCCCGGAAGGCGTCGACTGCCCCGCCTGAGGATGGCCCCGCCCGTCGCACTCGCAGTAGTACCAGTGCCCTCTCCTCGTCCGCCTCGCCTGCGGCTCCGGTCTCCACGCGCAGACTGCGCAGCAGCGACTTCTCGCTGCCTGGCCCTGCTTCGGCGGACCGTGCGGTGGATACCCCGGAGCCGGAGTCGTGGGCTGTGGCATCTGTGGCAGACAAGCGTCTGTCGCAGATGAGGGACTTGGGGAGGAGCTGGAAGGCTATTGCCGGGGTTTGGAATGGGGAGGTTGCTGAGAGGGGAGGGAAGAAGTTGACGGAGAAGGAAGTGAAGAAGAGATGGGGGAAGTTGGAGGAGAGCATCGGGCGGTGGCCCGAATTTGACGTGAGTATTGGAGAATCGTGGATTGGGTTCAGGTTCATCTTGAATTTGAATCTGGGGTGAATCTGAATACGATATGAATATACAGCATGCTAACTGATTGATAGGAGACCCTCATGGGTGCAGTGAAAAACCTCAGCTCGGAGTTGACCGCCGAGCTGTGGGATAAAGTTTCGAAGGCCCTTTTGGCCAAGTTCGGCTGGGAGACCACCGGTCAGGAGTGTGCAGCGCGGTTAGCTGCGCTGCAGGCTTCTGGCCGTGTGGAGGAGAAGGGGAAGGGCAAGGGCAAGGGCCGCAAGTAGGCGGCCTTGCCTCAGAACTGAAAGAAGAGACCGCGAAGTGATGCTGCGGCTCTCTTTGAACCTATTGATTTCGGCCTCGTTTGAGGTGGCCGCTTCGGCGGCGTTTGTTTTGATTATTTTGTTGTGATACCCCAGACCAAGGGGAAATACCCGGTCCCTTTGTTTTTTTGTCAAGAAATTCGAGTCCATTCTTGTTTACAGTAAGCCCATTTAATAACCTTGCACGTAGATTAAATCCCTGAATCCGTGGATATCATTTTGTCATTCGTAATCCGTGCCAACCCTGGAAGGTATTCAATCAACACCATAACTCAAGTTCCATCAATCACGATGCAACAATGAAGACAGAAGCTGCCATTGAGCTGAGAAGTGGCTTATTGGTGACTTCAATGTGATAATGTTCTTCAACTATTTTTCCAGGTATCGAAGTGATATTTTAAAATGTTATCAATAGTGAAAGATATACTGTTCTTCAGTTAGTTAGGATTCTGGTATGCTCTGATCAAACAACCAAGATACAGTACGAAATATGTTCCAAAACACATATATATATGTATGTATATATTGAATCGGATTCCAAATGTAACTTGATTAGAGTCAAAGTCAAGGTCTTTTTGTATATTTCTAGGCCTTGGAAAATGATTGCTTGAAAAATGTAAATTATCCAGAAATTTCCATCAATCGGGTACTGTAACCTAGTTGGTTATCGGTTCCATAACTCAGTTGGTTAGAGTGTGGTGCTAATAACGCCAAAGTCGAGGGTTCGACCCCCTCTGGAACCACGTTAATTTTTTTCTTTTTGTCCTTGCTTCATATGAATCTGGTTTTTTGAACTACCAGCCTCCAAAATGGCCGAGCGCAGGATCAAGACCGAATATCGCTCAGTTGCATCGTGTGTAGTTATCATATATTTTGTTGCGATCACAAAAGCAGAAAGCCTCAATTGCATTGGCCTGGAACAGATCTATGTTCTCGATACTACAGTTCGCGATGAGCCAGTCCATGGTTATATATCTGTTGAGGGTTGTTTGAAGAAGTCAGATCTCTACAAGTATAAACCCAATGAACCTCAAAAAAGTATTTCTCGCAGTATAACAGGATATCACTCTTTAAACAAAGCGCCCCAAAACCACCAGCGGTGTCATAAAATCATAATAATAATAGCCGAGCTATCATCGAACACTGACCCCACTCACACCGGATCCAGGAGCTGGAAAACCGCCACTCCAATCCGAGGAAGATGAGTCGCCACGGGTTCTAGATCCGCCCGTGCTCGTACTCGCCCCGATGCTAATCCCAGCAGTAGTGAGCGAGTCTGCATAGCCATCTTCGATAACAGGTGGACCGCCGACCATCACGGGCCTGATCTTGGCTCCAACAAAGCCTCTTCTATCCCTACCCGTTCGTCCTCGGCCGAGCCAGTTGTGTTTGAGGGCTTTGCTGAGGACTTCGATGCGTTCTTGGGCTGGATCATCACTCTGGATACTTGCTAGGACACTGACACACTGTAGCATCCTGCCCACTGTTTCCGTAATGACATGAGAGGTATCAGCGGAATTTGCCCGATGGATAATGGTTGGTCGATTGGAGGTTGGAGGGGTGGCGACAGAGTTGAAGAAAACGTCTGCGTTCGAGGAAGTATTTGATTGTGCGCGGCTGCGAGAGGCACTGCTTGTTGGGCGGGGGTGGTCGGAAGAGTAGCTGTCAACGGTGCTGAGGAGAGTAGAGGACTGGGAGTTGTAGCTGCCGAATCCGGCGTCGAGGGAGGCTGCGGTACCAGGACGACCGCCTGCGCCGGTGCTCTTGGATGTGACGCTGAGCGTAGGGAAGCCTGAATTAATAGAGTCTAGGCTGAGGCGGGAGAAAGTTGCCTTGAGGGTGTCATATCGATTGAGAATAATACAGTCGCGGAAGGCAATCAGAACAAGGTTGCGCACATCGAGGGTTCCACCAGCAGGGAGCACGCCCCAGAATTCACCGGCTTCACGGCTGGTCATGATAGAGCCGCAGCCCTTGAACTCGAGGTCTAGGGGAAGGAAAACGGCCTGGATGAAGGGAAGGATAGTGCCGAAGACTAGCATCCATATCTGCACGAGATGCGGGACGAGCTTTTCGTCCGGAATACCCAGTAGCGAACTGTGATTCAGCGTCGCGAATCCAGTCTCTAGTAGCTCCTGCAGGTCCATGATAATCGAAGTGGGAGCCCTCTTGTGCACACAGCGCTGCAAATGAACAAGAACCAGCTTATTCAGATCCTCAATGGCAATGCGGACGTCCTCACCATCAAAGATGACCAGCAGCTTCGCCTTGAGGAAGTCCCAGGCGTCTTCAGGGGTCATGTTGTTCAAACCGAATCCTTGTAGAGTCTCCCTCAGGATAGAATCAGGAACAGGACCCGCACTGCCAATCGAAGACGGACCGGTGAAGCCAGGTGTTGTCGGCCCAGCGTTATTAGCCAGCCATTCCATCTGCTCGGTCTCCGCAGCAAGAGCCCTTTCCTCCTTTTTCTTCTCGCGCAGTGCTCGCCCGCCATGCAAGAGATCCAGTCCACTGACAGACTTGCCGAACGCGGCGCCGGGGGCAGGTGTTGCAGGGCTCGTAAACGAGTACAAAGATTTCGGGGCATTGGGGTCTGCGGGGCGGGAGTTGCTAGATGCCGAAGACAGCGGGAGATTGAAGTGGTCGTCGACACGGTCTTTAAGTTTGAGTTTCTGTCTCGATAGGAAGTGGTGCTTGTGCTTGTCCTTCTCTTTGGCATTGTCCTTTTCCTTTTCTGGGGCCGCTGGATGATCTGCGGGGACGACTGTGCTCACTGAAGCATTGGATAGGTTATACATAGACGAGTTGTTCGAGGCTAGATCAGCGAGATTCGTAGTGGAGCCGCTGACCATGCGCGATAGCCCAACGATCTTACTCGGCGAAGGTAGACCGCGGTCCTTTCCGAAGTCCCTATGACTGCTGATTCCAATGTGTTTCGGTTTGGAGAACAGCTTCTTCTTCTTCTGTTTCTCGGGTTGTTGTTCTGGCAGCACACCGGCCCGTGGAAAGACCACATTCGCAGCAGTGGTAGCCACATTCCCAGGAATAGACGGTGGTTGAGGCGAGGGCTGATTGATGCGCAACGGGGCGGGCATTAGAGGCGGCGACGCACTCCCACTGCGCCGTGGGCGTTCCTCCATCGGGGCTGGCACATGGCGTTTCTGCTGCATTGCCGTCTGGGCAGCGATACGGGAAGCTGAGGCGGTAGAGACCTGGTCAGAGGACGCAGTGGGCAAGGAAGGCTCAAAGAAGCCCTGTGAGTGGTGCCTTGAGCGGTGCCTTGGCAACTCGACGGAGGGGCGGCCAGAGGGCCGCCGGGCAGTGTTCGGCATAGGGAAGGCGTGAGGCGAAGTAGTCGCCGAGGCGGAGCGCGACTGAGGAGGGAAGTAACTGCCGGGCAGCTGGGTATTGAGCGGAGTGAGAGGAGCGGCGGAGACGGTGGTCACATTGGATGAGGCGTCACTACCGGAGGATCCGGGGCGAACCAATTCGTCGTCGGAGTCATCTTCCTCATCTGACGGCGGTCGGTAGCGGGGGATTCGACCCGGGGATCTTTGAGTTGGATTCATTATGCGTCCATGTTTCATGTTCGTACGATGGTGCCTAGCTACAAAGCAAAAGCCACCTCGCCGATCCTTTCTGTGTACGGTGAGATTAACGACCACTATAAAATTGGCAGAATACAGATCTACAGTGGAGAAGAAGATCTAATTTAGCTGGTGTTATTGGTGTGTATAGTTGGATTTGTTATGACTGTTATGATAGTTATACTTTTTACAATATTGTATATTTCTGTGCCTACATTTAGTCTTGCAGGTAATCACCGAATGCTCTACTCCACAGATCTAATTGACCTTGTGCTTACGGTCAAATATTGTCTTTTGTATGTGATGTCTCAATCCATAAATAGCCTTCATACTTGTCATGTTACATTCGAAATTTGAGAATAGATCAATCCTGTAATGTAAGCAGATGACATGACCCCGGGAAAACCTCCAAAAGAACACGATAATGAAGCTATCGCAAACAAGGCGGTAAGAAAGGCGGTATAGTTATTCCCCCACATGATTCTTTAAATCTCCACCAAGTCACTCTTACTCACTACAACACGACAGACAAATTCAAAATGGCCAATCTAAGTGCAGCCTACACCGCTCCCGATGCCAACAAAACCTTTGAGCATGAGATTCCATCCACAACTGGCACCCTGGCAGCCAAGCAAGCCCACCTGACAGCTCTGCAGGCGCAGGTGCCCAAGCTGCAAGACGAGATCAACGTGTTCTTGACTGAGCGCATGGAAGAAGACAAGAAGGCAGGCCAGATTTCCGCCCAAGAAGCCAAGGAGGAGGCGAACTACGGCGAGGAGGTTGTTGAAGAGGAATAAGCATAAACACGAACATGAAGTCTTAAATGAAAGATGCTATGGGTATCAAAGTCGAACAATCGACAAAAAAAGCCAAACCAAAATAAAAACGAAAATGATGCAGAACTACCGAACACTGGCACTGGGTCTCCGGTTCGCACAGCCCAAATGAACAACGGTGTTACTGGAACCAAGTCAGCGGAGAAAACGACAAGATTGAAAGAGACTTACTCGGGGAACACATTTATGACACTCCCACCAAGACGCTTATGACAAACACCGCAAATTCGTTCCTCGGTGACAGTGACGTGTCTGGCACGTGTGCCACCACCCTTGACGCCATCACCAATAGCCAACTGCGCCTGGATCTGCATATCCCTTGCCTTGCGAAGATTGGCGACAATGCGAGCTTCGTTGAACACGGAGTTCGCGGCGCGCATGCGGCCCTTGAAGTAGAATTCAAGTTTCTCCACGGCCTGCTTGTCCGGGATGAGTTTGAGGGCCGCGTCGGCTGGGAGTCTGGAGCCGTGCTTGGCGAGGAGGTCGATAGCGGGGTCATTTTGAGGCGAGTAGCCGTGCGGTGGGCTGAGGTAAAGGGAGAGGAGCGTGAGGTAGATTGTGTTTTCTTCTTCTCGTTTCTCGGTGAGGTGAACATGGTTGCAATATCTTGTTAGGTTAGCAACTGCTATTCAATAGTTGTGTATTACTCACTCTTCTGCCTTTTCGTGGTCCTCTAGTTTGAAGACGTAGATCTCGAGTGCTTGCCGGTGTTGGCCCATTTTGCTGAACAGGATAGCACGGGCTTCGTAGAAATTGGGATCTGTGGAGATATTAGCACTGGTCAGCAAATGTAGTGCTGGCAACATACCCTCTCGATTGAGTCGGTCCAGCATCTTTGCTGGCGAGTATTGCTCGCTTTCCTTCAACATGGCAAGGAACTTGTCCTTCCATTCCCCGGCATGCGAAACAAGTTTGTCTAAATACAAGATGAGCAATCGCTGATGTATTTCCGGTGTCAAGTCATTCCATTCATTGATGACATGTTCGAGGTATCGAATCGCAAGAGTGGAATCAATGCTCTCCAGGAATGCGAGGACTCTGGGACGAGATAGCGTTTCCGCATTCTCAGTGTCAGTCAAGAAGATCTCCATTCCCAACTCATGATTAGCAAGGAGTGGCCATTTGCCGAACTCAAGTACCAAATCGATTTGATCGGGTGGCAGATTCTGGAGATAGGCAACAGTGCGCGTAGGACCGCTCAAAGGGCCATTATCTGTCTGACCGAAGCGCTGCAGCAGCTCCAGAGCTTGGCGATGCAATTTCTTGCCGTAAAGAAAATCAATCAGATCATTGTATCTGCCTGTTTCCTCCAGTCGTTCCATTACCACGTCTGGGTCACAGAAGTTGGCAATGCGGAAGAGGGAACCAGCAAGCGATGGAGTCGCAAACATATGGGCACGGAATAAAGTGGTATCGACAAGCCGCGCCTTCTCACGAATTTGCGTGGCAAAGTCATCGGCAGATGGGAAGTCCAGCAGCTTGAGAACAGAGTCGCTTGCCTCATCTTTGGCCTCAGTGGGTGCGGCCGCTTTCAGGGATCCATCAGGGTTGAGGAAGCGCTGGAAACGTCGGCGAACGTCGGCTAGGTAGCCTTGTAGCTCGCGAACCGCCATCCGAAGGCCTTTCTCGTCGCCCCGAATGCTGCTGGACTCGCTGCCCTCGTCGGGCTTTCGCAAAGAGGATATGATGGACGGTGCCTGGGTGGATGTTTGTCCCGCCGCAGCCTCGTCAGACGACCCGTCACTTTGATCGCCGTTGGCCTTTGCGTTTGGTGCTTCAGGCTCCGGTACTGTAGATAGCTCACCCGCAATCAAGCGCGGATACAGGCGAATGACACTCTCCGGGGGAGCAGAGACTTCCGTGAAGAGATCTAACGATTCACGATACTTGTTCAAAGCGAACAAACTCTGTGCCTTTTCTAGCCTCGTCGAGCGCAATCGACCGGCTTTATCTCGCAGGAGAGCATCCTCCAGCACACCAAGCAAGCTGATCGCCTCGTCCAAATAGCCCTTTTCAACCAAAGCATCAATCTGTGTATCATAGCTCAAAGCTTCCATCCGCCAGATAGTGCGATCACTTGCTACCAGGAAACCTTTTCCAGCATGAGCGAGACTGATGTTTGGTTGCGGGATATGCAAGATGCTGGCTGACGGCAAGGAAATAGACTGCAGTAGCGACAGCGTTTCCGGATTGCGAACCTCCAGCACACCTTTGGCAGAGTCATGCAAAGCTAAAAGAAACGGATACGAATACCCCAGCTCAACAGGCGCATGACTCCAAGGCACCTGCTTCCTCCCAAGCGGCTGGCCATCCACATCGATGAAATTCGTATTGATATCCTTAGCAAGTAGAATCTGACCTTCCCTCAACCTGGTAGCAAGCGGTCTCGGCACCATCCCACCCATACCGATATAGCTCATACTCGCCGCACCAACACTAGTAAACCGGCCAGACTCCTCGATACTCCCGGGTCCAGCAAGATCAGTCACCTGCCCAGACTCAATGTTAACCATGACAAAGCTCGAGTTCAGTCCGACGACTAGTCTCGTAGCAGCAACCCAAGTAAGAGTCTTAACACCGCTAGCCAAGCTCAATTCAGCCGTGTCACGCTCAAGTTCCATATCCCGCCACACCCACATAAGGATCTTCCTCTTGACTGCAACGGCAAGCCGAGAGACAATAGCAGGAACATTTGTATCAGGATCATTGACCACATTCGAAGTAATTGCGAAAACAGAAGCACCCTTCGTCTGCGAGAGCTGCTCCACAAGCTCGTAGGACTGCGCATCGTGAAGGGAGACATAACCCCCCGCCAAGGAAACAAGAACATTCGCCTCCTTGATCAGAGCCAGCTGCTCGATCTTGTAGCGGGAGAAGCGCTCCAGTTCGCGCAGGAGCTCGGTGCGGCCGTCGTCGGTGACTCGGTAGATGCGGAGGTTGCCATTGTTTAGGCCTGCGAGGAGACGGTCGCCATATGCGAGGACGGAGTCGATGCGGGACTTGTCACGCGGCTTTAGCTCGACGAGCGGCCGCGCGGTGAATGCTGACAACATGGGCGTGTTGTCTTCTCTCTGGGATCGAGGGAGCGCCATTGCTGGAGCTCTCTACATGACGTCCAAATGCTGAGTCAGAGATTAGTCAGCTTGATACGGCCCCAGCCACTGGTGATCAGCTAGGCTCGTCCCTAGGTGTAAGCTGTTTGAACAGTGTAATATGGATCTTGTAGTTGCTATGTATTTCAGAAAACCGGCAATGTTACACAATATGGTTGCTACTTGACGGGTCTATATCTGCCATCGACACGTATAAAACACACTAAACTTTCGATGTATGAACGAACAACAAGAAAGAAACCTCCATTTGTAATTGAATTTAAAGTATGTAGCGGAATCGAAGAAAACTATTTTGGTATTAGAATCTCATGCTCCGAATCCGACCACACCCCGACGCCAGCCGATGCAGATCAATCAGATCAACGATTCCCTACTTAGTAGCTTCAGCCTCAGCGGCAGGGGTCTCCTTAGCAACGAACTCCTGATGCTTAGCAGAACTGCCCTTTCCACGCCAGGTAGAAACAGCAGGAATATCAGCCTTAAAGCGCTGCTCCTCAGTACCGTAAGCGCGGGGGGTGAGCTTGATGAGCGTGTGCAGGGGAACCTCCATCCATGGACTCTGCTCTTGGGGCACATTCATGAAGTAAGCATAGATGCAGCGGAGCACGGCCTGGTGGGTAACGATGATGACGTTCTCAGAACGCTCCAGCTCCATGATAATTGGCTCAAGACGAATGACCACATCCCGGTAAGACTCGCCGCCGCGATAGCGGTAGTTGTACTTGTCTTCATCGCGGGCGGCGAAGTCCTCAGGGTACTTTTCGGCAATTTGTTCGTAGGTCAAGCCGTCGCAGACGCCGGAGTCGAGCTCGTCCAGGGCCTTCCATTCTAGCTTGTCGTAGCCAGTTTCGGCCTTCAGGTGGCGGGCGCTTTGAATGGTACGCTTTAGGGTGGACGTCCAGATGACGATCTTGGTGTTCTCTGGGATACCGGACTTGCGCATCAATTCGGGCAGCGCGCGGGCATAGGCCTCGCCGCGCTCGGAGATGTTCGAATCGCCACCGATCGCTCCACAAAGGTTGAATTCGGATTCGCCGTGCTATTGCTTGTTAGCGTAGGCTCACATGTGATCTTCGGTACTTGAACTTACTCTTGAGAGCCAGATTGAGCGAGGTTTGATGTGCAAGTTCTGAATATAGTAAACCAAGCGACTGGATAGATAGTCTTTGATCTGATTGATGATAACGGTTGAGCCGACGTTGATCAGCTTGACGTAGGTATAATGCTTCTCGTTATCATCAATAGTCTCATAGGCCTTCTCATAGTTGCGAATGCGGTTGCGGAAATCGAGAGCGGCCTCTTCGGGATCCTGGCCTTTATAATCAGGGGACGTAGTTTTGACCTCCTTGATGTTCGTCATGATCAAATCTTCATCATCGCAGATAGACTCCACGAAAAGAGCCTCAATATCAGCCTCGTGGCACTTTTCGTAAATCCACTGGCGCCGTTCCTTGGTAGAGTTGGTAGCATCAAGAATAGCCACAACGCCCTTGCCGGCCTTGAACCACTGAAGCATGTCTGACATGGCGGCCTCAGCAGCAGCTCGACGCATGCGTTCACCCTCTGGATTGTGAGGATCAAAGAATGTCGCCGCCGGCTGTGGAGTGTTGAAGCGGCGGTAGCTACCCACGTTGAAAACCCGTGCAGGAATGCCAACCCAGCCGAGATAGCGCATGGCTGTGACCAGTCAGTCAGTGAATCAATGTAAACATCAGTTTGACTCACCCTTTCCAGCGATGAGACTCTTGCCCCGGGCCGGAAGGCCCACCATAACGACGCATATTTTGGAGTCGTCGGACTGCAGGGAAAAGTTAACAAATGTCATTTTGGACCATCAAATATGTCAATTTAGAGCGAATACAGGATGCGCAGAAGCGAAAAGAGCAAAGATGGGACTAGGAACATATGTTTGATCCAAGACGGATCTTTTAGCAGTGCAATAAACACCTGCGACACGTGTGGCCTCATTGTATTGATCACATCGTCGCATCGCCAAATCGCATCTTTGCTGTAGGGCTGGCGACTGGCAAATTCAAAACAATACATGACCACAGAGCACCAACCCACTTATTACAAACTGATATGTATTCAAACATATCGAATGCGTGTGCTAGTGTAATCGAACAGACATAGAATTAAGCCCCATCGGCTGAGCCTCGGCAGAGTGCATATACTACCCCGCGGACATGGGAAATTGGCGGGGTACAAGAATAGAAATTCCACTTACACTGGCAACGAATACCTTATGTTGTTCCTGACTTCTGATCACACTTTTCGTCGACATTTTGGCAGATTGATGTTATGGAGAAGCAATGCGATCTCGGGAGAATTAGGGGCAGATCCCGAAGCCGGAGAAGACAAGAACCCCGACAGGGTTTAGAGCGGGTAGAGTAGGGATAATATGACCTGCAGCCAAGGTGAAGAATCTTCAAAAGTCCGATATTATAGTATAATTATTATGAGAGACAGGAGAGAAAGAAAAGAGAGGAGGAGGCGCATAGCGGTGAGTCCAAGTCGAAATCCAATTATGTCATTTATCCAGAAAAGTGGATAGTTACATATTGTGGTTGACTAACTATGAATTACATGGACTACATACTACTCATATGATGCAATAGTTTGGAATTTCCAAGACAGAATTTATTGGAGAGCCTTATTATTTGAATATTAAAAGCACAATTACTCAATCTTGCCCACAGGTTAGCACGTTGTTGATGTTGACTCTTGGAAAATAGGAATAAAGGAAAATTCCTTATGATATGCGAATGTATAATTTTCTTAGGTATCATAGCTCATGCAATGCGACACGTCCATCATTAATAATGCTTATTTTTCTTTGACACTTTGATCAAGCATCTTGGTCGTTGGTCTTAGGACCACGCGCGTATTGTACGCGCAGGGGGCCACCCCAAGGTCCAGACTGGCCATTCAATGTCTTCATGGCTCTTTGAGCTTCTTCGGGAGTACCGACATCGACGAACAGATAGTAGTGCTCGCCAGGCTCGAATCTCTTAGCAGGGTGAGGAGTGAACAGCTTGCTGACATTTTCACTGCAAAGAATTAGTATTAACCATAGAAAACGATTTCATCGATACTTACACCTTGAAATCCTTGAAAAAAGATTCAATGTTGCTCTGGACAACTTCATGCTCAGTCAATCTCGGCAAACCACCGACATAGACGCGACTGCTGGAGTCGCTGTTAACCTTGGCAAAGCTAGGCTTGCTTTGTTCGCGCCAGCCCTCAACTCGGAATGGCGAAGGAGGGTTGTTGATGCGCTCCTGAGACTTTGCGACACCGGGCTTGATCTTGACAGGGCGACCAAGCATGTTGGTACCGTCGAGCTCAGTCATAGCACGCTCGGCATGATCTTTATTCTGCAAGTCGACGAAGCAGTAGGAGGGATTGCGTCCAGTGAAAGGGTCAATGGCAATATCTATACGCTCACTGTCGAGGTATGAATTAGCGCAATTCACATTCAAGTTGAAAAAAATGCAGACATACATTGGCATCTGGGCAGCAATGAACAGTGACTCAACATCCTGCGCCTTAGCCGTATAAGGCATATTGCCTACGTACAGCCGTCGGCCATCGTTGATTGCTTGCGAAACATGAGCACCGGGCCGACTGAATGCCGCTCGGGAGGTATTGTTCGGGTTCGGGCTGCCGTTCGGGCTGGCATTGGTACGTGAGGGAGTTGCAGGGCTGGAATCCTTGGTGCGCCAATTGGCTGAGTTGAAGGCTCGGCCATCCGTGCGAATTGTTTGGAAGGGAGACTTGGTAGGAGCTATTTGATCTGTTAGTCTGTTCTCGGAGATTTTATGATCTCACGCACTCTGCTGCTGCGGCGCAGGGCTAGGGCTCTCGATATCGGCCATCTTGGTTCTGTTAGTCAAAATTGTAGCAAAAGAATGCGCGAAGATTCTCTTACTGTATGAATTAGACTATATTGAGAATAATTGCACAGAAAACTGAGTGGAAGTTCGTTAAATTAACTACCACTACTTTTTTTTTGTTTGTCAGTGCAAACAATGCAAAGCGTTGATCCACACTTTGGTATTTAACGACCGAGCGGCTTTCATATTTTCATCTTCCTTCATTATTCCTCTCATCCCTCCTCGATAATGTTAGTGGTTGTCTCTGGCTGATATTTCAATTGGATTTTCCATGTGCTATCAGCCATAAGCATTCCATGAATTACCGAGCCTCTGCCCGGCATGATAAGCCTGACCAAGCATGATGAAGCTTGTGTCTAGCTTGCCATGTGAGGATTCGGGCTCTACCATAAGCTGATCCCGATGCTATGAACTATATAGTTGACGGGGCAGCTTTGATATTAACAAAGTGAGTTTTAACTTGTTAAAATCCCCTCTTTCATGATGAAGCAACCTTTTCACACAGACCTGTTCTGAATAACCATGTGGACTCAAAATTGTACCAACTGCTATCTGATATCGAGACTTTTCGCTTTATTTCTCTTGATGAGTTTATATGATCATTGCTAACATGATCAAAAGTATTCAACAGGTCCAATCTGCTTGCCTCTGGTAGCTCAGTAACTTCACATCCATAATTTTCAATAATACATTACTTTTCTTATAAACAGCACGTTCAAATTACTCATCCGTATTTGTATTCACGCCCCAACACAAAGCTTGGATCAAATTGTTCTAGTAAAATCTGCCTTACTCCTGATAGCGAATTTGAAGTGAAGTAACAGACGAGAACAGTTGAAGAAACGGCCTAGCAAAGTCGACCAATCGAACCGATCACCTTATTAGCCTTTATCCACTGATCGGCGAAGTATCCTTTCAAACGTCTATTTGCTGCTTCAAAGAGATCTAAACCTCTATTGTGGCAGAACGTTTGACGTGTCAAATCATAGACGGGCAAACAATGCCCTTAGAAAAACACTTGTCTAAAAACACTTGTCTGAGGAGTAATATCAGCGGCGGCTATCAAAGCTTTATAATTGGATTTAGTCCGTCTCATGAAATAAGATGTTTTAGATTGAGATGGCCGACTCAGCCTCATTGCCAAATATCGATCTGGCGCTTACTGCAGCACATATGCAAGGGGCTGTTTCAAAATGGGAACGGACCTTACATATGTAGTTTTTCTTAGATCAATGGACCCGCGCTATATTGTTTTGATATTTATCATGTTGGCACAAGAGCCGTACACCCTAAGTATATACATTTCGCAGTCGATCTATTCAACTTATCATTTAATATTCTCTTTTCATTCCACAACTAAACCAGTCACGCTAAGTCTCAGGTGCAAGCTAATTGCAGAACGTCTTTATGATTGCAACACACAGATTTTCGAAACTCTTACAGGTTTTATCAAGCAGCCTGAGGTGGAGAAGAGGGAGGATACTATTCATTCTATTCTTGCAGTTCTTCCTGATAACCCTTTATCGGACAGGATAAGGGAAGCTAGCCAAGTCAGTTGAGAGAGCAGAACATATTCCATAGGGTGATTATGAAAGGCAGATAGACTTCGTAATAGTAGTAGACGATCTTATAGGATCATGCAAATTTTCAGCGAGAGGTGATCCAAGCATATTAGTTTGCCAACGAAGACTTATTTCGAACTAACTAATGTGATTTATAAATAGCAGCTAGGCGAGCCATTTGAAAGCTTCGTCTGGAATACTGCGAGAGATGCGAAGCGGAATTTAGGAAAGTTGAAGTTTCAGAAGAATCTAGAGAGGTTGCTAAAGAGATGATAGACAAAATAGCAGAAATAATAGAGAGGAACGAGATGAATGAGAGTAATCATGATAATAATATGGTGATTTGGAAGACCTAGGGCGGCGAATTTGATGAGTTTGACTCAGTACTTTGTTTTGACTTTACGTTTCGGTTGAAAGTAGAGCAGATATAACAGTTGTTTACTGGCATCATACCCAATTCAATAGTTCTTGTTTTCTTGCATCTTCATGCGATCTCTAAGCTTGGATGTACCGTGAGAAATGGGGCAATCTGCCGATCACAAAGATTCTTTGTTCGCAAGGCAACCCTAAGGCCTAAAACTAATGAACCCCTAGATCACTCTTTCATACGAACCTACTAGCTACTTGAATATGCGAGTCTATGTACATGCCCTTGAGAAAAAAAGACTCCAAATCATGTGTGGTGTGTCCGGCCGAGGTTCTTTGTTCTTTGTTAGGGTTGTCCCCTCGAGTCAAAAACCAACGGTTGACTCCTCTTTTTCAATTCAACCATGAGTTTCTCAATATATGGTGATATCTCCCGACCAAAGGAAAAATATGGTGCCATTCACTCCGATAGATTCATACTGCAAAGGGCATTCGGTACAGCGTCCGAACGAGCGCGGCGCAATCTTAATGCCAAATTTTCCAACCCGCTGGCTGGCTGCAGTCATACAGAGTTGAGACAACAGGAACGCACATTTACAGAGTCCTACGATATGGGTGATGAGTCCGATATTCGCGCTTTTGTGCTAGGTGCTATACTAGCATAATCGCCATAGAGGTACGCCAATGTTGCTGGTCTGACCCATGAAGAGAAGGAGGTATTTCGCCGTGAGTTCACCAATAAATGTTCGCAGCCATGGAAATTGTACGCCATGATCGCACTATGTTCATCATCTGCTGCTGTTTAAAAAAAGGTCAGTAGAGTCAAACATCCGACAGCCCAATAGCCAAAATCACTAACAAAACTAAACGAAACGGTCGTCAACGGAGCCCAGATCTTCTACATACACCAATTCGGCATTGGTGGTGACTCTGCTCGAAGCACATGGCTTGTGGGTCTATCCAACACGGCACCCTATTCATGCTACGCTTTCATCAGCTGCTGGCTAATTGTCCCCTTCAACCACTGGTTCGACCGACGCGGTACAATATTCATCACATACTGTTTTTCTGCAATTGCCTCCTTATTAAAAGGGGTTGTGAGCAATTGGTGGGCTATGGCTGTTGTGCGACTTATGTTAGGATTCGAAATCGGTCCCAAGTCAGCAACTGTGCCAATGTACGCTGCAGAGTGCGGCCCGCCACCCATCAGGGGGGCACTGACAATGCAGTGGCAGATGTGGACTGCATTCGAGATTATGGTGGGGTATGCAGCGGGCTTGATGTTCTATAATGTGAACTCGTCTGCAATTGTCGGACTCAATTGGCTATGTTTGATGGCTTCGGCGATGTTTCCTGCGCTGGTGGTTTGTTGTTTTGTTTTTGCTTGTCCTGAGTCGCCGCGGTGGTACATGAGCCAGAAGCAGTATTACCGTGCGTATCAGGCGATCTTCACGCTGCGACATCGTAAGAATCAGGCTGCAAGAGATCTTTACTACATGCATACTCTGTTGAGGCTGAGAGCAGCATGAGGCTTGGTCGGAACAAGCTACTAGAATTGATTACAGTACCACGCAACCGCCGGGCACTAGTTGCGTCTCAGATTGTGGTTTTTATGCAGCAGGTAAGTGGAAATCGAGATTTGATTAGCTCGAGTTTGGGATATAAGGTTGCGCGCACCCGCGTGTGTACATGTCTAGATATATCTTACTATACGCCTAATAATTTGGTAGCTGACTTGAACCTGAGCTCTGTGGTGTCCACGTTATTGCAGACTACTCTGCCGAGATTTTTCCCGAGGTGAGCCCAGCCCTCAACGCGGTCACACAAGAAGCCCTAACCAAAGCACAGGCCAAGTTCACCTCGATTGCAGCCCTCGCCGCGTCCCTCGGATGGGGCGTGATCAATTGGCTATTTAACATTCGGGCAATTTACACAATTCATACTTTTAGGAGAAGGAACCTGTTACTATTTACTCTCCCACTGATGTCACTGGCGATGTTCTTCACCGGATTCAGATTCTGGATCCCAGAAAGCAGCCAGACCGATCGGCTCGCATGTATAGTACTCGGCACATATTTTTTCGGAATCGTCTATTCACCTGGCGAGAGATCGGTCCCTTACACATATTCAGCCGAGGCAGATCCTCTGTACGTGCGATCTTATGGGATGACGCTGGCAACAGCCACGGCGTGGATTTTTAATTTCATTCTTGCTGTAACTTGGCCGTCAATAAAAAAGGCGTTCATAGCGCAAAGAGAGTTCTCTTGTTATGCGGGTTGGAGTTTGGTGGGGTAGTGGTTGGTTCTTCTATTCATGCCTGAAACAAAAGGGAAGACGCTTGAAGAGTTGGATCAGGTATTCTCCGTTCCGACGAGGTTCCATGCTAAGTATGGATTGAGACAGACTTGGTATTTTTCTCAGCGGTACATTTTGAGGAACGATGTGTAGCCGAAGATTCTTTATGAGAGGGAGGATGTGGCTGCGGCTCATGATATTGGGTTTGATGCTTAATCGGGCACTTTTGGAGGTATAGATGGAGTATTGTATCAAGAAATGATCTAGAAAATGATGTCATATTCAACATATTAACATAGACACTGTGTTTCCATATGGAGAAGACCCCTGTGGGGCTAATTAACAGCCTAAGGGAGTGCTTGGCAGGTTGCTCTGCCACTTCTTCCGGGAGGGCCCACTGAATAGGAAGAATTATGTACACGATAAAATCAAAAAAAGAGGAGGTGTTGTCATTCATCATCTTTACTTTCTATAGACTGACTAGGCCCTCACTGGGACTCGGGCTTTAATTTTGACATTCGGGGTCCTTCTTTTCTCTAATTTGTACATAATCTATTTTATTCCCCGAAATTCCCTTGCACATGTTTGCAGATAGAATCCGAAACCTAGACGGTTCGCCCCGTTATGGTCTGAGCGCATTTAAGAGCATCCAATCAGAATAAGATTTACTGGCCGCAGGAAGCGAGATTTTACGCTAAGTGACATGACTGATTAGCTAGCATACATATGCAGCCTAACATTGATCCAATAACATAATAGTAGAACAATGAATGCACTTGTTGGTTGTGAGTAGTTGTAGGTATGTCCGCTTGTAGGACCGTTGTGTACCTGTTATGAGATCCAGAATTAGCCAAGAAGGAAACGAGCTCGAATGCAACATCAATATAGCAACTAGCAAACCAAAAATAAATTGCTCGTATTCACCGAATCCTATCGGCGTGATGCAAACCAAAATCGAACTTGCCAAAGGTACGCGGAATATTACGGGCCAATTAATCACAGGGAAAGTATAGAATAGCTAGATAGCATGCAGGACATCATCATCGTAGTTCTTTGGGATCGGTTATTTTTGCCTCGAACGGACAATTTTCGAAACGGTTAGGAAAAAATGCAAATAGTGAACAAATTCAGCCCCAAACTCGGCTCACTGCATGACATCTATTCTCGTCAAGGATCCACAATTTTCAAAGATCATGGTCTGAACTATTATCAATACAGAAATTGGTGTTTCTGCTAAATCGGATAATAAAACAAATCAGTGGAATTATGGAATCTTATCTGTATCGCCGTAGTGTTGACGGATTGTTTAAACCTTAACGCATTTTCTTTTGTTGACCACAACAGAAAACACCTGCTATATCTTTTGATTAGAATCTTTCGCCGGCGATCAACTTTCATTCCCCTTCGGTTGGTTTTTATTCAAATCGATATCAGCCTCAACAGGATGTTTGTAAGCATGAAAGATAGAGGAACTCATAAGCAAACCGTTTTTTTGGCCCCATGACGTGAACTGGCCAAGGCCTACCGCTAGCGTCTATAGCGCGATTCATCTCGAGAAAAAATTCCAGTAAGATCTCCCTCAGCGACATTAGGTCGAAGCGGGCAGAATAGCAAGATGATTGAACGGGTCAAGGACATAGAAATTTGCCATGGAAATGAACCTTTCGAAAATTCATGAGATCCCCAGTGCAATTGTTATCAGGAGATTTCTCTCAATAGCAATAAAAACCATGTGGTAGACAACAGGGATATCTGAAGACCGTGTGAAGTGGACTAACGGGCGGTGGTCAGTGTGGCGTTTTTTCACGAGGTAACTACCACGAGGTAATCACCCAAAAACCAATAGGAAGTAACAGAGAACAATGACTCGGTTTTTGCAAATATCTCGAACCAATCAATGGTAAGCAAAGTTGATCTATTCAGGAACAGCAGCCTGAGCTAACCTAAAAGAGATGCCGGCGAATGTAAGCATCAGAACTTGGTCAATCCAAGCTGAATCAATCAACTGAAGTCATAGTATTCACTCCACTATGTAGTCATAAACAAATACGATGAACAAAAATAACTAGCCGAGCCTCAATCTTAATTCGGCCCTAACGTCCCGCCTGAACGGGTGCAGTCTAAAACCGCATGTAGTTGGTCCACCTTACCAGCTGACGATAGCACGTTAGCTAAGACATGGAGTGACATCGGCTTGGTGCAGCCTGATTTCCAATGCAATGGGCTTTATCCACTAGGCGAAATCTGTCTCTATATTTCGTTATCGTGCCATGGGGAGTGGGGAAGATGAGGATTGGGGCGCGGTCGAGTCAATTCCCGGGTGAAACCTGGGCATTTGGCTAAGTGATTCATGGAAGAGTCAGAATCGAGACCCAGAATGGGGCTTTTTGCGTTGTTCTTTCCATGGCAATGGGACCAGAGCGTCATCAAGCTCTGGTACCTAGGTACCTGGTGTTTTGGGGGCCTTTGGGTGGTTTTATAAAGAGAGGAAAGTGGGAGAGTTTTGATTAGTTCACCATCGCGACTTCCATTCATCTTCTTCATCATGCTACAAAGCCTTTTTACAAGATCGTTGTCTATTTGCAACATGTCGTCAGTCTCGCTTCTAGCTTTGGCCAGTCTGGCATGCATTGCTCTGGCACTTTGTGCTATGCTTTTCAAATTCCTATACGTCCCGCTTGGGTCTTCGGCGAAAGCAAGCAGCTCGCCTCCAGAACTTCAATTACCCGCTTCGAAGATCACTGAATTGTTCTTTGGCGAGCGGTTCGAGTTTATCAGAGATGGATTCAAGGCGACGTCCTCTTCTATCTATCAACTCACGCTCTTCCGACGAAAGGCGATCGTCCTATCTGGAGAGGAGGGTCGCGAACTATTCCTCAGAGAAAAGGGACTCAGCATATATGATTCGTTCTCTATTCTGCTAGGGAGTGTGAGTGTATTGTTTTGCTCAGCTTTATGTTTCTGATCACTGATTCGTCGAAATAGAACACCGCTCAGTTCAACATCCATCAGGTCAACGCCATAATAAAACGTATTATTTCGATGCAGCGGCCTGAGAACTTGCAGCCCAGTGAGTTTCTACATCCTTTCTTTGGTTCTATTATATCCTAACACGACGCAAATAGTGATTCCATTGGTACTCTCTACTTGCGAGCGAAACATGGACTCATGGGGAACACAAACTATTCTCGACCCTTGCTCTTCTATCCACGAGGTATTTCTATCCCATGGTCTTGGACAAGTCAAAAAGAAACTCACACCCGGCTTCATTTAGATCACTTTTCAAACGATGATGTCCAACGCTTTCTTCGATATAGCCAATGACCCGGCGATGTCCTCCCGTCTGAAAACCCTGGTCGATATTGTCGATTCGCCTGCCAACCCATACTCGACTTGGTTTTCATGGCTACCGAATACCTTGATGTTTCGCAAGATTATATCCGCAGTTCGCATGTTCCGCATTGTTCAGAAGGCCCTCAAAAGCAGGAAGAGCAGCGGCGTGAGAAGGAATGATGTTGTCCAACAAATGTTGGATAATGGAGATAGCACTATTCAAATATTCGGGGTATGTTCAGCAGACTCTTTATTACCGACAAACACTGATCTCTTGAAGTTCATTCTAGGGCTTTCTCTAGCCGGAGCACGTGCGACCGGAACAATAGGTCAGTTCTGCACAGTCACCATACACAATAGGAACCTTACTGACACTACAGCAGTATCGTGGCTGATAATGCAATTATCCTCAAACCCTGAATGGTCCACTGCCGTCCAAGAAGAGATCAAAGTCCTCACAACCACCCAAGATACCTCCACGGAAACCCTATCAACCATCCCGCTCCAAGCATGGGAAACCCAAACCCCAATCCTAGACCGCTGCATCCGAGAAACCCTCCGCACATCCCAACCATACACGGCCATGAGGCGTAACACCGGCCCAGATATCACAATGAAAGGATACACAATCCCCTCTGGGTCATTGGTGGTGTACCCATTCTTGGACACATCGATCAACCCGGCATATTACGGGGAACCATTGCGCTGGGATCCGTCTCGGGAAGCTAAAAAGGAGTTCATTTCTTGGGGTGCGGGCAAACACGGATGCAAAGGGCAGAGACTGGCGGTGTTGAATATGAAACTCGTCGCTGCTTCTATCCTGTGCAGGTTTGATATTTCTTTAGTTGATGCTGTGGGTGCAAAGATGGAGACTGCGCCAGTCCCGGACTGGAACGATTCAGTGACTTGTCGACCAATGAACGTGGGAGGGATTCTACTTGTTAGGAAGTAGGAGATTCGGGTTATGTGTTATGTTGTGCTCAAAATTCTACTGTGTATATGTTAGTGTCTAGATATTATCCCTTATCATTATCTTGCTCAATCCATGTTCCAATGCAATGTTCCTTGTAGTTCTGCGAATCATAACGCGACCGCTAACAAGGGGGGGTAGGGTAGCCATGGATATGACTGAGTTGGCTTCGAGGCTTAACATTGAGTTTCAGCATTACGGTAAGAAAGGATATATGAAAATAAATCCAATTGATCTCATTGGGCGAAACTTGAATTGATGACGCCGTGAACCGAATAGCGGGAAGGGTTTGCCTCCACTGGATGTCCATACAAATGGCCGGCAGGTGCCGATAAACGATTTGAAGAACGCGGAGAATCTTTAAAGTTCCCTCCCCCCTTTCTCCTCGCGTTCAATTCAAAACCCTGCCATCTCCAACCCCCCAGCCCTGAGCCATCATGGGTCACCACCCAAATACACTATGTCGGGCAGTTTCCAGCAGCTCCCTACCCCCTGGGCCAGAACCAGACAATGGGAGTTGCGGTAATAATCTTTATCTCGATCGCGCTGTACAATGCTATCGAATTATCTGTACTCATCCCCCTGAGCTTCAAGACATACCGCAGTCTCTATTTCTGGGCTTTGTTAATATCCACAACCCTTGGGCTAATACCGACTAGTCTGGGGACCTCGTTTGAATACTTCGACATCGTTCCGCTGTGGCTGAGTCTCCTCCTCTCAAATATTGGGTTCGTCTGCATGGTCCCGACACAGTCGATAGTGCTCTATTCGCGACTTCATTTAATCTCGCAAAACTTTCGTCTCCTACACTTCCTGAAGTGGCTTATCATAATTGACACAATTATACTTCTCATCCCGACCATAACGCTCAACTTTGGCTCGGAGTACTTTCGACACTCGTCATCGTGGGTCCGCGGGTACTCAATTATCGAACGCATTCAAGTGACCTGGTTCTCGGCCCAAGAGATTCTTATCTCGTCTGTTTATATCTGGGAAACGGTGGGGATGATCAAGATCAGTCATGAGGAAGACAAAAAACGACATAAAGTCCTGTTGGAGTTGATTGGGATCAATATCGTGGCTATTGGGATGGACTTGGCACTGATGGTACTGGAGTTCATGGGATTTTATTTTACGCAGATTATTCTCAAGGCGTTGGTGTATAGTATTAAGCTGAAGATGGAGTTTGCTGTGCTTGGGATGCTGTTGTCGATTGTTCAGTTACGTTCACATGGGGAGCTTACGAGCTCGGAGATGTATTCTTTTCCTTCGAATTGATGAGACAGTATATATACATGTATGTATACTTATAGTAATATGTTGTACAGTCTTGTATAGTATTTCATGTCGTATCCGCCACCCGTCGCATGGAACTGCCGAGCCGACGCGGAGAGAGAATAGGGTCCATCTATTAAGTAGATCTGAGTATGGTTATTATATATTTTGTTCAAGCTAGAACTCTTCGATATCCCTTAATATACAGACCAGGTATAAGTGGAATATATGGCCGGCCAATAATGTCTCTGTAACTTGGCGCTTAAGAAATGACCGAGGCATTGCACAGTCAGTGTTCGCTGTCGCTGTTTACAACAACCTACCATCGTCAACAATTACTCTTCAAGTCAACTAGTTATACCCCCAATGACCCGAACAGTCTATCTCATCTCTGCCCGCTACTCATCCTCCCAAAGAGCGCATTTCTCGATATTTGTGCCATTAGCCGCAGATTCCTCAGTGGGAACCAAAATCCACGTCACCGGAGCGCCAATGGTAGGCTACAATCCTGAATTCAAACGAAACTACAACCCAAGTCTCGAAAAAATCGACAAGATCTACCCTATCGGTGAGGTCCCACCATGTCATATAGTGGACTTCCTTGGCGATACTCCGTCCGTAGACTCCATGCCGTGAGGAGCCATTGAGCTAGAAGTAGCACGGATCCCTCCACCGCGTATCAGTAATCACTTAATGGCCCCTGATAACGATGTGAATACCAAGTATCATGTCCTCAGATATCTTGATCCGCGCGGCTCACATATTTATAGACGACCAACAAGCGGTGCCAAGAGTGGACGATGGAGTTTGTCCCGACATTTGGTTGCTAAAGGCTTTATCAATGAAGAAGCAATCGAGATTGTCCAATCTTAACGAGATCCGCCATCGCATGGAATTGGATTGAGACCAGTTGCCCCGGGGAGTTGATCTGACCACAAACCCTTCATAGATACTGCATGAGCACAAATTTTATACAAATATACCGAATGTAACCGGATAATGAGTAACAACAGCAAAGACCGAAGTGTACAGAAGTTGATAAGAGCCGCTATCCGACCCGCGCCCCGCATCCGCCTGTAGATCCGATCCGAGTTCCCCGCGTATACAGCGTACAGCGTACAATTGATGAATACGTGTGTATTCTTGATAATCCACCGAATACAAGTTGTACAATGGGCGTCTAGCTTCCGAAGTGCGGGGCCCCTGCATAGCTATAAAAGAGCAGCTGGAAGCATCACAGCTCAAATCTAGTACATCCACCACACTCACACTCCATCCACTATCCAACCCAAATCCAAAATGCTCGGCAAAATCGCTCTCGAAGAAGCCTTCGCGCTCCCCAGATTTGCCGAGAAAACAAAATGGTGGGCGGGAATGTTCTCCACCAACACAGAAGAGCACACAGCCCAAATCAACGACGTGGGCCCCATCCGTCTAGACTTCGCCGATAAGCACGGCGTCGGTCTCCAAATCCTCAGCTATACCGCGCCCGGCGTGCAGGATATCTGGGATGCGAAAGACGCCCAGGCGCTCGCGATCGAAATCAACGATTACATCGCCGAGAAGGTGAAAGCGCACCCGGACCGCTTTGCCGCCTTTGCGTGAGTGTTCCACGAACCATCCACCCCTGGTTCAAGGCATGCTAACAAGCCAGGACGCTATCCATGCACGACCCACAAGAAGCGGCGGACGAGCTGCGACGCTGCGTCACGCAGCACGGCTTCCTCGGTGCACTGGTCAACGATACGCAGCGCGCGGGCGAAGACGGCGAGGATATGATCTTCTACGACAATGAGAAGTGGGACGTGTTCTGGTCTACATGCACGGAGCTGGACGTGCCGCTGTACCTGCACCCGCGCAACCCCACTGGCTCGATCTACGAGAAGCTGTGGGCTGATCGGAAGTGGTTGATTGGGCCGCCGCTATCGTTTGCGCAGGGCGTTAGTCTGCATGTTCTTGGGATGGTGACGAATGGGACGTTTGATCGGAACCCGAAGTTGCAGGTCATTCTGGGACATTTGGGGGAGCACATTCCGTTTGATATGTGGAGGATTAATCACTGGTTTGAGGATCGGAAGAAGATGCTGGGGCTGCAGGAGACGTGTAAGAGGACTATTCGTGAGTATTTTGCGGATAATTTGTGGATTACTACGTCGGGCCATTTCTCGACTACTACGTTGAACTTCTGTATGGCGGAGGTTGGGGCGGATCGGATTCTGTTCTCGATTGATTATCCCTTCGAGACTTTTGGGGATGCGTGTGAATGGTTTGATGCGGCGGAGATGTCCAATACGGATCGTGTGAAGATTGGGAGGGAGAATGCTAAGAAGCTGTTTAAGCTGGGAGCTTATAAGGATAGTGAGGCTTAGATTGTTATATACGTTTTCTTTTGTTAAAAGAATGTGGAAGACGTTATGTATTTGGGTATTTTGAAGCAGATCGTAGAGAAACGAGACTCTGTGCTCTCTGATCATAATTCGTACGGTCGTTAGTATGCTTGTTCAGTGTGCGGTCCATTCTGTCAGGTCTGTAATTGCCATATCGTTGTTCCAGCATTGCTCCCAGACATCTGTGGCATGGACGAGATGGTCCATTGTGGGTACGAAAAATCCCTCGCGAATTTGCAGAGTGGCCCAGGTGTACGCGTCGTAGTTCTCAATACATCGTGAGCTGACGTCCCAGATTGCAATGACGTGACGTGTGAGTTCAGTACGAGCCAAGCTCGTGGTTTCTTCGGTGAGGACTTGGCAGTTTCGAAGACGGAGGAAAGGTGTGTGTACCCATTCTTCAAACAGAGCGTGGTATAGCTCGAGGAGTTGGCGTTCAAGAGGACGTGGTTTCTTCAAGCCTCTGCAAATCGAGAATTAGCAAAAAGTAGGTTAAAGCTGCAAGCTCGGTACTTACCTGGCAACGACACGAGCCATCTCGCGAAGCTTCTCGTAAACAGAAATGTCATCATGCTCTATTTGCCTCAGGACAAATGCGATGTCGTCGACAGCCTGACATTGCTCCTTCAACATAGCATCCAGCCAAGCAAGATGTGTCAGGATAGTCTCAGTCGGAAGCTTCGCGTCAGATGTCTCCTTGGGAGCCAGGAACTCTGGGTTCTGGTGAAAGATTACATGGTTAAGGTGGAGCGTGATGTTGAGAAGAGTGATGTACCGGTGGCGAGTCTGTGGACGCATTTGAGGATCCGAAAGAAGCTCTTTCAACTCTTCGAGGACGACCTGGCTACGCTCGCCCGGTTCGCTGGGCACATATGGAATGATGTTGGGGTCGACTTGGCATTGACGGATCTCAGCCTGGATGGCCTTGCCGAGAGCGTAGTTCCAGGCATCATCGTGACATTGATCAGCAGTGCACTGGGACGCAATGGTATCGCAGTCGAATTCGTTGTAATCTGGGAAGGGTTCCTTACCGGAGCCAGGCGGAGTGCAGGAGCCCTCCGAGCTTGAGTCGACGGCGAGTTGGGAGCGGACGACTGCCAAGCGTGATCCGGCTGGTAGTATATCCATGCTGGAATCAAGATTGGAGGAAAGAAGAGTGCATATACGGGAGAAAGAGCGAGATGAAGGTGGGGAGATTTTTGGACGGTCTACGAGGAAAGTGAAGAGGGACGTGTATTGAGGTTCAGGACAATATTGACGATGCTATTGTGATTCATATTCTTGACCAATGTGCTAATAATGTCACTAACAGATAATTCAAAGCTATTGACAGGAATTTACCGCCATTCAATCCGGAAACGTTATTTGGTCAGACTCGAGGGTCAGAACGCTCCATCCAATTGAGAGGTGGACTGCCTTCCCCAAAAAAGAAACCTGATGAATGAAACTGACAAACGACAATAGGAACAAGACGTTCCCATGACATTCGTCTGCTTCTCAGGATTTCCATTGAGGGTTATTGAAGGTAGTTATGGTTCTTCGCACATTGACTAATCGACGTCTCATGGGGCAGAGGAGTACGGCAACTTAAGTAGTGCGAGTTCAATCTTGCTTAGAACTAGGTTCGTGATCTGGCTCAGTCTCAACTTCATCTTCGGACGTTGGAACATCCATGACCTTTTCACCGGCCTTTTCTAGAGTCCGTCTACTCCATGAGCGAACACCTTTGTAGACAGCCTGATGCGGTTAGTTGAGCCATGTCATCATGATAGACTAAACATACCCATAGGAAAGTACCAACGCCGACCAGAATGACCAGCCAATTTAACTGGGCGGCGCGGTTACGGCCAGAATTCCGACCCGAGGCGACAGAGCGCATATTCCATGGGAAAGGCGAGAGTGCAAAGACTGCCTTGAGAAATGACAAGAGACCAAGCGACGCTAGCCCTTTGATGAAGTGTTCAATCCAAGACGCATCTTTCTCAACCAGATCGACGTAATCGTCCACGGGGCCCAAGTAAAAATCAATGATGGGGTCAGCAATGAATCCAAGCAGGAAAATGGTTAACAAAAGAATGCCGAGAGTGAGAATTAGTTGCATAGTGGCGCTACTGATCCACCGAGCCCAGGTCAGACGCTCGAGGCGATACTGGAAGCCACAGGTGGGACATTGCCAGAAGTTTCGGGTCCCGTATTTTGGGTCGGCATGGCGCCATGCTTGCAGACAACCCTCGTGGACATAACGCGAGGAGCCTTTGCATTGACAAGGACTAAGGAGACGACCTGATTCTGGGTCGGAGGATTCATAAACCACTCGAGGTTTCTGGAGGAATTCTGAGGGTTGGAAGGTAGGCAACACTGATTCTAGGCAGATGCGACAGACCCGGGGAGGGTAATGCTGAGAGTCATCCATTGGGGCTCACATCGAGATTCACTCAAACCTTGGCAAGAGCCGAGAAATACAAAATACAGGGTGTTTGAAGAATTCGTAGGAAGAAGAACTGAAGCGAAGAAGAGAAAAGCAGAAAAGCACAAGGGGAAACTAATCCCAATGTGGTTCACCGCCTTTCGTGAGCTCTACCGCGTCGAACGTCACCCTCATCTGCCTAAGCTCTCTTGATCTTGTAGTCCCTTGATCTCTCCATCTTCTCTGCTTTTGTTCACATTGATAGCGAATCATGGCTGACCGATATTCATTCTCTTTGACTACATTCTCTCCCAGGTAAGGATGATTCGTTCTTCTTGAATTGACACCGCTAACTCAGCTTCACAGTGGAAAGCTGGTGCAGATTGGTATGGACCATCACATCTGATCATTCTATCAATACTAATAAAACCAGAATATGCCCTGAACGCAGTCAACCAGGGTGTCACGGCACTCGGTATCAAAGGTATGTGATGACGAAGCTCTCCCGTCCAAGCTCCCAGGAAGCTGACCGCCCATACCAGCTACCAACGGCATTGTGCTCGCGACCGAGAAGAAGTCCTCATCGCCTCTGATTGATCCTCCCTCCTTGTCCAAGATCTCCCTCATCACACCTGATATCGGCATGGTCTACGCCGGCATGGGCCCCGACTACCGTGTATTGGTAGACAAGGCCCGCAAGGTCTCGCACACAAACTACAAGCGCATCTACAACGAATACCCGCCCACCCGGATTTTGGTGCAGGACGTCGCCCGGGTAGTTCAAGAAGCTACGCAATCTGGAGGTGTGCGGCCGTACGGTGTCAGTCTGCTTGTTGCGGGCTGGGATGAGGGCATTGAGCCCGAGTCAGAGGAAGCTAAGAAGGAACACCCTGAGGAGAAGACCTCGACTCAGACTGGCGGTATCCAGAAGGGTGGCCCTAGTCTGTACCAGGTCGACCCCAGTGGCAGTTACTACCCGTGGAAGGCGACAGCGATTGGCAAACACGCGACGAGCGCCAAGACTTTCCTTGAAAAGCGATACACTGAAGGGCTAGAACTGGAGGATGCGATCCACATTGCACTCTTGACGCTCAAGGAAACGATTGAGGGCGAGATGAATGGTGACACAATAGAAATTGGTGAGTGTGATACCCGATATAGCCTGATTTGCCGGTTTCCGTTGAATGTAAGCTAACCCATCACAGGTATTGTTGGTCCGCCAGCAGACCATCTTCTGGGCTTTGAAGGAGTGGAGGGTGCCAAGGGACCTCGGTTCCGCAAGTTGACCAAGGAGCAGATTGAGGACTACCTGACCAATCTATGAACGATGACCCATAATTCATGTAGACTCGAATGAAACATTATTTTTTGTCCGGCCTTGCTTCAAAAACAAATCTCAAATCTCAAAATTTCAAACCATAGCCTTCGAAGCACACACCGACGGCTAGCAGCGTAATACTTCCACGCTGAGGAGTCCATGAATGTAGTGGCAATTCAACAAGACCACATGATCCTACCCCTGTCCAAGTATGAAATTCCTAATGGTTAAGCCAACATTCTCACCCAAATCCCAATCGATCAAAAATCCCCGACACTATTGAACAACGGCGTCAGATATATCAATCAAGGGTTACCCCAGAATAGATTCAGGACTCTCTTTTAATCTCCACGCACAGCCACTGCATATGCATAACACACCGTAAAATCGTCCCATCTCATTCCTTTTCCTTTCTGTTCCTTTCCTTCTCATCCTTTAACACCAATTCTTTCAAAATTTCCAACCCTCAAGACCCCGAGTCCACCATCCCCATGAATCCACACCATGTCAACCGTTTCCCAGGACCTACTGGACGGAATCTCAGGCGCACTAGCAAAAGAATGTGACGCTCTCCAAATGATCTTAGTCACCTTCCTCAGCCTATCCTGCTACAATGTCGCAGAATTAGTTATTCTCGTCCCTTCGACTTTCCGCCGTTGGCGCGGTCTCTACTTCTGGTCCCTTCTCATCTCGGGATGTCTCGGCGTGGTGCCGTACTCGATTGGGTTTTTGATGAAATTCTTCACGAGGGCCGACTCCGTGCTCTCAGTGACGGTTCTCTCGATCGGGTGGTGGACCATGGTTACGGGGCAATCGGTTGTTCTGTATTCGCGGCTGCATCTTGTCCTGGGAGATGAGCGCATCCTCCGCTGGGTGCTGAGGTTGATCGTGCTGAATGTGTTTGTCTTGCATATTCCCACGACGATCTTGACGTACGGCGCGAATATCGTGCACAGCGGTGATGTCGTTTGGGTCAATGGGTATAATGTTATGGAGAAGATCCAGTTGACTGGGTTCACGATCCAGGAGAGTATCCTTTCAACGCTTTACGTGATTGAGACCGTGAAATTGCTTCGGCTTGGAGCGGATGTTTCTGTGAGACCGGACTCGCGGAGCATCATGTACCGGCTAATTGGGATTAATTGTGCGATCATGGCGATGGACTTGATCTTGTTGATATTGGAGTATGCGGATTTCTACGCAGTGCAAATTACGTTGAAGGCCTTTATATACTCGCTCAAATTGAAGCTTGAGTTTGCGGTGCTAGGCCAGTTGATTGATCTCATCCAGGGGTCTAGACATCCAATTTCTCTTGCTATTGCCGACACTGTGCCTCTTTGCTCAATGCAGCGGCCGCCTGACACGCCGGATCGGAGTGTGGACGGGCCTGAGGAGGCTGAGCCGAAGGACTTTTTGGCAGATCATCGTGGGAGGGTGGTTCAGAGGAGGATGTTTGTTGAGTCTGAGAGGACGACCGCTATATAAGATATGACAATTGAATATAATGATATATATTCTCAACATTTCATAATTTCATGGGTGGTTCGTGCTGAGAGTTGCTTCGTCTGTCCATGGGGATTCTTCTTCTGAGTCTTCGTCCTGGCTGTCGGCTACCTCGTCGACCTTGCGTTTCTTGCTTGGCGTGTGCGTAGGCTGCTCCAACGATGCAGGCTTTGGAGGTAACTCGGGGGACGTTTCGAGGAGCGACAGGTGTTCGGATGAATCTTTTGCGGGAGATTCACTCCTCGGGACATTACTCTTGGGAGACTCGAGCTGTGGAGAGGGCGGCGGAGAAGACAGCGCCGAAGACAAAGGCGAAGGGGTCGGTGTTGGGGGATCATAGTACTCGAATTCAGGAGACTTGGGCGGAGGAGTGATAGGATCAGAAAACTCCGATTGGATCTCTGCCTCTCGAATCCCATCCTGGCCGAGTTAGACTTCAATCACAAGCGACAGAACATCGACATACCGAATAAATCTGGAACGGAACCACAAACTCATCATGCGATTCAGGCAACGGCTTGCCCGCAAGCTTCTCGACTTCCGCGAACCTCGCATTCGGTAGAGCCCTATACACCGCAATGCGCGTATGAATAGTATTCTCCCACGCTCCGCCCGCCAGGGCCGGCAGCAAAGCCGCCTCTTCTTCCTCTTTAATCTTGGTCTGGCACTGGTTAACAGCTAGGACAGCGATATTTTTCGCAGCGAGTCGGGTTAGATGTGTAGCCAGCTCATTGGCTACATTTGCTCTGCGGCTTAGAAGCCAATGCAAATGAGCTTTGTCGGCCAGTTTCCCCTCTGCGAGCTCGCCTTTCAGCTCCGTCGCAGTGGGGAAGTGAGACGTGAATAAATCCGACACGGAGTCGATAACAATTAAATTAGTTTCTGGTGGAGGAAACCCTCTAGGTGGTCGAGTCAAAAGAGCTATAAGATGCGCCAAGGTATGCGCTTGAAAATGAATAAAGTCATCGAGATTGACGGACATTTCCTCGAGCCGAGGACTAGGCAGGGCACATCCCGTATCTAAAACCGTCAGTCTGGCAATCAAGTTGAAATTGAAATGACATACCAATCCAGACCACTTTGCCTTCGCGCAGTGCATTGCAGGCAATGTTCAGGCTACAATCGGTCAGTCTAGACTCTAGCGGTGAAGAAGAAACACGCACGCCAGTGAGGTCTTTCCAGCCCCTGGAGGCCCGAATAATTCTGTAACATGTCCTCGCAGAATACCGCCTTGCTCTTGCGGATCGAGCGACACCGCTAAGACATCGTCTAGGCGCGGGAGACCCGTCGCGATGGGGTCGCGTCCGGCTGCCGACGCGTTAAGAGATTGCGATGCTGAGATCGAAATTACAGGTACTTGGGAGCGTCAATAATTTGTTTGTTTTGGACATCAGAGAATCAACAACTCACGCGTGTCTGCTTCGTACAACCCCTCGAGACCGTCGAGACCGAGAAGGTCCATGTTGATGCTCATGGCGGGCGCATGAGGATGGTTGGAGCTTAGCCGGATTCACAAGGCAATATATACACAGTAAAATTAAAATGCGATCCCTAGAGACGCAATGCAGATATATTGGTGTTTGTGGTGCTTCGACTTCGATGGCGGTCGATCGGAAGATCCGAGATCGGGCAATTTTCTTTCTTCTGCCATCCGCGATCTCGATCTACTCGCATGAGCCAAAATGAACGAAATCGACCATTTCTTTGGAGAATTGATCTTTTCTCGTGAGACATTGATCTGTTTCATCGTCTGTTTCATCACTGTCATTCTTTCGCAGAAAACATCAACCATTCCTCCGAAGGGATGTCGGCGCCTTGGACTTCCACCAGGCACAAGTAACCTGGACGATGAATTCGACCCAAAATACAACAATGGTGTACCTCAGGGTCAGGAAGATGACAGTGGTCCATCCTGGCGCGTGAAAGCACTGTTCAGTTACCCTCTGAAATCCTGCGCTGGGGTGGAGTTACAGGTCTCAAATGTCGTTTCCACCGGACTTGAATACGATAGACAGTTCACCTTTGCAGCATACAACAATGATGAATGGAACATTCGCACCCTGCGCAATGCAGGCTTTAATCGTCTCGCGCTGATCCAGCCCGAGATCTGGGTTCCTGATCCCTCAGCCCAAGACTACGATCCCAACTGCCCTGAAGTGCAACACAAAGGCGTGTTGTTGATCAACTACCCACGCATTGCACCAGCAGGATGGATCGGTTTACTCACCAAAACAGGCATGGCCCTCAAAATCGTAGACAGCCAGTGCCAGTTCCAAGTCCCGCTGGATCCACCCGCAAAGTCCAAGTTCCCGCTCGTCCCAGTGAAGATCTGGAAAGACAGGCCCCTCGCCTATGATCTTGGCAAGCTACTCCCAGCGTCATTGTTCAACTTTCTGGGGCTAGACCCGAATGATAAAACATTCACTCTTTTCCGCGCAAGCGCGCCACACGCTCGCGAAATCTTCCGCAATGCCCCGTCAAAGGAGGAATTGGGCCACCAGCCAAACACGGCCTTTGCAGACGCATACCCAATCCATCTGCTCAATATGTCCAGCCACAGGGACGTAGCTTCGCGGTGTGCTTACGCCATTCCGCATCTGAGTATTCAACGATTTCGCGCGAATATCATTGTCCAAGGGCCATCTGCTTTTGAGGAAGATCACTGGAAGCGAGTTTCCATCGGCGGCACTGAGATCCACGCTTCTTGTCGGACTGTTCGGTGTCGGTTGCCGAATGTCGATCCTGCTTCCGGCGATAGACATAAGTCGGAGCCGGATAAGACGCTAAAGTCGTATCGGCGGATTGATGAAGGGGATCGGACAAATGCTTGCTTGGGGATGCAGCTTGTCCCTGCGAAGAAGGAGTTTGTGCTGCGGGTTGGCGATGAAGTTAATGTTCTTGAGACTGGGTTACATCAGTACATTAAGATGCTGGCTCCTGGTGAGAAAGTTGAGGGCGTTTGAGATGGGCTAAAGCCGTGTACTATCAATTGGAAGGTTCTGTTTACGAGGGTTTTCCAGTGGCATGTACTTGTATCATCGTTCTGTCGTTAGTTTCTATCTCTGTATGAATACACTTCCACTTTCACTTTCACTCTTTTCTTTTTGGTGACTATGTCTCAGTAGTTTATTTCAATTGTTTTGCAACGTGATATTGCCATTAGCTACGCCCCCCGGGAACCGATGCCCAATCCCTGCGCCCATTTTAACCCCACGCTTTGTTGCACTGTATTCGATGTGCTGCCATCTTCTTTCACCTCATCTTGACCTGATCCTATCCTGACAAAATTTGGTTCTATCGCTAAAATCCCCCAAAATGTCCACCAACAGATCCGAGATAATGCAAAATGCTGCGGCAAGACGAAAGAAGCAAGCCGATCTCCTCGCTAGCCTCCCTCCAAACACACTATACATCAACCTCTATATTCGCTCCGACCCGCCACTCTCAAATGACTTTCACTGGGCCTTCTACCTCCACTCCGGCACAGCTGAAGCACCAAGCGGAACCAAATACCACGTACGCGGTATTAGCGACAGCTGGATCCCGGGACACGAGAGTACAGCAGGCATAGTCTCAGAGAACTACCTGTGCGTGATGATTCAAATCGCGACGCTTTCTCCAGGCACTCACAAGAGCGTGGAGCAAATTATGAAAAGCTATGATGAAAGGCTGAATTCTATCACTGGGATTACTTGTCGAGTCTGGTTGATTATGGTTCTACATGATCTTGTGGAGAAGGGCTTTGTTCGGTTTGATGTTGGGAAGTTAGAGAGGGAGTGTTTTCATTTTGGAAATGAGTATAGTTTGTCGGCGACTCTGAATGAGCAGCCTCGTCCTGTTGTTAAGTCGATGTTTTCTTCCTGACGGCATAAAGACATAAGATGTATTTGAGTAGACTGAACAAACCAATCTCCAAATCTCACTCCCCAGTGGCGACGAGGACAACTGAAAGCGTATCAAATCAAATGCCAGTTAGTTCTTACGCTAAGTTTCGTTAGTTCGGTATGTTCAGCTCCTGAGCCAGCATACTAAAGCGTGCCAAGGATAAATATTAATATACCTAAGAAACGTCAAAGGATCATTTCTATTAACATACGGAGTGAAAGAAAACAAAGCAGTGGATATAATTAAGCCCGAAAATCCAGCTTCAGGGATTCTTCATCTGATTATCCGCGTGGAGATGTGCTTTCCAGAAGGCCTTGTAACTCCAATGCGCATCACGACACTTGTAAGTCTTAAGAATCACCAACTAGCCGTCTAAGAATCCTCAGGCGGAGGCGAATCAGCAGGTGTAGGACACACACTCATGTTCCCAAAGTACCATCCATGATTTGGGTCAGGCCACTGGATCCAAACATGTTGACCAGCATTTCCCGCCAGACTGTTAATTCCTTCAATGAATTTCACGACATCAGTGGTGACCTTTTCTCCAGTTGGTTGATCAATCCAATATTCAGGAGAAGGATGACTGTAATCGAATCCCAACAAAGTAAGCGTAAGCGGCAGTTTCGGCACAACGTCCGTGTAATGGGTGGCACGGTAAACGCTGACGGGCGCTCGTTGATTGGTGATGAACTCAGCCAGCTTGTAGTTTCCTACTTTTGGGCTTCCGAATGTCCACTGATTTACCACAGGTTGGCTATTAGATATATCACCTCGCTGGAGCCACACTCACGATATCCAAAGAGAATCCCTTTGTACGGAGAATTGTGCCCGCAAGGGTAGCAACAGCACCGCCCAAACTGTGCCCAACTACAGTCAAGCTATAGTCCGGGTGCGATGTAGTAGCGCTGCGCAGCTCAGAGATAATGACGTCTGCCGCACTGGACCAGTAGCCCCAAAATCCTTCGTGGGCGTTGCACCCGGGACAGACATCTTCAATGGCAGTGAATTGATACTTGAAATCCGTCTCTCCGTCGTATTTGGATACTGTTCCGCGGAAAGTCAAAACGGTCAATTTCCGGGTGTGGTTCAAGGCGATATACCCTGTTGGACCGGTTGCATTGTGAAAAGTGAAGATGGTCTCGGTATCATCATCTTCCACAAGTCCACAACCGTCGTAATCGCAGGTTAATTTATTTCCAGTGGCGTTGATATTCTGATCGCAAGCTGACAAGGCAGCAAATTGAGCGAACAAAGTGAAGTTGCTCAGCAGCTCAGAGGAGATTTCTGACCGAGACTTAGCTTTGTCGTTCGGTGGTGCCGAATCTAGATTAAACTTCACTCGGCGAGATAGTTGGACAGGAGACGCAACAACAGTCATGCTTAGCGTCAAGAGCAATGCTCCAAGGGCCATGATTGAGGAGAACATGGTTGGCAGCCAGATTGGGGTCTTTGCAGACCTATTTTCTGATTAATGCAGAGATAGATAGAATTAGAGCACGATGACTTCCTCTTCATCTCTACCCATACTCCAGTGGTATACTTCGGGCTGAAAGATCTACGACCGAGTTCATATCACACGGTTTGTCTGCAGGCACATCACATCAAGAGTCTCCAATCCCATTGTTCCCTCATCTGCATGCAAAGCAATGGCGCATACTTTTGGATACTACCCTCAAAATCCTGATTCAAGGACATAAGTCGCCAATCTGCATGCAGAGCAATAGTGCAATCTTTGAATACTACACTCAAAATTCTGATTCAAGGATATAAGTGTCTAATCTGCACGATTGATCACTCTCAAAATGTAGGGAAAAGAAAAATAAAATACATGGTTACTGGAATCTTTCGATCTGATGAATACTTCACAGCACAAGACCATAAGCAAAAGGTAATGGTTGAAGAACTTCTTCAGTCCTTACATATGTAAAATGTTTCAAATCCTATTCAAATAAGATCCTCTCACTTCCTAAAACTGACCCATAGGTGGTGAGTAGCAAAGACAACAGAGTGATGATCCAACCCTTTTTCTAAGGACACAATCATCCTCTACCCCCCTCAATCCTGAAGATCCACGACCCTCCTTACACCTGACAGCGCTATTAGAATGTGGAATACTGAAATACAAAAGCTCTCACCACATTCAAGCTCGATTCTTTAAATTAATAAATCCCAGCGCCGCAGCCCCACCAGGGACATGACTGGAAGTAGACCGCTTAAAGCAAAAATGCAAGTCCTGCCGATCTCTCGGGCTTCGGATTTGAACCTCGCTGAAAGTGATGTGCAACATTGTATACCATTCGCCCAGGAATATCACCACCAGCCAATAAAGCAAAAGCACCGGTCGCAGAGGCACGAGGCACCATTCAGCTCCACTAGTCCGTGCATGCATATCCCACATTCAACGCGCTCCGTGCCTTCGGAGCTCCCCCTACACGTTCTGGTCAGATTTTTATAGCAGTCAAGTGGGGAATTGCTTTTTCCTCTCGGCTGAGGGGCACATTAGCTGTAATAAATACTTGATTTTACCCGGTTCTCCTTACCTTAACAGGGCCTACAGGTGTATCGGGTGATGTTGGGGTTTTTGGCCGAGTCACTTCATTACACCAATACCTGATCATCTACTTCGATCCAAGCTTGTGGCCTTTGGTCCGAGTACCCTGGAAGGTCATTTTAAAATTTAGATTGTTTGCTGGTGTGCATAACAAGTGCCAAGAACTTTGGAGACGGATCATCCCGCGTGTCTCTTAACTCAATGTGAGAGAGCGTTACTCAGATCAGGCGCCACTTAGATCATCGCCAAATCTTTCCTCATCTTCAAAATAGTGCCTAAGTCTGAAATGCCCGTGATTGATTGAATATATTGAATCGCTTGTCATGTTTCATTATTAAGGAAAGTCTTTCTGTTGATATATACAGTATTTTGCCCATCACTGAGGCCATTGTTCATTTAAGAAATGTTGACAGGAGCGTAGCTCTGGTCAGGCTTGACAACGGCACCGCCAGCAACCTGCTTGTCGGTGTACGCAGGCCAGATGATCTGGCGAGATTTGTTGTCGACAACAGACAGGGTAGTGAAGCCGTTGCCCTCGCCGAAATAGCCGCTCCAGCCAGAGGTGACGGTGTATCCGCCGCAGGTGACGGGTCCGCCGTTGGTGTGGGAGGCAGTGTTGCCGTTCAAAGGTACGGTACAGGCAGTGGCAGCACCAGAACCGGGGTAGATGCCGAAGGTCCAGTTGCAGGCGGTGTTGGCGGCGTTGCAGACAAGCTTGGCGTTCTGGATGGTCCACTGGGGGGTGGCAGCCATCATGGACTTGGTCTCAGCGACGGGGGCAGCGAAGGCTGAGGAGGCAACGAGGCCAGTTGCGAGGAGGAGCTGAGTGAGCTGCATTGTGATTGAATTGGAGTGGAAAGGTTTTGTTAGAAAGATATTGGCAGGATGTTGAAGGATGTTTGAAGGATGTAGATTTGAAGATGAGAATAGCACCAATGTATGGGAGGAATGAAGCTATTTATGTGTTTTCCTCTAGGTATGTATTATATCATAAATCAATCACCGAGGCTCATCACACTCGAAATAGCAACCTGGTATAATATGATACATATGATGATACACTCACTATACGACGTATGTATATTCCAAGCCTCAACCAATACTGTATTCCGATTGGTCCACGAACTTCATGGCCCCATTTAGGCTCCTCTTCAGCACATCTGTTTGTTGTTTTACTTCGCCCTGCCCTTCGCCCTGCCCTTCGCCCTGCCCTACCTTATCCTACTGTCCGATCGTCTTATATCAAGCTGTTACAGAATCGTCAGAGATTTCTATCTATATATCGCAAGCCTCTCTAAATCCTGTACTTTTATTATTCCCGAATTTGAAGGCCCTACTTGGCCTCAACAATACGTACCTTGCCAATACCACCTTGTCAATGTAAAAGTATGTACCCAAGTAGGGTCACACGGCATTGCTCCACAAAGTTCACTGATGTCTTAAACATGTGTACTAATTTTATGTACAAGTGAGACAACCTTAAGGTCCATGACTTGTGCATTTCTTCTCTATTACTTCTTCCGCCCTTCTCCACATATTCCAAGATAAATTCCTTGTTGACTTTTAAGACATCTTCAAAACCCAGCCAATCAGAGACAAGAAGAGCTGCAGGTTCACCCCGCAAATGTGGTCGGACCGAGTGTCGATCATCGATCGATGACCCTGTGCTATACACGAATTATTTGGTTTGCCATACATGATCTGACTTTTGAGAACAGAGTAATAGAGTATTTGGACGAACCCTGACGAACCCTGTGACTGTGGTTACGGAGACCACGATTTTCACGCCACCCTCGTGAACCTTGGAATTGTCAAGAACTATAATTTATATTTAGTACGTTGTATACAACGTATTGAGACATTTGAATTGTGGATAATCTCAACGGACTCCATGCCAAAAGCGGTTTCAAACGGAACTCGGCTAGAAATAACAATCAGAGTATCGCTAGGCCCCCAATCGAGTACAATATTGAAGTATTCAGTGCAGCTTTCTTTTCTTTGTTTTTATTGCTCCTGATCACATTAGATACTATTAGGATATTGCTAACGGGCATTTGATTTATTGGTAATGTGGTGAAAAGCCTTCGAACGGGCTGGTTGGATAATCTGCAGTAATCATCCATCTCTCTCATTTTCCCCCGCTCTTTCGTATTTCGCATACCCCTTGCCAGTAGCCTTTTGTCGAATTGGCAGATGCAGGTGTGGTCTCTGCAATTTCATGTTAGCTCCACGTTTTGTGGACCGTGCTTTGAGGTGCTGAGGGGGTTTTCGGGACTATCAAGTCTCAACTATCCATGCAGATTCGACGGCAATCGTACACGAGCCTTTGTTTGTAATAAAGGGCTACATAATAGAATGCAGGCTATTGATACTGTGATCAAGAGATATTACCATACTAACCTATTCTTCCTAGCTGGAGGAAACTTCGGGAATGACATTTGTATGGAATGATCATATACCTCCCCTCCCCGTATCACAGCAATACCATGTATTTATTGACTATCTGCAGAACATAGGAAAAGGAATAGAAAGGAAAAAAGCTATTTAAAGAGACCGGGGCACATAAAATCATACGATCTGAGCATTTTCAATCTTGATGAGACTGCTACCATTTCTCGACTTGGAGACAATTGGATTACGAAAAGCTGCGATGGCCTGATTGTTTAGTTAGTGGATGGACTAGATTTTGACCGGACGTTCTCGTCGTTCGCCTGACATGAATCGACGACGATGGCCTGGAACGGCCCGCTCTTAACTTCGTGAAACTCATGCTTAATCCGCCCGTTGCTCTTGTGCAATTCCGCGTCGAGCTGGACCCAGTACCGTCTCGAGAAGCTACTGTGCTGAAGATTTGCATGTGCCAGGCACACAGACTCATTTTGGAGGGAAAGGGTAATTTGAATCGAGGCATCTACCTCGCCAAAGCTCGAGAACAGTTACTCCAGCTTCTCGTCCGAGTACTTCCGGGTGGCGTCTTGCTGTGGTCGCCCGAAAATGCGGAAGTTGTCGCCGGAGCTGAGGGACTGAGGAGCGAGCCCGCTCGATTGGATAATTCTGCTGAATACCTCAATCTTGCTGGTGTTTGCTGAAGTCCATACCAGCTTGAGAGAATGGGCGGACTCAGTCAAGTGTGTGGTAGCCACTGTGTGAAAATTTGCCATACCCGTCAATAAATCCATGATGGTAGAGGTCCACGATCTTAGATGGAAGATGGAATTGCCCATCATAATGGATTGATATGATATTGGTCTCAGGTAATCTAGTCTTGATCTCTATATCTTTGACCATCTTGAGATGATGTGCCCCATCTCTCCCGAAGGTATGTCGGATCAGTCCATACCAAGGACAGGTGTGACGGTGATGACGAGATTGTCCTAGGTTGTTATATATGACCAGAGTCTTGGGACGTCAAGCCCTGCTGGTGGGCCACTCAATTGAATTCCGACGATTTCTTTCTCAAACTCACCCAACGTAGTTTCTTCTTTTGCTCCTGCGCGTGTTATCTAGAAGATCGATCCGCGATAGTAATGACGGTGCGAATAAATAGAGCAAAGGCATGAAAATGGGTATAAGTCGGTGTAAATGGGGCATGTAAGCTTGTTTGGTCCAATATCCAGTGCTAATATTATTCAATTGGAGATATATTAAGTTGAACTAGCAATTGAACAGGACGAATATGAACAGGACGAATACAGTACTTCCTGAAACTGGTGTCACCACCTAACACTTTTCGATTGTTTCTCAAACCCTAATGCCAAGGGATACTATACATACTAGAGATAGACACGGAATATTAATATTCCTGCAAGATGGTCTATACAATATTTTACTCACAAGGATACCTAAGTCCAGGTATCTTTACTGTATAGAGAGGCCATGGTAGCTAGAACTTTCCTTATCAATAGAAGCTAAGGGTCAACTGAATGTATATACATAAAGGCTTGTCGATGGCCTCTCCATGAAGTCCTTGTGGTCCGTATTCTTTTCTTCTTTCTTCTCTTTTTACTCCGTCTTGACTTATGATTACTATTCTTAGAGCCTTCTAGTTCTAGCCAAGATGGCAAAACACAACGGAATAGGCTATATTGAATTTAGAACCTTGTGAAACTCAAAGAACATCGTACAAACACCGTAGAGCCCCGCGTCTATTTGACCTGACCAGTTTCGAGAAGCCGTTTGACAACGGTGTCATGGCCGTTCTCTGTCGCCCATGATAGCGGTGTCCATCCTCTCGTATCCTTTGTGTCTCGCTCGACTTTGCCGGTCTCGAGAAGCCATTTGACAACGGTGTCATGGCCGCTCTCTGCCGCATATGAGAGCGCTGTCCGTCTATGCATATCCTCTCTGTCTGGCTCGACTTTGCCAGTCTTGAGAAGCCGTTTAACAACGGCGTCATGGCCGTTCGCTGCCGCATATGATAGCGGTGTCCGTCCACTTGTATCCATCATGTCTGGCTTAACTTTACCGGTCTCGAGAAGCCGTTTAACAACGGCGTTATGGCCGTTCGCTGCCGCATATGATAGCGGTGTCCGTCTAAACGTATCCTTTATGTCTGGCTCGACTTTACCGGTCTCGAGAAGCCGTTTAACAACGGCGTCATAGCCGGTCGCTGCCGCATATGATAGCGGTGTCCGTCCATAAGTATTCTCTATGTCTAGCTCGACTTTGCCGGTTTCGAGAAGCCATTTGACAACGGCGTCATGGCCTTTGTGTGCCGTATGTGATAACGCTGTCCGTCCATAAGTACTCTCTATGTCTGGTTCGACTTTGCCGGTCTCGAGAAGCCATTTAACAACAGCGACATTGCCTTTCTGTGCCGCTTTCCATAGTGAACTCGTGTCTACGTTAACCTGACCAGAGTCGAGAAGCCGTTTGACAACGGCGTCATAGACGTTCTCTGCTGCATATGATAGTAGTTTCCGTCCATGTATATGCTTTGTGTCTGGCTCGACTTTGCCGGTCTCGAGAAGCCGTTTGACAACGGTGTCATAGCCGTTCTCTGCCGCATATGATAGCGCTGTTCGTCCACTCGTATCCTTTATGTCTGGTTCGACTTTGCCAATCTCGAGAAGCCATTTGACAACAGCGTCATTGCCTTTCTGTGCCCCCTTCCATAGTAAACTCGTGTCTACATTGACCTGACCAGACTCGAGAAGCCCTTTGACAATGGCGTCATGGCCGTTCTGTACCGCCCATGATAGCGGTGTCTGTCCATTTATATCCTTCATGTCTGGCTCGACTTTACCGGTTTCAAGAAGCCATTTAACAACAGGTTCATGGCCGTTCTCTGCCGCACATGATAACGGCGTTCGTTGCTGAGCATCTCTTTGGTCTGGGGGAACACGAGCATCTCTGAGCAACAGCTTAACTACTTCATAACAACCTGCTCCTGAGGCATATGACAATGGTGTCCTTTGATGATGATCCTCCGAGTTTGGAAAACTTCCCCATTTCATCAAGTCTCCGACAATGGTGATATTTCCACATTCTGCCGCGTGTGACAAGGGTGTTCTGCCATTTGTGTCTCGAAAGTCCGGTTCGCCACCTAATTCGAGCAACGCAAGTGCCACCTCCACCCATCCATATTCCGCCGCTGAACAAAGGGCTTTTCCTTTTTGTTCTCTTTCTGTCTCGGATGCTGGATGGGTGACAAACAGCAGTGCAGATTTCAAGCAGTTCGGTTTCATGTTGGCGAGGTCAGCATCGCTAGCCTGATGTTGTGCAATCTCATTCGCAACAAGGAAGTAGCGATCAATAACTTCGCGCGCGGATACCGATTGGTCACATTTCCGCTCCTCGAGCCTGGAGATTCCGTTCTTACCAAATTCCCTCGAGGCCTCTTCTATCAAGGCCCACCGGTATAGCTCGCATAGAGCAATTGTCGCTTGCTTAGCGAGTGTCTCTTCCGAGCTCGGTCCGTGATCTTCGTTTTCATCAATCACGTTTGTACAAGAATGCTGGTGTTGCCTGCAGATATTCCATGCCCATTGGAGCACCTTTTCTGCCTTCTTCCAATTCTTGCGTTCTCGATGCTGATCTGGGCTTCTCTTTGCTGCTGCCAAGGCACTCGCTGCAGAGGGCATCTCGAGTCGAGGTAACACTAACGGCACCACACAAAGTAAAGCTTCCAGCTTTGAGCCCAATCGCATCTCCGTGAAAAGTGTAACAATCTCAGACACCAGGCTGTTCTCAAGCGTAATCGATTCATTTTCCTCAACATGAACAGGCCCAAAATTGTCCACAATGTCAAGAATGCCTGCGAGAAATGATGCAAAAACTTCCTGGGCACAGGATGTCACAAGCGAACCAGTCATTGGGGCGGACCAAAGGTTGAATCCCTTGAAGTCTTGACTCTGCGACAAATTCGCAGTTTTCCAACCAAAGAACCGAAGTGGTGGAAGAAGCTTTGCACCCGGTACCTTGACATCTGGTGCAAGCTGGATGATTGGATACAAATTCGTTACCCCCGGATCTGTCGACATTGTCCATACAGTACTCGCGTCGTGCAGGCCAGTGGACTGAGAGTGTAGAGCGGATTTCGTGATGGCTTTCATGTCGTCGCCAAGCCATATCTCTAAGTCCGATTTCATGACCTGATCGGTTGGAATGATACGTCGTGCCCTAATATCACTCGCCACAGATCTTCTGAAATTAGTCCATTGGTCCACTGTCTCTATCCTCGGATCAGACTTCAACGACCAGACCCATAGACCGAGGATACCTTCTAGCTCTCGTTTGTTTTTAAGTACCCAGGGACTTCCTGGAGCGGAGGGATCTTGGATGAATTCCAGATAGATTGTGTGCTCCTTGGGTGTCGAAGGTTGGTTGGTTTGTTTGCCAAGAGCACAATCGATGCCCCAGAACATAGATGAGGCTGTCTCCCACTCATTCTTAATCTTAGCCGCCTTTGAGAGAATTGTTTTGATGGTAGCCTCAATCAGCGCAGCTATCTGTCGACTCTCATTTCGGACCTCCACCATTTCACTCTTGAATTCCATGGCGGGAGCGGTAGAAGACGCAGATGAATCCGTGAGCGACGCAAGTCGGGTTCGATATGCTAGTAATATAGCAGCAGCATTCCAACGATTGCTAGGAGACGGGTGCTCGATACTCATTCTTTTGGTCCCAGACTTCGTCCCAGATGCACCACAGAGTCTCCAGAAGTGCTGATCTTGATCACCGAGGCTTAACAGAGTAGACGATGGCTCTTTGGATGACGAAGTGGAAGACGATGATCCTAATGACGCTAGATCCGGGTTGACGACGTCTTCTCCAAAAACATCACGGCCAATGCGCAAGGCGAGCCAGTCGAGTTCGTGGCCAACGACCTCGTCCGGAAATGTGGCGAAGCAATTATCCTTTGGCTCCAGTCGCTGCATACGGAGCATAGCTCGAGCTATGCTCATAACCAGAATGACTCCCAACTGAGCGACGGAGACCGCTGAATGTATACCTCTCAGGCCAGTAAATTGTAAGACAAAGCCAGAGATCGTAGTCCCAATGGCTACCCAAATGCCAAGCTTCGATTCCTGGGATACGTTCTTTTTCTTGGAAGTCATGTATTTCTTGAGCTTCTTGTCATAGTCCGTGTGTGAGAAGGCATCAAAGGTTTGATCGCCGATAATTTGACCACCGGGCTGTATCCAATACATAGATGATTTGTCAGTGACAATTTCTTGCCGGCGCCAGACATCCTCCTCGGTGCTCTGACCAATTAGAAATGCGCAATGAAACATTCCGCCACAGACCAGAACAGTCCCGATGATCACAAGCGGACATGCATAAGACTCTGGGGGCTTGTCATCGTTACCCCATTTCAGGTAATACGTCGCAAAGCCGGCAAAAACCAAGACGCCGACTTGCAGACATAGGCCAAGAAGAGCGATTGCGTAGAAGACATGCTTCGACTGTTTCTTGATCCCAATGTTGAGAGAGAGATTCGGAGCAAATGTCGTAAAGGGTATATGCGATACATCGGGCCCGGGCGGTCTAGGAGCTGACTCAGTGTCCTCGACTGCTGTATTCGTTCTCCACAGCGCCATGACTTTGTTTTTCCATAGTGCGATGCTGTTCGTAGGTGTTTCTTTTCGCCATAGAGCCTGGCCTTTATCTTGTTCAAGGTATTGCTGAAACGTGTATATACCGGCTGTGTCGTCTTGCGGATTGCTGAAATCATGATCTGGGTCGTGGACAACCTCGAGAATTTTTGGACGACCAAAGACGCGCGCGATACCACCACTATTATAGAGCTCACATACATCGCGGCTTGTCGAGGTACACAGCTCTGCCTCCGCGTTTCCCGCTCCTTCTTGAGCTCTGCCGATGAAGGCGCGCAGTGACGGGGTTCCACACACTCGAATTGCAGAGACGACCCCTGTCAAGATGCCCATCGGGGCCATGGCAAAAATGAAGTAATCAATTGCATTGACGCTCTCACTTAGGTACTGCTTCGTGATTTGTTCACCAAAGAGGGATAGAAATGGCGCGAGGTCGGTCGCGAGATTGTTCGAAAAGTCATCCCAGCCCCCTGCGTGGACCACTGGCACGGCGACCAAGATCGTGAATAAAGTATATGTGAGCATTGTCTGCCAGTGCCTGTTGGAATCGGGGGCAGAGTTGCACCAGCCAAATCCGACTTTGCACCATCAGGGTTACTTTAGATGTGTTTTGCACAGCCATGGGGCTGAAAGGTTGCCCTGATGCCAAGATATGAGTGCATGCTGGCGCATAGAAAAAACGCCTGTTTCGTGACCGCTAGGCCAAAAAGGTGCACACCTCCTTTGCTAGGCTTGTGTACGGTGTATTTGTGCGTATTCATGCTTTGACACATGCTAATTGCATGGAGCGCCTAGTCTGTTTTCTTATCCACCAGCTCAGAAGGCCCGATCGCAAAAATGGATATGAGATACGAACTTGAACGCGCTGTTCGAGTTTCTACATGTAGACTAATTTTTGAGATGATAGAACTGTCATATATCCAAGGTCCATTACCACAACTGATATTAATCGTACTCAAGAGAGCATAGTGACAGAAATTTGACCGTATGACAACGTATGGCATGAATGGCAGGTATATGATTCCCCAATTTAAAATGACAAAACCCGCTATTTCAACAATCTGTGCGGGCATCGATGACTAACTGTATTATGCACTTTTGTATAATATGCCTGGTAGCAGTTGTCCCATGATTTTCTGGGTATAATACCTTGTCTCAACCATGTGATCAACTTAGTATTCGACACATAGGCAAAATCTGTTTAGTTGGTAATGATTGTCGGCCTCGACTGCCGGCCCGAACCGACCCAGATATCTCGTATGAACAGGACGAATATGATCAGGACGAATGTGACTAAGGAAAATCTCTCCCCCCAAAGACGGAAAGATGGTTTGAATAGAAGACATGCATCTGAGGATATGTTGCAAAGATCCACGGGGCCTATCCGATGAGTGCATCTAGTACAAAGTCCGATAGTTACACTGCTAGAGCTGCAAAACAATCCATGACAATTGGTTCGTTTTCTTGGCTTCGAAGTCGCCGAGATTTCATGCGCCCCGAGGAGATATATGGTGACCTCACGGAGTCCCTTTTGATGCGCGATTTGGTATTTGGCAAACGGTAACTCCCAGCTTCACACGCCGGCGACGTCGTATCTTTTTTATCTTTGGTCTTCTCTTGATCTTTCGTTTGGGCTCACTTTGAGTTGGAGGCCTCGATAATTTGCTTATTTCCTCGTTTATCAGCCATTGGGGGCCATTTTTCCGAGCCAGTTTCCCTTTTTTAACTGTTTGTTCGGTCTTTCGCTTGAGTTTATTTCGGCGTTGAGACTCGGGAGATTCGCCCATTTCCTCGCTTTTGAGCGAGTTGAAGCCGAGGGTGCATTATACGGCTCTTGGATCTCGCGGTGTGTCGCAAAGTCAGATGCTAACCGACTCTTTGGCTTTTGATTTTGCAATAAGCGTTGGTTGGTTTCTCCCGCGAAGCTTAGTTGGTAAGCCATTGTCGGAGAGGAAAGAGATAGGCCAGTTTCCTTCAAGCTAGAAAAGAAGTTCAAACTCTGGGCAGCCGTCATACGAGTTTCCGGATCTTCTTCCAACATAGCCCGTGAACATTTAGCTAAAGGTGTGTTTTCCTTTCGGAGATGTTCGTGAACAGCCATCAAGTTGGGACCAGGCATGAGCCTCGATTTGATTCGTCCACCTAGACTCAGCTCCACGCCAACTAGACCACAACTCCAATAATCAACGGCACGGCCGTGAGTTTTGCCTTCGGCTTGCTCGGGTGCAAGGTAAGGTACAGTTCCTGGCCAATCGTACATTATCGTTTCTTTGTCGGAGGCGCATCCAAAATCGGTGAGCATTGCCTCAGGTGGCTCGTAACTTCTCACGAGTATGTTTTCTGGCTTGATGTCCCGATGGCAGAATCCATTCTCGTGAAGAAATGCAACAGCTTCCAAGAGCTGAACGAAAAATATTGCCTTGCCCTCGGCCGATACATTCGACTCATTCAATGACCCGAATGTTGTGTTCAACAATGGAGATATAATAACATATTCGTCGGTAATGCTCTCTGTGGTAGGCATCCAGTTCTCGTCAAGACATTTTCTGATCCTTCTCTAGATAGTATTAGATGAAGTGCAGTTTAGTGAAAGAGAGTTTGTCCAATTTACCATTTCGGCTTTGGTTTGAGTTCGCAGTTGGTGGATTTCCAAAGCAGTTGCAAGTCGTTTCTGATTTCTCATCGTTATTTATATGACCCCCAAGTAGCCACTACATATGTCCATATTTAGGTGGCATCAAAAGAGTAAGTAACTCACATGAACCAATTTCGAAATGCGTCTAACCATACTTATTTCGCGATCCACATTATGTGAGTTTCTTCCCGACCTGAAAATCTGCTTTGCTGCCGCTGGTAGTCCTGTCCGGGAGTTTGTTGCCATATAGACTGTACCGAATGCCCCTTTCGCAATTGGGTGGTGGAAAATCCACTCCCCAACTCGAGAATCACTCTCATTTGGGGTCGGCAATATCAAAGGATTATTATCCTCGTGAATTTGACGCAAGAATTGTTTAAGTCCAATCTCAAACTTATCGTTCTCCTCCCGAGTTCGGCTTTCGTATTGTAATGTGAAAATACATTCCCCAATCATGATGGTATTTTTGAATGGAATTGTGCGTTGGTCTGCCCTGACTATCTCACCATTCATAATTACTTTGTTTCTTTTGCCGTTGTCAACAATTAGAAAAAAACCACACGCTCCTTTAATCCAGTTGAAACGAGCATGGATATCGGCGACGCAATCCTCGGAGTTGTCTTCATCTTTCTCATCTTCAGTACATAGAAGAAAATCCACCCCACGATTTTTGAGTGACGCGCAACCTCTGCCAATTCTCCATCCAAGATTAGGAAATCCAGGCAATTGAGACAAGGATAGATTGAAGTATTTCGTAACGTTATCATAGAAAATCGTTTCACCTATAAAGTGTTGGTGATATTCAGATTCCGATCTAGCAGTTGCGTCTATGGTCAATCTCGCAGCCCGATTCAAGGGTATAAGCATTGCAATTCGGTTTTCGTCATCTCGTACGGGCACTGGAGTGCTCGGTTCCGTCGTTACATCGCGAAAACTTTGAGAGAAATTCTGAGAAGCAGGAATGTCTATTACCAACGTTGACACCAACGTTGACATGTTTGCCAGTGATTATCTTCCTTCGATTTGGATATGATATGATAGAATTATGGTAAAATTGACTGGAATTTATAGTAAGGTCAACTGGATATAGCCGCCGAGAACATGTTGATCAGCCATGTTTCTAAAACCGACTCAGTACTCATACGCTGTATGCATCTATCTTTTTGCGTCCAATTGATGTGGCCTGTTTACCGCGAGCCTTATATGACATGATTGGTCGATCCCTTAGTTAAAGGTGGATTATGTGGATCAAAGCGCATATGGCCTTGACCGCTAGTACAACTGCCTAACAATATAACTGTTGAATTACTAGTTACGTAGTAAAGGCAGGCAATAGTGATAAGCATGTAAAAGGGAGAACCATGTCTAGGAATACAAACTTGATGTATGTACGAGAGAAGTTCAATCAAACTGTCTGCTATGTAGACCTAGAACTAAGGACATATTAATGCCCTCCTTTTTAGTGCCTAGGGTTGAGATAATTTATCACCTGTTTACGCGCTGAGTTGAAAAGGCGCATCCTACTTAGCAGAGCTAGATGAGTACTACGTAGTGTATCTCGGACCATCCTTCTTCACAATACATGATGCTAGGAGAATCGCATAAATTCCGAATGTATTCACCGCAATTCAGTTGATAGAAATACTCTTCCGACTGAATTGGGATTTCCAGGGATAGTTGACGAAAATCGGGCATCGAGCGAAGGGCATGGATTTGCCTCTATAGTTGGACGCCACGAGCGTTAAAGCGTAGATAAATTCTTATGCATGAGACTTAAATTGGGCAAATGACTCCGCTCGGAAAATTGATAATGATCGAGGAAGGTGGCACAGGAAGGTGGCACAGAAGTTAGTGCATAATTCCCGGAATCGCATGATTGCATGGCAATTTTCAACACTAATTAGTTATATGTTGTACGTAGGTAGCAACTCTTGAGACTTTGTGTAACTGCAATGATTGTTCAGGTTAGCCTTTTGGGGGTATGATTCATATGTACTTGTGTGTTTACCTATGGGTGTACTACGTGCATCGCAGCCTAGAAATTTGGGGTATAAGGGATATAAGGACATACTCGGTGAACTTTCATCATAGAAATGACCAACTTGGGAATCGTAACATTGAACGCTAATTGAATATCATGTACATAAATCAACAAAGTATATCTCAGCTCGAAGCCTCCATCTTCCCAGACTGCTGAGCATCAACCTGAACCTGAACTTGAGCACGGTCATCCTCTGAACCCTCCCCCTCAAAGAGAGCGGGCGCATCATCCGGTTCATCGGGAATAAAGAGGTTCAAGAAGATGCCAAGAAGCGCACAAATGGCAAATCCATTCTCCATAACCAGATTGACGGCATTGATCAAACCCTCCAAGGCATGATTATCACCCGAGTAGGTGAAAACGTACCCAAACCACTCAGGAACAAGAGTAACACCCATGCCAATGGAGAAACTAGCCGTGAGAATGAAGCGATTGCGACGGGTAAACGGAACAGCCCCGATAATGCGCAGACCACTGACAGCCACGGAGCTGAACAGGAAAGCCGTCATGCCACCAAGAACAGAGCTCGGGATAGCAACGAGAGCAGCGGCAAATTTGGAGAAGATTCCCATAATAACGAGGAAGAAGCAGCAGCAGTAGCCGGCGGTGCGATTCGCGCATTTCGTTAAAGCAATAACACCGTTGTTCTGCGCAAACACAGACATCGGGCTGATGGTCATCAGCCCAGCCAGCAGACAGGTCAGGCCGTTACCGAGAACACCACCCTGGATTCTGGAATCAAAGGTTGCACCCTCGACCTGCAGCCGGGAGACATCACAAGTAGCCGTGATATCACCAATAGACTCCATCATGATAACGATGTACAGCGCAAGAAGAGGCAGAATAAGAGGTGGGTACACAGACAAAGGGAAAGTATGGACCCAAGGGAAAGATGCAACTGGTGCCGCCGCAATACCCGAATTTTCAAAGTAATTGCAGGCAGCCGCAACAATCGAGCCAACCAGGAGTCCAACGATAACAGAACAACTCTTCAGAATCGGAGGCCCCCACCGCTCACAAACAATAATAGTGACAAACACCAAGAATCCAAGCCCAATGAACTCAGCACTCCCCCACGGCAAAGCATGCGGCGCGTCAGCACTAGGACACATTGTCCTAGCCGAAGGATCAGTCCCGCACCCGGAGCCACCAGCCCAATCCTGCATCGCGGACTTAACAAGCGAAGCACCGATCAGCATAACCGTAGGCCCGGTAACAAGTGGTGGGAACACGCGCGCCAGAATGCGCGAGCTCATGAAACTCATTCCGATCTCAAGCAGCGCGCACAAACATGACGTCCCTAGCAGCGCACCGTACCCTTTCGGACAAGCCAGTTTCGTCCCGTCCTCCAGCGAAGGACAGTACCCGGACTTGTACATCTGCGTGAACGCACCCTGGGCCACGGTGATAGTAGAAAATGATGTTCCAACCACAGACAGCAGGCCGGTGCCGATGTAGTACTTTGTGCCTTTGATGTGGAAGCGGAACATTTGGACGGCGCTCAGCAGGCCGGAGACGATTAGTGATGTTGAGACGAGGTATTGGTAGACCTCATCGCCGAAGTTGGCACCTGCGGACCCGCCGAGTAGGATTGGTGGCGAGATGACGCCTGCCAACATGGCGAGGGCATGTTGTAGGCCGAGGATTAGGGCTAGGACAACTGGGACGCGGTCTTCAAGGCCGAAGAATGGAGCGGTTTTGCGGGCTCGTCTGGTGAATGGGAGGCGTGGGATGAAGAGGTATCCGTAGTCATAGTCTCCTAGGAGGCCCTCGCTGCGTTTGTTAGTTGGTACATTGGTTATGGGTTCGGTTTGGATCTGGGGAAATGTACCGAGTTGTGAATGTTTTGACTATGCTGCGCACTTTGGTAGATAGTGTGCGCTTGGGTGTGTGATCGGGACCGATCTGGTCTGGGCCGTCCATGGTGTACAGCGGGCAATTGGATTGTATACAGTGATGTCTGGACTAGATGGAGTGGTACACAGAGACTTATATATTGAAAAGAGAAAAAATTGTATTGAGGTCGAATATTGCGAACTCTAAATTAGCGGAGACTGCGGAGAATCCACGCGTGGAATTCCCACGCGATAAATTAACATGATAATTAATTGATTAACTATCGGGGGCCAAGTTTCTACTGGTGAGCATGTCGCATTAGCAAGAGTATCGCATAACTCACCATGGTACTAGACTAAACATGGTTTAGGGGCCGCCTTATCTCGTGTTTTGTTCAACCAATCAGAAAATGCCGAGACATCTATCAAAGTGGAGTTTGATAAGGAAATCCATTGACCCCATAGAATGGGTGATTGTTTACACGCTACTACTTGTGCTTCTTTACTAAACACACTCTACGCAATGCATTTCATACAACATTGCACCATTAGCGGAGCCACAGCTCAACAGCAATTGGTATACCGAGTGGACCTGGAGTACTGGCATGTGCTTGGTCCAACTTTGGATGGTGGCTGAACCTCCACACGAATAGGTTCTGACTCGGCTATCTGTCTGGGGTTTATCTCAGATCTGACAGTCGGAGGGTGCCGTGGAGAGGTGGAAGACTCCGATGGACAATGTATGTTCACGATGTCAAGTTCTTATCACGATGAGGGATATTCGATATTCCATCTTCAGCTCAGGAGTAGATCGGATGCTGCGGTTATCTCGCTGATTGCAGTGGCGACGGCAGTGATTTGAGATGTCATTATATCTTCGTTCCTGGCGATCGTCAATATAGTAAAGGTGTCCATACTGTACAAAATTAGACTAGAGGGGCATGGCCGCCGTTCCAGAATAGAAGGTCGATCCTCGGGCATTATGCCTAACTTTTGAGATTATGCGGCTTTTGTTTGCGCTTTGTGTCTTCCTTTTTCGATTCATTCGACTCTTTCAACTTGTTCCTTTCTCAACTCTCACTCTCAACTCACACCATGTGATGTTCACCGTGAGGCTGTGATTCACCTGGCTTGTGACATCCCTAGATCCTCGGATTGCCCGATCGATATCGACATCGACTCTTATTTCTGTTCCTTTTTCTCTTTCTTTAGACTGACGCACTGTTGAATCATAACGTGCTAGATCTGCCAAAGCTCGACGGATCGGGTTGATTCACAAATGTGCCTCGGTCGGAGTGCAATTTCTGAAGCAAGGACACCAATACTAATTGATTCGATGATGATGAGCAGGCATTCGATCGCATTCGATCGCATTCGATTAGGTGGAACAACATTGTACGTACAATGTAGAACGTTGTGCGGAGTACAGTAGACCATGCAATGACTTCACTAAAGATCGTCCATTCAGGAAACACCGAGAACACGGATTTGGCAGCCGAGATTGGCCAGTGGGAAAGCGGTGAATGTAAGGTACAGCCAACCTCTGCCCTCCAATCAGGATCACTCCAGATTCAAACAAATGATTGGATCAGAAGTCAGGGATATCCCTAGATTTTCCGAGGTCCAGCCCTGTAAAGCCCACGGGTGGCCGGGTACTAATCCGACCAGTCTACAAGGTTACATAAGCAGAAAAAATGCTGACGGGATTTGCCATCGACATCTGATTGGCTCTTAGAGCCTGAGGCACCAAAGCGTTGGGGCTCGCCGGACCCAACATTCGCCAGAAAGCGCTGGGCCACGCCACTCCCGAGAAGAGTAGAAGAAAATGTCTATCAGGGCAAGCTTATAATCAACACTTTCTGCTCTTCTACGATACGTTGTAGATGCGCCTTTGCCTCGGGATCTTGTGACGGTCCATCTTTGCACTTTTCTGATTCGTCTCTAATCCCAGTTTACCCCATATCCTGGTGATCACTGGCGCCATCTCCCCCAACGTTCGTTCAAGTGGGCCCCAAGTATAAAAAAGCCCTTGGGCCCTCCATTCTTATCTTTTTCACACACCACCCACAATGTCGTCGAAGGATGCTCGCCCACGGGCGACTGACACCAAGAAGGTGCACATCGCTGATACTCAGATGACTCGCCAGAACTGGTACAAGCATATCAACTGGCTGAATGTCGTTCTCATTCTCGGTGTTCCTCTGTCCGGGTGTATCCAGGCTTTCTGGGTGCCCCTGCAGTTGAAGACGGCCATCTGGGCTGTCATCTACTATTTCTTCACTGGTCTGGGAATCACAGCTGGTAAGTGATAACATGGCAAAACAAAAATAAATTTGAACATCAACTGACTCACTTTGCAGGCTACCATCGTCTCTGGGCTCACTGCTCCTACTCCGCCACTCTTCCCCTCCGCATCTGGCTCGCTGCTGTTGGTGGCGGTGCCGTCGAAGGCTCCATCCGCTGGTGGGCTCGGGACCACCGTGCTCACCACCGTTACACCGACACTGACAAGGACCCTTACTCTGTTCGCAAGGGCCTGCTGTACTCTCACCTCGGATGGATGATCATGAAGCAAAATCCCAAGCGAATTGGCCGCACCGACATTAGCGACCTGAACGAAGACCCTGTTGTTGTCTGGCAGCACCGCAACTACCTCAAGGTCGTCATCTTCATGGGCCTTATCATGCCCATGATGGTTGCCGGTCTTGGCTGGGGTGATTGGTACGGCGGCTTCGTGTACGCCGGTATCCTCCGTATCTTCTTCGTCCAGCAGGCCACTTTCTGCGTGAACTCCCTCGCCCACTGGCTCGGAGACCAGCCTTTCGATGACCGCAACTCTCCTCGTGATCACGTCATCACCGCCTTGGTCACCCTCGGTGAAGGCTACCACAACTTCCACCACGAGTTCCCCTCCGACTACCGCAACGCCATCGAATGGCACCAGTACGACCCCACCAAGTGGACCATCTGGACTTGCAAGCAGCTTGGCCTCGCCTTCGACCTGAAGCAGTTCCGCTCCAACGAGATCGAGAAGGGTCGCGTCCAACAGCTCCAGAAGAAGATCGATCAGAAGCGCGCCAAGCTTGACTGGGGTACTCCTCTCGACCAGCTCCCCGTCATGGAATGGGACGACTACGTCGAGCAGACCAAGAATGGTCGCGGTCTCATTTCCATCGCTGGTGTTGTCCACGATGTCACAGATTTCATCAAGGACCACCCTGGTGGCAAGGCCATGATCAAGTCTGGACTCGGCAAGGATGCCACTGCCATGTTCAATGGTGGTGTCTATTACCACTCCAACGGTGCACACAACTTGCTGTCCACGATGCGTGTTGGTGTCATTCGTGGTGGAGGTGAAGTTGAAATCTGGAAGCGTGCTCAGAAGGAGAACTCCGAGTATGTTCGTGATGAGACTGGTCAGCGGATTATTCGGGCAGGCATGCAGGTGACTAAGATCCCTGAGCCCATTCCTACTGCGGATGCAGCTTGAGTGAAACCAATTATTGTTGCATTAGTGGGTTTGGTGCTGGCGTCTCTATTTTCTTCTTTTTTCTGTTCAAAAGCGGCCTTGTTGCGCACTAGATAATCTGTCATGAATTAGAAACGAACTTTTATCATATGCTTGCTTGGATTTGAAGGTGTGAACAGTAAATTTTGTAGAAATGTAGAAAATAATTGTAGAAAAGAAGAAAACTTTGTGGGGGGGTTTGGCTATCACATGTCACTGTTTACTTAGGCTCCAAGGTTGTAGGTACTTAGTGCACATGTTAATTTAATATGGAAACTCTTGTACTTTATGTCTATTGCATACTAGGGTAGCTTCGAAGGTTAATCCCTGCAACTGGTTGAAGATTACTGGGCATACTACAGTCGAAATCATATGCTAATTTAGTTTGAGTAGGTGTACCCATTAAAATATGCATAGATCATACTAGACCTCTGGTCTAGCGATAACCCACTATTGATCTTGCGGGCAGGCCTATGGGCTTTATTTAATAAAGCTATTGGGAGATATTAGAAGAAGAAAGAGTAATAGGATAGTTGACGAGGTGATTTGTGAAGTGGGGTAGTGGGTAAAGACTTTTTGACGCCTATGTATATAGATAACACGGGGGGTACTTATAGCACTTTGTTTACAACCCAATTCTACTTGAAACAGAAAGGGTAAGATAAAAGGATATTCTGTCGAATCTAGAACACCAGATTGTTATTAAAATAGAAGAACAATTAGAACACTTGAAACCAGATAACTACATATGGACAGTTGTACGTAAATAGATATGTCGCCAACGCCAAGACATGTAGATATAACCCGATTAATCTGCAATGCAGGTGCATCACCTGATACTCCTCCACCGCCATCATAGCATTCACCGCTCGAACTCTCCTTCCCCTCTTAATTGCCCTCCTAGCCATCATCGTGGCGCCCCTCCTCCGTCTCCGCCTCACATCCGTGCTTGGCCACCTCCGAACCACACCAGCACGATACCTCACAACCTCCAGCATGGCCCCTGCCCACTTCCGCAAGCCCCCTCAGGCCCCTCCGATCTTCACAGCAACTCCAGAATCCGTAGTTGCCGATGCCGAGCGCCTGATCAAGACCACCCGCACCATCCAAGACAAGATTGTGGCTGAGATCAAGCCTGAGGCCGCAACCTTCGCCAACGTCGTCCTTGCCATCGCTCACGATGACAACGTGAGGAGTTTGGAGTCCAGCATTTTGGGCTTCTACCAAGCTGTCTCAACAGACTCCAAGCTCCGGGATGCCTCCTCCAAGGCCGAGGAGCTGATGGATGAGTTCTTCATCGAGGCCGCTATGCGTGAAGACGTCTTCAACCTGTTTGATGCTGTGCTGCATCGTGACGAGGCTCTTGACCCAGAATCTCGCCGTCTGCTAGAGAAGGAACACAAAGAATTCGTCCGCTATGGACTCGGTATCCCTGCTGGACCTCAGCGGGATCGTTTTAAGGAGATCAAGAAGCGATTGAGCCAGCTGAGCATTGAGTTCCAGAAGAACTTGAACGAGGAGAATGGCGGCATTTGGTTCTCGCCTGAGCAGCTGGCCGGTGTGCCGAATGATGTGCTCGAGGGTCTGCAGAAGGGCGAGGGCGAAAACGAAGGCAAGCTCCGGCTGTCGTTCAAGTACCCCGATCTCTTCCCCGCTATGAAGTACGCCAGTGATCCTGAGACCCGCAAGCAGGTTATGATCGCCAACGAGAACAAGTGTAACCAGAACGTGCCGCTCTTCCGCGAAACAATTATCCTGCGTGATGAGGCGGCCCGTTTACTCAAATACCCCAACCACGCTACGTACCGTATCGAGGACAAGATGGCCAAGACACCGGAGACTGTTGATAATTTCCTCGGTGATCTGCGCACTCGATTGACCGCCGGCGGTAAGAAGGAGGTGCAGAAGCTGCTGGAGATGAAGAACGCCATGGATCCCAAGGCTGATGGTCGCTACTACTTGTGGGACCATCGGTTCTACGACCGTCTCATGCTCGAGAAGGATTATTCTTTCGACCAGCAGCTGATTGCCGAGTGGTTCCCTCTGCAGAACACCATTAACGGCATGCTGAAGATCTTCGAGGAGCTCTTCGGTCTGGAATTCGTCGAGGTCACCGGTGAAGACCGCGCATCCATTGCCTCCACCGGCCAGGGCAACGACATCGTTTGGCACGAAGACGTGCAAATTTTCAGCGTGTGGAACGACGAAAGCGAGGGATCCGGATTTGTTGGATACCTGTATCTCGACCTGTTCCCCCGCGAAGGCAAATATGGTCACGCCGCCAACTTCAACCTCCAACCCGGTTTCATCGACAAGGACGGCAACCGCCGATTCCCTGCCACCGCTCTGGTGTGCAACTTCACCAAGCCACAGCTCAAGAAACCCAGTCTGCTCAAGCACGACGAGGTTGTCACGCTCTTCCACGAGCTCGGCCACGGCATCCACAACCTCGTCTCGCGCACTATCTACTCCCGCTTCCACGGCACAAGTGTAGCGCGCGACTTCGTCGAAGCACCCAGCCAGATGCTCGAGAACTGGTGCTGGACTGCCTCCCAGCTTCGTGCTCTCAGCAAACACTACACCACCCTCTCCCCAGAGTACCTCTCTGGCTGGCAAGAGGCTCAGGCCAGCAACGGCAAGACGGATACAGAGAAGCCATCCGAGCACATTCCCGACGATATAATCGATAACCTTATCCGCACAAAGAACGTCAACGGCGCCCTCTTCAATCTCCGCCAGCTCCACTTCGGTATCTTCGACATGACCGTTCACGAACCTAAGAGTCACGCCGATATTGAGGCCCTTCCCATTTCAGCCACATACAACCGTCTTCGCCAGGAAATCACCCAGCTGGACGGCCCTGAAGTACTTGGTGAAGGCAGTGAATGGGCACACGGCCAAGCGACATTCGGCCATTTGATGGGTGGTTACGACGCTGGATACTACGGGTACTTGAGGTATGAATGGACGTGTGTTGCTATTGCGCATGTACTAATGAAAAATCTACAGTTCGCAAGTCTACTCGACTGATATGTTCTACACCGTCTTCAAGGACGATCCTATGAACAAGGCTGCTGGTCGTCGGTACCGGTACCAGGTTCTGGAGAAGGGTGGCAGTCAGGAAGAGATGAAGTCGTTGACGGATTTCTTGGGTCGGGAGCCGCAGACCGATGCCTTCTATAAGGATTTGGGACTTGCTTGATTGCCTAGGTGGCAATGCACTCATGCGTACGAATACTTAAATATGTGTAAATGTATTTAGTATCTTCAATGTTTATAGCAACGAAATGAAGACGAAATCACAGTAGCTCCGATAAGCCCACCGCCTTGGCAATATGGCAATCGTTAGCTTCAGCTCTTTTCCTGAAATCACTCATAGAGACTCTTAACTTTGGAAGGCAATACCATAGTTCAAAAGAAACATACAACAACTGCACTCTGTTCATTAGTGAGTACCACAGCCTCTTATACCACCCACCATCTAACCAAGACCCCCCACAGCACCAATCAGCAACCAGCGCATAAGCACCAACTGTACCCCAATCTCCAAATCCACAAAATGGCCGAAACACCCGCCACCCTCCCAATCCAAACCCACCACTGCAGTTTCTGCAACCACCTTTTGCTAGCAACAACGCGCACGCTTTCCACGCTCCCCCGCCGCGGTGGCGAAAGCAAAGACGCCGCCACAATCCTCCCACTAGAAAACACAGACCGCGACCTAGAAGCCGAGCTCGAAGACGGGTCTAATCCCAAACTCCGCCATGTATCACAGCACATGACGCTTCTTCTCGCGACGACGATCCCCGATCGTCGCGCGACGCTTATCCGCCGCGCAGACGGGATCGAGAAGCGATTGTTGCTCAGGTGTGGGCGATGTCGCGTAGTCGTGGGGTACTATCTGGACCGGGTGCATTGGGAGAGTAAGGCTTTGAATTCCGGGAAAGGGGATGCTGGGGATGAGAGGCCACCGGCTGTGTATATTCTGCCAGGGGCTGTTGTTGAGACGGAGAAGATGGGGAGTGCAGGGGATGAAGGGTGGAGGGAATGGATGAAGGAGCAGATATGAGGGACTGCGTTCTGTTCTAGATGGTCTCTACGTCTTGACCCAGGACTACGTGTATGCAAAGCGATACCCAAAATAATAAGTATTTGATAATAAAAACATACAAGACGAAGTGTGACGCCGAATCTCCCTTATCCATGTCGAACGTAAATCATATCAGGGTATTAGTTGGCGAGGATGGTGCGAACGAGATCTGGACATGTGTTAGTTATGGCTTCATGGTCCAACCCATCTCTATCAGACATACCTGTGTAGTTGATCTCGCCAGAGCTGGTATCAACAGCCTTGAGCAACTCATCGACTTCATCGTCGGACATCTTCTCTCCGAGATTCGTAAGGACTGTCATCATTAGCTGTGCCCTTCACACTCCACCGAATAATAAAACATACTGTATCGCAGCTGTCCAACACCAATAAAGCCCGTCATATCCTTATCGAAGACCTGAAATCCACGACAATATTCCTCCGGCTCGCCGGGCTCACGGAAACCACCTGGGCGGTTAAGGACTTTGAGGAAAGAGTCGAAGTCGACTGCAACAACAAGAATTAGCAAATGCGCAAAGCAAATCCAAGCTCCTTAGAAAATCGAGTACACATACAGTCACCACCAACAGTCTTCTCCAAGTCCGCAATCTCAGCAAGCGTGGGGTTCTGGCCGCAGGCGCGCAGCAGATCACCGAGGAGATCACCGGCGACACGGCCGGTGCCGCGTCGGTCGAAGAGCGAGAACGCTTCCTTGTAGTTGGTAGAGGCCTGATCGTGTGTATTCGTGTTAGCCATGATGACGATGAGTGTGGTCGCGGAGTTGGTCCAGGGGGGAAATTGTTGTGAGGGGAATCCGAAGGGGGCTCGGGTTACATAGTGCGGGTGTGTGGTTGGACCGCACGGGGATTCAGGAATTCCATACCATGTTTTGTATTTGAGATGAGATTGATGGAAACAAATATGCAGATGTCTGATGTCTGATGTCTGAAGAGGGTCTGGGGGGAATTGATGTGGGATCGGCGATGGTTGTTAGGGCAACCGTTTAGTGCATATGTATGCAGGGAAACTGCTATTGGGCAATGTGTACAATAGACAACATGCTCTGTGCATACATGTATGTGAATTTCTTATATATACATAATAAAACAAATTATAACTACGACTGCAACTTGGCGATACAGCTGTCCAGCAGCCTCGCCGCCTCGCCCAGCAGTTCCCAGCGTGGTTTGGCAAATGAGTCTCGCAAGATCATTAGCAACCCGAGACATCCATTGCGACCGCTCATGGCCTCCAGTTCGTTCGGTTCTTGGATCTCGCTCATGCGATGGAGAAATGCCTGCATGTCTCTCTCGCGATCGGCAACCGTTGCCAGCATGGGCACCGGACGAAGTGGTCCATCCAATGCGAAGCCGTAGGTCCAGACCACCAATGCTGCGAAATACATTACCCAAGGTCGGTTGAGAAGGTAATCGTCACGGGCGGCGTATTCGCCGGGCTGCGTGGCTGGATCTAAGAAACACGAGGAGAGAAATTTGAGAGCGTAGAATGTGGCATCGCGCGCAGAGGCTTTGGTCGCCCATCGCTCTGTCTTTTCCCTTGCGGCGCGGTGATCGCGCGCTGTAATACAGCGACCCATTAGTCTTCCTGCGCCTGCGAAGATTTGGAGATCTGCTATATCGACGTGGGAGGCCATGTGAGCTAGACCGTGCAATACGTTGCGGGACTCGGAAGTCGTGGAAGGACCGAGTGCTTCGTCGTAATCGCGGCGCCAATTATCGAATGCGCGGAGGAGTGAAGTGCGCCATTTATCTCTTCCGCCGAGACTCTGGCCCACGCCCAATGAGCTGATTTGCAAGTCTCGCTGGTTAAGATGCCAGCAAACGCTTAGGAGGCCGGCCATGAGGATGATTCGACCGAAGGCGTTGGTACGGACAGGTTGGCCATTCAATGTGCGCTTGAGGCCGTCTAGGAACATTATTGGGCGGACGCCGTGGGATTGCAGGCTTGATTGGACGCGGGCGACCTCTGCGGCGCTGGTAGCCGCCCATAGGGCTTCGTCGCAGGGTAGTGGGAGTCGCAGTTCATGAGCGACCATTTTGGCCGAGTGCCCAAACATCGTGGCGTGTGTGGAGTCCAGGACGAAGGCAGCAAATGCTACACGGCGAGTGGCCTCTGCTTTAATCCATGTTGACCACGACTCATCTTCTTCCTTGGCTTCGGGGGTGTCGAACGACGAGCTGCCGATGAGGGAACTGCCTCGGCGCATGAGAGTAAGAGTTGTGTCGTGGTGAATATGAGCGCGTTCGTGCAGGGCACGCGTAGAGAATAGCTTCTCGTAGACTTCCAGCAGGAGTAAAGACTGGAAGACCCAAAGTTTGGCTGGAGGCCGAAAGTCGGCATCCATGAAGATCTCCCAGCGCAAATGCCACGCAATGAAGCTGGCCAATTCCGCTGCTGCCTCGGTGACCGTCTGGCCATGGTGTGTATTCAAGGTTGCAGCGCCTATAGCCATAACGGCCAGCAGTAACAGATTGGGAATACGATCAGCAACGAAAGTAGGCTGATGCAAGATGGGCAATTGTGCATGAAAGTGGTACCAATAAGATCCTATGTACGTCTGCATCATGCGCAAGCTCAGAACATGGCGGTCGTTGTTTAAATCTCCGTCCATGAGGGAGTCTTTGCGCTTTGCGCCGGCTGCATATGCCGCCTCATTGAAGCGAGTCGACATCAAATGCAGGAGCTCTTGACGCTTTTCTTCTGAAATGATAGCTGGCGGTGCTCCGGAGTCCAAGATGCTAGTCACGCTCATTGGATGTTGTGGGATCACTGCGCAAAAATTATCATTGCTATACGAAGGCTCGTTTATGTAGAATTGGTTCTGAACAAGCGGAACCATTCCATACCCGAGCGGGGCGAGCGGTTCGCTGAACAACCACGCTGCAAAATCATCTGCCATGGCGAACGGCGAGCGATTGTATGTTTCCCCACCAAATATTGGGTACGACATGGAATCCAGGTCGATGAGATTATCCGGCTGGTTGAGTACACCAGGAAAATCTGGGTATTGCGCTACTGGCATCTCACTCTCAACGCCAGTGGTGAGCGGGTATGTAGAGACCGATCGAGGTTCCTCGGAGCTAACGAAGTATTCTGGGACCGTAAGACCTGGCGACGAAGTAGGAGAGGTCTTTGTATCATTATCGGTGAGATGGTCCCTTTTTTGAAGCTGAGAGCCACTTGTCGTGTGTCGTTCACGGTGACGAGCGCAGAGATCCTGTCGTACGAACGAGCGATAGCAGTTCGGGAAGTCGCAACGATATATTTGTTTGGGAGTGTGGTTGAGCGCATGGCGACTGAGGTGCTCGGCGCGCGAGTAACTCTTTCCACAGCCTTCGTAGGTGCATTCGAACTTGCGATCGGAGAGGACTTTGCGACTACGTCGCCGTCTCTTGGAGGGTTGACCATCAATCTCCATCTTTTTCATGCCATGAGCACGGAAATCGGACTCAGGATGCCGAATATCCAAAAACGAGAGTGGAAGGGTGTAGGGAAGAGTTTAAGCGCAAACTCGGGTCAAAGCCTGGGGAAGTGCGGAGATGTTCGGTGGGGGGTGGCGGAGATAGTTTGGTGAAGAACAACTCAACGGGTTAAACGTTTAAGCAAATAGTTTCGAGTTTTTAAATAAGTGTGCGACTGGTGTGTTTTGTCTCTCTGTTATTGAGATACATGAGGATACCTGAAGTCATCTTTTCAAGCTATACATGTATATATATATTTATGTAATTGTAGCATCGAAACTATATAGACAACCTTGGAAACCAGGGCATATCCTTTCATTATGTATAACACTTCGGGTCTAATTGATGTTCAACTACTCTTGTTTTAACTACAACTCCAGACATGTTTGAAAATTTTTCTTAAGAGATTCATTGCTCGTAATCACATACCCGCACACGGAGACTGTCAAGCGTCTCTATGCAGACATGAGTTCCGAGTATCTAGAAAGTCCACCGAATCGAGTCCAAGCTCGCACCCTAATGGTAGTAACTGTGGAAGCCAGAGAGTTCAATTTCTGGTCAGGCCGGCGTACCGGCAGATCATAATTCATCACGAGACCAAGTTTCGTGCCATCATATCGTACCACATGGCGCGTCAATAGCAAAGGACCAACACCTGATGTGCAAATGCTCCCGTGGGTTGTTTTTGAGTACTGGGCACTGAGAGAAGGACATATGCAGTATCTCAGCCGCTGAATCGGAACCGAGTGGCCTCTAGTCGACCGAGTCCATCCCGTGGGGCCACATTGCGGCGGCGGTATGAGTTTGTGAAGTCTGTTCGGAATTAGAATGAAATGAGCGGAGAAAGAAGGGAGGGTGGGGGGTGCTTACCTTGAAGGAGGGCACGGATTTTGCGGTTCTCTCCAGAATGGACTTTGTCTGAGACGTTCTTGAGGAGCTTCTCGCCCTCGCCTTGCTTCAATGAGCCGGGTGGGAGCATCTGCAGGGTGGTTTGCAGCCATTGACCGGTTTCTTGAGGCAAGAGTTCGAACATAGTCATGACGACTCCTGACGCATCGGGGAAGCAGTCGCCGGGGAAAGTAAACATCATACCGGTCAGAACGCGTTGGGCCAAAAGCTGGCCTTGCGAGAGGATCAATGCCTTCACCGCCTCGCGGACCTCAGGCGGAGTGACATAAGGTTGACCTTCCGGACTGGTGAATTGGGAGACCATAGGCTTCTCGAATGCAAAGCCGAAGAGATCCCGGTAGTAATGAAGCGTAGCAATGAGGGGTTCGACTTGTTGAAGTGTGAGGGCGCTGAGAGCAGCAGAGAAGATGGGAATGGCAAGGGACGAGCTGATGCACTTTTTAGGGTAGTATCGGACGGCATCGGAGGACAGGCGGAAGAAATCCTCTATCACATCGGGCAAGTTCTCGGGGGCGAGATCGTTCATGATCCGCAGGAATGCAATGGCCTGCTGCTCGTAGAACTGGAAGACCGCATCACTGGTGGCTTGGTCGACGTACTCGGCTCCATCGGAAAATTCCCGCACCACAGCATCCGTGGCCCACAGGAAGCAACCTTCGCGGGAGGCCTGGAAGCCATTGGCGATGCTCTCGGCCAGAGCTGGAAGAAGGGGAATCATGCCAGTGCGGTAAGAGATAATCATGTATCGCCAGCATCGGCACACACGCTCGAGAATAGGCGTGGAAGACGTAAAGTTCATGACAATCGTGGTCATTATGGGCAGAATTTCGCCGCAGTATTTAACGGCAGGGTTTTCTTCACCCGGTGCGAGAATGGGAGTAACCACCTGCACAAATATGGTAATCAGCTGTAGATGATCAGCCACGGCTCGCTGGTCTGCTTCGTTCTGTGCGCTGTTGGCTAATCTCATAATTCGGTCCATGATGGGGTCGCAGAACATCTTGTAAGACTCGTAAATTTTCTCATGAGGCTGGACCGAGACCACAGCGGCAACGCCCTCAGTCACCTCCTCTTGACTGGCGGGCTTCAATTTGTCGAGAACCGACTCGAAGAAGGTATGGAGCTGAACGACGTGGCCACCCAAGAGCTTTTGGCAGTCCGTGCCCAAGAATTTGAATGCAAGGGCGGAGGCCTGCACGACTTCCTGAGAGGCGTGGCTAAATCCTGAAATCACGTAGTTAAGTTGAGCCTCCAAAGTTTCAGGGTGGAGAGCGGTCCATTCAGTGTAACGGGCCAGTGCCATTATTGCCTGGAATCGGACTTTCTCCTGATCCGGAATCTGGACAATGAGAGGAATCAATTCTCCGAGAATAGTGCTTTCTTCGGGATCGACCATGCGGCCCATTGCGCGAAGACCGAAAAGAGGAGCCTCCAATTCCTGCCAGTGAGGAACATGCTCATGGCTAGCCTGTGACGCATACTTGGCAACCCACTGCTGAATCAATTGGTAGATTTTAGCAAGGCAATTGTTCACACCCACAACAGCACAGCAGTCCTTGAGCACATCACCCATGGCATGACGGAACTGACGGAACTTTTCCTCTTGTTCGCGGTCTCCAGCGAACAAATCTGTCTCCCCTTCGTCTGGGGTGGGGAACTCGAGGTGCTTCACCATGATGTCCACCAACTGGGAGAATATGGGCTGGAAAGTGGCGCGGGCGTTGGCGTATTGGTCCAGGGTAATGTATTGCTTGACCTCGTACCAGAAAATGAAGGTCAAGGACACTGCATCCCGTTCCCAGTCGCGTGCACAGCACTCGAGGAGCGCTTCAACAAGATCCTGGAACTCATTGGGCATACGTGCAACGAGGACAACCCATGATTCACCGGCCTCAGCAAATATCCTTGTGATACCCTTGAAAGCCTCCAAATCCTCGGCCTCAGCAGTTTCGGCAATCTTGGGGCGGAGTGCCATAAGTCGCGGGTACAGGGCTTGAATAACGGCCAAAGACTCGTCCACGTCCTTGGTATCGCGGAAAAGTGTGCAGACACAATCGACACCAGCATCGAAAGAGTTATCATTGTCCAGCGCCCCGAAGATAACATCCATGAGTAGAGGTGTCTCAACAATTCTGGCCGCGGGAATTTCACGAAGCCACGAAGTGATACAGTCGAGGAGACGAGGGTTGTTTGCGGCGGAAGCTATTTTCAGTCAGTTCCGAGCCCCAATTTATCACGAGTTTGAAACATCGCTAGTCAACACATACGCGACGATTGAGCATATTGAACCAACAAAGTTAGAACTGCTTCCGCATTTCCTTCTAACAAAGTCTGTGTTCTATCAAGCAGTTCCTCCTCCTATTGCATTCGTCAGTTCGACCTCCGTAAATATTATCCGACAAACATACGCTGAGGTTGATCTTGCGCCCCTCAGTAACTTCTTCGGGCAAGATCTTCAAGAATTCAAGCACGCAGTCTCCTGCGGTGTTGCCCAAAGCCGCTCCAACAGTACCCAGAACATCTTTCCATCCTAGCATCTGGATCGCTAGACTGGATAAACAAACACATAGCTGGGTCTGGATAGGGCGCGGGCCCGCCGCAAATCCCACCAACAGGTGCAAGACAGAATCTCGGAGCGCCACTACCGAATCGGGATCAAGTTGATCGAGATCAAAGATAATCTGCGCAATCAGAGAGAAATCCAAAAAAAGAGGCAGCTTGAAATAACCTTACCTTTCCCTTCAGTGTAGTCGCGGCGAACAATTTGGCTTCGATTGGTACATCGGGGGACTGTAACAAAGCATGGGTGGTGGTCCAAGCCTCAATCTATTGACAGGTCAGCCTAAGCCCTGTATTCCAAGTGCCGACAGATAGCTTACCGATTTCTGGAACTTCTCAAGAAATTCATGAGCCTGAGTCTTGTCAGACCTAGACACATTCCCCTGCATTGTCGCGACAGCCGCCAGGACCGGGGCGAATGCCTGCCCGGCTTCCTTGCTGGCCATTTTGAAATAGAATTGAATCAGGCTCAGCAATGTATCAGCAAATGTTTAGAAAAAGAGGAGGGGGGTTGAAAGGTGGGATAGTGGCCCACCTTGGGTTTGGGCAAAATACCGTAATCAACTCACAGACCGCCCGGGCCCGAAGCTTTCTCTTCACTGTGACAACTATCTCCAGATCAAACATCCTACTACTACATCATGGCTCCCCGAAAGACTCTGTTGGCTCCTATTCATTTTATTTTCAACTTGCTGCAGAAGCGCAGCACTGTATCAGTATGGTTGTATGAGCAGCTTGCCTTCAGAATTGAGGGAAAGATCCGGGTATGTTGTCCTGGAATATCACGTTACAGTCGGGTTTTTTTGAAGCTAACAACTCTTAGGGATTTGATGAGTTCATGAACCTGGTTATCGATGATGCTGTGGAGGTTCGCCTCGCTACCAAGACAGAGGAAGAGAAGCGCAGGCCATTAGGTACGGAAATAGAAACGAAGCTATCACCAGAAATACAGCTGCTAATCCCTCCACGCAGGTCAAATTCTCCTCAAGGGAGACAACGTTTCTCTTATCCAAGCCGTTTGAATTATCGCTTTTCTTTCATTTTCAAGTTGCACTACGAACCAAGCATCGACCATCGCCAACCACGATCGCATCGACCAACCAGTCATGCTCCACCACGGGAATGTCCTCGGAGAGCAATTGGTCTTGGAGAGAGAGCGCAACTACCATGGAGTTCAGTTCGGGGAAATACACGGATTTCTGGGATTTCTTACCAAGGAATGGCATTTTGCTGGTCTGTTTTGAGTATTGCGTTAAAAAATGATCATAATATCCTTTGCCATGACCGAGGCGTCGAAATTCATGGTCAAAGGCCATGCCCGGCATCACAATAAGATCCAACCCCTGTGTCAAACCATTCTGCCGACCTTCAATCTGTGTAGCTTGAAGTGATGGGATTCCCCATTTATCTGGTTGTAACGATTCAAACTCCGTGGATCCGAGTGCAAGCATATCCATGACGGACGTTTTGTCCTTGGTATGAATATATGGGATGTAAACTTGTTTCCCACTTTTTAAAGCATCATGTACAATCCCAGCTGTAGAAAGCTCTCCACTGGGCATAGACAAGTATACTGCGATACTTTTGGCGTTCTGATACTCGGCCAGTGACAAGAACTTGGTTGTTGCGGAGATTGCTGGGATGGAGGATTAGTATGGTTTTAGATGAAACAGGAAAAAAGAACCAAAGAAGTGGCTAACATTGTTGAGTTATAGCAGTTGCAGATAGACTCGACAGAGCCAATCTCATCCTTTTGCGCAGGTCGCGCTTCGCAGATTGAAAAGCCATTTGGTACTTAGGTAGTTGTGAGGGAGAGAAGATCCTCCATTCCACACGATAATGATAAGGACATTGTTGCTCCCTGTTTTTGTCTCCACTTGAATGAAGGGCGTCCTTCAAATACTCCCTTTTAATTTTGGGGTCTTTCTTTCTCTTCGTCAAACAAGATGTTTTTAATTTGGAGTCTTTTGGTGACGGTCGTTTTGGCAAATGCCAATGATTTGGTTGGAACATGGACTACTAAATCTCGTCAGGTCATTACCGGTCCAGTGTGTCCGAACTATACAACAATCATGAATGGGATAACTAACGCTGACCAGGGATTCTACGATCCGTTGAACGACAAACTACTCGAGCCAAATTTGACCGGGATATCGTATTCATTCGACAAAGATGGAAATTATGAATCAGCCTATTATCGGGCAATTTCCAATCGTGGGTCGTTTCTGTATAGATCCTTGGATCATCAGTATGCTAATGTGCTGTAGCCGCCGAACCAAAATGCCCCGGAGGAATCATGCAGTGGCAACACGGCTCTTATGCTGTGTTTGCAAATGGATCTCTGACTCTGACACCGATTGCTGTAGATGGTCGTCAGCTTCTGTCAGATCCTTGCAAGAAGGATACGGGTCACTATACACGCTTTAACGCCACTGAGCGTTTCAAGGTCTGCATCTATCTATCGTTGGCAGTTGGCTTCTTCTGACATCCCATAGGCATACTCTGTCGGTATCGATAAGTACCACGGCACTAAACGCCTCGAGTTGACCAGAACGGACGGCTCCAAGGTGCACCCTATGTTCATCGCTCATGAGCAACCGAAGATGCTTCCTACTTCAACATTGAATCCCAATCCCACAGGACATAAGGCAAAGAGGGAGGCTCGAGCAGACACTGGGTTTTACCTGATCAGCAGAGATCAATTGATCAACCCTAATCGATGGTGGTGGTTGGGTGTTCTGATGACATCTCTTGGAGGGGCTGCTTTCTTCTATTCATGAACCGGTTAGGCTGGCTGTTTGCATGGAGTTGGGACTTCTTTCTGTTTTGCATTATAATGATAATTGACTGCCTTTATATGGCTATTGTGACACTACTGTACAATGGGGAAATGTAACTTTGCTCATTCGAGCGCGTTCTTGACCTCTGTAGCAACCTCTTTGCGGTCAACAGGCTTGCCGTCCAGCGGACCGCCAGCGGCGAAAAGAGCCTTGAGAATTGTTCCTTGGTTGGGTTTTGTACCAGCGTTGATCATCGAAGTGATCTCGTTGACAACCACTTCCTTGATCTCGGCCACAGGGAGAGTCTTGACCTGACCAGCGTATTCCTCCAAAACTACAACTTGCGCATCTTCCATCTCCTTGAGATCGGGTCTCTCTGCGGCCTCGAACTCTTTAGCTGCATCCTTGGACGCATTCAAGCGTTTCCGGATCAGCGACAAGAGTTGAATGTCTGTTTGGATCGGGGAGGCAGATTTGGCGGCATTGTTGGTCTCGGAGATCAAAGCGCGCAATACATTAAGTCTGAATAATAAGCTTGCTGAACTGAAGAAAGGAATTGATAGAAATCCTACCTTGTAGTGTCCTTCGCTCTCATGGCAGTTTTCAGGTCAGTCCGCAGAGTAGCCATCAAGGGTGGCAGAACAGGACCAGTGGAATTCCACCTGACCAGACGAGCTGGTAGGCGAGAAGAGAATCGAATTGATTGAAACATTGTATTGAACAGAGAAAAACAATACAAGAATAAGAAGAATAACAATCAGAAAGAGGAAGTTGCTCAATAGACACAAAAGGCGGAAGATCTCAAATGGTCTGTGCGTTCCCAGTGTTGACTCTCTTTTCGCAAAGACCTTGAATAAATCCAATCTTCTTCAAGACCTTCTTTCATCGTCATTGTTAATTCTCTTTTTTATCCGCTTTTTTCGTCCGACCCTACTCTGCAGCTCCTTGTGTTTTTTTAGCGGGGGATCCTCCCTTCTTCCCTCCAAACGCCATCATGTCGTACCCGGCTCTTCCAACAAATCTGCCTCCGGCGACGCCGCAGAAACCCCTTCCTGGAGCTTACTTTCAAACCCCAGCCCCAACTGGACCGAGACCTCTCCCATCCAGGTCGCCAATGCAGGCGCAAACTCCCCAGACCCCCATGCCGAAGCTCCCCCCAGCAGCATCGAAGACTCAAAATCAAACAGTGAGCACCGAGGAGCGCGGGGCGCGAACAATCAACAGTGCTCTGCAAAGTGAATCGCGTTACCCCGATCTTGACAGCTATTTGTCCCGTAAGATCACCCTGGTCTTAGACCTCCGAACGCAACTGACCAAAAACAGAGGGCTCATCCTCCGAGTACAACATCCCAGTGGCTCAATCATGGGCACCATTCCAAAAAGTTAAGATGTACGACATCCCAGACCAAATCTTCGATCAATACAACCGTGCACAAGTTTCGACGAGCATGGGCCTGTTTGCGGAGCTGAATCACGCGTGGGTGGCCATTGACAACGCATTGTACATTTGGGACTTCACACACCCGAATCCTCAATTGGTCGGGTTTGAGGACCAACCGAACAGCATCAACGCCGTCAAGCTCACCAAACCGCGTGCGGGAGTCTTTTTGCCTGCGATCACTCATCTACTGGTGATCTCGACGACCGCAGATATCATTTTGCTGGGAATGGGCTATGAAAAGACGCCCAGTGGAGGCCAACAAGTCACCTTGTATCACACCGGGATGTCAGTCTCAGTTCGGGGCTTGGATATTAATGTTTTCGCGGCGTCTGATTCGACTGGGCGCATTTTCTTCGGAGGATCATCCGATACCGATGTGCACGAGGTGACCTACCAACAAGAGGAGAGGTGGTTCCAAGGCAGATGTGGTCGAGTCAACCATACCAGCTCCCGATTGTTGGCTTTCAGGCCATCAATGAGCCTGACGAATCTTGCACAGAGCTCGGTCGAGAATGTAGTGCAGATGACACTTGATGAAAGCCGGAACTTGCTCTACACGCTCTCCTCCGCTTCTACGATCCGTGTATTCCACTTGGGATCCGAGGGTAGTTTGACTCTCGCAATCACAAAACGCGCTATTGATATATACTCCAACATTGGGCACATTATCACCTCGAACGAAACCCTCAACCCCAAGGTCAAAATTGTCTCGATCAGTCCCGTGCCTGTCACCGAGGCTTCCCGTTACCACTTGGTTGCGACAACTGCAACCGGTTACCGGATCTACCTCAGTGCCACTGGTTCATACAACTGGGGCCCTGCATCGAACGGCAAAAACCCTCCCACAAGCATGCAGGCGCTGCATGTGAAGACACCACCACTCGATATCACGCCCGGCGCAAATGTATCTGCTTCCTCTATTGGCGCACTTTCGGCTTCTGCTGGTCAGATCACCACTCTCTCGCCCACTCGACTCGCCGAGCGATATTCGCCTGGTTATTTCTTCTGCTTCACCACCAAAGACCCACACCAGACGATGGATACTCTTTTTATCTCGACTCCTGACTCCGGCCGGGTCGCTCATGTACAGGAAAATTCGACCAACGGTCACAAAGATGCCGAGTCGGCCATAATCTTAGATCTGGGAGGCAAAGCCGAGGACATTGGACTGGTTTCGGCACCTTCATCAGTGACTAATGAATTGGCTGTTCAATTCGATCATCCAGCAGCGGAGATTGCGATCCTGACCAATGGTGGTGTTCATATCATTCGCCGCCGTCGTCTTGTGGATATGTTTGCGGCCCTGCTCCGCAGCGGTGGTAGCCGCGACGAGGGCCCTGAAGGTGAGGGAAGAAACTTCATCAAACTATACGGCCGGAGCGAGGCGCTGGCGACTGCTCTGGCGGTGGCTTGTGGCCAGGGTGTGGAGATCTCCACTGATCAAAGATTGACCCGAATTACTGATCCAGACATCCTGTCTGCAGCACGCCAGTTCTTCATTGAACAAGGTGGTCGGGCCCATTTGAATGAGAATGCTGTGGCGGATGGAACAACATCTGCTCTCGATGCAGTGCAGCCCTCTCCGCGACACGCGGGTATTGCTCTCTATATCTCCCGTCTGCTGCGATCTATCTGGAAGGTCAGGATTGCCAAGGTGGGTAGTGGAGCCAATGGCGCACAGACGGTTTCGGCCTCTGTGAGTTCCGCCAAGTTGCAGACCATCCAGCATGATCTCTCCTCGCTTCAAGAGTTCTTCAGGGTAAACAGAAACTTCATTGAGGGACTCAGCGGCCCCGATGCCCTTAATCGCCTAAACACCAAGACCGAAGAAACCGCGCTGCAAGCCGAGCACCGCGCACTGCATTCACTTGTTCAATTGGTATCACACACAATCGAAGGCATTTCATTCATTCTTGTTCTGTTTGATGAGCGAGTCGATGAAATTGTGGCCACCTTGCCAGTTGAGTCCAAGGAAAAGTTCCTCAGCCTCACCTTTGAGGAGTTGTTCAGTTCTAGCAAGGGCCATGATATCGCCAAGGAGCTGGTGAAGGGCATTGTCAACCGCAACATTGCCAAGGGATCCAACGTCGAGACGGTGGCTGATGCACTACGCCGACGATGCGGCAGCTTCTGCAGTACAGAGGATGTCGTGATTTTCAAAGCCCAGGAGATGCTGAAGCGTGCAACCGAGGCCGGTGCCAACACAGAGCTTGGCCGCAATTTGCTGAACGAGAGCCTACATCTCTTCCAGCAGGTAGCTGAGTCCCTACCAATGGATTACCTGGTCTCGGCTGTGGACAATTTCATTGTCAACCAGTTCTTTGCAGGTAAGTGTGGCTTGCGGTCAGCTTCGATATTCTGTGCTAATTTTTTCTAGGCGCTATCCAACTGGCACTCAATGGCGCTGCCCGTTCCGACAAAGCCAATCTTGCCTACTCCTGGATCATGGATGGACGCCCCGAGCAGGTTCGATACCCCCTACCCAATGGACCCTACCAAATTCTTACAATTACCCAGGACCCCCGCAAGGAGTACTTTTTGTTCCGCAAGCAGTGCTACGATCTTATTTTCAAGGTCGTGCTCGCAGTTGATACCCTTGCTGCATCTGACCCTGGCGCTATTGACGGCCAACTGACCATCATCTCCAAACGCAAGAACGAGGCGTATGGCGTGATTTCCGACTCGACCGATGAGGTGTTCCTGACAAGCCTTTACGATTGGTACCTCGAGCAGGGCTGGAGCGAGCGCTTGCTGCAGACCCAGTCACTGTTTGTGGTTACATACCTCCAGCGTAAGTCTAACGATGATCTGGGCCACGCAGACCTGCTCTGGAAATACTACGCCCAATCTGAGCGATTCTTCGAGGCTGCCCAGGTCCAGTTCCACTTGGCAAACAGTGCTTTCAATTTGCCATTGAGCTCTCGCATCGAATATCTTGGCCAGGCCCGCGCCAATGCTTCTATTTTCACACCCGACGTTGGGCGCCAGTCAAGGCAGCGTCTGCTGCAGGAGATCTCGAACCTCATTGATGTGGCCAATATTCAGGATGACCTTTTGCAAAGACTCAAGGATGATGAGCGCATTGTCACCGCACGGAAAGCCGAGGTACTGGCGGAGGTCGATGGACCAATCATGGATATCAGCACAGTAAGCTAACTCTGACCGTGCGTTTCGTTCGGGACACTTACTGACATCTTCTAGCTCTTCAACCAATACGCCGACTCAGCTGGCTATCACGACATTTGTCTCCAAATCTTCTACCAAGCAGACCACCGCAATGCAGCAGACGTCAAGTCAACCTGGCAACATCTGATCCAAGCGACGCATGACGCAACCGTTGCAAGGGGCTCACCGCAACCTTTCGAAGCGGTGATCGAAAAAGTGCGGAGTCTGGGAAGCCGCCTGCGGATGTCGGAAACGATATTCCCCATTCGCGAACTAGTCCCCATGCTCGAACGTTATTCCTTGGAATTCCAGCGGAGCGTCGGGCCGCCGACTTGGGTAGTGGATCTGTTCTTGGACCTTGGCGTGGCGCACGAGTCCCTGTACGCCGTTCTCGAAACAATGTACTACACCGACGAAGCACCCTTCCACGGCACCAATCGCAGGTATATTGCACATGACCTACTGTACCTGCTGACTGGCTGGTTCCAAGAGACTGTGCGACTCGGCGGCATGGTCTTTGGGTCGGATATTGTCGCCGAGCGGGTCTCTGAGATGCTGCTGATCCTGATGCAGAGCAACGTGATAAGTGGGGAGCATTTGGAGACCGCTCATGAGTTGCGGTCCCGGATTGATGATATCCTGCGTTGATGTGGCGAGTGGTATGTGTGCAGGGATCTTCATTCCCTGAGACTCAAATGGGATTTTTTACAATGTGATATTTTCTTTTGCGACGATCTTAGAGTCGTATGGGTGGGTTTTGTTTGTAACTCTAGGCGTGGGAGGGTAATGAAAACGATTTCAGACTTTCAATTTGTTACAGGTTCCTACAATAACTGTATAATGTAGGAATAGCTCCAATAGTTCATGTTCTCATACTCGCAATATCAAATCCAGAAAGAAACCAGCAAATTAAAATATGTAGTCAAACTCAAAACAACCAACTATACCATTCAATCTACTCCACCTCATCTTCATCCTCATACACTGGAATAGGCTTCTCAGCCAGTGCAATAAGACGGAAGATATGACGAGGCTTCGCACTACCGTCATCGTTCAAGTAATCCACAATAGCAGAGTCTATAAATTATTAGCATCATTTCACAAACCTCATCAAAATCACAAAGAAGAAGGAAAAAAGAAAACTCACGCATAGTCGACCGATTATCAAACATAACTATAGTCCTCGGCTGCCAGCGCACTCTGGCCTGGAAATCATGTCCAGTAACCAAATGATTCATCAAGAACTCCAACACCCACTTCGTCTCGGAATCCTTCAGTCCATTAATCTTTGTAATAAACTCCCCATTCAAGAATATGCACTTCTGCCCAGTGACTGGGTGAACCCGTATAAGCGGATGGACGGTATCAACCGGATCCTTCCTTACAAGCCCACCCGTCAAGCGAGAATGGTTAATCATTTTCCGCGAAGTGTGTGTGACCTTCAATCCATCCAGGAAAGAAGTAACAGCCGGCGAAAGCCGCTTATAGGCCATATCTGTCGCGGCGAAGACGGTATCGCCGCCGACCTCGGGGCCCTGCAAAAGACCCAGCATGACGTAGCCCGGCGGTTGGATCTCGTAGCTGACATCCTGGTGCCAGAGGGTTGTGGTAGTGCGCTGTTCCAAGAAGCGGGCGATTTCATCGCGGTTACCGTCGCGGTGGATGATGTGGAACGCCGGGTGGCCGGGCATCGACCCGGACACGGGCTGATAGTTGGGTTTGCCGAAATGGCGCATGAAGGCCTCCTGCGCATCTGGGCCTGCGTCGATGAGGTCCTGGTCTGGGAAGGCGACCACTTTGCGCTCTGCGATGAGCAGGGCGAGCTCGTCCTTTGCGGCGTCTGTCAAGGTAGATAGCTGGACGTTTTCAACAATTGTTCCTAGGTGAGGTTGGATGTCGGTCGTCTTGGCCGTTTCTGTGAGCAGGTTTGGCTTGGTTTTGTCACGGACTCGAAGAGCTGGGTCTTCGTAGTCGAAGGGCGTGAGGGGATCGAACCAGATTGGATCCCAGGATGGTATGTATTGTGGGTAGTCCGTTTTGATTTCACGGTCCAATTCCCGGTATGGGAGGTTGATATCGTAGCTGATTGGGATCTCTGCCTTTTTCGTCGTTGGCTGTTTAGGCCGTTGGAGCGGAGCTGTGGAAGGCATTGTGTAGCTATGTTTGTATGATATCCTACTATGTAATGTGGAGTATAGATGGTAGATGGATAAGATGGATAAGATGGAAGGACAAGGTTGAGAGGGGATTGAGGTCTTATATATAGTATAATATTGCCAGACTTCTATCAAATAGTGCAAAGTTCGTCTCCTTCATTTCCGAGTGGAAGGGAGATTCGAACAGCGGTCAAGCAAAAATAAGAAGGAAAGACGTAAACGACGCAATAGTTGCAACAGACAATTAAAAATAGTAAAAAAACGGGACAAAATAATCCCTAAAAGAGCATTCCGGGATCCGCTACTATGGCCCATCTCAAATCCTTTGTAAATTAAAACAATGTAAATTAAAACAATTTCAAGGCTTCTACGTTGTAAGCTATTTACACCGCTATAGTAGTACCCTTTAGTTACGGAGTACCGAGAACGGTAGTGGTTCAATAATGCTTGCAACCCTTGGTCTTTGTTAGATAAGGCGATGCAGTCGGAATTGCAATTGCATTATCTGCTGTGATCTATGCATTGCGATGCAGGAGATTATGATTTGACCACATGCGGCCTCGGCGTAAACTATTCATTTACTGGGACTATATGCTGTAAACGAGACTGGTATATCCGGGAGATAATATTCAGAAAGGAAAAGTGGAGCAAATTGCCGATTAACCAGAAACCAGAACAAGAAGTAGAAATAAAATTACAATGACAAAGAACCAGTTACAATCAGAATTGAACAAGAAACCCAAAGAATACCTAGCCTGAACCGGCAATGATTTAGAACCTGCGGTCTGTCTCCATGCTCTCTGGGCCATCGAACCTATCGAACCACGTAACCGGGAAGATCCTTGTCCACTTGCATTAAAAGGGAGGGTTGATGTAATTTCCGTTGGAATGACATCCCAAGGTCCTTTCTGGTGGATTCAAAGGATCGGGCCGACACCGGCCCAGACTCGCTATAGCTGTTGTTCGTTATACAACGAAGCAAAATATTGGTTTCCAACAAGATGACTAGACCTAGGATGGAAAGAGTAGGATATCGAATGTCATAAACTCGGGTAGAACATGTTTCCGAAGGAGGAAAAGTCAGGCCACTGAACCTTGACCTTAAAATTGAGAAATAAGAAGCAGCGGTGAGATCGGAATTTACCAGGTCTCTCTACATGAGCCTGCCTCTCTGCCTAACTTATGAGTATCATGATAGAATCCCATGCGAACTAAAACCTTGGAATAGATGTGTCAATCCCGAAAATTGAGGTGCATATTCGGGATATGGGATTAGTGTTCCTAGAGCTTGCGGGAAAAAAAGCAAACATGCTAATGTTAATTTTATACTCTATCTTGATAGCGTCGATTCTGGTACTATTGTTTGTTTATTTGTTTAATTTCTTTTTCTATATGCTGTTCTTCTTTTGTTCTTTTGTTCTTCTGTTCTTCTTATCCAGTGTTCCGTACATATGTAGTCACCTGACACTGTAACCCCTAAGACCTCCCCGGCTCCCCAAATGGACTCCTAATTGACTCCTTACGAACTCTCCCCCTTGTCTCTTTAGCTCCTTAGCTCCCCTTGTATGACTTCATTATTTCACATTGCATATGATCCAGCACCCAATTTCGGCTACAATGATCCGCACACTTGATCTCGTCTATCTCCTCTTCTTCGTTATCCATGTCCCAATCATCTTCCGTATGCTTCCCGTCCGTGTTATTAATATCCACATATCTACATACCGCTACAACCAGTACTATCACAAGCCACTCACACAAACAAAAAAACAGTAATCGACACCGTCCCGCTCCAACCCGCTTTCCTCCAAACAAATCTGTCCCATCAACTCCGCGACTTCTACATCACCACCTACCACGATAAATTCTTCGAAGATAACCCCCCAACATGGTTCACCGTCTTTATCTGGATGGAATTGCTGTACCACGTTCCGGCATCCATCTGGGCAGTGCGGGGGTTACTTAAGGGTGAGTTCTTTGCTTGTGCCTTACTTGTACATTGCCCTTGCTTGTACCTCGTATGCCGGACTATTGTCTCCCCTATGATATGGCTACATACAGCGGTGCATAACAGACGCAAACGATCGAACCACAACCGAACTGAACTGGACGGGGACTCAATGGAACTAACAATTTTCAATTCATCCAGGCCACCCCCTGATCCGCGTTCACCTTCTTATCTTCGGCATCCAAGCCTTCATCACTTCACTAACCTGTCTCGTTGACGTGTGGAGCTGGACCGACCGCACCGTCGCGCAGAAACAGCAGCTGACAATGCTCTACAGCCCATACGTAGCACTGGGTATGTTCGCCTGCGCCTTGCTCGAATAAACAAGCATACTAACGTGACACAGGCGGCCTCATGGCGATACACAGCATCTTCCGCCTACGCGACGCACTAATGCCCAAAAGCAAACGGGAGTAGCAAAGCCACCCCTAATTAAGAGATACCATAGCTCTTTAGCAAAGGCCAACACAAGCAGAATACAACAAGCATCTAATGTCTAAAGGAATACCCGCGTATACTCGTACACATCATTACGTGCATTGATCAGATCTCGCTAATACAGACCACCCAAACGCCCAAATGTAGATGCAAAACCTCCCCGCTAGATCAAATCAGAAACCCTATCGCACCGTCCAAATCACCGTGCGCGGCGTCAAGCGCCCGAATCGCCTCTTCGCGCGTGAAGCCAAGCTCCGTAATCTTCGCAATGGAATCCTGAGGCCATCGCAAAGCAGGCGCAGGCCGGATATTGATTTTCGGCGGCCCGGGCGCGGACGCGGACGTGGTGCTCGCAGACCCAGACCCCGAAGCATTCGCATTTGCATTGACATTATTCTCCGCCTTGTGAGTGACAGCCCCGGTTCGAGCTCCGACCTCAGCCCCGTCAGCGCCCTTGACTGTAGGCTCGGCCTCAAACTCATCGGTGAGGTGTTTGGGGATTTCGCTCTCGCCGAGGAACGGCACGGCCTGATCTTGGATGACGAGGGCTCCACGCTTGAGATCAATGCATGCCTGATGACGACGGAGCATGTCCAGACCGAGGAGGAGATCGATTTGCTTTCCTTCCATCACAGTGAATGAGCAGGGGAGGAACATCTCTCCGATGCGAATCTGAGCGGAGTGGACGCGGCCCAGAATCGGGGCAGTACCGACTCCCTTGGCGATGCCGCCGTAGCGCCTGTCGACGAGACGCATTATGTTGCATGATGTTGCGCATTCAGGGGACATGATTGTTACTTGGGCGCCGGAGTCGACGAACGCGTTTAGGCGGTGGCCGTTGACTTCGACGGGGATGTAGAGCATTGTGACGCGACCGAATGCTAGAACGAAACGAGTTAGCTTTGACAAGGTGCGGGCGAGATAGGAATCCACGTACACTCCGGGTGATGCTCCATGGCATTGTGTAGGTTCTCGGTGACGGCATTCTGGCGAATGATTTCCTCGATCTCCTTCTGATTATCCGGGTTGAAGGGATCGGCGTTTAGCATGGCGATACGAGCCTCCTTCTGAGCCTCCTGCTGCGCCTCACCCTGCTGCTGCCTAAGCAGGACCTCGCGGAAGCGCTGGGCGTTATCTGCCGCCTCAGAGAGCTCTGGATTCTGCCTGCGGACGGCCTCACGCACGCGGGGATCGCCTAGAATGTGGAGGCGGATGGTTTCTGGGTCTGGCATGCCGGGGCGGGCATTTTGCCTTGGGGCGATCGAGCTGGAGGCGGCAGAGTTGGGGGCGGGGCGAGGGGTTGGTCGTTGGGGTGAGCGGAGGGTGACGTGAACGCCTAGCATGTCGCCTTCGGAGATGCCTGCTTGGTCGAGGGTTTGGGAGGGGGATTGGAGGAGCTGGTTGTTATAGACAAGTTGCTGCGCTTCTGGTGGGATGGCGGATTCACTCTCGATAATGGCTTTTAGGAGCTCGATTGTCATGTCACCGCCGACTTCTAGGTTGATGATGTCGGAATCCGTCTCGGGACGGATTACACTGACGGAGATACGCATGTCTGCGATAGTTAAAAGGCCAAGGTACAATATTGTAACAATAGAAGATATTTAAAAGCAGCACAAGAAACACGAGGAGAAAGTGAGGGAAGTGTAGAGAACAGAAAGGTTATAAAGCGGGAAGGGGAAACGCGGACGCCTGACTCAGTAGGGAAGAGCTCCAGTGCTCTCTCTTCTCCCCTTACATCTTATAATTCATTTTCTCTATTTTACTACTACATATGTCTTACTATTTTCTTTTTTTAGTGTGCAGTTACAGCCTCTAAATGATCACTCATGCGCAAGCCCCAAGTTAGCTTAATGCACTAATGTTGATAGTCATCCTGACTCTTTCATCCACGTCATCAGTGACAGGGGACCCCAGGAACAACATTGGCTATATAAATCGAGATCAAATCAATCTCTAAAAATGAATCTGTTAACCTCAATCATGTCTGACTATACACTTCCACCACATTCTCGAGTACTGGTTACCGGTGCCAATGGCTTCATCGCTTCCCACATTATCAATCTTCTATTGCAGCGGGGCTATCTAGTCCGCGGGACTGTCCGAGAACCCCGACCGTGGCTGGACCAAATGTTCCAAAAGTACGACCGATACGAATCCGTCGTTCTGCCGGACTTGGAACATCCCGACCCCATGGTATTCAATGATGTCGCGGGCGTTGTCCTAGTCGCGACTGAGAATTCATTCAGCCAGGACCCCGCACTAATCCAGCGAGTCGTGCAGGGGACACTGGCCATGCTGGAATTGGCCAAGAACAGCGCTGTCAAGTCAGTGGTATTGACTTCTTCGACTGCAGCATGCGTTTCCTCAACATACGCGCCGGAAGCTAACTATGTAAAGATCGACAACGGTAAGTTGACGTGCAGGCCTCCCGCAAATAAGGTATAAACTCATCATATGTAGACACGTACAACGACGCAGCTGTGGCGGCCGCCCAGAGCACCAGCCCCTCTGAAATCTTTCCTGGTATGGCAGTGTACTCAGCTTCGAAAACAGAGGCCGAACGCCAGGCGTTCAAATGGGTCCAAGAGAATCAGCCCTCCTTCCAGTTCAATACGGTCGTTCCCGACTATAATGTAGGGCATTCCATTTCTAGATTCGTGCATCCGTGCATCCGTGCTAAGGTTTCAGATTGGCTCCCGCCTCAACCCTAACGTCCGTGAATCAGGCATGGCGCCCATTCGGGCTTTCTTGGACGGCCAGGACCTTTTTATGAAAATTTTTCCTCCTGGCATGTAATTTGCTTGAATTCTTTTTTTGACCTTTCTCTTCCCATTTCTCTTCCTTGGTTTCCGACTTTCTGGCTAACCGCGATAAGCATGGTATGTGAATGTCGAAGACACAGCCCGACTTCATGTTGCTGCCCTTCTCGACCCAAAAATACAGTCAGAGCGCATCTTTGCCACAGCAGGACAGTTCAACTGGGCCGACGTTATTGCAATCATGCGCAGGCTTCGTCCTAATAATTCCAATATACCCGATGCGCCGAACAACGACCGCTGTCGGTTTGACTTCGTTCTTTCTAAACGTGCGGAGCAGATTTTGCTGGACTTTTTCGGCTCCGGTTGGGTTTCATTGGAAGATTCGGTTGCGCAGGGTATTGCTGACTTGCAGTAAATATGGTGACAACGATTCAGCCAGCGCGAGACATCAAGACCAGCTCTTTCTAGATTTTGTGGGCAATATAAATAACAGAAAGACTGTCACATAGCCAAAGAGAGTTGCTTTTACCTTAATATGAGGCACTTGGCTCTTGCAGAGGCCACATATGGTAGGAACTATTTATGCCACCTCAGTAGGCCGTTGAGGGATTTTTCTATATAGGTTAATTCCGCGAATATCAACTACACCCTAGGTACGCGATCGAATCTGTTCCAACTCTTCAGCCACTCACCAAAAGTACCGAAGTACTGCTTCTCAATTTCAGGTTCTAATATGTTCGAGTCCTCAGTCCTCCTCCACCTGGGCAGTTTTGTTACTTTGGTTTGTTCGTCAGCGGAGCCAAATCTATTCAGACAACCCAACATAGCTCACTGATAAATGATTCCAATAGTACATCCCATTTCTGCATTGACAGCATTAACATCGGTTTCAGCGAGCCTAGAAGTATTCTTTGGTCAAATATAAAGCTTTTTGGGAACGGATGGTGTAAATGCCGTAATGGGGTTTAAAATGCAATTTCAGCCAACATAATCTCCAAGCTGTAGATTTTGTGGCTTTTTCTAAACCGGGAACGAGGGCCTTGGGTAACTAAAAGTCGGATAGGATGCAGGTACAGGATAAGGTCTCCGACACCTCACATGTACTGTCATAGAATTGCTGCATCGATAACAAGATTGAAAGTCGAGATTGATCAGCAAGCGAAGGAAGATCATGAGACAATCGAAGGCTCCATCGATTGTATAGTTTACGCTTGATAAGCCAAATAGGGAATCGATTTGCAATAATGATCTTGTGATGCCACTATCTACAACGTTGATAGTTTGCAAAACTTCTTCAATAATTTTATGACAAGAAATTACGTACCCCATTCATATTCTTCACGCACTCCGACCAGTTTATATCCCAAATCTCGAATGTTACTTCAAGTAGAATATCGTACTAATCCCAATGAAGATAATGCCGAAATTTAGTGCATAACTCGGGTGCAACGATAGGGTTGAGTAACAATCGGTTTATATGAGAACTTCACATAGAGGGTGATGATTATGTAGATCTCAATATCCTCTAGTATAGATTTGCACAATCGCTTCTATAGTACTCCAATCGGGAGGAATATGAATTAAAATTGAAGCACGTGAGAAGGAAAACGTCCGGTGCATCCAACATTTATACCCCGCATTTCTTATCCAGGTAGCATCGTGGCCTTTCATAGTAACGAAGTTATCAGAATGACCATTGCTATACTCACTCACTATTGGAGACAACAGAACTAATTGAACTAAATTACAAGTACTACGCTTCAATGTTTTATTTGGTAATTGGGTTATTGATTTATTGCTTTGAAATTTCTGAGCACTCTTTGCGCACGTATACTTTGCCCATTAGACTAAAGAAGACATATGACCGACACGCGGAACTTAGATTTTGTGGACTGTCCGTATCAGTGTGCAAATTTCCACACTTCCGCGATGAATGAAATGCGGCTCATCGGCTTATCAGCTCACCTGGGTTTCTTTTGTCGTTGTGATACCCTTCCCATGCGCTTGGGTATAGTTAGACTTTGAGGGTTTTACCGAGATTGCAGAGTAGTAACCAATGATAGTCCTACGCGAGACCTCGATTCCACAGTAAGTTAGTCATATTATGCGGGATGATACGTCGGATAGTGAAAACAAATATTTCGTTCCTGAGATCACTCGGCTCACTTAGAAGCTTAACCATTAGTAGGCCCATGCTAGGTGTCAAGCCCACCAAGAACGAGGGCAAATGACCAACCCCCAGAGAACTATCTAGAGTCTCCTGTTTAAAATCATAGCACTTGCTATTAAAATATGATATGTCACGCCAGGTTGTCACCCACCTTCAACGCTATAGCTATAGGATTCTACGTACCGTGTCAAATTAAAAGGTTACAGCGTTTCATCTTCTAAAAACCGTTCTATACTATCAGTCACATGAGGGATATGCTCACATGATTCAGTTTCGAGTAAGAAATGGATAAGGAGTGGCATAGAGAGTGTGGACAATTTTGCCATAGATGGGCTTTAGTGTTTCTAGATCACGTTTTCCTACTCTATTCAACAGATTTCACAGTAACTTGGGCATATCATGCGGATAATACGTCCGGTAGTGAGAATAATTCTTTCTTTCTTAGAAAACTCGGCTCACTTAGAAGTTTAACTAATAGTAGGCCCATGCTAGGGGTCGGGCCTACCCTAAATCAGGGCGAATGACCAATCCCTAGAGACCTATCTAGAGTCTCCTGTTTAAAATCATAGATTTCGCCATTGAACTATGTCACGCTAGGTTGTCACCTACCTTCAACGCTATAGCTGTAAGATCCTACGTACCGTGTCAAATAAAAGGGTTACAGCGTTTCATCTTCTAAGAATCGCCCTGTAATGTCAGTCACATTAGGGATGTGTTTACGGGACTCAGTTCCGAGCAAGAAATGGACTCGGAGTGGCATGGACAGTGTGGAAGATTTCCCTATAAAAGGGGCCTTGTGTTTCTTGATCATGTTTTCTTGCTCTATTCAGCAAGTCAAGTGTTCTCTCTGCTCGCTGCACCTTCCAAAGAGTTGCCTTCTCTTTGGTATTCCATCTCTAGGAGCCAATATCCAGTCCACTGTCCTTTTTCAACTCCAACAAACCTTTGACAGGATCTATCAAAATGCTCTTTCCAGCTGTCTTCGCTCAATTGGGCCTTTTCGCTACCGCTGCGTTGGCTATTCCTCACTTGCTTCACGCTCGAGGGTCTGGTGGACAAAATGTGGTCTACTGGGGAGCAGATCCCCATGTGCAAGACCTATCGAAGTATTGCACCTCTGATTCCGGCATTGATATCATTGTGCTTTCATTTATCAACGAATTCGGCAATGGCAAAACCATTCCAGCAGGCACTATCGGAAACCAGTGCTCTGTCTCTACCACTGGACAACCGCAAAACTGTGAGAGTTTGGCTGCCAGCATCGAAACCTGCAAGTCTGTCGGCATCAAAGTCATTCTTTCCTTGGGCGGGGCATCTGGTGCATACTCGCTGTCTTCACAGGCTGAAGCTGAAACCATCGGCCAGAACCTATGGGAGGCGTATGGAAACACTGCTGGCTCAAACGTTCCACGCCCATTTGGAAAAACCTTTGTCAACGGCTGGGACTTGGATATCGAGGCCTGGAGTGGAAACAATTACTACCAATACCTGATTTCCGCACTGAGGTCCAAATTTGCGTCTGACTCCTCCAACACGTACTACATCACGGGTGCTCCGCAGTGCCCCATCCCTGAACCGAATATGCAGGTCATCATCAACAACTCACAGTTCGACTATCTTTGGGTTCAGTTCTACAACAATCCTTATTGTTCTGTCGGTGGCAATCTCAACTTTGATGCCTGGGTATCTAATGTTGCTGGCACCTCTTCTGCCAACGCTAAGATCTTCCTTGGAGTTCCTGCTTCTCCTCTTGGGGCTACCGGTACTGAGAGCGGTGCCCGATACTATTCCGACCCCAGTGCACTGGCAGCACTGGTTACTAAATATCAGAGCAACCCTTCATTTGGTGGAGTTATGTTGTGGTCTGCGGGGTGGTCTGATACCAACGTGAACAATGGATGCACCTATGCCCAGGAGGCTAAGCGTATTCTGACTACTGGATCACCTTGCTAATATGCACTACCGGTAAATACGTGAGATATTTTTCGATTTCTTTATTCTCTTGTACGTGAAGGCTGGGATCCTTCTTTACTTGCTTTCTGATCTGTGATTTGGTTTTGAAACGATGAAACTGTGAATTGCCTGGTCGGTTAGTTTTACATAGGTACTGCATATTAACTCACCTCTTTCACAATTAGTGCAAAGCTAGTAGTCAGTAGTAATGCCACATGTACTACTTTGAAAAGTTTTATTAAAAGCCTGGTATATGAGACTACTCCTGAGGTCCGAAGGTGAAATTTGCTACGCGGAAGTATCCCCACCATTCTCACCATAGAGGGGTCCCGAGGGCACACCCCGTTCATAGAATTGGCCAATCTGTGCATTGGCCCAACAACCATATTCACAGAGTATGAAATTCGACTGAAATTAGCCTGGAAATCTCGAAGTCGGATGACTTGTGAGCAAAGGCAAAAGCTCATTTATTCGCCTTACGCATTACGATAGAAAAAGGTTCTTGTAATGATGGAAACTTCCAAAGAGTGACTTTATTCTGACAAATAGTAGGATTAGTTCCAGTATAGTTTGTAAGGTAAGCGAGTCCTATGATCCACCCAGTCGACCACTCCGAGGGGAAGCTTAGTCGTACTTCCCCACGCGGTCCTTGATGTTGAGGTCAAATAGATCATCAACATCGGGTTACTGCTTGGCAATTAACATAGCTCCAGGCAGAGAAGTACATTTGTACAACAGCCTCCTAGAAATAGTTGAGATGAAGATTGAAACTAATTTTTCGGGCAAAGATCCAAAATGAGCTTGTGATATCTCAAATATCAAAGGTAGACCCAGGTCCCCCCGGATGAAGAATAAGATTGGGATCAACAATTGAGAATCACGAGCCGATGACTGTAAGAAAAATGCCCCTCAAGCCAGAGTAGTCGTTTAGTTTTCCCAGACGTTTTAACATGTCGTCTCCACTATTTCCGATAGACGCGGATGTGCATGGGCGCTGGCTTGTAGAACCAAAACCCGCTGGACTCCAGATCCTTCGCTGGGCTTGATAATTCAAGGCGGTACGAACGAAGCAGTTCTGGGATGACCTTATAAAGTTCGCACAGCGATATCTGCTCAACGGTCAACCTAGATCCTGGATTCTATGGCAGAGTGATTGCACTTACATTCTTTCCCATACACATTCTTGACCCAGCTCCAAACTGTAACCAAGACGGTTAACACACGTTCTAAGCTTTATTTGGATTAACTTGCCTGAAGAATGTGTTTATTCATCTTGTCGGCATCTGGCTTCAGCCATCGATCCGGGTTATATTCCTCCGCATCCTCTCCAAAGACTGTTTTATCGAGATGCACGACAGTCGGGTTAATTCCCACACGGACGCCGCCGGGAATCCACTGCCCCGAAATACTGCGACCATTTGATGGTACTTTTCGAGGCATTGTAAGTGCCACACTAGGATGCAAGCGAGCGCCTTCTTTAATACACGCGCTCAAATAACGCAGTTTGCTCGCTTCGTGGTACCATATATGCGGAAAGCTCAACTCGCCACGCTGTGTGGCCTGAGAAATCTCGTTGTTGAGGGCTGCGTAGACTCTCGGGTTCTTCAAGATATAGTATAAAGTCGTGGACAGGTGAATTGCTGTTGTATCACTCCCAGCAAAACTAAAAAGCTCTCAGTTTTCTCGATTCTTGCTCCGGGTATCAATCAAACTTACTATCCTCCAAAGGCCTCGAGCTTCACATCATCGATCTGGAAATCAAGCTTCTCGCCTTGATCTCGATGAATGTTATATACTTTAGATATAATATCAGTACGTCGAATCACACTGTCATCAGAACCCGATGCTTGAACATGACTCTGAACAGCAGAGTCTGCTGCGGTCGCTAGGTCATTCAAGGCAGACAGGGCCTTGCGGGTCTCGGCAAACAACACCCCAACAAGCATGAAGAAAGATCGGAGGTATGATGGCATGACAGCTGAAATGGCCATGGCCGGAATTAGTGTATCAGTGGACTTCATTATCCCAAGATGGTCGCCTCTTGCTTTCATTAAACCGAACATTTTGCTGAAGTAAAGCTCTCCAATAACATCGTAAGCGTACCTACTCTACTGTTAGATATTGATAATAATGAACTTAATAGTATTGCTCACATTCGTGTCCACTCGAGCAGGTCAATGGAAGCTTTGGCGTCTGCAACATCTTCAAGTTGCTGTAGTAAAACTTCTGTGCATTTATTAACGTAGGGCTCTGACTGAAGAATGCTCTGCATAGTATACACGCCGTTCACAATGCGGCGCCGCTGAGCATGGACTTTGTCATCTGTTGATGTAAGATGGTCTGGATATCGGGCTGTTGAGCAAATTATTTTAGTTCTGGTCAACAATGCTCATACTCCTGAAGAAATATCTCACTATATGGCGCGCGAAAAGCCAAATAGAAATCGCTCTACCGAAAATTCAGTTTCCTTTCTTGAAGCCAACGGCATTTCTTTCCCCCTCTTTCCTCTTCTTATTCGCTGACCTTTATAAAGCCTGAATTCACTCCATAAATGATTTTGATGGCCTCGGGGTCGCTTATCGAAAGCTCATTTGGGGCAATTCGCACAACATGGCCTGGTCAACAACGCTTAAAAGAGCACAAGCTTGAACTGGGTAGAGAATATCGTACCATACCGTGCATGCAGCAACCTTTGAGTCTCGTGGGGATTGCCGCGAATCACGGAGCGCACAATCCAGGCTCGTGACACAGAGGCCCAGAATGGACCTGGAAATCGTGCGAGTGGGTGGAACACCCGCGTGTAAACAATCCATCCCGTCCAATATGTAGCAAGCAAAAGGCCGAGGCCGTGCAGCAAGTCGTAGAATGTTAGTTTCCAGTCGAATATTTCGATGTCTCCCATTGTGAATCCGAACAACTGGTAGATAATAGACTGTAGGAGAGAAAGTTTTCAACCCATGTCAAGTTTGACCCGAGTATTCTTTATAAGTGGGCCCACACTAGACGTACGCATTCGTAGTAGTCTATTGGCTCTGATTAAATTGGATCATCCTTTGTACAGTATCGTTATCCCCTCGTCCGTCCCCAGGAACCACAATTAGCACGGTATCATTAGTGTATTATTTTGGCCAATCGATCGCGAGACTAAATTATATTGATATTTTATTGGATGTTTACGCTCCACTGGCTACTAAGTCTTCAACGCGTGGTTTTCTGAACGTGTCTCTATAACATTACCTACCAATTCGCCTACCAATCTATCTGCCAATCTGCCTACCAACCTGCCTACCAACCTGCCCGTAGTATATACAGTTTATATGGACAACTAATTCTCTACAGTTGCCCTTTGGTGCATGTGGTACTACACATAAGCAAGGTGGGATACCCTCTCAGCTTATTGAACTAAAAGGCCATATTCAATCTATTCCCTAGGGAAAATTGTATGCGTCTGAAGCAAAGGGAGTCCTCTGTCTCGCGTAGCAGGACTCTGTCTCGCGTAGCAGGATAATAATATAGTATTGCTACTATCTACTATCCATTCGCCATATCTCTACGTGCCCACCGAGCGAAAGCAGCCAGCAGTCACCTCTACTAATGCGGCTATTGCTCGCACACCTTTTAGTGATGAAATCAAGAAGCAATTAGAGATCACTATTGCTATCAAAGACTCTCACCATTCTATAAGTAGTGTTGATATAGCGACTCAGTATCGTGCTTCTTATGAACATCGAAAGACGAATCGTACTTTGTTTCCTATTCTTTTCTTCCTCCTTGATGCAGCAATTATAAATGCTTATCGCATTAAATATATCTATAAACAGCAGCAGCAGAGTGAGCTACCTAGCTAACTAGCTTTTCGCGAGAAGCTATAACAAGAACTCTTTGCCTTTGCAGCTTAATCACTACTCCCACTAAACTGGTAGATAGAGCTTAGAAATCACTAGTGGATTCAACTAGATACGCAGCAAGCTTGTATATGGTGTTAGTATATAGACTTATCTATTCCTCCTGGATATCATGATAAAATGCAATGGGAAATTAAGTCTGACCCCTGAAACATACTATTTATGCCGGGGTTACATGGTTCTTTTGTGTTAATTTAACGGGTTCGCTTTTATTGAGAGGCTAGGGACGCTAGGCTGAGTCGGCTCCTACTTAGTGGGGGGCTAGTGTCTTGAGTGGCGAGCCTTGCGAGAATTCATGGAAAAGAAACGGCAAAAGTGGCACGCTTCATACGCCCTAAACTTGACAAAGAACAGTCGTGTGAATTCTAAATCGCATCATCGATATTTATGAGTGTCTTGGTCTAGTACACAGCTTGATGGTTTATCCAAGGCGCACAGAATGACTGGGACAACAGTATTAGAAGGGCGGCCATACCCCGGTCAGGCTAAAATGGGACCAAAAGATCAAAAGACCTAATCGCCAGTTTAGATTGATTACTACGTGATCCTGGCGTCACCCTTGGGTCCTTGGGGTGTTGCCCGCGCGGATAGTGGACAGATTCCTCTTCTCTTCCTTGTGGCGATGACTACTTACATCTAGCGACAATGAACATGCGATGCCACAGAAAGGGGACCATTGTGCCCATCGTGCTGCTTCTGGCAGCAATAGCTAATGCATCAGATATGCCATCCTGCGCAGTGAGATTGATTCTAGTCCCTGGCTTTGAATTGTGCTAATAATCTACTTTAGATAGACTGCCCATGACGGCTATTGGAATCGAAGATTCGCCTTGCACTTTGACCAATACCACTTGTATCTGCGCAGATACCTCGCTGCAAGCCAATTTGACAGCTTGTGTGCAAATGACCTGCACCGTCAAGGATAGTCTAAGTAGGATACCGCTCATTTTAAGACCGAAGAAACATGATCAAATTTGCTGATCTATCAACTAAGCTACGGCAAACGCTACGAGTACCATGTGCCATAGCCCAATTCGCAACAAAGCCAATATCATCACCATCACAAATTCGGTGTTTGGGGGGTCAGCAATTGTTGCAGCCTTTATTCGAAGTCTGGAGTTCCGCAAGCATTTTGGTCTAGAAGACATCCTTGTGATATTTGGACTAGTAAGAACTTATCCGCAAGCAATCATGATGGCTTCTGTTGACTCTCGTAGCTTTTCAGTGTTGGAATGGGTATACTGGAATTTTTCAGTGAGTATTCCGCAGTCGTCGATGTACATTAACAAAAAAGAATTGAGCTGAGCTCTGCGATTTGATATCAATTGGGCTTTGATACGAACGAAGAAAATAAGAAAGAATAATTGGTATTTACTACAGTAAAACCTGTTTAGTACGGTTCAATGCTAAACTAATCGCTAGAGTCTAAGTCTCTAGCCTCTAGACTTTTTATGTAACGGAGCGAATCCTGAACCTTTAGAGTCCTGTCATTAAATCAGGTTATTGCCAGCGTATCACTGCTAATCCTGCAGTATACCTTAACCGCCTCTCTACCCCTCTCCTATTTATTATAAATAGCCTATTCTAGGGAACCTAAGAGTTCCCTCAGAATCAGTCTCGGTACTACTCATATGATATATATCTGTTCCTAAGACATCCTCGTCTTACTCAGTTAATAAGCCCTATCCTTTAAACGCTAGAGCCCCTATACTTTATAGTGAGACAGCGAGGTGGCCATTTCGTAGGTGCGAACTGGCGCAGGGCTAAGCCCCGTAGTGCGAGGAATCATGACCTTACATGGAACCACAGGTGTATTTAAACAGTCTAGAGGCTGGAGTCTTGGACTCTAGCGATTAGTTCAGCATTGAACCGTGCTACTGCTTCCTCCATTCTATTTCTCGAATCCACCTAAATCCCAAGACCCTCTTAACAGGGTCTAATAGAATTATCACCCCGTTCTTACCTCTCTCACCCTAGTCTCGAGACTTCTTACCTATATCACCTACACTTACCCTAGAGTGCCGCTTAAGTGGTGAGGGCGCATTGACTATTGACTGCGTAGAATACTCGGCTTAAATACGGCTGAGCGGACGAGAAGCCCTATTTCCCACACCCTATGGTCGTATGTATTGGGATAACATGCTAAAGGGACATACATCCTTACTACGCTCCTTGAACAGGACGCTCTCATCCATCCCTCGTAGTCGTACCTCGATATCAAACTGGAATCTCAACCACCATTACTACACTTAATTCAGGAATATACAAAAATCGAATAATTTTTTTCAAGTATTTTTATTGGCAAATTCACTTTGAACAGCAACATGTCCATATAGATCCTAAACAATGATAACTAAATGGGCATAAAAGAAAAACAAAAGAAACAAGTCAACAAGGTAAAACCGCGGATTGAAAAGAGATATAAATAGATGGTTAACGCCCATGAAAGATGCCATCTCCTGGTCCATAATCCTCTAAAAACTTATGCTTGTAACAGTGCATATAATGGTCAAAGGTCCCTTTTCGGAGCAGTCCCTTGCGCTCAAGTCTAAGCATCAGGTAACAAGCCCAGAGCTGGCAGCTCTGTAACGGAATCTTTTCCGCCTCTTTTGGGACAATGATTCTGTCATCTGCAGGAATGATACCGAGATAGTGCGTGTCTTCGACTTGCCAGCTATTAAATCTCTTGTCAGGTTCTATAGACAATCGACGATTGCCCTTGTAGCCAGTGCTGTGGAGCCGGATACCACGGGTAGCACCTGGACACTTCATAAATATCAACCAGTGAACGGCACCGTCAGGTCCCGGCTTGCAAATTTGAATGTAGAGTTCACGGTGGTCGTGATCGATTGTTCCTTTACAAGGTATGCTGTGGACGGGACACGCGGTTGGCCCTCGACTAGGCATAGCTGCGATGAAGGTTGCTAGCGGTTGATACTTGTAAAAAGGTGCGAATAGTTCGAATGATAGAGTGATAGAATGAGAATATTGAAAATGTTTTGAATGTGAAGACTGTTTGCTGTGGTGGTGAAGTTTATTTCGAGGGATGACTCGATCATTCTTATAGACATCCCTTGAGTCTATCCACTCTTGGTGTGTACAATGGGCGAGGAAAGTCTTTTGTTAGGCTTCAATAAACAAATCCTTTGTCTTTGTTACTCGACTTCGTGCACAAAGACTATATGTAATCTCTTTGACTAGCCTAAAATAGCGAGCAAGCATTGTGTCTTCCTATATTAGATGATATTGTGTCCTTCAAGTGAAAGGGTCGAAAGGAAACTCTTCTTTGTGGCGTAGAAAGAAATCAACAATAGTCAATAATGATACAAGGCCTAAGATAGCTCACTGTCTCAAGTGTATATTCACTCTGTCATGTTTGCTCTAAGAAAAGAGGGTCGATAGCTATTGTTGTGGTACCTAGGTAGCAATTTGGTAATCTTTGACAAGATATTAGCTGCAATTTCATATTACTAAAAATGCTGTCTTCATGAAATTTGTGTCTACTGTTCAAATATAGAGATTCAACTGATCGGGGCAGTTAGATAATTTAGATCCCCTGTTTCACATCTTTTTTATGTAGCCTGTGTGAAAGCGATGGTTTGATCAATACAACGGCTTGTGTTTATGTCTTCTTACCACACCTGAACCAATTCGCGACCTGATCAAAAGGTTTACCGCAGGTGCATGAGAGTGGCAAGATGGATCCATGGGAATTGTTCGCCGGGATGCCAATTGTTTCCACTCGGCCATTCGGGTATGATAGGTGGGTCTACTGCCACTCTAGAACAGACTAAGAAGGCAATCAATTCGTCCTGGCGAAAAGAAATGAACAAAGCAGAAAGATTCGCTTTGGCACCAATTGCTCACAGCAAGAACTTGGCTCAAGAATCCGACATTGAGCTTCTGGATCATTTGTGTCGACCGAAGCTGACAGGTTCTGGAAACTTCGGATGGATTTCCATTGCCAGATTTGTCATCTGGTTAAGGGATTCCTGGGCAGAGGAGCGGACGAAAATCACCCCATTAATTTAGTTTGCTATTGATATCCCCTTTGCCATCCTCTTTGGGCGAGCAATATGCTTCTCATCTCATATATGCGAATTAATCTTCCAAATTATGACACTCTTTCTCCAGATAAGTATATCTAGGTAGGCATAGTAGACAACGGACTGAGCCCCACGGGGTATCTGCCCGATTCAAAACACGTTAATCTATATTCGGCCTCTAATTTCCAAGAATAGACCAAATGATAGATCACCTGACGCGGCCTCGGGTATTTTATACGAAAATGGTAGTTTGTACTTCCCCTTTATATAGCTTCCCTCCTTTTCAGCTAGCATAGGATTGACCTAGAGTTTTTGGCTATATCTCCGGTCTCCCATAACCAACTCAGTGCCATTTCACTAGAAACAAAATTTCGACCACCACTGAACGTCCTGATAATGACTCCAGTCGCATTGTCCGAGGACAATCCTTTGCAGCCGTTAATCGCGGAAGTAAATGGCGATCCGGTAAGTATCTACAAGATATGCTCAAATCTACGCAAACGCACTTGCCTTTGAGTCAGATAAAATGTACTATATACCAATTTGAGCTGATCTTGGATTGTGTATGTGTTGATCATGAACTAATCCTCCTTCGATTATGGAACTAGGCACAACTGCAATTGCGTTACGAAAACCACCGAGTGGCCCGTAACAACCAGCAAAGAGAAAAGATTTTAGCGGACAGCTTTTCTGGTTGGTCTATCGATGAGATTTTGAAGCGATTGGACGGTCCGGCAAAAGAGGATGGGTTTGTTGATCCTCGAAACTGTCTTGTGATATGGGCTAGACCCTCACCTCAAGTTCGCGACTTGATAGGTTTTGTTCAAAATGAACTGAAGAGTGTCGCCCCTTGTAAGATCATTCGCATGCAATCATTCTTTAAACAGCTTGTTCTACGCTGAGACTAGAGCTGACATTGAGAGACACAGCTCTTTGGTTGATGCCTCTCGAAAACCTTCATATAACTGTCTTGGAAGCAGCACACTCCTTGACAGAAGGGGAAATCGAGGAGCTTGTTCAAACTCTTCGGTCGTCTGAGGATATCACTGCTTCCCAGATTGCAACATACCCACTGAACCACCCTACGCGCCTTATCAAGCCCATGGTGAGCTTTGATTCCGCCGCACTAGCACTCAGCTTTGTTCCCGCTGCTGCTGAGTGTTCAAAGACGGAAGCTAGCACGGACAGTGATTATTACACATACCATCATCTTCGTCGGGACATCTTCGACATGGTACGACAAACTAAGGTCCCTGTGGCTTCGCGGTATAGTGTTCCCTCGGCACATCTTACCATCGCACGGTTCATCAACCAGAATGGGTTTACCGTGGATGGAGAAGATGGTGTAGAGAAAGTGGATGCTTCGAGCGTCAAGTTGTTTATTGATAAAATTGGGGAGATCAATCAAAAACTGCAGACTGAGTACTGGCCTCGGGAGGGTGCCATTAAGGAAGGTGGTGAATGGATTGTTGGGCAAGAGTGCCTAACTATTCGCAGGGGTCGGGTCTGGTATGGTGGTGGTGAAACTGTGACACTTGACTAGATGTACGTATGTTTGAGTAAGTAGACAGCAGGTCCTTTTGATACAATTAGATGGATGGAGATGGTTGGAGAATGGCCCGGGGGCTAGTATAGAATTATTAGAATGATAATTAGTTAACAAGGTTGTATCTGAACCCTAATTTCTAAAGCAGAAAGGACATAGGGGGGCGCTAAGTGGATTGGCTAGTCCTAAATTAGACTGACCTCTTTCTACTCCTCACTCCACCTGAGCATCTCCATTTGGACGCTGTGATCAATATCACATTGAAACAGCAATGGGAAAGTCATGGAGCCAAAGTGTGTGGATTCCAAATCCCCCGATAACAGAGAAGAATGTCTCTGATCAGAGTGGAAAGGTGACCATATTGACAAAACGATGAACAATATGTATAACTCGCTCACAATCTCTCAGGTATTCATGATAACAGGAGGCAACTCAGGCGTGGGATTTGAGCTGGCAAAAGTCCTGTATGGTGCGAATGCCAAAGTCTATATAGCTGGTAGATCGGGAAAATGCGTGCTAGAAGCTATTCGGCTTCTCCGTGCTGAGATCCCTAGTTCTGGGGGCGACTTGGTTTGGTTGCCGTTGGATCTGGCCGACTTGACTTCTGTCAAGATTGCAGTTCAAGAACTTGAGAGAAATGAAACCAGACTCGACGTGCTTTGGAATAATGCAGGTGTCATGTGCACTCCTGTCACGGTCAAATCAGAGCAGGTACCATTCTTCATCCTGCACCCATACACTAACAAATCTCGACATTGAGCTCACCACTACATATATTGCATAGGGATATGACCTTCAAATGGGCACAAACGTGCTCGGGCCTTATCTTCTTACCACCTTACTGCATCCGATAATGAGGAACACGGCAGAGACTGCCCTAATTAGCTATGTGAGGGTATGTTGGGCCAGCTCGATTACAATAGAGTTGTCTCCTCGAGGTGGAATCGAATTTGATGCTTCCGGATCACCGGTACTATCTAACACCAAATACACCAATTACTTTGTTTCCAAGGCCGCGAATAATCTGCTGGCATGGGAGTTTGGGAAGAAATGCCAGAAAGAAAACATCCTGAGTATTGCAAGTGAAAATATATCCCTATTTCTTATGCTGCAACAGTCTGCTTGCGTACCGATAGTGAATTTTTCCAGGCTTTTAATCCTGGTAACCTCGACACAGGACTGACTAGGTACCTGACATTACCCATTGTTGGATCGATCGTACCTCGTCTCATAAGTTTGGTGATGTGGCCACCTTGTTACGGCGCTTATGACGAGCTCTACGCGGAAATTTCTCCTGACTTGACCATTGCAAAACTCACTGGTGCATAAATATGGCTATGGAGTCATGTGGGGTATCTGCGCTCGGAAATTGAGAATTCTTTGCGAACAGAGGATGAAGGAGTTCGGGGAAAGCTGTAAAGCTCCTAGTGTGGTGCGAGAAAGAAATTATTGGCTTTACTTGAACAAAGGCCATACTTAGAGCTATATTTACTCCTCTCCTATCGTATTTTGTCTACTGAGGATAGTGAGACTACCTAGGTATGCAGAATTATGTTTCTGGTCTGGACAAATTTGTTGAGCATCAACCTTCAGGAAGCAGCCTTGCCTATATATATCTTCGTACGACGTAGCACAGCCACTCGGTTACGGCGAGAAATGTTCAGGTAGGGTTAATCTAATTGACTTTCAAACATCAAGATCAAAGATGTTGATCTTATCCCACCACGGGAGCAGGTTACGGTGTTGTATGGCGGTGACGATAACCAAAGTGTATGAACTTGGAAAGCGAACACGATTAGCAACGAGGATGTAAGCAGCCAGATTGGGGTTGATGTAAATTAAATTCTACGATATAAACAAATCGGCACAGTTGGCATTGCGAGGTCAAAAGGTCTAGACCGCAATGGAAATTATATCTAGAATGGCTTCCCCGAATATTCAATCCCCAATAACTAGTGGGCGCAACATACTATGCAAAACGGCATTTGCGCACAGACGACAACTAAGAGGAAATCTTGATTTCGGAAGATGATAACCGGAGAATTTCCTGTGGGCCAGGCGATCTAACGGTGCTACAAATAACTAGTACATGCGCTAGGAATAACTACTAGATGGATTTCTCTAAGCGACCGCACCCATAACCATATAAAGGCACGCCATGGAATTAAAAGTAAAGGATGAAACACGACAATTTACTCTGCCTTGAATTCTTCGATTCTTCGAATCCTTGAATTTTGATGATATCAGCCAATGACTTGTGTGGCTGAACACTCCACTTAAATAATATATTAAAAATGATCTCATCGGCCGAGACCGCGCTCATACCTCTCTCTATGTATCTGACATGTACTTTGGCCTTCATGACCCGAAATCCATTTGTTTATCTATGGTTACGCAAATATTGTAGCTGGTTGCTGGAAATCGTCATTTGTGTAAGGATATCACTAGAAGTTGATTGTATACAATGGTTTTCGACGTCGCAGACATTATCTACAATTGTACTCCGTAGGCAAACAAATATTGAGTTTGTATTATAGTTGCACAACGGTTTGGATATTAAAATCTGATGTAATGATGATTCGGCTTTTCGATACATTAGGTATAATATATAATAAAAATATCAATTTTTGCAGGATTCTTTTTCATCAGCCACGAGTGACAGCCTGACAGTGCGGGAGGCAAATTCATAGTGGATTCTAACGTTGTCTGATCCATCGCTGATTCGTTCGCCCACACTTTTTCCACGTTTGAGATAACGTGGCTTCGGAGACTATCCCATGGATCGAAACATTCTGACATTTAACAGGTCGTACTGCTATTACAACCGGAGAATTTGTGAACTATTGCTTGGAACCTTGGCTTTTGGAACTTGTTCCAGGCCAGGAACATGACATACTTGATTTCAATAGCTGTATGATCTATCTAGTCCCATTCTTGTAGGACTGTATCATTCGTGCAACATCGGGAACATTGAACGCTTAGTTCATTTCCATGAGAATGTCGGTGCCTCCGAGTAATAGAAATCAATCGAGTCATGCTTTCCTGTATATAGCACAGAGGTATAACTCCACTCTGCTGCGATACCCCCGATTTAGCCACACAACCCCGCCATATCCCAGTCCCGAGTCTCTGATTCGCGCACCCACGCTGCAACACTCAATGGATCATCGCTGTCTAGACGTACCTCCACCTAGACAGGTCGTCTCATCGACCCACTCCATGCAGCCGATGATGCTACTAACCGCCCTACCACTCTAGTCACTGCACCGTGCACAAGACAGATCAAATTGGACACGATCATCCCTTAAACAGGGATTGGAACCAACAAAAAGAAAAACAGAAAATTAGAGTGAGCTATGATATCAATGGCCCATGACGTAGTAGGCTCTGCAAGTATCTTACCTGGTCATGGCATATATAGATAGAGCTTCGATGTCGAGTCGATGATATCAGAATCCTTGAACTCTGTATAAGAACACCAATACTCTCGAACCCCTCTGAACGTTCCTGATTATTATTTTATTATTATTTTTTATTCCAACAAGAAACATACCTACCTCAGTTCCCGAGCCCTACTGTCCTCGGAACTATTGTACATTATAATCCTTACGTTTTAACGAACTATACGCAACGCCCAACGAACACAACTGGGCCTCGTACGAACAAGGCATCATAGCGCTCAACCTGCCACCAATCAAGCAAGCTTAAAGAAAAAAAATGTCTTCCCCCGCCCCCAAAGCTCCGCCAAAGCTGGGCTCCAAAGCCGGCACCCCGGCCAGAGCCCGCAAAGCCTCCGGCTCCAGCGCAGCCTCCAAACCCAGCGCCCCGGCGACCCCCAAGTCCACGAAGAAAGCCACACCCCGCAAACTCTCCCAAAAAGCCCCCGAACCAATCGAGGACGACGAAGAAGAGCAATCGATTCCCGAAACTCCCTCTCCCAAGTCAAAGAAGAAGACCGAGCAGCGTCGCCCCGTTTCTCCTCCCGATGACGCCTCAGAGGCCCCTTCTGCTTCCGGTTCCGCTGCACCGCTCGGCCGCGCTGCTTCGGGCCTCTCTGGCAAGGCCAAGAGCGCTGTCGGCAAGGCCAAGGACACCGCAGAGCAAGGCGCAGAGCAAGGCGCAGAGCAAGGCGCAGAGACTGTTCAGAATGGCGCGAAGGAGGCTGCTGGTAGCATTCCTGTGCCGTTGGATCTGGCTGCGCTGAAGGGCCTTGAGGTTGTGGATGGCGGAGAGATCCTTAGCCAAGATGGAACCCCTATTGGCAAGGTTGTCGAGGGAGATCCGGAGGATCTCGTTGGACAGACCGTTGGCGATGATGGAGAAATCATCGACGAGGATGGTGATTTGATTGGTCGCGTTGATATCCTGCATGATGTCGCAGACAAGGCCAAGGATGCTGTTCCTGAAGAGGCGCAGTCCAAGCTTGGAGAAGCTGATCTGGAAAATGTTGTTACGGATCTTGCTCAGCTTGATGGTCTGCCTGTTTCTGATGGCGGTGTTATCAAGAACGCTGCTGGTCAGATTGTTGGCCGCATTGTTGAGGGTGATCCAGAAGATCTCATTGGATATACCCTCAATGATGATGGTGAAATTGTCGATGAGGATGGCGATGCCATTGGTCGTGTCGATCTCATCCCTGTCGAGGAGCAGAAGAAGGCCATTGAAGAAGCTACTGGCGATGTCGCCGACAAGGCTGATGGCGCCAAAGATGACCTCGAAGATCAGTATGAAGATGCTGAGGATGGCCTTCCCACCGATCAGGTTAAGGACGCTGCTCCCGATGCCGAAGGCACCGTCGACCAGGCCAAGTCCACTGCCGAAGATGTCGCTTCTGACGCCGAAGACGCTGTCTCTGACGTTGACGATGATGCCGTTCCAGACGTTGATGACGCCAAGAAGACCGTTGATGGCACTGTCGATGATGCCAAAGACACTGCCGAAGACGGAAAGATCGAGCTCGAAGACAAGGTCGACGATGCCAAAGATATCGCCGAGGGTGCAGCCGATGATGCTCAAGACACTCTTGACGGAGCGAAGGACGCCGTGGATGGGACTGCCGAAGATGCCCAAGATAACCTCGAAGACACCGCCGAAGAGGCGAAAGATGGCGCCGAAGGTGCGGCAGAAGACGCCCAGGACACCCTCGATGACGCCAAGGAGACAGCTGAGGAGACAGCCGAGGATGCAGCCGACGAAGTCCAGCAGGAGCTTCCCGATCTCTCGACCCTCGAAGGCCTCAGCTGCAACAAGCGCGGCTACATCATCGACCAAGCAACCGGCAAGCCAGTCGGCGAGCTCACCGAAGGCGATGCCAAGAAAATCGCCAAGCTCGGCGCCACCCTCGATGACAAGGGTCAGTTCTGGGATAACCGTGGCAACGTTATCGGAAAGGCAAAGACGCTCCCCATCGAAGAAGACGACGACGAAGAAGGTCCGTTCTCCGGATTGGAGGGTCTAGTCGTTGGCGAAGACGGCTTCATCGAGGACGAGAACTCCACCCGCGTCGGACGTCTTGTCGAAGGTGACGCGAAGAAGCTTAGCGGCCGTGGCGTTGATGAGGATGGTGAAATCCTCGACCGCAAGGGTAACGTCATTGGTCGGGCTGAGCGGCTCGAACCTGAAGAGGAGGAGCCCGAGGAGGCTGGGCCTGATTTCTCTGCTGTCAATGGCCTGACTTGCAACAAAGCCGGATATGTCATCGGTCCTGAAGGTTACCCCATTGCTCGTGTTGTTGAGGGTAATCCCAAGGAACTCGCCGGGAAGAAGATCGAGGATGGCGAGATCTACGATGGCAAGAAAGTTGTTGGTCGTGTTGAGCTCATTCCTGATGATGAGCTTGATAGTCGACCTGAAGGTGTCTTCGCTGGCATGGAAAGTCTATATGTCACCAAGGATGGATTCGTCGAAGACGACGAAGGATCCATTGTCGGTAAGCTTGTCGAAGGAGACCCCAAGAAGCTTCGTGGTCGTGCCGTCGATGAGGATGGTGAGATCACGGATAAGTACGGCAATGTCAAGGGCCGAGCTGAGCCTTATGAGGTCCCCGAGGAGGAAGAGGAAGTCCCCGAGGAGGTGGATCTTTCTATCCTCGAGGGCAAGGTTGTGAACAAGTCCGGCAACGTTGTTGATCCCGCCACTGGTGCTGTCGTCGGACGCATTGTCGAAGGTGACAAGCGCCTCGCTGGTCGTAAGGTCGACGGCAAGGGCCAGATCTGGGGCGACAACGGCCAAATTATCGGTCGTGCCGAACTGATTCCCGGAGCTGAAGAGAACAAGGCTGAGGGACCTTTCTACGGCTTCGACAACGCAACCGTCGGCAAGGACGGAGTTGTCCTGGACGGCGAGAAGATCATCGGCCGCCTTATTGAAGGCGATGCGAAGCGTCTCCTCGGCCGAAAGGTCGATGAGGACGGTGATGTCGTCGACAAGAACGGCAACACGATCGGCAAGGCCGAGCGCTGGGAACCAGAGGAGAAGAAGCGAGATGTGAACCCCATGTCTGGTCGCAAAGTCAACAAGGAGGGCGAAGTCCGCGACGCTGATGGTAACCTTATCGGCAAGCTGACCCACGGCAACCTGGCCACCCTTGTTGGCAAGGTCATCGACGACAACGGATACGTTGTTGACAACGATGGCAACAAGATTGGCGAGTGCACCTTGCTCGAGAACATTCCTGAGCCCGAGCCTGAGCCCGAGCCTGAGGTCGAGGAAGAAGGTCCCTCAGCTGAAGAGCAAGAGGCCGCCGCGAAGGCCGAGTCTGATCGCCAACTTGCTGAGAAGATGATCTTCATCCTCAGACAGACTCTTGATCAAATCAAGCCCGTTTGCAAGCAGATCACAGATGTAAGTTTCTACTCCCCAAAGCAGGATGAAATCATTTTACTAACAATCCACAAGGCCATCGAGAAAGCCGACCGAACCCCCAAGGATGAACTCGACGAAGAAAAGCTCGTCCAACAAGTCAAGCCCTTGCTCGAGGAAGGCGGCCGTATCCTGCAGGAATGCAACGGCTCAATCCGCGCCCTTGATCCCGACGGACGCATCGCTGCGACTGCCAAGGCCCGCGCCGCATCCCGCGATGCCACGCCAGAGGAGTACCAGCTTGCAGACCTGCTTAAGGAACTCACTGAGACGGTTGTGAAGACGATCGATAACGGCAAGAAGCGTATTGCTGATATGCCTCACGCCAAGAAGAAGCTGAGCCCCCTTTGGGCTTTGCTTTCTGAGCCTTTGTTCCAAATCATTGCTGCCGTTGGTTTGTTGTTGACTGGTGTGCTTGGACTTGTTGGTCGTCTTCTTGATGGTCTTGGTCTTGGTGGATTGTTGAATGGCTTGCTTGGTAGTCTTGGATTGAACAAGTTGATTGATGGACTTGGTCTGGGCAGTTTGACTGATGCTCTCGGACTCGGTGGGAAGAAATAAAAATTACAGGAATGTTTCGTGTTTGAAGTTGTTGTTGGTGTTGTTTTTTTGTTATTGTCTGCTTTGCTTCTGCTTTTGTCAGCGATGATGCTTTTCTGCATGGTTTTGATTCCCTGTATGTACGATGAAATCTGCTTCTTGTGAAGAAGTTTAATGAACTTGAATATTTTTTGGACATTGATATTGGAACTTCGGTTTCAGCTTTTCTTTGTACATTGCAATGTAGAGTCCAGAACAAATACACAGTAAGTCAAGGCAGATGATGGCCTAGGAAAATTAACTTTCTATATCGGTGGATTTCTTTTTTTCATGATCTATTCACAAATTATTAGTCTCGTAAGTACAGGTACGCAGTTCTATGCGTTTTTTTTCGTCAGTTTTCCCTTATCCGTCTCGTATCCAATGTCTCATCAGAATGATTCAGATTGAGATAGTAACAAGAAATGCTGAAGGGATATGCTCATAATTACAATGGGGATTTGAACATTTAAAAGTAAACAATGTACCACTCAGGGCACTTTTGGGGCGATTTTGATGAGATGATGGGCCAATAACACTACAGTCAACCATTGCTCAGTTATTCAGCGGCGCCACGGAGACCAATCTAATGGGTCTTGGAGGTATCTGTCGAGGCCCGCGGATCAACGAGCGGGGCTTCACCAGCAAGATTGCGGTATGCTCTATCGCGAGCAGCACCGCGGTCCTTGCGGATGGTAAGGCAGTTGATACCCAAGAAAGCGGTGATGCGGTTGATAACAAGCACAGCCCAGTGCATGTAGATAACAAACGCGAAACCGAGGTATGCCCAGACGTACAGAAGTTCCAACCAGGGGGCAATGGCCGGGAAGCCCAGGAAAGGCAGGTTGACAAGGACGGAGCCAACGACCAGCGGGGCAAGCAGGATAGTCCAACATGGGAAGGGTTGTCTAATAAGGTGGGCCAAGATGATCATGGTGGTCATACGTCCAAAGACAAAGGCGAGGACCCAGCAGAACAGAACGAGGTGGTTACCAGACAAGATGGTCGAGTAGGGAGAGAAAAGCCAAGCCATGTTGCAACCAGTGAAGACGACCATGGGGATCCACTCCTTGAGCAGTGGGGTGAAAGGCAGACCCTGCTTCTTGCGGGCGGCAGCCACATTGAGAACACATCCGGGCAGATGACCCAGGAAGAATCCGACCAACAGAATAGGAACCCAGAGGTCCTTGATGGAGTTGGTGCCAAAGATCTGGGGCCAATTAATGAGATCGGTAATAGGTTGAGACCAAATGCCAGGTCCCCAAATTCCGGAAGCGACCATGATGCTGATAGCGATCAGAAGGCCCTCAGTCGGACCGTTGAAGTAGCCGAGGTAAAGGGTGTGGGTGTGGAAGGTTTCCCATGTCGAGAAATACATGGCTAGACAAGGAACAATAGCAGTCCAAGCACCAAGCTGGGTAGAGCCAAAGCCCATTGCCGCGGTCGAAAGCAAACTGGCCAGGGTGCAGTTCAGAGAGTCGATACCGTGACTGTGTACCTGATTAGTGAAGCGTCCATGGCTTGTCAACGGGTGGTACAAACTCAAATAATTCTCCGAGTCCGCTGGATGTTCCAGTGCGGCGTGCCTGTTTACCATCGACATTGTCGAGAGTAGAGTACCTATTACTTGTTAGATTGTATCTTCACAGATGGGTTCCAACACAAGCTGAACACTCACATCCACATGCCAAGAGCGAAGCTGAAGTAAATCCAACCGGGACCCTATCAAAGGTTTGGTTAATTCGCCACTCCGACACGTGTTGTGAAATTTTAAAGGCAGACTTACAGGTCCCACCATATCAGGGACAGCAATCTCAATCAAGAAGACATTGGCGACAATCCACATGAATCCGAGAAGTGTCACCATGTTGGGGGCCATCCACATTGGCACAACCTCGACGAATGCATTCCACTAAGCACAAAGAATTAGTTAACGAGGTTACTTCGAACGGAATTCCAATCCATCTTTCATACATAATGCTTCAAGATGTAGTTCGAAATAAATGATTTGTCGACACTCGAATACTTATAGGACTTAAGGGGTAGGAGAGCATCGTCGGAGAGCGAGTCTTGGGTCTCTGTTTGAAAATACTGGATCAGCAAAAGGAACCATAAATCTGTATATGCACATCGGTCATAACCTACCTTGGACCATCCGGTAGATTGCGCTCATTTTTTTGGAGATTGCACGGTGTCACACGCGCGGAGTGGGCAAGTGTTGTTGGTAGTATACACCGACCTTGAGTACCATGAAAGAACAAAAAGAGAACGATTGCAATGCAAATCAAATCATTTGAACAGGATATCCAGAATGTCCAGAATGTCCAAAAATACATGGAGAAAAGGGGAGCGTCAGTGTCTCAAGATGGGGTTTTCGGGAGTCGACGTCACGTGCCTCCGCATCGGGAAACGCGAAGCTTGAGTTGAGACCCTCGCGAGACTTGATTGTTTGGACATTGTTGCTATTGTCGCATTTATACTTAATTCAGTTCTTTGAATCATCTCTTACTCAATCAAACACTTGGGGGTTTGATTCACCTCTGGACATCCCTATTGAGGCCTTTATTGTCCTCGATCTTATCTTGCTTGCGCAAACTGCTTTCCCCGTCACTTCGAATAAGCTTGACTTTGCGCCTCACATTTTCTCACTATCCTCGGAACTTACCACCTTGCTCGATTATCCTTCGCCGCATCGACGCTACAACCAAACGTCCTGTCTGGTTGGACATGACGGTGGATGGTCCGCACAGCGCTCCAGGCGCATCTCGTCACTGAGGAATCTTAACGATGCCGGGTGTTATCGAAACCTCCGCTAGTGCCATGGCACGCCCAAACTTAGGCTTCAGCGTGGGGCATCAGAAGGTTGAGTTAGATATTGATCTAGCAACAAAAAGTCTGAAAGGAAATACCGAAATCACGATCCATCCACGCCGCAAGGACCTGACAACCATCTGGTTGAATTTTCGACAGGGAGATATCAAGCGTGTGAGCGTCAATGGAAAATCTGCTACTGCCAGATATGCAGACCCTTACGAATCCCTTCAACTCTACGGAGTGCAATACCACGAACGTCTCACACAAAATATCGATGGACTTTTACAGACACCCCCGACACCTACACTGCCGATCACAATTCCCAAAAACGTTCGCATCGATGAACTAGATCCATCTTCCGCAGAGGCCCAGGATCAGATTGCGCTACAATCCACCGCCGATGATGTGGATGGAACTGCCGGTGTCCGGGCCCCGGAAGCGAATCTCCCGCGCTTCACGTCTTTGACTGTGAACATTGAATTTGTCATTGATAAAATCCGAGATGGCCTTCAGTTTGTGGGTGTTGAAAATGGAGATAAGCGGTATCCTCATGCGTATACGACCAACTCCTTGGAGTCTGGTATCGGCTGTCCCCTGTTCCCTTGTGTGGACGATACAGCTTCGCGGTGTACTTGGGAGATCTCCATCACATGTCCTAGCTCGCTCGGAGATGTTTTCGACCGCAAATCTCGTGATGCGTTCGGCTCAGCATCGTCACGCCCCAAGGTGCAGACCCATCAACTCTCTGTGGACGATGAAGGTCTCGACATGTCAGTGGTGTGCTCTGGTGACCTGACGGATGACATTGTCGATCCCAAAGACCCGAGTCGGAAGACAGTCTCATTTGCATCATACTCTCCATTGGGAGCTCTTCAAATTGGATTTGCAATCGGCCCGTTTGAATACGTCAACTTGGCCGACTTTCGTGAAAGTGACCAAGACGAACAACTAGGTCAAAATGCCATTCCTCTGCACGCATTTTGCCTGCCTGGTCGAGCAGATGAGGTTCAAAATACCAGCTTCCCCATGGCCCAAGCAATCGACTTTTTCTCTCTGTCTTACGGATCCTACCCATTCGGCAGTTACAAGATATGTTTTGTCGATGATCTGGCTACTGAAAGCCTGCCCACTGCGTGTTTTTCCATATGCAGCAGCCATCTTCTCTTCCCCGCGGAGATAATAGACCCTATGTACGACTCTACTCGGGCCCTGGTACATGGTCTCGCATGCCAATGGACAGGAATCAATATTATTCCCTACGAACCTGCGGACACCTGGGTGACGGTTGGTGTGGCATGGTACATCACAGATACATTCATGAGGAAGCTTTGTGGAAACAACGAATACCGTTTCAGGCTCAAACAAATGTCTGACAAAGTCTGTGACCTGGATTATGAACGTCCTTCGATCTATGATATGGGCAACATCCTCAAGGTTGATCCCTCGGAGTATCGTTTCGTTGCGCTCAAAGCGCCTCTGGTTTTGTTCATCCTGGATCGCCGTCTGACGAAGGCAAGTGGTAAGGCCACGATGTCTCGTATCATTTCACGACTGTTCCTCAATTCTCGTATGGGAGATATCCCCAACGGTGCAGTCACTTCCTCCTTGTTCCAAAAGACATGTGAGCGACTTGGACACGCCAAACTTGATGTATTCTTCCAACAGTGGATTTATGGCGCTGGCTGCCCTCGCTTTCAAGCTACACAACGTTTCAACAAGAAGAAGCTTGTTGTCGAAATGATGATCAGACAGGTCCAAGCTGAGCCCCAAGCTCCCCGGGACCTGGAAAAGGACGCTTTCCTGCGGGATGTGAAGGAAGAGGTCCGGCATGTCTACGCTGGCGCAGTCCAACCGGTCTTCACGGGTTCAATGACCCTTCGGATTCACGAAGCAGATGGAACTCCTTATGAGCACATTGTTGAAATCAAAGAAGGAACAACAAAGTTTGACATCCCATACAATACTAAATACAAGAGGTTGAAGCGAAACAAAAAGCAGAGAGAACGAGCTGTGGCTTCAGGCGAGACCGAGGTACAGGAAGAGGTTCTACTCTACTGCCTGGGCGACGTGCTTCAAACAGAGGAAGAAACGAAGGCCTGGAAATTGGCTGACTGGACCAAGGAAGATGAAGAACGAATGGGACAAGAGTCATACGAGTGGATTCGAATGGATGCCGATTTTGAATGGATCTGCAAATTGTCGCTTGGAATGCCAGGGTACATGTATCTCTCACAGCTTCAGCAGGACCGAGACGTCGTAGCGCAACTTGAGGTGAGTTTTCGTCCTTTCCCCAAAATGCTGAAATATCAAGCTAATACCACCCGCAGTCCTTGCAATACATGGCCGCTCAACGCGAGCATCCCTTGATTTCTACCATTTTTGTCCGGACCCTCATGGACAGTCGCTACTTCCATGGTATACGTGTTACGGCTGCGCGCTCCTTGGTCAAACATGCCAAGGATGAAGTTGGGTGGGTTGGATTGGATCATCTTGAATTCGCATTCCAAGAACTTTTCTGTCTACCGGGATCACCAATGATCCGCTCGAATGATTTCTCCGATCGAGCTGCATACATTCTGCAACAAGTTATCCCTGAGGCCATGTCCAAAGTTCGTGATAATAGCGGCAAAACTCCTTTCCGGGTAAAGCAATTCCTGTTTGACAAGCTGAAGTTCAATGACAACTCCAACAATGAGTACTCAGACAACTTCTATGTTGCCTCGTTGATGAAATCACTGTGCCATGCAATGCTTGGCAGGGGCGAGTCAAGAGCAGACGAAGAATTAGACCACTTCGACATGGAGCGTGTTCTTAAGGCACAGGCTGAAGAGCAACTTGAGAAGGATGCAATTGCAGAGTTCGATCGTTACCGGCGAATGGATGAATGGTCAAGCTCATTCCAAAATCTTTATTCCAGAGCTGCACTCCACTGCCAGGCGCAATTGATGCAAGCAAAGATGCTGGACATGGATCTGATGCGTTTTATCCCATATACGCGGGCAGGAACTTACGATCTCCTCCGAATGCAGGCTTTCAGTTGCCTCGTCGACCTTGATATCTCACAAAGCCCTGATCTGCTCCGATGGCTTATGTTCACATTTTCGGCCGATTCTTCGGCCTGGATCCGTCATCAGGGGTTGCGCCTGTTTGGTCAAACCTTGGCACAGATCGCTTTCGGGCGTCCTGTGCAGCAGGAAGCCTCGCAAAACGACGGCTTGATCATCGAACAAGAATCCACCACAGATATCCGCCGGGACGATATTGCACGTCGCAAGACGATCCCAGGTGCTATCGAGGCCCTCAAGCGAGAGCTGAGCGACGATGCCGCCATGAAGGAGTATATGTGGGCAGCTTGCAACTCCCCGGTCATGGGCCTACTGGAGCTCTCCGAGCTCACCGATCTGATTCGCGTTCTGTATGACGTGAGCACGACCAAGTTCGTACGCATGAAGCTGCCTCGATACTGGAGTGTCCAAAACCTGGGCAATGGAAAACTACGCTTCTTCCGCTCCGCTAAGACGCGCATCGGTCCGTCTGTCAAGCGCAAGCGTGATGACCAAGGCATGCAGCCTCCTTCCTCTACCCGCATCACCTTCAAGCAGTCCAAGACTGGTCTCACGCCCAGCACACCTATTGCAACCTCTCTACCCAAACTTCACATCCCAAGACCCTCCCCTGCGCCGAGTGGAACGCCAAAAACTCCGGCTACGGGTACTCCCAAACTGAAACTCAAGTTCGGAGGAAGACCTGCATGAATATCCTGAATCTATGTTACTTCTATTAACATGTATTTTTTTTACCAATAACCCTTTTTATTATTGCCAATCACATTCTTAATGCGGTAAGATGATCATGTGTGATAGCTCCATGGAGATCGATTCAGCATTGCTTTCTGAAATCAATCACATTAACTGTGGCTCACTTCTGCTTCCTTAAGTACATGAGTAGTATGGTCACTCAAAAAGTCATTGTAGTAGCCAGCAAAGTCTAGAAAGCTTACTCTGGCCAAAGAGCAAAAAAAAATAGAACAGAAAAAAAAGGTTTTGATTGTTCCCATATGAGAAACCGACCCATTAACTCCCAATAGCATTATGATCTTTTCCCAGCACTCGGTGGAGTGTTGCCTATGTGCGTGCCCTTCAGTCAAAAGAAACAGTCAAAAGAAACGTGGTGATGTGTAGACTTGTCGCTTATTTGTCATTGATGCGCTCGAGGGCCTCGATCATCACAACTGAGTTACCGCGAATAACCTAATCAAGTGTCCATTAGCTTTGTTCCTCATAGTTTCGGCGGTAACAAAGAGCGTACAATCATTCCAATGGCGACCTTCTCACCACCAGCCTTCTCCTCAAATGCCTCATCGAGGACAATGTTCATGAATACCTGCACGGAAAGCATTAGTTGATCCGCAATCTTTCGCGGTTGTCTCGAAAGCGCCAGTCCAGCCTCATGTACAATGGTATAAGAGTGACACAGTAATAGAGTCTCGAGTGGCGCAGTGGGTTTCACGTACATCGTATCCGCGGAGAATACCAATCACTTTGCGGTTGCCGTTGAGTTGGCAAAAGACCCGCTTCTCCATGTACTGGCAGAAAGGAACGTCAGTTATCGTCTCGGTTTGAAAACAACGCGCATAGGAAATTTTGCACTCACCTTCTTCAATTCAGGCTGAGCTTGAGGCATTTTGTGCTTGCTGATTAGGTATTTGGGGGTTGGAAGAGATTCAAGAAAGTCCATGGCTTTGGAGTTCGGTGGAAGGTGAGTCGGAATAACGTTGTTCCGGATATGACGATAAGAGCTGTGAGAAGCTCATGCGTTCTATGCCACAACTTGTACTTCCTTGCTCTGCAGTATTATTGATCTGGAATCATGAGCTCTAAATTTGCCAAACGCAGAATGCCCCGCAAGATTGGCGGGGATGATGAAGAAGACGATGCTGGTGTGCCTGGTATGTGTACAATGACTTTTTTGTCTTTTTTGGCCTCTTTATTTCTTTCCTAACAAGTGCTAAGGCTTATTATCTCCACAGAACCCATTGTCAAACGCCCAACTAGCTCCAAGCTGAAAGCGAAGCCAAAGTCAAAATTGAACCTGTCATTTGGTCCCGGCGAGACGTCGATGAACGATGATGGAGACGAAGACAGCGAAGTCATCATTCCCAAACGACACGGCCTGGGGCGCACGGCTGTTGAAAAGAGAGCCAGCCAGCGTTTTCCAGGACTATCTGAAACCCTTTCTGCGCGAGTCAACCACGAGCAAGATCGGCCAAGCTACAACAATGACTACTTAAAAGAACTTCGCGACTCCACCCCCTCAACACCCAAAACCAATACCGATGACGAGACAAGCAAAACTGTGGACGTCGCAGCCAAATTTGGGGAGATTATGACAGTCTCAGGTCAATCACACATTCCCAGCGAAGCAGAGATCCGCGAGAAGAAAGCCAGACGCGCCCGTCTGGCCTTGGAGCACGGCGTCGAGGACGATGGATACATTGCACTAGACGACAACGATGCCACGCATGTTGATGATTGGGATGCCGTGGCAAGGGGCGAAAAGGAAATGGAAGATACACGACTGACCCGGGATGATGAGGACTTTGCGGAAGGTTTCGAAGAATACGTAGAAGACGGCAAGATCTCCCTCGGGCGGAGGGCCGAGCGTGAGAAGAAGCGGAAAGATCGTGAAGCCATGCGCGAACTTATCGATGACGCCGAGGGCATCTCCGACGAGAATGATTCAGACCTGGAAGAGAAAGCTGCCTATGAGGCTGCACAGACGAAAGCTGCAATGGGTCGTGGCAAATCAGATGGTTTCGATAGACCGAAGACGCCTCCTAAAGTGACTTCCCTCCCGCGCTTAGCTAACAGCTTCGAACGCTTACGCATGTCCCTGGCCTCTATGGAAGTGGCGAAAACGCAAATGATCAGCCGGATGGAGGAGCTGAGGAAGGAGAAAGCTGACATCGCGGTTCGTGAGGTGGAAGTTCAAAAGATGATCAAGGAGGCTGGTGACAATTATGAGCGATTGAAGAAAGAAGCTGGTGCCAAGCCTAACGCAGATGCTACCAATGGAGCCCTTGAAAAGTCAAGAGGGTTGGAAAGTATTGGTGCGCCCGTGCCCCGGTCCAACTCTTCGGAAGAATCTTCAGACTCAAGTTTTGAAGACGATGATGAAGAGTCTTAATCGCCCTTTTTCTACATTTAGACCTTGCCGGGACTTTACTTCCCTTCCTCGCGACTGATTGACTCTTTTGCATTTCCTTGGAGTCGTTCTCAATTCTTTTTGATACCCAATGAATTACATTCTCAAGGCATTTTTATTCACTGTGCGGATTCCTCGATGTATTTCCACCTATCTTTCTACGGGTTTTTGGTAACCTTCTTTAGGGGTATAGCTAGCTGCTGAGTATCCCCTATTCACCTTAACATAATTCTGCAAAGACGGGCCAGAGTTTCTCGGGCTGGGCACTAATGCGATCTGACCGTGAGGTGCATTTTGCCTTCAGCAGGGCCAATATGTTGCGTTCTCGGGTCTGAACCCTCTGGTTCATTCTTTTCTCTGTTGTGATATGGACGTTCAAGGGGGTCTCTTGCATTTCCCGGGAATTGGAGTCCAAGACACCTCAAGGTCTGCATATGCCTTGAAACACCGAGCATCATTGGAAAGCGAATCATCATGGTCACTCGGATTGTCAACAAGACGGTGCGGCCAGGCGGGTGGACCGAGTGGTCGTTTGTCCATATTTTGACGGTCACAAGAAATGTGGTGGGTACCTTGCCCCATCTATGCCTTCCTATGCATTTCATGGTCAAACAAACTGACGAAGTGAAGTATCTACTGTGGCAGAAATACTTTCGTGTGCCTTCTAAAGCAAAAGTCAGCAAGTTGGCTCTAATCTGGTGGGCACAACCGCATTTTGGGTTTCATGTCTCCCTTGTCTTGCTCCTGAGGATCAAAGATTATTGCTCAATGAGGTATCTGGCATAGAACCTTTTGTTCGTATGCGGGGAGGTGTGCGCTCAGTTGGACAACGCCGTTCAACTCACCTCAAGTATGATCGCAGAAATGGAAATCCCATTTAGCCGTGGTGTCTGCCAGAAGTGGACCTCTGTTTCCACTACATCCCGTCTAGAAAGTCTGGCGATATGGATGTCATATTAAAGTACGCCTTCCAGGGCTTTCTATGCATTTTCCCGTCAACTTTTTCTCCGGTCTCTTTTGATGCTCTTTGTGATCTCTCTTTGACTCTTGTCTTGAATATACATCGGCTGAATATGCCATAATGTTGTTGCATTGAAAGGCTCTTTTGAAAGAAGCTGTTTCCAGACATCTGAGGCACCATAGACTTGGGGAGACATAGCAGAATAGCCCCTATGTCCAGAAATCAAAACATTCTGTTATCTGTACCGGGGACCAGATCAATCATCTGATGAGCAATGTCACAGCAGCCCTCCTCTCCAACATGGGAATATACCCCCATTGATCTTCTGAGCAACCGCAGGCTGTTTCAAATGTACATGAAGGCTCTCAGAGTTATCTGCGTATGTTTCTTCACAGATGCCAGCTCCACCATTCTCCTTCTTGCAGACTTTGTAGGCTTCCTACACATGCCAACATGAACACCCACTATACTGAAGCTTGCTAATCGCAGTCCGCATTATAATTTCAATTCTTCTAGCTGTCCTCGCTGCCTTCGCCAGGAACTCCCTTTTCATTACGTTTGCCGTCATTCTCATGATTTTGTGGTTTTTGCTAGCCGGTGCTCTCAATACCAGATAAGGGAATCACTCTGATTGGCTAGCAGGGCTCCTTATTGACCGACTTCTTGACTGGCTGGCAATTCGAGACGCAGCTGTCCGACGGAAGCGGGAACGCGGAAAGAAATTCAAACGTATAGCCTCCGCACCGGGGATGGCCGCCAGTAACATAACTCATCGCCTACAGCGAGTCCTGCGGTAGTTAATATGTTATCAAGGCCTCTGGCAAATTCCGATCCTCCAGTAGATACATTTAGTCTGGAAAGTCTAGCTTCCCTTTTTGATATCACATTCTTGTCGATTTCTCTATACACTTTCATTTTAGACATTTTGGGGTCTCTTTCAAATTCCTTGGATATATGGCAGGATATATGGCAGTTCACTGTGCTATAATATTGGTTAAGCGGAATATCACTTGATAGATATTTCCAGGCTTTCTAGTCACAATCTACATGCGCTCACCAAGATATATGTAGTGAAGTAAATATCTCTCAAGTTTTGGTTGAATTTAGTATAGATTCGAGTATACACTTTGATGTCACTTTAAACCTTTCAATGTTTCTGAAGATTTGGGATACGCGCTAATGGGCGTCTCTTACTTTTCTATCTCTTATCTGAGAAATTATCATATCTTTCATCTAATATAAAGGTCGGGGAGCATCGCTAACTACAAGCAACAGACCTCATCAAGGCTGAGGTCTCTGTCGTCAAAAATGCCGCATATTTCCCGAAACAAGCGGTGGCATCTAAAATGTTGTGAAACCTAAACAAATATTAAACCAAAATATATAATTTTGTTGGGAGTTATTGGCGCACTAGACGCGACATTGAATTGGTGCATGTCACCACCGTTGTGGGATGATGTTTGACCTGTAGCAAGCCATGCCCTAGAATGCGGTAGGCTGGATGTTTTTCCACCTCTGAAGTACCTTTGAAGCACATCTGAAATAATTCTGAAGTCTCTCTTGTTGTCCCATATAGGAGATTTTAAAATATATATTCATGACTTTGTTAGTAAGGTGTTGGGTGCTATCCATTCCATAGTCTTTCGCAATCCCAAGGCCACGAACATTCTGCGTGTTCATATTTCTGAGAGATAAAATTCCAATCTTCAACAATTATTCCTTGGCGCATATCCTAATGCAAGAATACAGCGATCATCTAGACTAAAGCAACTGCTAAAGTCCCTATCCACAACCCTGGTATGCCGGATTCCCGTTTAGCCCTAATTCGACCAATCGATAGCCAACGGCAAACCAGTAGGCTGCCAGGGGTAGTCTTTGAAATTAGACACCACCAACCCCCCTTTGCTTCTTCCTTTAGCATTGTTTTGGCTCATTTGACTTCTCCAATGATCACTCCGGGGTTCACTGTTCACGCCAACACAACCAACTCATCCGTGGACAATTTCAATTCCAACCTTCCCTTCCCCGGATCTATTTCCGATTGAATCTGGGCCTTAAACTTGCTTGATGCATTTGATAAACCACTGACTAGATGAACACATAATCAGAGTCAAAAGACTACGATCTGCGAATGTGATCTGGATATGTGTGTAACCACCCCCAGCTGTCGATCTAGTCTAACACCCTTCATTTTCCAGGAAAGGTGAGCCTCAAAACCAGTGGATCGGCTATAAAACAGCCATGTAACACCAACAGAGCACTGCTTCAAAGAACTTTTTTCGGAAGAGCTATGTGGGTTCAGGATCTGAGGATCTTACCCCTGGCCATGGAATTGGACGGGATATTGCGCGTTCGTGCTGCTGCAGGCTTGTTTTCGATCTTTCCGGTTTCAACGCCAGCCAGACCACCCCAGCAGTTGTTAAAGAAGCTTCTTCGGAATACGACCGCTATTGGGACGCTGTAGATCTGGGGAATTAAGGAGCCGGGGATTTTCGCTAGGGCTGGCTTCCTGTTAATTTCTTTTCTTTCGGCAATTGGGGTTACTGGGATATTGGTTACCGACCACCTCGTACATTTTACAATAAGTGTCATTTTTCAGGTCTTGACTTTTTTGACTTCCCTGTTGATCGCATACCATCAACAGATGATCCATTCTAGGATGATATCGATCGTCAGCACTTAAGCTTATAGAACCTTGGACGAAGAGACATGTTGGCACCAAGAGATGATAGGTGGGGAGACTAAGGCAGAGTTCGTTCGGCAAAATTGCCTCCCTGAAGCCCTCAATCAGGTAGCCGCCTATACCGCTTTGATCTTCATATTGCTTTTTTCCCAAGGAGGTTGGATCGATCACCATGCCCTGATTGGTTCGGATGTCACTTCACCTCCCCCAGAAGCTCCTGCGGCTACCCGTACAGGATGGAACAATCCAAAACTGTCCGAGCCACGCCAAGGTATGGAGTTATAGACAGTTTGTCGATCAGGTAGACGTGCAGGCGAGTGTATAGCCATAGTCTGGGTTGTACAAAGTGGAGAGCAGCCGTGTCCGCTGTATACTCTAGTTGGACCGTTGTCAACGGGGATGCAGCTCGAGATTCAATTGACCCATCAAGGCCCCATAGTGGGGCGAAATGGTAATTGCGAACTGTTAATTGAATAAACAACAGAGCGGATGTTTTTTGAGCTGGGCCTGACCTAAAGGCCATCGAAAAGATCCTCTTCAGAAACCCGTCGAGATTTCGACTGACTCGGGTTCCGCTCTAGTTTCACTCTCTTATACTTCTTCTAGCTCACAGGACCGAGTCTAAATTAAGACATGAGAATAGACAATAGAGAAAAGATCTGAAACGTCTGGGAAGTGGGTCAAAGACGTACAGCCAGAGGCTCAGAGGATCTCCGAACCTGATCCTGGCCTGACCAGGGTTCAGATATCCTTGACTACCAACTCAACCCATGTATCCGACTTTATATACTTACTTGTGTCTCAACCAATATCCGCAGTGATATCCTGCTATCTGGAGATTGACCATTCATCATTCTTGGAACTCATTTCTTCCTATCGGTTGTATTGCAGAATTATCCGAGACCGCATTACATCCAACGGCTCAACCTACAGCCTCATGCCTATCAAATCTGCTCTTTGACACTGCCTAGCGCGGGCGTGCTCTTGCACCAAGCTTTAATTTCTTGGAATAGCAGTTGCTAAAGCCAAATTTAGTCATATCAAGCAAATCTCATCTTTTGGCTCTACTTTGTGATATTGCCACAATTCATTGCTCAATACGTTGCTGGACATTATATGCATAAGGTGGGTGAATGCCTAATCAGTCCTGATGCCCATGAAACCTCTCCATATAAAAGAAAGCGCTGATCCATTATAACAGCCAGGCCTGCAGGTCTCCTCGAGTTATCCACAATCTATCCGCTGTGTACTGGCCGACAAAGAGAGAAGAGCGGTCATCCACTCACAGCGACAACCCGCGTACAACACTGGCAAGCAGTTGCGGTGAAGTGTGAGAGATACCAACTCAACATTGTTCTTTTATTTGTCTATTTTGATATCTTATTATTCTCCGGAACTCAACATGGCTAACGTGCTGGCCATTGGGGGCCCGAAGTCATATATGGACTCTCCAAAGCAACTGTCTCTGTCTCCCAACCATATTTCTGCTTCTCCCTACTTTAATCAGAGCCCTGAAAGCCCCGAGAAGCAGCTCACCGATTCACCAAGTAATTGGTATACCTTCTTTGACTCTACTGCAGCAAGTCCTTATCATAACTTCTTGCATTCTTCGCCGTTTCAAGCACTACAACAACAGCAAAAATCTTGTGGAAACATACTGAGCCAACATTATTTGACAACGCAGGCCATGGCCTCAAAAGAAAATCTTAATGGGATGCCACGTGGGCTAGAGATCCAACGTTTGACTGCCTATCCTCAAAGCATGTCTCCTTTCATGGCACTACCTGACTTCAAAGCTGCCCTCTCCAGTAATGGAAGCACATATTGCGAGTCAGATGTTGATTCTCTCGGACCATTTGACGAGTCATTCACCGCTCATCATACGGACACACACTGCGGTCTTGTTCACCCAATTCCCAAGAGCAGTGTCTCTATTGCGGCGAATAATATCTACTTTCTATCAAGCAGCAAGGACCCGCCCTCACTGTCATCCTTCTTCCAAGATAGCTCTCCAGAAGAGCCACACCTTTCCAGCGCACCCTTCCAATCATCCAATCAAGCCCAGTTTCACATTGGCGCACCCTTAAGCCGCACACCCAGCACACACTCTCCGGATGCCAAGCCCTGTACTTATGATGATGCCTCAGCATGGGCTGCTTGGGAGACCAGCACTACAACCTATGGCTGTTTTGCACGCCGCGATATAGATGATACCACATACGACAGTAGCTGGCATGACCCAGCACCTCAAAATGTGCCCTGGATTCATGATCGTTCGATTTCACTCAAAAGAATCAACGGAATCGGCAGTGGACTTCCCATCGTACCTTCAAGTCATCCGTCTAATGCTTTGACTACCTCTTCGCCTTTGGTCTACCAGTCTTGTTCATCCACATCTGTACCACAGACTAGCCCGGTCAAAGCACATCCGAAACACTACCTCCCAACGAAGCCAACATACATTGCCAGTCCTCACCAAGTTTGTTCCGACCCGGACGACAGCTCACCATTCCAGAAACCACTGGGTAGCTTCAGCCCTTCATCCTTCACCCACTCTACCATAGAAGAGGGGCCACCCCACCGGCAAACTGGGGAAGTACAGACTAGGATCGAAGCCAAGATCCACTACAGCGATGAACGGAATGCTTTTTTAATCGACTGCAAGCGACGGGGCCTCTCATACAAAGACATCAAGCGAATTGGTGGGTTCAAAGAGGCAGAGTCTACCCTCCGAGGGCGATACCGCACCCTCACCAAATCCAAAGACCAGCGGGTGCGAAAGCCCAGATGGCAGGACAAAGACGTAAGCTATCAATTTCTTCCCCTCAAAAGTGAAAGGTCGGTGAAGCTAATTTGATCCCTAATCAATAGGTCAAACTCCTTTGTGAGGCTGTCAGCATCAACGCGGAGACATCTGACATCTACAGTTCTCTGACCACGACGGGCATAACTATGAATGAGCCACCGAAGGTTTCATGGAAAAATGTCGCCGAGCATATCTGGAACCATGGGGGATCTTATCACTTTGGGAATGCTACATGCAAGAAGAAGTGGTGCGAGATCCACAACATCAGCATTTGATGGATTTGGTGGAGGCAACGGTTGGGCGGGTTGTATTTTACTTTTTTGGGCCATTCCCTTACTATGCACAGTAATTTGTCGAAACTTACCTCGACTCTGTACCATTTTGCAGTTCAGCTGGTCTGATCTTCAGCTCTATAGCGTTGTGTGCATATTAAGCATTTGATTTCTGTTTGATACCTCCTTCTTTCAAGTTTTGGGTTATGTTTGGCCTTCTCATTTCTTGATCTTCTTTTCCCCCAGATCAGTCCACCCTATAAGCAGCATAAAGAGTCTAATAAGTTCCAATGTTGCCGGAAAGATATTGATGGTGGTGTTTCAAGAACAAAAACACCTGACATGGCTAATGTATCTCGATTATCTTTTCCATACAATCTATCTTTTTCAAATATACCTTTACATGATCTTTGTCAGTGCAATATTATGGGATATCAATGATCTAGCGTTTTGAAAATAGTGGTCTATAGTTGCAACCTCAAAAGTGATGCAGGTTGCAATCTCGAAGTCCATCTATATGAACTAGTTGATCTCGGCCGGATCCTCGAACAGCCGTAAAGATATCGCTAAAAGACTCAAACCAATAATGTTTATCCTAATTCCTGATCAGAGAATAATCCACTGGGCTCCAGGGCTGACGTTGGCCACACAAACGAAAACGATCATTTTCTCACATATCTGCATGGTCTCTTGCTCTAAAATCTGTACTCGTCCACACTCAATTCTACCTAGGTAGCTCCATACCTGGACCGAGAACACAACCCTCCCCATAATCGATTGCCGATATCTCCAATTTTGCGGGAAGAGTGTCGATTCCCCCACAGAGTACGTCGAGTTCGGATTTCATTAGCCGTGATAGACATCAATACCCGGAGCTCAATAGCCGTATATACAATAGCCGCACTGAACATCGTGAATGAAGATCTACTTTGTTTAGAAAAAAAACTTACATTTAACGAATTCCGCCTGGATTATATTTGTGGTAGTAAAAATTTCACTATTCTCTTTCTCCATTCCAAACTCTCTCCGCATCTCACCTATCTATCCCGAACCCGATCTATACAAACGCAAAATGGGAAAACCAATTGTTCTCCACCTCGGTGATGACATTCGCTGGGGTCATGAGCTTTATAGCAAATTTCAAGATCAATTCGATATTCGCCGCTCATACAGTATGTCGCGACCGGAGTTCATTCGTGCGCTGAAGGAGCGCCAATTCGGAGATTTCTTCGCTATTTATCGCCCGTTTTGGAACACCGGTGGTGAGATGGGTAATTGGGATGAGGAGCTTGCCTCATTGTTGCCTAGCTCTTGTAAGGTCTTTGCCAGCGCTGGCGCTGGCTTTGATTGGGTTGACACCGCGGCGTTAGCGAAGCGAGGCATGTATCCATGAATAGACAATGGAAAATGGAAAATGCAGCAAATGGCTGACTTGGCTGGATCCTGCTAGGGGTTACATACTGCAATGCCGCAGCAGCTTGTACTGAATCTGTTGCCGACGCCGCGATCTGGCTCATCATTTCTACTTTCCGACTCTTCTCTTGGTCGCATGTCGCTGCGCGAGCTGTGGACGCAGATGCATTTGTTGACGCAAACCGCAACTTGGCAATGGTCTCCCACAATCCCAACGGACACACATTAGGAATCATTGGATTTGGCCAGATCGGACGGCGGACAGCAGAGAAAGCCTACTTGGCGATGAACATGAAAATCCATTACCATGACATTGTGCAGATGCCTGCGCAGCTAGAAGCTGTCTCGAAGGCGACATACCACAAGGATATGGATAGTCTTCTCGCTGTATCAGACTGTGTCATGGTTGCTACACCATTCAGTGGTAAAACTCTTCTTAATGCCTCACTTCTGGCGAAGATGAAGACTGGTGCTCGCCTGATTAACATTGCGCGTGGCAAGCTGCTCGATGAGAGTGCTCTTGTCGATGCGCTCAAGAGTGGGAAGTTGGCTGCTGCTGGTTTGGATGTACACTATGACGAGCCGCGTGTTAGCCCGGAGCTTGCAAGCATGAAGAATGTTGAGATGATGGCTCACAATGCGGGTGCTTCGGTTGATTCTCATATTGGATTCGAGAGGTTGGGCATGGAGAACATCTTGGCTTTCCACCAGACTGGCAAGGCTGTGACGCCTGTCAATTCTCAGTTGATCGCTAAAGCGGCCGGCTCCAAGCTTTAGACTAGAGCGCTATGTATGTTAACCTGTTAATCCTCTGTGCTCTATATGACAAAATTGAAGCTTTGTCTATCTGAATGTCAGCAATACACCTAATGTCTACACCACAGAATAGCTAAGATTTGCGCTACATATCTTCCAATTTTGCTCTGTCTTTGCTATTTCTTTGTTCAAAAGCCGAGTCAATCGGATTCCATTATGCAAATATTAATTATACTAACCACAGACATGAACGAAAGATCCGTCAACATTCAACCTAATTCTTCGCAACAGCCTCAGGAGCCTTCACCGGAGCAGGTGGCACAACCACGCTGCCAGGATTCAAAGGTCCGAAAACCTGAACAGGAGCATCATGCGGCGCATAAGCAACCTTCTGCCCACAACTCGTACAGAAGTGATGGGCATCATGGCACATCTGCATACAATAGGGCAAGAAAGCGCAGATAATACCTCCGAACAGACAGCAGCAGACAGCAGCCATTCTGCGAGTAATTAGCATTGAAGAATAAATCCGCGGATGAATTCTAACTTACGACGTAGAGCTCGTACTCTCCATATTCACTCTGGTCATGGCATTCTGATTACAGAAGGGACAACTAATCAATTTTGGGTCTTCGTGTAGCTTTTCGAGGGGTGTGAGCCTTGGGTCTGGTTGGACTTGGGTGTTGATTGGGACTTCGGCATTCATTGCAACTTTCTCATCGTAGCTTGGGTATGTTGGGGCAGTGCGGGTGGCTTCTATTTGGTCTTCCCCGTTGGTCACAGCGACTGCTGGGGCGGTTACGGCTTCTTTTTGGGTGCTGCGGATGTTAGGATACTGAGTTCTTGGGTATAGACAGGGGACGTACTCTTCATATGTTGGTGGTGCCGTTGCGGGTGTGATGGCCTGATCTTCTGGCGACCTTGTTACTTCTGGAGCGCTTGATTCCGGTGCAGGCATAGCAGGTGTCCCTGCCGTTGGAGGTTGTTCTGTTGTGACAGTTTGAGCATTGTGGGCCGATTCACTGGCAGGAACTGGCACATTGGCCGATTTCTCTGGGTTTACCATGGCTGGATTGAGTTGGTAAGTTGCGGTTGTCTCAGCGAGAAGAAAGCTCTATTTGAAAAATTTCGCTTGAAAAGAAAAAAAAAATAGCTAAGTGGCACGCTATGCTCTTAAATGTATAGTTCCGAGCTGACCAAGGGGGCCAAAAGAGCACATGCAGGTGGATCGAAGCAAAAGTGAGGCTTAAAGAACTGCGAACGGGGTCAACACGAAGAGTTGAGGCGCCAATGAAAAAGACCAAAGCGGAGGCGTGAGTCATTGAACCAACCAGAACTGAAATTTGCGATGATCGCAATGGTCAAGTTTCATTGTTGGCCCCCATGTTACAGGCTAGGGGGGTTTAGCGCAGGCTTGGCTAGGCGGAGTCAAGACATAAAATCGATCATATGCAATATTTGAGGCTGTGTAGCGATGGACTTGGTATACATAGTGTAGATTTACAAAGGTGGCATTCATTTCTCCCTGTAGACTCGGAATGATGATATTTTCTGGCGATGTCGACGGGTATCAAATGCTATGTAAGTCCCACATGCACCTGTACAATTCACAGCGAAGGACCCCTTGAGTCCGTCCGCGGATATCCAACAGTAGCCAGCACCTGCGTCAAATGCTCTGGGTTCTCGCGCAAAGAATCCCACTCGCCCTGAGCTTTAACCATCAGGGTAGCGGCTAGAATGGTTCCATTTAACGACAGCAAACCGGGGTCCACGACATCCCGCGCTGCCACGTGGTCAACAGGCACTAGTGCCGTCTCCTGTCTGCGCGGACAAATCAACATAGTCGAACGCGTCATGGCGAGGTTATAACTTATCGAAGCAGGTCCCTGGGTAGAGACGGACTCGTTGTCTTGCCCCGATGAGCCGGCGCGGGTTGCGGCCGCGGCAGCTTTGTAAAGGGTTATATAGATTGAGTGGAGGGTGTCGGCAGAGGGGTTGGGAGGGAGGGGGAGAGCGAAGTGGGCGAAGGGAAGGCCGGATAGGTGTTTGAATTTGGGGGGTGAGGACGGGGACGGCGAGGCTAGTTCCGTGGCGAGGAGGTCGATCAGCGGATGCCAGTTTTCTGAACCCGGTTGGCGCATGTCTTCGACAGGGAGAAATTGGAGATGGCGGTGCGGTTGGCTGGCACCGCTGTCGTCGCCGGAGTTGAAGAAAGCGAAGAGACTGGCATCGCTGTCATCCTTAGTGTTCCAGGCCTTCAGGCATTCGTATGTTGCTTCTAGATCGGCTTTCTCGAGGAGATCGGTTTGTGCTTGCCAGTCCTTTGTCACGAGTAGGAAGTGGTTTGGGATGACGGGGAACTTGTTGAGAATGAGGTTGTAGGCGGGATTCTCAGGCGGGAACTGGGCGATCAAAAGATCTGGAGACGGATTCTCGAAGGGATCGGGCTTCTGTAATTTTGGTGCATTGTCGGGCTTTAGGTTGGAGGGTTTCTTTGCTAGTGCAGGGCAGTAGCGGAGTTGGTACTGTTTCATTGTTAGAGCTGTTGTTGGGACGTCATTGAGGTCACTTACCGATATCCCTGCGGCATTGATGATTGACAGATGGGTTTTGGAGAAAATGAGATGACCAGCATCTCGGGCAGCTGTAAATCGTCTGGCAACCAGTGCCGGTAGAGCTTCTGATAGACCTAATTGCATTGTGTTGTGAGGTAAATGATGAGGGAAGGCTGGGGGCGGGGAGATAGGGCGCTTGGGTCTTGGCGGCCTCATTCTCTTCTTCTCTTCGCCCTCAGGTGAATTCAATATGTGCATTGTTTTAATACTTTTCAAACAAAACAAAGTGATTGGAAATATTTTCGATTTTATTGTAAAATAGCCATTTCCTTGTCCAAATCCTGACCAGCAGGATAAAAACAGAACAGACAAAGCAGAATTATCCCAAGGTATCATCCAGAATCCATATTCAGACAAATCGCTCGTAAAGACCTTGCTATACGAAGAAAAAGAAAAAGAAAATCCACAAAAAAATCCACCAAAGTCTGTCGATTCCTCCGGGACACGAAAAGAGGAAAGATGGGGGGAAAAAGGAAATAAACAAAAGAACATCGTTCAAGCCATTAATTCATTGAGCGAAAGCTCGTCATCATGCGACTGACACAATTCTGGCAACAACATAGCCGGCTGGCCCATAATATGAGACAGGGGACCATTCAACCAAGGGCCACGTTCTTCATCAGAAGCATTCAGGACACCTTCTGCGCGTTTGAGAGTCTCAACGTCGAGGTCCGTAACGTAGGCATCGCGATTCGTGCCGTCGCCCGCGCCACCGGGGAGTCGGAGACGGACTTCAAACTCGTTGTTGAGCATCATCTCGTCTTTCCATAGACGGCGCTGGCCGTCAAAGACACATAGTACGCGCTTTTTGGTCTTCATGGTGCTACTGGGGCAGCCCCAGGAATTGGGGTAGTTGCCACGGTTGTTGCGGCGGCGAGTTGCGACAGCGCGTGGCTTTGTGTTTTTTGTGATTGCGCCGGAGCCGATGATTGGGCGGGAGGCAGGGATGCTTTTCTTGGATTTTTTGATCCCACTCCAGTTTGCCTCGTAGTCTTCTTCATCGAGGTCTTCGTAGTCTTCGTAGTTGACGTTGATGTCTAAGAGCTGGTGCTTCTCCATTGTTTTCTTGACTTCTTCATCGGAGGCGACTTCTGCTAGACGCTGCTGGTTGATTGCTTCTGATGGCTCTTCTTGTTGAACGACGCGGAGAACACAGTCGTCCAAATGCTCGTAGAAGTCCTGGGCGTTGCTGAAGGTTGATGTACAGGTTGAGCACTTGCCTGTTGCGTCGGGGCTGTAGTTCGTGCCCTTCTTTGATGCTGCACCGGGGCTGCGCTTGCGGCAATTGGGTGGAGTTTGTTCAACGCCGTGAACCGAAGTCAGGTGGCGCTTGAAGACATCGGCTCGGTTGAAGCTCTTCTCGGCTGGCGAGCCGGAGCCCGGGCAGAATCCGCAGACCATTGTTCCCTTATAGTGGGTAAGGGTGTGGCGATTTTTGTCGTATTTGCGGGCGAAGCCCTTGATGTGGTACTCGCAAGTCATGATCGGGCACTTTTCTGGCCGCTCAGGCATGTGAGTCAACATGTGAGCTTTAAGGTCTTTGAAGACTCGACCACAGTCTGGATATGAGCATCGTCCTTTTTCTTTGATGTCCTCATCTGTTTCCACGCTGCTCAGTGCTGGGCTGTGTTGCGAGCGGCGGGATTGGATAGAGGAGATGGACGATCGTCGATCATAGACCGAGACTGGGCGCGAGTGCGTCTGTGGAACCATGAGGGGGGAGTGACCAGCGTGTTGCATTGGGTGTGAGCGTGGAGATTGGTGCTCTGGAATGTCATTATAAGGAATAGGTGAGGTTGCGGGAGAGTGGGCAAGGTAGTTTGGTGGCACATCAGAATAAGAAGAGGTAGGCTGGTTGGGATAGGCGATAGTCGGGGTGGCCCCAGGGCCCGATTGCACAGGCTGGATCAATGAGGGATCTAGTTCTTGTCAGCATATGCAATGACATCCGCAATTGAGCTGAAAACATACCGACAAACGTGTCCGGGAACTTTTCTTGGTAGAGCATTTCCATATCTACTGTGCCTCCCATGTACTCCTGTGGGAACATATCATTCATCACCGCAGCTGGCAACCCTAATCCGTGATTTGTATTCACCCACTTGTCATGAAAAGTGTGAGCAGTACCTGAATACGGGGATCCCATTGCCGAGGAGGATGCACTAGCGATAGAAGGTCCCGAGGCAGCAGAGCCAGTGGGAATATGAAGTTCGGTAGAATGGGATGCGGAGATAGAAGGAGGTGTTGTGGGCATAGATGCGAAATGGGTCGCTTTTTGAAGCTCCGTGGACTCAAAAGATGTATCGTAATAGGATTGGGGGAGACGGGAGAGGTCTTGTCCGTAGTGGGCCATATTATCCATGGGGTATGAAAACATGTTGCCAGGGTCCAAGTTCATGTCGAAGTAGGGCTGTTTGACTCTAGCTTCGGCCATCATCTTGGGGTGAGGGAAGAGAGTAAAATCGGTTGGCTGGAAGGTCGTCATATTGTATAGAATGTGCCTACCAGACGAGTTGGTTAGTATATATGATCTCTGGGGTTTTTCGGGTTTCGCGCGCGATGGACATACCGGTGATAAGGTTGAGATCGCGGCCCGCTCGGCTAACCAATTGTGCCAACCACGGAAAAGGAGGCAACGTGCGCAACTTGAAGTTGATTTATGCAAGGAGATACTCGACGTCGTAAGGAGGTCACATTCAGTTGAGCAAGGTGGAATATCAAAAGAAGTAACCTAGGACTGTATCAAAGGATATTGGTCTAGGGTCAAGTTCAATTCAAAGGCATAACAGAATGAGAGGGGCGAGGAAGGGAGTATTATAGATATGTAAAATAGAAGAAGCATCGAGTTGACGAGACCTTAGTTAGTTATAAGTGTATGATTATATTATTTTGTAAAAAAAGGAAAGAAGAAAATAGTATAGAAAAAAGAAAATAGGATTAAAATTTAAAAAATAGAGTAAAAGAAAAGAAATTATAAACAATTAAACAATAAAGAATAAAGAATTACAATATTTATTTTACAGATATGTAATATCTGTAAAATTTGTATATTTGTATATTTTGAAAATGAAAAATACAACTACAAATAGAAAATGACAATTACCGTATTGATTTCTGCCATGAACCACATGGGGGCTATGGACAGGGGCTCACTTCTAAGGCCTATACCTATTATTATCTTCAAATTTGGACTACTACCTAGGTAACTAACTGCAAGTGTACAATTATATAGTTACATAGCCCAAAACATTTAATGTCATTTACTAACATTGAGATCTCAGCTTATACTATATTGTGGAATATTGTACACACTGTCAGGCCTCCCTCCCGTCAATAGTCTATCTCTGACTTCTGACACCTCTATATCCACAACTGCCCTACCGAGTCCACGGTCTCATCGGTATATCTCCGGGAATCTAGTCCTTTTCTCTATATTGTACGTTGTATATCTGCGGACACGTCGATCCTACTCGTGCGAATTCGATTGATCCCAAGTTGCATATTTAAGAGAAAAGCAAATATCAATGGTCGATCTGTACTTTGCTCTCGGGGCGTATATGCACGATTATAAGAGAGAAAAAAAAATCATTTCTGTCACAGTTGATCGTAGCACCATGAATACCTACTAAAATATTGGGATGGTTAATAAAACCCTGTATGCCCCATAGTACCTACATCTCTACTAGACTACAGCCCATTCTTTTTTTTCTTCATACTATGCTCTGCAAGTCCGTCCTGCATAGCATGGTCTCCCGCAAACCTGCCGCAATGGCCCCCCAGAAACTCCCGTTTAGGCTTGTCACCTCCCCTTTCGGGAATAAGAACCTTGAAGTAAGAGTCAGCACTTGAGTATGCATATTAATAATATTAATAATGAGTCTATCGCGGTAAGCTCCTTATACCACTTCGTATAACAATGGGATCGAAAACTCTCTAAATAATGTACCTGTCAGAATCTCATCCCGCTAGCCCGGACCCGACAGCTCGTTCATCTAAATGAAGTGGAGGGGAAAAAAAGGAACATCAACTAAATCTGAGATCAACAATGATATGCACAGATCTGGACACGTTCCCTATTTTCGAGGAACCAAACATGAAATGCCAGGGGAGAAAAGGAAAAATTACCAAATACCAAATACCAAATTTTAATACCACAAAATCCATGAGTTCGGTCGATCCCTGACGGGACCATCGACCATCTCTCCCCACAGCCAAATCTCGGCATCCGCGTGCACGGGAGAGTGATTGGCCCATGTGTCACAATCTCATGAGACATGGAATGGGGGACCCCCGGATTGACTCCAATCAGGGCTCTCAGCGCCCTTCCGAGTCCTCGATGGGCGTTCTTTAGGACCGTCGGCTCGGTGGGTTCGTGTCTTTCGCACGCTATCCTTTTTGGTCATTATGACGGGCGATCATTACCTGTATCTTTCAATTTTCTGCGTCGGACATCTCCTTGGCCTGCATTGTACGTGTTGCTCTGCTAGAGCCGCATGCTTTTGGACATTTTAATACGGACTGCTTCAAAAATTGCCTTCTTTTTGGCCCTGTGCATTCAATTACGAAGGGGATTGCTCTCCTTGCTCCTATTTTGTTTTCGTTTCTTTTCTCCATATCGCACATGGCGGGTCGTGCTAAGTATCCTTACTGACTACGTCATAAATATAGTATTGCGGTCCTATTGTAATGGTGGGGTTTGTTAGCGATGCAGCAAATTGGCAACCCAAATTTATCGGATGTGCCGCGTAAACAGATACTTCTTTTTTTTTGCTCCGAGATCTGGATTGTATACTAGTAGTGGTGGTATTCATATACATAAGCGGAGTAATGATGTGACCGCCTTGTATCTGGACCATTGTACCCTAAACACAACTCTGTACAATATGCTGAAAGAGGAAAGCCTGATGTTGTAAACAAATAGAAAAACACAACCGACTGAAGCTCTTTGCACCTCTGTATTCGCTATACGATACATTGTGCACTATCTGCGCCATATAGCCCTAGCCGTTGCAGGGGGGAGGGGGCAGGGCGCAGCTGTCACTCGGAGTGCCCGGGGTCGGTGAGGACTAACGCGCCAAAGATGACTAGCGCCACACTTCCTGTCCTGAGCCACAGATCTGTACTCATCTCTTCCAATCATAAGCGAATTTGGGCGTTGGTCAGAGACGGTCCATCTCCCTGATTGGATTCTGCAGGTCGGGAAGCGGGTCCATATCCTCAAATTGAGGCGCAGCCTTGTATATTACACCGACTGGATTGCTCGTATCTGTCGGCGATCCCGGTCGCATAGTCTAGTTTGATTGTACAATATTGTACAATTGTACTATATCCCACCTAGGCACTAGTTTACCTTTATGTACAGTCTAAATTCTGAATTTCGCCAAAACCGGGGGAATGAAGTCATTTTCCGCTTTCCGTATTGGTTTTGACCGCTATTGCCCTGATTCTGGGTGTTGGCCTAGTTAGACTGGCGGTCGGGCGATTTACCTTGCACCCAGGTTTGCTTATTTACCTGGGTAACTTTTGTTAGTTACAGAGGATGTTAAATGGACACATTGGGAATTTAGTCTCAATTCGGCATTACTATAGTAAAGTGTCCATTGATTATTTCGAACGCCGTTTATTATGATTATTCCGGGGCTCTACTTATGAATGATCAAAGCATGTCAGAATATCCTACATCCAAACGTCTAGCCCATTGCATGATCCTCAACGTGGCAAACTTTAAATAAATCATAATCATGAAACAGGACCTACATTCTCAATGGCATTGGCCAGTGAGCACCGGAACGGATGAATTAATCGTTCTCACACGTGTGATTGAGGACGCCGACTCGACCCAATCGATCGCTCACATCACTGTCCCGCTTTTGGCCCCCCCCCCCCCCAACATTGATTCAAAACAACTGTAAAACACATGTAATACAGTCTGACAATCCAGACTCTTGTCCAAAACAGGGCGATTAGAGTAGCTAAGAACTCTCCGCACCTGCCGTCACCACGGCCCCGGGATGGCTATCTGGCCATTCACAGTGTTTACATGGCATATTGGCTCTGCGACCGGTATATGACAAAACTTTGACGGGTTCGGCGACCCCGAGGCCAGTTTCCTAAGGCCCGTAATAATGAGATTACAAATGCAACATCGAAGAGGCTCCTACAATATGCTATTAATTAATCAGAAATGAGCCCCAATTCTGGTGGAGATGGAATATGCATCGGCGCTTCCGTTTGGGAATTAATAAGTCCAAAAGAGCATTGTATATAGACAAATTGCCATGGATCTTCCAATTACATACACATGTGTAAGTATACAATCAAACACACATAGAAAAAACATGCTGCCAAAATAAGAATGTTGGTTCCATGGGTACATAAGTTGGCTGGAACCATGGAACCCCACTTCGACTTACTTCTTACTTGGGACATCAATCCTATGCTCAGATCACTTTGGGGCCAGAGCGAGTCTCCAGTGTGGCAAAATAGAGCTTGGTATTTTCTATTTCCCCAGGTTACGGGAGAAATCTAAGAATAAATCAACCTTGGAAGGGAAGAATATGAGTCGTCCAACGAATTGGGTATCTGGCTAATTAAGTCCCTAAGCCGCCAGGTACACGGAAGCTGCATATTTAAATCTGAATCCGTAGTGCTATTCATGGCATTACCAGGAGCGGCAGAGTGGCCCTAAGCCCTACCAAGATAGAAAAAGAGAAAGGGGAAATGGAATCCAAGGCTTAATCCCTGTCACCCGCGTGGTGTTTCTAAAAACAGAATCTGAAACACACCAGGGTGAAAAGTCCAGAGGGGTGAAGATCCACTTGATATAGTGATCGTGCTTTTTTATCTGCTTTTGCAGAGCCTAGTTTGCTTTCGGAACCCTGGATAGTACAGGTACGCTGCATGACAGTACAATGCAGGAAGTTTGGACTAATTATATCGAATACGTTTATTCTTAACCATATGTTACATTTTTAGAGTTGGTTGTTGGCTTGCTGGTCGGCGAAGTCATGATCCATGGTCCCCATGGTCCCCGCTGATTGAACAAAAGTTGCACAAACTCACCAACTTTTGGTGTTTCCAAACGACCATCCACGCTTATTCCAATTTTGTCCCCCGCCTTTCTGTCTAAGGTATTGTTTGCCCGTTTCAGGAAGAACGTTTCAGACACCCCAAGTCTTGGCCATGTGTGTATGCAAGGATGTTGGTCCCCATATGTGGTCTGCCGACTCGCAGGCATTCGAACGATCCGACCTGTCTCTTGTTTTAGCCATTGTTTTCAAGTTTCGCCATTGGTCACACCAATCTCTGGATAACTTATGGGAGACTTTCAATCTGACAGACAACGTGGTTGTCCCACCTCCGACGATCGAGGCCAGCAATCCTGCTGATCATGAGAACTCTATTCTTGGCACAGATGACTGACAGTGCACAAAGTTATCTCGGCTTGTCTCCATTGATGGACCCGCGCCCACCTCAACTCATATCGGTCCTTGCAGGCCAGGTCCAGATTCAGTCTATCTGCTCGCTAGCCGTGTTTCAAGAAGCGTTCATTGTTACTTTCAACCGCGCGCCACAAATTGAACACCGCACCTATTGCAGGGTACATCCCTGCTCAAACAATGAAACAGTCTTCTAGAATAACGCCAACTTTCTGAGTTGCACGACAGAAAGGCCGCGACAATGCCCTGTTCAACCGAAACACTATACATGCAACCAGCAAGGACAACAGCCTCGATTTCTAAGCATTTATTCGCATCCTCAACCCTCCTTTGTCATGAACTATTCCCCAGAGCTCCTCCTTTCTCCCCTAATTATCTCACATTTTGGCCCCGTTGGAGAAACCCCGATGCATACAATTTTGTCAGACCACAACTGGAGATAATGCGCTCTAGACCTCTCACCCCTTCAGAACCCAAGAAGCCATAGACAGTAAGACAATTACGCCGAATTCTGCAACCCAGCGCCCGGGTACCAAATTGCCGTCATATTGAAAGTAATACCTGTTCTCCGCTGCCTCGCCCCTGAGAATAAGTGGAGTCAACAGAAAACATTGGTTGAGCAAACAATAAGCCTAATTTAGTTGGCGCCATATTACCCTACTCGACTTCGAACCTGGACCCGCTTAGATGCCCAACCTCGTATAGTTATTCAGTATTGTCAGCTTTTAATCTTTTTTTCTTCATTGATGAACGGACTTCGCCTGGGCTCCGGCCCCCACGGTTTAGTTTAATTGCAACTTAGTACAATTTAGGTATATGGAAACATTGGGATGAGTTCTCGGACCCATATTAGCGGTACGCGGAATCGGGTATTGGCACGGGAGAGGTGGATCATGTCAAAGCTCTTCAAATTAACTAGTAGTTGTTGATTGAGTAGGGTCTGGCATGGGCATTGGGATAGGTTACGAGCGAGACAAGGCTTTACTCTTTAGGAACTTAGTGCAGTGACTAGCTCGGTATTGGGTAGATGAGAAATCCCATCTATATTCATAAAATATTCTCCGTGTCGAGGTTCATGAGTACCGAGCACGGGTGTGATGTGCAGACACTAAGTGCGCTATTGATTCCGGTATGACAGGTCATACCCGCTCGATCGAATGGGCAACACGTTGCGCCAACTTTCCACGATGGGAAATAAACTTAGACTGTTCTGGTGCGATTTTCTCTGGGGATCTCGCATTGGGTTAATGCTTTAGCGCAAGTACCGACGGGTCCAATATAATTTGCCCAGATTTCAGTCAGGGGTTGACAAATACTCAAATGCATAATTTGCATGTTTATGTGGTCATTATTGTAGATTAACCTCAAGTTAAATCCTTGCCTAGGTACATATAGGTGCAATCTACTTTATCTCCTTCCTAGCTGATAATTTACCTAGCCACACCCCTGCAAGTTCGGCGCTCTGATCCCCCACAAGCGTCACATGCCTAGCCCCCCCTGCATAAAAACCTAAGAACTGGTGACATGCGCATACCTAGCACAAGTAATACTCTCCCAGCAGGAATCTCCTTGTCTGTCTTACCTAGTTTCCTGTGCGAAAGCACCTGTAATCCTGATGTTCAGACTGCACTATTGGTTAACCCAATGGATTAGTAGGGTAAGCTGCCGTGTGCCGCTGGTGCGGTCCGATCCTCTCGCTCCACGATTCCATGCGGTCGGGACATGTTGATCTGTCCATGTGGGACTAGAGTTTATGGAAGCGAACCCGGGTAGATACGAACACACTATCCGATGGCTATATCTCTTAATCAAGGTATTTACTCCTTAATAGGAAGACTTCGTGATTCGACCACAAAATCAAGGTTAAATGCGGGTAGGACAGGGATGTTCGCCCTCTTAATTTTATTATTTCATAGCAGGTTGAGTTCAAATTATTAAATTGTGAAAGCATCACTTTGCACACGTATTAACTTCTACCTTTCGATACTTTGCCGAGCAATCCCCTCGGCTTAGAGCGACTTTTGATTACTCATTCCAAATAACTGCGATCCACGTAGGTGCCTGGAAGTCGCCCGGACTCTGGTCCACGTTTCTTTGGGGTGTTCGTAGGTTCGTTTACCCCTCTATCAGTGGCAAGACATATCCAATCACCCTCTTGCCCGCCGGCCACTGACGACACATTCAATGCAAGCTTGGTTTTAGGAAGGAGAGCCAAGTTATCTATCTCAATTGAATCATTTACTGGTCCTTCAAATTGAGTGCTTGATTCAGTATGCTGCCAATCTCTCGCAGATCAAATATTCTGGACTCTTTTCTATCTTTCTGTTTCCGATTAAGCTTGCGATAGAGGTACGTCATTGTACATCGACATTTTAGTATTTTATCTCCGGGCATTACTAGTTTACATGCCATCCAATCACCTTTCTGGTGGGAACACAGTCTACATTCCCTTATTTTGCTCCTAGTTAATGCGCGTAGCAATACACATGTATGTGAAAAACGGGGTGACTCTTTGATTAATGCCAGGATCCGATCGCCTGATCGCCAATATTTGAGATATGTGTAACATACATCCGAAGAAGCAAATACCGCAGCCGCCTTGTAACTATGGCTTATTGGGGGATGAAGTGGATACAACATTACATTATGCTACTGGGGGCAGAGGAAGATCTGATTTGAGGACAGGAGATATATTTGGTCCATGATTTGGCAGCGCCTAGCGTATGCCATGCCAGCAAAGAGGTCAGGGGCTGGGCGAGGAGATTCCTTGCTTGTTGGACATGTCTTGTCATGAAGTACAGCACATGTAAATGTTGGCTGTACCGATGATCACTCCATATATCAAGGATATTGCACCCATCAAGTCTGGTTCGATCTAGTAAATATGGTGAAGTCAACTAACTAAGGAAATAATCAATCAATTAATCAAGCCTAAACTCGATCGAAACGTAAAAAACAAGCGAGTCTCGATGTGCATATCTGCACGATCAAGTTTACATCCTTGATTCCTAATTCCTTTAGGATCGACAAGAGTGCAGCAACGGGATCTCGGGGATCTAAATCTCATTGAGGGATACAGCCAGCCCGATCGCTGTGATAGATTGACATATTGACCCATCCATCACCCCCCATTATGATCTGTCAACTTGATTTCCCTTGGCACCGTAGATCCCGAACAAAAGCGAAGTCAAAATCTACAATTTACTATTCCACTTGTCCACAATCATGCAGAATATCCAATAAAGTCAATCCCAAATCTGATCAAAAAGTAGTGTCGGACTAAAATATCCGACAAATTGATATGTGGATCATCTCCACTTGATGTTTCGAGGATTTCTTTTACATACAGTATCATATTTGTTGACCATTTTTCCCATTAGCAAATACTGAATTCTTACACATTTACGCAACTGTGCTACCGAAAAGAAAAAATCACACTCCACAACCCCACCCAATTGCTCTCTAGCCACGCTATCCTATGGGGGAGTCATTTTACTCTCCCCGAAATGACGCATAATTGATCCGCGTCTCCACTAATTGAGGCGGTGTCACGATCGATAACTTCTTTTTCACAGCCGGGTTTCCGAGAATGACGATTTTGGGTGCCACAGCATTTCGTGGCAGGTCTTTCACTCCCGCTTTCCACCTTTCTCATTCGACGTGGGGCGAGTCGGGCGCTCTGGCGCATTGGCTTTGAGAAACAGACTGACCTGGTTATGTCCGCTTACGTGATGCATTGAAAAATGAGGATTGGGAGTCTGGGAGCATTTTCAAGGGAAATAGTGTGGTAGGACGCATTTCGATAGTGGGTGATATGGCTGATGTTTGGACTATTTGGCCATAGGATCACCACGAGTAGATCAGGTTATCAATTGTGATTAAAGTCTAGAATTTGGCGATTGGATGGTTTGATTTGCAGATATGTATGCATGGGTTGTCCATCCTGCAGGGTCTAGCATTTTACTTTCTGGTAAGTACACTTGCTTTAGGTAGGTACATATGAGACCAGGTACTCTCCTATGATGTATCTGGGATTGATCAATGGCGTACATCCAATGAGCAGGTACGTCTTTGATGCGCTGAAATAATGTGCAAGGCGCTCTTTATTTGTGGGGGATCTACCAGGCCCTGAGCTCGGTTCGCCGCTTATGTCTGATTTCATAGAGTAGTGCACACGCATCGACCTCGCTTCCTCGACCCATAAGGACTATGTTGATTATTGAGCCAGATCAACGGCATTTCTCGTGCAGTTATTGAGCATCTCTCTTTTTGTCATCTATTGGTACTTCGGAAGAGGGGCCCGATCCTGTATGTACGCATTGCAACTGGCTTTGATCCGAGCGAATGCCATTCCACGCAAATGAAAATCACCGCCTTGGAATCTATGCACGCCTACTCTCAAGTATGAGTTCTGGAAGGCCCTACAAAACTCTAGCCACATCCCTTTTATGGATAACAGACGAAACGCCTGGCGGTCAGCTGGAATAAATACATCTTGAAACGCTACTTTGGCTCAGGGGACGACCGTGCAGAAAACAGATACATGATTTAAATGTCTGCCGCTGTGTAACAGTTAAGCAAGGCGCGCGATGCAACAAGACTCCGAGCAGTCATTAAGAGCTATTAGAAACACAATAAAGTCCAATAACGAATGGTTCTCTCGTGTGCCATCAATTTGGGGTTTTAATCTGCGGTTTGGGCATCGGATGTGTTTGAGATTGCCCGCCATGAATATAAACATCCATGTTCCAAACATGGACAAATATACAAAACACTCAGATACTCGATCAAGTGCTTGGTAGTCACCGATAACGTGTGAAAGATGCATAAGCTATTACCCCTTCGCACAACCCCATGAAACGAAAGCCAAGAATGCCAAATACCTAAAGAGGAACCCTATTAGAGGTGAAACAATATCGTGACACAACCCACTCTCCTATATGATCCAGGAAACGGGAAGACAAAGACCAGGCCAATCCGTCGGCTAAGACTTCTTCTATATGGGAGAAAGGACAAACCGCAAAGCATTTGTTTCTAGTAAAAGTTTAGTTTACCAAACTATTCATTTTAACCGAACGCTGTCACGGACGAGAGTGATCAGTGACCCGAAATACCTCGTGTTTGTGTTCTATCTCCTATAGTATGTACACAATATATGCAAGATCGGTTCTCAATCTATTGGCCTAGGTGAATGGAAGGTGCGTTTATGGATATGTAGTCGACCTCAGAGTGGTACCCGAACAACCCCGAGTGAGATCGAACACAAAGGTGAGTACAGTATATAAACATATTCGATAAATCAAGATCGAGGTTTGGACCAATGGCTATTTTCTTTTTGTCTTATCTCATATAAATTGCTATAGATCTTGTCTAGATTTCATCTCCAGCAGGGTGAGGGCTAGTCATGATTTCACGCGTCTCACATCAAAACAGGAAATGAGGTGGTTAGTCCGCAGAACCAAATTTACTATTCGCCTGTTTTAACCTAGTCAATCATTTTGGGCCTTTGTTCTGTGCAACATATACCCAGAGCTACCATGCGCGCCTACACGTGAGCAACCCCCAGCCCAAACAGACATACGAAGTTTCGAGTATCGAGTATTAAGTCTCAAAACAGCCCAGAAAACTCCGACTGGACGGGTATATTACATGAGATAAGCATACAATACCGGTATCTAGCAGGTAAACTGTGCATCTTTATTTGGCCCGCATAAATGCCCACATCCACATTTAAGCCCATGTATCTACATTCCAAGCTCATATGGGCTACATATGCATTAATCCCATGTACATGCGCGTACATACAGCAAGCCAGAGCCTATCCAAAACCGTAGGGAAGGACTCGGGACTACATCGAGCCTCTAGTTCCAAAGCGGAGGGTCGCACAGCGGTTTGATCTAGTACGGAATGAAACTGATCATGGAGAGTGCGTTGGATAAATTGGCAAGTGGGAAGGGTCTGTGAGATTTGTGTTTTTCGGTAGTTAAGTAGTCTTGTGATTGATTCATATGACGCCAAATTGATGGACTTGGATATCGAAGTGATAGGACATGAAATTACAGAAGCGGCAAAATATCTGTATTTGGACTGGATCTCTAAGAGCTAATTAAACATGGCACTTGATTGAGTCTTGATTTGGGTTTGATGCCTGCATCTAGAAAGGAAATATACTGTGATCTCTTTGTTCTCTATAGAGCCTTCCACATTTCTAGCTTGATATTGCTAGACGATTGTCCTTGTATAGTTGTCATCTTGTCTCTGTGGTTGTCTGTTTGCTTATGAGTTGAGTTAGGAAAGAGATGCACAAAGAGAGATTGCTTTCTTTATAATGGCGTTTAGTTCTTTTCTCCTTGTCCATGGTAATCTTTTAGGAACGCGTATAATGATGCTATTGCTTGGTTTATTTACATAGGAGGACCCCAATAGTGCAGTAATGTTGAGAATACAAACGGACTGTGACAGAAGTCAGATCAGTCTCTAGATGTAGCGAATTACCTTTTCAACTCTTGAACTTATCATCTTCTTGAACTACAACTTTCAGCCCTTTGAACCAATGAGACAATGAAACACCACAACAGGCTGAATGAATAAAGAACACGACGCTGTAGGCACTAGAGAAAAGATCCGCGGGTTTAAATCGCGGAGAGAGGATGCATTCAATGGAGCTAGAGGACAATGGTCCTCTGAAACACGTGCCCAGCAGCATGATACGGAGGATTATCGTCATTATGGGGGATAGACTCTTTCGATAAATTCGTTGTCAAGCTAGAACAGCTCTGCTACGTCCCTAGGAATCCTTTAAAGGTATTATGATTCAAGACTCCCATGATATTGAATATTCTCAGTAGATTATGTACAAATAGAAAGGGAGTCAACCGCATCTAAGCCGAAAGCTTAAGAGATAGCAGTCTGGTTCTGATATAGATCACAAGCATGCGGGTTCTTCAAGCAATACTTGGGTACCAGAGCATTGGCCAGAATGCCATTGGCAACAAGATATTCGCGGAAGTTGAGTAATCTCTGTGTAAGCTCATTGGTGCGCTTGTGACCATTCTTATCCCGATTCCCAGACCAAACAAGCTCGCCAAGCGCCGCAGCACGAGGCCAAAGCTCATTGGAAATATTAATATCATCAACCTGCTCGGACCAAAGCGGCGCCTCGGCACCGATAACATGCTTGGCCTCGGATGCGGTCAGGTTTGTTGTGAAATCATAGTCGTAGATCCGTTGCCAGGTTTTGTACGGCGCGCACCAGGAGCCGCCGGAGCCGCCGTAGTTGAAGTTCACGCTGCCATCGGGGTTGGACTGCTCGTTATAGCGCGGGTCGTTGGTCACGAAGCCTCCGTGGCCGCAGTCAAGATAGAGGAAGTCGGAAGATGAGACGACGACGTCATAGCCCGCTGATGTGAGTTTTTTGATATTGGCCAGGCCGTTGTTCCAACTCTGCATGATGATATCCTTTGGCACATTGTGCGCATTCTCGGTAGAAAGGAAAATATCCTCCCACATCATAAGCCGGCGGTTTTTGACACTCTTGAATATAGGAACGGCGTGATCAACCCAGTACTGTGCGAGATCGTTGAAAGTCCGCGACGAATCTTCCGCAAACCAGTCCATAACATGGGAGCTGAAATTATAACATCCAGCCTGCAACTCATCCGCACCGACATGGAAGACATTGTCACTGAAGATCCGCGACAAATCCCGATACACATTCTCCACAACCTCATAAGTTTTATTGTAGATGATATCCAACTGGCCGGGATTCGGTTCAACAGCGGTGTGATATTGCCAAACATCATTCGACCACCAGGAGTTGGTACAAGTCACGATCTCAGGATCAACCTGCTGCCAGCCCGACGCAGAATGACCGGGCATATCAACCTCGGGAATAACGCGGACGCCGCGAGCGCGCGCGTAAGAAATGACGCGTCGCATGTCGTTCTCGGTATAGATCTCACGGGGCGAGTATGCATCCTTGGTCATCTCGGGGTATGAGCGCATCTGCATGGGCCACGACTGGGAGTCATCGAGGTGCCAGTGAAGAACGTTGAGTTTCGAGAGGGCCAGCCCGTCAATTTGCTCTAGAATTTTGCGGACGGAGATGAAATTTCGGCCTGTGTCGATCATGATACCGCGATGGGGGTAGAGGGGAGCATCTTGGATTTTGACAGGTTGTTCGATTATCAGGCCGCCGTTGTTGTCGGAGATGATTATTTGCTGGAGAGTTGTGAAGGCATGGAGGGCGCCCCAGACTGTCTTGGAGGTGATTCGAATGGAGGGAGCATTGGCGGAGACTTCTAGAGTGTAGGATTCATCGACACCGTGTTGGAGGTCAGCTTTAGTATCTGTGACGTGGACTTGGACGGAGTGGACTGATGCGGTCGCACGTTTGGCGTGTGGTGTGGGCGTCGGGAAGGCTGGATAGGAGGAGATAGGGGCTTCTATGGCTGCGGGGACCCATTCCAGGTCTGTAATAGATTCCCATGCTCGCAACCAGGCGTTGTTCACTATGGCACTTGGGTGATTCAGGGTCAATTCCTCCACGCGAATCGGACCGGATGATCCCCAAGTGATGTTCCGGGGAGCGGGAAGTGGATTCACTTGAACAGCTGAAACTGTCGACAAAGCCTCAAGGACACCGAGGACAGTGATGAACTTCATTCTGATGAGTTGGGCGATGAAGACGAGGAGCAAGAGTGAGAAGACATGTTTATTTATATTGGTGAACATGCCGATCATGTTCAAGAATGGACTATTGGATGCAACATGAGAGCCAACACTCCCCTTGTTTCATCTGCATCTTTCATCTTGTTCAGGTTACATTTTCTCAGTGCTCAGATGCCGATATACAAATACACAGATACACAGATACACAAGGATATCAAACGTAAGTCACTAGACTCGATCTAGTCATTTGATAGCAAACCCGAGAGGCAAGTACCACCTCCACATACTACTGCGGAATAACCACAACAAACTATACCACTACACCGCTACACCACTCCACAACTTCATTTCGAATACTTGGACTGGCAATGTGACCCTTTTACCGAAGCGATGGAACATTTGAAAGCAACAATTTATATCATTTAATACATTTCAAGCCTCAAGCGATTTCTCCAATTCCATTCCCTCTCGGAACTCCTCCTGAATGGCCGCCGCCTCCTTAACCGAGGGAACAACACACGGCCGTCGAGGCAGACCACCATATCCACGATAAGTCTGCAAGCCACTCTTGACAGCAATGAAGCCACCGTGAATAGCAGCCCAGTCCGCTCGAGCAACAATCCCTTGTAACCTCTGCGCCTCAGCCACCTTCCCAGCCCGATAAAGCTCCATAACCCGCACACAAGATCTAGGAATCATATTGGCAACACCACCGATGATACCTGCACCACCAGCAACCAGAGTCTGAAGAGTAAAATCGGCCGATCCTCCAAAAGTGAGGAATTCAGGTTTCCCCGCCGCAATACGAGCCAATTTACCCGTATTGCCGCACGTGAGCTTACAACCAATGATATTAGGGTGTTCAGCCAGCACAAGAATATCATCAGAACTAAGATCCAACCCTGATTGCACAGCGGGGAAATTATAAATAAGGACCGGAACAGGTGACGCATCTGCCACAGCCCGGAAATGCGCGTGCAGAGACTCGGTGCTCATCAGCGCCTTGTAGTAGCTGGGTGGGAGAATGAGAACGGCGTCTGCGCCTGCTGCTCCGGAGTCGTTGCAGAGTTGGATGGTTTCGCGGGTGGAGGCGGCGCCGCAGCCTGCGATTACGGGCATATTGGGATAGCCGGCGGCATCGACGGCGCGGCGGGTTGCAGCTGTTATGGATTTGCGCTCTTCACGGTCTAGGTGGACGGCTTCGCCATTGCTGCCTTGGGTTACTAGGCCTGTGACGCCGCTGCGGGCGAGATAAGCGGCGTGTCTTTCGACTGTTTCGAGATCGACTTCTTCGTCTGGTTTGAAGAAGGCTACGGTTGGTACGTAGACTCCGTGGGGGAGGGGATTGCGTTTGGTTCCGGTTGCGGTCATTTTGATTATGTCTTGTCGAGGTTAATTGAGATGAATGTATATCTCTAGGGGTATTACTTACGAAGTTTGAAAGTGAGCGGAAGCTGTATTATAGGGAATAAGGGTTCAGCTAAATAACCAATACTACCTGATGATCGTCCTCGTCAACCCCCACGTCCCCCACTATATTAACCGTTCATATTCTGGTCTATCTGTCGTCAAGAACCCCGCGTGGGAGTTTACTGACTTCGGTGGAGGTAGCGAATTCAACTCTAAACCCCCCCACGCTCTATGCGGGGTTTGACTCGGAATTGACTTATATCCCCAAGTTGCCAATGTTGCCAATGTTGCATTGGATCCATGCGTTTCTTTGCTCAACAGGGATTATCCTGGATTCTCATATAAAATCCTGAGAGATCTCCGGCTTTGTGTTAGGTATTGTGCTACAATCTGAAAACTGCTCGCTTTGGATCTCCTATCCAGGCTATGCAGTTATACACCTGTAGATATAGACCTACAGCTATACTACCCTCTTAAGTTCGAACATAAGCAGAAAATACCTACACTCAGACATACTCATACACCTCGGCTTAGTTCAATCCCCTCATATTTCGGCCTCGATGGAATTTCCGACGTTGGATTGCCGTGACAGTCCCCCACATATTGTCCGTGGGGGTCCGACGCATGTCATTTTCCGATAAATTATATTAGGTAGACATAGGTGCAAGAGATGAAATTCCTCTGAAGTATTTATTATCCCAGTTGAAAGTATTCCCAATGTGTATTGTGGCAAGTTCGAGGAAATTCAAGAATATATAGGAGATCAAGAATGAATGCGAATAGTCTCAATCAATACCGAATCAATGACAAATTGATTAATACACATATAGATAAATATAACAAAAACATTCAAAGAGCAATTTCATGAATAGAATCAGCAAAAGAACGAAACCAATTAGTTAACTGACGATGTAAGTGGTCTCCTCCGCCAAGAATCGTCTCTCATCCCCATTTCCGCAACGACCTCCATATCCCTGCAGAACAAGTCCAAGATCAACAATGCCCACTTGAACCTGCTACTCAAACAATGGCCCTCCTGTCGCGGCCCTCTCTCCGTGGCTCTGTGCGACGGGCCCCCGAAGAACCCACCGACGCACCAGCACCAAAGAAGCAACGCATGGAGAGCCCTTCCGACCGTCGCAAAAGCTCTCCAGACTGTCTAGACACTACAACGGTGGAAGAACCCGTCAAACGTTCCCTGAAACCCCAATCGCGATCGCGAACTCGCCGTCGCGCCTCCTCCTCTTCCATTGACGTCGCCTCACCCGCGGGGCAATTGGCGACACCGACGACCAGAACAAATGGAACTGCAAACGGGATCAAGACTACTCGCGCACGTCGCGACCCTACTACGCCCTCCTCCAATTTCTTTGACATTCAAGAGTCGCCCGACCCGCTAGACACGATCTCTCCTGCACCTTCGGTCGCTTCGAAGCAGCGCACCGTCACACCTGCAATTGCGGATGATGTTAACCCCCTTGGTTCGCCGGTGCCGCGCACAACCCGTCGCACCGATAATCGCAGGGAGGTGAACTCCGAAGGCGCATTGGATGCGACTGTGACCCCAGCACCGTCGGATCACAAAGACGCGACTGATGAACAGACCGAGGAGAAGAGGTCTGAACGACGGTCGCTTCGCTCAACTGACACCGGGTTGCGGTGCAAGAGCGAATTGGCACAGTATTTCCATAATTACGAACAGATCATTAGCCTGGAGGATCCAGAACCAGGTAAGTAACTCTAGGGCGTACCCCGACCATGTAAAAGCACATCTAACACCGTACAGAGTTCCTCGCAGCCAAAACAACTCTCACGATCATTGACGACCTATCCCAACCCATCCCAATACCCAAACCAGACCCTACGCCATTCGGAAATCCTCTATTAAACCTGTATGGCTGCACGAAGCTCTCCCTCCCTCCTCTCCCAACCCCAGACCCAAACACAACACCCGCAGACCCCCTCAACGAAGCGACGTATTTCCGTGCGCACCGCAAATTTGAGCGTCAAGAGAAGCAACTGCGCAACATCGAGCGCAACCGTGCTCAGCACGAACAACAAGTCCTAGAACGACTCCTGGACGAGCTCCGCGGCCATGACTGGCTACGCGTAATGGGCCTGCCCAGCGTCCACGAAACAGAAAAGAAACTATATGAACCAAAGCGGGAAATCCTAGTGCAGGAACTCGTCACTCTAGTGAACAAATTCCAAGCCTGGAAGGACGAGGAACGACGAAGGAAACTAGAAAAAGAGAAAGAGAAACCAGACGAAGCAGATGCAGGTTTACGAAAACGATCCCGCCTGGACGATGATAGTTCGCCTGCTCCGGCTGATTTGCAAAGCACCCCTGATCCAAATGACGTTGATGCATTGGCAGCGCGACAATTGCATCAGGAGGCTAGGTCAGCAGGGGCTGCGAAATCGAAGAACCGCAAGTCTACTTCGAAGACGGTCTCGACCGAAGAGGAATCGAAATCAAGTCCCAAGCGCAAGAAAGTAAACCCTACACAACCCCCAGCTCCGGCGCCCACCCCTACCCCGGCTTCAGCTTCAGCTCCAGCTCCAGCCCCAGCTCCAACAAAAAATCTCAAACAAGCATCCCTCTCCCTCTTCTGGGCCCCTGCTCCACGCGAAGGGCCGTTCACATCATTCTTTCGCCAGCGACATGTGCGGGACGCAGCGATTGCCGCGACGAAAGGGATTCGACGCGGTGGATCTAGATCTGCTCTTGCGTTTGGCCATCCGGTTCCCGAGGTTGATGAGGGGGATTTTGAGGTGCCCGGGGAGATTTTGACGGAGGAGGCTATTTTGCAGTCGCAGAGGAAGAGGCGGCGATTGAGGAGGAAGAGTTTGGGGTGAGGCTGAGCATCGATTGTTGAGACTTCGGCTGGGAACTGTCGCATTTCTGTTTTTTTTTATGTATGATAGCATCGTGGCATGGCGTTTATTGCGCATTTCGGACTGACAAGTCCTGGCGCTGGCGTTATTTATGAGGGTTGAGACCTTGTACAAATACGTTTCTTTGCGATTTGTATGAATAGATATTATTTTTAATGGCTGGTTCATTCTATGTTGTATGGTGGATAGTTAGTTGGTAGAAGCCAAAGAAGGTCAAAATCAGTTTGATATCTACGAGTTGGAGTGATATCAACTCCAGTCCACTATGCTAAATGGTAGAGACCTCGTTGAACAAAGAAATTGTATGTAGCTTGTAGTTTGTAGCGAATTACAATGCAATCTACGTCCAACTCTTGTGAGAAGAAAAGTGAACTAAGTCTCACGTTTGGTCTGTGTTGTAGCATAAAACGAACGGGCCAAACATCCGAGCAGAAATGAATAATAAATAGAATATAAGCAAGTCTAAAGCCAAGGATGCAACGCACCAAAGTCCAACGGCCGGAGCTCATACTCAACTCCGACCCGATCAGCCTCCGAACGGCTTCCACCTAGAGCTCATTAGCCGCAAAGACAATACAAAGCAAGTCCCTGCAAGATATGTCAGAAACAGGCTAGACTAGTTGAATTAAGCTTAGATTTTGCCCTAAAATCTGCAGGGATCAGCGAGCATCCGCACTCACCCATCATTACATACTACATAGCAGTAGTACTTGAATGCAGTCCTAGATCTTTAGAACTTAAGAACATACCTATAGAGAGATCTATAGAGCAGGCCGGCATCGGAGCGAAGTTTTCACACCTCTCCAGTTTTTCAGCGTCAAATTGATGTATTGGGCCCAGCAGCTAGAGCCTTTTTCAGATTTTTATTACGTCGCGCCCAGATGATTCGTCGTCTCGGTCCGCGACTCGGGGGTCCACATCTGTTTTAGGTGGCGGATTTCTTATTTCTTCAAGACTATTTGACTCAGGCGTTTTTTTTTTATGTTGGTCTTTTTTTTGATTGGAATTGCTTTTGATCTTTAAGAATATCTACTTAGTGAAGATTTCACGCGTGTTCTGCTTTTTGTGGACTGGAGTTTGATTTTCGACGTCATCTCGAGATCTACTATAGACCCTTTCGATATCCGGCTTCACTATGAGCTCATCACCTGCTCTGGAGAGGAAGAGCTTCGATGTCACTCCTGATTTGAATGATCCGGAAAAGTCTCTCGATATTCCCCAATATAGACAAGATGCTTTTGGTGACGAGGAGTTTGCCGAAGTCAAATACAAGGTGTTGAAGTGGTGGTATGTTTTCATAGCTCGATAGCTTGCTATAGCTCTGTGACTAATGTTTGGTGTTTTAGGCAATGCGGTTTGTGTATGTGATTACTGATACATATCCAACTCGACCCAATCTAACATTCTATCAGTGATGGTTGCCGAAACAGTATCATTGGGTGTGCTCTCTCTGCCCGCTGCCGTGGCAGGTCTGGGACTTGTGCCGTATGTACAACGTATGATTTAACGAGACACAGGAACGAAAAGCTAATTTCTGATAGTGCCATTCTCGTTCTGATCTTCCTGGGCTCTCTGGCCACTTATACCGGCTACGTAATCGGACAGATGAAGTGGAAATACCCTCACATCTCAACAATGGCAGATGCCGGCGAAGTTATCGGCGGAAAATGGGGTCGGGAATTTATCGGCGGTGCTCAAATTATCTTCTTCGTCTTCATCATGTCCAGTCATCTTTTGACCTTCACGGTGGCCATGAACACCATCACAAACCACGGAACTTGCTCCATTGTCTTCGGAATCGTCGGCATGGTCATCTCATTCATTCTCTCGCTGCCTCGTACATTGGTCAAGATGTCCTGGCTATCCCTTGTTTGTACGTCTCCCCATTCCATGGCAATATGACAATTCCATTCTAACATGAACAGCATTCGGAAGTATCATGACTGCAGTTTTGATCGTCATGATCGGTGTCGGTATCACGAAACCCGGCGATGATGTTGTCGCGGTCTACCACACAGACTTGTACCACGGCTTCTCCGCTGTCTGCAACATCGTCTTTGCATTTTGCGGCCACGCCGCTTTCTTTGGCCTGATGGCTGAATTGAAGAACCCCAAGGACTTCACCAAGTCCCTCTGCTTGCTGCAGGGTATTGATATGGCGCTTTACATCATTGCTGCTCTGGTGATTTACCGTTATGCCGGAAGCGATGTCACCTCACCTGCTCTGGGGTCTGCTTCCCCCATAGTCGCCAAGGTTGCGTACGGCATTGCCTTGCCTACTGTGAGTTCTGCATGTGGATTCTGATGAGCCTCAAACTAATCTCCGTTTAGATCGTAATTGCCGGTGTCATCAATGGCCATGTCGCATTCAAGTATGTCTACCTGCGCATCTTCCAAGGCACCGACCGCATGCACAAGCGCGACTGGGTTGCCTGGGGCTCCTGGGTCGGCATTGCCTTCACCATGTGGGTGCTTGCGTGGATCGTCTCCGCTGCCATTCCGGTGTTCAGCAACCTTCTGAGTTTAATTGTATGTTTCCCAATTTTTGCGACTGTGTTTTAATCCACTAACGCCATGTCTAGACCGCCCTGTTCGCTAGTTGGTTCACCTACGGCCTGAGTGGCATTTTCTGGCTGTTTATGAACAAGGGACTGTGGTTCTCTTCACCGAAGAAGATCGCACTCACTGCCCTGAACTTTACGATTATCGCTATCGGCGCAGCTCTGTGTGGTCTCGGTCTCTGGGTCTCTGGAAAAGCCATCCATGATAACCCCAGTAGTGCGAGCTTTTCCTGCGCTAACAATGCTTAAGTGCATAAAATCTTTTAAAAAAGTTTCTGCTGGCATGCATAAAAATGGTATAGAAGGATTACGGCGTTCGACTTTGCATCTTGGGCATTTGTTCTAATATTATTGACCCCCGAGCTACGACTTGGGCTGGCATTTTGGGCTTGCATACTTGTTACTAGCATATATAGACTGCAGCGCAGCTGTTGGAGATAGACATGTATAATTTTAATATTGTCCTAAACAAAAGTGGAACCATCAGTAACTACCTAATGGTACTGCCTGAAGCTATACACAATTACCTTTCTTTACTCTGGCTAATAATCCCTGAATTGATACAATTTATCCGGGTTGTCACCCGTAGACACCCCTCTCTAACATGTACCCATGACAGCCGATCTCTTCCTCGAATCAAATCAGTGACAATTCAACCCGCTCAACAACATTTTGGTCTCCTCTGCCTATTTGAATATGCCACTGCGCTTGACTGAACAAACACAATTGTACCTGGCCGCGGGCTTTCAGTACACAGCTACTAGCTCGCGGGAATCTATTCACCTTAGTCTCGAGTCTCAGTTTCCTTGGAAGATACAAAGCCTGGGCCAAGATGCTCTACTACAAGTGTTGAAATACGGAGTAGTAACAAGATCGACGGTTCAATTTCTTCAATATGATTTTGTCAAGCATCAGATAAGCCAATGTAATATGAGGTTGTACCACTGTTTGCATTTGACAAGATGAGTAAATCAGCCCTCCTAGTTGCACAACGAATCAATTTTGTACATGCTGTGAGATTGCCTAGCGTTGATCGCTTGTGAGGCGGGTGAGTGTGAAGAGTTAGCATAACCGAGGATGTGTATTACTCAGGCCACACAGGTGCTCTGTAGATCCGAGTGCCATGTTGGCAAATCCTTGTCTCTGTACTGTTTGAAAAAGTCTGCGTTTCAAGATTGACTCGTGCCTTAGCCAACCCCATTCGTATTGATTGACGAGATGAGGATATATTATGGGTCCATGATGAAGTCGTATTCATGACGCAGAGCCGGCATCTAAACCTATCAGCAAACCGATTGTCAGCGGGATTGCCCTTATGATGAATCGAATATGGTAAGTAAAAAAATCAAAACAAAAATGGTTTGATGCTATGCCCATCAGGCAAAAGGGTGAAAATTGTCTCATGGCCCCGAGAGGCTCTGAAGTAGCAAATACGTTTAATGCAAACATCACGCGGGCATAGCAACATAGGAACAGGCGGTGCAAAGGCAGCTCAGAACAGAAAGCGTACCTTGATGAGCTTGTCCCAGCCAGATGAGACGACGACTGGGGTTGTGGCGGAGGTTAATCAGAACGAAGCGCGACGTGTCTAGTGATCGGTCAGTATCACAGCCGAACATGGATTCATAAAATGAAGTGTTTGGAATAGCCTCAGAGAGAAGATTAAGGTCGGCAATGCCTCACACATCCGCAGATGGTATGGCTTTCCGGCTAAGGATGATATACGATGTGTATTCATCATAAACAGGCAGGTGTTTTGAAAAACGGGATTACTCACAGCTTCAGTGTTTTGGTAGATGTGGAGAGTGTAGTCGACATTGCTCACCCTGCATAGGATTGGGAGATGTGACTATGTGGCCACTCGGTGAATCTGGGAAGTACTTTCCATGCTGCGCATATCGGAACTTGATCAGTCGTCGTAGGAGATGATTCTACGACCTTGATATGGTGCGCGCGACACTGGGGGCTTCTTTGCCGGTGGTGGATGAGAGCTGTTGTCCCCATAGTCCAGCGGCTCTTGGGTTGTATCATCATCATGGTTTTTGGATTCCCGTAGCGATTTCAACCGCTTCTGATCACCAGTTGGGCTGGGTTGACCATCTAAAGGTCGCTTCTCAACCACATCATCATGATTACCATCTGACTCATTTTTCGCAGGTAAACGCATCCGAGCCTCGTAATCGGAATTCTCCAGCTCGAGTTGCTTTTTGCGCAACAGGGAATGGATCTCACTGTGTCTGAACATCTCGATCTGTTCATCTGTAAGTGTGCGCTTCACCCCGTCAGGGTAGTATCCAAGGTCTTCGTCTGCTATCGGGTCATTTTCTTGGATGCACGGAGTTTGATGTTGACCAGGGAAGTGCTTGCGTTGGAAGGCTTGGAGATCTTCCTACATAAGCAGAAATCATTAGAAGTGATACCAAGAAAAGTGGTTTAAAATAACTCACCAGAGTTACATTGGGAACCTGCATCGTAGACAGGCGAGGAAAGGAGAGAAGAAGACAAGAAGAGAAAAGAGAAAGAACAAAGTTGTTAGCGGGAAGACGCGGTCGCGTTGGTAATATTTCGGTAATTACAATACAGGCAGAGTACATGTATGCTCGTGTCAAGATGCCAAAAACTGTGAGGGCAAGAACATAATCCTTATGAAATTTCTCCAACTTCACCTAGAAATTCATGTAACTTCATGCTATTCCCCAAGAGCACTGCGGTGAGAGATTATAAGCTTGTAGTCCTGCTATGTCCTGCCTAAGCTCCTTAAACATCCCATGAGAAGAAAGCATGTTAGTAAGTGACTGGAAAGATCAGCCCAAGCTGCTATCCAACGGTATACTTGTAACATTGTTTCCAACCTTCGCCTTAACACTATCAAATCCGATTTGCAGTTCTCTTAAACCCCGCAAATCAATCCCGGTAACTTGCCTATGGTGTCTGGCACTAGGCTCTGACAGAGTCCAAGCCAGTGAGATGTGAAAATACCCAGAGAAATCATCTGTGGGTACATCATCCTTCCGATGATTGGACGATGCACGGGTCGGTTGGCCTTGGGACCGAGAGCCTGCATAGAGAGGCGGCTGGTCGAAGAGACGAAGAGAATCATTGGACAGCCTGAGTAGGCGATTTAGATGATCTTGTACCGGCCTTTGAACACTAAAGACAAGGAACCAGCGTGTCTTTTCATAATTTGACACCCAGTAGAGGGTATTGGGCCGTACTTGGAACCTATTCGAGGATTTAGACAATATTTCATTTCAAAGTCGACACAATAAAGCCCAAGACATACGGTGGAATATGGGAGCCGACGATAGAATCCTGCAGCTTTTCAATGAACAAAGCACGTTGCTCGGTGCGAAGGACCACCGGCCGAGACAAGCTGATATGAAGCGGTAGCTGAGCACCAAGATCACTATGCAAGAGACTGTGGACGCTAGACGAGTTTTCATCAAGTGAAGTCTCACACTGAACAATTAAACTCGTAAGGAGGGACAACTCTTCTTTGCCTGGATACCCTGTCAAGGTCAGCTGCTGATAGGAGTGAAGAAATTCGAAACTTCGTCACTCACATTCGAGGTAGAGATGCGTTGGCCAGTTTCCTTCAACGTGGGGGATTACGCGTTTTCTGCCACCATGGAGCGTAGGATCATCTTGGATGCTCACACGTGTTGTTGAAGCATAGAGGTCGTGAAACGCTGCAGGAAGGGGGGGCAGCGATGGCCCTGGATTGTTATGGCGGGGTTTCTTGGTCGGAGGAGAAGATCTAGACTCTGAATCGGACTCCGAGTCAGAATATTGTACTAGGGGCATTTCATTGAGTCTGTTGAAATTGTTGTTGTGGTGGAGGTCTGGTTTTCTTGGATCCCGAGAACGTTGAAGTCAACGTCCAATCACCGTTCAAACGCATCTATAAATCATATTTGAGCCATTTTCCCGTCTTTCTCCTTGCTATTTTTTTTTCTCCTTGTATATTTGACTTTAATAGAAGCTTCTCTTTTCTTGTCCTCGATGCCTTGTTACACCAGCTGTGTGCCAGGCCATAGTCAGAGCTTCAGGCGCGTAGTGGGATCGACATCTAGCCCGCAATTAAGCATGGTGCCAGCTAGGGCTGGTCGGGTGTAATATCTGGGTTGTACTGCCGCTAAGTATTACTTCAATAAACCCACATCTACCTCTGAGCAACGGAACACAGAAAAGGTCCAATCTCTTTTATTCAGCTTCAGCCAGTTTTCTTTTGGTCCGTATACCTAGTCCTAAGCGGAAGCAGAAGGACCATGCAAGTGTTGCACAATGCCTTCCCACTTTACTGGAAACTATTGCGTAAGTACTATGCATGTGGCTTGATAATTTTTATACCAGAAGTTGCCACATGTTCTTGAATTGGCATCCTTGTCCATTGCAATCTTTTTTAAAGTGAATACTTAGTTCAGTAGAGGGTATAACTCACATAAAAGTATATATCCTTGTCGTTGATGCTTATTGTTGAACAGAGCTTGCTTTCATGTCTTCAGCCTTTGTGCCTCTATTCTCACCCTGCCGGTGGTGGGAAAACTGGGAGCCAGAGCTAATGAGATATCTGCCGAAAGCACTCGCGGGGAACCCATGACCCAGGAACCTTCAGTGATTGGCAGCATCCAAGCAGACTTTCATCTACTCGCGAGAAACCGTCTAGCAGTGCCAGAATACTGAAATGGTATGTGTGTACCAGAATGCATTCAAACCCCTCTATGGTTTGCAGATTGATGAACAGTATGTTAGAATATAGACATTAAGCCCAGCTTGCATGACCTGTGGAATTCATGAAAGTACATAGCCATTAAATCCTATTGTATTGTGGGATGATACCTTTCTTAATCATAGATTCAAAACGGAAGGAGCTTTGCTACTGTGTGCAGCGTGTGTAGCTTGCCTTGTGTTCTGGTTAACACAAGTGTCAATACGTTGGCCATTTCTGAATTTTACGACATGAATGCTCAATGATACTAATGCTAGCTTGATGTGCCATAACACAAGCGGCAGATTTTGCTTTCAGACGAACGCAATAAGAAGAAACACTTTCCAAGAGGGTCAAGCGATTCATTCTGCAAACTAAGGTATTTAGATATCAAAGCGTTCAAGGGTCCACCACTTCAGACTCTATAAAATAAGAATTGAGAATTATAAAGGCATTGGTTAATCCATTGTAATGCAGTTATTTAAAAATGACTGTCCTATTAAACCAAACTGTGACATCACTAAATCTACAACTCTGGTGCTTAGGCACATTTGTCGCTTTCATATTCACATTATGCTAACGAGGAGCAATGAATCTGCTGAGTAAAACCAAGCCGAGATATCTCTTTCCTCTTCTGAGCTTTGCGCTTGCTGCAGTCGCGAACCCTGTGCTGAGTGATTTGATAATCTGAGATTTGTAGGATAGTTTCGGATTCAAGACATGTTGCCATCAGATCCAGAGCTTGTTGGCCGCGACGAGAATACAGCTGCTACTGCTGAAAAATCTGACAGTAGAGGTCCTGGTCGTGTTGGTGGCGGATGGGGTGGATGGGGTGAATCGGTCTAGTCTACTCGTTTTGTCCTTTTGACACCCTCCCCAAATTGGATTTCAAGACCAGGTAACTAGGCTGGGAAAAAGGCCTGGATAATCAAGTGCATTTTTGTTGTTATGATCGCTGCACACTGCACTGTCTGATATACAGATTATTCTGATTTGAGATTTTTGAGAGTTATGTCTCAACTTGAATGCTCTTATTTCTCAACCAAACGGCTACCATCGTACAATTTAGCTAAATTTGCAGAGATGAACAGCAGACTGATGAAGAGTATATTTTCTTTACATACCGAGCCTCCGGAAGCGATCAGGTACCCACGAGCACCTCTAGAACAAATAGTTCCTTTACTTTGCAACAATACTGCCTCCTCTATGTGTATCCAACTTCATCTCCGGCTCTATTGTCCTTTTTCAAATTCATTATCCAAACATATACCTAATTCCAAGACATACCTGACGAGATGTATTAGCCCATTCTGATCGTGGCAACGCTTCGAAAACATCGAGAAAATGCGGAATAAAAACAAGTAGCACGGCATATATCAACCCCAGAAGCTACAATGAAGAGTCCAATTAAACCTGGTCAGATTTTAATCTCAACGGCCGGACAATATAATTATCTGCAGAAGTCAATAAGGCGTAGATCAATCGGATTCAGCGGAGCAACCTGATTGATATTTGCCGATCAATATCCAGCCGTATCAAAAGGAGCAGAACACAATTTAAGATATAAACTCGAGGTCGAGTCCTCCGATTTCCTTTTCAACTCACTACCAAAACAAGTGCTCACCACAGTCAGTCCAGTGAGCTTTCACCAAGCCATTTATATCACTCAATCTAATTGGCAAGAAATACCAGTTTGGTCCCCGAAGATGAAGCCCAACGTTCTTGTTGCAATTCTCAGTGTGGCCCTGAGCGTCACTGCGGCCCCTACTCCATTGAATCGTACGTGAAATTCCCCCATCTGGCCAACTGAATGAGGTTTAATTAGGGCCATGGTCATTAGAGCTAGCAGCCCGCAAAGTTGACCTTGATGATGCTCCTACCCCTCCAACCCCTCCCACTCCGCCCACCCCCTCTGGGCCTGTTTATGGAGGTCCCTACCGTGGTCCCGTCGGAATTCCAACTCCTCCCACCCCTCCTACCCCTCCCACTCCGCCAACCCCCTCGGGACCTGTCAATGAAGGTCCCTACCGTGGTCCCGCTGGAAATCCAACTCCTCCCACCCCTCCCACCCCTCCCACTCCGCCAACCCCCTCGGGACCTGTCAATGAAGGTCCCTACCGTGGTCCCGCTGGAAATCCAACTCCTCCAACTCCTCCTACACCTCCTACACCTCCTACCCCACCGACTCCTTCTAGCACAGTTAATGGTCCATTCTATGGTCCAGTTTACGGTAGCGGCGGCGGCCAGCCTGTTCCTCCTACTCCACCAACTCCCCCCACTCCCCCCTCCCCTTCTTCCTACTAGGAAGGCATGAAGGTTTGCAGGTGCGACACTAACTCATGCTGATAATGTGGACTTTATGAAGTAAAACCATGGTGATAATTATGGGGAATTAGTTCTTCATTTGGCTGCAGCAGTTGATTCCTGAAATGTCGACCCTCGTTTAAGTTGTACTGCAGTATAACTCTTCAGCAATCAAGGTTTCGGCTGTAATTTCAGCCTTACTACAATAAGGTCCAATCTCTTATATTCCCATTTTGAAGATCAAGTCTAGGCTCTCCTCTTAGCGCGAAAAACGCAGATTGGACTACACGATGAACGACTCATACAACACCCGGAGTAGGCAAAATGACAACCTACTGAAAGTTCCAATAAATATATAAAAAAAAATCACATCTCATCAATTAAGACATTGCCAAAGCATTGTATAAACAGAGGTAAACTTATGAATTGTGTAAACTGAGAACTGGGGAAATAAGAGAGGCGACCTTGAGAAAGAAGCCTGATTACCTACCCGAAATCGATATTGACTACCAGAATAGTAACAGGTGCCTGAATGATATACAAAGCTTTGGGGGCCGACAGATGAGGCTCGCTCATGAGTCACGAACTCATCGTTCTTGGCATCTGGGGGCCAACAACATTTAACACAGGAAGCACTTTGCCATTCCTCCAATCCCCAAGGAATTGCTAGAATGCCTCGCAGAGCTCGTTTTTACGTTCCGCCTGAAATGGTTGAGATTATTGCAGAGTATCTTGCCTTCGATCATCCCCCCCTCTCTTGAATCTCGCTAGGGCCAATAGATCCTGCTATGTTTGTTGCCGCGGATTTTCCAACTCAATATTTTTCCATGATATCAAAGTCACAATAGGCGTGAGGCACAGAATAAAGGATTCTGTCAATTGCATGATTGAACAAGTCTCAGCCGCAAATAGCTTTTGCGAAGTACGTCGGATTTTTATTGTCCACACCCCCGAGCGGCTGTACGAAGTTTTCAACGGTGTACAATTATGGTGCAGGAACAAGTTTTGCCTAGTTGGGGGCGTGAGGTGCAAAGCTTTCCCTTGGCCACAGACTCAAATTCGCCATGTTAAGCTCACTTTTGTAATTCATTCTCGACTATAAATTTACCTTTAGTTTCCTCTGGTATGATCGTATATCACTAATATAGTACGAGGTATAATAATTACTTTGTGTACGAGAATTATTGGACAATACCACCATTGACCGTGCGACTGTCTGACAATAACCGATTTCATTGCGTCGGGGTTTGGAGCCAATCGGCATTGAAGGACTCTTATGTTTTTGCATTGACTAATTTGAAACCTAGGCGCACATAGTATTGCCAACATATAACTACGAGGATTTCTAACACTGGAAAAGTCCTGTACCAATCGCACGTTTCAGTCCCTCAAAATTAATTGCTAGGCTACTATAGTAATCAATCAAATAAGCTTGGCCTCTGGCGATAATAGGTATAGTAAACAGGATGATTGATTGAGGACAGTCACTAAATTAAAATAAATGACACCGAAGTATTACTCACTTTTCTGATTGTGCCTGTCACCGCCATTTATAGATCTGTCCTTTCGTCTTCCAGTGAACGTAGTCAGTAATCAATAAAAAACCAATCAGCACCTACCCGAAATACGATGTCGGAGCACTGACTATTGCCTGTGAATTAGCTACCTAGTACCTATCTCAGAATGCTGTACGCATGATCCCCCTTGCTCGTTGGACCTGTCCGGATCTAAATTTATGCTCTGTTGTAGAATCATTTTACCCACTGTTGTGGCTGCTTGAAAAGAAAGTTTCTAGTCACTGTTATTGATTATAGCGTGCATATGCATTGATGCCTTGGTGCCTTGGGAGGATGGGAGCAGCAGGTGCGATTAGTAGAAGAACTAGTTATTGATTGTTGAGTTGGTGTTGTAATGGATCACTAGTCAATTTTCTTGTGAGCTTACCAATGAAACTTGAGATTCTAACCACATGGCAAGGGCATGGGGGTTTACCCAATTGACAAACCGACCAAACATCCCAACTGTGAAGTCAGCTTCATAGTGCCGCAGGGCTATATTTGAGACATCCGATTCAGAATCAATAAATGTGGCACAATTGAGAAGAGAGGAAACAAAAATAGTAGGATGCAGTATGAAGCGGTGAGAAAGTCCTTTTTCAATCAATGCTAGATGCATATTGAGTTCAATAGTTCACTCAATAAACCAAGTAAGGAGTTCCGATTCACGATCTAGACTACGCCAGGTTTAGTTTAGAAGCTATGGCCGCACTTAGTGAAATCGTCGGCTGCTACCCCCTAGCGGATAAGCTTAAATTATGAGCGAGTCATCGGCCGGGAGGGCCGGGAATAATTATCCGGTGAGAATTTTGGGATCAAATTCATACATACAGTATAACGAGTAGAGTTTTATTTTTTGTCTTCACTTGTAGGTAGTATGACGACAGAACAATTTCACAGAACCAGAAAAATGGACATTGGATACAGTGGAGGTGATGGAGGGAAGAGTTATCGTCATAGGAGCCGATCAGTACGTGGAAGTCTCGGATGTGGATGCAACATCGGCCTTGCATATGCCATTAGTCTTTCATGCATGGTAAATCATGGGACTAATTTAGAAAACATTAATTCGAACAGTGAAGAGAGAACAGAACAAGCTATTTCCATGTTATCTTAGGTTTCAATATATCTTTCGCCTATAGACGAAAACTAGTAGAGACAAGTTTGTACCTTCGATATATGTGCCTTACCTAGGTACGGGATGATATCATCAAATCCATGATCCATGTGTATCGGCACTTTGGCAGGGTCCAGGAGCTCCACATAATCTGGGGCAACACTCGAAGTACCTAAACGGTGATTGGTAAAGTAAAAGTGCCGAAACACATTTTGGAGGTTTGACTAGTCAGGGTCACTAGCTCTTCCACTCTGTACCATGTTTAACTTCGGATCAATGAGCTATGGCATACGCAAGTCGTAACGTCAGGGCCGCTGGTTCCTTTAGTATAAGCCCGACCTGGACTATAATATTCTTAATGAGATCTTAATATTCCTCTTTTCTTTTTTCCCTTCCATTTAATTTCATTTAATTTCTTCTCTTCCCCAACATTCTCAGCTATACGAGCTATTCTGCATCACACCACAGTCCCACGTGCTCTAAATACGATATTTATATTCACTCATAAGACCGGTGTGATCTTCGTGAAGGCTCAACGCATTTCACATTTCGCCTTTTGCCCTGAAAAATCTCTCCCCATATCTCTACACTACTACTTCGTACAACCCATAAATGGCAGTTGACTGCATGTCGGTGGCTTCGCGCCACCACCCGCATCACCCCTTGAACCAGCATTCCAGTTTAGATCGGCGCCCAAGCGTGGGGTCAAACGTGGGCAGCAACAACCCGTATTCCAGGTACATGTCGCCCGCTCCTTCGACTTATTCCAGGCGGTCGCACTCTGAATCTGTCAACTCCGCGCCTTCCATCTGGTATTCCGGCACACCCGAACATTATCCGGTGGAGCCGAAACGTCGCCGCGATCACTCTGCTTCGCATCGCCGCCGATCTACTTCTCACAAACACTCCCGACATTCACTCCTTGTGCAACCGGATATCATCGACCAACTGGACAATGTGTCCGCTTTTTCTTATCACCATGAAGGTCCTTACGACGCTGCCCGCCCAGAAAGAAACCGCCTCAGCCAGTACAGTCCATTGGAAGCAGTTAAAGAGTCTAATGCCGAGGCCCTCCGGGCTACTCCACATCACAAAATCGCCGACGCTTTAAATAGCCATCGGCCTTTGGATGGAGTTGCCTTCTATCCTCCCGGAAGCACGGATCGCAATGGCCAAGAATATTCCTATGAGGAAGGTTCCAACATGATGAACGATTTCGCTGGAAACTTCATGCGCCTTCCTGGCACAGTATGTATTCTTCCCTTTTCATAAATGTGTCACATTTGTTAATTATAGTACAGAAATTCACCGACGAGGATTTCAAGAATGATCCATTCTACAACCGCCCGTTGGTTAACCCATTCTCACAACTCCGAAAGAGCATCAGTCTGCGGCTCAAGAAGAAACGCCGCAGCACCGCCTAAGCCGACTTTCACAGATTGGATAGCTTCACAACTTGACGATACGCTTTTTCATGACTCTTATGCGATTTGACGATGCTTGGATAATGCCTACATGACACTTGGGGTTCGGGGTCCTGCTTTAGATTTTACTTTTCGGTATTCATCATGTGCTATTTTTCTGATTTCGGGGGGTTCCTGATTATACAGCACTAAAGGCGTTGACCTCTTGATTTTATAGGAGTTTAATGCGGCTCTTTATCTTTATTTTTCTTTATGTATATTAGTGCTGCATGTACTTCGACAATACAGACTTGTTTCAATTAATCATCTCCTATCAGCATGTACGAGGGCAACTCCATCTCACCTACCTTGGGTACCCTGTGACCCCTACTTGGCACCGATCAAATAACGTCACCTGTTGCACGCCGATCGACCCGCGCGTTTACCCCCTCGAATATTCATATCACGAGTACCATCATCCGATTTCTAGACTAGAACATTAAATTGTGCAAGACTCCGCTTTTTTAAACTCGTGGAATTTGCAATACCCTGTCAGGAATGACCTTCCACATCAATAGAGCCAACCGCATTGTAGATCAATCTACGAGTGTTGCCTAAACCGATAACCACGTTTTGCCACGGCTAACTCAGTTCTGAGCATTTATCCGCCAACCCGCAGTAATGGTATATGCGAGAGAAATTTCGGAGGTAGTCAAGTATATAGTACAACGTCTCTTAATTGAGATGAAATACATAAGATCTTTTAACGATAGTCGGAACATGCATTTGTTGCCCTATTCATGGCATTCAGCTATACTAGGCGAACTGTCGCTCATATTAGTTGGTCAGGCTAGTACGTGAACACAACTAGTCAGAGATTTTGTCACTGAAGCCGATATCAATGCAGTTTGGGATATCTTGGAGTAACCTAACATGGAGATCACTGGCAGATTACTGTTTTTACCGAGGTTAACTTCTGCGACCGTCGGAACATTACTCGCATAGCTGACTTAAACCTAAAAGGGTAAAAGGGTAAACGTATGCCTCAGGTTGGAGATGTGTATGAATATCGTACAATATGGTAGGGTGAAACGATGCATTTATTATCCAGGATTAGATAACACTAATCAGTTAGATAACTAGGTCAATGCTAGTAGAGATAGCAAAACAAAGGGCGTAATGGATGAATAGAGAAACTCAATACGGAGTACCTGAAACTCATCTTTATCTGCTACTAACTTAGACTAGTGGTAATTTCAGGCTTAATCGGAGCACGGAATTTGCTTTCGCCAGTACCACCTCATATCGAGATAAAATCCAAATCTCCACAGCTCACAGGCAACCAAATTAATACTACTGAAATGGATTTGATATTTGTGTGGTCCATTGTGGTCTATATACATCACAACAACCGGGAACAAATGGACTCCGTCGGAGCATCTCTTTTTGCTCCGCAGTAAACACTCAAACTACAGACATGACGCCATAGGCCTTCATATCACCTTCCTAGTTGCACTTGGCGACGTTACAATCTGACTTGGCCCCTAGAGGATCCCCGCTTCTCGTCAACGAATGGTCAATGGGTATACAGCGGGTCTCGCCGCCTGAAGCTAGAGGCGATCGGCAACCGCGTTGGCAAAGCTTGGTGATATTCTCCGAAATAATAGCACTGACGTTTGGCTCTTTCCGCAGTTGAAAAGGATGGAGTATAAAGAGGAGGGGCTGACGCCCGTTAAAACCGGAAGTTAGGTGTCTCATTTACAAATTTCCACGATGCTGGTTTGGGCTCCCTTAACTCTGCTAGTGGCGGTGGCTGCAGCACTCCAAAATCCTCATCGCAAGGCTACTTCTTTGAAACATGCCACCAAGGCTCTTCGAAAAAGAGAGGTTGCTTCCGGTCACACTGAACCACAATACCTGACTGAAAAGACTCGAAGTATGTTTGGAACCGACTTCAATCACAGGACAATGGAAACAACATATTGACAGGATCTCGCTAGAATTCCAAGTGAATGGAACTCACTTCCCTCAAGTTCCCTTTGACATTGGTGAATCCTACTCGGGTCTTTTGCCTAATACTCCCCATGGAAATTCAAGCTTGTTCTTCTGGTTTTTCCCATCTACCAACCCAGCTGCAGACAAAGAGGCAAGTCTCTTCTCATTGCTTTGCCAGACCCATTCTAATTCGCATAAAGATCACCATCTGGCTCAATGGAGGGCCGGGGTGCAGCTCCCTCGACGGTCTTTTGCAAGAAAATGGCCCTTTCCTATGGCAATCAGGAGTTTACGAGCCAGTGCGAAACCCTTACTCATGGACTAAGTTGACAAATGTTGTCTACATCGATCAGCCCGCTGGGACCGGCTTCTCTCCTGGACCATCGACAGTCCAAAATGAGATTGATGTGTCCAACCAATTCAACGATTTCTGGAAGCGATTCATTGAAACTTTCAGCATGCAAGGATACAAGGTCTACATCACGGGAGAGAGTTATGCTGGTCAATATATCCCATATCTGGCCGCTGGAATGCTGGACCAAAATGACACCACGCATTTCAATCTCAAGGGTATCCAAATTAACGATCCGTCGATGAATGAAGACAGTGTCATGATTTATGGTGAGTGCAGAATTCACTACCTGATGAACCCATACTAACAGATATTGACAGCCCCGGCAGTAGCTGCCTTGAACTACTATTCTGCTATATTCGGTCTGAATGACACATTCATGACCGAAATTAATGAGCGCGCCGACAAATGTGGCTATACCAAATTCCTCAACTCAGCATTGACCTACCCACCACCCAAGCATTTCCCCGCTGCCCCAAACCCCGAAAAGTCAGGATGTGACGTATGGGACCAAGTCGTCAAAGCAGCAACCTACATCAACCCCTGCTTCAACATTTATCACTTAACAGACTTCTGCCCTTTCCTGTGGGATGAAATGGGGTTCCCGTCTCTCGCCGGCGGACCAAACAACTACTTCAATCAGTCCGCCGTGCAGAAGGCTCTTCACGTTCCGCCGACCAACTACGCCGTCTGTGCAAATGGTATCTTCCCTGGCGGCGATGGATCAGTGCCCAGTGCACTTGGCCCTCTGCCTGGCGTTATCGAGCGTACTAACAATGTCCTTATTGGCCATGGATGGTACGATTATCTGCTCTTTTTGAATGGCACCCTCGCCACCATTCAAAACATGACTTGGAATGGTGCTCAGGGCTTCCAAAAGCCTCCCGTGGAGCCATTGTTTGTTCCGTACACAGATGCGCTGGACCAAATCGCTAACGGCGCGACGACCATACCTTGGAATGCCGATGCTGGTGCTGGAATCCTTGGGACTGCTCATACTGAGCGTGGTTTGACCTTCAGCTCGGTTTTCGGCTCTGGTCATGAAATTCCTCAGTATGTTCCTGGTGCAGCCTATAGACAGTTGGAGTTCTTGCTTGGGAGAATTAAAAGCCTTCAGCAGAAAGGGAAGTTTACGGCTTTGTAGATTTCGCTCGCGAAATTTGGTCAGACTTCTTGATGTGAATTGATATTTGACCTGTCCTTCCTGTTCATAGTTGTTACTAGTAATATTGGCAATACAAAAACTATTTTATGAGTATCGGATAACATCTTTCAGCTTACATGCCTACATATGTAGTTAGCGCGTCTTTACACTTTGTTGACCATGACATCATCCTTCTGGGTACGAAAACGAAAAGCTCAACCGAACCACCCTGGCGTAAAAGGTTGAGACTAAGTTGATGCCTTGCAAATATGGTAACAATTGCAACCATTATTATAGAATTGACCTTTCCTGACTAAGAAACGCATGCTAATGAATGAAAAGCGTATTGGAAGGTGCATTAGATGATAATTTACCATTATAGTGTTGCGCCCGCTGGTTAACCAAAGGTTGCTTGTGCCATTATGTTTCACTAATCAACCATCTTTCATCACCATTATTCTCGAAAAGTCCATAACTATTGGATCTAGAGATTACAAATTTCCTTCAACAACATTATTTCCGAATTACATCCACTCAACTCCCAGCTTTTCACCTTCATGTTCAATTTAATACGATCAGCTCTCCTAGTGGTGCTTCTTCGCGGCAGCCGAGCTGCTTGCAGAGCTGGAAGCAGAGGAGGTTCCTGCAACAATGGAGGAGGTAGGAGTGGCATCCAAAGGACCGATCTTCAGGCTACCGCAGGGGCTTGATGGGGTTGTGAGACAGTCACCAAGGTACTGGCCAAGGCTACCGGTTTGGTTGCGAGTAGAAAGGATCTGGGCAGGTCCATATGCTCCGACGAGAGAAGTAGCGTTCTGGGCAAACAAGGTTGAGTTGACCTTGCTGCCGATCAGAGTAGCGTGAGCGCTGTGAGAGGCAGCCAGACGTGCGAGGAGGAAAGAGACCTCGGGGGATTGAGTGTATCCGGCAAGACCGATGAAAGCACCGGTGACAGTAGCTTCAAATTGGTAGGCGTAGTAGGCCCAGGCCTGAGTGGTGTTGACCTGGGGGAATTGGAAAGTGCACTGAGGTTCCGAGAACCCAGGGGCCTTTTGGGCGACTTTCTCAATAGCTTCGCTTCCAAGGGTGTTCTCCTTCTCTACACCGAAGAGAACCTTTTTATAGGCGGCAATGGTCGCATTGCTAGAGCTGGAAAAGGTCGAATTCACGGTAGAGTTATAGTAGCCACCGATGAAGTCGGAGAGACCCCAGGCGAACTCGAGCACCTTAGCATCGGAGGATGTTGGCGCGCAACCGGAGCTTGCCGCGGAGGCAGAGACTGCTGCCAGAAGAAGACCGGTCAACTTGAAGAATTGCATGGCTGTTCGAATGATTTCTAGGAGAAATATCGCAGTACAGTTGACGGTTGTTAGGTGAAGATATGGAAAACTTTCCATGCCCACGGGCAATCAACCTCCTTTAAACACTACGGTACACGCAATTCTCATATTTTGTCCGAGTCATGATCACAGAAAAAACGCATGCGGTAAAGACTAAGCAGGATATCGCACATCTAATTGTCAAATAACCGGCCGTTTGATTTGTACTAGCGTCATAGAGCATAATGTAGGGCTATGCGCAAGGAAGGTTTTGGGGTCCACATCAGGATGTCTTCTTTACATGACGTCTACTACTTCAAGGGTCCTAATCTGAATGGTCGAGATTGATCTATCAACTTGGTCCAGATATAAACTTTGAAGATCCAAGATTCGGTGTGCAAACCTATGTTCGGCGTGTCTGTTACCCGGCATGGCGCGGATCATGGCGTCGTCCACTGCAAAACTTTGAAACGTTACTTTAACTGAGGATCCAGCCTACTTGGACAATTTACAAAATTTAAATACTCTCAAATATTGAAGTAAGAATTTTCTATTCTCGTTGCAAGTCTCAAAAAGACAATTTTGCTATGACGACGAGTTGTATATATATTTCCACGATTTCGGATGGACGCGGACCTGAAGAAGCAAGCAACAATGGGTGGAACCAACCTTTCGCATCGGAAAAGTTCTACACTCATCAATCGAACCCGTGGACGTTGATTCTAAATAAAAGAACCCAAGAGATGCCCAAAAAAGTATACAACATACATTGTCATCAGACTGGTGCTGCCATCCTCATTCCGGAGCATCTGTAGAAATTGAACAGCAAGGTATGCATTAATCATCATCATAAATGTGCAACATATTCACTTATATACACTTAAAATGATGAGCAACTATACACACTCCACTCAAAAAGGCACTGATCCCCGCACACAAAATGATAAGACCGTATTCAGTGCCATAGCCTCCAATCTCAGAATCCTTCCAGAGGCTCACACCGAACAAGGCCTCGCTGAACGGCCCACTAACAACATTTCCAATACCCCGACCGAAAGCAATAACTGCGAATATCATCGTTGAATCGGCAGTGGGATCCACCCGTCGAACCTCGTGAGTTATTCCCGACCATGTAGCTGAGTAACACCCGGCGAACAAACCGTATGCAACAGAAAAAACCAACAAAGTTGGAATTGTTGACGAGAATCCCCAGAGGAAGAAAAGAGAGAAAGTACTTCCCAGTGTTGATATAGTGATGCAGGTGATTGCATGATATCGATCTGCCAAATGCCCCATTGCCACACTGCCAAACACTGACGCCAGATTGAGAAGGGTGACAGTGAGTGACGATAAAAAGTCCGAAGCACCGATGCTGCGGGCGTAAGAGGGGAGGTAAATTCCCGGCAGGAAGAATCCGACGGCCTCCATGATATTGCTGAATTGGTAGAATAGGAAGACCTTATTGTACAAGAACCGAAAGTTGAACCGGTTGTAAGATATAGACTTCGAAACTGGTAGGCGCGGCCGATGGAAGTATAAGAATGGCGCAGCAAGGACAAACATGATCACGGAAATGACCCTGAGGGTAGTTTCAAACCCAAACTGACTCAAGAGTTTCTCTAGGCCAATCGGGAAGATAAGTCCAGATACCCCTGAGCCAGCCCAGGTTATACCAAATGCGAGTCCTCTTCGGTTCACGAACCACTCATCCATATACAGGATGGATGGACTGTATGCTATACAGCCGCCGATTCCAAACCCAACCCCTTGAGAGAGGACAAGGTGGTTAACATTGGTGGAAAATGAACCCAATGCTAGGGAAAGACACATGATAGTCAATCCTATGGATGAGAACCAACGGCCCATCTGAGGAAGCAAGATCATAGCAGCGATGACCAGTGGACAGCTCAAATAGGATATTCCCTGTAGATAGGTTAGCAATCCAAACCGGGCAAGCCAGGCATTTTTTGGAGACTAACCGTGGCACATGTACCAATGACGGCTACCATGCTCGAGTCTTGGAACGCTTCATGAGAATGGTAATACTTCTGGAAGACCCCAAAAGCAAAAGCAAATCCTTCCACGCCGTCAGTCGTTGTTCTGCTTGTTGTCTTTTGAAATCGTTATAACTTACCCCATATCAATGCCTCCAGCATTACACAAGCTCCAAGAAACATCCACGCATGGAACCCTCCATCCACGGGTGGTAGACTTTTCTCATCCGTAGAATTTTGATCGAACTTCTCAGGACACAAGCGAACCTGCGCTTCGCTACCAGGTAGTGAATCGCTGCAAGAAGAGTGTCTGGTCTCCATATTGATTGTATGTTGTGGGGCTGAACTGACAGTAACATTTGAGACAACGGAAACTTTGAACGGCCTAGCTACTCATTATAACCAATGATTTATTGGTGGTCACATTGTTTGATCACTTTCAAGGGCGATCAAACGTTGGAAGGGATGGAGAAAACCTTGCTAAAGGTCAGCCAGGTGACGGAAGGAATTTCCGTACGTAGGCTACTGTAGGGCTGGCATGCGACTCCCGAAGATCGAGCGGTATAGTCGCCACTCGTACTTCTGGCTCAAACAAAATTGGTACTTCAAGAGTACCTATCCTGTTGATTTCGAAATCGGACCGGGAATTCGATAATAATTTCCCGGTACATGGCACTTTACGAGATCATCTCGGTATATCTACCATCCTATGCATGGGGACGAGCCCCTGTTTTGAAGCTTCATGAAATCAAAGTTTCTTCTAAAAGGCTGAAGCTAACGTGCTTCGCGTGGGGAATAGAAAGCTCGCTCGGCCTGCGGCGGAAGATTGTGAGATGGAATAACATAAAAGCCGGCTAGGGGCGGTGGTGCGAAGGGACTGGAATGTAGAGCACGATCATTGCTATATAGGGTTGGAAATACCGGGGACTTTTGTTCAATAAGATGTGTCCTATGATATCACTGGTAAAGTTCCGAATTATCCAAGCCCCTTGCTTTGCATAGCTCCACATACTGCCACGTTAAGGTGTACGTTGTAGCGGCTCACGATGAGATTCATAATCAAGGGGTTATAAAAGCGCCAATCATCTCGCTCTTAATGCAACATAGCACGCAACATGGCGCAGTTTATGGTAATCTGGAAGCTAGCTGGTCTTTCATTTCCTTCTAATGGCCAGCTCATTGAGTTACCATGTGTGAAAACAGCGTCGTCGTCAGCGGCTCATACCAGTTGTCAGTTGTATCATTCCATGTTTGCATGGCAAAACTAGATTCAGACTTCAATCCTGAAGAGCAAAGCTGCTATGGGCACAAACAAACCTCAATCCTAGAAAATGAGAAATATGATAATATCTGACAGGGCAATTAGCTTGGTCGCACCGAGCATTCGAGCAAGCTCCCTCTCTGTAAATACAAATCTAGTCTCGACTTATATCGCTTTCCAGCTTTCCAAATCGGAAACTTGCACATCTCGGGCGACTACCTTGTAGATGTAGCAATTCAGTATTCGAATGCACTTTTTTTTCCCGACGAAGTTATCAGACATGGCCCCGCTTGATGGCATTATATTTACTCCTTTTCCCGCACGCTTGCTGATCATCTATCATAGTGTTATCGATATTCAACGTCAGGAATTTTTTAAAATTACCAAATAAACTTACATAAAACTGGTACTTTGCCTACCTAGGTCACAAGGTAGCTGTCATTCAGGACTTTAGGTCAACTAATGATTTCTAGACGGAGCTGCTGTCCCCACCAGAAGAACCCCTTACAAAAGCAGTGGGTGAGATTGAAGGGGTCATCAAGCAGAGGACTTCTATTATTGAATGATGTTGGAAAACATATAACACGTGCCCGCTGTAGTCCATCAACCCTTGAGAATGTCTTGGTAGGTACCAGTTACCAATCGAAGTTTCCTTTGAATACCGAAGGCATGATATAGTCGAATATAACCCCGCCCCTTGTTTTCGAGTTCTTCCCTTCTTCGCAGCTGCCAATCTTAAATTGAGTATCACGAGACCGTCAAGCTAGTTGGCGAGCCAGATATTCTGGTCATTACCATATCCAAAGGCAATCCATGAATCATTGAAGTATCTTTGCAGCACAGTCTGCGAATAATTCATGTCATCAACACAGTAACCTCCACCACTGGGCCCGATATGAGGGCAATGCACATCGGGCCGATACTGCACCATGTGCTCATGGACCTCGCGACATAGCAGAGTGTTGCGGCCTAGCTCGTATCCTTTTCCAAACCTAGTAGTCTTGGTCAAAAAGTCATAGCAAGCTGCTGTATCGGTGTATTGTTGGTTCGACCCCGTGCAATGCTGTTCATGTGTAGCGCAGATCGTCTTTGCTAAGACATCAGATACATATGATACAGCAAGGTCAGGAGAAGTCGCGTTGATTTTTGTCGCGACTCCCTGGAGTAAAAAGTCCAAGAGGTAATCGAACCAGCGGAAAACCGCGTCGTATTGCGCGATCTTTCCATCTGGATTAAATTCAATCCAGGTATCAATGGTCACAGGAATGAGAACTCCAAAAGTACTCGCGTTGAAAGTCACGACTGTTGTTGCGGATGCGATGTTGTCATTTGCAGTGAACTGGGTGATATTGTATGCAATCGGGACACCCACCAGACTTACGTGGTCTGGGTCTGCGAAAAGGCCGAAGATATATTCGCGGTTTAGCTCATCGCCGTCGAAGGTGCGCGTAATATCGACCCGCCCTTGAACCTGTGTCATGAGTCTGGTCAGCTACGCTTGAGTGGTATAATGGGCACAGTGAGCTGACATCGGGCGCAAAGATTGTAGATGAGTTTCCTTGTGTTTGCTCAAGATTGGTGGGATAGAGGAACGAATCCCAAAAGTTCTTCTCAAGCTTCCAAAGTTGATCAAAAGAGAAAGTTGGCTTAGGGATCTTGTTGAATGTATCTGTTGTGGACGCGACGAAGGGGAAAAGACAAGAAAATAATGTTATAAGCACAACAGCCCGTAGGGGCGGAAGCATATGCATACTCATGATGTGATGACTGGATTTGGACCTGGCTGATCTCAAAGGTGAGGTAGATAGATACCTGAGTTAAATATTCCCTCCCACAAATTGAGTGTGAAGATGTGGATTGTGGGAAATATACAACATCCTCTATCTGTTGGATATTTTAAAAAACTTAGTTTGACATTTCACCTGGAAATATAGCAAAGTGGCTGGTTTTACATATTTGCATAGGGTTGGTCTTTACACATAGTTTGGCGGACGACCACTCATTCCGACCCTGGTATCATAACAAGAAACAAATGAACTACTGGTACATCTACATCTATAAGATGGGACCATTTGAAGACACATGCAGACACCATAAGGGTTGTATAATCTGTGATTTTCTCATCGATAGATTTCAGAGGCTGGTCAATTTGCCGCCCACAATTATATTGTCAAGTGAGCCCAGTTGTTCAATATTCGAGATATGACAACTGTCGACAAGCTTGTGGGAATCTTCTGGAGGGTAGCCCAGAGCCTTCGTGATCCAGTGAACGCGTAGGCCATTTGGTCTCAATGACAAAGGGATACGTCCACTCATCTGTTTCGGTGGGATCGCATAGTCTTTTAAGATAACATATACAGAGGGTGGGTTTTCGCGAAGTTGCACTCTGGTCATATTGGCAGAAAAGGCAAAAAAAGCACTTCAAATGTGAGGCTGTGGACTGCTTTAGAAGGGATCAACTCTGACGGATGTTAATCGGAGAAAGAAGCGGGTGAAACTCTTTATGTAATGGTCCCTCGCCCTTGAATTTCCAAAGACCGCGAAGCTGGCCTATACATAAGTTTTGAGTTAATGTATCTAATGATATTTTTAGACACAAGAGGTTCTTGGCAGCGTACACGATCTAGCTCCTAGGAGCCCTAGTGGAACGGCTTGAACCCCTGTCTTGCTATCCGTGAGCTGTGTGATACAGCCTGCAGGATAGCAGGCACATCTCAGGCTTAAAAAATAGGGATGTCCAAATTGACACCCAGCAAAGAATACTGCAGAAATGATATTCTAGCTTCGAAGGCTAACTTTGCCTTAAAAAGTTGCCAAATTGCATCTTGATTTTCGTTAATCGTTGCATAGGCATTGTAATCCGCGGAATAGATATCATTTAGTGTATATCGCGCTGTCACGCAGAGGCTAGGGCGATTTCCGAGAACGGGGCTCTCCCTGATTCTCAAACTCAGCCTTCCGGCCGTATAGGTAGTATTCCCATTCTTCCTGTGAAAATCAGGCTTTAGATAACAGACTTTCTCTTAGTATCGGATAGATTGGGTCACGAGCCAAAAAAATGCCCTAGTGTTCTGACTTAGCTAATACTGGCCAGCTTTCTGGTAGGTCATATCATCTGATTAGCTATTTGGCCGAAGGAAGGTTTGAGTCCTGCCCTGGTACCTTCGGCTGTCCTGTTTAGGGCAGGAGGAATTTACAATCAATTCACTGTCTCCCACCGGATCCACGGTGATCTGTATCTTAAATTGTTTGCAGAACAGTGGAGAGTGGTTCTGGCCAGGCGATGTGATAGCTTATAGATAATATCGGGAGCGGGAGTAAGAAGTATTAGTTTTAATTATGGGCTGTGAGTCATCTTATTTTATGTAATGTGATTTTCTTAATCCATCCATACAGCTAGAAGCTACTAGGGGTTTGGGGACAAACTGTGGTATTTTGGAAAGTGGCGGGACCAGGAGTATAGGGACGCCTAAATTGATCGATAAATATGGTGACAATACAGCCGGAAGGTGGAGTTGTTTGTAAAATCTCGTCGAAAAAAATCATGCCTAAAACTGTTTTTAATCTTCAAGCTTTGTATACTAGCGCCTGATCTATATAAGACTTTTGAATCTCAAGCACAAATTTGGACATAGTGGTAGTCTAGGCTTCGATAGCTCTCATCTTGCCTGGTATTTTGCTATATCTTACGGTATTTGGGGCTATAGATCAAGCTCATCATCAATTATTGGCAAGAGAGCAGCTTATACTATTTATCAGCGTGGAGACATATATTTAAAGCCCACGAAGCTTGCGTGGCACCTTAAAGTCTATACTACTTTCCTATAACTTTCCGCCCTACACACTACACTATAAGGCTTACTCAACCAATCCCATTCCACAGTCTTATGCTAATCTGAAAGAATACTTTGAGCACATAGAAGTTCTGTGTGGTGTTCAATATTCTACCTGTGATATCAAGTTCCGTACGGTGAGTCTGGCCCAAATATTGTTCTTTCACTCTCTAGAACTTCTGCTTAATTTGAAAGAACTCTAAGATTCCGCATCATGGGTACAGCCTTATACTATATTTGGTTATGCTGCAAGGGGCGGAGAGAAAAAGTTGGCTGGCAGCGATGTTTGAATAAGCCCTGTAAAGGAAAGAAAAAAAGGACACGAACTCTTCAGTCACTCTGCGATGGCTGCAAGAGCAAGAAAAGACAAGAAACTGAGGCATGAAGTTTGATTGAGACTGGATAAATACGAGTTTCGGACAGTATTTGATTCAGTGGGGTGAACATTACCGCCACTAATCGCTGTGAACCTGGCCGGAGGTTTTGGCGTGATTCCAACATGATGGCGCCGGTTGCCCAACGTGACTTAATGTTCGATGCGGTGTTGTAGAAGAGCCCAACAGGAAGGTTCCACTAGCTACAGCAATGAAATGCAACATCTACAGGTTTCCTCAAATTGCAAATGCTTCCGTGGCGTTGGGTAGTCGCGGGAGCAGCGCTTGTGCGTCGGACCATTTGTAGTCGTATCTCAGCCATGCACTTATTGTTTCTAATTCTTATCCTGCCACTAATTGGCATTAAAAGCGGGCCAATACCTCGTTATTCACTATATTAAAAACAAACACGCTGACCTACCGCTCAGATATGGAGACTAAAAGTTTCCCATCTTGTTCAGCCATACCTCCGCCTCACCATATCTCCTGTCCCCCCTCAGCGGGTGCTGGCTCTCGATTCATGCTTAACCCAAATGCTCCCAACCATGCGATATACCCTTCTTCGTCATTCAAATTTACCAGTACTTCTATAAGAATACTGCAGAAATGATATTCCAGCTTTATAGGCTAATTTTGCCTCAAAATTGGCAGCTATGGATACCGGCACTGCCATCGCTACGATCATCATTTTCTTCGCGTTGGGATACCACGCTGTCACTTTGAACTGGTGGGGAAACACAGTGGGATCCAATACTGCAGATGCCAATTCCGTCCCTTGGTTGACTGTTCCTAAGGGAAGAGTTTTTGGCAAAGGACCTGGGGAGATTTAATCGAAGTTCGCGTACGATTTGAATCCAATTTGGGCTATGAGGCATACTAGCCGCCAGAATATTATGGTCCTACTTGATTCACCAGAAATCCATGGCCAAAATTGGGAATGGCTGATGTATATTTACATTGTACTTTTGCTGGTCATGACTCACATGTTTGTGTACGAACTATCAGTTGTCCGATAATTTAACGGTCTACCTAGCCATCTTACCATGACTAATGGCCTACCCGCTCGTTGATCCTGAATTCTTCGTGATACTAGGCTCCACTCCAGTACATATTCCGAGAAAGCTCGAGCGAATATTTAATTGGTCAATTCGACAGCAAGGAATAATTTAGCGCCAGATCTTACTAGTCGCTGCGTAGTTTTCTAGTTACGCTATGAGTTACGACTTTTCTACAAGTAGTCTCTCTTTCTATGATTCTCCTTGAATCTTGAATGAAGGCCAAAAGCATAATTTCAACACCCACGTATAGAGAAGAAACAATGGTCTCAACTTTTGGCCCGGTTCTGCAGCAAACCATAAATCATGCGCTGCGGTATCTTGAAAGCCTTGATCACGCACCTGTTGGCGCGACGGCCACTCTTCCAGAACTCCGCCATCGACTTGCACGGCCACTTCCCGATGTCGGAACGGATGCAACACAAGTGATTGATGAGTTGGTGGCAGATACAAGTGGTGGCATTCTGGGTAACTCTGGTGGTCGCTTCTTCGGGTGGGTGATTGGTGGGACCCTTCCTGCTGCTCTAGCCGCCGACTGGCTCACGACTACCTGGAATCAGAACGCGGCTTTGTTTGCCTGTGGCCCAGCAGAAGCAGTAGTCGAAGAAGTGTGTGGAGCCTGGCTCAAGGAGCTGCTTAGGCTCCCCTTGGGAGCCAGCTTTGCCTTAGTTTCAGGCTGCCAAATGGCCCATGTCACTTGCCTTGCTGCAGCACGTCATGCCCTTTTGTCAAGACACGACTGGGATAGTGAGCGCGATGGACTCGGTGGCGCACCTCGCATCCGCATTCTTAGTGGCAGCCAACGCCACGGTTCTATCGATCGAGCAGTACGCCTGCTAGGTTTGGGCAGCCGTTGTGTGGTAGATTTGCCGGTCGACGAATATGGTCGACTCCAACCGATAACACTCAGCAACGCGCTTGCTGAATGTCTTGATGGCCCTGTAATTGTGCTGTTGCAGGCAGGCGATATTAACACTGGGGCTTATGATTCGTTTGCCGAACTGATTCCTCTCGCTCATCGCTTTCAAGCTTGGGTCCACGTTGATGGTGCTTTCGGTTTATGGGCAGCAGCTAGTCCTGCCTATCGTCACCTGCTTGCAGGAGTAGAGCAGGCGGACTCTTGGGCGACGGATGGGCATAAGTGGTTGAATGTTCCCTACGATTGTGGGTACGCCTTTGTCGCAAATCCTTCAACTCATCGGAGTTCGATGTCGCATCGGGCCAACTACCTAACACACGATAAAGACGCCCGTGATCAAATCGATTGGAATCCTGAATGGTCTCGGCGTGGGCGCGGAGTTGCGACGTATGCCGCTTTGCGGCAACTGGGAAGAGAGGGGGTAGCTGAGCTGATTGAACGCTGTTGCCGTCATGCCCATTCCCTGGCCATCCAGATCGGAGACTTACCTGGAGCTGAACTGATGTGGAAACCCCATATCAATCAAGGATTGGTGCGTTTTCTGGATAGGAAGCCGCACGCCAACTCGTCTGATCACAACCGGAGGACCGATGCGGTGATCGCAGCTCTTATGGAAACGGGGAAAGCCTTTTTTACTGGCACCACCTGGCAAGGACAACGATGCATGCGGATCTCGGTGTGTAACTGGCAAACAAACGAAGCCGACGTAGCACAAGCTGTCGAGGCCGCCGAATGGGCACTTAAACAGGAATGAACTCCGGCAGAGTACGACTGATTTTTTGTTTTTTTTTTTTGCTGGAAGAACGAAGGGCTCTGAACAGAGTCGACAATTAAGGACGGTCAGACGCTGTTTCCTATCCCACGGGGGTACCTGTAGTCTGCCAGACTGCAGTTAAGATAGATGTTAAGAAAAAATCCATATATATGCCATATTTGGTTCCATTCTTATCTGTAAATCAAGTAGGATTCAATTCTGTTACATTAACTATTTCAATATATGTATTTACTCAATACATTTTACCAAGATCTGTACATACATTTTTTCACCTAGGTAATTGTCAATACACATCGTTATAAGTTCACATATTGCAGAACGCGAAGTCCTTTCCGTCGAACTACCTCCAGAGCTGCTTGTATCCATGCAATTTCTTGATCATGACCAGGTCGATTTCGCAGGCTATCTACCACAATTCCAAGCGCGGGGCTAACAGATAATGGCCCAGCTAGTAGCATTTCATGTCTCAAAAAGTATTCCACGGATTGGCAGACTCGATGTGCCGTGGATAGGTACTCTCCGCAGCGATCTAGGGGATTGCATACACTCAACGGTTTCAAAACCACACTTTGGAGAGAGTCGGGTTCGAGGGACATACTACTTGGGATTTCAAAGAGCATCATTCCCTCCAAGTACTGGTACATATTGGAGAGACCCGACCAAACCATCGTCCGTGTTGCCCACAAGAGCATCAGTGTTGCAGCCATTTGGGCGTTTTGGAAACAGAAAACGACTGGAAACAGGGGCTCAACCTGTTCGGACTGAAGTAAAGGATCTGTTTGCGACGGCATCTGATCATAGGTAACATCTAGTTGTTGGTCAATTTGCCAACATTCGCGGATTAACTCATGGAGCAAATCGATCTGGTGGCTTAAACTCAGATGGGGTAATGATCGCACCCGTTCCAGGATCACGGGGGCTTGGGCGAGACAGTCGGTTACCCGGTCGTGAGGTGTCTTCTGTATTCCTGTCCAAGGCTGTTCCATCCAGGTAGACTCGGAGAAGATGGTGGAGGTATGGTGTTTCAATGCGAATAAGATCTAGTAGAAGCGCAAGCGTTCTCCTGCATGAGATACCAGATGTGTTCATTGGCCAAAATTGACTGCCCCACCAGCTTTAGTGACATGGTGTTTGGAAAGAACATGTAAGAAAACAAGAATGCCGATCAGGGAAGAAGAGTGGTACAAAGAATTGGTTAAAGCTTGTGCTCTGGACCAGGATGTCATCTTATTGCCAAATGGGCACTATGACCGGCATGGAAAGACAAAAACATGTACCCATTAATCTAGACCGATATCTACAGCCACACGGATTCCCAGCGTTCATCGCGCCGATTTGCATGCCTGTATGGGACAACTAAATGTGATTTTTGTTCCAGGAGCTTGGCGTTGTCTGTACCCCGAGACTGCATTGGAGGCTAGAAGAGAAAAAAAAAATTACGGGCCTCGACGCAATTGCTAAATTGGTAATTTGACCTCGTAGATCCACAAGGGCCAAAATCCTAGTTTGGGCACACCGTAATTATAGTTCAGAATGCAGAACCACACCATATTACCATGGAATTCCGGGCCCATTGCGAGCAAATTGTGGGTAGTTGGGAAACTAGGACGTGATGTCCGCCGCAAGGATTTTGATTTTGCGCAAATAATCAGCAAATGTAGAAACCTTCCACTAACCATGAGCTCATTGCCAGGGAGTTCTGACAAAATATTCATTACGGCTCTTGATTGCACTTGGAATTCATGGGTGGCTTGTTCATAGTTGGGATAAGGGTGTCCGTCTAACCGGGATATTCCACCAGGCCATTGTCTGGGTAGAATATAACGAAAAATATATTTCTGCTGAAGGTACAGAGAGAAATGAGATATCTTCACGGGTGTAATGATTGGAGTTAGACTGAGGGATGGATGTTCTTGTTTTAACCTCGAAAAGGCGAAGTTCTGCATCAATATTAGGCGTACTGCGTAAACCTGTTATCATAGTTTGAGAATGATACGTTCTTTGTCACCTGTTGGAAATTTTTTCCGAGTGAAAACAACTCGATGGCACTGGTTGTTACAAAGTAAGACATTTTGGGTTCAACAACAGGGTTTTTCTTGTTCTGGAATAATTGGAAACATTGATCAGATTCCTTGAATTCACATCGCCATTTAATAATGTATTGTTTTGAGATGTATAACTTTGCCACCTATATACATATCGCGTAACTTGTTTTCTTCTTCTCTCTCAATGACCACCAACAGTAAACTTGCCGTGTTGGCGGATATCCCTGCTGGAGCTTCCAACATAGACAGTGAATGTACCGCTAGGCACGACCCATTTCTGCGTTGGGACATCCCAGTAGCTGAGATCGCGGCGAGTCAGTTCGAAGGTAGCCATTCCTGATTGTCCCGGTTGGAGGTGCAGCTTTTGGAATCCTCGCAATTGCTTGGGAGGACTGCTGGGAGCAGAATCTGGAAGACCGATATAGAGCTGGGCAACCTCTGCGCCGGATACCTTGCCCGTATTTTTGACAAGAGTAGAAATCGTACCGACGAATTTGAAGATCTGCTCGGCTCCACCGGGGACGATGCGCCCATTCGACGCTCCAGGGGTAGCAAAGACGTTGATTGAAAGTCTGCTGTAGTCGAAGGTAGTGTATGAAAGGCCAAATCCAAATTCATATCGAGGGGTGATGCCATTCTTGTCAAAGTGGCGGTAATCAATGAAAATGTCTTCTGCAAAGTTGTCATCCAGAGCTGGGTTCCATCCGGCTCCATAGTCTGCAAATTGCTTCGCAATCGTGTAAGGCAATTTTCCACTTGGGGATGTACCGCCGTATAACACATCAACCAAGGCATTTCCACTTTCTTGGCCAGGTAGTCCAGCCCAAACAATTGCTTTGACTGACGGTTGTGCGAGAATCGTTTCGAGCAGGATGGGACCGACACTGTGCACAACAACAATCACATTCTTGTTAACAGCTGCAACGGCCTTGACCAGCTCGTTGCCGTTGTGCCAGGGGTCGAGATTGTTTCTGTCTCCGGCGTTGCCCTCTACTGTGATATAACTGAAATCGAGATTAGTGCTCAGTAACGCGAAACTTCAGGAAATTTTGCTCACCCTTCGCCTGCATCCGAGTTGACAAATACCACAGCTGTCTCGGCGGAAGCAGCTGCCGAGGCACCAGCACTCGTACTATCAGTCGTACTTTGGACGATTTTGGTGCCGTCCTTTTTGGCTTGAACTTGAATTGCATCAAGAGGACCGACAAGATACTAAAGTCGCGTTGTCAGCTTTTTTTCCATGCCTTCGGATTCTTGGAATTCCAAGCTTACGGGGAATTGAGCCGTTCCACTACCCCATCCCATTGCCAGTGTACCATTGTTGCATCCACGGTCATTGCAGGCATTAGCACCAGCCGGATTGACGATCGCATCTTGTCCGATTATGGCCAGACTCTTAGGCCTGCGCAAAGGCAATGACTTTCCTTCGTTCCGCAACAAAACGATAGAATCACGCGCCACAGTACGCACAACAGAGCCGTGGTCCGCCGTGACGTCGACTGTAGCTTTCCCACCATTCCAAGAGCTGAACGATACCTCCGGGTAGCCCTGGTCTTGATCAAGCAGATACCAAGCTGCCAGGATTCGGGTGACCATGTTGTCCAAGCGGGATTGCGGGACAGATCCGTTCGTCACGGCCTCTACCAGGTGAGGGCCCCAAAAGACGCTTCCAGGGGGAGAGGCAAAATCGCTCCCAGGCATAGTCATGTCGAGGCCAGCCAGGGCACTATTCACACCGGTGTGTTGCGCGTTCCAGTCACTCACGACATAGCCGGGGAATCCGAGCTCCTTCTTCAGAAGATTGTTCAGAGCAGCGTCACTTTCACATGCCCAAGTCTCGTTGATCTTGTTGTAAGAGCACATGACGGATGCGACATTTGCTTTGACCGCGTTCATGAACGGCCATACATAGAGCTCATGGGTCGCACGATCACCGATGTTAGAGCTCATAGTCTCTCGGTTGTGCTCCTGTTCATTGCCGAGCCAGTGCTATTTCATGTGTCAAAGTGTGTTTGAGAATTACCAAGGGTTGTGAGACACTACGTACCTTGGCGCAGGCTTGCACACCTGAATCCTGCATGCCCTGGATCGTCTCTTCCATGGCAACTCCGCTCAGATAAGGGTCAACGGAGAACCCCTCCCAGTTTCTGCCGCCGTTGGGGTTCTTACCCAAAGGTCCAGCGACAGGCCCCAACTGTACATGGACGCCCAGACCCTTGGACTCTTCACCCATGGCTGCTCCACGCGCATACAGTAGATCGCGGTCCCAAGTCGCGCCAGCATTGATACCCGCAGGGAATGCCGTAACTGGGTTGGCGAACCGAATACCCAGAGGCGAGTCTTGCAGACACAGGGAGGGATAGTCGATTGAGCTTGGCGCATAGGTGTTACCTACGCAAGGTCCACCCTCCCAAGTGACGCCCGTGGCAATGCCAACTTTTTCAGTCTGGTTGAGTTTGCTAAGAGCAATTTTGGCTTTGGAGTAGGCTCTATCCCAGCCAGCGCTGCCAGATCCATAAGCATCAGCGGCAGCGCTGAGTGCCAGCGCCGAGAAAAGAAGGTGTTGCATCATGCCTGTTCGCGGGGACAGTGAAACAAAAAGACACCCTAGCCTGGCGGCGTTCGGATTCCTTTTATAATTTCATCTCGCCAGAAAATTGGGCTTAAATTCCAAAGGCGGAGGTTCCTTGCTTTTGCTCTGATGGCGGCCTGGGCGCCATGCAAAGTGCCACAAATGATGCAAATCCCATGATCAGGTACATAAACCCGTGTCGGTCTTGGCTCAACAGATATAAAGTGTCTCCGCATTTACAGTTACACTTGAATTGTCAAATCCTGCCACTGCCCAGGCAAATCATGCAATTGAAAAAGGCTAGCTCGCTATTTGTGCACTCGGACCTCTCGAGTGCCCCCTTTGATTGGCACGCGGAGTCTCGGAATGTAGGAAACAGGGGGAATAGCAAGTAGCCCAACTTTTCCAAGATATAGCCTGAAGTGTTTCCCCACCCATTAGACCCCGCAAAACCTCTCGGCTCGCCCCATGTCCGCGTTTCCGTGTATTAAGAGAATTGCCGTGATTGCTCCGCGTTGTGGCTTGTCAACACCCCGCGTCCCTGGAGACCCTTGCCGTCCTTTGAAGTTAAAATCATGATGAATGTTCAAACCAGCCCAGGGAGAGTTTTATATTATATTTAGTAAGGGGAAAAAGCCAAAAATGGTCAGGGAAAGCAAGGAGAGTACGTTGTACGGCCTGTCGAAAAGAAAAACAAAGAGATATCTTTTCTGCCAAGGCCGCAATCGTGGACACCTCAGGCCTTCCGGTCCCTTTATTAGCTGCACTAACAATAATCAAGATCACATTGATTCAATATTTTCGTAACCATATTTAGCTTTGCTTGATCGGCTTCATTAAGAAAAGATAGCTTTGGTTAAAATATGTTCCGGTAATAACCCAATTCGGACGATCCTGTGCCATGTGCGTGAGATCATAATTTTATCTTACACTAAGGACTAATTGGATGAAATGATCATATTGAATTGAGACGATTCGGTAATAATTGAACTTCTCAGTAAACACAAATCCCAAACATGTTCACGACTTCTAACCCTTCGTTCGGTCGCCAAATGCTTCTTCCCCATCAAATATCAAAGCCACTTCTTCCAAACTATGACCCTTTGTCTCGGGAAACCCGAAATATACAATTGCAATCTCAATGGCGATGACACAGCAATAAACAATGTAATATCTCCAACTGATTGCATCCATCGCCACAGGATTAGCATACCCATTGAATATCAGCACACAGGTAGAAGCAATCTGCATGATATTTGTCCCTTTGGCACGGAGATGAGTTGGAAGTACTTCGGTGACATACACCCATGGCGGTCCATTCAGACCAGCATTGTAGAACAGCTGGTAGAAGAATATCATCACAACGACACCGGTGCCAAGCGAGTTATCTTTGAAGTCTCGCTGTTCGTTGATCGCTGAGAGTATGGTCCAAACGACATAACAGATCAGCATGCCAATTGTGGAAAAGAGAAACAGTCGTCGCCTTCCGGCTATCTCCATGAGGGATGCCAGAATGATGGAGATCCCAAGGTTGAAGACCATTAGGCCACCGTTGATACGCAATTGCTGTGGGTCGGAGGTGAATCCAATAGAGTTCAATATAAGGTGTAGATAGTAAGCAATCAAGCCGTTTCCTGAAAGCTGCATCATGCAAGGCACGGAAATGATGATGAAAAGACGGTGGAGATTCCCTCGAGTACTCAGAAATTCGCGGTACCCGGCTCTAGAAGCAAGCTTGGCAGTTTGAATCTGCAGAATGATTTCTTTCATCTCGAAATCAACAAGAGGAGAATTCGAATCTCCACCGGCGTGGTATTTTGTCAAAACCTTTCGAGCATCTTCATAGCGGTCCTTCTGTACTAGATATCTCGGTGACTCCGGAAGTAGATATACGAAAATGACTTGAAGAAGAGGGAAGAAGCCTTGTAGTAGTGATGGAATGCGCCAGGCCCATGTTGCATCCGGGCCCATGAAGTAGGTACCATAAGTAACCCAAGCAGCGAGCAATGCTCCTAGATACCACAGGTTGTTGTAATATCCGACCAGAACGGGGCGGTGTGTCGGGAAGGCCAATTCGCTGACTAGCATCGGGGATGCCTCGACGGCAATCAAACCCCCAAAGCCAATGATCATCCGAGAGACTAGGAACATAGCATAATTTTGCGCAGCGCATTGCAAAACAGAACCAATCACCAGAAGAAGGGATCCAAAAAAGATGGGGAATCGGCGACCAGTATGATCACATAGCCACGGCGCGATCGGAAATGCTAGAATCTGGCCGAAGATTACTCCGTTAGAGAGGGAACCGAGTCGAGTGCCAGTAGGTGAGTCGAAGAAGTGCTGCCACTGACTCATGGATTGCAGACCGTTAAGCATAGACCCGTCATATCCATTGGTTGTCGATGATAAGTATGGAATTATCATCCCGAGATTGAGAAGTACCAGATGACGTTGTTTGTACCACGGCTTGTCGGTATCTGGCAGGACATTTCGTAGGCTCCATTCGTTAGGACTAGCGCCGTTGGTTTCATAATATCCAGTTGCAGGGTTCTTTTCGTTGTCGGCCATTCTTGTAGTCTTGATAGTGTGTCAATTTCAAACAGAATCACTGCGCGGGTCAAAAGATGGATAGGGATTCATGCCACTATATGAATCACGGTTGAGCCCAACTCATGATCGTGACGTGTAGAGTAGGAAACTCGTGTAGGAAGAATAAATTCGCTGAAGCTTACTTGTGGCGTAGCGGGAAATCGACTTAGTTAGTACTAGCCGGGGTCAGCATTGTGCGAAAACGAAGCAAAAAAAGCCGAGACTTCATTTCCCCGCAACATCCCCAGATGTCCCAGCGAATCGCGAATCATTCTGCAAATTTGACTGGAGTCGAAAGGGACGGGATGTGACTCTAGAATAATTAGGGCCTAAAGTGCAACCCCTCTACCTCCGACACTCCGCTGAGTATTTAGGAGGGAGGAACAACCCCTAGGCTGACCGTTGTTTGTTGTCTCAAATATCACTGCAGCCAAAATGGAGACGGTGGATCTTCCGAGCCAGTCAAAGCCTTCGTTTACAGGCCGTTCGGGTCCCACTTCAGAAAAGCCGGAGAAGCGAAGACGCTCCCGAACGGTAACTTATCCACGGAAACGAGCGGCTCAAGCTTGCCACACGTGCCGGTTGCGAAGGACGAAATGTGATAACATCCGACCATCATGTGCTTCCTGTGTTCGACTAGACGCAGAATGCATCTATCGGGAGCTAGACCCTTCGTCGTGAGTAGAGTTCAGCGGAGGTGCGGAAGTGTGTAATTAACCGCGGAGTAGGTTTGATTCTGCGAGCCTGGCTATTTTGAAGCGAATTGACGATTTGGAAAATTTGATCCAATCGACAGCGGTTAGCGCGCCTATGGTGCATACTATACCAACTGCTTTCCAGCCAACCGCCCAACATGAGGATTTGGAGATACTTGAAGATAAACATTCGAAACATTGCTTGGTGAATGTCGAAGCAATTTTACAATGGCCAGTATTTGAGACCATCGAGCAACATTACCATTGGTCGCCTGTGGAAGAGGAAAATGACCACTCAGCGCTATCTGTTTCTGTGGATTTCGATCTACAATCCAGCAGTCACCTTATTGACAGATTCTTTGAGGATGTCCACATCTTTAATCCTGTCTTAGAGGAAAGTCAGATTAAGGAATTCATGAGAAACATTCAGATGAACGGAATAGGATGGGATTCCCAGTCTTGCCTATTGGTAAACTTTCCTCTCTCAACAAATCTTGACTGATCTCAACTCACCTCAGCGGGTAGCTTCTTATCTATGCCCTCGGTTCAATCGCAACACCATTTGTGAGAAACAATCCAGGAACACCGCCGTCGCACAACTTTTTTATTGCCGAATCATATTTCCTAGCCGCACAGAAACGGTTAGGAATGCTGTTGGCTCGGAATGGAGTAATAGAAGCACAATGCTTCTTCCTTTCGGGGGTGTATCTAATGACCACTTTACGACCACTCTCAGCGTGGAGAATGTTCGTGCAAGCCTTGGCCTGCTGTCAGGGTCTTCAAGCTCACCTGGACTATACTCGCTCTGTAGTTGAATGGAATCCTAGGCAAAGGATTTATTGGACATGTTTCAAGTCTGAATTGTGAGTTTTGTTTGTTTTTCCCTCGCCCATTGAACAAAAATTATCTTATACAATTGAGGTTATAGAGAGCTCCGACTGGAATTGAACCTTCCGCAACAAAACGCTCTGGATCTCAGTTATCCCACAACTTTTCCTTCGCCCCCCGACAGACTTGAAACAAAGCACGAGCCGGCTTGGTATTTCTACCTTGCTGAAATTGCTCTCCGACGGCTGAAGAATCGCATATTAAGTTCTCTCTGTCGATCAGACACGGCAGAAATGGAAAGGGAAGAAATAGCCTTGGACTTTGAGGACCAAATAGATGCATGGTTTGTAGATATCCAACTCGCAAAATCAGAGATCCCAATAGTAACCGGCCGTTGTTTGAAGGTTTCAATCCCTCCCCGAAGTTTTGGATTTTGATTTGCACACCGAGTCAGATCAAGATACCTACGAGCCGTTTCGATTCATCCTCAAAGGGCATTTCCTTGATTGCCAAGAAATCATGTACTGGCATTTCATCGTGGAGGCAATATGCCATCATCGGAACCATAATGAGCACTTTCTTCGCAAAGGACTTCAGGTTTGCGTTGATAGAATCCAGCATAATCGGCCTGGTTTTCATCATCGTCATCACGGAACGTGGCTTATGATTCGGTCTTGTGCAAGAAGTGTTCTTGTGTTAATCGCTGCGTCAAGGCAAGACCATTTCGATCACTTGCTGCCGGCTGGCTGGGAGAAGGCAGTATTTGAAGTGATGGCCATGTTGAGTTTCTGGAAGGATGAGTGCACCGACGTGTTGAGATTGTCGGAGTGTCTTCAAATGCTTTGGGCAACGAATGGTTCGTGATGGAATACTCGAACTATGATAGCTGGCCTTTGCGCACTTTTATCGCGATATTTGGTGTCATTCGCTGTCATTGATCTTTTCAAACCAAATCATATCCTTCAAGCTTCGTTCCAAACGCAGACCCAGTGCTATCACTTCACCATCCTTGGACTGCCCTTCTTTGAACACAAACTCTGCTTCAACTGGATCACTTCCACCTTCAACATCATCAACAAGGTAGGAAATGTACTCCGTCTGGTTGCGGATATGGTGAAATGTGAGTGTAAACCCCATAGCGCGATCAGAGGCATCAATAAAGAGCCGATTATCCTTAATTTGAACCTGAATTCCGCGATATCCAGCATTCCAGTAGTTTCCTGTGTATAGATCCAGTGCTTTGATCTGGGGCTCTGGTGGATCATGTTGCTGCTGGCCATTTCCTTTTTCTGCAACGCCAACTTTGCTGTGATCGCGAGGCTCTCTCTTGTTCCTCTTTTTTGTCTTGTCTTTGGCCGTTGTTGGGGAAATAGTGGCACTATTGGTGGTTCTCATTGCAGCCGATCGTTCTATTTTCGGAATCCCAAGGAACTCGTCGATTAGCTCGCGAATCAAAATGTTCGCAACAGGTCCTGCTCCTGCAGAGTTTCCCATGATCACAGCACCGAATCTGATGTCCGGAATGAAGGCGAATCGGCTCCCGAACCCAGAAATCACACCATTGTGCCCGACAACCATATATCCCCGGTAGTAATACACTTCCATCCCTGCGGCGTATATAGGCGGAGACGTGAATTGCTTGAGCCGAGCTGGATAGTGGTGGGGGAAGCTGCGCGATTTAACGAGCCCCTGGTAAACCTTCTTGGAAATTGGACCCTCTTGGTTGATGAGAGCCTTCACAAACTTTATGAAGTCATTTGCACTTGTGATAATTGAGCCGGCCCCCTGGCCTTCTGGGCAATCGACACTTTCACATTTATGGTATCCGCTGCTTTTCTCCCATATATACCCAGCTGCGATACGGTCGCCAAGACCCTTGGTGTTGGCATTCGAAGGCTGTAGATTGCTCGATTCCATGCCGAGTGGGGTGAATATCCTCTTATCTAGAAATTCAGAGAAAGGTTGCTTGGATTTCACCTCAACAAGATGTGTCAAGACTGTGTACATCATGTTGCAGTATAGATATCGGGACCGGATAGGGGCAGCAACGGCTAAATTCCGTAGGTTTCTGGTGATAGATTGAGCATTATCTGCGTTCTTAGCCTGCGGCCCAAAATATGAATTGTCATGTCTGTACTCGCGTTAGTCAACCCCCCCAATTTGAAAGCCAGGATTGCTGCTTACGGGGCCATTCCTGTTCTATGGCCCAGTAAATCTTCCACGGTCACACCTTCAGTATATCCTGAGCCCGACATGACGAAGTCTTCGGGCAGAAGGTTAGACATGATTGTGTCGTATTGGATTTCTGGAAATTCTTCATTATCCTCAATAAGCAAGGCGATTGACGCTGCTGTTAGAGATTTTGCACATGAGGCGACGTCAAATAATGTCTCGGCGGTGCATGGTACTGGCGGCTCGTAGGATGCAACTCCATAACCTGCGGAGGAAACTTGATCATTCCTCACTATGGCAACAGAGAGACCGGGAACATGGTGTTTGTTCATCAAATCCTCAATACGCGACGCGAGGGAGGGATCGTCAAGACGGTCCATTTTTGAATGGCTTAAGTGCTTTGCTCGCAGTACCTCATCGATTAGTCTTTTGTTGCTGTTTGTACCCCTCGTTTGATTGAGGCCCAAACACCTTTAGGCTGCCACTCCGTGTCACTCCACAGCGGATCGCCCCTGTGGTTGGGCGGTAGAGATGGGCGGCTGATGCGCTCTACGGCGCACTTTTGTGGCCACCACGCAAATAACTATGTACCTCCAACGAATGTGCATAGCAGCCAGGATGATTTGTTTTTATGCACCTCCGCACCTCCTGAGCAGGATTAGGAACTGAATATGATTTCATCGCGGTGAAAAACTTCCAAGTTGTTTATTTCATGTTTATCGGGATCAGTTCTTGCCCGGGCTAACGAATGCGTAGAGGCAGAAGTTTGGTTAATGCAGATGTTTTTCAAGCCGCGGGCGTGCCTGGACAAAGGGAAGTACGGGAATGAAGATTTGAATTGGTCATTAAGAGCTTCCTATGTCTGTTGAATGTCTAAACTCCAAATTGACTGTGTTCGATGATAGCAGAACACACGCCATCCAATTCACAAAGGACTTTCATCATCCCGATATAAATTACTTTGCATCCATATCTTGTCTATCTTTCGACGAGAGAAGTTCGGATTATAATTGGAGAAGGTAGAAGCCCTGGCCTCAATTATTGAGATTGACTAATATGGCTTTAGGCGTGAGCTGCTGTTTTGATGAGCTTGTGAATTGAGTTCTGAATTCTGGGTGGCTGTTGTCAACACTATCACATATGCAACTCTGTTGAATTTTTACTCGCCATTCGTATTGTGCAGCACTGAAGACTTCCTTATCGAAACACCATGAAAAGCTTGATCACTATTTTCTTACTAGCTTCTTTTGCGTTCTGATTCGTAGGATTATCATCGCAGTCTGATATCCGCCCATCTCTTTGCTGTGGTATAGTATAATATGTATGGCCATGCTCTACCTAGCCCTTAGAATTTTGATTGACTGCGGGTTGATATCACCAAACATTGTCACGGCCAGGACAAGCCCTATGCAAATTTCGAATTCTTAACTGTAAGTGTAACACCGTGTTGAATTTTCTTTAATCTGCATCACTGTGTCACTATCTCAATGAACACATACATCATAGCCAATCACGTATCAAATCCATGGATGCGGTTCGAGTGAAACTTTAGGAATCAACTATCATTCGTCCACACTACTAGCCTTTGAACCATAAGACGGCTGCGGGCCACAAACCTGGAGCCGGCCCTTGATAACAGTTTTTATCCTGCTGATCAAAGTTCCCACTGTCACCATTGTGTTGATTTGATAGCCAAATGAAGGATATCCGGACGTATGAGAGATCTCACTCCAATAATAGATCATGCGACGCCCGCGTGGTACTTCCAAGGCTGGAAGGTGCTAAGGTTCCAAGGATATTTAACGTGATGAATAACCAATCGTGCCCAAGTATAGGTGGAGTTGCCCGCGGCAGGACCTTGATGAATTGCAACACACCATGTGGAACAAATAATGACATAGCATCATTCCCTTGGTATCATGTTCGGTATAAGCAAGCACAACATAAACATCAAATGGCGTAATTTGATTTTGAACGTTTTCATGCAAGAATTGACTGGTCCTCAAGTGGCGCTGCGAATAGAGACTCGCGTGTAAGATGACTCTTCAAGAGATCGCTGGAAATTCAAACCGTGGGGGTGGATAGTAAGGGTTGCTACTCAATTCGTAGACTGATGATTGCTTGTGGTCGCTATCCAAGGTTCGTTTTTCACGCTCCCCATACAAAGAATGAAGAATGGGCAAATCGACGAAGTCCTTTGGTGGCAGCGGGCTTGGCTTCGATCTCTGCCGAGTGATGCAAAACCAGGCAAAGCCAACAATGAAAATGCCCGCAGCAGATGCCCCAACTCCAATAGCAGCCTTTATCCCTGTACTCATCCCTGTCGAGGTATCGCTTGAAGCCACAAATGTTGCCGCCATTGTTGTAGGGCTAGATGAATAAATGGAGGTGGTTGGAATCGGGATACCAAGCGCTGTGGAGCCTGTTGTGATTGTTGCGGCACCTGTGGTGGTTGAGGATGAAGAGCTGGAGACTTCAACTTTGCTACTAATATTGAAGAAGTGGCTGTTTGCCAAAGAAGTAAGGTCGCCCTCTATGAAGAGACACAGATAAAACATATTCGAAAATGTGAGGTTTTTAGTCGTCTGCACGGTCCAGTCTAAAGATGTCACGCTCCCCGATACACCCTCTAAAATCACTTAGAATAATTGAGAACAATGTTGAGTTTGATGGAATAGACTTACGGGTAAGGTACTCGAAGGGTTGTAGAAACTGACTCCCATTCAGTTGCCATAGTGTCAACGATGTGTTATTCTGAGCTTTTGCACTCCATTTAATATGCAGAAGTGACCCTTCCTCATAGATTGAATTCGTCGAATAACTTTTTGTTCCATCATAGGGAGGTGGGTTTGTAAATTGGATTGCCAGGGCAAGAGTTGGCATCAGTAGTGATAGTGAAAGCAATTCGAGGCCACGCATCTCGCAGGTTCTTTACAGAAGTAAACAGGAAAATGGGTGAGGAAGGGAGAATATCAACATTACGATTAGACAGTCGGCTTAAGATGCCGGAATCCATGGTATAGCTTCAAAAAATACATCTATAGCAAAGCAAATTGAGGCTGAAGTTGGGCGCGTATAAAAGACTCTCGATAGGCCCCGTTACACGCTAGGCACGCAGCGAACTCGCTTTTGGTCTAGTCGCGCTAACACAGTCGACACTTGGATTTTTCTGAGCAAAACGCAATGGTTTCAACCCACCCCCTGGATTATTGTTAGCAAGCGCTTGGGCTTAGCTGCAGAATAACCTTGCTGGTGTTTACGGTCAGCAATTTGTGTCCCATGCGGGTGTCCCAGCTTCAACTGACTAAACCCCTTATATTTTCCACGTAGTTCATCGAACACCTTTTTTTCCCTATTCTTATTTGACCAATCTCAGTTCCGAAATAACGTTCTCTCAATGAACTCTCAACGATCCCCCTCGCTGGGAAAGTTCTTGATTACCGTCATAACCGTCTTGAGTTGCCTTTTCTTTATTCTCTACCTTCACCCCACCCGACTGGCGACTATCGAAGACCATGTTACGATCGTGAAAGATTCAAAGAAACAGTCAACTGAGTCGTCAAGTACACTACAAAGAATACCAGAGAAAATTTGGTATAAAGTAGGCCCCAAGGGCCTGAGCAGCCAGTCGCAGGAGTGGATGGATGATTGTCTCCACAAAAATCCGGCACATCGCTCGGAGATCATGACAGATGATTCCGGCGATCTATATGTGAAAAACAATTTTGCCCATCGACCAGATATCGTCAACACATTTCTTGCCCTCTCGGTACCCATCCTCAAGGCTGACATGCTTCGGTATATACTCCTATTCACAGAGGGTGGTATCTGGTACGACCTAGATGTCTCGTGTGGTGACCTCCCAATTCGCGAATGGATCCCGGCAGAACTTCAATCCAAAACGAGCCTCGTTGTAGGGTGGGAATTTGATGAAGGATGGGGCGATCATATCGTGCGACAGTTCACCAGCTGGACGATTATGGCGGCCCCCAATTCACCGCACATGATGATGGTGGTTGATGACATTGTCGACGCGGTCCACCAAAAAGTAAAGGACTTACAGATTGCAGTTTCAGACTTGACCCTAGACATGGTTGGCGATGTGGTCGATTTCACAGGTCCCAGGCGGCTGACTCGCGGGATACTGAAGAGCTTGGAACTGGCACTTAATGATACGATCGACAAGGATAGCATCTCCCACTTGTTGGAACCAATCATGGTCAATGATGTCCTGATCTTGCCAGGGTATTCTTTTGCTGCGTCTGCCAACAAATACATTAATCAGTCCGGGCCTGCATTGGTCACACACCATTATGCGGGCAGTTGGAAGAATGAAAACGGGGGCGAAATGCCCTAACAAGAGTTTGTTTTGTATGACAAAAATTTGAATAGATTGTAAAAATCACAATATGACATATGTATAATGACTGCGACAGTCGAAGCATAGATAGTACCATCTCATCAATGTAAGAGAAGCTAATATAAGCTTAGGTACGATTATCATTAACCTTTCACAATATGTATCTACCAAATGGCTTCGTAACGCTTGGTGCGCTAATGTTGATCTCACGGAAGAGCGCATGTCCCTATTACTACAAAATCAAAGCGAGAGAAAAGTCCATCTTTGTGATACTGCATGAATAAGAAACACATGTTGTGATTTGACACGGCAAGAACAAGCAAACACCAAGATATCACGTTGGTATTGATTGGCCTCGCGAGATAATATAACTAAGAATGACAAAGAATTAACATTACCTTGAGCCAATCATGTCCGCAATCATGATCTTGATTTTATTTTGAGTAGGAGCCAGCCTACCTAGGTATGTCTCATTTACTCCAGATGCTCCAATGGTTCTAGACCATCTTGTATTAATTAATTAAGCAATGCGGATCCTTCTTTTGCCCCGAAAACTCCGAATGGAGTCACCCCAGTTTTATCTGATACTTGTGACAGGTACCTAGGTTTGCTCTATTCAGATATTCTTTGGTTTATGGGGTTTTTTATGAGCATTACCTAGGTAATATCACTTTTCTTATGCCTACCCTGTTGGCAGAAGCAAAAGGTCTCAACAAGACGGAGCGAGAGATAACGCCGATCGCGGACTCAGATATGGAACAACGATCCCCCGAAAGTCAATTGGAGAATTTGAAACATAAACAATTCAACTTTCCTTTCGCATCACATTGACTGTATTTGTCTACGGTATATATATACATAAGTCGCAAGTATTGGTTGCAGGGGTGTCTCCAAACACCGACAACGGACCACGCGACATCAAAGCCACCCCGTGGAGCTAATACCCCACAAGATAACCCAAGGGTTCCAATCAATAATGAAGTACTTCTTAGGAGTCACGCTGGTGACAGCTGCTGCTACAGTCACAGCGACCACCACATCTGCTCCGGCATCTGGGCCAACCGGATCCAGCTATGAATCTGGCTTTGACATGACCAAGAGATGGGCCAATCTGAGCCCCTATAAAGACGCAGATAGCTTCGGTATTCCCAAGGGCGTGCCTCAAGGATGTGAATTGTCTCAGGTGCATGTTCTGCATCGCCATGCGCAGCGGTTCCCCACCGATTACCCGCTGGACGGCGAGGGAATGACCGACTTCGCGGCCAAGTTGACCAATTACACCAAGTCAAACTCAAACAAAACCGTGGCTGTAGGTCCTTTGAAGTTCCTGAACAACTGGGAATACGTCATTGGAGAGGACACTCTCATGGAGAACGGTGCTGCCACTGAAGCTACGTCCGGTGCCAACTTTTGGATCAAGTACGGAAGACTCCTGTACCGTGCTGGACGTGAGAATGTCGCAGCTTGGAGCTCGTCTCTCAATGTTTACTCCAACGGTACCGACCGCCCAAAGCCTGTATTCCGTACCACCTCTCAGGGCCGTATCTTGGAAAGTGCTCGCTGGTGGCTAAGTGAGTTAATATCTAATTAATCCATCCTTTACGCCCGTGTTACCAGCTAATCTCTTCGACTAGCCGGCTTCTTTGGTAATAGTGGAGCCAACAGTTCTTACGATCAATATGACCTTGTCGTCATTCCCGAGAAGGCCAATTTCAATAACACCCTCGCTTCTTATGAAGCATGCACGGGTGACATGACTGAAGGGTGAGCACAGCGCAGATTCCAATCTAAGAACCTTTTTAACAGAAAGATCAAAGTGACAATGCTGCTGAGATTTTCATCTCTCGGTACACCAAGAATGCTCGCTCCCGTCTCTCCGCGTACTTCCCTCCCGACTTCAACCTGACTGCCATGGACGTACTCGCCATGCAGAACCTCTGCGTGTATGAGTACACCAGTCTTGGCGGCTCTGCCTTCTGCTCCCTCTTCACCGAGCAAGAGTGGAAGGACTTCGAGTACAACGTCGACGTGCAATACTACGGGGACTATGCCTACGGCTCTCCCACCGGTCGCGCCCAGGGCATTGGCTACGTTCTCGAACTTGCAGCTCGTCTTGAGAAGAAGCTCATCACCTCAAGCGACACCAGCATCAACTACACCTACACCGACAACACGGCCCAGTTTCCATTTGGTCAGCCCTTCTACATGGACATGTCCCACGATGACATCATCCTGTCTGTGATCAACGCTCTCGGTCTCAAATACTTCAAATACGGCCCTAAGGGCTTACCCGTTCATATTGACCATGCGCCCGAGCGGACTTTCTCTCTCAGCCAGATGACTCCCTTCGGTGCCCGCTTTATGTCTGAGATCTGGAGTTGCCCTAGTGATGTTTCTTTCGATTCTTTGGACCCCATTCTCTACAGTAACCCTACTATTCAGTCGAACACCACAGACTACATTCGCTTCGTGCTCAACAATGCCCCTCTTCCGCTGGATGGGCTTGCTGGTTGCGAGAACTCGAAAAATGGATTTTGTCCCGTCGAAAAGTTCCTGCGTGACGTGCCTGCTCTGAAGAAGAAGGCTCAGTACCAGAAAGCATGCTTCGGCAAATACCCTACCGGAAGCCAGGTTGGAGATGGTGCTCCCGAGTCTTAGTTCGGACTATGAACAGGTCTTTGATGACTCCATATTCGTATTGCCTTGTACATAGGTCATCCCGTTATACCACATATGAAATGGCCCTCGGCATTCTTTTCAGGCACGCTCCGCTCAATTTGGTGAGCACACTACGCCAGAAGCCAATTTAATATACCGCAAAAGAAAAAATGGATGTATTCAACCCAGTCATTCTCGCACAAAAGTTAGGCCTACCTAAATATGTAGGTATTATTACACCTCCAGGGTGCTATTAGAAGTGATAGCGCGTAATTGAACAGTTATCAATCTGGGTATGATCGTATTATACCGAATCATCTTGAAACATACTTTCCCCTTTTGATGCTCCAGAATGCCAGACCTCCAAACCCTGGCTTTCTGGGTCGTCTTTTTCTTCAGCATAATTTTTTTCTTACTTGCTTTATTCTAGATTACATCATTGGATAAATGTTCTCTACATCACGATCAAGTTGACTCCCGACCAAGATCAAGCTACTCAGAGCGAGCTCGCGGCAGTGAATGGATTAAGACGAGGGCAACTAAGCTGAATCCATCTTAATACTTGGTTCGTGCATTTAAAATAGCGACAAGCAACCAAAAATGGGGGTTTCATTATGAATACGGAACTTCAGATATTCGCTTTGTTCATTCGTGTCTTTCAAAATAGCGAAAATGGCCTGCTTTGAGGCTGAACAACCCCATGTCTCTATCCTTCTATTTTTTTTTTTTTTGGCTGGCAAGAATAGCTCTTTTGTAGAATCTTTGTTTCTGTTGTCTGTCCGTCGAGCTTTGATGGTCTTACAATCCCACTGTGTCGAGGGGCAAAGGAAGCTAATCCATAAATTTCTTTGTTTCGATTAAAAATGAAAGAAACATGTTCATGAGACAGCTTTCAGCCCAATGCACTTTGTTGATTTCCTCGAAGAGGACTCATTTCGGGTATTTAACTACAGACAAAGTACGCCTCAGCCATCAGCCTCCATTCTTAATAATCTCAATTCACGACTTCACATCTTCGTCCTTGATCATATCTTCCAGCATGGCCGCACGATGCAACCTTCGATGGGGACAGACCTTGCAGGCAACTGAACAGAATCAGCGTAAGGTCTGGGCACCACTCAATCTCGACGATCTGGATAGCACCCAACAGGCCATCGATCGCCAGGCTATTCTCGATATGATCCGAGAGGTCTACAACCCTGAGCTAACTAATTTTCTTGCTGTTCCAGGGAACAAGTGGAATAAGCAGTTCATGTATCCTAAAAACAGACCAATCGAACAAGCATTGGGTGAGCTTCTTCCAAGAATGCCACAGGCCGCTCAAGGTATTTTGGAAGTCGACCTTGGTCTTTATCTCTTTGATGTCCTTCGTTATAAGCGATTTACTGATGACAGTTGGACAGTCCCTGTGCCTCCTCTTGCCCCTCTACCCATGGGCCCCACGCACCCTAAGGCCCCTAAGGTGGTCCCTTGGACAGCTATTAATGCCAACTGGCCGGTTTCCAACCCTCCTGTCGATCACCACCATGTCGAAGAGATGGATGTTGATATTAATAAGGAGATTGAGGGGGGAACTGAGGAGAAAATTGAAGAGCAAGTTGAGGAGGTTAAAGAGGAAGTTGCAGAGGGAGTTACGGAGCGATTTGAGGAAGAAAATGAGGACCACTCCAACGCCGCAGCGCTAGGTTCCATGGTGGCTTCTTGTATGCCCTCTGCTGTGCCGTCTTCTATCGCCTCTCCTATCGCCTCTCCAATTCTTTCTCCTGTGGCATCTCCTGGCTTGTCTTCTGCATCGTCACCCATGGCCTCCCTCGCCCCCAAGTCCTCTAACTGGACCACAATCAATGCTGGCTGGGATGCTATCAATAACTTGGTGGCTAGAAAACCCAAAAGGGTCATGGAGGTTGAGACGGAAGATGAGTCTGATTGCCCAGCCACGAAGAAACAGGCAGTGGCGAAATAACGTATTTTCTTGGACCTTTTAGTTGTTATGTGTGTTGCCGGTTTCTCGATGTATTTGCAATTTGATCAAATTGGCCTGATTAAGATCAGAGTCCATTTTCTTTCGTAAACCCAGTATCTCGCCTATCGTTGGAAGCTTGTTCGGCGGTATTCTTCATACTACAATTGTAACATTCTCCAGTGGCAGAAGCCATAAAAAGGTGATATGAGGTTTCCGGCAGCATTTGAATTGGTCCCGCCTATGTGCAGGCGCCAAACGTTGCAGAAACTCGCGAGATCTTGAGTGGAGGTTTCGCTGAACCCTTTGCAGCATATCATTAGCCCCAAGGTCGTGACAGAAGTCATGATTGAAAAGTATGTATGAATTCCTCCCTAAGACCTAAATAGCCGTCTTGCCATATGACTAATGCCGCTACCGTGCATTGGTCTGTCTCAACTGAGGGAATTTACGGATTTTTAGGTATCTTTTGTATAGGGTTTACATATAAAATGTACATAAAGGCACGTATCAAACATTCTTGAAAATACATATCTTATGATATAAACTGGATCAGAATATTCAAACTAGCTTATAGTATCAAAGTAGTATTCCTATTATCTTCGAATAGTTTAGATATCGATTTGATTCTAATATATGGGTACAGTATTTCCGGAAATCGGTGTCACCACCTTTACTATCTCGTATTTTGTGTAAGCCTAATGCCAAGATAAACTAGACTCGATCAAGAAGAGGGGCGGAAAATAGATAGTCCTGTATTATTATCTATACAGTAGTTTACTCTGCTTAGGCGATGATATAATTTCTTCTATCTGTATGCGTATAATGGCTGGAATTATCTCTTGAAGTGCAATTTAATCAGATACATAGAGCTGGAGCTATTCTGGAGAATCTGGCAGGATCATTTTTCTGCTCTGCCCAAACAACGTAAGTTATACTATATGCGCATGGTATCCCGTAATCAAGACCCGCCCATCCTCATACCCGAGTGCAAGTGTGGCATCCTGGATAGCCTGGCATGCGAATGTACGATACTCAGCAGGGAGCCATAGTAAATTTTCACCTCCCGGACTCTTAACCCAGTTATTCGATAATGATATCTGGAAATTTCCAGGAGCTTCTTCGAGAGCTGGCGCGAGCCCATCTGGAGAGAAGGCCACTGATCTAACAGAATCTGAATGGCCCTCTAGCGTCTGCCACTGTGTGCCGGCCGCTTTACCCCAGAGCTTGATGGTGCTGTTGACCGAACGCGACGCCAGGGTAAGCCCGTCGGGAGAGAACGCCACTGAACTAACCGAACCTGAATGACCCTCTAGCGTCTGCTGCTGGGTGCCGGTTGTCATATCCCAGAGATTGATGGTGCTATCGTCCGAGCCCGATGCTAGGGTGAGTCCATCGGGAGAGAAGGCCACCGAATGAACCGATTTTGAATGGCCCTTTAGCGTGTGCCGCTGCGTGCCGGTTGCTATATCCCAGATATTAATGGTGTTATCGTAGGAGCCCGATGCTAGGGTGAGTCCATCAGGGGAGAAGGCTAATGATCTAACTGTATATGGATGGACCTTTAGCGTCTGCCGCTGCGTGCCGGTCGTCGTGTCCCAGAGCTTAATAGTGTTATCGTAGGAGCCCGATGCTAGGGTAAGTCTGTCGGGAGAGAAGGCTACCGACCGAACTAATCCTAGATGGCTTTCTAGCGTCTGCCGCTGCGTACCGGTTGTCATATCCCAGAGTTTGATAGTATAATCGTCCGAACCCGATGCTAGAGTAAGTCCATCGGGAGAGAAGGCCACCGACTGAACCGAGTTTAAATGGCCAAATAGCGTCTGCCGCTGCGTGCTAGTCGCCGTGTCCCAGAGTTTGACAGTGTTATCATAGGAGCCCGATACTAGAGTAAGTCCATCGGGAGAGAAGGCCACCGAATGAACCGAATTTAGATGGCCCTCTAGCGTCTGCGGCTGCCTGCCGGTTACCATATCCCAGAGCTTGATAGTCCTATCGTAGGAGCCCGATCCTAGGGTGAGTCCATCAGGAGAGAAGGCCACCGACTGAACCGAATCTAAATGGCCATCTAGCGTCTGCCGCAGGATGCCGGTCGCCGTATCCCAGAGTTTGATGGTGTAATCGTAGGAGCCCGATGCTAGGGTAAGCCCATCGGGAGAGAAGGCCACTGAACATACCGAATCTAAATGGCCCTCTAGCGTGTGCCGCTGCGTGCCGGTCGGCGCATCCCAGAGCTTAATAGTGTCGTCAAAGGAGCCCGATGCTAGAGTAAGTCCATCGGGAGAGAAGGCCAATGATCTAACCGATTTTGAATGACCATCTAGTGTCTGCCGCTGCGTGCCGGTTACCAGATCCCAGAATTTGATGGTGCTATCGTCCGAGCCCGATGCTAGGGTGAGTCCATCGGGAGAGAAGGCCACCGAATAAACCGTTTTTGAATGGCCCTCTAGCGTGTGCCGCTGCGTGCCGGTTGCTAGATCCCAGAGCTTGATGGTCCTATCGTTTGAGCCCGATGCCAGGGTAAGCCTATCGGGAGAGAAGGCCACTGAGTTAACCCAACGTGAATGGCCCTCTAGTGTCTGTAGAGTAGTGCTCCAAGAATCCATCACCGCTGGTAGCGGCCGTATCTGTTTTGATATCTCGCCAAGAAATGTCCTCTTGATCACACTTTGTGCTGGTGCAAAAGCTAGCCCGGAACAGTAAATTTGCAGTGGAGCAATGCTAGCCATATAAGCATTTTGAAGAATAAATCTTCTTGCATCATATAAAAACCCCGAAAGAGCAGGATTGTCTTTCTTCTGTGATATCTATTAGCTGTTATCTAGCTATAAATTTTCGAGACTTACCCATGTGCTTGACTCTAGTGTCTTTATCATTTTTGCCGCCTCGGATACTTTTCTCATTAAAGCTAGTGCCTCCAACCAATGAAGGAAACGCTTTTGAAGAAAAGAGAGAATTTCAGATTCAGAGACGCTACCCTGGCTCTGCTCCAGATGATGTACCCAATAATGGCAGGAGTATTGCAAATCAGCAGGGAGGCGCTGCTGGATGATCTGAGGGTCGATATCCTGGAACTCTGTTCCATAACTTGCTAAATCACAGATATTGCGCCCGAGCCGAGTTTGCATCACGCGGATACAATTTAATGTTATCTGTCGATGTGTATCCTTCTCGTTAATACGAAATTCAGCTTCTGTATGGATTAAGAAGTCTCGAAATGAAGAATGCAGAATGCGAACCGGTGCTCTGAGATCCACTGGTACACTAAGGACGGAATGAAATCTTTTCAATCGATTGACGATTTTATTCTCAGTTATCCCAGTCAATTGCGCAAGAGTGACAACTGAAAGAGGGGTAGCCAAAAGAACAATCACGCCGATAATATTCTGGAACTCCTGTAAGAGTTGCTCAAATTCCTTCTTATTTTTCGCGGCAAGGAGTTGGTTCAGTACTGGTAGATATGTCCTATCCATGTCGTATGTCGATTCTGTTGCTTCATCTTGAAGAACGGCCGTAAGACGCTCTTCGGGAAGCCAGTCCTCATCCCCAACAAAGCGGCAAAGAGTAGCCGCAAAGATGAACAAAGGTACAGCCATCTGCACCAGTTGCTCAATGTGTTTATTCCCAGGCCAGATGGAAGGAAGTGAGTGTTCGCGCTGTATTACTGAAAGCCTATGTTCCAGGAACAAACGGATATCGTGTTCGATTACTGGAGCAGGAATCTCATGGAGAACTAGGCCCTGATAGTTGTCTTCTTTCTGGAAACCCTGACGGATCGGAAGCTCAGGTCTGCTTGTCAAGACCACTCGTAAGCGCACCGACTGAATTTCTTGTAATCTGAACAAGAGATGAAGTATAAGTTTGATATCATCATTCTTATCACATTCATCTAGGGCGTCAATAACGATCACAGTCGTGATAGATTGGTCCGGTTGTAGCTTTAGAAGAGGCCGATAGAGAAGTTGGTCAAATTGATCTTTTAAAAATTTCGATGTGATCATCGGATCAGCCTTGATGGCGTCTAAGACGTCAGGCACCAGTTGTCTGTGTCTAGTTACCAGCTGTCCTACGATGCTGGTTACCAAGTATGTTGCAGTACAACGGTCGGCTTCGCCACGCTTAAAAAAAAGCTCGCACCCAGCAGTCCTCGTTCTTTAAACTCTTTTGCAACTGTGCGTGCAATGGTAGATTTTCCGGTTCCTGCCATCCCCTTCAACCAAAAAATGGATTTATCATCGGAATTCGCCCAATCAGTGATATGGGAAAGAAGCTCGGTTCTGGTCCCTGAAAGGCAAAAATCCTCATGTTCATGAACACGACAGTCATATAATGCTCCCTCCACAACATGTAGATGCATAAGACTGGAATGTTCCAGAAGAAGATTCAGGGATTCGCCAACCTCATCGATTTTCAGAAGGAGGTTTTCTGCCTCCTTCTTATGGTGCAAGTATCCACTAAGCTCGATCCACCGGCCTAAATCAATTCTTTCTTTTTCGACTGAGGCCTTAAGCTCCGTGAGTGGATGCCCAGTAATAGCAGTGAAACAGTCCGAGAGGTTTCTCCTGACGCCAGGCTCTTGGGATTTCCGAATCTGTCCTGAATAGCGCAGAATAGCCTTATAGAGTTTAATCATTGCGGTTTCCACATAGCCTCGAATATTTGAATCGCCGTCTAGATAGAATCTCTGTTCGATAAAGGCGCATTGTGTAATGACATCGGCCAGGTATTCCGATGATTCAAACAATGCATTTCGTGCGTCATGGTGAGTCTGGGAGATCTACGATACCAGTCAGACAATAAGCAACTAGCACGTCCCAAATGTCTGGCAATACATACTTCCAAACCAAACAACACGACCGCCCAAGCACTGGCTGCATGATGTGTGAGGTCAAGTCCAGCAACCGCATTAATGAAATCCTTATAGGAAAGTAACGCATCGATGATCTTCCGCGAAGTCTTCCGAAGTGTAGTATCTGACTTCTGCTGGTATGCCTCGTATTGCAGCTTTGTCACGTGGATTATCTCGTCGACCAGCTCTCTCGAGCCAGCTTTCTTATCCTTTAACTCGGAAGAACTTCGTGTGCGTAACAAAATCTGCTGCTGCTTCTCATCGAGCTGGTCATAAGCAGTTTGCCACAGGTCTTTTGGCTGGGAGATTTCGATTGACTTGAGTGGTGGGATTGCAGCCTGGCTACTAGTTAACGGTCTAGCATTCGTCGTGCTGTCTCTTTGGTCCTCTGCTTGATCAATGCCGGCTTTCTCTTTCCCAGTCTTCTTGTCTTTGTGAAGTAGTCGATGAATCTTTTTTAGACGTTCACGCATCTTTGCAAATATAAGTATTTTCAAGTGACTGTGTTTAGTCGAGAAATTTAGGAAATTATTCTAGCAAACTTGCGCTGTAGAGGGGTAAATGTTCGGTCCTACCTTTTTCCTGCTAGTTGTATGCACTAACGTGGTGAAATGACAAGTATTTGCCTATCTGTTGTCCGCTAGTCATAGCCCGCTCTGCTACATGATTGGAAGATGCTGGGACTTTCGAATATCCACTCTCCATGCAGACAGCGTGGCCATGCTGACGCAGACTGAAATTGTGACCCCTTTTTTCCCTATAAATATAGACTCTTGAGAACTCCAGTCACGGATTTGCTTTCGATTTGACTTCATGTCTTCATATTTTGTTCATGTGGGTTTGATATCACCATGTTTGGTCCAACAAACAAGGACATGGGGCGTAACGTCGGCCCGACCCGGGCGAAAAATCGTACAGTACGGGCTCTCACACCGCCTGTCCTCGATCGGCGTGGTATCAGTCTTCATCCCCCATAACCTGAAGGTTATTAAAGAAGGACCTCGTGTTTAACCTAGGATGTCCTATGCCTACTAACTAGCATGACTATTTAGCACCCCATTTGACAGTATTGTCCATCTCTAAATAAAAAGAATCCCTGTTTTGTTTCGCAATATGAAAAACTCTTTAGAAAAGATTAACAGATATACGAGGAAATCCAGAATTGTTCGTCTTAGAACCTACCACGAGGTCCAAGTTAATATCATGTACTCAATCTTACAAAATGAACATCTTTTTCTTTGAAAACAGAGCATAAGCCGATATAAAAACTGCAGAATCTGTAAGTATCTTAACGGTTAGGCCTGCATGCCGGAAGTGTCCCTCTGCGCTTTCCACTCTTAACCAACTGTGTTCACACACCACTCCAAGAACGTATCGAATCCGTGATCCGAATAAGCTTCGTGAGACTGAGTTGTGACGAATAAAGGCTTTCAACTCAACAAATAACTCCTCGATCGGATTCAAGTCTGGAGAATATGAAGGCAAACACACCAGCTTTACACCAGCTTCTGAATACATCTGCTCGACCCGCCCGGAGTGATGAAAAGGAGGCTTTATCCATGACAATTACAGACTTCAGCTCCGGCCATTTTCCGCAATGCTGGAGAAGCTGCTCAATATAATCCTCAAAAACTTGGGAATCGGTGGAGCCGCAGAACACTCAACAGAGAACAATACCAACTTGTGCATATGCAGGAAGTATCTGGTATCGCTGATCACGATGAAAATTAGGCACTTGGACTGGTGCTGTACGAAGAGGAGACCAGCCGGTTCGTCTAAACCCTATCCGCTTACCACATGCAGATTTCGACCACGTAGACGAGGTGATGTGAGCGAAATTCCGATATTCAATGACAGTAATCATCATTTAAATTCGCGTTTCACTCTTTGGCTTTCCGTCGAGCTGTCTTCTTTGACCATTCTTGTCGATGCAGAGCGTCACTAATCGTCGACTTAGGTATAGAGACGTCGGTTTCATCCAGAAAGAACAGTTTCATCTCAGAAAGGTATAGATTCGGCTTCTCAAGCAGATGATCGCACAAGGCTTCCAACATGATCGGTGTAATACTATGTGGCCGTCCAGCTTTGATGGGAGGAGCTTTGATGGTACCGAATAGTCGTAAATTGGACCGGACCCTGATGATCGCGCGTTAATTGCAGCCAGCAGCTTCAGCCATCTGGGAAGTAGTTAATTCGCCACTGCTAATCATATCATGAATAAGCTCGGGCGTAAATTTGGCCAGGCTCAGTGCCATGGTCCATTGCGCTACTACTGTAGTCACTTGTCAAGGAGGATATGTCTAGTGGGGACGTTGGACGCGGGGTATCGAGGTAGTCGCTGTCTTGGTATCACAGGTAATTAACAAAGTTTCATCTCATACAATAATCCGGTATTCCACAATACAAGGACTAGAACCCAGGGGTATATTGGGATGCCAGAATTAGGTCAGCTCTTCTTGGCATCAGGGTTCGAGAAACAATGGAAAGAGTGTAGGTGGTAACACCGATTTCCGGAATTACTGTATGCTTCAATAGTTCATTATAGGTCGAAAAGAGCCTCAGAAACCTAAGAACTGTAATACTTATCATTTTGGTACTCTCGAACGAGAATAATCATAATTATCACATAATAAATATAATTATAGATTGATTTATATACTTATATTTGCTCTATGTCATGAGATATTCGAGGATGTTTGATATGTACCTTTTATGTATAAACCCTATACAAAAGATACCTAAAATCTGAAAATCCCCCGAGGTGAGACAGACTAATGGACGGGTAGACCATTAGTCATGGTAAGACGGCTAATATCAGAACAAGAGAGATGGCGCCAAGGAATGTCAGTATTTCGTGTTTACATCAATGCAAACACACCTTCTGCTGCAGCATCAAAATCGGCTGTTCCAATACAATTCGACACTTTCTTTCCTGTCAGACACGGAAGCAAAAATAATATGACTTCCGCTTCACCAATCTCTTATATTCCACATATTCAATGGCCACGCTGAATGTTACAATGCTATGAGCCCCGGTGAGTACAATCATAAAGGAATAGTAATCTCATTTTTATCTTAATTTCCACTCCATATCTGGGTTAGACCCATGACCTAATATACTCCCTTACATACAAGTATTCTGCCTCCGCCTTCAATGTATAGTGGTGGCGCTATGATCCCACTGCTTCAAGTCTGCATTGTCCCACTTATATAACTAGTATACATTGTAGATCACAGTCGTGCGTTAGCGCTCATGTCAATGAACAATCCCAAATTCCATTAGATTAGGGTTAGATAGAGGTAGTTTTTAGGTCTTGTTTGATGTATGAAATTTTCTGCCATGAACAGGAATACTTGAGAAGGTTTGGTGATAAATGAAAAACATCACCAATGTGGTTCAATATGTCTTCCGGAATTCTCAAATAAGTCCAATCTTCTATACTATGAGATAATATATATACTATAAGTACATAGTAGATAAAGTGTTCCAGTTATATCGAAATTCCCAAAACAAAAAAATCAGCGGGGCTCATATTTTCCTTCGCCTCTCACCGCCACAGCGGCCTTATATCTCCTCTCCGCGAGCCCCGCATCTTAGTGAAGTCTCTTCATCACTTCTATCAAATCCCCCAAAATCCTTCAAAATGTCTCAATATCAGTCCCAGTCCTCGGCCTCGGCCAAGATCTACGTCGGGTGCGTTGAGTTTCCCTCTGTGCATTCTGACTATTAGTTGAACTAATTGAAAACAGTAACCTCTCATGGAACACCACAACTGAGTCTCTCGGAGATGCCTTCTCCCAGTTCGGCAACGTTATTGATCGCGTACGTGTGAAATCTCTTCTCATCACAATTATTTGATTCTGTTCGCGCATACTGATTCTCTTTCTAGGTTGTCATGAGCGACCGTGAGACCGGCCGCTCCCGTGGCTTTGGCTTCGTCACCTTCTCTTCCGAGGAAGAGGCTCAACAAGCCATTGAGGCCATGAACGAGCAGGAGTACGTTTCACTTCCATTCTGATAACCAAGAAGCTTCATCACTAACATTCTCATAGCCTCGATGGTCGCAAGATCCGTGTCAACCTTGCCAACGCCCGTCCCGCTGGTGGCAACGGTTACAACGGTGGTGGTCGTGGCGGCTTCGGCGGTGGCCGCGGTGGCTACGGCGGTGGTGACTACGCCCCTCGCTCTGATGCCCCCCAGTGGTAAATGTGAAAAATGGTGTGCGATGGTAATGGGGAACGAGAAAAACGTGATATCTTGATGCTTAGCGTTGATGAGGCCCACGAGGCCCCTGAGGAATCAGTCATAGGCAGCTACTAGAGTATTCCCGAGTAGATAGTTTTTACCGGTGTTTCATACCTTTACGACATTTGAATACGATTTCAGAGCCGATCGAATCGTGCACTGATTTGACCACCTTTTCAATTTTTTTTCAAATTTTTTTTTTTTCCTTTGTAAATTTCAATTTTGACCGGGGGCAGAGAGTGGAACTAAAAGTGTGGAGTAAGTGGCCTTGAGCTTGTATAACAAACATCCATACATATTTACCTCTCCCCAATTTCTTACTGAGAAAAAAGAGGTTTTGAAGAAATAGAGAGAAATTCTTATTGCATGTCTTTTTTTTTCTTCTTCTTGTTCCCTCATTTTTCTTCGCTTTTTGTTGTTAATTTTCTTTTCCTGTGAGCTCTAGGGCTCGCTTAAACGAGATTATCAACCATTTTCGTAAGAAATTCTTATTGTATCAGTACAACTTTGTACAATATAGAAATAGTAATCTCCCTTAAGAGTTTGCAGTAACTAGCTAGTAACTGATGCCCTGAAGAAAAGCTACTAAAAATAGGAACACCCCAAAGTGAGTGTGTGATTGGCCAATTCTTTCTGGATGCAAATGCCCCCCGCTGACCCACCGCCACATTACTTACGTAGCTAAGCTAACTCACCCAGAGCCCGTGGACCTTTCACCATCTCTCCTGTAAACATTTACCAATTCACACATACCCAAACCACAAATATGGCACCACATGAAGGCCTTGTCCACCCAAAAGAGTATGACATTAAAGACAGCAACGTGGAGCTGATCGGCACAGACCTCGACCACCGCGTGAAGTACAATTCTGCAGCCACCGAACCAGCCTGGAACAATGGTCAAATCGGTCAAGAGCCAGGTTTCTTCATCTGGCGCATCGAAAACTTCCAAGTCATCCCCTGGCCGAAAGAGAAATACGGCCAGTTCTACGACGGCGACAGCTTCATCGTCCTCCACTCCTACAAGCTTGGCGACAAGCTCGGCCACGATATCTTCTTTTGGCTCGGCAGCAAAACCACACAAGACGAGGCTGGCACAGCGGCTTATAAAACCGTCGAGCTGGATGAGTTCCTGCACGGCACGGCGACACAACATCGCGAGGTGCAGGCGCAGCCGTCAGATGAGTTCCTCGCTCTATTCCGCCATTATGCAATTCGCTCGGGTGGCGTGAGGTCCGGGTTTACTCATGTTCAACCTGAAGCCCGGGAGGAGATCTGTACTCTGTTGCGGATTTTCAAGCATCCTGGTATTACGCGCATCGATTCGCTGATTGTGCATGAGGTTGAGGCTACTTGGAAGAGTCTAGATGAGAATGATGTCTTTGTTCTGGATAAGGGGGATAAAATTTGGGTTTGGCAGGGAAAGAAGTGCAGTCCCATGGAGAAGGCAAAGGCGGCACAGGTGGTCAATGACATGACTCAAGCGAAACATGTTGATGTCGAGGTGTTGTCGCAGCTTGAGTCGAGATCGAGGCTTATTGTTGATTTGTTGGGTGGGAAAGAGGAGGCTGGGCCGACTTTGGAGGCGCCTAGACCTGGTCGATTTGCGAAGAGGGGTGCCGAGGAGAGCCCTCGCCCGCGCAAATTGTTCAGACTTAGTGATGCCTCTGGTGACCTGTCCTTCAATCTCGTGAAGGATGGAGAACGGGTTAGCCGTTCTGACTTCGACGGCAAGGACGTCTTCCTTTACGATGTTGGCAATAGACTCTGGGTTTGGCAGGGATCTGAGGCTAGTGCGAGTGAGAAGGCTATGTGGCTCAAGGTTGCACAGTTCTATGTTCGCAAGATCCAAGAGAGTCAGGAATCCTCCAAGGCACACCTTATCCCGATCTCAAAGGTTTCGCAGGGCTATGAGAGCCCCGCGTTCCTCAAGGCCATCGAGGCCTAAATGTAATATAATCATCACATATTATAACCTGAGATATATCCCAACAGGACTTCTATTTCTTCTCATAGTTTAAATGAGACGCACTAGCTAAATGTAGCTAGGGCCTACATCTTCGCTTGAATGTTGTACAGATCGGCAACCACATTATTTTTTGTAACTATTCAAAAGTCTTAAATCAAGCCTGAAACACTGTCTCCCTTATCCAGAGCATCCGCTTGTTTTCGCAGCACATCAGCCCGGAACCTCCTAAACGCAGTCTCGATCCTCTTCTGACTCTCGGGATCAGAGGAGATGCCCCGGGTTCCACTCGCCACACCCCCAGCAAAGCCTATACAAAGCAAGTCAGCACAATGTTCCATAGCATTTCAAGGTAAAGGAATCTCACCAAGCTCTCCGCCCAGAAGCAATCCACCAAGCGAAGCAAAGAAATAAGTCGCAACATCCCCCAAAGTAGTCGGCTTCAACAGCGGCGTGAGGTCGGGGATAGATTCTACATGGATTAGTATATATTCATCTTTTTGGACGCCATTGACCCATACCAGTCCGTCCATCCTCAAACATGACCTTCGTGGGCCGTTCCTGCGCGCGAATAGCCGAAAAGAACGCCTTGCGTGTGCTGCGGAGTCGAATTGCAGTGAAAAGGCCCAGACTCACACCAACCGCTGATCCAACAGTTGTCCATAGTGAGATCGAGGACGCTGCGGCCTTCAACTTGTCGCGGTCTGAGGATTGGAGGTCGTGTTGGATATGTTCGTCTGCGAGCTTGGCGAACTCGTCGGAGCGGCGTTGACGGAGAATTGCGAATGATTCGGACATTGTGAAGGAATTGATTTGGAGGTTTGGAAAAGAAAGAGAAAAGAGAAAGAGACAGAGAGGTAGGTACCTTGGAAAGTGCGGTTGAAATCAGCCAAGCTGTGGGGAGCTTTGGTTAGTGACGTCATGGATACGCCGAATCAGGAACATTTTTGATTGGATTGCTGTACTACAACATACAATATGATTACACTTGATCACATTGACACTCATGATACTATTGATCAACCTATCTAGACATCCAAAGATTTGGACGCCTAAATCTCGAGCCCCTCAATGCTGACATCAGATCAAATCGATTAATAAGTCTCAACTTCCTCGTATGCGTTCACCCAAGTAGTAAACCAGAACTTCACTCTAACACGCACACACACACACACACATACAAATATCTCAAACCAAGTCCATATCAAAAATGCCCCGCTTCCTAACAGACCCTCGCCTCGCCCCAACAACCCCCCAGCCCCTCCTGGTAATCGGCGCCGGCCTACCACGCACAGCGACATCCTCCCTGCAAGCCGCCCTAGAACAGCTAGGCTATAACCCCTGTCTCCACATGGCACAGATAATCCCCCATGCAGATCGCCAACAACTCCTCATAAACGCCTCACGGGAAAAGAACACCGCCAAACGCCAGAAGCAGCTCCACGAACTGGTCGACGGCTACGCCGCCGTCTGCGACATGCCGGCTATATTCTTCCTCTCTGATCTGCTGGATATGTACCCGGACGCCAAGGTCGTCCTGAGTGTGCGTCCGGATGCGGAGATATGGGCGCGCAGCTGTGTAGATAGTCTCGGGTTCTTTTTTACGGGGAGGTTTTACTGGGTTGGGCTTCTGTGGAAGACGGATAGATTGTGGTATAGGCTCAATATGAGAATTTTGGAGTGGTCCCAGGAGAGGTTTGGGGAGGGTAATATTTTCGACCCTGCTTTTGCGGAAAGGTATAATGAGGCTGTTAGGGGGGTCGTGGAGGGAAGGGGAGGTGTGGTGCTGGAGTTTAAGGCGGAGGATGGGTGGGGGCCGCTCTGTGGGTTTCTTGGGAGGGAGGTTCCCGAGGCACAATTTCCCAGGGTCAACGAGAGGAGGACTTTTGCTGTTATTAGGGCAGTTTTGGTTGCTAAGGGGTTGATTGGCTGGGTTTTGCTTGGGGCGTTTGTTTGGTTTGGGTGTAGTTATATGGTGGGGCTTTTTGTATAGATGTTACGCGGGAAGTCTTTTCGGGAGTTTGGATTGTTTATAGTTTTCGATTTTTGCGACTATGTCCATATGCCGTGGGTATCATGCCATCGTACCGAAGAAATAACTTACTGTATATCATTAGCATTGTTCAAAGTTGTTGGAGAGGTCGGAACGCACGAAGTAGAACCTGCATGGCTAAAAACAGACGATGCAGTTGGTTCCTAGGAGATAAGCCAGTGCTTGTGGGCTGAGCTGGAGCAGTATAAGCAGGCAAATCCGGGTCGTTGGTACTATCGTCAAGCGCCTTCTCGCGGGCCTTGCTGATGGTACTCATGTTCATGGACGTTGAAACTGGGGCTTTGAGAAAACCCTCGCTTTCAGCAACTTGAATAGCCGCCCACCAGACAGAGGCCATCTCCTCATATCCAGCGGCTGTTGGGTGAATCTTATCGACAAGCTGATCCGACTTGATAAAATAGCTCATCTCGGCAAGGACAAGACTATCATTTTGCGCACGACGCTTAGCTGCTAGATCTCGATACTGCTCGCTGATGTCGGCGACTAAGTTGGGCTTCTTCCCGTTGGGGATGAGAGTTGATAGAATAATTGTCGTTCCAGGGATTGCGGCGTAGAGCTCCGTTAGAAGGGAGTCCATGCGCTCCCCTGCAGAGTCTACTTTGTAATCCTGTATGCCGTCGTTGGTGCCAGCGCTAAGAACGGAATATTAGTGGGTGAACGGAGTTTGCCAACAATTGTGATGGGCTCACTTGATAAGGATCAAATTAGGCTTTTGAGGAAGAGTCTTTTTGACAACTTCTGCGATTTGTTCAATTCTAAATCCAATGTGGCCCTCGTGATTCTAGATATTACGGTCAACATCTAAATTGCTCATGTTGGCGCATATCAGCGGGTGTAACTTACATTGTTATGCATGGTGCCAGTTTTCTTGCTTCCGATCATATCAACCTCCCAGCCTGCATAGCGCAGTTGCTGCCTCAACCATTTCCGATACCCATTACCATCTTTGGACTTATATCCTTGCGTGATTGAAGCCCCAAGTGGTAACATACGTAACATAAATGGCTTGGTGCCACGTGCTTGTATCGTAGCGATATCGGTACTTCCGTCGGCCGTCGCCGAACTCAAATCATTCGAATAATTAGGCAGCGACGCCGCAACAGACGCCGATAGCAAGGTTAGCCATATTAGACAAGCCTGGACAACCCAGTGAATGGGCGGCGACTGCCTCATGGTATGGATGAAGTTGGAGAAATTACTAAACGGGAATCTCCGTTGTCTTATAATCCCGATCACAAAGCCCGTCAGAAGTGGACAAATTAATGTGCTCTCCGGGTGTTCTGATTTGTCAATAAATTTTGCGTCTGGAGCTAGTTTAGGCCGCGATAGACCCACGAGTGGCTGGACACTCAGGGGCGATTCCACTATTTGTCTAAGCCGCATTCATAAGCTCGTTTTGACTGCCAGTGCCTGGCGATCGTTAGTGAATTTAGTCGATGTGACTTCGACCTCGCCTCGGTCGCTAGTGCTGACCAGAGCGCTTTTTTATAATTAATCCGATGAGCATCCGGATCTGTCGGAATTGTTTTATTGGTGAGGCTGGTGCACTATATTTATCACTACGCTCGTTCCGGTATGGTGTGTTAGAAGTAAATCCCCACTATGTAAGTAGAATTAGGATCGGGACACCTGAGACTTTCAGGGTCTTTTTCTTGGCTTGGCTTTATCGAAATTTATATCGAGTAATCAGTAAATATTACATGATATAGTCCATAGTTGATCAGCGTTGATCAACCATGTTGTCAACGCTTACATCGAGCCTCGTCTGTGACAAGTTTTTTGTTATACTCGACGCAAATAACCGCCATCTTCGAACTTCTTTGAGGTTTGTGAGAGGGCTTCTTTCCTTAGAATGCTTGGCGCCTAGGGTTTCATTTATTCTGATTTTCCTGGGCTTGGCAGTAGCTGCGCAGTGCCGGAGCCTGGGAGTCAATCTAATTAATAATCGACATATAAAACGTGGGCAGATAGGAAAGTTCCGCAAAAGCCGATGGTAGCACTTGGTGAGGAATATACCACCAGCGTTGGATCACCAGATCCAGTGAAAAAAATGAAAAAGTCTGTGTAGATAGCTTTTGTTTGCTTCCTTTTCGACTTCCTCTTTTGGTGTTACTACTCTGTCAAGATCCGCAGTTTGTTGATTTACGAAGAACCAATAGGTGATAAGGAACCATTAATTCAGAACACTGCGAGGAGGATAAATGCGAGCTAGCTAGCCTTCCATGTTTCCTCCGCTTCAACTAGTGTGGGGGTATTCATGCCCTTCTGACTAGGAATATCTAACTGTTGAATGCGTTTGCTACGGTCTTCCGAATTTACTCCTTAATGACTATCTCAAGCCTTCCACCGAACTTGGTGATGCTGAAACTTGTTACTCTGTATTGCTGAATCATTCAAATTTGGGTGTGCGTTCAACAATCATTCGCGCGGCCTTTTCAAAATCAGCCTCCACAACCAGATTTTCTAGTCCCGATTGTTTGATCTAGACATATCAAGTCATTTTAATCCAATACTAGACCATCACAACCAGTCAACTCACCAGTTTCAACCCCTTTTCAGAATTAGTGCCTTGCAATCTAACGACAACAGGTACCTTGAATCCCCCAATCTCTTTAGCAGCAGCAACAATCGACTCGGCGATCATATCGCAACGCACAATGCCTGTTCACATCAGTATGGATCCTCATGAGTCCAACTCTCTCGAACCCCGATATTAACCCACCGCCATAAATATTAATCAAAACTCCCTTCACCCGCTCATCGCCTCCTAAAATCTCAAAAGCCTTCTTCAGTCCTTCTTTAGTAGCACCGCCCCCAACATCCAAAAAGTTGGCACATCGTCCACCAACAAGCGTGATCAAATCATTAGTCGCCATCGCCAGCCCAGCCCCATTAACAATATTTCCAATATTTCCTTCAAGTCGAACATACGACAGCCCTAGCTCCTCAGCTCTCTTCACATCTTCCTCCTGTTTAGTCCCCTCCTCAACCCCCTGCTCAAAGATATCAGCCTGTCTAAACCGCGCCGAATTATCAAACTCGAACTTCGCATCAAGACATACAAACCCCTCGCCCGTCCTAACAAGCGGATTCAACTCAAGGAGCGTAGCGTCCTTCTCCTTGAACAAGCGGACCATATCGCACAACATCGCTTTGATATCCTCCATCTCGGAATCGGAGAATCCAAGCTCTGCCTGTATATAAGCGTCAATCTCGGGCGTGATACCCGTTTCCAGATGGAAAAACAGTTTGTGTAGATTATCGCTGGATTCGATGTTTACGCCGCCTGTGTCCGAGATTAGAAGAATGGGTGAATTACGCTGACGGTCAAATGTTATTGCGATATAGTATTCGTGCGAGATGGTTACCGCTTTGTAGATGTAGAGCTTGTGGACTGGCAGGCCGGCAGGTGGGGTTTGTAGAGTTGTTAGGTTGTGGTTGAGCATGTTGAGGGCTGCTTGGTAGGCTTCGCGGGGTCTGATATGATTAGAATTGTTAGATGGAGATGGAGGGTTGGGACGAACGAGTTCACGATGCGCACGCCGCCTTTTTGGTCACTGTCAAAGGTTCCTTTGCCGCGACCGCCGGCTAGGATTTGTGCTTTTATTACGGACGGTGCATCTGTTCGTTGGTTTTGGTTTGAGCTGGTGGGTTTGAGTAGAGCTTACTGATGTTGAAGACGACATCTTCGGCTTCCTCGGGAGTTGTGACTAGATATCCTTTCGGGACTGGGAGGTTGAACTAAAGGATGTTAGTTGGATGCGAGGGACAAGGGCTTTGTCTTACGTCTTTCAGGAGTTGGTGCGAATGGTGTTCAAGTAGGCTCAGTCGTCGGACTTGTATTTTGAGGGAGCCATGTTTCTAATAGCCGTTAGTATAGACTAGTCTGAAGGATCTATATAGCACACCTGGAAGGTGCGGGCTAGGGAACGCCAGGTAATCATGATGAGGCGAAAAGTTTTATGCTTGATCTATCAATCAAGGGACGTGGGTCATATTTATGAACATTGAACTTCTTTGGATCATGACATCAACATATATCAATTCGTGGGGTTAAGGTTCGGAAAGTTTAATGTGACACGAGCATTGTTTGAATTACTCGATGCGATTAGTTCGAGAACACTGATTGCGGGATATGTAGTGCCTTATAAATCCATCTTATCCTCGATCTCCAAATCAATATCCATAACCACAGCTACCAGTGACCTATCTTACCTTGAGGTGACCCCAATCAGGATACCATCTGACCAAATCCACGAAATAAACTACGCGCTAACCCAAATCCATGGATACGGCCGCACTAACGGGGAATAGCTCTAGCTCTAGCCTTACACAATCCAACCAATCAAATCCAACATCGAATCCAATGCAATGAAAAAAGATAATATATCTCCCCATGTTCTTTTAACCAAGTCATCTCATCGAATTAGTATATCCTAATAGTTGGCCGGATAATTCCCCTGCCACTTAATGGAATCCACCTCATCATCCTCAATGACAAGAATCATCCAAACACCAATCTGCCCATTAGTCGCCAGCAACGGCGTACAATGGATCCACCGATTCCGTCCCTGGTCACTACCAACCTTCGTGACCCACTTGACACGAGCAGTGACACTGCGACCAGCTATCATGGCATTAAGGATGCCACCGCGCTTCGAGCCCGCGTCGCCAATGCGATTCAAGAAGGAGGATTGTAGCATTCCTGGGATCTGGAGGGATGGGGATGTAAAGAGAATTCGGAGGGATGGGTAGGGGCGGACGAGGAGGTACTAGATTTTGCGTCAGACTTGTATAAAAAGAGTGGCGTGGCGAAACGTACATTTCTATAAACACCTGTCAGAGACAGACCCGCAGTAGGCTCTGGTACCGACGCGGTCCGACTCGATGCCGCAGGGTGTTCACTCTCGGTATCTGAACTATCTGAATCCTGGAGGAATAGGCGATGATGCGGGTCTTCATTGACAATCGGCTGGAAGAGGTTTCCGCCGTGTTCACGGACGTTTTGTAATTCGCGCGGACTGAATAATTCACCTAGTTCCTGGAACTCGGATTTCGATTCTTTGGTTATTACGCCGCCTGTTTCGGGATTTTCTTTTTGGACTTGGATGTTTTGGAGAGATTCCATTTGTGCGCCTTCCATTGCGAGGCCGGAGACGTCGATTTGCGCGCCGATGAAGTAGCGGATGTTCCCGCGGCTGTCGCATAAGGGTGCCATTTGCAGGAGGTTCATGAATGGAGAGCCGTCGCGGCGACTGACGGTGTTAGATGCTGCCTCGTCGGTTTTCAATGGGGATAGACTTACTAGTTGAGGAAGAGCTCGGAGTGGTGGCGGCCTGCTTTGAGAGCTTCGCGGATCCGTCGTACACTGTTAGGGTTTGTCTTTGGGCCCTGAAGGAAGCGACAATTGCGACCGAGAACGTAGTCCATGCCGTATTGTGTTGTGCGGTGGAATTCTGGCAGTGTTAGCGCTTATTCAGATCAATACATGGTCCAAAACTTACCTCCAGAAGCAAAAATGATAGGATTATCAGGTCGTGATGGATCCGTCAAACAAAACACTTCAGCTAGCGCATCGGCTGTTCCCTGGAACTTATCGGGTAGAGTCCCACGCACGCGCTCCTCAACAACCTTGCCAGTAATATTAATACAAGTTGAGGTTATATATGCCGGCAATTCCTCTGCGGTTAACGCATCCAGCGCGGCTTGGACACGTTTTTCCAACGCCATATTGACAGTTGGTCCAACGGGTGCCTCGGCAGTCTCGATTCCAGCAGTCGGCACATCAACGGCCAATCGCACCAGCGCATTCGCATATTCGATCGCCTTTAGCGCTTTCGAGGCATTCAGATAATATGTCAGTGTCGAGAACGAGCCTGGGCGCTCTTGGGCAAGGAACTCGCGGAATCGCGCCAGATATCGCGGGTTATTCAAGATTGCCAGCATGTGCTCTGCGCTAAACATCAAATCTGCCTGGCGCTCGAGTGAGTGTAGAGGCGCAGCATCGCCTTCGTACGGCGCGACCAGGTCGAAGGACGCTTCTTCATTTTCTTCGATGATTGGGTGGAATTGCTCATTACCTTCGTTTGGATTTTTCTGTTGCAGGACTGGCAGTTCGTTGGCAATGAAATTCCGTCGGAGAGATTTGTTAGAAGCGGATGAGTGGAGCCCGGTGGGCGATGCTGGTGAACTGCAACTGTGATTAGCGCGGACGTGTGGGAATGCGGGTTTCAATTTCCTTACGAGTAATAACCACCTGGCGTCCCGCCTATGGAGTGGTGGCCTAGAGACTGAGTTCCAATCGATTGTTGGTCGATGGACAAGTTGCTGAGCGACCGTTGGTCAAAGTTGTTGCTTGAGATCGAGAGGCGATTTTCACTGCGCGAAGGTGCATGTAGTCGGCCGATCGATTGGTGGCCTAAGTCTAGGGTGTCTGTTGATTCCGCGACAGATTCCTGGTCTATAGAGGGCTGACGAGAAGGTTGATCACCGTTTGGATATCCGTAGCCGTTGTGTTCCTTTGGGTAGATATTATTGAGGGCGCTATGAGGTCGCGATTGCGGCCGTGAGCTACTCGATCGTTGTCGCGATCCCATCGGTGGTCTCCCGATCGAGGGCTGACCAAAGGCTTGTGGTTCATAAGCTTGTGCAGCTGGTGAATCCGACCTTAGAGAGTTTTGCGCGGAACCTTTCAAGGCCGGGCCATTGATGTCATCCATTGGTATGGTGTGAATCTTGTGAGGACGATGGTCGGGGATTGTTGGAGGTTCCATTGCGACAGCTCCAGTATATAAATATAGTAATAGTCAAGCGAGAACCAGAGATCACCAGCTAGTTGGGCTCGGGCCTCCTTTTAATAGCATGAGATCACATCGATCGAAGTCTTCAAAGAATCCAGGCCACCTGAGGCTATTGGATCTTTTTATTTTTTTTTTTTTTTTTTTTCTCAAGAGCCAGTCCATGGTCACTGCCGAGACGTGAGTGAACGAACCGTAGATTCAAGTTAAAGCTGCCTTTCTCATCCAGTAGCTAAACTTCGATCGGCATTACAAGTTGCGAACTACTTTGCGATCGATCGGTCGATCGCCAGGTCCCGCGATGGTGGTTGCGGGAGATCAGGAACGGGGAATCGACGATGATGTAACGAACCCACACGGGATTCGAATCGATGGAGAAATTGAGATTTTGGATTCGATTACTCCGTACAGTAGAATTGATCTGCGTTCACTAGCCTCTAGTAAGTAATACTAAAATAATATTCAATATTGTAGTTTATCTTCCGAGGTTAGACTTTCTTTTTGAGTTGACATGGGTTCAGTTTCCCAAAGTCGCCAGTTTACACTTCAATTCACCAATCACCAATGGATGGTTCTTGATCTCCGAGAAGTCTCCTTGAAATGATATTAAATGATATCACAAATCAAGGCAGAGTATTTTTTTTTCTCTCAATTGTGTGTTGTGTCAATCTCCAACGATTTATTCCTTCGATGCCGGAATGGCCTATGTGGTGCGTAACGCGCTGTGCTATATATGCTATGCAAACAAAACTGCCGCAGTGAACTGGAGAACGCGAACCAAGGTCTCAAATTAGAGCCAAGACATGGGCATATAGTGCTTCACCCCTGAACCTTAAGCCGAAAGACCAGCAACAAGCTTATCACCAAGACTCTTGATACTCGCCTCGAAAGCATCACGATTCCCAGCCTTCCAATCCGCATTTTTACCAGGCGTTGTATTCTTTCCAGTGAAACCAATGTACAACACATCCTCCTCGCCGTGACCATTGTTACCATTGATACCATCATTAGGGAAACACATCTGAGCCAACGAAATCGAGGCTTCACCGGTTGAATCTGCACCATTGGTATCACCCCAGATTCCATACAACTAAAGAAGAACCAAAATAAGCTTCATCCATCGCTCACCCCGTTTGAAACAAAACTGGCACTCACCACCTGGTTGTTACAAACAACAGCCATCACACTCAACGGCTCCATGCCGTACTGTTGCGGATCGAACTTGGTATTTCCGAACACGACATAGGGATGAATATTCGCGTCCAGATCTTTGATACCATATTGGCTCAACTGATCCTTGAATGCGGTTTCGCCCTGCCCAGTCTCATCGGTACCGCAGTCCCCGCCTTTATCATTCAGTCCATCGCAGTCGACGTCCATGTTGTCGTATTGACCGCCGTTTGCTGAGCTGTGAAGGTAGATGGCGTTAGAGATGTCGCCACAGTAGGCGAAGGTGTGGGCGCCGCTGATGCCATCACTGAAGCCGCTTGCGAGTTTGTTGTTGCATTTTCCGGACTAGGTTGTTAGTCTTTTGCAGAGGATCCCAAGATCGGTGTAGGTTTTACCTTGTGCTTGTTATAGATTTGCTTTAGGTTGTCGGGGATCTCATAGGCCGAGGCGAGGCCAAGGGAGAGGAGGGTTGCTGCGACGAGGTGCATGGTAGATGTTGCTTTGTTGCTCTGTTGCTTTCATTTTCGAAGGATTCCGAGGTCATTTATATACTGCCTCGCACTCACTTGCCTAATCAGGGGATTGGTATATTTACTATATTTAAAACCGACAATGTAACGGCAACGAACATCGTGCATTAATTACCCCAATATTAATGTGGGGCGCCAATCATTACACTTGAAAAGACCATATCACGTTTTGGGTAAGTGAATCTGCTAAAAGGAGCTTGTTATGCAGAGACCCTGTTGGGGGCGATGCTTAGCTGTATCCTATAAGAATGCAACGTGGGATTGATGTCAGGGGTCAAGATTAATGTTTGTTTCATATTTTGGACCCTGGTTTCAGCCTTGACTGTGGGGGCGGGATATCATTAAACAAGGGACAAAGCACTGTGCACATCGTGAACATCGAATTGTTTTGGTCACCTGACAATGTTTGCTTTTTTGATCTTCCTATTCTCGTCTTCTCTCCTTTTTACTCAACCCACTTTCCTGAAGCAATCCTGTAAGGCCATCTGCGACCAAAGTCATCTCCATGGAAATCTTCTTTAATCATCAAGAAATTTATACTTCCTCAACTTTTCTCTCTCTCGGATTTCGAGGAGGATTCGCAGGGGGATATTCAGTCGGCCAGCGATTACTTTGAAGACGAGTTGCAGTTATCGAGAGAATTTGTCTTGATTTCACTCAATACAAATGGAAAGACCTTTGAGATGTGTAAACTGGTACAGTTCGCAACAAGAACGTGGCTGAACGATCTTGGAGATCTATAATGTTGGAGAGGAAACATTCTCATGATCTTAAGCGCTGAATTTCCAGTTGAAAGATGTGCCAATTAACGCCCTTAGTCGAAGGCGGCGTTGTTTGGCTGTGGTTCAATTAATTGCAATGCTGCAGAATCTGTGCTGAACACGAAAACATGGCCAATGGTCTGAACAATGGGTCTGAAAATGGCAGAAAAGGCGGTGGTCACACTGAAGGATATTTGACCCAAGTCCAATGAATCTTTAACCTTTGAGTCAAGTAAACATAATCCAGTTCTTAGGTATGAGCAATATGCTATTATATCTCACGGGCATTATTGATCCAGGAATTTCCGGCCCAAAGTTGAATGGCCACTTTTCAGTGGCTTGTTATCCATTTACTCTGATTGGGCCTCATGTTACTTGTCACTAGTTCTATGTATATATGTATGTATCCACAAACGAAGACATTGCCTCACAGTCACAGCATATCCCTATGACCGCCTTTCTATGCTATGTACCTCTCGCATGAGCAACTCACGTGCCCATCCCATGTGCATGTCAACAGCCTCGACTTTGTCCAACCATCAGTTCAGTTTCAGACAGTCCACTCACCAGCCGGGCATTCTGCATCTGCACCTCAAATATCCCGCATCACGCATGACCTTTTTCTATCCACATCCCCCAACCAATCGAATCGCACAAGATGGATTCATCAGATTCAAATATACCGGAAGATATCGCGTACCACCAGCGATGGGATTTCATGTGTACCTCTGCCCGTTTTCTCTCACTCCATGTCAGGAAGACAGAAACTAACCACACCAGGCCCAAAACTCACCCACGCGCAATGGGAGATCTGCGAGTCGTACGGTGGATGGACCCAGTTCCTCGATCACTATGGTCTCAAGCGGCCCTGGGAGCGCGTGCAGTGGGTCGAGGGGGTTAAGATTCTTGACATCATCGCGCGCCGAATCGATGCAGCTTGCCCGGAGTCCCCTCTCTGAATATCCCGGTCGTATCTCCTGGTCGTATCTCCGATTGAATTTTGCCGATTTCGTTGAGCGTCTGTGGGCATCATTGGCGTTGTCTTCAGGCTGTCTGGGCTTGTCAACCCTTCATCCGTTGCGAAAGCATTAATCCATTTGAGTTCACACCATATTTCCTTTTAGTCGTTGTTATATGTATGAGCTGACAGTGTCTTTATCCCCCATAGATAAAACCTGGGCGGATTAATATATCCATGGTAAGATCTATATAGAAAGGATGTGAGGTTGGTCTTATAATAATTCATATATATGGTGGACTCGCCAAACGGACATGCACAGTAATAATCTCCATACTTTCTCCGCAATACATTCAGGCCCTTGTAATACCGTCTCATGGCTTGCGTATTATCGTTATCGTGTTTCAATCCACCCGCAGCCAAGTAACACCAAATCCCATGAAGCTTTTACCTCGCCAAGCATCCTCGCAGCCCAGATACAACTTTCTCATGCCACCCCATGCAGTATTGCGCCGGTGAAGTGCACGATCGCCGGAGCGGGGGTCCTAGCGTTGGGACATTCCGCATTCTGATACGCCGCCGCGCCCACAACCCCCGTTTATCTAGCCTGTGAACACAGCAATGTGTCCAGGATGTCCGGATAAGAAATTGCAAATGATTGACAGATAGCTTGATCTTATTTAAATGTGCTTTGGGGTGCGTTTCGCTCCCCTCTTTTATTTACCCTTTGGATATTGTCTTGCATCATGAGTGATATCACAGCTATTTTGGCGTCGGGTTCTCAGCTCAATACCACGGTTATCAAAGTGCAGAATGAAGACGAGCTGCGGTTGGCTCAGATGGGTTGGTATTTTTGGTCGCTTGTTTGGAATCAAGGTTGACGGTGAACAAGGGCATAAACAGGAATTGAAACGGCATTTTTCTATTTGGAGTTTGATCGGACTCGCTGCCAATTGCACTAATTCGTGGACTGGTCAGTGAATCGTGCGATTGTTGAGAAGGGTCTAACATGTAATATGATTAGGTCTTGGGCTAGGGTTAATAACTGCAATCAATGCAGGTGGACCCGGCGCATGTCAGTGATTGAGGACTTCCTCGTCGACGATGTGATCTTCAACTGACTGTTGCGGATATCCAGTGATATATGGCTTCATTCTCGTTTTTATCCTTCAGTCATTCGTCGGCGCATCACTTGCCGAGTTTGTATCGGCATATCCCGTTGAAGGAGGTATGTACCATTGGATTGCAGCCATTGCGCCAAAGCGATATAACAGTTTGTTGAGCTTTACAACGGGGTGGTGCACTGTATTTGGATGTGGGTTGCGTAAAAACCCCCTTTACAAAGCATAAAGCTAACCTCGGTCAGGGATCCTCACGACTGCGTCAACCAATTTACTATATGCCACCACCGTAATGGCGTCGATTGCTCTTTATCATGATGAGTTGGTGGTGAAACCATGGATGGTATTTGTGGCATATCAGATCCTCAACATATGCAGTTCCGCGGTTGTCATGTTTGGTAATAGATTTATCCCCATGATCAACAAGTTCTCATGTTTGTTACCCTTGTTGTCCATTCTCTTATTTGACTAAATCGTGGGAATAGTGATTTTTCTGCAGTTGGCGTGGTTTATCATTACGGTCGTTGTTGCTGCTTCGGCACCTGCTCACAACGATAGCAAGTTTGTGTTTCGCACGTGGATTAACAAGACAGGCTGGGAAAACAACGTCATGTGTTTCATTACCGGCCTAGTGAATCCACTGTATTCCCTTGGAGGCCTAGATGGGATTTCGGTATGTTATTTTATGGTGAGACCTCGAAACCGGATGTAGTGCTAACAATTCGCAGCACATCACGGAAGAGATGCCCAATGTGAGTCAATTTAGAATTATATATGATCCATGTCTGACAGTTCTTGCAGCCTGGAGTGAACGCACCATTGGGACTAGGTATGTTGACTGCATCATGGTTCATGCATGCACCCTAGCTGACGGCATTGATAGCCATAACCCTATCAATTGCGTTTGTCAACGGGTTGTCATATCTCCTCAGTCTCATGTTCTCGGTCCAAGATTATGGGAGCCTAGGTGATACGAGCACTGGACTTCCGCTCGCCGAACTGTTCTGGCAGGCAACTTCCACCAGAGGAGGCGCGTTCGGCCTGGTATTCATGATTTGGATAGTGCTGGGACCATGCATGATTGGCACGCAATTGAGTGAGTGGTCCTTGCTGTATGTTGACGACTCCCTCTGATCTCAATAGGCACTGGGCGAGTCTTGTGGGCTTTTGCGCGCGATGAAGGTCTTCCATTCTCGAAGATATTGGCGCGAGTCAACCATCGCCTAGGATCACCGTTCAACGCCCAGCTGTGTGTTGCTGTTATTGTGGCACTTCTCGGGTGTATATATCTGGGCTCGAGCACGGCATTTAATGCAATGATGAGTTCTGCGGTGTATGTTCACCTGCCTTGACCTTGAACGGACCCAGTGGTTAGCAATGGCTCGGTGCTAATAAGTTCAGAACAATCAACAATTTTGCTTTCCTTGTGCCGATCCTGACCAACGTTCTTCTTCGGCGTCAGACGATGCATCGTGGTCCATTCTTCATGGGTCATACAATAGGCATGACCGTGAATATCGTCTCGGTTGCGTGGTTGATCTTTGCCATTGTTTTCTTCTCATTTCCATATCAAATGCCAGCAACGGGTATGTACTGCTGTTTTGTGCAGTCCCAAGATCCAGGCTAACATATTCAGCATCGAACATGAATTATACATGTGTGGTTGTCGGTTGTTTCCTGATAATTGAACTCACATGGTGGTTTATTGCAAGGAAAAGATATTCAGTGACAGTTCAAAGGGCTCGAGAAGAAAATGACAATTCAGTGATTTTTGATGGAAAGGTTGATGGCTCCTGATCCCACAACTTCAAAACACTCACCTTTTTTCAGTTCTCTCATTTCAAATCAATACTCTCTTGGCTTTTTTCATCTCTACTCTCACTTTTTTTCTTGCATCCTCTTCTTCAAACTCTTTATTAAAGAAATCTTCTGGCCATTACCTCGCTCCAATCACTCATGGTGTTGGCTTCCCTTCCAAGTATGGATCCTCCTCCAGTTCCCTCAGGGCCCACCCAAGCAGACCGGCTCCCCGAGTTTCGTCATATCATAATTCCACCTATTAAACGGCTCTCTAACGCCAACGACATCTATCACTGGGGAAGTTGTATCCAAATCTCGCTCTGTGCTCGCAACCTGAGCGACCTCACATCGAGCACCGTCCCACGTCCCGATGAAAACCATCCCATGTACAACAACTGGGCAAAGTGGTCACGTTTCGTCTGCAAGTGGCTGGTCCAGAATGTCGATGAGAACTTTACTTCCTACTACAAAAAGGATCAGACGCGTCTCGAATTCACCGACACAACTTACCAGGTAATTCAGAGCCTCGACATGAACCAAAAGAAGAGCTCCGAGGTGAGCAGCATAACCACGGAGCTGCTCAAGCTGTGGAATATGCGCCGGTGCCAGTTTCGGGGGGTTGACCAATACGTCGATGCCTGGCGTGACCAGGTAATCATTTGTCAGCGCTTGACAGTTGGGTTCAGCTATCTTTCCGCCACTAAGATCATGCTGCATGAGGTGGAATGGGACCTTCCTGTACTGGCTACCTTCATTGATTTGCAGCTCCAGGAATATGACAATGTGGACCAAATGAGTTACAATCAGTTCAACAGCATTGTCCGGGGGATTATTGGGGCGGTACAAAAGGACAATTGGAGACCCTTGTAAGGGGCTTCACTGTGAGTTGTTTCTCTTTCTATTACTCATGCTATTTCTTTTCCCCATCGCTCTTCCAACCTTGGAATGCGCCCTTACTGACTACTTATCTCGGGTTCAGGGGATGTATGTCGACATGAAGCGCAAACGCAGTGGAATGACTGATGGAGAGAATAGGGGCTTTGGCCATAGAATTTCATGCTTCTATGTGAATCTGACAATGAAAGCGAAATGTCAATCCTCCGTTCCTCCGACATTTGATCATCACAATCTCACCTCGCATCCCTCACTCTCTCCGGCGCTGTCCATTGGAGATAAATGGTATCAAGACTTGAAGGTATCAGTAAAGGAAATATCACCTAGGCAGCTATGTGAGAAAGAGAACGAAAGAGAAAACTTACAACCGACCCTTCTTCATCGCAACTTTCTCCATCCGTCCCTTCTCCACGAACTTCAGCGAAAGAAGCATATCCTTAAGCCTGTTCCCCTCATCAGGGTCTTTCGGATCAACAGCAACAATAGCAATAATATTGTAAAGAGGCGATTGGTTCACAAGCCCCAGGGCACTACCAGCCCCAATCCTGGCAATGTCACCGACACGCTCCACACAGTTGTGCATGACTTTGCCAAACGCAACCAGTATCAAAACCTCTTCCAAAAATCTATGCCCAACGTCAGTTTTCATATAGCTTTGACATATATATATCGACAACTGGACAGTAGACGCATAAGACAACAAATGGCCTCCAAACGGGGATAGGTAGCAATAGCCAAGGATCAGGTTTGATCCGTCTATCCATTTATCTAGATCGGTGACGAGAACAAAGAATGGTAGACCTCTTGCGTTGAGATCCCTTAGTTTCTCTTCATAGTAGGACACTGGTAGTGGGGTGGTTTCCAATGTGCAGCAGCTATTCGCGATGTGGAAGTTGCCGATTTCGCACACTTGCTTGATATCGACTAGTGTGGCCCCGCGCCATCTAATATTCGTAGCCATTTTCTGTGATGAGGATGAGGATGACATGTGGAGAGAAATTCTGTGAAATTTAAGCCAAGTCCTCAAGTTCTGCAGTCCTGAAAGTCGTTAAGCCAATTCCCTGTTCAGGTTTAGCGTTATATGCACATACTAACCGTAAGTATATTAGTGTAAGTCCAAGTGTCAAGAGAAGTATAGAATCGAAATATAGAATATAGGGAATACAGAAAGATATCAAGTTCTTTAGTCTGACCAAACTACTGTATGTCATTAGCCTCGTTCTTCCATTCAATCAACTCTTTCTCTTCATGCTCTTCTTCAACTTCCTATCCCCCAACTCGCAACTTCCTCCAATCTTTTTTAATCATCATGGCGACCAACGCACCTCGCCACGAATGTAATGACAATAGAGACAACAAATGTGAGAAGAAAAGGTGTGCTCCCTTGAACTTGGCAACAGGACCCTGCCCCAACGCAATAGTAAACAATGCCACCGGCGTCGCAGCAGCCGCCTGTAACCAAGCCGACTGCATTATCTGCACAACCATCAACCTTTACTCACCCTACGTGTCTGGTACTCCCTTTCCATCTACTGGAAAATTATGGATCCGTCATATTGTGAGAATTATCCTTTGACCTACCTCCACATCAGCACTCGATGATGAGTGAAACTAATGCATATAGGACTCTGCCTTCGGTATGCTCACCGAACGCCAAGGCGAAGAGATGAAAGCGTGTATGGAGGCCGGTGACCGCATCCTCAACCTGACAAATCACTTTGTCTTGCAGCAGAAACATCTGATTGAGGAGATGGAGCGCATTAATCGCAGTTTGGATAAGACACTGGAAGGAAGGGCCTGCCTGGATGAGGACGACGATATTCTGCACGATTCAGATGCTGATAATATCATCATCGAAGCACTCACTCAGCTTCGCAGTCTGGCCATGGGGAATAGTACGCAGCCGTGAATCTGCCAAGAGTTGATGATTGTGCTGCCTTGAGATGGGGCTTTTATTTGCTGAACATGCTTGCGACCTTCTATACGAGTGTACATTGGAGTGAAGCATGTTCATTTCTTTTCTCGTCTTCCGATCGCAGTATCAGCCATTTCTGAATTGATGATATCCCTAATAGCGTTGTCCGTGTATTCAGTTTTTGTCCCATTTTCGTAGCATTGAAGGTAGCCAATGTGTAATTTACTGGCTCATTGTGGTTTCTAAAAATATGGAGGGAAGGGCGTTTTTCTTGTAGGCTTAGTTGAATACAGTCATCAGCCACATCAGACCACACTCGTGGCCAAAAAAGGGAAATTATCAGCTAGAAGACAGCATCCAGTCTTACGTGCATAGTGTCGCAAGGGTAAATCACCGAAACCTGTTATAGAATTTTGAAGTGGCCAGAGCCCTTCACGTTAATTTAACTATGACGGCATTTCCGTGACTTGATCTGCAATGTAGAGGTTAATATTTCATGTGACACCGGGAACATCCCATTGCTTTCTAAGGTTCATGTATACAACATATTGTAAGCACACCAAATAACAATACTCGAGCTTCCATAATTTCTTCTATTCTAAGCGTGAACTGGACCCTGGATCATGAGCTAGTGAGTAACTGTGGAGACGGGATCCGCGGGCAGCGGCCAGGCAGAAGTATATCATTTGTTACAGATCTCGCCCAAACGAATCATTTGCCCTATGAGGCGAGGACCCTGACGCCAAGCGCCTGGACAAGGCTTAGCTGTGACTTTGACCTTTTAGTCTTTTTCTTAGGCACCCACGTTCAAATGTGTCAAATTGCAAGGAAATAAATGAATTGATTCAACTTTATATTTTCGTTCTGCCGGAAATTACCTAGGATCCGTGGTTTAATAAGGCTTATTACTGAAAGGCACGAATGATCATTGGTCACGTCGTATACATACTTAAAAGGGTATAACGGTAGTACCGAAGTTTTATGGCTCTGCCTAATTATACCCTGTTGGAGGAATGGAAGCATTTGTGACGGGTACCAAATGCGTATGTATGTATGTATGTATGTACCAAGGGTTGGGAATATTTGATAACATATTGGAAAAGTACGGTCATCATTGCAGTACTTTCCCTTTATCCTTTCTTTTTGATTCTGACTTTACTTTCTTGACACCCGTGGACTATTATCGCTCGTTGAAATCGAGTTCGCCTATCATGGTCACTCCTGCTGAATCTCCCGAATCCTTAAATCCTCAAGCACAAAAGAAAAAGCGATCACGGCGCGCTCAGAAGGGAAACACATTGAATATAGTGGGAGTGAATCCCAAGAAGACCCTGTTTGTGGATGAGATTGGAGATATCTTGATTGACCAGCTATGTGCAACGACTTTGCACAGTGGCCAGCTCGAAGATAGCCAAAATGGCTCATGTGTCTCTGTCATGGACCACTTGCGAGGTTTCAAAGCAGCGCCCACCATCTCTTCATGTGCAAGTTCATCAAATTACAGCACCCGCACAAGAGTCGGATCAGTTTCCACCCCGACAACCAGTCTGGACAGCCACGAGCCCTTACAGTACGCATCCTCTCAAGCACCAACCGAGGTCGACCTCCCATGCCCAACATCCAACCCAAAAGAAATACCGTCATCCACGAAAGACACGGGAGACCAAGCAGAAGTCTTCGGCCTAGACGACTTCACCACAATGACCGCCATCGAACGCCTGGCTGCAAACTACGGCCGCGTAGCTCATATGGGCATCCTCGACCGGAGCTACCGCTTCTTCGTCAACAAATCCCGAACAGCAGCCCTCTCCTTTAAGATCCAAAACGGCATCGCCATAATCGGCGGCGACCCCCTCGCCCCAGAAGCCCTGATTCCCTCGCTCCTCTCAGAGTTCACAGCCTACCGCAAACGCTACCACTGGGGTATAGCATTCATGGGAGCAAGCGAGTCCTTCCTCAAATCCCAAGCCCACCCAAACAACTGGACAACAATCCGCTTCGGTACAGAAAGAGTCCTTAACCCCCAGACAAACGAAGTTCTCCTCGAAACAAGCGGGAAACGCATAACAACCCAGAACCGCCAGCTCCTCAACAAAGCAAAAGCCGCCATCACCCTGCACGTCTATGTCCCTGCTGTTCACGGCACAGACGTATCCCTCGAATCAGATCTCATATCGATATACGATTCCTGGCGCGCTCAAAGAAACGACTCCGCCTCACCACAAGCTTTCATAACCGTCTACGACCCCTTCGCGCTACCCTCGCTGATGACGTTCATATACACCCGTTCCGCAGAAGGAGTGGTGAATGGGTTCGCAGCCCTCCGTCGACTAGGCTCCGGCGGATACCATGTCGATCCCTGCATCGCAGCACCAGGCTCCAGCAAGGGAATCAGCGACTTGTTACTTGTAGCCGCAATGGCTTTGCTGAACCGTGCAGGCGTGTCATATCTGGGTTTCGGGTTCGAGCCTCTACATTCGCTATCCCGTGGTGATGTGGTCGGTATGCCTAGGCCTCTACGGGCTTTTACGCGTGATCTGTATTGCCGTGCGTTCTCGAGATTGCCCATTGGGGGCAAGAAGGCGTATCATGATAAGTTCCGGCCTGATCCGATGTTGGATCGTGGACTTTATCTTGTCTTTCCGAGTATTCCGGGTCCGAGGTTGCTGCTGGCTATGACGCACATGGCGAACATTAGTTTGAGGAAAATCGTTTGGGCGGATGTTAGGGGGTGGGTTGAGAGGGGGAGGGGGAGAAGGGCGGTGGAAAGGAGACTGAGAAGGAGAAAGTTGTCGGGGGTGAAGGGCATTCAGCTGTGGTTTCTGAGAATCGGGCATAAATTGACTGAGTGGCATTTCTTACTCGGAATATCTTGTCTTGTCGTTTTGGTGCTTTAGTGGTTTTGGACACTGTATCATATTAGGTGTTTTGCTATGGCTTGGGATTCTTGCATCTATGTTTCGTCCGTTTTGGCCTGTTTTATTAGACCTCATTCTCTTAATACATTTGTTTCGTACCGTGAGGACTTTTGTGTTAGAGACAGCGATTACCATCCCTTCACTTGGGGTCTAATATGCCCACGAGTATGCGGAGCTCAATATATCGACCTTGGCGTGGCTTGAGCTGCGGAGACCGGTATTCATAATGATCTTCCAGTTTGGTGAAAAAGCCAACGGTATGATTATGGTGTAGAGTACAATGCAAATGCCATTTCCAGAACGCCAAACCCATAAGCGCGAATCCATACGTTACATTAGCAAATACGGCCAAACAAAAAGTCTTTGACAATAGGTGAGCCCGAGAACTCCGGGTTTAAAAGTATACAGCTGGGCGGCGTCAGAAAGAGTTGATTAAGGATGGTGACAATTAACTCACTTGAGAAAATATTCCAGGCCCACGCGCCTTGACTCCAGGAACTTAGGTCGAAATTTGACTAAAAGGTGTAAGCCCGTGGCACAGTTATAGGAGCCAAAAGAGACATACAGAGCACACTCTTTGGCGGCAACGCAGGCATCGCACTCCTCGCATGCGGGAACGAAGCATCGAGCCTTTGGCGCAAGTCATCAAACTCAGAGTATCTAAAAAGCAATTAGCCAATATTCCCACCCCATCCAAAGGATCAACGAACCTCATTCGAACAACGATGGGACCACCCTAATATATCAATGTCCATTAGAACCAACCCAAGCTCACTCAGCCAATGATAAAGCACTCACATCCAGCGTTTGAATCCTACAATTCCAAACGACATACGACCCCACCCCCGTCATCCCACGAACAACAACATAATCATCAATCGATACGCTGCGCGCCCATAGTCCCCGACTAGTCTCCGAGTCTGGGTCCGCGGTATGATCTTCGAGTGTGATTCCCCGTAATGACGACTGCGAGGCGTGTGAACCGTTGCGGTCGTGGCAGTGCCAGTAAGGAGGGACTACGCCTGAGATTGGGCGGGAGTTTGCTGAGGAGGAGGAACTTCGGATATTTGGTTCGATAGGTTCGGTGGATTCTGGGTCCGAGGGCGGTGCGGGGGACGTGGAGTTGGGCTCGGGATCAGAGTCAGGGTGCGGCGTTGCCACTCCGGCCTCCTCAGGTTCTGGATCCATCCATTTAGTTTTGGAGGGGTTAAGGGTTTGTTCTGTGCTAATGGGAGTCAGCCCTTCGTGCTTCGTGCTTGGTGCTTGGTGCTTTGCATGTGGGTGTGTTGACAATCAGGGTGTAACTTTGGCCACCTGTGCGGGGTGGCAAGGCGAGGGCAGATAGGAAAGTAGGCTGCACGAGCCGAGGTGAGACATACCTAGTTCTTAGACATAAAGAGTGCATAGCAACTAACTATAGAAAGACTAAGGTCAATTGGAGACATGTCACGAGCGGAGTTGGCTTACTAATGTGGAATTCATGTAGGTGGATTTTTGGAACTTGTCCAGAGCTATACTTTTTCTACATCTTTACTTTTCACTGCATTCACTATATATACATTCAATGCATTGTACTTGATGTACTACTTACATGATTCAGTTCGGCCATTTTCAAATTCTCGTATAGATCTCTTCCATCTTCAATAAATTGACGATCTCACTTTTCCAAAGACCCTCTTCCAAAGCCAAGAACACTAACCCCAACATGGTAAGCGTCGCTGATCGGCGTTCTTCCGTTCACTTTCTTCTTCTTCAAACTGAGACATTTTCCTATCTCTACAGAGTATCAATACAGTGATGTCGTTGGTGTTACAATTTCAGTGGAGACTAGTCAGCAATCGAATGACAGGTGTCATGGCAAACGTTTTTCATTGATAAAATCTCATACAGTCCAAGTCCAGTCTCACTGATCTCCCCGGATCGACATATCTCAAGCTGCCCCTATAGCTACCCCTATAGCGGAACCTCAATCCTCGCTTCCAAGGCTGGGCACCCCTCGTCACTGAATTGAACAATTGAGACAGGTAGGATCATGAGCACCTATGTGCTAAGAACTTGGGAAAATAAAATAAAAAACCTTCTATGTACAAGTGGCACTAGTGTGTGCCACCATGCAAACCAACTAGTGCATTCTATACATAGGCATACATAGTCCGGTGATCATTGCTTTTTCCTTTATGAACTCACTTCTCCCTTGCTACTTTTTTTTCCCTTGTCTACACTCCCTCGATTGACTTCTTTCGCTATTGGTTTTGGATATCTCTCAACCTTTACATTTCCATTCCTCTTCTTGTTCTCGCAAGAGTCCAACAATTGAACCTCGGTAGGTTCAACACATTTATTTTCTTCTTCTACCCCTTCATTCCAGTCACTGGTCTCCTGGACTATTTTTGGGGTTTATAAAAGACCGTCTAGAATTCTCAACAAAAACTAACATTAAATTTTAGTCGCTTCGCATCCTCAACGTTGTGTCTAACCTCAATATCATGCTCTCCAAGACTCTATTCATTTTGGCCTCGGCCACACTAGCCACCTGCCAATTCGACCCAACATCGGTCCCTTACGCTACACGAGGTAAACTTAAACATCAAATCCCTACCAGATCCATCTTCCACATTCGAAACTAATAACCTTTAGAGGCATGGTGCAACTCCCAAACATCTGCCTGTCCCCTCCTCTGTCTCCAAATCCCAGGAGCATCTGGAACACCAACATCAAACACCTGCTCAGCCGTAAGCTCACCTCGCCCTGTCCAGTAGTATCCTCAATTAACAAAAGTTTAGGCAACACTCAACTACTATTGTCTATGCAGTAATGGCGCAACTCCTAACGCAACTGAATATTCCCAAACAATCCCCTACTACACATGCACGGAAGCCAATAACCAATGCGTGCTCAAATGCAATGGTGATTCAACATGTCAGGCGGCTTGCCGTACTGATAACCCCTGCGGAGCTCAGGACCCTAAGCGCGTCAATGTGACTACAACCTCGGCCTCGGCCTCTACTGCTACGGCTTCTCCAACGGAAACGCCGGTTAATACCGATTCTACCGGTGCGGCGTCGAGGATGAACCTTGATATGGGTCATGTTTATGGGCTTTGTGTTGTTGTTGGCGGGTTTGTTGCTGGGTTTGCTACTCTTTTGTAGTGAGCTTTTGGTTTGGCTTTGATGATCGTTAATGTCGATGTCGAGGTGAAAGTGACTGATTGCTTTGTTTGGGATAATGAAACTTGGCGTGGCATTTTTGATTTCTTTACACTAATATTGACCGGTTCAGTCTTTCTTTGCATTTTGGTTGCATTAGCATTGAGCGTTCACTTATTTATTTTCTTAGTTTGTGAGTTGTGGAGCAATTTATTCTTTACTACTTATTATTCGCTTCTCATCGACTTGCACGCAATTATATTGGCACTTTGCTAGCTTGGAGACTGCATATGCATAACGCTCGGTCCTACCGAAAGCATATGTTCAGTGCATTCTCATCGGCAGAGTCAGGAATGACTTCTCCCACCTCTATATCTTGGCCCGCACTTTCGTGCTATCCATCCGCTGTCCTTCGTCATCCTGCTCCGCAACTTCGAGCACCGGGAACTGATTTGGCATGATTCGGCGCGGGGTGGAACCTGGAATGACGGAATACTTGGAAAAATCAGAGACACCGCATTTCTCCCGAAGGAAGTCCTCGTCCGTATCCAGAAGTCCATTCACTACATGATGCGGGGTTTGAAGCATAGCCAAAATAGCATCCGAAAAGATTGTCTATAGCATGTTAGTAATTATCAACCAATAACGTATCCCAAATTATGCATACCGGTTTTCTCAAATCCTTCTTATAAGACTTGTCAGATGCCTTATTGTGCTCCGTAGCTGCAGACTCAATCGACTAGCGAACACCGTCAGCTCATTCTCCGTCAAGCATAAAACCACTTACCGATGCAGGCCAAATACTGGTCACCGCCATTTCATTTCGGCCCTGACGCACAAAATCCATGGCTAGGCCTTTGACCAAGACGCTCATTCCAACCTTGCCTACAAAAAAAAAATAAAACACATCACATCAGCTCATCAGTACCTCCCGGGGGCCACACTTGGCAGATCAAATTGCGAATTGCAAATTCAAGTAAAAATTAAACTCACCCATAGCATAAGCTGTCTTCCCCCTAAAGAATCGCGAATAAATCGGCGGCGAAACGACCACAATCCGTCCCTTCCAGCCATTCTTCTCGAAAACAGGCAACGCAGCTTGAACCGTTGCGTAAAGACCCTCGGGATTAACCTGCTGCATGAGTCTGAATCGCTTCAACGGTGTATTCTCAACAGAAGACCACCAGATTGCGCCGGAATTGTAGATCAGAGTATCCAGTTTACCAAATCGACGGACTGTCTCATCGACGGCATGCTGGATCTGTGCTGCATCCCGGACGTCGACGGCCACCGTGCTGGCTTCACCGCCTGCTTCACGAATCTCACGTTCTACGGTGTTGATTGTTGATAGGGTGGAATTTGGGTCTGGGGGGAAGGGGGTTAAGGTTGATGCGTCTGAGGTTGTTTTTGCTGCTAGCATTACTGGGCTTCGTTAGTTGAGACTCGGATCATGTATTCGTGGGTGTGATGTACCGATATAGTTGTTTTTAGCTAGGTCGATGGCGATTTGTCGGCCGATGCCTCGTGAGGCACCGACTATCAGGGCGACTTGCTTGGATGACATTCTGAGGCTTGAGGTGGTCTGGATATGTTCCAATGAGGTTGGATACCCCAGATTTAGCTTCTTATATATGTATTTTCGTTGGTACTGCCGAGCTGCTTTCAATTGAATGTTTATGCGATCATTGACAAGACAAAGATTATAATCAAGTTATTGTGGGCAGGTGTGTTCTATTTAGCCGATTGATGTTTAATTTCTTGATTACTCGACGTTCCGAGGCAGTGACTTTGGCCTCGGGAGCAATTCGGTATCTGATGACTAGCCACTTTCCAAGGTTGGGAATATCCAGATCAGTTAGTTCAAATCTCCAACATCTAAAATTGGGATTCAACTGATGAGATATCTTCCTTCCTTCTGTGATATTGAGTGTATAGAATGTAGTTTGAAACACGGGTTTCGTCAAATGCGGAGTCAAGGCGGTGTATCTGGCGGTTTCAATCTGCCGGATAATGAACATCACAATGATCATCTCCCACTTGCTCAGCTCTCAGTACGTCTCTCTTGTTCTAGCAAATCATATTCACTCTCTCCAGTCCTTCCAAAACTCTCCTCTGGGTCAGATTCAGCTTTCATCTCTGAAGAACGATAAATTACCAGCGCCGACCCCACCTCCCCATCTAAACAATCCGACAACATGGACACACTTCCAGATGCCTCTGGCCCATCCCAGGCTGATGTGGAGGCAGCTCACGTTGGTGTAACATCAGAAGCTGCCGCTGGTACCAAGCCCCAGGTCAAAGCCCCAGTGAGGGTCGAAGGTTTGTGGATCACAATTGCAGGGCTACCTGCGCATTGAATGCTCGCCCGGCCAACGCTGACAATGGTGGATTTCACAGAACTCCCAAAGTTCGATCTAGACACTTATATTTCAAACTACACTGGTGAGCTTTATCACTACCACCAAGACAGACTTTGCTCTAATGCGCTTAGGTCGAACCCGCTACGACCGTCTCTATCTCATTGGCACGTGCTCCCCATTGCTTGCACACGATGCCCTCAAGGCAGCCATCGCCGAAGCCAAGAACAGCGGAGACGTGTTCAGATATGAAAAAGCAGTCCGCGCTCTAGCGGAAGTGGCACCGAGTGACCCTGATGCTTCTTTCAATACCTTATGGGTCGAGAAAACTCGACGATCAGTGTTGGCTCAAACCGAGCGTTTGGAACATGAGCTGCGGGGATACAAGAACAACTTAATTAAAGAGAGCATTCGGGTAAGTGTTCGAGGTGACCACATTGAGTTGCATTCAACTGACGTCTGCAGATGGGAAACGAGGATCTAGGAAACCATTATTACCAGACTGGCGACCTGAACGCTGCCTCCAAAGCCTACTCTCGTATGCGAGATTACTGTACCACCCCAAACCATATCACATCTATGCTATTCAAGATGGTCAATGTTGGTGTGGAACGTGGAGACTGGCTGTCTGTCCAGTCAAATGTGCACCGTCTGCGCAACTCCTTATCAAAGCCAGAAGATGCAGCCAAAAATGAATCCAAAGTCTCAGCTGCCTGGGCTCTATCACAGATGCAGCAAGGAGCATATCTTGAAGCTGCAAATGCCTTCTTGGTCATCCCAGCAGACTTGGGTGACAAGTACAACGAAGTCATCACTGCCAACGATGTCGCTGTCTACGGTGGTCTCTGTGCCCTCGCATCCATGAACCGCGACGAGCTACAACGCAATGTACTAGAGAACCAGACGTTCCGCAACTTCCTCGAGCTAGAGCCACACATCCGCCGCGCCATCGCTTTCTTCTGCAACTTCAAATTCCGTTCATGCCTTGACATCCTGGATGCCTATCAACCCGACTACCTCCTCGATATCCACCTGCAGCGCTTTATTCCCCACCTCTATAAACGCATCCGCACTAAATCCATCGAGCAATACATGATCCCTTTCAGCCGTGTGACTCTCGACTCCATGGCGAAGATTTTCGCCCCGGAAGTAATCGGCGGCGAAGCACGACCCACCGATATATCCTCACCCTTTGTTCAAGAACTGATCGGGCTAATCCGGGATGGCGTGCTAGACGCGCGCGTAGACCTCGAGCAAGGACTGTTGGTCTCCAATCAAATCGACCTTCGCAGCGAGGTACAGCGAACCACGTTGGAAAGCCTGCAGGAATTCAACCAAGAGGCTCACTGGCGCATTCTGCGAGCTTCAGTCCTTCACGCAGGACTAGAAATAAAGCCTGAAAAGAGGGAGGGGCCCGGACCCAAAGGAACGAGATATCCTCGCGGTATGGGCATGCTCGATTGAGTCTTGCAGACAGGTCTGAAATCGCGCCATGAATTATGATCAAGATAATACCCCGATACTTCAGCTGCAGTAGTCTTAATGCAAATACTGTGCTGGCTTGGATTCAGTTTGATTTGAGTAAACCTCTCAAATCACACGTAGAAACGTCATTCCAAGTCTTACCGTCTATTCTTGAAACGCCTGATACATCGCATAACTTGATCGGGGAGCAGAACCAGCTTGTCCGACCCTCGACAGGATACCAATACCGCCGATCCAATCCGGTTGTTAGATCGATGCAGTGGAACACAATCAGCTAGCTGGTCAATATAAGTGTTTCATGTAATTGTCAGAGTATATTGACCAATCAGTTGATCGAATTGCTATACAATTCCACCAGAGTCCTTCAAATTCATCTGGGGTTCTTTATGGTACTATTTCTCTAGTTCAAAGCACTCGGGAACAGTTGAGATTATCAGGGGGTTATTTAGGGTTCGGTTACCTGCATGTAAAAATATCGCTTGTCGGTTTTATGCGGCCGATCAAAGGATCAAGATGGCGGCAATTATATTTTTTTGGTTTAATGTTAAGGAAGTCTCCGGGCTTGCTTTATCTCTTAGCGATGTTTGGAGTAGAATTTAGAAATGCTGAATTTATCATAAATATTCTTTGTAGGCATGCTTTCTCGTTCATGGCCTTGATTCTGTTCTTCTGCCGGACTAAACTCGGACATGTGGCCCTAAGCGCTATGCTCCTTCGTGCTCATAGACTAAGCCGTAAACTGGCAAATCACCGATATCCGGTCCTACCCAGTTATTGTTTAAACTGTCGCTATATCCCTTTATGCATATACCCCGGCACACCTTCAGTACATTTATTCTTGTGTTACACTATCTCATCTGCGATAAACTCATGAGATAAATTTTTCGTGGTCCCTTGATTCGATAAAGGTACTTAGTTAGTATACATATGTCTGTTTCATAAGTATATCTGAAGTAAGTGTAGATCATCCGAGCGATTTCCCCAAAAAGGCTACTGAGGTATACCTTTGTGCTCAACTCGAGGTGCCAATTGCTCTACACGGATATTCAACGCAACGCGACGCGACATGATCTGTCTTTGCCTTTGGTTCTACATTTAATCAAATTGATCTGCTTCCCATTCTTCATAAATCATCAACTCCGGATTTGGTCTCGTCGCTACCACGGACTTGAAGATACTATGACATCAAACATGGGAGCCGAGGTTTTGCCTGCGCCGGTATTGGCACCATGCGTTCCTGCTAAACGTTCATTTGACGAGTCTGAAATACAGTCAACTTCCACGGTGAATATCGGATCATCTCTAGGGACCCCAAAAGTCATCCACAACCGCAATGTCCCAGAACTACCTCGATTACAGCCTCTGGGTGAACTCGACGCCAACCTCTACTCTTTCGGCGGTCCTGTTCATGCTTTCCTGAACTCGTCTGAGTTGAGCCCTATTCAAGAAGAAAAAGAAGAAAGAACCGAGGAGGGTCAACACATTGCGAGAACTCAACCAACTACGGGAGAGCCTCAAAGTCAAGATATGGAACCAATCGACCTTTCCATCTTCTTGGTAAATGACTCGTACCCTCCTCTCCCAGACCCTCCGGGTGCGATATCTTCAGTTTCATCCACTACTCTCAGTGCCAACGACATCAATACGCGTGCGCCTCTATCTGTGGGGTTTCAACTTGAAGCCAACCCCCCACAAGTGGCACAAGCTCGGCCTTCTCAACCTACTGCCCCGGCTCACGATGATAGTCCCGAGGAAGAAACATCGGATGTGGTTTCATGGACTGAAAGTCCACACTCGGTATTTGAAGACCTGGGCGACACCACATCAAGCTACACAGCCTCATTACTATCTGACGTAAAAAACTTTACGTACGAAAATGGAAGACGGTACCATTCCTATCGGGAGGGAATGTACCTACTTCCAAACGACGAGCCAGAACAAGATCGACAAGATTTACTCCACCATGTCCGAAACCTCGTTCTTCACGGCCGACTGTTCCGAGCTCCACTGTCCGACAACATCCAACGAATCCTGGACATCGGCACCGGAACTGGGATCTGGGCCATCGACGCCGCGGATGCCTTCCCCAGCGCCGAGGTCATAGGGACTGATTTAAGTCCCATCCAGCCATCGTGGGTCCCACCAAACTGTCGATTTATCGTCGACGACGCCGAAGCCGATTGGTTGTACAGTCGATCTCAACCTTTCGACTACATTCATGCCCGCGATATGGGTGGTGCCATTGCCGATTGGTCGCGGTTACTGGCGCAAAGCTTTCAACACCTACGACCGGGTGGGTGGATTGAGTTGTGTGAATTTGAGGTGATGCTTAGGTCAGATGATGATTCCATTGCTATTGCGCCGACGTTGTGCGAGTTTCTCGGCCATTTGGTTCTGGCTAGCATGCAGTTCAAGCGGCCCATGAACATTGCGGAACATCATCGGCGGCACTTGATTGAGGCAGGTTTTGAAGATGTTCGAGATGAGGTTTACAAGGTAAGACCTTTGCCGCGGTTGTATCTTTATTGGCTGTTTCTTTGGGGCTACGCTGTGTTTGGTTATTTTCTCGTTGCTGATTTTATCATCATACAGGTCCCTTCAAATACTTGGCCCGATAATTCTCTCCAAAAAGAAATCGGCAAATACAACTTGTGCTCTCTTTTGCTAGCAGTGGAGTCATACTCGCTGGCTCTGTTCACTCGTGTGATGGGATGGTCGAATGAAGCAACCCAGGTATTCCTGGCAGGTGTTCGTGCTGATCTCAAGAACCCTAATGTTCGCACGTACTGCAATCTGCATGTTGTCTACGGTCGGAAGCCGTCTCACCAGTAGGCTGGTTGAATCTTCAACTGAACTATGATTTTTCCGAGGCTGTTCGGAGTATTCCCAAATCATGTATAGATTGATATTTGAGCCAAATGTAATGAGTTGGATATTCCAATATCAAATATGTTTGTACTACTGCCAAATCCTCCTCGGATTGCCCCTCAAACATCCAGCCCACTAAACCGGGTTCGACGACATTTCTTTGCCCTCGGGTCTCAGTTCAAAGCGCAATCCCCTATGAACCTCAATAGTCAACACAAGGAAGCAAACCCAACACTTTAGATATCCAAACATCCAAAAGTAATTATGTTAGGGCAGTGTATGGCCCTCTGGACATCCACAGCCTCAAATCTCACCTCCTGGCCCTCCGTCCACCCCTACACAGCTGCAGCATGCCTGGTAAGTTGCATCCGTACACCCCCATCCGCATACAACGCCACACAGCATATCTCACTAACAGCAAAAGCCCCTCGTCTACCTAACGTACAGCATTATCAAAGCATTCTACTCGCCCCTGTACGCATTCCCGGGTCCAATCCTCTGGTCCATCTCGCGCATTCCGTCCAACCTTTCTGTCCTTCGCGGCAAAAACCACACCGACATTCTAGCTCTACATGATCGCTACGGACCTGTCGTCCGTATCGGTCCTAATGAGCTCGCTTTCAATACCCCGCAGGCTTTCCGCGATATATACGGTGCCAGAGCGGGTGGTGGTTGCTTTCCCAAAGATAGAAGTCACTACGAGCCCCCAGCTAATGGAGTCGATCATTTGGTTTGCGCCGTCGATGATGCTAGCCATGGGCGGCAGAGACGGCTTCTTGCGCATGCTTTTTCTGAGAAGGCGCTGAGAGATCAGGAGGGTCTTATTCGCGGGTATGTTGATACACTGATTAAAAAGCTGAGGGCTGCTGTTCGTCATAGCTCAGTTGTTGATATCAAGGCATGGATGAACTTTACTACATTTGATATCACAGGTGATTTGATGTTTGGAGAGTCTTTTGATTGCTTGAAGGATAGCCAGTTGCATCCTTGGATTGGATTAATCTTTAACTCGATGAAGGCTATTGCTTTCATTGGCGTGGTTAATCAATTCCCGGCCTTGAAGGGACTTTTGGATTTGTTTCTTCCGCGGGAAGTCAAGCGTGTTGGAGAAGAGCATTTCGAGCTCAGCGCTCAGAAGGTCGATCGTCGTTTGGAGGCTAATATCTCCCGTCCAGACTTTATCTCTGCTATTTTGCAGAATGGGCTGAGTGAAGGCAAGGGTCAGTATCGTGACAGCGAACGCATAATGACCAGGGCTGAGATTCATTCGAACAGCTTCATGTGGGTTTTATTTCTTTTCCGCCATTGGAACCTTTCATATGTACCTCCCTGATGTCCAAGTCCTTAAAATTTTCACTAAACTTTCAAAGCCTTATTGTCGCCGGCAGCGAAACATCTGCAACCCTACTCTCTGGCTGCATCTACTACCTTTGCACGACACCACGTGTAATGGACCGACTAACCTCCGAGATTCGGTCAACCTTCGAACAAGACAGAGACATGACATTTCGCGCTCTAGAAGACCTCAGGTACCTAGAAGCCGTGATCGAAGAATCCCTACGCATGTATCCGCCCTTTGTAACGAGTCTAGCGCGCACCGTACCCGCAGGTGGAGCGCTCGTGAACGGCCAGTTCGTGCCTGGGGGTGTATGTAACCAGACTCGATACATTACGTCCATTGAGTCTCGATACTGATTTGTTTCAATTGATAGACAACAGTGGCTTGTCATCATTACGCTTCATACCACTCAGAATCGAACTTCACTTTTCCCGATCAATTCATTCCTGAGCGATGGCTAGGCGATGCGGGTTTTGAGAGAGATCAGAAAGATGTCTTGCAGCCGTTTAGTTTAGGACCGCGTGCTTGTCTTGGGAAGCAGTATGAATAAGTTTCGCCTATTGATTATATGTTGATTCGATGCTGATACATCTATATATTTAGTCTGGCAAATTGTGAGATCCGGCTTGTTCTCTGCAAATTGCTCTTCAATTTCGACCTCACTCTCCACTCCGAGAGTATCAATTGGCCTGATCAGAAGGTCTATTATCTCTGGGATAAGCCCCCGCTCATGGTCTCACTTAGGGATAGGTTTCAAGAAACCGAAGTTTCGAGTTCGAGGGAGCCGGTGACTTTGTTTTCCGAGTAGACTTGTACAGACTTGTTCTTTGGTGATTTAAAACTTTGATCTTCTTATTACTCGATGATATTTACGAGTTCTCTTTGGTTCTCGGGAGGACTATCAGTTGTTTTTGATTCCACTAGCGGTTTTTTGGACATTCGTTTGGTTCGGTCTCTTGGTTATGCGACGGTGGTTGATGTAGAGTTGGAGGTTAAATACTTTTCACGCGACGCACCTGCTTTTAAATAGTACCATAAATCGAAATCAATTACATCGGTTCTTGAGATTCTATTTCTGTTCAAGGCGGTTGGCTGCGTTTCATATGGATTGAATACTAATGGTATCATGATTGGCAGCTTCAATGCTGTTAAGTCGGAATTTTTGAAAGATCTGCTATATCAACTTTATGTCCCCAGCATGGCTCTTGAGCTCGGTGCTATAACTATATCATTGCTGTACAAATAACCTTTTCTATACATCACATGCCAAGGCACGATCTAGGCGGCATCGTAATGATAGCCCTAAGCCCTTGCGGCGATATTGCAGAGCACGCTATCATGACAGCTCAGCCATCACAAATATTAAATAATGATTCGAATAATCTACAGATCGACGCGCCCTTGCGTACAGAGTACCTGTATTATATATTGTCTTCTGATAATCAGAGATCGAAGACTAGTGTGAGGACCGTGCTGGGGTGGGTACACTCAGGAGCAGGTGGATTGAGACATCTGCGGGTGCTATTCAGGGGTGGAGACTAAGGATGGACACAATTGATTGAAAATCCGGGGGAGTCGACTTTATAGATCTATAAACAGTATATACGTTGTATATGGAAGGGACAAAAAGGTATATTCAATAACTGAAGATACAAGGTATAAAAGACGCTAGATCGTAGTCTGTCGTGGAGAAAGGTATCAAACATTAAAGAATAATAAATGAGCACAAATATGTGAGATGTATCCGTAGAAGCGTCAAACCCCGGAAATTAGTACCATGGCTTCAATCAGCCCAGGCAGGAAATGTCTATGCGAAAGCATAGGCCAGAGCCGCAAAGGCTCCACCGACAGTCCAGAAGCTAGCAGCGACCTGGCCAGCGGCGTTGAAGGCCGTCGAGGAAGCGGCAGGGGCACCGGAGCTGGAGATCACGGCTCCAGTGGTAGGAGCTGCCACCAGAGGGGTGGAGGTGATGAGGGGGTGGAGGAAGAAGCAGGGGCCGAAGTGGACTTCTTGGGGGAGGAGACTGCGCTGGAACTGGAGGTCGCAGTGGAGGTCGCAGCGGAGGTGGAAGTCGCGAAGACAGTGCTGGTGGGGGTAGCAGTTGGAGTCGGGGTGCTAGTGGAGCAGGGACCAGTGACGGTCACGGGCATCCAGTTCAGGTCGCCGGAGCGGAGAGTTCCCGAGGGAGTAGCAGTGCCGGCAGAGGCCTGGCAGTCGGCATAAGTGGTGCCGGCAATGTTGCAGGACAGAGTTCCAGTACTGGGGTAAGTTAGAAGATGTGTAAGAACCGTGCGCTGGGAAGTACTCACGTTCCCTGAAGGTTGATATTCTGCAGCTGCATGGAAGTCGGGGCAGCAATGGCAGTCATGCCCTCGCCGGCGATACCGCAGGATCCAGCAGAAACGGTCTGGGGGCAGGTAATCTTATAGGTAGTCGCGTCACCGTTCTGCGAGTTGTTAGTATGTTGCTGAAACACGTACTCCGTGAAGACGCGTGCACTGCGCTTTTAGTTTCGGTACTTACGGACTCGATAATACCAGCCTGCAGGTCATGGCCCTTGAACCCGGGCAAGAGGAGGGTGGCAGTGTTGCCGGCAGCAACGGCGGTAGCGCCAACCACTAGAGCGATAGAGTAGAAGTGCATGTTGAAGATTTGGTGGATAACCGGTGTTTATATCGACAAAATGATGATAATCAAGTTGGTCAAATCAGAAAAAATGAGAGTACACGGTACTTGAAGCCAAATAACTCAGAAACGAAGGACTGGAGTTTAACGAAAGACTGTCTCACGACGAAAAAAGAGTGTACGGACCGCTTGAGCCTGGAGAAAAGAAAGAAGAAGAAAGAAGTGTCAGAGCGAGACACCTGGGGTTTAAGCGCACAGCATGATCGTGCTTGGCATTAGCGTTGATTTCGTACAGGGCGCCAAGAGTTACAAGCGGCATATTCAGGAACAGGCCCCAGGGGTTCGAAGGGGTTGGTTCGTTTCAAAAAGGGGTATCCATCAGATTCATTTACTGTCGTTTATGGGGAAGATTAGGGGCACTTTAGCGGCACTTTAGCGGCACTTTAGTCCCTGTTAGCTCCATTTAGTGGAAGTCAATGACAGAGCGAGATTGATTCGGGTCTAGTGGCCGAACTGACCCCCTGGGTCATGGTCCGAATATGGAAGGTTGTTTGGTGCTCCTTATTAAGTCGGAGACTAGCGAGATGAGATCAACAGTGCAATATGGAAAATTCAGTTCGTTAGATCTCGGCTGCATTGAAGACTATAAATTGTCTAGTTATGGAGTTGGCACGGCGTACGAAGTACCAATATTTACTTGCATGTATGCAATCAGCCCTTTCTTATCTTTAATTTCCCCAGGTCAGCCACCAACATTAGCGTGTCTAAGCACGGTTCCGAATTCGCATGGTGTCGAGATCACAAAATTGCGCTACCATTGAATAATAGATTAATCCAGTGAACCATTGATTTTTCAAATTGATTAATTTCAATTTACCCACTTGTTCCAGCGAACGGGTAATCTATTTGCATGACCCGGTGGCTTTTTCAACATGATTCAGCAGTCGTTTCAATCAATGCTGAAGATAAGTATTATATCCACAACTGAGACATGATCCTGTCCCACCATGACAATCATGAAACCGTTACCGATTTCCGTTTATCCAGATTTGAAATGATTCATGCCCCCGCAAATGATGCCCGTGACAAGCAAGATACCATTGAACCCAGCCATGATGTAGAATGGTGTGCCCGATGACAACACATCGAATAACAGCCCACCCACCTTCGTCAATAGTAAGATTCCCGCACCACCGTACAGTGAATAAACACCGGCAATGGAGCCTTTCAAGTGGGACAGATGCTCCAGTCTCCGATTCACAGACCCGCCCAGAAGAGACTGGGCCTCGTCCGGTTCGTTCTCGTCCCCGTGAGCACGTCGCTCTTCGTATATTTTTCTTAATGTCTCGTCGTCAATGCTGACCCGCAGGATTCCGTTGCTCAACACAGCCAAGCTGCAAACAATTGCACCAATCTGGCTAATTCCCAGCAGAGCCATCACAACGAATATACCCGGGCCACCGTCGGGCTTTTCAAATTGTGGACTGGGAGAGAGTGCAAATATCATGTACCCAATGATTCCCACCAATGCAGCGAACAAAAGTGGGAAATTGTATCGTCGCGATTTGTCCGTCAGATAGCCAAATGCGGGTGCTGCTATCAATGCAACGAGTTGGGATACACCGGTCAGTATGGAGGCGACAATATATGCACGCGGACACGCTTTCTTGATATCACCCATTCCAGACCCGAACACGGGTTCATGCCCCTCGCTACAGAGGCCCGATTCCCGATAGTAGTGGTTCACGGCGAGTGGGATGAACAACGATATCCCCACCGACGAAGCGCGCGCCACGAAGCCACCGATGTAGCCCAGACCAATGCTACGGTTGTGGAAACCCAGCGTGAGGGCAGTGGTCAACTGCTTCCAGTATGGCAATACTGGACACTGGGCGAATGAATCATCATCCTCGTCATCTTCACATGTATCAGACTTCCACAACACACTCCAGCTTTTGCCTTTTTCCCCAGGCAGATCGCGGAGTCCAATAAAGCAGACAAAACTGATGATAAGAGATACAGCAGCGACCAAATAATAGCTGCGCTGGATTGCCTGTGCGGGAGACAATCCCATTTTTTCAAATCGTGCTGCCAGAGGCAAGAAAACGGTCACTGCTACCAGTGCACCACAACCAGCACACATGCCGACGAACCCGGAGAGTCGGGCAGATGGCGATGCGCTGGTACCGGCGGCAGCGTGGCCGGTCCTGGCTCGCTCCGGTGTGATGGTCAACTCCGATGAAACGGATGCGCGGTATGCTTGAGCATTGACCTTGCCAGTCACAGTTGGCAGAACAGCCGTGACCATGGTCGACACGGCCGAACCACCGATACTGAAAAGTAATCTTCCCAGTAGAAGTTGGGGGTAGATATTGGTGGCTTGTACAAAAAGGACTAGCGCCAGCGCTACGATGGCATAGCCTGCAGTACATACCTAATGACAGCATCAGTAATCAACCCAAAATGATACAAACACAAATGCCCAGGCAATTTTGGCAAATGACAGTGAGATTGCTTCGGCCAGTAGGATGCTTACATGGCGAACGCCGATTCGATCCGAGAGAACACCCCAAAGAGGGCACGCGGCCAGCGCGAGAAGTTCATCCGCGAAGCCTAGACTTCCCACAGCATTTCCTTCTCCCTCTTGGAGGCCGATTAGATTGGTTACCACGAAAGAGATGGATGAATTGATGAAAACTAGGAAGGCGATAGAGAAGGGGCAGACCGCTAAAAGGTAGGTTAGTGTCTGGCTGCGCGAGGCAGTAAACAATGCCGGTGATGCCATCACCGATTATTCATTGCTTTTGAAAATTTTGAAGGAGTACAATATCGTAATTGAATTCGAAATTGAAGGAGAACCTTGGAATCAGCTTCGGGTTACACGATTCAAGGCAGATCAAGGCGGGCAGAGTGGGACGTCACATGATGATCAGATAAACAAGAAGTACATATGTAGACAATGTGTATTTTGTAGACGTTTTCGATCTTGGGGCAATTCCTAGTGCTTAAAGGCTACTGTTCATTTTATTTTATTTTATTTTGACCTTCTCTGGAACACTTCATTTTTCTGAATGTGAAGTCTAGCGGCCGCACCCCGAGGCCCGCGGCCCAGTACGATTTCCGCTTACAAGATGTTCCCCGGGCTCCTCACCGTGCCAAGATGTTGTGATCAGCGGTGCTAGTTCGTTTTGAGACCTGCAGGGTTGGAATCTGAACACCGCGAAGCCGACTCCTCTGAGCGAAAGAGCCTGTCTAAACCACCAAAGGAAAGGTCTGGAAATAAAAAGAGCGCAAACTGCCTACTCATAAACAACATTCCGCAGTTATGTGCATCAAATTTGATGTGTTTAGTGCCGTTTAAAACAATTATTAACTAAATACCTCATAACACGGCCCCTTACGCTTCAAATATTTCGCCTGTTGACCTCCTTTGGATTGCCAGTTTAACGTAAGTTGAGATTATAAAACTCGATGATTTCATGATACGGTTCGGCGAGACTCTTTGGTACTGTAAATGCGACCAAGTAGAAGGCATGCATGGGGAAACTGTGCGCAGGGGATTTCCTATCAAACTCCGGGCTGATGTCGATTTTGTATGAGAGTGTGTTAAGCTTGGAGTACTGTAAGGCTGCTGATCGTCATGGTTTATAGACGCATTAATAGGCAGAGTCTAATGATATTGTGGAAGATATATATAGCAATAGAAGTGTCGGTTTCTCATTTCATGCAACTGATGTATTTAGTGGACTCGACTTAGTCCTTTGAGCTTCAGAAATGAGCTATGACTTCTTCACTTCGAGATGATATGTCCAAAAAATTATGCAGACAAGTATCTATATTAAAAGTGAAGCTGAGATCGAGTATAGATCTGACGGCACGTGCCGCTGACGTAAGATGCGGAGAGGCGTTGACGGGCTGTTCTGGAAAGCTGTCCAGATCAAGCTACTTACTTACTCCTGAGTAACCAGCATTCACTCATCCGCTCCACCAAATGCTACCTTGAGACGCTGGCCTCTCTCACTCTCCCTTTGGTCCTTGACCTTTGGCTTGTCCGACCCAGTCGATAGCCATGAGATTAGCCGCGTATGCTGGGGTAAGTAGTACCGCAGCCTATGAGGGGGGGAAGACAATCACTAACCTCGCTTTCAGGCCTCGGTGGTCCTGGCCACTGGTGTTTTTCTTAAGGCTCTTCATCAGAGGTCCAATTTCTACTCGGCATGCGTCTATCTCTCTCAAAGTAGTGCGAATCTTATGGTGAGTTGTCCTTAGCCGTCACACCTGATCATGCACTAACTCGACCTTATCTCTAGATTCTCACGAACCTATGTCTTCTCGTCACCGGTTTTCTTCTATTCTGGCTCCAGCGTCTTCTATATGGGCCTTTACGGCCAATCGAGACCGAACAACTATACGAACGCGCCTGGTTCGCCGTCACTGAGACTTGTTTAGCCATGACCATCTTCCGGGGAGAACTCGGAGGTTGGTTTTTGGTCATGTTTATCTCGCTGCTGGTCGGCAAAGTATGGGGCTGGATTGGCGAAGGTCGTGTCGAGTTTTTGGAGCAACAACCCCCGGCTAACCCGAAGTTGTTCCATATCCGTCTTGCGGCCTCCCTGATGCTGACAGTGTTTTTCGACACCTTCATGTTGCGATACTGCGTGCAAACTGTGATAACACAGGCGCGCCCGGATATGATGGTGATGTTTGGGTTTGAGTTCGCCATCTTGGCGATTTTGTCGACTTCCACCCTTTTACGATACGTCATCGCGTTGACCGAGATATCCATCACCCATCAGCAAGTGAAGGCACGAGTGGAGGAGCGTAGGGCCGAAATCCGCGTCGCGCGGGTTGCAGCCATTCAAGAGTCTGCCCGCGCAGGCGCCTCCACTCCTCCTGCTGATCTCCCTGATGAAAATGACGTGAATGAATTGGAGATTGACGTGCCAGGGTGGGAAGAGAAAGGTCGCTGGGTCTTTTACTTGGATCTTTTGACCGACTTGTTGAAGCTCATCATCTACTTGAGCTTCTTTGGCATTTTGCTTACTTTCTATGGACTGCCCATTCACATCCTGCGGGATGTTGTGGTGACGATCCGTTCATTTGCTCGTCGCATAATGGATTTCATGCGTTATCGAAATGCAACTAGAGACATGAACGAAAGGTACCCAGATGCTACGGCAGAGGAAGTTTCCCGAGAAGATGTTTGTATCATCTGCCGAGAGGAAATGACCCCAATTCAGCCAGCACAGCCCGCAGCTGGCGCTGCTGCTGACCCAGCTGCCCCACCAGTCGCTGGAGCTCAACGTGTTCCTGAGCGTCTGCGGCCAAAGAAGCTTCCGTGCGGTCACATTCTGCACTTTGCATGCCTTCGAAGCTGGCTCGAGAGACAACAGAATTGCCCGACCTGCCGACGTCCTGTCATCGCTTCCTCGCGAACTGCAGGAGCTGCCGGAGCTGCTGGTAATAACGCGCCTGGCCAACAAAACGGCGCCAACCAACCAGGTCAGCAAGGCGCAGATGGACAACCTCGCGCTCGAGTCTACCAGTTTGGACCGTTCCGAGTCGGCTTCGGGGCTGTCCGTGGGGACCTCTTCAATAATATCCACAGACAAAATCCTCAAGGCAATGTGCCGCAGCCTGTAGCAAATCCGCAAGCGAATGTACCTGCCGGGCAGATTGGGTTTGGATTTGGGTTTGGGCGCCAACCTCAAGCCCCCACCCCCAACCCCACTCCCCCACATGCCACGGCCCCAGGGCTGTCCACTGCTTCCGATATCAGCACTCAGTTGCTCCAGATTGAGCAAAGGCTGTCCCATGAAATCCAAACCCTGCGGCTCGCCACAGAACAATTGAATCATTTGCGTCAATTGCAGGCGGAACTGGATCGGTTGCGCCATACACCAATCCCTATTCATCAAGAAACCCCAATTGGTCAACCAGGTCCATTGCCTAATATTCAATCACCAACTCCAGGCCCAGGAGCCTCGGTCTACACAGCGCGTCACCAGTTTGGTGCAAACCCGAGCACTTCTATCTTGTCTTCCGGGGACTCGCGATTACCTGAAGGTCTCACTCTTCCTCCTGGTTGGACTCTGCTTCCTCTTCAGCGCGTAGATAATGGTGCCGGTGTGGCACAAACTATACAGCCTACCCCAACCACCACGGATACCACCTCTGCTGCGCCAGCTGCAAACAACGCTGCCTCTCCCCCGATCATCGCAGTCCCTGTCCCTCCCCAGGATCAAGCGGGCGGGAGCGCGGTCAATACGCAAGACGCCACCGAAACATCCACAAGCGATGCAACCTCCGGGTCAAACCTGCAGTCCACCCCAACCGCCCCCACGCCAGAGCACCGCGCAGACTCACTCTCCCAAGAATGGACAGATCTTGCCCCCAGAGGGCCATCCGAGGCTTTGCCCACATCCATCCCCACAAGCTGGGGCACCAATAGAGAAACCTCAAAGGAAGTACAAGCTTCGACAGATGAACGCTCCGAGGCCTCATCCAAGGGCAAAGGCCGAGCCGTCACGGTCGAAGAAACGGATGAAGAAGCGTCCTGATGGCGATGGATTTTTTTTCAACTTCAACTTCACGCTTGTACTTTTCGGGCCTGCTCAGCCCTTTTCTTCATCCAGCGTTGCATGGCGTTCGCGAGCCAAAGATCATACCCAGATTTTTCTTACGATTTTTGTACGGTTGAATTTCATGCACAATGATACCTAGCCAATCGGAAATGTGTACATGTAGTATTGTGTAAATGACACTTTGGTTGGATGTGTTGGTTGAGGTCGATGATTTTTCTCTATATTCCACTGGTTGATCTTTGTTGAATAGAGCCTAAGTTTTTAGTTCATGATCACATTTGCTTGTTCTCTACTTTCTTGTACACCGAGTACAAATCTTTCGTTTGAGTCTCAAGGAATGTATAAATGTATACAATCCGTACATGTATGTACAATGTAGTTCAAGGCTATGTAGGCCGCGTGGCTTCGGATCAGGGGGATCGTCATACTTCCAAGTTGATGCAGTACATATTATTTTCTGTGTAACAGAGCAATGTATGTGTTAGTTATACACTGGTTAATTATATGTGTTCTTTTGACATTGAAGTGCATTTATAAATATAAGCATACAATACCCGTGGACCTAACTGTATACGTTGTAGTCATAAATGCGCGGTCATGTTTCGTCATAGTAGTGCGCAGCCACACTCTAATCCACCCGTTGTTTCACGAGAAAAGCCTCCAAATGCGCCAATGAATACCCTGGTCCCTAAGATCTAATATAGAGATCGTCTGGTGGTACTTTTTCTTTTTTCTCGCCCCAATTGACCCTGATTACCCCTTGATTATCAGGGCAATGGTGATATCTTGAGCTATGTAAGGCATTCATTCCCCTCCTTGGCTGAGTTGCCTAGATCTCTCTGGTCCCAATCCCTGTCAATGTCAATTTTCAATGCTAGCATCAGCGTCGCAAAAACTCCCCGCTAATATATCTCGTGACACAGTTAACTATACCGATTGTGCTACCGTCCATGATTCTCCCACGGCGAGCAGTCCTCTTCCTTGGCGTCTGCTTTTTCCTCATCCTCCTCCTCACAGTCCGCAGCCTCTCCCGACCATGGAGTGACGTCCCCCAAGTAGTCGGCCTGGGCGACTTAATACCCAGCAATAACACATCTTGGAACATAACCCGCGGCCACACAAATAAGGACCTCTATGCGCCTCCACCAAACTTCATCTCCGGCACCCCAAAGCCCCCGGGCTACCAGTACTCCAAAGTAATGGTAGTAACGCGCACAAAAGAAGAAGACACCAGCTGGATCTCCGAGCAGCTCCCAGATTGGAACACAGCCATCTATGTCGCAGATGACCCATCCGCTCCCCTTCACCCACCCAAAAACAAAGGCCACGAAGTGATGATCTACCTCACCTACATAGTCGACCACTATGATCAACTCCCCGACGTCGCGGTCTTCATGCACTCACATCAAAACGCATGGCACAATGACGCGCTCTTCAATGGTGACGCGGCCAATCTCCTTCGGAGACTAAACCTGAACCGCGTCATCCGCGAAGGGTACATGAACACGCGCTGCGGCTTCGGCCCGGGCTGTCCGGCCTGGATGCATCCCGGTGCCGTGGAGGAAGACGAGACGAAGCAGGAAGAGACTATGCTCGCGCGGGCGTGGGGGGAGCTCTTTCCTGACGAACCGATCCCGTCTGTTCTGGCACAGCCGTGCTGTGCGCAGTTTGCGCTATCGCGGGATCGGATCCGGTCGATTCCGAGGGCGCGGTTTGTGTTTTATCGGGATTGGTTGCTTTCGACTGATTTGAGTGATTATATCACCGGGCGGATCTGGGAGTATCTCTGGCAGTATATATTTACTGGTGAGGCTGTTCTTTGTGTCGAGGAGAATGTTTGTCTTTGTGATGGTTATGGGTTTTGTTTTGGGAGTGATGAGGAATATAGGAAGTATCAGGACTTGGAGTCTGAGAGAAACGAGCTTCAAAAGGACTTTGAGAATTGGATGTGGTTGGCTGATGATCTTGAGCTTGCAAATGGGTTTGGTGAGTTGGATGAGAGTGTTGATTTAGATGGGGAGAGAACCGATCTTCATTCCCAGTTGCAGGACAAGCAGCAGGAATTGGCTGAAATTCTACACAATGCCATGCAGCGTGGAAAGAACCCTCAGTACCGTGCCCAGGAGGCTGGTCGACCTTGGAAAGAAGGTGATGGGTTCTAAACTTGACCGGATCAAGTACTTGAACCTGACTCTCTTTACCCCGTACATATCTTCCTTTTTAGGGTCGATATGTGACATGATCTATGACATCTATCTGCCATTTATTCGTGATGAGGTCTACTTCTGGATGCCTTTTTTTTGCCTGCTTTCAACATTTTTGGTTGGTAGGCCATATTTTATCACCCTTCTGGCCTTATACCTCGAACTGTACTTGTATATATCTCATCTTTTTTTTGTGCGCCATTAGACTTCAGCTAGGGTTTGAAACAATAGAGGTATATTCGGCTTATTGTCTAATACAAAATCTCATATCATCTAGTGCAACAACCTTTGGAATCACATAGTTTTCCCTTGATCTACTATCATATGTCTCTATACTACCCTAATCACATGATCTTTTAGCACGTGACGTGGGTCACGTCCGAGTTTGCACTGTCTGCCTCTCCTTCAAACCACGCAAACATCAGTCGCGCGCCTCTCTTATCACTATATACAAGAAGCTTGAGCACTTGGCTTCTGTACTTCAATTGTCTTTTTTTTTTCTCTGCTGCTGTGCTCCTGGGCCTCCTGGGCGTGACGCGCAGCAGGTCGTTCTGTGCTCTGTTCAAAGTAAGTCGTCAGGACATTCATAGCGAAACCCACTAACAACAAAAGCTTTGATAAGAGCTCGAGATTCAGCAAAGACTCCCTCAAGCGATCGACTAGGTATCTTAAACCGCAACTCGAAACAGGCGCAATTCAAATCGCTATTGTTGTGTAAAATACTCTAATCCAGTTCGTTGCGGCCTGCAAGATTTCACCCTCCACCAACTTCCGACCTTATCATCTTATCAAAGTGCCTCTGTGCTCTAATCCACCATGAGCTCCAATAACCAACACCCTCCTACACCCTCATCCTCCGGCCTCCCCCACTCCTCAACTTCGAATTCACACCTCGACTCAAATGCGCAGCTCGGAAACAACGGATACGCACCCAACGACAACCAGCTTGCCGGATTAGTTGAAGCCGCAACAGCCGCCGCAGACCAAGATGTCTCGCAATGGGCAACGGCAGAAGCAATTGCCACAGCTGCCGGTGCAGCCGGCCATCACCACCAGCTCGAAGCATACGGCGCAGATATGCATCTCGGTGACGACAGTTTCGGTGATGCGAGCTTCGCTGCTCCCATCAGTAGCTCAAGACAAATGAGAGCACCCAGTCACAATGAGCACCAATCGCCAGGCCTCACACGAACAGCCACTAAAAAGCGCAAGCGCAACGACAGTAACCTTGACCCGGCCTTGGCGGGTGCTGGCCTGGCTGCTGCGCAACACCAGGCACAGTCCCAGCAAACCCCACATGGGTATACTGGAGAGGGCATGGACATCCGCGCCGAGCAACCTCAGTCATTGTCCGATGCCCGGGCCATCGGCGTTCACTCTGCTGCTGCATTGTTCCGCCAGCCGTCCACTAATAAAAAGTACACTCGGCCTCCGATCTCGAAGATGTTTACCTCGCTTGAGATATCACCGGAGAATTTCTTGCATCTGCAGGCTGCCGCGAAAAACTACATGTTAAATGATGAGTATCCCGAAAGACGGGATTGTGTTGGCCAGCGCGGAAAGGGAGATACTGAGATGGTCAAGCTCCGTCTCTGGAACTGTGTTCGCCAATTCCTTGAAGCAGAAGGCCACGGTGAGCGCTTTTTCGGAGAGAACGTCGTAAATGAGGGCATGGGCCCGAGAAATTATATCTGGCCGCGAGACCAGCACAAGATCATCTCATTAGTCATTCCCCTGCTTCGAAGAATGGTTACAAATGAAAGACAACGCCAATACGCCATCGAGACCCGAAAGGGCGGCGGCTCAGATGGACGACGTCGCAAAACGGAGGACTTTTCGAGCCTAAACAGTCCGCGCTTTTCGCCTGATCAAACATTCCAATCGCAACAGGCACATCGCGATGATCTGTCACAATCAATGCCTCCGCCCCCACACCCACTACAGCCATCAATTGATCCGCCCCAACCTATGGACCTCGGTTTGACAGACCTTTTCTTGGAAGGATATACTGTAGACTGGGAAGAGATCGCCCGCTCTTACGATAACTACAACCAAAGCTTTGAACTCGATAACCTATGGTCTCTCTCCGGTCTTCAGCAACCAGATTGGCGCGGTCTCGTCGCCGCGGTCGACAGTCATTACCAAGTAATTCACAGCGGGGATTTCAATTGTCCACCAGCCTGTGAAGATGAAAATATCAACCGTATCATTCACACTGAAACTGCTTCCTCTCTTAACTGGCGAGTCGGCGGAGGTCGCAATCTCGATTTGTACGTCACCCTCCCCATCCTCCCCCTCAAGAAATCTATCGTCTAACACCCCAGCAGCGCAAGCGGTATCACCCGCGACGTCTCCCGCATAATCCGCGAGACCATCTCCGCCCGTCACGGGCACCCTCACCAAGAAGAACCCCACTACCACCATACTCCCTTCGCTCCTCTGCCTGAAAACACGCAACAGCAAACCTCCCTCCGCGTCAACATCCTGCAAGGCGGAAAGCGCATTCTCCCCAGGTTAGACCTTCCAGCCGCCCAATATCCCAGCATCGATACCCTCAAGCAAGCTGTTCTCCGTCGTTTCCCAGGTCAGATCCCCGGGCTATTTACAGAGGGCAACGCTGCTGCGCAGGAGGCGCGTGAGTCTGCGGCTGCGGCTGCGTGGAAGGTTGAGGTTTGGCTTCCAGAAGGGTTGGTCCCTGTTCGTACTCAGAAGGATTGGACTATTGCGCTTCTTTCAGCTGATACAGTTGATTGGATGGATGGAGATTTGAAGGTCCTCATTGAGACGGAGTAGATCTCTCTGGGAGAATCTTGTGTTTGTTGTCTTTCACGATATCCCACTTGCTTTGTTTGATTTGATCATGTATTATTATGAGACAATAACGTCCTGAATTATGTGGCTCTTGTTTAATTGCATAAGGGTAAATCTACCTACATGTAAGTGGTCCCTCGCTAGGGCACGTACATACGTAGGTACGGAGAAGAAAGCTTTTGGGACCAGCTCGCCTCGGAAGATCTAACAGCCACGAAGTAAATTTTCGAAAAATTTATGTATATGTTATCATAAAAAGATACAATGAAATCCCGTCTCATAATACAGGGTTTAGAGACAACAAGCGGGCCTGAAATGATGCATATCAACTCGAAACACCAAACAAATGACCGCTCTATACGCCGTAACGAACCCAAAAGCAAAACTCCTAGCTCATTTGTTATGCACCAAAAGCGTGCGTAGAGAATCCCAATGGTCCGAATCACCATAGCTAAATCAAGTCAGCAAGATCATTCCGCAAATTCTCAGGGACTCAACTTACATGTACACCATACTACTCCGCAAACTCGACGCCAGGGTCTCAGGGTGCCACCGGAAGATATACATCACCATGGCCCAGGTCATACTCGCGAAAACGGGGTAGGCATTATTCGTGATCTTAGTACGTGCGTCGGGCGTAATGAGAGACGAGAGGGGGTGCATATTGGGCTGCACAGCGAGTTTGGCGAGGGCAAGCATCACTCGCGCGAACACGTAAATTACGATCTGGAATATGTCAGTACTGCTCGGCATGAAAGGCGCGGTGGAAGTCCCCCAAAATCGAACATACCTGCTGACTGATACTCCCCGGCTGTCTTCCAAACACTGCATACCCGCCCAGCAGGCCTGCAAAGAAACTATCATATCGGCCCTCTTTCCCGGCCCCACCGGGAATATTGCGGAGAAGAATCATGGATGCTTTGTAGATTATTGCGAAGGTGGCGAGGTTGCGCGCGTGCTGGCGGGTGGCTTTGAATACGAGTTTTGTCTTTTCACGTATTCTGGGAGCGATCAGTGACTGCGGAATGGACTCGGGGTGGAGATAACGTACGTTCCAGATCTGAAGAGAAAGATCATTCTGAGGATATTGAAATATTGATCAGCTTGGCCTCGGTGTGGTATGGTATCTTTTCCGCGGTCAACCTACACCAGCGCATGTGGAAACCGCACTTTCGATCCGTACACAATTCCATTGCGTGCGCCCTTTACTAAGGAGAGGAGGGGTGCGAGTTCGGGCTTGAGGATAATGGTTTCGAGTTGGGACTGGCGCTGTTAGGATTGCTTATGGTGATGGTGATGCCGCAGAACTTACTAGTAGGGTGTCCATGTCGCTGGACCTCGGTATGAGATTAGACTTGGTTTGGGGCGATTATGGCGATGATGGACCTTGGGAATGAGTAGCCGGGGAGTAGATTATAGGGCAGGAATCATGAACGGACGAAGAAGAGGAGGAAATGATAGAGAGGGAGTATAGCGAGAGTATAAAGAGAGGGGACGGCACTTTTATCGGATGTAAAGGGCCTCGGCATGTGAGAAGGCCGACGTCATGGTCACGTGTATATATAGGCTTAATCTTGAGATTCAGTTAAGCATGTAGTTAAAGCAGATTGGGTAGATTTAGGTATCGCTTTGGAACATATTTACTCTTATGTGTTGAAGGTGTAGCTAGTTTGTATAGTTAAGATTCGAATAGTAGTATCTCACAGGTTTAAAATAACTTTTCATATGCCGGCACGACTGCTCATACAGGCGCAGAAAACGAGATCCCCGACCAAACGCCTAAGCAAAAAGAAATCATGCAAATATCTTAGTTCTTCCGTGCCTTCTTGTGGCTTACTTCCTCTTCCTCACCATCGTCGACCTCATCAACCTCGTCCTCAGAGATCTCCTCCTCCATCATATCCTCCAAAGCAGGCTCATCCTCCTCATCGGAAGACTCGAAGCCTGCACGGCGCTTAAGACCCTTCATCTTACGTGTCTGCAGGTCAGACAGATCCTGCTTGCCAAGGTGAACACGACCAATCTTATCACCAATAGAGTCGGTAATGATGTTCTTCTTGTTCTTGCCATCCTCGTTGGGACGCTTGCCCTGCTTCATGGCCTCCTTCTGCACCTCAGGAGTGGCCTGGCGTGTACGGCCGACCTTGAAGTCGAACTTGGGACCAACCTCCTGCAACTCCACACGGGGCAGCTTGTGACCACTACGCTTGGTGATGACTCTGTACCAGCGCATGTGGATGACGGGTGAAAGACCTTCCTGGGGCTCCTCTGCGGCAACACTCAGCACGTACTGGAGACCCTCGACGTCGATCTGGTGGGTTTCTTCGCCCTTGAACATGTCGAGCAGAGTGCTCTTGAGAATGATGTGCGAGGTGGATGTGGGGTCTTCCCAAGAGCTACCGGTGAACAGCATCATAGGGCGCAGGCCGAGACCGACGTCCATGACAAGTTCGTTGATGGGTGGGATGACCTCGCCGTCCCTTGGGGGGAGCAGCATGAGCTCGACGAGATCGAGCAACTCTGAGTTGAAGACACGGGCGAGAGTGATACAATTGGGGCGCTTCTTGCTGTGGCTGCCGAATGCTACGAGTCCACACTCGTTCTTGTTGGCCAGGAATTCCAGGCTCTCCGAGTTCTCATATGGGTGAATGTTCTCGTTTTTCTTGTGGAAGAGAATGTTGTGAGGCTTGGTCAAGGCGTGGAAGGTCTTCAGGACGGTGTCCACAACTTGAGGACATTTTGCGCCGTGGAAAATCAGCGTTCTCTTTGGGGGTTCGATGAGTTGCGGCTCCCGAGATTTCAGGATACGCGCAGTGCGCGGGTTCTTGGCTTTCCTGTAAAAACGGTGGGTTAATTGAGTAGGATAATCTGCATTTAAAGCCAAAACTTACACTTCACGCAACATTTTGATGTGAATGAACGGCAGATAGACTCGGGGTGAAATATCAAAAGAGCGGAAAAGTTTTGGATTGATGGCTTGGCATGCTTATCGATAAGCCAGAATGCTGTCACGTGGCTGAATATCAAACATCGTCTAATTGGTTGGCATACAGTATACAACACATGAAAATAGCTTCAACTGGTAACTTCTTGATTGAATAATTGTACAATAATCATACAATGTTGAATAAAATCCTTTTTCATTTATAAATCTATAGAGTAGAACCCATATCCTATGTTCATAAACTCCCATATCCCAATGTCAAAGTGGAATCATGACCCTTATAGAGCCTATGATAGACATCAATGCTTGTAGCCTCTTGTAGTCAAAAATCGATCACTATTCCATCAAGCAGTTTCGTGGTCTAGCGGTTATGATTTTCCGTTAACAATTGCCTTACAGGCGAGTGTTCCGGAAAGGTTCTGGGTTCGATTCCCAGCGAAACTATTTTTTTGTTTTTTGCACGAGTCAAATACTAGCTAGTAAAGGTCCTTGAACATATTTGTTTTTTGATAGTGAACATAATTCAAATCATAGACAAATTGACGAGTGGTGGTTTTTTTATTTGATTTGTCACATACACCTAAACAAAAGTGTTGTCTACATGTAGCGTATTTCCTTCCCTATATCAGCCCTGGCATGTCATAAATTATTTCTCCTAGGGGGAAACTCCTCGCTCAGATACTATATAGTCCGGTCATATGTACGATTCGGATTTTGACTAAAGAATTGTTACATCGAAAGACAAGGCTAAGCATCAGAAGCGTTAGCGTCGTAGTGGGACTAGGGATTTCGGCTGCTTTCCTAGAGAGATATCACACATATATATTACATCTTCCCAATCGTTTTCCCCTTCTCCCCCAAACAATTCACCATGAATCATCTACCAAATTTCTCATCTTCCGTCTTTGGCCCAAAAGAAATCACTGTCGATTTTATACAATCACACCCGGATATCTCGTATCTCACCTTCCAGCTAGTAAGTATGAACGAGCCTTATGACATCCACGCTAACCATGAACTCCAGCTGGACACCGAAGACCTCAAAAATATATGCCTAGTATCAAAGTCCTGCAATGCATTGGCTACACCATTGCTATACCGATCTATTGTCCTGGAATTCGAGAAAGCTCAAGAAGCAAATGCACTGGAACTGACAGATCCCCGAGACTGGAAATGTAGGTTCTCGGTGCTTCTACCGTATCTATTGGATGACAGGAATACCCGTGCCCAAGACTGGGTGCGTGATATTACGCTGAGTCTTGCTCCTTGTCCAAGGAATTCGATACAGCCCACGGCGAAGATTCAGAAAATAGAGGACGGACTCGTCGCATTACTTGAAAAGCTACCAAATGTCCAGAATATCTAGTAGGTTGTATTTGTATCCATGGTGTTTTTGAAAATTGTCATTGACCATCATACGCAGCTTGGATGAGGACATACACTTCACACAACGTTTCCTAGATGCCATAGCGAGTCACGCTGGCAGGCCTTATCTGCATCTGCTAGGAGAGAATGGCAAAACTCAACTCACAAATCCAATGCCTATGGTCCGTACCTTCAATGTGCACGTCAGTATTCGGACCTTTGGAAGAACTAAGGCAGGAGAAGTGGATTTGAATAAGATATTCGCTGCTTGTCCCAACCTCCGGAATCTATCTGTCTCCACAGACAGGTTTATTCGGGGGTGTGGGATGGGTGGCCGTACCTCAGGCGCAATCATTAGGCCATACGAATATACTCCAGGGAAAAGGGCACCTCCCTTGGAAAGTTTGTCTATAGAAGGGTACCATATGAACTCACTCGAGGCATCTCATTGGCGAGACGGATTCAAGTGGGACATTTTGAAGTCCCTTACCCTCGGCCCTGAAGATAACAAAGGAATATTCGATGCGTTTCCTAGCAGTTTGTTATCCCTGACGATACTCGAGATCTTGGCCTGGCCGACCAAGAGACCAGGTGAAGACAGAACTTACAAGGACGAGGCACTCGATGCCTTTTTGCTATCGTTCAACACGTTGGAAACCCTCATCGTGAAGGGTTATTCTCCTTCCATCGGGGCAGTTGCCAACCATCATTCCTTGAAACACCTCTGTCTTCACGAAATTGAGCAGGTATATACGCCCAGAGAATTTACAGAGACCAGTGAACTCCAAGAGTTAGATGCACTCTGTCCCGATCTCGAATATCTGGAGCTTGATATCAGCCAGAAGGATGGCAGTTGGGTGAGTTGGCATGGAATGTTTATAACCTCTCTCAACTGCTAACCTTTCTCACAGCCTCGGGACTTCATCATTGCTTTCACAAAAAGTTTCATGAATCTTCGCTCTTTGCATTTCCACGTTGCATTTGGATTTGACAGGCTAGTTGATGGCGAGGGGGGATGCATTGATGAGACCGAAGAGCAGATGAACAAAATTCTCACCAACTCCAAAGTCAAAGCCTTCCTTGAGATTCTCTCTAATCGAGACTCATCTTCAAAACTTCGGAAATTGACGTTCAGAACAGGTGAAAAATTACGTCGTTTCCGGCAGTGGTGGCCGCAGTATGCGAACATTGAAAAGAGACTGGCTAGAACCTTTGAAGTGTTGTTTCCATTTGATCAGGATGCATTGCCTGTCGTCAAAGAGACGAATATAACTCGTTATACTCATGCTTGTGGGACCACTACAGATGGAATAACGTTAGCTTGTGACCCTGCGGATTGCCCCCTTTCTCAGGATAGGGTGTGGGATTGACTAGCTACAGTCATGTTGATCATATTGATAGGGATTCATTGCCAGATGAAAACGAGTATAGATTAGTCAAAGAAGCAATTTGAACAGAAGGAAATCAATTGATATATTTTGGTTTAAAGTACCCACACAGGGACAATCTACTCCAAGCGCAGCTTCTCAAACTCTTTAACCTGCTCTTCAAGACGAGCAGCCTCACTCTCGGCATCACGAAGACGTTTCTCTTCCTGCTCACGAACCTCAGCCTTGACCTTATCAGCCCAGCCGGGGCCGTTCATGATACCCTGGGAACGGCGGACACTTTCGCGAGCCTTCTCAAGGCTAGCCTTGGCCTTCTCCTCCTGCTCAAGAGCAACCTCCTTAGAGACGCGGAGGTAAACAGCGGCCTCGGCACCGACAGCAGCGACGACGCAGCCGGAGGGAGGGGTCTTGTTCTCGGGACCGAGGTGAGACAGTTCGCCGAGGGTCTTACCACCTAGGGACTTGATGGTGGTCATCTCCTCAGCAACGGTCTTTTCACTGGTAGTGTCGTAGGTCTGGATGATGATATCGGCCTGGGTCTTGACTTCGTACTGGGACAGGATGGAACGGATGGCCTTCGAGGTGTTGAGGATGAGCTCATAGGCCTTAGACGCGGCGGGATCGTCGAATTCGGCAATGTACTCGGGGTACTTGGCCTTCATGATGGAGATGGTCTCATCGCCGGCGCGGCGGGGAATGCGCTGCCAGAGGTGCTCGGTGACGAAGGGCATGATGGGGTGAATCATGGTCAGGGCACCGTCGAGGGCTGTGTAGAGAGTCTGCTTGGCGGACTCCTTAGTCTCGGCGGAAGTCTCGTCGGCAAGGAGGTATTTGGAGTTTTCGAGGAAGACATCGCACAGCTGGGCGTACCAGTATTGGTAGGAGATCTGAGCGGTGCTGGAGAATTCACGAGCCTCGAGAGCCTCGTTCATCTCCTTGGCGGCCTGGTTGAATTTGTGCAGAATCCAGCGCTCGGAGAGGGACTCCTGGCCGGTCTTCTTGACAGCAGCCTGGGGCTTGAAGTCGTCGCCGAGCTTGCCGAGGACGAACTTAGTGGCCTGGTAGATCTTATTACAGAACTTACGGTAGCCGTGAATGACCTGGATATCGAAAGCAATATCACCTCCTGCAGATAGCCGTTAGTACAAATATTTGAACGGGGGGGGGAGGAAGTGGGGTTGCATGAACATACCACCCGTGGTGTAAGAAACGAGAGCAAAGCGCAGAGCGTCGGCACCACACTCGGGAATACCCTTAGGGAAGGCCTTCTTCTGATATCTGGTAGCAGCGGCAATCTCCTTCTCGGCAATGTTACCAAGCTGGAGCTTGTCGTGAAGAGCCTGCAGCTGAATTCCCTCCATGACATCGAGGGGGTCGATAACGTTACCCAAAGACTTGGACATCTTGCGGCCATCGGAATCTCTGATCAGGGAGTGACAGTAGACCTCGCGGAAGGGAATCTGGCCAGTCATCTTGATACCCAGCATGATCATACGGGCAACCCAGAAGAAGAGAATATCCCAACCGGTCTCGAGGACTGAGGTAGGGTACAAGTTCTCGAAGTCGTGGGTCTTGCGGGGCCAGCCCAGAGTAGAGAAGGGCCACAAACCAGATGAGAACCAGGTGTCAAGAACATCGGGATCACGGACAAGAGTAAACTTCTTACCGGGGAACTTCTCCTCGGCCTTCTTGCGAGCATCCTCCTCAGTGCGGCCGGTAACCCAGAGGTTGCCGTCACTGTCATCGCCATCTTCACCTTCGATTTCGACGAAGTAAGCGGGGGCCTGGTGTCCCCACCAGAGCTGACGGGACAGACACCAATCGTTGAGGTTCCGCATCCAGCGGAAGTAGCTCTTCTCGGCGCTCTCGGGGCGGATGATGATATCGCCCTTCTCAACAGCCTCGATGGCGGGGCCAACCAGGGTCTCCATGGCCATCCACCATTGCGGCTTCATAATAGGCTCGATGACATCGTTGGACTTTGAGCAACGAGGCACCTTCATGGGGTTGTGCTCCCACTTGACGTACAAGCCAGCCTCCTTGAGGGCATCAATGACCTTGTAACGGGCATCGAAACGTTTCATGCCGGCGAAGGGTCCACCGTGCTTGTTGAAGGTACCATCATCGTTCAAAACGGAGATGAACTTCAGGTTGTGGGCCTTGCCACGGTTGAAATCGTTGAAATCGTGGGCAGGGGTGATCTTAACGGCACCAGTACCGAACTCAGGATCAACATCAGGATCGGCAACAATGGGAAGCAGACGGTCCACGAAGGGGTGGCGAGCGTTCTTGCCGATCAGGTGCTGGTAGCGCTTGTCATCGGGGTGGACAGCGATACCGGTATCACCGACCATAGTCTCGGGACGAGTGGTGGCGATCTCAATGCGCTCCTTAGTGCCATCGATCTCGTAGCAGAAGTGAGTCAGAACACCGAACTCGACCTTTTTGTCGTAGCCGGGCACATCGAGAAGAGTGCGGCCCTCAATTTCCTTGTTCTCGACCTCGAGATTAGAAAGAGAGGTGTTCAAAGCCACACACCAGTTGACCAGACGGTTGGCACGGTAGATGATACCCTCTTCGTGGAGACGAACGAAGGTCTCGGTCACAGCGGCTGATAGATTGGGGTCCATGGTGAAAGCCTCACGGCTCCAGTCAAATGAACCACCGACTCTGCGCAAGGCGTTCTTGATGTTCTTGTGATATTCATCCTTCCAATCCCAAATCAAATTAACCATGGCCTCACGGCCAATGTCATGGCGAGTCTTCTGCTCCTTCTTCCACAACATCTTCTCAACAACACTCTGGGTCGAGATACCGGCGTGGTCCATTCCAGGAAGCCACAGGGTAGTCTTGCCCTTCATTCTTTGCCAACGGATCATGGTATCCTGGAGGGCGTTGGTCAGGGCGTGGCCCATGTGAAGAGAACCGGTAACGTTGGGAGGGGGGATTGGAATGACGAAGGAGCCTTCCGGCTTGACCTTGCCATCAGGACCGAACTCAGGTTTGAAGAGATCGCGCTCTTCCCACCAGTCGAGACGGCCAGCCTCAATGACGTTAGGATCGTATGCATCGGTAGTCTTTTCCTTCTCAGGCTTGGCCTTCTTATCGGCCTTGGGAGCAGCAGCCTTTTCAGCGGCAGCCTTGGCCTTGGCCGCCTGCTTCTCCTCGAACTTCTTCTGCTTTTCAGCCTTCTTGCGGTCCTTCTCCACTATAAGCCTAAAGTATCAGCAGATGCTTTTTGTGTGAGACTTCCGACGAAAGATCCCAATGTAGATTGCGATAACATACACTCCTTCTCAGTCTTCACCTTGGGAGCGGCGTCTCCGCCTTGGTGTTGACCGTGGGGATCCTTTGCGGCGGCATCGGCGATGTTGCTGCGGGTCTGTTGGTCGACCTGAGGGGGGGGCGCTGGTCAGGGGAGCCGTAGGCTCACCCGCTATAGTCTATAAGCTTCTGCGCCGAATGTAATGAGTCATTGAACTCACTGGGATTTTGGGATGCAGAGTTCTGAGCCATCCTTGAGAATGCACGATATTGAGGAGTAAATCTCCAAGGCGCCGATTGCGCCACGAACCGCCTGATAAGTATCTTGAGAGATGGATAGATATAAGGAGGGGAGGTTGTGCGAAATGCGGGCAATTAAATTTCCCACGTCGGATGAACGAATGAGAGCGCGGGGCTCGGTGGGAGGCTCGGTGGAGTCACTTGGAACACAATTGTATGCGATTCAACTTTTGCTTCGAACTCATTGAATCCTTTTCTTTTCCTTTTATACGTGTTCTTTTTTATTTTTTGGTTTTGTTTTTGATCTTCCTTTTTTCGGCCAAAGGACGTTACGATAACCCTCACGTGATAAGCTGGAGCCAACGGGTGATCTGACGGAAGATCTATGTGCTATAGTTATTTATATACTGTACGACAATGTAGGTTCATGCATTTAGTCTATTTCATTCGAGGAACATGAGCGATTTTAGGCACAATGGCTCGGTCGATCTCAAATCCAGCAACTAGCCCTATATCTATGAATTTAAATGCCTACATAATTGTTGAACATGGTATATCTCCTACACAGATGCACTTAGGGTTATCTTATTTTTTATTTTTTATTTTTTATTTTGCTCCCAACATTTAATTCGTAAAGCAGAAAGCGTCAAATGCAATGCGTAGTCTTAGGAAATTCCCGAGAATACCATCAGCACCCAGTAGAAAAGCCAAAACACCAATTCAACTAACGGAAAAATCAATTAAGGAACCCACGAGCAACGCTATACAAATAGAAGAGATGAAAAAGGATTTCCCCATCTAGCACGCTGATTTATCACGCTCACTGACACTCCAAACGACCTAGGTGATAAGAGGATTGGAGAGGAAATTAAATGTCATGATGTCTTGTCATCAAAGTCGTCTTCATTCGAAATTTGATCATTTGCCGCAGCCCATTATTTGAAGGGCCAGTGAAAAAGGAGGAACAAGGGATGATTACGAAGACCAAGCTCGTTTCATAGATTCGATCATCGTGGTACCGTTCATATCGGCAGGTTTCAAATGCAAAAGGGAATCGTCATGATGCCCGCCGCAGTCTGGACATCCTGCGGGTACTTGAAATCTGGGCATCGCAGTAAGGAGATTAAAGCCATGATCATCAACAGTTCATGCGAGAGATTTTCAAGGCAGGGTCACGTTGTTGTGGCTGAGAGCCTGGGCATCAGCACGGACGGGGTCGAAGTAGTTGTGTGCCATGGCTTCCTGGGCAGTCAAGCGTTCCTGGCACAACAAGTTAGCTAAGTGCAGACACGAGAGTGGAAAGACAACATACAGCATGGTCGTATCGCAGAAGCTTGTCAAGGAAGTCAATGGCCTCATCACTGACGAAACGCTGGTTCTCGGCGTTGACAAATGAATGCCACGGCTTCCGAGGGAAGCGGGAGAGGATGTCGTCGTATTGCGGGTCCAGCTCAATATCGTACTTATCCAAGTATTCAAAGAGCTCCTCGGTACCGAGAACCTTGGCAATCTTGACCAACTGGTCGGAGTTGCTGTTTCCGTGGAAGAAAGGCTCTTTGCGGAAGATCATGGATGCGAACATGGCACCGAGAGACCACATGTCCAGGGAGTAGTCGTATTCCTGGAAATCAACGAGCAGCTCAGGACCCTTGAAATATCGAGACGCGACACGGACATTGTATTCCGTGCCCTTGTGGTAGAACTCAGCCAGACCCCAATCGATCAGGCGAAGCTAAAAGGAAAAGTTAGACTGCGACTCTCAAGCTGACATCTGTATCAATCCTCTCACCTTGCGCTTCTCATGATCAATCATGACATTGTGGGGCTTCACGTCACGGTGCATGATACCTTTGCTGTGACAGAAGTCCAGCGCCTTGAGAAGCTCGTAAACGTAGAAGCGAACATCGTAATCGGAAAAGCGGGGGTATAGGGTCCGGAAATCTGTGTTGTTGATAGCCTCAAAGACCAGGCTGGGGGTCTTGCTCTGGTTGTCGCGAACAACATCGAGCAGAGCGACAACGTTGGGTCCTCCAGCAAGATTTTGAAGAATCTTGATCTCACGCTTGATCTTCTTCTTCTTGACAGGCTTGAGAACCTTGATAACACACTTCTGGTAGTTGACGACGTTGATGCCCTCGAAGACCTCAGAGTACTTTCCACGACCTGGAGTGAGGATAGTCAGCAAAATTTGGCCCCAAAGCTTAATCATCGAGAAATTGTAGTCTAAGATATTGCAGAAAAGGATTTGATCTCACCTATCTTGCGAACAATTTCGTAGTTTTCAAGAACACCCCAGGAGATGTTGACACTGTCATAGTCCCAGTAGGACCGAGGCATATGCTCGTTGACATCGGCATAAACTCGCGCCATCTTGAAGATGACAGGCGGTTTCCGAGTGCGCCCACAATTGAGAGATGTGCGGCGGGGTCACGAGGGGTGCCGTGTGACGGATAGAGGGGCCGGGGAGGGGTATTGACGTAGGGAGCACCAGCAAGCCTAGCAACTATTCAGCCCAAACACAGTGCCCACAAGAGACTTGGAGCAATGGGATGGAGTGAGATATTGTGGTGATGATTAGAATGAGATCCGTTCCGCCTTGGAGTCACGGGACGAGGGTTGTGGGGAGCAGAACAAATTTGGTTAGCGTCGGATCAATAGTTGTTCCGATATATTTTCTGAATTGCCTGTTTGGGACAGTTCGATGTGATCAAAAAAGTGAAGAAGACAAGCGATAATAAGTTCCTCGGGAAGCACTCTTCCTTTAAATACATCATGTTTTTCGACTTGAATGTCCCTTACAGCCCCGATGACCCGGAGGTGCCCCACACTCTTAACTTCCTTGCTGAACGTAAGTCATCCATTCCGGTGTTCGGCACCAGATGCGCGCTTTGGAGCACATGAGGAGCTGACCTGACTTGTTAGTTGGTTACACCACCGTTGCCTTGTCCCAAACAATTAATGGAAAGATTCCCCCAACCCTCGCTCCACCTTCTCTTCCGACAAATGCGCCGAAATCTCTCCAACTGCTGACCCGGTTAACCTTGACTCTTGCCGATCCCGCGCAAAACAATCGCCTAGCGGCCCTGAGCCAAGCTTATGACATCGTTGCTTTGCGTCCCACAAATGAGAAGCTGCTTCTCAACGCATGCACAAATCTGGAATGCGACGTGATCTCGGTTGATCTCTCAGTGCGACTTCCATACCACTTCAAATTCAAAATGTTATCCGCGGCTATCTCACGTGGAGTCCGCATTGAGATTTGCTATGGACCAGGGATCACAGGGAGTGGTCTTGATGCGCGGAGAAACCTCATTGGAAATGCGACTTCCTTGATCCGCGCGACACGCGGTCGAGGCATCATCGTGTCCAGCGAAGCACGACGAGCCTTGGGTCTGCGAGCCCCATGGGACCTGATCAATCTCGCCTGTGTCTGGGGTCTATCACAAGAGCGTGGCAAGGAAGCAATTTGCGAAGAAGCGAGGAAGGTGACCGCGTTGGCCAAGTTGAAGCGGACCAGCTGGCGGGGCATTGTGGACGTCATTCACGGTGGGCAGAAAGCTAAACCCGAGGAGTCGGCAAAAAAGACGAAGAGTGTACAGAAGTCCGTTGTCGAAAACCCCCAAGAGCCCGAGCAAGCAGAAAACGGGGTCGATAATTTGAAGAGGAAGGCCTCAACCAGCTCTGAGCCTGTGGTCGAGGATCCCGATAAGCCTCTATCGAAGAGAGATTAAACGACGAGCCAAGAAAGCAAAATTTGATGCAAAGGGAGAGAATGCCACTTGATTCAAGCTTGATACCGTACCTTCAGTCTCAGTCATCGAAGTTGAACTGTTGACTCTCGGTGCTTTCACACAACCTTCAGGCCTGGGGACATAATTCTCCTGTCATTGGCAAACTAGAACATTGCTCTCTAAAAAATGAGCACGGATCTAGGAATTCTCGAATAGGGTTTCACCTCGGTTCTACTGGGCCACTGTCCAACATACTCTAGCCATACATACACCCACAAAGAGCACAGTCTTGGGCACCTGGAGCCATGATACTTATTGTCTTTGACAATACATTCTTTGGCAATATATCGCCTCTCGGCGTTAAACCATGTCATGCCTTGGCTTCAAGCTCGTGACTGGATCCACCGCCACACACCACAGTGCCTTCTCACGGCAGCTTCCAGGAAGGGTTTGGATGAGATACATATAATTAGGATAGACGGGGTGACAATGTCTTGGTCATCAATACAATCTTTCATTTTATTTGCTAGTTCATTTATCAAAGTTCTCCACATGTCGTTCAGACATTTCGAGGTTATAGATTCTTCAAGAGGCTCATAGCCACAGCTGTCGTGCATCTTTGCTTTGATGAGAAATACATGGCTCAATATCCCTAAAGAAGAATCCAATCAAACACAGAGTAGGTCTAGATCAGTACCTAGGTAATATGTTGGAGATTTGACCTACGCTGTGCACACTATAAACTCGGCAACAGACGAACTGATCATCCATCAAATCTGAAATAAGACTTGCATGCATTGAGTATTTGCCATAATCTCTTCTTATGTGATCGCATAAAAGAACTGGCCATCTAATCGTTTAAGGGTAGCACGCAGTGCACTTTGGCAAGTAGAGACCTCCACATAAATCGTCTGTAGGTTCCAAATGTATTTGATGCTGAAATTCCGCAAATGGGTCGCCTTGTGTTTCCAAAAATACCCAGGCTACGTTACCTTTTAAAAATATCCACAAATGCTTTGGTGACTGTGTAGTTGTGTACTTACAGAGCAAATTAGTGGAAGTATCACGTCTCTTTTTCAAGTGTGGGAGATTGATACCACATATAAGGCGGCATGGGGGAGAGGGCCCGGGATACAAACAATCGATGTTTGAAATGGAAATAACCTGTGAAGATATCTCAGACCTCACACTGTTTCCTTTTCATAACCCTCTTTCACTCTTTTTTCTGAGAAAGGCCCAAATACTTTCAACCCTTATGCTACCTTACCTATGGAAACACCCTTTCTCAGAACCAGCTTGAACAGCCCAATTATTATCACAACTGACTCAAGTTTGAAAGGCTCAACACCGCTCCCAGCCTCGAAGACCAAACTGCAAGGAGAGCCATCTTCATCTGCTATGAAGTTCAGCGACAGTGCGTTGTATGAGCTTGATCCTGATGGAGACGTGACACTCTATACAGTAAATTCTCCATTGGTGAGGTTCAATAAAGAAGACAAACGTAAGGATGAAGGTGGAAAAGACGAAGCTTACGAGCACGGTGCGAGTCCAAATGTTACCAGCAACGACGATGAAACCATGACCGACAAATTGAAATGTCCTGATCGATTTCTGGTCTCCTCAAAGCATCTCAAATTGGCATCTTCCTTTTTCAAAGCCATGCTCTCAAATAGCTGGGCCGAGGGAAGAGCTCTGACCACGAATGGAACAGTCGAGATCCCCGTCACCGACGTCAAACCCGAAACTCTGATGACAAGTCTAAATGCTATTCATGGAAGGTTTCGCAGACTTCCTTTGAAAATGACGCTACAGGAGCTTGTTGATGTCTTGGTCTTTACAGACTTTTTTAAGTGCCATGAGGCTATTGAGCTGTTTGCCAATGAGTGATTGTTTTAATGTATTTTGTAACACCATATTGAACCAGGTTGATATATCCCATTTTTTGTGCCTGAGCGGCTGAAGGTGAACTTGCTGTCTGCAATCAAAGTGCACAAAGTCGGGTTCGCAATACTGATTGCCTGCTTCCCAGCAACTATGATGCTCCACCGTCATGCAAAACCGATAATTATGAAAAGCAATCGTTGGAAACGTGTCGAATTTTGCTGAAAATGAAATCATTCAATCACCGCGGCATCTTGAGGCCTTGGATACTGTTCAGGTCTGCGTAAAGATATGCACGAATTCCCCAAAGAGAGCTGCGGTTGTCGCAAAGCCCTTTACCTCTGCATGGGCACGCGGAGAATGATTGGAGTTGTGAATCATGGTGTAGATTGTAGAAGGACTCTTTCCATCGAATGAGATGGAAAAAGAACCCTTGGGCAACGCAGACTTGGGTTGAACAAATATTTATTCCATTTGCAGTTAGTTCCTTGAGAAGAAGTCCTAAATATGCGGCATCACATTGTCTAGTGCAAGAAACTGGCGACAAGAGCTTTTGCAGGCGTTTGTTGATTTCGGAATGCATGACTTGCAAATAATCTGCTCTCGCTTTGTTTATTCCGTCTAAGAAGACGATCAGTTGACCTTGCTGCAATGATAAGATGTCGGTTTTATGGACTTACCAGGGACAAATGCTGGGATTGGTAAGCCTTCAGTCGTGAAGTCACATGTTCCTGCTACAATCGCACTTTTGGTGGTGATCGCGAAGATAGTATGATCCTTGAAGACTGAGGCAATCATGATCCACTTTTTGGAATCAGCCCCAAGCAACTGGTGATCCGGTCCGACATAATGTGACTCCATATGTAGTGTATGATTGCCTAGAATCTTTGATGATGCTTCATGAATTGAATGTGATAGACTTGAGCTGCAGCAGATTTGAGAGCAATTATCAAGACGTTTTCAAGATTCCATGGTGATGGAGAGTGTTGGTGATTCAGATGACTTGAAACCTTGCAAGTAGTTGTGTAGATTCTTTGCATGCTTCATAGCATCATTGCCCCAAGGACTGAAGCTGTGAATGCAGGTACGCTTTGAAAAACCTTCGCACTGAATGTCCTGATTGAAGTCCACGACCATTGCGCTGATACCAGAAGGGCTTATGCCCTGGAATGGGATTAATGTTGAGTCAGGTAACGTGAGATGAAGCAGCCGAAAAGTTAATCTGTGGGCTTTTAGTTGTTTGAGAAGGAGGCCCAAACACTCTGCATCACATTTCGGGTGGCAATAACTCGCAGTCATCGATAAATTCTCAACGTGTGACTCTATTGCACATAGAATCTTTTTCAGGAAATCTTCTCTAGCCTTATCGATGCCATCCACGGAGTAAAGCGAATGTTAGTTCGACGTCATAAGACTTTGCATTCTACTTACCTCTGATAAATGCCGGAATTGATAGATTTTGGGTCTTGAAGGGGCCTATTCCTTTCTCCATGGCAGTTTTGGTAGTGCGCTCCAGGATATCATCAACTTTGAAAATCCATGAAATAGCGATCCATTTTGTAGTCTCCTCTGACAGCTGGGATGGGATAGTTGGCTTGAGATTCTCCATCCATCTCATAGCGCTTAGTTCGACAACTTCATGGCATTGAAAGTAATCTGTGGCCACGGAGACATCAAGAATCTCTTGTAGAGAGGGAGATAATGTCCGAACTTTTCGCTAGTGACCATGAATGAGGTACAGGATTATAAGGAGTGTATCCGGCTTGCAGTCCACAACGGGGATTTCCGTCATCCCGGCTGCTAAGGCCCTTCCTTCGGGCCAACGTTCGGTCAACAAAGACTTGAAATATGGCGAAGCTAATTTGAGATGCTTTGATGAGACAAGGAAAGATGCATCATCGCCAGAGTTTGTATAATTGGAAAACTGATGGCCTGGTGTGTACAGGACGACATCTCCGTCGGGATCAATTTGTCGCGTTTCAGGGCTCATAATGGTCGAGGTTGGAGGGCAGTCACCGCGAGGTCTCTTTTTGGGAGGCATGATGGTAGCCGAGGGAGAAAAATAACACAGTGGAAACAGATATCAGGAAAGGATGGCAATTGATGTTTCTTATTGAGCTAAAAAAATCAGAATGTCCATTCAAGTGAAACGGGACTGAGGCGTGTGCTCGGCGGCTACTATGGTAATCAAGACCATGCGGCGCTCCAAGTTCGAAGTTAGTCTCTCAAATGTAGGCTTGAGCTTGTCGGCAAATGAAGGATGAGAAGGGCCTGCGCTTTTCATCGGATCTGGAGAGACCAGTAGAGAGTAGATCATATCTAAAACGTCTGGATATAGCTTGCTTATGTTAAAGGATTGCAGTACAGCAAGATTAGAGAGTAATAAGCCACCATTTAGAGGCTATTGAAAAGAGATTATAAATAGTGTAAATGATGAATGGTAAAAATATCGCATCAAAGTGTTATTTTGGAGTGTCGCCCGATTTTCTAGATCGTATGTCGATGGACATAGGAGTGGGTTTCGCAATCCAGGTCTAAAATCAACCGCAAAAGAGACACTAAAAAAGCGATGACACATAATTTGTTAAGAAGAACGAAGGATGTAGAAATATTCAATAGTCAGAACTTTACAAACGTGCGATTCATGCGACTTGAGCAACTGGCGAATATATGATAGCACAAACATAACCCCCAGGGGCTAGGAATTTCTAACCAAAGGGCTGTTTTCTCTAAAATTTGATTTTAAGTGATGAGCCTTGTGTATCTACTTCTTCTCTAACGAATGGGAGGCATAGAGCCATCCATTATGGCTTCAAGTTTGCAGAAGCTTATTGGAAGAATGGGGGCCGCAGGTTGCTCCTAACAGACTGCAGCTCGTTGCAGTGAGTTCATAGCGGCAAGTTTTACTTGGAAGTCTGTTCCATTTGCTTCAAACTAGCGATTTGCCTGAAATCAGTGTTGGGAGCTTTTGTAGTTGCACCGATCCGAGTCGTAGCTTGTTCATGATATCCATTTGCTTTCAATATCCTATGCAAGAAATCATTATAAACCTGGTCCTATAGGCGAGAAAAAGAGGCTCTAGAAAAACCGACAGATGCTAATAAGAGTTGATAATTTAGTAGTTAGTATCTTGCATCTCTCTTGATTCATTCGATCAATCACGTTGTTGTCCTCTATAGCTAACGCATTTGCTATACTTACCGAGGTCCAAAATTAATATCAGCCTTACAAGATTGAGTGGTTAGCTAAATCGTAATCTTTGGCTTTCCCATACTGCATCTGACTAGACGTGGAATGTGACGCTGAATTCCTGCAAGCTTAATCCTACCCTTCTTGCTTGCTAGTTTGGGCACGGCTGCATCGAGGATGCAACTTGATGTTACATCTTTATACACGATTCAACAATTCAACGACCTGGAATGATGTTATCGTCCATCAGCGCTGTACAGAGATTGACACAGGTGGCAAAAACGTAGACCAGATGTCGATGAGAAAAGAGGGGAAATGCATCAAGTATACAGTACATGAATGAATCGGCAAAAATATTAAATTCTACAATGGCCTCGGATCTGAGGGAAATGTTGCAATAGGTCATTTTCGTGACGCATCATGCAAAGACACTGCATGGCCTTTCCCCTCCCCCTCAAGTATCCTGATCCTATCACATGTTGGCCTCCAACCGAAAATACAAAGATGAAAGCAAGATTATTATCATATGAAGAGTCGTTTCCTGTTTCCCATCCAGAATGAATATGCAAAAGCTTCAAAGGAACGTCATAAATCATGTATAAAAGGCTATTTCTCTCGGGTGTGTTCGGAGCCTAATCGCTTGGTTAATTTATAGGTTGTGGTTTTCAAAGAACCAACTCACCATGTCCTGCATGTATCTTCACTACATCCACCAATTACTCGCGTTGCTTATGTGGAGATGTCATTAGATGACCGTGTTGCTCTTCACAGCGCTTGGCCGGGGATGAACCTGGTTAGATTCGTTCACCCAACTGCCAACATAGTCTATGTTCCGCTGGAAGGTCTCTGTGGACGTATTGCTTTGGTGAATTGCTCGTGTTAGCAGCTGCTTTAGAGCCTGGACCAAACAAACAAAATAGTGCGATATACTTTTGGGTCGAGCTTGTATAGGTTTGGTTAGATCCTGTTGCAGCAGCAGCAACACCCCGAGAACCACCAGTGCCGGTGGTTTGTTGCGACGAAGTTGGACCAGATGGTGAATTCATTTCTGCAAGTGATATTGGTGCTTGAAATGATATATTTTTCATTAATGGACAACCAATAAATGCGAGAAACTCTTCTTTCTTTTGAAAGCTCAAAATAAAAAGTATAGTAAAGAAAACAGGGGATCATGAATACTTTAATATCCGAGGTTTCTATAATATCAAAGACATCATGAAATGACGACGCGGAGTCATGAAAGATCGGTGTACACTTCACTTCTCTATTGTATTCTCCAGATCAGGTATTGCATCCGGACCAACGGGTATACTATTGGCTAACATTGAGCATGTGCATGTAATATCTGCCCAAGATGTTATCTCGCGGCCCTCAGAGCCTCAATTGAAATAAACTTGCAAAGAAAATTGAGATTAACAATTGCCTTACGACTAGCTTGAAAACCACCTCATCTTTGCTGGCATTTTATATTACTGTCTCAGATTCAAAGGTTGGATCTGTCTGTGCTCAACAAAATTGCATGTAAGAAGTAAATCCAAATGGCCTTTTGGTGTCTGCACCGTGCTTTCGGTGGCGACACCCAATTACACTCCGTGTAAAGCGCTATACGCTGAATGAGCATCCACATAGCATTTCCGCACTTACATCGAATCATTTCAGTCTCTCGTTGGGCATCGACCTGCCATTGTACAAACCTAAAGACCCACCCAGGGGATTTGGAAATAAGTTAATTCCAATCAAAGTTTTGTCCACGGACCAGTTTTAATTCTATCGTCAGAGAACTGGCTCATCTCGCTAAGGGGGAGCTGTGCGGTTGATCCACTAAGAACTTGCCTTGTGGCTGAGACTGTAATCAAAAAACTCCTACCTTCCCCAAGAACAAAGACAATGTGAAGGACTTCAAAATACAAAGAAAATAAGTCTAATAAATTCCAACAAAACATGAAGTTATATTCGTTCAATGGAGGTATAGGTGCCGATATACTTCGGCCCCGGCCGCTTATCTTATCGGTAAACCATCACCGGAGCCCGCCGACATCTCCGCATTAACTTTCATAAAACCGCTATCCAATCTCTTCTCTTCTTCTTTTCATGAATTCATAGACGGTAGAGACAAAAGTTTGAACAACGCACATATACCTTGATACCTCGTTACCTGATACCCAAAGCCCACCATGGCGCCGATCCTCACCACCAATCCAACAATAACGCTTACCCCAGAACCTCTCACACCAATGAACTTCGCCCAATTCGGCACAGCAGTAGTCTCCCCCCTACCACGGGAACTGAGTGTCGCCCCCCAACCGTCCTCCCTTCCACCATACAACCCAACTCCAGTCCTAGCGAACCAAAACTCCGCGCTGAAATACAGCCCCATCTCCCCGCTCCTCGACCACTATAATGGTAGTCCAAGTGGCCAGCCCTCCGAAGCACGCATGACAATGTTCTGCTGTTTCCCTCGCAAACTACGCACCATCACAGCCGGCCAGTCTGAGAAGGAAGTCTTCGATGTGCGCATTCTAGAGCGCCACCCGTTCACGAATCAGACGTTCATCCCGGTGGATCTGTCTGCGCATTCAAAGGTCGGGGATGGAGAGGAGGAGCCGCTGTTTTTGGTGGTTGTTGCGCCTACGTTGAAGGGGCAGATTGCTACTGCGAAGAATGAGGCCGGGGAGACGGTCACGATTCGGGATCCGCCTGATTTGAAGAATGTTAAGGCGTTTGTGGCGCGGGGTGGTCAAGCTGTTACTTATGGTGTTGGGACTTGGCATGCGCCTATGGTTGTACTGGGCCGGAGGCGAGTGGATTTTGTTGTTGTGCAATTTGTTAATGGGGTTGGGGACGAGGATTGTCAGGAGGCTGCGTTTGGGGAGGGAATTGTGGTTGATCTTGGACGGAAGGGTCAGCTTGGTCGGGGTGAGAACCAGCCTAGGCTGTGGTCGGCTAAGTTGTGATTTATAGACTTGTCCATGGAGTACCTCCGGGCTTTGAAAAGGTGTACAGGCTCGCCAGCCTTGATGTGGGATATTGGTGTATTTAGATAGAGGCCGAAAATATTGTACATAAATATCATACATAGTACCAAGGGCACGAATCAATCAGAGCGTTTTCCTCCCAGGAACTAAAATTAGAGGTTGGTTTCATCCAAAGTCCCAGCAGCTGCTGTTTCATTTCGCATCTCCTGACGAACGCGTGTAGCAAGCTCCAGCGTTGTGATGGGCAAACCAGCAAGCTGAGCAACCTTCAGAGCATGAGACTGGCGATTTACACCCTTGCGTAGCTTGTGGACGAAAGAAAAGGCCCCTGAGGGTAGGTCTTTGACATCCGTGCAGTACCGTTCCAATTTCTCAAACTTCTCCGTCATATCCGCGAGAGCATGGAAATGAGTTGCGAACAGGACACGAGACTGATTGTGATAGTGCAAATGATGAAGGCACGCGAAGCTGACAGCAGTACCATCTTCAGGTGTTGTTCCGCGACCCACTTCATCCATGATTACAAATGACTTGGGCGTGGCCTGCTTGAGAATGGCAGCTGTTTCCAGCATCTCTACCATGAATGTTGACTGATCACGGAAGAGGTCATCAGCTGCGCCGATCCGACTGAATATTTGATCGACAATACCGATTTCGGCATAAGCTGCAGGTACAAAAGATCCCACCTGTGCGAGAATGGTGATCAATGCGTTTTGTCGTAAAAATGTACTTTTGCCTGCCATGTTTGGTCCGGTGATGAGCCAGATGCGCTCAGAATCACCCAGAAAGCAATCGTTGCTCACAAATGAGCGCCCTTGTTCCTCAAGACCCAACTTGACGGTGGGATGTCTTCCGCTAACAATTTTGTGGCAGGTGCCATCATTGAGGATGGGTCGTACCATTTGCTGCTCCTGGGCTAGAAGGGCAAATGAACAGGCCACGTCTAGTTCATCCATTACTGCAGCGTTTCGGCGGATTTTGACCAAGTTCAAGATGACTTCACGGCGGAGGCGCTCAAAGATTGCCTGCTCCTCTTGACGTATCCGAATTTTCACATGGTCCATTTTTGCACCTAGCTCTGTCCAGGCTGGTAGGTAAAAAGACCGCGTGGACTTAGTGGATGATACATTTCGTGTGACTCCCAAGTCTTCTAAGGAGCTTTGAGAGATTTTCGCCCCTTTGACGTGGCAAATATGACCCAATCCTGGTGTCCATTTCAGGCTCAAGGCTGATGAATCAACTGAATCACGCAATCGCTGGGTCAAAGATACTTTTTCTTCACTTAAGCTTTCTAGTTTCTTGTGCAGGGTGTTCAGATTTCGACTTGCGTCACGTCTCATGATCCACGTATCGAGGGGACCGGAGTCAGTGTCGACTGCGACAGCTCGCTCGCCTTTCTTGGCCCTGACCTTTTTCGGCAGTGCTTCGAGCTCGCTGGATGTGCCCTCGTCCATGGTCACCTTTTGCGCCAAACTAGCTGCCTCTGCGGCGGTACTATCTTCAATGCGTTGTTTTTGTAGTAGGCCTTCTTCGTCGATTGCTGCGAGTATTTGGTCCGCCAGCGCAGAAGGGCCATCAAGGTAAAGACGTGCGATCATGGAGCTAATGCTGAGATTCGAATCGAGCGAATTAATTGACGATGGCAGCCTACTGTGATCCGAAAGGACTTGTCTGACTTCTTTGGAGGCCTCAATCGCACGGGATAGACATATTAAGTCGTCCGGGTCGCCTTTGCCAAAGGCAAACTTTTGGACCAAGCGCTGGGAGTCATAGCTACGTTTGAGGAGTTGGATGATACTGTCTCGAAGTTCCGCATTTTCGATAAAGACTGAGACCAGGTCCAGGCGTTCGTTGATGACTTGCAAGGACGTGGACGGGGAAGCTATGTGCAACGAGTCAGTAAAATGAAACCAAACTAGCTTGCCAAGAGTGAAATGTACTCAGTCGATCTCGTAAAAGCCGTGCTCCGCTTTTGGTAGAAGTCCTTCGGACCGCGTGAAGAAGACTTCCTTTCCCAAAACCATCTCTTGCTGTTTCTAGTATCTCAAGACCACTCAAACTATTACGATCAATGCTCATTGATTCATTGAGATGTCTTCGAAGAGGAGGCTGGAGCTTGAGATTTGATCCTTGTAACTGCACACGAATATATTCAAGTAGGCTGTACCCAGCTGCGACTTCCTCAGAGGTGAACGAGGCTCGCGTATTCTCAGGAACGGGGGATTCAAGCATTGATCCCCATTCAGATATTGGTTCAATTGCTTTGGGAAATGGGAAGAAGGTGATAAGGCGGTGGTCATGCCCTACCAACATTTGCAGCTCATGTCCGATAACATCTTGAACGTTTTGATCTACTAGAATCTCACGAGCCCCGATTCGGGCAATTGCAGATGGCAGCATCTGAGTCGTTGTGAGTTGAGTGAAGAAATCACCCGTCGAGAGATCTAACCAAGACAATCCTACTTGCTGAGGCACAGAAGACAACACATGCTGATGCGGTGATTCTCCATCCTTTTGGGCATGCTGTTTCAGCTGCGATTCCAAAGTGGGAAGATCCAAGTAGATTGCCAGCAGGAAGTTGTGCTCGGAAGGATCAATGAACTTCTCATCAATCAACGTGCCGGGTGTGATGATCCTAGCTACCTTTCGATCAAACAACAGACCTGAGCTCGTTTTGTCTTCTGCATTTATTGCGAACTCTTCGCTAATAGCCACATACTTGTTGAGATCTTGGACGAGCATTTTGAGGAAACGGTCCAATTGAAAGAACGGAAAGCCGGCCATGGGCACTGGTCCACCGTTGGTCTTTTTAGTCGCAAGCTTGAGACCGAGCAATGGTGCAAACTCTTCAGCCTGCTCAAAATAAAGCTGCAATGTGGAAAGTCAGCGAGCCGGTCATTTGTAACAGCCGAACTATAAGCTTGGGTCATCCTTGTACCTCATAAAAGCCCCCAACACGAGTTAACACAACACAGTTCTTGAATGTCTGCATATTGTTTCGATGTCCCTGTACCACAGTCGGATAACGGGGAGCCTCATCGACTCGATCATCATAAGCATCTAATTTGAGAACACCTTGAGGAAGGTCTTTTAGTTTCACTGTTGTCTTGGTCTTGGCGCCTCGTAGCTGGACCTTGGGGGATAGGCGATATATCGAGGCTCGACGCGCATGGTGGCAGATAGTACGGTGTACTTGACAATGATAAGATGAATTTAACGAAGGTAGAGGCCTCAAATGTCTGAAATAAAGAACCAACTGGGTAGACAATCGACGCATAGTTGCGACGCGCTCTACTTGATCGATGAACCGGCAGAACCACAAAAGCTCCCCTCCTTCCGCCTTCGCCACCGAAATCTTCCCGAGCTGCAACTCCCTGGCTACATCTATCTGCAATAGCCTTGGCTGATACCTTTCTTCCTTTGACGTTAATTTACGAGAGGATGAGCCAGGTTTGTGAGACCATTTGAAATTTCTATAAATTGCCGATTTCGTGTATCGGCGCGGCCTGAGTCTTGACCTCCGCAGGCAGATTCTTGTCGCAACTCATTCTTTTCATCGTTTTCGTGATTTAGCCATACAACCACCAAAATGGCGGACCAAAATATTTCGCAGTACAAGTACTCGGCGATGTCCAACCTGGTTCTCCAGGCGGACCGTCGTTTTATCAGTCGCACCCAAGATGAACCCACTGGAGACCCGGAGTCTCTGGCAGGTCGCATTGGGATCCGGGAGATGGGTGCACAAGTTGCGCGTGCCAACGCCCCCAAATCTAAGAAGGCAGCTCCGACCGGTCTCGAGCGGGGAGCTATCGGAGAAGGCGAAGATGTGCTTTTACGTGAACAGAAGAAGCGCACGCGCGGACAACCAGCACAACTACGCGGCCAGGGTATTCTCTCAGCAGCCGATGCATTTATCGAAGGCCTCAAATACCGTCCCCGGACTCCCGCAACCCGAGCCACATACGATCTTATCATCACAATCACCGGAAGCGCCCTGGGCGATGTCCCCCATGAAGTCGTTCGAAGTGCTGCGGACGCCGTGTTGGAATACCTCAAGGATGAGGAAATGAAGGATTTCGATAAAAAGAAGGAGATTGATGATCTTTTGGGAAGCTCGATGAACCCTAAGGAATTCAATGAGCTTGTAAACCTAGGCAAGAAAATTACAGATTACGATGCCCAGGAAGATGATGAAGAAATGGACGATGGCGTCGATGAAGACAACGGCGAACTCGACCAGCGCCAAGGTGTCGCTGTTGTCTTTGACGAAGAAGACGAAGACGATGACCGTATGGGCACCGTTGACGAAATTCGTGACGACGACGAGCTCAGCGACGATGAAGCAGACGAACAAGACCGGCCAGATGCTGACGATGCCACAAGTGTCAAAGACGAAGACGCGGAGGAAATGGTTATCGATGGAGGTCTCGGTGAAAACGAGAAGTCCGCAGACAAGACCGGATTGAAGGTCTCGGCTCGCGAAATCGATGCTTACTGGTTGCAGCGCCAAATCGGCGCCCTATATTCAGATGCTCACATTCAGCACGAGAAGACCGACGAGGCGCTCGCAATTCTCGGCGGCAAGGAGGAGGATGGAACACCAAAGCCCTTGCGCGACGTTGAGAACGACCTGATGGAACTCTTCGACTACGACCACCCCGACCTTGTTGCTAAGCTGGTCACCAACCGCGACAAGGCCGTCTGGGTTACCCGCTGGAGAAGAGTAGCAGAGGACGCCGATGCTCGTAATCTGTTGGAGATTGAGATGGTTGAGGCTGGCCACCGAGCGATTCTGGACGAAATTCGCGGCAAAGAAGCCGGCGACGACCTTGCAGACCGCCCCGAAAAGAAGATGAAATTTGACTTGATGGACGTCGATGTTCCTTCAGGTACAAGTGCAGACCAAAAGCCCGAACAGTCCGGCCCTCTTCAGCCAAAGAGAACCATCAACTTAGAGAATCTCATCTTCCACCAAGGTAACCATCTCATGACCAATCCCAACGTCAAGCTGCCTCAGGGTTCTACAAAGAGGACCTTCAAGGGTTACGAAGAAATTCACGTGCCACCTCCCAAGGCGAAGAAGGAGGCCGGCGAGAAGCTTCTCCCGACCACCGAACTGCCTGAATGGGCCCGTGTTGGATTTGGAACTTCCAAGGAACTCAACCGGATTCAGTCAAAGTGTTACCCCTCAGCTTTCCACGACGATGGAAACTTGCTCGTCTGTGCTCCCACAGGTTCCGGAAAGACTAACGTCGCCATGCTCACAATTCTCCGGGAAATCGGGAAAAACCGCAATCCCGAAACTGGAGAAATCATGCTTGATGACTTCAAGATTGTTTACATTTCTCCCTTGAAAGCTCTGGTACAAGAGCAAGTCGGTAACCTAGGAAAGCGTCTGGAACCCTATGGCATTCGAGTCTCCGAACTAACAGGTGATCGCCAACTCACCAAGCAACAAATCGCCGATACTCAGGTCATTGTTACTACCCCTGAAAAGTACGATGTTATAACTAGAAAGGCATCCGAGACTAGCTACACTAAACTCGTTCGTCTTATTGTCATTGACGAGATTCACCTTCTTCACGACGACCGTGGTCCCGTTCTTGAGAGCATCGTCAGCCGAACGATTCGCAGACAAGAGCAGACCGGAGAACCGGTACGAATCGTCGGTCTCAGTGCTACTCTTCCCAACTACCGTGACGTGGGAAGCTTCCTGCGTGCCGACCCCGTCAAAGGTGTATTCCACTTCGACGGCACTTACCGTCCTTGCCCCCTCAAGCAAGAATTCATTGGTGTCACCGACAAGAAGGCCATTAAGCAGCTGAAAACTATGAATGACATCTGCTACACCAAGGTCATGGAACAGGTCGGACAACGCCGAAACCAAATGCTTATTTTCGTCCACTCTCGGAAAGAAACAGCCAAGACTGCCAAGTACATCAGAGACAAGGCCCTCGAGAACGAAACCATTGGCCAAATTCTGCGCAGTGACGCAGCCAGCCGGGCTATTCTCTCTGAAGAAGCAGAGTCTGTCGATGATGCTGGTCTGAAGGACGTCTTGCCCTACGGCTTCGGAATTCACCACGCTGGTCTTAGTCTTGCTGATCGTGATTCCGTCCAAGCTCTTTTCGCAGATGGAAGCATTCAGGTTCTTGTTTGTACCTCGACTCTGGCTTGGGGTGTTAACCTTCCTGCCCACACTGTTATCATCAAGGGGACCCAAGTATACTCACCTGAGAAGGGTGCTTGGGTCGAGTTGAGTCCACAGGACGTCCTGCAGATGCTGGGACGAGCTGGTCGACCTCAATACGATACATTCGGTGAAGGTATCATTATCACGTCGCAAGCGGAGATTCAATACTACCTCTCACTTTTGAATCAGCAGCTGCCGATTGAGTCGCAGCTGATGAGCAAGTTAGCCGATAACCTGAATGCCGAGATTGTTCTTGGCAATGTCCGTACGCGCGATGAAGGTGTGGAGTGGCTAGGCTACACATACCTTTACGTTCGGATGCTCCGGTCACCTGGCCTGTACAGTGTCGGTGCAGACTACGAGAACGACGATGTCTTGGAACAGAAGCGAGTCGACCTCATCCACTCCGCCGCTGCTGTCCTTGAGAAGGCCGGCCTTGTCAAGTACGAAAAGAAGACAGGACGTTTGCAGTCAACCGAGCTTGGACGTATTTCCTCGCACTACTACATTGGTCACAACTCGATGTTGACTTACTCGCAACACCTCCAACCCTCCATCACAACCATCGAATTGTTCCGCATCTTCGCTCTTAGCGACGAGTTTAAGTACATTCCAGTCCGCCAGGATGAGAAGCTTGAGCTTGGAAAGCTGCTTGGTCGAGTTCCCGTTCCTGTCAAGGAAACCATTGACGAACCCCACGCGAAGATCAACGTCCTTTTGCAAGCCTATATCTCTCGACTCAAGCTTGATGGTCTTGCTTTGATGGCAGACATGGTCTATGTGACCCAATCTGCTGGACGTATCATCCGAGCCCTCTTCGAGATTTGCTTGAAGAAGGGTTGGTCCTCAGTAGCCAAGACTGCACTTGATCTTTGCAAAATGGCAGAGAAGCGCATGTGGCCAACTATGTCTCCCCTCCGCCAATTCCCGCACTGCCCTAGAGACGTTTTGCAGAAGGCCGAGCGAATTGATGTGCCCTGGAACAGTTACTTCGACTTGGATCCCCCGCGTATGGGCGAGCTTCTTGGCATGCCCAAGGCTGGGCGTGTTGTGTGTGACTTGGTGTCCAAGTTCCCCAGGCTGGATGTTCAGGCTCAAGTCCAACCCATCACGCGGTCCATGCTGCGCGTTGAGCTGACCATTTCGCCCAACTTTGTTTGGGATGATAATATACATGGCAACGCTCAAGATTTCTGGATTTTGGTTGAAGACTGCGATGGCGAGGAGATCTTGTTCCATGATAGATTCCTGCTTCGTGGTGAATTCGCCAAGTCGGAGATGAATGAGCATCTCGTTGAGTTCACCGTTCCCGTCACGGAGCCGATGCCCCCTAACTACTTCATCTCGCTGGTATCTGACCGATGGATGCATTCCGAGACCAAGATTGCTGTTTCTTTCCAGAAGCTGATTCTCCCCGAGCGCTTCCCTCCCCACACACCTTTGCTGGACATACAGCGCGCACCAGTCAAGGCGCTCAAGCGCGAGGATTACCAGGCATTGTATCCCGAATGGCAGCACTTCAACAAGATTCAATCCCAGGTCTTCAAGTCAGTCTTTGACACTGATGACAGCATTTTCCTTGGTGCCCCCACGGGCAGTGGCAAGACTGTCGTCGCTGAGTTGGCCCTGCTTCGGCACTGGGCAACTAAGGAGGGTGGCCGTGCGGTTTACATCGCTCCCTTCCAAGAGTTGGTCGACCACAGACTCGCTGATTGGCAGAAGCGCTTCAGTGGCCTTGATGGAGGAAAGACCATCCTCAAGCTTACGGGCGAAACCACGGCCGATCTTAAGATCTTGGAGCAGGCTGATCTCGTCCTTGCCACTCCCGGTCAGTGGGACGTCTTGTCTCGCCAGTGGCAGCGCCGTAAGAACATCCAGACCGTGCAGCTGTTTATCCCCGATGAACTCCACTTGCTGGGTGGCTACGCTGGATACGTCTACGAAGTCATCGTGTCTCGCATGCACTACATCGCCCTGCAAACTGAGAATGAAATGCGCATCGTTGGTCTGAGTGTGCCTCTTTCTAATGCCCGCGATATCGGAGAGTGGATCGGTGCCAACAAGCACACGATATTCAATTTCAGCCCGCATGCCCGTCCTGTGCCTCTGGAGCTTCACCTGCAATCCTTCACCATCCCTCACTTCCCCTCACTCATGCTGGCCATGGCTCGTCCCGCCTACCAGTCCATCCTGCAGCTCTCGCCTGACAAGCCCGCTCTTGTCTTTGTTCCTAGCCGTAAGCAAGTCCGTGCTACTGCCTTGGATCTACTATCAGCGTGTGCTATTGACAACGATGACGATCGCTTCCTGAACGCCGATGTCAGTGAACTTGCCCCGCTGCTTGAGCGTATCCACGAACAGACTCTCGCTCAGTCGCTTTCTCATGGTATTGGTTACTACCACGAGGCCCTGAACGCCACCGACAAGCGCATCGTCGCGCACCTCTTCCGCATCGGTGCGATCCAGGTGATGCTGGCCTCCAGGGAGGTTTGCTGGGAACTGGACATCACAGCCCATTTGGTAATTGTCATGAACACCCAATTCTTCGACGGCCGTGAGCATCGCTATATCGACTACCCCATCAGCGATATCTTGCAAATGTTCGGCAAGGCCTCTCGCCCTGGTGAGGATAAGCTGGGCCGTGGTGTTCTTATGGTGCCTGCAGTCAAGCGCGACTATTATAAGAAGTTCCTTAACGAGGCCCTGCCGGTCGAGAGCCACTTGCAGGTCTATCTTCACGATGCCTTTGTGACTGAAGCAAGCACACGGACCCTCTCCTCCACCCAGGATGCGGTTGATTGGATGACATACACCTACTTCTACCGCCGTCTTCTCGCCAACCCTAGCTTCTACGGTTTGAGTGATGTGAGCCACGAGGGCCTGAGCACGTTCCTGTCCGAGCTTGTCGAGAACACATTAAAGGAGTTGTCTGAGGCAAAGATCATCGACCTCGATGAGGAAGACGATAGTGTCTCGCCTCTGAACGCTGCCATGATCGGTGCTTATTACAACATCTCTTTCATCACAATGCAAACTTTCCTGCTTTCTCTTTCGTCTCGTACCAAGCTCAAGGGTATCCTGGAGATCGTCACTTCGGCGACCGAGTTCGAATCCATCCAGATTCGTCGCCATGAGAGTCACATTCTCCGCCGTGTTTACGACCGCTGTCCGGTTAAGATGGCTGAGGTTTCCTTCGACTCGCCTCACTTCAAGGCATTTGTCCTCCTCCAAGCCCACTTCTCCCGCATGCAACTCCCTCTTGATCTTGCCAAAGACCAGGAAGACATCATTCGCAAGGTCCTCAACCTTCTCAGCGCATGTGTTGACGTTCTCTCGTCCGAGGGTCATCTCAACGCAATGAATGCCATGGAGCTGTCGCAGATGGTTGTTCAGGCCATGTGGGATCGTGACAGCCCTCTGAAGCAGATCCCCCACTTCTCTCCCGATGTCATCAAGGTGGCTAATGAATACAAGTATGTGCCCCATCAGTCTCTGCCAATGTCTACCAATACTAATTGCTCTCCGTGCAGGATCAACGATATCTTTGAATTCATGGAAGCCATGGACCCATCTGAAAACAAGGACTACGCAGCCTTGGTCAAGCGACTCGGTCTTGACAACAAGCAATTGGCGCAAGCTGCGGCGTTCACCAACGAGAAGTACCCCAACATTGAGCTTGACTTTGAAGTCGAGGATCCCGACAACATCACTTCTGGTGAACCCTCATATCTCAAGGTCAAGATTGAGCGGGATATCGAAGAGGATGAAGAGCCCGACACCACCGTCCACGCACCCTTTTACCCCAACCCGAAGATGGAGAATTGGTGGTTGGTTGTCGGCGATGAGAAAACTAAGAGTTTATTGGCTATCAAACGTATCACGATCGGCCGCAAGTTGGAGCTCCGTCTGGAGTATGTTGTTCCCACACCTGGTGAGCATGAGCTGTCTCTCTACCTCATGAGTGACAGTTATGTTGGTGTTGACCAGGCGCCTACATTCTCCGTGAATGCGGCTGAGGGTATGGACGAAGATGAAAGTGAAGAAGAGGAAGAGTAAATTTTGATTTGAATTTGTAATAATAGTTTGGAGCTTTAGGATGCAAAAGGTGTTCTTGATTCATATTTTTCTATAAATATTGTCATGTTCATAAATTTACATTGTCTACTTTGTACACTGAGGAATATGTAGCCCTAGAGTTGTAGATGACTTCATATAGTTGTCTGTCTACTCCGTACTCCGTTCTGTACACTAACACTAACCCCGATCAGGGTCCACCCCGCAAGATTGTCCAGCCCCCCCCTTCTCCAATTCTCTTTTCACATCTGCTCTCTTCCATCTACTTATTATTAGACCCTTCACATATTCCATCGTTTTTTAAATCTTTCTCTACATCTACGTTGATCTTAGTCCATCTTCAGACCCTGTCGATCCTTCATTTAAAGCTTATTTTGAACCTTGAAAGCTCCTTAAGAGCTCCGTATCTTATCTACCCCCGTCTGATATGGCCATTCGCTCCATGAAGTTCACTCCCGAGTAAGTCGTCATGGTCAAACACACTTAACAATAACTCGAATCCCAATATACTTATGTATCCTGTTGGTGTTGAACTAACACAAACTCCAGGGTCCTCCTCGGCGCACCCAGGCGGTCCTCAGCCATCCCCAATGCAGCCGGGACGCTAGCAGTCTACACGCAGACCTCTTACTCCTTCGAGTCCCACTCCAAGACGAACGAGATCCGCGTCATAGACATCGAATCCGGCCGATCAGCCCTCATCACCAATGATCCCGGCGCCAGTAACCCGCAATGGGTAGACCACAGCGACCAGCTAGTTTGGCTGAAGACCAAAGCAAACGGCAACACCAGCTTTATAATCGGTGATGCTCGCCAGGCCGATAACACATACACTGCCGGTACGGTGCCAGGACCGGTATCGGATCTGAAGATCGCGGTCATCGAGCCCGGTAAGGTTGGCTTCGCTGTCACGGGCAAGGCCAATCCAGACGGTTCGCTGTATAACCCCCACGACGCGAAGAAGCCCTATACCACCGGAAAACTCTACACATCGCTCTTTGTCCGGCACTGGGATTCATATGTCGAACCTCAGAAGAACTCAATCTGGTATGGATTGCTGGAGCAAGCGCCTTTGTCGTCGGCCCTTAGACGGGCGGGCAAATACTCCGTCTCCGGATTGACGAACTTGATTCAAGTTTCCGGGCTGGCGGGTGTCGAGTCGCCTATTCCGCCTTTTGGTGGTACTGGTGACTTTGATATCAGCCCAACGGCTATTGTGTTTATTGCAAAGGATCCGAATCTCAACCCAGCGACTCATACTTCTTGCTCGTGTTACTATGCCCCCATGTTCTCGTGGACTAGTATGAGTGAACCCGATGCAAAGGTCTGTAAAGTTACTGGTCTTCAAGGAGCGATGTCGTCTCCTGTCCTTAACTCAGATGGTAGCTCTATCGCACTGCTGGCTATGCGTGAGGACGGCTATGAGTCTGATAAGAATCGCATTTTGTATGTTCCCAACCCGTGGGATGGCAACATGATTGAAATCTTTGGGTCGGAGGATGGTGAAGGGCTCTGGGACCTGAGTCCCTCAGCCGTGTCGTTCGCGCACGATGATAAGTCGCTGCTTCTTCACGTCGAGGAAGCAGGCCGTGGAGTCCTCTACCAGCTCCCTATCGAGAATGCGCAAAAGATCAAGCCGGATTCTCTCAAGAGACTGACCCGGTCGGGATACGTCAACGATGCGGTCCCCGCAGGGAACAACTCGTCCAAGCTTTTCGTGTCCAGCAGCAGTCTCGTCGACAACAGCCTGTGGACCATCATCGACCCCGCCCACCCCGACGACATACAAATGGTCTCATCAAACGGCCGAGGCGGCAGTGCATTCGGGCTATCCTCAACGCAGGTTGACGAGATCTGGTTCAAGGGCGCCGAAGACCACCCCGTTCACGCCTGGGTGGTGAAACCCTCCGACTTCAAGCCAGGCAATAGATATCCCCTCGCATACATGATCCACGGCGGTCCCCAGGGTGCCTGGAACGACCAGTGGAGCACACGCTGGAACCCGGCTGTGTTCGCCGAGCAGGGCTATGTCGTGATTACTCCCAACCCAACAGGAAGTACTGGCTACGGCCAGCCATTCACCGACGCAATCAAAGGACAATGGGGCGGTCGGCCTTACGAGGATATTGTCCGGGGATTCGACTACATTGAACAACATCTGCAGTATGTGGATACCACGCGGGCTGTGGCGCTCGGCGCTTCGTACGGTGGCTACATGATGAATTGGATCCAAGGCCATCTACTCGGACGCAAATTCAAGGCGTTGGTTACCCATGACGGTGTATTCAGTATGACTGGTCAACTGGCTAGTGAAGAGCAATACTTCCCCCTTCATGATTTGAAGGGTCCGATCTGGAAGGTCCCCGAGAACTGGGCGAAGTGGGATCCTTCGCGATTCACTGAGCATTGGAAGACGCCTCATCTCATCATTCATAATGAGTTGGATTATCGTCTTACCGTTGCCGAAGGTCTGGCTGCGTTCAACGTGCTTCAGCTACGTGGAGTTGATAGCGCGTTCTTGACGTTCCCGGATGAGAACCACTGGGTTCTCAATCCTGAAAATTCCCTTTTATGGCATCGAACTGTGCTAAATTGGATTAACAAATATGTTGGTCTTCCTCCTGTTTTCGAAGAACCTGATTTGGCGTCCGAAGTGAACAATCTCTCGCTTTGATTCTCTTTTTCTTTCTTTTTCTTTTTGAAGTCGAACAAGGGGTGGAAACGGAGGCAATGGGCGGCTAACGAGGTGAAACGTACTCCGTATATAATGGAACAAGGCTTTTCTTTTTCTGGAAACAAAAGATTTGCGCTCGAAATCAGGAATTTGTCTGACTATAAAGAAACCGGCTTGTTTCATTTCATTGTTGATTCTTTTCTTCTTGTCCAGCTGATTTCAACAATTGCATACTTCTCTACTCCTCTTTCTATACCTATTTTATATATATGAGGTCTCTTTTCCCTCGATGATAGTCCGGTATTCCATTCAGGTATCAAACTACCATTACACCAAGACTATCTTATTACATTATCGATTATATATCATCTATTATTCTATACACAATGCAAGACCCCCGGAGTCCAACCAGTCCCATCTCCCGCCACACCAGCATCTCCCATACAATCGAACGAACCCTTTCAATCTCCACACAAACACAAACACAAACACAAGAACCTCAAGAAACGCCAACTCCGACTCTTACCAGCGAAAACTTCCATCCTTCCTTCATTCCTCTCCTTCGCCACCTAGAAATCCGTCTGGCGCCCTTAGTAAACAACGTGACAGGCCTTACCCACCCCTCCTTCCCAGCAACAATGCTAGCCTACAACCTCCTAACTCACGACCAATGCGACGCACTCGCCCGCCACTATGATCAGGTCTGGCCGCCCACTAAGACATCCCACAATTACCCCGTTCCCATCCGACCGTGGGTTGGTTCGGAATTCGAGGCGCTAGTGGATTTGGATACGAAGAGACGACGCATTGGGCAGTTTATTGGGCTTCGGGGCTGTGAATCACCGATTTATGAGGCTAATGAGGAGATGGATATTGATATGGACGAGGAGGATGAGGGTGGAGATGGGAGTGTGGATGTCGATATGGATATAGATGAGACATTGAAACAGATGCAGGGCGAGTGGGATGAGGCGTTGAAGAGAGCTTGGAGGGAGGAAGGACATCGGTGGAATATGAAGTAATTCTTCTTTCTTCTTCTTTTCTTTCCATTTTGTTATAATACATATTCATCTGGCAGTTAGCGAACAACCTTGAAATTGCATTTCTTCTAGTAATTATGTTATGCCAAGGATTTGTCTCTACAAAATGGTACGGAGTTGGCGCCGTGGCTTGGATTACTTTAGCCGAAGCGGTTAAAGACGACCGAAGTACAAGATGCACAGGAGTTATATAGGCTAATTGCCTTTCTGGGGTAATCTAGAAGTCATAAATAACCTATTACCCATAAATTATCGCAGAATATAGCTGTTGGCAGATAATATATACTATATAAGTTCGCAACATCCGAGCCCTACAACTATACAATCCGAACCATGACGAGCCCCAAACCCTTAGTCTCACACATCTACACAGCAGATCCGTCAGCTCACGTTTTCAACAACAAGCTATACATCTACCCCTCACATGATCGCGAAACAACAATCAAATTCAACGACAATGGCGACCAATACGACATGGCCGACTATCATGTCCTCTCAATGGACGCCCCAGGAGGCGAGGTAACAGACCACGGCGTTGTCCTCCGCGACAGTGACATCCCCTGGGTCTCAAAGCAGCTCTGGGCCCCAGACGCAGCAACCAAGAACGGGAAATTTTACCTCTTCTTCCCGGCCCGAGACAAAGAGAACCTCTTCCGCATCGGTGTTGCTGTCGCCGATAAGCCAGAAGGACCGTTCGTCCCACAAGACAACTTCATTGCTGGCAGCTACAGCATCGACCCTGCAGTATTCGTCGATGTCGACGCGGGCAACGAAGCGTACCTGTACATGGGCGGGATCTGGGGCGGACAGTTACAATGCTGGGTTCCTGGCGAAGAAGGAAGGGAGGAGATTGATATCGACGGAAACACAAAGCGCCTCGTCTTTGATTCCTCTCTATCCGGCCCCCAGGAGCCATCCGGTGCAGGCGTACGAGCGCTCGGTCCACGCGTGGCACGGTTAAGCGATGACATGTTAAGTCTTGCGTCTTCGGTGCATGAAATTGCCATTCTGGCACCTGAAACCGGGGAGCCACTTCTGGCGGATGATCATGAGCGCCGGTTTTTCGAGGCTGCTTGGATGCATCGTTATCAGGGGACGTATTATTTCTCGTACTCGACGGGCGATACACATTTCTTGGCCTATGCAACTGGGGAGTCGCCGCTAGGGCCGTTTACGTATCGGGGCCGAATTCTGGACCCAGTACTAGGGTGGACAACGCACCATTCTATTGTTGAGTTTGGGGGAAAGTGGTTTTTGTTTTATCATGATTGTGAGCTTTCGAAGGGTGTGGATCACTTGAGGTCCGTGAAGATGAGGGAGATTGTTTATGACAAGGAAGGGGGGATTCATCTTGCTGAGTAGATTATATTGTTCAGGCTACATTTATCGTGAATAATTGTTGATACTGCTTCAATGGCCCATACCTTTCTCCCAGTTCTCTTGGACTAATTTCCAGTACTTCTCGCGTGAGCGTTCGCGGAAAGTCTTGCCGTACAGAATCATGATGAAGAATACCGCTGCACAGCCCATGCCAACGAAAGCGGCAGAAATAAAGCAGTTCTGGTATCCCATGTTCTCAACCCAGGGCGTGATACCGTAACCGATGGCAAAGGACATGGTGTTCCGGATCAAGATGACGCTGGCCATAGCGACACCACTCAGCTCTCGATAGCTGTCAATGAAATAGTTGACACTCAAGGTGATACCGCAAACATTGGTGAAGGCTAACACGCACATGGCAACGATCAGGCCAAACCAGTGAATATCGTGGGCTGCACCAACTCCCCAGAGAAGCAAAGAGAAGGGGATAAGCACTAGACAAGCGAGGAATGGCCATAGACGGTGTTCTGCTTCCATGACTCCGTTATTTCGCCGGGCGAGTTTGATTGTCAGCCAATCGCTGAAGCGGCCGGTGAAGAGGGATCTATATATATTAGCTATAACCGTATATCTGCAGGACGATTAGAGTATTTACCCTAATATCACGCCCAGACAGGGTGCTAGGTAACTCAGACCAACCATCGAAGATCTATGTTGATTAGCAGAAGACTTTTTGATTCAGAGATGGTACTAACCCAAAGTTATAGGGCGCTCCACCGAGAATGATCGACGCGGTTCCATTGAGGATATTGAAAAGAATCAGATAGGATCCGTATGAGAAGCTGATTCCATATTAGCCAGAACCCGCACCAAGACAAAACAAGAACATACCCAGCATAGAAAATGACCGGCCAGGACAGATAATACATAATTTGCCACAATCGGCGAAACATAGTATTCTGCTTTTGACGAGGCCCCAGAAGCGACAATTTCTTCGCATAAGACTTCTTAGTATATACCGTCCCAGCCTCAGCGGCTTCAGAATCAGCATCCGGAACAGATTTTTCGTGTTCACCACTGTTCTCGCTCACGGTTGATGAGTCAGTGCGCACCACAGTGGCCGGCTGCTCAACGTATTCTCGTACGTAGTTGGTTTCTTCGCAGAAGAAGAATAGGAATATAATTGCGAAGCCGGCGAATATGCTGGGCCAGTAGAACACCCAGCGCCAGCCTTGATATTCGGCGATGAAGCCGCAGATCACCGGTGCAAAGTAGTTACTGCCTGCTAGAAAGAATGCATAGAGGCCCATGTATGTTCCTCGCTCGTGGGTGAAATACTGTTTGTTTTATGTCAGTGTGACCGGGGTTATTTAGACTGAAGACAAACTCACCACGTCGGTAACGGAGATCTCAGGAATAGCCTCTACGGGTGCTGTAAAAAATCCCGATATGACGGATCTTGCGATCCATTGGCCGTTGGTGTGCGCGTACGGTCTTGACAAGGTTAGTAGGGCTGTATTGGATTTCATTGTCTGAAGCTTACCCCCACATCGTCACGCCCTAGATGGTGTCAGGTTGAAGTCTATGTAGAGAAAGTCGATAGGCACATACCAATATACCAATTAACGACATAATATATGTCGGCCTCTTGCCATACTGCATAGCAAAAGGCTGCCAAAACAACAATCCCCATCCAGCAAGTAGGAACATATACCCGGTTCCTTCATTGAGGGTACTGACCGACAAACCTGTTGCTTCATGAAGTGGTGTAATTACCGAATAGACCACCGAGCAAGCAATTCCAGAAAACAAAGTATATCTAAGCGAATTAGTCGAGCATTCTTAGCTATTCGACGGGGAATCAGATCAACACTCACACACTCACACAGATCGTAGAAAGAATTTTCCGCCTACGACTCCAATTGAGTGGATCATCTGGGTCATTCGAGGGCGTAGGGACAAGCACAATGTCCTGATCTCCACGGGCTAAGTGCTGGGTCGCCAGGACATGGTTGACATCGACCAGAGTAAGAGTGCCGGGAATGGCTGTACTGTCAATGACAGGTGCCATGTTTGAAGTGTAAATGTCGTTGTGTTGGGAACTATGTATCAACAGAAGATCATATTATAGGGTGAGATTGTGTAACAAGGGGGGGGGGGGGGGGTAATTGGAGACCAATATGCGGAGATAGGGAACGTATGTATAAAAGAAGCATAGATCAGCCCGAGGTTATTTGACTAGTTCGACTTGTTATCTGAGGAGAAAAGTGAACATAACCAATAAGAAGATGAGTTTTAGGATATACGTATATATTGTTAAGGAATTTATATACAAATGTAGGTTAAAACATCACAAATAAGTAACAAAACAAATAGATAGCATTCTCAGCGCTAAGATTAGCTACCTAAAAAGATTTAAATAGGGATTGTATCAGAAGAAATAATGATAATTATGCATGCCCGCAATAAACCATTCAACTAGCTAGACTTCTAAACTACTCGACCACTAAAAGTAACAAATCGGTGGAGTCAAATCGATAGTTTCCCTTCCTAATGCGGTAATATGCTTTACACTTTTCCTCACAGAAACGCCCCGAGGAATTCTTGACTGCGCCTCCATAATGCCTGAGCACTTTCTTCGCCAGCCGGGAAGTCAAGATGTGGTAATTTGAGAGCCTGGCAATGGTTTAAAAAGGCTCCAGACTCTTCTGCGATATCATATCAGTACATGTAAATATATAGATATGCTTCAAGGATATCAATTGAATATGATTGGGTGTGCTCCTCAGAACAAGATACGACTTCTCACCTTGTAGATCCGGATCAAGCAATCCACGCAGTATCGTCGCACTGCCCTGAGCAAGAGATTTCGGCGTTTGCTGCAGAGAAACCGGTATCTCTTCGCCTTCTGATAAAGATATAGTCAGATCGTGTCAGAATCTCGGTCAAATGGCGAACCTATTCTCTTCCGTTCTAGCCACGACTCCATTTGATCCATGGAGATATATGTTTGCACATTGGTCTTGGTATCTGCACAGAAATCAGATGGCCAATCCCTCCAATCAGACTTCGAGCAGACTCACTCCCTGGATTTGCCGAGAACGCGGCAATAGATCGATCCCCACACATCTTCGATAGAGACTTGGCGAACAAGATCATCGCCAGCATGGACTGCGAGTATCCTTCCAGACAATGATAGTCTTCTCCATTCTGCACGAATCAGCGCCAGATCTAGCTCTACACAAAGCAAATCTAATCACCGAAAACCGGACATCAACCCACGTCGGCGCTGGCGCCTCAGTCCGCACACAAGACGTCACAAGAACGACCCTCGACCCATGCACCATGTCATCTAGCAATATATTAACAAGCAAGAAATAGCACAGATAGTTGCGCTGGAAATGCGACTCATGCCCATCACCCGTCATCTCCCACGGCACAGCCATCACAGAGGGAAATCCGATAAACCCGTCAATCTGCAGGCCCATTTTCTTAATTGTGCGTCCTGCTTCGTGGAAGGAGGCCAGACTACTTGTGTCCGCTGTGACGAAGACCATGTTCACTTTCTTGTATTTGCGGCTGATGTGGTCGATTACGTGCTGGATCTCGGACTTGCAGTGGCCAGTGCAAATTAATGTTGCCGCGCCGGCGGCAGCAAGGGCATCTGCCGTTGAGGCGGCTAGGTCGCCTCTTTTAGGCCTGCTAGGATGACTGCGGGTGTCAGTGGCCTAGGTGGGTTTGGTTGGGGGTTGTGGCTGTGTACATGTCTTGCCCTGTACCTGTTCAGGGAACAGACGGGTGATGTCTGCGCCGTGGGTTTGGTCGTCGAATGTGTGGCTCATGGCGTAGGGGCTTTGATGGGTGAAGTGTGAGTTGGATTTCTAATTAATCTGAACAGTGCTGTAAAGTTGGGATGATTGAGGTCAATGGCATTGTTTCGTCATTATGAAGCCATCCAGCAGGAGAGTATCAACCGCCTAAACATAAATCAAGAGAATGCCAATTGCAAATTGCTGTTTCATAAAGACACGCTGAGAAGGTTTCAGATGATAATAAATAGTGGACAGGTTGCCCAACGCATATATACTGTACAGCCAAAAGAAATAAAATAAAAAAACAATACGGAGCCTGCCGGTGAAAATAGGGAGACGCAACTAATGAGATGGTCCTGAAACGTCATCTTCAGGCATCTGCTCAATAACACCCTTCATGAGCTCGATCAGCTCCTCGATATCAGGTCGCTCCGAGGGCTCAACCGTGAGGCACTTGCGAACGACATCCTTGACAGGTTCACTGATCGCCGGCTCGTCGGCCTTTGATGCATCCCCACTTTCACCAGACTTGGCTTTACCCTTGGAAGCACCGGACTTCTCATCGGGGAACCGCCAATCGCCACCAAGAACACACATGCTCAAGCTACCACCCGTTTCTTCGCTGCGAGCCTCGAAGGGACTCTTGCCAACCAAGCAGGCATACAGCGTGCAACCAAGCGACCAAACATCAACCTTAGTATCGATGATGGAACCAGTCTTCACATCGAAAAGCTCCGGTGCGCGGTACGGCATTGTGCTGTGTTCGGCGGCGGTATCTTGGACCGCCAACGCGAGTGATCGAGAGGTAATAGCGATTGGACTGGGCGCCAAAGAGCCCAAATCCATCAAAATCGGTGTTTGTCCATTATCCGCGATCATGATGTTGCCTGTAACTGATTAGCTTGTGTTATGACCTCGACGGCCGCCAAACTCACCAGGTTTGACATCTCGATGCGCATAAGGACGCAGATCTCCATCCTCAACACCCTCCTGGCTCTGAGTGACCTCGTTGTCCATAAGAGGCTCATTTTCTTCATCCTCCTCCTCGTTTCCGCGATGACTAGCCCGTCTCTTGGGTTTCATCTGCATCGTCCGTTCCCCATCCGCCTCCTCCCCTTCCCTCCTGACGGCCTTCGCCTTCCGCGTAGACGCCGCACCACTCTTGACACGGTAGTGGTGCATCGCGCGGAGCGCATCCGCGACACCGAGCATCAAAACCATCAACCGCTTCTCTGGGAATTTAGTGTGGTTGACGAGATTGGCGTTGATGGCATCTTGTAGGTTACCACGCTGGTAGTATGGGAGGAGAATGTAGACGGTCTTAGAGCCTGGCTCGCCGCCATCGGATCGGAATTTGGAGCCGGATTCTGTGGAGACGCAGTGGTCGATTGAGTGGATGATGTTCTTTTGCGAGTTGAATAGATTGTAGGCTTCGACTTCTTTCAGTGCTTGCGATACGGATTCTTGTCCGAAGGGGCATCTGATTTTCTTGAGCGCAAATAGCTCGGAGCTGGCCTTATCTTGTACGAGGTAGACATAAGAGAATCCGCCCTACGTCGTGTCAGTCTGGCCAGGTTGCAGTTGGGGTACGTTCTTACCTCGCCAAGTAGGCGCAAGAGCTTGAAGTTGCGATTGTTGATCTTCAGCTGTGGGGAGCTGGGGAAACAACACATGCAATCTGTGAAGTTGTACAGGAGGTCGAAGAAGTATTGCGCCATGGTGTAGCCAATGCGATGTGTAGTAGTAGGATGTATTGGCCGGTGGAACCGGATACAGTATAGGAGATGCGTGTATCAACCAGAATAAACCAATAGACAAAATATCTGGAGATGTGCAGGAATCGAGTTGGCTTCAATGGAAGGTGAAAGGTACATGCGGAGGTGAAAGTGTTTGGAGTCGATTACGCAGAGTCCCCCGAGTGTGGAGTTCAACAATTATTTGTTGTCCCTCTCTCCCCCCTTTCTTAGTCCTGATGCTGTGAATATCTCACTCTTTTCACATCGAGATTCCTATCTGGATAGATCGGATCTCTATTCTCTTTATTACTCTCCTTTGTTTCTTTTGCCCAATCGCCATGGTTGGAGTTGGGCAGTCAAATTAATATCCTTGCATTGACACTCCCTCTACTTCAATTTTGACCCTTCCAGGGGCTAATAATATTTGCCGGACCTTTTCACTTCTTTTAAAGAAGAAACCCTCATCTCATTTTTTACCTAACCATACCACCATTTATATCCCTTACCAATGGCTTTCGACGATGTACAGATCGGGGACGTGGTCAATGTCCCGGGTGGCATGTATGGGACAATCAAATACTTGGGATCGGTATCCGGGAAGCCCGGACGATTTGCAGGTGTCGAGCTCAGTTCCGAACATGCACAACGAGGCAAAAACAACGGCGATGTCGACGGCCGCAAGTACTTTGTGACTTCGATCCCGGGCTCCGGTATCTTCGTTCCTATGAACAATAACAAGTATGTCACGCGACGATCAACCTCCAATATATCTACACCGATTACACCGGCGCGTGGGGGACCCGTTAATTTCAGTAAATCTGTCGGCGGAGCTCTCACTACGCCTCGTCCTCGCGTCCGACGGCCGTCCCTCCCTCGACCGGAATCCCCACGCGTTCCCCCTCCGAAATTGAGTCTCAGTGGCCTCCGTACACCATCAGCAGCATCCCGTAGTGGCTTGACCAGTGCCCAGCGAAGCCCCGTCAAGGCTCCATCCCGACTGTCCGATCGACCCTCTTCACGGATCAGCACTGAAGATGATGCTTCTTCATATGGACGACCCTCGGATTTCCGTCGGCCAAGCTCGTCGGGAACTCAAGAACTAAAGGATCAGATAAAAAGTCTAGAAAAGCAGCTGCTGGATCGCGATAGGCAGTTGGAAGAGCAGTCTGGGACTCTAGACGAATTCCAGAGAACATTGGTGGAAATGGAAGGATCGGATGGAGTTTCGATCCGTACCCAGCTTCGTGAGCGCAATGAACGAATCGTGCAGCTGACGTCGGAATTCGACGGCCACCGCGCAGACTTCCGAAGCACCCTCGACACATTGGAAATTGCGGCCTCCGAGACCGAACGCGTCTACGAGCAGCGGCTCGACGAGCTCATGCAGCAGAACAAGGAACTTCTAGACCGCAGCGAAGATGTCGAGGTTGTTGCGCAGCAGCTCAAACAATTGGAAGAATTGGTCTCGGAATTGGAGGAAGGACTCGAGGATGCCAGACGCGGCGAGGCAGAGGCCAGAGCCGAAGTCGAGTTCCTGCGCGGCGAGGTCGAACGCACCAAGTTGGAGCTGAAGAAGGAGCGTGATCACTCGGCTGCCGCGTTGCAAGGCGCTGCAGGCGGGTCTCGAAGCAGTAGTGAATTGGACCAAAAGGACGATGAGATTCGAGGACTCAAGGCCATTATCCATTCTTTGAGTCGGGGGAACCCCCCAGCAGGATTGAACCAGAACGGTGACTCCGATGATCATAACTCAGAGCACCTAGATGAATTAGAGCAGCGACTCCGCGAGGTTGAAGAGACCGCGGGCCTCAAGGACTCTCGGATTGAAGCCCTCGAGCGCGAATTGCAAGAAATGCACCACCAATCCAGTCGCGACCGCAGCTCTACCGTCACTCTTTCGCCCAAACAACACAAACCATCTCACTCTGCGGGCAACATCTCAAATCATTCTAACAACAACAACAACCCCCACCGTCTCTCAGACCGCACAGTTGTTCCAACCGACTGGCATGACGCCCCTTCCGAACCCCGCCACCTCCGCAACGGTTCCAACAACTCGCAATCACGTCTAGAAACCATGCATGAATCTGAACGCTCTTCCGACGAAGACACAATGTGGTGTGAAATTTGTGAAACGGGCGGCCACGACATCCTCAACTGCACCAGCATGTTCGGATCCGGCCAGAATTCCAATATCAAGCCCAAGCATACAGAAGAGCCCGTCGATGAGCCCGAAGAGCCAATTGAGAAAACGGAGCCCCTGCAGACCAAGGAACCCGTTCAGTCCTCCCCCCAAAAGACAGGAAAGGACGTTGTCATGGAAGGCCTGAAGGGCATTGGCGGGCTAGGCTCGTCTATGGCGCCTATTGCGGGAAAGTTGTCAGGTGTCATTGATGAGTCGAAGTGGTGCGCTCTGTGTGAGCGTGATGGCCACGAGAGCATTGATTGTCCGTTTGATGAGTAATGGATATACGAGCATGACGGGAACAGCATGGCTTGGGTTTTCTTGTACATGGGTTTCCGGGGTGTTATTTTTCGGGGATGGGAGGTGATTTGGTGGTGATTGTCGCTTCACTGTAATAAATGCATTGGTAATAATGTTGTATACTCACATTCTACATTCTTAGCTACACATATCTACTACTCCGTCATTAATTCTGATAATTTCGGGACGATGGTATCGAGGGACTGTTCATGGTTTTTCATGTCTTCATACAAGGGTTTTAATTATCCTCCAAGGTACAAATGTTGAATTCATCACTCGTTACCACCATAGTGTCTCGATAATAGTTCATCCATCCATCCATATATGTATGAATGTATCATTTATACATTTGACGGCTGCACAATCTCTCCATCCGCATACCTCGAAGCAGCAATTTCCCCACAAGCCTTACACTTCCTCTTCTCCTCATCACCTGCGAATTCCTCAACAACATCCTTGACCTGAGTCCCCAAATCAACACAGACAAACTGCTTCTCCCACACAATACTCTTGCAATTCCTACAATACCACCTCATAGCATCGACAGCACCCGGTGCCCGGGGCTGCTCCATCACAACACCGACAGTATCCTTGAATCGCACAGGGCAGTGTGGAGTGTTTGCAGGTAGTAAGAAGATCGAGCCTTCATGGACAGGAATGTCTTGGAATGTTGGAGGTGTGGTTGTCACATCGACTGTCTTTAGAAGCATTGAGCCTCGATATTGGTAGAAGAATTCTGGGGTGGTGTTGATGTGGAAGTCGGTTCGGGCGTTTGGTCCGCCTACTATCATTACTGTGTAGCCGGCAGTTGCCTCTAATGAGGGGTGGTAGACGCAGTAATTGTTTACTGGTGGTTGAAGGAGATGAGAGTTCTCTTCGAGCCTGCATTGTGCCATTGATTAGCTTGTTGACATTTCGGGAGCTTCATGCGACGGTCCCGCGATGATTCATGCAATCATTAATCATGGTGGGGGTGGGATATATGGGAATATTGGTGGCTTACCATTTTGGGATGTTGAGCGCTGGAGGAAGCATTGTGAAAATGGTAATTCTTGACTCTTCTGGACAAGATATAACAAGTTGTGATTATGATGTTCAAGTGAGTTGTTGGAGTAGAAGAAATTCAAGTTGATACAGATTTCGGAGATATCAATTCCCCCCCGGACTTAAGGATCGGCACCGGATCAACTTTGACCCACCAATTTTTCTTTTTCATCGAGACCCTGCAATATCACCGAAAGAGAAAAAAGAGATAGTCTCAAAGCACAAAATGGCAACCTCTCAACCCCCATTGCGGTTTACAACCCATCACAATCTAGTATATCGTCTAGTATTGTCCACCCTCACCGGCCGCACAGTCCACATCTCACAAATTCGCGCTTCGTCGCCCACGAACCCAGGTCTTGCGCCTCATGAAATTTCTTTCCTCCGCCTCTTGGATGCAGTCACCAATGGCTCCCAAATGGAGATCTCATACACAGGAACTGTCCTTGTTTACAAACCCGGTCTGATCACAGGCAGCACATCCGGCACAGGAGCCGCCGGCGGCATGATCACCTATGAGCTTCCTTCAAACTGCAACCGCGGTCTCAGCTACTACCTCATCCCCCTCTGCCTGATGGCACCCTTCGCAAAAGCACCCATGAAGGTCCTTTTCACCGGTCCCGGTGTTATCACCTCCTCCACCCCGACAGGCGATATGTCCGTTGACAGCGTTCGAACTGCCATCCTCCCTCTCTACAACCAATTCGGTATCTTCAACAACATCGAGCTCCGCATTCTCAAGCGATCGAACCCCGGTCCGACGGGTCGTGGAGGCGGCGGCGAGGTTCAGCTTGTCTTCGGTCACCAAGTCCGTCTGCCGAAGACTCTGCATTTGATGAATCCTGGTCGCATAAAGCGCATCCGTGGTGTCGTATATTCCGTCGGTGTGTCGGGTTCCAATAACGCTCGCATGATCGAGACCGCCCGTGGTATTCTCAACCCCCTCAGTCCCGATACATATATTTTCTCCGACGTCGCGAACGCACCCTTGGTGCCAGCACCGGACAAGACCAACCCCTCCGCGAAGAAGAAGATCGGTCTTGGCTTCGGTCTGTCTCTGGTAGCGGAGTCATCCACAGGATGTCTCTTCTCGGCTGATGTCGCATCCCCACCATCCGGTGGTACTGCTCCTGAAGATATTGGAAAGCAGTGCGCATACCAACTTTTGGAGAATGTCGCCAAGGGAGGCTGCGTGGCTCCCGCTGCCGCCGCTACCATGTTCACCCTCATGACCATGGGCTCCGAAGATGTGGGCCGGCTCCAGGTCGGCCGCGAGGTGATTGCCGATCCGAGTGTGGTCCAGCTCGCCCGCGACCTGTCCAAGTTTGGTGCTCCTGGTTGGGGTATCCGCGATGCAGCAGGCGAGAACGAGCACGGAGATGTTATTGTCAGTGTTGTTGGCCGTGGAATCGGCAATGTCGGCAGAAAGGTTGCTTAAGCTACGTGTTTTGCTGTACCACACCCCGAATCCACCAAGGGGTCTTTGCCAAAGAACCTGGAAGTGTCTTGGCCACTTCTTCCTCAATCGAGGGCATACATGGTCACGTGGTAGTCTATATGCCGTTGGGCTTCTGGTCGTCCAGTACGCTTCAAGACTGAGCTCGGTCATGGCTGCCATGACCCTGAGTCGTCGCTTCAATACCGAAATCATAGCGACCGAACTTTCTGCGCCACAAGACATGTTGTACATTACTTTTCTGTCAACATCATGATACCCAATCTACAAAATTTGCATTACTGTTTGCCGAGAGCATGACGATTATATAACTGAATGCATCCTCCCAATCTACCTCTCGTTTCTGGCGGTTCCTCGTAAATTCTACCTTACCTCAAACTAGAAAGAGGTTCTTCCCACGCTTACCCGATCAAGCCATGGCAAGATGAATTTAAAGTAAAGTTAAACGTGATTCTGCATGTTCGTCTCTGTTCCACAGGCATTTCTTCGTCGGATTAAGAACGGTAGTAAAAGTTTACACCATTCACCTCCCCAGCCCTCCGCTTCCCAATCAATATGCGGCTCTCAGATACACATATCCCCTCATTTCTCTCATTTCCTTTTGCTTTTCTTCTCTTGATAATATTTGGTTGTATTGTATGTGTGTTCGTTGTTGAAGCTGTGGAAAGTACATCTTCAAACTTGTAGCCCGGGCTGCGGGATCGATTGTCTACTTTAAGTGAGTGAACATGTATGTTGGAGTCCTAGTATGTATCCTCAAGGATCGATGGCTTCTCTAGTGATACGGGTATTGATTAGGATCTATTGTTTACGCCGGCGGAGATGAGGCAGGCGTGCCAAAACACGTGTTACTATCGATGACCTGGCATTAATTACTGGTCCTGATCATCGTTTCACTTATTCTCACACGCAGGGTTTGAAAAGACGAGACTATCGCAGAGCTGACTGGTCTATTGTCAGTCCCAAATGTTGGATGTAGCAGCTCAGAGGGCCAGGACTTACTCTGCCTCAATATGATCTCAGAATCACTGGATTCTGGATCGTACACTTTGCTACTTGTCTCGAATGCTTCCTGGCTAGAACCACTGATCTCATCACGCTTCTTCACGCGCTTCACATACCTCACAATCTGGCTGGACTGCGATATCAGATAACGGACGCACTCAACGCGTCCCGATAAACAATATGGCATCTGAACACTCTTTCTGGCCTCTTTTAGGGCTTGCTGATCCTCATAGACCTTGTACATCGTGGCTTGCATCCATTCACTCGACTCTCATGATGTCTCTCACACGCACATCACACTGCGTTCTTTGCGGCCCTCCAATACTTTGTGAGAGCTGATACTTCTCATGCTTACTTCTACGGGTGTATACAATCATTTATATCGACTTTGACTCAAGATCTTGATACTCAACTCGTTGCATCATTGCCCTCCTCCTCGTCTCACTGCCGATCTCATCTCCCGGATTGCCCTTTTCGGTCCAGTCCCTTCCTAATAGGAGTCAACTGGAGGTAAACAGAGGTCATTATATCCTCATCGTGAACTCATTGCCGCCCATTACTTAGGCAACACCTGAACAACACGATCAAACACGATGAGTCACTCGAGTCTCCTGTTAGACATTATAAATACTCCCATCGATCCTCCGATTCTACTTTTCTTTTTTCTCCTCTACACATATCTTGTTCCATTTTTGCCCACGTACAGCCATCCTCTGCATCTTTGTCATATTTTGCATATTTTGCATCTTGGTCAAAATCTCTTACTCTTCTTTTCTCATCTTCTTTTTCTCTTCCTGTGTGCCCTCATCGCGTTGCATCTTTTGCATCTTTTGCATCTTCTGCATCTTCTACATCTTCTGCATCTTCCCCTTTCATTTGCATTTACATTTCCCTATTTCTTCTCGCATGTTCTCGCATCTCTCTATTTAGCCTTGCGATCTATTTCTTGTCGGGGCATGGCCTTGTTCCATGTCCTGGCTTGAAGCCATTTATTTTGCCATTTACCCCCAACGCGGCTCGCACCTCATCGTGGTGTTGGGGTCTAGTAGTCCTTCGGGATGAAGCTAAGACGAGCCTTGAGATTTACTTCTACTTAGGTAGTTTCTTTGTTAACTCTTTCAACTTCTCTTCTCTTCTCCCATGTAGTTTCTCTTGTAACCTAATTTCCCTTGTATCTAGTATATCTCTTCTGTTGTATGTCCTCTAGTGTAGCTTCTCTTGTAGCTTCCCTTGTACATGCATATGCAGATTCTATCTTCTCTTCTCTCTTGCAACTTATAATTTCTCTTGTATGTCTCTCGTATGTCTAGTACCGACTCAACTCTCAGTATTGATATTTGATCTAGCTACAGCACCCACTTTGCTCTCTATCTAAACATGTTGGGTCTCTTTCTTTCATGTCACTATAATAATATGAATGATTCCCTGAAAGCAATGTTCCAAATTTAGTCTCAAGCAAATGGTGACTCTAAAATGTGTGGTCAAATTCGCGCGTCTGTATACCAAATCCCCGGTCGCGTCGACCAGGTCAACAAACCATTTTTCAATCAAGATGCAATTCCTATTTAGTGTTTGATCTGCCAAATCAAGAAATTTACTTCTCTACATTCAAAATACATAGTAACACATTTTTGAAAGATTTCATGGACAAAAATACGGTCGGCGCATGACGGCTGTTATCCCCACCCGTCAGCCCTCCGGTGAAGCCCTAACTTGCTCAATGACTTACATCCAACAATATTTCAGAGTCCTCTTGACCAGACATCTCACCGCAATCTGTAAATCTTCACCCGCAACCTCAGAAACGTCCTCACCCTCCCCGATCCCAATCTTTCTCGTTGCAAACACATCAACAAACAACAAACAACCTTCTCAGACTCAGCCAAACAAGCTGGAATCAAACTCCTAGTGACCACCGCTCCTATGCCACCAAAGCTGTGATTTTTCCTAACAGGGTAGAAGATGTGGCACGTTTTGCATGTACAGACCGAGGCGTGCGCACATCCCAAGGGCCAGGTTAGGATAGTGGTGGCTCAAAATAAGTCTCAGAAGCGGGTTTAACATCTCAATAAACTGAGGATGAAGCAGAGGATTCTTCGGTATTGTGTAGAGAATGGCAAAGGCCGGGGAATTGGTTGGTGGGCTGCTTGGAGGCTGCGCTTGTGGCTTGGTGTTGCGAGATAGGCAAAGAGGTAAGATATCACCGACTGAGACGCGAATGAGGATAAAGTTGGAAGATAGGGCGAAGCCAAGGGGCGAGGATTCGTTCGGCTACGGTTCGCATGCAAACAATTCGAAGACTTCGAAGACTTCTGAGGGCCTGTGTCACAGATTCGATCCTCTCTCCTTGTAACGACGGGATTTGATACTCGAACAGTTGTTTCCAGGCTCTTGGGGTAGTCAGTGAACTGGGACATGTCTAGGGTAATGCTCGATGTGTGGTGCTAGCCATTGACTTGATGATGACTCAGATGGGCTCGAATTCTAAAAATAATGTAAGCTTCGTTTTCCAATGCACTTGAACAACAGTCTCAGACATTGAAAGCTATAAAGCTATTGCCTGTCATTCCAGGTAGCCAGCTCTCCCTGAATTGCAAGACGTTCGAGAATGGCACATCCTCCGGCGAAGGAGAGTCCAAACCAAAGGCAAGCAGAATTTATCATTTGGTCTGGAATCTTCAGCAAAACAGCATCGAAATTGTTCAAACTTGAATTGTCCTTGTGACTCGTTGTATTGTGGTAGAATCTTGTCAAGGCATCCGTAGAGCCAGCCGTTGAAAGCCATTTGTGGCACTTGTCTCTGTTTTTCTTTTGTCGCAACTCTTCACTCGTCTTGCTCAGGGTGATTTTTCAACTTTGATTCTTTTCAGGTTCAAAGGGTTTGGACAAGTCGAATTGCCGTGGAGGAAATAACCCGTCAACGGGATTCAAATAGGCAGGAGGTAGAGACAACGCAAATCTTGGCATTTTCTTCGCTTAATAGAGCGTTCCGTTGCAGTTTATTCAAATGATGAAGTTCGGCTGGATTGAATATATAACTATGGATGATCTGAAGTAATATAGTAGCTAATTCGTTGATGAAATCAATATCGATCATACAAATTCTACAATGCAGGCAATAATTTCTCCATTGCGAATCTAAAAGCCATGTAACTATTCATCTACTATGTCACAGAAAGAACTTGCCTGCATTCACTTTTGAGCTTGTTGCGACAAATTGCACTATCAAACATTCACCTAGTGTTTATAACCTCGCACGGTTCTTTGGACATGTCGGCCAGGTGATACCATTTAGCCACGCACTCATCATACTCCGAGTCAATGGCGGCATTTCGCAACCAATTCACAACCTTGAGTTCATTCTGAGTGTCTGGGTGATCGTCTCCAACGCACCAAAGATCAACTTCCAACTGTTTCTCTGCCCAAAGCAGTGCCATCTTCGTGTCTTTCAACTCCAAACAGAACTTGGCAGCATTGTAGTAACTAGAAAAGTGTCAGAAAGCCATCCAGCTGATCGAGAAATGCCACTCACGAGATAGCTAGGGCCCTAATTGCCAAGCCCTCCGACTCCTGTTGGGCAGCCATTTCCTGTGCGATTCGCAAAGCCTGTCTGAAAGACATGTCCGTTCCAATGAGGACCTGAACACCGAGTTCTCGATCCAGTTTCTGCAGCTCAATCCGCTTAAGCTCTTTCTTCTTGCCTTCTGGTGTATCCTCGCATGCGGGACAGGTGCATGTGAATCCCCATTTATCCAATTCTTTCTGGCGCTGGCTGCGACTGCGATTTGTGACATCCGGATACATGATTGTTAATTCCTCGCCAGCCGTGATATCGCGTACGCAATCCAAGGTTTCTTGTTCAATGGATCTATTGAATGAAAAATGGGTATTGGGAAGACAGGAGTGGTTGAAACGCGAGCCACGAAGGAACACAGTGCCGAAGGCGTTTGCTGCATAGATGGAAAATATTGTGCGTTGTACCTCTGGGATATCGATCCAATCTTTCTTCATCTCGTGCTCGACAACACGCGCGAATGAGTCGGTCGAACAGCTGTGGAGGCTTAAGTAGAAGCTCTGTCTTTCACGTGGAAGGAGTTCGAACGCGTTCAGAATATCATGCGGTCTTAGATTTTTGGAATTGTCGTGTCCCAGGTCAAGCAGAGGTAGCTCCGAGAGAACACGGGTGCCTCGTGGGATGTTGACTTTGGCAAACACACCAAGGCCTTTGCCTGCTGATTCTCTGACCTCGATGAGATCGGTTTCATCTGGAAGGGATTTAGTTTCTGCGACTTCGAGCTGGGCCTGGTTTCATACAGTGGTTCATAGTTCCCATTCTCTTTGTAGATCAACGCATGGTCTATGAGTGCAGAGGTAAAACCTGAGTTGATCAAGAGAGAAAAAATCAAACCGATGAGACGTTGTGATCTCTTTGGAAGTTTAGGCTTGTGGCCATGCATACCTGGCTGATAAGTGTGCAATGGCAAACAACACTCACCTTTCCTTTCACATGTGCACATATGGAGATTAAAGCTACAAGCTTGAAAAAGTCATTCTTGTCTGAACTTTCACTTTGACGAGCTAGGATGGATCCATTCTTGCCTATGTCTTGAATGATCAGATAGAACGATCTCTTCAAAGGAATGTCTTTGATATTTAAACCTTTCAGAGCCTTTGGTCCTAAATGGCTATCCTATATCTGGTATAATCTTGATATTGCGGCCGGGCATTATACCTTACACCAGTTGACTGAGTTTCCTAGGCTGGGACTGTCTTAGCATTGGAAATGATAGATTTATCAAAACATTGACTGGTAAGGGAGAAAGTCTGATCATATAATGTGAAATGGCTTCGTCATGGTTCTATTTCTATACTAAACTCTAGTAGATGCAAGATCGCAATGGTCAGATGAAGCCGAACGCCAGCGATGCGAAATCAAACAGATTCAAAAGAAAATTCCCATAGGAGCCAAAAAGAAGAACCAGAAAGAGAGGGGGGCCAAGTGCTTGAACGCTTTTGAAATAATGGAAATGGGAGTCAAGGTGTGGTCATAATGAGCAAGGAGATGATGGAGGTATGCAAAAGATGAGACGAAACAAAAAGTATGCGGTAGAAGGGAAAGATACACAACATGAAGGATCAAAGAGAAAAAGAAGAAGAAAAATGTTCGATCGGAAGTGAGTCTACTCAGACACATCCTCATCCTTACCAGGATACATGATATCCTGGCGATAAACAGCCCGGATATGACTGACAAAGACAAAGAGGAACATACAGACAATGCAAATGGACATAGCTGACCCAACACCCTTGATGGCCGTACTATTAAACGCATTACCAAGGGTGATAGTGGCAATGGTAAAGCCAGTGTTAGGGAACACCATAGCCCACCAGGAGAGATGGAAGCTCGTAGGCGGGGAGCGAATAACAGCAATAGCTGCAACACAAAAGAACCAGAAGCTCAAAGCCCATAAAAATGCACCAGCAGCAAGCGCCAGAATCTCCAGCATCCGCCCATCAGCGGCGCTGTCCTCGCTATCCAGCACGCTGAATGTCTCTGGCAGACCACGCGCCATGCCGACGAGCGCAAGGGCCGTGAAAGCGGGCGGACCGACGCAGATGAACATTCCGGGACGGTGTTCTCGGTTTGGCAGGCCTGACTCCATGAGTCGGCCGATGTAGTGCGAGTACATCATGAAGGAAATGCAGAATCCGAGGCCTTGGAAGGTTATGCCGGCTGTGACGATTGGGATGGCGGAGCGGTCTGGTTGGCGCTCCGCGATGACGGAGGCGATGGTTCCGCTGAGCATGACTGGGAAGGCCGGGAGAATCCACGAAGGCATCATTGTTTGAAGGCGGTATGTATGCGAGGAGAAGAGGAAGGAGTATTGGATGACTGCGACGGAGAAGGTGCAGACGCAGTAGATCCAGAAGAGGACTTCGAGAGCAGTAGAGAAGGCTTGTTCCGGGTCGTCGCCGAAGTATTTCTCCAGGCCGGTGACTATTGTTGCGATGGAGAGCCAGAAGGTCGGGAAGAAGAGGCCTTCGCGGTCGTGCGCGAGGGAACTGAGCATTCCGCCGTGGATGATGAAGCGGGCGGCCATTAGGGAGCAGACTAGGGCAAATAGGAGGATGTTGACTAGGTAGACCGCGAGGCCGATTTCATAAAGGCCTTGGAAAGTGTTGGGTTGGTTGGCTATGAGAAGGGCGAGACCTCCTGCACTCATGGTTAAAGTGTACCATGCCCACGTGAAATGACGAAGACGTTGACGGAAGCCCAGAGGAATATGCTTTTCGGACTTTTCAGTGTCCATGAAGGGTTTATCGGAGTGGGAAGAACTGGGTGGGACTTCATAACTGTTGGGGTAGGCCCCCAGTAGAATTGGGTTGGACATGATTGAATGATTGGATGGTTGAATGCGATGGACAAAAGCCCTGAGGTATGAAAGAAGTATAGAGACGAATGGAATTGACTATAGACCAATGGGTCTTAGAAACAAAATGAGCAAGGCTAGAATGAAGTCGAAAGATGAATTGAATGAATTGGATGGATAGCTAAGAAAAGAACTAGGAAGAGGAGATGTTAATATACTTCAGGAGAACGGGCAGCAATGGCATCAAATTCAGAATCACAAATGCCTAGAGGGATTGAAGATCAAGCCAAGAAAGTTCCAAGACCAGTGTGCTTGAGAACGGAAGACCAAGGATATAGAGACAATGAAGAGTGTCAAACGGACCTACCAGCGACGCGAACGCTATCTCAAGCCCCATAAATTCGGCAAACCAAGAAATTCATAAGAATAGATCGGCCCAGGGTGTTGGGCTTAGACGATTCATAGAGTGCATCAGGGGTTAGTGCAGGGGGATTCCGGGAGAACAGAGATCCACCACAGTCTGGGCAGATGATAGTATACCGGAAGCACTACTCCATAGTATACAGAAATTGGCGAGGCCGGAGAGTACGTGGACTTTCGCCAAGAAATGTCGTCGATGCGTAACCCTTTGCCTGCGCACTGAAGATGATTTGATGCAATGTACAAGTACAAGACCGGTTGTCAATCTATCAATATATCAGTCTCCGTAAGTCAAATCGTCGTCAAACCATATAAAGCACTCGAAAACCACCCCCCTGTTAGTACAGAGTCACACAATGATGAATCTCAATGCCGTTATTCGGGCCGATGGTGAGCTTCCAAGCAATGCAGAAGCAGCCCGAAGGCCCCCGATAGGAGACAGATGAAAGTTTAATGCGCCAAACGCCAAGGACGATGATCGACAGAGCAACATAGACGGTCCGCTGCCAAGCTTTAGTTCGGGTGGCTGTGAGAGAATGGAAAGGGGATTGGGTGGAAAATGGTGATGGATCCTAGGTAACACAATTGCGTGGAAGCTGGTTTGACGAAGTTGATCAAAGTGGATAGTACAATATTGTACTCCATACGTCGTTGTGCTATTGTATGCATCATAAAACACGCAAAGGTGGCGAGAGACAAGAAAAGAAACAAGTTGACGTTGATCCCTTTTCAATTCTTTTCCTTGGCATTTCTTTCCCTCTGAACTGCGTTTATCTTCACACAGCCCTCTGCCAATTCAACACTATTGACATCCGATCCTCGCCAAGAGATAACATTGTAACATGGATGTTTGTCGATCTTTAAATTTTCATTTCAAGGGGGGTTCATGCTTATTCTTGGTCGCTTAACTCGGTGACCCTTTGTTGATATGACTATGCCAAGATGCCCAGATGCCCAGGCTTCATCGTGATACTCCTGAAAAAAATGCAATGAAACATTCTCAAAGATGGGATCTTTCACATGTTACTAAGATCCTGGACCCTTTCCACTCTACACTCTACAGTGAATTCTAGGGCACTATGGGGCTGGTGGATCTACAACTTGGGCACTGAACCACCGAGAGTATGAGTATGGGATCTGAATGAAACAACTCCGGGGGTCAACCCCTTCAAATGTCAATTGAAATCAAGTGGAAGAACGCTCATCCGGACATCAAACAAAAAGCAAGATTATGCGCCTCGGAAAAGGACAAACGACAATGACAAATTGCAATTATGCACACCTAGACACACTCTCCAGGGTAGCAATGCATGAACCGAAAGTTCTGCAGAAATCGAAATTCTGGACCCCTGGGCATCAATGCCCCCATTATCCAATCACAGCGCCAAATCTCACATCATGCGATAAACAAGATCAGAAGCCAACTCCGTCGTCATATCCAGCAGTGACCTCAGACTTCTTGGCGCACTCTCCATTTTCTCTTGAGGTAAAGGCGTTACCGCTGCCGATTCATCAGCACGATACCTCGCCAATTCCTTGACCTTGCAAGCAGCGTAATGCACGACCAGCCTGCGGAGCTCATTCTCTCGAAGCTGCGTCGCAGACGTCGGTGAGATGGGTTCCAGCCGGGCGGTTTTCGTGTATGCGTAGTGTACGAGGTCGAGGACCATCTGGGCCCTCGAGGCTGCCAAGGGACTATTATCGAGGGGCAGGGTGAGGAGATCGGCGTGGAGCTTGCGGAGACAGAGCTGGGCGAGGGCCGGGATCAAGTAGCGGGTGGCGAAGACGTAGACCTTTGCGTGGAAAGTTAGGTAGGGGAGGGTTGGTGGGGTAGTTGACTTGGGGGTTGTCTCTTCATTGTATTGGAGAGAGGCGAATTCCTCCCAGAGACTGAGGCCTGGCTCGCAGGGCGAGGAAGCTTGTTGGTTGGCGAAGGACATGTCCAGCATTGGTCTTTGGCGGGTTCGGTTGTTGGTTTGGTTTTGAGTCCACGAATCTTCCATTGATGGTGTTACGGGTGCGGACTTGGACTCAGGCCATTCTTCCACTGGCTGTGGTGGCTCAGGCTCAGGCTCAGCATCTGCTGGCCACTCGGGCTCTGCAGAATACTCTTCTGGTTTTGCCTTGGAATAGGTGGGAGGTGTCGATGGCGGCGTGAGGCTGGCTGGCTCACATTCTGGGATTTCGTCTTCCATAGGCGCTGGCTCTGGCTCTGGCTCGTTGCCTCCATTACCTTTCTTCTCTTTCTTCTTCTTTAGATCTTTCTTTTTCTTTAGATCTTTCTTCTTTTTTTCTTTCTTCGACGACGTCTTGACTGGTTGTTCCAGTCCCCATGGCTCAGGTTCCTCAGCTGGAGCCGCGGCAGGCTCGTCAGTCACTTCAGGAAACTCTTGGGCGGGAGCAGATAGTGGTGCCTCCTCCTCCTCCCCCGGTGCAGCGTCCGTCTCAAATGCCTCGATATGATCTTCAGGCACTAGCTCTACTGCTGGCTCAGGCTCCGCCGCAGTGGTCACCGACCCCAATATCAATGTATCAGGCTGCGACTCCTGGTACGCAGATCCAGAGGCCGAGCCATAACCGCGGCGATGCTCGGGAGGCGGTGTCGGTGCATGCGGGGGCACCGCGGAGGAAGAGACTGAAGCAGTTCGGTATGTGTCTCTCCAAGTGGCGGTACTGGGCGCACTCTCTACGACTCCAACTCCAGGATCTTCCTCTAGCTCCGGCTCCGGCTCCGGCTCCGGCTCGGGGCGAGGCACGCTGTAATCACCGGTGTATGCATATTCGCAAAATGCGACGAAAGTTTCGACATCCTCGTCCTCCAGTACGGCGATTCGGTGTTTTGATTCTCTTGTATGGCCATTCATGAGATTATGCAGCGGTTTAGAGACATGCTGAGCGAGACCCGATTGGATTGTCAGCTTAGTGTGCTTTGGGCCGACAAGGAAGGTGAACGACGGTGAGTGGATGATACTGTGTCTGTTAGAGAGGTCCTAACTATAGTGTGTAGATGCGATTCTACCTGCTATAATCGCGGATGGAATCCATGAGTGTTCTTCTCGACTTGAAAGGTGAAAAAGAAAAAAAATAGGTCGGAACGATCTCTTTAACACGCAGAACTAATCTTTTAAATAATTCACCCGAATCCCGACAGAGAAGTTAGCCACAGCTACGTGTGCAGCTCTGATGGGGAACAGACTGACGCCCCATTTATACTAGAACTAACAAGATTTAACTGAACCTGATTTAATAGCGCTAGCAGACAGCACTGACACTTGGAATCGATGCGAAATGGGACCGAAACACCGACTGATTTGACTGATTTGACTGTAGTACTTGGTACTCCCAGCTACTTCAGTCCTTACACCACGTATTCTTTGTCCTGTCGAACGCAATTATCATGCAACAGACTCCAAATGTGCATTAAAGCGTCATCCGCTATCAGCGAAGGGAAATTCCACAGCTCAGACCTCTACGTGCCGAGATGGGGATGCATGAACTAGGATTGTCGGCTGACAGCCATTTTTGTGCCCAATCCCAGCATGTCAACAACCCAATCTGTGGCCTCACTGGCTGATTTTCTGTCGAAATCCATAGCGTCTTCTTTTGCTGGAATTTGAAGCTTCGATTTTGTTTTTTATTGGAAGTTTTTAAACGTGGCGGTCAACAGCTGTCCAACGGCCTATAGCCAAATATAGGCATAGCCATAGAAAGGCTGTTATGATCAACGTCATATTGTTTGGATATTTTGTGATATGATACCTCTTGGATTTGAAATTGGATATTGATCTCAAATGACTTCGGGTCCACGGTGCTCTTGCATCTTTGACAGGTTGAGTATATATCGCCCTCCTTTGCTGGAAGCTGTAATATACTGAACACGTAGGTATAACTATAAACCTACCCTTTCATGTCACATCGCCTTTCGCCTTCTGCCTTCTAGAATAAATGATATAAACAAGCACATACTTGCATATAGGTATACAATAGCGTAATTCTACAGTCATTATCTACAAGAGCAGGATCTACTCAGATACCTCCAAAGTCATATACACACACAATATCTCAACCACACATCCACCGACTGTAAATATCCACAATCAGCTAGTGTGCATCAACCGAATCTCCGTGTTCCCAGGTTCCCACTCCCTCAGTCCTTCCCCAACACTGTACCAAAACCGCAACCGAATGCACTCCTTCCTCGCAGCCTCCAAATCACCCTTCTCAAATGCCCTTCCCAAACGCTCAACACACTCCAAAACCCGCCCCTCATTCTCCTTTTTCAAAGCATTGATCTGGCTCTCCGCTTCAGCGGTTGCCCCAACCTCCTCGATAGTCTCCTGCACCTCCATGACCTCCATCAGCGTCTCGGGATCAAGAGCGTGCTTGGTCGCTGCATCTTCGGCTGTGACATCGATCCCGTGCCATTCGCGTAGGATGTACTGTGCGCGCTGGAGCGGGTCGAGCAGTGTGCGGTAGGCTTCGTTGATTCGCGCGGACAGACCCTCTGCATGTTGCTTTTGAGTCCCGTTGGGAAATTTGTCTGGGTGGACTAGGCCTTGGAGTTGGAGGAATTCGCGCTTGAGGTCTGCTATGGAGATTGCGAAGGGGGCGGCGGGGGGTGGGCCTGATGGGAGAGTTTTGGCGAAGATTGTGTAGTGATTTGTTATGTCTGGTGCACCAGCCAGTGCTGGACCGATTGGTTCTGCTGAGGACTTTGTTGAAGCATAGCGCGTGCTTGCTTGGGGAATTTGTGTTTGCCAGAAGTTTGTCAACATCTTTGCTGGTTGGTGATGCTGAGCATTTTGGCTGGCGATCGATAGTGAATGTGTTGGCCTTGAAAGTGGTGAGTATACTGGGCGACAAAGGCGCAGGGCAACTTTCTGACGGAAAGCCATTGTGATGGTTGACAGTGACAGTGACAGTGCAGCTCTGCGGATAAAATACCCTCGGTCTCTATCTGATAACTTTACGTCATCCCCGCAACTTGCACGTGACCAAATATGAACTATAAACAGGGCCTGCTACACATTCTGGTTGTGTTTGCTGAAAGAATCTGATACATTGAAGGCTGAGAAGGGTCGGAGTCGATTTGACCGACATAAGGGTATAAGGGCTGATGGCATTCAAGGCGATTGCACGCAACGTACATTGTATACAGGCTGAGGATGTAGATCTGGTTCTTCCAAATCATATCCAAGAGATAGATGATAGTCTCGCTGATTGACCAATCTTCTACATCCTCGAGAATCAATAGAGAGTAACAAGAGTCCCTCATTCAATCCCCCAAAGCTTCACTGTGCGATCATGACCACAGCTGGCAATCCACTTCGCGTCGTGGCTGACATCGGCACTCAGGACATTACCCGAGTGACCGCTCAAGGTTTTCACCAAGGACCAATCATCCACACTGAAGACATTGACATTCTTGTCAAATCCACTGCTCACAAAGAACGTGCCCGATTTCTTGGGTTGGACGGGCTCTTTTGCGTCTGAGCCATCAATATCCATCTGATCTGCGGAAGGCAAGAAAGAAGTAGACTCTGCTCCTTTATACCAGCGGAGATCAGAGACTAAACTCTTGTGGGCTCCAATACCACCAGTGCTCCGGACTTGTCGCAGATCCCAGCATTTGACCCAGCCATCGCCAGAGCCGGAAAGCACCCGGTAACCATCAACACCCCAGTCCAGACCGTAGATCTCCCGAATATGACCCTCGAGAATCATCACTGTGCGTCCTGTTCGCAAATCCCAGATTCGTCCATTACTGTCAAATCCACCACTAGCCACCAATGAGCCATCATTATTGAATGCCACAGTGTAGACTTCTCGTGAATGACCTTCTTGCAGCAGTAGCTCGGTTTCCTTCTCAAGGTCCCACAGCCGCCACGTAGTATCGAAAGATGCAGACGCTGCATATCGGCCAGAGGGGTGGAATTCCGTGCGACATACACGTCCAGAGTGTCCAGATAGCGTCGCCAATGGCTTATTCTGATCAAGAGCCCAGAGATTGATATTCCCTTCTCCTCCTCCCGAAATCAGATTGACATTTGATGGAGAGACATTCGATCCAGGCAGCGTGGCACCAGGAGCCCACGACAAACCACCCACACGATCAACATGACCTTTCAAATTGGCCGTCTCTTCCAAATTAGGCACAGTAAGTAATTTGATCCCACCGGCCCAGTTTCCAGCCGCAATCGTCTGCCCATCCGGCGAGAACCGACAAATGCTAACGGGCCGATCTCCAGCAATCTGCGACCCGAATAACTCGAATCCTTCTAATTTTTCCTTGACGGCCTTCCGGTGCTTGACATGTGTTCGGAGTGGAATTGTCGATTCCTCCTTCAATCGAGCGACTCGTGCCTTCGCGCGCGGTAAAGAGTAACGTGCGATATCCTTGCGCGCATCGAGTAAAGCGTCGCTGCCGACTGTGTAAAATTCTTCTTGTTGTTCGCCTTCTTCCTCGGCTTCGGGTTCTTCCATTTCGATGTCCCCGCCTTGTTCGTCCGCCATGTCGGTCAGCAGTTCGCGGAGTCGGTCTCGTCGGTCTGAAGGACCTTCGCCAAATAGCGTGATCGGCTCGCCGAGCTCTAGTAGTCGTGCGCGGACTCTGGTGTCATCGGTTGGTACTACCATTGCTGCTGCTCGGCGTTTCCGCTCGAATTGCGATAGAATGGCGGAGGCGCGCGAGGAGGGGATTCCTGCTTCTGCGGAGGGCATGTCATAGTCACGATCGACCGCTGTAGTTTGGATATAATTAGCTGGAGACCTGAAAGATGTGCTGGAGCGCGACTCACGAAGATCGGCGAAGTTGACCATGTCTGTGTCCTCCTCGACATATGCTTGTCGAGCTGGGTGCATCATCTTGGGCGGTTGGAAGCGCAAGCTTCAGTAGCTCAAGTAAGATGTATGGATTAAAGAAGTTGTAAATTAAGTAAGTGAATGGGGTAGTTATTTGGAGAAGAGAAGAACAGCGGGAAGATTGTTGCGGGCGGCAGAATTGATGGAGGTTTGCTGGCGGTAGACCAAAGGTGTAGTGGAAGTATACGATTTGTCTCCATGAGACTATGACAGGTTGGAATTGTGAATAATGCAATTACAGAATATCTAAAACAACTGTTCTATCTGAATGTTCCAAAGTCATCATTCACAATATCCTAAGTCTATATATATATTTCTGCCTAAATCCTCAGGTATCAACAAAAAAATCCATGACGCCAGGCGGTCGACGATAAGAGCGGGTACAATCTTATCCGTTGAGATTCACTTGGCTTTGGGATTTTTTTTAACCTTTTGGACAACTATCCTTATACATAATTTCGTGTTCCCTCGCATATCTTTATACAGCGCAAAAATGATCGCGCCAAGTGTTTCCAGTAGAGCCTGCAGCACAGCCTGCAGTAGTCTCTATGCCATTCGAGACAGCCTTTACACATTCTCCCTATCTCAACATATCCCCAGACAACGAACACACCTCACCAAAATTCGATTCTTCCATAGCACAAGACAACACAACAGCTCCAAAATTTCCTACCGCGTTGCCGTCTCCTCAAGTGGCAAAAACCGCCGCTTTCATCCCCTTAAAAACGTTTACAACTTCGACCCCTCCGGCCCAGCACTCGGCGTAACAAAAGAAACAAACTCCGTCAGCCGCCGCCGCACCCGCCCAGACAGCGGCGAAGATGCCTTTTTCGTCAGCAGAATCGGTAACAGAATCTCAGATCACCAAGAAGGCAACGCCGAGGCCGTCGCCTTCGCCGTCGCGGACGGCGTCGGTGGCTGGACTGAGTCCCGCGTCGATCCGGCAGACTTCTCGCACGGCTTGTGCGGGTACATGGCACACACGGCGGAGACATGGCATGAGCCTGCTGAGGCATTGCGGCCCAAACACCTGCTTCAGGCAGGGTATGATCGCGTCGTTGCTGATCCGACGATTCGCGCCGGTGGCAGTACAGCGTCTGTTGGGGTGGCATTGCCAGATGGGAGGGTTGAATTGGCGAATTTGGGAGATTCCGGGTCTGTGCTGGTGAGGAGGGCCGCTGTGCATTCTTACTCGGTGCCGCAGACGCATGGGTTTAATACGCCTTTTCAGTTGAGCGTTATTCCGCCGAGGATGCGCGCACAGGCGAATGTTTTCGGGGGTGCATTTTTGGAGGATTTCCCTAAGGATGCGTCTGTTACCAATGTGCAAATGGTGCATGGGGATGTGCTGATCCTGGCCACTGATGGTGTTTTTGATAATTTGAATAATCAGGATATCCTCAAACTTGTCACCAGTCGCATGGTCATGACTGGTGCTTGGACAGCGACCGAGTCTGGTGTTGGTGTTTCGGAGAATTTGCGAGCTTTGGCTGCGCCGGGTGGAGTGGCCGATGCACTTCCTACACCATCAGGTTCGGCCCTTTCGAAGGAGGATTCCGATTCTAGACTGGATGAGGCCACGTTGCAGTCTGTCCTTGCTTCTACCATTGCTGGGGAGGCGAAGAAGGCCAGCGTTGACTATCGTCGTGATGGGCCTTTTGCGAAGGAGGCTCAACGGTACTATCCTGGTGATTACTACCGCGGCGGAAAGGTCGATGATATTTGTGTTGTGGTAGTTGTTGCAGTCGATGACAGTGCGAGTGCAAAGGTCTAAGATGAGATTCGACTGAACCTGTTTTCTCTTGTTCGGCATATAAAATAGCATGTGCATATAGAAGGCGCAGGGATATCTGATTTGCATGTACTTTACATTCGATAGAGACTTTCATGATTATTATCATTAATAATCAACCCTATTGCATGGGATTTTACTGTTGTAAGACTTGCGCAGAACATGCAATAGAACACTTATGTTTCATTAAAGATTCCTGCTTTGATACAATGAACATGTCCTTCCATACGTTGATCTCCTTCCACAACACCGTTTCTTCCTCAATCCCTTTCTTCACTGGTTGACTAGCGAACGGAGTGCACCGTCCGAAAGCCAAGGCCCAGGTCACTTCATGCTGGGGAAACCCCCATGTACAAACGTAGTCGGTGAAAACTGAAGTTAAAAAAAGAACAATCACATTTTCCATTGCTTCGAAGCTGGTTGGCTGGTTGCTCAAGCCTCGTATCCCAGTATTGCATAGACAAGTTACAGATAAGAAAAAAGCACCAAAAAAACACGACGGAAGCGCGTAGATTGAAACAGAGACAGAGAAGCGAACAAGCAAACATTATGAAACGCAAAAGGACTGAAGCAAGAAAGTAGACATCTCATCGCAATCGTGGATCTCAGACTTAAGCAGCAGCCTCCGCAGCTGGCTCCTCGGCTGGCTTGTCCTCAGTTTCAGCAGGCTTTTCGGTTTTCTCTGTCGATTCCTCGGTTGGCTTCTCGATATCTGCAACCTCCTTCGCGGGCTCAAGAGCCTTCTCTGCCTCCGCATCAGGCATCAGTGAATCAGCGTCATCCTTGGCCGACTTGGACTCGGGCTCCTTCTCCTCTTCGGTCTCCAGCTTCGGGGTATCGGCGCCATCCTCCTCCTTAGATCCGTTGGCGGTAGGCTTGTCGCTCTTGTCAGCAGGAACGGGGGTATCTGCGTCCAAGACATTCTTCCAGTTCGACAAGATGCTCATGGCGCGTTGACGGAAGCTGAACTCCTCGTCGCGGGGGATCGCATTCAGCTTAACAATCATCTTCAAGACCTTGTTAATCTTGGTAGACCGGATGATGGACACCTCCAAGTCGGAGTGCTTCTCCAACTTGTCAAAGTAAGTCGCCATGTTGGCCATTTCATCTTCCTTGGGAGGTGTTTCGCGGGAAATGAAGCCCTTCTGGAGCTTGTGGCGGAGGAACAGAACTGTAAGGTATAAGTGATCCTGGTCGGCACGCAGGGCAAAGGGGAGCTTGTGAAAAGGGATAGGGGGCCTGGGAATAGGGGTGTGCGTACTTTCTTTCTCCTTCTTTTTCTTGAGCTCCTCGGGGTCAATGGGCTTCTCTGATTCCTTCGCATCAGCGCTGTTGTCGTCGTCGCTAGGGGAAGCAGCGGCCTTTCCCTTCTTGGCAGGCGCCTTTCTTTTGCTGGCCGGGGTTTTCTTTTCCTCGGCGGGAGCCTTGGGAGTAGTCAACTTGAGCTTCGTGTTGGTCTTGGGAGTCTTAGCCGGCTATATTTTTGCAAATGAGCGGGGTTAATCAAAATGAAATGCAGTACATCTTACCTTCTCAGCCTCTGCATCAGTCTCAACGTCCTTCTTACGCTTCTTTGAGGCAGACTTGGTCTTCTTGGAATCATCTGCGTCCTCCATTTCGATATCAGTCTCAGCGCCCTTGGACTTGCGCTTGCCTTTCTTGGCCTCCTTAGCAGCCTTGGCTGCCTCCTTCTCGGCTTCCTCAGCCTCGAGCTCGGCTTCTTCCTGCTCAATGGCTGCCTGATGATCATTGATAACCTTCTTGAAGTATTTGAGATCGTGGCCCTCAGATGCGACCTTGTAGGCAGTGATAAGCTGTTTGGTCTTGTTCTTCTCAGAAATATCCTTGCATTCGGCAGGATCGAGGGGAGTCAGGTTTGTGTTGGGGACCCAAGCGCTGTGGGAAAAAAAGAATCAATCAGTAAATAGCTCGCATCGGGTGCAAAGGGCGCGTGCCAACTTACAACTCATTGGTGGCGAAGAACATGACGGGAAAAGTGCGCTCATGAGTGCGGCGACCACCATCGGCATATTCACCCTTGTAAGAGCCATCCTTTTGCATGGCAGTGACAGGACGGGCCTCGAGAAGGCTCTCGGGTAGAATCTCGTCGTCACAAATGATAGAAGGCCAAGGCGCATAGCTGCGCAGGCGCGCAAGATAGTATTGGCCCGGCTTGGCGTCGAGGTGAGTGATGCGACTCTGAGACTTCTTTCGGTTCAGCTTTGGTGTAGCACCGGAAGAGACGCGGCGGTTTTTGGCAGACTTCTTAGCAGAAGCAGGGGTTCCGTTGGCCTCCGCGGGCACAGCCTCATCGGCAGGAGCAGCTTCAGCGTCGCCATCGGCCTTGGCCTCCGGAGCCTCGGAAGCAGGCTTCTCAGTTTCAGCAGTAGCTTCAGCCTCGGGCTTGTCGGTCGCGACTGCGCTTTCTAAGAAGATGGAGATTAGCGGTTGTCGCACAAAGATGGGGGGCCCCGGCCGCGGAACAGTATTGTAAGATAAAAATAAGGAGGAATGAATGTGATTCAGGCGATGCTTACCGGTAGTCTTGTCGTCGGAGACAGTCACTTTCTCGGACTTGGAGTCAATCTGCTCGGCGCGGTCGTTGTCGCCAACGGGCGCGGAGACAGTATCATCAGCCATGGTAAGCAAATGGGTGGATGTAATTGAGTTGAGGAAGGGGGGTGTGTTGGTTGAGGGAGCTTCCAGGGGAGATGTGGAGAAGAAGAGCGTAGAGTCGCGAAAGGCGGAACTTCAGAACGCGTCTGAGAACGGAAACCACAATGACGCCACTCAACTTGGGACAATTTTCCGATCTTGAGAGAACTTGATGTTGATTTTGATTTCTCTTTTTCAATTTTCTTGTTTCTCATGTATTTGCTTTTTTCTTGTTTTCATTGAGAACAATTGCAAACAGAGGGTTGCACACTGCGCCTTGGGTTCTCTCTGAATAGCTTTGCAGATATTATTCTTCATGCAAGACGAGTTGCTCACAAAGAAAAAGAGGCTCGAAATTTCGCTGTCGATAGGTCGACTAGCATTCCATGTCAGAGCCCATATATCACGGTCAAGATCAGTTGCGACTTAGCCCTTGGGGGTATCTTGAGATCCTGAGTATGGGATATTGGATATGTTCGTAGAGATGCCGGCGCACCAAGAATGCAGTGGTGCAGTAGATAGATTTCTCAAGTTCAGCATCAATTGTATATGTCGCTGAAATGATAGCTATATAGTTATGTTAGTCAAGTCAATTGTATGAAGCATTGAGCAACCCAACCTCGATAATGGCCACAGTGTAAAGTGACGTGTTCCTTTCGTGGCGTACCTCATATAATGAACATGTCGAATGTATACCAATCCAACTGAATATATACTCTTTGTATCTGTGGTCTGTGTAATATCCATTGATCGTTAATTCACGAAATTTAATAGGCCATGTCGATATAATCTCATATTGTAGTCCGGAGCCAAGTTGAAACTGAAGTCGAGGCTAAACCACTTGGAATATCTGTAAAGTATAGACTAGATTGAATTATTAGAATTCACTCAACGTGTGGCTTGTTGTCTTGATAGTCTTCACACCTAGAATCCATGTCTAGTCCCTATTGTGAAGTTCAAGTAGGCACCTTTCAATTTAGAGATTGGTATTGAACATCAAAAGAGAAGCAGGTTGGAGACCTATTTTTCCACTTGAGAAGAGAACCTGAGAAAGTGAAAACATTCGAAAAAGAGAAACTTCAGACTTCCTGGTGTTTCTTACTTCTGCAGGGTAATCTCTGTAAGCACGCAACGGGAGAATTCCCCTGTCTTCTTTGATTTCTTTGCAATTAGTTAGAACCACAAAATTCCTTTTCTATAATTCTATAATTCTATAGTTAGGTTACTCCATGGTCTATTGCTCTATTGCTTTAGTGAAGTGGTTTTGTTACTATTCAACGCGGTAAGGACTATCTACGCATGTCAGTAGTCATTATAGGCATGCAGGAATATACAAAGGAGGCCTAAACCAGAAGGTCACTGAAGGTATGCTTTTTTTGTGTAACATAAAAATATCCATTCCTGGTAACTAGGTATAGACTGAAGAGTGACTTGAAGAAAGATCGAAGGATACCCAATAAGAGGATCAGGACTCTCAATCTATTTCGTAAGACAGAAGGTATATGAAGAAAAAGGTAAGGATAACCAAAGTTCATATACACACATCATTAACCAGAATCATCTGGGGGGTTTCATACAGGGTATCAAATTCTAAAACACGGATACAGACCACGAGCCATCGAAAGCCAGCACAACCAGCACTTATAGGGTTCCAGACTCCGACCCGCTCTCACTCGGAGTGCGACTCTCGCCGGGGATGTCCATGAGGGACGGCTCGGGCTTGTGGATGCGGACAAGGCAAAGAAAGTAATCTTCCAGAGGCAGAAGGTTGAGCAGCACAGCATTAAAGTACCAGCCTAGAGCGCACACGAGGGCTCCGGCAACCGCATCGAGAATGAAATGGTTGGCAGTGGCAACGATGGCGACCAGAATGGTGAACGGATAGAGGAAACCGAGTGCGAGGCATACAAGACGGCGCCACGAGGGGAGAGTCAGACGTAAGGACCGGGTCAGGCGAGATCGGAGGACGGTGCGTTTATGTTGCGGTGTCAAAGGGATTGTCATGATTGTCAGACCAATCATAAGGGAATAACCGAAATGCAATGAAGGCATTGCCGCTGATAAGATGTTAATAATCAGACATCAGGATTCAGGATCCAGACCAAAAATTACTCACCGTACTGATTGCAGAAGCGGTTCTCGGTCCATACGCTACCCGCTCCACTCTCGCCATGAACGGTATCAATAAACCCATAACTGCGACCCAATTCTGCATCCTGACCCTCCGCAGCCGGATCACTCAATAGCCGGGGTGGCATGCATGGCCACAGGGTGAAGACCACGAATGCAAGAAGGTTGCACACAGCCAATGTCCGCCGACGAGCCTGATATAGAAGAGGACCAGCGGGCGATCCGCTCACAACACCCTTTGGTTTCCCCGGCTGGGTCTCGTCGACCCGGTTGCGCACAGTGGTATAGTAGTAGAGCCAGACGAGGAACGCGATTGTACCGGGGATGTGAATGAATGAATATATCCAGTTGATCCACATCATTCTTGTGGTATGTTGAAGGAAGCTTCTTTGGATCATGGTCTCCCAGAAGATACCCATTTTGGCCTCGATGTTGATTAACTGTAATGCATGTTTTCTGGCAACGTCGACGGTGTCATCTTTCAGAGTCACGGCGGTAAAAGCACGACCGAGCTGGTATGTCTACAGCGAGGTGTTAGCTTCTGTATACTCGGACAAGGGGTATATTGGGTGACAGGATAGGGAAGTAAATAAAGTAAATCGGACTTACCCAGTAAACTAACGCCCAATACCAACACTCCACCAGGAAAGGAAACTTCCGCAACAAACGACTCAGGAGGCGGTCTTGAAAGACGATGGTATTAGGTGATGTGACCTCGAACTTGAACCACAACAATCCCACTTGTCGTTTATGCCATGCATCATCTGGCAACGGTGAGTGGGATCGAGAGCCAAGCAACCCATCTTTTGTTGAGGGACTCGAGTATCCAGACTCTAGAGAATCAGACGAGGCAGCTCGTCGAAGATCCGCGGGTTTCCGAGAATACTGTCGCGAGGGGTTCACCACACGATTGATCCATGTTCCTCCAAATAAGAGAACAATTACAACTAGCGGTTCAAGCACTGCACCAATTCCCATATTTAAAGATAACCAGTACAAAAGATACCGATCAAACGGGGACGCTTCAAGACAAAAAAGAGGGGATAGGCTTAAGGATGGGTTGAACAGAAAGGGGAAGACTCAGTCCTGTTTTGAAGTCTCCCATCTTGCAAGTGCCCAACCAGAGCAAGTGCACGGGATTCACCGGAGTTCTCTATGCATATTCTTCGGACCCCATTCCAGGGTTGGCTCCAATTTTCTAAACAAGGCAGTAGTACTCCGTACGTAACTATTACTAGTAAGTACAGGGTATCAAACATGTTGATCACAAAAATTCCAGGATCCACACAGGCACAGGGCTAGCCTTGTTCTTGGCGTGATGATGTAATATGATATGGTCGCGTGCCTCGTCTTCGTACTCGTCGTATACGGCGGAACTATCGATGAGACGTCTCAAAAAGATCCCCGAGTCCAGATTATGATACCCAGTTTGAATCAACATTGGGGTCTTAGTGCCAGGGTCCTGGTAGTAGACGTAACCCTTGTCTTGCCCTGGAAACTTGGCCTTATTAACAATAAGACATTCAGGGATGTTATGTACAAACGGTAAGGTTTGTATCGAACTAAAGATACTTGGCATTGTTTTATCCTTGTTTTTATGAAAACGGATAAGAAGAATTCATAATTTAGTTGATTCGGTTCGGTTCTACACCATACTGGTTGAGACAGACTCACACATCCTTAGGGCTTGTCCAGGTTAGAGCTATTCATCTGATCCTATGTCCTACTCCGTACAATTGTAACACTTTAGTAATTAGAGAGGTAAATATGATATGGAGACTGGAGACTTCCACTGAGTCAGCGGAAACGGTATTCGGATCCCATCGACGCCGATCCGGACGCTCCGCTGGCGCTCCGGATGATCTCCGAGCCGACGCTAACAAGCAGAAGTAAAGTGGAGCGGGTCTTACGATGAAGAGAAGAAAATACATGTGACCTCGGGATTTGCTGTAAGGTTCTTTAAATACAAGTGATATCGTTGCATGGGGAGACTTTGGATATATCCTATTTCCTGACTTGTGAAGACACTTTTCCCCTTCAACTTCGACCTCTGTTCAGGGTCATTGCTGCGGTGATGCAATTCTGACAATATAGTAACTATAGAGTAACGATTGAGATAACTGTCATGCATATATGATCGTTGGAGTGTGATGTATACTTGACGTCAATTCTCATATAGAGAGACTGGAACTATCTACTCGAAGTCTACCAGTAACAAGTAACAAGTCGCAACCATGTCCTTCAAACTTTCATTGAGAAGCGCCTACAGGCGTGTCACGAGCGGCACATTCCCAATTGCCAAGGTAGCTTCGGCTATTTCATCTAGAGGCCTTTTAACTACTCCGAGCCTATACCAAGATGCCACCCTTTTAAAAGACATAGACAATGGCTTTGGCTTCGCGAGATCTAATCCCAGGCCTGCGAAACCCAGATCCAAGGGGGTTACTGAGATCAGAGGCCCGTACTATTCAGTATGTACAATGCTAAAATACTATTTCAATGGTGCCCTCAAATCCGGGTCACCTCACTAACCTAAATCAGGTCATGGGTAAACGATATCTCGCAGATGTTCTGGAAACGTAACACTCCCTTTTCCCAATATATTTATGCTCCGAGATAGTTGACAGCTGATAGTATGGGTGATCACGTCGATGGGCTCAAATTTGCAGGAGGTCGGTAGCACACTGTCCCATCTGAACCCACCATAACCTGCAAGGCTGAGGCTATATCAGGATCATTCGCTCTTTTCCACAATAAGCAATTGTCCGAGTTGGTCGATCTCGCCCATGAGCATGGCGTATACATCTCAACGGTAAGCATATCTCGATCGGGAAAGCGTGAAAGTCATCTGACCAATGTGACAAATGCGGATAGGGCGGTTGGGCCGAACATCTTCTCACGCACCCTGACCCGAATGCCATATTTGACCGCTACTTGACGAAGTGCAAGGATATCGGGTACGTGCATTCAACTTTGTCATCGCACGTACTCAAGATCTGACAGGTCACTCAGACTCGATGTGGTCGAGCTATCTTCTGGATTCCTATCAATCCCAGAAGATGACTGGCTCCGACTCGTTGACAAAGTCCACTCATATAGACTGGAGGCGAAGCCTGAACTGGGGATTCAATTTGGAGCTGGTGGAGATACACCTGCCGGTGGCCTCGAAGCCATTGGAACTTCGGATCCTGGCAAGTTGGTGAATTTGGGTCATAGGTTCCTTGATGCTGGTGTGAAGCGGTTGATGATTGAGTCCGAGGGCATTACGGAGAATGTCACGTCCTGGCGGACGGATGTGGTGTCGAAGATCATGAAGGAGCTTCCTTCTGAGCGGATTATGTTCGAAGCTGCTGACCCTAAGGTGTTCAATTGGTATATTCGTGAGTTCGGCATCGATGTCAACTTGTTTGTAGATCACAGTCAGATTGTGCAGTTGGAGTGTTTGCGGTCTGGTATTTGGGGAACTGCAGACACATGGGGCAAGATAGTGTCATTTCGTTGACAATATTGTCGAAGCCAATATCTTTCATCTCTTCATCTCTCTTTATCTTCTATCTTCATTACGAACTTTAAATTGCTTTGAGGCCTCGAGACGGGCCCGGAGCCCCTCCAGTGGATTAGTAAGAGAGTCCGGGGAAAGCCCGCACTTGTCGGTCTCCAACAACGCTTTCTTTGCTCTTTCATTTCGATCTTCCAAGGCTTGCAAACCAATAACCTTTTAATATTCACTGCATATACTCGCCTCGATGAATACCATTCCATGAACGCCGACCCAGACGCCTGACCCATTCACGAGCTCGGCATGCCTCGAGCCAGCACAACTCCGGGTGCCCGGCTCCGGTGTCGACGAGCCTGCGATAGTTGTAAACGGCGAAAACAGAAATGCAACGGAGAGCAACCATGCACAATCTGTGTACAGAGGCATAAGGAGTCCGAATGTCATTTTTCAGATCGCCCTGCACGTCTACTAAAGCCCGACGTCAAAGACTCGACAATGCTGCTCAGCGAGCGCATGGTACCATCTCCGCAACGAGAAACGGCGATGGACCGCCTTTTAAACTCGTTGGAAGACCAAGGGATGAATCTGGAACACCAGGCCAAAGATGAGAAGGAAGGGACCGCGCCAGTGCCGAAAGTCGCGCGACTTCTGCGCGACGGCCAGGGGAAATTTATGTATATTGGTGACTCGGCGAGTCTATCATTCTTGCAGAGTGTGCGCCGAGTGGTTACTTCTTCTATTGGCCGATGTGAGTTTACAGAGGATAATTCGCGCCATTCTATGCTGGAAGCGTTCCAAAACAATCCCGGCAACCAACCTAGTCCTCTGGTCGAGCCTCCCACCAATGAGGAAGCACAGCGATTAGCTCGTCAATTTGTGCTTGCTACCAATCCGTTATTGGATCTCTTTGACCTGCAAGAGTTCCACCCACGGCTAGCTGATTGGGTAGCGAATCCTTCTGGCGATGAGGACACCGTGAGCTCTATCTTCTATCTCGTTCTCGCCATTGGAGCCCAGGTCTCCGATATTGACCAGACCGTAGCCGAGCAATATTTCGGCAGCGGTCGTCAATTGGCGTTCTCGGCATTCCAGGAAACGCCCAGCATCCACACCATTCAATCATACATATTGGTTTCCATGTATATGCTCGGTGCATGCAGACGCAATGGCTCATTCATGAATCTTGGAATTGCTCTTCGTGCTGCCTACGCGGTAGGAATTCACCGCAAAGATGCAAATGCACTATTTTGTGGGCGTGAGCGCCGAGCTAGGGAACGCGTTTGGAAAAGTCTTCGGATGATGGATCTCTTCCTCAGTGCCTCTCTAGGACGCCCTCCTGCAACATCGGATTACGATTATGACATACGTGATGAAGCGCTTGCATCAGGCGAATCGCAGGGCCATTTGACGCCAGATCAACAGCTTTCTGTTGCAGTGACCTCACTATGTCGAATATTCGAACGCATCTTGACTGATGTCTATATGAAACAAGTCATATCGATCAACGTCGCAGAAACGATATCAAACCAACATCGCGCCTGGGTCCGTACCCTACCAACAATCCTCAAAATGCAAACCGAACGACTGGAAAATAAATCCATGGAAAGCAGTCTGGCTGCAGGTCACGTCTTCGGCTCCTACTACTGGTCAATCATCTTGTTAACACGACCATTCCTCATTTACCGCGTCGCCCAATACGTCAAAGGCAAAATCGACCCACTCTCATCAGAAACTCGAAACGGCAGCTCCCGCATCGCCCTCTTCGCAGATGCATGCGTCTACTCCGCACTAAGAGGCCTAGACGTAGTCGACGATTTGAGCCATTACACCTCCCTCCCAAAACGCCTCCCATTCCTAATAAACTCCGTCTTCAACTCTGTCATCGTCCTCGGCGCCGCCTTCTTTGCGGACTATGATAATCTCCTCCCCTTGGAGGAAGGAATGAACAAGGCAGAGCGATTCCTTGGCCTCTTCGTCCCCCATGATCCTCACGCATGTCGCTTCTTCCAAATCATTAAGTACCTCCGCGCTGCAGTAACAGAGTATGTCTCCCGGCGCAATCGTCAATGGATGAACAGGCGCAGCAAACAAGTCGATCAACTCTTCGGCCAAGTAAGCGTTGGCGAAGACGTTAGCGCCCTCACTCCGGGCGCTGCTCCTCTCCGCGCCGATGCCTCCACTCCTGCGTCCGCAAATGCATCGGCCGCCATGGCATCGCCTACATCGCCCGGCAAAATTCCAAGTGGGACACCTTCTTTCATGCAACAGGCCCAACCACCACCCCACCTTTCAACCGACAACGACGTCTGGGAAGCGTTGTGTAATGGCTCAGATGCTACAGGTGCTTTGTCTTACGATGCAGCCATCTCGGCCCTCACTACCTCCGGTATCCCGGTAGGCTGCTCTCCTGGTGGAACTATCCCACCCGGTCCGCCTCCTGCTTCGGGCCCGTCTCCGTTGTCCGATGTGATGTTCCCAGACAATGGGCTGCTATATATGGCCGAGGATCTTCCGGTGTTTGGAATATGGGGTGAAGAGTAGTACAGCAGTAGTATGTATTTGGCAAATATTTGGCAAATATTTGGAAACTTTTGGTAAAAGGTGTCTGGTGTGATTTGTTTTTGAGTTTGTGATATCCATGATGCGATGTGTTTTCTCCGCCGTCCCTTGATGGGATGAGCATGTTTATATACCAAGGGCGAATGGTTTCATTATATTGTATTATTTGAAACTTCTCTGTTCTGATTACATTTAGTGTCATGTGGCGTCTTATAATTACGTCTTTCTCGGTTGAACAATACAACTAAGATCTAACACATCATGTACACGATTCACGTCTACACCATACATACATCATCATCGACCAATGACACAATTCGCAGACGCAAACAAATCCATGGATTATGTATGAGCTGAAAAAGGGGAGCAGAAACATCAAAAGGAGGAGCCATCCAAACAAACAAAATAAAAAGAGGACATCCACATGAGCATCACCTAAATGACAGGGGCTAACACAAAGAGAAATGCATAGAGGCATCAGGTCAATACCTTATTGGCTAAGGGCAAAAGGGTGAAAGGGGATTCGTGATACGCGCTGCGTGACAGGACCAGGACCTTATGTACGTGTTAATTGCTGGTCCGAACAAGCTGCGATATGTAAAATTCCCAGTGCATGGTCATCTTTGGCGTGGACGGGATTATATACGCCTGAATGTGCGACGGGTGTAGATCAGAAGCCAAATGGATTATTGGGAGCTGGGGAGGTTAGTCTGGGTTGCTAGGTTATGGTTTAGAAAAAGGTGAGCTTACTAGCTTGTGAAAGGTTGGCTCGGAGACCAGTCGCCTGAGGCTCAAGTCTTTTAGGGCCATCTGGCTTGACGCCGAATCGGATGGAGGGGGGTGGACCTGTCTTTTGTGGCGAGAGAGGGGTGGCTGTGGGTTGCTGGGGAATTGGAGGCACAGGGGGTGGGGATGAGTAGGACTGGTTGCCGAAGCCATTGGCAGTGGGTTGAGGTTGCAATGCAGGAGGAAGCACAGAGTTGATACCAGTCTGCATTGGTTGCTGAGGCTGCGCATAACCCCCATATCCAGTGGGTTGCGGTCCAAGGCCTTGGAATCCAGTTTGTTGAGGAAGCATATGATTTCCGAATGGCGGCTGCTGCTGTTGCTGGATGCCGAATTGTGACTGGGGAGTAAACCCTGTGGGTTGGGGCATCATCATGCCATTCTGGAACTGACTCGGGTATCCTGTCGCCTGGGGCTGCATTGGAGGTTGGAATTGCCCAGGGCCCGCTTGGGGAACTCCAGTCAGCTGTGTCTGCAATGGAGGAGGTCCAAAGGAGTTCTGCTGTTGCGAGAAGTTCTGCGGTGCGGAGAGCGGGCGTGGCGGGGGAGGAGGCAGAAGCGAATTTTGTGCCATTGCTTGAGGGGGTTGCGGTCTTTGTCTGGCTTGCTGGCCTATTTGCGCCACTTGCGCAAACAGACTGGCATTGGCACCTGTTGGCTGAGGTTGCTGTGGTGGGGGCGTTTGTATAGCAGTTACCTGGGGCTGGAGGGCAGGCATAGGCGGGGCCGGCTGGGCAGCAGCAGTGGGCTGAGGAGTCGGCTGCAAAGGAGCTTGGAGCAATGATAAATCGGCGATGGCTCCTGTGACCTGCGGAACCTGAGCTGCTGTAGGCGGCGGGGTTGGGGTCGCTGCCACAGAAGGCCTAGCGGGTTGCTTCGGCTGCTTCACTTCCCAAGCATCATCGTCAAACCCGCGCGCGATGGGCTTTTCTGACTCTGCAGCAGGTGGTGGCGGGGTAGCCGGAGAATCAGCAGATTTCACTTCATCTGACTGTCCAAATGCCTTGGGATCAACTTGACCAGCTGAGACATTTGGTGCTGGTCTGCCTCGGCCGGTGTTGTTCCGCAGCACACCACCAGGGCCAGAGAAGAGACCTCCTTGCCCGCCATCACCGTTACCAATGACTTCTTCGCCGCCGAAACTCACGTTGCGAGCCTTAGATTTGTCGGGGGCACGTCCGTATTTGGCGTCCAAAACCTTCATCACGCGCAAAGTATCACCCTGGTTCAGACCCAAAGTCTGAAGGATCTCAGGTGTGATATCAGGCAAGATTGATTCATCCATTGCGTCCTTGTTAAAGGACTGTGCATACCGCTCGCACCGATGTGGCCCAACACCAGCCTTCAAGAAGAAGTCAAACCAATCGTAGTCGCGGTTGATAGAGGCTCCAGCCTTGGAGTTCTTGTCTGCAACAACCCGAGGTCGGATGCTCGAAAGAGGCTTGTCCTCGTCCAAGGAGACACCTGCAACCTTCTCAACATGCTCCAAATCTTCAACGGACATTTTCGAGACAGGAACAGCAATCTTAATTCCATTCACCTTATGAAGCTGGATTTTGCCATCGGAAAGACCAATGAACTGTGCCTCCACTGTAAAGTCCTTAGTCCGATCTGTCCACTTGCGCACTTTACTCGGATCAGGCTTCGACTTGATTTTGCTCTCACGTTTGCTGTGGCGGTCAGATGAATCCACCGAGTCCGTCCGTGACTTGCTCATGGAAAGTTTGGACAGTCGCATTTCCTCCATGCGGTTCTTCTCCACACTTGATAGGCCAGGTTCCGCAGGCATCAACGGTGGCTTCGGGATCAATGATTCAACCTCAACATAGCTGCTGGGAACAACGCCCTCCTCCTTGTTCTTGAGGCGACGCACCATCCACCATTCCTCAGACTTGGTATCATCAAGGACAATGACTTCATCCCCAACAGCTACTGTCACTTCATCATCACCCTGGGCCACGAAGTCATACAAAATCTGGCCCTTCTTTGGACCGCTGCCTTCTCCCGCTTCAAGCACCTCGCGCAGTCCCCCTGCTCGGTAAGCCCCTGCAATCTCGCCAAGTGCAGCGGCAATCTCATGAGCAGTGTCCTTAGCTCCCGCGTGGAAATCAATGCTCTTGCTAGGCCTAACAAGGTCAACAAAAACGTGCTTTCCTTCGATTGAGTAGTGGCTGAGCTTTTCCGCGCTCCACTCTTGTTGCCGGTCGTCGCCTTCTGGAGAGATGAAGATGATTCCAGTAGCCATGTTGATTCCCAAAGTTGTAGGCATTTTCTTTCTCTTGCCCATAACCTCCACCATCTCATTGATATTGTAGATATGGTAGCCCGAGGGTGACCGTAGCGTCATCTCGCCGGCCCGGTTGTAAGGAGGGGATGCTTTAACTCGTGTTCCATCGCGGTTAAGTGCAGCAGGGGCCGCCTGCTGAGGGCGGGAAGGCGGAGTAGGTTCAGGCGAAAACTGAGGCATGGGCGGAGTCGCATGTGCTGAAGGGGGTCGGCGCGGCATAGGCGGGGGCGAATCCTCGCGGTCTTCTGCTTGGTTGTATGACGGCCGAGCAGGGAGGTTGGGGAGCGGGGGTTCGTCTCTAGTTGTCTCAATGGGTGCCTCTGCAGGAGCATGTTGCTTATGGATTATACTGGCGATCGCAGCAGCAGCGGGGTTGTGAGACATATCAATTGGAGATCCGGCCGGGGATGCCTCGTGCTCTTCGGGGGCCTGTGTGGGTCGCTGCGGAAGGGATGGCGCCGCCGGCTCAGCTGGAACAGACGGAGAGGATGTTGTTGTAGCGGAGACATCACCAAGTATTTGGATATAATTTGATGGCGCAAATCCATATTCCGAGTTGGTTCCAACTAATGTCCAATCGGGATCCGAAGTGTCGTACACCATCAGCTCGGCGTCTTCCGAAAAGGAGACCTCCTCGTCGGTCTGTCGCGTGTAGTCGAAGAGGGCTGTAGCTTTGTGCGCCGGTTGCACCTTTTGATCTAGATCAGCCATTGCCTCTGGTTCGCCCTGCTCGGCGCATTGGGGGGTATTTCGCAACACGGTGGAGACTCACCTCTTCAACATAATTATTGGGAATTAAACCTTCGGGTTCATCCTCATCTTCTGGTTCAGCCTTCTTCTTGGCCTTCCACCAGCCATCATCCGCATTCTTCTCCAAGATATAAAGGAGGTCGCCCTCGTGGATTTCAAGTTCGCCTTCTCCCTGTGGCTGATAATCGTACACAGCCGTGTAGACTCCGAGGAATCCCATTATGGCGATGAATTAGAGTGCAAATCCCCGCTGCGAATGGCAGCGTTTCGAAGTTCCAGCTCTATTGTGTTTTGGGGGGGGGGGTTCGGAGGGCACGGGTAATTGGTGACGGTGGCCGTTGCTCAGCCTTGGCGCTAGTGCGCCAGGGGGGTTTCGATAAGGTCGGAACGTGCCGAAGGACAAAATTCTAGACACAAAAGGAGAGGTGAAGAAGAGAAGAAAGGGAGATGCAGATGTTGGATTAGGAACCTAAGGAGAAAGAGAGAGAGAGTGGGAAGGTGGAGCAGACGATCGCTAGGAGTTGAACAGTCACGTTGGCTCTACGTATGCTTTTCCTTTACTACAATGTACATACATTGTGGTCCTATTTCTGGACATTTTTGACTTCTTTTTGATTCTCTTTCCTCTTGAATTTTTTATATATTTTCCTTCTCCATGAATATCAAATTCTCCGAACATTTTGTATTTATAGAAGTACATATGAACAAGTTCGCCCCCACTCGGTTCTCCGGCAACTGGGGCAATCTGACGCATGAAGCTATACTAATATGACTTAGTTACTACCTATATATGTAGTTATACGTTGTATAGTACTACTCCCGTACATTTCACGAAGAATTAGATGTCTTGCTAAGAATGTCAAAATGTACACGATTTGCCAAATTACTAACTACGTCTCATAGCTCATCTTTGAATGTTTCCTCACTCCCTTCGTCTTCGGGGCTTTTCTTCTGCTGTTCAGGCTTGTTGGCTGGCTCTGACTTTGGCTTGGTCTTTTGAGGCTTCTCGGATGCTTTGTTTTCACGGAGTCGTTCTGGAGATGCCTTCTCCTTCACTGTTTCTTCCTCATCCTCATCCAAAACACCTTGGAACTTGATCACGCCGTTGCTTTCCACGACCTCCAGGGTCCAGTCCTTGCCCTCGGCTTGTTCCTCAATTAACTTTTTCATTTCTTCCACTTTCTCTAGGTCGAGGTCGTATTTCTTCAGGATTTGTTTAGAGATTTTGCCAATCTCGCCATTCACTCGTTTGGCAACAACCTCCACTCGTTCCTCGCCAGAAGATGCCACACGTCCTTTCTCAATGACCTTGCCGTCCGTGCCAACAAGCCTTCGGCCTCCAACTTCGATGCCTCCGATAATTGGAAGCTCGGGTTGAGTACCGTCGGTATCAGCTGCTGCTTCGGTCAATTGATTGGTCGTGTACCATTCTTTGATGGCTTCCCATTCGGTGACTTCTTCCGGCATCAGAATCTCACGGCATTCAATGTTGTGCACTTCATCCTGCTGGGGTGGCAGGAAAGCGACGTCGTCACATAGACGAGGTGTGTAGATGACCATCAAATAAGAGCACGTGGTGAGTTCTTTGATCCACCCGATGTGATCTGTCGACTGCGGATGACAATGGAACTGCACCTCAACCTTGCGCTCACGCCCCGTCAGATCACATTTGGTCCCGCCCCGCAGGTGCTGGACCAAGTACCGTGAACCACCTTTTGTGTGTAGTTCCGCCACGTCTGTTTTGGCAAATTGCTTGGGCTTTTCTTCCTCTCCCTTGTCGCCGATGAATTTCCCCAAAATGAAGGAATGCGTAGTAGTGTCTTCGATTGGCGGGTAGTGAGGAACCCCACGGCCTGCGGGGAGAGCATGGAACTGCTTGATCTGCTTTTGATAGCAGAAGGAATAAGACCACCAGCCTGAAAAGTAGTACATGCATTGCCCTTCCATTTCGCGGAGCAGTTCTATCCCGCGATCTGTCGCACGAGCTAGTTCCTTTTGCTCCTCTACCTTGCTATCTGCCTCGTTCCTCGTTGTGTTATGTTCATCCTTTGTGACACGCGGAATTTGACAGAGAAGTCGACGGTCCTCAAGTATCATCTCTTCGTAGGAGTAGAGAGATCTCTCTTTTTGTGTATGGTCGGTGGAATCCGTTCGGTCCTCGTCCATGTAGACTTGAGGGTTGTTTTGATCGTGGATGTCGGGGCTAACTTGGGACTGGAGCAGTGCCTCAGCGTTCGAGTCAAGGATGTATTCTTCAGGGAAGGTCACTTGGTACTTTATGTGATGCCGAACGTTAGGACAATGTTAGACTGGTGTAAAGCAGTTCCAACCTACCTGGGGGTAGGCCAAAATATCATCGTTGATGTTAAATGGCTTCCTGTGCGCCCATGCACTAGACAGAGCACATGCTAGCGCCAACCATTGCGACAGGCGTGCTGGCTGGCCCATTTTGATAAGATCGTAGGGCAGCCAAGTTGGAGTCCGCAACAGTCAAGAGCTTCCCCGCGAAAGGTGTCTGAAGGCTCAATGAAGAGATATCAGTGATTGGTATGAGGACGTTGCATATGTGGTATCGACCCTTTCATAAACAAAATAATATCAAATAGTGGTTCTTTCAAGCTTGTAGTACTAGGGGTCATCTAGCAGGAGGAGCTGCTCCGTGGCCTTATCTGATAACATGATTCAGGGCAAATGTCGGAATTGTGGCCACCGAGAAACAACTGTACACTTCACTACATAGTGACTAACACCAAATAACACCCAGTAGAGTCGAAATGTATCTATTTATCATGACCACATATGTACATATATACATATCAGTTAGTCTATTCTATACATACATGTACCAATTTACGTCGTAAAGTACTCTAAAGATAATTGAATGTCACCTGATTCCAAATGCTGAGATCAGCATTATGTTAGTTAAGGGAATCACTAGGGACACAACAGCTTTCTCTACGGGCACAACAAATTATGAAATACCCGCATTATATAATCAATTTTCTCTGAGATCGTTACCATACATTACCGCAGCAACTGCATTGCTTACTACTATAGCAACTACATTCTATATCATCATGCACTATAAGAACTCGCTCTCTTCCTAAATCTCTCTATACTCTTTATCTAATCCTGTCTTTCATCTTATCATGGAGCCACCAACTGAGCAAGTCTTTGAAACCAGAGAGCTACTGCTTACTTCTATACAAGAACATGCCTTATCTCGTGGGTATGCTATTACTACTATCTCATCTAATCCACATAGGAATATCACCCTTGGTTGTGATAGAGGCGGTATCTATCATGATAGAATTGGTGCTCTAGATGGGGCAAAACGCCGGAAAACTAGCACGAAGCGAATAGGCTGTCCCTTCCGTCTCTATGGGAAAAAGCTTGCTAATAATCAATGGCAAATTCAGGTCAGAAATCCTACCCATAATCATCAACCGGATGATAATATGATAGGGCACTCTCTAGCACGACGTCGGCAATTAACCAGAGATCAAAACGACACTATTAATCATCTATCAGAAATCGGATCAACGCCACGACAGATCATTAGCCTCCTACGAGTAGAGCAGCCTACTACCTTACTTAAAGCTTATGATCTCTATAATATTCGCGGCGAATTAAGACGAAAGAAACTCGGCAATTATACACCGCTTGAATTCCTTAGAGAGACACTTCAAAAGGATAATTGGAGATATTCATTTAAGCAAGATACTGAAGGCCATATCCTTTTCTTTATGTTTGCTCACCCTGAATCAATTAGATATGCTAATCAATATCATAGGGTCTTTTTATTAGACTGTACCTATAAGACAAATCGGTATAAGATGCCTCTTTTACATATTATTGGTCTCTCACCATCGAATTCATCCTATAGTATTGCTTTCTGCTTCATGCAAAATGAGCAGGAGCAAAGCTATAAATGGACTCTACAGACCTTATTTTCATGGCTAGACCCTCTACCCCCCCCCCCGTTCTTTGCACTGATAGAGATCTTGCTCTACTAGGTGCAATTAAAGCGATTTGTCCAAAAAGCCCACACTTACTATGCGTTTGGCATATTAATAAGAATGTGCTTGTAAAGACTAAGCAGTACTTCTCTTTAAACGAGGAGTTTGAGGCTTTTATTAAGTCATGGAAAGAGCTTATTAACTCATCTACTATAGGTGAATACGAAGCTCAACTAGCTAAGTTCGAGACTAGATTCAGTCTTAATCCTGCTGCTCTTCGATATGTGAAAGGGACCTGGCTAACCTATAAAGAGATGTTTATTAGGGCTTGGATAGGGCAGTACCTTCACCTTGGTAATTGGGCTACCTCACGAGTAGAAGGCTCTCATGCTTTTCTAAAAAAGTATATCGGGGCATCAACTGGTGATATGCTCTTCGTTTTTGAGCGAATCAAAAGTGCTATACAAGCTCAGCACTACGCCCTTTCATCTAATCTTGCTGAAGATCAGATTAAGACGCTTAATTTCAGCTCCCACTTTCTCTATTCGAATATTACAAAGAGAACATCACGATATTCAATTTCTTTAATCTCTAAGCAAGCTGCTATAGCTAAGAGAGCTACTCCCGAAGCCCCTTTATCTAACTGTACTAATATATTCACTAGGACAATGGGTCTTCCATGTGCCCATAGAATTGCTCCCTTATTAATGAATCACCAACCAATTCCACTAAGCGATATTCATCAATTCTGGAGGACGGGCCTTAGTAATGAGCTATCAGAGTATCTGCCAATACTTGATCCCTTATTACTAGGACCCCCGATACCAAAGAGAACAAACCAACATAATAAATCATATCAAAGCAATGAATCATCAGACCAAAGGATTATCAAGAAGAAAGCGCCATCAAAGTGCTCAAATTGTGGGGAAATCGGTCATACAATCCGTTCCTGCAAGGTATAACAGGCTGTATATAACATTAGAGACATCAGATTGATTTTAGATGATAGGAATTGAAGGAAGAGAGCGAGTTCTTATAGTGCATGATGATATAGAATGTAGTTGCTATAGTAGTAAGCAATGCAGTTGCTGCGGTAATGTATGGTAACGATCTCAGAGAAAATTGATTATATAATGCGGGTATTACATAATTTGTTGTGCCCGTAGAGAAAGCTGTTGTGTCCCTAGTGATTCCCTGCCCGTAGAGAAAGCTGTTGTGTCCCTAGTGATTCCCGTTAGTTAACTGTCATAATCTTTTTACCATATTTTTGAGGAATTAACGCTAGCCATATATAGCTTAGTGTATGCTTGGCAGCTTACGAGCTTGTTAGTAATAAATCCGACTCCATCCATTGATTGGTTCTAAGCTGACAGATGTCTTGCAAAGCATTCAATTGATTGTCTCTACTCCAGGGCGACTACACTATATTTATGAGAAATTGACTAACGCTGACAATCCTTTTCTTTAGAATATTCTACTCATTCAACTTGGGGATATAAATACTCTTCATCTTATTCAAATGAAACTGCTTCTCCCTATTATAATTTGCATCACAGCAATCCTCTTTACTTACCCACCTATCAAAGAGACCATCCTCACATACATCAGCGCGCCAAGCGTCAAAGAAACCACCCACCCAACCAACATAACCCTGCACCCCCCACCAAAACTCAACCCTATAACCAAAATGTCTGCCCCGCGCGCAATTCGCCAAGCCTTCCTCGCAATCGAGCAGGGCGAAGGCGCAGGCGCCCGCGTCCGCCGCTCAATCGGAACAGCCAAACTGCGCAACTTCAGCCCCTTCCTCATGCTCGACCACTTCACAATCGGCAAGGGTGCCGGCTTCCCAGACCACCCCCACCGCGGCCAGGAAACAATCACTTACCTGCTCTCCGGTGGAGTCGATCACGAAGATTTCGCCGGGAACAAGGGCACCATCGGGCCTGGCGATCTGCAATTCATGACTGCCGGCAGAGGTATCATGCATGCGGAAATGCCGCACGAGAACGAGGACGGAAGTCCCAATGTCGGTATGCAGCTGTGGGTCGATCTACCGCAGAAGCTGAAGTTCTGTGAGCCGCGTTATCGCGATTTGCGCGCCACTGAGATTCCCGTTGCCTCTGTTGATGAGGGCAGGGTTGAGGTTAAGGTTATCTCTGGACAGTCGCATGGTGTGGATTCCGTGAGGGATCTTGCTTATACGCCCGTTTGGATTCTGGATATTACCATCAAGCCCGGTGGTAGGATTTCGCAACCCTTACCTCTGGGCTGGAATTCGTTTGCCTATACCTTGGCTGGTGAAACAGTTTTTGGTTCGAGTGATTCTAATCGTGTTGTGAAGGAATTCCATAATGTTGAGTTTGAGCAGGCCGGTGATTTTGTTGAACTTTCCGTTCCGGATAATGCGGAGAAGGATGGTAGGATTTTCTTGGTTGCTGGTCAGCCCCTGGATCAGAAGGTTGTTCAGTATGGCCCATTTGTGTTGAACACCCAAGAGGAAGTTTACCAGGCCATGCTTGACTATCAGACTGCGTCTAATGGTTTCGAGCGCACGCGCAACTGGCAGAGTGAAATTGGGAAGCGCATGGGTTGAAGGAGTGACGGACGTTTTGCATTTTCTTGATTGTCCTTGAATAGTTATAGTATATTATGGTGTTTGGAATATAGATCGATTGAATGAATTAACGTATTACTTAATATTCTCGACTATTCTCAGATTAAAGCTCAAGTATGCTCATAGCGCACCGCTGTAAAACATAATAAGAGATGTCCCTTTGGTCCACCGCGCCATTTAAATAGTCTCGGTCTGAGTGATTCCATCGATCTTAATATTGGCCCCCACGGTACCAATGACAGCGAGTTCCCTAGGGATGTGCACGTCACGAATCTTGAAGCAAGCAAAGACAATCAGCCGCTGGAGAGCTGGACAAGATCGAAAGATGCACTGTGCAAGGTAGTCGTCAACCGCCGGGCTGAAAGAGATGTCAAGATACTTAAGATCGGGGTAGACTTTGCCCTCTGCAAAGACCTGCTCGAACGCCTTGTATGAGATGTGGCGGCATGAGGCAATGTTCAAATGTTGAATCTTCGAGCCTGAGTGTGCCATTAATGCCACAAAACCGTCCGATGCAAGCCCAATAGGCTCCTCTGGGCCAGAGGGATTGGCCATGTCGACATCTCGGAGAGAGTTCATGTCCACATAGGTAAGTGCCTTGTTGGGCCAATTTGTGAACAAGGCGGCGAGGCCTTTGTCGGTAAAAGTGTTGTTCTTGGACAGACGAAGCTTGATCAGGGTATGACAATGTTCATGGATGTGCTGAAGAAGGCTGTCATCGGCAAGGTCGAATTCCTCAAGAGACAGTGTCTTCAGCCGAGGACCAACACTTGTGATGATTTCCAGGAGATGCTTAGGGTCAGTCTCGGCCTCTGTCAGATAATGCAGTGACAGATGCTGAAGCTGCGTGAGGGTAGAAATTGCCTCGAGCGTCCCATTTCCAGTTTTGTGGAGGAACTTGAGCTTCAATCGCTTGAGATTAGGACAATGATTGCACATCACTTTAGCCGTCTCGTCATCAAACGCAGAATCCAGGTTCCAGAGTTTCAGGCTCTGGAATTTGTGGCCAAGTTTCATGAACAGTCGGCGCCAGCAGGCATCGGTAACCAGATTTGGTCCGTCCAAATGAAGGTCTTGGATATCCATATCGCGATCCATCATATAGTCAAATATTTGATCCTTCATTGGAGTGGTGAATCGAAGATTGACTCGGGTGAGGCGAGGCATCGAAGCTAGGATCTTGTGGAAGTCATCCGTGTCCAATTCTGTTCAGTGTTAGGATTCCTGTTTTTGTTTTTTTGTTATCTTTGTTATGGAGTATATTGCACTTACTGGCACAGTCAAACAAATCAATAGATTTGTACTGAGGTCGAAGGAAAAGATCCAGAGTCTTTGGAGTCACGGCCCGTCTTCTCGACAAGATCTGCCCAAGACGTAGCAGCAATGACGGGGGTAAGTCACCGAAGTCCTCAACGTCATGAATGTAATCTGCAACTTTCTGGGAACGATAAGCATGGGTTGTTTTCGGGGTTGTCTACGGGGTTGTGTACTGAGAGGCCAACATCGACATACCTTGATGCATGTTTCCAACAAACTTTGGGTTCCGTGGGGGGTGAGGCCATCCAGTAAGTTGGTTTGACCCTGTCGTCGACCAATGTTCCCCGTGGCACGCTTCTTAGCCGGGGGCTTCTTGTCGTTATCCTTGTGCTTTTTCGAGCAATCAGGGCAAAGTAGACCCCCATCTGGACCGTTCTTGCTGTAGGGGGTCACAGTAAAACGCTTTTCACAGATCTCACAATTTGCCAATTGACCTGGCTGTGGTCTCGTTCGCTCTTCATGGATCTGGTTTGCAAGGAACTCGTCGTCATAGTCAGGGTCCTCATCCCCATGGTGGCGAGCCTTGCGCTTGGCAAATTCTTTGCTGTTTTTGATTCTTGCAATGGCTTGCTGCCGCTTGCGCTTTTTTATCAGGTCTTCTGGTGAGTTGGGCTCCGATGGAGATCTGGATTGCTCTACACTAGGATCGGCAGACTGACGCTGCCCTTCGGTTTCCGCTTGGCGTGCTGCCTCAGCTTGGCGATTGGCATATTCATCTTGAATTTGCTGTGCTGAGATATTATTTGACTAGAGGAATGGTCAGCAAGCCCTTGAAAGCCTAGGAAACATGACATAATCCATACTGCAAGGAAATCAGTCAAAGCGGAGCGTGGGCCCCGAATTGCGCGTGCCTGTCTTGTTGGTCTTCTGCCTGTCCTTTACAGAGTGTCAGCAGGATGAGCAAGATTTTTGATTAAGATCATTATATGGGCACCAACATACATTGTTGTGAGGTTTCAAAGTGGTTGAATCGGGAAGGGCCTAGATCACTTTGACGTGGCAATTTCGCGTTTCACTTAACGCGATTTTGCTTATCTCAGTCAGATAAGGGGTTGAAATGAGTGTGATAATGAGAAGAGAGAGAAGAAGTGGGATGATAATACTTGTGATAGATGTAAATGATACAATAAAAAATAATCGAAGAGATGAGCTTTGTAATCAGGTTATTCCAAATGATGAAAATTTCTGGTTCAGGCACCCTGTTCTGCCTGTTTTGCCTCTTCTGCCTGTTCTGCGTTATTCTCTGACCTCGGATTCCCCAATCACTCTTTTTTTCTTCTTTTTACCAACTCCGTTTTTCTTCTCTTACTATTTCCTTACTTCTCTCTTTTCCTCTTAACTTTCATTTCCTCTTTCATCCGAATTCGCTCCTTTCGTCTCACTGCTGTTATCTCTGTTTTCGCGATACCCTCACGGCGCCAACAGTGAACTTCACCACGTACGTTCACAATCCTCCCTCACCTTCCTATATAACAAGACCTAGAGAACCCTACTGACAAATATATGATGTAGTCTATCTAGTCCCATTCTTATTCACGACTATATCTTTCTCTGCGGTGACAGATCCATCTGCTACGCTCATTCGATTTCACAGTCTTCACTATGAGACCCAGACTGAGATCCCGAGCCACAAATCCCGATCCTGCAGATGACTCACAATTCAATGAATCGTCATTGCGAAATTCCTCACCCCTCCGTCGATCGAGTCGATCGAGTCGATCGGAACCCCTACAAGTGGGTGGGTCATCCCTTTCTCGATCTCAGCCCCAGCACGTCATACAAGATTCTGAGGCCGATGAGGACGATTACATCGATCGATCAGACTCGGTGGCTCCCGAAAAATTGACTCATGAAACACTTTCAGTGGTTATACCGGTGAAAACAGAATCACCGAGTGACTCTGCCTCTCGGACTTCAATCAAAAATGGCTCCACCGGTTACAGCACTCCAGCTACTAGCGTTGGGCCTACAACTACAGATACAGATTCCAAAGCTCCTACAAGAGTCAATGCTTCTCAACGCGCGAAAAAAGTGCAGTCAAGCACGTTGTCCCTTGGCTCTTCAAAGCGGGGTACAAAAAGATCCGCGGCTACTTTGACAGACGACGACGCGTCTGATGTTCCATTAGTCAAGAAAAGAGCAACAAAACGATTTGCTGCTGCTTCTGACGCAGCTGATAGAAATGCTTTGGATGCTGCCCTGGCTCATGCTCTCCAAGTGGAAGAGTATGATAAACCAGACTCGAAAAATCAAAATCGTACATTCAGAGATATCTATGACTCGGAAGATGACCCGGATGATTCGGACTTCACGGATGGGTTGACATCCCCCCTGAGCCCTCCGCCACTGGGGTTGCTTCATCCTGATATTGAGGATTCGGATACTCCAGACCCTGTTGGGGGCTTATCTGCCGTTCCTCTCGCGGATCCCAGAGTTGCGGGATTGAACCTGGATAACAGCTCTCAATATGACTCCGATGAAGACCTACCTCCCACCTGGGAAGAACAAAAGAAAGCTAAGCGTGCAGACGCAGACCGCAAGAAGCTCGAAAATAAACACCCCACCCTCGGCACTATGTGGGATAAGCTTAAAGCGCAGCCTGTCATCGAGCCGGAGGAAGCAAAGCAGCCCACCTCAATTACTCGCAAGCTCAAGCCTTTCCAGCTAGAGGGACTGAACTGGATGATGCGGCAAGAAAAAACCGAATACCGGGGTGGTCTGTTAGGCGATGAGATGGGCATGGGAAAAACCATTCAATCCGTATCGCTCATCATGTCTGACTATCCTCAGCCTGATCCCACTCTCGTTCTTGTTCCCCCAGTAGCTCTGATGCAGTGGGTTGCCGAGATCAAGGCCTACACAGATGGCAAGCTGAAAGTTCTGGTCTATCACAACTCCGACGCAAAGATCAAAAAACTGACGGCGGCTGACATTCGCAAATACGATGTCATCATGATCTCCTACGCCAGCTTGGAATCCATGCATCGAAAGCAGGAAAAGGGATTTGTCCGCGGTGAAAATATTGTCAAAGCGAACAGTGTCATCCACGCGGTTCACTACCATCGCCTTGTTCTCGACGAAGCACATAGCATCAAGTCACGAAACACCGGGGTAGCCAAGGCATGCTTTGCTTTGAAGGCTAACTACAAGTGGTGTCTATCCGGTACACCGGTTCAGAACCGCATTGGAGAATTCTTTTCTCTTCTACGTTTTCTCCAAGTCAAACCGTTTGCATGCTACTTTTGCAAATCATGCAAATGCGAACAGCTCCAGTGGAGCCAAGACAAGGAGGGACGTTGCACCTCATGTTCTCACACTGGCTTTCAACACGTCTCGGTGTTCAACAAGGAGATTCTTGGTCCGATCACCGAGGGCAAAACTCATGCCCAACGCAAGGCCGGCTTGGACAAGCTCCGTCTCATTACCGATCAGATCATGCTTCGTCGTATGAAGCAAGAGCACACCGGCTCGATGGAGCTTCCGCCGAAGCGTATCACGCTACATAATGAATTCTTTGGCGAGATCGAACATGATTTCTCTCGCAGCATCATGACCAATTCCACCCGAAAGTTTGACACCTATGTGAGTCAGGGTGTCATGTTGAACAACTACGCCAACATCTTCGGATTGATCATGCAGATGCGCCAAGTCGCAAACCACCCGGATCTCATTTTGAAAAAGAAGATGCAGGCCGGGTTCAATGTCGCGGTTTGTTCTATCTGTGATGAACCTGCAGAGGATGCGATTCGGTCTCAGTGCCGCCACGAGTTCTGCCGGCAATGCGCCAAGGATTACATCCAACATTTCCAGGACGGTAGCAATGTTGATTGTCCCCGATGCCACATTGCGCTTAGCATCGATTTGGAGCAGCCGACCCTTGCCGAGTATGAGGATACTGTCAAGAAGAATTCCATCATCAATCGTATCTCTATGGATAACTGGACCTCATCCACGAAAATCGAGACCCTGCTCTATGAACTCTTCCAGGAGCGAAGTAAGAGCCACACTCCCAAATCAATTATCTTCTCTCAGTTTACATCCATGCTTCAATTGGTTGAGTGGCGACTGCGTCATGCGGGATTCAACACTGTCATGCTGGACGGTTCGATGACCCCCGCTCAACGACAAAAGTCCATTGAACATTTCATGACTAAGCCCGAGGTTGAAGTGTTCCTGGTCTCTCTCAAGGCTGGTGGTGTAGCCCTGAACCTCACGGAAGCATCCCGAGTGTTTATTATTGACCCATGGTGGAACCCTGCAGCGGAATGGCAAAGTGCCGACCGCAGTCATCGAATCGGTCAGCAACGGCCCTGTGTGGTCACGCGGCTTTGTATTGAGGATTCGGTCGAATCTCGAATCATTCAGTTGCAGGAGAAGAAAGCCAATCTTATTCGGGGTACCCTGAACAAGGATGAAGCGGCTGCATTGGAAAAGTTAACACCGGAGGACATGTCGTTCCTCTTCCGAGGAACCTGAGAGATTTTCAAATACGCCACCTTCGTCAATTTCCTTCGACTTACGTTTTTAAGGGAGTTTCGCATATGATTTTTATGACCTCACGATATATTTCTTTTTTCCTCATTCCCCTTGTACTACTAGATGTTCTACTAGATTTTATTTGCTACCTGGAATTTTATCTCATATTATTATCATTATTATTATTATTCTCTTCTAAATTTGGAAAATACTAATTCGAACCAACCTTACAAGGCTGAGAAGAGAATTAATTTGTCATTAGAAGAAATTTTCAAATTGAGATCGACGAGTAAAATTAAACGAACTACATTCCTACGTACAATATATAGTAGTGCTACTCGTAAGTATATGTATAAGGCTGAAAAGTTAGAGAGAAACCAGGCACAATGAACCAATGAACCAAACATGCAGCCATATGAGGTCATTTGATCGATAATCTTGGCATCGAATCTCTGCTGCCTGGTACATATCTTTTCCTTTTTGAGTACTAGTCAAGAGAATTAATTAATATTTAGTACGGAGTACGGAGCACGGAGTGTACATATGACATCGAACGGGTTCAATCCATTTGTAAGGCTGAAAGCTTGGCCCGTCTTCTCTCCGTTCTTCTTTCTCTTCTCTTGAAAAATACAACTCTCCCATGGATTATCACTACATGATCCACCTGCCCCTACGTACAACTCCCTATTAACTCGGCTATTTTTATCTTCCAAGGTTATTCTTCCGATCTGAAATTATAAAAGGGGAACTCGGGATTTTTCCATCTTCTCCACACTCGGCATTTCATTATAACAATGGATGACTCCCAGCCCATTTCGCTGCCACTTCACCCGATTGATAAATATGGCCCTAAATTCGTCGAAAAGGCTGACAAAATACATCGTCGGGTGACTATGAATGACGACTCAAAACCTGCAGGTGGCTACGATGATACCCCAATCCCCCATGCCCCGCCAGGCTACACCTTGAAGGTGACCTTCCATCGTGCAGAGGATCTACCCGTCGCAGACTTTGGCAGCTTCTCCTCTGACCCCTATATCAATGCGCATATGGTTGTCAATCTACCAAGACGCCATAAACAAGATCCGGTCGTGCGCTTTCGCACCCCGACCGTGCGCAAGGACATGAATCCCACGTGGGAATGCGAGTGGATTGTCGCCCATGTCCCTGCCTCCGGGTTTCAGTTGAAATGTCATGTGATGGATGAGGACCCCGCGGATCATGACGATAAACTGGGTATCGCCTTTATTGATGTCCCCGCACTGACGGATGATTGGGCTGGATTCAAGGAGAAGCGCTTCAAGGTTAAAAAGCGCTTTGGGAGCAAGCGTGTCTATGTCTTTACTAATGTCTCGGCTTTTGCTACCGGTCACCACAAGGAATCTTGGTTGACGGTCAGTATTGAGTGTCTCGGGAAGACGCCAGGTCAGGAGGGTGGTCAGATGTACACCATTGGTCCCAATCACTGGTATAAGCACTTTTCCCCTCTGATTGGAAGGTTGGCTGGTATCAAAGATCAGGTTGAGAGCACTGATGGCAGTGGAAAGTCGATCAGCCGTTACAAGTTGGTTGCCCTGTCTTGAATTCTTATTGTTTGTTTTTTCTTCCATGGTTTACTGACTCTAGTATAGCTTTCAAGCTATCCAGATGCAGCTCACGGGTCCTGTACCTGCAGAGCTATACCATCGCTATGTAGAGTTCAAGCCATTTGTGGCAGGCATGTTCCAGGCGCAGAGTTTGCGCGGGCGAATCTTGCATAAAGCGCTCCATCACCAACACCAGCGTATCTACAATTTCGATCGCACCACTTTACACGGGTTTTTCTTAACACCGTGTCGAGAGCTATCCCAAAAGTTCCTGGAATTTGCGCACTACGGCCAAGGTGGTCGGATCTTCACTTACGTTCTCACCTTGGATGGACAACTCCGCTTCACAGAGACCGGCAAAGAATTCGGCATCGACATGCTGAGTAAACACACTATGCACAGTGATGTCTCGATCTACATTGCCTACTCGGGAGAATTTTTCATCCGCCGACGCAAATCCCGCCACCGACATAACTCTTCAGAAGGGCATGCAGAACGCGCAGAGCATGCAGAACCCAGCACGGTGCCTACGGACGAGTACCCGGTGGAAGAAGACCAGGACAATCATGATGACGGAGAGTTGGATCAAACCGAAGAAGGAATCCCGATCTCTACCGATCCAGCAGACTACGAACTGTTTATTGACAACGACAGTGGAACCTACCGCCCCAACTCGGAGAAGCTCCCCCTCCTTCGGGAATTTATGTCCTCCAACTTCCCCGGTCTCCACATTACCACACTCGACTGCCAAGGAGATGCAGAGCGAATGGGCAGGCTAAAGGAAGAGCAGCGAGATTTGAAGAAAAACGAAGGCAACCACATTACGTTCCTACAACAAAGTAGCGCATCTTCCCTGTCGATTTCCAGCTCGGAAGAAGATGAACTCAACGAACGCAGTGGACAACCTAAACAGCGGGGCGATTTGGCCCGCCGAGTTCACGAGATGCGGGATCTGCGTGGTCAGGTCATGCGATGGGTAGAAGCGGATGAAAAGCCCGACGGTCACAAACATAAGCACCGCTATTTCTCGGGAAGGGAACGTGCTGTGTCAACCAGTGCCATTTCGCAACCTACAGCCCAGCATCCAGAACCCGATCGCGCAGTTACTACCACTGACAATCATGAAAAAGAAACGCCTTCGACTCCGACCCTTGCGACCTGAGTATGACTTTCCTTTGCTGTTGTTCTTTGGGGGTTTTATAGTGTATTCTTTGTACTTGGTCTGGCACCGAGTTTGATGATGCTCACGATTAATTGTTGATACCATTTTTACTCTTTAGTCATTAATACAGTTTATTTTTGAGTCCGAAGTGAGCGTGTGTATATATGTCAGGTATAGCAAGTGGTCATGGACATACGTACATGTAGTCGTGTATAAGTCTCGTGCATTTATGCGTTGTAGGTAGCAAGAACAACAAATCCAAGATCATAACAAATATATGGAATAGCATATCAAATATATTAAAATCTTCAAAACATTTCAAATTCAAAACAAGAAACAAAAAAAAGAAGCTTCAGACTAAACAAGCACTAGTTATACTAACCAAGCTACAAGCTAGTTAACTATATGGAGTAGTTAACTCGGAGTGGTTGCCTGCGCATTTCTCCGAGATCTTGCCCCCTCCTTCAGACCTTCAGATCCTCATCATCTTCGCCCCTTAAAACAAGTTGAATGAAGGTTCACCTTTTCTCATTTCACTAACAAGGCCATCCGTTGTCTCATAGACCGATGGCCATTGGTTCCTTCGATCCCTTTCTTGCGCCGTGATCTCCCTTCGCCATCATGGGGAATGTCGCCAGCCGCCTGGACGATGCGGGGAATCTGTTCTTTAAGGATCAAAATCGCTGTAGGTGGAATCGCATCGCTTTTCCGCTATTTGATATACTGACAAACTCTCTGTGGAATAAGTCACGGTCGCATCTGTCGCGATAAGCAGCCCCCGACGTCGTCTTTTGACGCTGACCCCTAACGCGTTCCCTGCGGCGCGCTTCACTGCAAAGCGCGATGTCGGCGATGATACTCCCGTTGAATACATTCAGGTGCGCGGTGCCATTCAAGGCTTGTGGACTAGCTAATCAGTCTTCAAAACACAGGACCCCGATACTCCCTCCTCCGCCCCGATCCCGACATTTATGCTTCGCCTGTCGAACGACGAGGAACTGACTTTCAACTTCACCTTTATCATTCGTCAGACACAAACTGGAAACGCTGCAAGCTCTACCGTCAATGGAGTCGCTTCCTCAATGCCCGAGGTGGTGGATACCAACCTCATGGGGCTTACGTTCGCTCATGCGTCCAACTCGAAAGAACTCGATAATTTGATCACAAGGGAGTTCCACGCGAACCCTAACCTTCAGAACAACTCTAATGTTCAGTTGATTGGAGATTACTCTACAGGCGGATCTCCGTCCGTCTCCTTCGATTGGTCTTGGACGTGGAAGCCCCCGAAGCTGATGGAAGACAAAGGTGGCGGCTGGCGCAACAGCTGCAGTTTCTTAGATTATGACCAGCGAACCAATCGTCTGAACACTCTCGCGCACTTTTCATTCTGGGTGCATAATTCCCCTCGTCCCCTTCGGAGTCCAAGTCCTCAGATCTACTCTCCTAAACTCGAGTTACCCGTTCTCCCGCGCTCTCGCATTCCTTCCACCCAGTCCGTCTTGTCGCATTACAGTGATGCCGAATCAAACCACAACATCGAACCCACTCCGCCCGAATCAGCCGACAAGGCTCTCCCGCCTCCGCCGACCGCGCTCCCTCCCCCACCACCGGCCAAGGTGGATCTCCCACATTCGCGGGCAGGCGATGAGATGAGCGGGGTGGAAGATGGACCCTTGTTCCGGGCGACTATGAAAGCACTCGAATCGAAGACGAGCAACATGCGAAGCAAGATCAAGAAAGTGCTCAAGAAAGCCGAAAGCGCCCAGCAGGCGCAAGCAAGCTGCAATGAAGCCGTGGAAGCGTTCCTAGGCTCGCTGAATGATGCCTCTACTTCCAATGCAAATGCTATTCAGCCCGCCTTGGACCACTACTTTGAGAAAATTGCCCGGCAGATTTTGAGATACGAGCAATTGAACACGATCAAGCTTCAAAAACTTGTTATTGAGCCTTTGATCAAGCTTTACCATAATGATATCAAACAAGCAGAAGCTAAAAAGAAAGAGTGGGATGAAGAAAGCCGCGACTATTATGCATATGTCAGCCGATATCTAGGCCAGCGCCAAGATTCGCTGAAAGAGAAGAAGCGTGCTGAAAGCGATTCTAAATATCAAGCCAAGCGACGGAACTTCGAATTAAGGCGTTTTGACTACTCTTCTTTCATGCAAGATCTCCACGGAGGCCGCAAAGAACAAGAGGTTCTCTCCCATCTCACCAAGTACGCGGATTTCCAAGCCAAGAATTTTCTAGCAACTGCCAAGAATATCGAAGGCATGACGCCTCAGCTAGACGCTCTTATTCACGAGGTGACCCAGGCAGACAAAGAATTCCAGTTCCAACGCACAGAGCGCGAAGAGAAACGCCGGGCCCTGGAAAATGGCAGCAACCCATACCTCGAACCTGACGCCGTGGCCAATGCCGTGGCTAGTGCCGTAGGTGTACCTATAGTGTCACCTGGCACGACCAACGGTGCCACTTCAGAAGTTGAGCTTGGTCGCGCCGATAGTACAGGCTCCCAGCTACGGGGTGTCATTAGCAATACCTCGTCGGTTTCGTCCCAAGCAAACGCAGGGGGGTCCGTTGTCTCGGCTGCAGGGACCTGTGCACCTGCATCGAACTCAGCGGTCCCTGGCAGTGCCAGTCAGAACCGCTTTAAGGGTATTCGTGATCTAGAGGAGCCGGCTGGTTTCAACTCTGATCGCACGGGCGGCCAACAGCGGAAAGAAGGTCTTTTATGGGCGCTGTCTCGACCCGGATCACACATTGATCCCAAGGGGATCAACAAACAGGCATGGCACAAGTAAGTCGTTGCATGTCATTTTTTTTCTTCTTTCATTTTTCCGAGGGGGAGCTTACTAATTTTGGCAGATTCTGGATTGTCTTGGATCAAGGGAAACTGTCCGAGTATAGCAACTGGAAGCAAAAACTAGACCTGCATATGGACCCTATCGATCTGCGCATGGCGTCCGTACGTGAGGCTCGCAATGCTGAACGACGGTTCTGCTTCGAGGTGATCACACCTCAGTTTAAGCGCATTTACCAAGCCACGTCTGAAGATGATATGTCAAATTGGATCAGGTCGATCAACAACGCGCTCCAGAGTGCGGTAGAAGGCCAGGGAACCTCACCTCCTTCTTCATCCAGGAACGATTCTACCACCAGTCGGGATATTGGTTCTGTCTTAACAGGGAAAAGCTCCTCTGTATCTGGCCATCACTCCTACTCTAGCTCAAGCAACAATGCTGGTGTGATCCGCCGAACAACTGTGGGTGCGCGCCCTAGCTACGTCCGCCATGACAGCAACAACTTTGAAGAGAATCCCGCCAAACTCTTGCAGGTCATCCGAGATGCTGACCAGGGCAACAACTGGTGTGCCGATTGTGGATCAACATCCAAGGTTGAATGGGTGTCAATCAATCTTGGAATTGTGCTTTGCATTGAATGCAGTGGAATCCATCGCTCTCTAGGCACACACATCTCCAAGATCCGCTCGCTCACCCTGGATGTTCATTCCTTCTCAAACGACATTGTCGAGATTCTCCTGCAAATCGGCAATCGCGTCAGCAACATGATCTGGGAGGCAACCTTAGATCAAACTCTCAAACCGAATGCCACTTCTACGCGCGAGCAACGTCTAAAATTTATCACGGCCAAATATGTCGACAGAGCCTATGTCGAGGGTCTACCCTCACCACGCTCCAGCTTCGCAACACCAGACGAAACCCTCCTAGCCTCAATAAAGAAGAACGATATCACTGGTGTCCTCTATGGTCTCGCCCTTCGTGCAAACGTCAACATCACAGACCGTTCCCGCAACACCCACGCCACCTTCCTCGCCCTAGCCGCCGCAGACCCCGCATCTCCAGGCTCAACCCCAACATCCCTCTCAGCCCGCTCAGCTGCAAAGGCAATTCCATTCCCTGTCGCCGAACTCCTCGTCCAAAATGGCGCTGAAATTCCTCCTCAACCTCCCTCCATCCCCCTCTCCCCAGCAGCCCAACTCTATCTCAGCCAGCGCACAGCTCGCACTTCTGCCTTTAGCGTCCCACCCCCACCACTAGGCCGCAAGTCCTCTGCCAACGATACCCTGGGCTCCCTCCCCACGATCCGCAGCAAGGAACCCGCGCACACATCCACCGACAAAGACAGGGAGAAGCTGTCGAAACGTGGCAGTGCCGGCGCTCGCTTTGCGGGCAAAGTCGCTTCCCTTGGCATCGATCGCTAATTGCTTTTTGTCTATACCGCCCTTAATCGTAATTATATTGGGCTTTAATGAGCCTGGCATGAAAATTCCCCTTGAGATGACTTGCGTTTTTTTTCACTTTTTCTTTTGTCTTTGGCTTGGTCCGGCTGATGCCCTTTTGTCATTATGATACAGGCTTACCTATGTGGGTGGCTTCTTTTTTGATCTTGTCGAGAAGACAAATTTTAAATATGGGTTGGCCGGTTGCCTTTCCCTGCGTGCCAATTCTCTCGTGCTGTCTGTCGTACGTAGTCGTATTTAACCACCTCCCTGGTTATGTATATTTAAATGTAACTGAACTTCGAATCTATAATGTCAAAAAATGAAAATGATAAAACCAGGTTTGATCAAGTAACTTATCATAGCTACGTATATTTTACATAGGATGCATGCAAGATTATTAGTTCTAGCCAAGGCTATATCATGATCCATGTAGCTTTCTACGTCGCCTGTCTAATCCCAGCCCAATCTCATAAACAGACTCAACGAGCACTCAGCACCTGGTAGCAGAACGACGCTGCCTGCTAGTGGCAACACAAGGGCCCAGGCCTCCCCACCGACCCCAGCAGCTGACAATGTTCTCATATGACCACAACGCTGTATACGTTATAACGGAGTAGAGCTGCACGGCCGTGGGGCGTGGCGTCTAGCGGTGGCCGAGGAAGGTCAAGACCTGCACTCCCAAAAATCGAAGTGGCACCTGGCTTGTAAATTCTGTACTATATACAGCATCTCTATCCACTATGCATCAATTGGTCGAACAGCGCCTAGGTGAAGGAGATGTGGTGGCTGTGGCGCGTATCATGCAATTGACCCATAAGAGAAACCCTGTCGATCTCCGGGTACACCGACATTATGCAATGCATACGTTGGATGTATACTGTGCTCTTCCACAGATCGGGCCAGTGAGGATTGGCTGGTATCAATTCCAGAGTTCGATATCATACACTATTGACCAATCAAATGCCGCGATAGGCGATCGAATTCTACATTTGAAGGGGTGGCTGTACAATAATATACCTACATCGTACCGTACGTTCTAAGTGAGGAATGGGTGTACGCTACTGTGCAATATCGTACTATACGTTGTATAATCTAATTTCTAATAATGGTATAAACAGTCAACGCGTTAGATGGGTCTTTTCTGTTCGAGGTTCTATGATGACTCATGGGGCGTTTTAAGATATTCATGTTGTGATTGGCCTCGCTCGCTGATGGGATGGAGGCAATAGGATCAATTGGGCTTTCTGCATGCGTTCGAGTCATAGATTACCAAAGATGCGACAGATTATTGCTGTAGAACGTAGTGGAATGCATTCAGTTCCTGAGTGCTGTCTAAAGTTCACCGGTAGAGCACTTGATGACGTCATTATCGCGATATGACGCCTGAGGTGTTAAGTGTGGCGCCTAATTCTGCGGGTGTCTTTTCAGTTCATCAACTAATTTGATCTTCGTCTCGAATAGAATCTCCCCTACAAATATATGTCCCTTACATCAGTGGCGCGCCAGTGGCTTATATGTGACAATTCTAGAAGGGCATACTAAGTTCTTATTCAATGTATGATGTGCAATGTACGGAGGAGAATGTGATTAATTTTCAGTCTCATTTGTACTATGCTTACAATAATAGGACATCAAGCGATGTTGTATGCGGAGTATTTATCCGGAACCAGAATGTTAATAATATTTAATCTAGGCCAAATTCGAAGCAATGTTCACGAACATATATCCCTAGAATTTATCATCTATACTATTTTTTTAGCACGTTGTTCTTCGCATAAGATACTACCTTTGTGCACCGGGTTAGTCGGATGCAAGGTACAATATGCAACGCACGTTGTATATGTATACATGTTGTATGTAGGTATATATAGTCAGTAAAACTTCTTTCAAGACATTTCGATGAGTATCACAAATTCAAATAATATGATCAGACATACTCTATGAATTTTCGTCAGTCGAATATATTAGGAGCTCTGAATTTCTGTCTCCTGTAGAGAAGAGAATGTAGTTGACGATACTGTTATATGATTGGCTGGGCTGAGATGCCGGACGCATAGTGGAGTTCAACTTCCTCTCAACTTCAGTATTCCCGTTTCTATTATTTTACCACCATTTCTCTAAGAGGGTGCTTTGTGATTGGTCAATTCAGAGTGTTATGTATTCTCTTTCTTTTTCTTCCTTCAAACGTTGTACAGTACCCGCCTTTTTGTCTTGCTTTTCGGGATCGCTGAAGCTCCATTTGGTCTCCATCGGGTCTCCATCTGTTCTCCGCTGCACACGGCTCTCTCGGTTCCAGCAATTCGGTCTGATCGACAGTACCCCCTTGGATCCCAAATGGTATCTTTGTCGACAATATTGTACTTTTTATCCATTGTACAATATGCAGTGAAGTAAGTAGCACAGGGCCTCTTCCAGCCAAACTCAAATAGGGCTTGACGAGGATACCACTCACTGGATATTGCATAATTTCTTTTCCCCAATCCTTGAGAAAATCGGCAGAAAGATTGGGGCTTATTCATTGGTGGGATCATGATCGAACCTAGTGGGAGCGTACCCAGAACAGCTCCATCGGCCCATAGCTTCCCCTTGCGGTCGAGAGGCGCCGCCCGTCAGATCCAGAGTCCGCTGTCCCGGGATTTGATAGGCTGTCCCACTAGCCTTACGCCAGAGGTACATGAAATTTCGGGCGTCGATAATTCTGCACGGAGTTCATTTCATACCTGGTAACACCTGGTAATTTCTGTCTCTTTCTTTCCCCTCCGCTGAAGGCTTTTTTTCTCCCTTCCGTTTCACCCCACCCAATAGTACTTTCTCCAAGGTTCCCCCTGACAGTGGCAAACCTGTCATGCATTGCTGCCACAGTCAATTCATTATTGGCCGAGACTCCAAGAGGCTCTCCGGGTAATACAATTTCTCACAGGTCTTCAATTCCACTATGGATCCACTGTGTCCGTCAGTACAGTAAAAATGATTCTCTCGATCTACGTTTGCCACATCCCATCACAGATGACACGGTACTCGGACCACTCCACATTGACAAATTTATTCTTGTCCTCGTGTGCGAAATAATTCGACCTTTTAATTTGAGTATCCCTGTGGTCTGATATGGAGATAATGACAAACTCGTCCAGCCACAGGCTGGTACTATATATGTCTATCTGAGATACCGGAGTTGTCCGTGCTATTTGGGCTCTGCCTGGCGCTTCATTATATCATTCTCCAAGCGCCAAAGATCATCCGTGATCGAGTTATAGCATCAACTTCCCGAGATTTACATTGTCACTTACAATCTTGTATACTTTGAAGTATACTATACCGCCACAAATCACATTTATACCAAAGAGAGAGAGAGAGAGCCAGTGGGAAAAAAAAGCCCCAAAAAAGTAGACCCACGATCCACGTCTATACGCAGATACCCAGTCCCGAATCCCGTTTTCCCACTGACTCTCTTCCAATCGGTTCAACCCGTCCCGTTGTTTTCTTCTTTTTCTTTGACTTCCTATGTCTATTTCTATATCTCTTCGTCAGACCCTGAGCCAATTGACATAAGTCTCCAGCCACAAAAAAGCGATTGATTGGCTTTCACAAACTTCCAATACGTTACAGATCCGCCACCTCTCCCTTCTTCTTTTTATGCTGTAGCCTTATATCTATCTATTCGGTTCACCCGGTCTATCACCGAGGTTGTTATATCTTGGGGTCAAATCCCATTTGATTCAACACCAATTCGGTTGTGCGTGTCTCACCAGCCACAACCTCTCGGCTCTTCTGGTCCATGCGATTGAACACTCTGCCCCTCTTGTGTCTATGACCGTCTAGACCACTTTTCTTGTGTCTAGTAACACGAGCCTTGCAGAACTCTTGAAACAAAAGGTATATTAACATCTTTTTTCTTCTTCTTTTCCTGTAGCCCTATTCAATTGGCGGAGTCAATTATATTCCCACTTACACTATCCCAAATGTGGTATGACTATGGCATATCTTTTAGCTACCGTTGTGGCCCCCTGTACATTCCGGGATCCCCTATGATTCCTGTTTATATCTACTTTGTCCCACCTGTCTTTTTTTTTTGTGTGTGTGTGTGTGTGTGCGTGTGTGTGATATTTATATTTTCTCATGGGCTTTAGGGGGGAAAAGGTTGGGGGCTTAGTGCGTGTCACTGGAATATTTTTCCCCCTTCAATCTCTTCCCACTTCTCTTTTAGTCCTTTTCACAACAGATACTAACCTGCTTTCAGTTTGGGCTTTTTTTGAGGAACTTTTGTTGCTTTTCTTTGGGGGGATCATTTTTGGGTATAGACCCAAAGGCTGACAGGTATGAATGAAAATGATCTTCAAAACAGACAGCCGGACACTAAATATTGTAGGAAGTGCCATTGTGACTTCAGTCTTGTTCATCAATAACGGCCCCCATGGGCAATGTTCCTTCAGACAAGGCAACGGACGGGAAAGTCCCGGTATCAGAATCAATTGCATCTCAGCCGCGTCAGTGTGGGATTTATTCTTCCTGGAAGTTATTTGCTAAAATGTCTACAGCGTCATCTGAGCCCTCGCGACCTCCAAATGTCAGCCAACATTTGGGATACACAGAAACCCGATATGGAGCCTCTCCTTCTCCATTGAACATGGGAAACATGTCATACGCATTACCAGGTCACTCACAACAATATGATCCAATGCAGTATCCAGCCCATGGACAAGGCATGATGTATCCCATTCCAATGCCCTACGGCCCAAATACTGGAGTGTCTTACGGTGTGCCTTACCCTTATCCACCTTATTCGATCCAACATCAGGGCCATGGATCCCCCTATCAGCCATATCAAAACCAGCCCATGCAAAATATCCCAGGACAATCTTCTCCATATGCCCCGGGCTACTATCCATATGGCAACTATATGCATCCCGGCCAGATGCACCAAACCGGCTCCCCGGTCGGTCGTGCACAAACAAATTCACCTCCCAAACCAGGCTCTGTCCGCAAAGATACCGACAAACGCATCACACAACTCGAGTACGACGTCTCCAAGACCATCGTTGATGGTTCCAATCCTATGAAACTTGTGCTACCCCAACCGCTCCTCTCTGGTGAGTGTTTCAAACCTCTCACTGTGAACTTTCGCTAATATACATTTTCGCGCAGATAGTAGTTCCCCTTCACATTCCACCCCGACCGGACCGAGTACACCACGAGGACCACCACGAAAGCCAAAGCAATCAGGCCATGCGCTTTGGGTGGGCAATCTCCCACCGGGAGCCAATGTGATGGATCTCAAGGATCATTTCTCGCAAGATGCAACCAATGACATTGAGAGTGTATTTTTGATTTCCAAAAGTAATTGTGCTTTTGTGAATTATAAGTCGGCAGCAGCTTGTGTTGCGGCTCTGGCTAGGTTTCACGATTCCCGATTTCAGGGCGTGCGTGTTGTCTGTCGGCTGCGCAAGGGGTTTACTGCGCCGGGCTCAGGACCGGGATCTGCGTCTGCGTCTGCGTCTGGGGTTTTGGGCGCGGCAGGACAAAGCAACCCTCGACCACGGGACGATGTTGCTCCAGCTCCAGCTACAGACCCGGGTCCGGTCCTGGAGGATATTGCACCGGATGTCCCTCCTGCCACGGGAAACGATCCGGCTCCAGCGCGGGTGGTCGATCGGTACTTTATTGTCAAAAGCTTGACGACGGAGGATTTGGAGTTGAGCAAGCAAAGTGGTATTTGGGCTACACAGTCACACAACGAGGTGTCGATGAATCAAGCCTATGAGGTGAGTATGATGTACTTTCATCTAGATCCAACGATTGCTGATTTTCAATATCGATTAGACCACCGATTACGTATATTTAATCTTCTCCGCCAACAAGTCGGGCGAGTACTTTGGATACGCCCGCATGATGTCGCCGATCAGCGACGATGAAAAATTAGCCCTGGAAATGCCCATTCGCCCCGATCCTCCAGCCAGACCGGACGAGCTCGACGTGACTCTCATAGCTGCAACTTCGACTGCACCCCAGGGCCGGATCATCGATGATTCCGCGCGGGGAACCATATTCTGGGAAGTCGAGTCTAGCGAAGATGACGCCCGCAGCGAGAAAAGCGTCGAACCCGAGGAGGCGGAAGAAGGACAAACATTTGGAAAGCCCTTCCGCATCCAATGGATGTCGACTGACCGAGTGCCTTTCCACCGAACTCGTGGGCTCCGCAATCCCTGGAATGCCAATCGGGAAGTCAAAATTGCTCGTGATGGAACCGAAATCGAGCCGGGGATTGGCCGGAAGCTAATTCAATTGTTTCATACCGCTTAAACTCGGGATCGGCCTGGCTGGTGGGAACCCTCTATATAGGCCTTTGTTCTATATTGGCCTATAATGGCCTACAACGGCAGTATAAAGGCAGGGGAGTCGAGCATAAAAAAGGTTTCTTTTTGAAACCTTGCACACATTCATGGGAAACGAGCAATACACGATGTACGACAAAATTTCTTTTACATTTTTTTTACCTTTGTTGTTCTACTGAGGACAGCGTGAACACGAATGCGAAGCTTCCCCTCTTTTTTTTTCTCTCTGTCTGCAGGATTCTGCATGGCGTTGGCATGTGTTTTATACCCTGAACTGCTGATCTTAACTATAATCACCCATGACTTATAATTTATAAATTACAAGTCTAGTTTATAACATATATATATACTACTATATTATAAAGTCGTGTACTGATAAGCAGATGCTACTCTAGTACTGGACACATTCCAATTCACATTCTTGACGATTTACAAGGTAGCAATGCAATTAGTCGAGCACAGTAGATTGGTATACCATAGGATACAACAATATAGTCAGTACATACATGTAGTCGGTAGAATTAGGGCATCTTTAGGGTATCTTGAGGGGTGAGAGTGCCCGGGCGGTTATCTAAGCTTACTAATCATCTACATCATCACTCCACTTGAGCGCCACTTTTCCCCAGAAAAACGAAGAGCTTAGTTTACTGTTGGAGGGACTTTGGTCGTTAGTCGTTTAGTCTTTTACTCACTTCAGTCCACTCACACTCCATTCACACAATCCACGTTAACCCATTTTTCTCCCTTTTACATCCCGGTGTGAGTAACCCTCATATGACTAGTGGCACCATACAGTGTGCTAATAATCCCTTTAGTCTGTCTATTTCCCCTCTTCATCTCTCTATCTCTCTCTTTCTCCCTTCTTCCTCATCGTTTCTCTGCCAAAAATACCAACTTCCTGCATATTATCCTTGCTTTCTCTACCCTCTCTATTCTATTCTATCCCCAATTTTTATGAGAAGGGCGGCTAGTCCGTCCGAGCTTCTCTCTTCTTTTCATCTCAGACCTCTCTGATTCATCATGTCGAACGATCGTACCTCCCCTATCTCGGTCCCGCACTCAGAGAACCGTCAACGCCGCGGTTCTATTGCCGACCTCTTTTCCAAACCCAACAATGTCAACACCGCCAACAATGCCAATCAGACCAATCAAGCTGCCAATCAGCGACGCCTGTCAATCACCACTCTAGGTCTCTCCGGTTCCCCTACTCAGACCTCAGCCTTTGGCAACAACCGCAACAATACCCTCCGTCGAGGCAGCCTATCCAGTTCATTGGGATCCACCCCAAATGAAGACGCTGTCGAGGATACAGAAGGCACATCCCCCAACTCGCAGTTTGCGAGACGGGTCTCCTTCGGTGCCCAGGCTCTACGGGATGCTCGTGGAGGATCCATTGGCAATGGTAGAAATTATCCCCCTCCCTCTGTGGTTGGCCCCCGTCGTTCTCCCCCACCTGGTTCGGCCATTGTGTCTACCCGCTCTCCCGCAAGTATCTCAACCTCTCCTCAGGATGAGAGATCTAACGCATCCCGCCAAATCCTAGGCGAAGGCTTTAACTGGTCCGAGGCCCTCCGCTCTCGTGCCGAGCGTGCCCCTTCCATCGGCGGTCCCCCGCGTCATAACGGTCATCAGCGTGCCGCTTCCATCGCTTCCATGGAGCAGCCTGGCAGGGAAATGCCCCGTCAGCCAAAGCAGAATAAACCTGATTTCTTCCAGGAGAAGATATTGAGAGGTGACTTTATGGATTAGTTGCCTTGGAAGGCCTTTCACAAAGTATGCAATCGGGCTTCTCTTTTTTTCTCTTTTCTTTTTTTCTCTTCTTTCTTTTGTTTTGCATTCCAAATTCTCTTCAGACTGTCAATTTCAGGGGCTCCATCCCCTGTGATGTGTCTTCCCATGCAAGTAGGAATATGTATCAAAACGATTCATGGAGGATTTTCTTTGTTTTTGGAGCTGGAATCGGCGTTGTGAGCCTTGTTTACCCATATCCTGGTGATGTGGATTATATTCTTATACCAAATTGACAACCGCTTCAACGTTTTCTATTGATAAATGATGATTATGTTTGGTTACATCTGTGTGCATATGTAGATACCCATGTATAAATATATATTTATATTGTACATGCTTTGAACCACACCATCGGTCCATATTCTTTGTCACTCAATAGTTCGAAGGTCCTGCGTCATTCGCATCCTCAGCATGAGAATGTCCAGGGGCACCCTCAGCCACCTTCTTGTTCGTAGTCTCCTCTTTGTCGTACTTCTTGGCCACCTTCCGATCCATAAGCTGATCGGTAGTAAGTCTTTCTTCCGGCGCTGGAGGTTGCCACTTGCTACTCTTCCACGGCGGCACCCGCATCACATACATCATATCCATCTCCTCCAACGTCTTATCCTTGCCCTCAATGACAAAGAAATAGACGATGATCACTGCAAAGAACAAGCACCCCGCAAACACATATCCATAAGCGAAATCGATATCGCTGGTAATAAACGGGGTGAAAAATCCAATCAAGAAATTCCACAACCAATTCGAAGCGGTCGCCATCGCCATCGCTCGAGCTCGATATCGCGATGGATACAACTCGGCAACAATCGCCCATACCATCGGTCCCCAGGTCATGGCAAACCCGGTAATGAACAGACAGGCGAACACGACCATTGCTTTTCCTGCACCCGGTGTATTTTGTGGTGTTTTCACATCAAGTGAGAAATGGCCCACCGATGCAAAGACCATGAAACAGATGAACATCCAGATCCCGCCTGCAATGAGGGACTTGCGTCGTCCAAAATGCTCAATCACATATAGTCCTCCAAAGGTCGTGCCGAAGTTCACTCCGCCAAGAATCATTTGTGTTACATATGTGTTGCTGATTCCGGCGCCGTTGAAAATGACCGTTCCCTGTTACATGTTTAGTTTTATTTTCTTTTTGTATTTCTTGAAGAGAGAGAGAGAGAGAGAGAGATCGGGGGTAACTCACATAATAGAAGAAGTAATTGGCACCAGTCAGTTGCTGTAGAGCTTGAAGCACAACCCCAAGAACGATTCGATAGGGCATACGAGGCGCCTGGAACATCTCAACCCATCCATATATGCCACCTCGCGAGCCTTTCTCGGCATCTAACTGTTCTTGGATCTCGGCTATCTCGTGAACAATCACACGATGGTTCTCAGGTACACCGTATAATTTGGACATGGTCTTTGTGGCGCGGTCAACCCGTCCATGTCGAAAGTCGAATCGAGGACTTTCAGGGAAAAAGAGGATTCCTATTCCCAGCACGAGACCCCAGAGGAATGTAATTCCAAGGGGAATTCGCCATGAAGCCGAGCTGTTCATGCTTTCGGTGCCGAAGTTTATACAATATGCCACGAAGATGCCCAGTGTTACAAAGAGCTGGTATGAGCTAGAGTTAACTGTGTCAGTTCGTTGTATTTCTGAAGAGGAAAAGAAGATTGAAAAAGAAACCACTTACCAGACCATTGCACCTCGAATATGTCGTGGTGCAATTTCACCCTGATACATAGGAACGAGAAGGGAACATGCTCCCACGCCGAATCCAGTCACGAATCGACCCATCATCATTTGATACCATTTTCCTGACGGTGACGAGATCTGGATAATTAATCCAACGTGTAGAATGATACACCAAAAGAAGATGGACCATTTTCGACCAATTCGATCTGTCAATGGACCAGCAAGTAGGGCTCCTATCAAGGTTCCAATGGAGAGCTGGAAAGAGTGTTAATACATATGTATATGAACATATAGTCTATAGTCTATAGTCTATAATCTCTTGAGGACCATGAGTTAACTCACCAGGGAAACAATCAATCCAGATCGAACATTACTAAACTTATATGTCCCATCAGGCTTCAATTGGGCGAACCGTTGCTTGAAATTGTGCATTTCCAAGAAGCCCGAAATCTGTCCAGTATCATATCCAAAAATAATACCACCAATCGACACAAACGCGCCGAGTAGTACGGACCGCCATGTAATCCATGGCACACGCGATTCGTCCCAATTGCCAGCTCGCTTTTCATGATCAGGGGATTCGTTCGATAGATCGGTTAGTGGCGGGGACCCGGCGGCTTCAGTGCCGGATTTCTTGAATGGAAGTTTCATCTTGAGATTGTGGCATATGTGTATATGGGTATGAGGAAATTGGTCCAAGGTGATGAAAATAATACGAGGTTTACCAATCCACGAACTCCCCCCAATATTATAAAAGTCTTGAGACTAAATGAGTATCCTTGGATCGTCATATTGCCACCTTCGGAACGTCTTCGGGTTTGTGAGATCGTCATGGATTGATGCGCCACCCGGAGGTCTATATCTATGACACTTTGGTATGTACATGTAGTTTTGTATACATTGTGTTTCGACATATTACATATACATATGTCAGTAATCCAATCTGATCCTTTTCAATTAAATATACATTTGTGATATATATATATATATACTTATTGTATTATGTACTATGTAGTAGTATATTCGTCCGGGGTACAATTTGGGCGCGGGTCACCATATTACCTCTCAACGAAGTCGTGACGTCAATCAAATTATATCAATGCCTCGGTGGAGATAGAATTGAAAGGGATTGAGAGTAATGACATAAATCCAGAATGCACATGTATATCGGAGTTTGAATCATGTCTTGGAATACGCCCTATGTCATCCTAAACTGTATATGCATATTGTATATGTAAATTTCTTGTTAAAAAAAGGCCCCCAATTGAATTCAACATGTTCACAAATTATAGGTCAAATTAAATGATATGGAAAGAATTCAATTAAGAAATAGACTATATAGAACTCTATCTAATAAGGAATTCCGTTGGTCATTAGCTGGAACTGATCATAACCCTTAGTCGATACGCTCATGTAGGACTTGCGCACAAGTTCCCTCATGTACTCTGCAGCGTCACGTTCACTCTTCTCAAGAACGAATCGATCATGGAAGTTCTTCAAGGTTTCAGGTTTGAAGCACGGAAGACCACTGTCAAGCATCAGTGACACAATGTGGCCTAACTTCGTGCTGTATGGCCGAGATGCAAGGAATGCCTTCACAACCAATGACTCGAACCACTTGTATGGTTGCGTGTTGGTCGGATTGTGCGAGCTGCCTGGTAGGTTGATACCCGAGTTGCCACCCTGGTGGTGAGCTGGGTCGTGAGTTCCACTCATGACAGCAACCATCTCCGAGGTCAGCTTGAACGGAGCTCGTTCAAATCGGACACCGCCAGGCGCAATGTCAAAGCAGAATCCGAAATCAATGTGAATGATATGGCCGGCGTCGTCGATCATGATATTTCCATTGTGTCGATCCTTGAACTGAAGCAGGTAGGAAATGACAGAGTAGGCAGCCATACTCTTGACGAAGTTGGTGCGTGCCTCTTGGAATCGAATGGAGTCCTCGCCTCCGTATTTGGAGACGAAGTAATCGTACAGCCCGTTGACTGCCTCGCGGCCGAGCATATCGCGAGAAATAGAGTTGGGCAACACATCAATCACACCACAGCCAGGCGCCGTGGAGGTCACCCGGTAAGGATAGACCCAGACATCCAGACCGACACTGGTGAAGATGCTTCGGAAGGCTGCGATCATTTGCAGGGCAAGCATGTCCTGGCGACAGTCGTCGCCAACCTTGAAGATAGCCGACTGCCAAACTTCGTAGGTCTCCTGCGCAGGCTCAGAATGATTGGTCAACTGGCGTTGGTGTCCGTGGTGGTGATCGCCAGCGTGGATCTCGGGCTTTTCAATCAATCTCGGTCTGGTCTTCTGGATCCGGAACGTAGCCATGTAAGGCGCCTTTGCGTGACTTTGCAAAGGCTTACCGGACTTGCGGTCAATGCCTACGACCACACCGTCGGGGTTACTGGGAAGGTAAACTCCAACTTCAACCTTGATCTTCCGCAGCTCTTCCTCGATCTTCTCCTTCTTCTCGGGCTTACTTCTCTTAATGTAGGGACGAAGCTTGCCTGAGATGCCCGTGACTTCATTGAAGAACGAGAATTCTCGCTCGTAAAAGTCACGCTCCTCGTCAGAGAAGCTTGCGATCAAGTTATCCAGGAAACGGTCGAGGGTTTCCTTGAGGGGATCCGGCTGAGAAGGTTAGGATATTAGCCAGTTGTTGTCAGAAGCCCGATGTATCCAAACTTACAATTTGAGAGTCCTCATCCTTGTATGAGTTGGCCTTCATGTTCCAAATAACCTGGTGAGCAAACAACTGAGACAACTTAGCTGTCTCAAGGGTGTACCGTTCAACATATCCTAACCCATCATAGCGCAGGGCCTGGACCAGCTGCGGCACAAAGTAGAACCGAACATCCATCGTGTAGCTCTCCAGTGCCCGCATGGCGTACTGCAAGATGTAGGGATGGTTGCCATAAGCGGGCATAAAGTATGTGATGGCCTCTGTGGGGGTCACAGGAGCCCAGTATAGCAGATACTTCAACTGGGAATTGACATCCTCAGGCAGAGAGTTGTCGAACATGATTTCCAGAGCACTAGGCTCTTCAATGGCCTTCTCAGGGAAGTTGAGTATCAACAACCTAACATCATCCTGCATCTTGGGCGAGGGGAACCGCGTTGCCATCTGGATAGCCAGACCTGCGCTTTCCGCCCAGGCGAGTCGCAGGAGAGAGACAGGGCCCTCTGCGTTGGTCTTACCTCCTCCGATCACGGGCATGTGGTGCTTACGCTCGGGCTCCAGGGGGAAAAGCCAAACTCGAAGACGGGATCGTTCATTCTCCACAAGAACTTGAAGCAAATCTTGCTTGGGTTGCAAAGATTTATATGAACCCTGCGTAGTAGCAGCAATGCCTGCAACAGAGCGCAAAGTCGCTGTCACTTCGTTAAGAATTCTGTCCTCTGCCTTGATTTGGAGTCGGTTCCCTCCAAATGACCATCTAGGAGGATGCTTGAACCAACTCAGTCCCGCGGACAAGATTTGATCCTTGATTTTCCAAGACGCACCACTGTTGTAGGGACTGAGATGCTTTAGAACATTGAGACCAAGGAGCACAATGCGGAAATGAATTTCCCTAGCTAGGGGGTGGCACCCTGTCTTCGTGAGACCGACGACAGTACCGCTGATCAAGCGGCAAAACAGCTGCTGGTCTTGCAGATTGCCCAGTCGGATAGCATTGAAATGGCTTTCAAAGAACTGGAGAACTCGTAAATGCGGCGAGAGAGTGTCTTGAGCCTTTTGCTGCATGCGAAGCATAAGATCCTTGTCAGTTGGCAACAGCTCAATCTTGGTATGCAGTGGGTCAAGGTATCCGAAAGTAGGATCGAACAACCCTTTGCGGCGGTTGATGCTACTCTCCCAGGCTTCAACCACCTCACATAGGATGCGTGGTTCAGTGCTTGGGTTCTCGTGAATAACTCCAAGCCAAAGGGAAACACCAAGCTTGATTGTGTCCTTGGTGAATATCTGGAAAGGCAGGGCAACCAGATAATGGATCACCGAGAGTCGTGGGTTGCTGTTGCTGCAAATAAGACCTGCAGCTCGTCGAAGAACATTCCTGACTTCCACAAGAGGAATTTCCTCGCCATTAATGCTTCGATAAAATAGACGAGAGAGGGCGTCTTCCAACTCATCAGCAGACTCTGGCAAAGCATTGATGCGAGGTTGTGCGAGGTAGCCTCTGCCATCCAGCCCGTCGAGATCAGGCATGTCGGGACGGCGATACTTTTGGCGTGTCGTGTAAAGTGCCATGAAATCAGATGTAACATTGAACTCGGTAATTCCGTAGCCGTCGATTGACCCTAGTCGGGGATCACTTTGTGGGATAAGAGAGCCCATCTCCAGAGCAAATGAACGTCCCAATGCAATGTGCCCATAGCTGCCATCGTCGTCGTATTCAGAGAGATAGGTTTGAAGCAATCCCTTGATATCTAATGGGGCGAGGTTTAAAACTGCTGTCACCCAAGTTCTGGCTCGTTCATGGAATCGGCTCAGAGTCGCCTTTCTCAACGCATAGTTGTCCGGCAATTCGACCTTAACGATACCCATGGGAGAAACCAAAGATGGCTTCCACTCGAATTCGTCAAGTTCACCTTGGAGACAGGAAGACCACATAACGGTCAGAATTTCAAGTAGAGCAAAGAGAGAGTGCTTTTCGCACAAGGCAGATGGGCATTCGCGAATGATCTTGCTAGCACACTGCGCTGCAATGCTTTGGACCCTCTCAATGCGGTGACAACAGGACACCAGGAATTCGGCAAGTTGCTTGGAGAGGTATGGGGCTGAAAAGTCATCATTTTCACCGGAAAGCGTCAAGGACAAATAACAGGTGACTGCCTTGTCCGCAACAGCGTTCAAGCAAGCGACCATCTCTGGGGTGGCTAAGGCTGGATCGAGGAAATAATCGAGAACCTTGGTAGAGTCGCCTGTGGAGGCGCGGAGGGTCTCAATTAAAACCACTGCGTTGAGGAATGCTGCCTTGGAATGGTTCAATTTCTTGATATCGGACTCCCGGCCAGGAAGTTCAGAAATCAACGCTCTTTTGTGCTCCGCCATGCGCTGTGGCCTCATCCCGCGTCTGAGCACGGTGTTCAATTCCACGTCGCTCTCCAGCGATTCCATGCGAGTTCCGGCGATCAATGGCGGGGAATGATGGGCGAGAAGTCGCAGTTCCTTGTGATGTTTCTGGGCAACACTAGAGTTGAGATATATTCCATGAACGGCAATGTTGAACCAGGCATCACGGAACAAAGTCACGATCGACTCATCATAGTCCAAAGCCGACCAGGAGGTCCCTTTAGTATTTCCCTTGGAAGATACGAGCAAAGCGAGGGGCTTCAACAGAGGCGTGATGTCTTCAGAAGCAAAGACAACTTCGCGGTTATGCTCGTTCGCAAGGTCTGGCACATCACCCTTGTTGATGATACTTTCTAACAAGTGAACCAAATAAACCCGATGAAGGGGTGATTCTTGATCCAAGGTTATCGAGAGGTAAGCCATGGCGCACTGAACAGCATCGGAAATCGTGTCCAATCCTTTGTTGATGCCATCAAGGTATATGCGTGTATAAAATTTCAAGAGAAGCTGGAACTCGGCATTGCCACTGCTCAGGGCAAGAACAGCAGTTTCCTGGATGATAAAGGCATCTACTGCCACATTTATCTTGCCAATTTTCTGCAGAAGCATAGACTGGGCCAGTGCACTGATCTTGCCATCGTTGCAGTTGGTAGCAATTGTCACAATGGCATGGATAACATTCCTGTGGGTCATACTTTCATCTTCGTAATCTGCTGAGAGGGAGGTCTGGCTTGCGTTCTTGGGATACGCATCAAGGTTCATCCCGGGCCCGATGTGGTCTCCAGTCAGCTGGTCCGGACTGGACTGGTCCACATTCGTGCTCGGACTAAGCGCATTACCTAGTGAGTATAGAGTTGTAATAATAGCATCCTCGGAAAGAATGGTAAGGATTTGGGCAAGACATCGAGATGCGACAGCAACAATGGGGCGCGCCGACACACCTCCCTGGGACAAAAATCTCAAAAGGCAGCGTCTGCCGATAGATGCACCGTTTGGTGACATCCTCGCAAGAATGGCGGTGCATTTCAAAGCTGTTATAGCCAGCTCCACATTCGCCATCTGTTGAGGGTCGATTAAGGTATCCTCAAGCCACGACAAAAGGACTTCGTTGTTGGTTGCATCTTCGCCGAGAATAACGCAATTGAGGAAGCCTACTAGTGCGTGTCCCTTGACGGAGAAGGCCAGGCGCTGCTGCCAGGGCGAGCCGACTTGCAAGTAGTCAGAGCCTTCCTCTAGCAAATGAATTTCTTCACTGATGATATCAGTGACGCGTTCGACAAGAGAGACATCATCTTCGTCATAACTCTTTGCAATACCGACCCCAGTCATGTAGTCATCTAAGAGTTGCTCATCGGTCATGTGCTGTGACCCCATCAGGGAAGCTGCGCATGACTTCACAAAGCGCATGAAGCCTTCCTGTACGAGCATGGCACCTAATGGGCGACCATGAGCAGCGTACCGACGAGTGTACTTCTTCCAGTCTTTAAGGACATACTCCGCACCATTTGCATTGCGAAGAGTGGATGAAGCTGTCTCAACTGCGATGATAAAATTCTCGGACAGCATCGTACGCAGCTTGTCAACAATTTGTAACTTCTCGTTCGCATACCAGATAGAAGTGTATTGGGCAGAGGCTTCCAGGAAGCCTACCAGGGAGACCGTGATTGACAGGACGACTACAGACTCATGCACAACACCTTGCCGACCCGACTCAGACTTCGAATATTGGAACGGTGTAACCGCACTGATGGCCTCGGCGCAATTGTTCAGGTATCCATCCACGGCTTGCAGTGTTGTGTTGCGCAGATTCGGGTACTTAGCTCCCAGTGACAAGAGTGCTTGGGCCAAGTTGTAGGTAAGTGTCTCCCACGGTGATGGCTTCACACTATGTAGAAACGGCGAAGATCGGAATAACTGGCTATGTGATTCCGGCAGGTATTGAGATAATCGCGATGCCAGTTGAGAGGCATTTTCTGGGTCGTTCACCAAGGACGCTGCCTTACATAGGGCTAGGAGGACATCTAATTCGCGGGTTCCCTAATCTATATGTTAGTCCACGCTCTACTGACACTGGCAAGAGTAGCTCACCATTGGGACCCTAGCTGTCGGGGCCTGATCTCTCAAAATCGCATTGAGAGCGACATCCTGGTTAGTGAGCTCCGACCGATCGCGAGGCGCCTCAACTGCCAACGCAGCGAGCTTTTGGAAAGCGAAACGTCTTATCCCACCTGAAAGGCTTTGATTGATCTATTAGTTTGTTATTCAAAATATTGAACATATTTCACGTACCCGTCCATCTTGTTGTGAGAAAGAGGCTCAAGGAAGAAGACCTCGGGAGACCACGAGGATGAGGTCAGGGGGGATAAGATAACATGAGATAACGTAAGATAACACGGGGGGGACGCGAACCTTTCCACATTTGTTTACTTTACATAGTTAAGTGCATAACTGAACTACTACATATTTAACTACATATTTACATATTTATTGTTTATCTATATATTGTATACGTGTATATTATATCTTCCTTTGATTTGACTTGTAAATGATTATAAATTCTACGTATACACGAGCTCAATGTTATTCTAATTATAATTCTGATGCTCCGTATTGTATAACAATTTTTTGGGGGCGGAGAGACCACAGGGGAGAATCTTTCCCTCTTCCGACTTCTTTGTATATTGATTTTTGACCACATAAACATCGAGACTCATTGAAAAAGTATTATCATTCGTGTTTTCATTATCTCGTATTCTCTGTCTTATTTTTCTTCTTCCTCATCTTCCTTTTCTCTGAACGACAAGCGCTATTCATTCCCCTATCGCGTTGAATGGACCTAAATCCGACTACCCATCGCCAATTGGTCTAGAGTGAATGAACCCTTCTGTACCGGAGTAATATCGGCCTGTTAATAATGCCTCCCCGTGAGAAAAGTTCGCTCAAGCGAGGTCGGGTATGTTTCACTTGTTTCAGAGTCTACCCAGGTGCCCAGGTGTCATTATTTTGCTTACAAGATTTGCGATAAGGCTACTGTCACTGCCGATGCAGATTCACAAAAGAAACCTCGACGGTCACAAAGAATCTCGGGTCAAGTCGAACAAGAGACGCCGGTCGATTTAAGCTACTTGCCAACCCCGCGTACTGGCAACCCATCCACCACTCCGGATTCTACTCGCAAGGAAGTGACTGTAACACCATCCCAGAGCCCCAGCGCCCAACTCCCATCCCTGCCTGATTTATTACACACTGTTTCCTCACCACCACTGGAAGATACTCAGGTAGTTTCACAGTTTGTGTATCCACCCAGGGCATTTGCAGACGAGGTAGAGGATGAGAAAGCGGAAGGAGTCTGGGGCTACTTGCTACCACTAAATGAAAAGGCGAATGGTCCACTGGTTCTGAGGAAACGCACTCCCTGCGACAATGCCGGTCAAAAGGATAGCAAGAGCAACACAAAGGCCGGGAAAAAGCCTCAATCATCCAAGGACGCCCACTCACCTGGCGGTTTCTTAGTCGGCCGGCACCCCGAGTGTGGTAAGTGACAGTTTCGTTTATGTATCAAGGACACGTTTTGACCATACTCAGATCGCGTTCTCGAAATTCCCACTATTTCAAACCGACACTTTCTTATTTTTGCCGAGAACAAGAAAGGCGAAACGGTTGCCATTCTGGAGGATCTCTCCAGCAATGGAACATTTGTCAATGATGCAATTGTCGGACGCAACAAACACAGAGAGCTGGAAGATGGAGACGAAGTTTCTGTTTTGAATGAGGCGCGATTTGTCTTCCGCTACCCTCGCACTCGGGAATCCCATGGGTTCCGTCAGCAATACCGAATTCTTAAACAGCTCGGTAAGGGCCACTTTGCAACGGTCTATCTATGCGTTGAGCGGTCTACCGGAGACAAATATGCAGTCAAAGTCTTTGAAAAACGCCTGGGAGACTCGCAAAAGTCACAAACGGATGATGCTTTGCAGCAAGAGATTGCACTTCTGAAGGGCGTAGACCACCCTAATCTGCTGTGTCTTAAGGACACCTTTGATGATCCTGATGCCACTTATTTGGTTCTTGAACTGGCGCCTGAAGGAGAGCTCTTTAACCTGATCGTGGAAAAGGAGAAACTGAACGAAGAAGAAACCCGAGGTGTATTCCGCCAACTGTTCGACGGTTTGAAGTATTTGGTATGCATCAAATTTGCCCCATGTACACTATATGCCTAGGCCCGCTGACCTTTTCTTAGCATGATCGAGGAATTGTGCATCGTGATATCAAGCCAGAGAACATCCTGGTTGCCGACCAAAAGTTACATGTGAAATTGGGTGACTTTGGGCTTGCTAAGATTATCGGAGAAGAATCTTTCACTACGACCCTGTATGTTGAAAGGTAGTCTGTATCAGTTTGAATCATTGCTGACATTTTTTTCTAGCTGCGGTACACCAAGCTGTGAGTTAGAAGTTTTCATAGAAAGAAATTTGAGAGTTGATACTAATCCTACCAGATGTGGCTCCAGAAATTTTGCGAGATATGTCCTCCCGGCAATACACCAAGGCAGTAGACGTGTGGTCCTTGGGTGTTGTACTTTACATTTGCCTCTGCGGTTTCCCACCGTTTTCTGATGAACTGAGAACGAGGGACAACCCATTCTCCCTCTCCCAGCAGATCAGGATGGGCAAGTTCGACTATCCATCTCCGTATTGGGACTCTGTGGCTGATCCCGCCCTCGACCTGATCGACCGGATGCTCACTGTGGACGTTGAAAAGCGCATCACGGTTGATGAATGTCTCGAGCACCCTTGGATGAAACCCCTCAGTGTCACTGACAGTACTGACGGCCTAACTGGGGCCCTTGGAAAAATGGACTTCTCCAAACGCAAGATGCAGCGGGAGCGAACCTTGTTGAGCAGTATCAACGATGCCCAGTTCAGTGAGCATGCCAAAGGTAGCGAAGCGCCTGTCAAGGTGTACCGGAATGAGACTGGGAAGCGCGTCCCCAACCCCCCTGCCAAGACCCGTGAAGTTTCGCCCAGTGGCAACAGGGACCCGAAAGATTTCATCAATATTGGAGGACGTGGCGATCCCGCCCTGTATGACAATTAAAGGTTGCCGTGGATGCGTGTTGTGTTGGTTATTATTATTTGGTGTGGGATTATCACGGTCAACGGAAAGTTGTATAACTTAGGACTCAGGCGCTGGACTCAGGCGCTGGAATACATGTACACTTATTGGGGATTCGTCGAAACTCGGCAGATAATAAAATTGTTCTTTTTCCAGGTTCTTCATTAATACTTTTCATTAGTACTTCTACTGCACTCTGTGTGATTTATTCTACTTCTTACCTTTAATCCCTCAATACCTCACTTCTCATGTAGTTTATTTCTATGAAAATCTATACTCTTATTTTTCTGTACTTTCAGTATTCTCAGTATTCTCATAATCTATCACCGGAAGCCCCTTTCACCGAAGTGGCGTGATGGGCCCCATAGCCTGTGTAGCATCTGATCAGAGGGCCCCGGGGAGAACCAAAGGCTGCCTAATTAAAATTGTTGCTTACAATTAGGTATATGTTAGAAGACATATATATCGAAGTAAACGTATATACAGGAATATATAACCAGAAATATAAGAATCCATATGGAAGTAAAGAAATACATGCAAACAATCAAATTATAACATGTCAACGCCTTACAGTCAGCTAACTACTTGTTCTTCTAGACTAGGGGGGGTGCGGGTCCTATCTCACCGAATGATAGCGGACTGATTATTTTCCTTGCCAATTTCGCCTCCTGTTTAATCTTCAACCACCTTGTTATTATTCTTCGTTTTTTTGTGGTCAATAGGAGAGAATAATTAGGGTGTATATTGCGCCCTTCTCTTTTTCCTTTTCTTTTCTCTGTTTTCTTTTTTCTTTCTTCCTCATTATCAACTCTCCCCTGACACCATGGGCCTGTTCGCAAGTTTCCTTGACATTTTCTGCGAGCACTGCTCAAGCCAGTCAATCTACACTCTGGCAAGTGTTGGAGCGTTGTCGTTCATTGCGCTGTCGGTCGTGATCAATGTATTGCGCCAATTGCTCTTCAAGAAGGCTCATGAGCCCCCTGTAGTCTTCCACTGGTTCCCCTTTGTTGGAAGCACCATCAGTTATGGCATGGACCCCTACAAGTTCTTCGACCAAGCTCGCGCAAAGGTATGTGAATCGCAGATGTGTCCCGTCAAAGCAATCGTTAATCTGAGGTCAATTGCAGTACGGCGACATCTTCACTTTTGTCCTCCTTGGCAAGAAGACCACTGTCTACCTGGGTACCAAGGGTAATGAGTTCATTCTCAATGGCAAGCTTCGCGATGTAAACGCCGAGGAGGTCTACTCTCCCCTTACTACTCCCGTTTTCGGTCGCCACGTTGTCTACGATTGCCCCAATGCCAAGCTTATGGAGCAGAAGAAGGTAGGAACAGGGTATACAAAGTGTACAGAATGAAGGCTGACACCGACGATAGTTCGTTAAGTTTGGTCTCACCTCTGAGGCGCTTCGCTCTTATGTCCACTTGATCACCAACGAGGTCGACGATTTTGTCAAGAACTCTCCCGCCTTCCAGGATCCCAAGGGCACCATCAATGTGTCCAAGGTTATCGCCGAAATCACCATCTACACTGCCTCTCGCTCGCTCCAAGGAAAGGAAGTCCGGGATCGCTTCGACTCGACTTTTGCTGAGATGTACCACGATCTCGACAAGGGCTTCGCTCCTATCAACTTCATGCTTCCATGGGCTCCTCTCCCCCACAACCGCAAGCGCGATGCCGCTCAGAAGAAGATGGCTGAAACATACATGGATATTATCAAGGAGCGTCGCGCTGCTGGCGAAAAGAAGGACTCTGAAGATATGGTCTGGAACTTGATGTCTTGCAACTACAAGAACGGCAACCCCATTCCTGACGAGGAGGTAGCTCACATGATGATTGCCTTGCTCATGGCCGGCCAGCACTCCTCATCTTCTACCGCGGCCTGGATCGTTCTGCGCCTAGCTACTTGCCCTGAGATTGTGGAAGAGCTCTATCAGGAACAGCTCAAGGTCCTGGGCTCCGACCTTCCCCCTCTCACTCACGAAGGCCTCAACAAGCTCGACCTGCACTCCAAGGTTATCAAGGAGACCCTCCGCATCCACGCTCCCATCCACTCCATCATCCGCGCTGTCAAGAACCCCATGCCCGTGGAAGGCACTAACTATGTCATTCCTACCACTCACAATGTTCTCTCCTCCCCCGGTGTCACTGCTCGCTCTGCCGAGTTCTTCCCAGAGCCTCTCAAGTGGAACCCCCACCGCTGGGATCAGGCCGAGGCCCCCAAGGACGAGGATGAGGAGCAGATTGACTACGGTTACGGTCTGGTCACCAAGGGTACCAATAGCCCGTACCTTCCCTTCGGGGCTGGCCGTCATCGCTGTATTGGTGAGCAGTTCGCCTACGTGCAGTTGGGCACAATTTTGGCTGCGCTGGTCAGACACTTCAAGTTCTCCAACCCTAGCAGTGAAACCCCCTTCCCCGACACTGACTACTCGGTAAGTCACTCTTTATTCATTGACCATTTGATAATCTAACTAACAATGTTGCCAGTCCCTGTTCTCCAAGCCTGCTGGTCAATCCTTTGTCCAGTACGAGAAGCGTGGAGTCAAAGCATAATTGGAGTTAGGCTTTAGAACCAAAAGATTCCCATCCGAAATTGGCTCTCTTATTTTTTTAATGCCCCATGTTTATCGATGCAGGCTCAGCCAGGTGAGCCAATGTCCCAACAGCCTATATAGCATTATCATTCTTCTTCGCCTTGAAATGATTGTGCTCCATGTAAATTACCTTGTTCCCGACGGCTTTGAAACGCCTTTGTCCTTTCCATGTTACATAGTTTAATCATATCAATTTAATTGTGCAGACACTCATCTCGGTATCTGTTTCTCAGAAGAAGAAGATAAGCAGAAAAAGAAGAACAAAGAGGTAAATGTTGAATGATTGCAGGTAGTATGGCAAAAGAAGTATAGTACAGTCCAAAACGAACATCGGCTTAAGAAATATGCAAAATACAAGTACTCCACTACACTCACGCCTTCTTCCTCTCATCCAATCTCTGCTTGTTCCGGACCTCTCTGCGTCGTCGCTCACCACCATCAACCTTCTTGGGACGCCTGTCCTCCCACATACCCTCCTGGACTGAGATAGTAGCAGCAGTGCCATCGGTGCCCGCCATAGGTTGCAAGAAAGGACCCATCGGAAGCGATCCACGGCAAATCTTCATTCCCGCAAACTGCACAATAGGTTTCTTCTTGGAAAACACGTATGTCTTGTCCTCAGGCGCAAGATTGACAATGGCTTTCACCATTCCGGGCGCCAGTGTGGCGGAAGAAGTATGCACAGCGCTTTTGGTGCCTGTGTTTGTGAGGCCTCGTGCGCTGACAGGCACTTCAACCACCCGCAATTGTGCAACGCCGTCAACAACAGTGTGCAGGTCACCGCCTGGTCCGTAGACCCCGTTGCGGAATTTCTCGCGCTTCCGGATCAGATAACGCCGCTGGCGGGCGGGTTCGAGTCCTGCTTCACGGAGTTGGGTCGAGTTGAGGTTGAAGAGGGCCTCCCATGTGGGAATTTTGCTGGCTTGTTTGGACATGTCCCGCCCGATCAGCTTGAGAAAGGTCTCAACGTCGGGGACGAAAGGGGTCGGAGCGGGAACTGTTCGAGGCGCTTTTTGATGGAGTGATCGGATACATTGGTTGGAGATGTGAAGGGTTTTGAAGAGGCGCAATGAGAGGCCGCCCAGCGGTGAGTTGCGCATGGCCATGATGCTCATGGTGACGGTGTTGCGGGAGGATTGCCGCAAACCCCGACTTTATTGATCTCTCGTGCTGTTTTCTTTTTTTTCCCCAGAATATGAGGGTGTTGAATGGAATTGGTAAGAGAAGCGAGCGAAATTTGTCTTTTTCGCAATTGACAGAGTTCCAGCAAGTCCCACGGAATGGGGTCGATGTTGATTGTCTCCCAGAAATTTTGGCGTTGCCAACAGATCCCAGGATCAATGATACTCCGGGCCACGTCTGGAGATCGAACATCCGTACTCCGTATTCCATACAAGTTACTTATATCAAGAGCTTTCCTTCACTTCGGATTGATTGTTTGGCTATAAAAAAATGATCTCCTAATACTGAGTGCGGCCACATATAATCCGTGGCTGTCTTGACTTCTTTGTTACTCCGCCAGTCCCTTGGGAGCTTTGAGCTTTTATACACTCGTTAGACATGTCGCTCTCACCCTTCGGCTCTCGGTCGCCTTCCATGACCGTACGTTCCCCAAATACAGCAATTCGCCTGCGAGCTACCGCTGCACAGAATTCGGCTTCTGGAACTACTGTTGTCGCATCATCAAAGCCTGTGCAGAATGGAGATCGCGAACTTACTGAACAACTCAACATCGATGTACGAGAGCGATACGTCAAAGGTATGTGTGAATGAGTGGGAACTGTGTTAAGTAAGTACTACGCTAACAAAAGCAGACAAAAAAGTAGGAGAAGGTACTTATGCCGTAGTCTTCGTTGGCCACCTCCGAGACGACCCTTCATCCCTCGTCGCCATCAAGAAAATCAAAGTCAACGCCGAATACAAAGATGGACTGGCTATGGATGCGGTTCGCGAAGTGAAGTATCTTCAAGAGCTGAAACATCCTAATGTTATCGCCCTACATGACGTTTTTTCGTCTAAAGACCAAAATCTCAGCTTGGTTCTTGAGTTCCTCCCCGGAGGAGATCTTGAAATGCTCATCAAAGACAGCGATATCCACTACGGTGTGGCCGATATCAAGGCCTGGATGGGTATGCTGGCCCGTGGCGTGTGGTGGTGCCACGCGAACTTTGTCCTTCACCGGGATATCAAGCCCAACAATCTGTTGATTGCGGCAGACGGAGAGGTCAAACTGGCCGATTTCGGTCTCGCCAGATCCTTTGCCGACCCTGGGTTCAACATGACCCATCAGGTCATCACTCGATGGTACCGTCCACCCGAGCTTCTCTACGGCGCGCGGCAATATTCCGGTGCCGTCGATGTGTGGTCCATGGGCATGGTCTTCGCAGAGCTTCTGATCCGCGTTCCCTTTGTGGCAGGTAACACCGATCTGGACCAAATTTCTAAAATCTCCGAAGCGTTTGGAACGCCCACGGAAGACAATTGGCCTGGAGTCAGCAAGCTGCCTAACTATATCACGACGGATAAAAGCCAAATGGTACCATTACAAGGACGGGATTTCTTCATGCGTCAATTCCCCACTGCAGGACCGGTGGGTGCAGATCTGCTGATGGCGATGTGTGCCCTTGACCCGCGCAAACGCAGCACAGCGATTCAGTGTCTCCAGCACAACTGGTGGACCATTGAACCTCGACCAACCAAGAATGAAGATCTCCCGCGTAAATCCGGTGGAACCAAAAAGATGGGGGATGATCTGACGCGGCGGGGTGGCGAGCTGGATGAGGGTCTTTTCAAAAGTGCAGCTCGGCAATTGGATTTTGGCGGGATGAAATGACGAAACAACCAAGTAATCTAATATAAAACCAGAACGATAAACAATATAGTTAAATCAAATCAAACCAAACCAAACTAACTGCACTAACTGCGCTAGTTAGTTAGTCAATGAATGGGATTGTGTGTTGTTCTCTAGACCCTTAGGCACTAGAGCTGCATGGCATTCGTTTGGCTGCAGGTTACTATTGGATAATATAAATGTATGCATATGCAGTCGAGATTGATAGCTCGAAAGAAAAGACCAGAATGAACTTAGGAAGTGGGACTCATCGAGAAAAGAAATGTCACGCTCGGATAACCCCCACGATCATCTACCTGTCATGTCGTACTGTTTAGTACAAAAATTGTAAAATTGTAACAAGGTTAAAGAAAACCAATACATGGAGTAAGTGGCTGTTTTTTTCATTTTCAGGAGGGATATTGGCTCCCTTGCAGATAGAGATTCTTCTCCCATTCAAGTTTTGGAGACTATCCTCTGTTGGTACAGTACTATACCAGAAGTCCAAGTACGGCCCAAGTAGAAGTCCAGGGCATGGTGGGTCACGGGACATCAAATGAGGATCAACAGATTAATTTTATTTCTATTACTCCGTAGTAGTGTCAAATAGGTCAATCTTTGCTTCATTTGACTCCTTTTCCACACTAATAGATACGATTAGCCGTTATCTGCTCAGGAACAGGGGTTCATCAGCACTAAGTATTTAGTCAGTACTCCTACAGAGTACGGAATACATCAAGGAGTTATCCCTATTACTACCTTACTACATACATGTATTACAATGTACGGCGTAGAGATCCCATTAATGTACTATATAACTACTACTAGTACCGAAGAACCATTCAAGGACTCTAGGACTTGAACAAGTACTAAGTCTTAGATCCCTTCGTACCTGGTCGAAATAATGAGAGATGATGAGATGGAAGTACCCACACTAAAATAAATGGTACAGTTCTTCTCATTCGTCCCCCTTTTCCCCTTCGTCCTCCGTCCCGGACATGAAACATCCACTGACGGCCATCGTTGGACATCATTGGACATGCGATGCTCCGAGCTTTTTCTACCCTGCGACTTGCGAGTCTTAAATCATTGGAGCTTTGGGAATTGGCCCCTTTTATAATTCGGGGGATACAATGTATAAGTATGGGATAAGGAGATAGAACACAAACCTAGATAGGCATATATAGTATCTAGGGATAATAAGGAATTTTATTCTACTTCCATAGTATTTATAGTATACTATGATAGCTAATATATAATATAGTTAATTGACTGGGTATATCACTAGTTCAACTATAAAAATTCGTCAAAGTCTGGACTCTCTCTCTCTCTCTCTGCGGGGGATCTTTTGATTATTGTTTCTTCTGTTTTCTTTTTTTCCCTTGCCATATTTGCATATTCGCATATTGACATATTATTGACATATTATTGACATCTTGAATTATTCTCTCTACATCCATTATTACTTACCCTTCTCTACCGTTTGGTTTTTCTGTGAGTGCCCAAAATCTGCCTTGATCATAACAAGACGATTATCGCGCGTATCTACTTTTTTTTCCTTCCCTCCCTCACCCTCTCTCTCTCTCTCTCTCTCTCTCTCTCTCGCCTCTTCTCAAGATGGCCCAGTCACTAGCCCGATCTTCATGTCTCAGTGGTCCATTTGGCTAATCTGCAATAATATCTGTTAAAGAAAAAAAGTTACAGACCCGTTCTAGCATATCTTCAATCCGCCCGCATGGCCGTCGCGTCAACTTTCACCTACTAAATCTATCCAAGGCGCTCATCGATTTCGTCACTGGCAAAATCATGGCTTCAATGTCAACGTTACCACAACCTTCACGGTCTAGCCCATCTGGATCATTACCTCCCCTCCCCATCCCGAAACCTAGGACCGTTTCCTCCGACACACCGAGGGCTGCATCTCCATACGGGGCGTCCAAGCTCCGTACACCATCCAGTCCCAAACCATCGCTTAAGTCTCCGCTATCAAGTTCTAACTCTACCTCCAACCTCAATGCCGCTCGCTCCACTGGTGGCCGCACTCCCGGAAGCCCTGAAAAATCATTGCGCCGAACCATCAGCATAGCGTCCTTCCCTCAACCACCCAAGGCCGGGGCCCGTCCATCCACTGCATCTTCAAATTCCACGGTCCAAACTGCCACTCCCAACATGCGACCTAAAAGAAGCTCACGACTGAGCACGGGGACAACAAGCAGCTACCGGAGCTCGAAAACTCCGTCGTTGTTGAACGGTAGCGGGGAAGGGAAATTCATATCCAGTGCGGATGCGCGAGACGATGCGTCTCCCGGTCACAGCAGGAGCTCTTCTGCACAAGGATCTTGCTCAACGAGTGCAACAACATTTGAGGATGCTGAGGAGACCGGTAAATCCAAACCAAAGGAGATTAAGGGGAATGTTATTGTCAGTGTACGCGTCCGACCGGACAACAATAGCGGAGGAGAAACTCCCAGAAACCACGGCGAATGGTCGGTCGACAGCCGGCAAAGTCTCATCTCATATCGAGGGAAAGAGGGAGGCGACTACTTCTATGGTAAAGAACATAATCCTGGATCACTATTTTGAACACGAACTAACTGGTCAGATAATGTCTTTAATACCCAAGAAAACAACGCGAAGGTTTACGATTCCGCCGCCAAGCGCCTTGTCCGTCGTGTTATGGAGGGCTACCATGGAACAGTCTTCGCATATGGTATGACGGGAACAGGAAAGACATTCTCCATGCAGGGAACCGCAACGTCCCCCGGTGTCATTCCGCTTGCTATTACCGATATTTTCTCGTTCATCCGAGAAACTCCGCACCGGGAGTTTTTGCTGCGGGTCAGCTACCTCGAAATATACAACGAGAAGATTCATGATCTTCTTTCCGCTTCCTCTGCCGGTGCGGGAATAGGGCAGCAAGAGGAAATCAAATTGAGAGAAGACAGTAAACGAGGGGTCTATGCGACGCCCCTCAAGGAAGAGATTGTGCAGAGTCCAACACAACTCCTTCGTGTAATTGCACGAGGTGATCATGCACGGCGAACCAGCAGTACACAGTTCAACGCTCGCAGTTCTCGAAGTCATGCGGTGGTTCAGATCGTTGTGGAGAGTCGAGAACGTGTGCCCTCGGGGAACCAAGACAAGCGCTCCGGACTCGCACCCGGTGGTGTGCGCGTGTCAACCTTGAGTCTGATTGATTTGGCGGGCTCAGAGCGTGCAGCCGATGACAAGGAACGACGTACTGAAGGTGCACATATCAACAAGAGTCTGCTCACTCTGGGTAACATTATATCGGGGCTCTCAGACAACAAGGATAAACAAGGCAACCCCTCTGATCGCGATGGGAGGCATCTGCCTTACCGAGACAGCAAGTTGACCAGACTGCTGCAGCCAGCTTTGTCCGGTGGCTCGCTTGTGAGTATTCTCTGCACCATCCAGTTCTCAAGCGCGATTAATTCGCACACGGGCGAGACTTTGAACACCATGAAGTTCGCTGCCCGTGCCAAGAACAACATTGTCAGTCATGCCAAGAAGGCCGAGGAGGCATATGGCGGTGGTGGCGGTGACTCTGGAAGCAGGGTGTTGCTTGAGCGATATCGCATGGAAATTCAGGCTCTCCGTGGCCAACTTGATACCCAAGCCAAATCTCAGGCTGAGAAGGAACTTAAGTGGGATGAACAACAGTATGAAAAGGAGGCTCAGGCTCGCCATGAGGAACAAGTCTTGGAAATGCAGTTAGCCCGGACTGCTCTCAAGGAGCGCATAGAGCATCTCAATCGCTTGATTCTGAGCTCCAAGTCTACCGGTGTAAACAATTACAACAGCTTGTCTGCGTTCGGGCGGCTTTCCCGCATGTCCACAACGGATTCTGGTACACGATCACTGCGCTCCTCCGCCAGCCAATCTACTTTGGGTGTGGGCCATTCATCAATTCGCCCTATCTCATTCATGTCTGTTAATAGTAGCGAGCCTTCAAGCGCTATGCATTACCCAAGTGGCTCATTCGGAAATGACGACGAAGAAGACCTGGGTGAATTCGGCGATGGAAAAGCTAGCTTGCAAAGACAGATCATTGCTCTGCAGGCCGATCTTAGTGATAAGAACCGATACATCTCAACCCTGGAACGCAGGTTGCTGCAGGCGAGACGCTCCAGTCATTCCCGCATGTCAGTGGGCATGAAGCCAGCAAATGCTACAATTGCCGAACACCGCGAACAGGACGAACCCCCAGATTTATCGGCTTTGGTTCGTGATAAGGATTTGGAGATCAATGAACTTCGACTGCAGCTCGATGATAAGGATCGAATGCTTGCTGCGCTTCGATCTGCTGCCCGCCACCGTGATTTGGCTGCTGTGACGAATGACTCGCAGTCGCCGGAAATCAAGAGTGGATCGGTGGCTGGAGACAGTCCTGTGATGAATAATAGCTTTGGAAAATTGGGCAGCCCGAGCAAACGACCTTTGTCCGGTCGAAGTGAAAATGAAGATGCCAGTAAAAATATGGATGAGGTCTCACGCATGCTGGAGGAAATGATCCAAGGGCGATCAGAGGGGCATGTGGACAAGAAGAGCCTCGCCAGTGATAGCCGACGAGTATCTTCTTCGGCACAAGTGGCCGGTCTCAATCCAACTGCTCCCTCCTGGGATCCAAGCTTCAGCTCACCGGTTCCGGAATGATGATGAAATCCTCAATGCGTTTTATTTGTGCTTTGCGGATGTTCGAGGTTTTTCCTTTTTCTTTTTTGATCTGATACCCAATTCATAGGTTTACTTTCTTGCGTGTGTATTTAATCTGAACTATTTTCCTTTGAGATCGAGTATGTATGATTCTGTTTCTTGTTCAATATATACTGTGTGATTGTGCCTATCAAATGACAGTAAACCGCTTGTACATAGATACTAGGATCAAGAAATAATCTCCAACTCGCCTTCTCTATCCTTGGCATAAACATCCTTCCATTGATCCCATAATCGCAGCAGTTCTTCCACATATCGAGAATGGAGTTCATCGATGTACTGATCATCGATCTTGTCCCGGTTCTGCTGCTGCATAACCGGGATGGGCCGCCCGACCACAATGTTAAGGGGGTGGCGGTAGGGCATCAAACCAACGTCGTAGTTGAAAACACCTCGTGCATGGAACAATGGGACAGTAAATCCCATGGTCTTCTTAATGAACATCTGAAACTTGTGGATATACGGGTGCTGATCCGAGTCGACTTGATCGTAGAGTTCATTCTCACCGAAAGCCAGCACAGGGACCAGGTCAGCCCCTGTTCGGATAGCAAGCTTGACGAAGCCCTTTCGACGCTTCAGTACCAGACGCAGGGTATTAGGCTGAGCGTTTAGGGATTCCCGAGCACCTCCCACAACAATTGTGATGGCTCGCCCCATGCCCTCTCCGTCGCTGCCTCCTTTGGTCAAGATGTTCTCGCAGGATTCTCGTGACACACTAGCAACTCCCATGGCAAGTGCATATTCGCGATAGAAAGGAATGCGGAAGTTCGCGTCCAGTGTCAACAATGTGTTGGTGATTCCAGGGAACAGCTTGGAGAACCCTAAGGCCTCTGTTCCAAACGCAGCAAACGCGCCATGGGAGATGATACCATGGGGGTGATAGCCAAAGATATACTTTTTTGTAGGTGGAAGCGTCTCCTCGCGGTGAAGGCTAGCGGGGAAATAAGATGCATACACTTTCCAGATAGGAAGGGAGCGCAGGAATGGACTGCGACCTTTGAGATCCCCGGATGTGGCGGCAGTAGAGAACAGAGAGATATAGACAAGATATGGGACCAAAAGTGGCCAGAAAATCGGAATGGCACATGTGAAAAAGAAAGCCGTCAGGAAGATAGCGATGGTCAAGGTATGACAGAGCACAATGAATGTCTGTAGGCGTCGCTCAAGGCCAATGTTCAGAGGTGCCCAGTGAATACTATATATGTAGGTCAGAATTGGTGACAGGATAAAAAGCTATGGTTGCCTTGCCGTTTTCTTCTACGCTTCGACTGTGATTTGGCCGAGGCACGACCACTTGGTCGAGATTCCCCGTTCATAATGTGGGAATTGAACCGCTGTTATCAACTGAGCAGAGTCAGGGTTATGGAAGAACCAGAAATTTCTGGGACTTGAAGTAACAAAAGATGTATGCGCCCCGATTCCGAGCGATCAACGGTTAGGGACGCTCAAGTTTATCGAGAAAGAACCGGGAGAATGACGTTGATTGTGGATCTCAGGCTGCAAATGGCTTAGGTAACATTTTTATCCACACCAAGCTACATATGTATGCGTACAATATTGTACATGCATATATGTATATACAAAGAGTTATGTGACTGACTATATTGGCCTAGGTATATTGTATAGTCGCTCATATTATTGAAATTCTTCCATTCATTGGGATATATCTATGTTGAATCGTAAAACAAACACCAAAAACTCCAGGTTTTATATGCGCTTCAGATGCAGATGAGCATAACTCTTATGCTTTGATCATAAAGATCTAATTTCATGTCAGTAAAACGAACCACAAAAAGATGACTGGATATATCCTACCTCGTTAAGGGACTTGTCATCCAACATGGCTCTCTTTTTCTGGGCAATGTGACGTGCACGAAGAACCTGCCGACCCATTGGCTGCCGCTCCCTAGAAACTGCGGGTTTCTTGACTTCAGCAGCCTTATCAGCATCCTCGGATTCGGCCTTTCTCTTCTTGGATTTCTTCTTCTTCTTCGATTCCGAGCTTGATTCCGAGTCTGTTTCCTCTCGGGATCTTGATTTCTTGGACTTAGATTTAGACTTCGACTTTGTTTTCTTCGACTTGCGGGCCGGGGTATCTGATTCGCTCGAAGATGTCTCATCATCGCCAGGCTGTGAGCGCTTCTTCTCGTTCGACTTGGATTTCTTTGTGGTTTCTTCCTTGGGGACCAGAGTAGAAACGGGCTCTTTTTCATGTTCCAATAACCCGGCGCGGACAAATCTGACTTCGGGGAATTTCAAGGAGGCATATCGAGCCAATCGGACATCTTCGAGTTTACGCTCATCCTTCTTCAACTCCTCATCACTCTTGCCGTTGAGTCGACCAAGAAGGCCCTTGAAAGCGTCCAGGCCGGTCTGTTCGCCCTGTCGTCCTAAACGAGCGCCCAATCCGAGAGTATCGTCCTTGAGGGTAACTTTGATGTGGGAAGCACTGGCGGCGGTCAACAAGTTGGCATGTGCGGCATCTTTGGCTCCCAAGAGACTTCCAGGAGTCCAGCCCTGGGAACTCATGATCCTATGTCCGAACCCGGACGTGGACCGGGTCCAGTTGGTGTTGTTGGGATCATTGCCGATCTTGGTCTTGCTGTTAATGAATTAGCAAAATCTTCACAATAAATTAGGCTGAGTTCGCATACTTTCTCGGCCCTGCTAAGCCCATGGCGATGAAAAGACTGGAAATGTTGTAGATTGAAAAAGAAAACCGATACGAAGAAGGGAAGAAAAAAAAAACCAAAGGGCAAAAAATAGCGGGATGAGTCAGCAACTGATAAGATCTCCAGGAATCCAACATCTCGCGGGGGAAACAGAGTCTCCATTTCTCAACTTCAACTGTTTTTATTGTCGTTTTTCTCCAAAAAAGAATTCTTTCTTTCTTTCGTTTTGACTGTTTCTTCTTATTTATGGGAGACCCTTCTTCTCCGTACTTCGATTTCATGATTGCCCAGGTGGTTCTGTGGAATTATCAAAATTGCTACTGAAATAGTAGGAATCTATTTCATGGGTAAGCAATGATACTGCTTCTCTGATCCGATCTTATTCTATCATGTCGAAGCTTCGGGTACTTTGTCGGGATCAGCCTGAACGTACAATTGCACTGGTCTCGTCAGACCATGCCTTGGTGTTTCACTCTACCTCAACCGATACCGCCAAGGACAGCCCCCGCTGTCAAGTTGAGTTTTCGGACTTGAAATCGGTAGACTTGAAAGGGTACCGATCGCTGGGAGCTGGACAAGGTACCCTTGGCCTTGTCACGCTCAATGATGATGTATTTGTTTGCGTCGTTGCAAGTTCTTCACAAGCTGCCATTGTGAGACCCGGCGAGACTGTATCAAAAATTGACAGTGTAGGCTTCTGTACGTTTTCTACATAATATACTACTCAATAACATGCTCACAATCGCAGACTGTCTTAATCGTTCAGAGTATGAGTTCGGGTTAGACTATGAGACCGGGTCTCAATTCACGGCCGAGGACCGACTTGGCACAGATGGAAAGGATGTGGTGACCGATCACCCTTTCCTGGCCTTGAAAAAACTATTAGGAGATGGAAGTTTTTATTACAGTCTGGATTTCAACCTTACAGATCGCCTGCAGGACCGGTAAATTTGACCATTTGGCTCTACCTTCACACACGAACGTGCTAACAACCTCAAAGGGCTGATAAGTCTGCTGCATTTGACATTGACACTCTGGATGAAGATATGCTTTGGAATTCTTACATGATCAGTCCATTGCTTCTATTCCGTAGTCATCTGCCACCATCCGACAAGGCCAAACTGGATGCATCGCAAATGCTGACTTGTGTCATCCGGGGATTTGCCAGTACACTCAAAGTGCCAGCCACGGTATCAATTCTTCCTCATGTGCGAACTAATCTCCCCTCCATGTTGACAATCATATCCCGGCAATCTTCTCGACGTGCTGGCACGAGATTCAACTCGAGAGGTATTGACGATGATGGAAATGTTGCCAACTTTGTGGAGACTGAAACCATTCTGTGGGTTGCGCCGGGAATAGTCTTCTCTTATGCCCAAGTGCGAGGCTCAGTGCCAATTTTCTGGGAACAAGCCCCGGGTCTCATTCCGGGTCAGCAGAAGATTGAAGTCACCCGGTCTGGCGAGGCCACACAGCATGCGTTCAATCGACACTTTGAAACTCTAGAGCTGGAGTATGGCGCAGTACATGTGGTTAACTTGCTAAGTGAACTGAAACCTGGAGAAGCAGAGTTGTCTGCAAATTTTCGAAAGCACATCAACAAAAGCTCAGTCAGGCAAAAGGAAGACGCAGGTACCTCTCCGCGTCGTAGTCTCCTGCGAATGACCGAGTATGATTTCCTTGCTGAGACTCGGGGTCCTTCGGGATATGAAGCCAGTTCCCAGATCAAACATGAGCTGATCAACTCATTGGATGGATTTTCCTACTTTTTGTCGGAAGATTCTAGTCGTCCAAATAAAAACACTTATGACAGAGACGATGCAGTCAACAGTTCTTCGGTAATCTTGCAACAAGAAGGTGTTTTCCGAACTAATTGTCTAGATTGCCTGGACAGAACAAATCTCGTCCAGACAATCATCAGCTCGATGGCCTTTGAGTCTTTTTTGTCGCAGCAAGGCGGAAGACTCAGCTCAGATATGCAAGTCAGGCATTCGACCATTTGGGCCGATAATGGCGATGCACTCTCCAAGATATATGCGGGGACGGGAGCTCTCAAATCCTCCTTCACCAGGCATGGAAAAATGTCCCTTGCGGGAGCACTTGCAGATGCACGGAAAAGTGCCACTCGACTTTATGTCAACAATTTCACGGACAAATCCAGACAAAGGACGATTGACCTACTCCTAGGCCGGCTCACAAATCAGTCGCCCGTACATCTCTACGATCCAATCAATGATTTAGTGCTCGATGAATTGAATCGTCGGACCTCGGAATATTCTTCGCGTACACAGGTCCGGTTCTGGGTTGGCACTTTCAATGTGAATGGGCGTGACGAGGGCCCAGGCACTGATCTTACTCCGTGGCTTTTTCCAGAGGCGGATACCTCTGATGAAGATCCAGCAGTGTTTGTCGTCGGTTTTCAGGAAATTGTCGCCTTGAGTCCCCAACAGATAATGTCTACCGATCCCAGTACTCGCAAGGTTTGGGAAAAGGCGGTCCATGACTGTTTGAACACCCATTCAAAGCTGAAAGGTACAGGAAAGTACGTACATCTTAGAAGTGGCCAACTTGTCGGTGCTGCGGCTTTGCTTTACGTCAAGGAAGATGCCTTGAAATATATCAAAAACGTCGAAGGCAGTGTGAAAAAGGCAGGTAGTCTCTTATTCTGCTATGTGCCGAGCTGTGCTAACTTGCGAAGACTGGTCTCTCTGGTATTGCTGGCAATAAGGGCGGCTGTGCTATTCGCTTCGACTTCTCCAACACAAGTGTCTGCTTCGTTACAGCCCATCTTGCAGCAGGTTTTGCAAACTATGATGAACGAAACAGGGACTACGATATCATCGACCGAGGACTACGGTTCCAGAAGAATAGGACAATCGCTGACCACGACGCCGTGATCTGGCTAGGTGATTTCAACTATCGAATTGGATTAAGCAACCCTAGCGTAAAAGAGCTCATCTTGCAGCACGACTATCAAAGGTTGTATGATAACGACCAAGTAAGTCAACCATCTCTATGGTATCTTTATGCGGCTTTGTTGACAATAGCAGTTGAATCTTCAAATGGTTGCGGGAAGAGTGTTCCAGTTTTACTCAGAAGGCCCAATTGACTTCCCACCTACCTATAAGTACGATGTTGGAAGGGACAATTACGATACATCGTAAGTGCCGTTCAGCATAGAGGTCTATGGTGGTATATCTGAAACTAACACCTCCAAGTGAGAAAGCTCGTATTCCCGCATGGTGTGATCGAGTTTTGTGGAGAGGAAGCAACCTGCAGCAAACTCACTACCAAACTGCGGATTTGAAGGTCTCTGATCATCGTCCAGTCTGGGCAGCCTTTAATTGTGTAATCGATATTGTAGACCACGCGTTGAAAGAAAAGCTCAGGCGGTCGATATACGAAGGGAAACAAGGCCATGATCAGGCTTTTCTCGCGAACTCTGTCTCTCTGCTGGACTTGGACGATGATGAAAGCACGCCCGCTGTTTCCATTGCACCCGGGCTACCACCAGCAAGTTCTGATCGAAGCCGATGGTGGTTAGACAATGGTGAGTATCTTCCAATCTGAGGATGCAGAGACCATTGTGCTAACTCTTGACAGGGGCCCCGGTAAAAGCAACTGTACAACCACCAAAGGAAGGATACGTGGCCAATACTCATCGCAAGTCTAATCCCTTCTCTGCAGATGTTGACTGGGTAGCAAGCCCAATCTCATCAAAACAACAACAAATTGAGAGGAAACCGATGTTGCCTCCTCGTCGTGACACGCTTGGGTCAACTGGGTCCACGTCACCTCAATCAGTAGAATCTGCGAAAATACCACCGGTCGTCCCACGGAAACCGCTATCGTTGAGCTCCCAATCCAATTCGCGGACAATGCCAACCATGTCCAACAATCAGACAACAAGGCAAGGCAGTTCAGGAAATGCGACTGCAAGCCCACCAGATCTCCTCGGAGATTCTTCCAGTGAACAAATTGGATGGAAGCCACTTATTCAATGAGAAAATAGACCACCATCTACATCCTATGCCATAGAATAGGTCATAATACATTCCAAAACTCCCAATTAGTAAATAATTACATTGATGTCATCTTTGACCGCCTTCTTCTCCGCACTTGCCGCCTTCAAAAATCACATCAGGTCTGTCTATAGTTATGCGTAGTAATACTCCGTAGCACATGTGTATATACTTCTGTACAACTATTTGGAAAAGTATACGCATATTCATGTGTGTTTTTATGAATATATAAACTATATGTATTCTCTATAAGACTTATAATAAGTCTACATAGGTATACTCCGGTATTACAATCTATAGGACAGGCCTTTATGCCTTTCGTTGTATATATGATATTGCAAATGATTGTGAGCTTCATATATATATATATATATATATACCTAGGTACTTGTAGATATGTTGAGTCGTATAAGTTCTGCATCAGAGACAAATCAGGGGGCTCTCCTAAAAACAAAAACAAACGTGGCCTTTTTTTTGCCGGCATATTACTTTAATTGAATCCCCTCCCTAATTGTTATCCTTCAATTTATTCACAACCTTCACAATGGTATGATGAAGACAAGTGTAACGACTGAATCGTATCTAACATCCTTTCCCAGGCACAAACACCACAGCAACGGAGAGCCAACGAACGGTTCGCAAAGACCGAGGCCGCAAAGCGCGGTAAGGCGCCAACCACTGTCAAGCCGAAGAAGAATACAAAGTCGCCACTTTCAGCGAGCTGGGTTGGTATGTACTTGATTAATTACCGAATTTGACTTGTAAACTGACAATATCTCAGTTCTTCTCGCCTTTGTTGTTTGCGGTGGCCTCCTATTAGAGCTTGTACGGATTGTCCCTGAGCTATGGTCAACCGTGGCCTCATGGTTCACTCAGATCACAGGGTAATTGGAATAGGATTCACTATTTCAATACCTCTGCAGCTGTTCAACCCTTTTGAGTCTTGTCTTCATGATATGCCAACTACCTCTCATCCGCCCCTGTCTCAAAAGGGATGCATTCCGAGTTACATGCATGTCCGATATGGTTTTCCATGTCGCAGGTTTCTTTCTTTCTTACTCCTTTTCTTTTGAATATGTATTATTTTTTTTATCTCACTGCTACTGCTCAAGCCAAATACCATACGCGTTGCAATATTTACTCAATCGGAAGCTTTAGGAGGTGATGTCTCTCCTGCTGGCTTCTCGAATTCTCTCTTCTTCTTCTTCTTTTTCCCAGCAGTAATTTCTGCGGAGTGCTCGTCCACCGCATCTCGAGAATCTTTATCAGCGTGCTTTCTTGCCTTTTTTTTCTTTTTCTTGACCAGAGTCCCTTCTGCTGGGGTGCCATCAAGTTCAATTCGCTCCGATGCTCGTTGCATACGCAATCGCACTTCTTCAACCTGTTGCATTGCTTTTGCCATTTCCATCTCCCCTTCATCCGTAGTGATTCGAGGCCCCTTTGACGGCATGATCCCCAGGCTGCTGGTGTCAACCTGGAGCAAGGACTGCTTAGGCGCAGGGTGGCCATCAATGGTATTATGGGACATAGAGGTGCCTGTCGCAGGGGTGTGGGCCTCAAAAGTTTCATCGCCAGCAACTGCTAATTTATTTGGAGGTCGACGATATTTTGGGCGATCAAACTCAACGCGACTGGATTGTTCATCTCCCAACTTTAAATCAACGATGGGAATCGAATCAATGTCCAGAACCTGCCCATTGGAGTTGTGCAGAATTTCATGGAATGGAGTAGACGTGCCGGATGATTCTCCAGAAGGGGCAATGTAGAAAGGATCATCCTTGAAGCGTTCCCTCCGCTCAAGCATTCTTTTTTGGATGGCAATGGAAGAGTCCACAGAGCCACCAGTGGAGTTTTGATAGTTATGGGATATATCAACCGGTGCAATATCACGAGCCTGTCTGTTTAAAGGCGAGAGTTCAGGGATGTGATAGAAGTCGGATGCTTCCCAGGATTTAGACTCGTGAGATAACGAGTCGTCTAAATCTCGGAAAAGACCGAGCAGATCATGGCTGAATGCCTCGTCTAAACAAAGGCTATCAGGCAAAACAACTTTTCTTTGGGCACTAGCCGCAACAGGGTTTAGCTCGAGTCCCGTGAATAGGGTTGGTATGACGGAGGAGAGAAGGAATGGAACTTCTTGTGTTTCGGAATTCAGGGAGTCAACAGCGAGCCGGAGAACCTCCAGGAACTCAATAGCTCGCTCTTGGACATCCAAATCTGGATGAGATGCCAAAGACTCGAGGAACTCCACGATGCGAGCAAGCAAGAGCGACATCTCGCTTTTCCAGAGATCTCCTGGTTTGCTGGTCTGGCTGACCTGAACGAAAATTTTTGGGATGGCTTGCAAGAAAAGAGAAAGAGTCCTTGGCGGGAGTGATGAATTTGAGATGTCGATCAATGATAAAAGCGTCCGATTTGGTGATAGAAGATATTCTGCATATTCTCCAACCACCCAGGCGACAGGCCCCAAAACACCATCGCCAATGGTTGAACCAGTAGGGAAGAAAGTTGATCTATTATCCATAAAGATGAGGGACTCGGCAGCTCTTGTAGCTTCCGTGCGCACTCCTTTTACTCGCACGGCAATGTTGCGAATCTCTGTCCCTATTCGGAGGGCGGCGTTCGCTTTCAAATCGAGCAGTGTATCTTGTTCTTTGGGATGACACCACTCATCCTCAACCTCGGATGGTGGAAGAAGACTGACCAATTGCACCAATACGGCAACATACCACTCAAAATCAACAATTTCGGAGTAGTTGTTCTGCGAACACAGATCCAGAATTCGGTGAATAACCTCGGTCTTGTAATCATTGGGCCAGACAGTCAATATCTCGGAATTCTCTGATATTTCGGATATATCTGCCAATTCGGCTGCGGGAACAGATGCTCGACGGAGTTGATCCAGTAGACGGTTCACAACAGGTTGGAGGGTATCACTGTTGACAATTCCGACGGCGAGATCGAGGGCTTGCAGTCTGATAGAGACGTCTGCATCGTCCAAGCAATCCATAATGACGTCCTGCTGCATAGAAACCAACGTTGGATGAGTGGCAACAATGCGGTTTAATGCAAGAAGCGCAACATATTTCACTATATTCCAAGTCAGTGATGATATATCGAGGCGGGAAAAAACAGGAAACTCACGGTTGGGGTCAGTATCCATCACTATCATTCCGCGCAATTTCCCGACACAAAGGGTGGCAACTTCGTCTCGTTCTTGAAGGCCATCTTCCCCGTCCAATATACCTCCCTGGATGATGCCATTGATACATTCGTAGAGCAAGGACATTGCAGAGGTAGTCTGAATTATGTTGGTCAATGGGCGTAGAAGTTTGCGGGTAAGACGTGGTTCCAATGGGGTCAATGTTGCGAACTAGGGAAGTTAGAAAGTACTCAACAAGAGGTACGGGGAGCTAACAAGTTTGATGATCTTTATCGCCATCCAATTGTTACCGCTATCCACCAAAAGCTCGAAAAATCGGGGTGCCAGAGGTAGGAAGTCATGAGGTCGTCGCCATCCGAGCTCACAAACAACATTGATAGCTGCAGTTGTGACACTGCCATCTTCCTGATCGTCCATTAAATGGTCTTTGATCTTGGGCCATGCTAGCTTCAGGGCTTCCGGGTAGACCAATGCAAGCCTATACAGACATACAATCGTTTTCTTGCGTACCACGGGGTTTGAGTGTGAAAGCCGGGACAGAATGTCAGGGAGCAGCGACATCGCCAGAGAAGGTGTGATTATGTGCGGCAAAGTAATTAGAGGAAGTGACATGTTAGGGATGCTTGATGTAACAATATCCTTCTTCAACAAGTTTGTCGCAAGCATCAGGACTTCGGTATCTGGTCGAAAGCTCTGTACCGCTCCGAGGTATCCGACTCTTTTCTGGAGATATTTGGCCGATGACATGACCTCAAGAACGTGAAAAGATGCCCACGACATGTCATATCCAAACATTTCCAGGTATATGAGCTTTAGGAGGGCCGTGGCCTTTTTATCTGGTAGAGCTCAGCAAGATGTCTGCCATATAACTAGATAGCTTAGCTTAGGATTACCCATGTCTTGTGTTTTGATTTCAGCCTTGCATTCGCGCAAAGCATTCTGAATATATTCATTTTCCCCTCCTTTGTGGCCCCGAAGACCTTTGATCAGATCGTAAAGCGATTTTTCGAACCTGAGATAATCAAGTCAGTGATCGGTCTGGACCGTGAAGCATTGGGGTGCCCACATTGTAACAGCTATTGGTCATACCAGACCCAAATCAAAGGATGTAAAGGTGTATTAGTGAGTCTGATTGGGGGACATTATAACTTGGACGGTCGAGTAAATCATGTAAAGTAGCTCTGGCGTCGAACATGAGATTTGACAAGCAACAGCTCCGCGGGGTGGAGTTTGGGGGAATGGACGATAAGGATCACGGGACCCGTAGATTGCGAAGCTAGTAGTACCTTGTACTTCTCCTTTAACCGTCACTAATTAGTTTGACCCTACTCCGTACTTTCTGATTGATTGATTTCTTTCTTTCTTGTTTTTTATTTGCTTGGTTTGACTCCTTCGAAGCGAGAGCTGGCAAACCTTGTCTATCATGGCTGGCACTGTCTCCGATGTCCGCCAGATCAGCGGCTCGGACCTAATCTCAGCTCTTCACCTTGCCCAACAAGCACCTGCAATTATTGGACATGAATCTGGTGCCGGGGCATCTTCATCCAAGGACACCGCAGATTACTATGCGAGGATAGAACAACTCATGCTGGCTTGTCTCCGAACTGGAGATGACCAGTCAGCACAGACGTGTTTGAATCGGCTCAGTCTTCGATTTGGACCCTCCAATGAAAGGATCATGGGACTTCGAGGCCTGTACGAGGAGGCAACTGCCAAGGATCAGTCGGCACTAGAGAAATGCCTACAAGAATACGAGAATATTCTGTCCCAGAGTCCGGTGAATGTGGTCAGTAATGGATTCCTAGGGTATTGCTTTGGAGGTGGGGAGGCTAACCAGGAATAATCAGCCTATCCTGAAGCGCCGAGTAGCGTTGCTGCGCTCACTGAACCGACCGACCGATGCGATCTCTGCTCTGATTCAACTCCTTGATGCGATACCTACGGACGCCGAAGCCTGGTGTGAGCTAGCGGATCTGTACCAGTCACAGGGGTTGGGTTCCCAAGCCATTTTTAGCCTTGAAGAGGCTCTGCTTATTGCGCCCAACTCTTGGAATGTATGCACGCCGCACCTACATATGTTGGGATTTATGAGTCATGGTCAACTAATTTCAATCATTATTCAGATCCATTCACGCCTAGGTGAGCTGTTATACATCTTTGCCACGGATGGAGATGCAAAACTCCTTGGAAGGTCAATTCAACATTTCAGTCGAAGTATTGAACTTTGTGATGATTACCTACGAGGTTTTTATGGGTTAACTCTGGTAAGTCCTTGCCATTACCATTACCATTAACATTACCATACTGTTACTGACCTCAAGTTTAGGCCTCAACTCGAATGCTTGACAGGGGTTATACATTACCAGGGCAACCCAACAAAACCCTAGAACGGTTAAGGAAATTTGCGCTTCACAAGTTGGGCGAGATTGTAAAGTCACGATCCGTTGATGACCAACATTGGGCATCAAGTCGAAGTGAACTGATTGCAGCTAAGGAGTTGTTGAATCGATTTGAATAAGACATGATTCTTAGTTTTATAATATTATTTTCCCTATGTTTACAGATGTATGCATTTATCGATATGTACCTTTGTAGATTGTAAGTATGTATACATACATGTAGAGGCTTAGGGTATATTGGGCATTTTGGGCCGTCAAGAAAAAAAGAAAATTCTTGTTGCACGCATATGCCCAACCGGCCTAAGTACATAGTTTACTTTATATATGTAGTTCACTGGCTATGGATTTATATATGTGTATATATATATATAATAATTAAATATAACTTATCTTCTTACTTTCCCCCCCTTCACTTTTGTTTTCTGTTAACATGATACCCCCTTGATTTATTTCAACTTTTTTTTGACTCTCAATACATATACAACGTATACCCTGTCAGTTCGTCAACCCGTCAACCCTGTCAACCCTTGTATTAAAAGCAAGGGGTATTTAAACAAGGTTAAAAGGACAGAAAAACACCAACTGTATTGAATACAAAAAAGTGACAGTGAGAGAAAAAGTCAGAGAGAGAAACCGAAAATAAGTCAATGCGCAACAAAAAAAACAAACCCCCGCGTCAATCATTTTCACCATTCTTTTCTTCCTCTCCTCTTCTCCCCTGGACACAACGGGTATTCCCTCCTCACTTCGCGCATGCGAAACAGAGAGAGGTTTATCTTTCTCTTGATTTTTTATTGATTATATTCGAGGTCGAGATATTATAATCTCTATGACGTACGTTCACGTTTAGTTCTCTTTTCTTTTTCTAATATACTTCCCCATTCATACATTCATACATACTCACCTTGTTTTCTCTCGTTTTCTCTCTATATAGGCTCAGTATCTCGATTGATCCAGACCACGGTTCGGACCAGTTTTATTCCTCCGAGGACGAGGATTCGTCTGGTGTACATGTTACAGCACCTTCAGTGGGAAGTCATGAGTACCAAGATTATGATGAGTGGGCGCATTTGCCTTATCCGGATGAATTGAAACCATCTGATTCAGCCTCCCGACCAAGAACTTCGCACCGCAGTCGTCCCCCCCACGGTTCACGATCCGCTTCGGGCCGTCGCCCAACGTCACGACGTATGGTTTCAGAACAACAGTCATTCGCCCCTCGAGGCCGAAGACACCCATCGCCAGATTCTCCCGAAAGTGACTCCGCCGATGAATATCCTCATCATGGTCGCCCAACCGATCGAAGGGCATGGCAACAACCAATGCCACCCGGTTACCCCCCTAGTCAGTCCACTGGTCCATCCTATAACCCCGTCTACCCTCCTCAACCCGGTCACCCCCCGTACCACAATGCCCCAGTCACTTCGGATCTCATGAGAATCGGTAACGCCCAACCGAATCCTTATGGCGCTCCCCCGTATGGGTATCAACCTCAATTTCCCCATGGCTCTCAGCATTTCCCCCCGATCAAGCTCAACCACATCAACGCCATGCGCTTCGCCAACATCTGCACAATCCAATGCAGCCGCCGATGCCTCACCCGATGGCACCTCACGGCCCTACCTCGCCATATATGGGGGATATCCCCATCATGAAATGATGCCTTACGGTCAACACGGTTTCTATCAAGATCCCCAGGGTTTCTATGGCGGGGGCATGATGCCTCCTCATTCTCATTACTGGCCTCCCTATCCTTTAGTCTCAACACCGCCAGTAGTACCGCCACCGGAAGCAAAATCCCCCAAACCCACAACACCTGCTCCTGAACCTGCCCCAGCCCCTCCACCGGCCCCGGCCCCACCCCCTCCACCGCCACCAGTAGATACGGCCAAGGACGAGCAAATCGCGAGGCTTGAAAAGCTGATTCTCGACGACCGGATGGACCGTGAAGCGAAAGAAACCGCCAAAAGGCAGGCCATTGAACGTGCGGCCGCTGAACAGGCAGCCCAAGAGGCCCAGTTAGCGCATGATAGAAAGATCACTCAGGAGGCGGCGGCTCTCGCTCGGGCCGATGCGGAAAAGAAGGCCGCAGAAGATGCAGCAAAGGCCAAGGAAGAAGCAGAGAAGGCCACTGCCAGTGCGGCCTCTGAGGCTGCAGCTGCCGCGACGGCAGCGGCTAATGAAGCTGCAGCGGCGGCGGCAGCGGCAGCGGCTGAAGCCGCTGCCAAGGCTGCCCGTGGACCAACACCGCCGCCACCTCCAGAGAAGAAGAAGCCTATCAAATTCAAAGATGCTGTTGGGAGAAAGTTCAGCTTTCCGTTTGAGCTTTGTGCAACCTGGCAGGTAAGTTCCCCGCTTCCTCCAATCTGTCTATCTTCGTTCATGCTGATGTTTTTTATCGAAGGGTATGGAAGAGCTCATCCGACAGGCTTTCTTGCACATTGAAGTCATTGGGCCCCATGTGGCCGAGGGTCACTATGACCTGGTAGGCCCCAATGGTGACATTATTCTTCCACAGGTCTGGGAAACTGTAATTGAGCCCGACTGGGCCATCACTATGCACATGTGGCCGATTCCTGAAAAACCAAAAGAAGAACCTGCACCTGAACCGGCTCCGGAAAAGGCTCCGGATCCACCACCACCTGAGGTGAAGAAAAAGCCGGATGGTAAGATCACTAGTCCTGAATATCCACCGAGACTCGCGCTGACTTTTATTACAGCGCCTAAGAAGCCAAAAGCCAAAGGGCCAGAAGTGCCTGGCAGTTTTGCGATGTGGATGCTAGGCGGCACTAATCGGCGAGGAGGTAAAGGGGGACTTAAAGTGGAAAAGAAGGTCGAGGCCCCAGCACCCGCACCTGCACCATGAGAAGGGCTCCTTGTGTTGGTATCTATTACCCTGTTTCGAGATGAGCGGTGATTTGGTGGTGCTTTGGTTCGCTTGCTGGCCGCTATATCTGTAGACCTGGGCAATAAGGATGGTGGATCTTACTTCCTTGATATCGCTCGGAGAATGACGAATAAATACGATGACCACTGCGAATGACATTTTACTATGACATGGATGTTGATTTCTCTCAATCACCGAGACATTATTCCCTTGACTAATTACTAATTATTCGAAAGAGAAAAAAAACCCCTGTCTATAATGATCACAACCCACGTACCATATACCTATCTTACGAACTAGTGAAGTCTGTCTGTTATTAATTAATCAAGACCCCACAGTAGTACCAAGGTAGTTTCTCTTACCCCTTACGATATTTATACGAACTAACAAGCCCCATCACATTTAATGGAGTATGTACAAAGTGAGCTCTAAGCACTGCGTTGTATCATCCAAGCTATTATTGACCTTAGGTGCGGCTACGGGACCGTACGGGGCCGTACTCACAGTTAAAACTATACAAACAGGAGAAGTCTGAATTAGGCACCACGAATCTCAAAAACACACTTTAGGTATGCCTAATTAGGATAGCCACTATTTACATGTCTAAGACCGTTTTGGCGTAGAAAAAAAATATATAGCTCTTTGATATGATATACTAGATGTCTAAGTGTCACGGGCCAGAGCCTAGAATATATCACGTGACCCATGGCCAGGGTAACTATGCCGAATTTTACGTTAGATAGTTCTTTTCTTTGAGATTAATGTAAACAGCATGTTGACCTAGCCCTAATTGAATCAATTCAGCTACAGCCTTTCATATCAAGAGCCTTATAGTGCATGATCGTAAGAGGTTACGCAGAGGATAGGAAATAGGAAGGGAACAAGAAGGAGAAATGAACAGGAATGGAGTTTAAATACAATCTAAGAATGAAGGAAGATATTTTGAATTCTTCATGAACATAAGAGCTAGCAGGGCCTTACATTTTCTACTAAAAAATACCAGACCTTTCAAAGGAGAGTCCGACACCCAAACCAACATACTACCCAAACTGAAAATAATTCACTATATCTAATTTCGACCCATATTTTGACCATATGTATAAATAAATTTAGTGCATTTTAAGTAAGAATTAAATACAAACCCCATTAAATAACATGACTTATAGCCATGACCCGCCCTCATTTCTTTTACATCCGTCTATGCCTTTTGATTTATGTATTGACCTTGGCCTATTTCCCCTTCCTTTTAGAAATATCTTTGGCCTTAGTCTATTAAATGCTCTATATTCAATACTTCTTATTCCACTAGCATTATTTATGCTAGTAGTTTAAGCCCTCGCCCGGGTAATGTCATCTTTTACGTGGCAGGTAGCTATAATAACTAAAGACATATCTAATTTAGACTATAATATATATACTAAAGTAGTAGGTATTCTAGCACTTTTACGATCTTTATAAATATATTTTAATAGCGAGAGGAATAAATATTATCTTTATTAAGCGCTAAAGCTTAGTTTTTATACCATTTTAGTAGTTTTAGGGGTACTAAAGTCTATATAGACCGAGCTATTATTTAATAGTGTTAATAGTCGTAGTTGTTATTAGTAAGGATTATAGTTAAATAAATTCTTAGTAATCAATTTAAAATCAATTAACTAAAGACCTGTTAATCAAAAGCCGAGTTTGATTATGTATAGACGAAAGGTTTCTTCCCGGATCGAGGTTATCGTATGAAGAAATTTATCCTTAGTAAATTTTTAATATCTAGTTATTATCGCAGATTCGATGACCTTATTATACTAATATTAATAAGTACTAAATACGCTAATATTAAGAGGCTATAGAAGTAGCTTGAATATGGTAATAAAGAAAAAAGAATAATGGATTTTTAAAAAATTTACTGAATTATCGTATTAATATAATCCAAATCGGTCATATAGAACTAATCGCTTAAAACTATAAATTTAACGAAATATCTATTTATAAAATTTTAATTCTATTAAAATACTAAAACGTTAGTTATATATCTAGAATCGGATATAGCGGGGTATTTATTAGTTTAAATAGCCTTAAATTGTTATAGTACTATTTATTTATTACTTAAATAATAAGTAATAACCTTGATTAATACTAATTCAAAAGCTAGTCTTGTTTAACTTCTAGATATCGCTAAGTAAAATATTATATTCCTCGTCGATCCGGGTATATTAATCGGTCTACTTTTCTATGACCCTTTTTTTTATCTATCGCTCAGCTTTATTTAATATTAAGGGCTTATCGGCGACATCGATAATATTAAGGGTTACGTTTTAAGAACCGGCGAGTCTAAGACTAGCCAATCTTAGGTAATAGGATTACGGGATCGGTATACGCTTCTTCGAGAATTGAATCTACTACGATTACGATTTATAACGCCCGCTTTATTGAAGTAATTAATAAACTAGTATAAAGTAGAGTCTTATATGGAATTAAGCTTATGATTATTAGATTAGCGTTAGAATAAAGGTTTCTTACCTAGTGATTCCGAAGCTAGTTATAAGGTACGTCAAATTCACGCGTAGTTTTAGATATATTAAGCTTAGATTACTATGATAGACTATCCAGTACCTTCATATTTTAGATATTAATTTTAGCGTTGTGCTTGGGCATAGTAATAGAGATATTAATAGTTGAAGATAGTAAGTCAAAATTAGTAAAAGATTATAGATTGGGTGTCGGACCCTCCTTCAGAGAGTCTAGTATAACTTAGTAAAAAATATAAGGCCCATTTATAAAGAAGAACAAATAATAAGAAGGAAACAAGAATAATAAATAAAGCTAGAAAGTAAATTTTGGAACAGTTTAAAAGAAGAATTCTTAGTAATGGTATTTTATAAATAATCAAAATAGTTAAAAATTAATTATTATAGGTTTTTCACCCTTCTTTTATCTTAGAATATGTGGTGCACCAATCTTTATCTGTATATAAATATCTACCATCTATCCTTGTCATTATAATAACGGCACATAATTGATTTACCATCAATCTTTGTTATTTAGGATGGTGGCGAATAAATAATTTATCATTGTAAAATAGTGATATCATATAATAGTATCATACTATTGTTTATTATATATATATATATATATATAATTAAATATAATATCCCCCCTCAAATCTACATAATAGTTTATTATTTTAAATAGCTTCTCTTATAAAATAGTAGACTATTTTAATATATGTAATCTTTTCTAGAATTTACGATTTTTACCTACGTTTTTAGTAGATAGAATATCTACCAATGTTTTAGGAAAACTAATAGTATAGCCTAATTTAATTTTATTATTCAAATAAGTAAAAAGGCTTCTTAGATATAAAACTTCTTTAGTAGCTTCTTTCAACACTATATATCTAGCTTCTATACTACTTAATACTACTATTTTTATAGCTAACTATTATAGGAAATCATAACATTGATTAATCACCGTATTAAAGGATAGGCTAAAAATATATCTAGATATAGATTATCTACTATCTAAATCATTGAACTAATCGGAGTTTTAGTAATTCTTTAGAATCTTTAGAGTAGTCTGTAGAGTAGCTATAAAATAAGCTTAGTTTTCTATATTCAATGAATTTTTCTAGATTTTCTAAAAAGTATTCAAATGCTTATTATATAGGGGTTTGAAAGTCTTTACCTACTACCTACTTTATAAATTACCACGTTAACAACTTTACCATTTTCTCTTCTTTTTATACCTCCCTATAGCTTTATTGTATATAGCTAATAGGCCTGCTCAGAAGAAAGAGAATAAGTTGTCCCTAGAATAAAGGTTCAGTATTATTTATATATATTTAAATAAGCATACTATTTAAACTAGATTCATATATAATTTCGGCTATAATTATAAAATCTTATATAATATAATGGAATGCTTTTAATAGCACTAGACCATAGAATTAAAGGCCTCGCTTTAAGTGCCCCCGGAAATTAAATAATCGAACTTCTAATTTTATATTTTTATAAGCTCGCTAGAATATAATCTATATCTATAAAAAGCTAAGTTCTATTAAACATAAATGAATAGATTTGACTATCTTTTAGCTACGTTAAAGGTATATAGTACTTAAAATTATTATGCAGAAATAAAAATTTCGATTGAATCCGTTTAGCGGTATTTAAACTTAAACTTATTAAGTCATTTCTTCAATTGTATACATCAGAAGGTATAAGGAGGATTAGAAGGTATTTAAAGAGTATATAAAGGTTACTTAGATAGTTATTCTAGTTATTCCGTAAGAGTAATTTAATATGCTAATATTAGATATAGGCAGACATTATAAGGCGGTACGGAAGGCTAAAGGTTATTATACTAAGTACTAAATTTGGATTTCAATCAAGGATAGCCTTAGGTTTAAACCTAACTTATTAGAAGTAAATAGGATACATAATAGGATAGTAAGTATTATTCAGTTTTGTAGATATATATATCTAAGAATAATAAGGTAAAAATACGGGTAGGTATAGACTTTCCGATATAGTGTATAGTTTCTTTTTCTAGGTTTCTTTATTTTAAATTTAATAAATTTAAGTTGATTACCTTAAATACCCGAGATTCGTTGGTTAGACTTAAAGAAGGTCTCTATAGTATATGATTTTAGATCACCCCGAGGAGATAAAACGATACTTTATAATAATATTTTAGAATCGTTACTAAGGCTATTTAGTATATAAAAAACAAAAAAGTTTTCTAGCAAAAATGTTTCCTTATTATAGAATTTATAAACAAGGGCTTTAACCTTATTTAAATATTCTCCTGTAGTCTAAAATTATATTAAGAGATATTACAGAATTAAGTTATAAACTCCTTTAGGTAATAAGACTCTTTTAGTCCTTTCTATACTATTTTAGTATTTATAATATCTTTAATATATATAGTAATAAGCTATTATTATATAATAGCTAAATAACAAAGAGGGCCTTGTTATTCCTTATGTT